TATTATAGCTATTTATTACTCTATTCCTTTAAATATTATCTATATATTCTACTTTAAAGGCGTTTCCCTAATACTATACTCCTTGCTAGTATATCTTTAGATCTCTTAATATATAATAAGAATTATCTAAGCTATAAAATTAGCCGATCTAGTAATAAAAATAGCTAGAGTTTTGATATTTAAAAAGCTTTTAGAGCTTAGTCTATTAATATCTCTAGTAGTATCGAGTAGCTTTTAGAAGCTATATATTATTAGAGCTAGAGGTATATATTCTATACTAGAATAGTTCATTTCTAATAGTATAGAATATATAGTAATTTCTAGAAGGTTTATTTAATATATTCTCTACGATTACCTTTTTATTCTTATCTTCTTAGGACTTTTAACTATATATTAGAAATAGTTTCTAGGTAAATATTATTTATCTTTCTAGAATCTAAGTATTTCTAAGCTTAGAAAGACGCTTTCCCTTTCTCTAAATATAGAGAGCTCCTTAAAATAGGTAGAAGATTAATCTAAGCTAGTAGTTATTTTAAAACTATAAAGGTTTAGGATTATATAGTACTATAAATTATAATTATAATAAAAATTCTAGAGCTATCTTTTTAGCTATATAATCTAACCTTCTATAAGCTTTACTCTAGTTTAGAAGAATAAAGTAGTATAATATACTTCTATTATATAAAAAGGTAAGCTAACTTTACTAGCTATAGTAACTATAACTTACTAGTATAATTTAAATCGTCGTAGTTATAAGTAAGTATAGCTAGTAGTAATAAAGCTAGCTCCTAATAAGAAATAGATATATCTCCTTTATAAAATATTCCTAAAAACTATAGATATTTAATCTAGCTTTAGGACTTAAATATCTCTTTCAGCTTAAGTTAAAGTAAAATATAAAATAATCCCTTTTTAGAAAGAAAGTAATAATAACCTTGAGTTATTTAAGTTATTAAAGTAATTAGAACTATATTCTCTTAGTAGGTACTAAGCTTTATATACTAATTTGTTTATATATACTAATTCCGTTCTACTATTTTAATAAGTAAACGCTTAGTATTAGGTAAACTATATTAGGTTTAGAGAAAAATCAGAAATTTAAGAAATACTCTCTAACTTCGAAATTTTTAAGTAAATAAATACTACTTCTCTAACGCCAAGCACCAGGGCGTGGCCACCCCCAGGGCGTGGCCACCCCCAGGGCGTGGCCACCAATTTCCGTATTAACCACAACAACAACTTCAACGCGTGATGGCTCCATCAAAACGCGTCCAAATGAGCTCAAACGAAGGGAGTATACTCCTTGCAATATCAGCTCTCAAATCAGATGCTATTGACTCCGTGTCAGCCGCTGCAAAAATGTACAATATCCCAAGATCAACACTACGTCGCAGATTGCAAGGAATGCCTAGTAGAGAGGACTACATGCCACAGAATAGCAGTCTTACTCTGATCGAGGAGGGCGTCCTTCTTAAGGACATATTGAAGCAGGATTCTCAAGGGCTATCTCCTACCCTTGATATTATACGATCTATAGCCAATTCCATCTGCAAAGCTAAGGGAAAACCTGAAGTTGGCCGGCATTGGCCTAGCAGGTTCATTCAGCGCAATCCCTCGCTAATAATGAAATCTGGAAGGACCTATGAATGCCAGAGAAGGCTCTGTGAAACTCCGGCAGTGATTGAGGCTTGGTTTGAGCTTGTGAAGAACACTATCAACAAGCATGGCATCTTACCACAAGACATGTACAACTTTGATGAGACAGGCTTTCAATTAGGCCAGATCTCAACTTCTAGAGTAGTCACATCATTTGAAAGGACTGGTAGGCCAAAGCAAGTCAAGCCTTCAGGCACTGAATGGATCACAGTCATCCAAGGAGCCTGTGCGGATGGTTCAGCCATACCACCACTCCTCATCTTCAAAGGCAAGACTATCAACTATTCATGGCTTGGAGAAGACTTTCCTCAGACATGGATGTTTACAGCAAGCCCTCAAGGCTGGACAAGTGATGAGATTGGCTTGCAATGGATCCAACACTTTGAAAATCATACAAGAATGAAGACTATTGGCAGCAAAAGATTGTTGATCCTGGACAATCATGGGAGCCATACAACACCAGAGTTCACCTCTTTCTGCATGAAGAACAATATTGTCCTTCTCTGGATGCCTCCTCACTCATCTCATATACTCCAGCCTCTTGATGTTGCCTGCTTTGGCCCTCTGAAGCAGGCCTTCTCAAAACAGACTCAGCACCTGATCCGCAACCATATCTTTCATATCAACAAAAGCACCTTTATGGATGCATTCAAAGCTGCATACTTTGAATCAATCACACCTCAGAACATCCAGGCAGGGTTCAGAGGCTCTGGCCTGCATCCATTCAACCCTGAGGATGTGTTATCAAGGCTTGACCCATCATTTTCATCACCTCTCAGCGCAGCTTCACAGGGCTCCTAGTGTACAAAGACTCCAAGGACTACCCAAGAGGTGGATCAGCAGGCCACATTGATTAAGAGAAGGCTAGAAAGACATCAGAGCAGCTCTCTAACACCTATCTTTGAGGCCTTGAACCAGCTTTCCAAAGGAGCTCAAGAAATGGCTGCTTCTGCTGCTCTACTTCAGTCGCAGGTTTTTGCTTTACAAGAGGCTAATAAAGCAATGCATGAACGCAAATCCAGGAAGAGGAAAGCAATCCTATTAGACCATGCTCTGTCAGCCTCTCAGATCCAAGAGATAGTTGAGCAAGAGGAGGTAGAAGCACAAATAATAGAGCAGATGCCGAAGCCTTCAAAGCGTGCTAGCAGGTGTAGCAAGTGTGGTACATCAGGCCATAACTCTAGAACATGTAAAGTAGAGTAGCCAGTATTGATATATAACATATCTGAGTTTCAGAGCAATTCATTGAGTATTCGTTGAGATAATCAATATTGAAGGTGGTTCATGTTGAAATTGGTGGCCACGCCCTGGGGGTGGCCACGCCCTGGTGCTTGGCGTTATCCTAATAGATACGTCTTCGTTCTCCTAAAGAGTTTTAATACTTAGTAGACTAAATAAAAAAGGATAATAACCCTATAACTATAGGAATAGTAGACTCTATTCTTTACTTAGAGATAGGTTTAATAAGTAGTAGAAGGAATAAGAAAACCCGCTTACTAAGTAAAGTAACTACATATATAATTATAGGAAAAGAAATAATATAATTACTAATATATATTTATTAGAGGTCTAGCCCTGAAGAGCTATACGTCCTACCTAGTTTAAAACCTTTAAGTAGGGTTAAAATAGTATTAATAAATAAATATATAGATAAATAAATAGACTGTCTTATAATTAGCTAAAATAAGTTTGTTTAAGTTAGATTTAAATGTAAAAATATTAATCTTATAAGTTTAAATTATATTACGAATTAATTTTAGAATAATTAAAAGTATAATAATAGCTAATTCTTTTAGCTAGTTAGTAGACTTATTAAGTAGCTACTCTCTTTTATAAAGATATTATATATTCCTTTACTAGGTTTCTAATTTATAGTAATATTTTTACATTATATCTTATTTAGTAAATTATACTTATTAGGCGTTAGTTTAGTTATAAGAAATCTTCGTTTTTAACCTATAGACGTCTATATAATTGTAGCCGAAGCTTTAGGCATTAAAACTATAGACGATATACCGCTAGCTCCTAGTCTCTAGACTAGAGTCTACCTCTTCTATAGGTTTCTACGATATAGCACTAGCCGTACGTACTAGGATAGTGTAGAATACGATAGCAGTATCATTTTCTGTCTAACCGAGCAATAGCTACAGACATACGCGGTAGTAAAAAGCGGGCAGAATTGTAGATAGATATAAGACTACGATTATTGCTTCATTTCGAAATTGCGATATTTGTAGCTACACTTCAATAGAGACTTGATTCGATAACAACACGTTAATAAATGATTCAACCTCAGGCGAATATACAATTACAGGGAGAAACCTGCTCCTTCTCCATATAGAGGTGGTAATCGTCATTAACATCCTGGAGCGAGGCGAGGAATATTCTCTTGTTAGGTCTATACAATCATTCGAACCCTGGAAGATGTCTTATCAAGATCTCTACGCAGCCAAGTATCTTGCTAAATACTAACCACGGTGGCCGTCGATTATTCTGTGTAAGCACATTAATGGATCTCACGAGGGTCCTCAATGGCCAGAGGATGACTTGACACGAAACAGTATGCTTTACGAAAGTGCCCTCGACGAATGGTGGCCGCGGTTGCGAGGTGTTTGGCGCGTTCGCTACAATTATGATGAATGTCCATAGCCTTTCAAACATCTTGCATGGCTCGTTTGCAACGGCAAGGGATCCATGGTCGACGTACACAACGCCATCAGTCCAGCATTGCTGAGACGGATCCCTGCCATTACGTTTGAGTCCACATAGACTTTTTTCCGCCGCCTTGCATGTCGCCAGCCAACCATTTCGGCTCATGGATCAACCAGCGGTAATGCGACTTCGCATCTTCCGATACATTTGTCTTGACCTACATCTCACGGTGGACGTTAGACGTCGACACGGAGCACAGTCTGCTCGGTAACAAGCAATGGTTGCCTCACGAAGTGTTCGATGAGTTGAAGCTGCAGTTTGATTTCTGGTCTCTGACAGCCGGCTCTAAGATCTTTTGCATACTATCAAGTTACACAATGGCTCACGATGAATGCTGTGGTCGTGATGATGTAGTTAACCTCCATCTCGAGTTCACCCTAGCGCGAACTCGAGGATTGGATTTGCAACACCAAGACTTCGCTTCTAATGACTTTCTGACGTCCGATATGGTGGATCGAACTGATCAAAGGGAAGCAAGTCTTGAGACGTTGAGAAAATAACGCGGCATTGACAGCGAAATCTCTGTGATATTGATCACCGACATGAGGCAGTGGGATTTTCTAAATCCAGAAGTGTAAGATCCTAGGCACGAGCCAGAACTGCATCTACAAGCTCGACACTCGATCAGATTCGACACTCGCAAGCCCAGATTGACCATGGCATCCTCCCACAAGTCCCAGGAAATCCGGACGAGTCTACCGAATTAAGGATGCGATACGCTATCCGCCCAGATCCAGTTGATAATCAGTGACGCGGGACGCGATCTAACCCGATACAGTCGAAAAAGCAATGTCTTCCGGGCTCAGGTTGGTCTGCCGATATTTCGAGATGAAATCGTCTCTCGGGATATACCCTCCACACATTCTCCGTTTTCCCGTAAAAGCCGCTCGTCCATGCAAAGCTCGCCAATTGTCAAAGATCAGAAGCTGACCTGGTCTTAGCTGAAACCAGTATTGATTCTTTGGATTGCTAAGGATCGCGTCAAACTTTGCGGCGGCGTCATACCACGCATCCAGCTCGTCCATTTGAGCTGCGATACCAGCGCGATCGGCATTGTTCCATCGGACCTGTGTGAGATGGCCTCCTTGAGGATCGTGAGAGAGTGTAGGGAGCGCCTGCGCTGGTTGGATGCTGATACCGTCATTGCCGCTGGCATGAGCGTACACGCCTGTTCGACTCAAACGAAGGTAGGCATCTTTGTCCTCTGAGTAGAGCTGGGCTGCAGCGCTAAACCCGTCGACGAGAGAGCTTTCTCCACCGGAGCCTTCAGTGTGCGAAAGCATGTGGAGAGCCTGCAAGCCTGCAGCCTCGGTGAAGTAAGTATTGTCGGTATGCGATTCAAGACTTTCGCTGGTATACGCTGTGTCCTTCGAGGACAAATCCGATGTGAAGTCGTAAAATGCACCTGTGACCTCCTATCAGAATTTTGTCATCCAATCATCATGCACAGACCTACCATAATGTGTATTCCTGATGGGTCCAATGGCCGCAAGCGCTGTTTCGGTGGCCTCGGGAGTCGCTGGCAGACCTTCCAGGAAGCAGAAGCCATAGACACGCTAGATCATTGTCGATTAGTGCCGTTCGTATTGTCCAAGCGATGTGCCTCACAATCTTGTGCAATAGGCTACCCATGCCATTTCCGTTGCTAAAAGTCTCGAATGAAACGGCCGGGGGTGCGGCAGCAACCTCAGCTCCCCAGAGAGAAGTACTGTTCTCGCATGAGCTTTATAATTGAATTAAGAGCGTTTCTGCAGCTGATAGCGACTCACGGGGCTAGTCCATAGCGCTTTCGCATCGTTTCAGTATCTTTCCTTCGCTGAAGGAAGGCAGCGGGAAATTGTGCTTCGTGACCGTCGCCAACTATGATCTGAAGTATCAGCAATGGCACGAATAGGCAACACAGGCGTTGCTCACAGGTAATGGAGATCAGTGGCTTGTCTCCTTGAGTCATTTCGAAGCTGGTCAAAGAGCAGTCGATAGTGCCCTACAGATCCGTCAGCGCTGTCGACGAGCTTCGTGCTTTAATTTCACCTTGAAGACATTGAACTGCCTTTGAGCAGTATCCTGATTTCTGCATCGCGAGCAGGCGCAGTTGTCCCTAATTGATCAGCTGGAATCAACGTCCTAGGTGTTGACGACCTTACCTCAGCCACCTGCCAGATCTGCCGTATCGTTAATCTGTTGCTATTGATGTCGCTCGACGGCAGGCTCGACTTACATTTTCTTGTACTGGACTTCTCGTTCATCAAAAATCTCGAGTATACCTTGCTTCAATCGTAAACGTGGTGGACGTAGATCGCTTTTGCCTTCCTCAAACGAAGGGTTGGGATGCTAGTATCACCGTCAGCAAGAATGGATAATACGATCCTTGAATGAAGATCGGGGTACACACACGGGTTGTTGTGGTCCCTTGAAGAGCGAAGCACCTGTGTTCGGTGATGAAGTGAACGGGGCCGCAAAGCCACTGGCGAGGCCTAGGCCATCTGTGCGTCCAGACTGGTTGACTTGCTCAGCGGAGATGACGTTGTGCCGTAATGCGTGGCCTATCGTGAAGTTTCTTGCTGCAGAATGGATCCCCGGCTGGACCGAACAGGATGCCAGGATCGTGGTCTGCGAGACGTAGGCATGCTTGTCAAGTCGTCCAAGCAAGCTGGGCCTATACAATTTTGTGCTGTTCAGTGGTTGTTCTTATAGCTGTTGCACGGACCGGTGCCGTCAAGCACCTCTTGATCTTACCTATTGCCCAGACGAATCATAGCCGACACCATAGGCAAAACGCCAATGGAAGAGTTTGCAACTTCGCTCCAACAGCACCACAATCGGAACTTCAAACCAGAGATTGCGAAGTGCGGATTTATGACAGTACAGAAGCCCGCCGTATGAAGGTGGAGGGGATTTCGAGGGATCATCGAAGTCATGTGACGGGGACGTGGCATACTGCAACAAAAGAGGAATTACCAAGTACGGAAGTGACACCTCAGGAATGCTCGTTTATTAGCCGAGATTTGCTGTTAAGACCTCGGAAAGTTCAATCGCAATAAGATATGAAACATCAGAGAGGATATAACAGGACCGAGTATTACGTCCCACTCAATGTTTCATGACGATAATGATGATCATGATCACAACAATCACTACGACATCGGGGCAACTCTCCTGATGTCAAGCTCGTAATTCTCCCTTGCACGCCTTGCTCGCGTCTGCAGGAATCAAATTCGGTAGTGTACATAGTTGGCTTCATGGAACTTGGCACGAAACGTCAAATCGATGTTGGTAGCAAACAACTTCAAGCGAAGAGTCTAGGTCATAAGATTATTCATATTTTGGGTTAAGAATAATAGTTGATGTGAACTTTGCACTTCTGCAAAGGTAAAAAGTGGCATGTCCAATGACACGCCTCAGGAATGCACACTCTCGTCACCTCAGCTGAGAGTTTGACAGCCGCGAGCGCACGAGATTGTCTCGCCAGGTTTATTCCCGAGATACCATAGGCCATGTGCTTTCCCCCAACGCCCCCTGTCTATCCTCATAGTGAACCCAAATCTAGAAGCCCGAAATTTTTACAAAGACCATGTGTGAAAGCAGAAACCGCGCAGGAAGGAAACAAAAGACCAGCGCCAATCAAAGCCTTGTCCAAGGAGACAAGCAGTAGAGCAGACCAATAAAGCAGAGCAGTTTTTGCGCGCACGCAGAAATTTGGAAAAAAGCAGGACAAATGCGCAAGAATGCCGGGGGCCGAGAATTGTTGTCCTCAACGAATTGCTCATCGCTCGATTGTGTGAAGGAACGGCGAAAGTGGAAAAAACAACGAGGATAGTGTAAAAACCAGAAGTGCCACGACATGAATGATCCTTGGATGTGGCAAGGATGTCGGGGTATCAAACTTTTGGGACGGGTGAAAAACGGTATGAACGCTGCAAAACAAGGTCGAAAAAGCACGAGTCAAAGCATGACGAAAGAAAATGTCTGCCAACGGGGCAAGACCAGAGTGCTCTGGTATTGTCCGTTTATCCCATGACTGACTGGGTGGCGTTGTAGCCAGAAGTCATGGTGTATGGCCGGTAGTGAGCTTGATATGCACAAGTGGAGCAGGAGCAGTCGAAGCGATGAGTGTTGTTCGTCCAGCCTCGTTGGTCCCAAACGTTGCCGTACGAAGACAATGCAGGATAGTACGAAGGGTGTGCGCTCTGCGGATAGGCATAGGCGACCTGTCGAGCATGTTCCTCGGAAGCTCGGCGTGCTGCATCGGTTACTGGGTCGTAACTCTGGAATCTTCCGGATTGATCTTCGGTGGATTCGTTCGACTGATAGTGCTGCTGAGATTTGTACATCCCGTCTAGGCCTCGAGATGAGGACCAAGGGTCGACCGCCGAATACGGTGTCAGGTATGGCATGGAACGCGCGGGCATGGACATGACCTCGAACGCATTCGACGAAGCGGTCAGTGGAGTTGGGTAAGGCGAGTAGCGATCCGCGTGTCGGTTTTGACGGTGTAAGTTAGTGTCGAGCGGTGCCAGGCGAATTGGCTGATGCTTGGAAGCATATTCAGAATCGTATTTGTGCCACGAGTCAATCCAGGCCTTGAGACAGTCCGGCTCAATGTGGAGACGATATTGGATAAGCGCAAGCCATTTCATCTCGAGGAGGTTGAGTTCTGAAACTTTGATGGCGGTGACATCAGACCATGATCGGTTGATGAAGGTGTTATCATCTAGAAATTTACTGCCGAGAACAAGGGCGACGGCGAGCAGCCGGTAAATCTGATTCTCGCCGCTCTGAATCGATCCTGGGTGCTTCGCAAGCCTGTCGTTGAGGTAGTGCAAACTGAGCAAGATCGTTGCGGATGGTAAACGGGTTGCCGACAAGACCTGGTGAACCCATTTTCGGAACGACGGATGGCTCTGCATCTGATGCTGGAAACTTCGGGTTACGTCAATATCTGCAATGCAGATTGGGGAAAGATGGAGGGCATACATGGATTGAGCAGCTTCGGTGACGAAGTCGGTCATGCGGTCCATCTCGTAGTCCAGCTTGGCAGAAACACCGCCAGTAGCCTTCTCTTCCTTCGCGGCTGGACGCTGTTGATCGCGCGTGGTCGCAGTGCTCTGCTCCGACTGGGTGGGTCGCTGATAGGATTCCGCAGAGACGGCACGCTCACTGCTCCTCATGGGAGGCAGAGTCTGTGCAGTGTGGTCGTAGTAGCTGCTCTGAATGGGCGGAAGGCTGGTGCACGAATAGTTGCTCTGTTGATATGGGTAAGTCGCCGACGCTGGGGCAATCACTTGTGGCATGAATCCCGTCTGGTACTCGTATGCAACATCGTGGCGTGTCGTCTGAGAGGCATATGGATCGTGAGGATACGGCATCGAGCGGAAGGCATAGCCAGATCCCGAATCTGGAGGCGTGAGTGGAAGCTGGCCACCATGGGGCCTCGAGTAATAGTTGGCCATGATTTGGGTATGTCGGCAACCAAAGAAACGACACGAAAACTCGAGCTAAGTGAGGTCAGAGGATATTGCACAGGCGCTGTACGAATCTCCGACAAAACCAACCGTTTCTTTGGTGTTTCCACTCGACGACGTGAGCCGAATCCGATGTCACGGACGCACACGTCTAGTCACGACCCACCATTCGTCGTCGCTGCTGCCGTCGAGCCTGGAAGGGTCGTGAATGGGCGGGCGTGTTTTGCGTCGAGTCAGATGTGCTGCTTGGAACTGGTTATACACTCGTGAGAAGGTTCGAAAGATCCCGCCGACAAGGAGCAGAAGGAGTGATGATCGCGTTGTCGAGCGGAGAGAGAAAGTCGAGGTGCGCAGGCGTCGCGGAAAGTGAGGCGCGAGACAGTGAATGAGACGGTGCTAAATGAATAGTTCGCCTGAAAGATGAATGTTCGGTAATGTAACCACTATACTATGTTCGATGGGAGCCGGCCGGAAAGAGAGCGTGGACCGCCGTAGGAGCCTAGGATGATGCCGCGACGGATAGTGGTCGAGCGTGAGCGGATTCTCTGCGTTGTGGTAGGAGAGAGGGTAGGGCCGTCGCAGGGAAAAGCTGGTCGGTCTCGACGGGAACGTGTCGATGTCGATGAAACGGAATCGACCTGCGAGGGAGAGAGAGAGAGAGGAAATGTCGATGTTTGGGGAGAAGTGATGACGAGATGAAAGAGAACAGGGAAAGACGAAAGTTAGACAGCGGCGCGAGTCGCGAGCGTGAAGTGTGTGGGTTTGTGCGTGTGTGTGTGCATATGGGTGTGTGGGTGACTGGGTATGTGCGGATGTGGGTGAGTGATGAGTGGTGGTCGCAGTGGAAGTGGGTGCGTGTGTGGGAGCGAAGGTGACGAGCAGCTGTCCGCGAAAAGGCGTGTGCGGACCAGAAACAGCAGCAGCGGTAGCGGCAGCAGGAGCAGGGAGAGAGAAGGAGAGAAAAAATAATCACGGGGACGTGGTGAGAGGGCGAAAGCGAGAGAAAGCCGGGAGTGTGTGCGCGTGTGCGCGTGCGTGTATTGTGTTGAGTCGGAGGTGGTGGTGATGGTGGTGGTAGGGGGGCGTGTACGTCCACTGTATTTTGAAATGATCTAAACTAACTACACCTGGGCACCGTATGCTTAGGTACATACCTAGGTACTCACGATACTGTATGGACAGTACTGTGGAAACAACCGTGGGAAGCGTGGGCGACGGAGTTGTGCTGTGCTGTGCTGTGCTGTGCTGTGCTGTGCTGTGCTGTGCTGTGCTGTGCTGTGCTGTACATAGATTCAATACTGCAGACGGACAGGCAGCCGAGACTGGTGGGAAAGTGCCCAGAGGTGAGGGAAGAAAAAAGTCGAAGCAGCCCGTGTCCAGCGTACGCGTTTACCCCGTTTACGGTGAATGGCCAGATGGGTTTCACCGTAGTGGCTGAGTAATAAGAATAATGATCGGAACAACAATAACAACTTCTTGTGCACTCGGGCTACCACCGACTACTGCTGACGACTAGGTTCCAAGGTTGATAATAATAAATGATCCGCGAATCTTCGCCACGAAAGCGGTGCGCGAGGCTGTGAACAGGATGCGGGCAACCCATCCCATTCGATGTTCTGACACAGAGCCAACGCTTCCCACCGGAATAATGCTTTGACCACTTGCACAATTATTACTGAATGCTACACTGCTGGATGAGGAGTTTTGCCTTTGTTTCCCCATGATGACGGCGACACAGGCGAAGAGAGCTGCAGCCAGTGGGAGCAAAGCCGGAAGAAAATGACCAGGCCGCCAGGCGGGAAAAGGCTTAGCTGGTAGAGCGAGCGTGCAGGCATGCATCGGCCAGGGTAAAAAAACGAGGTCATACATATGACAGATGCATCGCGCGTGGTGAAAATGTCGGAGTGCGCTAGAGAACAGAGCACAGTAGCGAGCGGAGACTCACCGTGAAATCCGTCGTGATCATGACACCACGGAACGCGATGTGGTGAAAAGAAGAAGCGCGACGACCATCAATGATGAGGGACAGCAACATGATGATGTCTAACAATGGACATACTATCATCCCACCATGACCTCTGTTCATGAAAGTTCATGTTGTCCCACAGCAGACGAGATACACGCCCGGGTGAAGAGATCCAGTTCATCGATGACTACATAGAAATTGAAAGCATGCTGTGACGTGTGGGCGTCCCAGGCCGACTCGTGGATGAAGCGCACGAGAGGATGCGGACTCAGAACAGAGCCCACATCAGATACGTTGGAGGAGAACCAAGGTGCTGAGCGCGCGACCTGACGCAGGAAAATTGGCCGCCATCAGGCCTTTGCACGGGTGGGCAAAGGGCGGAAGTTTGGGTAGGCATGCAGGGAAAGCTCCGACTTTCTCGTGTTTATCCCTCATTTGCCCTCTTTTGTCCCCATTCTGGCTTCCCCTTGGCCGCTCGGTTGAAGCCGGACAAGACGGATCATGGGCGAGAGCTGGTGGTTTGGACTGTGCACGAGAGAAGAAAGGGCCGGTCCAGCTGCACCTATCTGTTTTGGCCCGTGGGTCTCCACGGACAAAGAGGTGTTGAGGTTATACTTTCCTTGACCTGGTACGCCTGTTTCTCGCGATGATACAGGCTTCGACTCCTGTCCATCGAAAAACGTCGTCATCATGGTTCAATCTTCACGACGACGATCCCATGCAACGTTTCCTCGCAGGATTTGTAATCGACGCATCTTTCACAGATGCCTCCAAAACCCATACACCAATTTATGACGTACATAATGGCGGGCGAAAAGTCATGTCATCTTGATTTTTTGAGCATGTGTAGCGTTCCTGAGAATCGTGCTCCTCACACACTAAAAATGTCCGACCTTTCAACGCCGAGTGATGGAAATGGCGCGGGTATGCGAGCACAGTGTTGGCGACGCCAGAGCGACCGCCCCAAAGGAAGGCGGCACATTGCATTACTGGAACGGATGGACCGGAGGGTGGCCACCCAAAAGGTCTCTTGATGCCGACGAAGGCGAGGATAGGCGTTGCCTACGTGCTAGCACTTCCAACAAACCTTCACCCCAGGCCCCCAAATTTCGTATCGGCGAGCGTCATGCTGAAATTGATCGCAAGTGCAGGATTGTGTATTGGCTGTGCCGATATGCGTACGGTACTGGATACATGAGCCCCGAGTATGTGCCACAAATGACATGTTTACGAATTCGCAAAATCCTCTGGTGGCCGAAGAAAGATTTCAGCCTGGGCTTGGAAACCAAAACATTGGAGGCAATTACGAGCTGGCCCGAGGACATGTGAATGGATGGGAAAGGACGAGAACACCATCAGCCTACTAGTTCGTGACGGCTCAACAAAAGAAGCCATGTTCGTGTCACGTGTTAATTTGAAGATGGACCGTCAGGTGAGTTGTCTTGCGCGAGACCAATACGCCCGGGCCTGTGTTAATGGTTACAAACGCCGAATCCAACTTTGCGCATATTTTCGCACATGTCTCGCATCGTCCATTCGAGCAGCCGGAATTGGTCAACACGGCGAGGTGGGAATGAGATGTGCGACGATGAATGCGGATTTCGGTGCTGAGTTTGCCTTTCATCATTTGGCAGGATAAGTGCCTGCCGTCGAGATTTGCCAGAGCAGCTTCAACGGCGACCCTGGGCCATGTCATTATTTGCGACCACTCCGAACGTACCAAAAAGTCTGGCAGCATCATAATCTGCGGCGGTTCTGATTTCCAGGTTGTCACGTCGGATCTCCTTTGCGAGGGTTGGGTGCTCATAGAAGGATGACCACTCCCGAGACTTGTTGGTCCTATATCAGCGCCAGACGATTCAAGTTCGCTCATCATGTCCTTGTGTGATCCCAAAGGTGAATCCTGTAGAACGAGATACCAATCGTGCCAACTTGACTCGGTGAGCGATCTTCATTGCTGCATCATCACCTGAGCTATTTTAACTCTGGCGCATCCTGGTCAGCCCCCGATCATTCAGTTGCGGTGCATGGTCGTGACACGCACGACGCGGGCAATGGATAGGTGAGAGGTCATCATCGTTTTCTGCAGTGATACGGACGCTCCACAACGCACGTCGACCCCGAAGAAGCCTAGCCACGGAGTAAAGCACATTCTTGACGCCTCACAAAGCCGCCAGTCACATGAGGTCCAGCGAAACAGACTATGGTTTGCCCCTCTACGCATTCGTTTCTGCCTTCCTCACTTGGCCGACCTCGGTCACGGTGGAATTTTCAGCCACTCAGGAAGCCCTTGTGGCGTAATCTGGTTGACGTTACGAGCATGGGTCGAGTTAGCACTGCGCTCGCGGTCCTGTATGTTTGTTCGTGGCAGTGGGATGGATTTACCGCCGTCGGTCTTCATTCGACGGTATACTGCACAGTCCATATCCTGCCTATCACAGCTACAGGCATCAATTGAAATGTTGGCCAAGGACTGTAATACTGTAGAGAGATGACAGTTCGGTCGAGGTGTCTCATACAGAGGGACCTTGTGACAAATGACTGTCACGTGATTATCTGGGCGACAAGAGGAGGACGTTGGATTCTTACTTCAGGACATATTCTTTCCGCTAACACAGTCCGGTGTCTGATCCTGCACGTATCTTCATTTGAGATGTGTCCGCGATGCCTCACTTCTCTCGCTGTCTGTGATACCAATTGCCACCCAACATCGATCAATCGGAATTTGCGGTCAAGTGGACGACCTCATCTCGAACTATCCTACTCAAATTGTGTACCACAGAGGTGTCAAAAAGTAATCAGTTGGAAAAGGAAGAACCACCGCCCGTTCGGATCATGGTGCAACCAGGCCCCTCGGTGTGGACTGAAGTGCTCATATGAGTTCGAACGACTGTTGTAGGGATGACGAGTTACAGAATAATCACCGCTGATCACCCTATCGAGTTCCAGCGTTCCACCTAGGATCATCATGGAATCGACCGTGGTCAAGGTGAGGAGAATGTTGGACATACTTCAGCAGCCGCATGTAAAAGAAATCTGTTTCTCCACACAGATCGATACATTGTCCATTAGACCTCTCCATGATCACCAAACAAGTTTGAGTATTCCCTCCAAGAATTCCCTCCAAGCATCGTTCAAGCATCCCCGATGGCTGCTTTGAACTGAAAGCTCCTTCGCTCCTCTCTGGTTATGCCGATCATTTCCCAGCGCACAGCGAGTCCAGAGCAGGCTACAATAATACGCGGAGCTTCCTCGACCCGCTGCTTCTGCCCCGGATGAAGATCGTACAAACTCCTCGCGTGACCATGTCGATGACTTGTTCTACATTTGGAAGAAGGGCACCCCTGAGTAATGAGGAGGATGATAACAAAGAATCTTCTTCTCTTACCGCTATATCGTGTTCATTCACAGCGACCAGCTGTGCGCGCAACACGCTCTTCACCACAAGAGCGTCGGCTTGCCCAATGTTTCAGTATTAGCTCCGACGGCTGAATACTACAATCAAAGTAGACATTGGCTTTCGTGCCGACCGCCACGCATCAATCTCGCTAAAACGCTTTCAGTCTCTGCGGCTTTTGCTTCGGGGGAGATGAGTTTGCTTTTCTCCGCAATCTTTCGTCCGTAGACGCTGACAGGAACTGTTTTTCTATCTGAATGACATATTCTGATTTTTGAATGTATCATTTAGGAACTGATGTTTCTTGGGCAGATCTATTTGATCTCATGATACGGCGGTGGCTTCTCATCGGCGCCTGTCAATGTCTCCACGCTACTTCTTTTGCTCGTCATTGCAGACAGTTCTGGTAACGACCCATCGGCTACCTCATCTTCCTTCCCTTTTGGAACTACTCTTGGAGCTCGGCCATTATCATCACTTTTCTTTAGCATTGGCTGTGTCGCTTATCTGGGCCTGATTTTCTGGTCTTGAACTTTATCGCATGCAGGGACGCCGAAGCTACAAGGAATTGCCGGAGCCCTTCCCTGGCGAATCATCTCCAATCGCGTCCTGGTTGCCTCCATCATGTGAGTACAAATTCGGCATGCAGGCGCTAGTCCGGAAGATCCATTGACGAGCATCTGCAGTACCACAGTCATGACTGGATTTACTGGTCTTTCGATTATCATCTGGCTGCCCGTTTTCTTTCAACTGGTGAATGTTCTGAGTGCAGTGCAAGCGGGTGTGTGCAGCTGAATGTGCGGATAAGTACTCCATTCTGACGGTGAAAATTCAGGGGTACATCTCTTGCCATCTGTCTGCGCGAGCGCAGTTGGTGGTGCAGTGGGCGGTTTGACTTCCATCAAAAGGAATCGTACGTGGACAACGATAGTCGTGGGCAACAGCCTCTTGTTGGTTGGCTGTGGTCTATTCTCCTTCACCCCTGACTCTTTCGACGTGCCGCGCATTTTGTATGCATCACAGGTCATTTCAGGCTTTGGTGCAGGCATGACGTTCACTGTCACCACGTTTCTGATGAGTCTCAACGCCGACTTCGAAGATCATGCTATTGGTCAAGGCCTGATTGCGCAAGGCCGCGTAATTGGCGGAACCTTGGGCGTTGCCATGGGAAGTGCTCTCTTCAGCAATCATATCGCTGGACTAGCAGGTGTTTTGACACCAGCAGAACTTGCAACCCTTGCACGAAACCCTGGCTTCACGGCAACCCTTAAGCTACCTCAACAAATTGCAGTCCGACAAGCATTTGCGGCGTCCTTCAACGAGTCGCTCCGCATCTGTACGTATATTGCAGCTGCGAGCTTGTTCGTATCGTTTTTCGTGTGGCAAACGAATCCTCCGAGCATACAGATGCCCAAGAAAGAGCTGGAAGCCGCCATTCGAGCCGACAGAGCTCGAAACGAAGTCTCAAGCAACACCAAGGACTGCAATCCATAGCAGTCACAATTTAAATTGTCCCGGGGACTTCGCCGAGATCTCTGGCTGGCAAACGGTCGTTGCAGATCCATTCCTCAACCCTCAGTACATGCATCACGTCGACCCGCACACGCGGTACAATGCGTACGCTTGACAGGCCAGTATGAGCTCACTGTCTGATGATATATTAATATCGTTGAGACGCATTGCCGATGCCGGTATGTCATGCCCAGCAGTCAATAGGCACCAGTCAGTTCAATCGATCCTGCCTAGACATGTGTCACCGCGATGTCTAAGTCACAGCATTTGCCTGCCCGATGCACCACAAAATGCCTGTGTCTGTAGATCGCGGGATTAAGTCTTCTCAATATTGTCAAGCCGTCTGAGATCTCCATCACTTGCGATGGTTCGCCATTTCTTATCCATTTCGATCAAGAAGCAAGTGTAGTATTCTGTTTCGCGTGATCACATTATGATCCAGCTATATATTTAGTTTACGAAGCTCGGGCCTACCCGAAAGCACAAATTGGCACCGTGGCGTAAGTGATCACACCACATCAGGAGCACCCTGATTTTCATGCTAACTTGTTTCCTCTCCAGCTAATGGTAAGGCGTTGCTTTCCGGTCAAGCATGAGTTGTTGGCAGCCATGTTCTAGCGGTCTGGCAAAGATTGTGGGTTCGAGTCCCATCGGTGTCGAAACATTTTTGCACCGTCAAATCTTTTATCAGTATCGGGAAAGATGTCGGGTTGCCATGGGAATTCGCAATTCCCTTTTTTTCATCTTGAGAAAAAAAAGTCACTCGGTTGGAAGATTAAGATGTTGCTCACATGACGGCAAGCGGCAGTACATTATGTATGATGGTTGTCGAGATTAGAATGGCCTTCATCATGATGAGTAAGTCGGGACTCATGACCTTTACGAGATCTATTTCAAAGGCATGACATCCATGGATGAAACCCTCTCGCCAGTACTGTGATGATCCCGCGATATTGTTTACCTCTCAAAAACTTTCGCATTCGTCTATTAGCCTCCTCATATCTGCTGTCAAGATGCTATTGTTACACACTAATGACTGACACGTGCAGGATGGCCAGGGAAAAGATCACAAACAGAAGTCCACCAAACCAGCCCCCATATTGATGTTGCAAGTCCCCGCAACGCAGTTGATCACAGTAGCATCGCGAAGAAAGACAGGATATGTCAGCAGACGTTGATGTGTGTGCCCCTTAAGAAAAGCCCCAGAAAAGACGAAAAGCAAAAACACAAAAATCAAACCCCTCCTATCAAACGCCTTATTCGCCCAACGCCCGGATCACGTCAAACAGGATACCCATTGAAACCAATCTTCAAACTCCCCCGCTGACTACTGTGAGCCTCTGTACCCCATTGTTGTCGCCATCGACTCTCGGTGCTGCGCGCGGCTTCGAAGGCGGCGCGGCAGTCTGCAGGTAACTCGTCAATGAGTTCCTGGCCTATGCCACTAAGTCCGCTCGGTCCGAAGCTCGAGGCATCCATGAGTCCATCCGGTCCAGGTTCGCTGGCACCGTCGATTGGAGGCGCTTGATACACGATGTCCATGACGGTGAAATTTCGCGCGACGACGGCGGGGACTTCTGAAAAGATGGTTGACGTCAGCGGTTGTGCAGCTGTGCTGTCCGTATGCATCGCGTCGTCGTGTTGATCATGATGTACATTGCCATTCGTCGATGCAGTCCCATTTAGGTGAGCAAATGTTGACGGGGTCGCTGATTGTTGGCGCGCTGAAACGGGTTCCACATGCTCCCAAGCTGCGTGTGTTGGTTGCATGATCTTCGGGTAAAAGATCATGTTGGTATTGTTATCGTACACCCCGTCCAGGTTGCTCTGCCGGATTGTTGACAATGTCGAATTGAAGCGACTGCAACGTGGACTCGTTAGTTCTCGATCACGTAGCGACATCGGTAGAAATACATACCTTGCCTCTTTCGCATGAAGCAACTGCCAATTCTCAAGAGTGACATTGTTCCTCCGCTTGCCAAGAACACTTTGCTTGCCGACCTGGGCAGCACCGCCGATCGTTTGCGTTCGGTAAACCTCGCTTGCTCCAAACCATGCGACATAGCGGTTGCGGTTGTAGTCTGCAATGTTGGATGGCACGATGTCGTCCGGATCTGCAAGCTCTCCCTCAGCCTCGCCGTTTTCCCGCGCTTCGGCAACCTTGTAATCGTCGATGACCCGGCGACCTCCGACGATGATTCGTGCGCCGAATTCACGAAATACCGATCGCGCCGTGACGACACCAATGTTTCGTCCTTTGTAGCTATTCGGTAAAATGTCGCGCTCAATCAGGTCCTTCTTTTCGTCTTCTCCAATCAACACCTTGAAGAGCTTGGGATGCTTGGTGAAGAATAAGTAGCTGTCTCGGAAACCGCAACATCGGGCCGGCTCGGTGGAAAGCATGTACAGACGATCCTCGCGACCCATGATGGTGAATGTCCTCACTCGATACTCGCGGCCACCCTGGAGGTGACCAGAACTATCGACCTTATCATTGCCCTCCGGATCGTCGTCGACTTGCGCTTCATCATTAACGACGTCCAGCTGATTACCTTCCTTGTCGACGATGAAGCGTGGAGTTTCCGGTGCTTGACCTTTCCGTCGACCTCGGAAACCTCCTCTTCCTCTGCCAAGACCTGACCCTGGTGGCCGTCCTCTTCTCCGGCGCATGGGAGTACCTGATTCGCTGCCGTCGCCTGGTTCTGGAGTATTGTTGCTCTGTATGCGCGAGCGCGGTCGTCCTCCACGACCTCTTCTGCGTGGGATTGATGTAATCTTTGGTGGACTGTTATCCTCGTCTTCCTCGTCCTCATCTTCTTCCTCCTCATCTTCGTCTGCTACAGGGGTCGCGGCATTGTCTTCGGCTTCTTCCAAGCCGATCGCATCCTGCAATTCTTCCTCTCCAGCGTCGCCATCGCCCATCTCCTCATCAGATTGATCTGCTACATGTTTTGGTGTTGGTGTACCTAGCAGCGATTTCGTCAGTCGGTGCCTTCAAATGAGGTTATTCGCGATACTCACGGGCTGCGCTGAGAGAGATGCGAGTGCCTTTGCGACCCTTGTGGTGGCCGCCACCCTTCTTAAAGGGCATGACGGCTGTGTCAAAGGAAGGAATAGATACTTGAAAAGAGTGGGCGTTTGTACCGCGCGACCTTCTCGCTTCTGCGCAAAATTGGTGATGCAGGCCTATCTCGGGGAAGACGCGCGCAGGCGCGACTGCTGCTTTACAGTGACGATGTCAGGCCAAAGCCTTGGCGTGAACTCTACTTAACATTGGCAACCCTAAACATATTCCTACCCGTGGACAATTCAATTCACACCTGGGCAGCTTGAGTGAATACCTTCTGATGAACACGTAATGTATTTCATCTTTTTCGGTGTTATATCCTCGAGTCCGTGATCAGCCGATCCCAGAGGATTGATGCGTATATGTTGGACTATCCCCGGTGTGCAACATGGACCACACAAGACACAGATGCTGGATTCAAAAGTTGGTGATAATGTGGGAACTTTCAAGATTCGAGATTGTTCAGGTTATTGAAAACAACTACTATAACATTCATAACACGCTACTTTTCGTCAATCATCTTTCGTGATAACTAGCTCATTCCCATCACGATGTCAGGGAAAATGACATGTCCGCCAGACCAAGTATTGCTGGTCTGGGTTTTTGTCGACTTTGCAGTCGACTTAGCCTTAGCCATAGCCGCGTTCACACGGAGAACTCGTTTAGAGCTCCTCCTTGACACGGTCGGTGGCCTTCTGGTAGACACTGGATGCAACCTTGCCGGCGCTCTTGGCACTCTTCGAGGCCTGCTTGCCAGCGCTGCTGACGGAGTTGGAGGCAACGGAAGCAGCACTAGCGGCAGACTTGGAGGCAACAGAGGCGGCGCTGGAGCCAGACTTGGAGGCGACAGATGCGGCGGTAGAGCCAGACTTGGAGGCAACAGACGCGGCGCTTGAAGCGGACTTGGAGGCCGCGACCGAAGCGCTGGAGCTAGACTTGGAGGCGACAGACGAGGCGCTGGATCCCGATCGGGAGGCGGAAGAAGCAGTCTTGGCGGCTTCGACGCTGGCAGAGCTCAAACTGGCCTTGGCCTCAGCAGATGCGAAACCGATCTGGTTCAAAGCGTAGTCGTAGTAGTAACGAGCCTGGTTGTAAACGGCGTTGGTGCCTTGAGGGTAGTAGTTACCGACGCTGGAAGTCGCGGCACCGTAGGCGGACGAGGCAGACGAGGCAACGTTGTTACCGGTGAGGGAAGCAGAGTGCTTGCGGGCGAGAGCGATGAGCTCGTTGCGCTTGCTTCCCTGGGGCACCTTGATGCCGTTCTTGTCGGCCCACTCCTTGATCTGGCTATCACTCCAGCTCTCGAGAAGAGCGTCGCTCAGGGATTGCTGAGCGCCGGCGGCCGCAGAAGTGGCAGATGCGTAGTTCTCTGAAGCGCGCTGAGACGCGAGGTAGGCGTTACGGCGGATAGTCGCGATGAGCTTGTCGCGAGAGCTAGGCTGGGGGACTGGGACACCGCGCTGGTCGAGCCAGGACTTCAAGTCAGACTCTGACCAGGAGGTGTAGAGCCAGTCGCCGGGGTAGGCAGCGGTCTCTCCGGCCTTGGTGGCGATCGACTGGTAGTTGGAGCGGACAGTGTGGAGGAGCGAATCGCGAGTGCGAGGCGAAGGGTTGGGGATTCCATGGTAGTCAAGGAATGACTTGAGCTGCGACTCGGTCCAACTATTGAACACGACACGTTAGCGGGAGAAGCTCAGCAATCTGATGTACAGCAGATCCAATACTCACGTGTTGAAGACCCAGCTTTGAACGTTGCTGTAGGCCTCATCGGCTTGAGCTTCAGTGGATGTCCAGTAACCTTGCACCTGGCTGATCAAGCTCTTGGCGTTCTTCTCGGTGCCCTTCTTTGCCTCGTACCCCTTTGAGGTGAGGTAGTTGGTGAGCTGCTTGACGTCCCAGGAGTTGTATGGTTTGATGACGTTGTTCTCCCAGTTCTTCTTGACCAAATCCTCGAGGTCCTTGCGGTCAGCAGCCTTGGGGTGGGGAATGCTGTAATCGTCGAGCCAGCGCTCGAGCTCGGTCTCATGCCATTTGTTGTATGCTACACGGTCTTTTGAAGCTCTGTCAGCATGTGCTCTTGTATAACATGTGCTGGGAATTCAGGAAGGAAAGCGATTTGTTGCAGAAAGACATATCGTCAGGCCATCGATTGCTCTCGTGTGCATCGCAACCTGAGCCTTGGATGCGACGAAACGAGCAGGACGGCTACTCAAATTTGATGTGTTGGCAAGAATCACTTACGAGGAGTGCCAAACCAGCCGTCAGCGGCAACGCTGGTCGCCAAGGCGGCAACCGCCAATGTGGTGAATGAGAACTTCATGTCGACGCAAGATTAATCCGGTGAGATGAGGGACAGATGTGATGAGAGGATAGTGGGCAAATTTGGGGGATGAATGTAGGAGGACGAGAGAAGAGAGAGGGTTGCGGAAGAAGGAACTTGACGAGTGGACCAAAAACCTGGGAAGGTAGGTATGTATGCAGGTAGCTGGAGGTCTGTGTGATCAGAGCCCTGGAGAGTGGAAACAGGTGGACGTGAAGTGACGAATTTCTATCGATGACAGCACAGAGATTTTGAGTGAAGTGGTGGAAGCGAGCAAGCGAGAGCTTCCAAGGTTGCCCAGGTGGACTGAGTGTGAGCTTTCCCATGCATTCATTTACACGCGCGCCGAATATTTGTGGCAGCAGCGGCGGCATCAGCATCATCATTCTTCACATTTCTTCGAGGCGTGTACCAATGCGGCGGCACAACGGGCGATGATGATGACAGACGAACTGATGACTTCAAGGTTCGTGCGCAAATACCTGCACAGCACATTCCTGACCGCCTCCTCTGATGAAACATTCGAATCATTGATCCTCAATGCCACAGTATGCACTCCGTCCACAGCATGTAGGTGGGTGTCACATTGGTGAGCCTCTCGTGGCTGCAATTGCACCCGCAAGACAAAACCACCCGAAGCGACAAACGACAGGGAGGGTGTTTCCATGCCCTCGTTGAAAGCGTGGATCGCAACAGGCGACAGCAAATGGCAACCTTGGAAACCACCACACCTGCTCGCACGCAAAGCAAGGACCGCATTCTAGCCACTACCACAGCCTTTCCCTTGACGCAGGTGTGTGCTCGTCACCCTGGCTCTCGTGGCGTCCGGTCGACTGTGCACGGGAGGAGGCTATTCAATGATGATGATACTTGAGCGGAGAAGACCAAAGAAAAATGACATGCGGGATCACAGCAGCAGCATCAGCGACAACGACAGCTCTACGACACAGCTACCTAGGTACCCTACCATCTGCCTGCGTACTCAGGAATTGCGCGCAACCGGCCCAGTTCTCCAGTGCCCAGTAAACGATGGGTTTTCCATCGACCACGAGCCTCTAGCATTGCCAGCAGCAGCCAGAAACGCACAGGGAGATGATGCAAGATCACATAGGATGGTGTACTAGCCATTCACGAAATCCAGGGTTTGGCAAAATCGTGTACACACATGCAGAAATGTGCACATGATGACGTCGTTGTGTTATGATCAGCTCCAAGCTCTGCCGCTAGTGTTCGAATGGTCTGGGGTAGAGGGCAAAGCTAGTGGGGACCGTCGCCAGTTTCTTCTCCTTCCAGGGCTCGCACGTCCTGTTAATGATTACATCATCGTTGAGAAATTATTTATTATTGTCGACCTCGGGACGATGCAGCGCCTCTGACAACGACAATGCATCGGTCGATGCCGAATCTGTGCAGCACTCATCCGTTTCTCCTATTATTGTCGCGCCTCCGCAAAATCTCACGCCTGTGAGCGTCGCCTGTCTCGCGCGCAAGTGAGGAAGTCTATTAATTCAGCGAGCTGTGATAAATGTCCCGTATGGATATCATCTCCGCCGCCCCAGGGCGGGTATGCTGAGATCCGTGGCCAATCGCGGAAAGATGCCAACCCGAACAACAATGTGCCTTGCGTTCATGCGGCTGTCTGTCGTGATCTGAGCCCGATTCAGACTCTGATCCGGAGAATTGTTCTGAGGCCCGTCTCGATACTGGTGCTGCCTCACGTTGAGCAGTCCTCGCAGAGCTCTGGCAGGACCGGTCACGCAAAGAACGCATTGCGGTGAATTGTGCGTTTGTCGCTGGTCGCGCTGGTGATTCTGAAGATTGCCTGACTCATCCATCGTGTGCGGACAATTCGTTCGTGAAGCGGCACTTGTAAGCGCATTTGATGCAGCACCATCAGCCGGGCTGTAGCCTTTTCTTAACGCGATCGGTGACCATTATCCGCAATTCCGCTTGTCAAATCCGCCAGACTGCGGGTTCTCAATGGCCTGCGAGGCAGAGTTCGATCACCTGGAGCCCACCGCGGTGCTCTGGGCATGGCGTAGGAGCTGAACGTCGAGTGCTCGCTGCTGCATGCGTCTTTATCCTTCCTCGCCCATCCATCATAATCACTGCTGTGGTGCGGTGTGAGCCGGCACATGGCTTTCGGCCACCGGTGCAGTTGATGGAGCATGGTCGGTGTGGTACGCTGATGGAGCAGCCGAAGTTCTCACTTCCTTCTCGGTCAAGTCATTGCCCATACTGCTATCCTCCATCTTTCCATCAGTTGCAATGGCAGATTCTTTGCGAGCCAGGCCTGCTTTGCTCCATGGACCAAGACCTCGCTCGTCATGTCGGATGCTGAGGAACAAGACGATTGTGCTATGCGAAATGTGTTAGTGAACCGCGCGAATTTCTGACGGGACGCACCATTGGGACGCACCTCGCGAAGACGACCACGAAAGACAGCCACGCAAAGATTACTACCACAACCGAGCGTGCGTTGCGTCGATAGCAGAGCGGCGTGCCATTGTCCTTGACATACAAGTCAAGTAATTGTTGTCCTCGCACAATGTCTCCGGTGATGTAACCGCAGTGAGTTGCGACGATCACAGTCAGCGTTATGGCGGAAGCAATCATGAAGATGCACGAGAGAACGCTGCCAATCTTCCAGGTCAGGCGCGCTCTTGCGCTTTCGATTCGCTCCGGCCAGATGAGGTCCAGGATGAACGCCGGAGTGAAGACAACTGCGACGAACACGCATGCCCACACGTTGAAGGCCATGGCTCCGATTAGATCGTTGTTGTAGACATAGATGCTCGGATCTGCCTCCTGGACGCCGGCTTGCGAATCATTGTAATCTGGAGAATCACGAAAAGAAGATATCTCAGTATTGGTAACATTGCGCGGATTGCACCGCAACGTGCGAATGGATCATGTGCGAATCAAAGAGACACACCTGTAAGGAGCGCTACTCCTATAGAATTGCAGACGCAAGTGAATAGTGTCGCGAGTTGGTAAACAATGAACTTCGTGCGTCGCAGATGGTAAATATTGTTCCACATGTAGCTGCCCTTGAATCGATTCCAATGAACATTCTCCAAAGGGAAGCCGCTCATGAACGGTGCCATGTTGTTGTCTTTGCGTCGCAGGAATAACAAAGCAGGAGTTTCTTTAAGATGTATAGCTTCTATGTTGATTAGGTGAGCTGATGGCGATGAATGGCCGCTGACTTGCAGTCGAGCTATGATGATCAATATAATATGGATATCCACGGGCTGGCAAGTTGATGTAGTAATGACCAGAGAGACGGCCAGCGAAGAGAGAGAAGACTATTCATTTCTTTATCATCATTTCCTGGACCGTTGTCTTCTGAGATGTTGGAGGCAAGCGCTCTCTGCTAGGGCCTGTATCGCGCACGGGTACTCTTCGTTCCGGGGTGGGTTGAAGCAACGCCAGACACGACGCCTTTCCGCATTGTGACCCTTACATCTCCCAGGATCCGCTGATGAATGTATGCTGACAATTTTTACGCGTCACCTCTCAGACAGTGACATTCCATCAGTGCAAGATAGGCCAGCGTGCGCTTGCGATAGACCATCGCGATGACTTGACCAAATCTAGTCGTGAGTCAAATCTGCTGACCCGTTCGCAGATCTTTACGATCGTGCAGTCAAGCTTTCACTGCGGTCTTGGCAGGAACCCTTTGAGTCTGGACCTAGGACATTCGCGTCCACATATACAGTACTACACGGAACGGGATTCATTATCTAGTACATCTATCAAGACAATCACGTTGAATTCAGTCAATCACGTCCCACTGGACAGTTCCGCTCCTCGTCCAGATCACTCCGTCCCTTCACTGCTATCATCCTGTGCGTCTTTCTTGTCCGCGCTGTCTTGCGCCGTGAGATCCTCAATCACGCCTTGTACGTCCTTATTCAATTGCTTGGCCCATAGCGCTCGGTATTTGCCCTCCTGAGCGAACAACTGATCGTGAGTACCCATCTGCACGATCTTGCCTTCTTGGATCACAACGATCAGATCCGCGTGCTGGATGGTAGCAAGACGATGCGCGACAACGAATGTCGTCCGCCCAGCAGTCAATTCTTTGAATGCAGCTTGGATGGAGCTTTCCGTCTCGGCGTCGATGGCACTGGTCGCTTCGTCAAGCAGGACGAAAGGCGCATCGCGCAAAAGAGCTCTGGCGATCGCGACACGCTGCATCTCACCGCCGGAGAGCTTCATGCCCCTCTCACCCACAATGGTCTTGTACTTGTCAGGGAAGCTGTCAATCTTGGCGTGAATCGCTGCGGCGCGACAGGCCTTGTGAATCTCTTCCTCCGTGGCCTCCAGACGAGCATAACGGATGTTCTCATATAGCGAGATATTGAACAGCGCTGGATCTTGAGGCACGAGACCAAAACTATCACGCAAAGTATCGAGCTGCACATCGCGAATGTCTTGACCATCGATCTTGATCGAACCACCAGTAACGTCGTAGTGCCTATATAAGAGCTTGAGAATGGTGGATTTACCTCCGCCGGTCTCGCCGACCAAGGCAACAGTCTGACCGGGCTTGACGGTAAAACTGATGTCTTGCAGAGTAGGCTTGCGCGGGTCATATGCAAAGCTCACGTTGTCGAATCGGACTTCACCAGCGGCCACTTGCAAAGGTGGTGCGCCAGGCTTGCTGACAACGTTTGGCACGGTGACCAGGAGCTCCAAAAGACGCTCGGAATCGACCAGCATGGTCTGGATGCGGCGCGTAGAATATTGCAGCAAGGCCAGCGGAGTCTCAAGTCTTGACCAGTAAGCGTTCAGTGTCACAAAAGCGCCAATATTCGCCTCTCCCTGTGCCACACGGTAAACCGCAAGCAGATTTGCCAAGGCGCGACCTGCGAGCATGACAAAGGACTGGGCACCACCGCCGATGTACCAAGTCTGGGTGTACCACCACTCGGCAGTGTTGTTTTTATCGACCGATTCGCTGAATCTGTTGCTCTCATAGGTAGCGTTGTTGAAGTTTGAAACTGTCGTCCAGTTGTTGATTGCTTCGTTCTGAACTGCGCCCTGAGCACGCTGGGTCGCCTTGTACTTCCGACGGGAAGCGGCGCCCCATCCAGTGAGCCTCACGCCCATGTAGAGATACACAGTTCCAGAGGCGAACAAGATCAACGCCATGTAGATGTCGAAAAGATTGTAGACAACAAAGAATGCGACTACCAAGTCTACGAGCATGGGCGCAGTTTCAAACAAAATGAATTGAATCAAACCGGACATGGACGATCCCTGATTGATTGCGGCGATCAATTCACCCGAACTCTTAGCTGTGTGGAAGTCCATAGAGAGACCCATGATGTGGCTGAACGATTCGACTTCAAGCGCTTTGGTGACATATTGGGAGACAACCATTTCGGCCTCGCTTTTCAGTAGGTCCAGCCCAGCTGACGATCCTGCCCATTGATAGAAGATCCATAATCCCATGGCAGCCCAGGGAACGATGCCAGTTCCCGCAGAAGCGGTCAACTCATTGACGACAATACCGAGCTGCCGTGGTAGAAGGAAGTTCAGGAAACGTTCAGCTACAACGACCAGGCCGATGACGCCGAGACAGGCTTGCGTAAAGCGATGCTTCCATGGGACGACGATCGGAATGAAAATCTTGTAGCTTTTCAGATAGTTCCAGACACTGCCCGCTTCTCTCATCTTCTTGCTGGCCTCATCCTTTCTGATCTCGTTCTTCCGATCTTCTTCATCAAATTCGTCGTCGTCTGTAGATTTGCCGTCCGGCTTCGAAGCCGCGCCATTTACTTTGGCCGTCCCGTTGGCTGAGCCATTGGCGCTGCTCGTAGATTCAGGCCCAGTAGCATGGCCGTTCTCGGTCGACTCCTCCGCGCTGGCTGCTAGTAGCGCCTCGCTCTCAGCATCTAGCTTGACTGAGCGTCGTCGATCGGCTAATGCGAAATAGCCTGCAAGGAGAAGCTGAGAGACCGAAAGCACCACCCGAATCGTCTTCATGGCGACCTGAGTGCGAGCGTAGCCATCCTCGAGGCGATAGATCCGGGACGACAGTACAAGGATTGGCACTTCCAACGCAAGGTTCACGAACCAGGCTTCCGCGTATGGGTACCACAGAGGTTTGGGATTCTCCAACAGACCCAGTGCGAGTCCGAGATGCAGAAAGAACATTAACACTAGGTAGAAGAAGTATGACTGTATCGGCCATCGTGCCGGATCATGCGCCGATGCGGCAGCATTGGTGATCCCTTCGAGCACAATGGTGGCAAATAGCAAGATCTGTATTGCGATGGCAGGATAACGCCGATGCGGCGAGCCTGCAGACTGCGACGCTTCGTGGAAGAGACATCCTGCGAGAGCCTTTGCTGACAAAAATGTAAGAATCGTAGCGCTTGGAGCGACGTAGAAAAGCACGTCGAGGGCGACGTGAGCCATGGCGTTGCGCGGAAAAGTCTTGAAATTTCGGGGAAAGTTACGCCGTCTTCAAATCGTCCCACGCGCTTCTCATCGGGGAAGATCACTTGTCTATACGATTCGAAAAGAAAGTTGTCAAGCGGCCAGGACCATATATCGGGTTCGGGGTATACCGGCCACGCGAGGCAGCACTCAATTGCTGATGCCAGGAGACCAGACAGGGTTTCGAGATGTCGTGTAACCCTTGCAAGTGTCGGGATCGTCTGCACAGTACTGTAGATACGTTGAGACCCTCGTACATTTATCAAGCGAAGGAAAAGGTCGTACTCAAAGGAGTAGAATACCTGTTGTGGACACTCGCACGCAGGCAGCAGAGTCTCGGTGAAGGATACGCGGAAATGGCACCGCCGCTCCACACCGATTTATTGACTGTGATGGGCTCAGATTCGAAGAGAGGACTGTGGGATAAATGTTTCACGATTTCTACCAGAACATGAGGCATCACTTAAATAACTCCATTGGCCCACTGCCGCAAATGCTTATTACAGTATAGGAACGGGTGTTTCACTGAGGCCGCCTCACCGGTGACTCAAATTGGCTCATACACACACACACACACACACATGAGGCACCGCTTGGTCTGATCACGGTGTGTCAAGGATGATGAGTGCCCTGGAGGAGCAAAAGTGAGTGGCGTCGTCGTCATTCTACGCGCGCATCTCTTGCTCGTCGTCGTAATTGTCCCGCATGAGCTGACAGCGCCAGAATCGGCCTGTCCGACAATCGCGCAGCCATAGTTTGCTCATCATGCCCCCAACATTTTGATGTTGCAGCGTCTCGGCAACGGTTATGTTAGGGATACCTACAGGGGCGGTGAACTCGGGCGCTTGATGTAGAATGCATTCAATCCGCATATGAAGGCGCCGTGTGAAGGTTCGAGTCTTACACTGTCATCTGTACACCCGCAATCAATCACCATAATCATCAATGGCGAATTGCAGATCTGTGCAATCGCGAATCTGAGATTCTGAACACTCAGTGCACTCTTCATGCGGCGGCTTAGGGTTCGGGGGAGGAATCCAGCTTAGCGCTGGCCGATGTTTTAAACCCATCACGGAAGGCGACCACGCAATCATGTAGTGCGCGCGGATTCGATGACATATCACTGGCGCAGCTGTGAGATGGCAGCTTCGAGAATCTCCGTCTCTCGCGCCTTGCTCGGGCGCGTATGAGACTACTTATCTTGATTAGGCTCGATATCACGATAATGTCTGCGAGATACCCACCTTTCATCAGTTGCAAACAACGCCGCGGGCTTCGCTTGCTCACCGAGGCGTATCACGTTTCACTTAGTGGCGGGACAGGGTGACGATGAGCAACACGCCAGCACTCGAGTGGTCTTCTCAGGTCCGAGTCGCCAACCCATCATCACTATCACAACCGCTGTCTGGCGACAAGATAACCTTGCCGCCCTCAGCACTTGAGCAGCTGCTCAGCGCATCGACTAAATGGGCTGCTGAAAGTGCCCGACGAGATCTGCCCGCCTACGATCCTTTCAACTCTGCAACACACTTCGCTTATCGGCAGGCCGAATCGCAATACGAAGACCAGAGACAGCAGCTTCCTCACCCTTTGACCTTCCGCCTGGTCAATGCTGAAAATGGAAGAGTCGTTTATGCAGGCATTCGCGAGTTTTCGGCGGCCGAGGGCGAGGTGGCGCTGAGCCCTTTCCTGCGTGAAGCGCTCGAGATAAGGGCAGATAGCATGTCACATGGCGAGATCGCTACGCTCGCGGACGATGAGGCGCTCGCGGATGTCTCTCAGGCTGACCCCAGGCCACAAATCACAATTCATGCGAGGCAGTTGCCGAAAGGTACATTTGTGAAACTGCGCCCTTTGGCAGCTGGCTACGATGTCGACGATTGGAAAGCCCTCTTGGAGCAACATCTACGCAAAAATTACACGACATTGACGAATGGCGAGATTCTGATTGTCCCTGGCAGTCACGGCACTGGCGGAAAGAAGGAAGAATTCAGATTTCTTGTGGACGGCTTCAAACCCGAAGTTGACGCGATATGCGTTGTAGACACAGATCTAGAGGTGGACATTGAAGCTTTGAACGAAGAGCAGGCTCGAGAAACATTACGTCGAATTGCAGCCAAAACAGCGCTCGCCCCAGGAACGGAGCAGGGAAGTACAATAGGTGGGGACTTGGATCTGTTCAAAGCCCAGCAGGGCCGCGTACTGCCCGGAGAGTACGTCGATTATATCTTGCCTTCATGGAATCGTACCCTACCGATCGAGATTGAATTGGAGGCCCAAGGGGAGACGGAGTCCTTGGGTCTCCTGGTCAGCCCCCTCTCACCATCGCAGAGGTCGAAGCCACGTATTGACGCATTTGTGCTGGCTGAGCTCGATAGCCGGCCCCGCAAACGTATCCGTCTCGAACCTGGAGCCATACAAATAGAGGACGCCGAGGCCATGTTCGTCACGGTCTTTGCCTTTGGTGATTCGCAGATAACAAGCGAGGACGCTGCTCCCGCTGCGTCAACGGACAATGCACCGATTTTGTTCAGTCTGCGCGCCAGTCACCCTGACGCGATTTCAGCGGATGGTACTGCACCTGACGAGGCAGCTGAACGGATAGCCGCAGGCGAAGTGCGCTGCAAAAATTGTGGACATTGGGTCCCCCAAGCGAGATTGCCGCTGCACGAGGCGACCTGTTATCGGAACAATATCCTTTGCCCAAAAGGATGTGGCCAAGTCTTCCAGAAGCGCTCTGTTGAGTATGAGAGACATTGGCACTGCGCCCACGATTTATCATATGGCAATGCGCCCGAGTCATTGCACCACCACAATTTCGTATGTCATCCTGTGGAAGTACTGCGTTGCGACGAGTGCAGCACTTCCGAGACGTTCTCCACCCGACCAGTATTGGCGCGGCATCGCACATCAACTTGCCCTGGTAAACTGATCCTCTGCCGTTTCTGTCATCTAGAAGTTCCTCAGGAAGGTGATCCAGATATTCCCAACGCCGAAGCGTTGCTTACGGGCCTCACTCCTCACGAGCTTGCCGATGGTGCACGAACAACCGAGTGCCACTTATGTAACAAACTCGTTCGTTTGCGCGACATGGCTACTCATCTTAAAAATCATGACCACGATCGACGCACACGTCCTTCGCCGAGGCCCTGCCGCAATATCCTCTGCGGTCGCACGTTGGACGTTTGCTCTCTTGCAGGCGACACGCGTGCAGGTCTCCGTCAGGGCCAGGGTGCAGGCAACGACATTGGGCTCTGCGCGACGTGTTTCGGACCATTATACGTCAGCATGCATGATCCTGAAGGCAAGGCACTACGTCGACGAATTGAACGAAGATACCTTGCACAGCTATTGACAGGATGCGGCAAAGGATGGTGCAGAAACGAGCTATGTCGCACGGGTCGAAAGGCACTAGGCGTGGGCGACGGCGCAGCACTTACCACCAAGGATGCATTGCCTTTGATCAAACCTTTCCTCGCTGGCGCGACAGACGTAACACCGGCCACACCGCTACATTTTTGCGTAGACGAGGCGAGTCAGAGAAGACGGGATATGGCAGCCATGATGGCGGGTGATCCAGGGGTGACTGGAAACGGTGGATACACCCTTGAATGGTGTATTGGAGCATTGGAAGCAACGAATGGTGATTTGGACGCTGCACAGACTTGGTTGCAGAACTGGGCACCGTCACGGGCAGAGATTGGACATTGAAGCGGTTGATAAAGACGGCAGTCTCTGTTCAGATTTGAATCGTAATAAGTCGCACGAGTTCACGAAAACGAGGTCATGAAACATCAGCAATGAATCTACTATCTGCGCGTGGACTTGCCTTGAAACATGATCTCTCGTTTAATGTGTTAGACGTCGACATATGGCTATTCTCGCAACAGCAAAGCTGTGACTTTATTCGTACTCCTTTGCTAATCTTGGAAAACCTTCCTCTGATGAGCGGCGTGAATTTCATAAGGCCGAAATTCCGAATGTTGTTCCCCACAGTCGTCGCGTGACATCACGCCTCTCAGCAGCTGAGGTCCATCCAATCATGACCTCGGCATTTCCCTCGAAGCTTTGGATTCTGGCTCTTCGTTGACGAGTCGTTCATTGAGCCATGCGGCTCTGTGATCGCGTAAGCGCGAGCCTCCTCAATTGCTTTTTCACGCATTCATAAGGAGAGTCGTATCCGCAATGTCGCGACCGCCCAGTAGCTTTTAAACCTTGCCAAAGTGTCTGACAGTTTGTCCGCTCACCTGAACTCCGCTACATTTCCGCCAACACACCGATCCCATCTTTTGGTTCAAAGCGATTGCAAAATTGCACAAAATGGCGTCAAGCGGTAACCCCGGCGCCGGTCACGAATATCCTGCTGTCGAAGTCTCATGGTTACAACGCGATGTTCTCCTGTTTGCCGTCTCGATTGGTGCGACAGTTGACGAGCTCAATTACATTTACGTAAGATCGCAATATCTATAAGCAACAAATGATGGAGCATGACCGCTCATATTGCAACAGGAACTTCATCCCAAATTCGCAGCATTCCCAACCTACCCCATAATCCTCCCATTCAAGAAGACCTCGGCGGAGGTTGTCGACTTCTATGCGGCTAATTCCTCAGGCCGGGACGAGATCCCCGGCGTCCCGAAGCTCGATAGCAAACGCGTTGTCGACGGAGAGCGTATCATGACCTTTTTCAAGCCCATCCCGACAACTTCCGCTGGCCGACGCTTCGAATCACGATCCAAGATCTTGGGTGTTTGGGACAAGGGAAAGCCGGGAACCGTGCTGGAGACGCAGACGGATCTGGTGGACGCGGAGTCGGGCGAAATATACACACGAGTCATCGGCTCGGGCTTCTTCATCGGCCAGGGCGGTTGGGGTGGTCCCAAGGGACCTAAGAATGCTGCATACCCTCCTCCTGAAGGCGTCAAGCCAGATGTCACACACGAACATGTCACAACTGCGGAGACGGCGCATCTGTATCGACTGAATGGCGACTACAACCCTTTGCACGCGACTCCTGAGCCTGGCAAGGCCATGGGCTTCGGAGGTGCCATCATGCACGGACTCTACTCATGTAAGTCTCGGCCTGTTGTGATGAGACAGCCATATCTTCGGGGTGGCGCCAGAACGGAAGTCCGAGAATTTTGCACTGCGGATTTTTACTGACAATGCAACCTACAGGGAACAGTACCGCGCACAATCTCGTCCGCCTGCTCGGCGGCGGTGACCCAAGCAGTATCCGCGAATTCGGCGCCCGGTTTGCCTCGCCCGTCAAGTCCGGTGACACCCTTGTCACACAGGCCTGGCGCATGCCCAACACTCAGGATGCTGAAGGGTTTGAGGAGATTCGATTCATCACATCGGTCAAGGGTGGGAAAGTGTGCTTGAGCAACGGTCGCGCGAAAGTCCGAGTGGCGGCCTCGGGTGGAGCGAGCAAATTGTGAAATGAAGATTGCATTGCAAGATCCGTTGAGAGATGACTGGTGCAGGTCGCGTTCAAGGGCCACATCTGGTGTTGTTGTTAAACGGAATGGTATGGAAAATGAAACGACGTGACGATTCAATGTTAAAATTGTGCCAGTTCTCCTGGTGTTGTGTTGCCCGGTGACAGCAGACACTTATCTCCGGATATACTTGGGCAAGCAGGCCACTGGTTGGCGAGGCTCCACATCATACCTAGGTGATCTTCTTCCGATCGCAGATTTCCACCATGATCTGTCTTGTCTTGTCTTTATCACGCAGTGCAGCAGCAGTCATGAAAGGGACATCCTGGTCTAGGGTGAAGTAGGCACATTTCCTACCATTTCTGAATTCGGATCGTTCTGTCATGCGTGCGTCATTTGCCCAAGGGAAGGGGTTCGTTTCGTGAGTGATGTTTATCGTGTCTCGTCACACATGCAGGCACATGGCCAGCATCGGGCGTATCACGGTCTCAGTAACGTGGGATCCAAACTGTAGACATTCGTGAGTTGGTCTTTTCTCACCAATTGATATCGATTCTGGTGGCTCCGATCTGAACCGCACCGTAGCCATAGTCGTGATGACTGAATCCCATCAAATCCTCGAGCTCTCGATGGCTACGATCCTCACGAATCATGACTGCGCATTCAACTCAATGGGTTTTTCAATGGTAAATCGGTCGCTCAAGGTGCCATTGGAGTCATCAAATCCCAATGCACATCCTATCGTGCGCCTGGTAACGAGAATAGAGAGTGCCTCCCTAGTTTTTCTTAATTGATGAGGCCTCATGTCAAATCGACGTCATCGGATCACCAGCCCGGCCCCGCGATTGCTCCTTTGCTCATTGCGGGCGAGGTCTTCCCATGCAGCATGGATGGCATCGATGACCGCCCAAGGCCGCCCCACTTCTTCCTTCACCGAGCTGCCCAGATGGCTGCTACTGGCGGGACAATACTCCACTGCAGCCAGGTGACAATACCGTTTGTACATACAATGGATCGCTGCTCACCCTCACCTTGCAGGCGCTTGCGTTATTAGACGAAGAATAACGGGCGTGCGTATTCCGTCAGCTGCAATTCGGCAATGAATCATCCGGATCGATAGACATCATGTGCCCTGAGCAGACTTTTGCACTGGCGCATCTGGCCGGTCGAAAGAAATCCATCTCCGTCCGTGTCTTGTTGCGGAACCTGATTCACCATGAAACACCTTTTCTACAGACGTTGCCAATGGCCTGATCACGCAAATTTTGCGCATGCAGCAGTCGACTGTCTCACCGATGGACCGTTCTAGTCCTATCAGCAGGCTCTGTGATATATCCCTACGCCTGGGAGCAGAGCAAATCGGCGGCCGCACGCAATCGGCAATCTCTGCAGGGACATGGTACATTCCGCAGGCCAACGCCGAAGTGCATCCACGAATCAGGCACCTCGTCAGCCACGGCATTTTCCTGTGCTGAAAATTCACAGGCCCCAATGCAGCCGCGAACTAAAATCTCGATTCAGCCATGCAGGTCAACCGTACCGACCGCGTCAACTCACTCACGCAAGAGAGATGGAGGTTCCAAAAGGCGGAAATGTCGGTCTACATGGCACATGTTGTTGCACTGGACTGTCATGAGTCCAGCAACAGGCGAGCACCGAAGTCGTGAACTTGATGCTAGAGACAGAGTAGTTCCCAGTGTTCCCAATGCTTGAATACCGTTCGTGAATGGCCTCAACGTGGCGGCAACAAAACCGTCGATCACTTCAATTGACGATTCCAGCTACTGTACGACGTGCACCTCCACTAGTTGTCTTCTTGCATTTGCTGCCAGGCCGACATACGCCGCGTGCGACCTGATTTGATCAGAATCATCCTAGTCCACTCGCGATTATCATTTTGGTTGTCCCAGGCGCCCTGTGAGCATGTCCTGCACTTGTCCCCTCTCAGAGAATCTTCGATAATAGTTCCTTTCATTCTGCTCATAATAACCAACTCTCGAGCGGCGTCATTGGTATAGACCGACATGCAGACCACAGCGAACGGTTCTTCCTACGTCCTCCAATTCTTCTGTGCTGTTCTCGTCTTGACCTGATCACGCTGCGAACCACGAATCCGCACGTTTCGGACCCACCTGATTTCTTGAGTGTCCGTATCGACGACGACAACGACAGAGCCTCTGTTTTGTCCCGTCTCAACCCTTGAGATTCGGCTTACCTTTGTTCAACATCCCAAATTTGAGTCTGCGCTTCCTGAAGCGCGACTCGCTGTCCTCATTTCAAAGTGGAGGGCCTGGTAGACACCAAATCGTCGTCTACGTCTGGGACGACGACGACTTCGATCCGCCTTCCTCCATGGAAACTCCTTCCGCTCGCTAAACGACAAGTCGCGCAATCACAATCACCCACATCAATCTACTCCGCCTCCAGTGCGGCTCCTCGGCGACCTGGTCACGTCAAGACCAAGTCGAGCAGCGCGATACCGACTCTATCAACCTCCGCACCCACAAACGGCCTCCAGCGGTCAGGACCTGTTGAGAGCAGTGGGATGGCCGTCTCCCACGATCTCCAGATCCATGCTCCTCATCCTCAGGGCGGCCACCTCACCACCGCTGCTGACTTGCTACGACAAGTCATCACACACGGGTACGTACTGTGAAGATCCATTTTATTTCCGTTTTTCATTCCTTCCGCCCCGCGCTCGTGTCCCAGTCAATTATACCGTTCCCGACTGCGAATTGGCTGCTATTGATCCTCTCGTCTTTGTCATTTGTCTTTTCTGTACCTATGGCCCCATTCCACCCAAAGACAGCCCCTCTCTGCGGGATTCGGCGTGTACAGGCGCAGGGTTCGCAATCGTCCCATCGCGGGCAACGGTTCGGGGCATACTGGGCGGGCTTCCCTCTTGGCCCCGCACATGGCAAGGCAGCTTTTGCTGAGAGATGGGCGTGGCCATGACTCGGCACCGCGCTGGGCGCGCCGCCACCACCGCCAGATGACAGCTCTGCATCGGTGATGGAAAGGGAATCACCCATCCGCGCATCGCCATGTCCCAGCTTATCGGGCCTGTCATCTCCGAAGATCTCTGGAGCGATGACGACGGCGATGGTCGGTTCGCACAAACGGTCAAGCGAAATGGATCAATCACGAGCCGACCACCCTGGCCGTGCATCGGCCGGGTTTCACATGCAAGCGCAGCCCCTCACGACGCTGCCGTCATGGTTTTCTCGTGAGAGAACGAGAGCCCAATGCCCTCGAATTACGACCTCGAGATCGGGCCAGGACTTGCCGCACTATAATGTGGCACCATGAGCATCCCGTGCTCTCAGCATTTGGCTGATCCACCGATCCCGTCGCAAACCAACTTGCCAATATCCTGACCTTGCGCGCATTGCGTTTGATTGCAATATCAATGGATGTGAAATGGTCTCAATTTATTGATGATCATCAGCATTGTCCAGCAACGAAGCATTAGTAATGCAGGCGCAATGGATGGTCGGCGAAAGATGGCGACGGGTTCGGAGTGCGAATTCTCGCCTCGGTCCGGGTTGCAGCGATCGATGATGAAAGTGGTGGAGGTGGTGGTAGCCCGCGAATCTCAGATGAACCCGTCGAACATTTTTTTTTTTCGAAATGAGCCAGAAACGGGCAGCAGTTGGGGCAAGTTCGGTTTCCTGGATGGCTTTTCGGGCGTATGCGCGTGTGTGTTTCGCTCGTCATTCAAGGTTCACGATGCTCTATTTCCTCATCTCCGGGAAGCCCAGGCGTTTGCGATCTCTGCAAAAACCTTACGCCCGGCGACTGGTGGCGGCATTGTCCTCTTCAGTGTAATTGCACTGTGACCACCACCCAGATCACCATCAAATCGGCCCGCACTGGAAACCTTGAAATTCTTGATTATTTCAACATTCCATCTCCAGCTCCGCCTCCGCCGCCACCGCAAGCTCTCTCTCCCATCACGTTCGAGTTTCATGCGCCAGTTCTAGAGGGCTCTGTCTCTAACGCTCTAATAATCCTCTCGAATCGTCCATCTCCGCCCAACCGTCGGTCAGGGCTCTCTCACTCGGCTGGCTTGCAGACCGCGCATTATTACCTCATCAACACAACACACACGAGGGCTGAACTCTCTCGGGCTCACTCCTCATCCGAACCTCTCTGCGTCCTCCGCCAGCTGCTGCCCGCTTTTCTCCCCCTCTGCTCGCCGATCTCTCTCGCTCGCCCGCCCATCTCGCCATACAATTTATGCACTACAACTACCACCACCACCATCATCATCATCACCACATATAATCATATCCTCGTCCACATTCCCTAAGCAGACCTCCCTCCACCCGTGCGCAAAGCAGAAACTCCCCGATTTATCGTGTCATTCTCCTCATGCATTCGATATTGTGTTCTTCTTCTTCTGCATGATTTCATTTTTAATTAGCACATGCGCAACACGTTTCGCGCGGCCTTCGCTGTACAACATCTGACGAATCGAGTCCGACACGCCTGCTGACCGCTTGCTCTCCTCTGCTCTCTTCCCCACACAGCAAAATGCATGACGAAGAACACGATCACATAGGCTCCGGCCCTTCGACACCACCAAACGGTTCGGCGACACCGCGTCCGGATCTCCATGACAAGAGACTTCCACAACTTGCCAACAGCTATTTTGCACAGGTTCGTGAATCGTTCATTTTTATCAACCCTGTTGTGCAAAATGCCTGCCCGTCCGCATAGCGAGGATTCTCGGCGACCCCGCGCTTGCGCCGTCGTCACTCCCTCCTCCAACATAGGCTGTCCGCGGCTGGAGTGTGATGTTGCGAGCGGCAGGCGCGATGCGGCCTTGTCCTCGGCGGCAAGTGTTGTTGCTGTAGCCGTCGTTGCTCCTCCGCCTCCTCCACGGGCATTCGCTGTCCCTGCACGCTCGGCATCGCCGCCGTCATCACCATGTTCGCCAGCACTGTCCCTCACATCATCACTACCACTCTCCTCGTCGCTGCCAGAGCATCAACTATGCATACATACTTCATACGGGCATGCAAACTCCAATCCTTTTCATCTGAGCAACTCATCCTTCGACACGATGCATGACGGCAAAGTCGTTCACAGAGCCCAAGACTCGACGCTGTCTGTGCGCACGCGCTCGTTGCAACAGCGGAACCGAAGTTTCATCGGCCCCGCCTCGCAAGTGAATCGATCATTGCTATCAAAAGCGCTGTCCAACGCCTCGGCCAAATCTGGCGTGTCGGCTCTCACGCTCAACCCCACGGCACCCATTTTCAACCCTGTAATTGCATCTCCGTGCCGCCAAGAGATTGAGACATATTCGCATTCATTTGACTTCTATTCACAAAAGCCGACGATGCTTCGTGCCGAACAATTGCTAATTTGAATATCGTACCTCAGAACACTCCCCCACATACGCCGCGGACAGGATCGTATGCTGGCAAATCCCGAGACGAAGACAACCTCCGCGCCAAAGCCGCCAAAACGAGCCGTTCAAGCTCCAATGGCTCGCATTCGAAGGCTACGATCGGCCACCTAAAGGGTCAGCTCGAAATCAGCATCGAGGAGGCACGAGGACTCAAGCCGAGCTTGGACCCGTATGTGGTTTGCATCTTTCAGTTGAATGAGGTCATTTCGGGAGGCCCAAAGGGTAGTCAGGCGGACTCAGCAATAGACTCAACACAGCCGGATGAGGAGAACCTGGCGCGCAGTGTAGCGATGAAGCGGTTGGGCAGCGGGTCTGGTACACCGATGGCTATTCCTGGGTTGCGAAGCAGACAGACGAGTCAGACGAATATCGCTGGCATGCGTCGCGGATCACGACAAGACGCAAGCCAACCGAACACCGATCCCGTATGGAGGCACACATCAACCTTCGACGTCGTCGGTGAGAATAATGAGGTGGACATCTCGGTTTACGATCGCGCGACCAATGATTCTTTCCTCGGTCACATTCGCACACCACTCAACCTCAACGACTACAACCATCAGCACGAAGGGTGGTACAAGCTGGAGTCAAAGGAGGGCCATACAGAGACCGTGACGGGCGAGATACATTTGAAAATTGCATTCCACGCGACTGGCAAAAAGAGCTTTGGACCGGAAGACTTTGAGATCTTGAAGCTTATTGGCAAGGGTACATTCGGGCAGGTCTTCCAGGTCCGGAAGAAGGACACAAAACGAATCTATGCTATGAAGGTCCTGTCAAAGAAAGTCATCGTGCAGAAGAAGGAGATCCAGCACACCATCGGCGAGCGGAATATTCTCGTGCGAACGGCCACCACCGAGTCGCCGTTCATCGTTGGTCTGAAATTCTCCTTCCAGACATCAGCAGACCTATATCTCGTCACGGATTATATGTCTGGAGGGGAGCTCTTCTGGCATCTGCAGAAGGAGGGTCGCTTTGTCGAAGAGCGGGCCAAGTTCTATATCGCCGAGCTGATCCTTGCTCTGCGTCACCTTCATCAGCACGACATTGTCTATCGCGACCTGAAGCCCGAAAACATCCTCCTCGACGCCAATGGACATATCGCCTTGTGCGATTTCGGTCTTTCCAAGGCAAATCTGGCCAAGAACGACACGACTAACACTTTTTGCGGAACCACAGAATACTTGGCTCCGGAAGTCCTTCTTGATGAACAAGGTTACACCAAGATGGTGGATTTCTGGTCTCTCGGCGTCCTCGTCTTTGAGATGTGCTGCGGCTGGTCGCCTTTCTATGCCGAAGATACGCAACAGATGTATAAGAACATTGCATTTGGCAAGGTTCGGTTCCCGCGGGATGCGCTGTCACCAGATGGTAGGGCCTTTGTCAAGGGATTGCTGAACCGCAATCCTGCACATCGCTTGGGTGCCAAAAACGATGCCGAGGAGCTGATGGCGCATCCCTTCTTTGCGGACATTGACTGGAATGCGCTTTCACGGAAACTCACCCAGCCACCGTTCAAGCCCAAACTCAAGGACCAATATGACGTCTCCAACTTCGATCCCGAATTCACCAACGCCCTCACCGCTGGTCCCGAAGCATCTTCTCTCAACGCCCGCGCTGCCGCGATCGCTTCAACTCACAACCACGACTCGACCCCGCTGTCGCCAACGATGCAGAACCAATTCAAGGGTTTCACCTTCGTTGATGAGAGCTCGCTTGAGCAACAATTCGGTGCGGAGAGAGATGATGAGGACGATGAAGATCTGAATAACAGCCGGACGTTTGCGGGACGTAACGCGGGCAATCGGATGAGCGGCATGGATGCTGCGCGAGCAAATGCGGACAACGGAGCCGATGGGGATTTTAATCACGGGATGCTTGAGGATCTATGAAAGCAAGAACGGCCCAAGGATGTAGGGAAGTCCGACTGTGGTCACGCCCGCAGTGCAGAGACCCAGCAGACATCGCGAACCTGCGTCGAGAAGACATACTGGAGGAAAAGGAAGGGAAGGGAACAAGTCTAAGAGGCTTCTGATCGGCAGACTTTCTTGGATCATCACCTAGCATCTTCCCACCATCGATTAACATACGGATTGCACCCGCAGACGAAGTACGTACGTCGAGTCGCCCTATTCGTCGATCGTTTGCGAATTATTCAGAGCATTGTTCAGCATGGAGTGTTGGCAGAGTTTGGCGATAATTTGGACACTTTTTTCTCGTCATCACTTTCTGCAGGTTCTGAAGCCCTCTCTGTGGGTTCGTCTGTACGCTCGTTCTCTTAGCATGTGCGGAGTTCGCATGAAAAAAATGAATGTTCAAATGCATGGCCTTTGTAGCTGTCCGATAAGCGGCACGTTATGACGTACGAGCTTTCGCGGTCGTACTGTATGGCATTTGAAAGCATAGCGACGTGGTGTATGATCTTCCTAAACTTCAAGTCCTAGGTATGTAGGAGTAGATAAACTAGAGATATACTGTCTAGAGACCCGTCGAGCTGAAGTGCTTGATAGTTATATCATTCCTCGTTGCATTGTTACAACAAACCTGTCCGCACGACATTGACGGCATATGAGCGGAGTGTCGGATGCAAGCCTGAGGCTGAGGGTTGGAGCTTCGGTCCGAGCTCTGACTTCCCGAACGACTTTCTTGACATCACTGGCCTCACCCAAAAGCACCCGCATAGGATCGCGGTGGTCGCGAATTTGCGCTGTCACAATCATAATACGACAAGGGCCATGGCTTCGTCGCCGTTGGATGAAGGGGTATGTCACTACCTTTGAAAATTGCCTCTATTGCTTTTCATCGCTGTTAGCTGCCCTTCAATGAAGAACGACTGATTTTGGGATCGCCAGATCTTTGCCAAATTGCGCAAGCCTATCGATCCGTCTGTCCTCGCCGAAAGAGAGAAGACAGTGTATGAGCGTGAGCAGGCCTCGGCGACAAAGGCGGAACAGCGCCAGCATGAGATCGTAAGCCTCCGAAACACATCCTCTCCCCATGTTATCCAACGCTCACACGATGTCCACCCGTGCAGCTCAGCGTCAATGCCACCGCTCCTGTGACCATCTCCTCCGTTCGGATCATTGGCGCGCATCACACACGTCGCGGATTTCTTGAACGAATCTTCGACCCGGTCCTCGCCCACAACCGGCCCGCCGACAACTTCTACACTCTTCGTGAGGCATTGACCGAAGTCGGCGCCGCTGTCGACAAGCTCGCGCGTCTCGATATCTTCCAACCGCCCATCTCCACGTTCCTCGACAAGGCCGAGTCTACCGATCCGAGCACCACGCCCACTGACTATGCTGTCTATGTCAATGCCAAAGAGCGTGGAAGATACACGATCAAGACGGGTACGGAAGCTGGCACGGCTGAGGGCAGCGCATACTTGAATGTCGTCCTGCGGAATTTGTTCGGCGGAGGCGAAAGATTGAACGGAAATGCTAGCTTGGGCACTCGTACTCGGAATGCCTACAGCGCTACTTTCGATACGCCGATTCTCTCCAACCCCGATCTGCGCTTTGAGCTGGGCGGACTCAAATCCAGCACCGTAAAGCCATGGGCATCACACGAGGAGATCCTGCGAGGAGGTTCAGCACGTCTACTTTGGAGGACTTCAGCTACTACTCGACACGATCTCGCCTATTCCGGCCTCTGGCGACAAGTCACTGGTCTCGCGGAGAATGCGTCGCCCACTGTTCGCGCAGACGCAGGCGACAGCTTCAAATCGAGCGTTTCACACACATGGACGCACGACTCGCGGGACGCTGTCACACTGCCGACTCACGGCCTTCTCCTCAAGACTGTTTCCGAGCTCGCCGGTCTAGGGCCACTGCGCGGTGACGTCGCCTTTGCCAAATTCGAACTCGATTCGCAAGCGGCTACACCTATTCCGATTCCCTTCCTCGGCCGACCTAGCGGCATTTCCTTCACCGCTGGCCTTCGTGCAGGGCTTTTGTGCCCGTTGACCCTCGCGGGCGAGCAGGGGCCGTCTCACAGCCGCATCAACGATCGTTTCACTCTCGGCGGACCAACAGACGTGCGCGGCTTCCGCCTTGCAGGTCTTGGGCCTCGCGACGGCCCCGATGCTGCAGGAGGGGATGCGTACGCTGCAGGAAGCGCCACCCTCCTCCTTCCATTCCCATACGTCGACAAGGAGACGCCACTCCGACTGCAAGCTTTTGTCAACGGTGGCCGTCTTCTCGCACTCCGTGATGCTCGCCGGGAGACTGAGAAGGCAACGCCCATGACCATGGGTGATGTCGGCCGCAGCGTCGCTGCGACCCTGGGAGACTTGGTCGCTGAACTCCCGAGCGCAGCGGCTGGTTTCGGTGTTGTGTACGCGCATCCCGCGGCGCGTGTCGAGGTCAATTTCAGCTTACCGCTTGTGGTCCGCCAGGGAGAGGAAGGTAGGAAAGGATTGAGCTTCGGTGTTGGACTGAATTTCATGTAGAAGTATGATGCGGGAAACGCGCGGCTCTCGCAGATGAAGGACGAGGCCGTAGGTTTTTCGGTACAAACGGCATATAGAGACTTTCATCTGTTCCTCATCACCTCATCTCTCCCATAATTCAGCTGCGGACTTTGCCCATTCACGCATGTCTGGCTTGTTGTCTCGAACTTTCGCCACAAAAATGATCGTCACACTTCTCACTGCCACGTTGTAATAATACTTCAGATCAACTCCTACAGCCTTGCGTGGAGGACACAACCTCAGCGAACTTCCATTCCATCGAGCCATACCTAACCGTGTTTCCCACTGCGATATGACTTGCATCGAATGCCGCCGCGCAAGGCAGAAAATCATCCCCGATATGCAGCACTCGCTTCCAAGCATCATCGTCGCGCTTCTCAATAGAACTCGCATTTGCATTGGCAGTGGTGGAGACGACTTCGCTCTTCTCCCACTGCTCGGTAGTAATCCGATCCCCAATGCGCAGAAGACCTTGACAGCGATTCCCAATGCGGACGATGACGCCGTGGGCCGGCGGAGTCGCCGTCGAGGTAGTCTGACTTTCTCCTCCCCCTCCACTTTCATCATTCGAAGGGGTCTGGTCGATCTGCAGAACCACCGTCCACACCTCCCCATTCCCATCGGGCACGATCGGTAAATCTACCCAGGCCTCCTCATAGGCCGTGAGTTTGCCCGTGGCAGGTTTGATCATGGTGCCGGACTCGAGGGATGTGATTCCGTCAGGCTGGGGGACCAGGGTGCCTTGATCGATGACACTCGAGGCGTTCACGTGGTGTGAGTCCACGGTGTGGTGCCATCGTGAATGGATCGTCGCTGCTGCTGTGCTTGTTGTTTCGATTTGGAATTCTGCTTCGTTTCCCTTTCCCGTCAATGCCGACTTTGCCCCATCATCGTCGACAAGCCATGTTTCCGAGTGCCCGGCGAAGGCCCATTCGACGGCTGAGATGGGGAAGACACCTGGTCGGTTCGGATTAGGTTTGAGACCTGGTCGCCAGATATCAAGTTCGCATCACGTACCTTGAATCCCTTGCGCACCGGGTTTCAGCCTTACATCGACGAACGTCTTGGATGGCGAGGTCAGGACGAGGACTTTGCCGTCACGCTCGGCTTCGCCCGAATCGTTCCATTTGATGTATGAGCGATAGCAGATGTTGGCCATGATTATTGTTGTTGTTGCTGTTGATACTACGGTGATGGCGGTTGTTCGATGAGTAATGCAGGAGCTCGTTGGAGGAGCTTGCAGCACACCGTCACATATTTAAGCGTTTGAAATTGATCTCAGTGTCACGCAAGGAGATGGCTACTGGAATGCTGATGATAAAACTACAAGAATTCTGCTTTCAAGCAAAGAATATCCGCGTCTGGAAAAGCAATATCGTAAGTCACGCTGAAGTTCATTGTTATTATCAACATCAAATATCTAAGGTGACCTTTTTGAACCGCAAGCCGTGAGAGGTTTCATTATCACATTATCTTAGAGTATTAATCATTAGGCTCGTTATACGCAGACCGTCCAAGATCGTTTCCGGTATCGACATCGTCGCTCATAAATTACGTAGGATACACTCAGTAAGGGGGCTTGTTCACAGCCTGGATGAAAGTCGGAACACAGCTGCTATCAGTACCTTTCCAGAAGAGCTGTCGCGCACATGTCAGCGGAGATCCACCTTGAACAAAACCTGCAGGCAGGAGAACGATCTCGAACTTACCACGCTCTGACTCAGCACATCCGTGCAGATCGTCCAGCCCTCGGCCGATCCGTCCGCCGTCAGGAGATAGCCGTCCTTCAGCGCCAGAGTACCCTTGACCTCAGGCTGAGGGTTGAGACCAAGCTGGACTCCAGGCTCGACCCGAGAGCTGTTGTACAATGTGATGCCCTCGCCGAGGGCGTAGTTGGAGGTCAATGTCTGGAGGACGCCATCGGTGAGGTTGAACGTAGGGAGCGAGAGATAGCCCGGTTCGATTGTTCGGAGGTAGTATGTACGCTGGTGGAAGGGGTCGAACAGTGACGTTGCGCTCACATTGGCCAGTGTCGATGCGTTGTTGTTCTGTGGTCGCTGGGAGGAGGTAGTTGTCACCAGGAAGAAGTTCTTGGGCGTCTTTGCGTATGATGGAGCAGCTTCGGTGACGGGCAAGGCGCTGGTCAAGGTCGAAGCGGCCAGGATAAGGGAGCAGATGTGGGTGAAAGACAACATCGTCGCTTGCTTAGGAAGGTTACGTCGCGGAGGATGGGTGCTGGAGATGGTCGGAGTGGCAAGGTTCGAGGTAAGGTTGCTGCAATGGAGCTTGTGAATTCAAAGGTGGTAGATGATTGAAAGAGTCTGGTAGGATGAGGGCGAGACCGATACTTATACCCACACCGATGAGTGTAAGCTGTGGATTATTATAGACTCGTTGAAGGTGTAAAAATATCGAAGTGTGTGCAACCGAAAGAGGTGGTGGCTGTACAGGCAAGTGCCCAAGTGGATTGGCAGTCTATGATGTTACCTGAACAACAGGTGATGTAGTATGAGTAATAATAGCGGAGCAGAGCAGAGCACAGCACAGCAGCAGATGATCGCCGTGCCGCGCAATGTGCTCAGCACCATCAATCGATGCACATTCGGTCATCCTTTCGGACGGGCCACTCTGAGGCTGCTGATGACCGACCACCACGGGCGGGCGGCGTTGGTTCTGTCCAGCGCGCTGATCCTCCGTCGATCGTGGTCGTCCGTCTAGGGCATGCGTAGGCGATCTAGTACAAACATGGATAACATCGCCTATCAGGTGCCTTGATTACACCCAGTAGAAGGAAGAAGAGCCCTGAAGTGGACCGAAATGCCATGATCCGACACCGAGTGAGATTTTGTTTAGCTCCAAGACATGTCTCCACCGATCGGCTCTCACGGATCATGGCGTTGACAGAGAATCCTTCCAAGATTCCGTATAACAGTACATCTGGACAGCGACGAGTAGGGCAGAATCTTGCGCCCGAAATACATGCTGTACACCTCACGACGACAATTGTACCGTGCTGTCCTTTCCATATATCCTTGTGCCACGGCACGCATGGCAAGCTCAACAGGTTTCCGCATTGCGTGCGACCAATCCTTCTATACCTAGGTAATAACACGCCAGCCGGAACGTCGGATCTAATCGCAGAAATGCCTCAACACTCTGACCAGTCGTACTGTTCATCTCGGCATCTGGGAATAGGCAGTCTCGAAATAGACTTGTGGCACTCTGGCCCCCACGATGACACAACATCACCACGGAGACATACGCGGTCAGGGCGAAGCCATTGGCAATTGCATGCGCGGCGTACACTGCAGGCTCGCTTATATCCGATGTCGTGCAGCAAACCCCGCCAATAGTCCGTACATCATTAGTATTTGTTATATAGGCATGGCGATAAGTGGTCGTTCATCCCGTTACTCGCGAATGGGTTACAGTGTCACTGGAAAGCCCTCCTGAGGTGCGACGGTGGCGTGTCTCCAGAACGACTGCGTTCGGACACAGCATCGGTAATCCGCAAAGAGACTACGACGCTGCGGTCACCACAGCCTGCGTCACCTGCTGATCCTTTGTTCTATCCTTCCTCAGTTCCTCGTCCAAGATCATGCCTCTCCGACCTCCTCGGCGATCAACAGTGTAGACGTGGTCGGGTTCATGGAGTCCTCTCCCAGGCCATGCCCACATGCGCTGCAACTCTCTGCCCAAGTCATCACCGTGGTCATTTTCGCCATCTTGAGCGCCAGAGAATTTACGAGACAAAACCTGTACCACTCGCTCTCCCAAGATGGGCAGGAATTTGTACCCATGGCCGCTGCCCCCGGTCGCCAGGAACAGAGAAGGATATGCTGGGTGATACGTGACCAGAAAATCTCCGTTTTCGGTGTCTGTGTACCAGCACACTCGGCTGTACGTCCATGGACGCGTCGCCAGATCCGGAATACAGTCAGCGAGGAATGCTCGACAGGCGGCAAGTCCCTCCGCAGGGACTTCGAGGTCGGCATTGTCGCGCTTGGTACGTGGTAAGCTCACGGTCATGGGAGGAGCATCTGGATCTTCCGGGTGTGGGATTGAAGTCGGGTTGGCGTAGCCATAGCTAAACCATAGACGTTCGTTAGTTTGGCCATGCTCAAAGACAACGCTGAGCACCGCAGATTGTTGTGGCAATGCGAGACGTACCCATGCCTTGCTACTTTCAACACACCGTTCCGTGGTGGTATGATGAACATGCCGGTCCGATAGCAGATGAAGACCGGATTTTGTGCCAATCGTGCTTCCTCTTCCGGTGTGATATTTACATACGCCAGCACCTGTCCAGTAGAGCTCGCGATTCCACGAAGATCAACGAACTTGGGCGTCCATGCTCCCAACGCTAGAATGGTAGCATCTGCTGTGATGCGCTCCCCGGACTCGAGCTCAACACCACGAACGTCCGTTCGTGTACCATCGAAAAGTAGACGCCGCACTTGAGCGCCTGTGCGGACATCCACTCGTTCCGTGCCGAGCACCTTCTGCCACAGATAACACATACCTTCCTCAGCATGCGCCCAGCCTGAAGTCCAATTGACATAGCCTTTGGTACCAACCAAGCCTCCTGTGGTGCCCATCACCTTTCGCGCAGCGGCCTCGCCCGCAAATGGTGTCGCTTGGCCGCCTTGGTCGCGCGGACCAACCTTCAATCCGAGATCTTCGATGACATTTTTCAACGTCTTTTCGGCGTACAGGCGGGCTTTCTCCGCAACATCCGCATCGAAGCCTTCACGGCTGGCTACCTTGAGATCTTGATCATCGTCATCGCCGCTGAAGATGGCAAGTCCGGACTCCGTGTAACGGCCATCAGCGCCCCATTCACCTCGCCACCGCTCCTGGGCCTGGCCTGCGAGACGCGCGTAAGCTGAAATGGGGTAGTCTGCTCGTACGATCCGACTTGAGTCGATGCTTGACCCATCAGGGGCCGGGAACTCTGCTGCGCGTTCCAGCAGCGTGATCTTGGTATTCGCGTAACGAGCGTCTTGCGTCAGCGCCCATGCTGTGCTGAGACCGAAGACGCCCGCGCCGAGGATAAGAACAGAGGAAGGGAAGTTGGTGCGGTCTTCGGAAGAAGTCGCAGCAGATGACATGTTGGATTGACAACGGAGATCGCCTGCCGTGAATAATGGCCGAGTGGAGGAGCAACCAGACAGAGACGGTGGCCTCTAGGCAAACTATCTATCACTTTCGGGACGTCGATAAAACAAAAGAAACGTATCAACTTAGCTTGTCAGACCTCTGTCCAATACAATTACTACATAGCCTGAATAGAGACTGATGGAAAATCATGCAGGATGATAGGGCGCGAACATGTTCATTGGGTGGTGCAGAGTGGAGCTGTCCTTGAGCTGAAGTGGAGAAGTGTACTGCACAATTGAACGCTGGCTTGTGCAGCCAGACGCCGGGCGGGCGGCAGGTGGCTTTCAAGTGCATGCTGACTGTTCAAGCGTGAACTGCACTGCTCCTCCCTCCCACGAATCACAGGATATTGATACATACAACATTATCGAGCTATAAAAAGTACAGCTCTTTGTCTCTGCGACCGATGCAGTCCTTGGCTCGTTCTGCCCGCCATGTAGCCTCTCGAAATCCGGCTGGCGCCACAATTTTCAACCTCAATGCCTCGACACAAATTTCGTCCTCGGCGCGATGGAGCTCCAGGTCTCAAGTATCACCACAGAGGCGCGCCAAATTCCAGGCGCTTCCAGCGTTCTTCGCTTGGACCGTAGCTGGTGGAATAGCTTTTTATTCCGCTCAGCTCCTTGTCGCCGCGCGGCAGCCCTGCGCCAACCCCAACATCTCCGACCTGGCTCAACAGACCGATGTCTCTACGAGATACGATGACACAGCCGACAAGTTCGATTCCGAGGTTGGGTTTTCGGAATGGCTGATGGGAATCTTAAAGATCCGAAAGGAACTCGCGCAGCAATGCAAGGGTCACGTACTAGAAGTCAGTTGTGGAACTGGTCGAAATTTGGGATACTTCGATGTGTACACCAAAGGCCAAGTCGATAGCTTGACATTTGTCGATCTGAGTGCTCCGATGATTGACATCTGCAAGAAGAAGTGGGTGGCTCTGTACGCCGGAAAAGAAGCATTGCTCAAGCCTGGCCTGGTCGTCCGCTTTCTCCCTGCCACGGCTCTCGATCGACTACCACTCGCCCCGACTGCGGAAGGACCGAAGAAATATGATACCATCTTCCAGACTATGGGTCTCTGCAGCACACCTGATCCAGGACAGCTCATTGCGAATATGGTCGAGCATCTAGACACGTCAAACCCAGACGCGAGAATTATTCTGCTCGAGCACGGACGGAGCTACAGGCAGTGGCTCAACAACATTCTGGACGGAAGTGCGCAGAAGCATGCAGAGCTTCATGGATGTTGGTACAATCGCGAAATCGGAGCTCTTGTCTCCGAGGCGGCTGAGCGATGCGGTCTCGTCCTTGTCCGCGAGAGACGGTATCATCTTGGTACCACTTGGGTAGTTGAGCTCAAACCCGCCAAAGTCACGAAACCAGCGCCCCCGATGGCTCAGACTGGGGATCAGCAATCTCAGCCTAAGAAGACTCTTTATCAAAGGAGCAAGGAGTTTATTAGCAAGCCATTCAGCGGGATTGCGCTGAAGCTATAAGTGTGCAGAACAATCTTCGTAACAAGCCCTCACATTCCACCCGCGGACGTTGAGCAAAACATTGAATCTGATTGTATCTGGTTTGAAAATCTCGTTGCGCGCACTTTGGCGGAGATAAATGGGCGACAGCGGTAAGTTACACTCGTCCCCCGGCACGGCAATGATTGCCAATCACACCTACATGATGATTCACCAATCCAAAATATGTTTCAAGACGGGGCGGAGAGGCTTCGGCCTTAGTGAATGAGAAGATTACGACTGAACACATAGATTTCTACGAGATGTTACGTTCGAGCTGTTTGCTCCTGATCAAACGCTGACTGGTATCGAGCAGGCGGAGGGAGAAACGGAAGTCGCGCGAGTCCACGGAACAACGGACGTTGAGTGAACATATGGAGCAACGAACGTCGAGCGAGTCCACAGAGCGACCAACGCCGAATGAATCTATGAAGCGACCGCCAACGACTGTTCCGACATGTTTTGTCAGAGAAAAGCCATGGTGGGAACAACAAAGACTGTCCAAGGCAGATCGCCAGTGGCAGGATCGGCCCAGCGGATCAATGAAAAATCATTGGGCGATAACCAACATTCGGGGCCCGATCAGATCGGACGGGTCATCCCGAATGCTTACTTATACGAGCAACTAATATTCTACTGTTTCTATCCTGGATAATATACTACATTCTCACCCTTCGGACTAATGTGCTTCTCCCACCTGCCAGGCAAGTATCTGTACTTCAACAGCCTCGAAATGAATTGCTGAAGCTTAAATCACGTGGCGTCGCGTCAAGGAGGAGACGCGCGCCTCGTGTTGGACCCTGCGCCAAGCGTCCAGCTGGCCGCTCGCATGTGCAATTACCGTCCATACATAGTCGACCGCATGTTGAGAAGCACAATTCAATGATTGCAACCCGCATCTCCAACTGACGTCGCTCCTTGTCCGCGCTGGTATAATTGAACCTCCAACTCCCGTTTCCATTCAACAAATTATTTGTCACGATCTCATCATGGCGAACACAAAGAACAAGTATTCCGTTCTCCTACCCACCTACAATGAGCGTCGCAACCTGCCGATCATCATCTGGCTCTTACAGCGGATGTTCACCGAGCAGTCAGTATTTCCCTCAAGGGAAATGTAATCCTGCGCCAATCTGACTCTATGCGCAATAGAAAACTCGACTGGGAAGTCCTCATCGTAGACGACGGCTCCCCCGACGGAACCCAAGACGTCGCAAAGCAACTCATCAAAGCCTACGGCGCCAACCACATCAAACTGCACACGCGCACGGGCAAGCTCGGCCTCGGCACGGCGTACGTCCACGGCCTGCAGTTCGCGACCGGCAACTTCGTCATCATCATGGACGCCGACTTCTCGCACCACCCGAAATTCCTGCCCATCATGATCGCCAAGCAAAAGGAGGCCAACTACGACATCGTCACGGGCACGCGGTATGCCGGGGACGGGGGCGTGTTCGGATGGGATCTGAAGCGGAAATTGGTCAGTCGCGGGGCCAACTTGGTCGCGGACACCATCCTCCAGCCGGGCGTGAGCGATTTGACGGGCAGTTTCCGCTTGTACAAGAAGTCGGTGCTGCAGCAGGTCATCGAGAAGACGGAGAGCAAGGGATATTCCTTCCAGATGGAGATGATGGTCCGGGCGAAGGCCATGGGTTTCAAGGTGGCGGAGGTACCCATCAGCTTCGTCGATCGGGTGTACGGTGAGAGCAAATTGGGCGGCGAGGAGATCGTGGAGTACCTCAAGGGTGTTGGACGTCTGTGGCTTAAAGTCTAGATAGTCAATGTTGAGCAACGATGAATCGCGGATCTGTCCGGCGTCTCAAGAGGTCTCTAGATGCAATGTTCTGGCTGTGTCCACTGGGAGATCAGGGGTTCGCGAGCTACATCCGCCTGCTCAGCGCGCCTGCTCAGCGCACTTGGATGGACCGTTAGATCATGCGATGGACGTAAACCCAGTTCCTCTGCAGGGGCGTGGAGAGTTCTCAAATCTCAGAAAGCAGAGATGCCCGCCGTGGTGTGAAATTCCGCGCACGAGCTGGGCAAATAATGGTCACTCGCGGAAATAGACCAAGACAGAGTCGCGGACAAGACAAGATGGAGATATAATTTTCAGGGCCCATCAAAAAGACTTGAATTTCCTTGTCCAAGTGAATGCTGATTCCCGAAGTTAACTAAATACCGAGCGCCATTCCAACGCACGACACAATGATGTGAGTGAGAGAAGATCTTTGCGAGCGAGGGAGAAAAAAATGCCGCTTCTCATCGTCCCGGCGTCGTTCCCAGCCCCCGAAACCCATACAAGTACAACTTCATATCGTCAGACCTCTTCCTCCATACGGTTAGCGGAGGGTCATCATCGGAGGCAGACGCCTAGTGCTGGCCCTGGCTGTAGTTCTGGCCCCAGCCGCCGCGCGCATTTCCACCGCCGTAGCCTTGACCGTAGGTCTGGTTGAAGCCTCCGGCGCCGTAGCCGCCGTAGCCGCCTTGGCTTTGCTGTCCGCCGTATCCAGTCTGGCCGCTCTGCTGCGCGCCTAGTCCACCCAGGTATTGGCCCTGCGCAGTGAAGCCCTGGTAGCCACCGAAGCTGCCAGCATTGTGTTGGCTTTGTTGCGGGGGAGCGGTGCCAGACTGCTGTGATCCGACTGCGGAGCCTGGTCGCTGCGCCGGGCCCGTCTTGCTGCCTGCGTCAGTGCCGAACGGCTTGAGAGCGTCGGTGGACTCCGGCTGAGCGCCACCTCCTATTCCCTGCTGCTGGCTGTTGTAGCCTTGGGATCCGAAGCCGGAAGAAGACCTCTGAAAGGCATCATTCATGCCACTGAAGCCCTGAGCGCTAGATCCTCGGTTGTAATCGTCCAGCAGTGCCGACGAGCCACTCGCGGCGCGGGTCGCCGACTGGTTTTGGCCAAATGGCGCGCCAGGTGCGGGCGAGGATGACTCATAACCATGACTGCCAGAATAAGGGTTGCCAGCATAACCCTTGTTGCTTTGAGATCCGTAGGAGCCATAAGCTGGCTGGTACGTGAACTGGTTCTGGTATGCTTGAGGATACGGGCTGTTGTAGTATTGGTGACCATACGGGAAGCCGCTGCCAGCACCCGCATAAGCACCCTGTTGACCCTGCTGCTGCTGCTGCTGCTGCTGTTGCTGTTGCTGTTGCTGTTGTTGTTGTTGCTGCATCGAATGTTGCGATTGCTGATGCTGTTGTCCGCCGACCGGCGGGTTTGGAGTGTTGTTTCCGGAGCCAGGTGCGTGTGTTTCTCCGAATCTCGATTGGGCCTATCAATCGAACAAATTAGTACACTATATCTGAACTCGATGTGGTAATTGTGATCTCAAACGTACCTGGACTTGTGTCTGGCCCCCGAAAGCAGAGTCGCCTTGCGCAGATCCGAATCCGCTGGCAGAACGCTGCTGTCCAATGGCCGACGGATCCTGTTGGTTCTGGCTGCTCTGGCTTCGGGTGTCCTGGGGAGCGTAGGAGCCACCGTAGCCGCCGTAGGGGCTGTAAAGGCGTTGTTGCTCATTCGTGTAGTATCCAGGATAGTCGTTGGGGCCAGTCGAAAGGCCGCTGAGCGATGACTGTTGCTGCTGTTGAGCGTGCGGTTGATGCTGGGAGTGCGCTCCGTACTGGTCGTAATGGTTTTGTGTTTGGTGTCCAAAAGGATCGTAGTGCTGCTTTTGTTGTGACTGGGCGGACAGATCTGGCTGCAGCCCTGGTTGGCCATAACGACCGTATTGGCCGTACTGGTTGGCTTGTTGTTCCTGGGAAGGGATCTGGCCCAGAGAGGGATCTTGGATCTGTTGCTGGTTCTGAGCAGATGCAGGAGGCAGACCGGGGGCTTGTTTAGGAGTCGGCACAGCCGGAGCAGCGCTGGGAACGACCTCGGGCTGATCAGACGCTTGCCGAGGCGCGGGTGGCAGCGACGTGCGTGGTTGTGAAGGGGGGGAACTCTGGGGTGCCTGACGTGTTTCAGGCTCCTCTCGCTCTTCATCGACATCCATTCCTTGCTCGCCATTCAGGCCCATGCTGCCGAACTGAACGGCAGCTCGGTCAACTGCACTGTGACCTGGCATGACAACAGCCTCTTGCTGTTCCTTGAGGCGACGCTGGAAGCTTGCGGTTCTGCCCCCGGTTCCGGCAAGACGGTTCGCGCTAGTAGCATATCCACCGAGCGCAGGTCGACCGATCGGTGCTTGAGGCAAAGGTGTGAGATTGCGTGGATCCAGAGAACCAGTAGTGCTCGCTGCAGTGAATGTTGCTGGAGGCACAGAGTCATCGGGCAGATGCTCCACATTGGCTTCAGTCAAAGGAACCGTGGATGGGGCCAGATCAGCAGCATCCCCTTCGGACGTCTCTGGGCGTTCTGCCGGAGTGTCGACAGAATCACTGGGCGCTACTTGCACCTCGGGGACTGCCGTCGATGCAATTTGAGCAGCCTCGTCTTCTGGAGTACTGGCCTCAGCTTGCGAGGGCACGACTGGAGGCTCAGCTGCGGCCGGTTGCGGGACAGGGGCCTTCTTTGGTAACGCCGCAGGTACTGGTTTAGGTTGAGCAAACATACTTGCCCAGCTTTTCTTCGCTCCACTGTCCAGAGCTGCCCCGTTCTTTGAACTATCCGCGCCAGCTGAAGCACCAACACCAGCATTGGATTCAGGAGCTCGAGGCGCATCGGTGTCTGCAGAGTTCGTGGTTGCCTGTGCAGGCAGTCCGGCCGAGCCGTCAACTGCGTCGGTGGTCGCAGAGCTATCCAAGGCTGAAGGGTCTGCCGCAAGTGCAGGAGCATCGGTATTGTCCTTAGCGGTTCCATTGGTGGTCGCGTGACCTCCTCTTCCACCACGGTGACCACCTCTGCCGCGCTCAGTGCCACGAGCACGCCCGCCTCGTGTGCCTTCCAAACCGCCTCGCCCGCGAGCGCGGCTACCGGAGCCGGCTTTGTCAGTAAAGCTTGCGGGAGTGACATCCTCTTTGGCCTTGGAACGAGCTCGATCCTTGGGTTTCTTGACCTCGGAGAATTGAGAAACGGTACCCTGGGTGATTTTGTCCACAGTTGCCGGTATATCGCCATCAGCCTCTTCCAGAGCGAAAACAAGATCAGTGTCGGTCCAGTCTGGGAACATGTCTTTCAGCAAGCCCAATTCGCTCTGGTATTTCTTCTTCATCTCGCCAAGTTCGCCTTGGTCCTCAAATGACTCCTCCACGGGCTCTGTCGCATGTCCGTTAGCATGTGAGCGACCGCCTCGCGGTCCACCACGACCGTAGCTGCCTCTGCCTCCCCGGGTGGAGCTACGGCCTCGTGTAGGCCTGGATTCGATTTCCGACATTGTGTGGGATGTGAATATGATGTACCGGGACTGAGCCGGTTGGTCGAAGTGGTTGAATATGCACGAAAGAGTGCAATATCAACAAAGAGGTGACAAGCGAGTTCGATGTGGGTGAGACAACGGGAACGGGTCTGGATTGGTGAAGAGGACAAAAGCTGCAACAACGGGTGCCGGGTTGAGCACCAGATTTCGAAGCTGCGACCAATACGCCGCGCGGAGAGCGTGAATACACGTGATGAATTGGCGAGGTCTGCAATCCTCTCGGGACAACAGGACAGCGAACAGCTGAGAAAAACGGTGACGGAAGATGTATGGTAGATGATGGAGGAGCAAGGTTGGAAAATGGACGATGATCTAAGCCGCAGTGTGTAGCAATAGAATCACGCCTACTGTGCAGTCCAATACGGTACCAAGCAGCAGGACCACTTTCCCAATATGCGCAGGTGCTATACAATCATAATAATACAGCGCTGGATTCAGAGAGGTGACACACTGTTTTAAGTGGACAGGTGAATTTGTTGGCCTGAGGCCTGATGACAATGGATGAGACACCTCGCCTGCAGGGAGCCACAGTGCAGGAATATGGAATGTGCTGTGCAGAACACCTGGGCAATCAGGCAAAGCTCTACGGGATACAATCCAGCACAGCACAGCACAGCACAGTACAGTACAGTACAACACAGTACAGCACAGTACAGCATGTGAGTATGTACAAACCGAGAGGCGCAGCAAAGCACAGGCACAAACAATTCCTCATCGCTCATCGCTCCAATACTGCATCATCACACCTGCAGTAGTAAGCAGTGCTCCCTATAGCGCCAAGGCGGGAGGGTCATCACGTGCATCGCGTCTCGACCTTGACGTCGAATGTCGTTGTCGTTGTCGGCGTCACCAGCCCCGAGCATTCACCGATAGATGTACAGCTCCCTATGCAACGTTATGCGTTCTTGGTGCAGAGTTCGACATTGATACTTCGCCAGGACAGTCGAAGTGAGGTAGACCATATCACTTTGTCTGTTGGACATCCCGCTTTTGTCACCAGCTCTTCTGGTGACGCAGTAGCCCGAAGCTGCCGGATATCCGCAAATCGATCAACGCAATGCGAGTAACCGCCATCGCTCAGGGGATCAACAAATGGCTAGATTCGCTCCATCGCCAGGTGCCGCTGACCGGGCGAGAGTCACAACGTCTGCTCAATGCTCTGACAAATTCCTTTCGCAAGCAGCTTGACGAAGCACATCCTACCAAGGCACAGGATGATGCCGTCTCGGTCTCGAAGCCAACGTCAAGCAAACTTCTCGCAAGAGTGCAGTCCGCAGAGCGACCGGCGAAGTCGCCAAACGAGGCTGTTCATACTACTTCGGCAGTCGAAAGTGCAGATCGCCACCTCGCTTCTGTACTCACGAGTCCGTTGATGATGGGCCCTGCATCCATCGTCGCAAAACCATCACCACGCAAAGCGTCGCCGACTAAGCTTTCGCCAGCAAAGGTCAAGCAGACAGCTAAAGACGAACTCGTACCGATTCGTAAAATCTTCGCAACTAAATCTACATTAATGCCTTTGTCCAATCAACCCACGCCAACATCAACGAAATCAACTGACATCGCTCGATCTCCACCAGGAACGAAACCATTACAGAGCTCGTCGAGTTCCCTCGACGAGGATGTTCTGATACCCGCCGTCAAAGCTTCCAAAGCCTCAGGAGATCAGCAGCCTCGCCATCCTGCGCATTCACAAGAGGACAACCTCGCACAGCCTAAACTCAATCATCAAAAGATCTCGTCGATGCCGCATCGCGTTAAGGTCTCGTCGAGGCCAGTCAACGATGATGATGACGACGACGAGGCCCACAGCGATCGGCCTTTGTGGTATCCTCTGGCAAGGGCAGCACCATGAGACCCACAAAGCTCGATCTGATCTACACAATAATCAGATGAACGTCTGAAAGCATAGAGCATGATATGGCCACAACGCCTACCCGTTATCCATGAGTCCGAGAGTTTGAGGACATGCTGAGGTGTACATTGTATCGGCACAATGACCTCTAGCGCACCAAAGCCAAAGATGATGTATGCGCATCGCACGAGTTGGACAGAGTACGCAGCTGGACGCTTTGTCAGGCGGCAAGCGGCCCCCGTATATGATGCAAAGCCAAATGCTCATCGAAACAAGCGCCGTCTTCATGCCTCGGTATCATCTTACTGATATGACGAACCCACTATCGGTGCGGCACAATTCATAACACACATGTGAAAGGAGCAAAGGAGTAGCGCGTTGACCACAGCATCGCCACAGCACAGACAGGCCTGTTCTGGCTCCTTTTGATCACGAGATGCTGGGAAGTTCTTAATCAAACCGGTCATGACATCGTGCAAGTGCTTTGAACAAACGCCGCCCGCAACAAACATGTGATGCGAGTAATACTAACTGAAGAACTGTGCGTCGCGGCATTCTCGGGGCGCTCCTCCATCGTTTGAGACACATCCTCCCGCAGTCCACCCTACACTTTGGCGCGCCTTCGACTTCTGTCCCTCAGCCAATTGCACTTGTTCGCAATCTTAGGCAGCTCTGGGCATTCCGCCATAAAGACTCTCGAATGTCCTCGCGCCGCTGGCTTCGGTTTAAGAGGACCGGCTTGGAACTGCGTCGAATATCTTGCGCAGGCTTCCCTCTTTTGTGCCATTCAACAAGCGATCAGATGCTTGGAGAATAGCAGCAGGTCCGCATATTTAATTGTACATACGTCCGATTTGTTATTTGATTGGTGTTCAAGACATAGAACACTGCAAAGATTCCCGCTTCATGTTGGCATAACCCTATCGCTCATGACCACCTGGGCAGGAGTGAATGAGAGCTATCATAGTAGCAGGAAATTTGTAATGATGATAGATAAACTAACAGGCAATTGACTACCATTAATCAGTCGTGGGATGTGTCATGCTTCCCGACATTTTGACTGTAGCATTCGATACGATGTTGTGCGACTCTCATTACTCATGCTGTGACAAACAATTGAAGATATGCCGCTTCCTCTCATGCCACTCGACTCAATAACGACAAATTTGCTACCAAGCCATTTTTCGGAGACCTGCAAGCAAAATATTGGCATAGTCTTCGTGTACATACGGAGCAATTCGACAAGATACATGCAGTGTATATGGAAAACGAAGATCTATCATAATGGCATCCTCCACATTGCCGAGGGTTGTGCGCTTCTCATGAAGCCCAGCCACACCATCGCGAAAACAGCCGTCTAGCTTACAACGTCACAGTTGATTTCGACACAGTCGCAGATGATGCAAAAATAACAACGCACGACCGGGGACATGGGCGACCCTTCGCAGACTGCGACGAATGTCGCGAAGTCCGCACAGTCGGCCTGGGAAGTCGGCGCACAATTATATGGGTTATATCGCGATACGAACACCAGCATCGTGAGTTTGAGTAGTCTTGCGACGGAGACCATGCAGTTAGGAAACACCTGCGACGAGTTGGATAGGCAAATCAGGAAGTTGTTAGGCAGAGATCTTGGATCCAGAGACATCAAGCTCTTCAGTATTGTCGAAAGACAGCGCACCGAATGCGACCAATATTTAAATGAGTTGGGCGGCGCCGTCCGAAACATGCGTCCGGAGATCACCAGTGCGATGAGTAGAGTCGTGAGTAATTTCTCCATATATCAAATGCTCAACGGGCAGACCCTCTGATATTGTGGAACAGCTCCATCAGGTCCAGCTTACGATGAGCGAAGAAGAAATCGAGCAGGCTCGATATCAAATCCAAGGTCACATCGCAAAACTACAAATTAGCGCCCAGCTTATCAACCTTGAAGTGACATATATTTTACCGAAACTAGCCAACCAAGATCTACTTGACCAAATGGAGAGGGTCCAAACTTCGATTCGCGAGCAAGGGAAGAATCTTGACGGCGCACTTGTGAAATGCGCGCAAGATTATCTCTCCTCGGGTTCGACGCTGTACGAGGCAAGCGTCGCGAGTGGGCCATCAAGGCGGTTTGACAGCGCCAATGGAAGCGCACCGCAAATCGTGGACTGGATCAGCACCATGAATGGCTTGCGATTGGACGACAATGGCCCACTGTCACCAGACACCGCTTACCCTGAGACGGCCCGCAATCAATCTGCCATCGTGGATGATGTAGCTCCGACTTCGTCTAGAGATGTTGTCTCGACAGATGAAGCACATCCGGAATACCGCGAAGATGTAAGCGAAGCGGATTCAGAGTTTGAAGACGAGCTCGCGGTGGACTCTGCGGCCGCTGCGTTAGAAAGTGGCAATGCCGCATTCGAGCGTAACGATTTTGAAGAAGCCGATGCGCTGTTACAAGAAGCCTTGACCCTGATACATGCGCTTCCACGACGACTTCGCGATACTTACAACTTGTTCGATATCCAGTGCAAGCTTGCAGTGTCGGCATTCTATCTCTACGACACAACCACAGCAGAAGTATCACTCACAGCGGTAGTTGAGCAACAGCCGAGTGCTCCCCATGACGTACGTGTCTTATGCACTGCAAGTCACCTCCTTGCCCAGGTATACGTCCGAAATCGCAAGCTAGACCAGGCACGGACAACCTGTGAGAACACTTACCGTAGCCGGCGGAGAACGTTTGGGAAGGATCACGAGTCATGCCATGAATCTCTTGCACTGCTCGCGCGCATCTGCGATTTGCAGAAGAACAATTCCCGCGCCAAGGTATATTTGTCGATGATTCCGCTTCAGTCGCAGGAACGACTACGGCGAGGCTTCGAGACTCTCGACGCTGAATCGCAAAGCCGTTCGCTTTCTACGGGTTCGGTTGACACGGTATCTACCATCCGAAGTCTGAACCGCGACAGTGGGACTGTGCCTGCGCCAGTCGTAGTGGTGACTTCCCCTGCTGCCAGTATTAACAAGACGAAATTCACGGACGGCGGAATTGTTTTGCAATGTCGACGGGCTTGTGATCTGGCTTGGTCGAAGAACGGCCGTTACTTGGCGTGTGCAGATCGTGTCTCCAAGGAAATCAAAATCGTTGGCTCCACTAGCGAAACTCCCAAGGGCACTATCAGAGTCACTGGGCTGAAAAGTATATATTCGCTCGCTCTGAGTCCCAGCGGCACATATCTCGCGATCGGCTACGAGGACGCAAGTATCGAGCTCTGGCACACCGAATCGAGCGTTTTGCGAAAGCGATTAGCCGGCCGAGTCGTGCGGCATCACAAGGAGGCAGTCGGATCGATTGAGTTCTCGCCGAATGGAGAGGTGTTGGTTTCGATGTGCAAGGGAGGGAGAATATTGTTCTTCGACACCAGTGCCAATCAATTGAAGCAATTTGTCGTGGACGCGGACTGCTGTGGCACGGAGGGGACTATCGCATTCTCTCCTGATGGATCGCTCGTCGCCATCACAACCGCCAAGGGCGCCAACATCTACGACACCTCATCGGGTGTTTTACAACGTACAATAACCTCGCATATCGCCGGCGCTCGAGGTTTGGGTGGATCCCATTCACTTGTCGGCTTGTCCTTCTCCCCAGATGGATCATCGATCGCACTTGGAAGCGGAACAAACGAGATCGGAATCTACAAAATCGACGGGTCCGGAGACTACTTCGCGCTGGAAATCTCAGGCGTCAAGCGGCCGGATCTTTGCTTCCTGAAATTTGCTCACACCCCTAACGGTCACCTCATCGCCGCTCAACTGCCGCCTTATTTCGAGGAGAAACCTTGGATCTGCGACGCCGCGAGCGGGAGGTTCGAGACAATCGACCCTCCGTACCCCTACGGGCCGAGCAACGTTGCATTGTCGTGGAATGGAGCTTTCCTTGCATTATCTGCTGATAACGGGGACGTGAAGGTTTTGGATTTGAGCAAACGACTTGTGCTTGGCAAATGAATTACAGCCATGGACCTCCAGTCACCGACTCGATGATCTCAATCTTCACGAATCATACGCCGTTGATATGCCATGACCGAACTTCCACCAAGAGCCCTTCCGGAATTGTCTGCCATACATGACGCCGACCAGACTGGCGAGAAATGAAAATCGAACGACTACCACTATTGCAAACTTATGGAACCCCGGCCCCTACTTCCATCGAGGCGATAGAAAAATGCCTTCAATCTGACTACCGGTAATGGGGATCCCGCAAACCTTCTCTCATATGCGCTGAAGGAGGGGGCTTGATCTCGAAGCGGAGCAATACAGAAAGCCGCTCACGGGATGTGACTCGCAATAATGCGCTTCGGTAGCCATAGCAGCATATGAAGTGCATGGCCGCCCGTTGTGCAACATTCATTCCTCGTCCCTATGGATACCGGTGAGCAGGCCATGTCGATTCCGACCCGCCTCGCGAGCAAATGTCACGTCGCCCCGGTGTGACGGTGGTATCTCTCCCGCTCTCCACTCCCAAGGAAACAAAAGAAACAAGAGAAAAAGCTTGAATGACACCTTGGCAGCAAAACCCACATGATTGGCCTCATAGGACAAGCTCACGCGCGCGCAATGACAAAGTCTCCCGGGCCATTTCGCGCGCACGTCGTACGCATTCACCGACTGGTCAAGCACGACTCCGCAGTCAAGTATCTCGGCCTTTCTGGTCTATCCTTTTACCATCCGGGAAGTATCGTCTGTGTCGGGAGATGCGGAGAAGGCTTATCAAGAGCTGTGTCACATGGTACCGTGACGTTTCTACAGCGACTTGTGATGGCGAGGAGTAGTCGTGGTACGGAAGGATATATTGGAAAGCACGACGATGATGATGACAGCGATAATGTCGTGTGATCCTCGTACCATGTGAAACGACGCATGCACACACGAGAAAAGCTTGAATACATCGAGAAGAGTTACACCAATGGCATGCGTGCTTCTAGACCGCGACCCTATTCGCTTGCAATCATCGAGAGACGTCGTGCGCTCACCTACATCACAATTTACGTATCCCTTCTATCTCCACATCTCTCTGCTTGTGCACATACACCCGATGACAAGCAAGAACGTACCCACGACGCTCGGTAATCCGCGACGGCGACGATGTTCTCTTCCTGTGACTGGGCGGTACGGCATGAGAGAGCAAAAGATGCCATGCGCATCTCTGTGTACACCTCCCCCGACGATAACACTCTGGAGGAACCGAGTCCGAGGCTTTCCGAGAGAGATATTGATACATCCTGGGAGGGATTTGGAGATCGTTGTGTGATCTGAGTGGACCTTGCTACAGCGTTTGAAAGTACTGCTTAGACGAAAATGCCCACTCGTGTCCTCACCGAGTTTCTCATTCCGCATAACCCGTTCATCTCGCAGTTGGAGGGGACCTTTCGTTGTTCGAAACCCTGACCGGGGCTCGCGAGAATGACGAGCATGCTATGATTCCACAGGGTTGGGGGAAAGCCAACTTACGCGGGGACACTGCTCAGATGAGTAGATCGTTTCAAGACATTTTTGGGGGCCATCTCCGCCCCCGTCTGTGTGCCCGTGAATCCGAGTCGCGGAGGAGGAAAGGAGATACCAACATCCCACGCTTTCGATGTGAATGATGATCATCGATGAGATGGGGTAATGTATCAGAAATGGAAGGAACTAGTAGCCCGTACAGTACTAGGGACTTGTATACCATGCTGTGTGATCAGTGGTTCATGTCGGTCTGGGATCGATGACGGTCGACCGAACAACTGAAGGTGTAAGACATGGAGAGATTGTGAGAACTTCACCATAAGAAAAGCATTACCCATTCCATATTCAGGCGATGTGGGTTCACGTTCACTCTGCTTTCAGGTTCGGCCTTTCGCCTCGTAAGGGGGAGCCTCACAGGAAAATAAATGCTCGGTGGGAATGCGTCACTTGTCATCCAACAAACCGTCTGAGCGTCTGGGAAGAGAGACCATGGATGTCATCACGATCGGCATAAGCGGCACAGCAACGACTTATCATCAGGCAGGACGTTGATGATCTCTGCGACGTCCAGGGTCCTCGTCGTCCTCCTGCTTACTTCCCATCAACTACTGCCGGCAATCAACAGTCCGTGCGGCGCTCTCAGAGATAACAAGAAGGGGTACAGTACTGTAACATGCGACAATCCCATCGGAGACGGATGGTCTGGCCACAACACACAAAGTGGGCTAGAACGACGGGGAGAAGGATCGGGCGCACGGATAGCACGTTTGTGCTTTTCGGCATTTTCTGTTCGAACCTCGGAGGGCGAGCAAGCCCCCTCGTACGAATTTGCCGTGGCTTGTGGAAATGTGCCGGAAGAGAGAGAGAAAGAGAGAGAGCGTATAAGGTCTCGTCCCAGGCAGCACGTGGGCCGGCTCAATGGCTTGGGATGAATGTTCCTGATTTGGGGGCCTCCCATGCCCGGACACAAGTGATGGCTCGATCGATAGTTGGAGGTTGGGTCTCCTCTCGTCAGGCATGTTGTTTGGGAAGATCACTGCTTGCTCCGCAATCCGAATGCGAGAGACGGAATGCACATCGCTGACGCTTGTTCTCGTAATGCAGCCCTCCTCGAGAAGAAGAAGGGATTTCATCCTCGCGAAAGGACGTCGCGCGGCGAAGATTGACTCGACCGGATCGTTGTCTGCCGACGCTCCCCCCGTCCGCTTGCTCCATTTGCCAACCGCCGGTCCGCTGCTGTGCCCTTGCCGCGAAACCTTCGACGGATGGTCCCGTGAGAAGTTGGTCGTCGGGCAGGGAAGTTCGAGGACAAGCGTGAAAAAGCGTGACAAGCAAGCAGATGTTGGCACCACTGCCAACGGAAACATCTGGACCATCCAGACTGCGACCGGCCACGTGCGTGAATCGGGGTGAACAAGGCGACAAGCCACCTGAGAGCGATCAACGCATGAGCGGAGGTGTCACTTGGTGCGTCGGGCTCGGGACATGGCGCTCGGGAGGCGCCTCTCGTGTCAGCAAGCGAGCGTGCCAAGCCGGGAGCGGTGTAGGATAAGAAACTTGGTGGTCAACCAGGCCGACCGCATCCCTCGAAACGTGATCAATGCGAAAACCTGCAGCTTGGCAAAAAGTATCATCCATGAAGTAGGATCACGACGGGCGATGTTGGAAGTGTGAGTTGGGAGATTCCGCAGCAATTAGAGAGCCAGAGGACACGAGACGGGAGGGAATCTGTTGCCAAAAATAGTGCGAAAGGATAGGATTGGTGGCGATCATCTGTGATCAACCCTACACGATAGCAGTACTGTAGACCTGCTGAATCTTAAGCAGTCAGCTAACATCAGATTCTGTAGTGAGATTCTAGCCAACGTTATCAAAGGACAGGCGCACTCACTCCTGCGTTGGTGATCGGTGTGAGAGAGAGGGAGGGAAGGATTGCTCTAGAGATTATGCTTTGAACCGGGAAGGACTTCCCCCAATGATAGTTAAGAAGCCGAAGAGAGCACATGCATGGATTGCTGGCCTGGTCTGGCCCCCGTCACAGCTGTGTGTCATCATCAATATATGCCTGCTCCGGTGGGCTGCAGGGCTGTATGGATCGCAGAATGATACATGGACGGCATGGCACAGTATGATGACTAAATGATACGACGATGATATGTCATTTTCCATGGGCAAAGGACACAAAGAGACAAGAAATCCTCTTCACACGTGACGCTACCCATGCCGGCGCGAAGAAAACTTCACCAGCAGCTCAAGCGAAGACATTCGAGGATGTAGGGCCAATATACTACCACCACCACTACTACTCCTTGCTACCCATGATCGGGGCTTTCCGGTGATTTCCACTATTCGAGATTGCAGAGGATCTGTTTCCCTGCCCTATGGTCAAGCATACCCTGCCCTTCGTGTTTTCCACCATCTCTCACTCTCACCACCACGCGGGAACGGCAGAGAAGCACGGAGGATTAAAACTGCCAGATTGCCGGGGTACGCCCTGCAATAAAAGGTCGCGCGAAAGACGTTGCTTGGCATTACGTGGAATTGGAAAGCGGGAGTCCCGACACGATTGGCATGTGTCAGTTCGAAATCTACCAGATGCATTGACATGCACATGCACCAGCCGCGTCGATATCACGATGGTGGTGGAGGAAGGAGATCGGCGCGAGGCTGAGACGTCGGTGTGTGGGCCTTGCATGTCCGTCCGTTCGATGTCGAATGTCGATTACATACGTGCAGTACTGCAGCACAGTACCATTTCCTCCAGGCGATGATCAGCCGAAGTCTGGAACGTGTCCTCGGCGCTGCATTGCTTGTATGCAGAGCGCACAGTACCTATACCTAAGATATGTATGTCTACGCCGCCGCATGATGTCTGAGGATGTCGCCTGGATAAGATAGCCGCCGCAAGAGTCTTGTCCAGAGGAGAGTTTCGGCTTGGCGAAAGCATAGCACTCGACATCATCAGTCGGCGGATGGCTATACCGTGCCCCCGATTAATCACCATCACAGTATCATCCATACATGCATTCCTACGGTCAGACATCCTCAATCGCAAACCAGTCCCCTCGAATCCGCGCCGTGTAGATTCTTGGCGTGCCTAGAGGAAATTCGTACCGTCATACGTAAGACCCCATGAATCGCGCTAAACCCCGGCGGTCAGGCTTGCGTCGGGGACCTCGCTCCGGGGGGTTCGGCAAGCCTGGAGATGTGAGACAACGGGAATCCTGAGACATGCATAGCATTTCTTTTCTCTCCGTCATCCGCGAGCGCGCATATGCGCGAAACGATGCGAGGGCCTTTGTCGAGGTGATAACGGGTCATGATGATGTGGTAAAGATCGTCGTGTCCTCGTATAGATCCAATATTCCATCCGAGGAATAGCCTCTTCAATACACCTCGTCGATTGTGAAGATACCAGGTTCTATGATGAAATCCTCAAGGTTTGGCTCCATTCGAAGTCACCTTTCCCCCTCCGACAACGCTGAGGTCGTTTAATAAGTGTTCTCATCGTGAGATATGCTTTGCGCCCACGACGATCACCGTTGATGATGTTATCATTCCAGGGCACTGCGACATTCCGAGTTCCCTACGCGAGGCCAATGTGATTCGCGCGGCAGATTTTTGCCGGATTCTGTTGCGATTCATGTGCGACCGTTGGGATGATGCAATGGACGCATCCAGGGCATCTGCGAAGTCAGTATGCCGAGTGATCCGCATCGCACAATGCGCTGTTGGAGCGTATTAATCGTCGGGGAGAATCGTGATGCGATGGCTGTGAGGCAACGACGACCGCGAGGGAAGATCTCCTTACAGTGGGATTGTCGACGGAGTCCCGTTCGGCCGCAAACGGGAAAGCTTCATGACGAAGACAGACGGCACACGAGGAGAGAGAAGGGTGGTGGTGGGCGGTGTTGGACATGCATGGGCGAAAAGAAACCCGCCGAGATCAGCTTTCCTCTCTTGCTTTCCTTCTTTCCTTCTTCTTTCCTGCCGGACTCTCCGCGCGCGCCGCCGCCGCCGCCATCCGCCATCCGCCCCAAAACCTTGATGCCCGGTCCCTCAGCGTCGCCCGCTGCTGCTGAAAGGAAAGGGCCCAGACGCCGTTGACATCTGCGGCGGCGTGCGCATTTGTCTGGCTATCCTCGTACAATACCTGGTACCTGACCATTTCTCCGTTCGCACGCACGCACGCGACCCTCGGGGTTTTGGGCTGTGTGCCTCGTTATTATGACACGACAGCAGGCATATCATTTCACTGTTCGAAAACGTTTCATTGCTGCCCGAAAGTATCACACAGCTAGCATACACCCCACGCTTTCATTAATCCACTCGTATCCGTTCCCCGAGGAGATTTTTTGCGACTGCGAATGGCGTTGGGATGTGCTAGAACCAGTAATTGGTGATTGTGGACGCAGAGGCGCAGAGTAAATGATGTGAACAAGGCCGGGTATGAGTCACGGATGCACGGGTCGCAGCGAGTTATGCAAGGCCTCCGCCGATGTTTACCCTGTCTTTCCATGTCGTTGATGTGCATCTTCAACCAGGAAAGACGAGGAAAGCATATGCATGATGCAAGACGGTACAATGCAGAAAGCAAGCGACGGTCTGTGTGTGACTGACATGGGACAAAGGAGCCGGGAAAAAAAGAAGATCGAGCGTCGCGCACGTGCTCATGAGATGTCGCTTCAGCACTGGCACTCTCGTTCGTCGGGCAAAATGCGAGATTGCCAGGTCCATCCCATTACGTTTCCCCGTCTTAAACCATTCGCATCTGGCATGACAGATCGAGAAGCATCTCCCGCAGTCGAATCTCCTTTGGATCATGCCCAGGAGGCCACGCTGCGCTTGGCTCTCTTCCGATTGTCTGGAAGAGCTGGTCGATGCATGTACAGGGTGTACCCGTGTGCGGGAAGCCGTCCGGCGGTCAGGTACAGTAGTCAGTAGTCCAACGGGCTGCCCTAGACAGCGCAAGGCGACGACGACGACGAGCCGGACGGGCGAAACAGGCTACCGGCCAGACAGCCCCGAGGGCGCGGACGGGCGGTTGAGGAGGTGCTAGACACAGTAGCCGTGGCATCACAGGGCCTTTTTGCAAGGAAGAATCGGTAGGCGGCAAGCTACTACTGGACGACGTCTATATTGCTGGATGGATGGACGGGCGGGACACATCACTGATTTGTGGGGTTTTTTTTTCACGAAGCGTGCGAGGCTCGTTCGTCAAGCCACAGAGATTTTCCGAGGAGAGGCGGCCGTTGGTTGGGCTGCGTTGTCGTCCTGACCGCTGGGATAGAGCACGACGGACTGTGATAATGATGGTGTCCTCCCTGTCTACCTAGGTATCCTTCGAAAGCCACTGGATGGGGTGGCAGTCTGTCGGATCTGCATACGGTGTGTGTTTCTCGTCCGAGGGTGCTGTAGGCGTCGGTGGAGGCGTCGTCGGTCATGGTGGTGGCTTCGACTGCAGCACCGTTCATCAGGCGACTTTCTCTCTCTCTCTCCCCCTGCGGCGCTGCCTGGTTGTCGGTCATCAATCAGCGCTATGCACTGCCATCAAATTCACGGATGAGTTGCTGTAGCAAGTGCAATACAACAACGAGGCGTACAGTATGCCAGGAGGAGGAGGAGGAGTCAAAGCAGTGCGAGATGATCATTCAGGATCGGGAGCTACGGTCGGATGATCCTTCTTGACGGTGCAATCTGGTTTGAAGAGTGATATGAAGCCCTGATGCAGTAGGTGATAACCTTGGAATGGTGGAAACAGGCAGCCCTGGAGGAGGAGGTGTGTGTAATAAACGTTGCCCTCACACCACCAGCTGGCACATCATTGTTATACTACTGGGTAAATAGGTAGGTAGGTGTACATGAACTACGAAGGTTTTCCTGCTACTGTAAATGGGCCGCACCACATCATGCATACACTACTCCATGGCTCTCTCTCTCGCTCTGTCGCATACACGCACCTCCACTCCCGTTATTCCACACGTTTCGCATAGAAGAGAGAGTACTGTACAGGCAGACAGATATACATACATACATACATACCTTGACCACCACCGCCGCCGCCGCCGCCGTTATCATCACCTTTGCCAGGCAGACATCGTCTTCTCTTCATCGTCTTCGTCTTCGTCATCAACATTCGAGTCCGACGGGCGTTACCTCCTCTCTCTCTCTCTGCCTCTCTCAATCAAACCTTCTGCAGTACTGTAATCGATCGATCCCTGGGTTCTTCCATCATCGACAGACAACACACCGTTACCGCATCATCCACCATTTTCCATCATACACCATCCTTGCTGACACTCGGATCCATCGCACCTTCTCCTCCATTCGGGCGCTGAGTGCATACCGACGACGTTAACGCCGGTCTTACGTCCTGACTGACCTTCCTTCTTCATTCATCACCATCCGGACTTAACCCACCAGCCCGAGAGTGAGCGATCCGCATCACTCAACCACACGATTGGCACTCTTATCTCCCAGAGCATTGACATTCAGGGAGAGAGCATTGCCTCTTTCGTCTCCAGGACCCTCTGCTGCTTACGACGTGATATAAGGTCGCCCGTCTGACGCACGCGCAACGGCAAAACTCGTCGATCCGAACCTCATTGGAACCACGCACCTCGAAGGATTTCTCACGATCCTTGTTCACCTCATCATCGCGAATTGTGGCAATCGAGGGTCGCCGCAACCACCAACATCGTTTGCCGTCTCTTATCTGGTCGATGATATACTCGAATCCTCCCACAGTCGCACAGCTTTCCCGCTGGCATCCAATCGCACATCGCCCAAACTCACAACCGGCATCGTTGTTTATAAGACCACGCCGTTTCCCAACTTCGACGCCCTCATCACAACCCATCCCAATCGCATCCATCGAAATAATCGCAGCCAATCTGGATTGCTCCCGTCGCCAAGCAGCATCGCGCGGTGCCCAGCAGAGCTCGCGCCCGCAGTTCCCTTCAGGGTGAACCCGTGAGTGCCCAGACCATCTGACCCGAGACATTCTCGCGTGGTCGCCTCGAAGGATCACCAAACCTTGGAGAAGAGGATTCGTCGCCATCACCTTGCTCTCTCTCTCCCTCTCAGTCGCGTGCGCTCGCCGTCCTACCCCAGCCGAACTAAGGCAGCGATCACATCGCGTGCATCTACTTATTAAACACCCGATCACCTCACTATCCACTTCCCACTGTCCTCGACACCGACTTGGACCCACTTCTTTTCCCAGATCCACAACAATCACATCAGCGCCATCATGTGCGTCGCTTGCTTGAACGTTTCCACTCAACCATGCAACCATCGCTGGTATGAGCTGGTCCAACCTTGTCAACCCGGCTTCCACCTCGCCAACTGTCAACAGAGACTCCGTTTGCAAGGGTGGGAATCTCGTGTTGATGGCTGTCCCTTTTGCGAGGGCACACACAGTTCAGTACGAGAGTCGACACATCGACAACTCGGTAACGGCGGCCTCTTCACACCGCGATTCGCACCTTCACAGACCGACATCTCCTTCCTGGCACAGACGCATCGCCGAGACAGCAACAACACAGTCAACACTCTTTCCCGCTACAGCAGCAGTTCGAGTGAGCCCGAGAACGAACGCGGCGCGCGGCATCGTGAGCGAAACGATCGTCTGCGTGTCTACCTCACTTCCGATCCTCACGAACTTCTCCCCAGCGCGCGCAAGAACTACCCTACCTACGTCCAGCCATCTCGCGAAGACAGCAGTGCCACTCTGGACAGCATGTCCAGCACGAGCTCGGCCAAAAAGAGACCCAACAGCATCAGTTCTGCACGTGGTCTCATCTCCCGCGGCTGGAGATCGAGCGCCAAAATCGGTCGGGGTGCGTTGCAAATCTCGTCTCCCCTCGTTTACCAAGGATGAAAGACACGCATTCACACACACACACACACACACACCTGCTAACATATTTTGGCCGGACCGCCTGCATAGCTGCCGTACCGTTCATCTCATGACGTACCTGAACAGAACGCAGAGCTCGTCCCGAGACAGCCACTCACGCGACAACGGGCCAGGTCCGGCAAAGATCGACAACGCCATGGCTCGTGAAAAAGGAAATCCCTCCTCAAATCAGAGAAGCTCCTCCACACACACACAAACCATGTGCGGCTCCTCCGCGAATCCTCCTCGCCCAGGACACGCACTCCACCAAACGAGTGCAGGATCGCGAGCTTAGGCGAGTCCTGGTCTGCGGCACAGTTTAGGGCCCCAAGACTCGGCCGGCACGAGAGATTGGCAAATCATCTCCAACTTTTCCCCCGCAAGTTGCTCACGACCAGCAGCAGCAGCGGCGGCGACATCCTCCCAGATTGCTCCCACTGCACCGGACAAGGGAGGGAATCCTTCTCTCCCGCAACGGGCTCCACATGCAGAAAGTGCCAAGCCCGGTGCGCCGCCAAGGAAAGCGCCACCCGCGCCCGCCAATGAGGCACCGCCATGTCCTCGCCATCCTACCTACCTATCGTGTCCCGTCACGAAAGCGAACGCCGGAAATCCCCGAATTGTTGAAACAAGACGATCGCGTTATGGAAAGAAATGAGGCGTTTGAGTCATTTTTCCCCTCATGCCTGTCGGTAGTGACTTGGTACAAAGGAGGAAGCGTTAGGGAAATTCGGGCTGGCCGGCTTTCTTGCAGCGTCGCATGAAGCCCCCCTTCGAGCCCCGACGATGCGATGCGATGCGATGATGATGATGGAGGAGGCTCACGTGCATGACCTGGGTGCGCGACTTGGCATTCATCCGCAGGCCGCCCCCCCCCCCCCCATCCATGGGAATCGAGCTCTCCCTCTCTCCCTCTCTGACCAAATATCTGGGTCCACTCTCCCTAATCAAAACGGGCCCAAACAAAGAAAAGTCCCCGCGAGTCATATTTCCCGTACCACGAAAGATAAAACCCGTTCAGTGTGCACTTGTGACATCTCGCGTGACTTGTCTCTCTCTCAATCGCACTCGCTCGCTCGCTCGCTCGCTCCCGCGCCCGACCAGCCAACCGGCTGGCCCAGTCGAGAACCAGGCAGGTCCTCTCCGCGTGAAGAAAGGAAGGTGGAGGTGCAGGTGCAGGTGCAGGACAGTGTTAGCCCGTCCATCCGTCGTGTGAGCGTCTCTTCGGGGGTGCGGGCGACGACTCTCGCACACACCGCCACGTGCCGTGCGTGGCCCGCGAAGGATTTCTCGCCGGCGTCTTCTGGGGTTCTTGGCGACACCGCGCCCAGAGGTCTTGGCGCCGCCCGCCCGCCCCGGAAACGCGACCGTCCATGCCATCCTAATGAGATATTTCTTTCTTTTTTCGTCTCCCCTCGCTGATGGTGATCGATTGATTGGATGAATGAAGGATGGAGGGAGGGGACGGGGTTGGGAAAACCTCAGGCGATTTCCGGCGACGTCGATACTCGATCACATACTCCACTTGTCATACCCCATCGCCGTCGTCGTCGTCGTCGTCGTCGTCGTCGCGTCCCGTCCGACCCTCCCTCGTCTTCGGGCACCGATCCTGCGAAAAAAAACCCCCCAGCAGACGAACGGGAAGGAGAAGGAGAGGAAAGAACTGGGAATGGTACTGTCGTCCATCATCCGCCGATCGGGTTTCGTTCCCGAAATCTTCCCAAAAATGATCGATCTCCTGTGTTTTCACATAGGACCTCACCTCATCCGTAGCCTCTCTCATCGCTGTGCTCGTACTGGGCGATCCCCCTCCCGCGTCTCTCTCTGCCCCCCTCGTAGACGCGAGTTTCGATGGGAAAAAGCCACGCGAGCTTCCTGCATGCTGTTGTACATGGAACAGATCTCGGGGGGCGTCATTTCATTTCATGGCGTGGGCATGTGGCATGTGGCATGGGCGTGGCGGACTGCCAAGGGCGATGGTCCATGTCGATCATTTGCCCGAAATGGATTGACGACTTTCCTGTCTGGCGATATCACATGGTTGACGTCGGAGCGAGAGGGCCCTGCTGGTGGGGCACTACTACTGTTGTACTACTACTCCTACTACTACTGTTGGTGCTGCTGCTGCTGCTGCTGCTACGACAGGACCCAATTGACCGACCGTATGTCTATGCCGCACTACACTGCCCATGTACGCTGTAGTATGCCCGGGCGAGGTGATCAGTCCATGCACGCGACGGAGGTGGAAGTCTTAATATCCATTAATCTCCATGCCCTGATAGGTAGATAACACGATGGACACCGTCGTCGCCGTTGTGATCATGCCCGGGCGGTGGCCTCCCCCAGCCATCTAAACATCATGGCCACGCGATGGCGACGACGACGACGACGCTAGACATGCCCACGCGACGGATTGGCCTCCCGCCGGCCTCCTCCTCAGAGGATTCTCTCCAGTGCGCGGGACAGGACATATGTGCTTTTTGGTTCCCCCATCCCCGGGTTCGCTTGTGCCGTGGCTATATACATACATACATACGTGCATGCATGCATTGATACCGAATCCGAAAACCCATACGAAGCGAGACGAAGGAATTGCATAGCCTCGTTTCATGCGTGCAACTCCATCTTGTTTCCCCCATGGGTGGGAGGATTGATTGGGTATGTACGGCGGGCGTTTCATTGGGGAGGAATGGCCAGTCTGGAGGGGACGGGTCCCTCTCCCACAGAAAAGGCTCTTCTGTTTCCGGGGTGGCGTTTGCACCCCTTGGGAACAGATCCCGGACTCCATGTGCTCGTGCAAACAATGCGCGTGTGATCCAGTTGTTTTCCTTCCGTCTTGGGATGCTTTCCTCTCATGGTCGAATGACGGCCGATGGATGTGATGGGAATCAAGTCGGCGGATCGAACGACATCCATCGAGGTCAAGGCGGATATATCCGGCAGGTGCGGTCGTCGCGGAAGTCGTGCCATTGATCTGCAGGTTCCCCTGGTTGGTTGGAGGAGAATGTAATTTTCGGCAAGTTGTTGCGTCTCCCATGGATGATGCCAATCCTGCGATGCCGAGGAGAGTATTCACGCACGTCGGCCAGTGAAGGCGATCATGCGGCTGATCTTCACACTTGGGATTAAGCATTTCAGAAAACCATCCGATGTGGGGTGTCATATTCGGCGGGGAAATATGGTCCGACAAGGGATCCAGCGCCGACGTGAAGGCGTCCAGGAGTCTCCGGGACGATCGGGGAGCTACGCTCTGCTTCGAAGTGCAGCCTCTGTGATTTCGGACGAGCGGTTCAACAACATCTCCCGCCCTTTGCATTCTTCATCTGCTGCTGTTGCCAGATGGCCGCCTGCTGCTCATCGAAATCGTCGTCGGTCGTGTAAGCCGTCATGCCTCCAGGCGTCGGCATCCCCGCCCCCAGCGCGCCCAGCCAACTCCTCCTCTTATCGCCGTGACCGATCCGGAAGCTACCATTGTGGCCGTTGCCGAGCGCATGTTCGATCGAGCCGTTGGCAGCCCCGCGGCCGCCGCCGCTGCCGCCGGTGGGAAGGTCGAAGTATCCCGTGCCTACACCGCCGCTGCCAGCGGTCGCCGCGCCGGAAGCCAACCCGGACGTGGGCAGACCGGGGGTCATCATGTCATAGGCACGTTCGTCGGTCCGGCCGCGGCGTTGTAGGCTTTGGGCGTAGATTAGTCGTGCCAGGTGCTGGTCGACCAGCTTGCGGACCACGACGCGGAAAATCTCGTCCACGCCCTCCCCGGTCTTTGCAGAGACCTCGTGACAGCAATCCCAAACTTGGTCGGCGGTGTGGTTATCGCGGAGGTGGGCCGCAACAGTGGACGACTGTGTCCGGGGCCGAGTCGAAGAGGTTGTTGAGTGGGTCGCATATGGAGCGTGATGGTCCCCTTTTGTCCCTGTGGACATCGCAGCATCGTTCGGATAGAGCTGCTCCGCGACGTAATTGATACATCGCTCGAACGGGACCTCCCTCGCTGGCGGATCTGCCGCGACGACGTCCGCCTTTGTGCCCACCACGTGGAGGATCATATCGTGAGGCTCGTTGCCCTGACCACCTCCGCAGTTATCACGCAACTCCTGTAACCACATGCCCATCTCCTCGAAGCTCTTCTTACTGGTGATATCATAGCAGAGGATGGCGGCGTGCGCACCGCGGTAGTACAGGCGTGAGATGGATCGGAAGCGCTCTTGGCCGGCAGTGTCCCACATCTGGAGACGGATGGTGGTGCCGCTCTCGGGATCGTGGACTTTGGAAGTCAAGAAGGATGCTCCCACGGTGGACTGCACCTGTAGTGGATGTGGTCAATGGAAGTCGAGATGATGTTTCAATCTTGATATGAAGCCAGCAAGGGAAGAGGGAAGCATGTCTTGTGTCACGAGGACTCGGTGTGGAGTGTACCTTGCGTGGGTCAATCCAGGCGTTCTGGACATAGCGATGGACCAACGATGTCTTGCCGACCGATTGTGAACCGAGGACGACGATCTTGGCCTCCAAGCTGGGTGAGGGAGACATGGTGGGTGTACGTTGCTGATGAGAGCGATGAGGTGACAGTCGGGATGAATGCTGGCCGAGACGCGAGCAGATGGCAGAGGTGATGGGCCCAGGCGACTGTCGGCGAGATCTTCGACTTGGCCGATGGACGACGGCTTCATCGGAGGGTGACGGTCCTTGTGAGCGACCTGTGAAGATGGCCCAGCGATAGGATGATGGAGACGACGGCCTGCTCCATGGGTGGTGATGGTTGTTCGCTGCTGGCGTCCAGGAAAGCGTGCCAATGGATGGATGATAAGAGTGCACGAGCGAGTCGAGTAGCGTCGAGAGTGTGGTGGTGCAGATGCACAGATACTACCACACCCGGTGGAGAGGAGGCAGTTATGCACGGTGGACACGGATCCAGCGAAGGACAGTGTCAGGTAGGAGGGAGAGAGGGAGGGGATGGAATTATGTGGTTATGAATCTCAGATGGAGGTTCGGGAATCGGCGTAGATGTGGAATCTGTGCATGTCATCGATTCCTCTTCCGTGTGGTGCAGTCAGGCCCAGCAATGCAATTGGTAATGTGTGCAGACGAGAGCGTATCCAGGTATATAATGATGATGACTGGATCCTGCCTGTATGCGACAATTATTATGATCCATGCCCAGTGGATAATGATGATGGTGACAGTGACACTGACAGTGACAGTGACAGAGACGGAGCCATCTTCCGAGGGTGTGAAGAGGCGGGTGATTTGGCCAGCGGCGGCGCGTGACCCCCAATCATCATCGCTCCTTCATCATCATCATCATCATCATGAAGGCTCTATCACATCACGCGCGGCTCGGAAACCAACTTACCTGGGCGACTTCCTCCTGTGATGTACTACTGTATACAGACTGTATACGGGCCAGGTATATACTTGGTTTTTCCCCCATCCGAGTGGCCCAGTCATCATCATCATCATTACCTACCCACCGAGGGAATTAGAGTCCTGTGTGATGATCACGATGAGGAGCCAGCAAACACGGGGATGCCAGAACGACGTCATACTTTGTTGATGGTTCGATGTAAACATCAACAGAGAGAGACGTGTGGCTGCGGTCATGATTATCAATGTGTACAATACATATATACATACATACATACATACATACACACATACACACACACATCCATACATACATCCATACATCCATACATACATACATACATACATACATACATACCTAGGTACACACTCGTATCATGTGCGTGCCGGCCTCCCGGTCTGTGTTCGCTTCATGACAGAGCTGTTCCTCGATATAGGTTTATACTATACGTACAGTATATACCACCATCCATGGACACGTCCAATCTCGAAAGTCAAGCCATATATGAAGAACATAAGTATGTCGTGCATTGCCGACCAAGACAGCCAATGGTCGTCATTGTCGTTGTCGTCGTCGTCTAGACTCTACACTCTCCAGCACGTAGCGCGGTACCTGCGAAAAGATCCACACTGTACACAGGGATGTCGCCACCTTGATCGCTTTCCCAGGTTTCTCCACGAAACCCGGGGTGAACACCTCCCTGGTCTCACGCAGGGCCGGGACCGAAGACCCTTCACGTGCTGACATACCTACCTAGGTATTGTATCACGTATGACATTACCTCCTACCTAGTACACAGGAAGGAAGGAAGGAAGGAAGGCGACGGAGTACGGTCCATCGGGTATGGGACTGTGCTCAATCCAATGTATTGTGGTCCCAGACGCCATCGTCCTAGCCGCAACTCTATGTGTGAACACCTCCTATACGAGCACACGACGGACGAATGCGATCCACTGTACTGCGGCAGTCGAGACCATGCGTTTTTTTGCCGGCATGGATGATCTCACCATGGTCTACTTTGTCTCCAGTGACCGTATCGAAAGGTAATGGGGATCGCCATTTTCGCGTGGGAAGAATTCGACAAGAAACCAATGGGATGTATGGTGGATTGTCCCGGCCCATGGCGTGAGAACCTTGGGGTGTAAAGTGTTTCCTTCATCCAGGGACACATCAACCCTAAAGCTTCGGCTGGACTTGTCATCAGGACCTTGGAAGGCAGCTGTGGGAGGTGCGTGCCCTGGTCGTCTGGTGGTGGTGGTGGTGGTGGTGGTGGTGGTGTCTATCTAGTGTGCAGGCGCGTGTTATCCGGTGTGGTCTGGTCTGTGGAGAAGTCCTTGGTTCGAGACGAGGGGAAGGGCTCAACCAATGTGCAAAACTTTCCACGGTGCAGGGCTGGAGGGGAGTGCGCGTCCAGTGCAAACCTTGGTGCCAACCTGGAAACCTTTGGGAGCATGCCGCCGTTGCACGCCAATCCCATACTCAATACTGTAGCACATTATAATAAAATGGCTGCCTGGCTTGGGTCGGGGGAAAGGGCCCGTCGGCGTCACGGCTGTGTCAAAAGCAATCAGCCCTGGAGAGACTATTCTCAACTTCCGTGCTTTCCGCCCGGGCTGGCGGGCTGCTGGCCACGACGCACTTTTTTTGGCTTGTGATATTCAATCTATCCATCTATCCCTCACCACCACCACCACCTCCTCCTCCTCCTCTTCCCGCACGACAGCGGCGAAACTACTCGTAAGCCGACCGAAACGCTCTCCTGCTGTCGATGTGAAGGCATCTATTCAACCCGCTCCATCGCCATCGTCCAAAATGCGTTCTTCGTCGCATCCGTCGCGAGTCGAATATGGATGCTCAACAGTCTGAACCGCCTTCTTCTTCCGGGAAACCAGTCGTCAGGACCACGCGCCGACGCGCCCAACACAACAACTCCAAAAACGGCTGTCTGACCTGCAAGTATGTCGTGGTCCTCCGACCTTCCGCGCTCGTGTCTTCCACTCCGTCGGATTGTTGATCGCACATCGCTGACCGAGCTATCTCTCACCCCATCAGACGTCGCCACGTCCGATGTGACGAAACGAAACCCACATGTCTTCGCTGCCAGCGGAGCAACCGAGAATGCCTCGAGGATCGCCGACAGACTGACCGACCGGGCTTCCGCGCCATCAAAATCGTGTCCTTCCCCGAACCCGTTGTCCCTCAGCCGAATCGCCTCCTGCCGCAGGGTCAAAATTTCCTCGAATACTTCTGTCTCAACACCCTGCCCATGCTGCGGCGCTGCCAACCGAGTCCCGTGTGGCAAGCCGTAGGCCATCTTCTGCGAGATCCCTCGTCCTCGTTGCGCCATGTCGCCGCCGCAGTGGGCTACCAACACCTGTGCATGGACAAGCAACAGTCCACATCGCCCAAGCTCGAGATCGCGTTGACGACACATGCGGTGGGTACCTTGAGGACCTCGATCGCCGAAGCCAGGCGTGGAGATGTGGTCGAGCCGATCTTCGCCTCCTGCTTCCTGACCATGCTCGAAACATTACAAGGATCACACACCAAAACTTTGATCCATCTCGAAGCCGGAATACGACTCGGGAGGGAACAAATGTCCAAAGAGTCCACTCCGGAGATCCGAGACTGCCTGCGTTTCCTGGAAGATCATGCTCGCGCCATAGTTCTCCTGGAATCGCCGTCCGAAGCCGGACAGCGCGCGACTGCCGTGTTGGCCATCCAATCCGCCCTAGATCAGGTGCTCGACCCGCGATTCGGCATGCAAATCGGCGACGATGGCATGTCCATCATCCGCGCCGTCCACGAACAGGAGATTCGCATGGTCTCTTTATTCCTGGCGTACCACAAAGCCGACACGGTCCGTCAAGCTCCTCCCCCCGAGGTCGGCGCCCATCTCCACCGCATCGTGCTGTCGCTCCGACAACACAGCGCCGGGCTCGAGGCGTTGGTCGATGCACAGTTGGATCGTGCCGGTGACGTATCCCGCGACGCCACCCAGACGGCGCTATACAGCATCGCCAAGGCCAAATGCATCCTGCAGAGCATCATACTGAACCTGACGATGAACTATCGCCAGACGGATTGGGACCAGCATCTCCCTCGATTTCAGGCCATATTGGACATGATCGAGAACGCCCTCGATTTGTTGAACGATTCCCCGCCGACTTCTCCGTCGTCCCACTCATCACAGTCCTCCTCATCGCCCACCACATCATCATCATCATCATCATCATCATCATCACCATCAGCAGCCTCTTCCACCCCGGGCTCCTTCCACGCCTTCTCACTCGGCATGGGCGTCCACGATCCCCTGATGATGGTCGCCGTCAAATGCCGCGACCCCGCCACCCGGCGCCGGGCCGTCGACCTGTTCTCCAAATGTCCCCGCCGCGAGGGGCCCTGGAGCACGCGCCGCGCACAGCAGATGTGCAGCACGGTCATCGCCTACGAGGAGCGCCGGGCGCTGGAGACGACGGGCCGAGTGCCCCAGACATGCGAAGACGTCCCCGAGCAATGCCGCGCCTTCGTCAACCACATCTTCATCAAGGACCCCACCGGCGCCGGATTGGAGACGAGCTTCGGGGTGAAGCTGTATGTCAGGAACGACCAGAGCCCCACGGGCTGTATCGAGGAGGATCTGGAACTGTTGGAGATATGACGGTCGGACGTTTTGCGGACGAGGTTCCCAACGGCCATTTCTAGTAATTTCTGATATTAATACATATATATATTTACCCTTCACGAAGAAAGAGGAAAATATGAAAATTATCCTATGGCGGACTCTTTCCATCGACGCTGCCCAGTGATACGACAACCATCAGCAACGCACCCGACCACTCCCTGGCACGCACCTTGCGGACGATTATTAATCACCGTGCATCGACCCTTCCAAGGCCGTGTGCCATGCGGGGATACTTCGGCGGCACTTCCCCGATGACAATGAAAATGGACCTGTGCTCTCTCCCCTCTCGCTCTCGATGATTGGACGCTTAGCACTCACTCGTTTTTCATGCCATCTACGTGGAGCCGCAGGGGATCACACCACAACACCTGCTGTAAGGATTGATCTCCAGACCACTGTCCCCCAGACATCGAGGCATCGGTGGTTTCATCGATTGGATAATAAGACCAAGACTGTGGGATGCGCGTGTGCTGTACTGCGCTGGACCGTCCCTACACTCCACCTCGCCCGGCGCACTCTCCATAAGGCTGTGGGCGGCATCAGACGGCGTACGGAATTTCGTTCAACGGGCGGACGGACGGGCGGGACGGCCCACGCTGGAACATTCTCTCTCAGCAATTCGTTCGTCCGCCCGCGTGGAGAAGAAGAAGAGGAAGGGAAGAACGGGGCCCAAGCTCCTGCGCGGCTGGTAACGGTCCGAAAGGCACGGAAGCCTGGGAAGGTCGGGGCGGGTGTTGAGAGAGATCCAACGTAAAGCTCCCAATCGGTCAGTAGCCCTGTATCATCATCATTCGTCGTCTCCATCTCGTGTGCGAACTGTGCACTGTTTCTTTCTCTTTCACCTCACCTCTCACCATAAACACAGGCACACCCGTCTCCTGGTCCCTTTTGGCTCTGCGTATTGGCGCTCTCCCTCCTCTAGACCAAGACGACGACGACGTCGACAGCAATTCCTCACCACCACCACCACTGCCGCCGCCGCCGCCGCCCATTCCGATTCACCTAGCGAGGGCCACCGCAGTCCGCGAGCTCTCCCGCCTTTCCTTCTCCCCAATCCACAAACACACGCACACAGACGCACACACGCATCGCCCAGCATGGTCGCCGCACGAGTCCTCCGCCCGGCGGCGCAACTGCTCCGATCGTCACCCGTCTCCGCCATCCCTCGATCTTCCTTCCCGCGAGTATCAGTCCCTGCTCTCTCAAGATGTCGGACGTACGCCTCAGGGTCCAAAGAGATGACGGTCCGCGATGCACTCAACCAAGCCATGGCGGAGGAGATGGAGGCGAACCCGAAGGTCTTCGTTCTCGGTGAGGAGGTGGCACAATACAATGGCGCGTAAGTCGAACCATGCTCTGTCGGAGTTCTGCGCCGTGGAGAGCTCGGGTCGTGGAACATGGAGCTGACACTCCAGTATGACAGTTACAAGGTCACAAAAGGTCTACTTGACCGCTTCGGCGAGAAGCGGGTCATCGACAGTCCCATCACAGAATCCGGTTTCGCCGGTCTGACCATCGGCGCCGCCCTGGCCGGTCTCCACCCGGTCTGCGAGTTCATGACCTTCAACTTCGCCATGCAGGCCATCGACCAGATCATCAACTCCGCCGCCAAGACCCACTACATGTCCGGCGGCATCCAACCTTGCAACATCACCTTCCGCGGCCCCAACGGTTTCGCCTCCGGTGTCGCCGCCCAACATTCGCAGGACTATTCGGCGTGGTACGGCTCGATCCCGGGCCTCAAGGTGGTCGCGCCTTACTCTGCAGAGGACGCCAAGGGTCTGCTCAAGGCCGCGATCCGGGACCCCAACCCGGTCGTCGTCCTGGAGAACGAGCTCCTCTACGGTCTCTCATTCCCCATGAGCGAGGAGGCCCAGCGCGATGATTTCGTCATCCCGGTAAGTACCGTTTGCCGATGCTATCCCCGTCCTGCGCGGCTCTCTGACATGCACCTCACAGTTCGGGAAGGCCAAGATCGAGCGCGCCGGCAAGGACCTCACCATGGTGACCCTCTCGCGCTGCGTCGGCCAATGCCTCGCCGCGGCCGAGCAGCTGAAGAAGCAGTACGGCATCGAAGCCGAGGTCATCAACCTCCGCAGCGTCAAGCCCCTCGACGTCGAAGCCATCGTCACCTCCGTCAAGAAGACCGGCCACATGATGGCCGTCGAGTCCGGCTTCCCCAGCTTCGGCGTCGGCGCCGAACTCATCGCCCTCACCGCCGAGTACGCCTTCGACTACCTGGACGCCCCGCCCGTCCGCGTCACCGGCGCCGAGGTCCCCACCCCCTACGCCCAGAAGCTCGAGGAGATGAGCTTCCCCACCGAGCAGCTCATCGTGGATTACGCCGCCAAGCTGCTGCGCGCCTGAAAGTTCTCCGTGGTTTTCCGGCGACGCATCTCCCGGGAGGAGCAGGCGGTCATGTATGTCTCACAGAAGGCGGGACGCAATGGGACGCAATGGGGGAGGGGGGGGAGAAGGGAAGTGAAACCCGCATCGCCTCCAGGGCTCCGCCGCCGCCGCCGCCGCCGCCGCCGCGATTCGAGCCTTTCCTCCTCTCTTTCCCGCGCGGCCGGGGGGAATGATCATGTCTTGGTTCCCGCATGTACACTTTTTGGTCGTGTTTTTTCCCGTTTTTACTCAGCAACTTTCCACCAAATCCTGCATACAACGGGCTTCGTTCCCGTCATGGCGCAATCCATTGGTTTTCTCTCTCTCTCTCTCTCTCTCTCTCTCTCTCTCTCTCTCTCTCTCTCACGTCCCGCGTTCGCCCGTCCGTCCACCTTGGTCCTATTCCTATTCCTCCACCATCGGAGAGAGTGTAAAGAAGGAAGATGCGGGGCGCGGAGCTTATAGCGTACGCATCATCTGACCTCTCCGGCGCGGAAAATCCGCAGGCGAAATCCCAAGAAAAGGGAAGAGAAGGAATGGCCAAATCCAAAAATTCGTTCCTACTGCCTGCCTGTCTGCCTGCCTTTCTATCCAAACCTCCAAACCCATGAAAACCTCCCCCTCCCTCACTCACTCCCTGACCATCTGCCTCCCCGGACATCTGCCTCCCTGACCATCTGCCCTTTCCCGCAGCAGATCGAAGCGAAAAAGAAATTCCGCCGCAATGCAAAGCAAAGCAAAGTTTGATTTTATTTTCTTCCTCCCCTCAATCCTCTCCCTGCAAAGAGGCATTTGGGGTTCCTCCGAAGCGCTTCGTTCCGGTTCCGCGGACTCTGGGAGGTTGGATTGTTCGCGCGGGCTGGGCTGGTTTCTTTCTTTTCTCATAGATCGTTGCATGTCGGAGCCTGTCGAAGGAAGGGGAAGGAGGTGGAGGAGGAGGAGGAGGAGTCGACGTCACATTGGGACCCAGTTCAGGTTTCACGTTTCACGGGTCGAAGAGACATACACACAGAGAGAGGAAGATAGGGACGACTTTTCGGGTGAGGTGGATTCCCGTTTCCTCGTACATTTTCCCTTTTACGGTATATAGGCAAGTACGACAGCAGCAGCGCCGCCTACGTATGCTTTTCTCTTTGCGCTCCGACGGAAACTTCCCCCCATTCCCATTTCCCAGATCCACCATCCCTCCTTTCCCCCAAAGGAGGAAAAACAGAAAAGGAAATGAACACCTCCCGCTTAAGCGTTGGCCTGGCCGGCCTTGAGCAGCGCGACGCCGGCGTTGACGTTGGCGAAGTAGGACAGGTGGGCGAGGCCGACGTCGAGCTGGCCGTTGCACACGCCGTCGCCCTGCGCGCAGAACACGTGGATCGGCCCGCTGTACTGCCCGATCTTGGCGCCGACGAACGGGTCGCCGAAGGTCACGACGTTCTGATGCGCGTGGAGATGAGGGGTTAGTTTTGAACGCGGAGATGGAGGGAGAGGAGGGAATCTCGACTTACGGCGACCTTGGCGACGTCGGAGGCGGCGGCGCGGGCGAGGGCCTGTTATTGAACGGATGGTTAGTATTTGCGGATATGCACAGGCGCGGCGGAGGCGAGAGGTTGAACGGATACGTACGTTGCGGGTGACGAGGGCACCCTGGGAGTATCCGGACATGTGGATGCGCGCGTTGGGGCAGTCGGAGACGGCCTTGGCCAGGGCCTGGCGGACGTTGATGCCGCCGGGGAGGCCGAGGCAGTAGTCGTTGGCGAAGGAGTTGTCGTACTGCACGCCGCGGACCTCCCACAGCTTGGCGTCGAGGCCGGCCTTGATCTGCGGGCCGAGGGTGATGCCCAGGTCGCCGGGCTCGAGCGTGCCCTTGGAGTAGATCAGGATGTTGGCCTTGCAGGTGGCGCGCTTCGACTTGGGGTTGACGACGGTGACGGTGGTGATGCCCGGCGGGTTCTTGTCGAGCGGGGCGTCGCCGCCGTGCGAGGCGCAGTACTGCTGGAGACCCGGGCGGGCCTTGTACAGGGCGTCCTTGGCCGCCGGGAAGTAGCGGACGATGCAGCAGTTGCCGTCCTGGGTGTCGCCGACCGGGTAGCTGGAGAAGTCGTAGACGCTGGAGCCGGTCGAGCCGGAGACCGTGGCCACCGCGCAGGACTGGTTGCGGCAGGAGCCGAAGTCCTGTCGGACCCAGATGGAGCCCGGCTCGGGGATGGCGGCGGCCAGGACGACGGGGCTCAAGGCCAGGACGGCGACGCCGAGGGCAGACTTCACGCTGAAGACCATGTTGACGACGGTGACGGGGAGAACGGGTGGGATCGTTCCAGAGATGTCAGACAGGTAGGCAGAAAAGAGAGGGAGGAAGGGAGAGGGAAGAAGCTGCTTCAAGAAGCGTGGGAGATCAATCTACATATAGCGCATATGTTCACACAACGTTTCGTGGAGAGTTTTCCCTCGATTTTAGGCGGGCGCTACGGGGCCATACATGCCCCAGATTTCAAGTTGTAAATGCAGCCCCGAAGAGGAGCGACGGCAGCGTGTCGAGCGATCAACACAGACCCGCTAAAAAAGCCCACGGAGTGCCCAGACGACGATCGACCGAGGCGTTGAGAAGAAGGCGAGTAGTTCGGTGTGCGGAGAAAGCTTGTGGGTTCATGCCTGTGCCTGCATGGTTCCTGAATGTGGAGTGTGACAGGATGCATCGGGCTTGGTCCCGCCTGATCGAAGACATTGGGTTACAGGCCCTACAGGTATGTGTAATATTCTGCATGCGCGTGGCTCGAGTTCATGTGGGCAGCAGTATTTTATAGTATACTACTGTACAACACTCGATCCGAACCCTTTCGCAGATCGTGTCGGTTTGCCTTTGCGAGTCAATCATCGGCTGAGGTAGCAGTATTATACTCTACTACCTAGGTGAACCACGTCTGTTTGCCAGCAGAAGTTCCTCGGGAATTCCTTGTACGGAATCGTCAAGGGCTCTGCTCAACTCGTTCATGTGTCAGTGACGATACTGTGCCAATCTCCATAGCCCGTGCAAACAGAGCAAGGGTTTCGGTCCCCACAGCACGTGCGCCACCGACGAGTTTACGATGAACGAAGAGATCATCCACCGGATCAAAGGACGACGCTGAGACTAGCAAAAGGTGCGAGGATGTTGTGGTTGGGTGATGGAACGAGGTCGGGATCATCCACCCCCGCTCGATCTTTCATTTTAGCCCTACGGACTATGCCATATATGGTAGGAACGATCTTCAACTTCCGCCGGCTCGGCTCCTATCCATCATGGACAATATGCTCGTGAGAGACGGTGTTTCGAGGTAAATCAAATTCTCTCCTTCAGCAAGACTAGGAAATGCAACGACATCGTGAAAATGTACATCGATGCGTACTCAGAGTCATTTCGCGCTGGCACACATGACGTCTCGTTTACGACACAAGTACTATGTCCACCGCTCACTCGTCCTCGTACCGCATGGACAACGCTAGCCATGAAGGTCGCGCCGACCCATTGCGGTTGAAGAACGGTGTTCTGACGACAGCAGGAGGTCTTCCTATGTAGGAATAGTTCACCAGGTCCTTGTCTTCATCCTCTTCGCCGAGCGTGTTCTCGATTGCATGCCCGAATTGGCTTCCCTTCTTTATCAGTTTGATATTTGAGGTGCAAAGACTCTGCAACAGGAGAGACAGGTGAAGACCACTCCTGTTGCGCTGACCAGCACAAGGCAACGAGAATCGATAGCGGGCACCGGCGCTTGTCAAGTTGGGATTGATATGTAATTGGAGTAACGCCGAACCAGGCGTAAAGTGGTGACAGAGTGCGTGGACAATGTACATACTCCAGAGGAAGCGGGGATGCAGCGAACCACAGTTTTCTCGACCGTCTCGGACTGTACCTGCAGATCAAGCTCCATTTGCCTCTCTAGTGCATGTAGTATCTGGCTACAATTCACAAAACTTACGCGAACATGCCCCACGGGTACTACAAATTGATCTGAGTGTTCAAATCGACCGTTCGATATCGTATTGGATATCTACGATATACATGATGTTCAAAACAGATTATCAACGGGTAATCGCCTGTAGGCATTGCCCAGTATGTATGTAATGAATGCAACCTCGGCGAGCAAAGCGTTCGGGGCTAGGTAAAAGACAAGACGGAACGAGACGTGCAGATTGAACCCCAGATTCGAGACGCCACTACTGCCGCACGGGGAACCCGCCACTCACTTCAGTGTGTCTAGAACTCAAATCTTGTGCACTGTTATATTGTTCAAGCCCTCGTATATCCAGTTACCATAGACAGGTGAGAAGCGGAGGATCAACCAACATTCATGACAACAAGAAAATCAACGCGACAAGAAAATGGAACGCTATAATGACTCGGCCGCCAAGGAGTCGCGCTCAGGACATCATCTCCTGTCCTCAACAGATGATCAAGACGAACCACGCATCATCTACCTCCCGGAACGACGCTCAAGATGGTCTTCCATTGCCTCATGGCTGAGCTGCTTCTTCTTGGGCGTTATCGCGACATTGCTGACGCTGGGCGTCGCTTTCCGACAAAATGCGATTCCTGAATCATTAAGGGCGGCAGCGCTGTCGACATCACCGTCGACGCCTTCGTTCACATTCGGTAGCACGGATCCTCTGCCGAATGGTAAGCGGTCACCTGAACGCCTCGCGTCGCCGTCCGGATGTGCTGACGTGACATGCTTCTCCAGTGCCATCAGAAACTGTTGTGTTCGAAGCGGATCCGATATTTTCAGACCGATCAACAGACGACACGGATTTCGCCTGGGACATGCTATTGCCCGTAAGTCTTTGTTCTCTACATTCATTCTCAGGGCGATCATTCGGAAATCTTCGCAATGCAGATTGATTGATCACCGTGTACTGACATCCAATCTGGCAGCCCGGTCGCGGCTATGTCTACGTTCCCGACGGCGCCTCTCGCGGTCTTTTACCCGGCCAGTACACGCCCGAAGGCGAGATCTACAGCGTCGCCATGTACCACCAACTGCACTGTCTCGCACGAATCCGCAAGCAACACTGGATTTTCAAGGACGGAATCGTCACCGGCGATACCGGCATGGCCCGCACGTTTGCGGGTCGCGGCGACTCCTCTCACGCACAACATTGCTTCGATTACCTTCGCCAATCCATCCTGTGTTCCGGTGATATGACGCTCGAGTGGCCGAAGCAGGACGGTCCTTCGTCGGGAGCGACGGTGGACGGATGGGGCGTACCGCATACTTGCAAGGCGCCGGTAAGTCTCGAATTTGCCCCGTTCTTGGTTCAGAGTGATCGTCTGAGCACCCCATGATTTGGAAATTTGCTGACATGATATGAATTTTACAGGCAGCGATCAAGGCCTACATGGATGCGAATCACATGAACGGCAGCAGCAATTTCGACGCTGCTGGTTAGCTTAATATTTTGTGCTTCAATTCGAATTTATTGCAATTATGATCATATTCGGAATAAAACTCCTCGCAAAGTGGTAAAGGAGGAACCTGCCCGATCTCACGCAAAGCCCAAGTATCATGTCGAAGCATCGAGCGTAGAACCATGACTCAAAACCACCTTGCTCTCGACGCAGTGCGATGAAGTCCATCACACCCAGAGCTGGCATTGGAGTGAAGGTTAAAGCAGAGCGAACCCTATCGAGCTGCTTGTGGAAACTAGAGGAATGTATTTCATCTTTACCTCCAGCTCCGACAATGTCGACCCACGTTCGGGCACTTGCCCGCCAACCATGGAAAACTCAGCTGCGAACCACGGCGGCAGGGGGAGAAGTTCCGAATATCTAATTCCAAAAGCGCTGCTAATGTCAGTGACCGTCCGCAGAGACTGCATTGCGGTTTCCAATTCCGTTTAGGGACGACTCACTGGTGCCAGGTGTACACAGAGCCTGATGCGTCTTGCCGTTGTCATGAACGATTTGTTTCCGAAGAAGCCGTAATTTCGCTGCGTCTTGATGATCTGAGGTGTTTGGCCTGCCCCCGAAACATCAGCATTCTAGGTTGTTATCCGCTGTGTCTATTCGTCAGTCGTTGCTTACGATGAATATGTCAGCTCCCGGCCGAAGCAGGCATTCTTGGCCGATGTAACTGTCCAAAGGAGTGGGTTGCCATTGTTCTTCCTTCGAGCGGCGACATGATTGATCTAAGGCTTGCTGTCGGGCGTGGGTTGTTGCACCGGTGATGCCTCTGACGGAAAAGAGTCTCCGCAATGAGAGCAGAGGTGAAGTGAACATGATTTCTCGCGATTTTGGTTTGAAGATCTGGTTTCTCTTGAATCTTTTACTTCCTCTTGCTTATTGATAATCTTGCAGCAGTACCATGGAGAAGAGGAAGCTTCCTCACAACAGCGCCGTTCGATCACCATTTTATCTAGACGGCACAAACGACCTGAAAAACTCCCATCCATCGCAGAAACAACATTCCCCTATTGTCGTGACTTCAGGACAACAGGAAACACCTCTGAAGACGCCAAACGAAAAGACAAAATCTTCGCCGAACAATAGAGAGGATGGTGAATTCATTATGAAGGGCTGAGCCGGGGCAAACGAAGGCGAGGTTGAGGTGGGCATCAGGCGTCCCTTTTGCCAGGACTGATGGCTCGATGTAGAAGGCGTTGCTAGATATGGTCGACAGATGAGCATTCCATGGCTCGTTGCCTATGCCATTGCTTGATCGTGAGTATCATTCAAAGTGATGACATCTTTGTTGGGCTATCAGGCATTTTCGGCAACCAGTGCCAAGGGGCAGTGAATTGTCCGCTTCGTTTACTCATCTCCCATGGATCAGTCACTGTTCTGCAAGAACACCATCAGCACGGCTGCATATCTGTTTGCCACAGCACAAGCGCAAATCGTTAGCCAATCACCCGAGGGAGAAGAAAAGTCAATCAAAGTATCGCCCAGACTCACGCAGCAGTCGCCGCCAGGGTCTCAAACCCCCTGGTCAAGCTCGTCGTGGCACTGACACTAAACACGGCAAACAACAACGTGAAGGCCATGACGATTCCGATACGGCTTTTCGTATCCCGATAGAAATTCTCCAGCCATATGGGCACGAAGAGAAGCACATAACCGATTCCAATGACGAAAAGGGAGACGGCTTGATCGATGCGTTTGACGCGGAAGCGATGCGTGGTTGATTCGATGATGCCGCGTTTGGCCGCTTCCTGTCGTACGGAGGCGAGGCGGAAAGTGCTGCGTTCAATAAAGGACCAGATTATCGAGCGCGGGCGTTGGAATACGGCAATTAGATCGGATGAGGTCTGGAAGATGGTGGAGGCGGGATTGATTCTTCTGGGGTGGTTGAGGAACCAGTATTGTAGGTTTCGGACTTGTCGGGGAGTTGCTGAGCCGCGGAGATGGACGGCGTGGCAGGCGTTCAGCAGTTCGTCTGAAAAATATAGAATCAGTACTATTCTACCGTAGGGGCGATTGGATCATTCTGACGCTCGCGAGCGTGTCATCCAGACTCGATTCCGGTCGCGCAGCGAAATCGTACCAAGATGGTGTTTTGGGCGGTATTTAACGTTTCCGTGAACTTACAATAACTCCTTAAATTTGGAATCACTTGATCATCGATCAATCCAGTCATTCTCGCCTCATCATATCTGAAAGAATCTCCATCTCTCGCCAATCCACTTCGTCGGAAACTGAGTAATTCGACTTCCTTTTCACACCGCATCAAATCGTCCTGTAACTTCAGCATCGCAAAAGCAGTGAGTTTCGAGAACTTCCGCAATACGAAGAAGTCATCACATCCGGCCATCCATTGGGCGAGGGATATGTAGCCTCCCGCCTCGTTTTGTGGACTCTGCATCTTATCGAGATCATCTAATTCCTGCGAGACATCCTCGGCGTTGGCTTTCACGGGACCACAGCTCCCGTTCTCTAGATTGTTGGCTGCTCTATATGGTGCTTGTCGAGTCTCTGGGCCATGATCTAGCGAATTGGAGGTGCTGCGAGCCATTGGGGGATGGAATGTTGAGATTGCTTGCGAACTACCAATGGCGTTCGCGCGGAATGTGGAAATGGCGATGATATATAGCATCAATGACAAAGGATGAGGGCACCCATCGATACCGGACAAGTACTGACTCTTGTTTTCTCGTTTTGTGTTTTGTCATTTTGCGGATTGGATGATACATAACGATTGATTGCCGCCACATCGTCTGAGGTGCAGGCTGCCGATGATGCATATCCGAGATGTGGATCTTGACAAATTCTCTCGTCGCGGCTCATAACCATGCGGCTGAAAGATAACATGTTCATGAGGTACTTGAAGAATATTTCGGCTCGTTCAAAATGTCGTTTTAGAGTCTATCTACGACAACACCATGGCAAAGGCATCTGTAGCTTTATTACTACGCATGAGTTGGAATTGGCATCCGAGAAAAGGCAGCCGATCGGAGCTGACTCCGACTCGGCAGTCAACGCTGCAGAAAATGCTAGCAAGATCGTGGATCATTTGGCAGACAGCAGAACGATTGCATTGTATCATTGGGCACATGTCAGTTTAGCTCGTGCAAATCTTGCGCGGCCAATCTCTGCCATTGCAATACTTGCTAAAGAATGACAATTGCCCATCGACAACAGCACGTTCGCTCTCTAGTAGTCCGCGTCGCTTTCCGTCGGCCATCGCAAACGATTGTCAACAAACTGATCGCTTGCTACCTCTCCGCTCATTTTCCTTTGCATCCATCATCTCATTCCGCGATCTAGCTGTGCCAACAATCCCAGCACTGCCGCCCCGCCGCCTTCTTCTTCCCTCTCGCTGCGACCTCTACCTCTAGCACCATTGCGACTCGCACTACGGTCCTGTTGCTGCTTGAGCTTGGCGGCCGCAGCGGCTGCTTCCTCGCGGACATCCTCTGCATTCCTGACGCCCGCTTCGTAGGCTTTGATTGCAGCTTCGTCTTGTGGACGGAGCGGCAAGTCTTCATAAACGATGTCATCGTCCTCATCCTGGTAGTCTTCGTCTTCGTCGGGAGCTCGTCGATGCGGCTGTGAGCGAAGGTGATGGGGCGCGTTGGCTTCGTCGTCATCGTCGGACTCGGAAGAATCGGGACTTGAGTTGCCGAATGAAGTGCGTCCGTTTGGATCGGGACTCATCAGGAGCCGATCGTTTGGCGCAGGGCTTGCCTCGGCCCGCGCAGCAGACTGGCGCGTCTGTGAACTAGATCGCCCATCACTGGCGGTTCCAGGTCGACTTCCTCGGTGCCAACCGACCGCCTCTGCCACGCGACGGGCCTCATCGTCTGGATCGCCGGCGCTGTTGAATTCGCCCAATGCGCCCAGGTCTGGTCCGAATAAGCTAGATCTGTTGGATTTGTCCAGCAGGTGGCCGCCACGCCCGCGGTGATGCTCTTCAGACTTGTCGAGGATGTCGCGGTAGCCGCTACGAGTGGGATCCTGAAGTCGCTTGCGTTTCTTGGCCTCGCGTTTGCTGCTGGGTCGCACAACGATGACTGGTACGGGGGAGTACTGGAGACAGTATTTACTGATGGAACCCGAGCTCAACAAGCCGTGATATCCAGTCAGACTCCGACCTCGCGTGCCGACGACGAGAATGGCGGGTTCGTAGATGCGAATCATCTGTTGGATGGTATCATGGACCTTTCCAATGCTGAACTCCAGCACCAGACTGATCGCACGATCATCCGTGTTCTTCCTCTCGATGGCCTCCAAGAAACGCTGTGCTTCGTCGCGGTAGCCCTTCTCACCCTGCCCGCCAGCCCATCGTGTCGCTTCCTTGCTGTCCTTTTCAACCACGCGCAAGCAGACCACCTCGTCGCCATCATCCACCAACTCATCTATCAACCACTCCAGCGCAGTATCAGAATATTCATTGGTGTCAGTCCCACAGAGGAATGTTCTGCTTCGCTTCGTGTAAACATAGTCCTGATGTTTCCGGTGCAAGGTCAAGCTGAAATCGCTGGCAGCCGGGTTGCTGAAGGTGTCGAAGCTCACGCTGGGTCGGAAATGCGCCGGTGGAGGTGGACTACTAAGCCTTCGACCATTTACGACTGCCCGATCACCAAAGCTCTTACTTCGCGCCGCAGCTGGTTGCACACTGCTCGATCGGCTTTTGTTCGTACGCGCAGTGGGTAGAAACTGCACACTTGGTCGACGCCCGTCTTGCGCGGGTTGACCGTTGCCGAGAACATTCAGGACAGGTCGTCGCCAGGACGGAATGAAGCTGGACCCTGCAGCAGGCTTGGCGGTGTCATTCGCGGGAATCGTTGGAAGCTGCGAACCCGGTTGTGGTATTGACATGGGATTGTTCTCGGTATTAGCGGAGGTAACGGGCGTGCCAGAGCGTGGTGATGGTTCCTCGTTCATCGTCCGGCGCGGAAAGATTGGTGTGCGCGCAATGTGGCTGTGAAAGAGGTTTGGGATCGCAAAGTGCATCCAATTGCTAGCAGTCGCGTGCTACATATGTTTGGCCAAGAGCCTATTGCCTGCAATGCCAACAAGGAAAGAAGGAATCGACGAGCATGTGACGAGGACTTGGCGACGTCCGATTTTCGCAAAGTTATGAGGTCACTTCCTCCGTCGCAACTGGCAAGCGGCGGCACGAATGGCGGCAGTGGCTTTCCTTGTCCCAGACGATGTAACGTGCAGGTACTGGAATTTCGAATACCAATCCGCATGCATAGATCGTGGCTCGTCGCTGTCCCGCAGTGGCATGATCCTACGCAGTGAAAATATGGGCGCTGTTGTTGCTGCCGACTCTGAAGAGGCGAGACTAACAATTCAGGATTAGGTAGAATCATCCACTGGCGATCGGCGCCTGCGGTTCTGGTAAAGCCCCGCGCAAGCCCCTCTTGCTGCACGTGTTGCCATGTGTGAAGTATAAGTCAAAAACGATGTTCACACACAAATATCATCTTTACCTAGGTATAACGCACGTAGACAGGCGACGATAAACGGCAGTAATTCATATAAGGGACTCATCACTGAGTCAGCGGTCATCGCAGAGTCGTCATGATCATTTTATTTCTATTCTAGGTCATGCAATTCAGTCGTGGCTCCTCTGTAAAACCGCGTCCGCCGTTTCGAACATCACTTTCACCAGGATTAAATGCAGCCCTGGGTATCATGACGATGTCGTGAGCGGCAATCGATCAGTCAAGGGTCGTGGTTACACATATTCATGCGAGGCTCTTGTAGTCGCCGTCCTTGGCCTTGCCATCTGCGACCAATCGCTTGACTTCATCAGCAAACGCGGTCTTGATGGTGGCGTTGTCGGTCTGTCCGTTCAGCTTCGCGGTCAGCGCCGCAATCTCTTCGTTGTCGAGCTTCAAGATCAACGCATCGACGTCGTTGAGCGCAGCGTCGATCTGGGCAGGCGAGGCAGTTCCGTCCACAAAGTAGTTGCCATCTTTGACTGCACCACGGATAACACGCTTGTTCTTCTTCGCAGCGTTCTTTGCAGCCTCCTTTGACTTCTTGCCTTCCTCCTTGGCGGCCTTCTCTGCGGCGGCCTTCTCGGCAGCCAGACGTGCCTCCTCCTCCTTCTTCTTCTGGGCCTCTTCCTTGGCAGCAGCCTCGGCGGCTTCCTTCTCCAGACGCTTCTTGTTCTTCTCCTTGTTTCCTTCTTGACGGAACTTCTTGATTCGCTCATCCATAGCAAGAGCGTCATCTACGAGCTTGCGGAAACGAACAGTGTCCTCAGTCTTGCGCTTCTTTCGTGCGTTGTTGTTCTTGCGCTCGACGTGACGCTTCTGGTCACGGTTCTCGTTGTCGTCAGGGACATCCTCATCGAGGTACTCGAATGTTCGCCAGCTGTCGAAGTTGTAGAAGAAATCGTAGAATCCCTCGACGTGTTCGCGGGTGCTATTGTCGTCGCCGATCGTGGGCACAGGCTGCTTCTTGCTGAAACGACCCTCGGCTGCGAAGACGGGTCCCCAGAGCTTGTAGAAGTTTCCGGGCTTCTTCTGCACATCTTTCTTGTTCGGTGGTTCGACCTCAGCCGCCTCATCAACACTGTCGAATTGTCGGCGCTTGACAGGATCACTGAGAATCTCGTGGGCACGCTGAATGCACTTGAAGAAGCTGTCGTTCTCGTCCTTGCCACTGGCAGCCTTCTTGTCAGGGTGGTGCTTCAGGACCTTCTTGCGGTGAGCACGCTTGATCTGGTCCTCGGTCGCGCGGTAACGGTATTTGGTCAGACCCAGGACGGCGTAGTGGTCCTGTGCCTTCCAGTCTTTGGCCTCCCGCTGCAACATCATTGGGTCCTCATCCTCATCAAAGTCGTCATCAGGCCCGTCGTCCTGCGTCTTCTTGACTTGCTCCGCGGCCTGGATGCGCTCATCCTCCGAGAAAGTACGCTTGTGTTGCTTTCTCCGGGCGTGTGCGAGATAGTGGGGTCCAACTGGCTCGATGGGCCTGGAGACTGGAGCGCTGAGATGTCCGACCGCCTTGAAATCCTTGTCCGCAGACCAACCCGAAGGCAGGGTGGGAAGGGTCGCGGTCAACTGTAATGTAGCCATCGTGAAAGGTGGAATTGTATAGGCTTAACACCCTCTGTAAAGGCGAAATCTCATCTGCGTAGCCACAAAATAATAATTCCACATTGAAGGTGGCTCGTGCACTTCTGAACCCTGGCGGAGGAGAATTTAATTAGGTAAGCGGTCGCTTTGGCCGACATGCGATGCGGACATTGTTGATCCAATGCTTTCGTATGAATAGAAGTTTTAGCCACACTTGGGTCCATTCAGATTGTCGGGGAGACATGCCAATACGATAGTACAAACAGGAACAAGGTACTGGAAACGGCAAGAAATTTCTCCCATCATGGCGGCGGCTATCACGACCGGAGAGGCGCACAGGTTCATCGTTCGCGCGACCTACAGACATCTTTTCCGCGCAATGGGCGTCGCATTCAAAGGTGCGCATTTGCTTCAGTCATACCATAGCCAGCGGCCACTTACTCACAACGCCACAGGTGATTTCGACACCAGTCGGTCAGCACGCGACTTTGCACGCCAATCATTCCGCGAAAGTCTACCCCGGGATGTGGCGCCAGGCACACATGAAATGGCCCAGAGGATCGAACACGCACAAGGGGTGACGAAGATTCTGCGTGAGAACATCGTGCAGGGCAAGCAGGCGGAGAAGCAACCGGACACATATAAGCTACGGTTCACGGAGAATACTCAACGATTCGACAATGAAGAGACGAGGAAATTGAAGGGCACGACGAAGAGCTTCAAGGAGATCAAGGACGCACAATTTTGAACAAACGTCGAGGCACAAGTGGACGATAAGGAGATGCGAAAGGACGTCTGATGACGGACGTTCTGGTTTGCATCGCCTACGAGGACTATCAATCCTATACCTTGAGAAGGACCGAAGCCTCACTGCTTGGGACGACACCATGCTCTGCTTCAACCAGCCAGGGAAGTTGGACGACGATGGAGGTTGTGAGATCTTCCACCCTCGCTACACATGTGGGAATTTGGACTTTGAAGGACAAGTCTATCTTTGTGCATTATTGTATAACATTGAAATATCGGAAAATGTAGGAATACCTGTACCGGCTTTTTCGACACCCGTCTCAAAAAGGCCAAAACTGTAAATATACAGCATGAGAAGAAATTTGGAAGAAAGAAGATACCCCATCCATGCCCGCATTACTCAACGCCGCTTCATGCCTTTGGTTTCCGTCCGACCATGAGGTACATTGGTGTGAACAGCTTGTCCCGGCCACCAGCAACGAGGCAGTCGGCAGCCTTGGCCAGTGAGTCCGCAGTCTTCTGAGTACCCTTGGGCGCAAGTCCGATCACCTCCAGAGCGCCGACGAATCGGTGCATGAAGCCACGGCCGAAGTGAGTCATGCGGAATAGTGTGGGCAGATCCCAGATGGTCTGCATGTGCTTCAGTTCACCGGCGAGCGGGTAGTACCAGGGGAGCTCGTCAGGTCGGTCAGCGAGATCTTCGTTGACCTCGAGCTCGAAACCAGCCGCCTTCATGGCAGCCAGGGCGACCTCGATCTTCTCCATGTTTGAGATACCGTCACCCTCCTCAATTCCGAGGCGGATCTCGCGGTGGCGCATGTTGTCGTTGTCGTAGGCGTCAGTCATGAGCCACTCGTAGACACCGAAAACACCACCGGGCTTGAGGACGCGGAAGATTTCAGTATAGATACCCTCGAGCGACGGCGCGTGAACAGTGGCCTCAATAGCATAGACAGCATCGAACGAGTTGTCCTCGAAGCTCATCTGCATGAAATCGCTCTTGACGAAGGAAAGCTTGTGCGACAGTCCCTCCTGCTTGGCGTATCGGGTTGCGCGCTCGATCTGGTAGTCGTTGTTGTTCAATCCGACAACGTTGGCTCCCGAGAACTTGACAATCTCCCGTGCGGGTCCACCGACACCACAGCCAACGTCCAACACCTTTGCGTTCTCCTGAAGGTTCATCTTCAGGGCCAGGTAGTGCTCGTGACGAGCGATAGCTTGTCGGAAGGCCTCGCCCTTGCTGAAACGGCAGAAGTGGAAACTTGAGCCCCAGCCGTACTCGTAGAGGTCTGTGGCAAGGTTGTAGTAGTGCCTGGTCATGGTAGCGTACTCGTCACGGCGAGCCTTGCGGGTCTCCTCAGTCTCCTCCTCGTGTCCCTTGTTGTCAAAGTGCTTGAAGTACTCGTCGACGGCAAGCTTTTGAGCGGCATGGTCTTTACCCATGGCAGCGAAAAGACCTACACCGCTTTGTGCAGTCTTTCCGTGCAGAGCATCTTTGAAAGCTGCATCGCGAACCTTGTCCTGCTTCTCGAGCGTGATCTGGTCCTTGGTAACACCCATGTTGTTTTGCTGAAACGATCTGGATTAAGGCGGTGTTGAAATCGCGACAAGCTGTGATGTGACAAGAGAATGTAAGGAGAGAGAGAAGGAACCAAGTCGTAGTTATGAGGACCTGCCGTACGTCGTTTAGAAGCAACTCCGTCCAATGGTTCGACTGCCGAAATATGCCCAGGTGGTGATTGACCCCTTCAAAATTTCCCCCAGCGAAATCGAACCACAATCACAGGGACTTCCATTCATGGTTTAGCGTAACGGATGTTTATTGCGCTGCACTCCGAGATCTCAACCTTGTTCGCCGCGGAAGTGAGCTCCACGTGACTGGGTGTTCGCGCCGGACAGTGCCGCAATCTTCTTTGTCAGCCCGCCCGGGCAACCTTCACATGGGACAAGCCTAGCGCGGTCGACGTCAGAAGCCTCCAGATAGATGATCAATTTTGATCATCGATACTTTTCTTTCCCGGTCAATTTACCAGCCACGACCGCGAATATGGCGCCTCAAATCAAGCATGACATGAACCGGTCGGGATGGGAGACTACAGATCTGCCATCCGTGTGCGAGCGATGTCTACCTGACAATCCATACGTGCAGATGTTGAAGGAGGATTATGGAGCGGAGTGCAAACTATGCACGAGGCCTTTCACAGTTTTCCGATGGAAGGCAGACCGGACAGCACGCCAAAAGCGCACTGGTATCTGCCTCACATGTGCGCGGTTGAAGAATTGCTGTCAGTGCTGCATGCTGGATCTATCGTTCGGATTACCAATCACAATCCGAGATGCCGCTTTGAAAATGGTTGCGCCAGGACCGCGCAGCGAGATCAATCGGGAGTTCTTTGCACAAAATAACGAACGGGAGATCGAAGAAGGCCGAGGGCTGGAGGGCTACGACAAGACAGACGAAAAGGCTCGAGAACTTCTGCGAAGATTGGCAGAGAACGAGCCTGCATACAAGCGGCAGAGGAGGCTGGCTCTCGAGGCGGAGGCGGAGGCGGAGGCTGGAACAGGGCAAAAATTACTAGGAAACGGAGAGGAGAGCACAGAATCCGGTGTCGGCCCAATACGGACAAAGGCGCGCAAGTCACAATATGGATCAGCTTACGGCAACACACCCTACGCAAAAGATGGCAACTCTGGTGCCGGTCGCGGCGGCAAAGGCCCACAATCCCAGACGCGCAGAGCATTCCCATCTGCAGCTGCGTTGCCAATTCAGCCACAAGACATCTTGCCGCCTGCCGATCGCAACATCACCTCATTATTCGTTACAGGTGTTGAGGACGATATGCGAGAGGACGATGTGCGCGCACACTTTTCGCAGCACGGTGCGCTCCGATCGTTGGTATGCAGTCATCGGAGCCACTGCGCATTCGTCAACTACATGACGAGAGCAGATGCAGAGAAGGCCGCCGAGGCGTGCCAGGGCAAGGCTCTTATCAAAGGAGTGCCGTTGCGCGTGCAGTGGGGAAAGCCGAAGCCGCTTGACAGTATGGACCGGGATCAACGGATGAAGAACGCAAGGTCGGCACGAAATCTTGCCGGATCTGCACGACCTGTCGGAGAAAACGGCCAAAAGGCACTCGAAGGTTCATCTGGCAATCAAATGCTAGCATCTGAGATGCCTAAACCTCCTGGTCAGGACGATGATGTGGAATATGCCGCCATGACAGGGGAATGAAAAGTACTCCTGCGATCTCAACAATTCATGGGCCATGATTCTGGGTCTGTGTTGAGCAGTGCCTAAATTAATTGCTGGATTCACCGACGTGTCATTCAGCAACAGATGAGACTTAATATGTACGCCAGCATCGAAGTGCATACAACCACCTGGAGATATTCTGCGGAGCAACCCACCCAGCCCTCAGGGCCCGGACCTTCAAGATCGTTTGTCTCACGTCTGAGCGACATCCTCGATACGTTTTACGTGCTTTGACAACTGCATCAGGAGTGCAAGTCCGAGGTTCGAGGCTCACGATCGATTCGACGAAATGCTAGATGATTCACCACGACAGCACTATGACTGTCTTGGTTCTGCTGAGAATTGACGTTTCGCCGCTGCATTGAGTGCGGTGTGAGGTTTTCCTCGAAGTACGAACGCATCTGGCTTGATTCTGTTGCGGACTAGTACGATTGATGCTTAGGTACGGAACAAAAACTTCGGAGATCAATCGGAGACGACGGCGTTGACCGACATGACCCTTTGTTCGATGCGATACATCGTCCCACGTCAGAGTACGGATTCGTTTCTGTGTCAAGACTAGAAGGTCGTTGGGGCAGATGCGACAGCTTCGAACCGACAGCATACGTGTATGAGCTTTGCTGGTGTGACAGATCAGAGGAGAGAATTGTGATTTCAGTCAGGCAATGTGCTAAGTACTTGGGAAAGAAGTACGCTATTTCCGTATTACAGATGGGTTCTAAATTCAAACATCACATACATGCGAGCATTTTCGATTCCGATCCAAGTAGCTGCGTACAGAATCGCCCGCATTGCTGATCTGCTGCGTATTCATCGTGTATGCCCAGGTGCTGCGCGCGATTGATGTTTCTTAGGGTTGGGGTTGCTACCTCGGTCTCGAGTCGTCGCGACCAGAACGCTAATGGGACGACTACTTCACTCGTACCGTCAGATCGAGAGCCGTACAGCGTCATTTGGTGTGTATATTGCTAGAAGTGTCAATTAGTGACTATTTGAACTCGGTTTTCGAATCGGGATTCTTGGTGACGTGCAGTGCTACGTCGTTGACAACCTGCGGCCAACATGTCTCGACCTCCGAGCTTGCAAAATGTCTCCATTGATGTGGACAATCAAGCCATTGCGATTTTGAAATACAATCGACCACAGAAGGGAAACTCATTGAACGTCCCTTTCCTGAAGGTGAGTTTTACCATCGCAGCAAACGACCTCGTTTCATTCTCGCAAGCGTCCCGTTGCGAAATGCCCCATCCCTCGCATCACCAGATCGAAGTGGCGAATGGAAAGCCATAAGTCACGACTGTCGACTAATCAAGCGTACAGGATCTTCTGACTGCACTACAATGGACTGAGAGCAACGATGCGATCCGAATCATAATCACGACGGGTGAAGGGCGATTCTATACCAATGGTGATTTTCACATTTCCCGATCTACTTTTACCGCAACAAGAAATCTGAACTGACCGACGGCGCAGGATTGGACTTTCTCGATCCGACCAATTCCATGCCCGGAGCGACGGTCTCGGATGAATTCATCTCTACGATCAGGTAAATAGAAAACTCCCAACCGATGAGATGGGCAACAGACCACCGATCTCCGATCTCCCGCTACGGAAGTAACAGACGCTAATGCTGCCTCTGGTAGCAAAATCCACGAACATCTAATCCGAACCGACAAGACCGTCATCTCCGCCGTCAACGGCCCAGCGCCCGGCTGGGGCACAACATCCATCGCCCTCTCCGACCTCGTCTATTCCGTCCCCGAAGCAATTTTCTTCACGCCATTCGTGCAATGGGGGATCTGCGCCGAAGGGTGTTCGTCGCTGACATTCACTCGAATCCTGGGTCGCGCGAAGGCTTCGGCGTTGATTCTTGCGGGACAGAGATTCACAGCGGCCGAGATGGAGAGCGCTGGATTGATCACGAAGATCCTTCCCAAGGAGGATTTCTTGGAGGGTGTTTTGAAGATTGCGAGGGGGATGGCCGCATTGCCGAAGGATTCATTGAGGTTGAACAAGAATCTCTTGATGACTGCGGCGGGTTATCGTGAGGAATTGTTGGAGGCGAATCGGAAGGAAATGGTTGGGCTGGGGGAGCAGGCTCGGAGGAAGGAGAGTTTGGATGCGGTGGCGGCGTTTGCGAGAGCAACTGAGGCGAGGAGAAAGGCAAAGGCTGCGAAGGCCGCAAAGCTATGATGGTTTATCTGTATGGAGACAACCGCCAACGGCATCGCTACCGAGCTTTGTGTTCTCAGCAGATATCCCAGGCTGAGGCTGCAAATGTAACATCACAAATATCATAACATAGTGGGTGGTAGCGAAATACTGTTCATTGATTGTGCGCCTTGACTTCTCAGCAATACGGCACGAGCGTCAGTCATAATACTTTTCAAGGTTTCATTCACTTTACGTGCAGAGATAACCCTCAAGCACCCTAGTACATCCGGGATCCGCCTCCTAGGCAGACCCGCCCTGCGCCAGCCTTGCCAGCCACGCCGCCCAGAAGATGAAAGACAAACGCCATGCCTGCAATGAATTTCGTACGAACAACACTCAAAGAACTTTCGTCTATTTCTTGGCGTTGGCCTCCTCCTCGGCCTTGTCCTTCTGGCGCTTCTCGCGGGCACCCCGGTAGCGGGCCTCGCTGCGGGCGTCGCGGAGTTTGCGGTAGGCGTTCTCGGTGGGCTTGAAGTCGGAGATCTTGCCGTCCTCGGGGACGTACTTGTTCGAGATGGGGAAAGCCTGGGCGCTGTGCTTGATCTTGCCGTCGTGGGGGAACTCGCCGATCTGCTTGGCAGCAGAGACTTCGTCGGCGGGGGCGTCGCCAGTCTTGGGCTTGCCGTTGGCGCGAGGGAAAACAACGAGGCGCTCCTTGTATGCCTTCAGTCGGGCGACGTTGGCCTTGAGGGACTCCTCAGAGAAGTTCTGTCGTCGGGGGTCGACAGCGATACCAACGGTGGGAGCGAGCTTCCTGGGGATACCGGCTTCCTACTCATTGTCTCAACATCGATTCTTTTGATCATCCGTGATCGGTCCTCCTTACCTTGAGCTCAGCGAAGGTGAAACCACGGCCAGCGCGGACGCGACGGTTGTACTTGACAGTCGGGCATCGCACAACGGGCCTCAGACGGTCGACAGGGCGAGGCGCGACCTTGGCAGCCTTCTCGAGGCGGGCATTTCGCCTGCTAGCTTTCTTGCCAGCCTAGAATTGGTGTGTCAGAGACATCGATCTTTTGCACTGCAGGCGCCACTGCGCTCAGCACGGGGAGTGTGAGGCGGGAATTACCTGGTCGAAGTGCACGCGGACACGGCGTTGCCAGTCCTTGCGGAAATCTGTCCACGGTCAGTACTGGCCAACATGGTAATACAACATCTGGGCATTCATACGGTTGTGCTGGATCTGCTGGTTGTGCTTGATCGTCATTTTGGCGGTGTTGAATCAAGCAATCTTGCTGTGTTGTCGTCGTGACCTGAATTCTCCTTCAATCGTGAACTTTGCGATTGTGGAGTTCCAGTGGCTCGGTGCGGAAAATCCTTTCGCCGGCCAAAATCTTGGCAATCGGGACATGCGACTTTCGGCTGATCTTCGGAAGTGCTGCGGGCGGACGCGCTAATTCCACGTCGCGTTCCCGCAACGCGTGCAAGTTTCCCCTCGCGACACAGCATTGAAAGTAGAGCGCGGCTTAATATCCATAACATGACATATCGCGAACGTCGCAGGAGACATCAACATTTCGGTTGAACCATTTTCAACTGTCCAGCATGGTCTCGAAAGCGGAACGCCTTGCGCAGCTGCGCGCTCTGAGAGCTGCAGGCAAGACCGGTTTCGATGCCTACGAAGTGCAAGAAGCCGAGTCAATATATGAGACGGTCGATGACGAAGGTTACAAGAAGGTTGTCAGGAGTCGTCTCGATCAAGATGACTTTGTCGTCGACGATAATGGTGAAGGATACCTCGACGATGGTCGTGAAGATTGGCAAGATGAACGTCAAGCCTCTGACAGTGAGAGCGGCGAAGATCTTCCCAAGAACAGCAAAGCGGGTAAGTGCTGCCAATGGCGTTGAATTGTCCCGTAGCTGACTGTATACCAGCCAAGAGGAAACGGGAAGAAGACGCAGACCGACAGGAGAAGTTGAACAGTGGGATCAGCAAATACTTCAATCAGAAGCCAGCCGGCGCCGCTTTGAAAGCCAAACCTGTGCGAACGGCGGAGGATGACGACTTCATGGCGAGTCTTCTCGGCGAGGTCAACACTAACATCCAGAGCCGCACTCCCACTTACGGCAAACAAATGCGGAGCAATGATCGCCGCAAGACAAGAGTCCTGTCCCCTGCGCTCGACGATCAGGAGCGAGAGCACCGACGTGCCAGCCGTCACACCAATGCAAACAACACGCTTTCAACGACGCCGCCCGTCTCGAACAGACTGCAAGACGACGACGATGATAACATGTACCTCACCGTGCCACAAGACGACGACGTTCCGATGAGCGATCCACTTCCGTCATCACCAGCAGCTCGGGCTGTCGAACGCAAAGCAAAAGCTGCAATCAAACTGGAAGAGGTAGAGGAAGACGACATGATGGAGGTGGCAGAGGTCACGGGTCATTCCACATTGAAGAATGCCAATGTAAACATCAAGGGCAGTCGGCCTGTGGCCAGACATACCAAAATCGCCTTACCGACACCTATCAGCTCATCTCCTGTTGCGGCAGGCGATGGCCCCGACATAGCTGCGATCAGCAAAGTGACCGATCGACTCAACCTTGTGAGCAGTCCAGCCCCACAGACCGCATCGGCTGGAAAGCTCTCAGCCAGTGATGCGCTCGAAGATGATGGGACCCTCCGATTTTTCTGGACTGACTACACCGAGGTTCGAGGCGAGCTCTGCCTTTTTGGAAAGGTGAAGAACCGCAAGAACGACAGCTTCGTTTCCTGCTTTGTGAAAGTCAATAACATCCTCCGGAAATTGTACTTTCTGCCGCGTGAGCACCGACATCGCAACGGCCGTGACACGAGCGAAGAGGTGGAAATGGGAGACGTTTATGAAGAAGTTAACACTTTGATGGACAGATTCAAGGTATCGATGCACAAAACGAAGCCATGCACTCGGAAATATGCCTTCGAGCTGCCCGGAGTGCCAAAGGAGGCAGAATATCTCAAGCTCCTCTACCCCTACGACAAACCCGTGCTTCCCATGGATGTTCGTGGAGAAACATTCTCGCACGTTTTCGGAACCAACACATCTCTGTTCGAGCAATTCGTACTGTGGAAAAACATCATGGGTCCGTGCTGGCTCACCATTCAGGATGGAGACTTTAACGCCGTGAACAATGCGTCATGGTGTAAGCTCGAACTCGCAGTCAACAAGCCGAACGACATTACAGTGTTGGCCGAAACAGAAGCCACAGACACACCTCCTATGACACTGATGTCGTTAGTCCTCAAGACCACATTCAACGAGAAGGAAAACAAGAACGAGATTCTTGTTGCCAGCATCAGAGTCTTCGAAGATGTTTCCCTCTCTGACACAACTCCACCGGACAGGTTGCCCAATCACACGCACACCATCATGCGGCCCTACGGCGAGTACCCTGTTGGATTCAAATTGCTGGCGGACAAGCACAATGGGTCAATCCGCATGGAGAAGTCAGAGGCAGCGCTGCTGAGCTTCCTGCTCGCGATGATCCAGAGATATGACCCGGATGCACTTGTGGGCCATAAGTTGGACGACGTAGACTTCAACGTGTTGCTCAGTCGTATGCGTGATCGCAAGACTCCCGGCTGGCACCGAATCGGTCGACTGAAGCGTGCAGATTGGCCGAAGAATGTTGGGAAAGGTGGCAGCAGCTTCTACGTCGAGCGTCAATTAGTAGCCGGCCGTCTGCTCTGTGATATTGCAAATGACATGGGCAAAAGCATCATGCAAGGTTGTCAATCTTGGAGTTTGGACGAGATGGTCAAGCTCTTTCTACCGGACGCTCATACTCGCAGAGAGATTGACATCGAGAAACAACTCGCGATGGCGTCAACCAAGGAGGGCCTCATGGGCGTTGTCAAGCTATGCGAGGCCGACACATACTACATCGCATCCATCGCTTTAAGAAAGCAGCTGTTGCCGCTCACGAAGATTCTGACGAATCTGGCCGGAAACTCATGGGCGAGGACCTTGAGCGGCACACGCGCTGAGCGTAACGAGTACATTCTGCTCCACGAGTTCCATCGTAACAAGTACATTAACCCAGACAAGATCTTCGGTAAGGGACCTACCAATCAAAAGCTCGACGACAATGCCGAAGGTGAGGGAGAAGAAGGAGCCAACACAAAAAAGAAAGACAAGTTCAAGGGCGGTCTTGTCTTTGAGCCAGAAAAGGGTCTGTATGACAAGTTTATTCTTGTTATGGACTTCAATTCCTTATACCCCAGCATCATCCAGGAGTTCAACATCTGCTTCACAACCGTTGAACGAGGCCATCTCACAGAAGAAGACGAAAAAGTTCCGGATGTCCCAGAGGACACCGCCAACAAGGGCATTCTCCCACGCTTGATTCGAACACTCGTCAGTCGAAGACGAGAGGTGAAGAAACTAATGAAAGACAAGAGCGCCTCTGAGGAACAACGTGCGACCTGGGATGTCAAGCAACAAGCCTTGAAGTTGACTGCAAATTCCATGTATGGTTGCCTCGGTTATACCAAGTCTCGATTCTATGCCAGGCCGCTGGCTGCCCTTACCACCTCAAAGGGTAGAGAGATTCTCCAGTCAACGAAGGATCTCGCTGAGTCGACTCACGCACTTCGCGTCATCTATGGTGACACGGACTCAGTCATGGTAAACACTAACGTGGACAACGTTCTGGAGGCCATCCAAATGGGCAAGGAGTTTCAGAAAAGCGTTAATGAAAGATACGAGCTTCTGGAAATCGAAATCGATCACGTCTTTCGCCGACTACTTCTCCATGCGAAGAAAAAGTATGCCGCGATCCAGATGGTGGAGAACAATGGCGTATGGGAGTCCAAACTGGATGTGAAGGGTCTCGACATGCGACGAAGAGAGTACTGTCAATTGTCAAAAGATGTCTCTGGGTTAGTACTTGTCTGAATTCTTGTGTCATGATGTGCGAATGCTGACGTTTTGTAGCGAATTGCTGAACTACTTGCTTTCAGGCGAGGACTCAGAAAAGGTCGTCTCTCAGATCCACGATCATCTCCGCTCTGTCGGAGAAAAAATGCGTAATGGTGAATACCACGTCGCAAAATACACTATTCACACCCAGCTCGGCAAGCATCCCAAGGAGTATCCAAATGGAAACTCCATGCCTTCAGTGCAAGTCGCACTCAAGAAACTCGCCAAAGGCAAACCTGTCAAAGCAAAGGATGTCATGGCCTTCGTCATCTGCGGAGACAGCTCGAGCTCGGCTGAGAATGCTGCCAAGAATGCATATGAGCTTGACGAGGTCATGGAGAAGGACAGCGGGCTCAAACCTGACGTTGATTACTACTTGCACAAACAGATTCTGCCTCCGGTTGAGCGACTTTGCGCTCCTATCAGCGGAACCAATGTCACACTCCTGGCGGAATGTCTCGGCCTAGACACAAGCAAGTATCGCGTTAGCAGTGCAAGCAAGGCGGTTGAGCAAAGCAATGAGATCACGACTCTGGATAGTCAAGTACCCGATCACATTCGTTTCAAGGACTGTGATCCGCTCAACCTCATCTGCCTGGGATGCAAACATCACTTCGAATACCGCGGTTTGAATTATTCTCCTCCCGCAGATCTAGAAATCGTGACGCCGCTTGCAAAGCTCACAAACTCTGGTCTTACGTGCCCACGGCCAGAGTGCCCGAAACAAATCATGACCACTCTCACCGCATCTGCACAACTCGAAAGTCAAATACGACGACATACAGCGAAATACTACTCTGCATGGCTTGTGTGTGACGATTCCGCATGCGGCGCACGAACAAGACAGATGTCTGTCTACGGCCACCGTTGCCTTGGTCCTGACGGCCTGGCATATGGCTGCTCAGGACGGATGCGTTTCGAGTATAACGAGAAAGCCCTCTACAACCAGCTTCTATATCTCCAGAGCCTGTTTGATGTGGACAAGAGCCTTGAGAAACTCTCTGCCGCCGGACTCGGCAAGATCAAGGCCGAGGGTGGCGACGAAAAATTGGAGAAGGTCAAGATTCTGGCTGGCATGAACCGGGATCGATTTGACATTTGTAAAGATGTGGTCCGACAGTATCTCGATAAGAGTGCTTGGGGTTGGGTCAGCATGGATTCTCTGTTTGGATATGCGAGGAAGAATCTCGGATGATTCTCGCGAATGTTATACATAATGAGTGCATTATGGAATGCAGGAATTGGAGGATTGGCGTCAAGGCATCAAATAGGGAATGTGGTTTATGAATATATCAGACGCAGACGATTCAAAACAAGAAGTTTTATTTTGCCTATGATTCGTATGTTTCTACCACAATCCTCAGCACCCATTTACGCCGCTCCACCTCGTCCTCCGACTTTGTTCAAAGCCTCGACCTGCGCTGGCGCCATCGCCACGGCGGGCAGCGTGATATCTGCAACACTGGCCTTGGGCGGAGGAGGTAAGAACCCTCTCGCAACCAAGAAAGCGACATACGCAGCCACCGCCTCAACAGTGACAGCCGCAGGCGTACTTCCCTCTTCCCGAGCATTCCACTTGTCCGCCTTCAGCGCCGCCTGAGCATTTCGGTCGTCCAAATTGGGCGCCTTGGTCGCCTCCGGCAGATCGCTCGTCACCATGTGGAACAAACCCAGCAAAGCGAGATCTTCCTTGCCGGCGGCCGGGCCATCTTCGACAAATTTCTCCACGCGACGGGCCCACAGGTCATATGATTCGACGGGCGCATCATAACCGAATTTCTCCAACGCCCCGAGGAAGTCGTTGAAAGTGAGCCGCGGTCGCGCGTCCACGTGGGCGATGCTGCCGCTCGGGCTGTAGATGGCGGCGGAGGTCACGACGCGGGCGACGCGGGTCACGGGGACCATGTTGATGGTGTTGGAGACGTCCGGACGGGCGCCGACTTGGATGCTGCCCTTGAGCATGCGCACGAGGAAGTCGTCGGTGTTGCTGACGCCGGATTGCGGGTCGCCCATGACGTATCCCGGACGGATGATGGTGCCGTTGAGGCCTTGCTTGCAGGCGGCGCGGATGAGCGCTTCGGAGACCCATTTGGTCTGGCCGTAGCCGGTCGTGAGGGCGGTGCGGCTGCCGCTTAGATCGTCGGATTCGAGGACCGGTTGGCCTGAAGCGGATTGTTGGACGAAGTGCTCGGCATCGAGGGTGCTGGTGGAGCTGACGAAAGCGAAACGTTTTGGCTTGCCGGTGGCGCAGATCTTGATGCCTTCGAGGGTGCTGAGGACGTTGGCAGCGCGGAGGTTCTCGTATGGCATCAGCCAGTGCACACGGGCGCCGTTGTGGATGATGAGGTCGGCCTCCTCTATGATCTTCTTATGGTCGGCATCGTTAAGTCCTAAGCGAGGCTTCTCGAGATCACCCAGGACAACCTCGAGGTTGCCTTCGGTGATCCACCAGTCTTGCCACAGGCCGTACGCTGTGCATGTTTGCCGGATACGCTCCAAGCCGGCTTTGGCTGAAGAGGCACGGACATGTGCATACACATGTAAGGCAGGCTGTCGTGAGAGAGCGTCGTGAAGGACATATGCTCCGAGGAAACCGGTTGCACCAGTGAGCAGAACATTGATACCCTTCTCCACGCTCGGAAGCTCGGCGCTGGGAATGGATGCAGGAAGGGCAGAAATGTGAGATGGCAGATCGTCAGCATAGTGCTGTTGCGGTTCTTCCGACTCTTCCTCATCTTTGCCAGCGTGTGTTGAGGAAGGGTTGAGTGATTTGTCGATGTATTTCGCCACGCTCTTGAGAGTCGGATTGCGGCCAGCCATGACCGACATAGGCACATTTACGCCTTGCCAATGACGATTGATCTTTGGCACAATCTGCACTGTCATGATGCTGTCGCCGCCAAGATCGTAGAAGCTGGTCTCTCGTGGGAGAGTCTCTGAGGTGTGATTGCGAGTCTTGAGATGGGCTGCCCAGATATCAGCCAACGCTGACTCGGTCTCTGTGCGGGAGCTAAGATCGGTAGCTTTGGGGATCGAGCCAAGAAGATCAGCTGCTTCGGGAAACGGCAGCGCTCTCTTGTCAACTTTGGCATTTGGCGTGAGTGGGAAGCGGAGCATGGGGATGAAGAGAGTTGGAACTGCATAGACGGGCAATTTTTGCTTCAAAGTCTCTCGAGCATCTGCTGTCAAAAGCTCGAACACCTGCATGCGCTCAACAAGCGTATTCGCGTCCGTGATGTCTTGTCGTTGGGGGATCGCGCTGCCGCCCTTTGCATTCTGCTCCTGCTCAGCATACCACTGCTTCCACTTGGTGATATCTGGGACATAGTATGAGACCAGAATCTGCTCTTCGTTATGATCGCGTTTCACCAGTGTGACATTTTCACGGATCAAGGGATGTTGGCTCAGGTGAGTGTCGATCTCTCCCAGTTCTATGCGGAATCCACGAATCTTGACCTGGTCATCTGCCCGACCAACACATTCGACATTGCCATCCGGCATGTATCGGCCAAGATCACCAGAGCGATACATGCGATCTCGAGGGCCGAAGAAGACTTCTCTCCATGGTTCTGGCGATCCCTTGGCGGCGACTCGCTCATTGTCTTCATCGATCCAGCGCTGCGAGTCGACAAACCAATTGGCCACAAACTTCTCGGCATTCTTCTGCTCGTCGCCGAGATAACCCTCTGCAAGACCCCCAGCACGAACGTAGATCTCACCAATCTCACCCACCTCGCACTGGCGCTCCTTCTTCTCGCGATCGACCACAAGCAGTTGTACGTCCAGCATACCACGTCCTGCAGGAATTACATTGCTCATGTTTTCGAGGTAGTCCGGGTTCTCGCTTAGAGACGGAATCTCGTAGTAGCTGACAGCACGTTGTGTCTCTGTTGTGCCGTACATGTTCTTGATTCTGCAGTTTGGAGCAAGTTGTTGCAACCGACGACAATCACGCTTCAGCAAAATGTCACCAACGAAAAACGCTGCGTGAAGACTGGGAATTTTGGGTTCTGTGCTACCAAGGAGAATTTGGCCCATCGCTGGTGTCAAATGAGTAACAGAGATCTTGTTTGTGCTGGCCCAGTTGGCCAGTCTGTCGAATGTGATGTCTTCAGCTGGAGGCACAATCAAAGATGCGCCGAGAAAGAGTGGTGTGTAGATATCCCTTTGGATCGGGTCATGAGCAATACCACTCAGCATGGAGAAGCGCTCGTTCTCGGTCAAATTGAAACGTTCAGACATCCAAGGGAAATAATACGCTAGAGAGAAATGACGTCCTCGAACACCTTTGGGTCGACCTTCTGAGCCAGATGTGAAAGAGAGGGTCGGGTTGCTGTCCGGGCCAACCACGACGCCAGGAAGACTCGCTTTGGACGATGTGGCGGCTTGGAGAACATCGGCGCCGCCATCGATCGATCCACCAGAGACAGAACCATCATCCTGAAGCTTCAGAGCCGGGATCTCCGTTCGGATCTGTAGATTCTCTTGGATGAAGTCTCGGACAATCTGATGGAGCGGACCAGCTTCCTTTGTGGCCTTTTCGATCACGATGAGAGCTCGTGGTCTGGCCACATCCAAATAGATGTTCTGTCGCTCAGGTGGGTAGGCGGGATCGATGACGCTGAATGTGGCACCGGCTTTCAATACACCCATGACTGCCACTACCAAGTCAACACCTCGATGGGAGTAAAGCATGACAACTTCTCCACGCTCGACGCCATTGTTGACGAGATGGTGAGCCACGATGTTGGATGACTCGTTGATATCGCGATAGGTGAAATTCCGTTCTGGAGAAGTTGATGATGTTGTCTCTACAACACATGATCGATCGGGGTGTTTGGCAGCATTGGCTGCGAAGATCTCGTGGATGGCACCGCGGTAGTCCGACCAGTGAAGGTCAGATGTCGGATCTGGTCGCACGTCGTCCGAAGAGAGAGCCATGATAAGTGTTTTTTTGTTTTATTCAGTCCTCTCTGTTGTTGTTGGTGGTGGAAAGTTTCAATGGGTCACAGTCATCGATATCCGACGCTGTCGACCAGGGGTGAGGGGTCTTGAAATTGATATGGATTCGGAGATCGACACAGTGTTGGTCTATAAGAAGGTTCAGAAGAAGATTTGATATGTCGACGACGAGCACGACTCGGGACCAATCGCGCTATCTTCGTAAAAACATTTAATGTTCATACATGGGACCGACCTCCTCTTGTATCTAGTACCGTATCGACAGGGTCCATTGATGCTGCAATCGAGACATTTCTCCCCACACTGTACCAAACGTCACACAGCCAAAACTTTTCCTCCGTCCTCGGCACAATCAACGACGACGGGTGAAGCCGGGCGTCGAGCGGACAGATCCGTCGACCAGTCCCGATGCGGAGTCATCCTCACGCAATGGCACACAGCCTGGAGCACAGCAATTCTGTGCCATTCAAACTGTCCGCAAGAACCTCTGGGATCAATTCGTCCTCACTGGAGCAAAAGTGTCCACCACTATATCGCGTCCTTCCTCCGATCGCCCATTCCCGCATCGGCCCTACCGATCGGCTTCCAATTCCGTGTCGAGTCCATCTCGGGCCGCAGTCATGCCCGGCTCTGGCAAGCAGTCAAATGAGGTGCAAGCTCAAATAAAAGAATTGCTCGAGGCTGGCTTCGATCCCACCACGATACATCGTCGATTGAAAGTGGGACGTAGCTCAATATATCGTATGAAACGTTGCCTGGAACAACATGGAACAAATTACATGCCACCTGAGTTGAACAAGAAAAATGGTCGTCCGAAAGTGCTGACGGCAGAGCAAGAATTGGTAAGTCCTCATTTGTACGACTCACGCCCTGTGTGTAAATTTCGTGCGAATGAATGCTGTAGCGTGAGACATCAAAAATTGATGCTTTTTGCATACAATTTGATCTGAACATCATTCGAAGCTGACCATATGTCCAGGAAGTTCTCGATTGGCTTCGTGTCCCATCCAATCGAAATCGATATCTCGACGACTTGGTATGGCTGATCCATGATCGTTTCCACATTGTCTGCAGCACGACGACCATGTCCAAGATGAAGCGGAAGTGGTTACGGGTTATCGAGTTTGAGGAATCCGGCCAGCCCATCGACGAAGTCACGCGACAGCAGCTCTTGGAGACGCATCCGGATCTGCCCCTGCTGCAGGGAACATCGGCAACGAGTACACATTCGATGGATCATCGAGAACACCACAGTCATGGATTAGGTAGTGCAATAAATCACGAATCTGGCGAACTTCTCACACCCATCGACGATCCATCGCAAGATCTCCCTCAAGATGAGAATTCAAATCCACATCCCTTCGACCAACAACAACCACTCCCTAGCCAACAAGATCTCCATCTCCACCACACTCCCTTCCCGGAGCAAGAACTCCCCCCAGACCTCATCCTCTCCTCATCCCATCTCCAACCATTCCCATCTCAACCCAACCACGACGACGCAATCCAGCCCGACCTCGCCGAGCACACACACACACTCCAGCCGCCAGATCATATCTTCCCAGACAACCAGATCGACTTGTCAATATCCGGCCAAGAAGACCGCCTGCATTCCCCGCCTCCTCAGATTGACAGACGGCTCGAGCGACGGATTCACGATGAAATTGCAACAGCGAATGCGGCGGTGGTGACGGCGGCTGCGGCGGTGGCGGTCGCTGATGGAGGACGGTAATGATTGCGAAAATATGGTGTTTTTCAATGTATGATCAGAATGTTTATCGAGTGGCGCAGGCGTGGATTTGAGGTCTGATGTTTTCAGTGAACAGATGGGCTGTATGGAGGCGTTGATTGGCGTTCTGGTGCCGGATGGGCCATTGCTCAAGTGGATGATTGCTTGATATCTTGATGGCTTTCCGGGTTTATGAATGTATTGCTGCTCCGAGAAGTTGAGTTGAGGGGGACACACGGCTGACTGCAGTTATTGTATGCATGAGTCGCATCAAGAAACGTGACCCGGGACCATCACGACGTGGAACCCGCTCATATAATTGCACATATCTGCCCACCGCAGGAGATTCTACCAGAAATGACACTTCATGTACATGTGCATCGACATTCCCAAAGCTTTCTCATAAAAAGCCCGATAAAAATTGAAAGCCGTGCACATGAAGAGAAGACCAGGAATCTTGCAAACCACTCAACTCAGCCCCTCTGCCAATCCATCACCGATGCTCCGATCAATGCCTTCCTCTCTATACCTCAAAGGCGTATGAACATCCTCTTCAAGCCTTGCCCTCTTAGCCTTCTCCACGTCCGACGAATTCGCTACCACAGAAGCAGCATCATCCGTCGAATTCCCATCGACGAAACTCCTCGCCTTCGCCGAGTTATTGTTAGAGGCAGCATTCCGCGAACCGCCGAACCAACCTTTCTTCGCAGTAGCAGAAGAGCTCGCGCGTGCGCGAGTTGAAGTGCTCGAATTTGAACGAAGTTCGCGGCCCGTGGCGGTGGGGGTTGTTGGCGATGCGGTTGGGAGGTTGGTGGTGGAGGGAGATTGGTCGGGGTTGGCTGGGTCGAGAGTTGGGACGACTTCGACAAGGGCGGCATCGCGGATCCAGCGGCGGCGACGGGTCCATTTGGTCCAGGAGTCGTCGGTTTTACTTCCGCCGCGCCATTTGTTGTCGTAGTATATCCAGCCTTCGCTGGAACCAGCAGAGCCGGCGATGGTGGATGTGGCGGCGGTCTTGCCATCACCTGAAGGAGAGACGGAGGATGCGGGACCTAATGCGTCGTCTGTCCAGCTGGGATCTACGCGCCATTCGCTTCCTGGAACCCAGCGCCATTGAATGGTATCAGATCCGGTGCTAGGCAAGGTGAAGTGTTGGAGATCTGCGCACGCATTGCCGTGTTCCTCGGTCCATGCTTGTCGTTCTGCGGGCAGAAGGTTTGAGGTGAAGCCCAGTCCCACCCATCTTCGCTGATTCTCGTAAATCGCAAACGTGAAACTGACACCTGCTGCTTTCGAATCTTTGGTGTTGTCCGATGTTTCAGACTGCAGAGCACGGGCGACGGCTGAGTTGGGATGGTAAGCTGAGCCTGGAGGGATGGTTAGGCCGGTATGATTTGTCAATTGTAATCCAGTGACAAGGCTTGCAAGATAGCGAACGGAGTGGCTACGCCATAGTATTGTTCGGGACACCCTTGCGGGGACAGAGTGCCAGGTCAGGCCAACAGTGCCGATCACCAGGGTGATGCGAGTCGTGGTGATGATACCGATTGGAGGCAGTGCAAGAATGATCCATAGCGGCGTGATCGCCATGAGACGGAGAAAGAGAGATGTCAGAGAAGGTCGTGGCGACGCAGAAGTGGCGGAGGTTTGGGTGCTCAAAAAATCCGTGAACTGAAGGAATGGGTCGATGATGACATCACATCGGTTGGTGAACACGCGGAGTGTCTCGAGAATCTCGTCCAGACTCTTGCGTGGAGGCGGAGTGCTCGATAATGAAGCAGGATTTGATTGGCGGCGACTTTTCTCCGAAGCTGTAGACCAATTTGTACTAGAAAGAGGATTGTACCTCCGCGAGTGCATGGCTACCACAATCACGCCAATGGCGACGAGAGGGCCAGTCCACCGGAGTATCGTATCGAGGTATAGTGTGATGAACCAGAAGCAAGCAACAAAGAGAAAGCTCTCCCATGGATCTCCTGTCGTCCATGTGATAAGCCCTGCCAGAGCATTCAGAGGAAGAATGAATGGATGTGAGTACGCTAAGGCACGCGTGATCTGTGGAGGAGTAGAAACGAGCAGTGGGGACTTCTGATGGATCACGACTGCACGATTTCGATGTCGTGTCGCTGTTTGCTGGTTTGGCGAAAATGCAGCAATCGTGGCATCAGGAACACTATTGTCTCGAGGACCATTGTCCAGACCGCTGCGGGTCCGCGAGGAAGTTGGCCTTTCGCTCATTGGGGCCATCCACGGGGTTTCTATAGAGTTACTGATTAGCCGAGTGATCCGACGACGTGTGCCCATTCTGGCATGGCTTGGTGACGCAAAAGATCAGATGCAAATGAGAGAAGAAAAGACATCATGTCGAAGCGCATTGCTGACTCCTGTACTCCCGACATGGAGCATATGCGAGCCTCATGAATTGAGGCTATGCTGGAGTAGCGAGCATCATGTATCGGCCATGGATATTTCCACAGATGCCTTGATCAGGCAGCCGCTTTCTCATACTTTCACCAGCTCGAGAAGTGACACAGCGGGAGCGAGTCAATCCCGAATTTAATGAGACGACCACACTCAAGGTATCGTACACCGGCACGAGCCATGTAATGAAGAAAGGAATAGGATGCACAAGACATCGTAAATTTCTTACCGAGAGCAGCCATGAACAATTGTTCTGCTGAAGGAGGGAGGAATTCGAAATGTGCGGAGAGGCGCGCGGCCCTGCAACTGACAGCAAGCGCGGCAAATGACGTGTCGTGATGGCAGTACAAAGAAGTAGTAGAAGGACAACCAGCAAAGATATCACAGCGCAGCAGGAGCAGAGGTAGGCAACGAGACCTGACGTACTTCTGTAACTCACCTCGGCCGGCGAGCGATCAAGATAAATTTGCAGAGGTCCGAGCAAGTGCGCGCGTGCGAGAATGTTTCGGGGATCTCGAGTGGAGCAGCCAACTCTTCTCTCTATGTCATCGCCGCGGCGAAGGCGGAAACAGAGTTTGAACTTCTTGCAGAGGGCGGAGCGGTGGGACAAGCCAAGACCATTCACGTCGATGATGATTATTCCGCCGTCGGGAGGGAGGAGAATACGTTGATCACCTTCGTCAGTCCGTGTGCTGACATGTGATCGTGTGTTCAATTGTGCATGTGTCTGCCGTTGCGTAATAATGTCCACCAGCGTCGGCTGTCGGCTGACGGCTGACGTCGGTCTTCCGTCCCGCCGGGGCTCGCCAACAGCCGCAGCGAGACAGCAGCCAGCCATCGACACAACAACTTTCTGGGGCAAATTCAGGATCACTGCGTCTGGTCGATGCAACACATCACGACCAACTTTCAGATCTTGAAAAACCATGGCAGACCTTACGGAGACCAATGAACGGTGTCAGGTATTCATGAAAGGCCTGGAGCTCATGCTATTTGAAAACGAATGAATACAATGTGGGCTGAAAACCCTAAGGAACAACCAGCCCATGTCATTGTTCAAAGCTATTCACGGATCGCTTCAAGGCCTGATAAAATAACGCAGGGTACAAAGCGTCTTGGCAGAAAGGAAATAGAAGCAAGAGCACTCAGGGATCCTCATAATTCAAGGGTGCTTGCTCCGAGCATTGAATTCCTTGGAAAACCGGGACATGTTCAAACATCACTAGGTATCGCTCTCCAGAGGATTCCTTCCCGCACTAATATTGTGTCTCAAACTCTAGCGTCACGAGGATGCCTGGTAAAGTTCTTCAGTAGGGTGTAGCAGCGTGCGGAGCCACACGCTGAGCATCATCATAGCAATCCTGTCGATTCGCGTAGCCCGCGTGATGTGGGATCGATGCATACTGGGACGCGAGTGATACTAACCAGTTCAAGTGGACCACACGATGGATTGGGAGGATTGTCGCAGCAGCACTCCGCGTCGGTGCAGAATGGGGTCGGTGTCCAATTGTCGTTGACCCAGAACCTGTCCCCATGCCAGAAGCATTTGTTGGCGTACACGCTTGCATTTTCATCTTGAAAGAACACAGCAAGCTCCTCAAATTTATCCCACGCGGACGATTGTGGACTCCGTAAGAGATCTTTGACTCGGGGAGGAATGCACTCCGTGATGGCATGTAACCACTCGATGGCGTCTCGTTCTTCGATCGCGGCTCGGCCCTCTGGGTCAAATGGCTGGAAGCCTGAGTTTGTGGAGATACTAGTCACCCTCGAGCAGGTTTGTTTGACTGCAAGGTCGATCCGCCCGCAACCGGGGTCGGCTCACTGGACTCATCAGTCTGATTGTCGGTTTCCACCATTTCCACTCTAGCCCATGACGGGGTTCGATGGAGCAATGTGTTCGCGTTCACTATGAGATTGTGGATTGATTGTCGTGGAGCAGTTTGGGAGTTGTGTCATTGCGAGATCTTGCGTCGGCCGTGGACGACATACAAAGGATGAGAACGCAGGCGAAATTGGCCTAGCATGACGAAGTGCACACTTCCCACCAAACGAGTCAAGCATTGCGAAGTTGTCTTGTTGTAGTTGAAGCGGCGCAGCGCAGCAATACTTAGCAATCGTCTTTAGTTTGGAAATATCGAGGAGAGCGAATGTCTTGAATTGGAGAGATGTCCACGAGAGCAATCACATTGTATACCCATTTAAGGGCTGCATAGCTGGCCACAAGACTCGAGAATGTTTTCTCAAACTTGTAGGGCGCGCGAGAGGCTAAATTGTGTAATTCATTTTGCTTCAGCCTTCGCTGGAATGCGGTTTCGCATCGACCCAGTTTTCGGGCTTCAACACCTGGCGTCCAGATGAAACTAAAGTCCTGTTCCGCAATGTACAATCCAAAAATCCTCGTGATAACGAATAATGTATCATTAGCAAAGAACATTCCAGAAGCTTACAAACTTGTAGTGATGATCTGAAAATTCCACATTGATTTCGTTGCATCTGGCATTATGCAGCTCGGATGGTCATGCTAGTCGTCTTTACTGCTTCCAGCATCGACATGGCGAGGAGTGTGCAATCATCTTGAAATGTCCTGCCGTCGGTGAGTCGAGCAAAGCATTGAAATATGACCAGTTATTGACGAGCCATAATCGAGTGCTTCATGTATCGGATCACACATGGTATATCAGTGTGGGATGACATGAAGTGGTGCGGCCAAACTGAGCTGATTTCAGCCTGAGGCATCTACATCGCGGCGTGTCGGTCCCCTAGAATTATGGTCGGCATCTCAAATCTTGATGTACGACTTCGGCGACACTCCCGAACGACGGCTTTGCCATCATCATAATTTCTTTGTTGAGCGCCACAAGCGAATTGCGGGACATTGCGGCATCACAGTTGCAATTGCAATCGTCGAAATCCACATCGCCTGAAATCATTGACATCACGATCTGCGACGCAGATATTATCTGAACGATGGCGCATCGCATCGTCACTCAGATCGTCTTCACCGGCGCCCGAGTCTTCGGCCGCGCCTTCGCCGAAGCATACAAGCAGGCAGCTGCGTCACAAGTTTGTCTCGCATAAATCTCCTCATCATATCCGGGCATCTTTGTGCTAACGTCAATTCGATGTACAGAAACATGCGGCCTCATCGGGAACCGCAGGAAACACACTTTCATCATCCGGCTTGACACTACAAGAAGCGTGTCAAATTTTGAACGTCTCGCCACCGAAAGCTGGCCAAACAGATGTCACCAGGATCCACGAGCAATTTAAGCGATTATTCGACATGAACGACCCGAAGAGGGGCGGGAGCTTTTACCTTCAGAGTAAAGTGCTAAGGGCACGAGAGAGGATAGAGATGGAGGTACGTGTTGCAGAAGAGGCGCGGCTTCGTGAGCAAGAGTTGAAAGAAGGGTGGAAGCCGAAATTGTATCGCGATCGGTGAATGAGCGATGCCTTGGAAATACACAGTGGCGGATGGTAGCAGGAGGATAAAGAGGCGCAGAAGTTTGGCAGGTTTCATGGTATGCTGATTCAACAATCTCTTTCCCACAGGCGCACAAGCTGAAACAGCAGCAGCAATATGCATCGGCAGAGTCCGCCTCATCCTCATCGACAGCACCGCCAAAGAACAGCTGAAAGCGACAATCGATTTGCGTGTATGAGCGATAACCACGTCGAATCGGTCGATCACACTGCCGAACTGTACCATCACCATCTTCCACAAAAGCCATGTTTCGAGCATCGCCTGCGTGCCTCAATCGCGACTCTTCTTATTGCATTACTAGCGGCGGAGTTTCTGGGCGTCTATTGGGCCAAACTGGCGGGCGACCTCGTTAGACGGAAGAAGGGAGGCTCTGGCGAAGTTTTTCTATTCCTGCGACAACCAATGTGGGGCCTACATGTTTGGAATATCGCATTGCCGCAAAAGCAAACCCTCATTGCTTCTCGATTGGAGTGCAATTACATGTACAATTACTAGATGCGCTGATGACTGCCATATCAACCACATTCTCATGTGTCCTCAAATGTTCCCGAGGACAGGCTCTCTGCCCGACTCAAGCGGACAATCACGATATTCGTCTGGGAAAGGTCTCCTGGGATATTTGATCACGCGCATTCAGTCGATGCTGGGGCTGCAGCTCGGATTACTTCTCCAATCACAGCGTTCTACACCAAAACATCTCCGCTTGCATGGAACTAGAAACACAAAATCTCATACAATCGTGGAAAAATGTAATGACGAAGAAACGATTCCTCTCCTCTTGCCCTACTACACATGTTCCTTCTCCGCAGCTCTCCCCTCTTTTTCGCAGGCAGAAACAACAACTTCTTCAAACATCCTCGCGGAACATACTCCTCCTCTCCAACGGACTATTCTCATCCGCACTCCCTAACGTCGCCACGCTCGGATTCCCCTTCTTATGCCCCTGCTGCTGCTGCTGCTGCTGCGCAGCCCCCTGCGTCTGCGTGACAACCGCCGGCCGGGGACTCACACTCCGTAATTCCGTCGGACTCGCTCCCACCGCCGCATGATCGCCGAAAGGGTTCTCTCTCGGCACAGCACCCTTCGGCGGTCCCGCCGCCGCACCGCCATGCATCTCCTCATCGTACCGCGAATCCAACTCCCGCTGCCGCTGCGCCGCATTCGAGTATCCTGTGCCATGATACATCCCGCCACTGGCATCTCCCATCTCCTGCTCCTCGTAGTATCCACTCGTCTCATGGTCAACACGGGCATCCCATGCCTCGTCTGGGTCTAACGGTCCGAAGCCATGACGGCCTCCGGAGGCCGCGCCGCCGCGACCGACGACAGGCGTGCCGCCGACGCCGCTGTTGTAGCTAGTGTGTTCGTAGGCGCCGCCGGCGGTGCGCCTGTTCCGGATCGAGGCGATTTTGTCATTGAACCAGCCGATGATCCCGCCGGGTGCGGGAGATGGGTTTTGGTAGCTTCGCGGGTTCGGGTTGCTACGGCGTTTGAGGAAGGGAAACCATGAGGGTTTGGGGAGGCCGCGTTTGCGCGCGTTGTATTCGATGTATCTGAGGGAGGGAGGTGGATTGTCAGTTGAATCAGTTCGAGTGGGTTTGGTCTTGACTTGGTAATGTCTATGGGATTTTCTCCATCGAAGGTTGCGACATTGGGAGCAGGTGAATGTGTGAAGGAGCGGGTTCTCTTACACAATGTAACTTATGTAGGCGATTAGTATCAAGACGAAGAGAGTTATGAAGAAGATTCCAAGGCCGCCGAGTGCCATGGCGGCGGTACGTTGTTGAGTTCCGCGGCGGGCTTATGGATTATTGCATGCGATGCGCCTTGAACGAGTTGTTGCTATGACCGTTGTCCAATCTTCGGGAGTTCTGTAATCATGGATTGTTCTCGAGATAGAGGCGGTCCCGTACAAGAAGTGATCGTGTTTCAAAAGGAGGTTGAAGAATCGTGCTGAGCCGCAATTCTTAGTTGTGCTGTGCCTGACGATCCAATCATTCAAGTTTCATCAGAGAGAGCTTATTCCCTGTTGCTGGCTGCTGCGGCGTTCTAAAATTGGGTGACTACGCCGTGCAACGACGTCGCCGATGACGCCTGTTCCGTAAAATGCTGCAGTCGCGTATTATCCATCATACCTAGGTAGACATGCAGCAACACATCCCGGAGCTGAAGGACCGATTGCGACATCTTGAAATACCTTGGATGTACAATAAATATTACGAGTTTCACCCCGGACATGTAGTTTCCTTGCTACTGTGCACACACACAGTGTTCATTCTTACTGAACTGCGTACATTCTGTCCAGCTGGTCTATAAATTAATCGCCGTCGTCTTCGAACTTCACCATGTCTCAAGATTTGTCAGATGGAAGGCAAAGTCAGGGATCGATAGATGACGGCACGGTTTCCTTCACATTCCAAAGTGATGGTCAAGCAGACCAAACAGGCTTGAGATGGATTGCGAAAGATCAGACTCGTATGTCAACACATGTTCAGTGAGAGAATCATGATCCGGTCCAATTGACATGCGATATTTTGTGAAGAATCTTCTTCTAGTACCAACACGATCTCATTGAAGAACATAATTGCTCTGGCTCCCATAGACAACAGCGGTCCTGGTTACGATTTAATCTATGTCGAGAAGAATGCCGGAGCTGAGAATGACAAGAGTGTTTGTCCTATCATCCTGCGACATCACCGAGTGACCAACCCTCCTAGGCTGGCGGTTCAAGATCTCTCTATCACGGAAAATAGCCGCCGTTCGTGGGGATTTCTTCCAGACCCGGCTCGCTCTCAATCACCCCATCGTCACATCATAGTTTCTACTGGCTCTGGCACTGGATTCGCTTCACAGTTCTACGACCAAATCGTCAAGCCCCTTCTCGGTCTCTTCAAGCTCACCCAGAATCAGGACTACACCCTTCACACCACAACATCGGTGGCCTCCGTCACGACACTCGTTGAAGATATCTTCCTCCCAACCGCAAACCGTGGCCAGGCTCAGTCGATAGTTCTGCTCAGCGGTGATGGCGGCGTTTTGGATATCGTGAACGCGTTGGTCACTGGCACTCGGAAATCTGATTATGTTCGACCGACAATCACCCTTCTGTCATTGGGCACAGGAAATGCAACAGCGCACAGCGCTGGCCTGACGGCAAACACCGAGACCTTCGGTTTGAGAACTTGGCTACGTAGCACTGCTGCCTACCCTTTGCCATTATTTAGCGCAACCTTCTCTCCTGGCGCGAGGTACCTGGTCGACCAAGGCCGGAGCACAGCACCTCTTGCCAACGATACTGAAGGCAGACCCATCGCATACGGTGCCGTAGTTCTCTCGTGGGCTCTCCATGCAGGTCTCGTCGCAGATAGTGACGCACCGGAATTCCGCAAATTCGGTCGTGAACGCTTCACCAAAGCGGCCATGGATGCGATGTACCCAGCCGATGGGTCAGCGCCACATGTGTACAAAGGCAAGATCAGAATCATCCCACATCCACAAGCTTCCGCACAGTCTACATCTTCATCTTCGTCCCATACGTCGGTCCAAGGAGCGTGGCAATCTCTCCCATCATCCGCCGGAGATGCAGAAACCGCTGACCAGCACGCATACGTCCTGGCGACGTTCAATTCCCACCTGGAAGCATCCTTCAACATCAGTCCTGGCGCCGCACCACTTGATGGAATTCTCCGCGTCATACAATTTGGACCTATGAGTGGCGATGAAGTCATGGGCCTGATGACGAAGGCTTTCCAGGGAGGACAACATGTGGAGGATGCGCGCGTAAACTATCTTCCTGTCGCTGGTCTGAGGATAGAAATGGCCGAAGACGACGCGACGGATGCGGATGAGGATGGGAAGGGAGGGAAGGGTAGGTGGAGGAGAATTTGTATTGATGGCAAGATTGTCGTGGTGGAGAAAGGCGGATGGGTAGAGGTGAAGAGGTGGGAAGATGAAGGCGCTGGAGGTAGTGTGATTGATCTTGTTGTTTAATGCGTCAACCTTCGCAACAGAAGCATTGTCTGCAGCGACCACCTTCGGACTATTGCAGCTGAGCCCAGTTGAATCTGAATGCATCGTTTGTTCTGATCATGACTACCCCATAACCATAATCCACTGCTGGTCGGAGGCTTGTGGCTTGGTACAGTATATTGTCATTCCAGGTTGAGCCGAACCCAAACCCTAGAGCATTCTTAGCCGGAGGCTGTGGAAGCGAGAACATTGGTGATTAGTAATACACACGACAAATTCTCACCCGCCGAGGTTCGCGCGAGTCAGCACTCCATCATCACACACTGTAGCTAGGGCTACCCGTGGATGCCGGTGCTTGTAAAATTCCCGAGAGTGGTCAAACTACACGTGCGCTTACGCAGATTGTCTCCACCTGTCAGCCGTGAACAAGAGATAAGCTTCCATGGTTTATGCTGCACCATTGAAAATGCTTCGGAAATGTTATTGTACCTACCGGATGCTTCAGCATGCGCATAGTGTCTGACATTCCGTCCAGCGGAGGCGCATTCCTGCGGCGTCGTGCTAAAATGACCTCTCTGAGCGACTAGCGCAAGGATCGTGAGACTAAGATCCAAAAGTTCGCACATGTTCGGTTACGACAAACGACGTCAGCGGCACTAGAAAGATAACGCTCGAGGACATCCTTCATCATTCATGTAGCGCCAATAGAGCACATCGTTCCTTTCCTCCACACAAACCTGTACACCGTCCTCGCTGGACTCTCTACCGGCAACATGCTGCTTGTTCACCAGGTCGGCAGCGTCAAGGTCGGCGAGGTCGTCCGGTACACGCTGACCTACACGCCTTCTCGTGATCGCGTCCTTCCAACGCCGACTCACCTGCACCTCAAAGTCAAGAACACCTCGGCGATTCCTCTTCGCGCTGCATGGGTACATGGGCCATACGCTCTGCACGTGTCGGCTTATCCAGTCACCTTCAACCCACACAAGAAGATCGAGAACCCTGAAAAGGAGGGCGCGCCAGAATATGAGCCCATGGTCAAGGCGGGAGGAAGCTTCACTGCAAAATTGCTCGTCCCGGAGGTGATAAGGGAAACTGGAGCGGATGTATCATACAAGCCGCGGCCAAAGTCGTCCCAATCAGAGGCAACGAACGAGAGAGGAAGTGTCACGTGGATCATCGAGGTCGCGTCTCAAATCCTTTTCTCTAACTCTGCGACTGTGGGATTCGAGTTGCTGGTAGGCCGAGAGGAGCGTGCCTTAAATCTTGGCTTCACTGGTGTCAACGGAAACGGTCAAGGCAGGCCTGGCCGAGTGAAGGAGCAGTACAGTGAGCAGGAACGCCGCGAGGCACGGAAGCGAGAGCACGTCACCACCGAAGGAGTCTACTCGAAAGCAGTCCGCTTGGTTGTAGAGGACACCGAGGTACTATGGGACAAACCACCGTTGCCTGAGCGGATAGAGGAGGACGAAGCGAAGCACGCCCCCAGTGATGGGACCAGGTCGGCGACAGCCAAAGCACAAAAGGAGGCGAAGGAAAAGAAGAAGCGAAATGTTCATTTAGTGGTGGTGACACATGGTTTGCATAGCAATATTGGGGCAGACATGCTGTTCCTTAAGGAGAGTATCGATGCGACAGTCAAGCAGGCGAGACTGGATGCGCGCAAGCGCAAGAGGCAATATCGCAAAGACCATTCTACGGGGAGCAACGCTAAAACCACCAAAAGTGCCGAAAATGGATCCGAGGAGCATGACGAAAATGGCACATCCACAGCGGCATTGTCCGGAGGACAAGACGAGTTGGACAATGATGCCGACTGCTCTGACGACGAGGAGCTCACGGTCGTACGTGGATTTACTGGCAATGCAATTCGCACCGAGAACGGCATCCAATATCTGGGAAAGCGCTTGGCTAAATATGTCCTGCGTTTCACTTATCCCGATCAACCATTTTTACCTGTCAAGAAGACGTTCTCTCGGAAGCTCAGCGACACTTTTCATAGCGAGGCTGACAAGGCAAAGCGCGATGGTGCACCGTCGCATCATGGTAGCTCAATCCATCATCCCCGATATACGCAAAACCCCGAAGATCTACCCTACAAGATTACCAGCATCTCGTTCGTCGGTCACAGCTTGGGTGGCTTGATTCAGACATATGCCATTGCTTACATCCACAAGCACAGCCCGACATTCTTCAAGAACATCGAACCTATCAATTTCATTTGCATGGCATCTCCCATGCTTGGACTGAGCAACGAAAATCCGATGTACGTCAAATTCGCATTAGATTTTGGACTCGTGGGTCGAACCGGTCAAGACTTAGGATTGACCTGGCGTGCGCCCAATGTGGCCAAGGGAGGGTGGAATGCTGTGGTGGGTGGTCTTGCGAATCTGCAAAATAAGAACAAGGAGGAGGAGGAGAAGAAACCTGATGCCTCTGCGAAGCCATTGTTGCGGATTCTGCCTACCGGTCCTGCTCATCAAGTTTTGAAAATGTTTCGCAACCGCACAGTCTACTCGAATGTTGTCAACGATGGCATCGTGCCGCTGCGCACAAGTTGTCTGCTCTTCCTCGACTGGCGCGGCTTAGGCAAAGTGGAGAAGGCCAGGCGAGAGAACGGTTTGATTGGAACCATGGCGGGATGGGGTTGGGCTGAATTGACAGGCGCCAACTTGTCGACCATTAAGCCAAATGTCACGTCGGAGCGTGGCTATGATGATGACGACGACGAGTCCGATGGTAACAACGCTCTCAAGCGACCAGCAAGTGGCGATACCGTCCCGCAACCCGCTGAAAACGAGACGCAGGAGGACGGCAAGCGACTCAGTTTCCGAAAGAGTCAGGAAAATGAGCAGGCGCCCTCGGATGATACACCTGCACCTCTGAAGAAGCAGCGGACTGAGAAGAATGCGAACCAAAATGGAGGTGGTGTGATTGATACTGTCCTCGGTTGGCTGCGCCCAAACCCGCCAGATCAACCCAAACCACCGCCTCAACCTTCGAAGAAGACATCTAAGGCATTTCATCGCGCGCAGACACTCTCCTTCGATGACAACCCTGAGAGTAACGACGAATCATCAGAGCAAGATGCAGGAACGGCGCGTAACCCCACCATTAACCCAACACATCACATTTCGCCTTCGCACATTGCAAAGCGTCCTGTAGCGTCTCGCGGCAACACCACATCATCGAGTACGTCCGATGCGAGCGCCGCGAGGGCGCCGTCGTTGCCTCCGCGTACGTCCATCTTCGAGTCCGCCGGTGATCTGTTACATCCACCTTTGCCTAGTAAGCAGTGGATTGCGGATCCCGCCGTCCGCGCTCGAACAATTTTCCATGATCGAGTCTATCGACCAGAAGATATTCCACCGCCACCTGTCAAAAAGGCGAATGGCAGCCGACGAGGATCTGGACGGCAGCCTCTGAGTCGGACAACATCTAATGAGCTCACCACTCTTCAACACAAAGTCTTTGATGCACCTGATCCTGAATCTGTGACCCCAGCCCCAAGCACCGCCAACTCTAGTGGCAGCCAGCCCCCATCTCGCCAGCAAAATGAATCAACTCTGCGATCCCCTCCGACTAAGAGCACATCCCAAGACACCTCTCCTATGAAAATCGAGGAGAAGATTGCACGAGCTTATCATCAAGATCTCACCTGGCGCAAGGTCCTTGTGCGTCTCGAGCCAGATGCTCATAACAATATGATCGTCAGACGAATGTTTGCTAATGCATACGGATGGCCCGTGATCAAGCATCTTTGTGACACTCACTTTGCTGATACCGAAGCCGCTCGTACTCGTGATGAAGATGAAGACACAAGAGAGCGGGCAGGTTCTGATGGAGGCAATGCAGAGAACGGGAAACACGCCAAGAAAGAAGGCGAGGAAGTCAGAGGGCAGACTCATGGCGCTGGCGGGCAAAAACCTTCCTCCCATGCTCGAACGCAGAGCGAAATGCGCGAGGCCCGGGACGAATTGACCGACCTCCAGAGCCCCACGGCGTCCATGGGCCACCCAACGTCACGGGGAAGTAGCATTCGCTCTAACGTGGCACCGCTCAGTCGCGATGGCAGCGGTGTCTGGGACGACTCCTTCTTCGAGGGCTCGGATGGCGAAGACTCCGATGCCGTGGACGAGCGCAACGTTGTCGCGCGCTTCCTCAACCCCAACGCCGGGCGTAAACCTGACCCGGGCCAGCCCTTTCCCGCCGAAGACGACGACGAAGCGACGCCAACAGCATCCAAAAGCCCTCTTGCCCCGTTGATCGAAGGCCACCGCGGCCTTTCGCCGACGACGACCCCGACGACCCCGACCTCGCCGAATCATCGGAGGAAGAAGTCGAACGCGTCGTCTGTCGCGACCGTACGCGTCAATGCCATGTCCGCCGGAAGTCCCGTGGGAGCGTTTTTTGACACTGCTGCTATGGACGAACCCGTTGTTGCAGATAAGTTAGTAGAGGAGCCAGAAGAAGCGGAGTCGTTGATTCAGAACACAGAAACGTTGTCTTTGCGGCCGCCTTCTTCGCCGAGGAATGTCGCTGATGTCGGATTACGGAAGACGTTGAGTCATGAGGATGATGGTGGTGTCATGCCTTCCGCTGGGAAAGTTGCGCTGGGAGCTATTGGAGATGCTACGAAAGATGGAAAGAAGTAGTCGCTTATCTTGTTTTGAGTGACGCTCAACAGTATCTTGGAAGGAACCTTCGAAGGCTGTAAGGCAGGATATTGTTGAAGTCGTCACTGACAATTACGGACATCTCTATCTTCCAAGATCTCTCCTTCCCACTCTCTTTTGTTTACTACTGTCCGGGTGTCTTGCTCCTGGTTCAGGTCGCCGTCGCAGATACCTTTCTTGCACATCCGTCAGAGAGACACAATCCTCGTATTACAATCATCATAATTTCCTGTCATCTTGAAACCAGTTGTCGCATCGCCACAATTCATCTATTACTAGGACTCACGAGTATCTTGAGTTTTGAGGAGGAGAGTGGACCAAACCTCCATCGCTTGAATCTCGCATGAGAAGCGCAAGATCGTCCTGGCACCAGACGCATCTTCATCGTTTCCGAACAACTTTGATCCACTGAAGAGAACTGGCTTCGATCGTCTGCGTCACGAAATCAAGTCATCCATCCAACAGCGCGACTTCCTTCACGCCATCTCACGACCTCGCACTCAAACCAACGGTTCCAACTTCTACCTCCTGCGAACCACCGTCCCCTTCGACTCCGTCATAACCTCCTCCGAACCCGACCTAGAAAGCGATTACGACCCCTCAAGATCAAAAAATAGCCTAGACTCCGCCAGTCCAACATCAACCGACAGCTCACCGTCCCCTCACAAACCACGCAAGAAGTCTAAGATGTGCTGCCACCCAATCAGCACCTTTCTGCACTCCCCGCTCCTCCTCCGCACCTGCGAAGTCTGCTGTCTAGCCTCTTGTCTCGCACACTGGGAAGTTCACAAACTCCGCAAACAAGACCGCGCCCGCGAACAAGCCGCTGCACGGTTCAAAGCGGAGGAACACGTCGCAGTTGAGAACAAGGATCGGGAGACGAAGAAGACTGCCTTGGATGAAGAGAAGAAATCCGCTGCCACAGCGACGACTACTTCGGCGGCCTCGACTATGACGGCTTCTTCCTCTGCGCCGACTACGACAACGGAGAAGACGACGGTAGTCACCGAGAGGGAGAAGGAGAGGAAGTAAGGATTCACAAGTCTCCCTGTGTGTAATCTATGTAATGCGAGGTGGGTGAATACCCTACGATCATCAATGGAATGAATGACAGTCGGGAAGAGGAATTCATAAAAAAAGCTGATCACATGCCTGTGCCGCTACATAGCCTCGTTGAATCACTCGAGCAAGCTCTCTCATGGCCTTGCCGTACCGTCAAACCATACCTACACCGCCGCAAGGATAACCTAGGGATAGATGAAGAGGAGCCGACCAGAGGCAGAGCGAAGACTCGTACGGGTTCTCAGGGGCGATCGACGACCAGTGGGAGAGTAAACATTATTTCTTGACCTTCTCTTGGGCTTGAGCTTGCGCTCTGCGATGACTTCTGGGGGCTCTAGTGGTGGTGAATGCGGAGACCGTCCCTGATTGACTGTTGGAGGAACATAGATGACATTTGTTCATGCCTGTGATAGAACTTGAGGGATTGTAATTCCGCGTGGTGCCGTTGAGCGCGCACAAAATACCTACGAGGATTTTCCTTTCTCTGCTTGCTCGGCATCCTATTGAGATTCATTTGGAAACGGAGAAGAAAAACAAATCGTGGTTGCGAGAACGAAGTCAGAATGAGTTGGACATCGTCACTTGTCACAAGGTCACAGATTGGTTCGTGGACTTGTGTAAGGCAGTTTTTCATTTTCTGTGATCCGCTGTGCATCATCCGTAAGCGCTACTCGCGTTATCAGGATCTGAATTAGACGGCAGACCCTCTGGAACCCTCACCTTCTCTCCCTTGTCGTCTTCACCTGCGGCCAGCTCAGACGAGCTCTTCGCCAGGGCGCTTCGACTCTGCTCCTCCGCAACTAGTCCCTCCAGAAATTCACCCGCCAATCTTTTCGCTCTACGTTTCTCAACCTCATCTCTCCTACGCTGAACCTGCTCTCTCCTCTCCTGCAGCATTTTCTCCCGAGCAGATTTCTCCGTTTCCTTATCCTTCTCTCGTGCTTCTCGGATTCGCTCTGTCTGTAGTCTCTCCTTCTCCATATTGCTCATCTGCTCATTCCTTGTTTCTTCATCCTGAGAAAAGCCGAAGAATCCAGTTCCCCGCGTTCGTAGTTCTGCTTTGCTGTCGAAGTGCATCTTTGGAGGCGGTGTCAGACTTCGATCGCGCTTTGCGGCGAGGTCGGCCATGCGCTCTATGCGGTCGGCATCAGGTGCAAATGCATTGCTCTGAACTGTGTCGCCGTAAATTAGGTTCGTTGGTGCCGCTGGCCGCGCGGTGAGGACTTCGGTCTGGTTGCTGGCTTGCTGAGCGGCAATAGCAGCTTCGAGACGTGTACCAGTGCGCGTCCGACCGAATTCGTCAATGTATTCGATCTTCTCTTGCTGTTTCGGATCATCGCTGTCGTCAGAGTCATCATCGTCATCGTCGTCGTGCTCGCGGCCATGGCCTGCTGATTTGCGATCCTGCGCGGCTGCCCACTTCCCATCAAAGTCCACTGCGTATTTTCCATCCACGTCCTCCAAATCTCCACGCTGCATGGCAGCATACAGTCGTGCTTTCTGTTGCATCTTTCGCTTGCTGACCTCCAGAATATCCCGATCTACACCCTCTCCATTCGTCGTGTGAGATTGCTGGAAGGCGCCTGCATGATCAGGCTCGAGGTCGCGCTTGGCGCGTTTCGCAGTGTTGCCATTGTGCTTTTTGAAGATGTCATCTTTGGTGCTGGATGGGCGCGGTCGAGCCTTTGTTGCTGATCTCGAGCTTCCGGCGCTTGAAGTCGAGGTTGCGATCAAGGAGCTCAACTGCGAGCCGAAGGAGAGTGACTTCGTCGAGGAAAGTTCTTGACCTTCTGTGAGGTTTCGTGGCCGCTTCAGGCCGTACAGCGCGTCATCTTTTGACATACTTCGAGCGCATGCTAATTCAGCGTCCGCGCCAAGATCTGTTCACGCGTGCAATATCACCTGAGCAAGTTGAGAATAGTCAATTGATCTCGCGATGATCTCGAAACCTGGGAGCCTCGAAAGGTAGCAAGCGATGACTAAGCATGTGCGATGACGTTCCGCTCGAAACCCTAACACAATGCGAGGGCACCTGCATGTTTCCATTGATGTCCTCTTGTCCACAACCACGGACACGAAGATCGGAGTGGATTCGGCTGAACAGATGGTAGTTCGTTGTGGATCAATCGTAGCATGGAGAAAGTAGTGCCTACATGTACGAGCAATCACGAAAGACAGACTATGATTTGACCATCACCACACACAACATGCTCGAGGAAACCATATCCGTCCATCCAGGAATAATATCGACAAGAAATCTCACCTGGCCCAATGCTGGCGTTTATCGGACAATCCGGATCCCCACTAATCGGCAAGGCAGCTGACTACCCGAGTTCGCTGCACCCGTATTTCAAACCGATTTTCCATCGCGCCATATTCGGAGCTGCCGCTCTACAGGCGATCCTCGACCTGTCGCGTCAAGTCCGCCTCCAGGAAGGACCAGATCCCCCGATGATAGACCCCGTGAATAAGATCGGCAGCGACATGCGAATATTGCCGATTGTCATATGCAAATTGGAAGTCACCATCCACGATGGTAAATCTCTCGGCGATGCTCCAATCGTGCAGCAGACTCCGAAGACTCGAAGCAAAAGACGTTCTTCGAGCCGTTGTAAGAGTATTGATAACGTGAGTTGCAAGACGAAAAGAATTCCACGAAGGCCGAAAAGTGTGAACAAATGATTTTGATATGAAGTCCAGCATAACAATCGCAAACGACCGGCTAGACGCAGGCGCATAGTACCAAAGCTGTGTGTTTCTTGAAGGACCGCATTTCCACACGAATTCTTACGAGTTACGCCAAAAAGGCTTAATGTAAATGTAAAAGCAATTTTGTTCTGGCTTGATCGAACTTCCTGAGCTTATTGCAATTCTAGTAGCTAAACAAAGCATCTGCATTGAAATTCTTCTTCGTGCCTGACCAATTTACCGCTTGTGCAAACCCACAGCCATGCCGTGTCCCAGCATCCCTCCACAACTCTCAAGCGTCCAAGTGAATCAAGGATCACACGAGAAGGGAATCCACCGGTATGAGCCCGCACCATTCAATCCCTGAGCAAGCTGATAAGTCCGCGAGCTGTCCAGGGAGACATCGCGGAACTCCTGATCATAGTCTCCGTTGCCCGGGCATCCGCCAGCATCGTAGGCGATCAGGCAGTATGGTCCGTTGGCATTCTCCGCCGGGCCAGATTGCGAGAAGGAGACTTGGCTGGCGCGGCCGACGGAGAAGCAGCCGCCGTTGGAGACGTCGAAGTTGGTGGTGCCGATCTGCGCGCCGTTGGCGTCCAGGAAGGAGGAGAAGACGTTGGCGGCGAAGGCGCCGGTGGAGAGGGCGCCGAGGAGCGCGAGGGTGGTAGTTGGGAACTGCATGGTTGCTGTCGGGCTTGAGGAGGGAGCTGGAAAGGGAGTGTGAGTTTGTGAGATGAAAGTACGAGGAAGCTTTCAAGCTTGCATACCTTGAGTCTGTAGAATGCGTTGGAATAGATCGGAGAACTGTGCTTGGTGTTGATTATTCTTTCAATCTTCGAGGCATACTTCTCTTCTTAAATATCACTGTCTACGTTGTTAAGCGAATTGGTGGTTTCGTGTCATGTGCCTACCTTCGTCGTGAACATCCTCGAAAGCGCAACTCCTGCGTCATTCTCGTCCTGATTGAGGTGGAAATTATGAGAAGGACAGGATGAAGCCATGTCAGAGTCGTCATAGGCCGCCAGTACGTTACCGTGAACTTGATCACAATCGCTTGGCATGATGTACCATCGGTGATTCTGTTGATGACATCGGGGCACACAGTCCTTTGCAGAACGGATGGAGTGGTACGGCTCTGCCTTCCGATACATCTGCCATCACTATGCTCATAAGTTTAGTAGTGACGCCGCTCACTACTGCTTATGCTTATGCGGGATGATGAAAGTGGAACAAGACGTCTGGACGGACTTTGGAGAATTCCCATCCTTGGAATCCTCGAGTCGTCAGCGCTAAGCACAACCGATGCTGAGATGACGCTGTGCAAGCTTCCGGGGGAATACAATGCATTGACTGGCCACATTAGCTCTTAAATCCTGGAGTGATAACGCCTAATAAGGTGCAACGGATGTGTCAATCGAGCTTCAAACAAGGAATACGCATGTCCGACAGAGCCAATGATGACACTCGAAAAGGCTCCTTGCCCTAAATGTATTCCGAGACGAGGCGTGCACATGGCGCTCCTTGGCGGCTCCTTCGCGCGTTGAAGGACAGCGGAGTAAAGGACCGCCAAGCACGCCAAGCCAGGATTGTATCGCGCTCTCCAGGTAATAGAGTCGTTTGGAGAGGCTCATCGTTGCAGATCCCCCTTGGAAACATCTTCAGCGGCCAGATATGAACCATATCTTGCGTCGAAGGATGAATCCAGGTACCTCAAATGGTGACAGCCCTAGCCATCCGCCAAGTCTGCCGTACTAAGCTAGCCCCCATGAACGAGTCTGTTGGCCTGACCTGATCATGAGCGGGTATCCACAGTAAACTATTGGTCATGCTCACTCATGCTAGCACAAACTCGAAGAACATAGCAACAGCGGAGATGCTGGTCTGAATATGGTGTGATCGTCCAGCGATTGCGGCCATGTCTGCATTCCGTCATTCATTTCTATGCCCTAAATCTGACCGCTGCCTTCATGCGATATGATGTTGAAGCGACGCCTGATGCACAATTTTACTGTCACCGTACCGGATGACCGCAGGATCGAAGGCAATCTTGGCAATGCGAGGTAAGCATCCTCAGATGCTGAGGCTGTCATCTGGACGAAGGACGGTCAATCAGCCGATCGCCACGATCATCGCCGTGGAGGTCACGATCGCTGAGTTATGACCAAGAAGAACAACATACGCTGGCCTCTGACCAGGCCTGACGAGAAACCATAAAGTACAATTCTGAGGTCTCCGATCAATATACATTCAAGATCTCTTCGCATATATAAAAGGTGATCGAAGTGCACACGAATTGTTGAAGATTCCAGTCCCTTCTCTATCGTCCGCTCGCTCAAGTTCCTTCGCTCATCATTTTCCCGTCTTTCTCAATCGGTTCCTAAGAGACTTCAAGATGCAACCTACTTCCTCGCGTTCGAGCCTCAAGGCGCTCGCCGTTGCCTTTCTGTCGCTCTCGAGCTTTGCCTTCGCGGCGCCCGTTTCCCGCAATAGTCACGGTCTGAACCGTCGTGAAGACTGCGAATACGGCGATCAGCTGACCGTCGACGATTATGTTGGTTACCTCCGCGAGTACTACACCAACACCGACAAGTACGTCTTGTACAGTGGTGGTTCAAAAGACCAAGCCATCAACTTTGTCGACCTCAACACCGACTACAAGTTCTACAATGACTTCTTCGACTCCACCAGGAGCGAGCACTACCTGACCAAGTGGCCACAAGACGAGAATGGCTGCTATCGCCCTGACGATGCTGATGCATCTTCGGCCGCCATCGGTATAGTCGCCACTGGTGATATCCGAGTGTTCGGAGGCGTCGAATGGCAGTCAAAGGGAGCTACATCTTGGTTCGCGACGAAGGAGATTCCCGCGATCCGAGACTCCATCAACGGAGGAACGTTGAACAAGATTCTGCACATGGTCGGAGGCGCTACCGGCGTTGACGACGTATTGGCGGAAGAGAACGCTAATGGCGACATTACCTTTGTTAACGGTCACAGCGACACTGAGACGAATGCGACCGGCACCTTTGGCGATTGCTCTTCTACCGAGGATGCGCCCACCTGCGACAACCCCAGCCAGCAGTAATTGCGTGAATTGCTCGAAATTGGGGATCTGTCGCCAATTTTTGGGAAATCACATGAGAGTCAGTGATAGAAGGTGGAGAAGATCGCTGATCTGTGACGGGCGAAGGGTGGGAATGAGTCTAAAGTCGGGACTAGTCAATGATTTGATCCAAGCTTAAATCGCAAATAGCATCACCTAGCGCTCCGATAGGATGATATTGAATGTCTTCCGAGGTTCCTTTCACAATGATGGTGTGTTCTCCCGGTGCCCTAAATGCCCCATAGGCGGACCAGGCCCGGGGAAGTGCAGCACACGATGTTGAGCTTGGACCCGCTTGCGAAGATATTTATAGTGACTGTGTATACGATATTATACCTGACTCGAGACTAAGAATCGTGTGTGAATGGTACAAGATCTCTCTCGAAATGAATGCGATCCTGCACAGAGAGAAACGACGTCATTTGTAAGGCGATCTTTATTGGCGCCAAGGGCAGGATGCCACGCGAAGGACAGGCGTGGTGTGAACGTAAATGTGGGGCCGGATAGCCGGCTCGGAGCTTAAATCTTACCGAACCACACTTCGCCAGGGCTGAAAAAGTGGAGATGACGAAAGTGTAAAGATCAGGATTGCTGGTGGCCTGTAGGATCGTGGCGGATGGTCTTTCGAGTCTGAGACGACATCATCGTCATCGTCGTCAGCATACGTAGTGACGAGCACTGTCCTTCCAAGGTCAATCGAACGTGCTTTACATCTGGTTGCGCCGCATGACTTTCAGGACCCTTCCGTTGCTTCTCTATCAAACACACTCCCCTTTATGTGAAACGAGTCTTCGCAACTTCCAGCCAATTAACATTCAGTATTGAAATCCTCATTGACGTTTTTCTATCAAGACTCCAATCTCTCAAAGATGGCAGAAATTGATCCAGCAGACCTGAGACCGTATCCATTCAAATATCAGTCATCGAGAGCGGTGCATAGCATCCTGATCGGCGAGGATGCTGCAACTACTCTGATTGACGCGAGCTCAGCCGGAGACATCGCGACTGTCAGAAGCCTGCTCGAGCAGCCAGCATGGATGAAGATCGCGCTAGAAACGCAACATTACATATACTCCGAAGACCGGCCCGCCAAGGACAAAGATGATGTTCGAGGCGTACTTGCGATGAAGAAGATGAACCTCGATCGCGCCATCTTACCGGCAGCTATTAATGGTCACGCCGAGGTGGTCGCAGCTTTACTCGAATTTGCCTCAAAACACGACGTCAAGCCGAGTGATGTGATTGACCGAGAAGCTATCCGATCCACCGTCCAAAATGACCACGTCGCTGTGTTCGAAGCGCTAGTCGCAGCAGATCGAAACGTTGCCACATTCGACATCCACCATGAGCAGCGGCCGTTGGACCTAGCTCTGTCACGAGGTAGTCCCGAGATGGTCGCAGCCATTCTCAAAGCAGGCGGGGGTCGTGAATTCCATATCAAAGGCCAACCCGTACCAAGCTATTCCGGTTCCCGCATGTGCAAATCCAGCAACAAGGCAAAAGTTGAGCTACTGATACAGAATGGTTATGCCGTCAAGGGTTCTGGCGCGTTGCAGATGGCAGCAGAGCGCGGCGCTCTAGAGACCATCACTTACCTGGTAGAGCAAGGCGCTGATGTGAATGAGATTCTGCCTGCGGAAACTCTCCCTCGTCGCGAGAATGCGATTTTTGCGAGTTGGACACCCATGCACTACGCTGCGAAGTGGCGCAAGGAAGAGGCGATGAAGTTGCTGGAAAGCTATGGTGCGAAGACTGATGTGGTCGATGTGAATGGAAAGACTCCTGCGCAGCTGCTGGAGGAGCGGAAAGCTGCAGTAGCTGAGAAGTCCTAATTCTGATGGGAGATGTACTCATCATCCTGTGGGTTGAAAGCGGCGAGTAGAGTTGTCTATATGTAGCATGCGTCTACCCAGCGTATGCGTAGAGGCATGGGTGACTTATCGCATACACTTCTTGGATAGTGACCGATCAAGGCGTCACCATGTGGAATGAATTCGTCTGCGATACTTTGCTGTACCCTTTACACATGCGAGATGTGACTGAATTCTCAGCTTATGGGACTTGCTTGCATGTCTTGTCACACACTATCTGTCAGTCCAAAGCATTGAGGAAATGGAACGTTGCATCCTAATGACCAGGTCATCATTTGCTGACATTGGCTGATGACTAATGTGATACCCCGCTCTTTCCTACCTCAATAGTGGCAGATAGCAGATCGTTTTGCTTGAGCTGTCGGGGTGCCCGTCCGGTCTGATTGCTCAGGATTCTCAAGAGTGAGCCTCGCAAAGACTTTTGGTCCGCGGATCGACCGTGCCGCCCGTACCGTTGGCTCTTTCTGCCTGTAGCCGCCCGCTAGCCCCGCGATCTATCTGTTTGGCGTCAGCGTCCCCACGCGACTCAACATCGGAGTCTGGTCCGCTCGCCTCGTCCCCATCTATTCATGAGCGACACAATGTCAATAGTCAGATTGCGATTCAGTGAGATTGGTCTATGAAATGCTGCAAGAACTAGCCGTAGAGCAGATATCTAATTGCGCGGGTCATTGAAGGCGGAGTTGCGGGGCACCAGTCTGGCACAGCACGCAAGCATACGGCGCGCAGTGGGGGCCGATGTGGCGGCAGAGAAACGCGTCGAAGCGCGTCGAAGTGCGTAGGAATTTGATTGTCCGCATCCAAGGGTCATCGGTTGCCATCCTTCAGCATGTGCAACACGCCAGGTATGCAGCGCGTTCCATCTAGTTGAACCATTAATTGTTTCAATAATGCTCAAAGTGATGGTTTATCGAGATGGCATTAATCGATATGACAGGTAGCCTGAACATGTATACACCGACACCAAAGAGACCCGTGACCAGCTTTGGGCATGGTGTCGAGGCTGTGCCAATCGGCTGTGCGCTGAGTAGATTCCATTGAATCGCTTGCTCGGGAGCCAGCGCAGCAGATCTGCAGCAAGCCGAGCGCCTAGTGTTGATAATAGATCGCTATTGAGGGCGAATAATCGAGCGCCGGAACGAAGCCGGGTGGCAGTCAAGTATATGAGATCTGCCGCACACCCAGATTCTTTTCGCTCCTCCTCGACTTGCTCGATTCATCATACTCCGCTTTATTATTTATTTATCATCATACTATCTCAACATGGCGGTGGACTTTGTCGCTCAGTTGCAAGACTTTCGTGACCATGATGCACGTCGCGATAGTCTACTTGCTCAGCTTGTAAACGATTTCCACGAGCTGCAAGCGCGAATGAACGAGGTGACTGTTGATTTGCAAGACGAGAAAAAGTCTCGACGTATTTGGCAAAAACATGCCGAGGAAAATGAGTCGATCGTGATCGAGCAAAGACTATCGCTGAACTCGAACAATTTTGTGGTTGTGTTGATTGATGGTGATGGGGCGTTGGTGAGTGAACAGGTGAATCGATTGATGAATGTGACTGACAGGCAGTAGTTTAAACATGAACTGTACAGGCTTGGTGCCGAAGGCGGTCGCAGGGCTGCGGGTCTGTTGCACAGTTCGGTACAAGACCGGTTGAAGGTGCATTACCCTGACCATAACGTTTCTGATTGGGCAATATCCGTGTTTGTTATGTGCAATTTGGAGGTGAGTCAGGTCTGGGATCCAGTAATTCTTCAGCAGTACTGATCGCTGCAGGGCCTTGCCAAAGCACTCCATGTGTCTCAAATCCTTACCGAACGATCTCAGTTGACTACCTTCAGCCAAGCATTTAACCTGGCGAATCCCTTGTTCAATTACGTTGATGTCGGCCACGGTAAAGAGCATGCTGACCACAAGCTGCGTGAGCTACTGCGGTTTCATCTTGCAAATACCCAATGCAAGCACATTTACTTCGCCGGCTGCCATGACAAAGGTTATATTCCCGTGCTCGAAGAGTACAGCAATGTAGCTAAGCAAGCGGCACGCATCACACTGATTGAAACCACTAAGTATTACCACGGCTTTGCCCGACTGGGCTTCAAAACAGCCGTGATGGCGGATTTGTTCAGTTCGACCGACTTGACGAGTGTCGCATGGACGACATCGACTATGAGCAACCAGGACGTGTATGAGAGTACAGGACCGAGTAAAGCTGCCGTTGCTGCACTACCGATCACAGCGGCTCCGCCTCTATCTCAAGGTACGCCTCCCTCGGGAGCCTCGTATGCAGCAGTCGGCAAAGCATTATCAGCGACAGCAACCGTGGTCAATATTGCTCCCACAGCGCCCCAGACAAATGAAAAATACATCTATCTGAACGCAGATGATTTGCGAGTCGATAAGCCATTACCGAAATATAGCATGGCTGCGCAGGACCAGTTCGAAAAGAAGATCCAGCAGAACGGCATGAACTTTTGCAACCGTTTCCACCTTACCGGAATTTGTTTTCATGTGCATTGCGCTTTCAAGCATGGGCCCAAACTGGTGCCGCCAATCTTGACGGTTCTGAAACACAAGGCAAGACTGAACGCATGCGAAAGTGGATCGTATTGCGAGGATGTCGACTGTACAAGCGGCCATCATTGCCAACATGGCAGTTCATGTTCTTACAAGAATTTTTTTTCTCAGGCACTCACACAATGAGGCTGGTAAGTTATACTCCGGGTACGATACGTTGTACGCCAGCTGACACTATCATAGGAGATAGCCAAGCGCAAGCTGGAGGACGGGCGTATTGAGAGGATTGTAAGGAGCGGTGAATAGATAAGACTTTGATGATTAGGCGAGATCAAACGATGGAGTGGCTTTATTGTGTCTCTGCCTGTCAGGTCATTCGGGGTCGGGACATGTGGCAGAGCCATTGGCGCTTTAGCGCTACGCCGACGATGCAGCCATGCACTAATGACAGTGAGGGATAGGGCATTCCTCCACTTACCTTCTAAAGTTCTGGATGTGTTATTAATCTTGCGATCAATGTGTTTGGCGCATGAGGTAGATTGCGGATTACATGTGGGGTAGCAGCGAGCTCGGAATGCAAGTGCTGTGTCTTGATTAGCAGTATCAACCGTGATATCGAGTGGCCGTGAGTAAATTAAGGCACCAAGTGTGAGGGTAAAGAAGTAAATATCACAGCCCAGTGCATGACAGGTTGTAAGAAAGGTCTCTTCAATTGCAAGATATGGGTACCGAGGTACGGAGATCGGCCCCTATCGGGGGTTGTCTCATATTACATACAAAGAGCACTTGCGTGCAGTACCGCTCTGTTCGACTAAGGTATGACACCTCTGGCCCCGTGACCACATCCTGTGCTGTGGCCACATTATCATAGCGTCTCAGAGCTGGAGAAAAGTGTCGGGTGTGAGCGGAGAGTTGCAGGTCTCAGACGCTGCAATGCGACAAACCCTGCCGAACTTCTGTTGTCCGCAGACCTCACCACGTCCACAGTCACTGTTCACATTACATGGCGTCTCGACATCGTTGGCCGTGAATGCAAATGGATTGGAGAGGGCACAGTTGCCATTGCTGTAGTTGGCGGCTGGGCCCGGGAGTTGTAGATACCAACAGCCACCGGTACAACCATTCGTTGAAGTACAGAGGGCGAGCTGAGGATTGGCGAAATTGGTAATCTGGATCGGCGCACATGCGTCAACTTCAGGACGAGGTCGGCAGACGGGCTTGTCGTGGGTTGTGTCGCAGAAGTCATTCGGGCCGCAGGTCTCTGGCTTTGCAACATAAACGGTTGCTGCGACGTGGTAGGAGGTCGCGGTGTAGCGCGCAAAAGTCCTAGTGCCGGCGAGGGAGGAACAGACGGAGGAGAAGCAAGTTTGGGGAAGTTTCTTGAGGGATTGCACAAGAGGATTGGCGCTGGTTGTGGGCTTGGATATGATCGTTGGCCGCGAAGAAGTCGTCCTCGATATAGCTGAGGCTTTGGGAATTACCGAGCTGTTCTTCTTGGTACTTGTGGTTCGGGCAATCACGCGTTTCCTGTTTGGCGTGCAAGTGATAGACGTGGTAGTGAGTGACGCTATGAAGGAAGCGTCCGAATTGTAGTCGGTGGTCGTTTCGTATGGAGACTGAGGATATGCGCTCTTGCAAATTGAGCTGGCATCATCGTTGCCAGAGAGAGCAGATGCAAGGTGCCACACCGTTAATGTAGGACAACCTTTCACGGGTCTCGAGAAGTCGCTGACGGTATGCGACTCCTGGCACGATGTGGCTGTAGTCTTCTTAGGCAGTGCAGCTGATGTTGGATGTGCTGTCGCGTGTGCGAGATGGGCCAATGCGCCAAACCACACCATGCTTTTTAACATTTTGGACAGATCTGGTCGATGGGGTTCGAGGAAAAAACGCAGGCTTCTAGGCGCCTCGAAAAGTCATTCGAGCGCACACTCTCACTTCATATATCCTAGCCGTTCTCCACAAGCGTCGTAATGTGGCGTCCGACCCTTGCATGGGGGCGATAGTGGCGTCTGATTGTTCCTCCATGAGGTCTGTATTCAAGTCGACCCCGCCCTCGCTTGCATGCCCCGAATCCTCCACAACTTCCGAAGCCAGCGACCGAGGGAGGCGTCACTCTACATGTGGCTCGGTGAAGATGTGTAACAATCAATGCTTGTGTAGCTAGACTAAAAGCTTCCAGTAGTGCTTATTTCCAGTAGCGCCACCTTCGATAGTGCTTATCCTGGCTGACAGCACCGGCGAGACTATCGGATTCGTGGATGCCCATTCCGAACGATTATCTGTCTTGCTTGCCGTCTTCGCCAACGGATCGATTGCAACACGATGGACAGGACGGTAGCGCATGAAGCAGATTATGATGCAGCACCAAAAACTCGATCTAGGATTAGGGAATAGCTTTGAACGAAATGAGTGGCGACTCCAAGAGATAATCTTTTCAGCGTAAAAATCCAAAGTTATTGCTCCTGCGGCTCCTTCATGGGGCCTTAGTACCACCCTCTTCACTTTCATCATTCTGCTAGGAACTGAAGATAGAGAAATTGGGACCAACGGATAATCGATCGCTCCCACATTCGGCACAGGACTGGGCGAGATCGCGGAAGAGGACTTTGCCGCGTGCTCAGCAAACGTAGCAATGATGGATTCACTAATGCCTGCTTCGAATCATTTTGCTTCGCCATTCAGAGACTTTGGTACGGTGTTGTGCTCGATGTCTCGGTCCGCAGTATTATTTTCGCGCGTATGGTGCCCGCGTGAATCCGAGCCCGTTGATTTCACGTAAATCTGGCAGATTATACTGCTACGCTCGAAAATTTCGAGTTTGGACCTGAGCGCATCCCTTTCGGTTCGTCGTTTCTCTGATTCGCTGCCGACCTCCTCTATCAAGGCCTCGGGCATCTCCAGTATCTTGGAAGCGTCGAGGATATTCGGTAGAGTTGTCATCAATGCCGGCTCGACCACGTGTGCGGGAACATCATCGATGATCCGTTTGATTGCAACCTGATGGCTGAACGTCAGTGATGGTCAAACATCCGAAAACCTCACAAAGCAGGGGCATCTTACATGATAATACGCTTGAGCATAGTCGGCCAAGTTTTGCGCAGCCAGGGCGTCCATGTCGGGCTGAGTCTCTGGCACTGCGCAACTGACAAGATAATTGTATCCAGCAGCTCCAAGACCTTTCTTTTCCCTTTCCTGGAAGAACTTGATGAATCGTGCTTCCGCGGCCGCTCGATCACGTTCCAGTCGTACACGCTGGACATTCTCTGTCAAGTAGTGGTTGTAAGTGATAGGCTGACGCTCAAAGTTTGCCATGTAGTCGTCGAATCGATCTACCATAGTTCGTCGCATGCTTTCGAGGGCCGGATCGATGACCGTTCTCAAGCACGCATCACGGACACGAGAGTTTGTGATGGAGTCTATGACCGCAACCGCGGTGACGCGAGCGGCCAACCAGATAGCGTCGATGTGTTCACGGGCCATCAATCTCCAGGGCCTACTCAGCTCGCGAAAAAGCTGTCCGATCAGAGCTGGATTGAATGTTCCCGGCAATTCTTTGCCACGATATGAGTGAACGAGCTCGCGTGCACGGTCAACCACATTGAATGCATCACTCTCGGAAGTCTCCGAGGCGCCCAAGTGTCCTGTTCGTAACGGAGCTTTCAGCATGCGGGCAACGAATTCGATGTTGGTGTTCTGAACAACCGCACGGAGGCGGCGAGCGCTCATATCAGACCCATGTTCGGCAAAAAATTGATCCTCATACAAGCCCTCGCAAGCAGCAAAGCAAAGGCTATGGAATTTGTTGCCAATATCCATGACAAAGTGACGCTTCTCCATGATCGTTGTTCGACTTCGTCCCATGCGTTCCAAGCCGTCTCGCGTTCGGGAAGCAGCGGCAAACACTTCTTTCATCAGACTTGGGAGCTCGCGTTCGATCTGTCGAAAAAGTACCTCGCTTAGGCGTGTGCGTAGAGAAGAAAGCCCACGCTTGGATGGATCGATTCGAGACATGCGTGATTTTCGAAAGAAGTCATGTTCCAAGGTTCCCGGGTCTACAGTCTGGTTTTCATTGGAGTCCGGATTGCGAACGACATGCCACCCCAGCGAGAACTTGATGTCCTCGTTTCGTATCAGCTCAAGAAAGGAAGTCTCTGATTCGGAGTTGGGGAACAACGCGTCAGGTTTAGTCACAATTCCAAGGGTTCGTCGGCCATCTGGATCCACTTGCCGAGTCTTGGTCAGGACGATCTGGTTTTGATAGTCGTTTTTTGCCGACACGACGGCCAAGATGATGCTACGTTCCTATGCCATGTATTCGTCCACCAGTCCGTTGACTAGTGCAATGTCTTCCTTGGTCTGACGGTTGGTCTCTGCGTGAACGAGACCCGGTAGATCAACAATCGTGAGTTGAGGCATCCGGGCACCGCAGACATCAAGGCGCAAGATATCAGCCGCAAATGCAGTACCGCTAGGACCAAGTCCCATTGCTGTGGCAGCCGCCTCCATGACGTTGGGAAGTTCATCGATTGTCTGGAGCTTGCGTGCGAATGCATCGAGGCGCGTACGATCTGCGTACGGTCGAGAGCTGCTCGATATAATGGTCACCGTGATCTGGACGTCGGTAAGCGAGTCATTGCGGCGCAAGACCACTTCAGTTGCGAAACGTGTACAGAGGTTGTCTTTCCTGGAAAATGGAACGCCAGATATGGCTGAAAGCAGCGAGCTCTTGCCACTGGATTGATCACCAACGACGATCAATTGCGGCAAATCGACGTGTTCGTTGAGACCTTCTGCTCGCAATTGGTCGATAACGTCGAGCAGCTCGAGATTCTGGGATTGCTGCAGGTCATGAACGACTCCTGCGCCAAATGCGCCGTCGTGGGAGGAGTTCGCCATGATCTGGGGAAAAGACGGGTGCGTTTCGTTGCAAGGTTTCGCGTCCTTGACTGATGAAATATGCGTAAAATGCGTACTACATACGTCGTTAACAGAGGGCTCGCACGCTTCTTTAACATTTCTGAATTTCCGTGTCTCATGCATGCTATTCTGACAGTTCGACCGTGTTCCGACACCTTCCAGCATTCCGGCGGCCGCGTGCATACTGCGCGGGATGTGCATCAATTAAGCTTGTGCCGCATTTCATAGATTATGTGCATTCCGACGACAAAGCTTCGCATTCATCAGTTGTGATCATGCGACGGCCCGACCGGGCTCCTCCAAGGACTAGTATGGAAGCCTGACCTGTCGTAAACCTTATCCTTCTTATGAAGGAATGTCACGGCTCATTGCACTAGTGAGCGGAACATAGCGCCCGCATCAGTTCCGTCTGCAGATACCCGTTCCATTGCCCGATTACAATTACACTATCTGTCATGTCTTTTCTTGTGCATGACTCATGCGGCTGTCCGCCTATCCTTGAGAATGGAATTATGGCGCATTCTTCCATCCAAAGGAGGAGTTCCACAGAGCCGACATAGTTCCGAACGCCAGATCGTTGTCGAATATTTCCGAGAGGAATATTGCCGTGGGATGACGGCTTCCGGAAGATTGTTGCCGTGATCACTGCATGGTATCAGGCGCAGTATGTGTATCTATTTGCATGCCGCATCGGCGGCGACGCGATCGTCGAAGCAGACGGCGTCATGCTCGATCGCCAGTGGACGCAAGCCATTCCCGGGGCTTTATTGATCTAAAGACGCTTGGCAGATGTTCGCTTAGAGTCAGTGTGTATTGACCTCCCCTGCTCGAGTTCGACGAGGGCGGCATGAAGACCGAGTAAGCGGCAACTGGTTAGAGGTCCGATGACGCCCATTCCGCGCGCTTCAGCGCCCGCAGCAAGCTAGACAACGCGAGTCTTCTCGCTCAACCTGCTTTCGACCCCTTCAAAGCCGCAGCGTGCTCTCTTTCCAACTCCAGCGGATCGAAAAGTTCAAAGTCGAAATTCCATCGATGTGCCGCCGAATACTTCATCGACTTGCCTCCGTCGGTGTCGTCACCCTTTGAGCTGACCCCGCCGATATGCTGGAAAACACTTGGCACGAGTGCGTAGCGATGCAAGCCTCTTTCATTGGCGTAGATTTCCGTCATTTGATCAATCAATCCAGAGCCGCGACTTTCGTAGTATTTGATGAGGTCGGGGACTCGGTTTCGAGGGAAGACGAAGGCTTGCGAGCAACAGCCGTGGCTATCCATTAGGACAACGCCGCGGGAGAGAGGCGAGGTGGTCAGACGACCTGCGGCGTAATAGAGGCCAATCGTGCAGGGAGTGCAGACGAAGAGAATCACGAAGAAAGTACGAGTCGTAAGGAATTTGGAGCATGTCCGAGAATTCCGTTGTAGGATGTACATAGTGGTTGCGACACAGACAGCAATGAATACTGAGGCCATCAGGTGCTCAAGCCATCTTTCACTGTTCCAGCCGAGTAAACCAGAATTATAGAAAAGTCGCAGGTAGACGGTGTCGTCAAGCTTCTGCTGCGCATGCAGCTGATCTAGCGCAGCGAGAGTCCGGTGGTACCAGCCATCGGCTGCAAGCACATCGTCCTCTAATAAGGCGATATATGGTGCTCCGGTGGCGTAGCAGGCCCGCATCAAATGTATGTAGTCAAGCATTGGTTTGAACACATGGCTATGATCACTGACTTCCAGCTCGGCCATTCGATCCCTCAATTCAGATGGCACATCAGCATCTTGATATGTCAAGACCTTGTCAGACAAGGTGTGGAGCCAGGACTCGTTGTAAGCCTGATGCTTTTGCGGATTCACATCTGCAATCATATTGAGAAGACGAATTTCGCCACGCTCCTTATCTCGAAGTCCTTCCAGGATCGACCCGACGGTAAGGCGAAAGTAGCGATGAGAATCTCTCTGTATGGTCACGATGCCAACAGCTAAGAACGGAATCGACGATCCCACATGAGCTGGAGCACCATTGTTTGCTTGATTGATGAACTGCTCTGCTTGTTTCATCCGATGTCGTGTGTAGATGGGATCGTAGCCGTGTTTTTCATCAAAGAACAGGGATGTGGAGTCGCGCGCTGACGCGCTTCGGAGATAGAGCAGCGTTAAGACAACCCAAAATATGTACGCAAGAAGCGCCGCTCGTTGCGGGCTTTCGCGCACAAATCTCCCGATGCGGGTAGCCACAGTCATTGCGGCTAGATGATTCCCCTCTTGGAAGCGCTTGCGCGATGTAAATGCCAGGTAATGCGTGTATACGCGACCGGAAGGAGATCGCACAGCCGGCAGGAGGAGGACGGCAGAGCGAGGACAGGAAAGTACGAAGCGAAAATCCGGCTCAGGCGCGGAATACCCCGAACCCTAATAACCCTTTGACTGGATTCGAAGGCCCGCTCCTTCGATCGTGGTCACTCGTCGAATATAAGCACTCATAAGACAGTCAACGTTTGACAGGTGGTCAAGAAGATTGAGGAATGCTCGGATGCGCAGTACCAATTTCTTTGATGCAGCAGGAAAGTGTAGTCTTTTGTGAGGCAATGCCAATCGGGAATTCCTCCCGCTACCCACGCAAACGAGGATATTCTGTTCAAGGTGCCCAGCGCGATCACACCGGTTAATCCCTCTGTTGGGTTCGCCCGGAGAGCAATCCGCAATGCGCCTTCTGAAGACTGCTGCGTGTCTCGAAAACGATGCGAAACTCGAGATGGTGGAGGTATGGGGAAAAGACATCCCCGAGTATGCCACCTTCTTGCATCTGTGGTCGCGCAATGCCGCAGACGAAATCAGCTTTGCAGATGTCCAGCACAACACCTACAGGGCAAAACTTGGATTTATGAAACTCGAACAAGTCCTGAGTCGCGCGGCACAAGATGGTTTTGAGTTCTTGTGGATCGACACTTGCTGCATTGATAAAACTAGTTCGGCGGAGCTGAGCGAAGCCATAAACTCGATGTACCGCTACTACCACGACTCGGCGATATGCTACGTTTTCATGGCCGATGTATTTGACGCGGAACGTGACTTTTCCGAGTCGAGATACTGGCGACGAGGCTGGACATTGCAGGAACTGATTGCCCCGCTCAAAGTTCTTTTTTTCTCAGCAACGTGGGCGCCCATCGGATTCAAGGAATCATTGGCCTCTTCGATATTTGAGATCACCGGCATTGAACAAGAATTTCTCCTTCATGAACAGCCTCTCCAAGTGGCCAGCGTCGCGAAGCGCATGTCATGGGCCGCATTACGGAAGACGACCCGGGAGGAAGACATTGCCTATTGTCTGATGGGCATTTTCGACGTTAACATGTCGATGCTCTACGGCGAAGGTGAGACGAAAGCCTTCTTACGACTGCAAGAAGAGATCCTGCGCTCACAAGAAGACCATTCGATATTTGCCTGGGTTGACTTGAGTAAAGGCCCAGACGACGAATGTGGAATGCTCGCAGAAAACCCGAGTTTTTTCAAAGATGCCGGGAACATTGACAGTTATGGTGGTCTCTTTGGAAAAGACTTCCTTCCTGCGATGACAGCCAGAGGGCTTCATATGAGACTTCCGGTGATGTCATTTGAGCATGACGCATACCTTGCCGTGTTAAATTGTCCGGTTCCTGATCGAGACAATGATGATTTTCTGACAGTGTACCTTCGCCGAATTCAGAACAGTGCAGCCTGCGAACAGTATACGAGAATTCGACCTGCTGATCTAGGCTTTGCTTCCGTATCAGCCCAACCTAGAGTAATCTATGCGCGCCAATCCGCTCTTTCTATAGTTAAGTCGATCTATCCACTCCACTTGTTACTGCTCCAGCGACAACGGACAAAGCCCACCTGGCAGAATCTCGTGGTTGCGCAGTATAATCGAGACGATGGTTCCACCTTGCCGGATATATCTCGAATCACAGAAGACGCGCCGTGGTGTCTTTCGGAGCGACGCGTCCACAAGGTCAATAAGAGATCAAACACGCTCGCAGTAGCTTTGAGAATGCGGAGTATACCGGGCTTGGACGATTTCTTGATACTTCTGGGCTCTGGAACCAGAGCATTGACGGTTGGTTTCGACGCTCTCGATTTTGACAACAAAATGACACCAGACTTCAGTCAGCTCTCAAAATCTTTTACACCACGGGCGATTGGCAAGTGGGCCGAAATTCAAGGTCGTTCAGTCTCTATCAATGTTAAAGAGAGAGTTCTAGATGCGGTGAAGATATATGAAGTTACCATCGATATTGTCGTGCATCTCGCCGAGAGCACTACCATGGGTCTTATCATGAGTGTGGTTGGCAAATGACAGCAGGATGAATATCATCAGCAGGAAGGGGAGATGGACCAGTCAGATAGATTTCGTTGCTGCTTCTGGCAAAACGTTGAGCTGCACACGATCGATCACCTGGGCAATTGATAAAAATTGCCACTGTTGAATCCATCTCAGGCAAGGCAGAAGGGGTATGTCACTGACGAGCGATTTGTTCCCCTCATACCCAGCTGCAATACGGAGTGACTTTCTGTTCAGCCCGATCTTATCATCAAGAAATGGGTTGGCAAACGCTTCACTTTGTTTTCTGAAATGTGCTCTCACTGCCGGTTGCCGTGGAACATGGCGGGAGACGCGAAGATGTCGGGCAGCCTCGCACCACCTTTGTTTCATGAAAGCTGGGTCTCACTTCCAAGATTTACATTTTCTTCCTCTCACTTCCGTCTTGGCAGGTGAATTCCGGTAATTTGATCATCGCGCTGCCCTATGGTGCAGGTGGTCAGGAAGCTCAACAACGATCCATCGCAAACAGTCAACGACTCATCAGCATTCCACAAGCGCCGAACTTTTCATAATGTTGTCTCAATCTTTTACTGCAACTAAGTGAGCTTATCACCTTGAAGCAATCAATTCCTCCGAAGGTTACGTGCCAGGCACTCAAAGCGGAACTTGACTCTGCTCACATTACTTATTGCCTGCAGCCGGTCGTACTTCAAGAATATAACCGATCGCTCAATTTCCAAGCCCTCCTCCCACATCATGGATGCCGAAGTCCAAGCTCCGCAAAATGGTCATACTTCCAAAAATAAACGCATGCGAGTGGAATTGCTCGTTGCACTCGAGTATGCAAGCCATTTGAAAACACGATCGCGGTTGTCACGTTCGACTGTCGCAAGACTGACCTTTACCAAGATCCGCGGCAGCTCGAACAAACTGTCGTTAAGAGCAAACACTCGCTTCAATCTCCCCGATTCAACGTTCCCTCCCAGAACTACTCCTCTTGCTCAGCTTAAGCCGATACGCATGAGGGACCTTCGCCCGACACCTACCATCATGGAAGAGCCAACTTTGTCCGCACCATTGCTGTGCCTAGCTACTTGGTGGCGTTGATCACCGCCAGTGAGGACGAGCAAGGAGATGCTTGCGGGATCTAGACTCATAACGAAAGAGAAACAACCAATCCCGATATGATTATTCCAGAGGGTAAAGTGATAGCAATCCGAGAGCCTTTGAACGTTTGCAGCTTCAAGGAAGTCTACGAGATTTTCGTGGACCATCCCTAAGATTTTGTTTATCTGAGTTCTTCTGACGAGAGAGCACCAGATTTATGGCGCTTTCACTCAGCCGAACAACACTCGCCTATGGAGTACAAGGCAATGGGAAACAAAGACTACTCCGCCAAGAGGTATCAAGAGGCGGTGGATCTCTACAGCAGGAGTCTTGTTGCATCCGGCGAAAGTTCACTGCTGTCTTGTGATCTACTACGAAACCGAGCCGTGAATCACCTGCACCTCAAACACTTCGAAAGTGCCAAAGCGGACGCATTGTTTTCTATCATTGAGGCGTCGGAAGAGGTCAACCCCGAGATCGAAAACAAGTTGAACAGCAAGGCATTCTTTCGCGCTGATCGTGCAGAATATGAGCTCGGGGATTTCATTGCCACCAAATCTTCGTTTCATGCCGCACTCAACTTGTTGCCCGATGATTGCGACATGCTCACGGAATCTGCTCGCCGTGATAGTCGCCTAGCCGAGGCAATCCAAGGATACTGTGACTTTACCACGATCAGTGATTCTCTATCCATCCCAGCTGAACCTCTACTCGATCATTTCAACTTCCTTTCCAACACTGTCATTCCGGGGACAACTGATCGCGGTATGGGTGTGCTCGCGACAAAAGCCATCAAGCCAGGTGAGCTTGTACTTTGTGAACAGGCTTTTCACATTGCCCAACCACAAGACTCGCGCCACAGGCTCGTCAACACGAGCTCGAAAACGGTAGGCGGGGCGGCTCATCCACATGACGGTCTTTACTATGCCGTTTTAGACAAGATCCGCAACAATCCGGCCACCTGGGGTAAGCAATTCTTCGAGCTATATGACGGTGGCTACGCGCCGAAAACTCCATTAATCGAAGTCGATGGCACTGTTGTCATTGACACATTCCGGGTTTGGATCACCTGTCAAAGGAACTGTTACGGCTCGCCAACCCTGCGCACCAGCGATCAAGCTTCCGGAGAAGACGACGCACCGAATCCTTGTGGACTCTGGCTGCGAGCCTCTCGCATCAACCATGCCTGTGCCCTGAACGCAACACGATCATTTCTCGGCAGCCTCATGTTGATTCATGCGACACGCGCCATCGATGCTGGCGAGGAGATCACCCTGACGTACTGTCCATCCGTAGCCGAAACTGACGAGCGTCGCAAACGGCTGAGCAACTATTGGCATCTCGCATGCTACTGTGCTCTCTGCGCGATGGAAACAGGTGGCGCCGTCAAGCAACGTGACAGACTGCAACGATTGCTCGCAACATTAGCAGACTTCCAGAACAAACACAATTGCACGAAGTCAGATCAGGTCAATAAGTATGTTGTCGATCAAGCGGAGACTCTATATCATGACCTTGGTTCTGCATATGGCGATCTCCGAGCTGGGAAAATCCCACGTCTCGGTCTCCTCCATCTCGCTACATGGCTCTGCAAGGCTTACGGCACGATGAACGAATGGGACAAATCGCTCCAGAAGGCACTGGAGGCTCTCCAGCACGCCGGACTTCGCGTTGCCTTGAAAGCATCCCACAGCACCACCAATCCGTACGATGTCGTGCCTGGCAAACGCAAAGTCGCCGTGAAACGATCTAAGCCGTGCCTTGTCGATCCTCGCGCTGTCGACGCCGCATTCCATGCTTCTGTCTGCTGCTCCAGATCTGGGAAGTTGGCTGATGCCAAAGCGTATCAAGGTTTGGCATTGGAGTTGTTTCGTACTGTTTATGGAGAGTAAAAGGGCTACGTAGAGAGGTATGGGCCGCTGCTGTGATATATTGATCGGGAGGTTCAATCTGGTCCATCAGTGCTTTGCTTGCTCGATGCTTGCCCCAAAGTTCTTGTCTGTATGATTCTGATGCGCTTTTCCCGAGACATCGTTGTTTTCATGTCGGAGAGAGACAAACTATTCAGCTCATTTGAAGGACTTTTCCAAATTCTCAACAATTCTTTCCTTTGGTGTCCACGCCCTTCCCGCGTTTCTTCTTTGCCATTCAACTCGTTTTTGATGTTTCTGCGAGCTCTAAACAGCCACTTCTATCAATGTAAAATGCATCTCATTGAGCACCGGCGACATTGACTACTGCACAAGAACTGCTGTGGCGTGTCGTAGGAGTCAATGGGTCAGCTCAACGACAGTTTACCACTATACAGCTATGGCCTTGTCGTACCCCTCGCAATTTCCGTCTTGTAGAGCCGATACTGAAATACAGCTTATACCCGTGGACAACATATGTCGAGATGATGCTCCGAAGATGGTCTCTTTTTCACTTGGGGTTAGGGTTTGGGTTACCCCATCCCATCAGGTACCAGGTGCCAATTGGCGATGACATCTATTCCTACGTACGACGTGTTGCACTTCTTGAACATGCTTCGTGATGTTCTTTGATCGTCAATAAATGACCTGGAGAATAGAAAACGATAGCTTCTTCTCGTAATGTGATCTAGTGAGGCACAGCTTCACAATTTTGGGATTTGCTTTAGAGCAACGCCTTTTCGTTTAAACGTGACATCTTTGCGAACACACAGCGCACATGCGTGGAGACCACCGTGTGCCCATAACAACTCAGCAGATCGTACCGATACAGCGCCAGTCAGCCGTGAAACTGGCTCGCTTGTTATTAGCAACGCAGCCCGAGATGGGCGCTGGAAGATCGGAATTGGAGAAGCACACGGCGGTTCCACCCTGGTTCTGACTCGTGACGTGATATGAGCTGTGCACAACGATTAGTACACACGTCCAGGTTTTTCCGACAAGGGAAAGGACCGACTCACCCATCGCATTGCGCCTTGAAGGTCAACGCATTAGTGCCGCACACATGTTGAGTGTCCTGCAGCACAAAAGTGTCGGGCATGTATCGAAATTCGGCGGAGCCGGGCGCATATGGATAGCTGCTGAGATCAGTATTGCCAAAGTCCACCGCCGCGAGGTCGTTGCAGTTCCATTTATCGCCGGGAACAATGCCGACTTCGACTTCGGAATCGCCGCACTGAGAGCCAGAGCAGCTACGGTAGCTCTCGTGAAAGAGGTAGAAGACGCTCGAACCGGGCGTGCCGGTCGGCTGGCAAGATGATGATGTTGGAGTGGCAGAAACAGGCCGATTTGGGCCAATATAGCCCATCGCAAGGATCGTACCTGCCATCCCGCCGTCGCCCATCATGCGCACTTGATCGCCTGCGTACGGAGTGAATTCCGGTATCAAGGGACAGGCTGTGGTCGTCTCTGAGGTGGTCGTCGTGCCGGTCGCGCGACAGCCAACGTGCTCCGAGCATGTCGTGCTATAACACGAGGTAGTCATGTGGCCGCCAGAGTCGGGACCGACGTCGCAGTCGACCGAGCAGTTTGTGACTGTCGAACTGGAGCTGCATGATGACTGTTCGTCAGGCTCACCTTCTCCGCCACCGGTACCACCACCACCACCACAGTTCGGACCAGCACAGCCGCCTCCGCCTTTGCTACCGCCGCCTCCGCCGCAGCCAGCACCAATGCAACCACCGCCGCCGGAACAGCCGACACCAATGCAGCCGAAAGAAGGAATGTTACCCGAGATCCCTGGAAGTACTACAGGGCTGCAGTTTATAAGACATCGTTGTCCACAACCAACAACGCATTGTGGCGGTGGAGGACCTGGACGGACGGTGATTCTCGGCGCGCACAACGGGCACCCGGTCGGGACTGGTAGAGGCAGCAGGGTAGTTGTCGTCTGTCCCGCTGTCTGAGTTGGTGGTGGTGGATAAGGCCCGAAGTTCAAGGTGTAATAGATGCCACGAAGCGTTGTCGAAGTCCCACTCGCTGTGACGACGGTGGAGTCTTGTCTGAGAGTGGCTCCACAACAATTAGCTTCGAATCTGGAGAGGAATGTTTTCGATCTTACCAGGAGGTAGGATCAAGCTGCTTCGTAAAGGAATGATGGAGTCGGCGGTGTTTGTCCATACAACATTATAGAGAGGAATCTCTTTCGTCGTCACGGGCGGCAGTGTTATGGTAGTCTCTACAAGATGCATGTCAGGCCATAAGTGTTTGCTTTGCAGGATCTGTTGAGCGTACCTTTGACTGCAGATATGTAGACAGTCGTCGTCACCATTCCACTCATTGTTGATATTGACGGCCAGACTTGTGTGACTGTCGTTGTGATTGGTGTAGGTGTGATTGTAGTGGTGTACGGCAGTGTCCAGGGCGGTAGAACTAGAGTGCAGGGCGCCTGACAACTCACAATGGGACTCGGATTCTGGTAGAGAGCAGGGTCAAGAGACACGATTCCACTTCCAGAGCTCGTACCGGTACTGCCACTTCCAGTATCACTGGCAGTGTCTGTGACGTTGAGATCGATAGCCTGCAGGAGTCATACGTTAGATGGAACACAATAAAAAGAAAGGCTCGGGCGTACCCAATCGGAAGTTCCTCCCAGGCCGATAGCTTGCGCAAAACTGCTGCGACCGTCGTAGGTGCTGCCTGACATCCAAGAAACCCACTGCGTGTCATTGTACACTAAGATATCGCCAGCGATCGGGGTAGAGTATTGTTGGACTTTGTACCGGCCGCCGTTGATGATGTCGTAAATCTCATTATTAGAGAGATAACCAGGCGTTCCTGCAGTATGTGAGCTCCCTATACGGCGATAAGGTTGTGAGCTTTCGTACCTGTGCACTTTCCAGCACTTGCTCCACTCGAGCGACCAGTGAAGGTACATTCCTCAGTGTAGCAGCCGGCTTGGGTCATTTCGAAACTTCGTCCGTACAATGGTTGTCCTAGCATGATTTTGTTTCCAGGTACCTAGAAAAGGAGTCAGAGGTCGAAGTTCTTCGCGGTTCGAGAAAAGAAAGAAACATACGCCTGCTTTTGTAAGCATGGAAAGGGCAGAGACGGTTTCGGTGAAGTTAACTTGAGATCGGAGACAGTTGCCTGTGGGGCAAGCCGGATTTGTGAATGCGTTGCCATAGTCCCATTGTCTGGAAGTGGTCAGTTCGAAAACTCCAGGCCTCTATTTCCATGCGATTCGTACCCGTGGAGATCGTAAGTTCCTCATTGCTATTCAACTTACCTCCCAGTCAATGTCGACACCATCCAGGCCTTCAATTTGCACGAAGTTTGCAATTTTGCGCGCAAACGACTGACGATTGGCCGGCATAACCCCAGATCTGAGAATATTATAGCTGCTTGGCTGTAGGATGTTAGCATTGCGACGATTTCCGATGAGGACACGAAGTACGTACTGCTGTGGAGAACGTCCATCCTCCGAAAGACACAATCTTCTTGAATCGCGTTTGTTCCTTGAAAGCTGCCCAGGCAGATTCATAGGGGCTGATTGACGGCTGGTAATTGGTGCTAATGCTTGCAAATGCCCAGTGAACCGTGGTGTATCGATCTGGTATTGCACCTACTGATACGTGCCCACAGGGCCGATCAATGTTGAATGCTTCGTAATAGCCGATGCGCTCAAATCGGGCCGGGCTGGAGCTAGTGATGATGTTGGTTCCGCAATTTGAGATACATCCATTGGCACCTGGCTGTCTGGTACCAGGATTTCCGGTATCACTTGCGAGATCTGTCAGTACTTGATGTCTCCACTTCATACGTTCGACGATCACTTACGCTGGAGCTGCGGTGCAAAATTCGGTGGTGATGCCGCACTGACCGAAGACATCGCAACATGCATTCAGCGGGCATTGGTTAAGATTGGCCCAAGTGCTGATGTCGGAGTTTGGCTGAGTACCGTTGGCTTGCGGACCGCAAATAGCGTTCGGGACGTTAGCAGGGAACGGAGGTACGCCAGAACTCAAACAAATTTTCATGCCGATATAGAGAGTAGCACAGCCCTCCCAACCCCAAGTCTGACGATTGCGGGAGACAATGTCCTGCACTGTCATTTGATGCGCTTCTGCAATAGCTGCACAATAGTCATTAGCGACAACCGTGTATGCACGACAGCTGCCGTCCGGGTTCTGTTGAGGAGTCATATCCGGTAGGGTACCCGATGAACAGCAGGCGTACTGTAGAGGGTTAGCGATGTCCGGAATGTTTTCATGCGTTGCACTAACCTGTCCCACTTTCAGACTGGAACAGAAACTGCTCCCTCCGTTATACGATTGAAGAGCTTGCTGTGTGATTCCACAGCGTTGAGCCACATTGTAGCAGCCGTCACCCGCTTGGACTAGGAAAGATCAGCGTCTGAGCGATCCCAGCCGTGAAATCCTTCGACCGACCTTGTGTATATGTACAAGTGCTTCGTGAAGAAAATCGGTTCCTTCTCTGCTTCTCACCCTCGGTATCGGCCTTGGGAGAGATGCGGACCTGTGTGCCAGAGTTCATTTTCAAACCCACGCCATCCCAGATGCGAGATTGTTCACTCTGTAGGCACTGTGCACGATCCCATTTCTTGAGTGCCTCTTGAACTGTTGCGAAATTGACAGCCGTATCATAGATGACACCAAAGTATTGAGAGCTTGTGGTACCATTGGACACCCCGCAGGTCTGAGCGGACACACTGGAGCTTGGAGATTGTCTAGAGACTTGATCACTGAACTTGCTCATGATCTCTGACGCGCTGCTTCGATCGACTTGAGACCCGACGTATACACCAGCGATGACGTTTTCGACACGAGCGAACATAACCACATCATTGGAATTCGCAGAGAGTATATATCTTCCAAGCTCTGTACTTGCCGAATGTGCTGCTATAGTGTCGACATGTTCAGTGCTAGACCAGCTGTTCAGGTGCAAAGTCGACGCGGATGGAATGCTTGAGTTGGTGGAGAGGTATTGTCGTCGGTTCAGGCGTCGAAACGGTCGCTCTGGAAGGAGCGACCTCATTGTCTGCGGTAAAGTATCAAGTCTCTTGCTGATTTGAGCATTCGCGGAAGTTGACCTGCTCGAAGCGGAGCAAGCGCGATAATACAAAGAGGTTCTTGCGTTGGCAATTTCGTTGTAGATATTGGTTTGAAAGAGTACGGTGTCATCACAGACATCGAGATCGGCCAGTGAATGATAGTATGTCCAAGCAGACGGATCGGTGCTAGACCAGTCACAAGGTACTGGACAAGGAGGAGAACTAGAAGCGGTTTGAGCACCGACAAGGGGAATTGTGAAGAGAGACCCGAATAGTAAGACTTGAAGCCAAAGTTTCTGGCATGACTGGTCCAACATGATTGCGAAATCCGACACGAATGCCTCGGGACTTGCTTGAACTCGCTCGGGACTCGACCGTGTATTATCATCATGAACGTGCGGTCGCCTTCCAGGTGCCAAAGACGGCAGTACAGAGTATGCACCATATTCGCCACACTGAAATTCTCCAGCATTGAGGGTATTGCCGAGGTCTGTTTGGAACGTTCCTGCCGTTCCCAACATCTTTCCCCAATCCGTGTATGAAACTTTGTCGATCCACATGAGGGACTTCTACCGAGCACGACAGCAGCCTTTGGCAAGGCAGAACACCCACTGGCTACCCCTACTAAGGCAAGCGGGCTACGAAACGAATACGCGCCGCACTCACGCATTGCAGGAGACTATTGGCTCACCCACTCTCAAAGTAACGGTACCGCTGAGCTAGTCGTTCAAGCTGACGTCCATGGATGTCAAGCGAGACGGAGACCCTGGGTTGGTTGTTCTTTTCGGGTCACATGTGTAGGTCTGAAGACGAGAGTGGGAGGGAGGATGGCCCCATAGCGTGGAAACAAATACGGGCGAGTGCATCAGGGAGAGTGCGCCGCAATCGCTCGACTACCCGAGGGTCAATACCGAGCTTGACAAGTGACTCAATTCAGACGAATTTGTGCTGATCTGTGGATTGATGTAACACCGACATCCAGTCAGGCGTACGCGCCGGAATTCATTTGTAACAAAGATGATTTCATGATTCCGCTTGACGGCGGCCTTGCCATGGACTGTTGCGCCTCTTGTGTCCCGCTGCGGGGTCTTCCAACACCCGGCCTGTGTGTGCGAAGCTACGGAGGAACGACCAGCCCGGCTGCACAAGCACAAGCGTGTAAAATCTGCATGCGGTCCTCCAATCGCGGGACTTTCTGCCGCGAAGCGCGATGGATTCTGGTTGAGTTTCGGACCCAAAATGGAATTAAGCGAACGGACAATCCACGAGCGTCAGCCATCAACCTAGTTGCCAACCCGCAGGATATTTGTGGAGTGATCTCCCACCTTGTTGAGGCCTTACTGCGGGACCGGTGAAAAGTTCAACGGACCAAATGCGCAGTACTGCAGGGTCAAACGCAAATATGTTGGCGCTTGTGGGTGCTAAGGCACGCGAGCGGCTGAGAGGGTTGCTGAACTGGGCGATCATCAGTCTTGTGGGGTCCGAATCTCATCGCTCTCGTTCCCGAACCTCAATTCGAGGCCAACAACCGAACGACCGTCACGCACGAGTAATACTATGCAGGTCTGCATCAATATCACCACGCTATCGTCAAGTGTGTCATGGAGTAGTCTCCAAGTGTGTACGTTGTGGGAGATCGATACGCGTATGGCCACATCTCGGGCAACAGCTCTCAGCGAGGTGTGTTCTACGCAACCTCAACACAACTGTGCCGTACTTCCTGTATGGTCGACCAAGTACCGAGGTGCAGAATCAAGTACCCGTCGAGAATGCGAGAACTCAAGTGGTATGAGTCGTCTCAAGCTTGAAGAAGGCGTGGGAGGATGAAATGATAGAAATTGTGGAGGCCTGCTGCCACTGCGCAATCGAAGTTGGCCTTCATACTCGCTCAACGAGTCCATCTGCCTTACCGCTGCTTCTGGCGACCCGAAGTTTTCACGATGTTGCTTTCACGAGTCTTGTCCGTGTTGCTTTTGCAACACCTGACTTTGGTACTTGCTCGAGTGTAAGGTGGCCCGTCAAGATCCGCATACAGAATCATGCGCCCTAACTAGCACTCAGCTATAACTCGACAATCGCTTTAGGAGATGAATATTCTCCTCTCAAGATTCGCGACGAAAGGCATGTGCTGCTCCGACGACAACTGTTCGATGAATCGTCCTACTAACGTCGTCGCTCGATCAGAGTCAGCTGTGGCGCTCAATGCCGTGCTTGCAATGATGAGTCGGATTGCGGCACCGCCTTGAAGCGCAGTGTCTACAAATACACCCCAGATTGGTTTCTGGAGTCTGATACTGGCGAGAATGGAGCAGCGATCGTCCAGGAAGCGAGCGGCAATCACAGCTCTGCAATCCAGAAGCGAGACCTGAAAAAGCTTAGAGGCCCAACAGCAGCTGCATATTGCGCCGCATTGTGCAAGAAAGGCAGCAAGAAAAATCTTTGCCCGTTTAGATCGAAACGCCAAGTATCGTTTGCTGTTCAGCAAACGTTCATAGACCAGAAGTATTTCACATTAAATACTGCATCGACGGTGCTGTCTGGCTGCTCCATTTTGACCGTGGTGTCCAATCGTGCGGTCTACATGGTAAGTCGGTCCAGGAAGTTTTAGAATAATGTAGCCATCCACATGCGCTATCGACATAAAAGCTAATCAACGATCAGACTCACCTCTTTCAAGACTTGGGATTTGAAAACGCTCCACCGACAGACGAGGAGGCTCTCAAGAAATGGGACCCTACGCCACCTGATTTCCAAAAGAATGTACTTAATCTAATTGAAGGTCTGAAACCACTCTATCGAGCGGATGGCCCAGCCTTAGACGTGAGCCTTTTCAATCAGCCTGGAGACAATTCCTACGCGTCCATCATGACTCCCAGAGACCCCGAAAATATGCAAGACTACTATCCAGATAAGGTCGGGATTCTGAAAGTTTTACTCGAAAAATTGATTCCCGGAATCCGCTTCGATTCAGTCCCTTACATCTCCATGAACGAGGAGTACGATCCAGGCTACGGCGCTGCTGCTTTCGAATACGACCCAGATGGAGATGGGGTGGGTAACGCTGATTGGAGACTCTTGTACGAGAACAATATGAAAATGGGCTCGGAGATTAACGGGCTCGTGGGTTCGGGGAAGGTCAATCCATAGATGCCCGCCTTTTGTACATCCTCATTGCCGCAGGCCATTCCCAGGCAAGGATCGAGTATATATTACGTATTGCGGGCTGCTCGAGAGAAAATTTCTGCTTTCTTAATGCTGTGCATGCTTGTCCTCTGGGATGAAATAAAGGTATGCAAGCACTTGCCATCTGCACACGACGTGAGTTGTGTATGATCAGGCGCGTAGCATTAACCGATATGTGGCAAATTTGGCTGGAACGTCAGCGGCGACGACGCAGCCTGGCGGCCAAACCCCCGCAGCCAGAGCATTTTGAAGACCTGCGTCCGCACCACTGCATACCGACAGTAGTCTGCCAGGTGGCTGGCGCGCATTTGGATTTTTGGAAAAGCGTATATAAGCGTACATGTACAGGAAATCTGGACCGACACGTGCCCTTGTTTCGCCCAGCGGGTTACAAGATTATGAGAAGCGGTCTCGAGGTGTTGCCGTTTGAATACACTGCGCTTCAACACTATATCTCGATTCGTGTACCGATGCAAACATCATGGAAGCTACATGTCTGAAAGGCCTTTCAAATGAGCTTTTCGAATGGATCGTCGAAAATCTGGACCTCGAAAGCGTCCGCAATTTACGCCTCGTGAGCCGGGAGATCTCCCATAAAGCGACACAGCGTACCTTTGCATCATTTTTCCAAACGACGCGCATCGTCCTCTCCAGAGAATCGCTAGAAGCCTTCGCACGGGTTACATCAGGCGCTATTGGGTCTTCCATCGAACACCTCACTATCGTCGGTATTCTCTATGAATTCACACCTCTTGACGATATCATCAAATATCGCAGAAGAGACACCCCAGATAAGGAGTCCGAGCTCGAGCCATGTGAAACGATACAGGTCGACTGTCGGCCTACGGAGATCGCACAAGCAGAGAAGGATGTCGATATCCTACGACAACGCCAATCAGATTACGCGCTTCTTTGCCGCGATGGTGGCGATGTCTCGCTACTGCGAGAGTCATTGCGAAACATGGCTGGTGCTTCTGGACGAGTGTTGAAATATCTTTCCCTAGAGGTTGCTGTGATATGCGAAGCTGCTGGGACCAAATTGACGCCTCTGGAAGCCAGGGAACAGAAAACAATGGACAGCTCGGCCCTCGAGCACCAAGTTCTGCAATCGGCAACAGCCACATTCCTGACAAGCGTAGCTGCTCTGAGCAGCAGCAGTCTTATGATCGAGAGTGCCAACATATTTCGTACTCGACCCGGATCCTTGCGATGTGGACTGCCATGCGATGCATTGGCAGTCTTCGAAAGGAATCCACAAAAACTTCTCCCTTTCTCCAGCCTGAGAAGTCTATCTATCAGCGTTGCGGATAGGCTCGAAGGCGATCTCGGGAGACTAGAATATGAAGAAGACGAGGAATTAGAAGCCGTCAAAATCGTGGAGATCCTGGATGACAACAATTCTTCAGGTCTATCAAAATTGCTCGCGTCATGTTCGCGACTGGAAGAGCTGTATGTCTCGTTCTATGAGGAACCATGCCACTTCTACGATCCTCAGGAAGCGGCGCGGAAAAAACAATCCCACATGCTACTCCAAGCAAGGTTACCATCCCTGCGGAAATTGTTTCTGGGTGGCATGGAAATCCAGGTCGCTGATTTGACGGCTTTTCTAGCTGGCCACAGCGCGTCCTTGCGTTCAGTCGAAATGTTCCTCGTGCTGGTCTATGATGGACTCTGGTCCACGGTCATGTCCTTGGTAGCGGGCGATGGATTCCAACTTGATGATATACGTCTAACGGACATCAATGACGAGGCTACGGCCAAAATCTATTTTGATGGAGAGCGTGAACAGCCATACTCAACAATCAGCGGAGTCTTCAAAAGTCGGAACGCCATTCACCGATGGGGCCCCGGCGCCAGGATGGCGATCACACACGCTCCATGCGACACGAGACACAGAGAATCTGGATCTCACTCCGACTGGCGTGGAAGTTGCGCGGACGAATTCGGCCGCTGGCGGATCGTTTCCCCCAAGGTGCGCAACGCCCCCAAACCACCGTCGGTGGTACGGAGCTGGATCGATGGGAATTGGGTCGAGAGACCCTATATATTCCCAGGATCATAGCGAAAAAGCATTCCAGGTCGCTCATGCCGAGCCAAGGTCAATTTTCGCACAGGCGACGTGCGCACACAGGCGAGAAGGCGGGCGATTGTCGTGCATGGTCATCGTTGCTTGGGTTAAAGCGACACAAGAACACCCGAACCCGATCGTCCATGCATGATCAGGCTGGCGACAATTCCCCTACCAACGTATCCTATAACTTTCGCCACGCATTCTAGACTCCATACTCATGTTGTAATTGTCTCCGTTCGTGCTCTTTCCTCCTGCATCAGTCGCCTTCCTTTCATAAGCTCCGCTTCGCTCTCGGTGAGCGCCACTGTCGGCGCACTCGGCGGTTCGCCATTCGTGGCCACAGGTGCCATGGTCGAGACCCCAGTTCATAAAAGCCACACTCAACTCGTCATCGACCTTAGCTCCGTCCTGATCAAAAAATTGTGGGCGAAAATTTGGTGTGTGGTGTGGACGTCAGAGATGACGACCGAACATCATATCGCGACTGGGTGGGTCTCGAGGATGATGTCCTCTCCGATGAGCCCGCAACTCAGCGCTCTGCTGCATGTTCATCTCAGACTCATTCGGCTCGGCGATTCCCTTGAGAATGCCTTCAACATCAATCCCCTGCTGGAATGCAAGCAGCCCATCCTCATGGACTCATGACCATCCCGTGCGATATCACGCCATCTCGCCACGGATTACTGGGCGCTGGTTGCTCGACAGTAGACATGCAGTATGCCCGAGGTAGCGACCTTGTTCGATGGCGTCGAAAGGTGTTGAGATGAAGTAGTCGATTGTAAGAGAATACATGGGCATTCTTCAATTCTTCGCAAAAAAAAATCACGCGCGGCTATCTCCGAGTTATCTCCATGGAAATGAGGGCAAAATTTATTAGGAAGCGTTTGTCTCCACAGGCACCCTGTAATGAACAGGGCACTCCGGCAGTTTAATAAAAACATTGGGCGACGCGACGCCGCGAAGGGGATGGCGAAACACAGCTTGACAGTCCGACGCACATGGGAGGCAAGCTGGGATGGTATCGATGTTGATGCTTGCAGTGAAGATCGTTTGATGGTCAGAAGGACATCTACTCGAACAGTGCTCTCAACAATCGAACATCTACGTTGGGAAAGCATTCATTCTCGATATGACTACTTATCACACGCGGCCGTGGGTTGCCTTGACATGGAGTCCCAGTACAGTGTCCGCCAGTTTGACTATGGCTGGCTGAGCTTTTGCCACTGTGCAAGCACGTCGTCGCATAACCGCGACACCGAATAATTATCGGACATTACCTTGAGAACCGGAACGTCGACTCCCGTTTCGCGAAGAAACCACTCCCGGATCCGAATCGCGACGAGAGAATCAATTCCCAAGGCAGACACAGACATCTGGCTGTCCACCTTCTCCGGGTCGATCTCAAGCAAATTCCCCAAAGCGAATGCAAAACACGACATGAGGACACGGATATATTCAGACGGCTCGTCCACTGCAGCGAGCTGGGCTTTCACGCTCAGTGTACCAACGGCTTGATCTTTTCCGTCGTCGTCCTGAAGTTGTTGAAGACCGCTATAGCACGAGAGCCGCGGATCTTCACGCCATTCCTCCTGGAATACTGGCCTGGCTCCGGTTATAAGCTCGGTGACTTGTCCTTGTCCGGGGTGACCGCACACAATCGCCTCGGCGAGCATCCCATGGAGATCTGCCTCTGACTGGCGTTCGCACCGCGGAAGGATTGACTTGTAAATCGTGTCGGCATGTTCGGCATCGCGGCGGAAGATATACCCGAAGCCGGTCAAGATCGAAATGTGAAGGACGGACCCGGCGAGACCCCGATCGCGTCGTTGCTGTATCAAGCTTACCATGTAATGGTTCGCAGCAGCATAAGCAGACTGACCGATGCTCCCGACGATCGAGGTGGTCGACGAGAAACAGATGAAGAACTCAAGATCTTGATTGCCGAAGAGCTCATTCAGGTTCTGACTTCCTGTCACTTTTGGCTTCAGGACGGCTTCAAAATCCTCCCAGGTCAATGACTGGAACAGTCGATCGCGAAGGACCATCGCAGCGTTCATCACTCCTCCGATCGGAGGCATTGTCGCATTGATCTCCGCGTACAACTGGCGGAGCGACTCCATATTCGTTATATCGGCGGACATCGGTCGCACTGTGGCCCCCTTGCGTGAGAAGAACTCCAGCACATTATTAGAGACGTGAGGATTACGACTTGTCAAGACCACATTCCGTGCGCCGTTGGCCACCATCCATGCGCAGACCGAGATACCCAAGTCTCCAGTCATTCCACAGAGAAGATATGTTTTCGAATCCGAGAACAACCCAAAATGTTCCAGTGGCTGGACGGCGGCACTGATCACGTTGGTGGTGGTCCAGTCAATTACAGAGGTCAGGCCGAGTGGCTTGCTTCGAGAGTTGGGGATTTCCCCAACATCGACGACCTCCACGGGCGGCAACGGCGTTTCAGGCTCTGCACCAATATGTTCGCCTGCTAGAGTACGAAGCTTTGAAATATCTAAGCCGATGGTCAGATCCGGAATGTGCTTTTCGATGACGCTGTGTGTCTGCGTGGAGGAGCGTATGGCCTTTATTAGAGTGCTGTTTTTATCAGTGGACAGATCGACGAACATGCGCAAATTGTTCGGGAAAAGGCGCTGCAAATCGTCCTGGTTCATGTAAGGGTGAATGAAGTTCACACTCGAACGGTTTGCCATGTCGGACGTAGTGTGGAGCAGATTCAACTTTTGGCGTCTTGCGCGCGCGTCAAGAACAGCCTGCAGATCGTCTGGTACTTCGTGGATCCATGTTGAGATCTCGAGATCTTGGAGCAAATGTTCTGCTAATGCATTTCGCAAGAAGATGGCAAGTAGTACAGTGTCCGCCACTGCACATTGCTCGGGGCTCCATCTATGCAGGATGCGATCAGGGACCGGGCTCACCAGGGAGCTGGGCACGTCCACGAGACCAAGTATCTTGTCCCCGGAGCTCAACTCTTGACCAATGAAAAGGTGAGCCCGGGTCTGTTGGCCGTAGTCCAACGCGCGATCGGAGGTAGCCGAGACACGGATTTGAGCTTTGGTCGTACTGGAGCTGCGATCAGGGTTATTTTGTATCTGCAACTCTGTCTTTGTTTCGTCCAGGACTACCACCTCGTCTGATGAACTTAGATTGACGGTCTGTGAAACATGTCGAATCCGCGCCAGAGATCGTCGATTAACAGCGTCGAGAGTGCTGACTCGAGGGATATGAACAGCGCCGTCCTTCAGCCAAAGTTCCGGCTCTTGTGTCCACAGCCTTGCACCAGAATCGTCAGATTCGAAGATGGCAAGACGTATAAGCATCTCCGCCAGGTTCTCCGCAGTAAGCTCGCTCGGATCTTCAACGTCGAGGAATTGCAATTTTAATGTCGTATGCTCAGCTAGCAGAGCGCTCGACAATCCCACTGTTACGTTTGCATCGGGTTCGCGACCAGATTTTGCGCCTGTCGTGACCCAGAGAGCCGCATTCGCTTGACCCACGATGTCTTTGAGTCCCTGGAACTTTTCCGCGCCCATGTGGCGGAAGACCGGCTCATCAAGATCTGCAAGGCAAAGGACCGCTGCGCCAGCGGGAATGTCAACATTCTGTATACCAGGAACAACCGTGATGTTGGTGGTCATCCTGGGCGCGAGCGTGTCTTGCAATACCTTGTGAACCGAATTGGCAAGTTCCTGCGTGCGATCGCCGCAAATGACAACGATGTCTTGCAGATGACGATCTGGGGCTGGGGGAGACTTCAATGGCGCCCGAAGAGTTTTGATCGTCTCATCCACCGCTTGTGCTATGATGGCCGAACAGTACGATGGTGACGTACTGAAGTCGACCCCGGAAAATCCGCAAGCCCTCAACAGTTCGTCCCAGCGCTGCACGCTGACTGTGGGTGCCCACACTCGGCCGTCCTCGATGCCCAGGAACCAACCCGGCAGCGTCGACATGATCAATTGCGTCGGCAAAAAGTCCTCTGTGACCTCCAGCAGCACGAGTCGACCACCGGGCTTGAGGAGCCGACGACATTGACGCAGTGTGTTTTCCAAACTATGAGTTGCATGCAGACAGTTTGATGAAACAATCATGTCATAAGCTTCCTCCTTGAAACCTTGCTCGATAGGGTCGTTTTCGATGTTAAGGGTCTTGAAAGCAAGCTTGTTGATATGCTGACTGAAGATCGTGCGTGCGTTCTCGAAGAACCCCGTAGATATATCGGTGTAGGTATACATGGAATACCTGCCGTCCAGGGAATCCAAGACTGTCCTGGTTGTTCCTCCCGTGCCAGCTCCGACCTCGAGTACCTGCATCCGAGGATGTTGGTGGGCGATTTGACTCACGATGGCGCCCAGGTCGATATTGCCATGCCGAACCCCAACGCCTTCGGTGTAAAGGCGATCAAGCATGCCATTCTCCGTGAGAATTCTGAGAGGGGGAATGATTCCGCGGACGATGTTCACAAGATTTGTACCGATTGCATGGAGGATGTTCATGTCGTTGTTATCTGGCGGATAAGAAGCGCGCCATTCTTGGATCATCTCGAGGGTGTCCTCCTTCCATTCAGGGCGGAGTTGGTGGTGTTCACCCGCCTCGATCTGTGGAAGGAGATGTTCGTTTACCCACTTCATCATGTGTTTACGGTATTTTCCCATCAGCAAAAGTTCTTGTGGCCGGATCTTTTTCTGAAGTGTACGCAAAAAGAAGTAGGCCGTTCGCGAAAGCCGCTCGTACAATAAGCTCTCTTCGTCGGAAAGACGGACCTGGCTCTTCGGGTCAATTCCACAAGTCGCGTCCCTGAGCCACTTGGTGTCTGCATAAAGCCAGGGATCCGGACGTCGACCGACTGCGGTGAGACGGACACCGCGCATTTGCACTTCAGTACAAGCAGTGTCTTCATGGAAGATATCAATATCACCGGTAAGAGTGGTACTATCGGTAGAAACCACAGCAGCATCAGCTATAAGGCTTGGTTCCAGAAGTTCCTGGGCTATCATGCTGATCCTGACACATTCAATCCGGGTTGGAAGGAATATGCTGCCGAGGCGTCCGTCCTCTGGGAACGCAAAAGCTGCTAACAGGCCATGAAATGCAGTGTCGAGGACGGTAGGGTGCATGCATGGACGAATTGTAGATCCAACCGGATGATCAGGAAGAGATACGGCAGCTCGGTTGAGCCGTCGCAGCATCGACTTGGCTTGGAAATAGCCAGTGTAATTGAAACCTTCCTTTGCCAAGCTGGAATAGAGTCGCGTCATGTCCAAAGACTCTAGAGAAAGCAACGGCTTGCTTCTCGTGGGCAAGGCATCTTTCAGCGGTTCACCAAACCATACTTTCACGCTTGCTGTGAAATGTGCCGTGAGCCCAGAGACAGGTGCATCCGGAGCCTGTCCAGAGTCAACGGAACCACTGTAGCAGGCAACTTCTGCGGTGATGGCGTCGTCAGATTCGGCTGTCACGCGAATAGTGAATGCAACCTCAAGTCCGGGCGAGTCTTCTTCCAGCCGCATGGCACGAATGATTTCGACGTTACTCAATTCAAGGAGTCGCGCAGATTGACCGTCGTCTAGAAGGTGGATTGCTGCCTCGAATGCCATGGACAGATATCCTGACGCAGGAAAGAGGACTTCGCCCTGGATTTTGTGACCTGCCAACCAGGGGAGCTCGCTCAACCTCAGGAGCTGCTTCCATTGGACTTCTCGATCTTGACGTTCCCCGAGCGTGGAAGCATGTCCAAGCAACTCGTGACGCGGTCTTGGCTGCGTGCGAAATGCTCGTGATGACCTCGATTCTCTCCAGATAAGCAAATTGTGGTCCCACGAGTATCGGGGAAGATTCTTTATGATGGCTCGCTGCATGGGTGAATCTCCGGAGGTTGCCAGATTGATGCGGTCGAATGTTATTATTGGTTGCGACGAAAGGAAGCTTTTCCAGAGCAGACCGAGTAGATCGGTGAACGACTCTACGGCGTCTTGTCCTCGTTTCAACACGCCAGCGTATGGAAGATTGGCGCCTGATAGCTGCTTGATCGTTTCCAAACTCGGACCTTTGAGGGCCGGATGAGGCCCGACCTCAAGCGCAAGATCAAAACCTGTGCCCTCTTGCAGGGCTCTGGTGAGCGCTTCGCTGAATAGAACAGCTCCAGTCATGTTATCTACCCAGTATTGGCCTTTGAGTTCAGGCTCGACGAATTTGCGACCACGGCCCTCGAGTCCCCAGACACTAGAGAACCACTTGCAGGTGTCCTGACCGGTCTCGACCTTAATTGCACAATTCGTGATCGAATCCAGGTACGCTCCCCCGCAGAGCTTCATGTGAGGTGAATGATAAGCTGTGTCAACTTTCAAGACGCGAGCAAAGGTACCGTCGGCCTGTAATTCGACAAAGGCCTTGTCGACTGCCACAGCATCACCGGCAAGGGTGCAACTCGTCGGAGAGTTGCTCGCAGCCACGACAAGTGACCCGTTGAAAGCGCTGCAGTAGGCTGTTGCCTGTTCGTAAGTCAAGCCGACGGCCATCATCTTGCCACGCTTGCCATCCGCACCCATTGCTAAACCGGAATGTACACCCCGATAGTAGGCGATACGAATGGCATCTTCAGCGGAAATGTAGCCCGCAGCATATGCAGCTCCGATCTCACCGGATGAGTGTCCAATCACGGCTGAGAATTCGACTCCTGCGGCCCGGAGAACGTCCACGAGTGCGACTTGTAAAGCTGTGCATAGTGGTTGCGAAATCGCCGCCTCACCGACACGGGACGCTGACGAAGATGCTATCAACTGATCTGTCAGTGTCCAATCAGGTCTGTTACCCTCGGGCAGAACGTCCAGACTGAGTTGCATTCGCTCGATAGCTCCACTAAACGGCTTTGAATAAGCTAGCAGTTCTTTTCCCATGGACGCCCATTGTGCACCCTGTCCGGTGAACACCCCGAGGATTCGTACTTTCGCGCCGTCGGGAATGTATTGAGCACGCGGACTACTCTTGAGTGCTTCACTCCCTGCTCTAAGCTTCTCAACCAGGTTTGGGACATCTTGAGCATAGAACGTGGCTCGATGTGCGAACTCGGCCCGTCGGAAGAGATTAAAGGCGAGCTGGTCGAGATCGGTGTCAGGATTCGCATCAAGGAAGTCTGCCAATGCTTCCGCGGATGCAGACAACGACGAGCCAGAATTTGCGGACAGAGCGAACAATCCGTTGTAGGGCGCCTCGGGTGTTGTCGGTGAGGTGTGTCCATCTGTGAGTTCCCATTCGAGGGAATCATTCTGACCCGAATAGCTCTCGATGATGGCGTGAGCGTTGGTCCCTCCAAACCCAAAGCTGTTGACGCTCGCACGTCGTGGATGATTGTCCTGCACACTGGGCCACGGTTCCGTGCTTACTGGCACACGTAGTCTGTGAGCGAATGGTTTTATCTTGCTGTTGAGCGTTTTGAAGTGCATATTTGCTGGAATTTGTCCGTGCTGGACAGCTAACGATGCCTTCAGAACACCCGCAATACCAGCTGTGCCTTCTGTATGGCCAATGACCGTCTTGATGCTTCCAACTATGAGCTGGCCACTCCCAGCTCCGTCAGGGAAGAAAACATCGTGAATGGCACGGGCCTCGATAGCTGGAGATCATCAGTATGGTTCGGACGTATCACACGCGACCATAGGGACGTGGGTCAAACTTACGATCGCCTGCCTGCGTTCCCGTGCCATGAGCCTCGAAGTATTGCGGGCGACCGACTTCACTCGTCGGATCGAGCCCACATCGTAGGTAAGTTTCGCGTATCAACTGTGCTTGAGAGATAGAGCTGGGCATTGTGATTCCTTGTCTTCGTCAGCGAGCTCCTTGGATGAAGTGAGAATCGACGTACCTGGTGTTTTTCCATCCGAGTTCACCCCGGTTTCGCGGATGACGCTCTCAATATGATCGCCATCTGCTATCGCTTGACTCAGAGTCTTCAAGAACACTGTGGCGAATCCTTCTCCTCGCGTGTAGCCATCTGCTGATGCGTCCCACATGAAAGATCGTCCATTTGGAGAGAGCATATTGAGCTATCATCTCTAGCGTCAACTTTCAACATCTTTGCTTTGGTCTGTGATCATGGAATTACCTTAGACTCGCTCACGAAGGGCTCTGGTCCTAGAATGAGGTTGGAACCAGCCGCCACGGCCATCTTAGCGTCACCGTTGCGAAGCGCTGAAACAGCTTGGTGCAAAGCTACGAGACTCGAAGAGCATGCTGTGTCGATTGTCACGGAAGGCCCATGCCAATCGTAAAAGTATGAGACACGATTCGAAAGTATCGAGGCAGCCGTGCCGGTAGCGTGGTACTGCGGCAGACTATCGATTCCACGGATAGCCGTGAAGTGATAGTCGTAGCTCATGCATCCAACAAATACGGCAGTCGATGAGCCGCGGAGCTGTTGTAGTGTATAGCCGGTAGATTCGACGCCTTCGTATACGGTCTCTAGAAGCACGCGCTGCTGTGGATCCATCGCCTCGGCTTCTTTCGGGAGAATAGAAAAAAAGTCGCGATCAAACGCACGAGGATCCTCGTCGAGGAGGTACGCATGTTTCACGTTCGCGCTCTGGTAAAGTCAGATCATTTGAGACAAGCTTAGTGGTGCTACATATTCTCACCCCATGATGCTGGCTATCGGCGTGGTAGAACGCCTCTGTGCTGAATCGACTAGCTGGGATTTCCTGTAGAACTTCACGTGGATTTTCCAGCAGCTCCCAAAGTTGTGAGGGAGAAGTAGCTCCACCGGGAAACCGACAGCTGCTTCCAATGATTGCTATCGGCTCACGTGAGGCACGCTCGCCATTGTGGTCGTGATATTTGATCGCCATTGTGAATTATGTTGCAAGATTTTGGCAAGGCCGGCGAGGTTGATGAAGAGTGCAATATGGGATTGGTGAATATAAACCCAAGGTCAAGTTAGTTAAGCATCCATCGAAAGGATGAACCCGGGTTTAGCATGTGAGTCTCGTTGTAACTTGGTATTCAGACAACGAACGGAGTCTAACTTAAGTTCAGCGTAGGATACGGTCTACGAAAGCGCAAAGATAGACCGGGAGCCCCGGCAAGCTCCGACTATTGATACGGCCTGATCAGCATGACCGAATCCTGTTGGATCACGTACTTTGAATCGTAGAGGCACCGAAGGATTACGTCGGTCCGCCGTCGCTCCTTCGGAGCCGGGCGTCGATCTCCGAATCCGATGTCAGATCTCGGAGCGTCCGGTACCCCATCGATTGGACCAGCAGAGACACGCAGTCGTTTATTGAGCAAACTTGATTTCTGGCGGATTTCCGTTCATTCCCGCTATCGTCTATTTCATCTACATATGCTAAGTATTGAGGTTGCGGTTATTCTGAGATCATTTTCGTGTTCTACATCTACTTTCCGACAACATGACTGTAACAGAGAACGGAAGAGTCGATGTTGAGTTCAAGACTCTTGACGGCTTGACGCTGCGAGGATGGCTCTTTCCCGCAGCTCAACGTGGCCCAGGAATGATCATGTCGCCGGGGGTATGTTCCCCTCAAGAGAAACCCGGATTGCCAGGTGAAGCTAAAACTACGATAGTTTAACATGCCGAAGGACGCGATTCTCCCCGATCTCGCCAAGTGGTTTCAAGGACGAGGCATTACTTGCCTCTTGTATGATCCATGCGGACTCGGTGCAAGCGATGGAGAACCTCGAAACGACGTAAGCAGGTCTAATGTCAATTCGATTTTGAGACAAGCACAACAGTATCTGATGATAGCCTGCAGATTGATGCCCGAAGGCAAGCGGAACATCTGCATGATGCAATTACGTGGTTCCTCGAGCAGCCTCTGGTGGAAGAAGACAGAATTGCTCTGTGGGGTTTATGCTTTGGCGGCAATGTTACTCTATCAGCAACCGCGTTTGAGTAAGTACCGTTACCCTGAAATCGTCGTTCGGTTATGCCGATGGCGCAGGCCAGCTCCTCCCAAGGGTTTCCCATGTTGATCGATACACAGCAAACGAGTGCGGGCTGCGATAGCAGTTGCGCCATTGATCGACTCGACAGGGCTCCCAGAACGGCGTCAGCCGATTCTAGAGCTTGCCATGCATGATCGCGCTGCTCGCTTGGCTGGAGAAGAGCCTCTGTATCTTCCGTACGTAAACGAAGACGGGAGCATTCCCAATGGCTTGCAGATAGCCGCCGAGATGATGCCCGCACTCGAAAGGCTCGGCATACCTGTGGAGAATAGAATCTCGGTGCAGACATATTACAAGAGTCTGTCGTGGAACCTGATGAACATCATCCAGCACGTCTCTCCGACACCAGCAATGATGGTGACACCTGAATTTGACGTTTCTTGTCCGACAAAGGAGCAGCTAGCTTGTTTTGAACAGATGGGTGAGCCGAAGGAACTGGATATTTTGAAGGGCAAGGGTCATCTGGACTGGATTTTCGGGGATGTCGAGAGTATCTTGGAGCGACAGCTAGACTTCTTGAAGCGACGGATGAAATTCTAGTCGTCGCATAGCATTTGAATATCTGTAATGCAGCCACAAAGATGTGACGATCGTATGTGTTACTGGCACCATCGAACTTACTCAAATGGTCACGATAAATGAAAGCGGTTGACGCAGTGAAGGTTAAAGCCGCTTCATCCTCCGAGAACCTTTGAAGTAGGACAGAAAGGCATAGACCTCGCGTGTGATTCATGAGGGTCGCATTTCGTTGCAACCGAGGGGATATGTGTGCAAAGCAGCATAACTCATGAGCAGGCGCTCATGGATGTGAGCAAAATTAGCAAAGTTCCAGTCCTGACACGCACCGCCAGGTAGTAAAGCGCCCGAGAATGACATCTGGTGGTGCGGCTGCCGGTGATTTCGTGAAGGCTTGTGCAGTGATGACGCATTCGGAAATCCTTGGCGAGTGTGGCATGTCGATCCTCCGTCCATACCAAGCAGATTACCTCCCCCGATCTGCTTGTTCGGCGGCGGAGGACCGACTCCGAGCCAGGGTCCACTCCGGCCGTGCCTCCGACACTGCGCTCCGGTCCGTCGCTGCTGACATCAACTACAGAGACTTCAAAGGGCGTCAGTGTGATATTTCCGGACCTGCTGCAATCCTGGAGCGGACCAGCAATCGTCATCTACCATGCTTGTTCACATGGGTGCGTTAATCCGGGCTCGCTCCGCCTCATCATCACTGCCACCGAGGCGAAGTATTGATGTGAAATGACATTGCTGACTGCGCTCTATTCAGTCCTTCTCAAATTCAAACCCGATGTCTCGCAAGAGCATCGAGACACTTTCGTCCGGGAGATGAAGGCGGTGAGGCAATGGCCGCATGTCAAATGCGCGTTCCTTGGCGAACAGGCCTTGACAGGGACCGCGTCGTTCAGCAAGGACTACGAATATGGCTTCGTCAGCTTTCACGAGGACCAGGCTGCACTGGAGCGCTATCGAGCCTTGGGCGAACATGAGCGGTATGGAGACCTGGCAGCAGCACCGTGTCATGCGTGCGACCATTTTATTTCTCTTCCGCTTCTCGGCTGACCACGCTGTCAGCATCGCATCGAGCTTGCTCTATCCTTTCGCCGAGCAGCTAACAGCATTCGATTTTGAAATTCCCAACGGAGATGAAGACCAGGTAAGCTTCGTTCGGTAAATCAAGTAGCAACAAGTATTCCCGGTCTCGGAAGAGGTGTGTGTGAGAAGTTTCCACGTTCTCTCAAGTGGTCCCACGACATGAATGTGGACGGACGTCGCGTCTCCGATACCGACTTCGAGGATAGGCCGGGACTTGGTGTTATGGTGCCACTTGGTTCGAGGAGCATGGGCAGTGCGATAATATTTAGTTGAATTCTTACTGCGGCTCAGACACGTAGAGACATTATCTCCGTCGCGCGATTCTGCTTGCTTCTTGAATGTCCTCTATAGTACGTTTCACCCGAGCAACACGGGTTCCATCAGTCTCCTGGTGGGCGAGATCCTTCTGTCCGAAGAGCGCATCGAGCAAGCCTTGTGATTGCACTCCGCAAAGCAGACCATCTCTCGAACATTCCGGTGCTGTTGTAATTCCGATCAGATCCTCTATGTTTTCTATGATCGCTAAGCCTATATACGTCAGGGACATGATCTGGATGGTCGAACCACTTCCGCAGTCCGCTCTTCCAACGGACACGTTAGGAATGCAATCCGAAAGTCCTGCGATGTGTCCATTTTGCTCTGCCTCCTTCATCAAAGTCAAGATCTCCTGAAAGGCTTTGTCAAAACCCTGTATCATGCTTGCGTAGCAAGAGACGATGGCCAACGAGCATTGGAAGTCAAGAGCAAATTCGCTCGGATCGTGCGCATCTTGGGAAGATCTATCAGATTGCTCTGGTGAAGGCATCGTTGACATCTGTAACGACATCTGTAACGACATCTGTGATGACGGCGAAGATCGAGAATCTCGACTTGCAGCTGCTTTGAATTGTTGATACTGGATGCGGCGCAGGACTGTCGAGAATGCCTGAGACTCACTAAAGATCATCTCAATGAATCTTCTAGTACCGGAGAAGCCCGGGCCTGTCGATCCCGTGTTTGCGGAGCTTGCTCTGGACATGCCTGAAGAATTCCGTCGCTCTTGGACGAATTCCTCATTACCTGCCGTCATGCGCTTGCTACAATCGAGTATTTTCGTTGTGAATATCTTCACGTCATCCATTTGTCCAGACTGACAATGCTCATGAGCGAAGTCCCTCTCTTCCTGAGGCGACTTCGAGCTTGCGGATGCCGGAATGCTATTCCCTTCGTACCTTCGACTTGATGGGTTCGGGTCAGCGATACGGCCAAGATGAGATTCGAATGCGATTCCTGGCCGTCCGGTCCGGTTCTGGTCTGATTTAGAGATGGCGTTTGGATATTGCAAATTCAACGGAGCGGTACCGGGTGTCGTAAGTGAGCTTTGAAAAAGGCTATTCACCGCATTCGTCTCCCAGGGTCCACGGGATGGTACCTTGTTATTGGCGAAGTCCATTTGCTCACGATCCCATCCTTGAGGCACCCCAGTCAGCTGCGCTAGCCCACGGTCCCCATCGAACATCTCCAGCTCAGCGTCATCCAGATCTGAGAGATGGAACTTCAAGTAGTCGTTGAAGTCGCTGTTCGCGGTGGACAAATCCTCAAGCCAGGGCTGCGATCCCTGCCTGGACGGATGGCCAGCCTGTACTCTTGAGTGCGGCGGTCCAGAATCAACGGAGCTGCCTGTGTCTCCCACCGACGTAGACTGGCTGGTGCAGCACATGTATTTTGCATTTTCGCATCGCTGACATGGAAAGCCTGGAAAGATGCGAACGCAGCGGAGTTTTTGTCGCCGACAACGATCGCAGGCGCTTCGCCTACTCATGGAGTCGGCCATATCCGCTTCTCCAGTCTTGCGATGCTGTGACAACACGACGCGAACGGGCCGAGGAAGAGCTTTCGAAGAAAAGGATGATACCCACTCGGGTGTGCCTGGTACGATGTGAAGATAATCCCAAAGGCATTTGAGCACGAAAGGCTACGCGACGGCGCTGCTGATCTACGACGGCGCATCGATTGGCGACGACGTACGATGACAGGTTGGCGTTTCCTCGCTTCCTTCGACGGCGCTGGCAGGCACCCAAGCCCAAGTGCGTCGTCTCGTCAAGCATGAGAATGCTACTGCCAACTTTAGAGTTCTGAAGGCACGGCAACCGCCGATCAATCCGCAAGGCTGCACGCAGGTGCGCCTAGTTCAGTATTAAGCGAGGTCGGTGTTGATCTTGCACGCTGAGGTGTACAGTGTTGTAGCCGGTAACAGGCTACCAGCTCGTACGGTACCGCTCGTGCCACACGGCTTCCACGAGGATTTATACGGCCAAGGACCATGCTTCCACTTGTACCCTGCTTGCGAAGGTCGTTGGAATGATGATATGCTGCATATCGTGAAAGTTCTGACACGAGCATGCGCGGCCTACCGCCCGCCCGCCTGATCGAACTCGAGGAAAATTATTCTCCGAATGCGACGATGAGAACAAGGCACCGCCGAACCTCCCTGAATCTCATCTCAGCTTACTCAGTCTCCTCCAGAAGATTGCAATTCTACTCAAAATGGTCATGATCTGCAATCAAAGAAAATTTTACTCCGAGGAACAACGTCAGCTGCAGAACATGGCCTGAAGAGTTTCAGGATGCGCGCCGTTGTTGTATTGGTGCCAGGGTAAGCGATAAGGTGGAGGAGATCTGCGGTAGACCAGTGGATCTTCAGTGTCATGTGCAGCTGATTTAATTGGTCGTTGGCTTATTCGTAGGATCCAATTGTACCCCGGCTGCATCCCCGGGATAGCTTACTTGGCACATTCCTGCCAGCGCAATCACCCTTGCGACGCCGAGGCGAAGGAAGTTCTCGCCTAATGGCCGCTCCAGTCCCGACAATGCACGCATCCTTCCGACGATTCAAGGACAAACATGAATGCTTTCGATCTAGCACGTCAGAGGTTACAGAGCGAAGATCGGACGCTCGCAAGGGCGCAAGGAGTTGCTTGTCGCAATAAATGGGGCAAATGATGTTGTTGTGAGCCCTGGAGTGCAAGGACGGTCCCGACCAAGCTTTCAATCCAAGCTTCCGCCAATGACTCTGTATGAGCTTATAGCTTATCTCGGAGAGCAATGTCTGTTTATGGCGCGTCGCTCGTCACGACGTATAATCGCCATGTGCGTCACGTCATGCATGACCGTATCCGTACCGAAAAGACCCACACTGAAATTGAACGTCGAACTTGCTCGCTCGCTCGCGATCTACATGGTGACCTCGTCGCTGTAAATGAGAGTGCTGCGAGTAAGACTGAACGTGTTTGTGAGACGGGCCGAAGCAGTCTTCTTCAAACACGCGACTAGGACGAGATGCTCGAGGTTGCTGGAGTCCAACCCGAGAGTGGTTGAAAGCGAGGGTATACATGCTGGTATGAGGGAGTTCGGGTATACCTAGGTACTTAGATAGGCACATAGGTAGTGATGAAAGGGGCCCTGGAGGTCACCAAAGAAACTAAGCCCTTTGCGGACGTCCCCGCAACCAACCAGCCGGGGATGGTAATTCCAAGGTTGTATCACAATACACGCTCACTGCATGCACTGCCCCTGCACGGAGGCGATTCTTCTCGGTCTCATCACGGTCACTCATGTCCAGGCGAACCGAAGAAAGATTGCTGTAAACACACGTTGAATTATGATGCAGATACGCCGCTCTCCACAAGGGGTCTGCTCGTGACTCTCTACTCTTTCCCCTTTACAACAATTTCTCCCATGAGCGACCGAAGACAGTTCTCGAATCTAAACCACACGCTTCAGACTCTGCCAGGAGTAGAGCCGGCAGATGGTTTAGCCGTCGGCGATGAATGCGAGTCAGGGTCGACGAGCGTGATGACCAGACACGACCGAGCCTTTGGCAGCCTGGTAAATGTATATGAGCTCAGAATACTTTGAGAAGCTTCTTGTCGGAGTACAGCAATCTCGAGGCCAGCACTACGAGAGCGCCTGCCAGGCACATGATGCCACCGAACAGCTTCACGCCCAGCCACCCACCTGAGCTCTGCAGGATCGCTCCACCAATTGGACCCAGAGCGAGCGCTGGAGCGGCGAGGACTAGATATACCACGCCAAGACGATAGCCTATCTCGGCTGGAGGGGAGACCGACATAGGTAGAGCGCCGGAAAGACCGATGAATGCACCCGATGCCACGCCGAAGAAGATGGCAAAGCCAATGGCTATTGAGGGCGTGGTCGCAGGTATCCAGACGGCCAATTGCGCTACTCCGGACAATATGCAGGCGATGATGAACATGTTCCATCGTCCGATTCTGTCTGCGAAAAATCCTGTCGCCAGACGACCGAAAAGACTGTGGAAAAATGAAGTTAGCGAATCGTCGAACCAGTCAGCGAGTCCTCATGTAGTCAAATACCTTGCAGCGTTGAAAATCGAGACCAGGTATTGCGAGAACTCTTCCGATACGTGTGCCTCTTGGTAGCCCTGCGCAGCCAAATACACCACAGGTAGGAATATACCAAAGGTCAAGACCAGAATTCCAAGCATCAACAGCAGGAAAGGGATCTCGGTGAATGGTGCAGCAAGACGCCCTTTTGGCATGCTCTTTGGAACCGGTTTCGTCCTGGAGCGCACGGTGAGGATGGCAACAATTTGTAGACCCAGGATAATGAAAGCAGCAGTGCGGAGTGTCCATCCATAGCCAGCAGACTGAATCATCCGACTAATCATAATCGGGAATATCACGCCTCCAACAGACGAGCCCGTCGTCAATATGCCCATTGCGAGTCCTCGCTTTTGTGTGAACCAAGTGGAAATGCATGCAAGCGCTTCATCAGACATGATCATCGTCAGCTCTACCGGTCGGTCGTGTTTGGGTACGATAGCACTTACCGGGCTGGTAGATGAAGGCGACGCCAATAGCACTACAAACGCCCTGCGCCAAGAGGATCTGGTAGTAAGTCGTTGCCAACGACGCCATCATCAACCCAAAGACATGGAGCAGCGTGCCTGCGATGATCAAGGGCCTCGGCCCATATTTGTCGAACAGAAATCCAACCACGGGTCCCATAAAGAAGAGGAAGAATATTTGCAGTGAGGGAATCCATGAGATGGTGGAACTGGAGTAACCGCGTAGCGGTCCAACTTCGTAGTACTGCTGAAAGCTTCCCACGCCTAGGGACCAGAGTTCGTTCGTCAGCCTCGTGGGCCGTTTGTACATCGCAAGACAAAAAAGCAAGCTTACTGTTGACCCAGCCCGGCGCAGAGAAGGAGCAACACCAAGCCCCTGCCACCACTAACCACGCAGCAAAACCTCCATCGGGTGGCCCAGCGTCTTTGAGGACCTGCGCTTCCTTCTCGCCATTCAAATCGTGTGCTTTGTTGTTACTGTCATCGTCGTGATCTTGTTCTAGCTTGATGCTATTGCCGGGTACTGAGTCCGATCGGCCGTCATGTCCTAATGTTCCTTCCTGAGCCTGCATGATAGAGACGAACTCGTTGATAACAGAATCAACAGAAAGACCAAGGAGTGTCGCTCTCAGGAGTGTAGGGTTTTCTGAAATGCGCGAAACAACAGAAGTTGGTGCATGTTGTGGTGAGTTCGAATAGTCATTATTGCGGCCGGGGAGATTGCGAACACTGAAAGCTTCACGGTCCGGAGATAACGTTCATACGTATGTAAAACATGCACACAGTGAAAACTAGAGCGGAGATAACGTGCCGATCAAGGGATGAGACCCTGGGAAGCTTACAAACCTTGGAATGGAATATGCTGTGTGGACACATACGATAAGGTTCCGACCAATTTCCCACGCCCCGTCCATCCGCAGCGAAGCTGCTGTGGGGATCTTCCATGCTTGACTAGCGCAGACACGGTCCACCACCCAGATATGTTGTTGTATCTCATCAGCGGAAGGATTACAGTGAAACTTTGTCCCACCCGTTCTACCTGCCTAAACGGACGTGAGCACCATGAACTCAATCAGCCAATGAGAATCGCCTCGAAGATTGTTTCGGGGCTGTTACATTAGTCTCCGAGGGTCGGAACTCCGATACCGAATCTAGCGCCCGCTGTATCGGAGACCCCCCGCCATCAGTACTTTCGGCGGTCTGTCCGGCTGGGCAGACGTCAGAACCTGACTGACACCGACGCTGCAAACCTGAGAACGACGTGATCGAGTCGAGAAGAGAGCCTGGTCATGAGGATTGTGGTGTAGTCTTATGGAACAATCTTATGGACTCGTAATTGGGCAGAGAGCAGATTCAATCATACAATATACCTACAACATGATTCATGCCGACTCGGGACCTGCTCATGGTCGCAAATATTTTCAGTATCCTCATTTCAAGCAGCGTCGGCATCCACAATGGCAGGCTTGACGAAAATAGTGCTCTCGCCGACATTCCTTATCCTGGGCACGTTTTTCTTCATCGCTCTCAACCTTCTTGCATTCATACTGGCTACCCTCCGCCCGAAGAACTTTCCTCCAGGACCTCGTGGATTCCCCGGCGTGGGCAATCTCCTTCAGTTACATAGGACTTTCCCGTTTCTGACGTATAGCTCGTGGGCTAGGCGCTATGGGAACGATACTCCGCTTGGAATCAAGAAAGGGTCCACCAATGTCGTTGTGTTGAACAGCCGTCGTGTGGTAGCAGAGCTCTTTGAACAACGAGGCGCATTATACAATGACCGTCCTTGGGAATATATGAGTGGGACTTGGGTACACAAGACAGATCTGAGGGCAGCTGTCTTCCAGAACAGCTCACCTTGGCTTATCCGGTGGCGCCGCGAGTTCGCACACTTCTTCGGCCCCGGGGCACTCACAAGGCACCGTGCAGTGTATGAGGCTGAGACCTCCAGGCTATTGGTCAAGCTAAAGGACTCACCAGATGCGCGGAGGGCTCAACTCCAAGACATACTTCTGACATGGATAATGAGTGTACCTTGCATTGGCGTGTGTGGCAAGCGTCCGGATGAGATGGACAAATATGGTTTCAGCATCAAGCACTTCCGTCAGTGTAGCATCGACTACGCCGCCCTCATCGCTCCGCAGCCCTTCGATATATTCCCGGTGTTGCGCTATCTTCCCGATTCCTTCGGCATGGCGCGCTGGAAAGAGAAGGCCCGCAGCGTTCGGAAAGGCGTGTTCGATTGTGGCACTCAATTCTTGAGCGCCGCTGGTGAACAACGCGAGGCTTTGGATGCAGGAAAGACAAATGGGTCGGAGAGTATGTTGGCAAGTATGCTCCGGGAGCAGCGCGACAACAAGGATCAGACGTTTACTACCGCGGATATTGGCAACACTGCATTTCACGTGGTGACTGCCGGCTCAGGAACATCCCTTGCGTTCATGAGCGTTGTGCTTATGATCCTGGCCAAGTACCCAGAAGTACAAACGCGGTTGCGAGAAGAAGTGCTCAGGATAACGTCAAATCTGCCGCCTACCGTGTCAGATATCGCAGACCTGAAATATATGGATGCTGTTTGGAATGAGGTATGTTCGTTAATGATGCCAATCAGATATCACAAATTGAGACGTTTTTTCTTAGGTCCACCGCTGGCGTTCTGTCACACCTCAAGCGTTCCCTCGAGCGACATCCCAAGACGACGTTTACGATGGCTTCCACATCCCCAAAGGTACCACAGTGTTGATTAATGCATGGCATATCCATCACTCTGAGGAAGACTACGATCGACCCGACGAATTCATTCCCGAGCGATACCTGCGACACCCTCTGGGCATGCGACCGGAGCTGCGCGACAAGACTGAACAGGGCGAAACGGCTGCATCGCGCGTCACGTTCGTGTTTGGGACCGGGAGAAGAATCTGCCCGGGAATGCACGCGGCAAAGCAGAACCTGCTTCTGGGCCTCGCCAAGATCCTTTGGGCATTCGATATCCTTCCGCCCGAAGGAGAAGCAACGATCGACTTGAGTATGGAGACGGGCTTCGTATTCGAGAACTTCTTCCTCCGTCCAAAGGACTTTGACGTGGTGTTGCGGATGAGGGAAAAGCGCTCGGCAGACGACATTTCTAAGCATTATTCTGATGCTTACCAGGCCGAAGCTGAATTTCTGGGGTGGTGAAATGATGGTGTATATGGGTTTCCGAGAACGAACGCTTTTCCCATGCTTTGTTATAGAGATGAATGATAGCCATGATTTCTCGGCACAGCACAGCCGTCACTGCAGTGCTTGTGTCACAAGACTTCACGCGGGCGTTTGGATGGTGTGCATATGCTTGTCAATGCCTTGCAAACATGCAGCGCAAATGAGGGCTTCTCACGTGCTGCCAATATGGCGGAAAGTACAAGTTCCTCTATCGATCTACCTAGGTAGTGCGAGTGCGATGGGATTGTCGCACATGCGTCTTGTCCACATTGATGGATGGCAAACTCGAAACACTCACGGTGAGCCTTCGTAACCCTAACATGCAAAATCCATGTTTTCCCTAAACCCGCATGCGAACTTGAGAATCCCTACAAGACACGGTGCATGATCAGCGGATGCAAACTCAAAAGAGATATCGCCGAGTATGTGAAAATACACTTGCGCATGATGCTCGGCCGCTGGGCATAACTTAGACAAGTAACAATCTTGGTGCCTCGAAAAGGAATCTCGCCGCTTGCTCTTCATGATGACTTGCCTAGGCAATGCCTGAACCGGATCATTCACCATCTCCCTTCACCAGATTAGTGCAAGGACAAGCCTTACCGAATTGTCTCCAGCGCGACGAATCCCCCTCGATTACGGGAGTCTGGCCAGGCGCAATCGTCTGCAAGGCCGTCTGGGCTCCCAATCCTGCGGCCGCAAATGGCTCGTCAGACAACGCAAGGTTAGAAGTCTGAGTACATGGGTGGGAAAAGTCAAACTCCAGGCATTACTGAATGCTGGAGCTCCGTGAGCAGACCGGCGAGATTTCCGGGCGCAGGTACTCACTGCGACAACAGCTACAAAACCAAGGCCTGGGAACAAATAATGGCATGTGTCTCCGCAAATGTCCCATGGGCTGCGGGGCTCCTGGTACGAACCATAACAACGTCTATCAATTGCGGGGACTGCTCTAAATTCATGCGTGCTGGCGGCGGAAGCGACGTGAAGTAATATAATATCTTTCAGGCAACGAGATTAGAGCCTCGCACTTATTATGGCAGATCCGGTGTGTCGGCCTGCGATGGACGACGGTGCTCGATCGGCTTATACACAATTTTCTTTTTATGAATCGTTAAATTGGAAAACATGAAGGTCATCATCATTGGCGCAGGCCCCGCGGGCCTGATCACAGCCCTGAGATTGAAGCTGGCCAACAATGCGCAGCCAGTTATTTACGAGCTTCGAGCCAAGCCGAGCAACATTGGAGGTGCCATTCAACTTCCTCCCAACGGAGTGCGTTTGTTGGATCGTCTTGGTCTTCTTCCTCGTATCCAGGCTCGAGCATTCTCTGGGTCGCATCTGATGTTGCATTCTACGCGAAGCGAGGTTCTGGTTGATCTCGATCGCGCAGCTGCCACCCGTAAGGACGTCAATTTCGAGTACATGCGGATCCTCCGAGGCGATCTGATGGACGTCTTGATGGAGGCAGTGCACGAGCAGAAGATTACCATTCACTTCTCAAAACAACTAAAGTCGATCGAGGAGACAGGAAGCGATGTTGGCGTTACCTTCGCCGATGGCCACCATGACAGAGGCGAATTGCTACTTGGCTGTGATGGCATCCATTCAGCCGTCCGGTCACTGCACATCGACCCATCGGTACATCCAGAATACACGGGTATATCTAACATGTTTGGACTTCTACCAACCAGTGCACTTGAAGCGGCAAATTTTCCGATCGAACCTGCCTTGCATGCTACGATGACGACCAACGGTATGCTTGGACTTTCGCCGTACTCTCGAGAAGGCAATCATTTGTATTGGTTCTTCTCTCAATCAGTACCTCTCCCAGGTGATCATAGCCGTGAAGGCTGGCAGGCGACTGGCGAGCGAGAGGTGAATCGGTTCAAGGATCAGCTCTTGGGATCCCTCGAAGGTGCGACAGGAGCCTGGATCCAGACCCTCAAGGATGTTGTTCAAAAGACGGATTCGATCAAGTTTTATCCCGTCTTCAAACTTCCTGCCGAATCGAAGTGGTTTTCAGACCATTGCTTACTAATGGGAGATGCCGCACACGCCATGCCGCCTCATCTGGGACAAGGCACATCCATGGCATTGGAAGACGCATTCCTACTTTCCCGCCTCTTGGAAGATAATTCACGACCTCTTTCGGACGTTTTCTCACTCTATCAAACAGTCAGACGACCTCGTACGTCGGAGATCGGCAAAGCATCTGTAGGCCGTGCAACAGGTCGTCACACTGTGAGCCCTTTCATGCAAAGGATTCGGGAGCTTGGAATCGGTATCGGATTTCAGTTGTACAAAGCAGCAAATCTCCAGTATTTTGGAGTTGGAACAGATCGCGATGTTATCATGTATGACATTATGGAGGTTCCGTTATCGCTGGTGCCGTAGAATGAGATGATCATGCTGCATCACAGCAAAATCAGGACCTTGTCGGCGAATTCTAGATAAAATCCTGGTCTTGACATGTTATGCGATGAGTCGAGACGGTGAAACGTTGTATAATGGTGTACCCCTAATCACTCCAAGCTTTGATCAAGTCAGCCCTTGATCAAAATGCATCCCGATACCATGTCGTGCCTCAGTGGTAGGTGAAAGGACGATGGATGAATCAATCGAGATCCACACAAATTGTAAAGCGCCGCCACAAGAATGCACCCCAAGCTTTTCGGTTCAAGGTCAATCCACAATCCATTGCACTATAATTGTTGCGGCAATCTTACGGTGGCTGCGTATATTGCCGAGTTGACATGAAGACGAGTATTGGTCTAATGAAATGTGGCACTCCGAGAGCTTTGTGAAAACGAAATGTTATGCGATGATACATCTGTAGGCAGCTGGCATATCAGTCGTCGGTGAAAGTCATTTTCTGATGAGTCATCCGCATCGCCCGTCCGGTTTGAATGGCTATATACATTCTTCTATACATTCCAGGGTTCTTTCATACTTATCTAGGTCATCATGCACAGCAGCTCGACGCGAGGATGAGCAAAACTTTATGCTGTCCTTCTTGGTGGCGGCTTATGCTCCGCCTCACATGCGGATGTCATCGTGCGTGCTGCGCCATGTGTGAGTTCAAAAAACACGGGCCCTATATTGTTTTAGGTCACGTTTTCGCCAAACGAGGCCCCTGGGGTCGCTTGATCGGTATCTATTGAAGCATCGGAGCGACATACCGAACAACTACAATAAGTCAGGCTGACGACATCCAAATTCACTGGTGAGCTGATTTGATGTGACCGATCATAGTTTACTTCATTGCGCGCCTGTGAAGTCCACCACCAAATTTACGGCGGACATTCCATGAGTCCTATAGTAACATGGATATACAGACATTAGCCGATACTGCCCAAGATGGAGCTGAGATACCGCTTCTGCAAGTCGCAGTCGACGGCACAATTGAGCATCACACAAGAAAGGCCGACGCGCTTCCCATCGCGGTGCGACAAAATACCGCTCCTCTGAAAGACCCTTACGAGCGAATAATTCTTCCCGGACTGGGCGTGGACTTTGACAATATCTCTGATTTCTCGTGTAGTAAGAAATTGAAGGAGAGCAGAAGTATGCGCTCCGCAAATGAGCTTCAAGATGCCGACAACTTGTACAAATACATTATACAGTATCTGAACCTGTTACCTGTGCAGATCTACATGAGGGTACGCGGCTCTCGCCGCGACAGATCCCAACCACAGAACATCGTTGTGGATTTCGATTTTTGCGTGCCACTTCGGGGGCTCGATGGCACTCATTGTGGTGAAGCCTTCAAAACTACAGATTGGTTTCACATTTTGGTGAAGCTTGATCCGGCGCCCGGTATCGAGGACAGTGTTAGCGAAAACTCTGGCGATTTCCACGACCTGCGCAAATGGTGCGATCTCTATTGCGCTCACAAAAGCATACGCAAGTGCTTTCAGGTGACGCGAGACCTGTCGTATCTTGATTTCGATGCGATCGGGACTGGTGTAACTTCACTATTACGTCCACAGTACCTCGGGAAGGTCGAGATTGGCTTCACACAAGTTGACAAGCATGTTCATATCTGTCCTCCAAATGCCCTGGCTCAGATTCAAGCGGATGTGGAAAGAGCGAGACTCATCACCGATGCTGTATTGATACCAATCTACACCATTGGTATACTATGGGGTTTAGTGTTGTTGACAATGTCAGTCGTGGTGGTTCTGACGTTCTTCGTGGGGGACGAAGGTGAAGCCCCTTCTATGGCAGCTTTCTGGTTCCGCGGCCTTTGCTATTACGGAGCTGCCGCATTGACTTCACTTGTCTTGAAACAGTGCCTCAATACTATTTTCGTCGACCCTTACGAAGTCAAGCGATGGAACAACTATACGATAATTCACGCAGCTAAGAAATCAGACAAGGATTCAGCGGCGAAGCATCCAGGACTGAGAGAAGCACAATGGGTTCGGGCCTATGCTGGACTTCTGCGCCGGCTGGCCGAGGGAAACTTCGAAGGCAACGCGGCCAGTTTTATGGCTGCATCCGCATCAAGATGAACGATAGGCATGTCTTCAATGTGAAGATGTATTCAAAGCACCAAATATCGTCCCAAATTCTCCCCATTCGAACGCACGATGATTACCTTGCTACCACCGCTACCAGCGACAAAGACGATACCTCCGAATCTCATATATAACTACGAAGTATTCACCCAATAGCATCGATGCATTGATGCTGATCAGGCGAGATCAATATTTTAGACTGAGGCGATGATAAGGTTGATCGAGAAAATGCCAGGCAATCGAGCGTCGATCCAACAATCAAGATAAGCCCTTAGTCTGCGGTGCAACCAGCGCACCAGAGCGGGCATCTCGAAGAATTGACATTTACGGAGTTGTGACCGCGTAGAGGAGACGACTAGGCAGATATCGCATGTCAAAAGCTGGCAACAGGCGGTGTGATGATATACCACAAGCGATACATCAACAGTCTCATGGTATCGGTGCTTGGGCGATGCTGAACTTTCAAAAGTTCAAAATATTTCAGCACTCTACGTGGATGTAATTGTCGTTTCAGCGTCTTCTTACATTGAACATTCGTCGCCGTAATTGCTCCTCAAGACTTCGCGGGGAAACGTTCACAGATGCGCACTCAGCCACTGACCTCATACGTGCTTGCTGATCATTGCGCTTCTCGTCTATCGCATCGCTAGACGGTTGCCATATAGGCACACACAAGGTCTCAAACAATCGACCCCCAAAGAGGAAAACTGTTGGTCAGCACAGCATTTCAAACAGCCCTGGAGCGCAACAGCCATGGGAAATTCGGCGTAAGACCCCGCACTCGTTGCATAGGTGCGGTCAATGGCGTATTTCATTCTAACACTTGCGACTTCATGCGACAGCTCGGTATATGTCGATTCAGATGCCGACGGCCTAATTGAGACTCGGGACATTGACTGGACTCAAGCGACCGAGTTCGAGTTGCTTTTCGGGACTCAGCCGAATGTCTTGCAGCAAAGTCGCCGGGGTGGGGCTAATGAACTTGGATCGATACGAAGGCTATCCCATGCCACACCACTCGATGACGTGAAGTCTGCCAAATCAAACGCCGATTGTGTCTTTGAGGGTCTTCTCGAGAAGATCATGAATTACAAGCTTGCACGGCATCCCTATATTGAACCTGGCATGAGTCTTTCTGTAAAGATGTCCCAACTGCTGAAGACTGATATAGATTGTCCCATATGTAACAACATAAGACGTAACCTGTGCCCTGGAGGTCTTCCACACAGGAATCTGGAGTACTACGAGGAAAATTATGGCCATGCAAACATGAATGTGGGCCTCCGAGGCGCGACAATATCGATCCATGAGCATCCTGGTCGGAGGCTAGCCGAGCTTCTTCCTGTGAAAGGCAACGCTCATCCATTGTCTGACTGACCCATAGCAATGCTAATTATTTTTGTAAATGATCGTACCAAACCTGGTCAAGATTATCCTGCGCTTGTCCAATTCCTGGCAACCAACCTGAGAGATGATTTCACGATGCAGAGGATTTCACGATGGTTGCAAGACTGTCAGATCCATCCCAAATGCAAGAAAGAAGTGAATCACGTTCTACCCAGCAGAGTTCTCGACATCGGTACATCTGCTATCCCACACATTCGACTTCGCATCACAAACGAAGACGAGAAGGGCAAGTATGCAGCGCTGAGTTATTGCTGGGGCGGATACACAGGATTCATGCTGAAGCAACACAATATGGCCGACTTTCAGCACTCAATCGACGAGATCTCCATGCCACAGACATATAAGGATGCGATACTACTTTGCCGGCGTCTCGGCATACAATACCTCTGGATCGACGCACTGTGCATACTTCAGGACAGTAAACCGGACTGGGAGCTAGAGAACCCGAGGATGGCGGAAGTCTATGGGAATGCGTATCTCACCATCAGTGCAACTTCCGCAAGATCTGCCACGCAAGGTTTTCTATCGCCTCGAGATGCGATTGACGTTACCAGCGTTCTCATAGGCAAAGTATCGCACCATGACGAGACGTACCCTGTCTACCTCTCAGAGCCACTTTTAGAGAACATCCGAGACGTCGAGCTCCACATCCAGGATGAACCGTTGACATCTCGCGCGTGGGCCTTGCAAGAGAGAATGCTATCTCAGCGGGTCGTCCATTTTGCTTCAAAGGGCATGCTGTGGCAGTGCCGCCAGTACACCATCAACGAAGATGATATGAATTCTAGAACAGATGTAATGATGGTACCGTACATGAAAAGTTTCAAGTCACCCCTGCTTGAATGGTATCGCATTGCCGATCGCTTCTCCAGATGCACAATGACCGTTCCCACGGATTGCTTCCCCGCATTCGCAGGTATCACCAAGGCCTTTGAGGCATTGACCGGTGACACGTATTATTTCGGTCATCCTCAGTCAAACTTTGTGCGGTCGCTCGCCTGGGGCAGCTCCGGAAGCTCGGGGAATGAAGTGCTTCATCTCGCGCCATCGTGGTCGTGGGCCTCTCGGAAGCAACGAGCCAATTTATCGGAGATCAGAGTCCATGATCCGACGGAGCATATTGTGGCTCGTATTCTCTCTTGGCCCGATAAATGCCAAGTTGCCAATCTCCATGAGGTTCGCGATGCCGGGCGTTTCACGATGCTAGCGCCGGCGGTCAATGCCCGATTGTACCGTCCAGCGGACCCCGAGCGACCGGTGTGGGCAGGAGGGTTCAATTCGTACCTCGAAGGATGCCCTGTACAACCGCTTCAACTCAAAGTTTCGTTTCCTGATCTTGGTCGAGCAGATGAGTTTGAAGTCTGTTGCTTGCTGGTTGTGCTTTACCTGTGGGAAGATGGGCCGGAGAAATTGGAGCAACACGGCTTGGTGCTGGTTTATGCTGACGAGGAAAAGAAAGATCTGAAGAGGGTGGGGACGTGGTCAAGCGTTGACGAGACAATTGGTCCAGTCAATGATGTGCTCAAAGAGCGTGAGGTGTTGATTATTTAGGTGAAGGAATGTGTGTAAGCTCGCTGTCCTGTGAACGCGGAAATCACGGCGCTTCGACACCATGCACTTGGGAGCAGAATCGCTCGATCATCTGGAATTGAAGTTTCCATTCATCGAGAAAACATGCCTCACGCCTGTCTGCTTCTGCTGCCGTGGAGTATAAATCGAGTAACATAGATTGGCTATAACAAAGAACCACGATTCCGTCCAAAGCGATGATCTCCGCCTCGCGATGGGACCCGCACGGAATGAGGTCCGATCTAGCCAGGCGCCCTCACGTGGTGGAGCCGCGGAAGTCTAGCTCATGTGCTAGCACAGTTCTCGATCGAACTTGATTGGCGTCCGATGAATGATATTATTTTCGATGTCCCGATCCGTTACTCTAGCATTGCGGATGGAACCAATCAGGGTGGAATTTTCAAACTCAACATTCGCTCGCAAACAACTGCATTGGAAAGTGTGCGTTGGCCCCAATTCGTCCTCTCGCGCATCCTCGACGCTATCGCTGTCGCCATTGCCATCTCGTTCGGCAGAATTACAGGTCAAGCTTCTCGGCGGATCCCCAGGAGCGGGATTCTTTCTCTCCGTGACGATGTCATGGGTGTTTGGTATGCTGGCTCTGGGAGTTATGCTGGGTCAATAGTCAACGGAAGAGCAAGACAGTGCTCAATAATCGATTGATCTGCATCACTACACTCGGTATCTAGACTCCACGAGTCAACTCTCCAGAAGGTAGTCAAGCCTTCAGTCTGCACGAAGTGCTGACAAATCTAAGTGGAAGTGCCGTAGACAAATAAACCAGATTTTAAACCTTCGAGTATGGTCGCAATTACAGGAGTTTCACTGTTTGCGAAAAGTGCCTGAGAAATGGTCTTTCTGGACCTTTCGACGTCAGGCCGTCTGGGCATAGGAGTGGTGCTCGTCTGTGATTGGTCAGTCTGTAGCCGTTTGTAGCTAGCTCAAGGTCTTGTGAGGTGGAACAACTCTACCTCTCAGGCATTACCAACCTTACCTTTCGACCAACGCTCACCATCGTACTCCTGATCAGTCTACATTTGCGAGCCGCGAATTAAGCTAGATATTCTGTACGCACGCCAACATGCCAACCGCCTTATTGAGCGTCGCCATCTGCGAGGGAGAAGGTGTATTCAAGCACTGGCGCCTTTTCCTCGAGGGACCTTCCGACGAGGAAAAAATCATTTTCCACATCATGGGATCTTCGATGAACTTCCGATACGAGACACGACGGTGTGATGCTCGTTCAGCGGAGGATCTCATCGAGATGATCCCTCTTTGTCAGGTGAATACATCCAAGATCGGCGCTATCGAAGCAGCAGCCGAGGCCGCTGTGATTCATACTGAAGCTCCAGGCTACAATTGTCAAGACTACATCCTGGAGCTCATGGATGAGCTAGAGGCCCAAGGCATTATCAACGCAAAAGACAACAAATATATGAAGAGCAAGAGACTTGTTCAAAGCAGGGTCGAAGGATTATTTTGATAGTTGGGCTGGCTGTTCTATAGGTAGACCAGGCGAGCTCTTAAATATTGACAAGCCTGTTAGATTGAGTCCTGCCATGTTCACTACTTTGTCTCCAGCATGTGTTAGGGGCCCAATGATCACGTGGTATCAAGCTAGGGTTGAACCAACGCCGCTGCCTGGGTGCGAATAAGTTCGACCATGTGGTCTCAATTGGTGAATGCTGGTTTCTCAGCTTCGTCATGATCTATTTGTTCGGTTTCTTCCCTATCATACAGACCTGATCGAGGGTATGATACAATCCGTCATCAACTTCCTTCATGGCTTGCTGCTCCAGCACCGCGATCCTCTCTCTCGTCCAGCCGCTGTCTTTGACATTTTGCAATGCTTTCAGACAGTCGATATAGCAGACCAGGATATTTCTCGTCATCTTGTCCCGCGCTTCAAGGTCCTGCAACCGATCGGAAGAAAAGACATCCTCATGCACGTCCTCCAAACCCAGTGCTCGCAGAATCTCTACCCTCTTGATGTTTTTGGACTCTCGCATCATGATGCCGATTACAGGGTCTGCTTTTCGTCGGTATGGCTCTAGCCCGTCGAAGATCTCCTGACAAGCGACTCGGGATGTGCCCGCGACAGAACTATACACTTGGAAATTACACGAGTCGATCCATTGCAGCCAACCACCCGGCTTTAACAGCGTCATGAGATTCGTGATGGAGCGCTCCCATTCCACTCGCTCGGCAACGCTGCTGACGAAGCGAACAGCGATCAGATCGTAAGTTCCTACTTCCGAGGCCGGGAATGGGTCATTCATGTCCTGGATCTTGAAGACGACGTTTGATGGCAGTGATTCCGGTGCAGGAAACCCGGATCCCGTCATGTCGAAACCAGTGAGCTGCCATGTTGGAGGATTATGCCTCGCCACATCAAGCAGCCAGGCTCCGGATCCGGCGCCTAAATCTGCGACTTTGGCATCCGAGGAGGAGAGCTTGATGCTGGGATGAATGAGAAATCCGAATGTTTTGGTCGTGAAGATATGCTGTTCATCGAGTCTACCGACGGGATAATCAGCATATGAAGGCGCACGGGCAGGGAGCAGTGGACGACCTTTCCGGGATCTCCTCGATGTCGGGACTCAAGTCTTGGCCCGGGTGCTGCATATTGCGGGGTTATACGACGAAAGCTTTCGAGACCTTCTTCTACACGGCAATGGTCGATACGTAACGCGAGAGAATTATAGGCATGTGTGTCCAGGCGAGTGGAATTCTCGGGTTGATATCGGTGGTGCATATGAGCTGCAAGAGGGCGGGTTAAGAGCGCCCAGACATCAGCTGATATCTTCGTCTAGACGTTTTTATGTAGTGTTGTAGCCTCACAAGCGAGGGCTGGATGCCAATGGAATGTCACTGTCAAGCAATTCCGATCGTCTCATGACCCACGTAAGGATGTTATACATGTCTTGGCTGTATTCAATATACTTCAATCGATTTTATTCCAATCGATTATTTCTACCTTTCACTCCAAGATATCATCATCACAAATTTGCAGAAGACCTCCTGTTTTTCCAGCGAGATGAACGAATCGGCCCGCGACACCTTCCCCGAGTTCTACCGCCCGTTGGGCCCCAAATTCACCCGCGTTTTCGAGCTTGAGGCCGGCAACTTCGGCGACCCCATCATCGGGCGGCTGGTACCGCAAACCGTGGATGCGGAACCCTATGAGGCAATCTCATATGTTTGGGGCACTTCCACAACGAAATGTGAGATCACAATTGACGGCACCAGATTTTTGGTGACGGAGAACCTACATTCCGCATTGACGGCTTTGCGACATGCGCCGACGCACGAGGGAAACAACCAGTCGGATGCAGGACCGATCTTGGCACAGAAAAGACCGGTCCGGCGATTGTGGGCCGATGCTGTGTGTATCAACCAGGGAGACATGCCCGAGCGTGTCTCACAGGTCGAAATGATGTCGCTCATCTACGCCGGCGCAACCCGCGTGCTGTCATGGCTCGGCTGGGAGGAGGGTAGGGAGGGTCGTCGACTCACGCAAGAGGCCATGCACTTCATCGCCGCCTTCATGGAAGATCCAGAAGCGGGCCTGCGCGATTCCCGGATTTTACTTCTCCATCATGACGATATGGTGGGCCCTTCCGAGGAGCTGGAGTCGCTTTCTGTAGATGAAAGGCGGCAGTACGAGGACCAATCACGGAAATGGGCAGCTGTCAAGTACTTTTTTGAGATCGAGTACTTCCATCGGGCGTGGGTGGTCCAGGAGCTCGGCCTCGCCCGGGAAGCCCTCTTGATCACAGCGGTTAAACCCAATGGCGATGAGGTCATGCCAGAGAAGGCAGATTCTCCGATGCAAGTCATGACGAAGAATAAATCTGGTGCCCTGGAAGTTGAGTCCCTTGGTTGGCCCTTGGTAAGCCGCTTTGTTGAGCTGCTGGACTTCCAAGCTGCATCTCTTGTAACGCATCTCAATCTCCTATTGTGGGTCGCACATCACATCGTCATGGTGTGGGAGACCAAAGAAGATGGAAGTCCCAACTGCGACTTTCTGACCGGCATGCATTGGGCACGTATCCTTCGGGTGACGGATCCGCGCGACCGAGCATTCAGTCTTCTCGGCCATCCTCTGGCAGCCATCGACGGAGAACTCGTAGTTCATCCTGACTACACACGGACACGTGGCGTCATATACACTAGGCTGGCCATCAATATGATTCGGAAAACCAAGAACTTGTACATCCTGAGCCTCGTAGATCATGAGGAGGACCCATCCCTAGTTCAATTGAAATGGGATTCGAAATTCGAGGCAAGGATGCCGACCTGGGTCCCCGATTGGCACAGCATCAATCGAACCACGCCCTTCGATTACTGCATCCCGGCCGCGGCTTTAGAGGACGACGACATCCGCTTCCAGGATGGCATCGATTGCGAAAACGGAACATCACTCCCGATGCTGCTGGTACGAGGTTGGATGATCGACAAAGTTGCGGCTGTGTCACATCGCATGGAGACGACGGACTTTCCCGTCACACACGTGGCGCGAGAATGCGCCAAGCAGAATCCATTCTGGCTCGATCGTGTGTGGGAGCTTGTGCGCCCGGACGAGAAACAACTTGGGACGTCAGAGAGCTCGGGCGATGAAGCATTGGTTGTGCTTGAGTCGCTCTCTCTTTCCATCTCCCTCGGAACGAAGGGCGAGGATGGATGGGTCTGCAAGGCCGGATCGAGTCAGACTCTGGATGAGCACCGTCGATCATTTGCCGCCTACGTACTCGAATACCATAAGCTGCTCCAGCGCGCGGCCTCTCATCCTCAATGCATCAAGTCATGCGGAAAGGATCTTACTTTGCCGGCTCGTTCAATTCTCGATAGTCTACCACCGTCGGCACAAGCTGAGCTCCGGCGACGTGCGGAAGGCGCTGATTCCAGTTGCTTTCTCGAGTGCATGGTATGGCCGTCCATGTGTCGCGTAGTCTACCGCACCGAGACGGGTCTCGTCGGAATGGGGTCACGCATAACGCAGCCGGGAGATCTGATATGCAGAATCAGAGGGTCAAATGACATGATGACGGTGCGCGAGGTCGGCGAGGCGAGCCCGAGCATTGTGGCGGACTCGAGAGTTAAAATTGCGGAGCCTTTGTCGATCTGCTGCGCTTATATCGGACCAACAGTGCTGCCTGCACGTATCAAACGCGGTGTCGTTGATGGTTCGGAATTTGGCGAGAGGATGGCGGAGCTGCAGATTGTTTGAGAGCCTAACTGCTTACGAAAGTGCTCCGATAATGAATGTATTTGTATCTTGTTGATCGGGTTGTGCCAACTCGTCAGATAACTGTGGACGTTGAATACACCAGCCTGCAGATGGATGTCTGGTGCGTCCTCATCGAGAGAGTTCTGGAGATTGGACGGCCTATACCTGTCACACTGCGTGCATCCCGTCGTTCCGAGGCAACATTCATACCGTCAATTGACGTACTGATAATTCCAAATTTGCCATGACGATGAATATGGTCGAACACAAAGAATCGCATCTAGACGTGCCTGTATTATCAACAATTTGACCACTTGAATGAACAGAGCTCTACCCAAACCCTAAGTTCCGGACAGCCGAAGTCGCCTCTTCCCGAACTGAACAAGCCGTTGCCGGAGCGTCTGTTGACCCTGGCTGCTGCTAATAATGAGCAAGTCATTCTGGAACACGGCCCCCTGGCGACGGCGCTAGTGCTGACTTACCAAGCTCTTCTCGTTGAGCAGCAACAGTAGCATAGCATGCGCTAGATCATCACACGTGGAACGCCGTCTATAGGCAGCGTGCTTCTTCGCCCCGGGCCATTGACTGACGATGAATCAACAGGCGGAGCATTACAAAGGTGCAAAGGTGCAAGATATATGGCTGGTAGGGCAGATCTCCAAGCCCTTCAAATATATGCCTGTATGGCTGCATCTATCATCGTCGCTATTTCCAAGCTCCAGATTGTCCACAGCTCGGCCTCGACGGTGAGGCGGAGGAAATTGCTGGATTCCGGGTCTCCTCTATATCTCAAGCGGGACTAAGCAGGATCGAAAGCCACCCGCGAATGTGCACCCACGGGTCGTATTTACATTGCCTAGACGCGCTCTGCTTTTTGTTTCCGGTGGACTTGTTCGGATCGCACGGCTCGCGACCTGAATCGGAAGCTTGACATCGCGACATTCTTGGCCAGATCTCTCGCGCCCTTTTCCATGACGAGACTCGAGGTAGAAATCAATGAGCTTGGAATCTGTATCTTGAGGTCGCGTCGAACACATAGACGAGCCGAACATGTGGAATTGAGCAAGCAACGGCGCCGACACGCAACGCATCTGGATCCCGTCGTGTCCGCAAATTGTAAGGAGATGCTGACAACCGCGCCTTATGGTGGGAATGATTACAGCTGAAAAATATATTATCTCGGGCGAGAAGGAGGCTGAATCAGTCGCTGACTACGGCTTTCCCTGCCTGATGGACTCGATGTGCGGCATCCACTCCGGTGGAGACTCCTTCTACCCGTGTGCATCGATCCCATGGATCGTGACCGCAACCGGAGCGGGCGCCTATTTATTCGGTACGTCCCATACGGTGCATTGGTACAATACAAACAGGGACTTTCCTTGCATCGGCCGCTGAATTTGCCTGGCTCTCACCCTTCGTCTGCATGAAATTCAAATCGAGGAATTCGGAAGCGAGATTTGCTTCATTTAGCGTTCCTGCTAGTTGACGGGACATTCCGTACCACACACCAGCCCCATCCCTTCAGACAATGCATCTCTCACTTTTGCAACATTCTCGACCTCATCTGGACAAGTCCTTCAAATTGTTGCGCCACGTTCTCGCACATCTCCTTGTCACAATGATTCAACTCCAAGCACAGACGACAATCGATTGGACGTAGACATCAGGAGATGCAGCTCTTCATCACGTCCATTCTACATTGCTGCGATACAACGTTAATTTGTGCCGTGTAACAAGCAGAAAGTCGTCAATCTCTATCCATGGGCGCCGACGGTAATCATATCCACGATGGATGTAAATATAGTCCTCAATCACCACCTTTAATCAGACTCTCTTTGATCGTTCAAGTCCATTCGGGTCTCTTCCTGTCATTCGTTATACACGTTCATTGGGGTAGTGTCTCATCGTCGACATCACCATGTTTCCTTTCTGCTTTGCTCTTTTTGCGTCTCTGCCGCTCGTTTTGGCAGGCGCCCACGCTCCTTTGAACCTCTCCGGATCCGTCGCTGCCACAGTCTCCCTGTCGAGCAGTGCCGAAACTTCTCCGGCTTCTTACCCGTCCAAGCAATGCGTCCGCGACAAGTGTTCTCGTCAGGTCGCTGATGGACTTCGATATGGCGCCTCCGCCCATTCTTCTGACTGCGCCGCCCTGTTCGAGACAGTTACCGTGACTCCTTCCGCAAAAACCACCACTGTGACTGTGACCTCGGCGGCCGCCGCAATCACTGTCACCTCATCAGTCTCCACCAGCACCGTCACTGATGCCACTGCATCGTTCACTACCACCGATACTACTATCATCAACACTGCCGTGATTGCCAGCACCGACTCCACGACGACGACGACAGTAATTCCCACCACCGTCGTTGTCACTGCTACTGAGACTGTCACCGCTGCAAGTACCGTCTCCGCCGCATATGGCAAGCGAGGCGAAGCTACAACACCAGTGCCTCAATGGGCTTGTGACTGCCCCGACAACTCCCGCCTCTCCAGTGCATGCGCCTGCGCCGGTTTCTCGCCTCAAACTGTCACTGCTTCGGCATCGATGGTGACTGTTACGGTGACCGCTGCGGCCGCGACTTCTACGGACTTTGTCGTCGGTCAGACCGTTGTTGGTGCTACTGGTAAGGATCATGGCAAGCGACTACCTCTACCGTGATTGCTCAAGGCTGACCATTCCTGTCTCAGTCACGGTAACGTTGCGCACTTCAGCGATCGAGACCGTCACTTCCACTAGCATCACCTCCACCACCTCGACCGTCGTCGCAGTGCCGACTGTCAGCTCATCTACGACTACAACCGCTACCGTCGGCGCGATTCCTACCGGAGGCGTCATCGGCTACTGTGCGGACGGAACCGTTGTAGATGGAAATAGTACGCCAGCGCAGGGACCTAGCGCCGAAGTGTAAGTTATACGGACATGAAAATGTGGACGTTTGGCTTATCAACCTTTCCATGCAGTCGACCTTTCCGTATCGAGGGCAAGGACTCTACCCTCTTTGAGGGCTTCATTCGTTCCGGACCTCAGTTCATCACCACCCCCTCGGGCGGCACTCACCTCTGTGATGGAACCAATAACAACGCCAACCCCGCGCCGATCGTTACGCCCACCGACATGATCGCCGACGCCGGCCGTCTTTGCAATTTTGGGTTCGATGGCACCTACAGCAATACATTCCAGGACTTCTTCATCACTCGGATTGGCGACTCTGATTCCAACGACGGAAGCAACAGATTCTGGTATGACTACGATCGCAACAAAGCTGGATCACAACTCATCACTGACTTGATATTCACAGGGGCGTCCTTGACAATCTCCAGTTTACTCCTGCCGGTGGCTGCGAAACCGGCGCCTTCCCAGGCTCTAGCATTCTCTGGGCCTATGATGCCTTCAACGCGGAAGCCTTCCTCAGCGTTTCGCCCGCCTCTGTAACCCTTTCGCCCGGCCAGCTCACTGTATTCACCGTCGTGGATGGCGCGACGGGCAACCCTCGTGCCGGCGCCTCCATCTTTGACGGCATGATCTCCAACGCGAATGGTCAGGTCGCATATAGCGTACCGGCCGGCACCCCTTCAGGTACCTACCGTTACAAGGCTACTCAGGCGAACACCATTCGCAGCAATGCTGTCGTCATCACCGTCGTGGCGCCATAGATGCGAGAGATAAGCTGGACGCAGTTTTTCTGCCTGCATTGATCCTGGGCTGGACACGCCGAGTGGGCAACGCCGCAGGATCACATAGAGTTAATTTGTTGGAGAAAGTATGCCTGGCTTCGGAGGACGGGAGGACGCGTTCCTGGTAGCGGCTCGAGATGGGTTTTCGTACTTCGTTTCTTCCAAGAATTCCTTCGTGGACATTCATTGTCATTTTCCCTACCTAATGGATACGCGTCATTCGATACGCTTCAAACGAACAATTTCTTGTTTAGTATACCTGTGTCTCTCTCTGCCTCGCCGCGGATCCTTCTCGCGCAGCACACGTCCAGGCGTGAGTCCACGCCAATCGCATTGGCCGTGCCGGCACATGTGCGGATTCGCTGAGTCATTCATTCGACCGTCTCAATAAGCGGTATGAGATCCGAAGCGCCATAGCCGCCAATGGGTTTCATGTTCCGTGGCGTGAGAACCTCTCCCGATCCAAATTTGGAAAAAGGTGGTCGTAAGAAGGTTACGCGTGCAAGTGGCGGGACGAACTAGGTTTGCGGGCGGCGCACTGCCACGTTCCGCAACGGAATGTCACTGGCTTTTGGGTGATCCATCCCCGCAAAATCATGTAAAGGAACCACGTCCGACCTGAAGTACCACAACATTAGGGCTACAGTCCTATCATAACGATAATCAATATACCCTGAAACGGCGACTGATAACTAATCACTTCTATTGTCTTTTCGACATCGACATTGTTCTCCCTGGAGGAGGACGTCCACTCTGAGACGGATCATCAATAAATTATTCACCACTGGAATAAAACTCAACATCATCAATCACTCGCTCAGGGAGACTTTCGTTCTTCTCCTCAGTACGACCCGCATTCTACTTGCATTGTTCCGCCTGATTATCAGGCCGCCGGGAGTCCTTTCATATGCTACCATTCGCAATCGATATCATGTCATCATGTCAGCCCAGAGAAGAGTGCCGCTCCGTGTTCTGAATGTCACAACCGAGAGCTTCCAAGAAGTTCGAAACGTGCCAGGCCTACGGTACGGCATCATATCACATCGATGGCTCACGCAAGAGCCAACCTTTGAGCAATGGGAGAAGCGTGAGCCTCGCAGCGGCACTGAGCCCCAGGACCCAACGGTGGAGAGCCCCGGCGTGCAGAAGATCAAGAACTTGTGCGCCTTCATCCGGGAGAACTTTCCGGACATACAGTACATGTGGATTGATACGTGCTGCATCGATAAGAGAAGCGCTTATGAGCTTATGGTCAGCATTCCCTCCATGTTCGAATGGTATCGATCTGCGGTTGTGTGCCTGGCGTACTTGAGTGACGTCGATACGATGCCGGACGAGTCGATGTGGGAGGATGACTTTCGTGGGAGCGCGTGGCATACTCGGGGCTGGACCCTGCAAGAGCTGCTCGCTCCGAAAATGGTTATCTTCCTCAACAATAAATTCCGGGTCATGGGTTACAAGGGCACCGAAGCTGATGCTCTCGCCCAACGAATTGCGTGTGGTACAGGACCATGTCTCAACGCTCCACTTTCTCGAATCACCGATATTGATCAGAGATATTTCGGAGACGAGACTGCGCTTGCCAACGTTGACCTCGCGACTGTGAGATGCTGGATGAACGGACGCAGCACGACTGAAGAGGAGGACATGATCTACTGTGTGCTCGGCATCCTCAACGTTCACCTCAACCCGGAGTATTCGGAAGGATTCCTCAAGGCTCAAGACCGCTTGCTGGAGGAACTCCGGAGACGTTCTCGTGGTCACTATGCGCGGCTGGGCCCAACTGCGACTTCACTGCTGCCCGCTTCATCGCCATCGCGTCATGGCGCAGCACCGGCTCAATCCTGGGAGATGACCAACACCACCGGCGCAATGCATCGTGCGCGAATCAAATACGTTGAAGCTTCTGGAAAGCAAGGAGATCCTCGGAGCCGACGATGCTGTAGCCGGCTTGGTAAAGGAACTCGTGTGTGTGTATGGATCCTTTTCTCGCTCCTGATTGTCGGCCCAATCGCCGCTTCTGTAGTGGTCGTCAAGCAAATAAACGACAGGCGAGCTGCTGCCAATTCTTCGGTGTGAGGAAGTGTGGAGACCTCCGAAGTACGCTCCTCGCAGCAACGATGCTCCGCATACCTCGATTGCCGTGCTGCACAACCTCGGAGGCACTGCAATCGTGAATTTGAATTGTCGGCTGGTCCGATATGGGAGGTGAGTAATTATGCGTACCTGTCAGCGGGAACGAGAAGAATCGAGCGTAGATTAGAGATCGCATCGAGCAGGGCTCTGCGAGTCATGACGATGCCAGCCTGTCCGATCGATCGCAATATGGGGATTGTAATGTATTTCACTGTAATTATATATCATGCATAATGAGAATCCTGAGAAGACAGTCCCGCCGACGTCGGCGAGGGAATATTACATGGGAGACATGCACAATTCAAGCGGTTTTTAAGCAATGCCGTGAATAAATTGAGCCTTTATGTTGAACAGCAGTTCAGCAAATCCCGCCCTTTGTCCGGTTTAACGGGCTGTGGTGGCGGCGGCAGCACGGCGATCTATCGTGAAGCTTGCTTTCCGGCGGTCAATGCTGACTGGGGACATTTAGCCGGCCGGAAGCGCAGTCGACGGAGTTGAAATGTCCGCGGTTCACGGCGCTTTCCAATCAAGACCCGCAAGATCGAGGCTATGTAGACAAAGTATAACGCTAAGATCGGCGATTTTCAGAAGATCTCATCTTCGGATCGCACCAACTTCTTGGACATTAAAACAACCCGTGTTTTTCCTCCCCAATACAACCGGATCGGTATCGGGGGACAAACGATACACCGCTCGCTTTGCCGAACCATGGGCCATCCAACGGCTGCCGTGTCGGCGACGAATACCAACCTCGCCACCACCGAGCGGAGTGATAACCCTAACAAGGCGATCGAGCCGTCATCCGAAGCACAATCCTCCCAGAGCGACTCCGAAGAGAAGGTCGTGCCACCGACGCCCGCGACAACCGCTGCACAAGATCGATCCATATGGAACAAGATTCACAGCATCATCTACTGGACACCGCCGAAATGTCGCTGGGACCCGGACGATCCGCCGAAGTTCACGTTGGCGTTGAATACACTGTTTGCCTTTGCGGGAGCCTTCACCGTGGCGAATTTATACTATAATCATCCGATCTTGAATATCCTGGCGGCAGACTTTGGTGTTCCGTATGGTGCGTGAGAGTGATCGTGTGTGTGCTTTTGATAGGGAGATTGGAGGAATACAGCGCTGATTGACCTTCTTTGCTTTTTCGCAGTCGAGGTCGCGATCATTCCTACATTGGCTCAGGCAGGCTATGCTACCGGACTCTTGTTCCTGTGTCCTCTGGGCGATGTCCTGCCGCGGAGGCCGTTCATCCTGTCCATGGTCTTTTTCACGGCGACGGCATGGTAAGTCAATGTTCAACAAAGCCTCGACGAGGAGCAAGCAAAGGAACTCCCTGCTGAAGATCTTCCAAAAACAGCATCGGTCTCTGTGTGACGAAATCTCTAAGCGTCTTCTCCGCCTTCCAATACATCAGCGCTGTGACGACCGTCACTCCGCAACTCATGATGCCCCTGGTCGGCGACCTCGCCCCGCCCCGCCGTCGTGCCTCCGCAATGTCCATCGTCGCGAGCGGGCTGATGCTGGGGATCCTCCTCGCCCGGCTGCTCTCGGGGATCATCGCAAACTACACCTCGTGGCGGGTGATCTACTGGCTGAGCGTGGCGGCGCAATACACCATCTTCCTGCTGCTCTGGCTGTTCATGCCGGATTACCCGTCGACCAACCCCGATGGGATGAACTATTTCAGGATGCTCTGGTCCATCGTCCTCATGGTCGGCCGCCACCCGGTGCTCGTGCAGGCGTGCGGAATCGCCTTTTTCGCCTCGGCCACCTTCACCAATTTCTGGACGACCCTGACATTCCTCCTCGCGGGGCCGCCGTATTACTATACGCCCGTGATCATCGGGCTCCTCGCGCTCGTCGGGATCGCGAGCATGCTGTGCGGGCCGGTCTACGCGCGCTACGTGACGGACCGGTTCGTGCCGTGGTTCAGCGTGTTCCTGGGGATGGTGTGGTCGATCATCGGGATCGCGGTCGGGACGTACACGGGGACGTTCAGCGTCGCGGGGCCGATCGTGCAGGCGTTCTTTGGGGACTTCGGGATGATCACCGCGCAGATTGCGAACCGGTCGGCGATCTTCGCGGTCGAACCGACGGGGCGGAACCGCGTGAATACGGCGTTCATGGTCTTCACGTTTGCGGGGCAGCTGGTGGGCACGTTTGTGGGATCGCAGCTGTATGATCGCGGTGGGTGGATCGCGAGTGGGAGTTTTAGTATGGGGAGTATCGGGATGGCGTTGCTCATCACGATGGCGAGGGGACCGTGGGAAGAAGGTATGTTCTCTGACCTTTCCTCTACCATCAGACGAAGACTTCTAGTCTCCTCAATTCCTCTTACTGATCTTGTATGGCAGGTTGGGTCGGATGGCACGGCGGCTACAGCATCCAAAAGCAAAGCAAAGAAAGCGCGGACGGCCGCATCATCGAAGCGAGAAGCCATCTCGCGAAACGGGAACATACGGCGCTGGCAGCAGAAATCGAGGTCGAAAAGGCTTTGCCGCCTGTCGATCAACACGATCATACGTACGGCCACGACGATATGGCGGAGGTGAATGCCATGAACTCCGATAAATCGTTGGAGTTGGCGGCGGCGAAGGACTACTATTATCGGGAAGACAGTGAGAAGACTTCGACGAATTCGGAGGGGCGTGACGCTGCGAATAGATGAGTGAGAATATCGTCTTTCAGCACGGGTTGTTGTTGGCGCACGATTTGACGAACGGTATGATGGGTGGGAATGGATAGATGCATGAGTATGATGGGTGGGAATTGATAGATGCATGAGAACGATACATGGAAAGACAGGAGCATTATTCGAAGAAAGTTCAGAACAATTGAAATTCCCATTGCGACGACTGCCCCCGGTTCACCATCTTGGCACGGCCAGAGAAAGGGGGGGCTTCCATCCTTTCTCCCGATTATTCAATTTTGCAACTGTCCCACCATCGCAAAGACAACTCCGCTCGCACAACTCAGAAAAAAAAGGACCAGATAACGGACAAATATCTATAGGGAAACCAGCCTCAACAATCACAGCTTCCACCGTCGTCTGTGTACAATCGCGAGCAAAGTCAAAACCGCAATCTACGCATCAGCGGGCGCAGTGAGGACGCTGAATTGACCGCCAGTGGTCGCGCCGTTGAGCTTCTTCTCACGAACAGCAGTGTTATCGATCAAAGTAGCGACGACGACATCCTCATCCTGACCCTGACCGGTCTGGTAATTGGTCGAGAAACCCCAAGACCAGGCCTTGCCCTCCTTGGTCACCGCGAGGCAGTGATCGGAGTTGGAAGCGACGTGGACGACGGCGCCGTCGATGGCGACCACTTTCTGCGGGATGGCGATGATGCGGCCCTTGCCGTCTGCGTCCTTGATCAGGATGTCTTCGGGCAGCTTGGCGAGGTCGGCGTCGGCGATACCCATCTGGTGGCCGTCCATGCGGCCCCAAACGAAGCAGGAGCCGTCCTCGGTCGCGGCGAGACTGTGCTTCTCGCCGCCCTTGATGCTGATGACTTTCTGACCCTGAAAGGCCTCGATGATCTGGGGGCGCATGATGGCGGCTTCGTCCTGGCCGGCGTCGTCGGTGATGCCGGTCTGGCCGAAGTTGTTGAGACCCCAGGCGTATGTGTCGCCGTTCTTGGAGATGGCGAAGCTGTGGTAGGAACCCGTCTCAATTGAAACAATGCGCTTAGTGGCGCTCTTGGGTAGGCCGAATTCACGAGGTCTCAGACCTTCGGTCTTGGTGCGCTCCACAATACGACGACCAAGCTGGTTCTGCTGACCCGATCCCCAGGCGTAGACAGCTCCCTTGCTGTCCAGTGCCAGTGCGTGGTTGGCGCCGGCCTTGATGTCCAAAACGTTCTTGAGGTCACTGATGAGTACAGGGCGCGTGGCGACCTTGACGTCGGGAGTGAGTCCGAAAATACCGTCGTTGCTGCGGAAGCAACCCCAGCCGTAGACACGACCATCGTCGGTAAGGGCGAATGACGTGGAGTCACCTGCCGCGACCTTGACGAACTTGGTGTCCGGCGCCACTTCAGTCGATGACCAATCAACCTCAGCCGGAGTGCTCTCGTGTGGGTTCAGACCGCTGTCATCGTCATCATCATCGCTATCCTCTTCAGCGGCATCGATGTCTCGGACGCCGCCATCCCAATCCGTATTTCTTCCCAAAGTGCCCTGGTCGTTGACACCCCATGTGAGAATTTTGTTGTCGTGGGTCAACGCGATGCAGTGCATGCCTCCAGCTGCAATCTGGACGATACCGACCTTGTCGGCGCTGAGGTTGGCGTTGAGACGAGGACGCTTTACGTCAATGGCGTTCTTCGCAGTCCCGAGTCCCAGCTCACCCGCAGATCCCTCGCCGAAAACGTAGATGTGCAGGCGTTGAGTCGGCGCTTGCCCAATGACAGGGCCCTTGACGAGCGCCTTGACCTTCTTAGCAGGAGGAGCGCTGACTTCCTCGGTCGCTTTGCGTTTGCGTGAAGCGGCAGGCTTGGCCTCGGCTTTCTCCTCCGGTGCCTCGCTCTTCGCCGCGTCCTTGGTCGCTGCCTTTTTTGGTGCTGCCTTCTTCGCTGCGGCAGGCTTAGCGGCGGCCTTGGTGACAGGTTTCGCAGCGACCTTGGTGGTCTTGGTTGATGTTTCCGTCGTGGTTTTTGAAGTCGCTTTGGGCGCGGCCTTCTTCGCCGGCGCTTTGGCAGTGGTCTCTTTGGCAGCAGTCTTTGTTGACGCTTTCTTTGGCAGAGCACCTTCGGCAGCTGCGAGGATGGTCAGAATCAGTTCGAGAGTCACGCTAGGTCGGCCATGTATCGATGCAATGTCAGTCTGTGTGGTGGGAAGAGCATGCTCACCTTTGGCCTTGGTTGCGCGCTTCTTTGTGGTTGGCTCCTCCGTCGCGTCGGTTTCTTCCTTGGTCTTTCGCTTTTTGGTGGCAGTCTCTGGCTGGACGACCTTCTTGGCCGTGTTCGCTTTGTTGGTCTTGGCCGTGCCAGCCTGGTTCTTAATGTACTTGACTTGCGCCATGGTGTTGGCGATTGGATTCGCTCTGCGCGGGCGCGCGTCGCCAAAGATTATTCGCAGGAACGCGACACGGGATTTCGTGCAGATACACGAGCGGTCGATGATATAACAGCTTTTGAAGACCGCGAAACAATCAAATCGTATAAGTTGTGGTGATGGAATGGGAGAGGAATGAGAAAAGTATCACAGACGAGGAATTTATTATTATTGTATGCGGAATGAGCTCGAGGGACAGCTTCGCCCACGAAAACGCGTCGGCAAGCCAAACAAATTTTGGGCAACGCGGGATTATGTCACCCGGCCCGTTGAAATTCCCAAAGAGGCAATCCCGCCTCAACTGATTTGCTGGCAGGAATGGCGATCGTTACACAACAGCGAGAAATTGACGATGCGTTCGAGTACATGGTAGGGATTATTGTGATGTGAGAATTTGTCGCCGACCTTCTCACCAATCATCTCTTGTTGTACGCGCGCGGCATCAGGAATGTGGAGATCATATACATCTTGTCAGGTTCTTCTCCGAGGCATCCAATGCAGGCAGCCGCATCCCTCCTGGAAAGCCTGCCACTGCCTTTAGAGGTGAGCAGGCTTAGGTGTCAGCCCTTTTTGTCAGCCTTGCAATACCGGCAGATCGCTGTCATCATCAAATATGGATGACTTGCACCGGATTCGCCAGTCGGCCTGTATTCCGATACATCAACGCCGCATTGACCATCCTCGTGGCATTCGTCTCACATCCGAGGTGATCTCTCACGACATTGACAGCATAGAGGAGGAAAGCAATGCCCAACAAAAGCCATCCGTAGACGTCCAGCCATCCAGCGAAAAGCCAAGTCGCAGGACCCCTCCCCATGATCCTTGCGAAGTGCCTCTCGCTCGCATCCCAGCGGACCGTCTCTCGGCCTCCGCGCAGCCTGCTGATGAGATCGCTTTTGCCGGCGTGGACGTGGCCGAAGACGTGCAGCAACGGCGTCGTGCGGCGGACGTCCTCGAGGAGGAATTCGTCGCCGAGAGCGGACCAGTCCGGGAGGTCGAGGTGATACTTGGGCGGCGTATGCGTGATCAGGATGTCTATGTCGGTAGGGATTTTGCCTGACCAGGTGTCGCTCCCCCGAGCATATTGGAAGGCGAATTCCGGTCCGCCGCAGGCAGGGATGTGAGGGAGGCCGTAGACTTTGATCCGATCGTGGGTTCCGTCGCCGAGACGATGGGAGAAGTTCAGCTCGGCGGTCCCATCTTGGAGGTAGATTACGCTTTTCCAGTCGAGTGATTGCTTCTGTTCTCCTGATGTGAGAGTCTGTCGACTCTGTGGATCGAGAAATGTATCATGGTTGCCCGCGATGGCGACTTTATATCTGTGAGGAAGACCGTCGAGCCAGTCGATCTGTGCTTGAATCTCTTCTACGGTGCCTTTGTCGGTCATGTCCCCGGCATGAATGAGGATGTCGCCGAAAGGGACGCCATCGGGTGGGAGTTGACAGTGTGTATCCGAGAGACAGACTACTGTGATGTTTCGCCGGGTCAATGGGTCTGGACGCACATACTCGGCGATGAAGTCCAGCGTCCGGGCGATTGTCTTGACGGGATTGCGGAATTGATGCCAAATGTTGGGTATATCGAATTCATCCGGCATTGTGAATAGCCGCCTTCGAGGAGTTGATAGCTCGGCTCCATCTCGCTGGCGGCTTCAGGACAAATGTGAAGACCAATGGCATTCACCGCAACATGACGTCATTTTACTCTTTACAGCGTAAATAATCCATTTTCACGGCGGTTTCACTGTGAATAGTAGTACAGCCGTGCGATATGTGATGTGATAGGCATGTATGCATTTGCAATCGCACGCAATACGTGAATTTCCACACTGCATCGAATCCATAATTGACAAATGCGAGCCTGGTTGGGGTATAAGTACTGAACGCGGCGCTATTTGAATCGCGAACACAGCCATGAGACGAGAGATGTTGTAGGCCTGCAGAGATGAAGACCAACGAACACTCACGTCGAAGGCTGAACAGGCTCCTCACCAGCGACAGCCGGGGCAGGAACAGCAGCCGGGGCAGGTACCGCAGCCACGTCTTCCTCCGCTCCACCCGCAGCAACAGCAGGATTGCCATACCTCGGCGTCTTAGAGACGGTCTTGAGATCAGGACCATTGCCGCCGTATTCCTTCGCGACCGCCGGGCCGAGATACTTGTGCAGTTCCGAGCCGTAGGTCATCCAGGTCATTTTCTGAATGCTGTCCTTGGACATGAGGGCTTTCATGGCGCCCATCATCCATTGCATGATGATGGGGACGTTGACGAAATACTGAGTTCGAAGAGGAACGAAAGTGTCAGTCCGAGTTGGGGAGTTCGATGTGCGGGGATATATGTAAAGGGAAGGAGGGTGGGAACTTACCTTGTAGGATGCCGTTTCCGGGTAATATCTACGCAAGCGAAATGCGAGGTCAGATGGATCGATGTCGTTCTTCCGCGAACGTGAACGTCGTGGGACTATTTCCCACGAAGATGACTTACCGCTGGAACATATCTATAATTTTAGAGGACGACGCCTTGATCTCGGCCGGCTGTCGGAAGAAGCTGACCGACAGGTAGTCATGGACGTTGATCGCCGTGTAAGGATCCGGGCCTTCTCCGTAGTTCGGGATGGGCGCGGTAGCTTCATTCAACTTGAGTTCGGTGAGAGTCAATTCCATCAGCGCGACGCGCCATCGGACGAATCTGTGATTAAATGTGAGACAGAAAGCAGTGCGTCAAAGTGTCGAATTCCACGAACTACGTACCCTTCCGTGTCACCAAACACCTTCTTCGCCTCCTTCGCCGCTGCGCCATAGATGTTGAACGTAGCGACATCCTCGGCGTTGCCCGTCTCCGCGGCCCCTTTGACGCGGGTGACGAAACCCAAGCTGGCGAATTTGTCGCCGTCGAAGACCTCATCACGAGCTTGGAGAGGATGGTACTCGGCGCGCCATTTCAGGGCCGCGGTGAGCTGGTCTTTGGCGCGGACGAGATCGTTCTCGTTGGCGCGGAGGAATTTCTGGAGGATGATGAGGGTCGGGAGAGGAGGGGGAGTTGTTGATCTGCGATTGTGGAGAGAATGCAGAAGATGATACGGTTAGAAAAGATTCGCAGAGAGGGTTTGTGGTGAAGAAACGACGATCGCGGCGATGTAATTGCTCCGATGGTTCGGTTGGTGTTTTATATCGCCCGCTCCACGGTCACAGTCCTTTCCCGCATTGCCATTCCACCAGACTCAGTCCATCTCTGTCCACACCGTCCATCTCGAACAACGGAACGTGCATCTGCGTCTCTCCAAGTCCGCCTCCAACGAAAAGAAGGACAGGAGAATAAAAATCAACTCAGACATACCCTTCAACGGCAGGTACCAACCTCACCCCATACATCTCATCATACTCTCCCGCCGCCTTGACGATCTCGGGCAAATCGTTGGCGAGCTGCGTCAAGACCGGACTCTGCTCCAGCGGCCAAACCGACCAATCCGGCAGCTTCTTGACATGTGCCGTGCTGCCAGCGGTGTTGGCGTCAGCAGCAGGAGTCGCAATCGACATGATGGCCAGGGTTTTGGAAAACGCACTCTTTGCCCGGCAAGTGTATTTCTCTCGGATGAAGTTTGCTTGTCGAGATCAGATAGAGGTCGGCACGTAACAAAGTATTGAGGTTCTCGACTTCATGATGTTCGGGATCTGAAAAGCGCGCTAACGCGTGATTCATATGTCTCCACCATCGACGCGCCCTAAATATACGTATTTCCTTCAATTACTTACTATTACTATACTATATTATAATCAACTCCGACCTAGGAACATTAAGGGCGTATTATATACTTCTTGAGTATTTGAGAAATAGTAACATCATTTCGGAACCTATATAATGGAGATCTTACTCCCAAATCAAGTCGTAAACGAAGACTTCATGTGTGCGGCTAGAAGAGTCCCCGGCGGGTCTTGTTGTCTTGATTGCCATAAACCTGCTCGCAGGGTCGACCTGCGCTGGTCCGTCGATGTGGTCTGTTTCCAGAAAGGTCGTTGTGTTATATTCGACTGACGAGGCCGTATTCAGATTGCATATGCGAATTTTCGGACTCGTCTGTGGTCCCACGATGAATAGGTTTTCGTTGTCAGGGGTGAAGAACTTGGCCACTTGGGAAAAGATATTGTCGCGATGAGCGTCGATCATCTCCTCAGCTCCAGTTGCCAAGTTGAGCACAAAAATCGCCTTGCGGCTCGAAAATCGACCCTTGGGCTTCACATAGACCAGAAGCTCATCGTCGGCAGAAATTTGTGCATCGCTCAGGTCATTGCTATCGGTGCCCAGAGGGACATTTTCCAGGATCATCGCCTGCGCTTGTATATCGTAAACTGTGACTTTTGCCTTGTGGTAGCATTTCCAGAGCAGCAAATTACCGGATTGCGACAGTATGATTTCTCTGATTCCGTCCCATTTGAATCCCGTATCAATCTTTCGAGATCCTCCAGACTTGGACACAATTGTTAGGCTCAGCGATCCTTTGTCGGACTTTTTGCGGTCGACCCTGGAGCAGTAGAGTAGTCGATCGTCTGCTAAGAAACCTAAAAGCTTCAGAGACATCCGGTCGTCCACTTTCGGCCATCTGTAGTCGTCGCCGACAGAGGATGCCATGATGATCTTAACATGAGTCGGCGTTGCAGTAGTCACATCGTAGAGCCGCGTGAGCACATCGATCCTATTTTGGTTCTGCTCGTTCGGTTCCTTCGCGTGGATTGCCAGAATGGTATCGTCACGGCTGAAGAATATGTCTGTGTCCCTATGTATTTTTCTTTTCAAGTCCCATGGCAAGGATATGGTCGATCTGAGGACAAAACCTGTCGCATCCCATACTTGCACAGTGGGAAGATCAGTTGGTGATGGCGACTCAGGACAATTATAAATAGCGATCAAAGAGCCACGGGGAGAGAGCTTCCACGGGCTGTTGGCGCTTGTGGGTATCGCCCCTAGACGCTTTTGGAAGCGCATCTCGCGATCATTCGGCAGGGTGAGAAAGAAGCTGGGTTTGATGGTATTTGTGCCTGCACGCGACGCAGCGGAACGTTTAAGTTTCGATTCATAACCGATCTCTCGAGGAGCATTGGTCTGCTTAGCACGTGAGGGCATAGATGTCTTGTCGCTGGAATTTGATCGTTCGTCGGCTTCCTGAGAGTCATCCGATCCGGGCGGCAGATGCGCAGGATGCGTTTTGAGATCAGCGACCGTCTTGCTCCCGGGCCGTTGGGTATGGACCCCGGCGTGACTCGCGCTCTTCGCTTTCTGATTCATGTCGGAGTCCACACTAGTCCCCCAGCCGGCAGACCCGGTGCCCAAATGTGTGGAGGATGATGCACCGTGTATGGGTTGCGACGAATCAGCATGTCGATGCGATATCTCAATCCAGCTGTGGTTCAGGCATTCGTCCACGCCTAGCCGTTCGTGCGGATTTGGCGCAAGTAGCTCCAGGATGAATCTGTGACCAGGCTCGCTGATCGCACGAGTATTGAGTTCCTCCCCGGGAAAAGCGATCTTCCCCCGCACGAACTTTGCAAGGAGTCTTGGAGTTGAGAATGGCAGCTGACCTGTGAGCACATTGTACGTAATCACGCCGACAGCCCAAATGTCGACGGCCTTGGTGTAAGAGGTCGTCTTTCCGTCTTCGGGGTCATCGGACTCACTATCGTCGTCGAACAGAAGCCCCTGGACCTCGGGCGCGACGAACCCTGCAGTACCAACGACAGTTCTCAGAGATGATGCATCCTGGGTCAGACGCTTACTGAGACCAAAATCCGCGATCTTGATTTTCCATTGCGGGCCGCCTTGAGCAATAAGGAGATTCTGCGCCAATGATCAGCATTCAGCTTTGAAGGGTCGATATTGCTCTTATCACCTGAGGCTTCAAGTCGCGGTGTGTATAACCTGCTCGATGCATATGCGAAAGGCCTTGTAAGACCTGGCTAATGATCATGACTGCTTCTGCTTCCGGCAGACCTGAACTTATGTAGTGATGGAGGTTTCCGAGAGGGAGTAGCTCCATAATGATACAGATGTGTTCATCGGTTTCGAACCAGCCTTCCGAACGAACAAAGAAAGGCCGATACTGGGACTTAGAGAATCGAGCTATAGCCTCAAGCTCCTGACCATAATCCATTGCTACCCCAGGGCGGGCTAGATCCGGCCTGTCTATGTGCTTGACGGCTCTTACAGCATCTCTCGGTGCTCCCTTGATGCACTCCTCGCGGTATACAGTCCCAAAAGCCCCAGCGCCGAGAGGTTTGTGATCGCGTTTCCAGACACATTCCTCAACAGCCTCTGTGCGCCAACCGTAGTAGGTATGGGTCGTGTAATTGTACTTCGAGTCGTGGGAGTGCTTTGCATCGATTCGGGTGAGGCCTACAAGATCCTTCCCAGCTGAGGACATTTCGAGCGGTTTGAGCACAAAACGGCAGGGTGTGTGGGAAAATAAGATCCTTGGAAATCTTGAAGGAAGATTATGAAAAAGATGGTTTGCAAATGAGCTTTGACGTTTCGTATCGACAATGTGTCGGGTTTGCTATCACATCGGAGTCGTGACTCCGCGGCACGAGATATTTCTTGCTTACCGTCTAATTGCGCTTCAATTGGCTGCCTGTACGCCACAGCGTCACTTCACAAGCGGAGCATGCCACCGCTTGAGTTCGGCTTGACAGTGGAAGATATCTGTATGAGCTGTAGCAGCTGCTCGTCTTCGAGTGCGCATTATCATGATTTTGGCCGGAGTAAACCATGGTCATTGTTTTTTTTTTCGTATGCCATCTCTGGAGTTCTAAGCTACGTGCCCGAAAGCGCATGAATCAGCACAGAAAGTGCAGGCGTCGCTTATTTCGTCAGTGCTGTCGTAAATAAAAATGTAAGCAATACCTAATCCGGAACGAAATAGCACCATCATGTATAATATCTTTATATTAACATCACCGAATAGTGCCTGAGGCATTGAACCAACCAACTAGTCAGCCTGAGGCCTCAGTAGACGGTCATTGAATCAAATCCTCGCTGCTCATTGCAGAGTGAGCAAGGTCATTGCACAAATGCAGGGCGGCGGGTTTCCGTCGGAACGTTGCCCTCCAGGTAGGTCTCTCACCGCCGGCCCGATCGGCAGGCAGGCAAGGCAAGACAAGGCATCCCACGATGAAGGTGGGTCTCTGCTTCACGGGCGCTGTCGGGGCGATCGGCTCCCCGACGGCTACATAATATAGCTGCGTCGCGTGTGTGTGTATGTGAACCCGCATTGAATGTGCATGTGAAGAATGATCGTCCGCGGGAACGGATGAAGACAAGAATAACCTTGATCCCCACAAACAGACAGACCGACACTGCCACCGGGGCAGCGTGCACAGGAGACGGAGACGGAGACACATAGGACGCGAATCGACGCGAAATGACGGAGAGGGGAGGATGATGACTCGCCAGTGTTTTGGGTGTGTATTCTGAAGATCATGGTGGGCGAGGGGCAACACGAGAGGGCATGAGGATGAGGATTCTACAGGAAAAGTTGGATAGGATTGGATTGGAGTGCATTTCCGGGAATGATTTTCTTTTCTTTTCTTTCCCGTCGTCGCCGCGGAACCGTTCTCTTCGAGCATCCACGCGGGTGAGGCATGCATTCGCAGCTGCGACTCGTTACGGTGAGAGAGAGGGAGGGACGTCGATGAATGCTCTGCTCTGCTTGGAAAACCTGAAGCATGCCGCCGCTATCCTTTGCATACCGAAAAAGATCTGCCATCGATAGGCCAAACTCCCAGCTCGCATACAAGGGGAGCATCCTCCAGTACCTCGACGAGTCTCGGGCGCGCAACAGATTCCTTCAGCCGCCATGCCAATGTTTTCCTCCAGCAGCTTGATCGCGTCATTCGTCGATCGTGTTCCCACGTGAAGCCAAAGACAGAGATTTGCGCTTCGTTCCGTCATAATCACAATGCTTCTCTCTTCGCGGAACAGAGAGTAAAACCCGGGTATCTATCTAATGCAAGAGAGGGTGGGAGGGAGTGAGAGGTCAAAGAGAAAGCCTCGAGTGGGTGTGTATTCCGTCTTGTGTCGGGTTGCAAAAGGCCGGTGCCGAATCGAGTCGCGTGTGACCGTCGCGTGTGACCGTATGGCAGTGACTCCGCGATCGATGCCGTTTGGGTATGCATTTGCGGATCCGCGTGGGGGCCCATCGTCGCATTCGACGACGAGGTTTTCATTTTCGAATGGAACACAGTCTCAGCTCGAGCCATTGGCAATAGCAGCGCCATCGGCTTCGCCCGCGGCTTTTTGCGCCTCGAGTTGGACCTGGTCGGCCTTTTCGAACACTTGCTTGATGACTTGCTGCTCCTCGGGGCCGAGGAGGGTTGTCAGCTGGTTATAGAATTGCGGTTGCTGCTGGGACATATCTGTGATGAAAGTTAGCTCGCTTCTGGTTAGAGCTCCATGGGATGATGCGTTGTTGACTTACCGGCAAGGGTTTGCTTGAACAGCCCATAAGGCTCCATCTTGTCCAGAGGAGTCTCGAGCAAGCTCTCCTCCTCGAGCACATCATCCGGCTCACTGTCCCCAGAGACCGTGTTGAATTTGCTGGCCTGCTCGTTCAAGAATGCGAGGTATGCGGTGCTCTCGTCTTTGACGTCGCCCGTCTCATCGGCTCCATTGTCCGCGCCGTCTTCGTTCTCCCATGCGTCGACCTCCTCCTCCTCCTCGTCGTCGTAATCGCCGCCGAGACCAAAGTCGTCGTCCCGTTGCGCTTCCTCGCGGTTCTTGATGGCAGCGGGAAGGGTCTGGAACAGCCGCACGATGCCCTGCAGCAAGCGTGGCCAACCGGGCTGGATGCTCTGAGGGACTTCCTCGGCCCGCAGCGAGAGCAATGCGGTGATGGCTCCGATGGAGAGCTTCTTGTCATGCACACGAGTGAAGTTGTCCATGCTACCAAACCACAGGCTGAAGAATTTGTTGGTCCAGCCGTTGGTTTCGAGCGCGGTGAGAGCCAGGCGTGGGTTGTAGTAGATCGAGTTGATGACCATCTCCATGAGATGGATCCGATATGACTTGACCTGCACATCGTTGTTGGCCAATACGGTCATGGCCAGTGCCACGAATCCCGGAACGTAGTTGTCGATGCCACCGCGAAGGTTCAGCATCAAGATCTCGGCGAGTTTGCAGCCGCAGATCCTGTCCACGCCGCCGACCTTCTCATCCTTGAAGATCGATTGAATCATGTCAACAATGGCATCAAGGTAGGCGCGGTTCTCCAGGAGAGTCGGGGTGCCGTAGTTCACAAAGTTCTCCAGGGCCGGTAGCATATCCTCCAGGTAGAGCTCCGCGCCGGATTTGAATGTCCGATGGATGAGCTCAAAGGCCTGCCACATGGTAGGCGAAATAATCTTAGCCGCAAAAGTGCAGCTGTCGATGATCTCAAAGACCTCGTTGTACAAGTCGTAAAGTTTGTGCTCGAGGGTGATGGTGATGACAGGCATGAGAATAGTCTCCAGGTGTGCCAGCACGTCCGGCGTGCTTTCCAAGGTGAGGATCAGGGTACCGATGGTCTGAAGGACACCCAAGGCGGTAATGCTCTTGTCATCCAAGAAGTCGCCATAGCTATCTTCGCCGTCCTTGGTGCTCTGTCGCTCGATGAGCTCACGTACAATCCTAACGTAGGTGTCGCGCAACTGTTCGGAAAGGGCGACAGCGAAAGGCGTCAATTCGGTTGCGAACACCTCGACAAAGTCTTCCATCACGTTCGCCAAGGCATCCACATCGACTTCGTTGGCTAGTTTGAGGAGTTGCTGCATGATCTGTGGGATATTTTGCTGCATCATCGCACGGATGGGCTCGTGTCGGATAAGGGGTTGGAGAGCAAGCGCGGCTCCGACACGGACCGGCAGGTCGGGGTCGGCAATACATTCGAGGATATATCGGTAGACCGTCGCCAGGTTGTTCTCGTCCTTGAAGTCGAGGGCCTCAAACTTCTCGAGCGTGTCGCAAGCGCGGGCCCGGAGGAAGCCGTGAGGGCTGCGGAATTCCGGGAAGACATATCGGAAGAGGAAGTATTCGACTTGGTCCGCAATTGGGCTCTTCTTGCCGAGGATTACAGCGGCGAGCGTACCGATCATCCGCAGGGCTCCTTCCTTCTCTTGCGCATTCTTCTGGTCGTCAGGAGCCGCCTCATAGCGGTTCACAATCTCCTGCACGAACGCCAGAACGTCAAAGGTCTGCTTTCTCCGGGACTTGGTCAGAGTGACCAGGAAGGTCGTTGCCGCGACATCAGGCGCGGAGACCTCTTCGTAGAAATTGAGCTTGCGGTGGAGGTAGTCGGCTGGCTCATTTTTGAACTGCTCGAGGTCTTCATCGGTCTGGCAAAGGACCGGGAAGATGAAATGCTTGATGAGCACCGGCAAATGCGGTTGGAGGTGGTCCCACATAGCCTTGGGCTTGATGCACTCGTCCAAGAAAGCCAAAGTATATGACAGGCAAGGCTTGCTCAGCCAGATGCGCTTCGAGACCCAGCCATCAATCTGAGTGAGGTATCCCTTCAAAATCTCGGGGGCAAATGTTGTGATGAAGTCCTTCGCCACCGCGGTGTAGTCATCGCCGTTGCCCTTCTGCAGGCTCGCAGGATTGCCATAACGGACGAAGAGCCTGTTCAAATTGACGTACGCCCATTTCTTACACTTCCACCAGTGGTTCAACTCCCGCTCGTCAAGATCCTCAAGCATGGCCTCGGCCGGCGGCTCCTTCGCGACAACGCCGAGGAAAAGCGTACACCAGTCCACCATGGCCTGGTGTGACCGCAGCGATCGCGGCAGCTCAAAGTATATGGCGTGTTTGTATGCCTTGAGCACTGTCCGTAACATCTCGCCTGCTTCCAAGCTCGTCTCATTGATCAACCCGTTTCCAATGTTCAGAAGCTGAGGGAAGATGGCTTCCACGATCTTGTCGAAATCGCCGCGATTGTCGCCGAGCTTGAATCGGTAGGTACGGCAGATGGCCAGCAGACACTGCAGACCGGCGAAGACAGATGCGACATCCTGAGCACCGAGGAGGGCAATTGTGGTGTCGACAAACTCGGGCCATTGCTTGGGGAAGTCGCAGTGAAGGATCTTCTGCAAGGCAACGATGAGCTGTGGGCGAACATTGGGTTGTGATCGGGCGAGGATGGGGACCAGGCGCGCTCTGACAGCCGCCTTTTCGGACTCCTCGATAAATGTGCCGCCGGTGGATGGAGGGGCTTCGCCGCTGGCGAGCCAGGCCTTGCTGACGTGATTTTTAAAGTAGATGGCAGCTGTTGGTGAGAAAGCGTGACAGATTAGCGGGTCGCTCGACGCGAGACGGCCGAGTTGGCAGGGACGAGTGACAGAGACGTACTGGATTGTCGGACGCCATTGTCTTGCTCGGTCTCGAGGATATTCAGCAGGGCATCGAGGAAGCCCGCAGTCTCTTCAGCCTGGTGGAGATTTCTTTGTCAGTCCCGTCGAATTGAAGCAAGCCATCCACCATCCGCAGCGGCGATGTACGTCTGATCTCCGCCTCGCAATGTTTGGAGTCGGAGCACCGAGCGTGACAGGTCGAGGTGGCAGAGCATGCACGCGGCCGCCACAGACTCTCATGCACGTACCGTCTTCAGGTCGATTTCAGCCTGTCGCCGGGTGTCGGCGTTGGCATCCAGAGAGGCTTGGATGCCGGTTCGCAATGCGACGACATCCATGTTGGCGGGTGTGCTCCTGTATGGTCAGGAATGGACTGAGTGGAGGAGGAGGAAAGGAGAAGGAAAAAAATAACAGAAGAAGAAATAGAAGCGGAGTGAGAAACAAGGTTCGGTCATGCAAGGAGGAGGTAGTGGTGGTGGTGGAGGTGGTGATGGTGAGGGTTTCGGGTGATGTTGTGTTGTGTTGTGTTGTGTTGTGTTGTGTTGTAGATCTGCACGCCCGCCCGCCTGTTCTTGGTTTATGTATGAGAAAAGGAAGCGCAGTATGTACAGTATTGAGTGAACTTTGTTTGTGGGTGGGTGATGGGAGTGCGATCCAAGACCGAGAGAGGTATGCCAGGTAGTAATGATGATACTAGGTAATACTGCATGGATACCTACCGCCCGACGGTTTCTCTACGATTATATATATGTACTACTAGGTACTGTGTGTTGTGCGGTCACAGTACTCACCTACCTACCTACTCTACTCTACTCTCCTCTACTGGCTGGTATCATTCTCCTGGCTCAGGGACCAAAAAAAATCCAAGGTGGGGTCGATTTTCTTCGGGAGGTCGACAAGCGCGCGCGGCTTCCCATTGTCCCTCCTCCTCTCCCGCCTCCACCACCACAACCACCAGTCACCGCCCAGTCCACTCCGACGTCAGGGCGCAGGAAGGAGGGTCGAGCCCGCTTCCGTCATTGTATATATTAATCATCACATACTGAGTACCTAATCCCTACCCACCACATGAAATTTCCGTGACGTTTTCACCACCGTGGTTCCCAACACAGATCTGCCTAGATACCTGCCTGATATATTGCATTGGTCAAATAGAGAGAGAGAGAGAGAGAGAGAGAGAGAGAAAATTGCCGCAGACATCAAACTTGAATTATAGCAGATGGACGTCATGACTCGGCGTGCCGGGAGTGACGATGGCTACATATACAGCGAGGCCGTCGCACAGATGTCCCTGCGGATCAGCTCCTGACAGGTCTGCATCTTCGCAAACAGCGTCGGGTCCCCGATGATCCTCGCCGCGTTCTTGACCTCGCGACACGTCTCGTCCAGACGGGTCATGACCCGGACGATCGTGCCCTCGAGCACATCCGTGAGGTCCGTGATGCGGCTGAAGGGCATCCCCCGCGCCCATTCATACACCACCTCGACCAACCCGAAGCGCGGCCGGCTGACAAAGTCGTTGGAGTCGTCCGCGGCCAGGATGACCTGGTGGAGGGTCTGGAACTGATTGACGCGTTCGGAGATGGTGACGAGGGTGGCGATGCCGCGTTCGAGGGCTGGCGTGAGGTTGGGAGTCGAGTCGGTCTTCTCCTGGAAGACAAAGGCGGAGAGCAAGGCGACGATCTCTTCGGGTTCGTAGGCGGAGAGGACGTTTTCGAGGACGAGTTCGGTGAGGATGAGTTCGTCGGCGGAGTGGATCTCGCAGGCGACTTTGCCTTTGAGTTCGACGCGGCTGTTGGCGTCGATGAAGCCGAGATCGCGGAGCACGGAGATGCGCTGCTGGTAGTCGGGAAGGAGTTGCAGGTTCTGGTCGGACATAAGTTGGCGGATGGATTCGATCCGGCCTTTGATGACTCCTTGGTCGTGTGCCATGGCGAAATGCTTGGGAAACTCCGGGCAATGGATGCATTCGCGCTCTTGTGCTTGTGTCGCGACCTCCGCCCGTTCATCGAGTAATGTACGGATCGTCATGTCCTTGAGATATTTGTAGTAATCGAGTTCATCCCAGCTAGGTGATGTCCAAGACGAACATGTTGCCAGGACTTCCTTCTTCAACAGTGCCATCGCCTCGGCGTCCTTCTGTTGGACCGCATTGACGTCCATTTGGAACGTAGTACCGGTCAAGGCTTCGATTACATCGACAGGCACCGTGATCGCTTTGAATTGAACGTCCTCCTCCTTCTGAGAGAACGGGGTGAAATGTTGGCGGAATCGCGGTAGGTAAGGTAGGAAATCCGCATTGGCTCTCTTCCGCTGTGCTCTGGAGAAAAGTTCCAGCACAGATACGGTAGGCGAATTACCCTTACTTGCACCTTCTCGCAGGAGAATGCCAGCAGTGCGGATGTTATTCCTGCCCCGGTACACGACTAAACGTTTCGGCTGCCACAGACGACGGCCGACCGGGGTGGCCAACATGCTGAGATGAAGATCGGAGGTGTATTGCTGGAAAGCACTCGCAGCTTTGTATGCAAGCTCGATATCCCTGTCGCAGATGTCGCACGGCTCCCGCACGACTTTGGCCAAATCAGCTTCGGACACTTTGATCTGGTTTTCGTGCTCAGGAAGTAAAGCTTGAGTGGCGTTCTCAGAAAACGATCGCTTGATCATCTCCTCGATCTTGAGCGCTTCGACTCGAAGGAGGTTGAGAATCATGTTGTAAGTGAGACGGAACTGGGATCGTAATTTGGTCGGATCACCGAGCATCATCTGTCGCAGACGGCCCGCTGATGGTGCTTCGTCGGAGCCAGGAGATACGATGATGACGGAACCAACAGAGTCCAAACCTCTTCTTCCTGCTCTTCCGGCCATCTGTGTGTATTCTCCAGGTAGCAGGTCGCGGAATGATTTGTTATCATACTTTCGGAAGCCCGAGAACACCACAGTCCTGGTCGGCAAGTTCAGACCCATGGCGAAGGTCTCTGTTGCGAAAAGAACTTTGACAAGAGTCTTGGCAAACAGGATCTCAACACACTCCTTGACGATAGGGAGTAAGCCACCGTGATGAACTGCAATACCTCGACTGAGGAGCTCTCGAATGCGTCGGATTTGCGGTAGCTGTCGATCATCCAGTTTGAGTCGCGCCAACGACTTCTCCAAGATCATGTGGATAGCGCTCTTCTCCGCCGCGGTACAGTAGTCCAGGTTCGATAGTGCATCCGCATTTTCCTCGCAGCGTTTCTTGGAAAAGACAAAGATACAGCAAGGGAGCAATTCTTCCTTGCGTAGATGCTGCACCAGATGCACCCAGATATTTCTATCTTGTGCCGCAGTCGTACGACCGCCTCCCCGACCAGTACGTGCGATGTTGCCTTGACCCCGACTGGATGGCTGACCACGGCCTCCTCGCTGTCCGGGTGCGCCACGTTGGTTTCCTCCACCGCGTTGTTGACCACCACGTTGGGGCGTTCCACGGCCCCCTCGGCCACCACGACCTGCGGCCGCGGCTGCTTCTTCCTTCTCCTTGGCCTTGGCCTCCGCCGCGATGATCTTGTCCCGTCCGCTCATGACATCATTTGCGTCTTTCCAGCCCTTCTCGATGAAATTCTTCTGGGCATCTACGATCTTGAACATCCTCTTGTCGGCCCACAGGTAATGCTCAAGAGGTACAGGTCGTTTCGGGGTTGAGATGACGTAGATATCCTTCTTTTTGGTACGGCCGACCCATGAAGCAAATTCATAGGTGTTCGGCACAGTAGCGGACAGGAGAATCAAAGTGACATGTTCAGGAAGCATGATGATGACCTCTTCCCATACAACACCTCGCTCCAGGTCATTCACATAATGAACTTCATCAAAGATGACGAATTCAACGTCACGGATGAGATCCGCACCTCGATAAAGCATACTTCGAAGAATCTCGGTAGTCATGATCAGACAGCTCGCCTCTGGCCGAATTTGCACATCACCGGTAAGAATCCCCACATCGTCAAACTCGTTCCGAAAATCGCGGAATTTCTGATTACTCAAAGCTTTGATGGGGGACGTGTAAATTGCCTTGGTCATGTGCTTCGCCGCCAGCGCGATGGCATACTCAGCCACGACCGTCTTTCCCGCAGAAGTATGCGCAGCAACGAAGACCGAGTCGCCACTTTCCAGGTGATATACGGCTTCCTTCTGGAACGTGTCTAGCTCGAAAGGCCAGGTCCGCGCCATTTCTGGCACAAGCTCATGGAAATTGGTAATGTCGCGGTTGACATCCACCATGTGCGCCCATTCTCGTCCACCATGCTTGTTCCTTGCAGTAGCTAGAGGGCCGTGAGCCGCCAGAGCAGGGAATTCGATCGGGAGTAGGGCGTCGACTTCTTCCTCCTCGCCATCAGAGTCTTCTTCATCCGCAGCGCGGCCACTGTCTTCGGGCAGCTGTACGCCTTCCACCTCGGGCTCCTCGGTTTCTTCTTCTAGGACAGCTTCCACTTCCTTGGCGGCTTCATCATCTTGTGTTGTAGACTTGATAGTGGCGACCAGCCCTCGATTGAACCCAGGCGGGACCTCCAGTAGACCACCCTCAGCAGTCGGATCAATGACCCGCGTAAGTCTATTCGATCTCTGCGCAGCTCCATTGCCACTGCGCTGGAGATACTCATCCTCCGCTGCGGCGGTAGCTTCAACAGCATCCAAGCCACCTGGAGCAAAAGGAAAGAACCCCGCCGCACCTCGGACAAAGTCTGCACGATTCGCGGGTTTACGCAACAACGAAGTCGAGTTCTTCGCAGTGGCACTATTCGCAGGGACAGTGACTTCCTTGTAGCCGGTCACACGACCATCGAGACCCTCGCGAGTGAATCGAATGATTGTCCTGGTCTGTGTCGGGCCGAGCGCGAAGAGTTCCGTGTGGTTCACGGGTGAATCCCAACGTTGCTGGAGACGGTCGAGCCATTCTGGCGTGAACGAGGTGGTGGGCGTCAAGAATTCCTCTTGTAGGGCGGCTTTGATCTCTTCGGGTGATTTTCGCACACGCTTTCGAGGCTTGACTTGGTCCAAGATGTCATCGATGTTGGCATCCTGCAGCTGTGAAGCTTTTAATTGCAGGTCCTGGAAGGCTTCTGCTAGAGTGTCTGTCATTGCGGATCAATTCGAGACAATTCGAGGCTTTGGAACACTCGACGAGATCGAATCAATGCATTCTATCATCAAGCCATGTGTTTGTATGTATCTTGGGTTTCAGACAATGTGGGATGCTTCATGAAATTCATCGAACATTACCTTCGTCATCATGACCTGCTGAGTCATGGCTTTGAAAGCTTAGGGTTTGGGTAAGTCCCCTCTTTATTTCCTGTTACGACTTCAACAAGATGGAGAAACAAATTGCAGCGAATATCAACATGAACGGCATGTGCAATCGGACATGTTGGATATGACCATAGAATATTGACGAATCAGGCAGTGAATCACTCAAGAAACGGCCACAGTCGCCTGTTTCTCCAAACCCACACAACACATCCGAGGGCAAAGCCGATGAAACCGACCACCAAGAGCGACCGTCCTCGGTGAAACCCGCCGTCAAACTTGACGGGCGGTGAATGGTATAATTTCTCTCCGTCATCAGCCATCGCCACGACTCTCAACAACTCTCCCCTGCAAACCTCGTCAGGAACCTCAATCCTCGTCTCAAAAGCCCCTTTCACCACAACATCCACCTCACAGAAACCTCCTGAGCCATCCTCACCACAAGCCCTCTCTAAGATCCAAGACCGCACATCAGTCGCTCCATTCCAACTGACATACACTCCTCCATTCCGAATTCTGATCGCAGGATCGCTCTTCGGCCTCCCTTGCCAACCCATGACCTTGATCGCACGATAAGACTTCACCCTCTCCCAAGAAAACAGCATGGAAGCCGCAAGGTGGGTTTCGCAGAGGACTGTGCCGTTTGGTAGGAATTCGGTGTAGGCGGTGGAGGAGCCCCAGCCGATGAAGACATGGCTTTCGTGTCCTTTCTTCTCTTCTTCGTCTTCGACGGGGAAGAAGGAAGGGAGGATTTGCACGGAGCCCTGCGAAGATGATAGGATGTTTGTAGGCGAGATGTAGGATTGTAGGGCTGTCGCGGTGCGATTCCGGATGTCGAGGTGTAGGAGGAGGCCCTGACTTTGCGGGGCGTCGATGTTGAGGGGACCGGCTTTGCCATTGTCGAAGAGGGTGATTAAGATTTCTCCAGGGCTTCGCTTTGGCGATGAGGATGAGGCTGGGTGCCATCGGGCGTCATGCTGCCATTTGAAGGATGTCGCTTTCCGATCGACGCTGAGATCGAGGAATTGGTTCTTTTTGCCCCCGAGGATCCACGAGACCTCGCCTGAAGGATCGATACATGTGATGGTGTGCGTATGGCGAGAGGAGATGAGGTAATTGCCCTCGTCGTACTTGTCGATGCTGTTGAGGTGGAAGTAATCGTAGGGGTGGTGCGAAGAGTAGCCCGCAAAAGGGCTGAAATAATAGGAGTCCTCAGGGAGGAAATGGTCCGAGGCGCGCCATTCGAATAACAGCGTACCCGTTGAGATGTCGATCTCCTGGAGTATGCTGTCCACGAACCAGTTTCGCTCGAGACCGAAAAGCCCATGTCTGGTATCCAACTCAGGTGCCTCGATGGTATGATAGACAGTGATCAACGCAGTACCCTCAGGTGTGATTTTGAATTCATGTAAATCGCCGTGGAGACCCTCTCCGACGGCATCGACGACATGAGAAATCTCATACGACGAGTCGAGCTAGATTCGCCGCGTTCAGCCATGTATGCGCAGATGCCCAGGCTAGGTTCATAATACCATATAAAATTTCCCTTTCCCCTGACTTCCCGCCTTCTTGCCCGCCCAAAATGTCAAATACTCCCCACCGCGATACTGCTGAACTTTAAAATTCGCTGCTGCGGCGAAAGCCTCTTCCGTGCTCTGCCAAACGAGTTGACCGCGGGAATCCAAAATCATGGGGCCGGGGCGGGAGACCGAGGGGCCGTTGGGGGTAAGCAGGATGACGCCGGTGTCGCATCGAGCGTCCCATCGGATGTGACTCGGTCGCGGGCCAATCACGGAGGAAGAGATGAAGTTTTGCTCGGGGTAGGCGCCGTATACTGCGATGAAGTAGAAGACAGTTTGCAGAGCGGGAAATAGAAGACCGATGAGCGGGAAGAGAAGCCAGATTGCGAGGGTCGAGATAGCGACTATGAGGGTTGCGGTAGAGAACGTTTTAAGCCAGGAGGCTGGCGATGAGGAACGGAGGCCGATCATGGGCGTCGCGGATGACGGTTATGAATGAGAGACAATGAGTGATCAGCATGGTATCAGTTCCAGCGGCGCCATAAGAACGGCAGCCTCATCGTTCGAAGTTAAGAAATCCCGAGGAAGTTACAGTCGGGAGGTCAGACCTAAAGATATCTGAAGCAGGTGCGGACAAGAGATTGTCGCTATGCAATTTGTGGAAGCTGTGACCGGTCGTATATCTGGAGCATGATCGCAACGAAGTATAAATGCAACAGATACAGATCAAGTCCACACTTGGAGTTCAATTGCCTTCGGCATCGTGCCTGGAACCTGCAATGAGCCTGCTTTTCGTGCCGAAATAGCTGAGTTGAGGCCATGTTCAGGTATCAGTGAAACCGGATAAGGCACTTCCGACAGCTGAATCAAAACAAGTTGATGACCTCCTCCCCTTCCAAAATAATGAAAGTGGACTAAGATCACATTAGACATCGTAGAGATCGAGTGTTAGGCAAGTCGTCGGAGTATCCCATTCGATTTGACCGACACCTGTATGATCCCTGGATGAAGACGTCTCATAGGGTGCGCTGCCGGGTGTTAGGATCGTTGGCGTCCCAAGGATCCATCATCTGGTGTCTAAACTCTGAAGTGGCGAATGTCTTGCCGTCCCCTTTTGAGGTGATACGACATAGACTAGCACAGCAAGCGGTTTGTCGGGCATCATTCTCGATCTCGAGAATGGATGGGAAAATAAAGATATCGGGGAAGGTGGAACTCTCAGACAAATCCAAGGGCCAAGAAGAAAAGCGTAACTCGACACACGAGTCCAAGTCCTGCAGTGTTCCTCAAGCCGCTGTTTATTTTCTTCAACGGGACGTCAGACGACGAAGAAGCCGGGCCGACAATACCAACCGTAGACGAAAGTGCACCATTTGTCGGCAACATGAGCTGTACCGTCGACGTCGTCGCTGCATTTTGAACAGTGAGGCCAGCACTGCCAAGGGAGTTAGTCTGCCCGTCGATTGTCGAAAGGTGAGCGCTTCCGACGACTACGTTTGAGCTTCCGACAGAGATGGCAACGCCAGAAATCGTAGCCTGGTCACCAGGCTTCAAGACTGTTGTTCCAGCGACGATGCCGGCGGTACCGGTGATAGTCAAGGTCAGCTTCGCGCCTCCGACCGTCGCCAATATCGTTCCTGGAGAGGCCAACCCGCTCCCGGGCACGGCTCCCGGTCGGTTGTTTTGGGGCACAGCAACAGGAGTAGAGTTGGATTGGCGCCAAGTAAAAGTCATTGGTGATTGCAGTTCCTCCCGACTAGTTGTTGATTTAACTTCGTATGACGGAGCCTCGTGAGGTGCGTATGTAAAAGGAATTGGGGACGTAGGATCTGTACGTATAATCGTAGGTTCAGCCTTGAACGGCTGAGCAGTCGTCCGCGGCGTCGAAGGTATGGTCTCAGGAACGCCAGTTGCTGCAGGACCCGTGCTCAGTCCAGGACCAGGTTCCGCGATCTGTGGAGGAAGAGTCGCGCTCGCTGCGACCGAGGTCTCTGTGAGCGCGATCGGCGGGTCGAACAGATAATAGACTTGCTGTGCCTTTTGTCCAAGATAACCTTGCACAAAGCCGCATGTTGACCATTCTGGTTGGAGCGAAAGGACCTTCGTAGGGTATCTGTAGAGGATCATCGACACGTTAGCTTCTGGTTGTTTCGAGCATCATGAGAAAGGAGATCTCGATCGTCGATGGACTTACGCAAGGATGGGTCGGTATTGGTCTGTGATAACGGGGCACAGAATGCTTGCCAGGGGCTCCCAGCCGAACTGGCATTTGGCCTGATTCAGGTAGACTGAAGCAGCGACGGGTTCGATGAGATCGGCGTAGTTGAATGATCTAGGCGTGGGCCCATATGGGCCACCCCCCGCCATGCTGCTGACTTCCTGCGACTGCAAGGGAAGAAAGAAATTAGACATCGGTGTTCCGACAGGCTGTCCGCAAGTGTCCATTGCCACAAGATTTTCAAACGATATGTACGCCGTGCCAGAAGTGAAGGTTGTCCCCAGTGCAGTGGCTACCACTGGAGCGGTACCTGTATGCTTCGACGTGATTGTTGTATAGTTGCCACAAAGCCTATCGCCTTGTACTTCAACCGGAAAGTATACGAGGCGGACCGGACCCGCGGTGAGACTGCAGGGATAGGTGCCGATTCGCGCTCCGCAGGCGGTCGAATATGTCGTCGTGGGCTCTGGGCATCCTGGCCGACTGTATTCATATCCTGTGTGTTGATCATAAGGAATGTTGGCGTTGGCCATTTCAGTGAAAGATGAGAACGAAGACCATAATGAAGTGCAATCGGAGGAGCCGATACGGCACGTTGGGCTCGGTAGAGTGTTGACGAGCTGGTCTGTGATCGAGACTGCATACGATGTCGTCAACTGTGTGCCGGTGCTCGTCACCGTGGAAAAAGACCCGTTGAGGCGGGGATACCCATCGCACAGAGTGTATGTCGGGGTGAGTGTCTGCGTCACAACGTGAGTTGATATATAGGTTTTGGTAGAGAAGAGTTCGGTGTATGTCCCAGCGCCACCGGCGTCGCTCCAGGATATGAACTCGCTGTTACACGACACGGCAGAAGCCCAATTTGGGTCGTGAGAAGATATCGCGGTACTGTAAGTACGTTGGGGTCCGGTCGTCATGATTGCCGGTGACTTGCGAGTCGGAGTCGCATGTGTGCGATTTGGTCGATTCCACGTAGGTTTCACGTTCTGAGACGAAGTAAGTTGATGCTCCTGAGTTGCAATGAATGTCTTCCGGCCCGAACTCGTGGTTGCATGAATCGCCGGTAGAAGCAACAGCGACGCTGCTACAGTCATTATTGATCGCATCATCGTGACTCTGGTTGCTCAACAAAGCGAGACGTTGAGATGCCAATGGCGAATGCCGAACGAAGTTGACAATCAATCTCAACAGCACATTTTACACGAAACAAAAGCCTTGTCCAAGCCGCTGTCATCCGCGCGGACTAGAGTCAAGTCTCTGCGTTGTCTCCAAAAACACGAGGAGCTCGTGTGTCGATTCGAAGAAAAGTCCCCACGAAGCGGAGAGTTGGTTCCGTGAGGGTGAGACGGATGTTCATATTCACGACAATTAAGCTTGAGCGACTAGTGCATGTCTCGCTTGTCCTTCGAAACGTCCGGGATTCCAAGGATGAAGCTCACTCAATGGACGAATTCCTTCGAATCCTTCGACTACTACATATCAGGAAGTGATCAGCGCCATCGCGAAGTTTATCAACCAGCCTAGATACGGTTTGGAGCTAAAATGCGAGCAGTGCATGTCGGGTGGGAATTTCCTGTCCTTGAAGTATAGTGTGCATAGCACAACCTGCTCGACGAACAATCAACCATTAGAAGAGATTGCTCTTGAGCATGATGGGAAGGGTCTTGATTTCGACATAGGTTGTCAGGTATATTGTCGCAGTCGGGGTCCAATGCTCCGACGGAGGAGATGATGACTCATCAGAAGGGGTCGACCCGTGGATTAGTCACGCGGATCCCGCAGTGAGCAAGATCGTCGTTCTTGAATCTAACATGAACCCCACAAAGGCAAAGTCAAGACAGATCACGCACTCTTGGATCCTACCGCTTTCGGTGATGATAGTGAGCACTCGGCGCAGCGAATCGAGGTGTTCCATATGTCGCCGATGGATTTGTTCGGAGGCTTCATAGATCCAATTCCCGATCGCCGCCGCAGTCGACGGAGAGGCGAGATGAGCAGATGGGTCGCGTGCAAAACTTCTCGTCGTGACGCACTGCATCCATCAGAATATTCACATTCTGGCAAAGCGAGCCGTAGAAGGGGAAATCTAGAGCACGAAGCCCTTCAAACAATCGATGTTGGCTCGCGGAATAGTTGGCGGCCGACGGCGAGATTTGTTAATGGAGCCCGGATCTTCCCTGTCTCTTGTTCCTTGCCCAGAGAATTCAGGAAGACGGTGCATTGAGTAGTGCGCTGTACCGAACGTGCACTAGGCACGTGAGGACAGCGTGTCGGTGCCAGCCAGCACATTGCTCCGGCGATACTTGCCATGGGCGGCGACGTCACGTCATTGCCTGTCGACAGCCTCTGCTGAGGCCAACAAGGCAAGACCTGCGACATCCAGAGACTTGCTCGAGTAGATGTCCGAAGATGCGTAACTACCTAGCAGTCACCATCTCATTGTCAGCGCGAGGGTGACATCGGCATGAACAAAGTCTCCAGCGCATCAGTCCAATCCGGCCTTCCATCCTCGACAGGATCGATCGCAAAGACGAGCTCGTGCCTCGCAAAACCGGTCTCCAACCAAACATGCTCCAAGATGTGGATGACCGGCTTATGCAGGAGTTTGCCATACATGTCCCGAACGATCGGTGATCGGAAAATTTCCCTCAGCAGCCTGTACTCGACCAGCTGCCAGGCGAGGCCCTCATGGAAGAAAGACAGCGATCCGACCCAGAGGCGCTTCTGCACACCCAGGCCGCCGAGCCATTTCACCATCGGCTCCAAACCCCAGTCTAGGACGAGTTCGGCGGAGAAGCGGTTGCGTGAGTAGAAGATTGGATTGGTCAGATCGCGGACGAAGGTGCAGACTTGGGTCAGGGCGTAGTGCTGAGGGATCAATTCGGTGGTGTCGTGGATGTCGCGGAGGATGTTGCCTGAGAGGTGGTTGATGGAGAGGGTTTGGGGGTAAATCAAGACCATCTCGTAGATTGCGAGCTGCAGTTCAGTCGGGAGAGCGAGGAGCGGCGACGACCCGGGAGGTCTCCATGCAGGTGGTGAAGGACGAGAGACGGGAGGATGATGGTCCGGGACTGGAGAACAGCCTTCGTTGGAATCGGCAAGCATGGCGTATACTAGGCAGGTCCACTACGTGATGAGGTAGGATAATAGGAATACGAGGCCGATGATGAATTAAAATGTACTGTAGTGTACGTCGCCGCGATTATTACAGCGTCGATATACATTCATGTAGGCATATACATATATCGCTGTACATGTGTCGAAATGAGTAGGTGGTGTGTGCTTTGACTTTGGGAAGAATGAATCAAACATTTCCCATAGCAGAGAAGGTATCTCTGATAAGAGAAAAAGGTTTTGTTCGAAAGGATCTCTCCATGGCTGTGAGTTGGGAATTCGATCCATGGGACGAGGTCGATGAGTCAGTCAGGTGTACACGCACATCAACGCTCCAGCAGGGGCAGCCGGGTTTCACGCCGCAATGGTGCATGGCAGTGTGACTGTGTATACCTAGGTGGGTAGGAATGGGTATTCCTGGTCACAGACACGATCGCAATCCCGCATGAAACAGGGACGGAATCAAGAAATGGAGTAGTCGATGTCGTTAGCTGATGACCATGATCGTGCGTGAGAGTTCGTCATTACAGTAGATGAACGAGTCCCGAGTCCCGGTACGCATCCTCGCGATGGACGAGATGCGACTTTACGGCTTAGGACAGGCATATAACAATAGTATATCATCAAGTTGTGAACTCGACGTTCTGTGTAATGATATAGACGAGGAAATTGTTTTGCAGAAAATGGTAAAAAGGAGAGGGAAACGAGTCCAAAATATTTCCTTCGTTGATCTCATTAGAACATAGGAAGATGAGGGGGAAAAGGATCGGGTCGACAGATGTCCCGGAAAAAAACATCCCTTCACGAACGAGACATAAACCAGCTATGCTCTCTCATCTTCCTCTTGTTTTTGTTTGTCGTAGCATAAATCCCGATTCTCCTGCAATCGCCTCGCCTCATCTCGTCTCGTTTCGTCGACGAGTCCAGATCGGCGCAAAGTTCCAATCCCGGGATACATCTGGACGGTTTCCCGTGTCACAGACTTGATCGTTCCGTCATCATCTTACTGGTGTTGACGAGACACTCCTCATCATCACAATCTCAGCGCGCTTCCGCATAACTCTTTCCTTGGTCAGAACATACGTTAAAAAATCCCCCACCTCGTCTCTACGCCGCAGCGACCGGCACGCGGAACGAGTTATCGTAGGCGTGCTCGACCTCGTCGCCCTTGCGCTCCTCGTCGGCCCAGAAGCAGAAGGCGCGGAATTCGCAGCTCTGGCGCGGCGGGCCGTTGTCCTCCGGGTGGACGAAGGCCGAGTGGAGGGCCCGACGGCAGGTCGCGTCCTCGCCGGTCTCCATGCGAGTGTCGAAGCACTTGATCAGGAGGCCCTCCTCGTTGGTCATGTTGCTCGCGTACCACCATTTGTGTCCGGGCTTGTGGCGGGCTTGCCAGAGCTCCGAGTGCGGGGCGCCGGGCCCGACGAGGGCGGCCGGGTCGACCTCCATGGTCGTGAGGTCGGCGTCGGAGACGGTGTTGCCGTCCGCGATGGCGAGGGGCTCGCGGGTGACGTTGGCGATGGGCCGCCAGGTGTTGATGATGGCCCAGCGGTGGGTCTTTTCGAGACGGCGGAGGGTCTCGGCGCGGTCCTCGGGGATGCGGCCGAAGGTGTTTTGGAGGGTGGTGCCGGCGCCGTAGTAGGATTGATCTGGTAGATTGGTTAGTATTGGTGAGGGTGGGATCGATCATCAGAGGATGATGGGATGCGAAGAGAGGAATCGCATACCGACGTGACCGAATTGGGCAGTGGTCTTGTGAGGCCACTTGGTGTTTGGATCGGCGTCCGCGGGGACATCGAGGATCCTCTGGAATGGGTCATCGCGGACAATGTGGGAGAAAATGTAGACATCGGAGCAGCCCGTCCTGAAGGTCAAGTCAGCGAATGAATCGAGCATGTCACCCCGGACGCGACCTGACGAGATGGAAAGACGTACTCGCGCTTCAAAGTCTCTGTGATCTCGGCGTAAACCTCCTCGACCACTTTCGGGTCGCCGCCTTTGAGCTCCTTGTGAAGTGGCTTTTGACCGGAGATCATGGAGAAACCGTTCTTGTCCAGGGTGGGCTTGTATTCGGGAGTGGTGCGAAGGTCGTTGATGGTGACGTCGACCTTGTTGAGGGTGGTCGGGTAGCGGGCTCCACCGATGGTTCCGACCATGATGCAGACCTCTTTCACGTCGTCATGTTGATAGGCGATTTTGGCGGTGGTCGGGCCTGGAGTGAGAGGCTTGGCTGTCTCGGTCGCCATGTTTGCAGTGACGCCGGTGTGATGGGTCGTGTATGTCTAGGTGATTGGAGACCGAGGAGAAGACGTTGAGCGTGAGTGTGAAGGTGGATGAGAAAGAGAGGAAGCTCGGCGAGATTGCCGGCTCCTCGAGCATGCGGCCAATGGTGTTTATATGCATCGTCGGTCGGGTCGCGCCTATGTGCCTGCTAGTGAGAAAGGATGATGATCGTCTAGCGAGATGTATGTACATGTGACGCAGTGGGAGCGATGATCGACGACGCTTGAAATTGGCTGGTCGGGCGTGCTGGTTAACCTTTTCTGTTTAGTGGAGGAACGTGTGACGCCGCGGTTCTCGCTGCTGAGCGAGATACGAGAGACGTGAATTTGTTCTTTGAAATGTACTTTGAATGTATATCCCATACCTTCGATACATATCGTACCCTTTTCAGTCATGCATGAACGGCCTGGAGGTTTGCCGACATATCCGTGACAGAAACATCCACCTTCATTTCTCCACCACCGGGGCATCGTCAAACCCCGCGTCGGCCGACGTCACCCATTCTCATTATTTTGATTATTATTATCGAAGGGCAGACGGAAAAGCTTCCAGACACACACCGCAACAGCTGCAGGTAGAGGAGGAATTGATTCCCAGCACGAGCACATTTCCCCCCACAACACCCAGTCAAATAGCCAAATTTACCGCCAGGGCCTGAGGCAGATGAGCAGCGGAATGGAGGACATCCGTGGGCGGCGATTGAAGCAGCCGAGCGAGACGATGCCGATGATTGAGAAGAAATCTACTGAAACTTCCTCAGACGGGCGATAGTGTAGACAAACCATGCATGTACACCTGGGCAATCCCTCGATGGAAAGTTATGAACGTGCACGAGTCTTTCTTGCGAATTTATCCTTGAACGTGAGTTGTGCCAGTACCCATACGGTACTGTCCACACCTGGTCAACGCCACGAACATAACGCCGCCGATGGATGTACTGTAGATCCTCCTCCTCCTCCTGCTTCTCTCCTCCGCCGCCACCTGTTCGTCGTTCCCCGCAATTCGTACCTGCAGTGACAAGTATACGCTGATGGTGTGTGATAGGATAGAGAGTACACAGTGACCATGTACGTGCTACTGTAGCTATTTCATGCCGCGATGGTTGAGGTCTCCGGTATGCGCATAAAACCACGGGACAACGAAGACACGATGGACGATCGGTTGGGTGGTTCGGCTGACAGTTCGTCGCTCGGTGGTCGACCACGATCCTCCGTTTGCTTGCTTTCCAAGGTTGCTTTGCTTTACCGAATCCGAAACTCTCCAGGGCTGGTGTGAATTACATGCACCATGCCTATTTTGGCATTTTCACTCCCGGCTGCTGACTGTGCCGTGCTATCACGTGATTCATCTATTCCCATCGCCGGCATCTCTTCGCTTCAATCATCATGTCTCCCTTCACCATGGGTTATACGATCCTTTTCGTGACGTTCTTGTTGACGGTCTGAGACTCATCCATCGATCCGCGATATGCCCGGCCTCCTTCATGCGCGCAGGAGCCTCTGGCCGCGCGAAAAGTCGCCGAGGACAGAGCTCGAGCCCGACTCAACATTACGGACCAGGTGAAGTTCGGGACTTACGGATGGTCTCGACTATTGCTTGCGTTGTCGCATTTTCTCGTGATTATGTTTTCGCCTATCTGATGCGAAAACTCCGATACCGATTGACAGGACTCGCCAGTATCATGTGGCTACGGCACAGCTCCATTCCATGTTGAGTCATTCTCAGCCGCAAAGATGACTCGAGGACGTAAAAACACGACACAACCGGGAATATATTACACTTTCTATAAAACCTTCCAAACGCGGTCAGGAACATCATGGCCCTAGAAAGATCACATCCCTCTGGGTCACCAGACCCTAAGACCGGACCAGCGATCAGCGTCGAAATGCCTCAGCCGTCGCGCCTCTTGACGCTCCCCACGGAGTTGCAAACAACTATCTACGAAATGGCCCTCGTAGCGCCATATGCTTTCGCAGTGAACCGCATCAGCTGCGATGACTTACCAGGAAAACATGCCAAGTGGAAACGTCTCGTATCAAGTGATTTCTCTTTGACACAGGTTTGCACCTCTCTCCGCCGAATCACGTCCCGAATCTTCTACTCCCAAAACACTTTCCAGGCATACTATGGCAGCAGTTCACCTTTTCAGCCGGATCTAGATCAACGGCTTGTTGGACTGGGCTACGAGAGGCGATTCTGGATGCGCTCGCTACACCTATTCAAAGGTCTTGAGCAAGACTATTATGACTGCTATTCTATCGATGCCTTGTGCCTGCGGCGCGTCTTCCGATCGGCACTAGTTCGCGATTGCAACGCACGAGTATTTGCGCCAGGTTATTTTGCTCAAGCTTATGCGAAACGGGAGGGTCGAAAATATATTCAGGGTGAGCTGGTCTTTTATCCGGAGATCGACGAGGGCGGTTGGGATTTGACGGCCTCTTTCGAGAGGATCTATTCCACCAAAATCGATTCCTGCAAGGAGGAAAAGACCGGGGGCGAATCATCTCGCGGTGACACAGTCTCTGCTCTCGACGCATCTATCTCCGCGCGACAAGTAGATGAAAGGACTTCGACCTCCACGTCGTCTCCAAATACACATCCAGCATCGTTCTGGATCCCACAAGGTTCGATGTACTTTCGCTTAAGCCCACTCTATCTTCCCGTCAAATCCCAGGAAACTCCACTATCAGAAACTTCATCAAGCCCACCCCCTCCCTCCCGAACCACGACCACAGCGATTCTCAACAGCCAAACACCCCAATCATCCTCATCATCGCCACCACCTCCACCACCTCCACCACGCCTCTTCACCCTCCCTGTCGAACTCCAGCTCATTATTTACGAGTACGTCCTGCTCGCGCCTCACGCCTGGGCGATCAACTACATCGACTGCTACCCGCTCCTCGCAGAAGACGCGTGGCAGCGCCTGAAACCTCACCACGTGGCCCTCACCCAAGTCTGCCGCGACCTCCGACCTCTGACATCCTGGCTGTTCTACTCGAAGAATCGATTCCAGATGTCGTACGGATATCGCTCACCCTTCAACCCCCGCGCGAAGAAATGGCTCGCGGGGCTGGGTTTTGCCCAGCGGTTCTGGATGCGGGAGGTCCGGCTATTCGATGACACGGGTTATCCGAGGGATCGGCATCATCGCGTCCTCGAGCGGTTTCCCTCGTTCCAGGAGTTTGGCTGGAGGGTGGAGACGAGACTGGTGTCACGGGTGGGCGTCGACCGGCGTGGGAGGCCTCAAAGCTCGACGTACAGGGTTGGGGGGTTGACCTTTTATCCTCCGCGAGTTGGAGCAGGAGGAGGAGGTGGTGAGGAAGGGATGGAGGAGGAGATGGATTGGACGGATGCGTTGAAGACGGTGTTTTGGGAAGATCAAGGCGACCGTGATGTGGTGCCCTGAAGTTTACTTATTATTCGGGAATACATGTAATGATTTGGGGCATTTGTGTTGTACCTGCTCAGGGAGATAGGAACAGGTATGGCTTCCGTTGTATTCGAGTCTGTGTCCGAACGCTGCCGCAGCATATCCGCAGTTCACCATCTGCATTCAATCATTCCTTCCTTCCTCTACACTGCCGTCTCATCGCCGGATGATATGTATCCCTCCTGCCCCGAACTTATAAATCCCCTGTTGTACGGACGAAGATCTCGCCCGGAGCGATAGCTGCGAACACTGCGATCTTCAGAAGTGGAAGACCAGGGACCACCGGCGCTCGCGTGTCAGCATACACACACAGGACCGTGAGGACCCAGAGGCCGGAGAAATCCCAGGCCAGGGCTGAAATCAGGGCGCAGGTTTTAAACTTTCCGCGTTCCGCCCGCTGATTCGCTCGGGGCCGCCCGAGGCTGAAAGTCAACGACGCACTCTGGCCCGCTTTGCCTTGCTGTCGGTCTCGCATTGCAAACATCGTTTCGAGACAGAAGCACACAGAACGGCTCGATCGTACCTAGAATGGCAGCGCGTCGTTTCCACGATCTGCAGGAATCTAGGAAATGCGATTCAGGAAGAAGAGAATAAGGACCATTCCCGGGAGCCCGGATTGGCCGTCGTCGCCCGAGGAGGCGGTACACGTTTTCCCGCGTCTTGTTATTATAAACCGGCGACGGAAAGGCCATACGTACTAACGGCGTGTGGCTAGTGGACATTCCCTGATCCTTTCGCCGGCGTGCTGGCTTGCTTGTTAGTCCGAGCGTGGGATCTTCAGGCGTGCCATCGCCTTGGATGCTCGTGCACGCAAGCATGGCTATATCGCTGACCTGCATATATCCTCGGACGGGGCGCCGTGCATGAGGGCGCGATGTCGCGTTTCGCATTTCCTCGTCTTCCAAGCTGTGTTCTTCTCCTCCCGGTTTTGTATTCTGAGTGACGATTAAGGGTTTTTTTCCCTTCATTTGCAACTATGCGGTACACTTCGCTGGCGACGGTATGCTGTCTGATCACGGCTGGAAGCGCTTCCAATGTGACGACGACAACGAAACAAAAGACGACGTCGATCGCTATCGCAGACCATATCAATCATGGACTCGGCATCACAGAGACGGCTCGGGATCCCACGACCACAACATCACACCTCGCTAGCTCAGAGAAATCATCCAACGCAACCAGCAGTGTGGTAGTTCCAACAAAGACCTCTTCGCAAAATTCGCGCTCTTCTCGGGTCACAACCAAGAAGACGTCGCACACCACAGACCGTCCTCTGTCAATCAAGAGCTCGTCAACTTCTGAGGACCGTTATGCATTCACCCTCGATACGTCCGATTATGGACCCAGACCGACCTTCGAGCCTTGGACGGTGCCAGCCAGCGGTAGCGGTAAGAACGGTTCGTACGAGATACTCCCCATAAATTGTCGCTGACCATTTGTCATACAGGCCACAAATACGCGAGTAGATGCAATATGGAGTCGCTGAGTTACAGCGCCATAATCGGTCAAACGTACGGCACGGCCTTCGCGAATACGACCTATCAGCCGTGGACCAGCTACACGGCGTCTATTACGACCCTTTGTGACGGACACAAGCGCGTGGTTGGCCGTCCCACAGCCGTCACCAGCAGTCGGTCTACCCGCGTCTCCAACGCCTACACTGTTTACACGACGCAACCTCCGAGCTGCACGATACCCGTGACCGACTGCTCGCGGCTCATCACGGAATATCAATCGAGCCGCAGCGCTTGGGATGGACAGAACGACTATCCCCTGTCGCCCGCCTGTTCCGTCACTGACATGAATGCCGATGTCTGCGGAGCATGCCAAGTCGTCGGCGGGTCCGTTGAGATGCTCTACTTCCCAGTTCCGGCGAGCGCTGCCTCGCGGGATATGTGTGCCACAACTCCTGGTGGGAGGACAGTTTGCCCATTTGGAGCAACCGTCACTCCCACCGCCAAGATCACCACGAGCAATCCGCTCGTGAGGCCGACGTGCACCTATATCCCACAGAACTTGACCAAGACTACTGACTCTGGTAAGGCTCTGTCTCTCACAGTTCGATTTGCACACATCAGATTGACGAAAACATATTTCTAGGACCTTTCGTGGTGTCCGACGGTCACACCTTCTATGAAAATCGCGTCTATCTGAAATATGAGACTGCATATGCCTCCAACGAATGTGGGCGTGTCGGTTCCAATTATGCCGGAGGATACATCACCCTCGCATCCAGCGATGTCTATTCCATGAGCGGGTATCACTACTTCCTCTCAATGGATGCGTACAAATTCAATTTCGCGGATTTGAACTCCATGGTCCCGGCCAGCGCTTTCACCGCCATGTTTGACTGTCAACGTGGCGGCGCAAGCTACCAACTAGGCAACGGCGTCACCATGACCGGCTTCGACAAACTCAACGGGGATCCCGTCCAGGGTTTCTGCTCAATCTACATCGACAGTGATTATCGGCCGGTTCTGCCTGTCCCTCCTGCCATGCGCGCCCTGGATCCTAAATGGGCCTCCTGCAATCTTGGCCTCGGCGGTCTGTTCGACCCTCCGATTGCGCTCCAGCCTGCCTCAGCCGCCGCATCCGCGACCCTGCCTGCGGGCCTCGCCGGTCAGCCTACTGCCGCGCCCGCTTCGATCCCAACTTCTGTGCGCCCAGCCACAACCGTACACTGGGTCAATCCAGTCAATCCGTTAACACCTGAAACAAAGACTGCTATATCGCCCTTCCAGTTCACTGGACTGTTGCCGACACTCATCCAGTCCACCGCGGCTGCTGCAGTAGCGACAGATGCACCTCCCAAGGATTCTGCACCGGCCGCGGATAACTTGCAGAGACCTACTCAGGACGTTCCGCAAGATGGGGCAGGCGATACCGCGAGTCCGACTTTCAGATTTGATCCGATCGTGACGACTGCTGCAGCCCAGATCGATTCCGATCCGAGCGTAACCACCGCGACGACAACACTATCCCAAGTCGTTTTCACCGTGACCAAGGGCGCTCAGCAGCAGACCATCACTGCCATCGCCGGCGCCGCGGGTGGAGGCAATAGCCCCGTCATCATCATCGGAAGCAAGACTCTGTCCGCCGGTGGATCCGCGGCCACCATCGCTGGAAACACCTTTACCGCTGCAGCAAACGGCATCGTGGTGAACAGCCAGAGCACCCTCCAACTCACCCAAGCCACCAACCTGATCATCGACTCGATCGTCTCCACCGCGACCCTCACACAAGCCATCCTCACCCTCCCCACACCAAACAACCAAGCCGGCAACAACAACAAACCTCCCATCACCGCCCTCGCCACGACCAACGCATCAGGCTCCCCCATCATCGTCATCAACAAGAAGACGACCCTGACGCCCAACGGCCCTCCCATCACCCTCGCCGATGGCTCCGTCCTCCAAGCCAGCACCACCATCACCGGCACAGATCCCACCGCCAAACAAAGCCCAGTCCTCATCATCAACGGCACGCGGACGATCACCTTGTCCGCGACAACAAGCCTCGTCCACAAAACTTCCGTCAAAGCCATACCCACGACCTCGCCGACGAAGACCAAGGCGAGCACCTCTTCCGCAAAGACGACGACATCTCCCAGCTCGGTCGCCGCAACGACAGCTCCAACCACCGTCGTCCCCGCGAGTATCCTCCCGACGACGACGACGACCGCAACGACCGGAGGCGCGCCCCGCCTCAGTCCACCTTTCGCATGGCGATGGTGAACGGAATGTTTTTTCCCGCCATTCCTCCCCTACGTTTATTCGTCCCGAGGCGCTTCGGCCCACTCGGTGGAAAAAAGCATCCGTCGAAAGGATCCCTCCATTCCTCTGCGTCGTCATCGTCCTTTCGCCACGAGCGATTTTTTTTTCTCCTTCTTTATCCCCCCCTTCTGCTGGCCTTCACGGGACAAGCGGGGCCGGAGAATGATAATTCTATACAGGAGTCTTTCGGCTCGGGGAAGGGATTTCGATTTGAATATTTGTATTATGAAGAAAGGGCAGTAGACGACGGGATTTTTTCTCCCGTTGGGGGGTGGGCTGAGGAGGAGGATACAGGGGGCGTCGATCACAATGATGATGATGATGATGATGGCGTTGACTGGATCGCCTGGATATTCCTCTGGGAGGAAGGGGACATGTAATAGATGGTTTAGAATTCGATTTAGAGATTCGGGAAAGGAGGAGGGAATCTTTTTTCTGTTTTTTGTTATTTTACTATCTATTTGAGGTGATTCAGGATTGGCCCGAGGGGAGGCGGTCCGCACGCGAGCTATCCATCCCCCTCTCTCCTTCTCTATCCGAATGTTCCATACGCAGGGGTGGGGATACAAAGGACGGTGGTGGGAATTTGCTCCTCTCGGGATCGGAGAGGTTTTCTTAGGGGATTGTGTTCTCATTCCATGATGATGTTTCTAGACATGACATTCGAGGTCGCGGATCAAACATGGCACGGACGCCATCCGTCCATGGTCCTCCTCGTTTCCTTCCGCCACCATCTCCTCCTCGAAATATACCCCGCTCCCGGGCGGAAAATGCCCTCCCCCTATTCATCGATCGATCCCCTCCCCGATATCTAGTAATGCCCCGCGCCGCCACCGCCGAAGATCTTGCCCACGCTGAGGACAAAGTCCTTCAGTTTCATGAAATCCACCGTGCCCAGGCCGGTGGCCGGGTCCCAGCCGACGGTGGCGTTCCAGGTGGCGTAGGGGATGATGCCGGCGCCCGGCACCGGCCGGCCCGTCTGCAGGTTCACGCCCTGGCAGCCGAGGGCGGCGCCGCGGGTGACGTCGACGATGCCCGGGGAGCGCAGGGCCGCGGCGGCGTACAGCAGCGGGTTGATGAAGCCCACGCTGGGCTGGCCGGCGCGGAAGCGGGCGTCGTTGAGCAGGGCGACCAGGGCGGCGACGACGGGCGAGGCGGCGGAGGTGCCGCCGTTGGCCTGGATGGTGCCGTTGATGGCGGTGGCGTAGTAGGGGTAGAGGGAGTGGGCGGAGATGTCCGGGAAGCCGCGGCCCGCGAAGTCGGTGTAGTTGTTGGACGAGTAGTACTGCTTGGTCTCCGGGCTGATGTATCGGCTCAGGTAGGTCTGCACGGCGAGTTTCTGGTACAGCGGCTGCGGGAAGTAGTTGGAGAAACCGCCGCTGCTGGCGTTCCAGGCCTCGACCGGGTCGAGGAACTGCGTGCCGCCGACGGCGGTGATGTACGGGCATGTGCCGGGGAACTGGGGCGTGAATTGCGGTTGGAAGGGCGCGGCGTTGTTGCGGCAGACGGCGCCGACGCCCTCGTCGCCGGAGCTCTCGAGGACAGTGCGGCCGCGGAGGCCCATGAGGCCGATTTGGTTGCAGACGCGGCGGGCGTAGCGCTCGGGCACGGTGTTTTCGTGGTCGCCGTAGCTGTTGGTGATGACGTAGGGCAGTTTGGAGTTGGGTTGCGAGAGGAGGTATTGGTAGAATTCGAGGTAGGGTTCGTTGGTGTTCTGGGCCTGCGTCGGGGAGAGGAGGTCGGGTTGGAAGGGAGGCGAGCCGCCGGTGATGTAGGAGTAGACGGGGAGGCCGGCGACGAGACCGATGATGTTTTGGACATCGAGGTTGGCTTCGCCGTCGGCTTCGGTCAGAGGGTCCTGGTTGTCGACGCCTCCGTTGATCAGGGCGAGGTTGGTGAAGTTCTGAGAGGGGAGGCCGAAAGTCTTCTCGAAGAGCGCCAGGTCGGAGTATGAAGCACTCTGGTTCAGGAAGTTGCTGAAAGCGACGGTGCTGCCCGCCTTGGGGTCTGGCTTGTAGCCGACCGTGTTGTACAACTGCTGGAAGCATTTCGGGCCCAGCAGAGTGTACTGCCGACCGCTCCGCGAGACGTATGTGTATGTGCAGGAAGGATCGATGGGAGAAGCACGCTTGGAGAGCTCGTCCTCGGTGTCCGGGTTCTGCAGGCGGAAGGCATCGAGGGCCTCCATCGGGATGCCGATGTGGTTGCGTTGCGGCTTGATGTTGCCGAAGTAGACCGTCGGTGTGATGACGTCGATGTAGTCGGCGAGGTTGTCGGGGACGGAGTAGGACTGCGTGCGGAGACGGAGATCGTCATCTTTGGCGAAGACGGCGAATCTGGTGTCCAGGAGAGCATTGGCCTTTCCGACGGTGCTGGTGAAGGAGATGACGCCGTCCGCGGCAGAGTTGATGGTGGCGCCGCCCTTCTCGAGCCATTGGCGGACGCTGTTCAACGCAGCGCTGGAAGGTGCAAAGACTTTGCTCACTCCATCAATATCGAGGTACTGCCCGTACTTCGGGCTCCCAGGGGTGGAGACGGAGGTGAGAAGAGTCTCAAGCTGGTCGATGTTCTGGTATGAACTGGAGGAAAGATCCCATGTCAGCAGGATTCGCTTTAGTGAATCTCCAAGGTCAGGATCTGCCTCTTGTCACTCACAGTGAAACCTGGAGGGTGATGGGAGCATCGTCCGAGACAGCAATGGAAGTTTCCTTCCAACCAAGCGGCAGTGAAGCCACAGACTCATGCACCGCCGCCAGGGCGTGCACAGCCAACGAGAGCAGAACCGCGTGCGACAACATAGTGTACCTCTTGAGCCGAACGTTTCCGCTTCGATCCAAGAAACAAGACTAGGATTTACAACAAAAAGGCGTGAAGGGGAAATCGAACAGATGCGGAACCGGGCTGCAATAAATAAGACATTGGGGCGTCGAGGAGGAAAAGCTTGGATCGACGAAACAAGCTCCACCATAGGGAAAGAGGAAGCTCGGCGAGCTGTCCTGATCGGTTCGGTCCATGCGTGGTGCCTGCATGATCCCCGAATGCTACCTGCATGCAGTTCCTGAGGGGGGATGTGTGTGTGTGTGTGCAGCAACAGAGTGAGGGAGATAGATGGGAAAGTGAACGTGATCATGTGGAGGAAGCGGAGCAGGCCTATTCCATCATTTCATCATCACAGACATTGCCTAGTAAATGGCGAACGAGGAGGAGGCATGACGAGCGGCGATTGGCGGGCATGAGGATTAGATACGGGTTGGTCCCGCGCCACATTTGCGATTAAGCTTCTTCTACGGGGGTGCCGAGAAAGTGCTTATCGTGTGGTGCAATCCATCCACGTCGAACATTCGGGCGCCCTGGGCCGATGAAGAAGTGGAGAGGTCCCCGTGGCGGCGAGGGTTTGGTTGGTGGCAAGGATCAGTTGCAGCGGCGGCGGCGCAGTATCTGATCACAGCTAGAGAGAGAGATACGTGCACATACGAACCAGCGACATGCCTACTGCAGGAAGAGCATGCAAGCGAAGAGCTGAGACGAGCAGCATGACACTGGGAACAGAGACACAGAGGGAGAGGGAGAGACATTCGGACATGGGGTGAAGTCACGGCGGCGATCATCTCGGGGCACCAACTCAAAACAGAAGGTGATGTTCTGAGAAGCTCTGCGGCAGATCGGAAATCCGGCATGGTGATTGGTCGGGCCCAAGGGAAGACTGTGGGGGAACCACAGATACGAGTCACGACGACGACGACGACAGGGACGAGAGAGAGATAACGCGATGATTGTCCACTTGCACTGCGGCGGCGGGCACGGTCACTTCCGCCTGAGCCAATCATCCATCCCTTCCCGAGACACTGACGGCCTTTCGTTCGTGTGTTCGTTCGGTCTCACTCAACCCAAGCACGCGATCACCAGGGCTATCGCTATCCCGGGTACAAAAACCGAATGCATCGATATGCCGGATATCCCAGTGCGATATGAGGTGGAGGAATAGAATGCTACCTCACATGTCCTCCCACCGATCCGTCTGCTACGCCAAGGTGACATCGCTTCTTCTACCTCTCCTTACGCCTCTTCTTCTACTTTTCCTTCTTTTCCTTCTTTTTCTTCTTTTTGTTCTTCTTCGCCTGCCGCCTGTCGTTATCCCCAGGTGCATATGTATACGAGACGCAAGGCGGTGGTGTCCAGCGGACATAACATGCCGCGCGATCACCTCGTTGCTACCTCTCCACTGTGCCATCTCGCGTGGCTTTCAGTAGCAGAACTTTGATCGTCCGTGACATATACGCGAAGAAGCGCAGACCCGCTCCACGATAGAGAGAACACCAACCCTCCGCTCATCCGGGCATGCAGGCAGACGGCATCTCCCGGCCCAGAGCGAGGAGGGATTTGTCCTGCCTCTACTCGCACCGCGAAAACAAGGGGAATTCCGGTCCGACGGTGAAATACTGCGGGATTCGGCGCGCGGGCGGGAAAGCATTCCGAATCGTCTGAACTGTACAGTGGACAGGATCAACAGACAGAGGAGCAATCGTCATGCCCGTTCGGTACGTGTCGTGTGCTACCTACCCATGTAGATAAAAAATGTCACGCCTTGAGGGCCGGTCCATCACGTGCGAACCCTAGGCTTGACGGAAATCCACCAGCGCATGGATCCGTTTCTGCAGGGTGCTCTCATGGACCATGGATCATGGGGAGAGCCAGCCCGGGGCCGTTTTCCTTACTCACAGGCCTGAGGATACCCGCATATGTGCACACATCTCGCACTTCCCTATCACCCAGCTCCAGGGAGGTGCTCAGGTATATTATGATGTGTGTATAATCCAAGGCGGAATAAATTCGGCTGCGAGGAGGAGCGCGGAACCGATTCGACGCAAGACATGATCAGAGAAAATAAAACACGTTCAGTCCTCGATGGATCCCGATGTGAATGAAATGTGAAATGTGGGGTGGATTCGTTTCTTTTCCAATTCGTGTCCATTACAAAGAGTAATAAGTGGTAAAAATGACAACAGCGACAACAACACAACGTCTGAGGACAGCGAGAGTGGTGGTGGCCTTCGTGGAAAGAAAAGGAGGCGCACACACACACATATACATCTCTCGCCATCTATCCCTTTTCGTTGAACTTTCCTTTCCTTTCCTTTTCTTTTTGTTTTCGTCGTAGCAATCTCGATCGACGCGATGCGATGCGATGGATCGCTTGAGAGGGACACGCGCGTGCGGGACACACATAGATTTCGTGAGGGGAAAGAAAAAAAAACATGTCGAGAGGCGCTTTCCCAGCTCTCTCTCTCTCTCTATTTCTCGCCTTCGGCGCCGAGGATGATGGAAACGCCACAGCAAAGCCGCTCAAACCGCTCGCGCAAATGATGACCCGGCCCCGGCCCCGGGGATAGGATGACGACAGCAACAGCAACAACAGCAGCAACGACAACAGCGACGGGCTCGCTTACTCGATTTCATTCCCGCTTCGCGCGGGGAAGCCGAGGTCCTTGACGCTGGCGGGCGACGTCGCCGAGCCCGGGCGCGCGTCGGACGTCACGGGGGACAGGGCGGCGGGCGAGAAGTCCCGCTGGTCGGTGTCGTTCTGGCGGGCGAAGCCCGTGGGCGCGGTGGAGATCTTGTTGCCGTCCTCGTTGGTGATGCCCGGCTGGGAGACGTGTGAGCCGTCGGCGGCGGCGGCGGCAGCGACGGCCGGGGGCGCGTTGGTGGGGATTTCGGGGACTGGGGGCGCGCTGAGCGAGGTCACGCTGGGGCCGCGACTGACTTGGCTGGCGAGTGCCGGGACGAGGTCCGGGGCGCGGTCCATGTCGACCCGCTCGACGGCGCCGGTGATGTTGCCCTTGGTGTCGCGGAGGACGAGGGCCTGTTCGGTCTCGTCGCCGTCCTGGCCTTCGTTGGCGGTCTCGTAGCGGCTGACCTTGAGCAGCCAGTAGATTCCTCCGGAGAGGCAGACGCCGACGAAGGGCGCGGTGTAGTAGATCCAGGTGGTGCCGTCGAAGGTGGCGGCGATAACATCGGGACCTGATTGATAGTCAGAATCCATGTCGAGCATAGGAGAGCCGCGAACGGCAAGGGATATCAGGATCTCTTACCGAGGGTACGGGCAGGGTTCAAACTGCCACCGGTGAGACCGGTCGCGAACATTTCACACATGAACAGCGCAAGACCGATTCCGACGGGCGCAAGGAAAGTCGCCTTGTGCTTCTCACCCGCAAGCATGTAAATGGCCATCATGAGCATGGCGGTACAGAACATCTCAATGAACCATCTGTCATAAATCCATCAGTCATGCTCGATATACCGCTGTTCCGCGATCGGAGTACGAACCCTTGTGCGATGCCAGTCCCAGTACCCAACTTCGTCCGGGCGTTGATGCCACCAGGGATGACGAGTTGCGCGATGCCGGCCGCAGCGATGGCAGCAATGAACTGAACGACGAAGAGGATGGCAGATCGGTACCAAGTCAGAGCGCCGCAGAGGAAGAGGCCGAGGGTGACGGCGGGGTTGAAGAGACCACCAGAAACACGGAAGAAGACCCAAGCGTTGACGGCCAGCGAGAAGCTGTTGTGAAGAGCGAACCGTCAGCTATCCGAATTCGCACACATGTGGAAAAGATGGAAACATACCCGAAACCCAAGGACGAATACAACAGTTGGCTCGTATCCAGGGAGCCTCTCGTATTTGATTGCGTCTGTTCACTGGAACTGGCGGACAGGTTCTGCTGACCGGCCTGCGTCGCAATGCCGTAGGAGAAGAACAGGAAGAGGAAGGTGCCGCAGAACTCGGCGGCCGCGGCGACGATCTCGTTCTTCAGGGTCAGACGCTTGCGGAGGACGCCGAGGTCATGTTCGTCGTTGTACATGGCCGAAGGGAGTTTGTCCTTGATGCGCTTCTCCTCGCGTTTCCGGCGCTTCTCGCGGGCGATGTGCATGGCGTTCTTGGACTTCTTCAGCGGGTTGTGGTGGTGATGGTGGTGGACGTGTTTGTGGGTGGTGTTGGGAGTGGTGGTTCCATTGGTGGAGGCCTTGTCGATGTGCCCGTTTCCACGACCGTCCTCGAGCGCGGCCGGGGTCAGGAAGTCGACCTTTTCGTTGTTGGCGGCCATTACGGCGGTGGTGGGACGGGTGTCGTCTGTTGCTATTCGATGATGTCGCGAGCGGAAGGATGATGTGCTTGGAGCGAGGTTGTGTTCGATCGCTGCCGTGTGAGAGTGTTTGTGTTGGTGAGGAAGAGTAGGTGTGTGTGTGTTTGAGAGAGAGAGAGAGGACGAAAGGGATGTATGTGATGGCGCGCGTGAGGATATTCGGGGAGGACATGCGACTGACAAAGCGAGAGAGCGACGAAGAGAAAGTCAATGCGCAATGATGTAAATCGACGACCCAAACCAAACCAAACCAAACCGATTCCCATTCGATACGAGACTACCGTGACCACCACCCACATACCTCGAAACCTATACAACCTAGAACATATACAACCTAGAACCTTTCCCGGGCACGACGCCGCAGCCGCCTCGGCACGGTAAGAAGTTTAAAAAAAGGAATTGGAGAATATGTCCTGTGTTGGACTATACTGTATTATTGTGTTGGACTGGACTGGACTGGATCGGGTTGTCTGTGTCTCTAGCATCGGTGCCGGATTGTGATCTCGATGCTGCAGGTGGTGTCGTATGTAGACTGTGCCACTTTCCTCGCTGCCTTTCCCTGCAAGAAAGAAACAATGCTTCTTCTCCTCCTCCTCCCATCACATGCGCATGGATTGCAGGAGGAAGCGTGCTGCAACGGGCATCGGGAAATCCTCACGCTCAGACTGGGAGCACCACCACCCGGGAGTCCCGCTAAGCCTTTTTCCTGCATGACAGCGTCAACGGCGGGACCACGATCTAACCGGCTGCAGAGAAGCCTGCCAGTCCAGTCCAAGGGGAAATTGACAAATATCCGGGACGGGTGAGACGGACTCGTCGCCGGTCTCTGCGCGAGGGAAAAGCCACTGGTGAGATTGTCTACCAACGACTGAAACGTGCACTGGGAAGGAAGTTGGAATCGCCCGTCGGTCGTGCCTGTGCCTGTGCCTGCGACTTGGAGAGCGAGAGAGCCTCGACTGCTCGACGCGTTTTCACCGCAAGTAGCAAGCAGCAAGCACGCAAGAGACGGAGAGGTTCGAATTTCGAATTTCCTAGACGCTCAACGGGCATCAAATGGACCATGGCTGTCGAGTATCAGCGCCCTCCGAGAAAAAGCGGGCAGCACCTCCTCCGGCCGAAGCTGGTGATGTCTCCCATCAAGTGAGTGCGACTATGTTCGTATCACACCAACACAGCCTCACGGGAAGCAAGATACCGCAAAAATATGATCCTGCATGAAACAAACCTGTGGCCGATAAGGATACTGTAGTGTGTGTGTGTGTGGCACAGTCCAGTACATCTACTACCTGATGATACACCACATGGGCTTCGCTTCACTGCAAATCGATAGGGAAACAGGCAAAACCAAAAAAATCAAAACAAAAGGCTGGGTAAACGACCGTTGCAAGAGTCCTACTAGGCAGATCGGGGTGATTTCTTTCTCTCCAACCGTCGCGCGCGCCCTCCCCAAATCGGGAAATGCTGTGCAACGATCGCCAGAACGCCCGCCGCCCGTGACGTCGCTCTCGGGTTTCAGGCGAGCCCTAAATCAAAGCTGGGAAATTCTGCAGAGCTGACGAATGATAAGCACGACGACCTCGATAAGGGAGGAATGGATGATGTAAACGTCCGATTTGGCCCTCTCACTCACTTCGCGCATCTCAATGTGCAAAAAATCCACAGTAGAGGGCTCTCGATGGGAGATCTCGTCCGGAGTGGATGATGTCAATTTCTTCTCCCTTGCACTGCTCGTCATCCCGGGACCCTGGCTCCGAGGTTGTGGTTTTCTCTCGCTCCCATCAGGCATTGGATGACGGAGGGACTAGAGGACATACCTTCTCCCACACATGGGTTTCGACGCCGTTCGCGCATCCTGATCTGCAGGCCGCGGTTGAGGCCATAGCCGAAAAAAAACACCAGAGAGAAAAGTTCGGTACGTCATGACTGGTTGGGAAATCCGCCGTCTCACCTTCGCGAAACACATGGGCGGCGCGGGTCGCGTGAGGAGGACCTGGAGCGCTGTATACACACACGCACGACATGTACAGTATGATGCCATCTCGGCAACGGTGGAGGGCGTTGGGGAACCACAGATCGCTACTGCTGCTACTGCTACTGCTGCTACTGCTACTACTGTGACGATTCTCTTCTTCCTGCGTGCCGGCCGAGGAATGGTACCTTGCCGTTCCAGTCCCACAGGAATGTCTTCTACTCGAGTCGTATGGTCATCCATCATACCTGCATATGGTGTTCTGGGCCCGCGCAGATCATCTCATGCCTGAGGCTGATCCGATCGTCGTCTCTCGAAAGGGTCCTCTACGATGCTGCAGATCGCGTGCACATCACTTCCATCTATGCAATGTCTGCATGACATGGGGGGCACCCACCTCCGTCATACATTTATTACATAATCATTCGTCTACGCCTTTATACAGTAGCAGTAGTACTGTAGAGGAGCATTAAGCACCGTGGCAATAACAATGACCGTGAACACTCAGGTACGCTTACTCATCTGGATGATGACCATCAACCCTATCCTCTCCCAGGTTTCAGACTCCTACAGTGTAGCAACTACCCATCACCCAGCATCTGCACCTCCCAACCTCACCAGATCCCTACCCTTCCCGAACAATAATATCATCATCAACAACAACAACTCCATGAGAAACATCCTCCGAACCCTCAAAATGTCGTCGTCCGCCAGCAACACCGCCGCAAGAAAGACCCTCGACCCCAAAACCTTCCCCCGCCCACCCCTCTGCGAGCCGACCGCCCGCCACCTCGAGATCAAATGGAACGGCCAGCTGATCGCGGACACGACCTCGGCCTACTGGGTGCTCGAAACGCACCACCCGCCGACCTACTACCTGCCTCCCGCGTCGCTCAAAATCCCCATCCAGAAGAACACCAAATCCTCCATCTGCGAGTGGAAGGGCCGCGCGACGTACTACGACATCGCGAACCCGGCGGATCCCGCGGAGGTCGTGAGGAGCCGCGCCTGGTCCTATGATGCTCCGACGGCCGGGTTCGAGGGCATCCGGGGTTACCTGAGCTTCTACGCCGGGCCCTGGGAGTGTTTCGTCGACGGCGAGAAGGTCGAGGCCCAGCCGGGGGACTTCTATGGCGGGTGGATGACGGGCGATGTGCAGAGGGAGGCGGTCAAGGGAGCGCCGGGCACGCTGTTTTGGTAAAGCGGGTTTGATGGTTTGGAGGTTCTCCTGTTTTGACTATATCAATTTGACGATTGTGCTGGTGGAGGGAGTTCAGTACTGTAATTTAACAATATCGCTCGCGGCGGCAGTCCGTGTAGTATCTGGCGGAGTGAACACCTCCAGAGCTCGGCACGCATCTGATTATCATCAGTCATCAGAGCGACGAGATATCAGGTTAGTCATCGGAGTTCTCTGGCCGATCTGGCTGAATCTCTTCTCGCTGACAATAACCATTGCGAAGTCAATTATCCCACCGACAGCCCGAATACCTGCTCAATGGCTACACGGATGTGGGGAGTCGATCCCCAAACATTCATGTTCCATGAAAACTAACGCAGACGGAATTTCAACAGCCCGCGACCTTCCTTCGCCTGCTCGGAAAACTGTACAGGAGCTAATTTGCTGATGCTTGGTGTTTCTTTTGGGACGTTGAGTATGTTTTCGGGAAATGGCCAAAGAGAGAGAGGATGGTTGATTGCAATCTGATGGTGCTTCTGAGCATTGAAAAGGGCTTGCAGCGGTTGGTCGAGATTAGTCATCAGGAAGACGAGACATCAGGTTGCCTAGTTAGTCATTCATAGATCGGAGCGCGCCGCCCGATATCACCAATACCTGCCTCGACGTACATCAGACACGATCTGACTGATACTCTCTGTCCGTCGCAATCATAATCATGCAGTGCTTCTCTATCAATGACGTCTTCTGATAAGCCATCACAGGATGGTTGAAAACAACCCCGCCCAGCTTTCGCCTGATGAATCGTGACCGAGATAGTCTTTTGGGTTGCGAGAGCTTTTGTTGTGAAATCATGGCCGCGATTACCGGGATGCCCCAGCAGTATACTAATTCAAGTCACGCTCCTGTCACAATCACAAGTACCATATTTCCGGCCACCGTCGAATGTTCCAAGTAGTCCCGCCGATACGACCTAGGGGGTACTTAGCATCGTCGATGACTGGCGTCAGTTCCTTTGTTCTGTCCCCGCGGAGCCTCCAGTTCTGGAATGTGTTGAGCGCTCGCGATTCTTTCACGTGATACTTCTGCCAAGGTTAATTGCTGAGGCTGACTCTACAACCACTCATCTTTTTTCCCAGAACATCATGACTGGTGCTTACAAGTTGGGATCTTGCTGAAATCACGGTCTTAGGCTCTCCCATCACGTACGACTCTTCACAACGACCAGCTATCAGTCATGGCCTCCTCCCAGAACAAGTGCTCTCGCCTTACAACACTTGGGTCAAGACTCCGAAAGGACTTGTTGTCAAACCTTCAGCCAACGTCAGCGCACGGTAGAAGCTCCCCGATGGTATGGGCCTGCTGGCCAAGCTTGCGCTGGAGTTACGCGAGAAGATCCATGCGATTGTCTTGTCTCAAGAAGCTGCTGATGGTATGAGACAAAGAATATATCTGAGGACTGATCGGCAGGTGCGCATCCGTGATCGCAATCTGCCTGGCTTACTCTCTGCCTCCACTTCGATTCAAGGAGAGTGTTTGCCACTCTGGCGCAGCTATGTCATCCTTGACTTTCGCCTCATGCGCCAGAGCGGCGAAGTCGAATTCGTACTGAATTGCCTGGAGGCATTCATCCACGCGGTCACACGAGCTAACCTCGCCCGTCTTCTCCACAATGTCGCAATTACAGGTCTGTCCTCAAACACAGGTCTCGGTCGCCACAACAAAGCCTTGACACATGGCGAGGTCCTTGCTGCCGCGAAAGTTACCGAGATATGTCACCAACATGGATTTTCAATTCCCAAGCACGAGAAGTATGATTCCGATGGTTGGCGTGAACGATATATCGTGATGACACTCCTCCTTCCGGCTGGTTATATTGGCTACAAGGCGCACAAAAGAGGCTGGACGGATGCACACCTCCAAGATCAGATCAATACAATGTTTTCCGAAGGTGATTTCCATAGTTTGCACCGTACCACCAATACACGCGGCTCAACAAACTTCGGCATTGCACGAGTGGCGTCAACTTCCTGTGACGTCCATGTCGTGTGCAATGTGAAGTGGCGACAAGAATCGTGGGCCGGCAAGTGTCGCATTGTCATTGTCGATGGCGAACGGTGGATACGGCTGAGTCGCAGGTTCTACTTCGGTAATTTGGACGACGACACTTTGGACCAGTGCCGACCTAAAGTGTGTGCGGATGCGGATTGCTGGTATCATTGGTATGGTGAGACCCTCTACGACTCGGTGGTTGGTTGCGAATCCTGCCGACCTATTTTCGATGCTGGAATTGAGGAATCCTCCATTGGACAACAAGATCTGCGACACGCGATTGGCCTGTCGTTGCCATATGCATGTTTCTGTTCTGTCTTCACGGGCGTATTTGTAGACTGGTTACTGCAGGTTTTGCGCACTGCAAGGTCATGAATCACAGTTGATGTCTGCCAGAGCCTTTGCTTTGGGATATTCTGAAAAGGATCATGTTTTTTCGTGGTGCAATCAGCATACCGTCTATCACCAACGCAGTAGCAGTGCCTGAAGTTACTAGATAGTTCTGGATTCTTAGGTGGTATCCTGAACAGTTGCAAGTGACGTGTCGTGTGTATATGCCAGTGGGAAGGATTCCACGCTCATCCACGCCCGTGTCACTTCCGCCTTTCAAGCATAAGTGCAGCTCCACTTTAACCTGGAAAACACCGCTCCTGTTTCTACGAAAAAGCACGCATTTGATCATGTATCGCAACGGTTCGCTCGAGGCCACCAGATAGCAAGAGGAGATGCCGAAATCAAGCGACCGCTCAGAGCGTTGTCGCGCCTATAAAACGAAGTCCGCTCGGCTTGCTCGCCAGACTGCCAGCTGAAATCCGCAACATGATTTACAGCATGTTGTTGGTGGGGCCTGAGTGTGAGGTTTCAGGAGTCACAATGATCGTTCCACGAGAACGAAGATGTTCTATCAAGGACAGATGGGGCATAACAAACTTGTTAGGTACATCGAGAGCCATTCGGCAAGAGACGCTATCCTTTTATTACGGTAACAACACTCTGTTCCTACCAGTTCGGCTTGACACCACCTACAGCTACCTCAGTTTGATCGCGTTCAGCTTCACGCAGATGAACATCGCGCATCATCTTTCGCACATCTCTGCAATCCACTTTCCACAAGGCGACTCTTCAGTCATAGAAACTCTTGCTGCAGCCCGTATCTCCAGATTGTGCTGCCAGTACAACTTCACCATACGAGGCCTGGACAGCTCATCCTCCATATTACCCATCAGTACAGGTCTCCCGGCTCGCATGCTGGGCTACTAAGCGCACCTGCAGGATTGGACAGACAATGAACTTTTTGCACGGGTTCAAGAGTTTTGCTTCAATCCGGCTTACAATATCTGGTTCAGTCCAACATCTATCTTTGCGGGAGAGTTCGTGACGGCTTTTCGTATTAAAACACCTAATCGATCAGGACCGGCACTGGGCATGATTCTAACAGGCGTGTTCGCTCGGAAATTCGACCTAGACTTCACATCGGACCTGAAATCGGCGTCCGATCAGGAATCAGATTTAGAAGCCGATGATGATATGGTTCTGCATATTGACGGCCGGCTGATACGGTTTCGAACCGAGGAGAAGTATGGAAGTTTGGAATACAGCGGAGCGAGGCAATGCGAGCCTAGTCTCTGCACTAATCCACATTGCTGGCATCACTTCTATCAAGAATACATCGGTCATCACACCGAGGAGTGAACGCCCGTCCACTGTCCGTGGGCTACGTGAGTGAGAAGTCTGTCACTCCAAATGAAGAAAAGCATGCAAACGTTGCGGGACAGCCTCCTCGAGGGTACGGTCATGGGAGCAGAGGTTATGATGTGAGGATGTGCTCGGGTTCCAGGACGAACGTCGATCGAGAGGCATGTTCTGGCGCAATACCGTCTGCACTACTCTTCGACCTTATTGATCAAGAACGAACCTGCTCAACATTTGAGTACCCTATACAGGTATCGGTCGCATCGAAAGGGCCTCTCCGATGATTATGCAGGCACACAAATGAGGGATGTCCATTTCGGCACCCTGGATTGTGAAAGTATAGAGGAGTGCAGTCCGACTGACTTGCATGGACACAAATTTGCTGGCATTGTTGAGTAGAAGGAGCATACATACAGCAGAGCCGTTTTTGAGCTGGGCAGCTCGGAATGTACGACAGCAAATGGTCCTTAGAACACTCATAATCTCATAGTTCTCCGACATGTCAAGGGTTTGTTGGGATAGCAATTATTGGAAAAGCCAGCACATGGTGCTCATCATCGCTCTTTCATCGATGCTGCGTCGATGGGCGCTGCCGACGGATCAATCCTCTGTCGACCTGATTACTTCGGACTCTCAGACGTTTGTTACAGACACCTCTTGAAGGTCGTCCAAGGACCCAAAACACGATCTCGTCTTGATTCTGCGTCCCTGAAATTCAATGGTGGCTTCGATATTACCAGGCTCGCAAGGCGAGTTCAAGTAGGAATTGTAGCCGTAAGCTAGAGGCCGTCGGAAATTCTCAATGCTGAATGTGAAGTCGGCTTCGGCATAGGAAGTCGCTTTGTTCCGAACAGCGCGGACAGGACGTTCTTTGACGGGCGGCGTGACTGTGGTTCGAATGGCAGTTCTGGATCGTGACGTCTTCCGTGACTGTGACTCCATGAGTGCCTGCATAATGTAATCCACGAGCCTGGATCGTAGCTCTTCGTCGGACCATCGTTCTTGATACGCCTGGAAGCCAATGATTCTCGAAGGAAGCAAGAGCTCAAAGATCCCGGGCCTTTCCGCAGCATCGCGGGTGTAATCGTAGACTTTGATGCCGTGCTCGCAACAGAACCTTGTCAAGCGAGCAGGTGGGAGCCGCAGCGACAGATCCCATGACCACGTGTAAGCCGTGATGCAGATTCCGACGCGGATTTGTGGAATGAGGTCGGCCAGACCCAGATTCCTGTAGTTCCGTACCATCAGGTGAAGCCAGGATAGAATGCGATTCATGTTTCGATAGTGAACCTCGAAAGTGATGACGTGACTGGCGAGCCAAATTGAGATCGCTTCGCGCCGTATCAGCTTGCAGACTGTGAGCAGTCCGTGTCGGACTTGACGTGTATCGATGGAATAGACTCGCTTGATGTAGTAGAAACGAGGGTCTCCAGAATCATCCTCAGGCGCATCGTGTCTCCATTCGCCCAGACTCATGGCCATGTGGTAGATGACGTTGCGCAATTCACCTGGGAGTCTGAAGAAGAGCGAGAGTGCTGCTGGTTGTCGGATCTTGGTCCTTCTCGATCGCTTCTTGCGGCCAGTGGAAGTTTTCGTGCGCTTGGATACCATGGTGAAGAGAGTGAAGGTGATTTTGTATAGATTGAGGGCTTCACGCCACAGATTCGACGTTGTCTGACACAGAATGCTGGTCAGGTGGATTCTCAATTGAGGTCAAGATCACATTGTGAAATATGTCGTGCGGCATGCGCGTGACCCGGTCGCGGTTGCAATGAGCATAACATCACATTGTGGGAAGTCACGCACATTGGACAGCCTATCTCTCACAACAAAGTTCAAGTCATAAAAGCTTCGGACGCGATGATCGAACGCTCTGTTACCTGGTCACCTAGATGCAAATATCTCGTAAATACAATTGGACCGGAAGTGGTATAAACCACGACTACTGCGAAACCCGTTCGCCTGCTGGGAATGCAGGTTGGCCTGCTAGTAATAACTTGCATTCCGGCCTCCATCAACATCTACGTCTCATCGGTGCGGCAGCTCGAGAACGACCTCACATGAGTATTATTTCCAAATGAATCCTCTGAATTTCCCCAACGGCCACCGGAGCATTTTACCATTGCAGCTTGAATGCAAGTCGACGAGAAAGATTGACAAATGATTGTTCCAAACTGAACGAGCACGTGAGATCTATGGGTTTCGCAATGGTTCAAAAGATTAGAGATAGTCAGGTCGCCGAATGGTCGTTTCGACACTCAAGACCGATATCCTGCGGATTTTCCGGTCTTCGGGTTTTTTTCTGCATGTGATTTCCTTGCTCATCTTCCGTACTGAACGTGTCGAAAATTTGAGTAGTGGTAATGGCACTTTCACATGTTTCCCTTCGACGTCTGCCTGCGTTCAGTATCCATAGTACCTGGTACCTGTGATCAACGATCATAACACATGACTACCTAGGTACGAACGCCCATCATACTTACGATACTCACGAGACCGCTATTCTTCCTTGTCTTTCTTCCCTCTTTCTTCACCTTCTCTCAATCCCTCGACCTTCCTCAACCAAAATCAAACCTCTTCATACTTCATTCCTGGTCAATCACTTTCAAGCGTTATCCTTCCATTCAAAATCAACATGTCGCCAAGTTCGCCATCAGCCGCTATAGTCAAGTGTTGGAAGAAGAAGCTCCCACTGGTTCACGCAAAAATCGACGAGAAAGAGAAATGGTTCTTTGATTTCCCTCCGGAAATTCGCAACATGGTGTACACTGCCATTCTGAGCCCGAATTCTAGCAAGCCACAAAGCGCACGTCTCAAGTTTGGGAGATGGCCAGGCGGGGCGAGAAGATCTGCTGTCTTCATACCCAACCTTCTTACTGCCTCTCAGACAGTGCGTCGAGAAGCTTTGCCAATATACTACAAGACTCACAAAATCGATTTCTTTACTCACACCCTTCGTCTCAAAACCGCGTTCAGGCGTCTAGAAGAGATCGTCCGGTATCATACCAGGAACAATCTCGGCGACTGTCTCAATGAACTTCATGTGGAGATCATGATCGCCCAGTTGTTCCGGAATGACCTTCGTGACACCATGGAAATCTCACGAATCTGCTGTAAACATAATATTAATGTCCAGCTACATCATCTTGGGCGGTACCGAGCTATTACAGACCAACTCGCACCTATCATTGCAGCTCGCATCGTCAGTCATCATGCATTGACGAAACGCTGGCCTAGTTTGAAGTGCCGAGCTGGCGCCTGCTGGGTTCGTGACAATATACAGTATCATGAGCACACCGAACCCGAGATGGCGGAGAAGCGGAGTTTATCATTCATTAGAGCATACGTCCCCTGGAACAAAAAATTTGGAACACTTGAGATCGACTTCATCTACCGGCTCCAGCACGGTCTCGACCCCTTGCAAGCCGTACCACAGCGCATGAATTTGGTGGTCAAGTATGAAGGACGCTTACTCCTTGTCAAGGATCCTCTGTCGTTAGGACCACTCGAGGGCAAACATGTCGAAATCTGCGATTATGCAACTTGTGTGAAGCCAAGCTGCTGGCACCACGATCTGACCAAGCATCAGAAATGGATGACTGATTTCCTCGCGAGCACTCCTAACTCTTCGAGCATTTTGAAAGCTTGAGTATTGGAGATCACAATTTCACATGGGTTTCACGAAGAATTCCGCATGTGCTCTCTAACATATGCCACTGGCAGATCAAGCGTACTCATGATCTCTATTTTCTCTTTCTATTGCTTGTGACACAGCATTGTCTTACTTGCGCCTGTCTCTTCATATCTATCCTCTTTACTTCCTTCAATCGACTCACCTTTGTGTTCAACACCACCACTCATTTCTACAGTCACACACACTTTCTCAATCCTTTCCTATCTTTCATCAAGCTTTTCACTATACGCGATGCCCCCCAAGCGTAGTCTCAGCCCAGATGCTGGCGCCGAGCCGAGGAAGAGATCGAAGGAACGCGCTTGTGAGGAAAAGGAAGAGGGTCAGGGATATCTGAAGGGAGAGGTAAATGGAGAGGAGAAGAAAAAACAGAAACACATCTTTGAGTTGTCACAAGAAACGCTTCACCAAATCTGGGAATTCACTCTCAACCCAGATCCTGATCGACCAGGAGAAAAATACATCCAACGCCTGACCGGTAGTTTCCTGGGAGAGACATCTCAAACAGAGTACAAAATGCCGGGCCTCCTTCTGGCTTGCAAGTCAATCTTTCGTGCAGCTCTGCCACTTCACTACCAAGGCCACATCTTCGTTTTCAGTGTCAACATGAGGCATATGGATATTGTTCTGAAATGGCTCCGGGGTCGGCGCAAGTTCCACAGGGATATCAAGTTCATGGACTCTCTGCGCTCTTTGCAGGTCCACATCAAGCTCAGTCCCACTCATGATGATTGGCACGCCGTGTACATGCCGGCTCAGATCACCAAGTTCTGCTGCAAGTTCGGTGTGACGGTCCGATTCGCCTCTCGGCTCTATCAACAATTCCTACCGCTGCAATTTGCTCCTATCATCGCAGGCCGCATCATCGGCTACCATGCCTACAAAGAAAGCTGGAAATATCGACTCTTCTTCTCCGCCACCTCTCACATCGCTAAATCCCTCGACTTCACACGATTCCCGGGAGATGTAACTGATCTCTTTGGACCCATGGTCCAGCATGTGCATGCCTCACCGTGTAATGACGACGGCAAATTCAAGATCGACTATCGAGTCATCTACAGCGTTCCTCGCAGTCCCAACTCCCTCGATCAGAGAAAGGTCAAAATACGAGTGGTGGTGAAGTATCAAGGACGCCTAGTTCGCCTGAAGGACCATCTCTCCTGCGGGCCGCTGGAAGGTGAACACGTCGATGTTTGTGACTACTCGAATTGTTCCGACGCGAGTTGCTGGCACCACATGCTCAACGAACACCAGGATTGGCTCGCCGATCTCCTTCCGAATGCTCCCCAAATCCCTCAAAGCAGTGCCTTCGCTGCGTAGAGCGCAGAGTCGGAGATGACGACGATACTGGTCGCATGCAAGCTTCTGGCAAATTCGAAATTTTGATCGAATGGAACAGAGGACCATGTATCTCGGACGTGCGATGCTCACAATAATTCCCACATGACGATGTGTTTAGGGAGCGGTTTGCAAGCATTGGTTCTTCAGAGTTTTCCGTCAGATACTGGCGTTCGAGGCGGAGCTTTCAGACATTGGCTTTCAGAAATTGGCATTCGAGGATTGACTTTCCGGTATTGGTGTACTGGTATCGATTTTCCAAGGACTGGCTCAAAGCAATTGGCTTCCATGGACGTGCTTTCCATATTTTTTTGTGAGTATATTGGCTTCCGGGGCTTTGCTTTTCGTGATTTACGATTCAGGATCAGCTTTCGGGTGTTTTGGTTTTCGGGGGTTTTGCTTCTCAGGATTTGCTTCGACGACGAACTCCCCAAGATCGGTAATTGGAATACTGGCACTCACACTTCAGCCTGATCTGCGCATCGGATTTTGTCACAATGAGTGCATCTCGTAATGTTCAATGCAAACAAAATCTTTGTCTTCATAGAAAAGTTCATTGGTTGCCGACCTCTTATTTCAATCGCTCATCTCCACTAGCCAGCTTCCCAGATCTATCCTCCTTTGCATCGCATCGTACCCATCGCGCAGTAGAATCACGCAGTGACCTTCATAGCATCGATCCTCCCCGTCCCTCGACTCGAGAAAATCGCCATGATTCCAAACCCAACATAAAACAACGCGAGCGGATACGCGACCAGCCCCCTCATATTCGACATCCGTCCCACGACGCAAAACATCGCCGAGCTCGAATACGTACACCACGCGATCGCTCCGCTGACCAGGATGTATCCGATAAAGGAATCAAGCGGCAGTACCACACCCAGAAGACTTGTGATCACCAGCGGTAGGAGGCAGTAGCCGAGTACGGAACTTGAGCGGCCGAGGGTGAGTGTCGAAGAGAGGTTTGTTGAGCCGTGGTAGGCGCTGTGTGGGTTTTGCGCGGCGTTCATTTCGTCCTGAGAGAGCGGCGGGGACATCATGCTGAAGACGAAGTTGAGGCTGAGTGCGCCGAGGGCGGCGAGGCCGCAGACGTAGCCGAACCAGAGTTTACCGGACTGCGTGACGCGGCTTGTGTCAGCCCTCAGGCAGATATTGGTGGAGATGCGGATGTCTCTGCGCGATGTGCAGGACATGTTTACGTGGACTTACCAGGAGTAGGAATGTGCCGAATAGGGCGCAGAACAGGAATGGTCCTGCGAGATCTGAGTCGTCCATGATGTGCTGGTCGATGCGCGCCATGGGATTCAGCACGGTAAGCGTCTAGGAGATCCTCTCGTTAGCTGAAAGCGCTCCCACTTCTAGCATCGCTCCTGCCCTTTCAGAGATACCCACCTTTGTCTGGATATGCACAAAGTTCACTCCCAGCTCTTCCAACAGCGGTGGTTCGCCGGGATACCCTTCCGTGCCAAACGCCGCCAGCCATCCCGTCCTCAACCCATCTTGCCCTGTGCCCATCTGTCCACTCGCACCAGGCTGACCGCCGAATGCCCCGAAGCCATAGTTTCCAGCTCCTCCGCCTGAGCTTCCGTAGCCGCTTGATGAGCTTGGGTATGCTTGGCTGGCGGCGCCCCTGCTGCCTCCGTTGCCGAAGGCTTGGAAAGGTGTGCTTTGGCCTGAGACGGGAGGGGCGTCGGAGTATGAGGATTGGTAGAAGTTGAGGTTGTTCTGGGCGGAGTAGGAGGGGTTGCTGCCGGCCGGCTGGTTGTAGTTGTAGGACATTGTGGTGGTGGTCGGTGGTTGGAACTTCTCGAAAGAGGGTCTGGCGGTGGGCGCGCGCCGGAGGTTGTTTCACGCCCTTGTCCTGTGCGGGCCTTGAGCTTCGCGGTCTTGGATCGAAGCTTGTTCTTGTGTCTGATACTTGTGACAGCTCTTTGTTGAGTCTACTACGACTTGTTGGCGAATGGTATAGCAATGATTTGTTTCGTGCTGGCGAAGAGCTATCCTGGGAAGCGAGTGCAACGGAAATTTGGCAAGCTGGCTTGTGGTCGGCTTCGTCATGCAGGGCATATTAGGGTTACTGACAGTCACCCTTTACCAGTATTGGAAGACTTCAAATATGTTTGCGGCTGCCTCGTTCCATTGCAACGCTCATTTAGTTATATGAGTTGTACGGAAACCCTTGTACGTCAGAATACGCACGTTAAACCCAAGACCTCTTAATTCTGGATCGTCTAGACGTTATGAAATCGAAATTGATCTAGACAAATCAAGATCGTACGTCGCTAGGAACACCCATAGCCACCACCACCGCGTATCACGAGCGGCGCAGACACGTCAAGAACGAGTGCATCGCTCGAAAGGACTACGCACCGATGATCTTGAAGACTCGCAACGTGCCTCGTTGAAGCGATAGTGTTTGTACATTTGAATGTGGCTCATCTGCCAATGTCCCTGTTGTAGGCGGGCCGCTTCTCCTCTCGCGAAATAGCCACTCGCACATAAGGAGTCTGATCCAGTGCTATTGGCCTTCCTACCGCGCTCCCACACAGAGAGATAAAGCAAGGTTCAATCCATCAGCGCGTCTTTTCCTTCATCAACTTCGTGGAATGGGCATCAAAAATCTCACAACTCGGCTGCAAGGTCATTCCCAACGCTGTGTGCTTGGAAGTTCTGGAGCGGAGAAGCATTCTATCGCGCTCATCGATGGACCCGGACTAGTACACCATCTGTACTGGGCATACGCTGATGGTATCAATGCCTCCGGAGTGTCTTGCACACCGTGTGATTACGCCGCCACCTTAATTGCAACGACTCGATGGCTTGATGAGCTAAAGTTATTTGGTTTCGATATGTAAGTGTTCTTGTTCACTTCAATATCACGGTTGTGCTGAGTCCAGATCAGTAGAGGAATCTTCTTCGATGGATCACTTCCTGCCTCGAAACGGGATACCCGACTGGAGCGGCTGCAGACATACAGCACCAAATTGAAGACTTTCAGAATTGCATCAGATCCAATACATAGTGCTCAGATCATCGGAGATATCATGAAGTTCCTACCACCACTGCTTGTAGCTGCCATCGTAGAGGCGCTGTCATCTCATGAAGAATATGCATCGGTGACCTTTGTCGTACCAGGCGAAGCGGAGACATTCTGCGTTGCTGCTGCACGATCTTCAGATATTGAAGGAAAAGATATAACTATCTTCTCCGACGACAGTGATGTTCTCGTCTATCAGCTGCACAAGCAAACTCGAGTGGCTCCTTTTCGGGAACTGCAGGTATTGGGGGATGAAAGTCGGAGCTTATTGAGCGGGTTCTGTCACTATCCGTGGAAACTTGCTAATAAACACGACAGCGCATTCGAGAGTCTGACCGAAGCAGCATTCTTTATGAGTCTTGATCCGTTTTGCTTACTGAATGATGCCTTCAAGAAAGCAACGGCGCTACAGCGGTCGCAGGATGAAGAGCAATATTCTCGACTCATATTGTTCAAACAGGAATACGCCGCGCAAAACGAGCTTCGAGATTGGAATCTCATTTATCCCGATCGAGAGTTATGTCGTTTGCTTGGCAGGAGAGACGCCAGAATCTCCGAGCTTCTTCATCAGACAACTCACAACGGATACAAACCTAGCGCCGGAGTCGATCTGGAGATTTTCCTACCCTATCTCTTAGAAGATGCTTCACGTACGACAGCATGGGAAATCGGTCGCGACCTCCGCATCGTGGCGTACTCAACCCTGCTCGGCTTCGCGAACAAAATGAATAAGAATCTGCGAATCGCAGAACATACGAGGAACGGCAGTCCTGCCGGAGTTACTGCCACGAGTCTCTTGCTTATGCCGCGGGCTGCTAGCTTAGAGGGTATCAGAGATCTTCACGGCCTATTGCAGCATAGCTATAACCGCTTTTCCAAGCTCACATCAAGATCGCTTTCATCCTTTTCTTCCTCGGCATCATCGTCATCTCAAGTGATTACCTGGCATTTTGTCATCCTACACCTCTTCATCCAGGATCTGTCTGACTCGCAGAAACCATTGCCCGATGTATCAGACCTCATTCATATACTCTCCGGAATCAAAACGTCGACCGCAACGTCTTCGTTCGGGAAATCATCTCGCAAGCAGCAAGACGCGTACCGCACCCAGTGGTGGAAACGCTTCCATTTCGCAGCGCAATATGAAGCAATGTATTATTCCTTGCGCATCCTCAATCAGCTTCTGCGAGCTTCACTCTATCCAGCCCATATCAAAAAAGCCGACGCAGCACCTCCGCGCTCCTTCATCACGACCCAGGATGATCAGGCCGTCATACGACTCTTGTCTGTTCTCGATACACTGCCCAGCATCATCGACTTCTCTTCTCCGCCTATTCATGCCTCAGTCAATGGTGACAATACGACCTCGCGAGAGCAATGGAAGGAATGCTTGGCGGGGCTCATCTCGGAGTTCCAGGATCAGGAAGCTCCTCTGCAATCCTATCACGCGAAAACAATCGAACGCAAGTCACCAAAGCCCGCCCCAGCCATAAATCGGCAGACAAATTCCCGGCTTGCAACGATCGGGGCAGGTGAAAGGGCCAAGAGCAAAGTGCAGCCGCTCACAAAAGCCAAACAGACCACACCCAACAGCAAAAATCCATATGACCTGCTAATGGAATCCCCGCAAGAGGGGTGGTAGGCGATTGAGGACCGCATAGTCCTTGAATGTCAACTTCGCCTTCGGGAGACATATGACGAAGCTTGAAAGAACTCTTCGACCGAACTCCGGGTGGTCGTACCTGAATGAGTTTCATCCCGATCGATGCCAACAGGTTCAGGTCAAGGTCACGATCATGGTCATGGTCATTCTTGAATATTTGAGACCAGACACCTCGTCCAACAGCCGAACCTCGCATCAATAAAATTAAATCGTCCTCCCTCCCCCCTCCGGCCGCGGGTACAACCCACCCTGCCGCTTCGCCAACTCGTAATAATGATTGAAATTATGCCGATAGATCCGATCAAAGTCATCATTTGCTTGGTTCTGAGCAGCATCATAGTGCTGTTGCTGTGCCTGTTGCTGAGCAGGGTCGTTATAGAATTGTCGGAAATACTTGCGGTAGGCTTCGTCGTCGAACTTGGTGCCGTCCGCCGCGGGTTGAGCTGTGGTGGTGGTGGTGTAAGGAGGTCGGTATGTGTAGGGGTGAGGTCTGGGTGTGTAGGGTTCGGGTTCGTGTCTTGCTGCGTAGGGGCGGGCTCGTGGCCGGGGTTGTAGTGGTCTTCGGGTCGGACGGGGGTGGTCTTTCAGATCGTGGCTGTAGGCTCGACGGTGACGGGCGTGTTTGCGGTCTTGCTCACGAGCGAGTTCGTGGAGTGGAGTGGTGCGGTAGTATTTCGAGGAGATGTGTGCGGGAGCCGCGCGGGGAGCGGACATATCGAACGGGTTCTGATAGGGCGGTGGAAGAATGCCTGTGGCTGGCAGCTGTGCGTATTGCGGTGGAGTCAGGTATCGAGGATCCGATGTCACGTAGACGTGGTGGTGATGGTGGTGCCAATGGTGATGATGATGTTGGTCGCGGCTGCGCTCGGTGATATATGGCTCGTAGAAATCCATGGTGGATGCAGAGGACGCGCTCGTGAAGGACATTGACAGGCTATGAGGGTTCTTTAATATCCAGAGGATAGTCTTTTTTCAAAAGATGTTCCCGAGTCAAAGTCTCCAAGAACCTTGAGACATCAAGAATGACCTGCCTGTTTCGATCCTCATGGAGCGGGTAGACGACATTTCCAGTGTAGGAAAAGATTTACTACATTCTTTATCCAGCTGAGTGGAACACAGAAGCGATGACTGTATCTATGCCTTGCTTCCCGATGTCGTACACATTGATATCAGAAACAAGAAAATTCTCGCGTTGCACGAATTTTCGGTTGGGCTGACGACATACAAGTCGCACACCGTACAACAAAGGCCGCGGGTATATGGCGGTGTGCGAGACATTTGAGAAGATCATGTCGAGCGTGACGAAAAGGTTCTGCTCTGTGCCAGGCTCAGACCTTCTTCCTGACCAGACCTTGCATGAAATCGAAGCTGTTCATATCGCTCCTCAACTCGAAGCTCTTTGGCCTCTGTCCTGGAGATGCCGTATCGGGCAGGATTTCTTCGGCGATGAGCATTCCGTAGTCTGAGGTGATGCCTTTGATCCTCGCTTGCCATTCTTTGGTGTCTGACTCGAAAAGGAAATGATTATTGGTCTTTGTCGCTTGTTGGTCTTCATCTTCGATGCGGACCGTGACGACTTGGTTCGTGTGTAACCACATTTCATAGTACATTCGCTCAATGTTGCGATCCCATCCATTCGAGCAGAATTGCAAGTGCAGGCCTTCTAGAGCGACAAGAATGCTGGCTTGAAGACGTTCGAGAGAAACCGTCGCCACTGAACTCGAGGCAAGGGTCGAAGTCTCGCCTTCTATCGGACGATAAGCAGAAGCGGGAGCACGAATTCTGCTATCGATACCAAGATATCGTGCGATCTGCAATAACGATGTTGTCGGGCACCCATCATCGTTGTTCACGTTCAATCCAATACCAACAATGAGAGTGTAGTGCCCGCCCGAGTAACTCGTCGTGACAAGAATCCCGCCAATCTTCACATATTCGGACCCATCCGTCGCGGTGGAGTCCGGATACTTCGCATAGATGTCATTCGGCCATTTTAGTCTCACGCACTTCGCTACGGCTTTCCATCCTTCCGCATCAGGGGTTTTTTGACCGTATTGCTCAATGCCTTGTATGACGGCCATGGCTGCAAGGTACTGCACGAGCACCACGGGCGCGAGACCGCGATTGGAAATGCCTAGCTCATGAGGGACGACGACGCTGAATAAGAGGCTTCCTGGAGGAGAGAGCCAGACATTGGTCCCCCGGCCACGACCGGCAAATTGAGTCGTGGCATGAACGACTGTGCCAGCGGGTAGGTGAGGGAGTAAGATGTAATTTTTGTCGAGTAAAGTCGATGTGCTGGAGATGAGCGGACTATGAAGAAGGGTATTTCCGTACGTGCTAGGAGATTTCGCAAATGGGTTGCTGCTGGGCTTATGTGCTGCTTTTTGGAATTGCTCGAGGGAGCCATAGTACACGGAGTGGTCGAATTTTGGTGTCGTGGTGAGGGATGGATGACGCTCGAGGTGGAATATAAGATTCTTAACCGAGTCTGTCACGGCTCGTCTGTCATAATCGGCCGATCTTTGAATGGAATCAGTACTGCCTGCAATGGTTGCTTTCTCCATTGTGGCGCCACGCCCATGAATCTGAAGCAGGAATGTGTCATTTTCGCCTCGAATGTACTCGCGCCCTTCCTCGCAGTCCACGGTAACGGCGTCGCGTCGTAAAGCGATGAGGATGCTCTCGGCAGTTGCAACTCGCGCGCAAGAAAGGTGTAGAGATGAGGGAGACGATACCGGATCTAAGAGCTTGCCGTTTACGCGCAGCCCAAGCTTCAGAAGACATGCTTCTATGAAGCGTATTCTCTGCTTGTCGGTACCCAACAACGTATCGATGAGGTCGCCATATTGGGGGTTGGAAGGTTCGTTGCGATCGAGGCTTGAGCCTGAGTATCTAAGATGTGAAGGGTTAGCATCGAAATCACGAGTCACATGGTCTTGACCATACTCAGGATGAGGTCCGGTAAGAATTGCAGCTCCTTGGCCCACGCTGCAGTGGACGATGGCTGCTTTGACATTGCCTTCACCCGCGTCCACCTCGAGAGGATCTGCAAATTTCGCAAGAACCTCTACACCTCGCGAACTCAATGTTTCGGCATCTACAAACACACCGCCGCCGTTGTAATATGAATAGAATGAGTCCGGTACCGTGCTTGTGTCATCCTTTGATGCGAAAGCCGTCTTGTTAACCTCAATCGAGATTGCTCTGGCCCCAGCCTCACTCCCATACACGAACCCACTGAACGCAAGCCCACGACAAATGCCGGGGAAGAGACCCAGCTCTCTCGGGCCCACGACCTCCCATCCTTGTCGTCCGACCTCGAATTCGCATCGCGCAGAGCCAAAGTACCCTCCCGCGCAAAATCCCATCAATCTGCCACCTGCTTCAACGTACGCGCGGATGCGCCGAGTGCCGATTCCATTGAGGTCTCGACAGTAGTTCGTGTCAGCTCCACCGGGAATGACTAGCAATGCACATGTTGATGGCCATGGTTCTTGCAGTAGTTGTGTGGCAGCTACAGTTGAGACTGCATAATGTGGGGAGAGATGTTGGCGGAATGTCGCGATGGCTTGACGAACTGCTTGAGGTGAGGTGCCAGCGCCACTGTAGATTAACACATTGATTCGCTTGAGCATCGTGATCGCGGGAGTGGCGGTCGTGATTGAAGTTGAAATGTGCGGTACTGTACGAGTGCAAGTCACGTGTGGAGGTCGAGAGCAACCGCAGCACTTTCTCGATGATGTCTTTCATTCGTTCACATTTGACATCGCACCTTATCCTTTGACAACAGCAAACCCGGGAAATCCAAGTTACCGCGAGGATGTCCAAGACGGCAGAGAATGAAGCGCGGCCAGATCCGGTCGAGGACGACGATGAGCCGGATGAATGGTGAGCAACCAAGCCGTGTGATGATGAATGCATACACACAATTTCCACGAGGGTTCACGATGCTGAGCACGATTTGCTGTACACAGGGATCAACGTATTTTCAGCACAGGATGCGCAGGTGAGTCTTCCTCTATAATTAATACTCTGTCACAACGCAGCCATCACTCATGTGCACACGTATTGATCGCAAACAGATGAGAACACTTCATTGAACGACTGTTTCCGGGAGAAGAAAGATTGGCGGGCATGCAAAGACGAGGTAAGCAACATCTCTTCCATATCGATTGGAATTTCCCCTCGACCCTATACTAGCGGCGGTGATACTGACAAAATTCACTCCAATCCACAGATGGAGGCATTCAAACAATGTTGGAAACGACAGGACAATGATGTCCGCACAAGTTCAAAGGACGTTTGAATCTCGATGGAGAGCTCTCAACTCTGACGGAACGATGTAAAATATCTGTAACCACTACAACAACAACGTGAATGATCCGCCATCCATCTCGAGATTTGTTGCCACAGAACTCCAGACTGTTTACAAGTTCTTGTTGATTAACTCAAGATGAACCGGGAATACATTGCGGTTAGAAACATATCTCAATTCGTTCGGTCAGTCGATGTGGTAACCCTAAGGGAGCCGCATGCGAGAGTCGCGTCGCCCTCTGACGTCGACTGAAAGCGACGCATCGTGGAAACTGTGAAATCGTTTGTGCAGTAATAATACAACCTGGTGGTTTGGACATCGTTCCGACATTATCTCCAAAACACGAAATGACTCCCTCTCAAAGGCTCGGCATCCGCCTGCTGTCACAATTGACAAATTCGACATCAGCTACAACCGCGCTGGTACAATCACAATCGTGGTGTCGAAGTGTCGCCGCGTCCTCCATCGTCTGCCGCCACATCTCTGTGACTCCTCGACGACGACAGGAATTCCAGTCGCCGCCACCTGTACCGCCTTCAGCGCGTGCAGCGAACAATGTCGAGCGTGTTCAAAACGAACTGTCGCCCTCCTCGGATTCACATCCCATTCGCAACTTGAGCTCTGGCTTATCCGACCCTCCACCAGTCATTGCCGAGGATGGCTCACAGGTCGACTGGACGCGTTCATACCACGGTCTTTCATCTTCCCCGTTCACTGCCGAGCAAGCCGCAATCCTACAGGAAGAGCTGAAGTTTGACGACATTGAGATCAAGCCCGATGGCATAATCTATCTTCCCGAGATCAAGTATCGGAGAATCCTTAATAAGGCTTTTGGACCTGGTGGATGGGGTTTGGCGCCTCGAGGCGAGACCATCGTAACCGGATCAGTTGTCACGAGAGAGTACGGGCTTGTATGCGGAGGACGGTAAGCAATACTTTGCCCACGGTTTCGAGCATCTACTGACATATGTTCTTCTACAATGCAGATTGATATCCATTGCCCGTGGCGAACAACAATACTTCAACCCCGATGGCATCCCAACTGCAACCGAAGGCTGTAAATCCAACGCGCTGATGCGCTGCTGCAAAGATCTGGGTATCGCATCGGAGCTTTGGGATCCGCGCTTTATCAAACGATTCATGAAGGAAATGGGCAAAGAGGTCTTGGTGGAGCATCAAACGACCAAGAAGAGAAGAAAGCATTTTATGCGCAAGGACGATGAGCTCAAATGGCCACTGAAGGAGGTCAGTGTGCCAGGTGCAGCGCCCGCTGCAGCCCCGGCGGCAGCAGCGGCGACGCCAGCAGCGAGAACATATTCAAGGGCTACGCCGGCCTCGGCAGCGAAGAAGTGATGTAGGCATGAATTACGCGATGCTTTGAGGAAGAGGACATCACAATCGCCGCCCCAGTAGAAGATCACATGCTTCTGATTCCGATGGTGAACAAGAACCATAGAGAGGAGGCGCGGAGGCCTGCAGATGTGCTTGCCGTCTCACCATTCTCAGAACTACGAGCATAGATGCTCTGCTCGCGCAGTTCGGAGCGAGATCCCAACTCCGTCACGGACGAGTCTGAAAATGAGGCTGCAGTGCGTGCTCACCTTCACATATTACATTTGACGCCGCGGGTGCGATCAAGAAAGAGCAGTGTGACATGCACCACACGCATCATGCCCAGGCTTCACCCGACGCAGGGCACTACAGCCTTGTCATGTATATGAACAGAAGATTAACAGATATAGGACTATTTCATAAACGCACTCGGTACTGCAACGCGCTTGGTCATCACTTCATTGCTTTTTACAGTTTGGCTTTGATCGCCGGATCCTTCAAAGTAGAGTCAACGCCTTCAACCGGAGCAACTCCATTGTTTCCGGGCCCAGACCCGTTCCCCGAACCTGCAGAAATGCCAATAAACTCCTCATCACGAATGATTTCATGATCCTCGAGACCTCCCTCCACTCCAATGCTCGCTGGCTTCCCATCACGGTCATCCAATCCGCCCCCGCAGCCCTCGCAAGTCGATCGTCTAACCTGTTCGGCAGACGCGGACTCAGCTTGTTGCAGTGCAGCACTCATAGCCTTCTCATCCTGCACGGCGTCAATCAACGAAGAATCAAACTCACCCGTCTCAGGCACCTCCTGTTCCCCCGCGCTCTGTGTCGCGCTCATCTCACTCTCCTCTTCCTCGCCATTCCACCAGCCTTCGATTTCAAACTCGATCCTCTTCTCCACCTCAGCGTCAGGCACCCTCCTGCCTTTCTCGTCCCAGAGCGTTCTCTCCACAAAAGTGACTTTGCCATCATGATCGACCAGGATGACCGTCTGCTTCATGGTGCCATACGCGGTGCTCGATAACTGCTCCTTTCTCGGCCGAGGAATCACATCAACGACGGAAGGCTCCTCGGTGTGATGAGTCGAATCCGTCTCGGAGGAAACCTCGCCCTTCTCGGCGTTGATGTAAATGCTGCCTCGCATGCGATTGGCGTGCGTCTCCAGATCTTCGTGTGCCTGTCGTTGGGGCAGGAGGTCGATACGGAGGATTTCGAAGAGACGGTTCAGTAGGGCGGGTTCGTCGCCGCGGGCGCGGTAGACGTGGCCGTGGAGCGCCTGGCGGAGCAGTTGGCAGCCGTGAATCGTCTTCGGCCAGGTCTTATCCTCGAAGGTGCTGTTGCTGAGGGCGTGGGTCTCGTGGACGGTGGTGAGGATGCGTGGGAGTGTGAATTCGTGATTGGGATCGCTGCGGGAGGGGATGGGGGTGCGGTTGGATACGAGGGAGAGGCCTGGATATGCGGTCTCTGTTTGGACGGGTTTCGCAAATGGTGGGATGTAGGGATGATTCGTTGTTGGTTGTGTTGAGTCTGGCGTTGATATCGATGGAGAAACGTGAGCCGTGCTAGGATGATCTGAAGATGCTGAGGTCTCCGTGGTCGGCTTCGTCCTGAGCTTTCTTGAACCTTTCGCCGCTCTGAGCCGGCCGAACGCCAGAGTAAATCCGCCGACATCGTGAACTCCGACTTCCTTTGCCAGGCGCTCAACGAATTCAGCTTCGGTCTCCTCCCTCGCCCCCGGCGGCGTGCTCAAATAAGCATTTACGATGCCGCCTCGACTTTTGTCTTTCGCAACTTCCAGACCCGGCTCGCGAAAATTCGTCAGCACTGCCACTCGTCCCTGTTTCGTCATCCCGAGCCATGTGCCGCGCTCCGCACGTTGGAGGTCACGCCCACCGAGGACATGGTCGTGAGGAGCATCCCACCAATCGGCACGAAGAGTCGGGCGCGAGATGACTTCGTCGCGGTTGGAGAGAAGGACAAAGGCGTAGTCCGGATGTGCTGTCGAGATGATTGCAATGCACATCGCTGAATATGCTTCGAATGATGTTTTGAGAATGTGTTATGGTGATTGCGAGGCTTGTTTGAATTACTACGGTCAAGGACTTCGTTTTCCAAAAGAAACGCCAGATCGTGATTTTGCTCTTGAAGCAAGAATATCTCTCAATCTCATGTCCTCACAGCAACTGATACTTCGTTCTTGGGGAGCACGAGGAGCAAAGCCGAGTATTCCAAGTCAGCAATTGTCCTACAGACTTCCATCCGGACAGACTGCTTGTCCGCTAGTGACACCACGCCCAATGCATATGAATATTGATAACGATACGTGTGACCTACCTGGTTGGAGAGCGAAGTGACCAAGCGGTGAGTCCCAAGTCGTACCTGACTGTATTCAGAATATGCATCAAAGCCTGAGGGAGGAAGGGGATCGCACGAGCTAAATAGCAGGCGGTATATGGAATCTATTTCGGCACATAACACACTTTCAATGACATGGGTCTTGACTGCCTCAGGCAAATTCTCTCATAGTTTCCATGCACGTCTGGCGATTCTGACGACACGATGATTTCTCCCAGCACCGGCACCCTGCGAAGACTGACGAACTCCATCGTATCACGGTCATTACCGGGCGTGTAGACGGTGATCTCTATCTGTTGCGCTCGTGTTCATTTTGTGTTTCACATATGTGGAAGCTACGTATAGGCACCCACGCTCTGTAGCTATTTGTTCGCGATTACGATCACGGAGTCTCCCTCCGAGAACTATCAGATCTTTCCATCCAGTATCCTGCACTTTCAGACCCGCTTGCCAGGTAGAGCCGCTAAAGTAGACGCAGTCTTGTGCCTGTGGTCCTCTCGTTGTCATGTCGCTTTTCCGACCATCTTGGCTATTTACGATGATCATAGGCCAATGCAGCCTCGAATGGACCCCGATTGCAGTAATTAATCCTTGGCCTTTGAGGTCGGGGTTCCTACGTCCGAGAGAAGCAACAATGACATCGGCTCGACCGGCGTCTATCATCTCGGAAGGTATCACGTCGCCGCTCGAGCATCGGCTTTCTGTCACGTTTCCTGCCGCCTGAATGACCGATCGGCGATTCATTCCAACACAGTGTTCGTGACAAGGTGTCATGAATAAATTGATTAAATTCCTCGCAAAGATCTCGCCCGTGCTATCTCCCATCTTCGATCGATCAGGCCTCTTTTCTAATAGAGTCCCCACTTGATGTACTGATTACCGATATTGCCCTTGCACCGCATGGAGCCTGCGGCACCAACCTTGCCGTCCTTCTTAGCGAATCTCTTAATCGACTCGGCGACGATATTGACAACATCTTGATCGCCTACCCAGTAGACTACGGGACCGTTCGGAATGCCGCTCTCAACGCCGACTTTGCAGGCGCCTTTTTCCGCGACATCCGTATGAGGCCCGATGTTCCTTTCCCAATTCTGCACCGAGCCTTGGACTTCGTTGATGATCCCTTGACAATCGCTCACAAACGGTGAAGCATCGGAGGTACGGTCTTCGAATGTAAAATCCCAGCACTCCGTCTTGCCTGGTAGGGGGAGGCAGGGATACAGCGGATCATTCCGGTTGACTGTTTTCCCATTGTCGTTGTAAGCCAGTCGGGCCATGTTTGGGCTACAGACTGGCAAGGTTATGTAGCCGGGCGTCGTGATGTCTTGCTTTTGCAGAGCCTCAAGAGTGTTCTCTCTGCTCACATCTGCGAGATCGCCAACGTTCTGCATACCATTACGTTTCCACGTGTTCACCGCCCCAGTAACGATCTGCTGGACGGTGATCTTGCCCCAATCCTTACCATCAAGCGCGTCAATTCCTGGAGGTGCGGTGAACAAGACTTTGGAGCCAGCCTGACCTGTCGAGACATTATCCCCTTGGCAGAATGGATCACCATCGCACTGAACATTCGCCAACCCTTTGCCGGGTGCGGACAAGAGATAGTACAAGTCTCCGTCGACACACGCAGCAGTCTTGTGCATTACCGCTTTGGATATCTCTTTGTCAAGCGGGTCGATCTGGCCACAACGATAGCCAGAATTCATGACAAAGACGGCCTGGCTCGAGTAGTACCATGCGGTGGGCACTGCGAAGGCGTAAAAGGAGCGGGCAATGTTGGCGCGAAGCTCCTGCTGCATGGGTTTTGAGACTTGGATTTCTTTTTGTAGATTTTTCTTCCCTGCTATGAAATGGCCATTCTTGATTAGTGTCGTGAGCGTTTTAATGCTATCAGGTTCACCATTGAACAAGCGCTGGAGAGCGAGCTCATTGGCAGCTGCCCATTGATCGAGAGCCAGCCCCAGTGTCTTCGTGAAGCTGTGCTGAGCAGTCAAGTCCCATGCCGCCCTACTCAGACGAAGTCAGTGAAAGTACTCCATGACGGCATCAAATGAAATTTCTTAGAGCTCAGGAACGCTTACCCGCCCTTCTCCTGTAGATGATTATTGGCTGCGTCTGCACCGAAAGCAATCATTGCGTTCATGGTGTCTTTAGCCATGTCTGCAAGTTCGCCTTTTGCTGCGAACGCAGGTAGTTGCTTCAACGCTTGTGTTTTGTCAGTGCCATATTGAATGGGTTCGCCCTCATCGATTACGTACCACCATTGAGGAACGGCGCAGCTGTCAAAGTGCAGCCAAGGGAGACCAAAGAGATAAGAGTTTGGATCATCTTTTCGTTCGGGTCCGGAGGCGGAAGCGGTGCGAACGTCTCTTGAAAAATTCCCATGGAATTGCTTAGCACGAAGGCTGCAGCTTCTGTCAAGGCTTTGTTGTACCTAACGTATATCTGTGAAAAGCGTCAGAATGGCAGAGACTGTCGTAATGGAGCTAATCCCAAAGTGATACAAATACAAGCCAGCAACGACGTGATACGTACCATGTTGATCTGTGCAAAGGAATTCATGATCTCATAGCCTGCTGCACCGGCTTTGAACTGGCTGCACTGAAACATGGAGTTGCAGAATTCCCCCATCGAGGCGCAGTCGAGCCCAGGCGGTCCATTTAGGGTGTTCACAATTGACCCGGTGAATTCAAAGTCGTGGTTTGGGTTTGGATAGTCAACAGTTTCCCACGTTTTAACAGCATCGTTAAATGCATCATTGCAGCCAAGGGCCGTCCAACGCTCATCTGGCGTATAGTCAATGTACTTCGTGGCGTGAGGATCCGAGCACTCGATGTTGGTCCAGCCGCCGACGTGAGCCCCCGAATCAATCGGGTCCTGTCCAGAGCTCACTTTCGAAATATACGGTGTCCATCCTCCTGATCGGGCCGGGGCAGGATTGTATTGCTTCAAATCTGTGGCCCAGTCGGCGGTTCCTAACATCGCGAGTGCGTGGTATTTCTCCGTCCGTTCAGCTTTGACTTTGTCATCCATATAGCTTACCCATTGCGTGTCGTCGTAAACGAGTATGCTGGTGTGGGAATCTTTATCCACAAAATTCGCGTTAACCCGCCCAGATCGCCTCCGGTCAGCAATGATCTCAGATATCTCTGCGTTTGATAGGTAACCACTGGTGTCGGTACACCTTCCCGGCGTTGCAGGAGATTGAGAGGAACTGCCCTTGAAGGTGCATTGAGGTCCGTAACATCCTGGTTCAGATAAGGCAAATGATCGACCATAGCTTGTTACGCCCACAACGACTTTGTTCGAAGGAACGCCAGCTTTTGTGATCTGATGCCTATCAGCGACTTCATCGACTTATCGGTTCGAACGACGTACCATCACCAGTGCTCCCATAGTCTCAGTAATGTTGACGTCAGTTCGCAAACAATTTCCGGATGGACAGCCGATCTGTGACCATTGGTTGTTTGCATCCCACTACGGTGACACACGAATTAGTGGGTGAAGACCGAAGGTGAATTTTCGTTCGCTTACCTGGCCATGCAAATCGTACGTCATGTAGACAATGTAGTCACATACATCTGACATCTTCTGAATAGGAAACCCCTTGAGGTACCAATACGAGGCTGGTGCAGCGATAGAAATCTCCTTATCTGGCAATAGATTTCGGAGTAACTTAAGCAGCTCGAGATAATTAGTGCCGTCATCGAGGCTGGCAGCAGGTATGCCAGGGATGTCTTGTGCCTGTGATTTGCGAGCAACCCATTAGTAAAGAGAACAAACCACCATCACCAAGGGTTTGACTTACTCCGGGGTACTCCCAGTCGATGTTAACTCCGTCAAGATCATTAGCTATTATAAAGAAGGCTATGTTGTTGGCTAGAGCCTGGCGGTTCTTCGGTTTCACACCCTCACGGAAAAGATTATAAGTTGACGGATCTGTAGAAAATCCCCATCCGCCGATTGAGAGGATCCTCTTGATCTTGGGTAGCTGCTTAAATTGGTTGAACTCATAGCTGCTGAGCTCATCACCAACGTTGATCTTGAAGTTGCTGTCAAAAACGCCGAACGAAAAGAAGATGTGAGTCGAATCATGGAGGTTCAGCTGGGACGCGCTCTGGTAGAGGCATTTGCGCCCGAGATTGTAGCCCTCGTGGAATGCCATCTTTGAACGCGCTAATGGTTGTACACTGAGTACGACATCCATACCACAGTTCGAGATGCAGCCATTTTCGCCGGGCTTTGCAGTACCTGGAGCGCCTGTCGAAGACTTGGAAGTGGTGCAGAATTCCCTCGTCATACCGCACTGCTCTATGGTCAGAATACTGAACTTGATGTTATCGCATTCGACGCTCTCGCATCGAAAGAACTTTGACTTAACTGGCCCCAGATGTTGCAGCAAGCATTCAGTGGACATGGATTGAGTGATGAGATGTCGACACCAGTTGGTGGCCGCGCAGTTCCGGGAACTTGGGGCCCACAGACGGCGTTAGTGAGAGGGGCAGGCATTGGAGGGCTCCCGGGACTAATACAGATCACAGTCCCAAGCCAAATGTTACTGCAACCACTCCATCCCCATGTATTGTCATTGAAGGACGTCAATTGTTCAAGGGAAATACCGTACTTCGCCGCAATGACAGCGCAATTATCATTTGCGGCGACGGTTTAGCTAGCACAAGAACCGTCTTGATTTGGTCGTAGAGCGAGGTTGGGCAGGGTACCAGATGTACAACAAACATGCTCAAGTGGCTGAAGTGATCCGCAAAAGCCGTTTGCAGGATTGTAATTCGTGAAATCTTCTCCCGTAACGCCGCAGCGCTGTGCAAGCGAAGCACAGCTATCTCCCGATACTACTTGTATGGTACGGCAATCGCTGCGGCGGACGTTTTCGGTCTTTTCCACAGACACCAGTCGCACGACGGCTGTCGAATTGCCTCCCACTTGCGTGGCGTTCACTTCTTTCGAAGTAGTCGTGGATGCACCATGTGAAAAGGACATCGAAGTATCAAATAGAGGCGTATTGAAAATCGCCGGGCCTGTGACGTTGCGCACCTGGGGAAACGACAAGCATTTGGCTTCCGACCATGACTGAAGGGCGTTCTGCACGGCAGTGAACGTGCTGTTGCCGGTTACGATGATGCCGAAAACGTGTTCAGACGTTTGATGGGGTGAGCAGTATTGCATGGCTGCACTAGCAATATTGTCGAATTCATCTGACGACAGAGTGCTGGCGAAAGTCTTCAGTGCTGAGCTGCCTATGATTTGGTTCTGAAGGCCCTCGCCGATCCACATGCCAAATGAAGCTTGACCTACAGAGGCCATAAGCATCGTTGGACCCCTGACCGGTGCAAATCCATTCGCAATATATGCCCGGAATTGAGCGATCGTCGTTCGAGCATGCGCTGTGACGGAGAGACCACTTTGATCCGGCCAAGATCCGACCTGATATGTAGCATTGTCTGCCGTAGCGAATGGTTTCGGGGCTATGCCAGCATCTTCTGCGGGCAAGTTGCCCCAGTCGGGTCCGAAGGAAGTGCATGCGTAGATGCGATGTACTTGCTCGTCGTTATCCACACGATCAGCCAAAGCGAAATGAACAAATATGCTCTCTTGACAACTTTCGAACTGATGAAGACTTTGATAGACTTCCCAGTTCATCGGTGAGTGACCGGAGGTACTGCAGCGAGCCGGGCACGCGTCGCGGTTCTGGTAGCCAGGCGCCGCTGCCAGTCTGTGCCGGAAAAATTATGAATTTCCGGCAGCATGGTTGACGAAGGAAGAAAAGAAAAGAAAAAGAGATACGATAAATATATGGAGCTTCACGGCCGGCGTGTGTGGCCTCCTTGCATTCATCTTGACGAATTGAAGTGGTGGTAAGATCACGTTTGCACGTCGAAGAATCTCGTTCTCAGATCTTATATATCACAAGATCGATGAGCACCGGTGAGGGGCTTCGGGCGACCTTTCTGTCGAATGTTCAAAGAGCTCAAATACAAGCGGCACAGGACTATCTCACCTATGCTGCTATTCAAACGCTGGTTGAAGCCGCTGCGTCCACATCGGTGGACCTGGTTGGATACACGCGGGATGGGTCATCGCGCAGACGCGCCTTTGGTGATCTACGTGGTCGTAAGCTACAGTCGCACTGTTCGGGATCTTTTGATCATGTACCCTTCATCTGAACGAGTGGTATGACGAGACGCGGTCTACCATGGTGCTCGGTCTAAACTCCGCTTGAGGAGCGGGTATTAAAAGGTCATGCTTCACTAGGAAAGCGCCGCAAGAAAGCGTGTTTCACAGCGTCTATCGCACGACCTAGATCAAAACGGCGTAGTAATCAGTGCGCTTGATTGGCTGACTGACGACTCCCTTCCCGACATGTTGGACCTTGCGCCTGACCTTGCGCCTGCGAATGTCGGAAAGTTGATCGGTGCTTTACCTAGCCGTGAAGGAGGTTGTTGCTACGATCCGCCAGCGCTAAAGACAGTACGTAATGAAACACCGGACAAAAACAAGGTTTGATGAACTGCACATCTAGCGAGTTCTGATAGAGGATCGCCTGCAGACCTGAAACTGCTCGATGAACATCGATTGGTCAATTTGGAAGCACCCGCATTACGAAAACGATCTTCTTTTACACTTACGATGGCTGCTCGACGATGACACCTTATGACCATATTTGCTTTGCGAGCTTTCTTCGCCGCGATGCGATCGACCCAGTTCGGCAATCTAGACTTGGCTCTGAATCATGGATGAGCGGTGACCCAGAAAAATGTTGAGCAACGAGGTCAGAGTAACGTGACAGAGGCTTTCACCTGATTCAAAAACAAGCAGAAGAAACGCCCGCCAGAAAACTATCATATGATTCTGTCGTTTCATTCTGTGAGGATATATTGTACGTGTCATGAGCAGTCTACGCAAGCCCTCATGATCTGAGCGCCATTCGAGTGCTCAAACAGATCGATATAGCGTCTTTTTCAAGGCCACGGCGAGCGGGGGTATAGCCGTCCATTTGCGCTTATGATAATAGCAACAGCACAGTCAGGCCTACCCAGATCAAGCCTTTGTTAGTGAAAGCCATGCTGAGTGCGCCAGAAGTTGGTGAGGGAAGCGCGCAGGACGCAGCAGTGGCCTTGCACGCCGAGTATGAGACTGCTGCTGAAGCGCTTGAAATCAATGCAGGGTTAATGCTGATAGCACAAGGAACCACATTGGTCGGACTTGATCCCAGCACGGCACAAGAAGGCTGGCCGTCGTAGGCCACGGGATACACGTCTTGAACAGCGGTCACGTTCAATGCCAAGTAATCTGAATTGTGGCATGTTTGGTCAGAGAGAACTGACTCCACCAGCGGCCGCGGTGCTGATATGCTGGTCGCAAATGATAGACCTTGGGTTGACGAGTTGTACGAGTAGGTGACGTCGTCAGTAGGTCCGGAGCAATTACTGTATCGCAGAGTCCAACGGAAAATCCAGAGACCTTCGGATGCAGCCAATGCGCCGGTACGATCTGTCGCGACATAAATGTTTCCGATCGTAGAGTTGAGGTCCTTCAATTTCAAATCGTTCGAATATATGGTGAAGTTGGCAATGTCTTTCCGGGAGAGGCTCCAGCGGATCGAGGTCAATCCCAGCGAAGCAGCAAGTTGAGGATTTTGCAAGGCAAACAATATCGGCGTGTTGTCCGTCGGCGCCCAAGTTCCATTTCGAGGAAAGACCAGATGCACTAGAAATGTGCCTGGACCGGCCATGGCGAGCGTGGTGCTTACCAGGAGCGCGGTCACAAACAAAGACACCGCAGTATTCATGTTCGCGCGGGACAGAGCCGATGATGAGGAAGTCGGAACAAAAGAGACAAGAGATAAGCAAGTAGAACGATTGCGCTCAAGTGACGACACAGGCGCCAGGAAAGACCAAAAAAGCGCGTTCGTCAGCAAGTCTCGGAGCCAATCCGAGTGTCAAAAGAGCAGGACCGAGCCGACGACTATTCACGACGAAACGGATGGGCTCAAAGCTGAGACGTGCAGGTATGCATGCCACGCATGGCGACAACAGACAGGGCGTCGGTTCTTGCACAAAGATAGGAACCCTTTGTCTCCAACTGTTTCAAAATAGATTCGCGGCGCAAGTCACAGGAGTGAGGCACGGGCAGCGGTGCCGCAAACTCGCCGTAGACCAGCTTCCAGGGCTCCATCACAGAGATAACGTTTTCTCGGCGACCCGCATGGCGCTTACATATTCATACATACGAGTATCGCGCCAGGATACATAGGAAAGCGTTCCAAAGTTGTCTGCAAGGAGGAGCCAGGTCTGCTGTCTGGTGTTCGTCGCACAATGCATCAGCGCAGCGCATTGTTGCGGCACAGGCTGGAGTTTCAAGCTTGATCTTTTCTGGGGGTTGCTGTAGACACCTCAAGTTCTAGTCCGCGGGATGATTCACCAGATCCAGCGTCATGGCCTTCATTGCTATTTTGGTCGGTTGACTCCGTGGGAGCGACATCCTGAGCACCTGATGTTTTTGCGCTTCTGAAAGTCCGGGGATCACTGCCCTCCCCATAATGGCGCCTTTCTCTGAAGGTGCCCTTTTTCCTTTGTTCCTTGATGGATCTGGCTTGTTTTTGCGTGATTTTCGCGATTTTCGCGAGTTTGATTTGTGAAGGTTCTTTCAATCCCAAGTATTTGTAAGCTTCAAGCACTCCATATGCTCTGTTCTTCTGTGGTGTGTTGAGGTGAGCAGCCTGCGGAGCCATCGCGAGAGCAGGGCAAGTTGGAGGGCCTATCTCAGCTTCCCAACTTCAGTAATAAGAATTTGGCAACGACGTGTTGAAACAACAGGATCTTGCATGCGATCAGAGGTTTGATCAATGACTGTCAAGAGCTACAAAGGTTCGCGTCAAAAGTATGAATATTGGGAGAGCGTCGACGCGTTGATCTTTCGGAGGTGGATTTCGCGGCGGAAGTTGCCCGTTTGCCCTTTCACCACGTGACTATGTTGCAGAATAGTTGCGCATACCACCAGTGTTTGCACTTCTGTTTACTCGGAGCAAAACCTCCGAGCAGGGATGCCTTTGTAATGATAAACCGAAGCCAGGCCGCTACTTGGACTCTGATGTTTCCGTCCAAACCTTGGAAGACGTTCCTCGATTGGAACGGCGAAGTTCCCAGATCACCATCCTGAACTTCGACGATTTCCATCTACACGCTTATCCTTTGAGTCACAATGACATCTGTCAGGCGCATGGATATCCCCGAGGCTGCAGACACTCTGCACAAGTTTGTCTACTCAGGCATCCTTGGGTCCACCGAGGGAATGGGCGTGAGCTACGCGCTGCTCGACACTTTTAGACGAGAAGTTCACGTACTCTGCGGCCCTATCCCACACACCTGACCGAGAAGGTCCCGTGGATCGATTCCGAATTGAGGTTGACCGAGAAACCAAAGAGGCCTCGGCCCCAGAGAAGATCGGGATCTCAGCCGAAGAGATGCAAGCGGCTGTATTGCCGGCAATCGGCGAAACACTTGCGACATCGTGCAGATTTATCGACGGAGGTCTGAGCATCTCTTGCAAAGTAACGACGACAGAGAAGCCAGATCTCACGTATGTCGTACAAATACGACACCACGGGAATGTAGCATCGATGGATGCCTTGATGAAGTACGTGCAACAACATAGCGAGCCGGGCATTCTACCAATGCCTGCGGTCTTCTCCATTCCTGGTGAAGCGGCACATCAAGCAGCAACGGGATTCGGAGGACAGATGACACAATTCTCACCCGGTGTGATTGCAGAGCGTGTATAACCCGACATGCCGCATTCTCAAAAAATCGAATTTGTGCAAAGCATGGCACTTGCCTGGCAAGCTTGTTGGAGCGCCCCGATCCCACCGCCGCGACAGGTTGGCGAATTGCTCGCGACGACAGATGAGAACGATGTCATCAGCGTGAGCGTTGGGCCCAATCGTCACTTCAGCCTTGGTGGCCCGTTAACATCAGTGCGAGATTGGTTGGAAGGGCGAATACGACATGCTCATACAAGCTTGCAGAAATAAGAAGGTATAGATGAGTACAAAGCTCAATATCTTGAGCCCGTTCAAAGCCTGGTCAACAACCGCCTGCATTGCATCCCAAAGTCGGTATAAGACTGCCCTGTTGTGGCACTACATGTCGATATGGGTCTACACAACGTGCTCGTGGCCGATGAGAACCATGCCAAGATGAATGCCGTCATTGACCGGGAGTTATGTGCATCTGCGCCGTTCCTCGCCGCTTACGATTGCATCGATGCGCTCTTCAGAATGGGCGCACCGAATGGACATGGGCCGGGATACCCACGAGCGGACGAGCTTCGTACTGCCTTTTGGTCTGCGATTCCAAAGTGGCAGACTCACCAACAAAGTGATGCTGCAAAGAACTTCATAGAATGGTTTCACTTCGCTCGAAAGATGAAGCCCGAGTATTGCTCTCGGCAGCTACCAAAGTCTGAGAAGATGGAATTCTGGGGAGAAAACATCAGGGTTGTCGAAGCTATGCTGGCGAATTACGGTGCGGAGTGATTGTGGTTCAGGAGTCCACAGGATGAGTCGCTGGATTGGCAGCGATGCAACGACCATAGACGTATCCACGGTACTGAGCTCACGCGGCACGCGAGGTTCGCACCAGCACCAACAACACTGGAACAGGCAGGAAAGCGAGCTCGCAAGCCTTTTAACCACCTCAATCCATCTTGCCCAGCCTGGACTCTGTGTTTTCAATATAGTGGCGTGCGAAGGGTTTCGCAAGAATGGTCGTCGAGCATGCTTCCGAAGGTTGTTCATGCCGCAGCGATGATTCCGATACAACAACGAGCTGCAACGATCTCAATCTCGCCGTCGCAGCAGTCTCCATGTCCCCTTCACACAAGTCAAGAGCGTCATCTAAAGCAAGTTTAGCACAAGCCTCTCCGGATTCTACAGCTGAGATTGCGCAGTGGGGTCCTCTCGTGCGCTGCGAGTCGGATACTACGTGTACGTGGAGATCATCGCCCGAAGAGCACGCCGACGATGTTTGCGTCGAGTATCATTACCTGGAACCCCGAAGCACACACTTTCAATCAAGTCTTCCATTGCAGCGGTAGAAATTATTTCTTACAATTCGTTCCACTCCTATTCTAAACGACTTTCAGTGCAACGCGCGAATGACCTTCAACAAGTCGCCTGTGACGCCCATCGCAGTGACTTCCGCACCCGCACCAGCACCCTGAACAATGAGTGGGTTGTTCCCATACCGCTTCGTGTAGAAGTTGATGATGTTATCGCTGCCTTTCAGCGCCGCAATCGGGTGACTGGTATCAAATTTCTCCAATCCGACCTTGACCGCGCCAGCCGCGACATCGATACTTCCCACGAATCGCACAACCTTGCCTTCGGCCGAAGCCTCGCTCTTGACCTTATCCATCTGTGCATCGAACTCGGGTAGTCGGGCGAGGAAGTCGTCTCCGCTCGTGCACGACTCCAACTCCTTCGGGATCAAACTCTGGACCGGGAAAGCGGTGGGGCTGGCGACCTTCAAGCCCGCGATCCGCGCCAGGATGGTGAGTTTTCGCGCGACATCCAAGCCGTTCAGATCATCCCGCGGGTCGGGCTCGGTGTATCCCAAATCCTTCGCCTTCTTGACCTCGGCGGCGAAAGCACCGCCCGCGGCACTGCCGACTGGCTGAAAGGAGTTGAACAGGAAGGACATTGTGCCGGAGAAAACGCCCTCGATGCGAGTGACCTCATCGCCGGTGTCGACTAGCTCGCGGAGGGTGCTCAGGACGGGAAGACCAGCGCCGACGGTGCTCTCGTGGTAGATGTATCCATTCGATGGCGCGCCGGTGCCGTTCGCTGCGGCGCTGAAGATCGCGGACCACAGGTCATATGAGTCAGAAAAGGCTTTCTTGTTCGGCGTCACGATGCTGATTCCTCGTTGAAGGGCGGCAGGGTAGGAGGCAGCGAGGCCAGCATCGGAGGTGTTGTCCACGAGAACAACGCGGCCGGGTGCTTGCGCGAGCTGGCCGTAGGTCTCGTTGAGCGGAGGTGGTGGCGTGCCGGATTGGTCGAGCTGGGTGGCGACAGTGCTGATATCGAGAGCAGCCCATGAGGAGCTGAAGAGACGTTTGGTGCTTCGCTGGGCGAGAATCAACCGCAGATCAATCGCAGGAGTTTGTTGTGCGAGGCGTTGGCGAAGGAAGTCGAGTTGGCCGAGGAAGGCCTTGCCGACACCGCCGACGCCAATAACGCCAATGAAGATGGTTTTGGAGGCTGACATTTTGAGAAATGGATTTCACTGTAATGTAATGGGTTTGAAGTGGAAACGCGAGTCTGATCTATTGAACAAACTTGTTATGACAACTTCATCGAGCCAATGCGAATGCGGGGCAGTGCTGGAAATTGTGTGATCTGACCCTGACGATCATTGTCACGATCTGGCGAGGCCACGAGGGCCGCGACGGAGACGTCATCAGCAAAACACGCGATCAAAATCCAAACACAGTGTCTAGATTTTCAAACTTTCCCACAAGGCATAGTAGACACTTAGTGATACCAGCGGATACGGCACATGGGGCTGAGAAATGGTCGCTCGCTCAAAACTACCGTAACATAAATTTTATTCTATAATGGCATTAGATTAGCCCTGTCTACTTTGCTTTCGAAACGAAAATCATCGGAAGATCGTCAAGATCTGTTACAGGCTGCTCGAACCGAGTCTAGCTCAGTTGCCTGGGAAAATTACGCTGGAAACCACACAAGCAAAAAGAATGAAAAAGGAATGGCTGAGCCCGAAGGAACTCTCTCGATCGCCGATCCACGGCGGCATTCCCAGCAACTGTTTCTCGCCAGATCCTGCTGACGTCTGAGTGTCTTCCTGCGAACACTCCCCTGGAAGTAACGCCTCATGCGCCGTCAACCTTTCTGTCAAACAAGAGAAGTCGTCAAGATTTCCTCAAATTCAAAGACCCAATGCAGCGACACCAAACACAACCATGCCTCCGATGAGGAACGTTGAGGCGGCTCCGCCATACAGGGGACCCTGCGCCTTGATTGCTGCACCAGTGTGGGGCTTGGTGGAGTTGGTCGCGTTACCGGGGGCTGAGCTTGGGCTCGGGCTTGCGCGACCGGCAGACGACGGGAGTGCAGAGGCGCGCGCAGTGCTGGCCATGCCGGAGTAGGAGACATTGTTCCTGCCGTAGCCGGTGGGCACCGCGCCGTTCCAGGTGGGCAGGGCAGGCGTGGTCATGGGGAGCGAGGAGGTGATGTCTGCGGGAGGTGGGCCATAGACCAAACCGACATCGGGCTCATCGTCGTCATCGTGGTGCTCATCACCGCCGGGGGATGGAGCATCGGTCTTGAGCGCGACTTGCGGAACGGTAACGCTAGTCTTGAGCTGGCTCGCGGTGCTGCTTGAGGGGATGGGTAGACCAACAGATGGACCATTGGTGTAAGTGCAAGGAACCATGACTGTGGTATCGATGACAATGGTGGTGGACGGAATAGCGCCAACGCCACCAGTGATCGTGGCCGGCTGAGTAGGAGGGAGGGTAATGGTCAGAGTTTGTGTGCGGGTGGCGACAGAAGTGGTCACAATGGTCGTCTTCAAGTCGGGGGCATTGGCGGGGCAGTTGGTAATACTGGCGCCGCAGCTAGTGATGGTACTCACAAAGGTGGAAAATTCGGTCATGGTTGAAGCAGTGACGCTGGGCTTTGGTGGCATCACAGTATCGACGGACATCTGTGATGTGGTGAAGGTCTGGTAGGAAACAGGAGTCGATGTTGTCTTGACGACGGTCGAGTTGGCGGGGCAGTTTGTGATTGTTGCAGCACAGCTGGTAATGGTAACCACGTGAGAAGAGTAGAAAGTCTTGGTCGACTCGACGGGGACAGTCGTGGCGAAAGGAACGTGCGCGTCACCAGAGGTCTTGGGAGCAGAGGAGTTTCCTTGCATGGTGTAGGCCGTGATGATGGCAGGGTTTTGAGGCACGAAGGGTGCGCAAAGACCCATGAGGAATGTGGCCGCCGTGTTAGCATCATTCTCGTCCTTTGCCCACGCCTTGACACAACCCATGACATTGGTAATAAGCTCCGGCTTCGGGCAGTAGCAGGCATAGTCTTTGTTGTCCTTGCAATTGGCCTGGAACATCCAAGTGTTGAGACACTGCGGCAACAAACCAACAGTCTGCGGAGTTGGGGTTGGCGTGACGGCACCGGTGGAGGTAGCGCCTGTCGAGTTTGAGCCGTGGTTCACGAAGGTCTCCGTGGCTGTCACGGGGCAGATCGTAGTCGAGACGTCGACAGTCTCAGTAACAACGACAACAGAAGCTTTGCTAGCAGGGCAGTTGGTCACGCTTGCGGCACACGAAGTGAGGGTCTTGACAACAGTGGTTCGGACCGTGGATGTAGACAAGCTTGTCGTGACCCTAGTGCTGGTCCTTGGGGCCTTCGAGTGCTTCGAGTGAGACGCCTTGCTCTTCGTCGAGGTCATGCTGGAGGCGCTGTTGTTGTTGGCACCGGGTTGCGAAGAGGTGGTCGCTGGCACTGGGGATGTCAATTTGCCAGTGGGCGAGCTTGAGGTCGGCGAGCTCGAAGCAGTGCTGGTGGTACCGTCCGTCTTACCGATTCCACCAGTGGCGGTGGCGGAAGTTGTCGATGAGGCACCGGAAGAGGTGGTCTTTGCAATGGCACCAGTAGAGGTGGCACCAGTAGATGTGGTACCGGTAGATGTGGTACCGGTAGAAGTAGCAGGAGTCGAAGAAGTTGCCTTGGTGCTTGTTGTGGGAGTAGGAGTGCTCGTGTATTTACTGCTGGAGGCCGGGCCACAGTTGAAGTTGATCGAGTGAACGCCGAGCTGGCAACCAGTCTTCTTCTCGCCTACATTCTTGAAGGTAACAGCCGTGGCACCACCACATTGGGTGTTCTTGATGACAGAGCCCTGAGAGCGGCAGGTGTGTACCTGTCGGCATGAAGAGCCATCGGGCATCTTGTAGTGTGCCTCGAAATCGGTATCCTTGTCGGAAGAGACTTGGTAATGCTCAATGGAAAAGCGGTCTTTCTCGCCCGAGCATCCAATGGAAGGCTTCTCGTCGAGGTTGCCTTGGATTACTTGAGGCTGAAAGGCTCGGCTGGAGAGCTCATCTCTCTTACCGTGCGATTTTCCACAAGTCCATCCCTTGAAGTCGTTGTTGCCGTAGGTGGTAAACGAGCCGTCATTGAGGCCCTTCCAGTCATATCCAGAGCTCTGCTGGACCGTGCAGTTGTTCGCTGTGTTGGCCGGAGACGAGAACGGTGCGGCAAAGGTCCAGCCCGTGGCCAGCGCACGTTCAGCTGCCGCAGCAGTGAGTATAACCGTGGTTGAGAAATGCATTGTTTCAAAGAAGATAAGAAGAAATGAAAATGAGAGAATGGATGACCTGGAGAATCAAATGAATGACGAAGTATAAGAGTCGGACGATCCGACGGTGACACCACAATGTTCGACCTTCGCGAAGACACTGCCGAGGAAAGAATGAAGTGCAGGATGATGGCCGAGAATTGAGAGTGGGAACGGTGTGGTATTAAATGACATCTTGGTCAGAGTAACGTGGCCAGCGATACGTATCGAGACAAGGCACGGCATGATACAACTCAACTGTATCAAGTTGCGCGAGGTGGCAGTCGATTCTGATCGAGAACCCGCTTGCTGGACACGGCTTGCATAGGCTCGAAGCAGCTATGAAATGATCTCTGGGCGGCACATAGTTTCGAAGGACAGCAGGAGCCGCCTTTGGAGACTGGTCTTTCATTGGCATATGAGAATCATGCACGCATGCCGTTGCGGCCATCAAGAGTGCACTGACTGTATGAGTCCATACTCATATTGACGCTGCGTCGAATGGCTGCGTTCGGAGCTCCCTGGGACGTAAGCCGATGGCGGCGAAGTGTGGCCCAGCCGAAGGATGCCGACGACTTGAGACGGCTGATGTTGCCCTTAAGGCGGTTCACAAGACAACGTGAATTCAAGGATTGCCTACCTGTCCTCTGCTTCGCAATCCGATGCATCGCGTATGCCTTAAAAGTCTGGCCTCTCATGTTAGAGTGAAGGACGTGGGCTGGCAAATTGGATAGATCACGTCCGTCGTGAAAATCATGTATCGTCAGCCATCAAATTTCGGCCAGCACTGTGGTATAGTCGCTGCGAATTTTCATCTCTTGGTAGTGAATTTGACTCATTGTGCCAAAGATACATTGCATGCGCAGCTTTGAGCCTGTCATTGTGACAATATCAAGACGTGGACGTGCTGCCAGTGGTGTTGAGGAAGTCAGGTCGCGCTGATGGAGAGACGCCACATTGTGCACACGCGCGTGCTGACACGGGGACGGGCCCAGCCCTGGCCAGAAAGCCAGCATCCCGAGGTCTCTATTGAACAGCAAAGCGACTCATGCAATCCGATCCATAGCGTATTGAGGATTCGAGGACACTGTTGAGATAGACATATTCATGTGAGCTCGAATGAGAAAGATTAGATAGATGAGCAGGTGCACGTCGTCCTCCGAAAGAGGCCCAAGGCGGGTAATGCGACCCCAAGCCTAACTCCTGAATGATTATCGAGGCAGTTCAGTATGGATGAGCACCGCCTATGCTCTGTTTGCGCCCTTGCCCATCAATTGCCAAGAGTGCTGAGACTATGCAGACTCGGAGCTCCAATATCGGGGCCCAATTCTTTGCTCCAGGAGTTACGGGAACAATCCCGAAATAGTAAAGAATTATCCACCTTCGCATTCCGACCACATCGACCACACGAATCCATGATCATAATCAAAGCAGTGTCTAACGGTGGCATCATCGCAAGTATACGATTCACAGCTTCTCGGGTTCGTTGCCCGTGCCATCGCTCACGGGCTTAGGTGTGGGCAGCGGTACATGCGCCGCTTCAGACTCCTCAAGGCGAGCTTGCCATTCCTCATCGTCCTTATCGACCTCGTCATCCTCATCTTCATCCTCATCTTCGTCGTCTTCAGCCGTGAACGAATCTTCCTCGTCAGCCTGGCCATCAACCTCCAAGGCGGCATCCGCTGCGGCCTTCTCCCTTTCCACACGGACTTCTTTGCCGCGCTTGTGGCAGTAGTAGAACACAAACATGAGAACTGTAACGTACACTCGTCAGCGGTCTGTCACGAGGTGTGGCCTTCGAGTGCACTAGAATCGAGAACTTACTGAATACTGCAAGCGACATCACCACATTCGTTCCCGACGCCAAAAGCGGGAAGCGAACGCGCAGAAAGGTCACGACATTCCTCAGAATTCCCGCCACTGCGCCTTGTTGTGCGACCAGATTCTTCAAGCCGGGCACGCGACGCTTGCTCTTTCCCTTGGCATTCTTTCCGCCGGTTGACGCAGCGCCAGCTTTGCCCTTCTCTGCTGCCTTTAGATCTGCTCCGGGCTTCTCCGCCACAATACTCGACAATACCTCTGGAGCCAAAGAGGTGCTCAGCTTAGCTGGTAGAGTCTTCACAAGGCTCTGGACAAATGGCGGCATAGCTTTGTACTGTTTCTCAATCGTAGGGCCCGCCTCGCGCATAAGCTTATCCATATCCTCGTACGCAGTCGGTACACCATTGATCGTGTCCTTGAGGACTTGCGCGAAGCGGTCGTAAATCTTTTGAGTCTCAGCTGACAGAGCAAACACCCGGTTGTTCAAAGTCGACATGTTCATGTTGTCGAGTAGAATTGTAACCTCTCTATCCTGCTTTTCGGCAGTGGCAGCATCGTCGACGGTACCATCTTTGTTGAGTACGGGAGATGCTTGAGCATCCGGATCAGATTTTGAGGATTTCTTGAATTTCAAGGTCGTTGGTAGAGTAGGAAGAGATGGCAGGTTACTCGGCACATATGTGTTGGCATATTCGGCCCATGTGCGTTGTGGTGTCTTGCTGCCAGATGGCTCGCTCGCATTAGCATCGGTGGCAGCTGCGGGCTCGTCACCGGAGGGTTTGGTGTCTTTCTTGGAGCCTGGTACCAAATACGAGGCCCATGTGCGTTTTGCCGTCGATGAGGAGCCATCGCCCGACTTTTGGCCCTTTTCGAAGGCAGAATCCCAGTTTTTGGTGGCTGCTTCGGCTTCCTCTTGGCTTGGAAGACCGAAGTCTTTCTTGCTCGATTTTGGTGATGAGGCGGACTTGCTTGCTGCTGATGTCTCGCCGGAGCTCGTAGATTCTTTGTTGTCGGGTTGTGTCTCTGGTATAACGACCGCATCTTCGGAGGCAGCGTTCAGATCCGAGGATGCAGCTTTTTTCTCCTCGCCATCATCTGTGATCTTGGTCTTTGGTACATCATCAGGAAGGCTACTTGAGGCGATCTGTCTTTCTAGGAATTTTTCGTCCTCTTCCTTGAGCACGGGGACCTGTGGGTTACTTTTACGCAATTCCTCCTGATTGCGCTTTGCTCGGGTGAACGAGGGCAGCGTGAAGTACGTTGATGCCATCTGAGCTGTTGAGTTATAGACTTTGTTGATCATGGGCAAGTCATCTGAATTCTCCTGGTGGTCCTCAGTCTTTGAAGAAGACATTATGACGATGAGATGTTGGTGTAGTCGTTCGAACAAGGTGTCGCAATGTTGGAAACAGGCGAGAAAGTGTACACAAGGACGTCACGTCGCGACTCGGCACGGCTTTGCTATGCAAGCTCGCCACGCTGTTGCTCACAACAGAAATTGTAAGCCTTCGATGATGTCTTATGAGGTTGTTGGGTCTCGAACTTCTTCAAATCGCGGATCATCATAGGCGACGATCACTTCAAGGCCATCATTAATTACCATCATCATTCCAAGTATTGAACAGGCACTACTTAAGCCGAGAACGCGCCCCCCGCTGCATGTCCGACGTCACTGGCTTTCCCCCACCAAGCGCGTCATTGGCATGTGATCGCAGTGCTTTGCAGGCCTTTGCCGCATGTTGCTCGCGTGCCACCAAACCAGTCCTCAACTACAAGGAACAAGAGAGTTCCAACTGCGATCGACTATCGTGGTGCTCGGCTAGTCGGTTCCGTTTGCAATATCACCTTACGTATGCGGCATTGGAATGAAACATACAGGCAGGCAGAATGATCGGAATGCATCGCGCAGGAAGACGGGCAATACACCATCGCGTTGAAAAGGAGCGCCGTGCTGGCCTCACCCTATACATTATCTAAACTCAGGTGAATCAATGCCGTCGAAGAGACATTGGCATTGGGCACAAATTGGTCTCTCTAGTTATCAACTCGGTACATTTCGAGTGATACATCTTATTATTATTGAATTAGAATAGATGCGCACTTCCACAACAATCAGACCCGTGGCCCCACAACCTGTCGATGAGGAAATTGTCAGCAAGGGCTACATTTCGTTTCCAACGTGTGTGAAACTCACCCTCATGGGATGCGCCTCGGTATTGAACACCCAATCATTGGCGCCGTCGTGGTTGACGTGCCATTCGTCATCTGGGTCTGAATGGATCAAATAGCTGTACTTGAGCACCTCGGCGAAGAGGAAGGATTCCTGGAAATTTAAAATATCTCCACCGGAAGGCGCGTTGACGTCGGTGACTGATGTGAAGCCTGAGCCAACGCGGGTTGTGCTGTTGATGGCGACAAAGGCATTCCAAGCATACTATGACAAGCGTCAGTACCGTACCTTCGAGGAAAGTGTTTTATGCCACCGCCAGGTATAACACTTACGTCTTGATATCTCGTTTTGCCGGTGGCTCGATAGGCGTAGTAGAAGGATTCAATGACTTCGGGCCTCAGCACATAGGCAGAATCTGTGATGTAGAAACCTGCCCGTTCGTAGAATTCCGTTTGGTTCGCGGGAACCTCAGAGCTATCCCATCCAAACCCATTTGGGCCGATGCCCGTGAGGGTTTTGTTGTAAGTTTGCTGTTCCCCAGAACGTGTCAGCCAAAATAACACGAGTGAGCTCGCAGGATCAACTTACCTCGCATGAATCGACGAGCTGGAGACCGAAGTCGATATACTTCTGTTGTTTCAAAACGAGGCCGCCGAGAATGAAGTTACCACCATCAAAGCATGCCAGATGACCTGAGTATAGATCAAGTTTCGTGCCTTCGTAGTAGGCGAGAAAGGTTAGCTCCGGGTGGGACGAAGGATGTGATGCCAGATGAGCAATGGTGCTGTCCGCAGCAAGAATCCAACGATCGCGATAACTTGCAAAACGAGAAGAGTCGTAGACAAACATCTGTTTTCGATCCATGGTCAGCAGAGTTTCACAATCACTTCGATAAGTCTCAGCAGCTAAGCAACGATCCTGAACTTACCTTGATCAGATATTCATAGAAGCTGTCGTCGCCGCCGCCCCATCCACCATCGCCGTCCACAAAACTGCCGTTGTTGATGCCGATATTCGAGCCGACGAGTCCTGGGAATGGCTCGGCGAGCGACTGCGGTTGAGGGTCTAATAAGTACTCCTCTGCTCGCTGTGCCAGGGCTCCGTAAGTCACATCACCGGTCAGGTCGGAAAGACGAGTCCATTCAAGTACGAGCGTTCCAGCTTCAGCCAAATTCGTGGTGTTTCTACCATCTAAAGCAGGGCTGTCAGTGAAATCGAACCAATGTACGTCAAAGGCATACCTTACCATTAGTTCTGTTACCAAAGAACATACCACCGTGGGGGATACCTGTCGGAGTGTTGAAGGCGAAGCTCAGGTTGTTTGCAAGATTTGTGGCCTGACTGAGCAGGGCGCGGACATTACCTGGCTACCGATGCGACGCTTCATGTCAGCGTTTACTATTTGTCTGGGCAGTTGCGCATGCGAATAGCTACATACTTTTTGAGGGATGTAGCTCAAAGGGCCCTTGAGTAAGTCATACGCGGATAAGAGACCTCCGAGGTATCGGATGGTCGTTTCGAAGAGGCTGACTCGAGTGTCTTCGTAGCTCACGCTCCAATCAATTGTTGGCACATAGTCTAGAATGACATCGACCACTTCCTTGTTCCTCATGACGAGCGCAGTGGATAGAGCGTCGATGGCGCTGGCACCCCATCCATTCCTGAATCCTTCTTGATCAGCAGATGCTCTCGAAGTCCTCGAAATCTAGTGACTGACCGAGAATTACTGTAGCTGTTATTTGCCGGTAGGAGCTCGTCGTTGGGAAAGGCATGTCTGTAACGAGTCATCAGAACAGGCTGTTCATTACGTTGCTCGCTTTTCAACTTCGTACTTGTAATATCCGTCCCATGCGAATTGAAAAGCCTCTCTAACCGCCGCTGCTCTCGCGGTATTCGGAGATGAATTTTCATGCTTGAGAGTTGATTGGTCTGTACTTCTGATTTCTCCGAATGCCTCCGGGGCTGCTGCTCGCACTGCTGCAGCGGTACTTAAGACCGCTGTGCTCAACACACAAAAAACCTGTGCGGTACGCATGTCTTGATCGATCGCTCAGGTTTGACGAAATTGAGCGCAATCGAGGGAAACAAAAGGAAACATCAGAGATTCAAGCAGACAAAGCTCTAGGTCTTCAGCGGAAGTGGACATATGGCAGTACCAAGCTTGCTCGAGAGTACCTCTGGGAGATCTGACAGATGGGCGCGTGCCGTCTTGTCGGTGGCAGTAACAATGATGCCGAACTGTCTCACCCAGGCTGGGCATGGCCGGGAGGACCTTCCAGCAGTTATCACTCATTACATGATTCCGAGACATCGGAGAATATTTTACGGCATCGCACATGCGTTCGAGAATTGTCATCGCAAAAGCTACCGTCTTGATGCACGACGACGACATTTGGGAGGGGGGCCGTAACGCACTGCACGATGGCCAGATTGCGACGGTTTTGGATGGAAGCCAAGCAGAGAACGCCCCCAGATCCACCGAGCCGTCCCGACAACGCCTGCATACATGTACACAACCAGCCACGCGATCCACCAATACCAGTCCCCAGGGCTGCTTGGAAACAACGGCAGAACATAAACATTTCCTTGCGCACACGTACACCAACATGACGTTGCAAGATACGCAATCGCGAGCGCGCGCTTTATTGCGGCAGAACAGTACTCAAATTGGCGAAGTTTCCGTAAGTCAAAAGGACTTTCTGCGCCATAAGTCGCGCTTCTCCGGATGACAACTACTACGTGGTTGGCGAGGCGATTTCGAGATGTACATGAACTATGAAACACTCTGCAAACCCTTCGTTTCCGTGAACTACTGCAGGGTTGTCTCTCTATTTGATCCCAAGAAGTTCGATGTTTTTGTGTCTTATGTGAATATGTACGTGGAGCTGCGTACACTGGCCTTACCTAACAAACGACCAACTCGTCAACCGTGGTCTGTCACATCGCGGCGTCTGCGACCTTCCAAACACACGCGTCCTGCCAACTAGGAAAGGACGCCCCAGCGCGTCTTTTGGCATTTGAATACAAACGTAACATTTGAATAGCAGAAATCATCATTCGAGTCCTATCGTCGAATTAGCTCGAGCACGGGACCTCCCTCAGGGAAAGAAAGAAGATGCTTACTTGCTGCCTCAAATCTGGGTAAGACCGTAGCACCCGGGCGTGACGCCCTAAACAGCAGAATCCATCATCGGGGTTCTATTGTTACATTAGCTTGGGCAAGGAACGTTTCCGCTTGAAGGAGACGCTTACTTGCTGCCTCACATCTGCGCGAGACCGCAGCACGCAGGCTTCATAGCCTAATAGCAGAATCCATCATTCGGGTTCTGTTGTTACATTAGCTCGAGCATGGGACATTTCCAGAAGAAGAAGAAGAAGGCACTCACTTGCTGCCTCATATCTGGGCAAGACCCTAGCACTAGACCGTTGCACACAGAAAGGTCACGATTACTGAGTAATCATTGACAGTCTTTCCGATCCCCAGCGCAGTGTTACGAGGGCTCGAAGTCGATCTGGTCGTCGGCTCCACGGCCTCTCTGTTCAATTTCCGTGCTGCACACGTCGTAATGGTGTAATGGATTGATACCGTATGCTCGGTCGACATATTGCGAGTAGCGTATGGACCACGACTCGTCTGATCCGCCTTTGTGAGGTCGAGGTACATGCCGACTAGCGCTGGAGGTGAACGCATCGGTTGCGGCGATTATATAATCCTGACTTCTTGTATGACGGTGTTCACGTTGCTGTAACTTGCGGTATTACAGATCTAAAGCACATGTTGGTATCACTTGTTGGGAGCTGGTCCGGCCAGGCAATAAGTCATTGCGATGGAGCAAAGAAGTGAACAGGCGAGCCTTTGGAATCGGACAGCATGACCGTCATGCCAGGCAGTCCGGAAGGAAGATGAGGAGAATGAAAGATGTTCAGAAGACATGAGGTTCAAGTATTTATATCTGTCTTCCTCAATGTTTCGAACGGAGACTAATTTTCCGATTGATATGAGGGCATTGCTATTCGCGTGAGCTCGAGCATTGGACGAGGCTCATATCGTAATCGTGAGGGGAGCCGAATCGGCAATACTCGCGATACACGATGGAACAGAATTCCGAATGGTACTACCAGAGGTGTTGCGGGAGAAAAGCCGTGCGAGTGTATCGCGAAGCCGCAAGCGAAGTCAGCATAACACAGATTCGTAGAACATCGGATGATGCGGCTCAGGCAATGACGAGATGTTCGCTTCGATCGTTCATCGTATTCAAATGAGAATGTACGGGCATGCCTCCCGTTAAGAAAACATTGGCGGAAGAACAACAGAGGCAGCTCGTGATGTCTCGGAATCATCGACAACCTTGGAATGCTTCGAGTCTTCCACCGGTCCTACACAGTTCTCCAAATCAGTTTCGGTCACTGTATACGCTAATACCATCGACGTTGTGTGTGGGGCTTGGTCATCTGATTTCTGATAATAAAGAAGCTCAGGAGAGACTCGGGCTGTGTAATGATTACACCCTGCATCTCAGGGTTACGGTCAAACGAAACACTTCAGTTCACCTAACGACAGATCAATCGGAAATCCTTCTGTGCCTATCGGACGTGGATGAACTGACAACGATGATGGTTCGCGGGCTTCTGCGACTGCGACCAAAAACAGTATAGCCTGGTCCTGTGCGCATTTCCGAATTGGTGCTGATGTTGGATATCGATTTTGCGTCGTCGTATAATTGTCAGAGTATGCTGTGCACAACAGAAAGATGGGTCGCCTTCCGACGCACTCCCTGGCTGCTTGGAACCGTTCACGCAGGATCATATCCTGGAGTCGGGATTCATAAACGCTGTCGAACAAGGCACGTCTTTGGATGGATAACAACCTTGGAACCTACCTAGGTGGTAGGCCACCTCCAACAACACAGTACTGTACATGGGTTGCGCAGCCCGGCGCTTCTCCATCGGGATTTCAGGATTCATCTCGGAGCTGGCCAATTGCGAAAGTTGTGACGTCAGTGGCCACGGAGGAGATTCCAAGCTGGACACGCCTGTAGGCAGTTCTGCAAAGAAGGACGATAAACACAAATATCCTTCAGACACCCATCATGGAGGGAAATATTGTAAAAGTGATGATTGAATTGCGAGATGTGTTCGTTGTCACGAAGACGCCGCAAGAATAGCTGGGGCAATGTATCATTGTTGAAGTCCATGCTGTAAATGGGGAATCGTCCGGATTTACCAAGATCTATAACCGTTACGATCGGATGTATTTTCGTCGTCATAATTGCCAGGCCAAGGCCAGTTCGATCTAATAGTTCTGGAGGCAAGGGATTTGTTTGCGTTGTCTGTGGTTTAATTTCCATCACGGATTTTGATTCTATTATATACTTGTTTGACCTTTTCCAAAGCAAGATGGCAGGCGACGAGTCTCCCGAGCGTCGTGTATCACGACGCTTTTCAATACCGATCCCATCGTTCCCCGGTATCAAACGCAAACAGGACAGATACCAGACCAAGATCCAGCGGCCAAGATGGGTGCTACACGTTCAAGCGACGTTCTGGCGCACGCTGATGGGCTTGGGAATGTTCTTCCATCGCCTCGCACCACCACGGCCGCCTCATCCTAACTTCCACCGCAATATCCCCAGCACGGTCTCCAACCGGCATGGTGTCATCCCACTGCAATTCTACGTACCCAAGGACTACGAGACGATACGACGACAACATATTCACGATGACGGCGCGCTCCAGGCTGCAGCTGCAGCATCGGGTGGACACCACATATCGAACAGGTTACACACGTTGAGCAACAGTGTCAGGAGACGGAGCATTCAAGCACGGAAATGGGGTGGATACCCAGTGGTGATCAATTTCCATGGAGGCGGCTTCACCTTGGGAACTGCAGTGGACGACGCGCGGTGGTGCGCTACTGTCGTCGAGGAGTGCAACGCGATTGTCGTCTCAGTCGACTACCGCCTAGCTCCTGAGCATCCATTTCCGACTGCTGTTGACGATGGCGTGGATGCCGTACTGTGGATACACAAGCATGCTGCTGAATTGGGGATCGACCCCAACAGGATCGCGCTGTCGGGCTTCTCGTCAGGCGGCAACATGGCGTTCTCGGTACCTCTACGGCTTTACGACCATCTCACAGACTTCACCCGTATCGCATCGAGCACTCGTACTAGTCTGGAGGCACTCGTTACTGTGAACAGCGAGGCATTGCCGAATGACTCCGCCAGCCGACTCATCTCAACACCGTCGGCGCCGTCTTCCTCGCATGGCGTCTCGGTCGCATCATCTTCCAATGCGAAAGCCTCCGCCAAAACAGGCGCAACAGCCACTGTCTCCGAGGCATCGCGTCCTGTCCTCGACATCAAACTACGCTGTATAGTTCCATGGTATCCTTCCCTCGACTACACCCGCACCAGAGAGTACCGTCGTGCGACGTGCAAGCGCGCTGACCAGGAGCTGCCTGCGCTCTTTACCGATCTCTTCGACGACTCCTACCTGCACCCACCGAAAGACGTCGCCCTCGATTCGCCTTATCTCAGCCCCGGCATCGCGCCTACAGCACTGCTTCGCCGCGCTCTGCCCAAGAATATCATCATGCACACCTGCGAGTGGGATATGCTGCTCGAGGAAGGCGAGGAGTTCCACGAGCGATTGATCAGCAAAGAGGTGGGTAAGCAGGTCGTGTACACGATGGTGCCTGGCGTGCCGCACGGCTGGGACAAGGCGCCGAATCCGATCAAGCCGACGCCTGGCGTGCGTGAGTACTATCTCAAGGCATGTCGCGAGATCCGGCGTTGCTTGGACGTCGAAGGCACTGTGGCTGAATACGAAGACGAGGATGGACAAGTGACAGCAGCACCCGAGGACGCGGAACCTCTGGTGCGGTGAAGGCCCGTCACGCGCGCAGGACGACGACCCGTCTATAAAATCGGCCTGCGCCAACAATTTTCGCTATTCCGAGACCTACGAAATGATTGAATGTCCATGTTATAGAACATATGTATCTTTCTGCAATATATGCATTGCTATACACGTGATGGACAGATCTCCTGCTTGCCTACCAAAATAACGCCCCGGTTCCAGGACTGATGGACGTGAACCAAGAGTCAGCTGTCACGTATTTGACGACTGACCAAGCTGAAGCAATGTCGAAATGACCTGGGCATGGATGAATGTCCTGCCGCGGGCCAGTGTTGACAGTAGTCGCTCACCTGCATCACGGTCACAAAACCTTGCCAATGTCCAAGCGACCCTGAGCTTTCCAAGCTCTACGGTGAGAGGCTTGCATGTGATGAATCCTCTAACCTCTTTCATCACATTGCGACTTTGGGCCAACGCGACGCGACCGCGCGGGTCCTACGTTAGATCTATTTTGCCCTGTATGTGTGGTTGGGAGTGCAGTGCCGGCATTGACTGTATCCGTGGCTATAGCGGGCAGTGCAGCGCTGTCAGACGCGACTTGTTTTTTGTTGTTTATCTCCGTGCCGTTGATTGCTCGATTTGTTGGTTCTTGCCAGGGAGAAACGAATATGACGGAAACCTTGGAAACGCAACAATCCGACCGGGCGGAGAATATTGGACCCCGTTTTGTCCCCAAGGTTGGCTGGTAAGCCACCCTCTCGTTCTACATTGTCTATCACTCCGCCAATTTCCTCGACATGTGTTACTCAACGCGATGAGTGGAATGTTGTACTGAATGACAATCTCGAGCGGAAGCGCAAATATCGTGCGTGGCGCACGAACAGAAGGAGGAGCTCCAGTAAAACCAAGAATCCGATAGCTCCGAGAATGTCCATGAAATAAAAAGCACAGTGCCCGGCAGTGCCCAGCTGCCCTTGCTTCGATGTGCCGTCCGTTTGGAATTCGTGCTTGCCAACCCTGGAGCCGACTGGATGCTTGCGCTCCGCCGCGGTCAAGGTTGCGCGACTTTTTCCGTACGCTTTCACCTACAGCGGTCAAGCGAACGGCATGGCATACATAAATGGAAATTGCAGTTCTGGCGCAGAATGTCTCCCGACTGGAACGGACGTGTACGGTTGTGACGCCGTTGTCCTGACTTCTCGGCGTGGACCAGATTCTGCTTCAGGTATCCGGGAGGAGGTATGCGTGGTTGGAGTTGCGACAACAACGTTTATCATTCCGAACCACAGGAACAAAGGCATAAAACCCTATCCTAGTCACCGCATGATTACCCTGAATATGTTCAGCGTCGCATCACGAGATACAGAGACGAGCAGTACCACAGTATTGCCTTTGTGGCGTCCTTTGAATCATTCCCTATGGCCCAGCCGAGCTCCAGCTTTCCACAATAGTGACGACTATGTTGAGTGACACAAACAGCACACAAAGCCTCAGCAGCTGGAGGCGAGAATGGATACACACAGGTAATGACTCTAAAAACAAGGCGGGCAATGCGGAAGGTGCAGGCAGGTACAGGAGGAGGCGAGGCAAGTGCTGGTGGTGGTATGCAGGTGCGTGCGCAGCTGTGTGTGTCCAATGTTCTGAGGTCTGATGAATGTGTCGATTGTGGTCAGCCCCCTAGGCAACGCACCGTGGAAGCAACATTGGAGCAGTGACAACAGCACAGCGCTGGGCGGGCGATCAGAGTCCAGCCTACACACTCAGTAGAGTGACTGCCGTACAGCACACACATCTGTACACAGTAGAGTGAAACAGACCAACACACAGGAAGAAAACGCCCGCAGCATCAATAGCAACACACCGGCGGAGGCGGGCATTCGGCGGCCGTGGTCGTATGAGAGCCCTGGAGGAGTGATGTGTGTGTGTGAGAGATAAGCGTACTGGGATTTACCGTCACGGTACGCGGGGTTCACCCCAAATTTACCAGGTCAGAAGCCCGCCCGTCTCCCTCGCTGTCAGCCACTGCCCGCTCACTTCCTCATACAAATTTTGTTAGCAGTCCTCTCACTGTGCTGTTCTCTCACACAAACTTCCCTCTCATACAACTCACTCTACTCACTCACAGTATAGCACTGCACTCACACGCGGTATGTATGGGCTTTCAATCACGCGAAATCTTCCAATATCCAACACAACCACCATTCATTCTTTTCGTGTCGTCGAACTTCACTGGCAATAACACTCGTTTTCCGCGCGTCAAACACGCGATTCTACGTTGTTATTTACAAGAAACTCCGTCGCAAGCACGCGTCTGGCAATCACCAAGCACCGCGCAATGAGCGCCTCGGCAGCATCGTTGATCAAGCCAATGACCAATCGACTGCTCGTCGCGCGCGCACCACCACGATTGTCGCAACAACCCGATTTCTGCTGGTCGTCGTCCGTCGGTCGCGTGTGGAATGAACACGGACTTGTAAATGATCAAGATCGATTAAAACATCGATTGCAATCATACGCTTGACCGTGACCACCACCGTGACGAGACTCCGCATTGCAAAACGACGATTGACCTTCCGCAACACACGCTGCTCGTTTTCCCATCGATCGCATCGATTGACGCGTCGCGTGTTTAACTTGGACTGACGCAATTTGACCACAGTGAATAATCAACACACACATATCCATCAAAATGCCGAAGGAAAAGACCACCACCCGCGGTACCCGCAAGACCAAGGACGGCAAGAAGAAGAAGGGTGAGTCGCCTCATCTGACTGATCGACGTTACCGATCGTTGCTGGCGCATCGTTGCTAACTATCCTTCACAGACCCCAACATGCCCAAGCGTGGTCTCTCTGCCTACATGTTCTTCGCCAACGACCAGCGTGACAAGGTCCGCGAGGACAACCCCGGCATCAAGTTCGGTAAGACTGACCCAACGGCGATGGCGATATCCGGTCGTCGTTCGATCAATCGTTAAAGAAATTGATTACTGACTTCGATTCCTATAGGCGAGGTTGGCAAAGTCCTCGGTGAGAAGTGGAAGGCTCTCGGCGAGAAGCAGAAGGCTCCCTATGAAGCCAAGGCTGCCGCCGACAAGAAGCGGTACGAGGAGGAGAAGGCCGCCTACACTGCTGTGAGTCTCGTCGGCGCCGCCTAACATTCACTTGCAATGTACTGATCGATCTCCATTTAGGGCGGTGACGACGACGAGGATGAGGACTAAGCGCGATCCGCGCCCTTTCCATCTTCTCCTGCAAACTTTGTCGGTGACACCATCGACCTGTCACGAATATTCTGGCTCCCCATGAAACCTCTCTTGCTACTCTCTCGATATACCATCTACCATCATGTTTACCAACACTCTCCCCCTCTCGCTCGATCGGGTCTATCATGTGAGCCAGACATGTGACGGGTCTCGCTTTGCTCGTAGCTATTGTACACTGCGATTGCTATTGAATGTATGGTCGAGCATAAGACAGCTTAATGAATCTTCGTCTTCTGTGGGTTCGGCTTGTTGTTTTGGTTGGCGTTACGATGGTTTGAAGGAGCGGTAGATTATGTGACTCTATCGTACAATTGCGTTCGATGACATTGATAGGCTCTCCTCGTGAAACGCGTCTCTAACTATGGAAGTTCACTCGGAACGTTAATAGCATCCTGATGACAACATTTGCAGCAATTGACGATTCACGGTAGGGTTGACGATCAGATGCATTGTGTGTTGTCACCCATTGGTCGTTGATTTCATGTTTGTGAACTTGGGACGATAATTACGTTACCAGCGTCTTCCGTCATCAAGGATCCCGTAGAATATACATTTCCAATAATCCGATTTTGTTTGAATAGCAGCGAGCAGTGCAGCTCATCGCCATGCGTGGCATCCTGTCCGTCCAGATGTCGTTCCAGGGTTGGGGTTGGACGATGTAACCCCAACCCTAGCAGACGGGAGTACGTGGATTTTCGACGCGCACATGCTGCTGTGTCGTTCGTTCATCGTCACATGAAAACATTCAAGCTCGCAGTGGCATATGCTGACGATCCGGGCATCTCATTCCGTCGTCTTCACTCATAGTTGACTTGATTTGAAGAAGGATCGGAGTCCTTATTGACATGCATCCTGCAACACGGAGCTTGCACACTCCTCAACGATGATACCCTGTACGGTCTTCGATATCCGTCGCGGTTCATATCCAGTACTGTTACTCAGCAATGGAGGATTTGTTTCATGATATCCGTCACAGTGACGATCCTCAAACATATAGCAATGCATCCACGTTGCAGGCCGGCATGGACAAGCGCGAAGTAGTGAAGGAATGCGTGCATTCACGAAGGCCCGTTCCTGAGCCTTGTATGCTATGCATACCTAGGCTGGGATCAATGTGGCCGCTATGCTGGTCTCTTTACCCGAGACCTGTTCTTGGATTGTACCTGCGTCAATGTTGTACAGTAGACCGACCGCGGGACATCGAAGCACACGCTTCATCATATAGAACCGCCGACGATCCCAAATCGGTACCAGCGAAGGACTCTTTCCGCCAGACTCGGTTCCTCTCTGTTACGCGCGCGTCGCTGCTGATCCTGGATTCGCGACCGACCAAGAGACCTGCCCGGAGAATACAATAGTGCTGTAGTATTGTGAGAGGAGGATGGACGGGACACTGGTCCGAGCTCTGTCGTCGTTTTTCTGGGAGTGCGCGTCTACAGAGCCGCTTTCCAACGGCCAGACAGCGCGTCGGCCAAAAATAGACAGGGAGACATGAACCCTGCGTCGTTCCCCGATGCGACCAATCGGAGAGGACGACGCTCTCTGCGTGGGCCGCCTCGAAGGGTCCCTGGGCTCATGATGATGATGGCATTGTTTTGTGTGACGCGTGGCATTATATGGGGCATTTCTCCTGGCTGGGATCACAGCGAAAAAACATCCTGCCCTTCATTACTGTATTGGAAGGATGATGCATCGCTGATGATGATGAGGCGCTCACAGGGGCCCATCGGTGGATTCTCTCGGCTGTAGTAACGGTCTCGCCCAACGATCTATATATTATATCTAGTGACTGTGATACACTACAATTACCCCTACGGCGAATTTTGATTGCTACGCCCGAGAAGTCCAGCCGCGTGTCATGTCACGTTCAGTCGTCCTGCCCAGACGCATCGTCGACTCAGATCTCTTGGTGGTTTGGAGCGACGAACCGAGGCAGGAGACGACAGGATGAGGGATACAGCGCTTACGATCAGATGGTCTCATACCAATGTCTGGCGTGGTGATGCTAGGAAATCATGGGAGGTTCATGTTCTTGATGAGGAAGGCTGAAGACGCCATTTCATTGGGTGACAGGGCAGAAATGGAAGCGCGCATCTAGAATTTGCAGGACAATAATAAACCTCCCTCCAGCTCCAGCTCCAGTGCAGAGTGGTGAGAGAGAGGGTGCGTGGTGGTGCACTGCCAGTCTCCCCAACGTTTCGTATTCATTCTTCGCGGTTACGCCGGCCGCGTTCCCGTTTCACCACTAGTCCCGTGCCGCTTGGCCGTGTCGGGAATCGCGTGCACATGTTCATGGAAGTTTTGGTGGAATTTCTGGTGGACCCGTTACGTCAAAGCGCGAGCAAAGCAGCATCAGTGCGAATCATGCCGCCGCCGCTTGAACGGTATGTGTGTGATGCGACCCTGTTTGTCTCTTGTGTGTCGTTGTGACATTTCATCCTGGGTTGCTCTTCAATCCATTTTCCGCATTGTTCATTCCCCCTACTTCTTCTCATTGTACTGTATCATACATCTTGCGTTTCTTTCCTTCTCTGTAAGCGTTCCCGGACTGGCCTGTGGTGAGGAGAATATACAGTGATCCTCCACTCGCCTCACTGTCGCTACATCAAAGTTTCCAACAACTTTGGCAGTTTATCGTCAAATACCGCCTCAACTGGCGTGACTCCAGGCTCGTCAATTACACCTCTTCTGTCTATTACGATCTACAGATCTGTGAAAATACTGGCCTCAACGACCTCGAACCGAGAGGGAGACTCCCATAGCAAGTATGGATCTCGTTGAACTTGTCCATCATGTGGTACCCCGTCAAGACCAAGGCACTGGCAATACTTTCCTGGACACAATAGGCAATGCCTCAAAGCAAAAGGTAAATTTGCACCACACGGACCTAGAGACTATTGTGCACCTGGAATGCCGTAGAACTAATCACACTCTTTCACAGATCGATGGCAAGGCAGCACTCTTCTCCTTCGGCGTGTCCGCCAGCGTGGGAATCTTCTTCGTCATAGTTTTCTGTTTCGTTCGCCCGCACAACAACGTCGTCTACGCACCTCGAGCCAAGTACGCCGACAGCAAACATGCTCCGCCACCAGTCACCCGGGGGTTGTTCGGCTGGCTGAAGCCACTCATCACCACTAAAGAGACGGAGTTGATAGAGAAGATTGGTCTGGATGCCACAATTTTCCTGAGATGTGCCCGCATGCTGAGGAATATATTCGCCGTCTTGAGCGTCATCGGTTGCGGTATCCTGATACCCGTCAACATCGTGGCTTACAACAAATCACCCGTCGAGCAACCGCCACCCAACACTGACCGAATCGACACCGGGTTCAAAATGATGACGCCGGTATTCCTGTACAAGGATTTCGAGCTCGCATGGGCTTACGTCGTCGTGGCGTGGCTTTTTGATATTGTCATCTGCTTCTTCCTCTGGATAAACTATCGGGTAGTTGCCCGTTTTCGACAGCAATATTTCGAGAGTTCGGAATACCGGAACAGCTTACACGCGCGAACTTTGATGATTACCGATATACCGAAAGAATTGCGGACCGACGAGGGCATCACTCGTATCATTGAGGGCGCTGGTGGATCCAGAGAAACACCAAGAGCGGCAGTTGCCAGAAACGTGAAGGACCTGCCGGAGCTGGTTGAAGAGTATGAAGACTTGGTCAAATCATTAGAAAAAGTGCTTGCTCGATACTTGAAGAACCCGGATAAGTTGCCGGCGACTCGTCCGTTGTGCAAGCCTTCGAGCAAAGACAAATCCTACACGAAAGGCCAGAAGGTCGATGCGATCGAGTACCTGACCAATCGCATCAAGCATCTTGAAATGGAAATCGAGCAAGTCCGGGAATCCGTCGATAAACGAAATGCGCTTCCCTTTGGCTTTGCCAGCTTCCAAGACATTGCCGAAGCTCACGCGGTGGCATATGCGACCCAAAAGAAGGCGCCTCAAGGAACCACCATCTCCCTTGCCACCAAGCCGAACGATCTCATCTGGAGCAACCTACCACTTCTCAAACAGGACAGGAGATGGCGGACGATCGTGAACGCCATGTGGATCACGCTGCTGACGGTAGTATTCATCATCCCTAACATTCTGATCGTCATCTTTCTGGCAAACTTGAGCAACTTGGCTGCTGTTTGGCCAGCATTTCAAAAGACCTATTCTTACAACGACAAATTTTGGTCTGCTGTGCAAGGTATTCTGGCACCCGCCATCACCTTTCTCATTTATTTATACCTTCCATCCATTTTCCGACGAATCCGCGTGAAGGCTGGAGATGTCACAAAGACGAGTCGTGAGCGTCACGTCACCGGAGCACTGTAAGTTTCATCCAAAACGATGGCGATTCTCAGGCGGGCGCTGACTGTGTAGATTTGCATTCTTCGTCTTCAACCAACTGATCGGCTTCTCCCTTTTTGCGACGGTCTGGTCCTATATCATGGAATTCACCAAACATGAAGATGTTACCCACACCAATCTCGCCAGCAATATCATTATACAGATGTCCTCCATGTCTGCATATTGGGTTTCGTTTCTACTCCAGCGCAACCTTGGTGCGACAATTGATCTCATTCAGCTGCTGCGACTGACGTATGGCTCATTTGAGCGTCGTTTCTTGTCTCCAACGGTACGTGCAGCAGGTGTAACCATTTGCAAGCACCCAACTGACTGTCGTTCCAGCCGCGCGAGCAAATCGAAGCCAGCGCACCTCAGCCGTTTGACTATGCCTCCTACTACAATTATCTGCTCTTCTACTCGGCAGCCGCTTTCGTAATGGCCGCCATCCAGCCGATCGTCCTAGTCATTGTCGCGGTGTACTTCAGCTTTGATTGCTTCGTCAAGAAGTACATGTTGATGTACATTTTCATCACCAAAAACGAGTCGGGTGGGATGTTCTGGCGCATGGTCTTCAACCGAGTCCTCGCATTCATGCTTCTCGGCAACATTCTGGTCGCCTTGGTCGTTCTCCAACTTTCCTTCTATGAAGCGAACTGGCCCAAGTTAGCAGCGCTCGCGCCGTTGCCCATTTTGGTCATCGCATTCAAGTTCTACTGTGTCCGGACGTATGACCAAGGCATGCACTTCTATCAACAGGGTACACCTCTCCAAGATCCGGAGCACATGAGCGGCATGGACAAAAAGAAGGCCATCAAGCGAGACAAGGTCGGCGTCAGATTCGGAAACCCGGTGCTGTACAGACCTCTCATCACTCCGATGGTATCTTCAAAGGCTCAACACCTCCTCAAGAGCATCTACTCCGGCCGAACCTCTGTTGACGTCGCACAACTACGCAACGGCGGCTACAGTGACGTCTACATGGACCCCATGGACCCGCGGAACCCTGGAAAGGGCGCCAAAAGTCCTTCGGCGCCGTTTGAGATCGTCAACGAGGACGAGATGGACTTTGAGCACTTCAAGAACCGAGCCGAGTTCCGTGATGCTGCTGGTGGTAACGGCCAGCTTTTCGGTCACGCGGCAGATGTCATTCGCCCTGGTACACCTTCCAGCACAATGACGGGACTGACACGTGCGACGACTGTGGATTCCTTTGAGGATTTCCACCACCGCAAAGATTCGAATGGCTCTTCCTCTGCTGGGTACCACTCTCGTGGTGGCTCGAATGCCAACTTCGCTCCTGGAGGCAAGTACTCTCACATGCGCGACGACTCCAACGCGACCTCGCTCGGTCGCAGTCGCAGCGGCTCCCGTGGCTCCGACACCACTCGCGTGGGTGGTACCGAGTACCCTCGCGGCTACCACCAAACCCCTTCTGCTCTCCGCGAGCACTCTCCCGCCCCCAGCCAAGACGGCGGCATCGCCGGCTTCCGCCCGGACTATTCCCGCGCCGCCAGTCGTGAGGTCCTCGTCTCCGGCGCGGCGGACATGGGTCAGGCTCCGATGCGTGTGCCATTGCCGACCTCGGCGATGAACCCTGCCACGCAATACAACCAACTACCCTACCAACCCCAACCCCAACACCCCAACCATCTCTATGCCTCGAATCCCTACGCGGATTCACCGGGCGTCACGCCGCTCTCGGATGGCGGTGCTGCGCCCGGAGGCGGAGATGATACGAGTTATGAATATTTCCGCCGCGGAAGAATGAGCGAGCGATGAACTTAGAGAAAACGAAAGGCAGAAAAAGCCACTTGCATTAATAGAGAATTTGAGATCTCGAAAAAGAGAAAGGCATGGCCATCTCAAAAGTTTAGAAGAGCGAGCCATTGCTGTGTCATAGAACGTTTTGTTTTCTCCCCTTCTGGAGAAGGAGTTATGGATCTACGGGCACTTTTCTTCGAGTAAGCGGATGGGAAATCCCCGCATGGATTTTCATTTTCAGACAAAAGCATTTCAGCGCGGGAATCAATTTCGTACGTCATCTCTTCCATTGACATTGTCATCGACAGTCTCATCGTGATCTCCATACACCACAGAGCGACAATGCATTGCCTAGTAAACGATAGCATCGAATAGCCTTTCCCTTAGCCCTGGAGGGCGAGTCACGTGCCATTCGTACCGCACTCATGTCGACCACAGATTAGCCTTGACCCGGAAGGTGTAGTGTCGTAGTCGCACGACGAGTCATGCGGATGTGCACTACCATTATCGTCCGCTGTTGCAAGCGAGTCGTGTACCGCCGGCGTCTCACGAGAAGAAGAAAAAGGCGACCTCGAGAAGTCACGGTAGGACTGGGCTGTGCTACGGTGCCCTGTCGGACGTCCGCTGCGACCAGGGGAAATTGGACGCGTGGAACTCGTCGGGCGACGGCGTGGCTCGGCGCGGGAAAAAAGCGTCTCCTCACTCTCACGCACTCAGTCAGTCTGGTGCCATTTCCCTTGCGCCCGAGGGTCGTTGGAAAATGAAGTTATTATTGTCCTGTTGTATTGGGGCATTGGCGTATTATTATCATCATTAGTCCGAGAGGCACACGGGTGACGACTGGGTTTGCTTTGACTTCTCTCAGGCCGCCGTGGCTGCTGTGGCGGCGGTGGCATGGATGGATTTTTGACAGCGCGCCACGGACGGCTGCGGCGTCGGGTGGGAACTGCTGCTGCTGTGTGCAGGTACTTTGCACCGTGCCTCTGTGACCAAGGCCACAGGACACGAAACCGTCCCGACATGTTGTACTCAGCCTCAACCTTATTATATATTATATACATTTATACATATGTATTCTTTGTCCTGTTTCGTTGGCAATCGCCGTGCAACAATCGCACCGAGGAAGACGATCGAGGGTCCTTCCTCTCGGGATAAATCTGGTAGAGGCGAGGCTGGGCCGAGAGGCGAAAGGGACACCGCAACGGTTTTCCCTTCCCCAGATGGGGAAAACGAATGCTGTACGTGCCTTGCGTGATGACAGGAGCCGTTGTCAGCCTGCCCGGTTTCTTTTTTTCTCCGCTCGCAATGCATGTCGTATTCTGCATAGGACCAACGGCGCGACCGTTGGACACGACGGAATTTCCCTCTTTTTTTAATCTTTTTTTGATATCTTGTTGGGGCCGTCGTCCACGCGCCATCGACTAATTTTTATTATTATTATGATTATGGCTAGAGAAGGGACGAAGGAAGTCGTCGTGTGACCACTTTCCTGACTGCTACTAATGTACGATGATTGAAAGCCCTGCAGGTGCGCATGTAAAAATGGCGGCACACGAAATACGGGAGAACTTGTCCTCCCCTCTCTCTTTCTCTCTCCTCCGAGTGCTAGGTTACGACGGAAGATGATTTGAGACGGCCAAAGGATGAAACATGTACTGTAGTCGAGAGGACAGTAAGTATACTGCAGGTACCCGCCCGTGGGACAGCTACAGCGATGAGTGGAGGGAGAGACAGAAAGCAGCAGATTATTCTTATCATAGGGAGAGACATTGGGCGCATGGTAAGCGCTGTGAGCGCGCTTGATGCCGATGATGACAGGAGGACAGGAGGAGGAACTGCCCTGGGTAAAACGCCACACCACCACCTCCACCACCACCACCCCCGACGCCCATTGTTGGGAGGTCGGGAAACCCCTGGCATTTGTTGTTTCCCGTCATCATATCGTCGCCGCCAATGTACAACGCAAGTGTGGTGGCTTCCTCCTTCACTTCCGCGTGGGAAGTACTGTACCAAACCTTCACACACAACGGGACCTGCCACGCCAAAGTTCAAGAAGAGAACAGGCCCAGCTACAGTAGTACCTAGGTGTATGTAGGATATTCTCGTCGCGTGCGTTGTTGTCCGTCCTGCAGCTCCTGCCGATGCGGGTACATACAGCAATAATAATAATAATAATAATAATAATAATAAGTGGTCGATTCGTGCACGGCAGTCTCCCAACTCCAAGTCTTTTCTTACTACACAGTCCGTGCGGGCGGCCGGCGTGTCAGCCCCATCTTTTGCCCAACGGCGGCATTGGGGAAACCCGGCATGGAGGACCCACCACCTGCATCATGATTCATCCGTCCTCGAACGTCGTCCCTTGTTCCTGACGATCGCTCTTCTTCTCCACTCCACTCCGCAACTTTTCCTTGTCCGTTGCCCACCCCCCTCATCGCTGGACTCCACCTGGTTGACACCGTCTGCTGCGATGATCACCTGGCCATGCATGCCTCATGAGAATGCGGGCACGAGTAGTACCCATCGTCATACACCGACGAGAGTGAAGTACGCCTGTCCCACCGGGGCGGCTGGGTGATCGCTAGGCCAAGGGGTTGGCCATGCCTGCTGGATCGTCTTGACTGCTAATTCCTTAGGCTCTAGCAAGGCGCTTGGCCTTTTCGCGGCGTTGCCTGCAGGCCTACGGCGGAAGATCATTCCTTCGGTGTGATTGACTCGTCCACAAGTACCTGAAACGCGTGGGAGGGCAAATATCGCACTTGTCGTTACCTGCTCCCCTCCCAAAAGTGGATCGATGTGTGCCTCCATGACACACCGACGAGGCTGTAGGGCCGCTGTGCCGTACATTCCGGACGGACAATGCATACTCCCTCCGAAATAGCACGACACTGGCGATTTCCAACAATGCCCATACGTTCTCCCTAGCCCATGACGATGTTCCTCGTCTTAATTCCCTTTTCTTCGTCCGTTTGACTTGGCCTTCTCTTTTCTTCATCTTGGTACATTCGATATCCCGTTGCAGGTGCTGGTCGCCTGTCTTTTGCTCGTTTGGCTGTCAGAACCACATTCACACTCATTGTTTCCAACCAGTCCTTCAACCCATCGCCATCCAGCGGAATCATATAACACACTCTTTTTGCCTCTCAAACAAACACACATTCATTCAATCGTCACAATGGCTTCTTCACTCTTCTGGGCAGCATGCCTATTCGCAATCCCACATGTCATGGCAGGCGGCCAGGTGCCCTCTACCAGCAGACTTGTTCTTACACAATCGTCTGTTAAGCCTCTCATCCAAGGACCACCACAGTACGTCGCCGAGATCGTCAGCCCGGATTACAGTCGCGACTCGTGCTGCTCAACGCGGGTCGGTGGCCGTTCCTTGTGGGTCTGTCGAGACTCCGCCGCCTATGGAGGCATGGGCATCACATTTCAGAGCACTGCCGGCTGGTCGAACTTGAACGCCGATGGCACACCGGCGGTCCAGAATGGTCAACTGGTGGTCACCCCCAAGAACACCGAAGCGTTCTACCCTCCAGCCGACAACCAATGCAAGTCGGGCTCTCCGTCAGGGTTCTGCAGCACCGGCCGATGGCCCATCTGGCCCGACTCACCGCCGTTGCCGGTGACCGGCCTCGACGGCTCCGTGACGCTCTACACTTGGATCCGCGAGGTGCATTTCCCCGACTCCGATAAGCTCGGCACCGACAGTGGGGACTTTCCCGCCATCAGTCTCTATCGCAGCGTGTACACCGGCGCGCCCGGCGACACCCTCCCGACGACAACCTTGTTCAAACAAGACTTCTACCCCGCCAACTCCGTCCCCTTCGGTCAATACGGTTGGGTCCTCGGCCCCGACGGCTACGCTTACCTCTACGGTCAAGGTCGCTTCGGCACGATGGTCGCGCGTGTGCTCCAAGGCAGCATCGAAGACCGTGGCGCATACACCTACTGGGTCGGAGGCCAATGGGTTTCGACACCCCCTGGCCCCGGCGCCGAGTCTTTCACCGCCATCATCCCCAACGCGGGTAACGGGCAGCAAGGCACCTTCTACTACTCCTCATACTACAACATCTACATCTGGATCGGCCAGGACCTGCCCGGACTGATCGGTAGCCCGAACATGGTGTACATGACCGCGCCGCGCCCGGAGGGACCTTGGACGTTCTCGACGTTCCTCATGGCCTTCCCCAGCGGCGGACCGGATTTCCGCGGCCAGTATTCATTCCAGGCGCACCCCGGCATGAGCGAGAACGAGGGCAACGGCCGCGACATCTATGTCAGCGAGACGGTCGATCTGGGCAGCGGATACAAGAATTACTTGTACAAGATTCAGTTCCAGACGCTGTGATTGGGGAATGGGGCCGGCGTTGGGCTTTATGAGGTGGACGGACGGACGGGAGGGGGGAAGATCTTTTAGATTCCCATGGAACGAAATTCCTGGAGGTCTTTTTTTATGCTTGATACCAATTTGCTTGCAATAGTTTTTTTTCGATTAACGATAGATGAGAAGGAGCACATCTTTGCCTGCCTGCCTGCCATGACTGCCTCGCGCCCCAACCCATTCTCGTTCCTCCCCGTCGAAGCATCATCGTCAACACAACATGGGTGTTCCTTGTGCTCCTGCCGGAAATTGTTGATCGTCCCGCAGTGGATACGGATCAACAGATCGTCAAACCACTCCTGTGAAAACATGCTGACGTGGGGGGAGAACAACGACGTGCTCGACCGCCGATTGGACGCCACGCGCAAATGACCATGTAGCCACTCTCCCTCCCGAGATCTGTCCCATCGCTTCGGGATTCCTTCCCAGACAGGCGGGACATGCGGGATTAGTCAGCACTAGATGCGGCCGTGGCCGCCTCGGCGGAGTTCGGGCATCCATCGCCGGACGTGCGCGTGAGAGTGAATGCGTGCGTACGTGCGTGCGGACGTGCGTGCGTGGACGCGCGCAGCAGCAGCCCGTGAAATCACAGAGAAACCGGCCGTCGAAAAAGTTAACCACCAAGGGCCGTGGGGACTGTCCGCACGCTATGTGATGGATCGTCCAGCCATTGCGTTATTCCACGGCCATTGGCAGCGTTCTTTCTTTTCACTCTCTCGCGCGGGCGGGCTGTGCACGTGTCTCTCGCTCTCTGTCTATCTTTTCTCCGATTGATGGCGCATTGTCAGTCTCCTTCTTCCTCTTCCTCTTGTAATTCTCCGAAATCTACACGTCCAGAACAGCGGCCGTTGGTGACTTCTCGAGTGACCAAGAGCGCCTGTTTGCTGCACACGCCCTCCGTCATCTGAACCAGCAGATCGCGGGTAGCCAACGTCTTTTTTTTTGCGCGTTTTCCGGCACGTCATCCTCCGACATCCGCCCCGGCGTTTCCCCCCGTCTCGAACCACAATCGTGAGAGAGCGGCAGATTCGCCTAGATCGCCCACGAAAACGGGAAAGCAAAAAGATCTTTCCGAAGAGCAAGGGTTCTTTGTACAGAAGCAGAAGATCATCCATTCGATCCATCCCCACTTTTTCTTTTACACCCTCTCGCCTCGAACGAAAATGCCCGCCGCGACGATGTCACCGCCTTCCGGCCGACGGCCCTCCTACGTCCTCACCTACGAGCCGCCGAAGTTCTCCCTCAGCGCCGGCACCGCCTTCGAGGTCCCCGCCGAAGAGCTGGAGCGTCTCCCCCTGGAGCCCTTCCCCGCCGTGCAGGACGAATTAACCTCAGACGAGGAGAAAGACGGCGAGCAGCAGCAGCAACAGAAGAAACCAACCCCAGCTTCCTACTCCTCGGCGGCGGAGATGAGTTCCCGGACACGAGCCGACAGCGCGAGGCACAACCCCCTGTCGCCTGGCAGCAGCAGCAGCCGCCATCACGCGCACGAGGACGTGGACGACAAGCCGCGCAAGCTGTTCAGCCTCCGCAGCCTCCGGAAATCCTTCTCCTCCTCCCGCGGCTCGCTGAACCTCCCGCGCGCCTCACAGGACACCCTCGCCACGACCAGCAGCAGGCCGCAATCGCCCGGTTTCAGCATCGCATCCTCCTCCGCCGCGCCCGCCTCATCACAACCGCAACAACAGCAACAACCATCGCAGTCGCAGTCGCAGCCGCGCTCGCTCCGCAACAAACGCTCGAGCACGTGGTTCGGCGGGCGCCGGAGCGGGTTCGCCAACGCCCACGACGACGGCGGCATGCTGGACGCCGTGGCCGAGGACCCCGCCGCCGGATCGGAGAACCCTCGCGAGTCGAAGCGGGTCAAGGACAAGGATGTGCCGGAATTACCGGCGATCCCTGCCTTGGGCGGGGAGCATTCGCATGAGATCGGCTGGGATGAGCAGATGTTTAAGAACTGAGGAGGAGGGAGGCAGGATGGAATGGTCTTTTGGAGAGGGAATGAAAGGAAGAGAAGACGAAGAGAAGAGAATGTGAAGATAGGGGTTCGTGTCTCGTTTGTTTTCGCGGTTCCGTGTCTGTCGAGAGAGCAGAGAAGGGAAGAGAGAGTAATGTTGCCATGAGGCCGTCTAGGGATCATCACGCGGGACAGCATCGATCGGAGGAAGGGATCGATCAGAAAGTCAACAGCGTGACGCTCAAGGGAAGAAAGAGGAAAAGGCTCGGGTAGCAAAAACTGGCAGAGATGGTTCTTCCTCTCCATCATCTCGATGATCTCGATGAGGTCGTGAGCGGCCAAGGCATCGTGCTGGAGGAGGACCACTCGCTCGGACACGGGCAAATGTATATCTCGTTGTTATTGTTACGTCGGGCGCTCCAGCCTGCAGGACGAGTTCATCACTGCTGATAAGCGTTGGAGGTAATACGAAGGATTTCGATGTCGATACTCGTCATGTCTGCACGGAAGGAAAGCGCCCACCTGCAGGCGGCCGTTCCTACAAAGAATCTTTGTCATCATCTTTGTCATCATCATCCTCATCATCACCATCATCACCACGTCTCGTCTCGTCTCCTGTCCCAATGATCACTTCCTCGGGGCCTATCCAGGGCTGAGAATGGACGCCGACGATGTCCTGCAATTGCCATCCATCGATCTGAACGTCATGAAGACACCTGCACCTACGTATGTACGATCCGAACGAGTTTTCTTTTTTTTTGCTGGAATGGTCCCTTGGTGATCTCGCACCGCCACAATCGACGCCTCATCGTCCTTCGGTTCTTTCTACATATGTACATAATGTATGCAGGTGCAGGTGGACTTGTTCATCACGGGTGGATCAATCACTCAATCATCCCGTCCAAATGACCAACTTTTTACTTTTCTTCTTCTCTTTCTCCAGTCAAAGCTGGCCCGGTTGTGTGCCAGTGACGCAAGTCCTCCGCCTTTCCCTCCCGATGACATATGAGAGACAGAGAGTGGGAAAAAACCCTCAGCCTCTCAGCCTCTCAGCCACACGGGCGGCGAAAGGGGAGAAGACACGCGTAATAATAGACGGAGAGGATCGATCCTGTTCCAAGCTGGCAGACATATCCATATTGCGTGGGATGTGTGTATGTGTTGTGGATATGATGATACAGTAATAATACCTAGGTAACCTTGGAAATGAATGTATCTGGAGAGTAATTTGCCCCCCTCTCTCTCGCACATGCAAACCGGCGGGGGGAGAGGGAGAGGCAATGACGTACGCGGGCGGCCATCAATTTTGCCCAACACGAGCAGCTTTCAGAGCAAGGAAGACATCATCACACACACACAAATTGTTTTCCGCCTGTCACTTGCAGGCGATTGCTGCTGCGCCCATCTGACGACGCGTAGAAAAACTGCTGCAGTAGTATAATAACAAGATAGCATCTCTTCCCTGCATCTTCTCTTCGACCCAGTTTCACTCTCATATACCCAATATTACAACTCCAACGCCGTCACGATACCATACACATCATCACGACCGACACACACACACATCCCACACACATCACACACACACACTCACATCACACTCACACCACACCACAATCATGTCCACCACCGTCCACGTCAAGAACATCGCTGGCGAGACCTCCGAGAAGGAAGTCCGTGACTTCTTCAGCTTCTGGTACGTCTTTTCTCCCGTCTCCGAGACTGGTCCTCACCACATCATGAAACCACCTCCAGTGACTCGCAGCTAACGATCTCTCTCTCTCCCTCTCAGCGGCAAGATCTCCTCCCTCTCCCTCACCCCCGAGACCAGCGAGAAGGCCAGCACCCAATCGGCCACCGTCACCTTCGAGAAGGAGACCGCCGCCAAGACCGCGCTCCTCCTCGACAACACCCAGCTCGGCCCCAGCCAGGTCCACGTCAGCGCGGCCCAATCCCTCGACGACCTGAGCGGCGCCCGCGGCGGCGACGGCAAAGACGACGAACTCTCCCAGGAGGACAAGCCCCGCTCCCGCGTGGTGGCCGAGATGCTCGCCCACGGCTACGTGATCGGCGACAACGCGATCCAGCGCGCCCTGGCCCTCGACCAGCAGCACGGCATCAGCACCCGCTTCACCACCGCCCTCACCCAGTTCGACCAGCGCTTCAAGGCGACCGAGACCGCCCAGGGCCTGGACCAGAAGTACAGCATCACCCAGCGCGCCACCGACGGCTGGAAGAGCCTGTACTCGTACTTCGACAAGGCCCAGGAGACCCCCACCGGCCAGCGTCTCCGCGCCTTCTACGACCAGGGCCAGAAGCAGGTCCTCGACGTGCACAACGAGGCCCGCCACCTGGCCGCCCTGAAGCAGGGCAAGGACCCCAAGGACCTGGGCGCCGGGCAGACCGCCGCACAGGGCAGCGGCGAGGCTCCCGCAGCCTCGGAGAAGGTGGCCGAGGCCGCGCCGACGGAGACCAAGGCGTGAGGAGGCCGATCACCAAATGGATGTGAGAGGTTGTCGATCCGAGCGATGAAGAAGAGAGGGAGAGAGTCGGAGACCCCCCTCCATACATGGTTTCGTCCATGCTCATCGCTGGTCGTGGAGATGGGAGCGAGTTTCCATAGGCAGTTTTCTTTTTTCTTTTCTTTCTTACCAACGTCACGAATAATGATATCCACTCGAACCTGTGTTTTTGTTGCTCCATCCTGCATGTTCCGCAACGTCTTGGCCTTTTTTTCCATCGTCTCGCCTATGCCGCTGTTCCTTCCCGTTGCCTCTCCCACTTTCCACCAATCCGAGATGCCTAATCATCACCGTTGATCTACGAGATCCCATCCCGGACGCAAAAGGCGACTGTCCTTTCCCCAAAAATAAAACAAACAAATAGAATGAATCATGAATGAATGAGACCCGTCACCTTTTCCGCGTCAGAGCGTACATCTCCCCCTCTACAGCATGTGCGACTTCCCGCCGACCGTTCTCTCTACTCGCGGCATCATAACTCATCACATGGATATATGGGGGAGAAAGTCATCCGAAGATGCGTCATCTCAACCTCCCCACCCTCCCACGAAAAGAAAAAAGAAAAGGAAATTTACATTTGCCCATGATGGATGGACGGAGGGAGTACAGATGATGGCAATTCCGACGGATCATGGGGTTGAATCTCCGAGATATTTTTATCAAGAGGATTGAGTTTCCTTAAGGGGGAGGTGATTTGCATCGAAGATGGAATTTCCGATTTGTCCGAAACAAATTTGATTGATTGATTATGATTAATTGGAAAAAAAGGAAGGTGGGTTTTTTTGGTTGTTGTAAATGCCCAAATCAATGCCTTGTTCGCTATGCCAATGCCCGAAACAAATGCCGCCATGCTCTCACATCTCTCTTTCTCTCAGCGCTGCACGCTATCCGCCTTGGTGCTCTCTGGTTCCCATCATCGTCGGCATCATCATCCATCTAGAAGATGGGGGTGGCCGCCTCGAAGGTCTGCGGGACGGAGAAGTCGGCGGCCTGCTTGTCGGCGTCGGGCCCGGTGACGGCGTAGACCTCCTTCTGGCCGAGGTAGCGGTAGTTGTTGCCGTCCTCGGGCGCGCTGACGAGGTACAACAGGCTCAGGACGTTGGTCTTGGGGTCGATGTTGGCGACCAGCGAGGTCTTGGCGTCGCCCGTCGCGCTGCAGTCCACGTACTGCTGGCCCGACGACGGGTCCTGCACGTTGAAGTTGCCCGCGCACGTCACGGGCGTGTCCAGGCTGGGGTGGGTCGGTGGGTTGCTGCCCGTGATGGTCGCCTTGAAGGACCAGCCGCAGTCGTTGGTGCAGCCGAAGACGAAGTCGCTGATCTCGAAGATGTTGCTGCTGCTGCTGGTGTCGCGGGGAGTGGGCGCCGCGGCGACCAGGGTGGAGGAGGCGAGGGCGATGATGGTGGAGGCACGCATTTTGAAGGTTGGTTGGTTGGTTGGTTGGAGTGGATCGGTGGAGTGGTTTGATGTTGGTTGGAGTTGGTGATGAGGCTGGATTGCTTGATTGTTGCTGTGGTGGATGATGGGAAAGAAAACTGTTGATGGAGAGGTCAGGAAGTTGTTTATATATCTGCTTCCTCTCGTCGATGGTCTTGGGTCGTCGTCATTGGTGTTCGGGATGTGCCATGACTGTGTTTCCCGTTTGTGACATTGACTCTACGAACACTAGCATCATCCATGACAATGACGAACTACGCACGCCTACCACCCAGTCAGTGGCACCGATAATTCACCATGGCGTTCTTTGCCGACAGTGACGTTTCAAGGTGACATTGGCTAATGAAGTGGATCGGTACTCTAGGAGGACACTATAGTGGCGGTCGGATGTGGAGGGTTCGGGCGCCCGGCAAGCCAAACCCCAAGTCGATCGAGGGACGAGGATTTGCCCAGAAATTGGGAAGTAGTGGAAAGTCCAAGTTCCTCCCCACAGTAACATCGTCATTTGGCTTTGGGAGGTCTAGGCGTTTTGTCGATCATTACTTAAACTTTGAGGCAAATTCGGTGGATGGATGCTCAAAATAGAACGAATACGGTCTTTGCCCAATGTTTTAGCGACTCGGCAATGGAACGTTGCTGTCGGCATTTCAAGGTGCTGTGTACCTGGTAGTCATCCAGTACTGGACAGTGCAGTACAGTACATGCGCATCTTATGAAGTTGCACTTTGCCAAAGAGGACCCTTGCTCCACCATAGTCCACAGTATGTAGTATGTACAGTAATTGTCCCACCACGACCCTGTTGGACGTCACTTTCGGCTATTTTGAATTTTAACCACCAGAACAGGCAAGCATAGGAGTGACCACCTGGGCAGTCATCGAATACCGCCTGCTGCAGAGGACCTTCGGAAAGATCACCGCACGTACTCTGCTGGAGCTTGATAGCCCTGGAGTGTATGCAATGGCCGTCCATCACCGGCGCATAGCAGAACCACGTGTGATGCTACTGCTGCTGCACGACAGAAGCACCTACCAAAGCGTGTCTCCTGCACATGGGCAATGTAACAATGTCGATCAATGGGTATACTCGTATCGCACAGAAACTCTGGTTCTCTCGCATCTGCGGTACTCGCGACTTTTGTTGACACTGTCCCGTACGTATGTGCGTCTTGGTAGCTTCGAGCTCGAATGAACGTTCGTCATGCCGTACGAGAATCTCGCTCGCTCTGCGCCATTCGCCCTTCATCTCCTTCTGCGGAGCTGGGACGGAAACACTCGCAGCTTGTCGAGTGCGGATACGGAATCACATCGATGGACCTTTGTCGTGTCGCAGATGAGGATCATCGCCGGCGGTGCGATGACGAGAACGTCCGGCTGTGACAACAATTCGTCCTTGATTCGAACGATGGTACAGATTTCAGCAAGGCTTTGAGACGCTCGGGAGCCAGAGTGCGATACGGCCTGTGGAGCCCTCTGATGCTTGCGCCCTTTATCAATCGCATTAATACATCGCTGCTTGCCCACCAGGTGGGCAACGATGGCGTTCACGTTGGGGACGGAATAAAGGCAAGCTTTTGGCACGTAGATCATAGTGATATTTGCCCTTTGTTTTTGGTCCCCGTTGGACTGTATGGAAGTTGTGCTGTTAGGGTTCGGCAACGGCCGTGGTTGGTCGAAAATGACAACAGAATTCTTAGGCCTTGGATGACCATCGACTCAGCCGTCTCACGCATCGCCAATCTCTCTGGATCCCGGTCTGGATTGCACGCGATGGATCGTATCATTTTCTCCGGGGAGTGACAATCTGGAGAACTACCAGGATCAAGCACTACAATACATGCAGCAGCGCTTACGCCTCATCTCCGGTGGTCAGCAAAGCAGAAACCGTGACCCCAGCAGCAAGATGTTGGTGAATTTCACCAACCAGGCCTCCCACGAGGCTGTACTACTGCATGGAATCCCGCGATCATTTGTCAAGGACTATCGTTCGCTGAGGACTTCCACCAAGGACTTTGAATTCACCAAGGACCTCCACCAAGGACTCCGACCAAGGACCGACCAAGGACTTCCGCCAAACTCGAATCGGATTTCTGATCCGTGAGTCTCCGCGAAGACCCTGCCCGTTTCCACTAGTGCAACAAGATGAGTTTCACGCCGCATGGATCGCCATCGATCACTTTGAAGCTTAACCTCCACCGGTCACAACGAGCGCCAAGCATGGGTTTCCGTGTGTGAGATCATGCATCAGATTTACCTTCGCGGTTTGATGACAGAACAATAACTATCAGCGTCGCGTGGCAGTCTATCACACGCCTCGCATCCAGAGGAAACATGCTTTAGACATGAAATGTGCCATGATTTTCCAGTGATAGAAACCTTCCACGGAAGTGTCGGCTTTCGTCGCCGCCAAAACGACCAATTTTAGTCCAAACTCAAAATCATTGAGGCTGCTGACAACAGCCTGGTTCCCTTTAAATCTTAACCTCCATGATCCTCTGAACACTATCAGAACTTGATTTGGAAAGCATCACTTCCGGTCGTTGGTGGCGTGCTGACCTCTTCCCATCGCTCTGTCGATATCCCCATTCCACCAACAGACGCGTTTACCCTTGACATCGCCGAACGATGACACTCCTTACTGGAGGCTGAACGTCTAAATTGGACGAGACCAACAGTACGCGCAATTGAAAACGGACAGTCCTATCTTCAGGATCTTTTGGCAAGATCAATTTACCAACAGCGGTACTCGTAGATGCGCGGCAGCTGCTCGGCCACTGCTGGAGAAGAACATAAATAGCCCGTCTGCTCTGCCCATCTGGCATTCCATGTTGACCAAAGCAATTCATTCGAAGCATCTCCAATTTGCTTGCCCGATCAGACGTCCCGAAAATCTTATACGCACATCTGAACACAACACAACGAAGCACCACAAGACATCATCTCGTCACCCCATGCAGGTGATCATGAAGTTGGTTCTGACCTTGGCGTCGTTTGGCCTGGTCAGCGCTCAGACGGTGCCGCCGAGTCGCGACAGCTTCTACACCGTGCCTGCCAACATAAGTGCTTACAGCCCTGGTGCCGTTATTGCGATCCGAGAGGTGAAGACGACTGTCGTCGTATCTGGAATTTTCCTGAAGCAAGCCTACCAGGTAGCCTACAGGACCAATCGTACTGGCGGAGTCGCAGATCTTACTGTGGCCACGGTCTGGGTTCCTACGAGGAAAGAGAATGAGACAAAGCCCCCGACGCTGTGGATGTATTCGACTGCCGAGGACTCAACCAACCTGGACTGTGCACCTAGCTGGGGATTCGTTTCAGGGTCCAATTCAAACAACACCAACCTTGTTGCGAGCGAGGGTTCAATTGCAGTTTCCAATGCACTCGATCGAGGCTATTATGTGGTCACTCCCGATGCTCTAGGCTCCAAATCTGGCTGGTTGGCTGGCGAAACCGAAGGCTACGCGGCGCTTGACGCTATCCGTGCTACGTTCAACTCGTTCAGCCTTCCATCCAACACCCCAGTAGCAATCTACGGGTACAGCGGTGGCGCTCACACCGCAGTCTGGGCGGCATCTTTGGCAAAGAGCTATGCGCCGAGCCTCAACATCACCGCCGTCGCTTACGGTGGCTTGCCCACTGACCTGCGCGCCGTCGTGCAGCAAATCAACAAGGGTCCATACTCCTGGCTTGCTGCAGCCGGGTTCTTTGGTCTTGCCAACGCTTACTCGAGCTTGAACCAATACTTCATTTCCAACTACAACGCTCAGGGACGCTCCAATGCGACCGCTTTCCGCACCCCCGGCTACTGTGCTGGTAACCAGAACCAGGCCCCCGAGAATCAGTATGTGGACTATACCAAGATGTTCAACGTCGACGTTCTTGCCTCCGGGACCCCCTTATCGAACGTTTTCGCCGGCAACTCGTTGCTGAAGACCATCAACGCGAATGCCCCCCCTGCCCCAAAGATGCTCCGTTACCAGTTCCATGGTTCGGTGGACGATATCATTCCCGTAGCTACGGCCCAGGAATATGTCAAAGAACAGTGCGCACAGGGTGCAAACATTGCCTTTGAACTTTTCAATGGCGACAAGCACGCCCAGGCTGGGATCGATGGGGGTAAGCGCGCTCGATACTTTACGTATGATGTTCTGGATGGAAGCGTAGGCCCCGTCACCTGTGGACAACCATGGGGCAAGATGACTCCACCGGGCTTGTGATTGCCATCATAATGAGTGATATCCCGTTCGAACCGCCGACGCCGACGCCTCTAACGGTCTTGAGTGAACCGTCTCTACCAGAGTGCTGAACCCTCTAGCTCAAGACGTTGCGCCGACTCCAAGGGGAGGATTACTGTACAAGGTATACTTACGACATCACAAGATGCTCGGATCCACATCACAAACTGACAACCAATACAATGCTCTTTGATGCTTACACTTCATGGTGTTCACCGCACGTTGTGGATCGCGAACGTGACAAGTCATGTCCGTAGAGCATTAATGCCTTCCTTTATGTATCAATGTCCCACTCCATCATGCACATACGACCACAGGCAGTTGAAAGCAAGGGATCCCGTCCGCTCTCCCATATTTAAGCAACTGACCGCGAGATTAGTACTACGGTGGGTGACCACGTGGGAATCCCTCGTGTTGTATGTTTTGCTTCGTGTCGTTTTGCTCGCCGCGCGCCCGAAGAGCAATTGGAGTTGTCACGTTTCGAAATAGAAGAAATGAGTGATAAAGCAACTTATTGATATCTCGTTTTCCTGTGGAGCAGCGCGGCTGTACTCCCTTCCTCGACTTCAATAATGCGAGCTTGTGCGAGAATATACGATCTGGTCGGAACATTCACGATCTTTAAAAGGAAGTGGAAGGCTTCATCGACCCCGAACTAGGCCATGGCAGCAGTGGCATGCCGCTGGTCGACGAGATCGGTGTCGATGCCTGCGGCGGTGCCTCTGATTTCTGGTACGACGTCTCGACCAAGATACGCAAGCTCGTGGTGTCCCATGAACGTTCCGGCTTCCCGCGCATTTCACAGCTTATCTTCACTGGGACGTCTGCTTCGGACGCGTGCTTCCGTCATGTCGTTCGAGATGCGCTGTATGATCTTGTCAGCGAAAGCGCCATGGCCGTCGGGGACAGACCGAGCAACTCCTCCACGGCTGAGGGGCAATGGAAGACGTTGTTTGAGTTCGCGACTGCTCGAGGAGCAGCAGAAATGGCTAAGCGTAGGCAAGAGGGACCTATTCTATGCAAGCAGACAGACGCTTGCAGAAAGCGTAGGGAGGGGACATATGCCACGAGGTTTCCGACAACAATGAGTCTATCTCTGTATTAGTCTTTGTAGTTTTAGATTCTATGAGAGATCGGCATCGTCGAATCCGCCTGTGAAATCGTATTCGCTTCAAATCACGGAACTCTATCTGTTCTTGGCCAGTACCTGCTGCGATCTTCGCAAAGTTTTCCACCAATCGCGCCAGCAATGTCCAGGGGTGGTGGGTTTGTTGTCTGCTTTGAGACTTGGAAAACCCGAAATTCTGACGCAGATGCCGAATCTGGAAAGCTCTTATCGGAGACTGTGTCCGGTCGCTTGTTTTTGCAAAGCTGTCTCGGGCCTGCTCAAAGCTGCGGATATGTCATGCGCTTGCGGGCAGAGCGAGCGGCCATCGATATCAGTCATGGCCTCATTGGGATCCTCCGCATCTCTTGTGGGGTGGCTATGGCAGTTTCGGCCATGTTCTGATGCACAGACTAGGTCGATTTCATCTCGGCTGCTCTGCCATGCAGATGTTCTCCTCGGCAAAGCTACGGTATCTCTCCAGGACGTCAGTCGTTTCCATTCCTTCTCTCTGCGGGCCAAAGCTATAGTGAGCGGCCAGCGCTCTACCATCCACAACCGCGTGACGCTTCGTTCTCAGAGGCATCTTTTCGGAGAAATAACCTTCGTCGTCCTGCTCTATGGGCTTTGCGGCATTGATGTCGTGGCCCATGATGGCGATGAATTGGATGCCCAGCCGTCGAGTGTAATAGTCCCAGATATGAAATTTATACCGCCACACCTCGTTGTTCTCTAGGTGCTGAAGGAAAGAATAGTGCTGCTGGGCGGCGATGGTCCAGTGATAGAGCGTAGGGCCAAATGCGTCGTATGATGCTTCCATGACTGGTGTACGTTCGAGAGCTTTAAAATATGAAGAGGCGTCGTTGGCATCGATTGGTAGTGGAAGCCATCGATGTGGGATCTGTTGAGATTCGAAGTCCAGCGCGGAGAAATCTCCAGGGCCAGACCACGTGGGGAGATGGGAGGCTCGCCAATCCACACGGCTTGACTGATTTGCCTCTCGGAGGTCCGATTCAAGGTCTCGTCGCTGACCGTCTGCAAACATTTCGACCTCAGACTGCTGGGGCAGGAGCTCCGGAAGGTATGGTCTCACAGCACCAAGTTGCTGGTGTACCCAGCTAAGCGATGGCTGGTTAATGATGTTGGCAGTCACCAAATAATACTCCGGGTGCGTCAAAAGCGTGTGTACCAGAGTGGAGACGGTGCTGTCCTCGAAGAAAACCTATTCATTTGTGTGAGCTGTGTCTTCGGTATCGTGTGCATGGGTCTTAAAGCTTAAATACTTACGATGTCATCGTCGATCTTGATGTACATGACATCGTCTTCTATGAGATCGTACGAGGAGGCGTACTCTCCACCATATGTTGACACATCTTGTCTAATATAGAGCGGCTCGGATGCCACCAGCTGATCCAGCCAGTCCAGATCTTCTTCATTCTGCGTTCGCGCGAGGAAGATTACCTCGTCAAGCATGCCGCCATTGGAAACAAGATTGCGCTGTGATATTGTCAGCCTAAAGTCATACCGCTCTGGTGATCACGTTCAGCCCTACCTTGAGGTAGCATTGCAATATGCTGACATTGATTCGTCTTCCGTAGAACACCAGCCCAGCGATCTTTAGATTCTCTGGTTTCCTCCAGCTCGCATCGTCGCCCTGGGGTGCTTTGTCCGAGAAAGTCCAATCGCGCTGCAAGGCCGGCTTACCAGCCGCGGTAAGAGTTGCACCAGTCACGGAGGTATTTGTAATTTCAACAGGTGGTGCCGGGTGCACGGTAGTTTCGTGATGCGCCGGAGAATCTTTCGTGGTTTTCGAAGGGGCGTCACTACTTTCAGCCACGGCAAAGCCAGCAGTCTTCAGGAAAGCACCAGTCTCGCCGAAAGCGCTGGGGTTGAAAAGATGTAATCCAATGATTAATCCGATCACAGAGCAAAAGAAAACTGCCAGCACTGCTTTATGCTGGAACATGGTAAAGACCGGTCGGCGTGATCGAAAAGGGCGACGGCGTACTTGCGAAACAACAGAATGAACACCCGCAAGATCGGTGATTATGTCGATGGGTTGTGTTTGCCAGAAATGATAGTACTTCGAGGAAACCTCTAATTTATTCGTCGCGAGAGTTGTAGTTGGAGGTCTTACATTATCCAGCCGTTCGAAGACCACATGCGCTTGCTTGGCCCGCGCTCGCTTTCAGCAGTGTAATAATTGATAATCAAAGCAGTGGTTTTACTGTCTTCCGCGCGCAATTACTGAAGACATAGTGAAGTATTGTGATGACCCAATGGGCCAAGTGATGATGGTTGAGATATCAAGAATGAACTGCGCCTTGCGTCTCTCGGGCGGCGTTACGTTCTATTTTCGTTGAGTTCGTTTTTAGGGGCCATTTGCATTCCTGTCCCTCGCGCCGTGTTGGCGTTTCATGCGGCGCAGCGTGTTTCGTCAGCCTCGCGGGCGTCGACCAATCGGTCACAGTCGCTACAACGTGTCCACGCCGTTGTGCCTTAGTGTCATGTCAATGCAGATCGCCAGCCCGAAGGGTCTTTCCATCTGTCGGACTCCAGCTTCTTCTCACGTCTTCTTCTCCCAGCCAACGACATGTTCAAGGATCTGTAGGGATCCTGGAAGCTTGCCGAGTTTGTCAAGGTGTTGAAACCGATCTCAAACTCAGACACGAAGATGTGACGTGAAAAACTTCGAATTGGAACGTGTCTCAAATCCATTCCCTGGTTGGTGGACCAAGCTTTGCCAATTACGCGTGTGCCCAGGTGACTCATCACATTTGCTGACTCAGCGCCACGACTTCGAACATGGATCCTCGAGAGGGAAATCGTTGTGTTATCAACCTTCCGCCTAGGAGGAAAACAGATCTATAAAGATATGCATCCAAAGTCGGGCATGCAATGGCTTATCTGACCACAAACGTAGCCGTGCGTGTGAATTCTTTGACAACGAGAAGTTTACTGGTGACAGAGTAATTCACAGATTTTGACGGATAGTCTCGGAAGCCTAATGTTTACGCTGAGATGAACCTTGAAACCTGGGAAGTATCGCTCGCTAGGGTAGCGCTGCTGTGACGTGATATCTGCTTGCTTCAGATGATGATCCTAGTGATTAAGCATAGAAACCAGTCTACTAGGTATCTACTAGTAGTCTTCCACCAGATCCAAGAAACTACTGATATCCTGTGCTACTGCTGCTGCCGTCTTTGTCGTGACATCGATTTCCAATTCCAACGGCCCTCCGAAATGGTAAATGTCCTCAGTATCTCGAGTCTCGCGGAGAATGCCAACATCTGTCAGCTTGGTGTTTGTTCCCCCTCTAGACGGCGAGGTAAGCCGTTTCACGTTCTCCTCAATCTCACAGGTAAGAATGATGGATATCAAAGCAGATCCGCGGACGGCGGCAGCAGATGCATAATCCTTTACCGCGGAAGATCCTACTTCGTCCGAGGATTGCGAGTCGGTGAAGATCCATGTTATGTCCTTGGTGCTTTCGCTAGTCGCAATCGCGCCGAGGACCGCCCGACGCTGGTCGAGTTAGCGAACATCTATTCACGGTCTGTAAAGAACGACCCACCATCTTCTGTCGTAGCGGTTGATACTCGGGCATGCTGCGCTCGAATATAACCGACGTGGCATCGATGAGACTGTGGTTGTCGAAAAGTTTGGCATTGGGCAGCATCGAGCTCCGACAAGATCAGCACATCATGATTCGCATTCCACATGTTTGTGTACACACCAGAGCGCCCGCGCAACGGTCAGCTTGCCCACTCCAGGGTAGCCATTGATATAGATGAATCTTGGCTTAGGCATGGCACCAAACTCGGTTTTCGCGTCTGTCCTTCGTTGTCGTCTCTGAATCAATTAGTCTGTTCCCGTGACGGGTTCCTGGCGAACATGCCCTTATATGCAAGTTCATTTGCTCGTCTAGTATGATAATGACTCTTGTGGGTTTGTGAGTCACATTGCATTTGATCGACGTTGGCGCTAAGCTCCCGGCTTTGCCATCACACAAAGGTTGGACAATGTGCTATCGGAAGAAGATCCGAAATGTCTGTACCACTGGTTTGCCTTGCACGCTTGAGTCTCGAAACTAGACTTCACGCATCACATACGTACAAATTCAAACGAACTCCCCATCGTCCGTCAAAATGATCCTCAGCGGAGCACAAATTATTTCGCGAAGGCTAGTTCGTGACATCCGTCAGGCGTCTCAACAACAACCTTGCGGTGTCGATCTCACGCTGCGCTGGATTTCCCGTTGGCATTCCGCCGCGATAATTGACTTTGATAATTCCAGACGCCAAGGGGCAAGAACGACCCGTCTATCATTCGACGAAGCTAACGATTCCATTTCGCTTCCACGCGGCCCTTATCTGGTCGATTTCAATGAGACCGTTACCATCCCACGAGATTGTATGGCTCTTGTTCATCCGCGGTCTTCGCTGTGGAGGTCCGGCGTTGGAATTCAGGCTGGTGTGGTTGATTCTGGGTATGAGGGTGCGATGAGAGCAATGATGGAAGTCGATAATGAGCACGGCGTCACGCTCTATCGAAATGCTAAGTTGGCACAGATTGTGTTTGAGCAGATGGACGAGGAGGTGGAGGGGTACAGCGGGATCTACCAGGGCTCAAGACACAGTAGTGCGGAGCGTCTTGGTGCTGAGGGATGATGGATGGAGGCCTGCCTGATGCTCAAATCAAGCTTGGTCCTGTCATATATCTCATAAGGTCAAGGTCTGAAAGACAACTCTATTCGTAATCGTACAGCATGTATTTCATCAATGCGTTCACACTTGGTTATCACACACCAAAACTTGTTCAAAAGCAATAATCCAATCGCTTGCTCGCATGCCTCCTCTTTCGTTGAGCTGATCAAGTTTGCAAGTTTCCCTTTCTCCGATCTCAGAACGCCATAGCTCAAAAACTCGCTCGCAGTACGTCAATTTGTCTTCATGCCAAAAATCATTTCATCTCTTCGCATATCGCCACCTTCTTGTATGCCTGCAATGTCATCCTTTCACAGCGGGAGATATTGCAGCGCGCGAATGATCAGGCTTGCAACCATAGGCTGTTAGACAAACATAAGTTAGCAACGTGAATACACAAAGACCACAGTCTACCACTTACGATCTCTGCGCCTCTCGCCGCAGCTCCAAATGTTGCCACCGTATTCGTGCCCGCGACAATGAACCCTCCATTACTCGTCGCGCCGTTTCCTCCAGCACCCTGCACCGCCGAAGTCATCTGTGTCGGCGCATACACCGTCGTCGGAAGCGGCGAGTTTTGGGTCACCAATCCTCCATTCGCATTGTTGCTAGCAGTGCCCGTCGCTGTCGTGGTTGCTGTCACCAGTACCCCGTTTCCATTGAGTGTTCCAGCCGTGATGACACCGAGGACGGTACCCGTGCACACTGCGCCTACAGGGCAGCAGGCACCGCGGCCGGCGAAGTCCGCTGTGCAGGTAGTACCACTGATACAGCAGAGATTTGCGGCGCCGATTGAGGAGCAGGAGTTGAATGAGGAGGGACAGTTCGTGCCCGATTGGCGTTTCTTTAGGAAGTCGTGGGCGGCGGCGGAGGAGTATGATTCGGTTGCGTTGTTGATGTTCTCGGCTGCTCGTTGTGCTGGTGATAGGAAGGCGATGTCTCCTAAGAAGGGATCGAATGCGTTGGTGAATGGTTGTGGAGTTGACGATGAGAACGATGCTGATGTGAGAGTTGGTGCTTCTGTCGCGCTTATCGAAGCCGCTGAGACGCTGATGAGCATGCTCGCCGCGAGCATTGTGCTGCTTGTGGGACGCATTGCGCTCTGCCAACACGATAACAGGCTCACAATGCTTTTTATAGAGCCCTTGATAGTCAGAAGTCACTATTTGAATAAGAGGTGTGACGTCGGAGAACGATTGGAAAGCAAACGCGACATAGGCAGCACAAGCGAAAGGTGCAAGCCGGATTGGGAAGCATGTTTGGCTGGAGGGGTCTGGGATTTGCGCTGCGTTGCCGCCTGACAACGCCCGAGTCAACGGAATTCAGCTCAGAATTCTGGTAACAGTGTGGCGCTCAGTTTAGCAGCGATCATTTATTAGAAACGAACATCCTTGCGTCAGACACGCTACAGCAGGCATCTCAAGCCCTTCTTGGTATCTATCTAATCATCACTCTCAAACTAGTTCGATGACAGCCGCGTGACCTGCATGACGCATGCGCTTTACGATCCATTGTACAAACATCACGTTGTTCTCTGTGTGACAGACGAAAGTTGGTATCACAAATTTGCGACTTTCGGGTGCAATTGTCAGATACGTGTGCATTTACATATCTCGACGTATTGGAGCGGGAGTTGAAGGATGATCGCATTGCAGAATTGCTTCAGCGCAATGCGCTCCGGATTTGACATTAATAAAGCCGGTGCACTGAGGTCATGGACAAGACAATTAACGACGACGTCACCTGGACATTTCATTTGATGAATGAATATCATTTTTTTAGCTCCGTTTCAATATTGAATCACCTCTAACAGAACTCCAACGCTAGTCGTATCATTAAATCTGTCGCTTATAAAAACCAAGAAACACAGTAGTTGGCGTTCCTAGAACCATAATCATCGCTGCGACTTTCTTGATGTCGAGCTTGTCCTTGACGTTGTGTGTGCCAATCCTGAAGCAGTGCTATTCCTGCGGCTACTCCTGAAGCTCTCACGAGTGTTGACGCGGTCGAGATCGAAAGGACTGTCGTCGTAGCCTTTGCGCGCCTCGCGGGTCGTCCGCCTCGTGCTAACGGTACGAATTGGCTGGAAGCGGGATCGATCCAGTGCCTCGTCGTCTTCGTGTTCAGTATCTGCGAGTGACGGGCGGCGCTGCTCGACCTCCTCAACAGGCTCGCGTGGCTCCTCCTGAATAGCAGCGCGGTCGGATGCGGTTGTATCCTTCACGGATTGCTTCGTGTGGTCTGCCTCATCCTCGGGCTTGCTAGCATCGGTGTCTTCTTCAGAGAAGTCCTCTTTCAAGTCGCCACGTTCCTCGGCCTCGGCTTGGATACGTCGCATGAACGCGTCGGACTCGGCGGCGAATTTGCACTTCTGACGGATACCGGCGCCGTACTTGTAGAGCAGAAAAGGAAAAGGCACGCACATCAGACCGAGAAATGCGGGAATGGATGATGCCCAGTGGATCCCGAGGTTGTTGTACATCTGGCTTGTAAAGAGGGGGAATGCTGCTCCAAAGAGAGACCGTAATACCGAGTTTGCTGCTAGGACAGATGCTGCAAAAATTGTGTAGGAATCAATCAAATAATTCATAATTCCCAAAAAGATGAGAACCATGCCGAATCCGAATCTTTTGAAAGAGGCTGTTAGTCTTGTGTATTTCTTGTTAACATGGTAGGTGGAACTTACGGCGCGCCAGCTGCGATTGAAGCCATGAAGTGAATCGAAGGGTAGTTTGTCCACGCAAACCAGAACATGCCAACTGGAACTGCAATAGAGCCAACCATGCACAATGGGAGACGAGCTTCCGGAGGCGCAAATCCTTTATACTCGTCGCTGACCTTGGAGTAGCGCTTGTTGTCCCAGATAGCGTATGCAACTGCGATAAGCATGCCCACGGCCACGCCCAGAAATGCCAAGCCACCAATTCCAGGAGACCAACCTCGTTGCTGTTGATAGACGATGGGAAACGCCCCGAACAGCATGTAGAGCGTGCCGTAAATGATTGCTAAATATAAGCTAAGCAGAAACACGATCGGTTCTCGGAATAGAAGGATCCAAGGCCGCATAAGGGAGGTCTTGAAAACCTCACCAACGCTGATTGAGCCTTGATCAATCTCTTGCCGGCTTTTGAAAACCTTTCCCGTGATCTTGCTCAACTTATCAGCTCTTGCTCGGAGGATGACCGGGGCGTAAGTCTCGGGTATCAAAAGAGATCCGATGATCCACAGGACACCGGTGAATATGGCCATGACGCCCTCGACCCATCGCCAACCGATGGTCTGGCCGACAAAGCCACCAACGATCGGGCCCAGCACCGGGCCCATGAATGGCGCTGCAGCAAATAAAGACATCGCGAGGCCTCGTTGCTTGGCAGGGAACATATCCGCAATGACACCTCCAGCATTGGTCAAAGGGCTTGAACCAATTGCTCCGGCGAAAAACCTCAAGATAATAAGTGTCCAGATGTTCTGTGATCCCGCCGCGCCCGCGTTGAAAGCAGTCAAGCCGAAGTAGGTTCCGATAAATAACAGGCGACGTCCGAATAATTCTGAGAGGGGCGCCCACCTATGATCTGAGTCAGCTTTTTGCGGCGACGACCGTGACATCATCAGGATCGAGGCTTCACTCACAAGAGAGGTCCAATCGCGAAACCCAACACGAAGAGCGATATGCCCAAAGTGAAAATCTCTTGGCTACAGCCAAATTCTGCGATGACCTGCTCTGCTCCTCCTGAGTACGCACTGGAGACAAAGGCCACTGCCAATGTCGAGATCGCAACTAGAAATGTAATGCTCCATTTGGTGATTTCGGAGTAGAGCATGGGGTTGCGCGGATCGTGCGCAATCCAATGTACCACGTAGGGATCGGCCTCTGTGCCGGATCCCTCGTAGTCCCATTCCTCGACATCCTTGGTGATGCCAGTGTGGTTGGTGACTTGTTGAAAAAAGCTGAGGCCGGCAGGTCGAAAGTCTTCGGCGTCCTTCTCTGCGCCCATCGCGCCGAAATTAATAGTGATGTCCGGTCTTCGACGCAGTTGATTCAATATGCAGGATCGAAAAAATGCGCCCCGATACTTCGAGCCGAATAAATGTCGCAACGATGGGGATGACGTATGTATCAGCGTGTCAGCGGGAAGCAGCGGAGAAGCTAACGATTATGCGTGTGCGCGGCGTGTGTTTGCGCGGTGTGAACTCGTTGCGATACAGAAAAGTTGATTATATTACTTGATGATGAAAGGGACAACTGAAGAATGGACCCAGTAGCGCATGAAGTGGCCGAGAGTCGCCTCTTGTATGGATCGCTAGTGCATTCCGTTTTGTGGTGAATCGCACATCGGCACAATGTAACGTGCTTAAGTCCGCTGCGTCCCGGAGGAAAAATCCCGAAAACGGCCCTTTCTGCAGTATGACGAGATGGCTGAGCGACTACCGACGAGATCATTATCTCATTGGACACTTATGCTGTGCCGCTAGTAGATGGAGCGCGATTCAACGGATCAGCCGTTGGCACAAAACCAATGTTCGCATTATTCTGCCGTCCATCTCACGCACAACCGAGCAGCATGCGTAATTTCGTCATGATAGATTTATTTTTGATATTGTCTCGAAGAAATAGATACCAGGAAATCGGCGCTACTTGCTATGCGGCACGACACTTGCCTCAGCCAACGAACATAAAAATCTCGAGGGGTTTGACATTTTGCACAAGTCTTTGCTGTAGATGCACTAGATTCACAATAAGACAAAGGGCATCATGTCTTGTTCGGTTGCGCCTTACAAGGGCACAGTGGAAACAAGCATTGGCCAGCAAAGCTACCAAGAAAAGACACGAACCTTGGAAGGAGTTGGAGGGCTCCACATCGGCGCCGACTCTGCAACAATCTCCGATGTCTTGGGGTCTTTGCTTGGTGTTCTGTAGTGATTGAATGTAGCATTACTAAGGATCGTCAAGAAAATTCACTATTCGGCATGAAAGATGTTCGATGGTTCAATCGGCCTTTATGCATCCTTATACCCATGGTGCAGGGTCACCATCGCCACGCGCCGCAAGACCCGCATTTCCCACGTGTGACACGCGCAGTGTACACGCATCGGCTGAGCACTCTGAAGGCTTAGTAAAAACGCCGTCTCTGATGACTTCGTCTTGTCCAACGTAAGAGGGTCCGGTGACATGTTACTCAGCAGCGACAAACAATATCTGATGAGTCATCGGAATGCCCCATTCGATTCGACCGATGCCTGTTTGGTTCACGGGAGCCAAAACCAAATTTTACTCCCTTCTCGCCCTGGGGTGTGCGTTCAGTCACGAGCATTGTGCGCCTGTCTTGCTTAGCTGTCTCATTAAACACATCATTCGCGAGATCCGTATTTGCGCTATCTGATTACCTTGTGTTCCACAATATGACAGTTTGCAATTCCCTGAAAAGCGCCTCGTATGGACTCTTCTCAACGCGGCTATGCTCTCTCGACTATTTAGAAGCTGCAGAGAAGACTAGTCTGCCGCTGCAACTTGAAAACGACATGTCTCCTTTTGTCGGCATATTTCACATGTCGCCGATTGCGATACCCTCTCCGTGGGACATCGCTAGCTTGAAGCATTTGTGAGAAAATTTCCTCGCTCGCCGGCCCGAACGACGAGAGAAGCAAGGAAAGTTTGAGCTACTGCAGAAAGCAACATGAATTTGCGCGAGCCCTGACGCAGAGCTTCAATGCGCGAGAGGGAATTTCTCGTCACCACGCCCTCTCCGGCATGTTCGCAGTCATAATTATCGCTGGTAGTCTAAATCGGACTCTACCCAAACAAAATACGCACTGGAGTCTGCGCTGGATTTGAAGATCGGGCTTCGTAAATTGCTATTTCCATTTTCTTTTACTGAGTACATGAGAGCAGCTCCCGCTTCCAGTAAACAAGCGTCGCACCGGATAAACCAAATATTCGGACCGTGCATGGGACACACTCGCCGCGAATGATAACAAGCAGATAACAGTGAACGATGTCACAGACAGATCCTGAGACCGAATACGGGAAATCTGCAAAAGCACACGTATCGCGCGGTTTGCCAAGTGAGCAGAAATTCTCATTCTTTCCCAAATTGCTCCGTGGGTCAGGCAGTTCTACCCTTCGGGCCTAACGCACGAGCAGCAGTGACACAAGAAGCTGTCAGAATCTTGCGGTAATATCGATCACTGATCAGCTTCTCCGAACCAACGAAGATTCCTCGACTGTATTCCCCGGACCGTCTGTTTACATTGGCGTCTCCTTCATGTTCGTGAATTGTGCTATCATTTTCTCATGGATGGCCATTAGGCGGGCTCCAAGCTCCTCTTCCGAGTTCGTGTCCTCTGCCGGACCCGCTGGATGATTCTCCATGCTGATAGATGTGTTGTCTGGCCGTGAGATGGATGGCAGACGTTGGCTGGGCAAGGCTGACGGGGTAGGCAGATGATCTGAGGTCTCATCAGTTCCTCTCGACTGCTCGGACGAGGGTCGGTCTGGAATGTCTTCATCGGTGTCATACACGAACAAGCTGGACGAGCCCTCATCAGTCCTTCTCGACTGTCCAGATGAGGATCGGTCCCACAGCTCTTCATCAGTGTCGTATATGAACGAGCTACATGGGCCCCCATCCTATAGTAATGGGGGGTATGAGCGCACGATTGTTCCTGCTATCGCGCCTGTCTGCGTGGTCCTGCGCCTGAAGTGGGGTTGAACTGGCGTCAGCAGGATGGCTACATTAGCATCGACGACTCCGAGGATGCCCTCATCTTCAGGATCGTCATCTTCGAAATTAGAAGCAACATGCGCGTTCAAGAACTACTTTTGTAGTCCCTGCATCCAGTCGTCTGCTCTGGCGGTACGGGGACACCCTGCCCCAATCTTTGCGATGACATCGAGAAGGCCTGCACAATACACCCGGACGCGGGACAATCTCGCAAATCGTCTTATTGACACTTGAACGTACCTGTCAAGGCATATCTGTCTCAAGATCCCGCAAGGTGAACACTCAGGTGGTTGGAAGGTCTCGCCATCTCGAAGAAGCATCCGCCAAATGGACGTGACAAATGTCTACTCAACGCTTGCCGATTAGTTTATACTAGCTCATCAAGAGAGCTTCGACGGCGAACCGAAGCACACTTCGAGGAGGCCGCCGCGACTATCAATACGTTATTGCCCCTATTATCGCCATTCTACAAGTGTACAGCCGAGTCTGGTGAGATGCCGTTCATCGTCCACGTCTTGATCGATCCCTTCGTCGGGACCCCAACGCGCTCGACAACGATGATGACGACGGCCCACTTGTGGAACTGGCCGAGTATGTGATCACGTCTATGCTATTGACTCTCACAGCAGTCGGGGCGAAGGAGACGCGTTAAGCGCAGCGAGACATCGCGAGGATTGCAGCTCATCCAGCGATTCAAGCTGCTGGGTTTGACTGGGAAGGCGCCAACGGATGCTTCCCAAGGGCTCATAGCGATGGTGAGGCATCCTACAGACGCCTCCGAATCAGAAAATACTTTGCCATGTCATGCTAGTCCACAGAACCGGTCAGCCTTTCTTTGATGACGGACAAGATATTCTTCCTCTGTTCGTCATCCCCACCTACCTTTACCAAAGATCCTCGCCTGTGCAAACTGCCGGCTCCTCTATTGACATGCTTGAAGTTGTCTAATAAACCAATCGCTTGTAATATATCGTAGTGAAGGGCCCAATGGGTTTTCAAACCACACTTGGGCCTTGACAAGAAGGATCGAGTAAAGCTGAGGATGTACCTTGCGGAAATGCGGATGGATCCCCGGCCGTCAGCCCTGAAGTTGAAGACGGCTCGGGGGCGTGCATTGAATAGAACGCGGGAGCCGAGTCATGAGTCCAATCGCTTCTCCACATTTTGGCGAACGGGCAGGTGAGCCGCTTCGTCGCGCGCGCCCATGTGAATGACAGAGCTTCCCCAAGCTTGCCCAGCCCGCGTGTTCATTCATCCGTTGTCCGTCATTGTTCATCTCATCCTTCGCCTCACTCACTTTCTCATCATCCTTCACTCTTCCGCCAATCTCCGACACATCATCTGCCCGATACAACAGTGTGAGCCATTTGATTGGATTCTCACTGCTGCTGAAGGGTCAGCGATTCCAGTTCTACCATTATAAAATCGTCTTCATCAATCAATTGTTCGTATCACCCGATTTCGTCTTACTAGAGAGCCAGGCCTACCTTCTTTGGTGCTCTCGTCGTTCATCATACATTTTCTCGCTCTTTCTGATCGTCAATGACCACTGCGTACGCCCGAGGTCATTGATTTGAGAAGAAAAGCACTTCACATTACTCATTAAATTGCTCCTACTCTTTATTGCCTCCCACCTTCTACTTCCTCGTTAAATCCAACCGTCTGCTTGTCATTTTTCTTACGCTCATCTCTAACATCCTCCGACCATGGCAGACAGTCCTTCAGACGCGCCGATTGAACTCGACGCACCCGACAGGTCGCACGCGCGCCAGTGCTTAGGCTACGCGCCACGAGTCGACAAATAATCGAAATCGTTTTCTTGCTAGTCGCGTGTCGCCGAGCCCGTCATACATATTATTATATCCAAGCTTAGGTGGATAAGGAAGCTGGCGTCGCGCTCGTTCCAAAGCTGTCGCTGTTTGATATCACAGACGCGACTGTGATTACACAAAGCAAAATGGAGGACTACGACCTAGGTTTTCGCAAGAGCCCCGACACAGGCGCTCCACGCGGATCAGCTGCGCCACGTTCATCAAATCGCGATCGGGACGATTACAGAAGTTCCGACCCATACCGTGATCGCCGACGTTCGCCAGGTACGCTTTGCACAAGTCAAATCCGATGAATGTGATACTGACTTGGACAGATCGACGCCGTGGGGGTGACAGAGATCGTAGGCGATCGCGTTCGCCTGCTCCAATTGACCGCTATCAACCCGATCGAGTTCGTGATGACTTCGGCTACAATCGAGGTCGCGATGAGCCTCACGGAAGACGACGCTCATCACCACCACCAATCGACCGCTACGTCCCGGGTAGTTCGGAACCGCCCGCACTGCTTGCCAACCCGCTTCCCGATCCGATGGGATTAGAATTCCAGGTCGGATTCACTTGGTTCGCCGAGTGGTGGCGAACAGAGCAACGCATCAAGGACGAGAAAGAGCGGATGAAACAAGGAAAGCCTCCACCACGACTGAAAGGCGAGCGCGAGACAAGAGAACAGAGAGATGCGGAGCGCCCGAAAATCCAGGCTGCCTACGATCAGTACAAAGAAAATCTCCAAAAGAAACAGGCGCAAACGTTCGTCCATTTGCATAAAAATGAGGATTGGTTTCGGGAGCGCTATGTACCAGAGGCGCGAAGTGCTTTCCGAGCCAAGTTGAGAGACTACCGCAAAGGGCTCTATGCTCAATGGGAACAAGATCTCACCACGGGTGTGTTCGATGAATTCACGCTCGAAGGCATCTACAAATCCGAATCAAACGGCCTGGGCGGTATTCTTGAGCGAGAGGAAGGTGAGGCTTCAGCAGCTGCGGAAGTTTTGGGTGTTGGCGACCTGCTCCCATCGAAGGGAGGAGATCTGCGGGACCCAGTTGCGCTGCAGTCGACTTTACTCATCAAGACCATTGCTCCCACCGTGACACGCGAAAGGTTCGAAGCCTTCGCGAAGGAGCATTTGGGAGAAGATGCGGGTGGTTTCAGACACTTATCCCTGTCTGATCCGAATCCACTGAAGAAGTGCCATCGCATGGGCTGGATCATCCTCCATCCAGATACGGAGAATGACGAAATGACCGATGCGCCCTCAAAGCGACCCGGGTCTGAGAATGAAGATGGTGAGGATGGGGAGGATGAGGCTCCCAAGGCTGATACTTCGAAGACGAGTGTAAGCGAGAGAGCTCTGGAGAAGATCAACGGGAAGACGATTGAAGACCCTGAGCGAGGAAGCTTTACAGTACATTGCGGTGTTCATCGTCCTCCGGAAGCACCAAGGAAGAAGGCCCTCTGGGACCTGTTCTCCGCTCCTGAACGCATAGCCCGCGATCTTGAACTCGCTGTCCGACTTGTGCGACGACTAGACAACGAACTGGGAGACGAGTGCTTTGGTGTCGCCAAGGTTGAGGAGCGCGTGCATGACCTCTCAGAACGAGGCATGCTCAAACCCGAGATCGAGGCCAAGAATGATTCACATGACATGGATGTCGAGGCCGAAGAGGGCGAAGAAGAGGAAGGAATGATCGACGAAGACGAAACGGACGACGATGAGCTTTGCAGCAAAAAGAAGAAGCTAGATCTTCTCGTGGAGTACTTGCGAAGGGTGTACAACTTTTGTTTCTTCTGCGTGTTCGAATCCGACTCGATACACGAACTGCAGCGCAAATGTCCTGGTGGGCACTTGCGTCGACCACGGGCGAGCCTCACCTCGGCAGCGAAGGAGACTGCTCGTGCCAGCGCTCAAGGCGAGCCTTTCCCATTGAAGAAGGGCAAGGATGGCAAGACTGACGGTGCTGAGGATGATGGTATGGAGGTGGAGCCGGAAAGTCCCACGGACGAAAAGAAATCGGCTCTGCGACCCAGCATGAAGGTCACACAGCAGCTACAGCGGGCTTTCAATTGGGTGAGGACTTTTGAAGAGAAGGTTCTGCAGATACTGGAGCCTGACAACGTCAACTTGCGCAAACTTGGAGGCACACCAACTGAGGAAGGGGTTGAGAAGGAGCTCTCCAAGGTAAGATTCTCTTTCATTTGGTTGAGAAGGGATGACTGCTAATATCTCTTTCTTGCAGTACATGCTTCAAGAGGATGCCAACAAATTTCGATGCAAGGTACCCGACTGTGTCAAGCTGTTCAAGACCTTTGACTTCTGGCGCAAACACGTAGAGAAGCGCCACACGGAGTGGTTTGAGCAAATTCGTGCGGAAGTCGAGCTAGTCAACACTTACGTCCTCGATCCGGCGCACATTGCACCTAGTAGGAGTGATGCGAATTCGAATGGGCACTTCCCACTCAACAACCACGCGCCATCAGGCACGCCTCGCGGCTTCCAACTGAATCAGCAGTTCCCGATGAGCTTTCACATACCGCCCATGGCCGGCATGCCAGCCATGTTCCCTGCAAATGGGATGCCTGGCGCGTGGGCCGCGAACCCTGCCATGGCAGGTGGCATCGGTCCTATGCGTACCGGCGCACGCAACAATGGCATGAACGGTGGCTATCGCATGCCCGGACCATACGCTCGTAACGGGCGTGGGAGGATGCCGTCGATGAGTGGCAGTCGTCCAGGCGCTGGTGTTGGGGAAGGATTGGTTGGACCATCCGAAGCAGTAGCCGGGCGAAGTCTGCGGAGTTATGAGGATTTGGACGCCGACAAAGGTCAGGGCACGGGCGAATTGAATTATTAAAGATTGTATGTGAAGGGATATTTGGGAAGCTTTGTTATTATTACAAATTGTAAGACACAAAAAGCGATTGGGGGAGGAGAAGCAAGGCCCTGGGCACGCCGGGGAGTTGTTTGCTGAGATTGCGTGCTGGCGGATGAGCCGGCGGCAATTGTAAAATGAAGTTTCACGATCTTTGCGTGTGCTTAACAACAGTGTTGTAGTAACCCATCACGCCTCCGTTCTGCGTCACCGCCTGGATATGATATGAATGTCAGGGAGAGAAGGGCATATTGTTGTTGTTGTTCTTTGCTGCCGTGAGCGGTCAAGGGGATTGACGTCGCTCCTGTCGTTCATGCAGACACCCGGTCGGCGAGACGATCGCTACAGTGCAGATGGAGAGGGATCCGCCCATGCAAAGTTCTCGTGAAGATTTCAAATTCTTGCGACTCGATCGATAACAAATGGAGCATGGCGAGCCACCTTCATCACGATCAGGGCGGTGCCGCCCACATTTGATGCTAGGTTCCGGAAGGGATGCACCGGCCCGATAATTATCCCGCGCACCTGGTCCACGAATTCCCTATTCTGTCCATATGTTCGACACGCCTCGGCACGTACCCGACCGGGATGCACGCATGCGTGTGGTGTCACGAAGATACACCTATCTCATCATTAGGTGGTGTCGTAGATGGGATACCATGCTGGCGGCACCGCACACGAAATTTCCTGGTGGTGTATGTGCGGGAGTTCCGATCCGCGACGACAGAGAGGGCGCCCGACGCGTGCGACGGTCCGCCGACAACTCTTCGTAGATAGCGAGTCTGACGCCTCGTGCAGCATTAGCTCGAGCGCAGCGAATCACATCTCGGAGAGTGCATAAGAGCCGGCCTCAAGAAGCACCTTCCTAGACTGTGAGGAACCACCCTGGGCAGCTGCATCCGGTCTGAGCTGTGTTTCCACACACGAATGGGCGTCTATCTCGTCAGCACTATGATGTCGTTTATCCTCTTTTCATCGCAGGTGCAGTCAGCAAAGGTACAGCACAGTACTGTACAACGTACATTGCCGGGATTCCTCTGGGCGATCACTGTTGTCCGCCCAAGTACTGTACAGTACCGGTGTCTGTGCGACGTGTACCGTAGGTGGGTGTGTCACTCGCGTTACACGACGCATTCGCTGGCGGAGGGAAAAAAAGTGGACTTTGTACCACCTCAGATGTTGTGTTTCCTTTCCCGTGAAGGGGGCGGCGCTGGACACGCTTTCATCATCTGCGCCCCGTTCAGGGTGGCCGCTCATCATGACAAGACATAAGAAGGAGGAAGGTCCGCCACTGCTGCATATATGCTCCATGATCTGCACACGCCGTGGTTATTCTTCTCTTCTGACTGCGTGAGCCCGCTACCCACGACTCCGATCCAAATATAAGGCTCAGGAAAGGGCTCCCAATACCACACATCCTCGTCGCCTATGTATCGAAGTCTCTTCGTGCACGTCAACGCCGAGCTACAACCGGCCGTGACCAGCATCAATCGTCAAGCACCACCCCAGCCATCCCAGTAGACAGTCGCATCGAAGTCGTATCGTGGCGCGGTACCTCTCTCTTTCTTGCGTAGGATCAACCTTGGTCGATGTCACTCAATCACCTGGTCATCCATCGTTGCAACAAAGGTTCACTTCAAACTTCGAGCGTCACGAATATATCGTTGAGAGTTACCCGAGCCTCCACCTGGCTGGGTATTCTTGAACGGCTCGCAGGAGATAAGCCACACCATGTCGATCGATCCTCGAAGTGAAGACGACCTCTATCTATCACAGGTATTCTGGCCGATCACTCACTCGAGGACTCCTACTAATTGACTTTTCAGATATTCCCTCAATTCAGCAGGCAACACAACGAAAGAAGCACGCACCACCCATCAACGCAAAGCAAACGAAGAATCCCGAGTGTCACTCCTCATATGAGATCCGGTCAAATCTCTGCTCAATCTCAACAAGAATACCTTGACACCGACTCTGTCCGTGCACTCATCAGACCGCAAGATGATCCGGTGTGGACTGGAAGGCTAGAAACACATAGCGGTCACTTGATGAATGACTTTCGTCTTGCGAGCACTGTGATCAGTCAGCCCAGCGAGATATCGCTAGCAGCGTCATCTTCGGAATTTTATACGAACTATCACACTTTCCAGCCGCTAAGTGCCAGTACACAAGAAGGCAGCTCGGTAAGATCTGGTGGTCCTGTCCAATTGGGATACATGGGCTCAGACATCCTCGGGTCAGACAGTCCCCTGCCCCTGGATCATTTCGGGACCTCTCAAGAATATCGAGCCATGGCCGGTACAGGTCCCTTCTCCGACACGCAATCTCAAAGGCCACGGGGCTTGGCAGCGGATGTGGACCGCCATCAGCCGAAAGGGAAAGCACATCGCGCTCGAGGCAGGTCTCCTGTCATTTGTGCTATCTGCGGCGTCCAATCGAGGAATCGATCTGATGCGAAGTAAGTCTGGTCGACTTTCGAATCGAGCACAACAGCATTCTCACACAGTCAATACAGAAAACATAGCCAAGTCCACAATCGAGATTACGTCTGCGAGATACCAGGATGCAAGCGTAATGTGCACGGATTTGGAAACGTTCACGACCTGGAGCGTCACAAGAAGGGTGTTCATAGCATGCACGGAGGAGCCGGGTGGAGATGTTCGATCTGTGTACGTGCCGCTCCAGCCGAGAAGAAAGTTCCCAGGTTTTGGAGCAGAAAGGACAACATGAAGGCCCATATCATAAGGATGCACCAATCCGAGCTGCAATCGGCGCAAAATCCAGATCGAGTCATCGAAAAGATAGTTCAAGAGTAAGTCATCAATCACAGGATTTCCTGAGGTTAAACTAAGGAATTGCAGATCCCGCGTCGAGGCGCCCTCCAACAACGACCCTGATACAACCAAATCTGCTGGTATGTCGGAAACGACTATGCAGACCGATGCAATATCCGACGACGAGGATGGTTCTGCTGACACCAGCAGTGTCGTGTCACCAGCTTTGGCCGATCATCCCGGGCACGATGACACGCTCATGTTCATGCCTATCAACCTTCCCAATCAAGAGATGTCATGGCCGAGCGCTGCTCATCCGTTCCAAAATGTGAATCCGTCCGAGACTGTTGAACCCACAAGGGACTTTGCAATGTCCACTGGTGACACACAAACACAGCGGATGGAGCCAGCAAACGAAATACTTGATCCCGACAACTACGATCCTTCACTCACGATGCAAATCGATACGGTGAACAGTTCTTCCTCTGATCATTCCCATGGTGCCATCCAGCATTCTCCTACGTTGAATGACGTCAAAAGAGCATCACCGGCGTCAATGCAGAATGCACACATCTGCTCCCGTCCGGAATGCAGGAAAGGGTTCCCACGTGCTTGCGAGCTCAGGAAACATGTCCGGCGCCATACAAAACCATACTTCTGCACATTTCATGATTGCTCAAAACAACTTGGCAGCCGTGATGACTGGAGGCGGCATGAGTCAACGCAACACTTCCTAAGTTCCAGATGGCTCTGTCGCCATCCGCTTCCCGACGGAGTTTCATCATGCGGTCATCACATCTTCATTGACCCTCAGCAATTGCGCATACACCTTCAAGGTATGCACGCAATCCACGGCGTCGACACTCTCTCGCAATTGCAACACAGGTACCACCTGGGCCGAGAAGGAAACTACAGCTTCTGGTGTGGCTTTTGCTCGGGCGTGATTCAACAAGACGACGATTTTGAAGGTATGCTTCGGCCGTGGGAGGCTCGCTGCTCTCATATCGCCAGTCACTTTGACAAGGAGCATAGAACTATCGATGATTGGGTCGACGTTGATACTGGAGTGCCGAGAAGGGACTGCCGGGACAGATCCTCAGAGACTCATGAACCAAGCGGCGATGAAGATATGAATGGAAGAGGATCAAGCTTATACCCTACAAATCATGTTGCGTCTTCGGGGACGCTGCCATCCGGGACCAGCGGCTTGGACTCCATGGACGAGTTTGATAGGATGGTGGGCTGGTTTCACTAAGATAGATGTATGTAGACAGAATCGTACATGCAGTGAACCTTCAAAGGAGGTTCCATTCCCGCTTCACTGCTTGGCTTGATATCATGCGAATTTTCAAAGTGATCCCATACATGTCGGGATGCGCGACAACCTTGGAACTCATGATATTTCTACAGTAGATGTTTGTGCAGTGATTATATGCATAAACATGAGCGGCATTTGCACATGACGATATCGGCCTCGGTAATGGATGGGGTTGAGCTAAAGGGGGTCTGGGCGAGTTTGATGTCATCTGCAGGCTGGAGAAATCGGTGTGCATGATGACAACTTCTCACATAAGACGTCGGATTATCACGAGCGGACAACTACACTCAGCTGGGCAACCTGGGGTAAATCCTGCAGTACTGTACTTAGTGCCATTGTTCACATCCGTCCATCAGCTTTTGCACGAGTCGTTTGTTCTCTCGTCTGTAAGCTCACTCGTCGCGCCTTACTTTGCCTGTTTGCGTGCACTACCTCCGGTCGCTACTCAAACCAGCTGCCATTCGCGAGCGTCAGAGACATCCGGACGCAGACCAAATCGTCCAACTCTCTCCCCGCATTCACGCCATCATGTCTTCCTACGAAGCCCTGAAGGTATGATAGAGCACTTGGAGCAGATGTACCACTGATGTGCTGACAACAAGGCCAGAACTCATTCGAGAATGTCATCCTCGACCCGAAGAACAAGGCGCCGCTCGTGATCCTCAAGGCCATCCGTAACGGTATCGTCTATGGCGCAAAGATTCGATTCCCCCATGCCTTGGTCATGGTCTTCTTGTTCCGCTCCGGCACACTCCAACAGAAGATCAAAGCGATCTTCAAAGCGACCCGACAACATGCGACCAATCTCGCCAAATTCGCCTTTCTCTACAAGAGCAGCATGCTTGCCCTTCGCACCAGCAACGGCGGCAAGCCCGCCGCTGCACACAGCTTCCTTGCGGGTCTGCTAGGCGGCTACGTCGTCTTCGGTCAGGGAGAGAATGCAAAGAGCAATGTCAGCCAACAGATCGTCATCTATCTCTTTGCGCGTGTGGCGCTAGCTTTGGCTTCGTTGGCGGTGCAGCCGCCTGGAGAGAACACCCTTGTCGGAGGAACATACGGTCCGCACGGTGGTATTGGTCTTTTGAGACTCTCGCCGGAGAACACTGAGCTGCTTAAGAAGTACAGCTGGCCGGCGTTCGCCAGTCTGAGCTGGGCCGGTGTCATGTGGCTGTTCGAGACTTACCCTGAGACGCTGCAGCCCAGCCTCCGGGCGTCCATGGTGTACATTTACGACAATGCCGAGAAGTGGAATGGTGCTCGCAACTTCCTCTGGCACAACGAATAGACCCAAGAATGGGAAGACGCGAGGTCGGTTCATGGAGCAGCGCGGCGTTTGGGCGTTTGATTTGAAGGATGCAAGACGGGTTGCTTCCCTCTATTCGCATATTTCGGAATGTTCGGGTGAGGCTAGATTGGCATTGAATCGAGTATGCTAGATTAGTGGAGCATATACAGTGACATATCTTATCCTTGAACATAAGGCTGAAGCCTCTCGCTGAAGTTTCCATCGTGGACAGAAACGGAAGCCGATCACAACGAACACTGACAGAAGGACAAGACCGACCGCACACGATGGCTCGAGAATATTACGAGAATATTACTGAATTACTGAAGGCGCTCACTTCCGTCCAATCCCCACTATGGAAACACCTTTCAGCGCATACGGCTTGCTCGGCGCCATCTTCTTGCACTCCTCAATCACCAAATTTCTCAAGTCCTCCCTCTCCTTCTCGGAAAAGTCTTTGAGCAGCGACACCATCTGCGGCGTATTCGTGAGGACAGTGTCTCCCACGGTCTCGTGTGATTCGAACGGCCAGGAGGTGGCGACCTCAAAAGCCTCAACCTCGCGAAATCCGGCTTTCTCCAGCTCGTTGCGCACGCCTGACGTGTTGGTCCACGCCTCAGGCAGGGTGGGGAATTCCTTGTCAGGCCGGATTTTTGCTGCCAAACGCATCAACTGCAGCCATTGCATCTGGCCGTCCCACGATGAGACCGTGAGGGCCCCGTCTGGTTTCAGCACCCGCAGGCTTTCAGTCAGACACTTTTGTGGGTTACTGGTAAGGAAGAAAACCCAGCCCGCCAATACGTGGCTGATGGAGCTGTCGGAGATGGGACTGAGGTCTGTAGAGTCCATCACGGTCGTGTCGACGCGCTTCCATGGCGAGGAAGGATCCTTGCTCACTTCGGCAGACTGGGTGGTGCGGACGGCATCAATCATGCTCTCTGCATAGTCGGTGCAGGAGAGCTTGCAGTCAAACGGTATCTCGCTGCCGTATTGGGAGATGATTGTCGACATGATGGAGCCCGGCCCGCTACCATTGTCCAGGATGGCGGTCGCCTCGGCAAGGGGATGCATGGCGTTTATTCCTTGCAGCATCTTGCCGATCACGGGACTGCTGATGTTCGAGGTGGTTTTTGCGTAGGATTTGGCTGCCACCGCCCACTCCTCTCCCTTGTCTTTTGATCGACCGAGTCAGTACATCGTCCCTTGTCAAAATTCATCCGGATTAGATACGTACTGTCATGAAGTTGAACCATTTTTGCAGCTGATGTGTTTGATAGTGGTTGATTGTAGTACGGAAGTTGATGTCTTCGAGTTATTTCGAGAAACGAGAGGATTATATATACTGAACGAACCAACATTTTGCGTCATTGTGCTTTCTGTCCTCCTGGACGAGCGGGTCTTTGTTGTGGTTCGTGACTCGCTCGGAAACATATTCGGGAAGATTTCGTAGTTCCGGGGACAATATCTGTCAATCATTACTAAGCTCACATGTTACAGCCCCTGCTAGCTCACGACTAGGATGCTGTCCTTCATAGACCATGGTCGAGAATGCATTCCGACAGTCGGTCATGGCGACAGATCTTGTGAATCAATGAAAGTTCGTGAAATTCATTTTGCGTTGTCTTCGCGGAGGATTGACGACGTACGTCGCTGCCGTACACACAACTTCACATGGCGTCACCGCAACTTTGAGTATCCCGGTCTTGGTGCAAGCGACTGATCCGATGTCTACCATTGCAAATGAATGATGTGCGACATAGCGTACACTGAGACACAGCGATCGTGAACTTCGCCTCCAACGAGCATCACGCAGAGACCAAGGTTGGTACATGAACAGGCAAAGTGATGTTGTCATTCTGAGCTCGGGCCCTGGCTCGTCACATCGGTGAACCGATCGATCGTGACAGCCCACTGCAAGGAACCAATGTCCCTTGCTTTCGAGGTTGGCGCCACGATGGGAACCTCCGCGATTATCACACGCGCATGTTATCTGATCCGTCAGATTTCCCAGCCTCATCAGTAGAGATCTATGACGCTGATGTTGTCGACGTGACGATACCTCCTGATCAGCGTCGCAATGGTAGGCTCGCATATCCCTTTTGTGACGTGCTGGAGTTGAAATGGTAGCGGGTGAACTGTGTATCTCATATGAGATACATGCGCGCATACCATACATTGAGTTCCTCGGGATTTTCTCAGGACATTAACATCTTTCAGCGAAGCCATTGTGCTTATCATGCCGTCCAAGGATAAGTACACAGACCCGAAGCTCAGAGATGAGATCAAGGAAGAAACCCAGCAGTCCGACAAGGGTGGTGCGCCCGGACAGTGGTCAGCGCGTAAAGCACAATTCATGGCCCAGGAGTACAAGCGGCGTGGAGGCGGATATAAAGAGGAAAAGGACGAGTCTCAGAAGAATCTCGAAAAGTGGACCGACGAGGACTGGCAGACTAAAAACGGCAGCGGCAACGCCAAGAACGAAGATGGCACGCAGCAAAGATACCTTCCAAAGAAAGCTTGGGATAATATGACTGAAGAAGAAAAAGAAATGACTAATGCGAAGAAGGAAGAAGGCAGTCAGGAAGGCAAGCAGTATGTGCCGAATACCGACAAAGCCAAGTCAAGTCGGAAGAAAGCCGCAAAGAAAGACGACGAAGATGAGGATGAGGATGAGGATGAAGACGAGCAGGAAGGTAGAGGCGAAAATGAAGATGAGGAGGAGCATGAGGAAGACGACGATGAGAATGCAGAAGACGACCATCATGAAGATGACGAGGGTGACGATGACGATGACGGTGAGGATGACGATAGCAAAGCAAAGTCATCCCCGAAGAAGCGCAAGGCCGCGCCGCCGAAGCACGACTCCAAGAAGCAGAAGAAAGATTCGAGCGACTCTTCGAAGAAAACCATTGGTTCCAAGCATATGCCAGCGGACGAGCCGGCTCCGCGGGGATCGAAAGATCGCCTCCCCAAGAAAGGTCAAAAGATCACATGGAAGGCGATGCCGGGTTATGTCGATGGAGAGGTCGTCGAGGTCTTACACAGGGACAAGAACGTCGACGGCAAGTCGGTCAAGGCGGGCGAGGATGATCCCAAGCTCGTGCTGAAATCGGCCTCCAGTGGAAAGGTGAGCATGATGATTCGCAAATGGCATCCCTCGAGATCGCGGTTGCTAATAGATCAAACAGATTTGTATCCACAAGCCCGATGCGTGCTTCTACGACTGATGCGAGGCAAAGCTTTGATTGTACGTGAAATAGTGATTTTGATAGTACATCAAGTGCAGTGCTATTGTGCCTGACGATCCTCTGAAGCACGTCGTGAGGTAGATATAACCTACTCTTGATCCGTCTAATACAATGCATATTTTCCTCACGACTTAACGCAACCATCGGAAACCTATTATTACAGTACTTGGGGATAGGCTGGCACTCAACGCACTTCACATACCCGTTCTTTTGACACGCGTGTACCTGAGCTTAGTGTTTCAGTCCTGAATCGACGAGCCTCCGTCAAGCCGTGCCACGCGTTCCTTACTCGATGAAAGGCTCTACAGACGGATACCGGTTCACGCGGTATGCAGGTGTGTAGGACTTCACTCGGTGTAAGGGTTCGGAGATAATATGCGTCTGTTGAAGGATGACAAGCATTTCTAGCTCCGATGCACGATCAAGATGGCTGTGGAGATCCGCAAGCAGCCGCTTCGAGGCGTCAACACCTAAATGTATGTAACCATGACGTTTTGATTTATTGCGACAATTAGCGGCACGGAATGATTATTGCCCTCAGTCTTTCGCCGACGCGTCTATGACAATGAGAACGTACATCTTCGTTCATTAAAAGATTCCGGTCTCATCTCGATTGATTTTTGTTCTCTCCAGGTTCATCGAGTATCGTGTAACATATCTTATCTTGCATAAGCCGAGATCCACTGCATTGATCATCCAGGAACCGCTGATAAAGACATCATTGTGACGTCAATCCCGAATTTCTGAGAACTCGACAGTCGCGTCGCGGTCGCGCTTCAATGAATCGCGAAGATGTCAACATCTCGTACGCGGAGCGAGAGAGCAGTCCGGTCAGGTTTCATGATTATGATCCGAATGACACTGTGAGCAAGAAGTACCAGGATCTACACCAGAGACAAGCCGAAGAGGAACAAGCTGCCGATCGCGAGGAGGCCGAAGAAGTCGAACGCAATGGCTCGGTCTCATCGGCCTCTACAGCCGACGATGGACAATCGAATCGTCGCGGACGACCAGATCATGTTTCGCGGACGACCACGCAAAGTTCGGGCAGAATGGAGGAAATGGTCATGAATTATCTGGACCGCCATCCGACCGCCGCTAAGCGCATTCATGACCATCGATTACAGCATTCCAGGACTGTAGGCAGCATGAAGGCTGCTGTTGCCAAGGGAGAGCTTCCCCCGTTTGGTGATGGCAAGCCTTACCCTCCTCCTCTTCCCGACAAGGACGAGTATGTTGTGGAGTTTGATGGTGATGATGACCCAATGTAAGCTGCATCACTGCAAATGATAGATGGCAACTTCTAACCATCCCAGGCATCCGCAAAATTGGCCCAGAGTAACGAAGCTGTACATCAGCGCCATCCTCATATTCAACGCGTTCAATGCTAGTTTCGCGAGTGCCATCTTCAGTGCCGCATCCCCATTCATCGGACAAGAGTTTGGCACCAGTCGAGAAGTCTTGGTTTTGGGAACGTCTCTCTACTTGCTCGGGTATGCCTTCGGACCGATCATCTTCGCTCCGATATCCGAATTATATGGACGACGAATCCCTATCATAGGCTCCGCGTTTGCTTTCGGCGTTTTCAACATTGGCGTAGCCATCGCTAAGGACATACAAACTGTCATGGTGTGTCGCTTCTTTGTCGGGCTCGCTGGTAGTTGCCCGTTGACAATTGTCGCCGCTATTTTCACCGATCTGTACAGCAATCATTTTCGTGGAGCCGCCGTGGCCACCTTTGGCGCCACAGTCATTTGTGGACCTCTGTTGGCGCCTTCCCTTGGAGGCTTCATCGCCAAGTCATACCTCGGATGGCGATTCACAGCCTACATCCCAGCGTTCCTAGGCTTCGCCGCCGCAACTCTGGCACTCCTCTTTCAAAAGGAAACATATGGACCTGTGATCCTTGTCAGCAAAGCAGCTGACCTCCGCCGTCGAACACAGAACTGGGGAATCCGCGCACGTCAAGAGGAAGTCGAGGTTGACTTCAAAGAGCTCGTTTCGCAAAATCTGTCACGCCCTCTCAGGATCTTATTCACGGAGCCGATCGTTCTCCTTGTGACGCTTTATTCTTCGTTTCTGTACGCGCTGCTCTACACAAGTCTGACGGCATTTCAACTGGTGTTTGCCGGGGTTCACGGTTTCGGTCCTGGTAACGACGGCCTACCTTACTACGGCGTCTTGATAGGTGCATTGATGGGCTATGGACTGCTCCTTCTCGACGTGCCGCGATATGCAAAGAGACTGACGGCGAATGACAACGTACCGGTGCCAGAATGGAGACTACCGCCTATGATGGTGGGTGGCATTGTGTTCGCAATCGGGTAAGTTGCAAGCATCATCTTGTGTGTATCGAGTGACGCTGACTCTTCCGTCGCAGTTTGTTCGGTTTCGGTTGGAGCGGACAGTACAACACTGTCCACTGGATCGTTCCCACAGTCTTCGGTGGGCTGATAGGTTTCGGTATTTACCTGACCTTCCTCAATTCGTTGAACTACATCATCGATGCGTACCTTGCCTTCGCCGCATCTGCGATCGCCGCAAACACCATCATGCGAAGTCTTCTTGCTGCGGCGTTTCCGCTATTCGCCAGCTACATGTTCCAGGGTAAGTCGCGTCTAAGGAGGCTCGAGGGCCGATCTATACTAATCACTAGGCAGGCATCGGAATCAATTGGGGCATGACACTACTCGGATGTATTGCGGTGTTGTTCATCCCCTCACCATTCTTGTTCTACCGCTACGGAAAGAAGATCCGCGCCAAATCCAAGTTTGCCCCAGCAATCGACGTCGAGAAGGATGAGAAGGAAGAAGGCAAGGGTTCGGGAGATGAGGAGGCCGGCGAGAGTGGCTCCAACGAGAAGAAGGAGGAGTAAACGACTTGGCGATGAAGTAAAAGCATATGAAAGCGGTTGCATCGAGGACGGAGTCACAATACAAATTTTTATGATACACTAATGTCTTTGGAAGTACATAATACAATACACAGCTGTTTGGATATCATCGAAATCGTGTCTGCAAATGAGATTCTCCTGGCTTTGCAAATGCAAGCCGTGCAAGAGAAAAGCGCGATCGATAGTCTCTCGGTATGGCTTTAGTTTCGCTGTGCTTTGAGCTTCCTCACATTGACCAACGCAGTCTCCATGAGGATCTTGTCGTACTGAAGGTGCAACCACTGTATCTTCGCATCCATCGGTCCTTGAACAGGCTGTCCTTCTTTCCCGGGAAGAGTCAGCGCATTGAAGAAAACGCTCTTCAAGCCAAACTCGGCAACACCTTCGTTACGCTTGACATCGACCGTCAATTCGAACAAGCCATCAGACTCCCGCGGTTCCCGAATGCGCGGCGAATCACCACATCGGACCATGATCGAGCGATCCGTCTTCGCAACAACCTCGAAATGATCAACCAGGCGCTGCCCCACTTCGTACGAACTCTCTGCCAATTCCTCCGTACTCCACAAATTATCCGCCGTCTCCTTGCTCTTATACTTCTGCTCTAGATAGCGGCGCTGAAACGCAAATCCCCATCCACTCCAGACTCCCGCGCAGAACGCCTGAACCAGTTTCCCATCCTCCTGTAGTAATTCTGGCCGTATCTTTTCCAGTGGGACCCTGCGTAAGCAAAGGTCTTGTGTCACGGGCGAGTCGTTGGGGTTGTGCCGGGTGAAGAGCGTTGATTGGAAGATGTAGTCGTCGCGGGGTACGTCGACGATGGTGCATTTGCGCGTCCAGAGGGCGTAGCCGGCGCTGGCGCCGAGGGTCGTGTAGCCGGTTAGGCGGAATACATTTCTTATGAGAACCATCTTGATGTGTATAGGTGTCAGATCTTGTTGGGACCGCAGCGCTTGAGCTCTGGGCGCAACGCAGCTTTGTAAATCAGCTTCGCTTCAGCCTCGGTGCTTGTGACAAGGGTACAACCCCAAGTTCAACCCTAACGTGCGTTATCAAGGGATGCAGGCATCGAATGTTTGCAGCAGCAGAAAATGAATGGTCTCGGTGGGCAGGTCATGGTGGTTCCGGTCGGCTCGCTGTAAAATTGACTTTTATGGTCACCACGAAGATCCCGGAGAGACCGTGTATGCTTGTGACGCGTGTGGTAGACACGAAAGTGCGACGAAGGCCAGGAACTCAAAGATCAGAATATGAGAAGCCAGCGTTCAAGCTTGGATGGCCTCCGCGAGATAGCGATGGCTACGATCAAAGCTCGCAGTACAGCAATTATGGAACACAGATGTCGGCAATGGATCTCGATGTCACTATCTACCTTGACGAGTTGCAAGCAGAGTTCAGTAGACTGCCAATCCTGTTCAAGCCAGCTCCATCTTCCATCGTAATGATATGCTTGGGAATGTCCCACTCGACCACAGGCATCTTCTTGATCTCCTTACCAAGCTCTGCATCAATCAAAGATGCATATGAGTGGTCCAGGAAATCTTCCAATTGGTAATTCCGTTTCGTAAATTGCTCGCCCATGATTTTAGCCAAAGTAGCGACATTGGGATGATAATGGCTGCGTAAGGTCTCCAGTTCCCACAAGCTCGAATCGATGGCGCCGGTCGACAAAGGATCCTCCTGCTTCATATCGAATGGATCGTCAATTCCCTCATCATTGTAGTTCGGCTGCGAAGCATAGATGGTATGTGCCGGATGATAAGGTCGATGCAACATGAATGTACAGGGCGGATGCTGCTTCAACATGTTGTAGACCCAAGGGATGACCCAGACAATGCTTCCTGGAGGCGCATGAAGTGCTAATCGAGACAGACGTTTGATGAAACTTGCTATCATTGTCGCTGGCAAGTGGGTTGAAGCCATGAATGTCTCCAGTAGTCGGAAAAAGCGACTGCGATACTTGCTGTGCAGAATCTTATCGTCCAATAGGCTGTAAAGCTTTGTGTAAAACTCAGGATAGTCAATGTTCTTCACGGTCATAAGGTGAAAGATGCCGTTTAAGGCAAGAAGAGCCGTGGAGCCGCCTTGATTGAATGAATCCGTCAAGAAGTCTGTGAGCAGCTCGATGTGACCCGCAAACCACGGTAGAATCTGAGTGTTCATCACCGCAAGTATGGTCTTGCGATGTTCTGCCGACAGTGGCGATTGGAAAACTGCAAGCCACGCTTCCCGTGCTCCTTTGTGATGTCCACCGAGAGACCGTAGCTGATGCTTTTCGGTGTCCGGCGCAGATCCATACCAATCTTCCAGTTGATCAGCAGACTCTGGAATGCCTGTGATCTTCGCCAACATGTCCAGCGCGTTCTCCGCCATCGCAGCTTGCCCTTTTCTCGCTGCAAGGTTCTGCTTGATAGCCAGAAATGTGTAAAACCGAACGTCATCGTGTTCCTCTACGAAGCTCTCAACAAACTCTTGTCTGGCGCCTTCTGCTGCGGTCTCTGTAAGTAGCCGCTGAACCACAGTTGTAAAGGACGACCCTTCAGTCCTCCAAACTTGCTCTCCGCTCTTTCGACCAGTTGATGTTTCGGCCTTCACGATGCGCATCAGCAATGTAAGTGATGTGTTTTCTTTTCCAGGATCGGGACTTCCCAACCAGCCCGATAAGCCTTGCACATAATCGCTCAGCCTCTGTCTAAGCCACTGTACCTGCTCAATGACCTTTTCCGACGAGTCCTTCCTCTTGACAAATCGTTCTCCCGCGATAAGGCGACAGAATACTCGACATAGTGTTACGGCCGCGATGACAGCGGTCTCCGAATTTTCGATATCCCGGTCTGCAAGCTTTTGGAGATGGAGAATCTTGTCGTAATGTTCGTGAGAATCTACGATTTGCTCTTCTAGAGCCAATATTCGAGCCTGGTCGTCCTTTTGCGTGGTCTTCGGTGCTTTCCGGGACTTTCCACTGTTTTTGGAAATATCCTCAGTAGCACGCTTGCGCTTTTGCGACGATCGCTCAGGATTGATCACACCAGGCATTCTCGGAGCGCGATTGTGAATGCGATTGAGTTGTAACAAATCTGAGATTCGCATGGCGCCATGTTGCCGCGAAAGTCTGCCCTGTTCACAGAAAAGTTCGACTTCGCAAGGGTTACCGGCATGGCCCGTGCTTCCCGCAAAGCAAGAGCTCGGTTGGTCGAAGACATTGAACACAACCGAGCACAGCAACATCTCTCGGCCATCACTTCCACCACAATGGCGTCGCGTTTGGTCAAAAGCGCCCTGGGTATGTGTTGCTTGCGACATGGCGCATTCATGGGCATCAAAATGTACCAACTAACTCCCTGCAGGCGCTGCCCGGGTTCGCCCAACTCTCCCTATCCGCTCCACGATCCCGGCAATTTCCACCACCTTCTCGACCTCGAGCTCGCGCTTCTCCGAGAATGTCCCTCAGAAAGAGCCAAAGGCTGTGGCCACATCGATCTTGGATGGACTCCCAGGCAACAGTGTTGCGGCTAAGACCGCCATTCTGTCCGCCGGTGCTGGTTTGTCAGTTGCAGCTATCAGCAACGAGATTTACGTCGTCAACGAAGAGACCATCGTCATGGTCGCGCTTCTCACTGTCTACTACGCCATGTTCACTTACGGAGGACCTGCATACAAGCAATGGGCGGACAGCCAGACCGAGAAGTTCAAGAACATCCTGAACTCGGCACGAGCCGACCACACCAATGCCGTCAAGTCTCGCATTGAGAACGTCAAGGACCTCAGCGGTGTCATTGATGTCACCAAGAATCTCTTCGAGGTCAGCAAGGAGACCGCCAAACTCGAGGCGCAGGCTTTCGAGTTGGAGCAGAAGACTGCCATCGCTCACGAGGCCAAGTCCGTCCTGGACTCATGGGTTCGTTACGAAGGCCAAGTCAAGGCCAGACAACAACAGGAATTGGCCCAATCCATCATCACGAAGATCAACAAGGAACTTGACAACCCCAAATTCTTGGACCAGGTCCTCAAGCAGAGTGTCGCTGATGTCGAACGTGAGTTGTGTCGTCTGCTTTTATTGTGCAGACATGAGCTAATCCGATTCTCAGGCATTGTGTCGCAAAAGGCATAAATGAGTCACGTGACTGACTGAAGCAAGCCATACCGCAGAAAGCGCTGTATATAAGTTGACTTTTGCAAAGCTCGGTCTGAATCAATAGTTTCCTTTGTCGTTCTGCTGATAGATGATCCCGACCTTGGAAATATTGGATCGACTCCTCTTATTCTCATCCATGTGTTGTGCCTGTCACAGTCAATGCTTAAACCGGCGGCTGATAATATTAGTTGAGGTGCTCTAACGCTGATCGGATCCGGTTATCTCTTGCACTCTTGGCAAGACTTCGAGATTGTCAAGACATGGCTACTTATCTCTCGTTGTAATCATCCACATTTGTGATCGTGCTCGATACCCGATATTTGAACCTGTAAAATTTCTGCCGTACAAACAAAATGCCTGCCGAAGTTCTCTCGTCTACACAGCAGGAAGCTCGACAGGGTGCTCAGACATACCTGGATGCCCGCCTTTTGCAGAAATCGATATCTCCGCTACAATCAACGGAATCCTTTACCATCCCAGTGATCGATATCAGTCCCTCCTTCGATGCATCTTTGCAAGAACGCAAGGCCGTCGCAACCCAAATTCGTGCCGCCTGTACAAATAGCGGATTTTTCCACATCACCGGTCATGGTATCTCCAGAGAGGCTCAGGATGCTGTACTCGATCTTGCGAAGAGGTTCGTGAAGAACCTAGACCCGGACAAGAAGGAGGCACTGCATGTGAAGCATTCTGAGTACTTCCGTGGCTGGGAGCCGTCTGATTACACCTTCACGAATCCGAGTGATCGTCACGTGAAAGGTGCCAGACCAGAGACCAAAGAATGCTTCAACTGGGGCTATGAAGAAGGATTAGATCCTACTGGAGGTGATGGTCATTATTGCGAACTCGATGGAGCCATAGGCGTCACGGCTAATGTCTGGCCCTCGGAGCAAGATCTCCCAGGATTCTATGGCACGGTCCGGCAATACTATGGAGAAGTCTTGAGCTTAGCCAGGCATCTCTTCCGTCTTTTTGCACTATCTCTGGACTTGGAGGAGAGTCATTTTGACAGCATGGTGACACACCCGAGTGCCATAGCAAGGTTGCTTTACTATCCAGGACAAGAAAATCCTCAGCCTCTGGATGACAGTGGTGAGGATAAAGAAGTTGGACTAGGTGCACATACAGATTATGAATGCTTCACCATCCTGCTTTGTTCTTCCGCCTCTGGTCTTGAGATACTGTCACCTGAAAACGTGTGGATTCCAGCTAGAGGGCCGACAGCGCCAGAAAACGGTCTGATTATAAACGTGGCAGATTTTCTAATGCGCTGGACCAATGGGTTCTATCGATCCACGATCCATCGAGTGGTCAATCGCACGCAGCACGAACGATACAGCGTACCATTCTTCTTCGGCGTCAACAATGACACCATCATCGAGGTGAGGTACATATGCAATGCTTCAAGACCATCACTGACCACCAAGAGTGTAGACGATTCCCAGTTGCGTCACGCCAGAAAATCCCTCCAGGTATCCTCCAATTCAGGCTGGAGAATATGTCCTCGAGCGGCTGAAAGCCACTGCATCTGATTAGCGCGGCAATGAGTACTGAATGAATAAGCTGACCCTCATGTAATGATTCATGTCTTCGTCTCATTCCTGCACGGTATTCATGTCGCGATCATTATATCAGCATCCCCCCGGCTTGATATAGTCTGGATCTTGGTAGTTGTGATTTCTGCATTGTGCTTCTGACAGTATCGACGAGTTATTCTTTACATCGGAGCACGCACTGCGCATACTTACCTCCGCTATCCATGATGCGATGTTAGTTCATCACATCGGACTTTACGAGATCATCTCCCCGAATATCCTGATATCGACACCCATAGATTCGAAAGATTCCCAACTAGGTAGGTTGTCTATATACAATTGCTTGCCCAAGCAATCGAGCAAGCACGCGATGACTATTCATGTCCATCGGAGTCGGAGCTTGAAGTACCGACACAGCAATCGCGGCATATGATTCTTGGAGCTCATCAGCGCTAGAGAGCACCATTCACAGCGCGGAATATCACCGTGCTGTGGACAGAGTTTAAAAGTGTGTTGTGGATGGGACAATTCCGCTCATTCATCGCCTGCATTTACTCATCGAGTCTGGCACTCGCGGCAATAGCTGGGCATAACCCTAATCACAATTATGAATCGGCGAGCTTCATTGCTTAACTCCGACCACTCATCAGAAATGCGTATGACCTAGGTAATTACGTAGTTGAGCGGAAGCTTCCAGTTCTCGCGTGTTTCTGTGGAAAACTGTCGTGATGCTCACGTCGAAGCTGGAGCAGGGTCTGTCAGATTGGGTCCAGAGCTATAAATGGGCAGGTATCATCTCTTCGGTGCTGTCTCGACAAACTCATCCCTCATCGCTGCGCTACGACATCGCTAAACTGAAAGAAATCACTCTGGTGTAAACATTCGCATTACACAAACATGTCTGGCATCAAGAGAGTCTTTGGCGGCGCAGCCTTCTGGGCTGACGGCGAGGGTTTAGCAGAGCCATCAAAGCTGAAGCAGACCCTTGACATTCTGGTAGCTATTGTCGATGTTCCTGTCTGATGTGCATGTGCTGACCATCATTTGTTTATTACAGGAGAAGTACAAGGTTGACACAATTGATGTAGCCCGAATCTACAACGATGCGGAGCTAGTTGTTGGCAATTCTGATGCAAGAGAACGCTTCACCATCGATACAAAGCTCAGTGGTGGTTTCGGAGCGGGGTCTTCAAAAGCAAAAACCATCGAAGATGGAGAGAAGAGCAAGACACTCCTCAAGACCAATGTCGACATACTATACCTCCATGCTCCCGATAAGGATGTACCGATCGAGGAAACACTCGAAGGTGTGAACGAGATCTATCAATCTGGATTCTTCAAACGCTTCGGATTGTCCAACTTCACTGCCGAAAACGTCCAAAAGGTACACGACATTGCCAAGGCAAAGGGCTATGTGCTCCCCACAGTCTACCAAGGCAACTACAATGCTTTCGCGAGAAAGCAAGAAGAGTTGCTGTTCCCGACTCTTCGCAAACTCAACATCAGCTTTTACGCCTACTCGCCTATCGCTGGTGGCTTCTTGGTGAAGACTCGCGAGCAGCTCGAGAATGGCACTGGCCGATGGGACAAGAACTCACCCTTCGGTCAGATTTACCATAGCCTGTACAGCAAGTCAACGCTGCTCGATGGACTAGACGAGTGGCACGCGATTGCCGCAGAGGAAGGCATCTCGCCTGCGGCTCTGGCGTACCGTTGGATCGGATACAACTCTCCGCTGAAGCCGGAGAATGGTGATGCACTTATCTTCGGCGCGAGCAAAGTTGAGCAATTGGAGGACACCCTGCAATCCCTCCAGCAAGGACCGCTGAGCGAGAATGCTGTGAAGAGGATCGATGAGGTGTGGAAGAAGGTCGCTAATGAGGCACCCCTCGACAACTATCACCGATGAAAGTCGAAAGACTAATTGCCGAGAGTGTGAATGCGTACGCACCGGAACATCATCATGGAAGTGTATAGCTCATGTAGCTTCAGAAGAATGAATGCATCAATGACCAAATGCTCGTCGAGAGATGTATTCTAGTCTAGGTGACAAAATTCGTAGATCATGCGGCTGTAGCAGCGACACGGCCACATGGTTGCTTCGCACATTTGTTGCCTCTCGCGTCATTGCCACAAGATCATGGCTTTAAAAGATCTATAAATGCCAACATTACGTAGGTCTGGAATGCTCTCGCTCGCGTGATGTCGCCATGTCGCATACAAAGAACGGATATTGGACATGCTCGCTCAGCTGGACGGGACACTGTACTGAACGTAAGGGCGGCATTGATGCGGAAAATATTTACAGATCCATGTCATGCTGCAATGTGACGGCAGTCCAAAAAAAGAACGGCCGCCACGTGCCCTCCTTGCCCTGGCCATCATGTGATGTCCGGGATGGGAATGTCTGCTATTTTACTTGGCGACGAAATTCACTGGCTGACGAGCTCGGCCTTCGGGACGCGCGCACGGGACCAGCGCTTGTCGCCGAGCCCTAATTTCCCTCGGGCTCCACCACACCTACCTACACACGGACGAATATCCCGCCCAGGAGGATGTTTCCTCAGTTCCCTCCTGAACTCTGAATCATTTCCCGCCGTGCCTGCCCACTCCTGTGGCTGATATTTGCATATCATGGTGCAGGGGAACCACCCTCATTTTATCTGTCCAGCACATAAGCGACTGGGCGATCCTCCACTCGTGTTGCCAACTCATCAAATTGTTAATGTGATTCAGTAGATTCAGTTCCACCGCCTCGAGAGTAGACGTGCGATAGAACGAGCCCACTGTGTCGTGTCTCCAGCGGTCGCGACGCCAACGTTGCGATATGTGAGACGATCCTGGTCCGCCCGTTGTGAGAGGGAAACTCTAGAAGTCGGGCTGTGCAATCGCCGTGACTGCTGCGAGCATGCCATGTCGGCATGTCCTTTGCGCGTTATTTCCGTTGCGGGAAGGGAGGGTTCTGTCGTCTGTGGGTAGCGTTACTTTTCCGGCGCACCCGACAAGGGACACACCCCTGGCGGGCTGGATCGCGGCGTCTAGCGAGGCCGTTGACGGGCGCGGTATGCATGGAATTCGCGTGCGTAGGACCAGCTGACGACGACCTTGACGACTCGACTGCGACATTCTTTTCCTATCGTCGTTGCAAATAGATTTCGAACAGGATTACGAATTCCGACTGGGCTCAGGGGGTTCTCGCCAGAAGGTTGTGAAGCATGAGGTCTGTTCAATCGCGTGGCAGGACACGTAGTGGCGGGAGTATCACGCACCAAGATCGATCTGTGCCTAGCACGCCTGGGCTTGGAGATGTCTCAAGTTGCATTGCACACACATACTATCGCACCATGGGCGGTACAGACAAGCCCAGCGTGTGACACCACAATTGACGACGACGACGGGCCAATTGCGTAGCTATTGGCATCGTTGCATTCATTTCAGGAGTGTGCGGCGCATTGCATAATACCGCATACTACGGAAAGCGGGTCGCAGGTGAAATGAGAGAGTGCCTTGATGGTAATGGTGTATAGCGTGAGTAATACGCGAGTAAGCACTACTCAAACGACCAGGGCCAATTGATTTTGGACACCCGACCACCCGACGACTGTGACTGCTGCCGGAAATAATAGCAAACACGAGTTCGGAGTGGTGGTGATCATGCTACACTGGACCAGCCAGTTGCCCGAATACGACCACTCACACCCCCAAAAGAGGCATGGTCAGGCGCCCAAGGTCTATTCGACACACATCACCGCGCTAGCCCACACACACCCATCCACCCCGACAAACACCAATGAACATGGCCGCGCGCAACAGTGCGAAGTGTTGCATTCATTCTCATCACCAACAACCAACTGTGCCACACCCTTTGTTGTCTGGCCGTGCGACCATTCTCGGCTCGCCATGCCAGGCACCGTGCTGCTGCTCCTGGGCCTGGCAGACTGATATCATCCTCCTCCGAGAACCATTATTCCGTCTTCTCTTCTTGCCTCTTCTTTACATATATTCGATCATCAATCCCGCCTCGTTTGGGACCATTCCTTCACGCCATTTTCCTTTTCCTGTCTCAACAACCACTGTCGTTACGTTCGACTCAAAGAACAGCATTTTCAGTACTACCTATCTCATTCTAATAACAACAACTTCGCCTTTTCCGATCTCGATAACCATTCAGCACCATGCGTTTCACCAGCACTTCCGCGGCCATCCTGGCTACCTCTCTCCAGGTTGCCATGGCTCAGACCTTCACTGACTGCAACCCGCTCGAGAAGACCTGCCCGGCTGACCCTGGTCTCAAGTCGTCGACCTTTAACACCGACTTCACCAAGGGCAATGCCTCCTGGAGCGGAGCTGCTTACACTACCATCGGCTACGGCAGCAACGGTGCTGAGTTCAAGATCGATCAGAACAAGCAGGCCCCGACCGTCCAGACCGATTTCTACTTCCTCTTCGGTCGTGTCGACGTTACCATGCGAGCCTCTCCAGGCACTGGTATCATCTCTTCCGTAGTGTTGCTCTCTGATGTCCTCGACGAAGTCGACTGGGAGTTCGTCGGTGGCGACAGTGCTCAGGTGCAGAGCAACTTCTTCGGCAAGGGCAACACCACTTCCTACGACCGTGTCAAGTACATTCCTGTGTCCAACCCTCAAGAGAACTTCCACACCTACACCTTCGACTGGACCAAGGACCGTCTGCAGTATCTCATTGACGGTAATGTCGTCCGCACCATCCAGGCCAACGAGGCCCTGACCAACTACGGCCACAACTACCCTCAGACCCCCATGCGCCTGAAGCTTGGAAGCTGGTGCGGTGGTTGCGACGGTTCTCCCCAGGGCACCATTGAGTGGGCTGGCGGCAAGACCACCTTCGACGGTGCTCCATTCAACATGTACGTCAAGTCTGTCAGCATCCAGAGCTACAACCCTGCCGACAACTACGTCTACTCCGACAACTCTGGTTCATGGCAGAGCATCAAGATCAACGGCGGCAGCAGCTCTTCCGACAACGGCAGCAAGAGCAGCGACTCCACCACCACTGCTACCACCACCAAGCCCACCACTACCGCCGTCGTTGCTCCCATCTCCAACACTGCCGTTGTTGCTCCCCCCACCGTCACTGGCGCATCCAACAGCACCAGCAGCAACTCCACCGCTGCTCAGCCCACCGGCATCAAGACTACGACCGCGGCCACTAACGCCACCAAGACCACCACCTCCACTGGTCCTGCTGCTGCCACTGGCGCTGCCAGCACCATTAGCACACTCACCGGTGCTTCGCTCCTGAGCATTGCTCTTGCCGTGTTCATGCTTTAGATGGGAGGGTCTAATTCGACCTAGTGTGTACTTTTCCATAGACCGCATGTGTCGCTTCATCGGCCGACATGTATGATTAGAGCCTTGTCGTTTTTTCATTTGGATCATTGCGCTTGAGAAAGGGTTAGGACTGCCAGGCGTTTTCGTATGCGAAAGCTTTATTTTGGATGGTGTTTGTTGGGCGTTCGTTCCACGCATCGAAAAGAAAAGCCTATGCTCTTTCACTATTGGAAGAGAAAAAATATATCAAAACTTCATGATTCACTCACGTCTCTCCGTTTCGTCGTAGTACATTTACATATCCCTCAGTTGCTGTTCCTATTCATCGTGAACCGTATCAACATCCCACGGTCGACGATCATGCCGGAAAGCAGGTCGTCCGTGGAGTGCTGACGTTGGCATATTTATTTCGATCGGTGAACTAAAAGGCCCCTAGACGAAACCGTTTCCCGTCGGCCGTCGGACGTTGGAGTACGAAAAAGCAGGGTTCAACCAATTTCTGGTGTTTTAGCACGCAGCAACAAGCCGAGCGAACCCCCTCGAGGAACCAAACCACTCCATGTACACTACTATTGGAAAGCCGGACACGTCACTTCTCTGAACTTCATTTTATTATCACTTTGATCCTCGGATTCTCTCCATCTTCACTTGGGTATCTGATGATCACCGAATAGTGGTGCGGCTGGCTTCACTTTGCGCGCGCGCTCGACCTCGTTTGCTTCCCTAGCCCGCGGACTTTTCCACGGGTGCCTGCAAAGTATTAGGCACAGAATGGCCAAAGAACTCATCATCATGACGAGCGCGAGGGCTGCAGAGTGTTTCATGATGAACATGTGCATTGCAAGTCAGGCCAAGCATCGAGTAATAACATTTAATGCTGGGGGTCGCACAAACATCCTACAGGTAGATGGCATGTACCGTAGGTGACCGGGTGTGGTAAAAGTTCTCGGCACCACCGATGATGGTCACCAGCAGAAGGAAGCTGCGTTTGCACATGTCGCCCGGTGCTTGGACTATCAGCACACATTCACTTGTAAGTCTTGCAATATGCTGAATGCGCCCATGATTCTCAAGTACGAACCTGCGACTGACGTCTTGCACATCACCATGAAGCATTGATCTCGATATCTGTATAGGCTAGAAATGCTCAACATACGCGATCAGAGAAGTCGCGAGAGACCGTGGGCGGGTGAATCGCACCTCCCCCAAGAATCGCGTTATATTCGTGTGTTAAATACAATTCCTAGCTCGCCGGCCCGGGAGATCCATGTTTGAACCGCAGCATTGGGAGATATGGAGGTCATGCGCCATCTGGTAGACTTCATCGACGGCATTCGCGTCGGCGACTACGATGATGCTCGCTCACCATTGCCCGTGCCTGAGATTAACTGACACCTGAGCAGCGTACATGGCTATTATATGATGGCATTTCTAAATGCATCGATTCATTTTCTCAGAGTCATCAGTCAGTGATTTTTGCTCGCAAGTTCAGTGTCGACACACACGACGTCCATTCATTCATCCTGTGATCAAGCACGAGCAAAGCGTCACACTCATTTAGCGTTGCATTCGACAACATTCCTTTGGCAAGAAAGTGCAAGCTTGCAAAATGCTTGGAACGAGTTCCTCGAGCCCGACATCTTCACGGCGTCAATCTCCAAGACGCTCACGCTATGACGTTGATTTTATGGTCATGCGGCTGATCATATTCTCACTTGTGGACGCCTCAGCTGATCACATCACCGATTGCGTCCTTCAACTGACCTCTGCTGCTGAGAGACAGTCGCTCCTTGAAGAGTATCGGCAGTGTAAGATGCAGCAAGGACGATGTGAGTTTAAGTCCCGTTGTGACCTCGGGCCGACTGCTTCGCCCACAAGGGTTAGTGTTTCCGGAGGAGCCTCAAGGTGTTGAAAGACATGTTCAGACTTGTTGATCAACAGAATTGGCAGCTGCTAGCTACGGTGCATGCTGCTCGGGCACGGCATGCGATCAGCCTACGCGACGGCGGACTTCGCGACATCAAAGTCAGCAAGTCCCCCTCTCAAACCGAGACCCCTGTCTTTGGCGATCAATTCTCCATGGAGAAGATTCGGTTCGCAGAATTCGTAAATAGCTACGCATCCGAAAACTTTCAATGGGCGACTCACACCTTTTTAGGGATATGCTCCATATCACATGCGTCCTTATAGCCCGCTCACCGGCTCCACATCGTTTGACATTGTCTCACACCGTGACATCATTTCGGCGATCTTTCCGCGGGAACGGCTGCTCAAGGAGAACATCACGATAACTGATAACACAAACCCGGCTGTCGAGGATTCTGTCTTTTCAACGCAGAGCAGCGATGGACATGTGTCAGAACAACCATTTTTCGAACGGGCCATTGCAACAAGCGGAAGCCATGCCGAGTATTCGCCGACTCGTCGCTGTTCTGTATCTTTATATGATAGCGAGCTGACAGATTCGCTGGAACCACTACCTCCATCTTGTACGACAAAGTGGGCGCCATACAATGGATCGCGCTCTTGTGGACATGCGCAACCGGAATGGACTCCAGAAACCGCTCCCTTCACTCACGAGATATATGATCCTTCCAGCAACGCAAATTGGTGGCAGGATGATCTTCGGAGGAGGAGGGCACAGCTTGATGTCTGGAATTTGTCTCATTTAGCAGAGACAAGTGACGGCCGTTATCGGGTGGAGACGGAGCACAGCTGGGACTCACACCTTTCGTTGTGTGATACATACCCTGTCTCATCAAACCTTGACTGGTACAAAAACAACATCGTGCGCGCCGCCGAGAGAAATTCAGCCACAGCACTTTCCACGAAACAAGATCACATCCTGCAAGCGCAGCGACGCGGTAGAAAACCACCACTCAAATCGCAAGCGCGAGAAGTCTTCATGTAAGTAAGAAGTCATGATTTTAGATCGAAGAGGCGATGCCCGTTATTCGAGCGACCGTTATGCCGGTCATGCAAACCGTCAACGGGCTTAACGAGGGCAAGTCCTCGACATGGAAGTGCAAATGCACAGTGCGAAGCCTGGACTGACCGCAATTTGACAGCGAATCATCTACTCATTCAACTGTGCTCCGGGTGGAAGAGCGTGCTCGTGAGGCGGATTCCTTGAAGACTTCTCCGGTCACAGACACTGGCGGCAAAATGTTCGCAAATCTGCGCTTGAACACCAAGCAGAGCCAGCAATGGGACGTCACTCGGCCGCAGCCCACCAGCATCGATGCCGTGCAGCCCAGAAGACGATCCATCCTAGTCCACCGCGACGAATGCCAAAACGGTCTCGGCGAGTCAAGTAGAGTGGAAGACCACCCCGAACGCCCAGAGCGGCACGTCCACTTTGCTCTGCCGCCTCTCTCAGAATGTACGAACGAAGAGCCCGCGTCGCCATCCTCCTCCGATGGCTGCATCACACCCGTCGACAGCTTCGATGAGGTCGGTTTGCTGGAGGCCAAGAACAAAGCCAACAAGTTCGCGTTGAACGTGAACCTCCCTCCGTCTGCGACGACGGCACGGCGACGCTTCATGAGCTATTTAAATGCGCTGAAGTTGCACTGCTGACGGTACCGGCCGGTCCGCGTTGTCGCAGTGTGCCGTGGCATGGACACAGGGAATTGCCAGCAGCCAGAGAGCTTGGCCCAAGGAATTCCAGCTCGCTTGATCATCTTTCTCATATCCTCATGCTTTCTGAACGCGAGCATTCCGCATGTGAGATATGACCTCCAAGGCTTGCCCTTCCGGGATATCGGCAACTTGCGACGAAGTGGGACCGACAAAAATACGGAATCGTAAAGTGTAATTTAGCGGTCGCGACAAAGACGACGATTAATGAATGTGGAGTAGTCTGGTAGAGCCAGGCTGCGGGATTATTGGCAAAGGCGCCATACGCACCCTGGAGGTGGCGGCGCCAGATGACGGGAATGAGGAAAGCGTATGATTGGACTTGCTCGATTTCGTATGTATCGGTTCGTTCCTCGTGAATTGATTTTAACATTTGTGCTTTGGTGATTTGCCAGATTTCAACTCGGCATGGCCGTAGTCAAGTACAGTGCACGCCTGCTGATCAAGTGTCAAGCTGTGCAAATGTGATGATGTAGGATCATCATTACAAATAATTGGATTCGACTTGTTACGCGTCGGACGCATAATCTATAATTTTTGTACACTGTTCCCGTAATGTACACTTCGCTCGCCCTGTTCGACAAAGGGCATTGGCCATATTCCATCAGTGCGGACGATCGCGCCACATGACTTCTCCCCAAGCTCTAGCCACCACCACCAGTCCACTATCGCATCTCCTTCAAGAAATTGTCCTCCTTGATCTTGCTTCTCCGCTTGTCGCGCATAGCTTTGGTTAACTCGGTACGCGCGGCGATGGCGTCTTTGGAGCCCTGTAAGGAGCCATCGCCAGCGGGCAGATCGATGGTCTGTTCGTACAGCGGGATCTTTGGCTCGAGTAAGCCTGGGTTGAGGAGTTGCTGTTTTCGAAGAGCTTTGGCGGCGATGCGGCGCTGTTTCTTCGATTTGGCTGTTTGGTGAAATTTGGCTGTTAGTTGTATTCCGTGGCATCACCGTGTCTTCGAGGAATGCTTCGGACTTTCGCCAACGATCCCCAAAATCTCATTTCCAAAAGGCGAGAAACTCATGTGAGACTTTGTCCCTCCCTCCTGACTAGTCAAGTCCGCACAGGAGAAAAGGAAACTAGAGACTTACAGAACATGTCACCCTCTCCACCCACAACATCATCTGCACCAGCTTTCTTATCCAAGACCCTCCACAGCCACGCCGGATACGCCTCATCCTCCAACGCTAGCGGATCCTGTGCATTTTTCTTGAAATTGAGGCCTTTCAATGGCGTCCCCGCCGGGCAGCTGGAGACGACCTTCGGGGGTTGCTGCTCGGCCGGACCGAGATCGGATTGCCTCGCACCGGAGACCAGCGGTGCGCTGAAGGGCTGTGCGGCGGATGTGGAGGTCGCGGCGGCGAGGTCGTTGGGTCGAGGGTTGGTTGCGGTCGCGGTTTGTGCTGAGACGGCCTGGGCTGCTCGTGACGTTGCCCGGGAAAAATTCCGGGCGGAGGTGCTGCTGCTGCTGATGGCGTGTCGTGAGAAGGATCGTGGTTGGCCGAGCCGCTGGAGACATCGCTGGCAAATCATCTTGTGCTTGATTGCAATGAACTTTCCCGCCAGGATTGGGTCGAAAGGGAATGGAATGCGATGCGGCAATGAAGGTAATGCTGCTCGGTGGTGGAGGGTCGGGGATTTCCATATTCAACGCCTGATCACGTGCTCCAGCCCGGGACAATTTATCACTCACCTGGGCACCTGGGCACTCACCAATGCGGCTACCAGCGACATTCAAATCGGGCATGCAAATTCTGAGCCAATACATGAGAAGCAGAAGCTTTGAATATCACATTGGAGAGATGAGACTGTTGTAGGTCGGCAAGTATTCTTGTAATCCAAATTTGCAAGTGATGAATACTCTGCCAGAGAGTGGAAAAAGACGGTGGGTATAACGAGTACTCCTATGTTCGAATCCAATGTACACCAGTGTTGCGTGAGCAATGTCCATCCTTCCGCAGTAAAGAGAGCCCAAACCAGCGCTGCTGTAATATGGTGCAAAAATGGCTCTGTAGCCATAGAAAAGAAGAGAAGATTCGTCCGTGTCACCCTCATATCTCCGAAAGCTGATCAACAGACTGTCCCACATTCGCTCAAAAAATCAAATATCGCTTGCTCGTGGACTCAAAAGAAGTAAAACCAACGCGTAAAGACAAAAGAAAATGCCCACGGGTAGAGCACGCCGGCAGGAGAATCATCAAATCAGGTTTACACGTCATCTGCAGCGACTTTGCGCGACAGGAGATGGGGAATTGGTCGTTTATCCATCGTCATCGTCGTCGTCGTCCTCAGCTTCTCCGTCGTGCTTCTTGACCCTTTTGCTGGGAGTTTCACCATGAGCGCTGCCATGTGATCCACCTGCTTTTCTCTTAGCACTTCCACTGTTATTCGAGGCGACACCATGTTCACCTTGGATGGCACCGCCTCCTTCCTTCGCCTCCTGTGCTGCAACCTCTTCCGCCGTCAGGAAACGGCCTCCGGGACCGCGTGGTCTCCTCATTGCGTGGTTGTGTCGCGACTCGTGCAGATATGGTTTCCGTCCTTTTGAAGTCAGGCGCAATGTATCCTCCAACTTTTGACGCGCCATGCGCCGCTTCAATATCCTGTGGAACTGTTTCGCGTTGACATATAGCGGCGACTCCTCGTTGGCACCAGCGACTGGGCCGTCGCCAGCCTGTTGCGTTTGCTGTGGTGGTGCTTGTTGTGCTGTAGAGGGTCGACCGGCACTCATTGGACCCTGTCCAGGGCCATTCGCACCGTTTGTGCCGCCGTTGACATGCGACATGCGCCGTTGTTGCATCTGCGGAGGCATTCCATTGGCGATGGTGGATACAGGCGACATGTTCATCTGTGCCGCCATCGAGCCGGGAACATTCATTTGAGTTTGTGATCGCGGCGATTGCGCAGGCGGGCGGGGTAGGTTACCATCGGCCTTGACGTGTTGTAGTCGTGGTGAGGTAGGTTGCATGCCGTTGCCAATAGAAGGATCCGCTATTGAGTATGTTGCTGGATAACCTGATGCTGCTGCCGTAGCCATCGCCGCGTACTGAGGCTGCATGCCATATGCCGGGTTGTAGATTTGTGGAATCATCGCAGGTTGTGCCATTTGCTGCGATTGCTGATGTTGCGCATAGCTGGATGGTTGTGTCTGTAGAGCAGGATTCGAATGGCTTGGCGCAGCGCCAGAGTGATTGTGGGGATACGCGGACTGTTGGGGAGGATGGTATTGGGAATATGTCTCCATAGTGGATGGGTTACGGCAGTGCGCCGGACTGATCGCGTCGTTGGAGCAGATTGGCGCAGAGCGAAACGGAAGAACCAGAGTTCGATATCAAGCTTGGTCGACGTGATCGATGGTGCACCAGGGTGGTCGCAGGATAAGAGGAGCACAGCGCAAGTTGTTGGACGAGAGAGCGCGACAGCGGCGGCGCGTGTCTTGAGGGATGCGATTCAGGTGGAGGACGGTCGTGACGCAGCGCGGGCCGTGGCGGTGCAAGCGCAGTGTGTCGCAATAATGCGTTAAACTCGATCACGGCTTGTTGTGCCAGAATCCAGACGTTTGACAGGATAGGTGATGGCCACTAATATTTGCTGGATCAAGTGTTAGCTGCCAAATTCTAAAGAAAGGTATGAGGGTCTGTCCCAGCGACAGCAATTGGGTGGTGGTGGTGCGTTTGACGCAGCGGGCCGGGCGAGGGCGAGGGACGCCTGCTCGCAGCACGTTCCCATGCACTTGCCAACGCATACTTTCCCTGAGATGCGTCGGCCAACGCATCATCACCCTTCTCTGGGCGCTTGCATCAGGCTTTGGCGACGGCGACTCCTCATCATCCATCGCGTTCGCAGGCCTTTCTCTCCCTGGTGTTTGCAGCACCCTTCCACGGCACCGCCACATGCAACCCATGCCATGGTAGCGTTCGTGGGTCACAAGGCTGCGGCCGTGACGTGCAGCCCAGAGTGCGGTGATGTGGTATTTGTCTGCCGCTCACGGGCTTCCAAATTGGACGGGCAAGACCCCTGTGCTGTACCGGCCACACCGAAAGCCCTTTTCATCCACAACAGTTGTGTTTCTGCCCAAGCAAGCACCAGAGCTGGCAGTGCATGGGAGAGCGCTGCATGACGCCTGAGGCAAACTCACCTGGATTTCTCCCGATCGCAAGCAGTGCTTGTTGATTTTAGCCTGTCGAGTTGGGCCTCTATTCTACACATGTCAGCCAGATCCATGTCTGTTGCTTCGAAGCGAGGTGACGGGATCGGATGCGGTGAAGGATGTGTTTGTGCGCGCTTCGACGTCATGCCGTAAGGTGGGAAGGAGGAAACCCGCAGGCATTGCGCCGCGATCGCGGCCGTGATCGCAAGGCCACAAGCTCCCAACATTTGCCCGTCGCACACCGCATTTGACGTCCCAGCCGCGATGCATCAAACATAGCAGAACCAAGCAGCCGCGGACGAGGAAGGCTTGCGTGAATGGTGCGCGTACCTGATCTCCAGATGGATGAATTGTTGACGTGTGTCACGATGGCCACGCGACTCTGCTCAGGTATTGGCGGGTAAGAGCCACCAATGAAGAGGTTTGTATGCTGTGATTGGTCTTTGGAGGAAGAGAAGTGGTTGGGGCTTCAGGGCAAATGCACGAGTGGGAAAGAGAGAGAGAGACGCCGCGGCACTTGTATGGGAACGAGCGCTACAGCTCAGGGTTTCCTACCTAGTATTGTCTCTCTTCTGCTTTCATCATACAGTATAGTACAGCACAGTCACTACACTACAGTGAATGAGAAGTGCAATTCTTCACCCTCCCTCTCAGCTCTTCCCCCAAGGTTCCAAGGTTGTGGGGGGGGGTTTTGTGGCCCTGGGGAATGACGGCTGCTCGAGTTTCGCTCGCTCCTGCCCGTGACACCGTCATCGCCCTGCACCGAATAATCCCTCTCCTAGAAGGGGACGCGACGGGGTATATGTGATACTGGATTGCCCCTATGCACGACGGATACGGGTAAATATAAGAACGAAAGGGTCCTACCTCTTCAACAGCTGACCGAAAACGCACCATCCATGGATCTCATCATACCTGGGCGGGCGCTCATCAAGGTTCTTTCCGCATTTCGTCGGAACACGTGCTCGGTGAAAACCCTAATGGCTCGGGCACGAGCCTCAATACACTATCAGGGCTTTCAAGGTTCACGGGGATTTGAACACAAACACGGCCGTACCATTCATCTGGAAACCTTGGAATGATAGCACGGCATGCGCTGTGGTTCTGCTATGAAGAATCTCGGAATAGTCGTGACGGTAACAAAACGTCCTTCCGTCCCAACATAGGGTATGTGTTATTCGTCGGCAAAACATCTTCTAGGTCGTAAAGAGACCTATCGGCAGTTGCGATCAATCGTCGGCTTTGATCGACCACTTTGGGCAAAACCCCGAGCACGATCCTACAACGGTTATTTCAACACTGTACTGTACATGTACATGCGACATGGCGAGTCGCGACCGAGGCACAAGGGCCGAAATGTGATGGCATCGCAGGCAACATGGAAGTGCGGAGATGGCGACACCCTCGCGTCCTGCAAACATGTGATGAGTCTGATTAGAATTGTGTGATGATATGCTGTGTGATCCCTTCCAAGGTTATCACATGTTATCACAATGATCGTCGTCCAATCACGCGTGGAGCCGCTGGCGAGCACGACCAAGTTCGGGGCAGCGGTTCGCTTGCGGCGCGCTCGTGCCACCGGTGGAATCTTCGTTGATCGTGTTTACACGGTATCGGTACAGAGCACAACAGAATGGCCATACGACAAGCATCGAACGAAGAGGTAATGCGCGAGCACACTCATCTCGGGGCTACTTCGGAGGATGAAAGCAGTACAGACCTAAGTACCGTATGTGCAGGTGCTTCGGTGCTGTTGCATCGGAGAGTTCGTCGCGAGGTCAAGCATGACCACAATGCCGCAAATCTCATCAAGCACGCTGCAAAGCGTGTACTGTCTGCGCGGCTTGTTTCGAAATGACGAGTTGCCAGGCTATTTTCATCTATCTCATGCATCAACAAGGTCAAGCCGGCACTTCCCCATTCCATCATAAGATAAAGCGAATATGTTCACAACCAACGAAGAATCAGCCCTTCCAAATCACCATGCTCCGAGATCCTGGATCCCACCTATACACATCGCCTTGGCCAACATTGTATCGATAATAATTCTCGGTGCCGCCCTTTACCTTGGCTCGCCTGAATGTTATGTTGATCCGACCTTTCTCTGCTTCACCTCCCTTGCGTTTCGGTATGCTGTGAAGCCCTATATATGATTCGTATCAGCTACGCTTGAAGCCTACCTGGAGAGTCGTCATGCAGAGCATATTGACTCACAGTTACTTTGAGTTTTGCCTCTCATCAAGATCATGTCGCCACTTGCCATCGGCATTTTCATCGGCTGCGTCTCAGATGAATGTTTTGCAGCCGTTGGCTTGTGCTTCATGAGGAAGTCTCGTCTCGCTCCTAAGGACATGGAAGCGATTGCTGGATCGACGCCAAGAAAGCGCTCGTCATCACTGTGATATGAGATACTATCATCCCCTGAAGCGTAATAATTGACGAGCGTGAAGTTAAATTTGCATCCAGTCACGTTCTCTGCCAGTATCCGAAGACTGTCTAAACATTGCGGAATCGGTCTCGGCTGACATTGATAACGGTCTTTGGGGACAGGTTTCTGGCTCGCAGCATCCACTATCACGCTGCCATCTGGACTGAAGCGTGAGGACTCATCGAGCCCAAAAACCGTCGTGAAGCGAGGCGTGTTGATCTGAGTCTCCACCGGACCACGCTTTATCGAATATTTGACTCGGTAGAAGAAGAGATTTTGCCTTAGAAACTCAAACAATTCCTTTTCTGCGCCTTTCGGAATGTAAGGCTGGTAGTAGACAAGATCAAGGTCGGGTTGGTCGGCAATATCTCGTCCCTCCGAACTAGGCACAAACTGTAGGATCTCTTGAAGATCGGTCGGAAGTTCTGCGACTGCAAATGGGTAAGTGGTGTGTTTCGACTGAGCTTGATTTTGTGGCTTCACTTCATTTGCAGCATTCTCCGTTTGCCGCTTTTTGTTTGGCGGAGAAACGAAGAAGCTATCAAGAGTCCTTGGTCGCTTCGACATAATTCTGCCAGTTTTAAATCATGTCTACAATATGACAAGATCTTACAGATTTGCCCTCGGAGTGATATACGCGATGGACTTGCTTTCACTATCCTGGACAGCGGGTCAATGTTTCTGCTTCGAATGAGTTTATGCCTCATGATGACGTCGGCGCGAGAACGCGTTTAGACGCCTGGGCGCGTCTCCATATTAGGGTCAAAGTGGAATTGCATCGCCGTCAATACACGACACCACGTGCAGGATGCCCATCGTCAGGCGTGCGACGACTGCCTCCAATGAACATCCTGGCTCGCGATTCGCAGCCATTACGTTTCCTTGATTGAGATTCTGTGGATTCCAATGACCTGCCACGGGAACCAGCATGACCAAGCTGCGGCGCTCAGCGCGAAAATTGGCCGTTTCGTTCTCCGATAACGACGACGAGGATACCCCCGATCCTAAGCAAAATGTGCTGCAGAAGAAGGGATCCAAGATAAATCAAGCCAAAATTCGGGGAGAATCTGCTGGGGATGATGCCCATGGCGGTAAACGGGATGTAGGGCGAAGTCGCGATACCACCGTCTCACCACAGAGCAAGTCAAATAAGAAAGGACTCTCGGTTGCCATGAACAAACCGATTTATTCATTCTTCAATGCTGTTACACAGCGTCAAAATTCATCGCAGCCTTCGGCGAGTCCGGAACGATTGCCGAAATCTGTTGATGATCTGGAGACTATCCAAGACGAATTTGAAGACGAAGATATAGCCAATGACATTAGCTTACCTGTATCAACTCAAGGCTCAAGCATCGCGCTGGCTATGCGCAAACGTAAATCGCCTCTCAGTCAGGATGGCAGAGGCGTAGCCGACAATTTGGCGCCAGCATCCCTCAAGTTCCGCAAAACGAGTAACGGCAGTCGTCTTCCAACACCCGTGCTTTCCTCGGATGGAAGACCTTGGATGGAGCGATTTGGCCCACTCGACATAACCGAGCTCGCAGTACACAAGCGAAAGGTTGCCGATGTGCGGCAATGGCTCGAGCACGCTAGAACGGCGAGGCGGCAACAAGTACTGGTTTTGAAGGGCCCGGCGGGCACTGGCAAAACCACGACGGTCAAATTGCTGACCAAAGAACTCGGAATCTCACTGATTGAGTGGAAGAGCTCTGTAGCTGCTGACGCTGATTCAGGGGATGCTCGGACCCAGTCTGCGCAATTTGAGGACTTTATCGGCCGAGCAGGAAAATCTACGAGCCTGTCCCTCAGTTCGGATGCTGCTGGGACATTGACACCACCAGTATCATTGACGCCTGCTGTAAGCAGTTTGAACGGTAACCAAGCACTGCTCATAGAAGAGTTCCCAAGCACATTTTCTCGCTCTTCCAATGCGCTGCAGTATTTTCGCTCTTCGATCCTCCAATTCCTAGCATCAGATGTACCAAGACATGTGAACGCAGTTCCTATCGTGATGGTTATATCGGAAACGTCAGCGTCGAGCAACACCGCTGCCGCCGACAGCTTCACTGCACATCGACTTCTCGGACCCGAACTAGGCAACCATCCTTATGTTAATGTGATCGAGTTCAATCCCGTGGCGCCAACAATCTTGATCAAGGCGCTCGAGCTGGTAGTTGTCAAAGAGTCCCGTTTCTCTGGCAGAAGGAAGACTCCAGGGCCACTGGTACTTCAACGTCTTGCCGAGACCGGCGACATACGAAGCGCCGTATGCTCACTGGAGTTTCTGTGCCTGCGTGGCGACGAGGGTGATACGTGGTCAAGCAAGGTGGCCTTCACGAAAACCAAGAAGGCGAAATCGCAATCATTGACAGAAGCCGAAGAGCAGGCTTTGAAGTTGATCAGTAATCGAGAGAGCAGTCTCGGAATATTTCATTCTGTCGGCAAAGTCGTCTACAACAAACGTGTCCAATCAACATCTAAGGAAGACCCTCTCCCTGGGTGGCTATCTCAGTATTCTCGCAATAATATACCAGAAACAGATGCCGACGAGCTCTACAACGAGCTTGGAACTGATGTGATGACTTTTCTGGCAGCTCTCCACGAGAATTACGCCCCTTCTTGCAACAGCACATCGGCTGAACAAAGCCTCGAGTGCATGCATCAATGCTTGGAGCAATTATCAGACGCCGATCTGCTTTCCATAGATCAATTTGCATACAGCAGCCGCGTGTCTTCGGGGTCCGCTGCAGATGGCCTGCGGCAGGATGAGTTGTGCTTTCAGGTCGCTGTGCGAGGCCTTCTGTTCAGTTTGCCTAATCCAGTCCATCGCGCTACACTTCCCGGGAGCAGACCGGGTGATTCCCACAAAATGCTGTATCCAGCTTCCTTGCGATTGTGGAGAAAGCAGGAGGAGACCACAGATCGACTCAAGTATATCTTTGATCAACTTTGCTCGACGGAGGCGACACTCGACCTCCCATCAAATAGAAACGGTCGCCTTGCTACGCCTCAAGGCGTCGAGAGCTGGAGGTCGAATGCCTTGGGCGTCACCAACACCGCCATCACAGAAGTGCAGGCCGATCAGGCCGCACGATATATTCCGGACCAGAAGCTCGACCTACTGCTAGACCGATTGCCTTACATGGCGCGGATACTGCCTGTCAAAGAGCTGACCTCTTCAAGTCAGTCACTGGTCAACACGATAGCTCTCGTGACCAAACCTTCTGGCAGCGAATTACAGTCTCTGCCCGAGACAGTACCCGCTGACGAGGCAAATGACGATTTTGATTCAAGCGTGGCGCGGGGGATTCTCGCCATCAAATCGAAATCCAACTCTAGCGAAAAGACGCCATTCGGGGCTCCGAAAATATCTGGGCATGTGCCAGCCCGCACGCCACATGTTGCTCGATCCGAAGTCGCGGAGGTTTCGATAGGCAGTCTCGTTTTAGAGGATGATGATATTGTCGATGACTGAGACGTGTCCGACGAAGTTCTCGAATGTACAATACTGCAAACACTGATCAATCAATGTACAGACCAACGATGCGATGTTGTCCTCCGACGAACAAAATTATGTGCCCCTGCTGTTCAGAAAGTGTACTAGCTGCATGATGCATGTCATTCGTGTCCGTCTCCTGCAGTCATCTAGACGTATACAATGCCACGATCAGGAATATCTAAAGTCTATTGCAGCAATAAAGCCACCGATATGAGCGCCATGAACGTAAACGAAACGATCTCAAAATGGACGGGCACGTTCGTTTCATCGTAAACATGAACGACGCTTTGATAGTTTACACATATCTGCCACTTCTCACTGCATCCACAAAAAGACGATTTCCTTGCAAGCCTGTATTCATGGTAGTTCGTGCCGGGACAATGTCTCCCATTCCTTCTCTAATTGTACTGGGCGTATGCAGCGGTCGAGTTGAACTTGAGACCTGCCCGAATGACCTTCTCCACAGCGCTGAGGAAGTCCTTCTCGCTCGCAACCTTTCGGCGGGCACGAATCGCGAACATGCCAGCTTCCGTAGCCACGGATCGTAGCTCTGCACCTGTTGCATTAGGGCAGAGGCGTGAAATCAGCTCCCATCGAATATCGCGCTCTACAGACATTGACTTGGCGTGAATTCGAAGAATGTTCGCACGTCCCTCCATGTCTGGCAACGAGAACTCAATTTTTCTGTCTATCCGACCTGGTCGCATGAGTGCAGGGTCCAAAGTGCTTGGTCTGTTGGTCGCAAACATGACTTTAATGTTACCTCTGCTGTCGAATCCGTCCAGTTGTGTGATAAGCTCCAACATCGTCCGCTGCACCTCGTTGTCACCACCAGCACCATCGTCGAACCGAGCACCACCAACAGCGTCGATTTCGTCGAAGAAGATGATGCAAGCCTTCTTTGTCCGCGCCATTTCGAACAACTCGCGGACCATGCGTGCACCTTCACCGACGTACTTTTGTACCAATTCAGAGCCAATGACACGAATGAAAGTTGCGTCAGTTCGATTTGCGACAGCTCTTGCGCAGAGTGTCTTGCCGGTTCCTGGAGGTCCATAGAGCAGAGCACCTTTTGGCGGATCGATTCCGAGGTTGACGAATCGCTCAGGTGACAGCAGAGGCATTTCCACAACTTCGCGAAGCTTTTCAATCTGCTCTTTGCATCCACCAACATCGCCATAGGTCACGTCCGGCTTATCCTCGACTGTCATCATGGTGACGCTTGGGTCAATCTTTGGCGGGAGCGGCAACATGATCTGATACTTGTTCCTGTCCACGCCGACTCGCATTCCTTCCTCAATGTCTGTCGGACTGACACGTTCGCCCAGGTTGACCACGAATTTCGCAATCTGCTTCACGTTGATCACATACTTGCTCTTCTCGCTGTCCTTCTCATCTGGAATGATCTTCGTACACCTGGCTACTTGTAACGGTTGCTCCTCGCTCATACGCTGCCTGTCTGCCGCAATATCCCATAAATGTGGAGGGGCGAGACCAGTGTCTGATTCCTTGACGCCGATCTTTTCATTCACGGAAGTCTGTTTGTCTTTAATCGACTTTTCTAGTTGTTTCAGAGCTGTGGCATACGGTGCTGAGTTGTAGGTCTTGAGTACTTGAATGTCCCTGCTCGCGGGTCAGTGATGCTCGTTGTTAGGATATTTTTTAGGCCAACGACGTACTCATCGGATAACGGGGTGATCTTCTTCTCTTCTACCTCATCGTCCGCAAACTTCTTTTGGTATTTCTCCCAATTTTGGCCTGTTGCCGAAGGCATGGCTGTGGTCTTGTGATGACGAAATCAAGTGGTGGCGCGTGTGATCAGTGGAAGAATCAGGTTGAGTGTGTTCGGTGCGATTTCTTCGAGGCAGTAATAAATAGACTCAGGCCGATATTTCACAGGCCTGGCGAGCGTAGATCGATTCGTTGAGGAGTGTCGTGTGGGCGGTGTTGCGATATGTTGATGTCGGGAGGCAGTCGTGCAGGTTGCCAGACAGCTGGTGGTATCGGCGCTTGACTAATCACTTGTGACTGACGTTGATAGTGGTTGGGGAAAGTATGCCGAGGAGATCGCGTGAACCCTTCGAAATTCTATAATCAAGCTCCACATACGTGAACAAATTTAGGACATCCCGCCAAAGAAATACCCTGACACCAGTCAACTGCGAGCACAACTCTCCCACCTTGATTTGACACATTCACAAGGATTGAAGACTAGACTTACTCAGAAACAATCACAACAACCACAATATGGCGCAATCAGCGCCGTCAAATGCCGGAAATAATGCTTTCAAGGACAAGGCCAAGCCACAGGCTGTCCGAGAAGGCAATATCACTGCAGCGCGCGCCGTCGCAGACGCCATTCGAACGTCTTTGGGCCCGCGAGGAATGGACAAGATGATTCAAACTGGCAAAGGAGAAACGATAATCACAAACGATGGCAACACTATGCTCAAGGACATGAGTGTTATGCACCCTGCTGCGAAGATGCTTGTCGACCTGGCGAACGCACAAGATATTGAGGCTGGTGATGGCACAACTTCAGTTGTAGTGATTGCAGGCAGTCTATTGGGTGCTGCCGAGAGGTTGTTGGCCAAAGGTATTCATCCGACAATCATTAGCGAAAGCTTTCAACGTGCAGCGGCACGTGCTGTACAAATACTCCAGGACATCTCCCTTCCCATCAATCTTGCAGATCGAGCCACACTTCTGAAAGCAGCCTCGACATCACTTTCGTCCAAGATCGTTTCGCAAGAACCCAAGCTTGCACCTATGGCTGTCGACGCCGTCCTCCGCACCATCAACCCCGCCAACGCACAGAACGTCGATTTGCGCAACGTGCGAATCTTGAAGAAGTCTGGTGGTGTCATAGATGATTCAGAAATGGTTGATGGGCTTGTGCTTAGCCAGCAGGCCGTCAAGAGCGCAGGAGGTCCAACTCGGATAGAGAAGGCCAAAATTGGCCTGATCCAGTTCCAACTGAGCCCGCCAAAGCCAGATATGGAAAATCAGATTGTTGTCAACGACTACAGACAAATGGACAAGATTTTGAAGGAGGAACGGACATACTTGTTGAATATGGTCAAAAAGATTAAGAAGGCGAAGTGTAATGTCTTGCTCGTACAGAAGAGCATTCTGCGTGACGCTGTCAACGATCTCAGTCTGCACTTCCTACACAAGCTTGGTATCATGTGTGTCAAGGATATTGAGCGAGATGAGGTGGAGTTCATCTGCAAGTCCACCGGTTGCAAGCCCATCGCGGACATCGACTCTTTCACTGAGGACAAGCTGGGTTCCGCAGACCTAGTGGAGGAGGTCGTCAGCTTGGGTGCTCGGTACACAAGAGTGTCCGGTGTCAAGACTACCGCAGCGAATACTCCTCGCACAGTATCAATTGTTGCACGTGGCGCCAACACATTGATCCTCGACGAGGCCGAGCGAAGCTTACACGACGCCATGTGTGTTATCCGCTGCCTGGTCAAGAAGCGTGCTCTATTGCCAGGTGGTGGTGCACCTGAGATGGCCGTTGCAACCAAATTGGCACAGGACGCCATTGCCTCTCCGTATCCTGATAGCATCTGCTTCAAAGAGTTTGCCGATGCTCTCGAGATCATTCCGGTCACACTAGCTGAGAACGCTGGCTTGAACAGCATCAAGGTCGTTACGGAACTTCGAGCACGGCACGCTCAAGGAGAGACAAATGTCGGCGTCAGCATCAAACGCGGCGGCGTCGGTGTCATGGGAGCGGAAGAAAAGACAGGAACTTCTGGCGAGGGAGTGATGCAGCCTCTGTTGGTCAGCACGAGCGCATTTGAACTGGCCAGCGAGACCGTCAAGATGATTCTACGCATTGATGATATTGCCTTATCAAGATAGACATTTTTGCATCATGAGAAATGAAAACGCAACACCGAACGTGCTCCGATGCATGGTTTCTCACCCAATTTCCTCCCTCAACGAATGACATCAATGTTGCAAAGTAGACATAATTGTGGTGATAGATCCTTGAACGCTGGCGGCTATCCTTGACAGCTCGCTATGATGCTGCCCGCCATGACAAATGTTCTCACAGTACCTACCTAGGCAGTGAAATGCGCTAAACTTACTGGCCACGCTCGGCAAGTGACATCCAGTCGGGGTTCGTGACTTTCAGGGCCGGTGGAGACTCCTTACCCAAATAGAGCAAGATCCTCGACATCTGAAAGTACCTAGGTATGACACGGAGCCTGACCTCGCCTATGATAATTACAGCATGAAAGTTTTGAGAGATGTGGTGCGCGAACCGCTGAATGGATTGTAGCGAAACAGCTAAATCTGCAAAGAAGCCCTGGAGTGTTCTCCCAACACACGACCCAATCCCTTCGGACATCTAGCGTACATCTCTGTATTGGTCTAATCGCCGCAAGTTCGAAATCTTGCCATTGCCCTGAAATCGAAAGCTCAGCAAGCAGTTTGTTATATCGTCGAAGTTTGTTCGCGCATGTAAAAATCAAATAGAATCAACGTGATTTCCAACATTACGAAGGATAAACGGCGAATTTCGGTTGTATGCTATTCCTCCGACCGATGCTTGGGTTATTATGCCATCGCCCTAGCAGGTGTATGATGATGGCTGCTTACGGTAGAGGTTGGCATTACTTCTTGACCACGGTACCACATGTGCCGCATTTATCTCCGTATTTATTCACCCATGTTGTAGTGCCGTTGCTTTCGCAGGTGGGACATCGGACACCAGGAGTCTTGCCGTCCCAAGTCAGCTTCAACAACGTAGAACTTTATTGGAGGGTATGACAAACCGGCATTTTCTGGGCTTATGAAGGAGACTGGGCGAAGAATGAATGATTTGGGGGTCCACAGAGAATCTTGCGTTCTGCGGGCTGTGATCTTTGTATTGTCTTGTTCTGTCAAACACCTTGAGGGATTCTTCAATGATTTTATATCGAATTCATGATGGCGGCTTGCTTGAAAAGTGAATTTTGACGCTCTGCAATTTTAATGTTCATGGTACTTTATGTGATAGATTGCTCATTCTGTTGAGAATAATGTCGTGTAGGACAACAGGGGTGGTGCGCGATCTTTTATGATGAGCATAGCATCGCAGTCGGACAATTGACAAATGTGCATTCTAGTGGAACCGCATCTCTTTGAAGGTCGGACCAGGTGTACGGTAGTCTCGAGCATCAAACCGGCTCTGCTTGTGAACCTCTTCTCATAAGTACCGAAGCTGGCGTCTCTGAGCAACCGAAAGTGCCGTCACGAGAATAGATAGGACCCTGCGGAAGCAGACGCCATCAACTGCGAGAGGGAGGATCCCAAACCAATGAAGATTGTCGGATGATGATGCCTGGCGTCGCTAGAAGAACATTGCATCTTAGTGCTTCATTGCGTCTGCATCGCAATTGCGTGAAGGATTCCGATAGGAAGCGACAGGGGCATGAGCAGATCTTTCAAGTCGACCTTCTGGGCTTAAGCCACAAGACAATGTACAAGATGGAGTAGATACATCAGCGTCGAAAATTATTGCTACTGCGGCCGAGGGAGTGCTTGGAGGAACCGAAGGATCAGATGTCGTTCGATCCGCTTTCCCGGATAGCTGGATGCGCCATGCTCGAAGACAACGCTAGACTTCAGAATGGTAGACTTTCACGTGCCAGGTTGGTCCACGTCTTGAAGATTGGCATCGCTCGTTGTTCAGCTGCCAAAGGAGGGAGCGCGAGCGGAAGATAGGAAGCTATGCCCATTGCCGCTCGTGTTGGGCAAGCAACTAGTAAACACAAATTTAGGTCGCAGGGGGTTAGGTACGGATGTTGCCAGAGTTCGCTACATGAGCGTCATAATGCATTTCGATGTATCGGCTACCTACCTAGTAGGTAGGGACGTAATCATCACGGATGGATGATGCGCGGGCGCGAGCTGTTCGTGTGGAATAATAAATGGCTCCAGGGCTTTGATGCACGCGCCTTCGGGGAGTGCGCGGGCCGATGTGGAGCTGAATCTTTGGAGAAAGCTTGGACCTGTAGCTAATGATATTGTATGTGTGATGACCACCTCCTGTACCTAGGTAAGTTTGGCATGGAATGTGCAGCACTTTCACTCAGCAGGAGTGCACGATCGGAGCGTCAGTCAGACTTTACGCGAGCATATTGTCCTGATGTGGAATCGGCATCCGAAATCGCTGGCGGAAGATACCACAAGTACCCAGCTACTGCAGCACAGGCTGGCGGCTCGCAAACAACCTAGGAACTGGGTGATTCCGGACGTCGCCTATGCGTTCGGTCGAAATAAATTGTATCCGACCTGCCGATTCAGAAGACTAAAGTTTTCGCCCAGGCGCGGACGTGAGGTTAGCAACGGAGTTTAAGCGGTGACACCTGCCTTGAACTCCACCAGGAGCATGCCGCCGGACCGCTTCATGTCATTGCCTCGGAGTCGAAGCAATTGTAATCCTTGCGGTAGCCGATCCAGGCGATAGCAGACCCAGCCAAGCAGTCGATCTTTTTGGTACGATGATTCGTCCATCACTTTGATTCTGTAGCCCGACGTCAGTGGTCATCCTTCTCAACAAGTTGTAAGTGGTCTATCTAATGCACTGCTGCGCACTAGTGTCATATATGTTTACGACGACCTCTGGCGCATCAAACTGTCCGCAATGCATGGGATCACATTGCGCACGATGTGATGAGGGGGATGTTCTTTGTTTTTTTTCAGGCAAGTATTGCAACGCAGCCACAAGGGAAACTTGATAGGCCTGGTGACATACCTCAGCCAGCTCAATTCTGGCAATACATGCCGGATCCCTTTAAATGCTATAACCTGGCCCGCGAAATCGGGATCGCGTGAGTGGTGTGTTGTGGATTGAAATTTCCATTCTCCGCCCTTGTTTTTCCCTTCCCTCGGGATCTGCTGCTGCTCAATTTCGGCCTTGCTCTCCACATGTAGCTCAGCTTTAACGTAAACCTTCGGTACGTCGTCGCTGGCGCCAAGATTCTGTCCAGCCAGGATGCGAATGCATAAATCAAGCGTCATCCGGTGCGTCGTGACATTGTTGCGTCCAGCGGGACGTAGTCCGATAGGCTTCAGCACCCAGCCACCAGTTCCTTCGAATTGTGCTTCATTAAGCATGACCGCAGCATTGACTTTCTGCCAGTTGAGAGCAACTAATTGCACACCGACCCGCCAGAACGGTGCAGGATCCAGGTTAGAAGACATGACCCTGGTCGCCTTCGGATACACCCTCATGAAATGATGTCGGTTGTGGTTGAGAAGCGCTTCAGATTCCTTTTCTCGAAGTGCAAGCAACTTAGCTTCGGAAATTGCGAAAATGTGGTTGGGCAGCTTTGCCTCAGCCTGTTCAAAACTCTTGAAATGGTAACCACGAGTAAATATGCCCATCTTGCTGAGTGCCTCAATGATTTTGCTCTTCGTCACCGCTCCGGGTGGGACTTCATCGTCGGACGAGGGCAGTTCGCCAACGGCTTCGGGAGCTTGGCTCCCTGCAGCCACCTTTTCTGGAGGCGTGAACTTGACCTTTATGAGGATTTTGTTGCGCAAGCTTTCCAGCGTCGGCAATGCCGCAATGTCTGATGTTTCTGTAATAGGTGGTACGAGAAAATCCTTCCAGTAATCATGCATGATCTCCACCATCATCTCCTGCTGTGCTGGTCTGCAGTGTACTTCCAAACTGACAATTAACGGAAGCGACGTTGTGTGGAAAGCATTGTTGCGAATGATTTCACAGACACTCCTAAACGAGACCTCCTTGGTTGCAGTATGGCCATGCAGCACTTGCGGCTCCCCTTGGCGCGACGCTACTCTCCATGGTGTAGGCATCGTAGTTTCGCTGTTGTTGTATGGCTTGCTGTTGTCTTGAGTTTCTTTGCCTGGCTGTGCTTGTGATCGGAGCTGGTTGAGACCCCGAGAAACAAAGCCTCGAAGGCCATTTGCTTTCTTCTCCTCATCACTGTTCATACTCTCAGCATCTGAGGAGTCCGGTGTATTCCCGTCCCAGATATCAATTTCTATACAACGACATCCTCGCTGGAGCACATCCTTGTACGCGTCGGTGCTAGCTTTGCCCCACAATTGGCCGCCTGTGAGATAGGTGTTATGGCTGCTTGAAATGTAGTAATGCGAGAGCGGATGGCTCGTATCCAGTTGGAAAGTCAGCGCTGCTGATGATTGCGGATCACAAAGTTTGTTCAGAAAGGCTTCGAAATCCCCAGTAGCTCCCTGCGTTGAATCAAAAGCTTGCTTCGCATGCCGCGCAAGCGTTGGGTTGAGGGCAGAAATCATATTTTCAGCTGGTCCATTGGACACGATATCGTCGTCGACTCTGGCCGCTTGCTCCATGATGTGCGAAATGTGTTGCTTATACACGAATCGCTTCCTCGTCCGCGCCGGCTGAGTCGCGGCGCAGTCGTGATGCTGTGCCAGCCAACGCAACGTGCACGAGTATTGTGTCAAATTGGCCCTAAGTCATACAGTACATGGGACGAATCCGCTGTGAGCCCGCAATATCAATCAAGAGAAAAGATTCCCGCAACTTTCTGCTCGTTGGCTGGGCGAATCCTTTGTCTACTGAACTCTCTGTACCGTTTGTGTTATTGTGTTCGCGCATACTGAATAACGTGGTTCTTTCATAAGTGGGACGTGGCGCTCGTGCCTGGCCACCTTGCACTGAGTTGGTCGAGCGAGTCGCGCAGGTGCCTTCGTCACTGATTGTCAAAGTCGAGTAGACTTTTGAATGCCCATCAACATATGAAAGATCCTCATGACCAAGCGGATGACAGGCACTCGTGCAAGCACCTCAGCCCGATTCTACCTTGTGTGAGGATGTGATCCGCCAGTTAGATGTGCGTCAACAACAACGATCACTTGTACTCGCTCTTGACGTTCGTCAACGTAACCCTAAAGTGACGCTGGACAGGTGCAGGTGCGAGATAGCAGGTGACTTCATCGATTTAATTTACTCCGTACCTAGGTAGTGGTGGGAACCTGACCGACAGTAATTACACGTACCACGTCGAGACTGGCCGACTCGAAACTGGACATCTACGTGCTTGCACGCATGAATGGAAATGTCTCAGGACGAGGCGGAGCGAAAGGTCCGCGAATGGGGATTCAATTCCGTATTCACTTGGACCGACCGTCCGTAAGGCCGCTGATCTTGCCGAGATAACATGAAATCTAATATAGGGACTCAGAAACGCCCATTACCCGCCACACACCCATGCTGGGTTGACGACGCATTTGATATTGCAAGGTTCGCTTACGCTCACATACCCCGATGATGAGGAGCCAACCAAACTGGTGTGCGGACCAGGCTTCCGACTCGATGTCGATGCACATCGACGGCATGAAGTATGGATCGGTGAGAGCGGATGCACGGTGCGTTCAGTGTTGTTCCCTTCGTTTGGCTGGGCAAGCTGACATCGAATGAATCAGTACGTGATAGGAGAGTGAAAGGTTTCGCCTATTTCGATCCGGACATCCGTGATGAGTTCCCACGCTCACGAAGTACTGGCAAGCATCTTGTTACTGCCATTTCCCATATATGCAGCGTTGGGTGAATGACTTGCTGCCTGCCCACATATGCGAGTGATATCACAATTCGAGGAGGGCAGTAGTGCCTTCAGTGTCGAGACTCTAGGTGTACGATGATCTTGCCATCAATGGCAGACGCTGTCGTTCGGACAGACCTGCGCAGTCATGCGCCTATGAGTCCGATCGGCAAATGAAGATATAATCGTACCTGCTATTCTGAATTGTGTCACAAAATTCGCAACCAATGCTGTGGATCTTTAGGTGGGTGTGCTCTTATTTCACTTGAAAGAGCTTCCCTATCCAATCCGATCTGTTCAGGATATTATTAGAGCAAGCGCAACTTGTTGCATCTCGCCTGATGCTAGCAACACCGCATTTCTACCCCCGATACTTGCCAATTAGCGAATTCGTATCTGATGCGATGATGATGATGATATCGAAGACCTACTTTTTTTTATGACACACAGACTCTCCATCTAAGTCCTGCATCCGCTTCCCAACTACCTAGGTATCATCATCAACAAATTATGCGGAGTCAAGACGACATTGTGCTCCCAACACTTTCATGGCACTGCTCGCATGCCTCGACATTCAATTCTCAAGACTTCAAATGAAAGCTGAGCAAATCACGTGCACGAGCGAGTTCGCACTTTGCACTACGCTGCGCCCATATTTTGGATCGCTGTCTGAGGTCGCTGCATTGCTTCAAGATGACGGATGATTTTGACATCGATTCGTGGGCATCTACTAGTCTGTCTAGTCGATCTCATCACCGCAGTGGTCCCCACCTGGCGCTGTGTCACATATGCCGTGTGTGTCAGCGTCCTCGGAGCAGAAGATACCATTATGAGCATCCGATTCCCTATGACGGAGTTCCACCTCCCCCAGGAATATGCAGAAGATGTCGAGTTGTCCCAGCTGAGGACATCGCGAGCGTTGGGACCATGTCTGACGCGAAAGCAAGCGATGAGGAAAAGAATCATTCGGGACAATCATCATCGAAAGGAGAGGTTATGAGGAGCCATGGGCCACAAATACTGCAAAATTCACAGGCCGTGCGAGAAAAGAGTGCGGCAAGGCCGAACGACCTCCTTAATCTATCGTATCGTCACATCAACATGCGCGAGACTTTCGCAAAGTCTACGCGCCGAGAGCACACACAGCCAGACACAGATCTCGAAACCGATGACCCTGAGAATACTGACGACTCAGCTGTCTTGATAAGTCCTACGCGTAAAGGGATCGCGGTCTCGTCTTTAAGAAGCACTGCCAAGTCTGGGCCGCCTAAAACGACACCGGAACCGATGAAGGTGACATCCATAAGAGGAGGAGCAGAGTTGGCATCTCTTCAGAGAGAGCGCGGAGTGTCGTATCGGTCCGATGTCAACGATTCGCTTCTGACCAAGCGCATTGACGCGGCTGTCCAGACGGAGGTCAGGCAACAGATCACTCGCGAGGTCCAGCGAATAGCTCGCGAGGAAACTGCACGGTATAACCGAGAAAGTATCAAGGAATTTGAGTCTCCAAAACATGACGAAAGAATGCGTAGAATAGCAAGAGACGAAGTTGAGAAGTATCGTCGAGTCGAGCGCAAGATGGATGCGCATGGGCATGTATATGCACATGGCAAAATGGTACCGATCGAGCGATCGAGTATTGTAAGTCGGAAATCGGCACGGGATGGGCAGGACGAGCGGTCACGCTCCACTGTAGACTACTCTTCGTCCCGTCAACCTTTTTGCGAAGCCGTGGAGGACATTGACGATCGCGACCCACCTTCTGTATGGCAATCAGGAAAAAGATCGGGCACCCACGAAACTCCAATGAGTCGGATTTTGCGTCACGAGGCCTCGACCAATCCAATGAGGAGCGACACCATTCGAAACAACGGTAACAGTGATCGTCAGCGTGGCGTCGTCTTGATCGATGAGAGAATACAGCTCGGAAGTGCCAGTGCGCCAACCGCGGCACCCTCGTGGATGACGAATGACCAATTTGGTCCAGCGAATGACGCCCAGCGCCAAACTCCACAAACAGAAGCCCGGGACCGGGACGATCACGACTCGGTTAGAGATCCAGTCAAAAGGGTGCAGTCGCCGTTACAGAAAGCCAGAGAGAGGTCGTCTCTGGACATTGATGCAGAGAATTCCCGATTCGCAAAAGCTTCCCTTGACCGGACTTCCCTTGACCGGATCGATGGTCTGGCCCGCCCAGTACAAAGGCTATCGCCTTCCGATGGTCCCGATGCGCTTACGAGAACACTATGGAGCGCTTCTGTCCAAGCAGTCGTGTCTCCGTCATCGAGCGAAACGTCGGCACTCGCCGTTGGGAGGAGAAAGTCTACTACGAGACCGATGGCCAGACTGTACTATCGTCCGGATGATCCCCAAAGGCAGACGTCGTATCGTCGTGGTGCACAGAATTCGCACGGGGATGATTCGGGTAAAGAAAGGAGTCAGGTAAATGGGTCGATAAGATACCACTCTGAGTACAATCAAATGTCAGCGCGTCGCAACTCTAGCGATCATTATCTCCAGAGCGAGACAGACATTTCTCGACGGCAGCCGTCGCAGACCAGATTCTCTGACGATCACGAATCAAGTGTTTATAAGCGCAAATCGAGGCTCTTGGCATCGAGACCAGATTGTGACACACGATCGCAAAGCCGAGATTCCGTCCCCGATGACGCAAATAAGATGGTAGAGAAAGGTGACGATCAAGCCAGGCCTTCAAAGACGCGCCCACACAATATTCTACCTAGGAAGCCATCACACGTGGATCAAGGCACGATGAGGGCTGCGAATGAAGCAGCCCCCTCCGAGCAAGACAGAAACAGACTTCGTCCCGGCATGCTGGGGCCATACACGAGACTCGCAGGCAAGCCAAGTGAAAGTGTGAAGGTGCACGATGGTAGTGTGATCAGCGAGGACAGTAGCAATACCAGCCGTCATCATCGTCGTAGAAGGGAGCGAAATTGAAGCGCTCGTCGTCGCAGCGCGGTTTAAGGGGTGCTTTGCCAGGGAACCACTGCATCCCTTTCAAGGAGTGATTCTAAACGAGATATCAAGGAGTTGTTGCGAGTTGTATGGTTCGTATTGATCGCAGATATGACCTGACAGGTATTCTAGGGAAGTAGAGGGCTGACGTGGCACATGAAAGAGGCCGGGGTGGTGCTGCCCAACCCAAGTCAATAGCCGCCGAGCACAGATTTGACAACTCAACATGGCAGCGAATCATTACTTTCCGAGCTTGAGCCCGCGTGGAATGTATGGAGGGAGGAGGCTAGCTGCTTCAGGACAATTTATTTCCACATGCGTACCGCTCGTGTTGTCCATGCGCGTGGTTGGGAGCGCAACCTTGGAAGTGACGTATGCTGGCCCAATGATGGTACACACAGTAATCATAACATTATCCTGCGATGGTACCTAGGTAGGTATTTTTACTTGCCATGGATGATCACCAAAACCGGATCGAGGGACGTTTTGATTGCATTACGTTTAGTAGCGGTGAAACGCCGGATGGCTGAATAATAGCATTGTGATAATCATATTCTTATACGACTCCCCCCGGTGACAAACGCGCTCCTTGCAATCATCCAGTGGAAGAAAATTACCACGAAAGCCATCCATCACTTCCTCGCATCTGATACTCTTGATCAGAGATTCGACATGCGCTGGTTCGCTCTCATCCCTGCGCTTCTGTGCACAGGCGCGCTGATTCTATCCTTTCTGTGCCTGTTTGCAGGGCGCAACACCCATTTCCTGAACGATTTCCCCATAGTGACTGTACGTGAGACAAAATAAGAAAAAGACAAACGAAAGCGAGGAAGTCAGATGCTCACAACCATTTGTTAGTTGAACACGTCGCGACTGGGCTATGAGGTCTTCAACACCACCGAATCGTCAAGCAATCCGGTGGTGTCGTTTTTCAAAAACATCAGCAACAATGTCGAAGGTCGCATTCAAGATAAATTCAACTCTTTCGCGCAGGAACTCGGTCTAGCAGACTTCTACGCCGCACATCTTTTCACCTATTGCGAAGGAGATTACGTCCCTGGCCCGGTACCGAACGCGACCTTATCTCGCTCGAGCATTTCCAATAACGTAACGGAGTGCTCCAACACCACCAGCCTGTTCGATACCGATCTTCGTACGGTACTCCAGCGCGAGCTCAACAACAGCGGGCACAGCAACATCGATCTGGAGGACTTGGGCTGGCCATCGGCCATCGACGATGGCTACAGAACGCTCGGCGTCTTAGCACGCGCAACTTTCATTCTGTACTGCATAGGCGTCGGGCTCATCGGTGTCGCCACCTTACTCGCCTTGATCAGCGTGTTTTTCAATGGCCGTATCAGCGCTCTGGTCAATGTGATTTTTGAGGTCTTGGCTTTCCTGGTCATCGGAATTGCAAGCGCTGTGGCGACGTCGCTGGCTGTGAAGGGCAGCGACATTGTCAATCAATACGGCGACAAAGTTGGCATCAACGCTCATCAAGGCAATAAATGGTTGGCCATGACCTGGGTGGCGACAGGAGTCATGCTCGTCGCGAGTGTACTCTGGTGTTACAGCTGTTGCACAAGCCGAAAGGCTGGAAGATCGGCGAAGGTCAACGGCAAGGGCGAATATTGATGGGAATCACATAGTAATCGCGGACAGAGAGTGCCATATTGGATTGCCACGACGACAGCGCTCTACGAGTCCAAGGCACTCGTCCCAAATTATGGTTGCACGTCTTGCACCGCGTTTTCACGATTCGCAGCTGGGTCGAATTCCGGGACAGGATCCTCTAAACTTCATCGGGCGACACGTCGTATATCGTGTGCAAGTGCAAATGAGGTCTGAACATGATATTGATAGCGACGATACCAAATTTGATGAGTTATTTTGATGGCAATCCTGCTCAGGTTGTTATAAGGGTTGTCATTTGCAGCGTTGTGCATGTTCGACACCGCTGCTGAGTGCCATGACTCCGGGAGACGTCATTCCAGATCGTCCCGAGATTGTCCTCCGCATTTCGATGGCTGGTGCCGCTACCAAACAATTGATGTTGAGGATGATCGCACGACATTGTAATGTGAGAATCTTTCGTCCTGATTCGGGGACCACCGACAAGAGCGAGATTTACCTGCATAGCTTGCTGTAAAGATCGTCATCGTAATATCGTCGTCTGAATGCCCTGCAGCGATGCTCTCTCTCTGTAAATGATGCATTTTTCGTCAAATCCATCAATATCCGCGATCGCGTGAGCTCGGCTGAGAAATCCGCGACATGGACGCGCCTAACGCGCACAGCTGGCCTGTGAGGCTAGTTACCAAGGTCGGCAATGTCCTGCGACCGCCCAAAAGCTACTCTCAGGATGCAGTGGACAAGCGAGCGCGAAAAGATGGCGAGAGGCGCAAGCTTCAGAAAGTACAGCCCCGACCGCAGGGGCCGGATCGGCAGAGCGATGTCAACGAACTGGGCGAGCGAGAATATTCGGTCTTCAGCGACAGCACGACGGTGGCGGAGAAGCCTCTCGATCACACGGAAATGATGCACGGGCTGGCACATCACGAGTCGTTCGAATCGCTGCTCGACGGTAGGAAATTGGGTCTACTCGACGCACTGGAGGACTCTAGCAACCTGACGGGCAAAGACCGCATACTCTACGAAGCAATGAGATCCGTCAAGCACGAGAATTTGATTGTTTCCCTCCCAGATGAGATTTGGAATCGCATCGCCTTCTTCCTCACACCTCTAGAAGCTGCCAATCTGGCAAGTTCAACCAAAACTCTATTTCGCAAACTAGGGACGATGCCATTCGAGACTCTCAAACGACCAGAGAACCGAGCTCATAGAATCATCTTCTTACGAAGATTCGACCGTCGGCTGCCGGACCACCTTTTCTGCTTCGTCTGCGTCAAATTCCACCAACGTCTCAACCCCGGCGAAGAAGTTCTAAAAGCGGACTTCGTAGCCAACCCCATCTTCAAATGCCCCAACGTCAAGAAATCTGTCCTCCCTCGCATGCGATTAACCTTCGACCGCGAATTCCCTTACTCGTTCCTCCAACTCGCCGTTCGCGCACAGAAGTTCTCATCCGCCCACGGCCTCGGCGCCGACAAGCTGAGTCGCAGATGGAAATGCAAGACCAGCGGCTGGACCCACCGCACACGATACATGGTCCACGACAACCGCCTGCTGATGCGCGTCGTCAGCCAAGTCGTCGCGCCCCCGGCCGCCAGCTCCACCGAGACGACCTACCGCCAGCTCCTCTACGATCGAGAAGAGTACGTCCCGTACTTCTCCGTATGCGCCCACTGGCGCGACGGCGACCTGATGAAGATCTGCAAATGCGCCCTGTCGCACGTCCCCTCGCCACCGGATCCGATCCACAAGCAGCTGCAGCGAGGCTTCAAGGTCTCCCGCGAAGCCGCGCGGCCCAACTTCATCGTGCGCGGCTGCGACGAGTGTCGGCCTGCGCGCCGCTGTCCCGAGTGCGCGACCGAGTATCTCGTCAACGTCAACATGATCGAGGACACGGCGGATCTGGCGCAGCCGTTCAAACATGCGCTCGTCGTGACGCGGTGGAGTGACCTCGGCGATGACAGCGGGCCGACGGCGTCGCTGGAGTGGGCGGCGACGAATGGGCTGAGGGCAGATGGCGCTGATGGCGGGAAAGGGGAGTTCCGGAGCTTTGATAACGTCGGACGGCGGGCGGTGGGTGGGGTCTTCGAATCGGCCATCAGTGGGACGGTCCCTGGAGAGCGATTGGTGAGCTTGAATCCGAGGAATAAGAAAATGGGCGAGGAAGGGAATGGGTGAGTCTCGAGCGCGCTGCAAACGATAGTGCTCATGTTAGCGGAGGGCAGTTACTGACATTTCTTCACAGATGGTATTAGGATCGCCTACGGCGCGTGGAGAATTTCGACGGGCGTATTGTAACAAAATTTATCCCCTCGATTTGGTATCATAATGAATGCTAAAACTTATGCACCGTACGCCGGCCTCCAGCAAACCACTGCCATACAGAATCTCTCTATGCAGGGTCTCTATGCAGGAAGTGACCGAGCATTCCATCGTTGTCGCTCAAGTAGCCAAAACATTCCGGATCATGGCCAAAAACTGCGGCGCCATCTTGTGAAGCTCCTCAATCGGGGGCTTGACCGGCTCACCCGCACTCCTCCTCAGCAGATCCTGCCTTTTCCGTCTCCGCTTCCTCTCTGCAGCGATCTGATCCGCATCATCATCCTCATCTTCATTCTCGGAATCGTCCTCGTCGTCGTTGTCGTCGAGCTCCATGTCTTGCAGATCCATGGGGTGCAATCCAAAGTCGCCGGGCTTGAACGTCGAGGCCAGTGCGCCCATGTCGTTGGAGTTATGATCGCCGGCCGTGGCCATCTTCTGTCGGGTCTTGTCCTGGTGCCATCGTTTGCGCGCCATTTGCCATTTGATGAGTGCGTTGATTTCGCGCATGGCAACCTCGCGGTCGATCTGCTTCATCTCCACGGCACCTTGGAACAGGGCGTTCATGTCCACCTTACCACCGTTCGGCCCGTTGCGGAGGAAGTCGAGGATGCCCTCAATCCAGGACATGAGTTTGTCGAAGAGACCGTCGTCGTGGATGTGCACCTCGTGAATGAACTTGTAGAGATCGTCTTCGTGTCTTTCGCAAAGGTCGATGAAGCTCTGTACAGTCTGGTTGGGATCGGCGCTGATGTCTTGACGTTGGGCTTTCTCGATGGTCTGGATGGCATCGTCGGCGAAGCGGGCGAAATCTGTGACGCTGTTGTACACGTTTGCGCTCTTGTAGACGCGCACCAGTGGCTCGTAGAAGATGGAGAAGAGATCGCGGAAGAGACGAAGGGTATTCGTCTCCTCAACCAGCTCCAGCATCATCTGCTTGTCGCGCTTGCGGGTGTATAGGCGCTGCAGCTGCTTCAATTGAGCAAAAAGCTCTGCGCCTTGACGCATCTCTTCATCGACATTCTCGACAGCATTTTCCCAGGCGACGTAGGCATTGAACGCGCGGCCAATCTGCTCGCTCGATAATTGAGGAGAAATCTCCTCGCTTTGCAGCACTTTCACAAGTAAGTCGACTTTGTCTTGGTCCGCTTCCTCGCGGATGCTACGTTTGAGAGCCTCGTCAGACTCAGCGTATCGTTGGATCTTTTCACAGAAAGTCGGCTCCTCAATCTTCGTCACGAGCGCATCAATGGTCTTTTGGATACTTCTGATGCCATCGCCGACAGCAAGGCCAAAGATACGTTGAAGCAATGACTTGGTTCCCAGGGGTTGGGCCATGAAGATGTCAAGCACGTTTGCCATCACGGCAGCCGGGTTTGTGAACCGAATGACCTGCTTCAAGGCAGTATACGGCACCAAGCTGTGAATACGCTTTGCTTGTGCGAATAATTCCGGTGAGTTGTCTTCTGCAAGAAATAGGTGGTAACACGTCGCCGCGACCTCTATCCGTACCCACTCTGCGAACTTTTTATACTCTGGTTCCAGATCTGCGATGTGCTCTTTCTTTCTAATCTCGGCGAACAGGCTTCGAAGCCCGTTCCGCTCGATGACGCTGCGTCTGAACTTTTCCATGTGGACGTCCAATTCTCTTGCACGCTCTCGCGCGATCTCGAAGAATTTGCGTTGTTCCTCGAGTCGCTTCTCGTCCATTAACTTTCTTCGCTCGATATCTTCTTGCTCCTCCGCAGTCATCACGATGGGGTCATGAGTGAGAAACTCTTGCATCGAATTCGACAATGCAATGCTCTCATTCTGTAGGAAATTGCGCAGGAATGCCCTGAGCGATACTCGCTGCTCTTCGCGGGCGAGAACAGCACCATCTCCATCAGGTGGTGTAGAGGCGGGTTTGCTGGATGCTACCCCGTGGGAGTCGTATGAGCCCCGTGGTGATGACTCTGACGGCGCAAGAGAAGTACGAGAAGCATTCCGCCCATGCCTGGCCGAATTCGAACTCCCAGTCCAAGAAGCCAAATATCCACGAATACCTCCGGCTTCTTGGCTGGGCTCTTGCGTAGCTTGTTTACCAGACTTGATCGATTGTGAGGAGAGGCTATCCGCATCACTGCCGCCTCCACTGCTGAAAATCGAATGTGATTTGTTCTTTTTGGGCAGAGGAGGCAAGACCTTGCCTGGTAGCTCTAACCGAAGTTTCCTGTGCATCCGTACAAAATCGCCAAACCGCCGCGAAACGTAAATCTCCGGCTCGTCCTTGTGCTTGACACGAAGGAGGAACTCGGCGTGGTCATGAGACCGTACGTGTCGCTTGACACTGACCATCCGGACTCCAGCAACGTTGATATCCCAGCCGTTGATCTCGTGGCCCTGAGGGACATTGACTACCAGGCCTTGCTCGTTGGGGCCACTATCCACGACCTCCAGCTCCGAGAATCGAATGCGCTCTTCGTATCCTGATGCGGTGGGAATGCCTGATACCATCATCAGCTCCACGAGCTTGGTCGCCTTCAAGGCCAACTTGGCTCTCTTTGTCTCTTCCAAACGATCCTCCGAGGAAGAAATGTGCTTGTTTGCAAAGCTCTCCAGGAATACCTGAAGCTTATCCTGCCAAAATTCCTTCTCTTTCGCCTGGTTCAAGAATGGGAAGTTCCGTACATGGTTTACAAAGATGTACCGTAATAATGGGAGTTCTGAGTCGGCAGGGGCGACCTCGCCAGCATCTGAATGGAAGGGCGCGCCGAATCGTCGGAGCGCTGTGGGACTCGACAACTCGCGGACCTCCCAGTTTGTCTGTTGCGCCATGAGCTCGCGTTTGAGGTAATGCTCCTGCTTGCCGGTCAAGACGGAGCCGGGAGGTGCCACAGATACGTGGGACATCGTTGACGGCGGTGCTCGCTCCAACTTCTGTCGCTCTACATTATTTGGGATCGGCCTCGCCTGTGATATTTCTGGTGCATCGAAGAAGGCCTGGCTTTCCACGGTGTCGGATCTTTGTGGTGGGGACATTTTCGGCTCGACGATGAGAGGACCCTCTGCTACCGCAGGAGTTGCAGCACCGGTGCTGAACTGAGGCGCTGACGCCATGAGCGAAGTCCTGAGCAGGAATCCTTTTGGGTCTGCAGATTGGTGTTTCCGTTTTGGTGATCCGGTAGTGATGTATTGTCGGAGGCTCAGGTGAGGGGTGAAAGTCTCGGGGATTTCAGTCCTAGCAGATCTGAATGTAAGAGGTGAGGTAATTGAAGTCGATAGGAAAGCGAAAGGTGTTGAATAGCAATCTGATCGATTGGCCGTGCCCAGGTAAGCCGCAGAAACAGTGTGTCAGAAAGATCTAAGCCCAGCGCAGTCGCGGCGGAGTGTTCCTGGTTGAGACGCGTCGCCTGAAACCTAGACAAGTAACGAGGTGTGTTTGGCGCTGCGTGTCGCACCAAGTGGCATGGCCTCGGGTTCTAATAATTGTCGAGCAGGTGTAGCATGCGCGTTTATTCGCAGAAGATGATCGATCCCAGCTCGGTTTGAGAAGCGCGATTTATATATATATATATGTATACATGGTCGATACTTTCACGTGTAGGTCATAGACAGGAACATCGTCACCGGGGTGGGGCGTCGGCAATCTCAGGCGCGCTCGGGGCCAAAAATGATGCATGTGCACCTGCAGCAGTGATTCTGGTGGGTTGTTGTGCAGGACAGTCCACACACAAGACACTATACGGTAACCGCCGGGGGTTTATTTGTACCCCGCGGTCGCATTCAAATTGATATTATTACAGTCCATGACCACCGCGCGTCGTGTCTCTATGTATGGTTCCAGGTTTGCTTCATTCCACCTGGGTGCATTGGAATTAACACACATCATTTTCCTCCCCATCAAAGAGGATGGAGCCTGTTCATACTTCGCACTCGAAATCAGCACTCACCTCTTCAATGATCTTTAGCCAAGAATTTGCTACGTGGACACGGCGAAATTGCATGCGATGAATCACAATGATGTGGTTTCTTAGCGGGACAAGGCCGGCCGCGGTTCGAGCCAAGATAAACCCAAAGCAAAGTCCCAGGCCTCCAGGCTGTTGGAGCGGGTGACGTATACATCCAAGCCCTGTGATGCGCTCGCTGCCTGTCCAGCTGCGGCCCAGCTAGTTTGGAGATATACTGGACTGCCCAGGTGGACTGGAGTGTTTCGAACCGCAGTAGCCGTTCGCCGCTGTTGCCGCCGCCGTGTCGCCGTGATGTCGCCAGGCAAGAAATGACGGAAATCGAAGAGAGGCTGTATACCTAGGTAGTGTGATAAAGCAGTACCATCACTTTCTGTGACGGCTACTGTTGTCCCGGTATCCATGGATGGCTTCGGCACCTCCAGCCCAGTACTGTATCTGAAACAATCCGCGGGCGTCGATCCCCGAGTGATGATTTGTGTGTTTGGATCGTCGCCCGCCTCAAACTAGCTCGAGCTCACCTGCCACGATATCATCATGGTATTGCTGGCGCAGGGCTTCCGCCTGCGCCCAGTGTCCAAGTACGGTGGTGTCAACTGTAGCGTCTCACACTTCTGTCATCACCATCACCGTCGCCATCTCCCTGTATTCCAAGGCTGCTAGAGGCCTGCCGTACTGCCGTACTGTAGAAAGCCCAGCCAGCTTAGCGGCACCGTTGTCGTCATCAGAGCACTCCGGCTTATGTTTGGTACTTACCTGCCCAGGCGGGTACTTTACACTGTCACCAGCTTCTACTTACCTTGGTACCTAAGTAGCATTGCCAATGGTTCACGGCTTTTGAAATTCTACAAAACTTCAGGCCTCTCAAATAGTGTTGTGAATCACATCACATACAGATGACACATAATCAACTGCGTTTGACTAAGTAAGCAGGGATCCCTCGGCGCGACCAGCATGCCAAGCCCGTGCCACGCGCAGGGACTCGGCCTACGTGGATATGGAACGGCCGCAAATACAAATCCTCGTCAGGTCGGAATGGACGGGGCGGGCATTGCGGCAATGGGAAGGCGTAAGCCGACATTTTGCGACCAGGGCCCGAAGAATGTCCATGAACGGGCCTGCACGAAATAATACAGAAGCAGCATGAGGCGAGGGACGATAGCAAATGACCGTGGCAATGCATTACGTTTCCTTGACAATGCGTCGAGTTTTGGTCGAAGGTCAATCCTTTCGATCGACCAATTTGTGGAACTTCCTGATGTGGGTTGTAGAAGGTAGGCGGTTGTGACAAAGAGGGAGACTTGTGACAATGACATGAGACATCCACAAGTCCTGTACTCTGACAATGACCCCGATTCACTCAGAAACGTCGACGAGTCGTGGATGCTGTTCGTATACTGACTTGTGTGATTCATTTGTAAGGCCCAGAGAAGCCCAGTGCGAGCTTTGCTCGAAGATTAATGAAGGATCAAATGCATTGGCATGAACCCTATCGAAGTTCGAAGTGAAATTGTTACTGATAAGTGATTGTTGAATGGGTGGTGGATGGTGCTGATCAACAGCTGCACAACGTATGTTGACATTCCAGTCTGCGTGTAAAGACCAATTTCCTTCCGAATCGATCTTGAAAAATCAATGCAACATACAATGCTGCCGATGAAAGTCCCGACTGTTTCGGGCGCTGTCTCAAAACATTCACTCGTAAAAACATTCTTCAGATTGTCGTCGGCCCATCTTGTCATTTCGCCTCTGGAGGGAAGAGGGGCTTCTGGGCGCAGCAGCACATGCTATTCGAGTAAGGTCAGCCGTCATGATCAACAGTCTATGGCGATTTATGTTCTGGGATTTTCTTACCCTTTTTGCCAGCCGTGAATTTTGCGAGTGACTAAAATCGTGTTCGTCAGTTACCCTTCGTGGAAACATAAGCGCCAGCAGAAGATCACTGACCAGTCTCCTTTTTCACTTGCGCATTGAGGATTGACACTTCTTCAATTTTCCATCCCAGCGCACGAGTGAAAGGCACGTTGGCGAACGCTGCAAGGCCCTCCAAGAAGTTGAGACAGGTGTACCTGCCAATCTCCTTCATTTTAGGGTCTTTGGGCCAGTCGTTGGTTGGTCGCTTCAGCATTTGCATGTCGATGTTTTCGAAGCCGACCTCTTCTAGATATTTTGGATAGGCCTCGATGTCAAGAATTGGCTTGCCGAGTTTGTCGAATCTGCACAAAGTTCGAGTCAGGAAATGAAATCACATCGGACATCTGAAAATGAAAGATGGAGACTCGAGACTAACGCTTCTTTCAATGTAGACCACCAGATGTTGGACGGTGAGTCGGGCGCGACAGAGCCATCATCAGAGAACGTTCCGCATTGAATGTCTACAAGCTCTACCCAACCGCCCGGTTTGAGAGCCCTGTATATCCGTTTGTAGAGGTCGGGATATGAGGCAATGGAACCACAAAGATACCGAGCATGGATCAGGTCGAATCTGTCCTCGCCAAAGGTCCTAGATTCCCTTCAGTCGTAAAACTCGAAGCTGAAACGATGTCATAACTCACCAGTCCTGCTCGAAATCATCTACCAGGAATTCACAGTTTCGTGGCCTAATCTGAATATCAATATCCAAACCTCAGTTGAATATAGCGCATGGTAGCCACATATGAAAAGACTGCTCTCCAGACTCACACCCATTGCGGCTGGACGGGGCTTAAGTCCGTACCAATAACGCTGCTTTCTGGATATTGATCTGCCTGTTCGCATGTCATTTAGTATGCGCCTTCTCTTGTCGAACAGTATTGCGCATGCGTCATGCGCAGGAATCCTACCATATCAATGGCCCACAATCCTGTGCCTGTTCCCAGATCCAGAATTTCCTTCGGATTGTCAAGCGGACAAAGGTGGAGTTTCCCGTCGAATTGCACCAGACAGTTTTGATGTTCGATGTCCATGCGATTCAGCTCTTCCTCGTCATTTGGGAATAAGTATGCGCCCGCGCGATATCCGTGGTACCGCCGACCATGTTCGAATTGATAGCGTGTGATTTCGGAGTTCAGACTGGTGGAGCTACTCGCTAGGGATTCCCGATCGCCACCGAACGTACTATCGTGGTCGTACTCGTCAGCGTCCATGTTCGCCGGTGGTAGGATAGTGGCTTCCATGGTGCTGTTATTGTTGTCCTCTTCGGAAGCCATGTTGTTCTCTTCGGAAGCCATATTGTGCCGTCTCTTGCGGTGTGTCTCTATATCTATGCGCAGCTCTTCAGGATCCTCTGGGTATATTTATTCTCGGCGGAAAGGGATTCGGGAAAAGAAGCGGCGCAGTAGGTCGCGCGATATGCGTGATGGGTGGGCGAGGCTCCAGTCGGTCATGCTTGGAACTTGGAATCTTTATCATGATCGCTGCATCTCACAGGCCAGGGTTCTGTGGCCGTCACCGATCTCCGCTTTTCATGCTGGCCCTGCGCGGGATTCGCCCAATGGTGATCGAGTCGGTCCAGCCAACGGCAGCTTCCTTCGGCGGGCACACCTAGCCTTCGGATTCCCGGTCCGCTCACGTCTTGCGGTTGAGACACACGTGGGTGGCTGCCGCTAGTCGTCTTGAATTTGGTTGATTGTCCATCATTATCGGTCCTCTTCTTCACAGCGTTTCCCGTCAAGCTGACTTCCAGCGCTCGTTCTCCTTCGTATATTAGCATCAGGCTATTGCGTTTAGTTTCTTTTGAACAGGTAGCCCATTGCCCCGGCCGCTAAGTCAGTGTCGTAAGCAGTGAAGCAAGTGCTAGTTACATCACCGGAAGAGCGCTGGCTGGACTAATAGTCTGCTACTGTATCGGGTATGTGGAGGACAATGCATGTGCGCCGCAGTCTGATAAATGACTCGCCGGTCACCATGCATTGGCGTTGCGCGCCACGCACTCTGCAGCAAGTCGAAACCCGCAGGCGCAGGTGCATGTCTCACCAATCAGCGACTTAAGCAAAGAGGTAGGTTTGCTTCGCCCGATCTAGCAGTACACCTACCGTAATTGGGCATGGTGCTGTGCTTTTCCAGCTGACGGGTAGCCCTGGAGCTTCTTTCGCACGGAACCTTGGAATTCTTCGGGATCCCAGATGCAAGAGCCATGGATGCTGCACTGCTAGCAGGTTCCGCATGCGGTCGTGACATTTTCCCTTCCACTGCCCCAAACTTTTTGAACCTTGGAAGCTTTCCAAGGTTGACAATCATGCATGATCTTGGGTCCGTCGGTGGAGACCTCGAATGGGCCAGATGAAGCGATCAGCGTGTCCGCAAAAGTGGTGTCAATCCGCTGCCGCTGGGACGTGACAACATGAGGTTCAATAACAAAGGCATTGTGGGCCTGTTCGAGCTCGCAGATTGATTACACACAGCTTATTGAGAAATACACTACATACACGCGCAGGGCACAAAATCAAAATCTTTCCCTTCTACGTGGGGAAATCGACTGAACACCCGGTGGAGAGCTTATCATCGGCATTCCGCGCCGATTGCGCATGCACATGCATTTGCGATGAGGTGCAGCGTCTAGCTCTTGTACTTTGCTACAGATCGTTAACACGGAGGTTGATCACCAGCCATGACTGCGCCGTCTCCATACACGAACAAATGCTGTGTGAAGAGATATGATAAGAGAACTTGACACCGGATCACCAGGCTTCATATGCTCCCCAGCTCGCTTCTTGCGCAAGCCACAGACGCACACAAAGCCCTCTCGCCGAGGACGGAGGCTCGACTTGCCAGTCAAACTCCTGCGCGCGTTTTCCAGCTCGCAACAACCTCGACGGATTTTCGGATATAGTGATATGCTTCTCCACGTGGCATGCGGTGGCATGATGCAATACCTAGGTATATGCGGGATCTTGATGCTGGACGCTCGAAATAATCACATCTGGCATAACGGAACAACCTCGGCGGGGTCAAGTGATTGAGGCACGAGACTCAGAGGCAAGCATCACTTGAACACAGCATCTTTAGCACTACGTAGATGGACGAGTAATATATCTCAGACAGCTTCAAGCTCCGGGTTGTAAATGGGATAATGGCCATCTGCACCTCGGGCGCTTGTCGCTGACACTTTCTCCGTCAAGATGTGCTCAGCTGTACAAGATTGGCATTTTGCGTCCGTGGCCAGCTGCATTTAACGACACAATTCCAACCAAGGGCTCCTGCTCTCTGGTGCAGTGCTGGTTCGGTGTCAAGCATTGCTGCTAGTGGGAAAAGACATCGTTGACGTCGGCGGGTGTTTTGGATGCTTCTAGGCACAAGACTTGCAGATTGAAATATCGTATTTCTCGACTCCTCAGTGGGCAGTGGGCCCGTCATAACAGCAAGATTGGTATGGTTTGAGTAGGAAATAGACCCGCGCAATTTGGCAACTGCATAGAATGGGGGTATGGACCCGATTTTATTCATGATTTAGTTATAGGTTCAAGGAGTGACTCAAGTTAGTTATGCGGAAGCCAGAAGCGTTCCGCAAACGACGCGACAAAACAGTAAAGGTAGCTCGAAATCAAAAGAACGGCAGAGCTGAAGAACTGGAACGCAAGCGCCCCGACGGGGTTAAGATATGTCGGCATGGCCTATCAATTTGACGGTCTTCAGCAGTCAGACGCGGAGCACAAGTGACTTGAGATCTTGCAACGCATGCGGAGCTGCGTTGAGCCTGCTGTTTTCGGGCGAGCAGTAGGCATGATGTACTCGTCCGTTCTCCTCACGAAGTGGCGTGGACCACATTCGCATAGGTCCATCGGGGCAGCACATCGTATTGATGTGGGTGCAAGCGATGAAGCGCTTGTCCTGGAACTCATCCTTCTGTGATTGAGACGTGTTCTCGTCGGCATCGGGAGCGCGAACGGCGTTCTTGCGCATCAAGTCTGGTTTGACTGGCGGTAAATTGGGCGAAGATGACCTCGAGGATAAATGTGAATCTGAGGCTGCTTAATGCCAAATGACCAATTCGGTCACAACAAGGATAGGAATTGTGCTTGGTCCGCACGACAGTCGGGTCTCACAATCAGTCGTATCCTCCAATTCCAACTTGACTAGCAAAAGCGGTGCTAACGCTCCGTGCGTCTTCGTCTTCGAGGGTAGATCGATTCCGGCCAGCACCGATCGGCGGTTGGGATGGACCTTGACCCTCGACGTAGCGACGAAGCTTATCAGATTGGGACAAGGAGGCCTGCTTGTTGAGGTCGTTGATGCTCAGTCCTGCCAAGCTGACACCGCCCTGCCCAGGTTTGGCGGAGCCGTTGGTCGTGATGTCCGTGATCTCGCTGGCGGCCACACTCTCGCCGGCGATAGACTCGGGCATATGGTGCGTCTTGTCGTGAATGGGGCCGTTTCGCGGCCCACCTTGCAATGTCGGCCACGAATCCTGGAATCCCTGGAACATGGGAGGGTATTGAGAAGGCAAAGCAGCCCCGCCGAGCGCCGATGAGTGAATTGAGGATACATCGTCGGGGATGTACCCCACAATACTTCCGTTGTCAGTCGGGGGCCCGTTGCGGCGGCCATTGCTACGTTCGGCGCCAGTGGCCGCCATGTGGTTCGCATTCTGGTAGGCCATGTTGTAACGTTGAGGGCCACGGTAAGTCGTCTTGGGCCGGCTGAATTGCAACAAGGAGACTTGAAGATTATTCAGCGGGCCCTCGACCAAGCAATTGCGCTCCTTGAAATGCAAGAGCAGATAATGCCAGAGGGGGTGCTTGCTAAGCACTTTGGGATTTCCGAGAACAACCAAGCCATACTTTGCACGTGTCAGAGCAACGTTCAGACGACGTGGGTCGCTCAAGAAACCGATGCCCTGATGATCGTTGCTTCGCACACAGGAGAGTACGATGAAGTCCTTCTCTCTGCCTTGGAAAGCATCGACAGACGCGACCTCAATCTCTTTGTAGTGCTCTTTCTTAAAAGTTCCGGTCTGCTGCATGCTCTGCACGACGTAGGAGCGTTGTCCTTCATATGGAGTAATGATACCGATTGCAGATGGGCTGACGCCGGCCTTGAAGAAGCGAGTGACAATTTTTTCAACGTTCTGTGCCTCGGTTCGATTCAGGTAAGACGTACCAGAGGCACTGATCTCTTCGTTACCCAGATTAGACCAGAACATCATGGGCGAGTCTGCGACAGGCCAGGGAAAGTCGACATCTTTCCTCAGACGCTGTTGCATTGTGATGCCATTTTGCAGAGAGCCTTCGTAGAACATGTTCGAAGGGAACTCCGAGAGACAAGGATGCATACGGTACTGGACATTGAGTCGGATCGGTGCACAGCCCAGAGCAACCAACCGTTCGAAGAGCGACTGATTCAAACCGGCCTTTGCAGCTCTCTTGTTCATGATGACGGGGCCAAGCTGTTGATGATCTCCAACAAGAACAACTTGCTTGCAACCCAAGACTAGTGGAATCATGCACTCAGGCTCGGCGGACTGGGTGCTCTCATCGATCAGGACAGTTCTGAATTTGAGTTTTGCAAGGCGAGGATCACCAGCACCAACACAGGTGCAACAAATTACGTCGGCGTTCTGCAAAATCTCACGTTCCGCTGCGCGAGTGAGTGTCTTGAATTTCTTTTCGTCCTGGCTGGACAATTCACCCAGCTCGGCCTTCAATTGGTTCAATTTGGTGAGCTCAACGTTGGTGTCATTCATCTGAACTTGTCGGTGGAGCGAAAGGAAGCCGACATTAGACTCCACATCCTCTCGCGACTTTGCAGATACACGAACGACCTTGAGCCCTGTTATGTGAACTCGCTCACACAACTGGTCAACGGCGACGTTCGATGGAGCACAAACAAGGACCTGGCCTCCGTTCAGCTTCGAGAGATGATAGATGATTGTGGCAGAAGTCACGGTCTTTCCAGTACCCGGCGGTCCCTGGATCAGACTCAACGGCTTCTGCAGGACTGATTTCACAGCGTTAATTTGTGATCCATTGAGGTCGGGAAGGTTCGGCACGCTGAACTTGCGTGGCAGTTGGACTTTCATCGGAGCGGCAGCCACTTCGTGACCGAGCAAGCGGTGGAAAATGTATCCTGAGACCGACATCTCGTCAATGGCAAAGGTTTTCATGGCATGCTGCATGCGGTCGAATGAAGTTGCCTTCCAGACATAGTCTGCGGTGAAATTGTGAGTGCACTCAGTTGGTACAGATTTGTGATCACCGCGCGCTCGAAGCTCCAACGTCACCTCGTCATTCATGTTGTTCGGTATCTTGATCACGTAGCCAACGCCTTCCCAGTGCGGGCGCAGCTCACCCGTGTATCTCAATCTCATCTCATCACCGACCGCAAGCTTGACGTCGCCAAGTTCAAGCTTCGGAAGGACAAATGACGCCAGATGCTTGCTATTCAATCCGAAATCCCACCGAACGATCAAGTTGTCCTGACTCTGCGCCTCTTTCAATTTCCGATCATAGTCCGCTTCGATTTTCACTAAAGGACCGAATACGTTCTGATACTGATATGCGTCGTCGTAACGCAGCAGGACGGGAGCCGGTTCGTCATCGACGCCCGCGGTCTTCTCAAGGTCCTGAATGGTCGCGTTCGAATTGTCCTTCCACATCTCCTCGAGCTTGACAATGACCTGTGGCAAGAGATGACGAGACCGCATCTGTTCCTGATCTGTCGGGGCGTTGACCAGCCATGGTAAAAATGAGCGGTCTTCAATCAATGGCTGCCACTTTGAAGTGTCCCAATTCATGTCCTTGGAGCTGGGCATGGCCGCACATGGTTGACGACACAAGAGCACCACCACTGTGTCGCTCTTGGCTGGGATAAATCCCAGCATGAAAACATTCTTTGTTCCGCAATTGTAGCACTCCAATGTCGTGTCTCCAAGTGGCGAGGATGGGTGAAGTTGCACCTCTTTGTGCCGAGCGCGTACAAGGTGATTGATGATGTGACTAGATGAAGTGTTTCCGCGAGCCGAGCAGAACCATTTTGTACAGGTCAGGCACTTCACGACTGAGCTTGGATTGTGAATCCCACAGTATGCGCACGCATGGGGCGGGAGTTCCACCTCTTCTTCGGGAGCCGGCGCCGCTTGTCCGTTGTGGCCATTCGCAGCGTGACTCGCAAGTGATTCCAGGTCGTCGTCATCGAACACATCCGTCTCATCATCATCACCAACCCTTCTCCTACGAGGACCACCATTCAAATTGCCCCTTCCATATTCACCATCCAAGGCACTTTCACCGGCATCGAGAGTCGAGATGTCGTCGCCCTCGTTGATTGCAGAGGCGGAGTCGCCAACAAGGTGATTGGGCGCGTGAGTGAAGACACCTTCCATGGCTGACAGTTGCCTCTTCTTAAGCAAAAAACTTTAAAGCACCAGTCGCAACTTTCCAAGAGGTCGATCGGTATGTTAGGATCGGCCGCCACGGCGGGGGTTGAGGAGATGTCACCCGTCAACCCCTTGCATGCGAAATTTGTATCTTGGGGATTTTTAAAGGGCAGTATCGACCTGTCACCGATTGGCGACTTCCTGCAAAAGAGCGTTGCTGTTCAAACACAGTTCAACGCAACGCTACTGTGATCTTCAGATCGCCTGTCACTTGAATCGTGGGTTCTTGGCACCGCTGTAACTTTCTGGAGGGGCTTACGCGCCTGTACTTTCACGTGGCTCCGGCTTCGACTCGCCTTGAAATTTTATGATCACTTCCGCCACGCAGTCTTGCAAGTACACGGAGCTTCAACACAATCGCAAATTGCACAATGATCCGAAGACAGGCGCGTCAAAGAAGAGATTATCTCTATCGGAGAGCGCTTACCCTACGCGATGCAGAAATTTCAGAAAAGCGCGCAAAATTAAAGAATTCTCTGGCGACCGGGAAGCCTCTGGACCCTAGCATCGCCAATGACAAGCAACTTCGACAGGACTACAAGTATGATGAATCTCGAGCCGATCGGACAACGCAAGATGAACTGGATCTAGACGACGAGTACAGCTATCTTTCTGGTATTGTTGATCCTCGAGTCCTGGTGACCACTTCGCGCGATCCGAGTTCAAGACTAGCCTCCTTTGCGAAAGAGATCAGACTTTTGCTGCCTACCGGAATCCGACTAAACCGTGGTAATTTGATCTTACCGAACCTCGTATCCAGCGCGAAATCAAGCGGACTCTCCGATCTGATTTTGCTCCATGAACATCGTGGAACACCTACTGCTTTGACCATTTCACATTTTCCACATGGTCCGACGGCTTCTTTCAGCCTTCATAATGTGGTGTTGCGTCACGACATCCCTAACGCATCACGGGGGACGGTCAGCGAAAGCTATCCGCATCTTATCTTCGAGGGCTTCACCACAGCGCTTGGAAAGCGTACCGTCAAAATCCTCCAGCACTTGTTTCCGCCGCGGGAAGGTGGTACGAAGCTAGGATCACGCGTCGTCACCTTCAAAAACATCGAGGATAGCATCGAAGTCAGGCACCATGTCTTCGTCAAGACTGGTTATCAGAGTGTCGAGCTGGCTGAAGTTGGTCCACGTATGACAATGCGTTTATTCGAGATTCGGCAAGGCACAGCCGACAACAAAGACGGAGACGTGGAGTGGCACATGAATCAGTACACGCGAACAAGCAAGAAGAAGGACTACCTATGAGTCTGACTTGGCTCAATGTCCAGTGTGCACACCAGAACGGCGAATCCGTGATCTCTGTGGACTAGAAATCTGTCTTTGGATCAAAGATCATGGTTCCGAGCGCAGACTCACAAGGAACTGGCTTTCTCCCAATAGATGTGCATTGCGCAGCCTTACGGATCGAGAGGTTTGGAACACGGACTTTTGCGCGTAAGCTCAGTCGCAAGATTGCTTCCGGCCATAGTGGCGCCTCGGCATCGCCGAATTGTAGTATCCTGGATTGTCATGGTCATTTAGGTTACGTGCAGACAATCGAATGGGCCGGCAAGGAATAAATTTGCCTTGCAGCATCTATTCGTACATCGGGTGTGAAGAGGTAGAACCTCGCATCACCATTGATCCATGAAGAAGTATGACGTGCAGCACGTCCTTCTGGGGTCGGGAAAGGGAGGTGCAATCGGCATGCATGTGCGGTTGACAGCAAGGATGACACGAGACTTGAGCCCGAGATGAGACTACACTAGCTGTTTCAGATACCATGTAGATATAAGAATCAATGATTGTCCTCAACCAGTGAGGTACAATAGTAGTGCCAGCAGAGGAAGTTGCCATAGAGGAAAGGTTTAATTTCAATGCTGTCATCCGCCAGTGATGGTGGTTCCTGTCATACCTTGCTCCACTCCTTGAACACCTTCCAGTCCCTCCAGACCCTTCCCATGCAGAACGTCGACGTCGAGCTCCTCCATGACCTGGATGACAGTCCCCAAGGAGTCAAAGAAGCCATTTACAGCCACACGGAGCATGCGATTTGTCGTCGCTTTGTACACAGTCTGCAAGATGACTCGCGGCGATTCGTTGCGGGATTGTTCCTCGGCTGCAGGCACATCTCGACTTTCCAGAGAGAAAGATCTTTGGACCAGTGCAGAAAGCTCCTGATCCACCGAGATTGCTTGGTGCGCGGACTTGGCTAACCGACTGCTAGGAAACGGGATGCGAATAACTCTGAGCGGAAAATATGACTTTCTTCAGCTCTGGCTAGAGCATCCTGTAGATCCTTTGAAGAACTCACAATGAGCATGGAAAAGCAGAGTCATGAGCAGATACGTTGGCAGCCATGGTAGACGATGCCCGTGGGCCGGCAGCGCAGGGCCGCGATCTTGCCGAGTGGTGATGTGCTTGCAGACGCACAAAAAGGGCGTGGTTGTTGTCTACACCTGTCTAGTCATCAGTCGACATACGTTCACGAAGAAAACCCCACAGCGGGCGCACACACGAAGGAAAAAGGCAGGTGCCTGATGAATTACTTCAGCGCGATCGGTTCCGCAATTCGATCCGATCTACTGTGCAGCATCCGTCCCCACACAGGCTAATGATGCGCGTTCCTCCACTCAATGACGCCAGCGGAACTCTGATTGACCCTGTTTGAGGTCATCATTGATTCATCCTTGGTCCGAGTGGTCGCTATGCCTTCAGTCGCTGTTTCCGTTTGCATTGTAGAGATGATAATTCTTTAGACACTTAATCAAAACAACAAGGTCTTCAATCCAAGTCACAAATCGAACATTCTCCACTTTCGTAACCTGCCAGACTTGTTGAAGCCATGGCGTCATCACCTTCGGAATTTCTGACTTTCTACCGTCACATCAATGCGAGCGCCGCGATGCGATCAGCCATGAGGTCCAGAGCTTCGCGGTCTTTCAGTACCTCGCGACCGCAATTCCTCGGCGACAAGACCAACAACACTGGCGACATGGGTGAGAACACCCGTCACGTTTTAGAAAAGGGCAAGGACAAGGAGAACAATGTTCAGGCATACGAGTCCAATCAGGGTATCAAGTAAGTGGACCATTAGACTGCTGTGTAGGCAGAAATTCTCGAGCAGTGACTAACGATCGTTCCTCTCAAAGAAACCAGCAACAGGGCACGGGCGGTAATGCCACCGCGCGGGACAGCGGAGGCGCGAACGAGAAGGCGAAGAAGACACACCCTGAGGCCCCCGATAACATTGGCATGCAGGACGAGCGTGGCGGAAAGTGGTGATCCTAAGGAATCCAGCGAGAGCTTTGTATCTCATGAGCACGATCTGATCCGGTTGCAATGCATCGTGCAGAGGAATGCGGAAGCTTGCCGTGGTGGAATTGACCGACGTTTGACTGGCCTTGCTGTACATCGAGCATGACTTGTAAGATAGCATCATCTTATCGTAAGGAAAGCACAATAATGTCTGAATGTTTGATGCTTCTGACCCGCATTCATCTCTTGCTCATTCCCGGGTTAAGCGTGTTGCTCTCACCACACAATCTTCGTCGATCCAACTAGAATTACAGGGATAAGTGACTGTGCGTTAGAAGTACATATCGAGAATCCGGTCCCGATGACGAGCTAGATTTTCGTGTCGTTTCACAATTTCCCCGGCAGGATTGTGCACCCAACCCAGATTCTCGTCGAGGAGGAGATGCGTGTATGCAAACACGCTTGCGTCAAACATGCCTGGCCTGTCATTTCCAAAGAACCATGAGTCGTCTCCGAGGAGAGAAGAGAATGCTAGAAATGCTTCCTCTGCATCACGCGAGACGTCCAACAGCGACACTGCATTTTTCTGGCGTGCCTTGATGACCTCTGTCTCTGCGGCCGCCTGAAGCTGCTGTGCAATCGCCGTTCGGACGAACGGTTGCGAAGAGCATGGGTTCACGTAAAGTCGGCGCACAAGTGGCGCATTGGGGGCGACGAGATACAGTTGGCATAACTGTCCAATGCACTGTCAGCACCCTGAACTAGAGCAGCACTTGTCATGATCAAAACCCACCCAAAGCGTCCGTATCCGGCCTTCCAACAGAGATGTATACGCATCGTATCGAACGTCATCCTCCTCCTTCAATTGTTCTGACGATCCTGCAACTTCGACCCATTTCCGGAGCTTGTTGCTTGGTATTGGCTGTGAGGGCGAGAGACAATCGGGATTGGAGGAGCCGGGTTGAACGAAAGGGAGCACTCCTGTTGGCGACGCGTGGTTGCTCGAGACGACAGTGCGGAACCGAATGCCCGCAAATCTTAGATATGTCTAGGTTCACGTGTTAGATCTTCGATCGATGCTGAGGGATATCGCGCTGCCATACTTGATACTTCAAACATTGCGGGTTGAACGCTATCGGGCAAGAGATTGTTGTCAGAAATATCAACCATATATATTCTTGGCGAAGTGTTTCATCATACATGGTCGGTTATGCGCCGCATCATTCTCGGTCGTGAAAACATGCAGAACATGATCGGTCCTTCCGCGCGGAACGCGCTGTGGCAGCTCATCGACTGGATACGTCTGTAGAGGGAAATGATCAAAGATTCTTTTCAATGGTGGTGGAACATCAAAGATGCTCCATGACCGGTCATCTTTGGATTCAGCGGCATTGCCTTTGGCAGAGTCGTCCATGCCTCGCCGAATATATCCATCGCAAAAGATTCCACGAGTGAACCTGGATCATAAGGCTTGACAATTTCCAGGGTTCGCCGCAAGCGGGAGAAGTTCGGAAACGTTCCGATGTGGCTTGCCGTCTCCGAACGACCACAGTAGCTGTGGTGAATCCATCTCATTTCCTGTGCTAATGCAGTGAACAATGATAGTACTTACCACCCCATCGTCTCCGCAGCGGCGTTTTACCGTCTTGCAGACACATCAGCGATAAATGGCAATTGCAAACCTGCTGGATCAATAGACGTCTGTGAACGTCCATTTGCACGACGCGATGGAGATCAAAGCCTGGCTCCCCGCTGCCCCTGGCACCGCTGTTTCGACACCCTGACGACGAGCCCACAGTACTTCACCGTTGACTGATCTCTTGAAGCATTCACCCACATGCAGTTTCGGAACGTTTTTGTCGTGGAGACGCGTCACCACTGGTTCGGCGAGCACTTTCGATCTATTTCCAGGTCGTTCTGCGTGCTGGTGGTGGCCGTCGTGATACAATGGTGGTAATCACTATGTATGAGTCTGTCGGCAAGGTGACAAGTTCCCGAAACATTCGACTTGATCGAAGGCGTTGAGCTACGCTTGGCATTCAATCTGATACCTTAAGAGCTATTTAAAGTCGTTGTGTAATGATGATGCTGTATCCGTACTCATCATCGGTTCCGTGTCAGCAGCAGGAACGGCACTCTTCATCTTCATCACATGTCGCTCGACACTGCCCAGGTGCCTTCTGCAACGACTTTGTGACCTCTATCAACTTTGATCTCGTCTACCACAGACTCTAGTACCATCAGGGTTCGCCGTTCAAATTCCCAAACACTTCTAGACAATGGCGCTCACGCATGCCGTGCTGCTGATTGCACTGGGTGAGTGAAGACTATGATCAGAATTAGGACCTGCTAGAGATCAACAACGAACTAACGAAGATACTCAGCATCACAGTCATGTGCTCAATTTGGAGGATTCGGGAACGGCAACAATCCATCTACAGCCAACGGTAACGGAAACAACAACAATAATGGTATTTTCAACCTCGGCAGCAACAACGCCGATCGCACGTTCTTCTCATCACAAAGGACGCTCGCGATTGCGCATGCCGTTCTGGCGTGCCTAGTGTTTGGCTTCATCTTTCCCGCAGGTGGTATCGTCATCCGCTTGACAACATTCAAGGGAGCCTGGATCCTCCACGGTCTTTGCCAATTGTTCGGATATCTCCTCTACATCGCGGCCGCAGCAATGGGGATCTACATGGCCGTCAATCTCGAATTGATGAATCAAGCGCACGCCATCATCGGCATAGTCCTCCTAATATCGATTTTCATTCAGCCCTTCACAGGCTTGCTGCACCACGCTGCATTCAAGAAGCACTTCCGCAGAACCATTCCAAGTTTCGTGCACGTCTGGCTCGGACGCGCTGGGATCACACTTGGGATCATTAATGGTGGCTTGGGGCTACAATTGGCCCGTAAACTGCCTTTTGCACGGCCCAGCAGAGGTGCCATCGTCGGATACAGTGTCATCGCTGGCTTCATGTGGATGTTGTACGTCGTCGCTGTGATCGTCGGAGAGTCACGTCGAAGTCGAGCGGCAAAATTGACAACTCGCGATCCGAAATCGTCAGGCTCATCGCCTGCGCGGAGGAACGAGAGGGAGGTAGGCCACTAGCGTCTCGATTCGGCCGGACGTGGGGTCAGAAAGAACAAATGTACTGCTCGAAGCTGGTGTCGAAATTGAGAGGATACTGAAGTATTGGATCAGGCAATGTGTTCGCGCGAGCTGTCTTGAGGATGACTGTATCTCACGTCACGCGCGGGGGCGTCTCTCGAGTTTCCTGGGTCGCTTTCGCTCCACAGTCTGCGTAAATGCATCAACAATGTGCCCATTGTTTGACTCTTGCTCTGATTTTTTTCCTGTTGACAATGAGCTATCATGCCTCGGTGAACTCTTCCTTTCCGGTTGAGAACTCTTCTCCGCTTCGTTAGAGCCAGCTTGAGCGGAACATAATACCTTTTCCCCATCTGTCGTCTTCCCATTCTGCTCTTGTTCGAGTGCATCGACAACGTCTTCTGCATTTGCCTCATCCCAACTCTTTTCCTTGCCACCAATCTTGATAAATGGACCATGTACGGCGCCTACGCCTGTGCCAACTAGCGCACCCAGACCCACCATTGGAACGGACAAAACTCCGCCAACAAGAGTGCCTACAACCGTACCAAGGCCAAGACTGACTGCGCCGCCGATACCTGCACCACCGGCAAAGCCCTGCCACGGACCGCTTTGCATTCGTTGTGCAAGCTTGCTCAGACCGTTGGCTTCCATTTCTTTGGCATATGCATCACTCAGAACTCGGTTCCGTTCCTCCGCATTGGTGATTGTAGAGGCTTTCTCGCGAAGACTCTGCGCTGCATCTTTCGCTTTCTTGATCGCTTGAAGATTCTTTACGTACTCGATCGCATGCCGCCGGTCGCGTACATTGCCAGGTGTTTCGGGATTACTACTAGACGTACCCGAGGAGTTCTTCAAGGTGTGCTGCTTGAGGTCCGATTTTGCGTGTTCGTCGCCAGGTGACATTTTCGTAGTCATGGGGCCGAGATCATCAAGGTCAACATCTCATGTTCGTGTGGTCGATGATGAAAGGAAAGGGATGAATTCCTCAGCCCCACAAGAGAGCAATGTGAGGAGCAAAGTTGTCGGTATTGGATGTACTTCGTGCTTGCTCGGATCCGTGACGGGAAGCGTGATTTCTAAGTTGAACATGGTGACGTACAGTTGGCAAGTGCGGGCAGATATTGTGTAACACAGCAGTATTTCCATCCATCAAAGGCAGATTCTATACAATCTGCCAAGACTCGTAGATGGGAAGGTGGATTGAATCTGATTCACAAGATTCATCAACACAACGCCCTCGATCCAGCACAAGTCGGTTAGAAATGCGCAAAGAATGGGCTTCGTAGGGATAGCAAAGCATTCCAAGGTTCTGCTCAAATTTGCACGTCCATTTTGGATAGCTTTGGCATGTGATCAGGGATTTTCATAGGTCCGGATTATGATGTATCCTCGTCCCATTCATCGCTGCAGCGAGTCGTTTACGCGGACGTCTCGGGCTGTTTTGTCCCAATCACGACTTGCATGTACCCAAGTGGCCAAGTATGCAGATGGCGTTCCTCGCGAAATGACCATTCACCGCATGCAAACGTTGGTCGGCCACCGCCTTCCCGAAGCACAGCTTTGTGACCCGATGCTGCTGCGAACAGGCGCAACATCTCCTCAAACGACCTTCGACGAAGGCATCCGACAATGCCATCGAGGTATTGAATGAAGGGTAGAAGAGGGACCATGTAGGTGAAGACAAGATGTGTGGGATCGTCCGAGAACCAGAAGACTGAACACAGTAAGGTCACAATGGTTTCGAAGAGCACCGCCAGGATGCTGAGAATGCGGCGCTCTCTTGTGTCAACAATAGCAAAAGCATCACTCGTCTGGAGAGTGCTCTCAATCACTTTCAGCGCCATGCGATCGTCGAATTGATGGAAAGTCTCGCAGTAAAGCCGGAAGTTCTTGCTTCCATCCGAGCTGAAACCTTTGCGCAATGCAGCTTGCTTGTCTCCTGGTGTTGTTGAGCTGATAACCGGAAACCCCGGATTCGCAGCGTCCACAGGTTGAGGCACAAAAGAGAGATGATGCGACTGCGACGCGTGTTTCATCCAGGCATCCAGATCTGGCTTAATATCAGAAAGACGAAATTCTATTGCGCGTCGTGATAGCGGACGACAGTGGTTGGTGAGAGTTTCGATGATTGGTACTGGACCGCCTCGCCCTGATCCAAAATCGACAACAGTCCATTTCGTGCTCTCGATATCTGGGAGTTGTTGCAAAGTGTCGGAGATGATATCGCCGGCCAATTCGGCCAACGATTGGGGTTGAAAGAAGGGAAAAGCTTTTGTCCAGCGAGCAGTTAACGCGTCTTGTGCATCGTGCTTGATGAAGGTAGGGACGCTATTCAATGGATCCCATAGTTAGCGAGCTGCACAATGGTCGCGCTTCTGGTCAACAATAATCTTACATCCACAGGCTATCAAATTCACACAATTGCCATCGTCGTCCGGGCAAAGAGAAGTTTACACGGTCCAATAGTAGATGTGCAGCAGTGAACATAGCTGTTGGCTCAGCCGACAGAGGGCTGTGGGACTTAAGTGCATGCGCAGGATACACAGTGCTCACTTTTGCTGAACGATGTTTACTCCGGTGATGACGGAGTGTTAGCTTCTATCAAGGGCCACGTTGAAATACTCTGCAGTATGTACTACGATCAAAAGTTTGCATCGCGAAGGAACAACCAACAGCGCAGAGTTGTCGTAGTGCGCATAGCCCGATGCTCACTTATTTATGACGATATCGCGCCTCAAGCTGCAGGTGGCTAGGAAAGTGCTCTGTGCACTAAAAAGTTCCTGTGTGTGCGCAGACACGTGGGAAATGGCCGGTGCGATTGGACGGACGCGTATGCCCAAAATCTACATGCAGGTATCAACAGACAACCTTGAAATTAACAAAGAAACCACGTTCGGATGCCCAAGAGATGCAAACGGTGTGTAGTGATTATTATATTCGTTCATCTTTCATCCATCAGATTACCTAGATATTGGTCGTAAAGCGTGGAAACAATGGGTATCTCATGCGACGAGCCAACCAAAATGACTCCCATGTCCATCCCTCTGTCTACCTATGAGTCAAGTCACAAAACAATGTCTCCTTTGCGCCGACATCTTCGCTAGCAAAGTGGGTCTCGTACTCAGATTGATTCTCAGGTCCCAAAGTCCAGACCCACTCCCGCTGGCGTTTCCTCCGTCCCACCACTGGCGTCACAGGACACGTATCGCTGTCCTCCTCGTCGGAAGATTCCCGCTTCTCGCCCGTCTGAGGAGATATTGATTCCGTCTTCGAATCGACGCCAAAAACACCCTCGTCTTGCTCGTCCTGAGCAACACGCGCGTCAACTTCGTCTCTCGAAGGCCTCCTCTCCGACCTTGAAAGATCTAGAGTGGAGATGGACGATGTGGAAGATTCGATATCGGAGTGTCGCAAGGTAAATTTGGTCGTTTGGATCTCCTCCGTTAACGGTGCGCGGAAAGAGACTCGCTTCGTCCGCGCAGGACGCGCTTCAGCATTTGCCGAAACTTTGTCGTGATGCGACAATCGTGGGAGCGGGCTGTTGGCCAGGATCGAAATCACGCCCAAGGCGAGCTTATAGGGAACCTCGAGCATGTTTTGGTCAACTGGTGGTAGTGTTGACGGGAACGTTCTTGATTCAAGTGACGAGGCAGGTTTTAGAAAGCCGTCTTCCGATGTTCTTGGCTTTGAGCTCCGGACGCGCAACGATCGAGGCGATCGCGGTGAGCGAGGAGAGTGTGTTGATAATGACTTTCGCAATGGCTGAATCGGGTTGTATGCATTGCTGAAGGTGTTCCTACTCGTCGGAGACACAGCTGATAGAGTATCGAGACGAAGGCTTGTTGAACCTTTCCCGAAGGTGACGGATGGGGCGCCTGCAGTGTTCAACGAAAGCTTAGGACGCTTCGAAGGAGAAGGTAGATTGGAGCCCATGAGTACAGGCTTGGAAGAGTTGCTATAAGCCATGGGTGCAGATGGTAAAATGGCGAGTGACATTGTCGTGCGAGCAGTGGTGTGAGATGATGGGTAAGGTGATTGCGGCATCACCAAAGTTAGGAGCATGATATCGAGAGTCGCTTGGCGATGGGAAACACAGATGTGCTCACTGGACCAGAGGATTGACCTGAGACCCGAATCTTGGGACCTTTTGATTCTGGCTGTGCAGGTTGCGTGGTGTTGGCGTTGGTGGTGACGTCTTTTTGGGGCTGGTTCGAGTCGAGGTGAACCGCAGCAGCACGCGAGCCAGACTATAGGGCAGATGATCCGTGGCGCACACCTGCAAAGCCCGAAGGTCCTCCTTCAGGTGAGTGTGATGAGAGATAGGCACAGAGGCGATTCCCGATATGGTCGAGGCCGCCCGTCGTCAGTACTGTATAATTAGGGTGTCGGCAGCGGCACAGTTGCAGAGCGATAAGACAAACGGCAGAAGGACGAGGCGATGATCCAAGTATAACCAGTATACTTTTCGGGGGTACAGATCAAGTAGACACGAGGAGTGGGTTTGCAACCTGATGCGGGGATCACCTGGACTATATGTATCGCATGTGATAATCCTACCTTGATAATTTATTTTAGAGGGAGAGCTCACGACTCCCAAGGCGACTACTGGAAAGAGGATCCGCGCCTACTGGAATGACGATCGATGCGACCGAGAACACCCCCGGTCATACGGCGTGCATAATCCAGACGCCCTCCCAGATTAGAGAGACCGGGTTAGCAGCGGCTAGGAGAAGAATCTCCCTTGTTGCGTTTACCGATCGAACATGTATAACAACGACCTGTGCTTGTTATTACTATATTAAACAGGTGACTGGGAGTGATGAGAGGGAACACTGTCCACAATCTCTGTCCATGTTCTGCACACACACCACCACAGCAGCACCAACGACACCACCCTCACCAATGATATTCTTTCTCTCACCACCACCACCACCACCACCACCACCACCGTCATCTGCTACTGTTATGTACGAGGGCCGCATACTTGCTACTCCACTCTGGCACATGTCCGTGTCGCCTCCTGTGTGGCGTTTCTGATGGTGTCCGTCCATCTGTAGGAACAAAGGACAAAAGCGTTTCCAAGGTCGCATCGATTACGCAAAAAACGAGTGGTCCGTCCACGGGGCGAGACGCCGGTCGTTGCAGGCGGGACTGGAGAAAATAGCTGCCAGAGGGCGGTTCCCATTTAGATCCCTGTCGTTATTGGAATGGCTTGAATGGTTTGAGTCTAGCTTGCCTTCCGCGTCCACAACTGTTCCAAGGTACCTTCTCCCGTCGCGTCTTAGTCTTTCGACCAATCCGCGTGCGCCGTGTCCGTCTTACGAGCTTCCTTTCGCGCTGTGGGTATCCAGGCAGGTCTGCATTGTCGCCCACGGCGGCGTGTAAATTCTCAACATTAGCGACCGAATGAATAATTATGATCCTGCCTACCTCTACAGGCCTCCAGCCCCTCTGTTGGCTCATGATGCAGTCGCGAGTCTGGAATCACATTTACCGGTCTTGACAGACATATGTCGGTTCATGATGCATCTCCTGCGCGCTATACCGGACCGCAAGTAGGAATGACCCTTTTTCCCCAACGGCGCTTCCAAAGATAGAAAACCTCGGCGTGTTGAGACACGTCGGACAATTTGCGAAAAGGCCTTCAACATCACGTGCCAAGCCGGCCTGGAGTCCTTCTCCTGTTCCTGGAGGTGACGCTAAATCCGAGCGGGACAGCCGCCGCCACTCAAATTTCCATTTTTACCTCGCCAAGTCGTAATCTTCGTAAGCTTTACTTCGAGCGGATAATACTCCGTCTCAAACGCCGTAGCAAGAAGATCGTTCTCCTCGGGCTGTGATCGTTAGGGCAGTCTTCCTTCCAAGTGTCCCAAAGGCTTGCGATTTTACAGTGTATCTCGGTGCGTATTCCGTTTCTCTGCGCGATCCCAATTCCACGTAGCCTTTCGGAAGCCGGCGCATGGTCGTAACGAGCACACGACGATGGCCGCGTCACGCCCCTGCATCATACGGCCTGGGATTTCCTCACGGGAACGTGGTTCCAGGCAGCTGCAGTCTTCACAATCGGGCGGATGTCTACGCGCCAGGCCGAAGAGCCCTACACAGCGAGAGGGACGTGGCGCAGAGGCAACGACGACAACCATCTGGACACATTTACGACGCTGATAACTACTTGTAGGTGATAAAGATGACCCTTCTGGCAATATATTTCTAGCCGCTGCAGGCGTCGACAAGCCCGCGGGTGCAGCTTCCCGTTGCCACGGCAAGGAGGGGACCACCTCGTCAGCATGTATGTTGGTCACTTCCAACAAGCCAGTCCGAGTAAAATGCTTGTTGGTTTCAAAACGTTGGTTTGTTGGTGGTGCACGTCAAAGTGCCTCTTTTATTTTGGCCACAACGTCATTCATGAGGCACAACAGTCAACTTCAGATTCGTCTGATGAACCTGTGCCCTAGGGAGTGGCGTAAACTCACTTATGACGGCACGCTTTCCGAAGTCATCGGTCATGATGCCTTATTAATACATATGCTAGTCAACACTGTGATGAAATAATTATTGATAGGTCCTTTGAAACATGCGTCATCGGTCTTATATTAGGATTCATGATCAGAGTTGCGTCCTGATTTCAATCTCCTTGTGCGCCGCTCACATGATTGGGCTCGGATCGTACGCCGTTTTGCGTGCGATCGACACCTGGGCACAGTAGTCGCAGCACACCTACTACTGATGATGTTGAGTTTTCCTTCGGGAGCACGCGTATCAAATTTAGCGCGCATGTAACGCCGTACAACGCGTGATCCCGACGAGAGACTCCCGAGGTCCACTTCCAACCATATACCATTAACAGTAAGAAGTTCGTGATCATTATTTCTTTCTGGATGAGGAATCATCACTGCGGAAGTTAGCAAGCGTGTTGGTCTTCAGAACAGGCATCGCGACTCGCAAGATGCCGCCGCAATGGTCCCTGGCCTGGCTCGTAAAGACGGGAGGGTAATCATTCATTTCGTGCGTCGAATCACTCATCGGTGACGAAATCCTATTCTCACGATACGAATACAGGATTACGATTGTTTCTATGCCTCAGTGTTCGAAGCGAGCAACCCAAGCCTGAAAGACCTGCCTTTTGCAGTGCAACAGAAACAAATCATCGTCACCTGCAATTACGAGGCAAGGAGAAGAGGTTTGCATAAATTACAACTCATCACCGATGCGAAACGAATCTGTCCCGATGTCATAATTGAGCTCGGGGAGGATCTCACTCGCTTTCGCGATGCTAGCAAGGACCTATATAATTTCCTGAAAGAGTATTCGTGGAATGACAAAGTCGCACGCTTGGGGTTCGATGAAGTATGTCACGGTAGTCCATGGTCGTGAGGTCTGCCGAGAGCTGAGCGTTAATCTCCTAGGTATGGATGGACATAACGGACATCGTAGATTACAACATAGAGATTCTCAACCATCAGGATCTCGGAAATTCCTTCATGCAGATGTCCAAAACGGATCCTACGCAGGGATTCAGATACAACGCGAACACGGTCGCTGGGCATACATATCCCGCAGATTATCAACTCCACCAAGACTACGGGACCATAGAAGGGGAACTTGCTCTTCGACTGCGTCTTGGTGGGCATTATGCTCGTTTCCTCCGACATGAGCTCGAGAGGCAGAAGGGCTACACGAGTACTGTAGGCATTGCGACTTCAAAACTTTTGTCAAAGCTGGTAGGGAATATGCGCAAACCAAAAAGCCAAACGACTATGATGCCCCCTCTGACGAGCATTGATGGCAACGAGAGCAACGTCACATCATTCATTGATGATCACGAGATCGGTAAAATTCCTGGCATTGGGTTCAAGCTTGCGCTACTTTTGCGAGCAGCATTTCTGAAGAGAGAGCCCAATTTCGACAAAAGTCTTATATACGGTGAAACGTTCGACAAAGTGGCGGTGCGAGATATTCGCACGCAACCAAATGTCAACCCGGAATCCCTCGAGAAGCTATTGGGTGGCCCTGGCTCACCGCATGGTATCGGACTCAAAGTCTGGCAGCTTTTACATGGTATCGATGACAGCGAGGTTGAGTATGCCAGAACCGTTCCTCGCCAGATCAGCATCGAGGACAGCTATATACGGCTGGACACATTCCCAGAGGTCCTCAAAGAGCTGAGAATATTAAGCAATAGCCTCATTTCCCGTATGCGCATGGATCTGCTCACTGCTGTGCAAGCCACAAACGATGATCCCCTGGATCCGACATCTGATGGTAGCTTGTATGTGGCACAGACGATGCCTCTGGGTGCGAAAAAATGGCTTGCTTATCCAAAGACAATCCGCTTATCCACCAGGCCGCGTCAACCATTGCAAGCCGACGGGACACGAGTGCGCTCCTTCAAACGCATTTCTCACTCTACGTCATTGCCGACATTCGTGTTTAACACGCACGAAAGTGTTGAACTCCTGGCGGAAAGGCTAATCAAGGAGGTCCTCATTACGATGTTTCGCAAATTGCACTCTGGCAACGGAGGTTGGAATCTGAGCCTTATGAATCTCGCCGTGACGAACATGGTGGAGACGGCAGGCGATGGCAGAAGCGCAATAGGAAGAGACATAGCGAACATGTTTCGGAGGCAAGAGGATGTTCTAAAGGACTTCCGGGTCATAGACACAGAGGTTCCTGACGCATCGCCACGCATCAAAGAAAAAAGCATCACCCAAGCGGAAACTCATACATTTCATGACGTGTATGATGGGGAATACGAAGAGGCGTGGGATGAAGATGGAGAAGAGAGTGATTCGTGTCAGACATGCGAGATGTGCAGCATGCGCATGCCGGCGTTTGCTATGGCTGCACATAGACGCTTTCATTCAATTGAGCTGCTTGACTGAGTACGAGCGTCGCCTCTTCGGCTGAGAGAAGGCTGCGCGGCTGAGTGTCGTAGGAAGTTTTATACTGGAGCGGAACTATAAACTTCGTACAATTCCAAATCTATGCTACACGAAATTTACAGGCGCTTCCAAATTTCCACAAAGGACAGGCGGATGCTTGGTTGCAGTGTATCAGGACAACAAGTTTCACGAGTGTTGTACAGAGCGTCAATCGTTTGACATTTTCGCCTCGAGCGCAATACAAGACTGCCGACTTGATGCACTGATCTGCATCGAAGGTAAAATCTGCCTCACGGAGGAGTAGTGGCAGGCATCCGCTCAGCAGTCGAATCCAAGCTCGGCGCTGGCACGGGCATTCTCGGTCTGCGCAATGACTCTTCTGTGACTCCATTTGCTAGCTTAGTGATGCCCATAACCGGTGGATCACCCTTCTTCACAAACTCGTACTGGCCCGGAAGTTTATTTCCAGCCAACCGAAAGGCGTCTCTGACAATCTGCTCGTGAATGTCGCCTTTGAGTTCAAAAAGGATTCGGCTGACGGGAACCCTTGCTGACCAGTAATCGAAAGATCCTTTTCCCTTTCCCATACGCTGGTCGTTTCCGCTCGTGTAGACACCGATGTTCGCTGAAATACGGTGATAGATGCGGTATTTCATTCCTCTCAGGCGCTTCTTGATCGTCTCATCGGCAATCTTTAGCTGTGATGCGCTGATACGTCGGCTTGTGTCCTTCAACCTGATTCCATATTCTCCCCAAACGACTGTCGTGCCCTTCACACTGCCTCCTGTCGGTACCCGCGGTCGACCTTTTCGTGATTTTGAAGACTCGCCGGATCGCGGTGACAGCCAATCAAATGTTACTCGTGATGAGGAGAATGTTCGTGACTGTGATCCCGGGTGTATTGAAAGTGTATCCAGCATAGATGAGAGACCTACACACGTCCATCAAATCAGCTTCGGAGCACATGCGCATCAGTCTGAAGCCGTCCTTACAGCAAGCACGAGTCGCTGTGAATCGGGACATTACAGTAACCGGACCCGGCATCATTAATTTGGCCACGGCCATACTTGCAATATCTCTCAGAAGAGTGGTTTTTGATGCTACTAGAACATTGCTGTTGCGATACGTCTGTCAATCGAGAGCATTGAAGGTCGATGAAAGTTTGTACGGGACACTGTACACATCAATGGCGGCTTTCGGCGCTCGGAGGTAAGCAGGCGGGCCGTCGCGGGATCCCTGTCATAACTACAATCACGCGCATCGCGCCGTCATTATATTTCGTGCCAGCGACGCGTTTCCAGGCAGCTTTGGGTCAGACGCCAATCATTGGAAGCGGCGCCGATCCTCTGCCTGTCGATGACTCCGGCTCAACTTTCGTGCGACCGCATAACAAAATATTACGATATGTTGTTCTGAATCGCATACGACTGCTCGATCAGAAATACCCTGAATAAACGGCATACATCACACCTCAATCATGCCGTCCGACATCCGCGCTTTTTTTGGTGGGAAGCCAGCGGCGAAGGAGGCCACAGCACCGGAGCCAGAGAAGAGCAAGAAACGCGGCCGCTCCAAGAAAATTGTTGAAGACGATGATGATGAGGATGATGTGCCCACTAAACATGCTGCAACATCGACGAAGAAGAAACAGAAACTCGACCCTGAGCCAGTCCTAGAGGAGACCACCGCAGATGATTATTTTGCAAAAGGAAAGGGCCAGAAACCTAAGCGATCCGAACCAGTGCGTCCGAAGGCTGCAGATGCGGAGGCCGTGATCAGAACTCCGAAAAAAGCCACAGCCAAAGTGAACGGGACCAAAGCTACACCAACACGCTCGTCGGCAAGGTCCAAGAAGACTACCAATTACACCGACCTCGATCCGGACGATTTTCCCAATGACGTCGAGGAGGATGCGGATGACATTTTCAAAGGCAATGCCAAAACCGGGCGGCGTGCGGATGATGATTATGAGGAGGGCACAGATCCTGAGGATGATTTGCCATCAGCGGCGCGCAAAAGGGGGAGCGCTAGAGGGAAGGCGGCTGCGGATGACGATGACGATGATGAAGAGGATGTTTACAAGAGCACGAAAAGCAAATCGCGCAATACTGCCCCCGCCAAGGGTAGTAGTAAACGAAAATCAGCGGCAGTTGAGGAGGAGGAGGAAGAAGACGACCTCGAGGTAGCAGAGGTGAAATCTGTGAAGAAGCGCGCAACTCCCGCGAAGAAGGCACCTACGGCTCAGGCGAGATCGATTCCAGCTCAAAATGGTTCTGCAGTTCAGTCTATCCTGGACAGCATACCCACAGTTGTTGCTCCTCCCCCTCCTTCCAAAAAGGGTGGAGATGACGGGAAGAAGAAATTTCAGTACGGGCAACATGCAAATTCTGCTGTGCCAGCCGGTGCTATATCCTCTTCCGACCTGCCCACCGGCGCGGACAATTGTCTCGCTGGTCTGACATTTGTGTTTACAGGTCAGCTGCAAATGCTAGGCCGTGAGCAGGGTCAAGCATTGGTCAAGCAGTACGGAGGCAAGATCACAACAGCGCCTTCAGCAAAGACAAGCTATGTCGTGCTCGGTGATGATGCTGGCCCGAAGAAGCTTGAGACAATTCAGAAGAACAAACTCAAGACTATCAACGAAAATGGACTTTTTGAATTGATCAAAAGACTTCCCGCGAATGGTGGCGATGGCGCTGCTGCCGCGAAGTACGCTGATAAACTAGCAAAAGAAGAGCAAGACGCGCGAAAGGCTGCTGAAGAGATGGACGTGCAAGAGCGGAAACGAGTTGCAGCTGAGGCAAAGTCAAGAACTCAGACAAGCCAAACTCCGTCGAAGCAGTCAGGTGACAAGCCTGCAGCTCTCGCTGTCGATTCGAGACTATGGACCGTACGATACGCACCACAATCTCTGAGCCAAATATGCGGCAATAAAAGTCAAATCGAGAAACTGCAGCGCTGGCTTCGCGCCTTTCCAAAGAGCCAAAAGACGGGATTCAAGATGGCTGGCCCGGACGGCAGTGGCACCCATCGAGCCGTCATGATCCACGGGCCTCCGGGTATTGGCAAGACCACCGCAGCACACTTGGTCGCAAAACTCGAGGGGTTCGATATTGTTGAGTCAAATGCGTCGGACACAAGATCGAAGAAACTTGTAGAGACTGGACTCAAAGGCGTGCTCTCTACTACATCCCTCATGGGATACTTCGGAACAGGTTCCGGCGAGGCAGATCCTTCAAAGAAGAAGCTTGTGCTAATTATGGATGAGGTTGATGGAATGAGCGCAGGTGACAGGGGTGGTGTGGGTGCGCTCGCAGCTGTGTGCAAAAAGTCACAGATCCCGATGATTCTGATCTGCAACGATCGCAAACTTCCAAAGATGAGGCCTTTCGATTTCGTGACGTATGATCTACCTTTCCGTCGACCTACAACCGATCAAATACGTGCGCGTATTACCACTATCGCTTTCAGAGAGGGTCTCAAGATGCCCCCCAATGTCATTTCTGCACTCATCGAGGGCACAGGGGCTGACATCAGACAAGTCGTCAACATGGTGAGCACCGCCAAGCTTGACGATCAAACCATGACCTTCGAGGACAGCAAGGACATGAGCAAAGCTTGGGAAAAACACATCATCCTCAAGCCTTGGGATATGGTAGGCAAAATTCTTGGCGGCGGCCTTTTCAATCCAGCCGCAAATTCGACCTTGAACGACAAGACAGAGCTATATTTTAACGACCATGAGTTTGCACCTCTAATGCTGCAGGAGAACTACCTGGGCACGAATCCTGTGCGCTCCAACAAATACAATGGTGATGCTAAACGCAAACGCCTGGCGGAGCTGAGCTTAGCTAGTCTTGCAGCTGATTCTATCAGCGATGGCGACCTGGTCGATCGAATGATCCACGGCAGCCAGCAGCAATGGTCGTTGATGCCCGTCCACGCAATATTCAGCTTTGTCCGTCCTGCTAGCTACGTGTACGGCTCTATGGCTGGTCATCAAACTCGATTCACGGCGTGGCTCGGCAAGAATTCCAATCAGGGCAAGCTCATGCGCTTCATCAAGGAGATCCAGGGTCACATGAGGTTGAGAGTAACTGCAGACAGGCACGAGATTCGACAGACCTATATGCCTATGTTGTTTGACAAGCTCGTCAAGCGGCTCGAAAACGACGGAAAGGAAGCAGTATCCGAAATTATCGAGCTCATGGACCACTACTTCCTCACAAAGGACGACTGGGATGCTATTCTCGAGCTTGGCGTTGGCCAAGCCGACATGGAGAAGGTGAAGATCGAGTCACAAGCCAAATCAACCTTCACCAGACTGTAAGACGTTCCTCATCATTTTTGTTCACCACTCGCCCTTGCTGACCATCTTTCAGATACAATCAGCAGTCACATCCCCTGCCATTCATGAAAGCATCACAAATCGTTGCACCAAAGCGTGCGCCTGCCAAAGAGAAGCCCGATCTCGAAGAAGCCCTCGAAGAATCCGAAGACGAAGGCTTGGACGATGTAGATGTCAAGGCCGAGGATGACGATGAAATTGACCTCTCAAAAGACAAGTACGTGAAGCAGCCAAAGACGAAACGCGCTGCGCCCGCAAAGGGTGGCGCGAGCAAAAAGAAAAGCGCCAAGGACGATGAAGACGATGACGACGAGGAAGATGCCAAGCCCAAAAAGGGTAAAGGGAAAGGTCGCGCGAAGAAGTGATGACTGTCATTCTGGATTGGTTCCATGGTCGGCATTGTCAAGCGATATTCCGAATTGTGCATGAGACATCAGCCAATTCAAGCGCACCTGCAAGCTTTGGTCATGTTGGCAAACAATTCAGTTGTATGCATTCCCGGCGTTTTGATCGGAGGATCCAAAGAAGGCGCTCATACGTCATGAACATAATATGTAGCATTGGTTGTACAATTACACAGCTGGCTTTTCTAGGCTTTTCTAGGCTTGTAACCAGGTCTATCATGGGAATGCATCTGTACTTTTTTTCGCAAATGTGGTTGGTAGCTTTCTATTCGTTGTTGGCGTTTATCTTGTCCGCCTGTCGTCTCAATTCCATCTCGACTAAGCGGATGCACACGTCCGCGATGTCGCTTCCTACCTTCCAGGTCCTGACGGTAACTCCATTCCGTTCCAGCAGAGCCTGCGCTCGGGCCAGCCTCTGCTTCCAGAGGTACTCCTTCTTACTGACGTTCTCACCAGCACCCGGACTACTCATGCCGTCTTCGTCCCAGCTCCCGGACCGTGCATGTGAATGTCGTCGAGATGGCGTCAAGGAGAAGGAAGAGCGATTCCTTCGCGGCGGCGGTGGCGGTGTTGGTGGTGGTGGCAAAGAAGATTCGGGGAGGTTGAGGTCCTCAAATGACCGAGCGGTACGCATCGGCCCGGCGAGCGGCGACGTCGGCGTACTGTTCACGCGACTGCCTCCTGTTGGCCGCATCTTCGGCGAGCCGAGTGGTAGGTCGCCCATTTGCCATGAAGCGGTGGCCGGTAGTGCCTTGGTGATTTTCTCTTTGGCGTACTCACGATAAGTCCGCCGAGCCGGAAGTGGTGGCCGAGATGCCACGACTGAGGCCTGTCGCGTAACTTGCGATAGTGGCGAAGGCTGATGCGTTTGGTCTGTCTTGACGGTGAGTCCGGGAGCGCGAACGGCGCTGGAAGGTTTACGAGGCCTTGGAGGGGGTGCTTTGTTTGTGTTCTCTTCGGACGGCGTTCCTCGAGCCGTGTTCGGCGAAGGACTTCTAAGACTTGCCGGCTTGGGCGGAGGTGGAGGGGAAAGTGTTGACCTAATGCCTGTGAACGACGTAGGGTCGCTGCTCTTGCTCGTTGTTTGCTCAAGCTGTGCGTGCGTGGACCAGCTCATGTCTGTGAAGTCGATCAAGTCATGTTCAGGGGACGCGGTCAGAGGGATATCAGATGCTGCGCGTGTTGTCGTAAATGCATTTTGTCGAGGTGGCAGAGCTGGTAACACAGCCTTGGCTCCTCTACCATTCGCAGTCTTGTGAGAATGATAGTCAGGATTGACTGAAATGCGCGCTTGTCTCGTCTCGTCCTCCATATCCTTCAAAGAGGCAGCAATCGCCAGTTTGAGCTCTGCCTCATCGTCTCTGATGTCTGTAGGTCGCTGAATCCGTTTAGACATCGCAAAGATGCTGTCGCTACTGCTCTGGCGAGCATGCATGCGAGGCGAAGGCTGCATGCCGCCCAGGCCTGTTGGACTATAACTTGGGTCAAAGTAGCCTGATTTGACGGCAGTCGTCACGTCTCGAATGAAGATACCCAGGATCCTCCCTGGATTATCTAGAGCCACATCGGTATAGACTTCGAGGTCGGCCTCGCCGCTGTCGCCAACGAGAATGAATTTTCGTTCAGGAAAATCTCGCATCAACTTATCAAGAGACGACTTCTTCCTTTCGGCCACAGGCTCGAATATGCCCTGGAGCATTCCAGAGTACTGCTTCAAGTGAAAGGAGCCCTTTGGGAGGTGTGCCATCTTAAAGAACGTCGTCAAAATAGGATACATTTGCCACGGCGAATTGGAAACATAGTGAAGCTTCACGCCCATGTCGTGCATCGTCGTGTACCATTCACGTACTCCTTCGATCGTGAGATCAGTGAAGTCCCGGATGAAGGCATTGCGGAAGATCTCACGTGCTCCCGCACTGATTGCCGAATGTTTGATAGTGTCATCAATGTCACTTATCATGCTCACTCCGGTCGAAGAAGTCATCGCCACTTCCTCGGTCACAGATAGTCGAAGGTCCTCTCCGGCGAGGACACGCACATGAGTAGGTATAAAGTCGAGCGCCGAGCGAAAGCTAAAATGGCCTGAAGCATCTGTTCGTGTGATATGTTCTCTCGAGGCGTGCTCGTTGAAGAAAAACGCTCTCACGATCGACTCCGCTCGAGGATTTGCCATGAATGGCTTCAAGCGGGTAAGCAGATGTGCATTTGCTTGAGCAATCTCTGCGTCGTTCATTTGTGCTGGCGTTGGCCACGATGATCTAGATCTCAAGGGCAGATCAGATGCCGATCCACCAATGGTGGTCGAGTCCTGTCGGCGACTGTGTGTCGCAAAGTCATTGACACCTGTGGTGTCAGGCATGTCGCCAGCATTTTCCTTGCCTGGCTGCTCCGAATATGAGCCTCGCTGCGCAGCTTTTTGTTCTTCTCTGCCTTTACGTGTGATATTGTCGGCCTCGAACGCGATCAAATCCTCGTCTTGTTGCGATATGTCCAAATCCGCCGTTGCATCAGAAGGCTCATTCGGACGAGTTGTAGCCGGCGCTGGGATTCCCGATAGTTGCCGTGCTAGGCCGATCAAAAGTCGATGCTTCCTTGTCAGGGGCCCCTTCTGTGGGGCGTAGACCCATCCTCGTACATCAACGTCAACGATCGCGTTCCGCGAGTTCTCAGTCTCCCATCTCCTTCGCCAGTACTCTTCATCTGCATCTTCCCCAGAACGAGCCTCCGTGGGCGGAGTCTGTATGTCTGTTAGGTCGATGCATGCCAGTCTTTGCTTGATGTCATCTTACCTCATCTTTTACATGTCGCCTAGCATAGCTTGGAAACAGCATGAGCTCCTCGTTTCTGTGACGCACAGCTGACGCATGGGGAAATGGATGCTTCGTGTCATCGGATGTATGCCTGCTAGGTCCTGGTGGCGCTTCTGCGCTGAAGTATGTTTGGCGGAGCTCATTTGCAGCCTTTATGTATCCCGCCAGCTTCTTACGCCTAGCCCCGGGCTCTCGAGCCTCGATGCGCGCTTCGAACGAATCACCATATTGCGAGCTGTAATTACCATATCCTGTTGCGGCCATCTTGCGCCTGCCTGAGCCAGACCCATTGTACAGACGAGGAGTTCGGGGTGATGAGCGGCGCCCGAGTAGGCGAGCGACGAGACTTGTTCGAAGGCCGGGCAAATGGTTCTGACGTCGCAATCCTTTTCCGAGAAGCAATTGAAAGATTTGGCTTTTCGAGGCCTGTCCGAGAGAAGGAAAATAGGTAGAGCGAATGGTTCGCAGGCCTAACTTCGTGGGTCGCGAGACGTTATCGTGCCAGAAGCGTCGTAGGAAACGTTTGAAAGAGGGTCGCGCCAGCTTGGAAGAGACAAGCGAACGAGCGCCTGCAGCTCTGCGCAGTCCCAGGTGATACGGTGCGTTCTTGGTGGGCGAATGCGCGAGCCGAGAAAGCTCATGTGTAAAGTGCTGCTACTGTAAGCTTGTCTGCTCTAAGATCGTGGCTACTGCTAATAACCATTCTCGGACTGACCAATTCGAAGCCGCTACACGCCCACGTCATCGCCGGGGGGCGCGCATTAGAGCATTTCTGACCATAGAATCAAGCTTACGATAAAGCTTCAGTCCATTTAAATTACACACCTGCAATCATCTATGCCGGTATGGTCTCTTCACCATGGGCACGAATATCAATAACATCGTCACAGGACTTATTCCGGGCCGGCATGAGAGCGTCGGGAGCTTCGCCGGCGCGACTGTATTACATCTCCCTACCAAAGTGTCAACACTCGAGGCGCTGGGACAGTAGCGCTGACGTCATGTCATCATTTGAGTCTTTGACTTCACGCTGAATGTGATGGACGTCCAGATACGTCGATTGCCGCCTCATTACGCGGACAGCATACACGCATGTTGGGTTGGAAAATGCCAGGCTAGTCATGCCAATCCAGCGCGCAAGATCCGACTGACGCGTAACTTGTCACCGGATGAGTACATTTTTTGTTCATACACAATACCTATTTCTGTTTCCGAAGAGAGGCGGTCTTCCTCGTCATTGAAGCATTTCGATCCAGAGAAGGAAGTCTGGATCGTCGACCAACTGTAGTGCGTCGGGTTGCATGGACTATCTGAACGACATTGCCAAACGCGACCGCCACCGCTTGCTCCCCTAATGTTATGGCCGGTCCAGCACTCTCAACGTATAGAGCGCTTTGCGAAATGAAACTGCTTCCGGTGGATACCCCTATATCAATGCATTCGAGGCCGTTGTCGACAGAGATCTTGTAGGCTTCCCATTGCTCCGGTGCCGCCAGCGAACGTAGTTGTTGTCTTGCTTGCCGTCGATCTCGTACGACCTCGGCCCCTTTCCTGATCGTCTCCTTTCTTCTTAACCCGAGTAGCACTTGATCGTTCAGTACAGCCCATGCTCCAGCGGCTCTGAACTCCTTGACACGACTTCGTGTGTCTTTGAAGGATTTGCAGTTGATCGCGTTTCGCTCCAGACAGATGTTTGCTTCATCGTCGGCCACATCTGTGATCTCCCATTTGTTGATCGAACCTTCGCGGCCATCCTCACCGATGCTGAGTCGAGTCAGGCTCTGGACAGCAAGACCACCACAGACCGCACACTTCCTCGGCGGTCCCATCATGACGCGATCGTAGCCGGGCTGGGCCACAAAATAATCGACCTTTGTGATAACGTCGAACGTGGTCGCATCCAACAAAGCAATTCCAGCGAGCGTACTCAATGAAACAATCTCTTTCTCACGGTGCATGTACACCTCAATAGCGACGATTTCAGAAGTAACCCTCGGCATGTCGATTTGCTTCTGGGCCTGACAAACCCACGATGCTTTGTTCCAGACGAATGACAACACGCTGGCATCTTCATTAATGACGATCATTTCACGCCCTCGGAGTGTGAAGTCAGCTATGGCTGCACCGACCAAGGGAACAACGGATACGTCGACACCAGTCAGTATGTGATCATCGAGTGAGCTCATAGTCAAGCGGCCTGCAGCTGTGAGCGTCATGAAACAGGCCCTCTTCTCCAGATTTCCTGGTAAGTAGGTAAAATCGAACACAAGAGCAGGGCTCTGGTCGGGATAGGGCGCAAAATGTAAGTCCTCCGAGCCGGTGACGTGATTATACAGAAAGACCTTTCCGCCAGCACAATGGCCCGCGATCCATTTCCCGGAGTCGTCGATCGACAGATCGCGGATTGGCCAGCTCAGATCCCCGAGTATACCAGTCGGCACGTTAGCTGTACTATACAGACCAGTGGAGTGATCAAGGGTTGAGATAGCGATGGTCCGATCCAGAGCAACAGAAACGAAGTGACCATTCTCGTTGCCATTTAGTCGGACTATATCGAGCTTGTGCGGAAGTCCGATTGAGACGACGGAAATGTGTTGGTCGCTGTCGTCGTCGGTCTCAATCGCTCCATCGTCAGGCTCGCTATAAAGAAGAAAGTTCATGAGAACTGAGACAAAAGCTACTCCGAAGATCACAGCAATTGCCACAGGATAGAAATGATGTATTGTAAAGGCCCGAACAGCGAGTGACCATGCCTCGCGCTCATCGAGGCTACCTGTACGGTCAGCTCCGGCAAGGACAATGACGGTCGGAGCAAAGATCTTCATGATAAAGGTGTGGTTTCCTGCATTTGCGAGCTTCATAACGCCCTTGGCAGCATCGAAGTCCTGCATTCGCATCCACTCGCTCGGGGTGATGGATGCATTGATCGGCAGGCGCGTGAAAGTGTCAAGATCTGTATCGATTGGAATGCCAGCTGGAGCGAATCCTAAAAGATGACGGAGGCTCAAAGACATTTCTTCGCGCTCGAAAAAATGATAGTTCAACGACAAGATGAAAGTCGTTGTGACCGCGGTCCCTGCCATTCGCGTGCTGAAGGGAAGTCGACCAGACATCAATGCATCAAACCAGGTATGCTGCGATGGCGACGCCCGTCGCGCTGTCCGAGACGGACGTTCTGAACTATGTTGCCTGGCCGAAAGAGAATCCTGCAGCTCGAAACGGCGGATGTCCACATTAAGGACCGCTACGAAGAAGGTGAGCAGGAAGAAGACGTCAAAAAGTGTGGCCAATGCTGCAAACGCGCAGAATGCCGCAATTCCTGGTGACAACACAGCTGACAATATGGAAAGAATGAAAAGATTCTGTGCAGCAGTCACAACAGACAGTGGTCCAATGTCGCCTAATGCATTTGCGATCCTGAGATCTGTCGCCATGGTTGGAGGGTAGGCAAGGACCGCGTTGATCAGACGAAACATGTTCTCGAGACCAATCACCAGAACGATGAAAGGATATGCGTTTCGAGGAATCATAGCAAGATTGATGTGTAGGATACCGCAGATGGTGAAACTCGCTGAGATCGAAAACGTCATCTGAGTAATGGCAGTGACCACCAACCCGAAGCGACTGTGGAATGCCTTGATTCGCCGAAGGCTCAACAGAACGTATATCGCCATGCACGTGTAAGCTATGGCAAGAATCGTGTTTTCTCGCAAGCTCAGTGGCATGAAGGAGAACTCGTAGATTTGATGATTTGAAGCATCGCCGTTCCGCGGAAAAAGTGTACAATCTGGGCAGACGTTCTGCGTCAGACTTGACATCTTATCCTGCCACCTTGAACCCACTCGTTCTCCCACCTTGTTTATGAGTGTGATAACAAGGGCATCGGCTGCAAGCAGCTTTCGACGACTAAACCTCTTCCCGGCAAACACGGACGCATGTCGAAGAATAACGTTAAGTGAAGATGAGCTGTGATGTTTATGCTCATTGATCGTGTTCAAAATGTCTTGATCAGCCGTCAACCTCTGGGCAGAGTTATTCCAGTACATTAACGGGGAGTGAAAACCCCATTGGTGATTGTCTTCAATGGCTTGCTCGCTCAAATTTGGTATCGGAATCTCTCTCTCAGGTTCGCTAAATAAACTTTGTTGGATCTGGAGCCCTTTCTGAAGGACATCTTTTTGTAAAGCTTTCATATGCGATCCATAAATCCACACCTGACGCATCTCCAAATCAGCATCGGTGTGCGTCGTGTTCATGCTTTTAGCAGATGTCCAAACATGATGAGGTTGGGCTCCGACGCCAGCAGTGGGATCACCAGATAGTAGCACGGTCGGATAGGAGAAGGCCATAGCGACGGCGATGGAGAACAGCATAGTGACTAACCAGTGTCGAGCTGTGACTTTGCCATGTCGATAGAATGCTCTCCGGATAGGATGGTTCGCAGAGAACTGCGGTGGCTGAGTCGTCCCACGAAAGGGACTCAGGATGTACCACCACATCATTCGAAGCGATCAACGGTTTGTCGAGAGAATCACTATGATGAATCAATCAAAGAGCTCATTCGAACTCATTCTTCTAGACTATATCATCCACCCGAGTGGTCCATTTCAGTCTCGATCCTTCATCGGCATGATTCGGTGGTTCTTGTTGCAACGCAAGGTCATTGCTGGGGAGAAAACGGCAATGAATGATGATTGCGATACTTCGAATGTTGCATGGACTAGATGCGCTCAGTTCTGGAATAATGAGATGTCCTCAGGGCTGTGAATATAAATATTTTGTAATCATTCGCAATCTTGACAGCCCTGGAAGTCTGAGCTGACGATTCAGGCTAGGTCGTGCATTACATTGTGCACCTGGGCATGCAGGTGTGTACCTAGGAGTGGTGCACGAACGGGCCCAAGCGCTGAAGCTCAACGTCACCAGGCTAGAGCTTGCTCGACATCCAACTGTCAAACAACAAACTTACCCATGCGATACGCCCTCTACTAATAAATTCAGTTGCAGAGAGTTCGGAAGTCTCAACGATCCTTCAATTGAGCGTCAGAGGTAACACCCCGAGATTCTGCATTGACGAGACAATATTTGCCCTCCATGTTTCTCAATCCGCCGGAGTATCTTGTCACACTGCAGAGCAACGTGCGAGCACGACCGATCTCATGGGAGGGGGCTGTACGAGCCAAGACACTCAGTGAGGCCGATCTCAAGAAGATCCGAAGCATTGATAAGGTCCGGAAAGAGCAGCGAAAACAGACGATTGAGGCAGATGTGCAGGTGTACACAGATCTGCTTCTAGGGAATGATGGGAACAAAAGCATTTTCGAGAGTGCAGTGAAGCGGACGGATATCGTACAATACATGCTAGTTCTTACCGGCGATTTGATCGATGATGTACCTGCATTGTCAGATTCACTGGTCAAGCATGCGCATCCATTCCAACCTTTCCTGCCATTGCTGAAGCAATCAAGTAATTCCGAGGATCCAATTCCACTACTCGCGTCATCCGTCCTTACCTCCATTCTCGCGCACGCGATCGTCGCTCAGCCAAAGTCAACACCAGAGATCCATGACGCACTTCCGAAGCTATACTCATACATAGCCACCCTTTCCAACACATCAGATGCAGATCTGCAGGACATTGCCGTACAGGAATACAGTGCTATGCTTCGCACCGTTAGTGCACGGAAGCAATTCTGGGACCAGCGGAAGGAGACACTGACTCCACTCGTTGAAGTGTTGCGCAAGGCAACAGGCGGAAAAGACTCTGATAGCACGGTTTTCAACGGAACATCTGCTGGATCAAGCATTCGGACACTGGCTCAGTCCAACATCAAGGTCAGTGGTGTCAGCCTCCGCTTGTTATATCATATTCTACTGGTTGTCTGGCAACTTTCATTTGAGGGCGAGCTTGTTGGAAAGGGTCTGGACGAGGAGCACGATATCATCCCGCTCTACACACAGCTAGTCCGTGTCTCGCCGACAGAGAAGACTACCAGACTTTTGCTTGCCACTCTCAACAATCTGCTGTCGACCAATAAGGCGACTCTTATGCCAGCAGCCCTGCCCGCCAGGCTTCCGTACATTCTCACAAACCTCAAGTCACGAAACTTGACAGATCCGGATCTACTGGAGGACTTGGACAACCTTGTAAACATGGTTGAAGAATACACAAAGACGCAGACCACATTCGACGAGTATTCATCTGAGGTTCAATCCGGTCATCTGCGCTGGTCTCCACCTCATAAAGACCAGGCTTTCTGGAGAGAGAATGCATTGCGCGTAATCGAGGAAAACAAAGGTGAGCTATGTAGGAAGCTCGCTGAGATTCTCGGCAAGGATTGGCAAAACGACAAGCAGGTTCTCGCAATTGGCTGCAGCGATGTCGCATATCTGGTCAAGGAGTGCCCCACAAAACGTCAGCAGTTGGAAAAATTCGGCCTGAAGACGCGGATTATGGCATTGATGCAGGATGAGAATGAGACCGTCAGGTGGGAGAGCTTGCGCGCCGTTGGAGAATGGTTGCGATACAGTTTCGACTCACAATAGCCGTGTCGGGGCTAATCGCCGCACCACAGTGTCCCCGGCTGCCGCTCTGTGTTCCTACCTAGGTAGCTGTTAGTGTCATTATGGATATTATCTTCCTACACTTCCTTTTTGTGTACCTCGACCATCGCCGGTCTTTCAGCTTTACTCTCTTTCAGATTATCAAACTCGATTTATAATGTGTATACGACGTGCATATCGATTCACTTCGTGTCATGTGTGTATCGTGCCGGACTGTCAAGCGCGATTTCCGACGCTTGACGCCAAATGGGTTGTTTTCTATTTTGAACAGGAAGGCTCCCCGTCGTAGTTATGATGATAATCCAAACTTGCAAGACAGAGATTGGAGACCACTTCTTCTAGTATACAACACTATACAAAGAGGCCAGAATTCCACATGCGGTCCTCAACATGTCAATCTGGAGGTGCACTTAATCCCCAGCTGCATATGCTTGACTAGGGTTACAGTTGGGCTTGTTGTGGCATGTGCGCGGATTTCGCGAACCCTACACGATTATTGAACCTTGGAAACAAGAACAAGGCGAAAGTCTCATTGCATCGACCGCGACCTGCACAGAGACACAAATTTCATCCACGACTGGCCGTAGGCTGGAGAATCTCGGCAGTAATAGCAACGATTGAGTGCCCAAGATGAGCGTATGGCGCGCAGCCCAAGCTGGCGATGGCCGCACCTATTACTACCACACGCAGACGAAGCAGACGCAATGGACAAAGCCAGATGACTTTGAGGATACCGAAGCAGCCAGTAGGCCTGCCACGTCGAAAGGCCCCAGCGAGGGCTCCGAATGGGCTGAAGCAGTCGCTGCCGATGGACGAAAATACTACTACAACAGCAAAACGCGCGAAACTACATGGGAAGCACCTGCTGGCTTTGCGCAACAGCATAATCACGCAGCACCTCAACCCACTCAAGCGGCCGGGCCTACGTATGTCGCTGGTGGTACCTCCGGATTTGGTGGTCGTGACCACAGTGGCTCGGAACAGCGCATGGACAGGATCGAACGAGGCCATGGTCTACCACAGAAGCCGAACTTCGATAGTCCTCGAGGAGGCAACAATCCATGGGAACGACAAGAACATGCCGGGTTTCGAGGACCGACTGCAGCGAAGCCAGATGAACTAGAATTCTCGTCTACAGAAGCTGCAGAATCTGCTTTCTTCAAGGTGCTCCGTGAGCACCATGTCACACCGGACATGAAGTGGGCAGATGCTTTCCGTGCGATCTTTCGCGACCGTGAATCGCGCGCAATCAAAGACCCGAAAGAGAGGAAGCTAGCGTTCGAGAGATACTGTCACGAGGTACGAGCGGAAGAGAAGATCAAAGAAAAAGAACGAAAAGATCGCATGCGTGATGATTTTCGAAAAATGCTTGCAACACATGAAGAGATCAAGCATTACACTCGATGGAAGTCAGCAAGAGCGCTGATCGAGCGCGAGGCAGTTTTCAAAGCGACGAGTGATGAAGATGAAAGGCGCAGCTTGTTCGAAGAGTACATATTTGAGCTAAGAAAGCAACATGCGGAGAACGAGGCTGCCCGGCGCATAACCGCCATGCAGGAGCTTGACGCAATGCTGAAAGCTCTTGTGGTCGACCCAGATATGAAGTGGTCGGATGCACAATCCAGCATTATGGATAATGAGCGATTCAAGTCAGAAGATGATTTCAGATCGCTTCATACCATTGACGTGCTCTCGGCTTTCGACAACCATATGAAAGATCTGGATAGAGTTGCCAATGATGCCAAGCAGGCAGACAAGCGGATGCGCGCACGACGGGAGCGCCGGGCTCGGGACGATATGAGAGCATTGCTCGCCGAGAAAACCCGAGAAGGCAAAATTAGAGCAGGGACGAAATGGCAGGACTTCCGGTCGTCAGTCATCGGCGACGAGCGTCTGATCAATTTCATTGGCACACCTGGAAGCACTGTACTTGAGATGTTCTGGGACGTAGTCGAGGATCAAGAGGACAAGCTCCGCTCAAAGCGTGGAGTGGCCCTGGATGTTTTGGAGAGTCTGCGATTCGAGATGACGACAGAAACAAGCCTCGATGAGTTTTTGAAGCTCATGCGCGAGCATTCGTCCACCAAAAACTTCGACGAAGAGGACCTGCGCATGATATACGATAGATTGATCGCCAAGATCAAAAAGCGTGCCGAGAAGGAGAGACATGATGCCGAACTGCACCAGAAGGCAGCGGTAGACGATCTGAGGTCATTGATGAGAGAAGTACACCCTCCCATTCGTCTTGATCATAGCTATGACGACGTGATGCAGAAGCTCGCAGGTCATCGAGAATACAAGCACGCCAATGAGAGCGCACGGAAGACTGCTTACGAAAAATACATCCGTCGCCTGAAAGAACGGGAAGAGCATGACCGTGAGCGCAGCCACACCCGCCGCGACCGTGATCGCGAGACCAATGGCTCTTCAAGACGCGGCCACGAACGTGACCGTGACGACAGACATCGCCGGACTCGAAGCCCGGAAATGGATGCGTACGAGGCTGACCGCAAGAGAGCACAGGCGGACCGCGAACGTCATTACCGCACAGGATCATTCGGCTTGGGCTCGCCTTCCCGTGATCGCCGCGATGACAGACACGGAGGCCGACTGGATCGCTATGAAACATACTCACATTACGACCGCGAGCGGCGAGATCGCGAAGTGGAGCGCGAGCGCAGCTACGTCAGCCGTGCTGACCCGCGCGATCAGACCCGCGCGCTCAATTACGGCGACGATGATGTCGTTGGAAGCCGCCCGGGCTCTGTCCGCAAGCGACAGGATTCCGACGCTAGCTTCGATAGCAAGCGCGATTCAAAGGTAAGTGTCCTAGATTGAATTCTGTCAATAGCGAGATATGTTATGGCTGACTTGTACGCTATAGCGCACTCGACGCGATCGTCGCACCGAAACTGTCGAACCTGAGCCCGCACCCAAGGAAGACGCCCCTGAGCTGCAAAGCGGAAGCGAGGAGGGCGAGATTGAGGAGGTATAAGAGCCATTTGACTGAAACGTCTTCGGCGCATATCCTCGGTCTATCATTGCTCGCCACATGTACCATCCTTTACTCCCCCCTTTAGCGCATCCCGTCTTCCCCTTCCGACTAATAACACAACAGCCACATCAAGCTCTACAGCAAGCCTAGCCGACATTGCTCACACAATAATTGCACAAGTGCGTTGATGAAATACGCTCAGCACTTTCGATGTGGGCCACCGCGTAAAACAGCCTGTTTGGCGTCTGCACCAGGCTTGGAACGAGACATGAGGTGGTTGGAATGCCTCTCGGCGTATGTGTATTTCCTTTTAGCATGGAGCCAAAAGGGACTAAGATGTGATTTCGCAGCAGCAGCATCGATGCGTGGCTCATATGGCTCGCCAGGCCGAGAATGTATGCGACCGTGTCACGGCCCTCTCAATGAACGGATGCTTGAAACGCGAAGATCATCGGTACGTCATTTACTTTTATAGCAAGAAGACTAATCCTATTTTCGTTCTGTCCTCCCCCATATGGGTCTCGATCCACATGATCAAATTTCATCCCTGCCTCCGTCCAGTCACTGCTTCGAGATCAGCGCAAAACAAAACCAAATCAAGCAAAAGCATCAGCATGTTTTTCGAGTACTTTGGACAAATCCTGTGGTGAGTATCGTCTGTAGTCCATGCATGGTCGTCACTGGTCCAGCAATGACCCGATCTGAAACAGGCTGGAGGAGGCTCAGTGCGCGTGGAAGCGCGCGTCGGAGAGCGTCGAAGTGACACGTTCTTTCATCTGCCATGACCTGCATCCAGGGAAGGTTGAGCTTCTAGCACGACGATGGGCGTGAACGACAACTCGCCTTAGAATGTCTTCATCGTCTTCGTCGTCCTCGCTTACCCCCTCTTCCAGCTGCTCATCAGCTCCGCTTTTGATTGACCGGCGGCGCTTAGTGCCACACGTGGTGCTAGTGTATGGGCTTGCAAGCGGAGAAGATGAGTCTATAGTGTGTTCATTGAGAACGCCTTTCAGGACTCATCCTCCAAGAAGAACTAAATATCGTTGTCAGTAAGATTAGTACTTTGGCGGACGTCGCAACACGGCCGCGACTCACGTAATTTCCGTTGTTCTTCTGCTCAGTATCCAGCTGGGACGCTAATTTGTTGATGCGTGGTCGGAATGTGTTCGGGTCACGCCGGAAGGTAACATCTAGGTTCTTCAAGAATTTGTTGCACCCGGTCAACAAGCTCTCTGGGGTGTTGGCGCGTGACTTGAGGGAAGGTACGCCATCGAAGACAATGACTCGATCAGCAAGGTAGGTCGCCATGATAAAGTCGTGCTCGACGATAAACGCAGTCTTCTTGGAGTGCATGATAAAGCGCTTGATAACACGAGCTGCGATAATACGTTGCTCGGAGTCGAGATAGGCTGAAGGCTCATCGATGAGATAGATGTCAGCTGGGAGACCTAGGGCCAGAACGATGGCGACACGCTGCAATTCACCACCGGACAGATTCTGGACTTCTTGGTCGATGAAATCGTCCATTTTGAGCGGCTTGTACACGTCGGTCTGGAACTGTGGGCTCAAGAACGCCGCCTTGATCTTCTTGTAGAATAGCTGGCGAACAGTGCCCTGAAACTTTGGCGTGATTTTCTGTGGCTTCATACTAATATGCATTTGCGGCACTTTGGCTCCATCGTCCGGCTTTTCGGCGCCTGCAAGCATTTTACAGAATGTAGTCTTTCCGGTACCGTTCTCACCCATCATGACAATAATCTCTGAGTCGGTGAACTTTCCGGAGTCGATCGTCAGGTGGAAATTTCCGAGCGTCTTGGTCATGTTGCTGTATGAGTAGGCCCGGGACTTGTCGGTGAGGAACTCCTCACCCGCTTCTCCAATGCGGAACTGCAAACTCTCCTCCCGGAAACGCAAGTTTTCGGTCGGAATGTTACCATCGAGGAAGATGTTGATGCCTTCACGGACAGAGAAAGGCGCGGTGACAACACCATACACAGCTGGCTTTCCGTACAGGCAGCAAATGTAGTCGGAGAGATAATCAAGTACGGACAAATCGTGCTCAACTACGATCACGTAGCAATCGGGTCGGAGAAGGCTTCGAATCAGCCGACTGGCCGCCAGACGCTGCTTGACATCCAGGAAAGAAGACGGCTCGTCAAACATGTACCTGGAAGGAGATCAGTAACGATCGTTCATCGAAGGGCAGACTAGTTGTCTTACACGTCGGCCTTTTGCACGCAGACCATGGCAATGGCGAAACGTTGCAGCTCACCACCGGAGAGTAGATCGATGTCACGATTCCACACGTTCTCCAACTCTGTTGTCGCGAGATGATTAGTCGAGAAACTCTACGCAGCTGAACGCCTGGACCGATATGACATACCAAGCGTCTCTGCGATCTCTTTCAGTCTCTCCTTCTCAACCTGACATCTCTGAGTAAGTTGGAAGCCAACAGCGCGATTGGTGCCCTTGACAGCCTTCGGAATTTGATCGACATATTGCGGCTTCGTGACAGCCTTCAAATCATCCTCCAAAACCTTGGTGAAGTAGTCTGCGCTGTGTCAGCCATAGAGTACTACGAACTCGACACCAGTGTTTTCTCACTCTGCAACTCCGAACCACGGAAGTACTTCAAGATCTCCTCCCAATCCGGGGGGTCGTCGTAACGACCCAAGTTTGGCTTCAACTTGCCCGCCAAAATCTTCAACGCCGTGCTCTTGCCGATACCGTTCGTGCCAACCAGACCAAGGACCTGGCCCGGTCGGGGCATAGGAAGACGATGCAACTTGAAACTGTTGGCGCTGTATCGGTGAGTCACTTGGGTCTCGAGGTTGGTGGGCAAGTTGATGATGTTGATGGCGTCGAAGGGACACTTCTTGGGGCAGATACCGCATCCGATGCAGAGTCGCTCAGAGATGAACGCAATCTTGCTCTCCGGGGCGACTTCGATGCAAAGTTTGCCCGTGCGGACCACGGGGCATGACTTCTTGCACTCCTGACGACATTTCTTCGGCTTGCACTTGTCCGAGTTGACAATGGCAATACTGGATCATGTTAGTGTCGGTCGTAATGATGTCGAAGAATCACCACGCATCGCTGCGAAGTCCATGTGCGTACCGAGTCAACTTGTCAGACATGATTGCAGCTGGACGTTGCGACGAAGTTCAAGTAGAGAGGTGGAAATTGAGACGGTGTGCGAATTTCGCGACTGATGCCCAAATTTTGCAGGCGCAGTCCCGAGCGGGAATCATAGACCTGACGGACGAGTGCGGATAGATGTTCCTCGTCTGTCAATTGAACGATGCACAAGAACAAAATAGTGATTTGCAGATTTGAGGTTACTAGCCTTTCATTGACCTACGCAACAACTGAAAAGCGGAGAAGCACTTCCAAGGTTCTCTCAGGAAGCCCGCTGTAATGATGAGCGCCCAGGTGGTGACAATGGTGGGCAAAGGGTCAAAATGACTGCATCTCTGTGTTTTGGCAGAGTACTAGGTAGACTGCCTAGGCGCACTGTGGCAGAACAAACCCCCTCCTCCCGCGGTCGTCGTCTTCAATTTTATTACGCGAATGACAATTGGATGGAGGGGTGTTTGGTGGGGGAAAGCCCACAATGAGATCCTCAGGCACTAATTTACTGTTGAAAAGTGATTCTCGGGCTGTCAAGCAAGGGTTGCGGGATACAGACGGGCGGGATTACATGTGGCCTGTGGCCCTGTGACGACCGATCGCATGTGGGTAAAAATCTGAAGACGGCTCTGATGCACTGGATTGGAGACCTGAAGGTGGGCGGATGTTCGCGTCCAGTGATGTTCTGCCCGCGCACCCAGTTGGTGCAGTACTTGGTATTGCACCTTCCAAGGGCATTTCTCTCCGAGCGACACACGCCCACACGCTCGGGGTAGCATTCAAGTATACGCGCCACGTTGTTTCGTAGACTTATTACTTCCTTACGCTCGATGTTCATACATTGTATGCACCATGCAGTGCTGGACGACTGACTCCTTCATCTGCACGCCTATGACAAGGACCAGTGTCTGGGTTTTCCGGAGAAGCACCATGCGATTGAATTGGCTCGATTGATATCGGCAGCCTAAAAGAGCAATGTTTCCTCGAGATCGGGACGAGATCACGACAGCGCCAGCTGCCAAAGTTTCGAAGAGATGCGAGGACAGACTACAACGAGGTTCTTTCCATACCGTCTTGAACAATACTGTTGGTGTGATTCTTCGCTACAGTCGCAGCAATCACGAGCGTACCTTCGATTGTTCATCTGTTCCTAATGGAATATCAGATGCATACCTACTTCCATAGAGTAGTGCACGTGATGGACAGTCATACCATGACCCAGGATGTGGATGTGTCGATATTGAATACCACCTGCAACTGCAGTCACCACTGGATCGACACCCATACTTCGATGCATTGTGTAGGCATCTATGATATCAAACTGTGGAAATTATTAATCAAACTACCTAGGTAAATGGGTATTGTGATCAGAACCCGACCAAAATGTCTGAGCCTCATTGATTGATGATTGGCATTTGCGTTTACACCGCGCTAATGATACGCGGGCGGCACTGGTCCTGGACATAGACAATTGATCGCTCAAAGAGCGGATCTTTCGGCTGCTTCCGCGCTGCCTTGCTTGGCACTTACATTCATGAGCAGAGGCACCTGACTTCGCGCTTCTTCTGGACCATCCGCCTCTATCGTGTTCGCGATCTCACATCACATCACCACATACTGACTTGCGATACGACCTGTCTCCGAGGCCAGGTCTAATATGGCCTGTAAGTAACGCGTTCTCCTCTTTCTTTTCCCCGATCGTTCGCCTGCAATGTCACATGACGTTCCAACCGCGATCCATGGACTGGCCATCACGAACGCCTATCAAAGGACATATATCATCAATGTCACCCCCGGAGTCGAGTCGGAGCACCGAGAGCCAATTTACAGCATGAATCCGTGCCTGCCAGAGGTCGAAGTTTCCTCGGATTGGCACCGGAGACCTCGAGTCAACAGCAAAGTCATCGTAGAAGAATTGAAGATTGGAGTAGAAGCATGGATCAGACTATGCGTGACCTCTTGTACACGGAAATGATGAATCTTGATAACGGGGACGCGGTCGCGTATTGATGATCTTGCTGTGCACCAAGTTTGACGTTCGTGCGACAAGGACTCGTTGACCTGTCATACTAATCTTCGTCTGCTCTGTAGCGGGACCTTTACTGATTCACGCCCGGCCACTTCCTCAGAACACCATGTCAATGGCCTTAGAAGACCCACCTCGCCTTGATCATGACGAACCACAATCACCTGAACCGCTACAGCGGAGTGAAAGCGAGCTTTCCGACGTCAATGATATCCCTACCACTTCGCATCACACAGCTACACAGCTAGACGAGCCAATTTCAGACAATGATGCCATGCATGACATGGCCACATCAGATCTCGACGCAGACGCAGACGCGGATGCAAATGAAGGAGGAGATGATGATTTTGAAGAAGACGGGGATGTCTCTGTTCAGGATAATGTGTTGGCACGTGATGTGTCTTCGTCAGAGGCCGGATCATCATCAGGGAAGCGCAAAGTCGAGGATGTTGACGATGAGGAATACATGAAGCAAAACCCAGAGCTGTACGGTCTACGGCGGAGTGTGAGTGTTGTCGTCATGTCACGCTGCTTGCCGCGCTAATCTGATCACATCGTAGGGAAGGGCACGACCTACTCGCCGCGTGGTATGTGTTTGGTGCTCCATGATTTGCCTGTCGGATCGCAATCACTAATGGAATGAAAAGATCGATAGCTCAGACGAGGAAGAAGAGGACGATGATGACGACGTCGTATACAACAACAGCCGGCGGAAGCGCCAAAGGACTATGCCGAATGGGTCATGTTCGTCATTCTTAAATTCATCGCTGTCACGCAGTCGTACAGATCGCTTACCTTTAGCAGCATCGGCCCGCATTGACAGAGACGACGCCGTCCGAGTAGAGTCCGCCGCATCGGAGTCGGAAGAGGATGACACGTATGGTGGACAACGTGGTCGCACATTCGCCAAAAAGCACAGGCAAAAGCTCCACGCGTCAGCCTCGGGGAGTGGCACGCCACAGCTCGGCGAGGTCCGCTTCTCGACACGCCGAGCTGCCAAGATCGCGAATTACAACGAGGACGATGATTACGGCTTCAGCGAAGAGGACGACTCAGAGAACGTAACACCAAACTACTACACACAAGTACAGGATGAGTCGACAGGCATAGACCAAGTGCTCAGCCACCGGTTAAAAGACGACGTGACGGGTACTGATAACACTGGGCAATAACTTCAGGTGAAAAATGCTAACTTTTGTGCACAGACCCGAGTGATCCGGACAAACACGATTATGAGTTTTACGTATGTGGGAAACAGTTCGATATCGCACGCTTTCGCTAACCAAATTTTAGATTAAATGGCAAGGGCAAGCTCACTACCACGCAACATGGCACCCCTGGTCTGAGCTATCGTCATATCGAGGCTTTCGCAGACTGGAAAATTACTTTCGCAAAGTGGTCAAGGTCGAACTCAGCCTGTTGCACGATCCCGAGGTCCCTCCAGAGGATAGAGAACGCTGGAATCTGGACCGCGAAGCGTACCTTGATTCACTGAACGACTACAAACAGGTTGAGCGAGTCATCGGCGCACGAGATGGCGTGACAGGAACCGAGTATTATGTCAAGTGGAAGGGCTTGTTCTACGACTCATGTACGTGGGAGTCTGAGGAGCTCGTGGGCGCCGAAGCCCAGATTCAGATCGATCGCTACCTTGATCGATCGGCGAAGCTGCCCGTGTCTGATAGGACCGAGAGCAACGTCAACAGTCGTGCCGAATACAAGCCGTTCAGGACCCAGCCTTCATATATCAAAGGAGGTATTCTTCGAGAATTTCAGATGCGCGGACTGAACTTCTTGGCCCATCATTGGTGCAAAGGAAACAATGTCATTCTTGCCGACGAGATGGGTTTGGGGAAGACAGTTCAGACCGTTTCTTTCATGAATTGGTTGAGACATGACCGCCGACAAAATGGACCCTTCATCGTCGTGGTGCCTCTATCTACCATGCCCGCCTGGGCGGACACCTTCAACAACTGGACTCCAGACCTCAACTACGTCGTATACAACGGCAATGAAGCATCTCGAAAGATCATCCGCGAATATGAGCTCTTTGTCGACGGGAACCCCAAGAAGATCAAATTCAATGTGCTGCTGACCACTTACGAATACATTTTGGTGGACTCAAGTATTCTATCGCAACTGAAATGGCAATTCATGGCAGTTGATGAAGCGCATCGCCTGAAAAATCGTGAGTCGCAGCTCTATGCTAAGCTGATCGACTTTGGAGCCCCGAGCAGGCTGCTCATTACCGGTACCCCCATGCAAAATACACTCAGCGAGCTGTCAGCCTTGATGGACTTTTTGATGCCGGGCAAAATTCATGTTGAAGAAGACATCGACCTCACCTCTGAGCATGCAAGCAGGAAACTCGCCGAACTCACAGACGCAATCTCGCCTTACATGATTCGCCGCACGAAGCAGAAAGTGGAACATGATCTACCACCAAAGACGGAGAAAATCATTCGAGTTGAGCTTTCTGATGTGCAGCTGGAATATTACAAGAACATTCTCACCCGCAACTACGCCGCGCTCAATGCCGGTTCAAAGTCTGGCAAAACATCTTTGCTCAACATCATGATGGAGTTGAAGAAGGCTAGCAATCACCCATTCATGTTCCCGAACGCCGAGGATCGTATCCTGGCAGGTAGCGACAGCCGCGAGGACCAACTCAAGGGCCTCATCACGTCCAGCGGGAAAATGATGCTCCTTGATCAGCTGCTGACAAAGATGAAGAAGGACGGCCATCGTGTGCTGATCTTCAGCCAGATGGTTAAGATGCTTGATATTCTGGGCGACTACCTTCAGCTTCGTGGTCATCAATTTCAAAGACTTGATGGCACCATTGCTGCCGGTCCGCGACGTATGGCAATTGATCATTTCAATGCTCCAGGAAGTCAAGACTTTTGTTTCCTGCTATCCACCCGTGCTGGAGGACTGGGTATTAACCTTATGACCGCTGACACCGTCATTCTTTTCGACTCTGACTGGAATCCTCAAGCTGACTTGCAAGCTATGGCGCGAGCGCATCGAATCGGACAGAAAAACCCAGTCACGATCTATCGTCTTGTGTCCAAAGACACCGTCGAAGAGGAAGTGCTCGAGCGAGCGCGGAACAAGCTGATGCTGGAGTTCATTACGATTCAGCGTGGTGTCACCGATAAGGATGCTCGAGAACTTGGCGACCGCATGGCACGAATCGGCGCCAGCACTGCCGAGCCGACCTCATCGGACGACATATCACGTATCCTCAAGCGTCGCGGACAGAAGATGTTTGAACAGACCGGTAATCAGCGCAAGCTTGAAGAGCTCGATATCGACGCTGTCCTCGAGAATGCAGAGGAGCACCAAACCGAACAGCCCGAAGGCATGACAACTGACGGTGGCGAGGAGTTCTTGCGGAGCTTTGAATACACCGATGTCAAAATTGACCTTGAATGGGATGATATCATTCCCAAAGATCAACTTGAAAAGATCAAGGCCGAAGAGCGCAAAAAGCAAGAAGCTGAGTACTTGGCTTCGGTTGTTGAAGAAAATCAGCCTCGGAAGAGAAAAGCTGTTGGCGAAGATGGAAGAGAGCAACGCGCAGCCAAGAAGAGAGCTCGAGAGTTGACAGAAGCTGCTGCTGAAGACGTATCTGACGACGATGATTCTGATCAAGGAAGCGATCCAAAACGTCCACTTGGAGAGAAGGAATGCCGCCATCTCGTGCGTGCTTACGAACGATACGGAGCAATTGAGGAAAAGGAAGAGGAAATTCTGCGCGAAGCTCGCCTCCTCGGACGAGACGTGGACGTGGTTAAGAATACCCTAAAAGAAATCATTGATACGGCCATCAGGCTACAAAAGGAGCATGCTGATCAGCTCGCAGAGCTCGAGCGCTCGACTAATAAACCAGTCACGAAGAAAGAGAAGAAAGCCGTCTTGTTCGACTTTCGAGGGGTGAAGCGCCTCAATGCTTCGACACTTACTGAGCGGCCTGAAGAAATGCGCATGATTCGCAATTGCGTGGACCAGATGTCTGACTGGAGAAACTTTCGCGTGCCCGAGGCATCAAAGCCCGCTGCTTACACTGCCGAATGGGGAGCAAAAGAAGATGGCATGCTTTGTGTTGGACTTGCCCGTCACGGCTACGGTGCGTGGGTGCCGATCCGGGAAGATCTGGAGCTAGGTCTGCATGACAAGTTCTATCTGGAGGAGCACAGGATTGGCGCTAAAGAGGAACGTATCAAGGGTGGTGAGGAAAGCAAACAGGCAAAGTCACCGGGCGCGGTACATCTAGTCCGGCGTGCCAACTATCTTCTGAGCGTCCTCAAGGACAAGATCAGCAATGGGACGAATGTGGCTGCCAAGAAGGCTATTGAGAACCATCATCGCAACAACAGGAAACACATGGGTCAATTTCATGGCCGATTTGGCACACCCAATTCTGGAAGTCCAGGTCCTCAAGGCCGGAGAATGGACGGCAGAGGACACCATCACTCTGAAAGTCGTGGAAGCATTGACCGCCGAGGTACATATGGCTCGCCGAACGGCCATCATCGCGACAATGACCGCCCAAAGATGCGTGCAACGGACGAGCACCGGCCCCGGCACAGCCGAAATGACAGTTCATCTGCCAACAAGAACGGCGTTCACAGGCCTCGCTCCACATCTGAAGATCCTCTGCGGCGGATATTCGATCCCATTATCAGCAACCTTATCAAGGTGTCAGGCGCAACCAAAAAGAAGGTCCCCGACAATGACGAGCGTCTCAAGCAGATCAAGCAGGGCCTTGTTGCCATTGGCAATCACATCAACGGCGAAATGCGTAACAAGGACGACAAGCAGTTTGAAGATAAACTTTGGGGCTATGTTTCTGAGCATTATTGGCCCCAATCTAAGTCCGATGATAAACGCGTGCCAGGGGACAAATTGAGAGACATGTACAAAAAGATTGCTGGCAAGGACTCGGCCAAGGATCAGGCGAAGAACTTGCCTTCTGGTGCTTCTGGGGCTGGTCACCCAGCGAACGGGGCCACGTCTGACGTCAAGTCCGAGACCGCGGAGGCTGTGCCGGCGGAATTGAACGCAAAGTCGGACCCAGCACGGGCGTGACCACGAAGGTCCAGCCTGTCTTTCGTGTTCCCGTCGTATCAGACTCGGGATCATCAAAAAATATGCCATTGAGGGGACTGCTCTTGTTTCCCGAGGCTACACCACTTTCTGAACCTCAAGCACAGAGCGCCCGGTTCGAATCTGTTTTCAGCATTTTATTTGAGATTTTTGGGTGGCGTTCCGCAAAGTTATGACGGCCGTGTCTCAATCCAGCACTTCACACTCGCGCCATTGGACGCGGACTTGGCGATAGTGTATTGGTTACCGCCAGGAGGGACCGGAAGCATTGAATTGCGTTTCAGTACCCGGCGCGCGTCAAATATTCCGTCGAAAAAGTCTTCTACTGCTTTTATTTTCCGTCGCATGATGACTCAACGCCGGCGACGCGTTTCCGCGACACGGCGTTCTTGTTGTGCGAGTCATAATGATTTCTTGGGTTTGCTTATTTTCGTTGCTATTACATGAGCGTGGGAACAGGACATGTAGCATTACTTGCTGTCGAGATACGATATTGGACGAAAAATCTACCGTCCACTTTATGTGCTTGTTTGTGAATTTGCCTAGGTAATTTGTAAACGTCCCGAACGAACCTAAGTGATCCCCAGTAATCGGCACAAGTCACAAAGTGAAGTGTGTTGTGCACAGACCACACCGTCTTCTGGTGCTTGATGCGACCTGGGAAGAGCGAGCATCTCAAATTTCAGACATGCCCAGGTGTGACTATGGTTTGATCGACCGTTGACCCTGCGCGCAAATCGATCAATGCAAGCTTCTTGACAGAGGATCGAACAGATAGAAAATCGATCCTGTGCTCTCGAAACCAGATCGTCTCAAATCATGTCGAGCTGGGCTTCGCTGAACAGTTATCTCAACAGTAAGTATCGAGACATCACGCAATCACTTTCCGAATCCTCGCTGATCATCATACGTCGATAGAGAAAGTACTCATAATCACCACTGAAGGTAACACCTTCACCGGAACACTCCTATGTGTTGACAATGTTACGAACATGGCTCTTGAGAATGCGGTACAGCGCTTCATCGTCCCCGCCGATTCGGAAGAAGAGAGTCAGGATGTCCCGCAGATGGGCACAGTCATGATCCGCGGTGATCAGATCGTCATCTGTGGATTGGTCGACGAGGAGCTAGATCGCCAGATTGATGTGACCAAAATGCGAGGAGAACCAATACTGTCGACGAAGAAGAACACTTGAGCTGAACGGAGAGGGGAAAGTGTCTGGCGAACATACAATGGCTGTCTACCATGGCATAGCTTCCGTGGACTCACAACAACAAGGAGAAGCTACATTCTAGTCAGACGCCAGGCAACGATGCAGCGAAATTGTCGAGCGAACATGACTCGAACGGATCGCATGTTCAATGCTCTGCGATATTAGCCCGGCCTTCGCGCAGTTGACCAGTGATAATGAACAGGCAAGATGTGGTCACGGCTCATCATCGCTTTGCTATGGCCAGCGCCGGTTTCTGTCTCGAGCCCATCGCTTCTCGAGCGGGTCTCCTGCACACCTTGAACGACATCTGGATAGCAGCTGTCTCGGTCCATCGCTGGTGCTGCCAAAGTGGTATCGAACCGCAGGCGCCGTGCACGTTGAGCAACGTGCCCATCCACAAATTCGTACGAAAGATTGCCCAGCTGGTCTCTTGGGCGAAGCGGTGTGCAATCTGCAATCGGGCCTTGCAAATCGCAACGCGCCGATTGTCAAATCGCAGGAGACAATCGGCATTGCGTCATTCACATGAAATAAAGGACTCGAAATGATATCGATGTATGGGAAGTCTTCGCTGCTGTTGGAGATCCGGAGTAAATCACGGAGCGGTCTATCTGCATACAACACGTAGTCCATGGGCCACCGACCATGCTTTCTCACACAGCGAGATCATTAAGGGTAACGCTCTCTGAAAACATTTACCTCACTTTCAATCTCACCATTTCACGTGAAGCATGCAGTAATGAGTCGTCCCTCGAGGCAGGTATAGTTGTATACCCACACCTAGGTATGCATAACGAAGTAACGGCGCACAGAAAACTCTCAATGGACTAGCGCATATCTGCTGGAGCCATGGCAAGCGTTCCTTGCATTCGCGCTGGTGGCTTCTCCGTGTCCACCTCCTGTATTTCGCATGTATCATGCGTGCGTGCATACCAGGTGTTCATAAACCCATCTACCATTCCCCACCGTGGAAACGTCCTGTCCACCAGAGTGTGTAATAATTGGTTCGGGGACTATACTACTGCGGTGATTCCTCCAATTATGAATAATGGCCAAAGGTCTTGGATGACAGCGCATAGATGAGCACAATACTATAAGCCGTTCCGCCCTATTGAAGCGATCAGCGAACCCCGGAAAAGCACCTCCGAAACCTTTCCCCGCGAACACTTCTCGGTCGCCCTTGCGGTAACAATAATGATGAATAGGTTGTAATCACTGTGGTTGTTGTGCCGCATGCTTGAACATACAAACTTGTCGCATCATCCGTCGATTTCTTCGCGCGACTAATTCGACTGTTCGCCCGCTCGTGGCTATCAGACTAAACCATTCCTGTCGTCTGGCTGGGCGGTCGCACCGGCATTGACTGAAGAGGAGGTCTCATACATCTAGAGACGAGCTCTTCTGCGCACACTTCATCGCATTTCCGCCCTCTGAGGCTTCGCAGTCTCGCCACAGACCCAACCACACGGTTCACGACTACCACTGCGGACTCTCACTCAATCGCATTCACAATGAACACCCGGCAGTACCGGCTCTTGGGCCTTTGCGCTCTTCTCGGCCTCCTGGTTCTGTATTACCTTTCCAATGGTGCGCGCAATACCCGACAGTCCGCTTTCTATGTCAATACTGTATCGGTGCTTACTCGCAAACAAGGCCAATCCGGAGGCGGCGGACCCAAGATCGATTTAGACTCACCAGAAGAAAAGCTGAAGATTGAGAACTACAAGAAGGCCATGCGCGATCTCGCCTTGCAATTCGACCCGGCCGGCGAGGACGGTGCTCGCGCCGACGTCTACCAAGCATTACTGAGCAAGCAGGCGACCGAGACCGCCGCCCTCCCCACCCCTGCCGTCGTTGCACCAGGCGCAGCGGCCGACGAACCAGCATTTCCCGAGGCTCATCCTTCAGATGGCGATGCGGCCAACGACAACCCGCTGAAAGCACCATTGGTAGCCCAAGAAAAGAGCGTTGGAGGGCGGAAGAACAGCCCGGATGGCAAGGTCGTTCCCAACAAGCCTGACGCTGACGATAAGAGCGGCTCCGGGGCAGCATCAGATGACGACGAGGAAACCAAGGTTCAAAAGGAGCTCAATGATATCCTGGCAAAACGAGGACCGGTCGTCGTCTTCTCCAAAACATACTGTCCATACAGCAAGAAGGCAAAAGTAAGTAGGGAAGAGCAACGCCCCCGAATCCACTCTCCCTTGATCATCCTCGACACCACTCCATGCACATGATGATCAACTCATCATACGGGACTCTTGCTAACATTCTCCACAGCATATCCTCCAAGACTTCTACACCATCGTACCCGCACCATACATTGTTGAGATTGACCAACATCCACAAGGACCGGCACTCCAGAACGCCCTCGAGACCCTCTCCGGGCGACGGACGGTGCCCAACGTCTTCATCAACGGCAAGTCAATTGGCGGCGGCGACGACGTCGAGGCGCTGCATATGAGGAGCAAGTTGATGGAGAAGATCAAGGACCTGGGCGGCAAACGACTGACGAGTATTGCCACGAAGATGGCGGCGATGGTGCCGAACCCCGGAGGCGACAAGAAGGAGTAAGGAAAACTTCGCTGTGCGGGCGAAGTCGGGAGGAAAGTTTGAAGGGCAACGTGTATTACGAAATATCCAGGACAGACTTTATTTGTATAATGATATCCTTCTTGTCGCTCTGAAATTTGGTGCCAAGAAACCCTTGGTGCTTGCTGGATGAAATGGATAAGGAAATATGGTAGAAATCGGGCGTGGACACTTAAGTTATCATCTGATACAAAGGATGATCATAGAAGACATTGCTTGAGGCCTTGACCCATTTCGAACATGGAGCGAGCACTTGACACGAGACAATGGCGCTATTTACTTTTTGCCAAAAATAATCCCCATCGTGGAAGCCAATGTTTGTGCGGTTGAGTGTTTTCTTGGGATCATGCTATCATGGGAGATCGTGAGTGTAGCCTCAATGCAAGGCCAGTGGGCAAGACGCTGGATGATGATTGTTGTGATGTCATTCCATTGAGCCGAATAATTTTTTCCCATGCTTTCTAAATGGTTATTGCTCGGATGGACAAGAAGAAACACCGGACAGTCAGAGCAAGCCGTCGCTGTTGTGGCTCACCGAGACTCCCCCCCTGTCCCAACTCATAAAAGTTTGCGCCCAAAACAGCCGTACCCCATGCGATCCCGAACAACGTTTTCAACGACGAAATCATGCATCCTCGACGATGTTGCCACGCTCGCTAACATAGAGACCGTCCAAGAACTTTCGGATATCCTTGTTTCGCACTCGGCAGATCTGCTGGATGTCGGCGGCGGATTGTGAGACGGCCTCTAGGGAGTTGCCGAAGAGCTGGAGTTCATCCTTGGTGGTCTTGCTGACCTCGACATCGACACCAGTTTGCATGATGACCTTGCGGACGATCTTCTCGCCCAAGAAGTTCCTGCATAAGAGTAATATTAGCAAATATTCCTCTTTTCACCATTCCTTGCATTTAATCATTTCTCCAGTCGCAACGTGTGCGCCCACCAGTTCCACCCTCAATCTGACCAGCATCATAACTCACCGGATCTCGACCTCGTAAAGACCGGTATCGTCCTGCTTTGACAAGTTGACGTTGATCGGGAAATGGGCGTAGACGTATCGCATCTTGTACTTAAATCCCTTGGTGACACCGATGATCATGTTGTTGATGAGGGATCGGACAGTTCGGAGAGTAGCGACGTTCTTGCGTGAGCCATGGTGAAGTTCGATGTTGATGATGTTCTTCTCAGGGTGCGAGAAAGCGACGGCCAAGTGACCCAGGTCCTTCGTGAGCTTGCCTCGGGGTCCCTCAACGGTGACCTGGCGGGTCTTGATGTGGACCTTGACTGTAGAGGCGCAAAAGTAATTAGTATCCCATATCAATATTCAAGCACATGAGCCATGATGCATCCTCCTCCCTCTTCCATCTCTTGCCGCTCCTCCTCCATTGTGTCGCAGAGTCCGGATGAGTGAAAGTTGGTGACATACCGCCCTCCGGGATGGTCAATGACTCTTGGGAGTAGATGTACCGCATTTTGTCGACGCTGGGTTGTGATGTGTCTGCGTTTACGGCAACTGGTATTGTCGTCAATCCGCTACCCTGTGATGTGCGAACTGGTGTCGAATGCTGTGGGCGACTATGCCAAGACTTTGGATTTCGAAAAGTGTGGCCGTCTGGCGGGTCAGCCCGCTTCCAAGGTTGGCTTGAGTGATCAAATGCAATTCTGCCGATGTTTGCCCGCATTGCCCATGCGGGAGCCCTGATTGACAAGGGCCTCTTACCACTTGCATCTTCAATATCGTTCTCCACCTGGACTATGAACAAACGCGTCAATCCACAGAAATGTGGAAGTCACTGTTAAAATATCCTTTGGTCCGTTGAAGCAAGCATGTAAACCTTGGTTCAAGATCGTTCTCTCATTGTGTGGTGTTGTGGTTGATTAGCGACTCATTAACGGAAACTCGTGATACAAGGGCTTCACGCCCTTTCGTTGCCACATGCGTCGAATTGAACCATAGAATGACATAAACCACTTCCAGATGGTAACAGGGCGATGTGACATTTCATGAAATCCAAGACAAGCCATATACAGGGCCGAGAACTGCCCAACATCACAATCCTCTTGCGCTCGCCAGTCCATTCTTCATCTCTACGCCAATCGAGAATATTTCCTAGTGTGCCTTAAAGAAACTGATTGCTATCATGTCGGACACTATCGCCTGGACTGAAACCAAAGCATTGTCTTTCGACATTTACGGCACATTAATCGACTGGGAGAGTGGCATTGTCTTTTCAGCGCGCGCCACTGCACTAGGACCATTCTTGCCACAAGACCGCAAACAACTATTACTAGACATTGAAAAACATGACACCAAGATCCAGAGGGAAAACCCCACACTTCCTCAGACGAAAATTATCTCTGCCGGGCTGAAAAGTTACGCCCAAGAACTCGAGCTCGTCCAGAAAGGCAGCCTGAGCCAACAACAAGTTGATGAAGCGGCAGACGCTTATAGTCAGCAAATTGGCTCCTACCCTGCCTTCGCAGATACGGTGGCTGCGATCCAATCTCTCGGCAAGCGATACAAGTTGATTCCGCTCTCGAACGTCGATCGCTCATCGTTCGAGAAGACCCTGAGCGGTCCATTGAAGGGCTGCCATTTTGACGCAATCTACACAGCAGAGGACATCGGCTCCTACAAGCCCGCTGCGCGAAATTTCGAATATCTTCTTGAGCACGTTCGGACAGAATTTGGATTTCAAAAGAACGAATTAAGCCACGTAGCGCAAAGTCTCTTCCACGATCATGAGCCAGCCAAGAAGTTTGACCTCCAGAGCGTTTGGGTAGACCGTTCGGGCTTCATGGGAGCACAAACAGCGAGATCGGACGATTTGGCGAGCGAGTTCGGATTCAAGCTGAAGGTGCAGAGTTTGGGAGAATTGGCAGAAATCGTAGAAAGGGCATTTGCTAAGGCCGCATGATTTCATCTCATCACCCGTGACTTTCGAAAACATCAGATTTAGAGCTGCAGTCGAGATGCATTTACAATTTCAGCAGGACATGATCTTGGACTTATCGATATGTCAGCTTTTGAGATGCACGAATGCGAGGACATGCTAGACGGCCGACAAATTCACTCCTTGCACCTGCTGATCCGTGACGCCGAAACACCAGTCCAAAGTTTGCGCAGAGCGCCCGACAAATCACAACTTGTTAGAAGGATACATGACTTCATCGCTGCCAATAAAGTCCTCCTTAATTGCCCTCACGCTCACGAACCTGGACAGTAGATTGGCCGACCCAGCCTTGTCGTTGGTTCCGGAAGCCCTCGCGCCTCCAAAGGGTTGTTGCCCGACCACGGCGCCAGTCGACTTACAGTTCAAATAGAAGTTGCCGGCCGTGTTCCGCAATTCCTCCTCGGCAAAACGTAATGCGGCTCGGTCTTGCGCGAAGACGGCGCCTGTGAGTCCATATTCGGAAGTTGTGTCGATGGTCTTGCAAATGTCCCCGAATGCCTTCACGGAATCAGCGCCGACGTGATCGTCATATACGTGAATGACGAGAATCGGACCGAAGAGCTCGGTCGTGAAAAGTTTATGTTGAGGGTTCTTGGTGACATATATGGTCGGGTGGATGAAATAGCCCTTGCTGTTATCGTGCCTGCCGCCGACGATCAATTCTAGCTCATGATCGTTGTTGGCCTCGTCAATGGTTTTGGAAAGCTTCTCAAAGGAACCTTGATGAATGACAGGACCGATGAAGTTATCAAATTCTTCTGGTGAGCCTATTTTGAGCTGTTGTACCTCTGAGACGAGCATTTCCTTGCACTCCTCCCATGAGCTTGCTGGGAAATATGCGCGCGAAGTCGCTGAGCACTTTTGGCCTTGGTATTCGAAAGCGCCGCGGATAGTATTGATTACAGCGTTCTTAGTGTCTGCAGAATGATGTACCAGATGAAAGTTTTTTCCGCCCGTCTCACCAACAATACGAGGATAGCCTTTGTATCTGCCCTCTGCCGTGGCCTGTCCAATCTGTCCATAAAGCGATCGGAACACTGCGGTAGAACCAGTATAGTGCAGAGCGGCGAATTCTGGATGCGCCAACACTGTCTTTGTAACTTCCACAGCGTCTCCTGGCACAAATTGAATGACATTAGGAGGTAGCCCGGCTTCGAGTAGAATCTGGTACAGCAGCCAATTCGAGGCCATAGCAGATGGCGAAGGTTTCCAAAGGACGACATTGCCCATGAGTGCTGGCGCTCCTGGCAAGTTGGCAGCGATCGCAGTGAAATTGAATGGGGAGACTGCGTATACGAATCCTTCGAGCGGTCGATACTCGACTCGGTTCCATACGCCAGGGCTGTTGTGCACCGGCTGTTGAGCATACAACTCTTGCGCATATTGCACGTTGAAGCGCAAGAAATCACACAGCTCAGCTGCCGAGTCGATTTCCGCCTGCCATGCATTCTTCCCCTGACCGAGAATTGTTGCTGCCATGATATCATATCTGTACTTTCCACCAACGAGATCAGCTGCTTTCAAAAAGATCGCCGCCCTGTCGGCGAATGGCATCTTCTCCCATGACGCTTTTGCGGCGAGGGCATCCTCGATAGCGTCCTTGATGTGGGCTTCAGTGGCACCCGACCATTCTGCAATTACTTCTTGATGGGAGGCTGGGATGGGCTGAGAAGACACTGAGGATGTCCGGAGATGTTTGCCGCCAACAACTATTGGTACTTGCAAAGGAGCCTGCTGCCGTAATCGTTCCACAGCAGCTGCGAGCTTTTTGCGGTCAACCGATCCCGGACGATAGTGGTGCTGTGAAACGAGTCAGAAATGTTACTTCAGCACAGACGGACTTCTCTGATGACTGGTATCAATCTGCAAACTTACGTTGGGCTCGTTCTGCACCGCGGGTATCTTAAAGAATGCCAATCCCGCTGCGCCTCGTCTTTGTATGTGCGTGGAAACGCTTGCTTTCACGCACCTACTTTGCAGTACTGTTCGAGACATCGCAACTGTTTGAATGTCAAACAATAAGATTGGAATCGAAGACAAAATGATTCTTAAGCACCTGCAATTTGCTCCAAAATAATATCCCAATGCCTTGTCGAAGCAAATGTCGAACCGGCTACCATCGGCTCTCCAGATATCAGATAAGAGCAATGACGATTGTGGGGTTCACAACGGTAACTCACGGCGGCGGCCGCCGCCGCGCTGGGCAAGACTGGCCAGGAACGCGTCGGTCGCGTGTGTGATATACAGCATCGGTGACCTGCATTCTTCATATTTACACTCATAGTCCACTACCGTTTGTTGGAACACAGGAGCCGATACAAAGCGAAGCTTTCAGGTCTTGAGTTCTGCCAATACTCAATGATTCTATCTACTCCGAGTCGTGTTGTAGTCAACCTGGGAAGCTCTGCAATGCTATCATCATCGCAGTTCCATCATCATCAAACTTGGCTCTTCCAGTAAGTTCTTAACCCGCTCCGCACACCTTGCACATTCTGCCCCGTCCACAACTCGGTGATCTGCTGACCAACTAAATACCAATTCTTCTCGCTTCGTCAATTGGCCCTGCCCATCAAATGCTGGTACTACCCTGCTCCTTCCGATGCCCACAATAGCAACCTGTGGCTCCGAAATCACTGGCGCGACCACGCCTCCGCCGACTGAGCCGATATTTGATAAGGTAAAGCTGGCACCACCAAAGTCGGTCGGTGTAAGCTTGTTATTCCGCGCCGCTTCGGAGAGATTGCGCATCCCGAGCGCGATCTCGGCTATGCTGAGACTCTGGACTTTGCGTAGGACAGGTACGACGAGGCCGGCTGGGGTGTCTATCGCGATGCCAAAGTCGTGCGAGCCACGGTAAGTGAGGACAGGTTTCTTTGGGTCGGAAGTATCCAGTGAAGCATTGAGCAAAGCATGATGTGAGAATGCAATGCTCACCGCCTTGACGATGAAGGCCAGATGTGTGATCTTCGCTTCTGAGGTTGATGACGACGACGCGTTGAGTTTTGTTCTCAAAGTGCTGATAGCTGACATGTCCGCCGAGCAGCTGTACAAGAAATGCGGAATACTCAGAGATCGTGTCATGACCTTGAACATCGCGTTCTGTACCGGAGTGAGTGGCTGAGTACGATCTGGCCTGACCTCCGTATGCTCGATCGTGCTCGTAGGGACCTGCTGTGATCGCCTTGCAACATGATTTTGGACATCCTCCTTGAGTACACGTCCGTCCCTGCCCGAGCCCTTAATGTCCGCTATTTTCACGTCTAGCTCCTTTATGAGGTGTCTCACTGCAGGCGTCGCAAGAGAACCCATGTCACCTCTGCTTGGTCTTGAACCATTGTTTAGTGGTCCTCGTTGGCTCGCCTCACGCTGCGTAGCTGCAGGTGGAGATCTGGGACTATCGGAATCCTTGAGTTTTGTCGGACTGCTCGCAGCGGGGGCCTTGGAAGCGTTGTGATCGTCGCCCAATCCAACATCGACAGCAGTATTTATATCTTCTTGTATGTCGAAGTCAACGAGTGGCTTGCCCGTAATAGCCATATCGTCTGGCTCGTAATGTAAACGCTTGATCACTCCATCAAAAGGGCTAGTGATCTCAACACTGGCTTTGTCGGACTGCACTTCGCACAATTTGTCGAATTGCTCGACGCGAGCGCCCGGTTGAACGAACCATTGTATCAATTGACATTCTGTGATGCCTTCACCAATATCGGCCAGAAGAAATGGTTTGACCGTATTCGCTCGTCTCGAAATGTGAAATTGACGCCGCGACAATGACCCGGAAATGCATAGAACTTGGCTTGCTCGTCTGAGCGCAAACGAGGATGCTTTATAGGCATTCATGATGTTTATAGAGATATCTACGTTTGAAGACAAGTACGGACCTGCGGAAACCTCTCCTCGCTCGTACGTGTCTGTGTACGTTGACTGTTTGCGAGCTTCCCACGGATTTCAATTCATTTGAAGTCGTGTTGTACCGTGTGTAGCCGGCAGAAGCCTCAGGCACGCAAATTTGACGGACTTGAGCCGACCCGTCACCTACTGTAGAGGAATAGCATCGGGCCGCTATCACTACATTACATTACCTCCCTTCCGAGCTGTAATCTATCTTTGCCAGCCTCGCGAGCATCATCAATAGCTTTGTGCGTGGATAGCGAAATCAAGACCGCGTTGTGGCGCCGTCTGCACTGATATTAGACCATTTTTGCTGTGTCCTATGGCCTACAGGCCCGCACATTGGCGCACTGCCCGCTCTCGCAGAGACATCTTGATAGACTGTGCTTGTCTGAATTCGAGTTCTTTTTTTTCGCAACACAATGCGAAGTCTCTAGCTTGCTTGTATCTCCTTGGCCTGGCGCATCGCAAGCTCACTATTCTCGGGCGCCTGCCTGAAGAGAACAATCTCACTCTGCTTGAAGTACCGCCTAGCGTCTTCGTCGATGAGCACAAGAGATAGGTAGTATCGTGTGCTGTACTTCTTATTAACGTCGCGAAAAGTCGGCGTGAGATCGAAGCCGCCGAGGAAAAGTCTGATGGGAATTGTTTCACCACGTGAAGGTGACCCATCCATGATCTCGAAACGGACCAGCGTCTCGGACTCGTTGTATTGATTTGGCGGAACTCCTGTCGTCTCTCTGCGGATGATCGACAGCTCCATATGCCTGATCTTTAATCTTACAAGAAGAAAATAGATCCTGCCAACAATGACATCCTTGAGATGATACTTGCTCTTGCTGTACTCGAACTCGATATGCAGACAGTCCTCGATGCCAACATCCATTTTGATCACACTGTTCTGCTCTGGTGGTTGCCGGTAAGAGTAGACCCAGAGGTCCTTTTCGCGTACCACATCTGCCATGCGCCGCGATACGGTGACTCGCAAAAAGTACCGCAATTTGACATTGATACCATGATATGATTCGTATGGCTTCTCCACATTTTTGAAGGCAAAAGGTAGGGTGACTGGGTGTTGTAGTTCGCCGGGCGATGCGAGCTCTGTCTGTAAGGATACGAATTCGTGGTGTGTGCCGCGGTCGAAGAACATCTCTATGGTGCCGACGAACTGGACCTTGATTCCGGTATGCTCGAGTCGCTTGCAATCTTTAGGCCGAATCGTGACTGCGCCTTTGACCGTCTCGCCGTCCAGGTAGAGCGGGCACTTCTCGCGGCGATTCTTCTCGAGTTTGACATCGACCGTTGGGCGCTGGTCGGTGTTGTCGAGGACAATGTCGATATCAAGTGGTGTCGAGAAGGAGAATAACGACATAATTTCGGTCAATGTGGGTGCTGGCGGACTCGGTGACAACGACGACAGTGATCAGCAATGCTGTATTCGTCGTGGGCGCAATGAGGAATTGCGTAGCTTCTACGTAGCTCACCTACTCATCAGCCTGCAGCAAGAATGACATCGATATGTGGCCTGAGGCACAAAGAGCGGATGAACTTCTCACTTTGCCCTATGCCTCACTCATCATGCCCCAGGGTTCCCTTCTTTACCATCTACCGGACAGAAGCCGAGCACCAACGAGCACCATGCGCCATTAGTAGATCGTAGTCCGTCGTGTTACTGTTACTCACCTTAATGGACAATTTCGTAGACGTCGCGCGTCGAAAACTATTGACCGGGATACAATTCAGTGTATCACGACGTCGCAATCTTCCGTTCAAAGACTCAGTGGTGGCTATGGCACTTGTTGTTCCACGGGTAATGGTGGAGTGACGATTATGAAGAAAAATTTGGGCCAATGGTCCCTTGTTCATGCAGAAACACACAACCGGAATTTCCAGTGCAGTCGTTATATTGTGTTTCGAAGATTATTCAGTTGACTCCGAGTCGCGATCACACGAGTCTGCTGAAGACAAATCTTGTCTAGAGATGTTGACGAGAGACAACTTCAATGCTCTGCTTGCAACCAAAAGCGTGCTTGTTATTGACGGCGCTTTGGCTTCTGAATTAGAAGAGCGCGGCCACGACCTAAACCATTCACTGTGGTCAGCCAAAATCCTTCGCGATGACCCAAGTAGCATCGAGAAGGTCCATCTGGATTATTTCCTCGCTGGCGCGGACATCGCCATCACAGCGTCCTATCAAGCCGCGCCGCTCGGATTGACCAAACACTTTGGCATGACGGAAGACGAAGGCAAAGCAATGGTTGCTCACAGCGTTGCAATTGCTAATAGCGCACGTAAAGCAGCTTATTCGGCAGGAGTCGAGAGCAATCGGCAGCTCCTCTTGGCCGGCAGCGTAGGGCCTTTCGGTGCCTATCTGGCCGATGGAAGTGAATACAGAGGCGATTACAGGCTCACGATAGAAGAACTTCAGAACTTTCATCGCCCTAGGATCCAAGCCCTCGTTGATGCTGAGGTGGACATCCTGGCTCTGGAGACCATGCCCAGCTACAATGAAATTAAAGCGGTGCTCGATCTGCTCCATGCAGAATTTCCCAGAGCCATTGCCTGGCTTGGGTGTACTACTCGCGATGTCGCGCACTTGTGCGATGGCACGCCTCTCCAAGCTGTATTGGACCTTGTTCATGAAAACGATCTCCAGATTGTTGCTGTTGGAGTGAATTGTATTGCCTCCAATGCAGTACCGGCAACACTACATCACCTCTCACAGATAACACATGTCCCACTCCTGTGCTATCCTAATTCCGGCGAGGTATGGGATGCCTCGACGAAGCGATGGCACACTGAACCTTCAGATTATGATGCGCAAGCCAATCCGAAGTCAGAACAAGCCGACAGTCTCGTCATGCTTTGGATTCAGAATGGCGCACGACTTGTAGGAGGCTGCTGCCGAACCGGCCCAGCCTTTATCAAAGCTCTTCGCGCAGATCTCGACGATAGTCATTCCAAATGAGCGAATTACTTCTGTTTACAGCTTTTGGTCATATCTGAAAGGTGTTCATCCCTTGTATCAACCTTGCAGTAGCTGCAATTGCGTGACGCGGACCCCGCGGTCAACATTATCATGAAGTCACGCCATTGCTGAGAGTCGGACGATTGATATATATACAGATACCCGTCCCAGTCGCAAGAAAGAACCATCACAATCACAACTCATTCGAGGTCGTCGCTCTAATACTGTGACGCTATAATCCATTCTCTAAACAAACATCGCAAGCTCACTAGTGTACATCATCAACACAATGTCGGGCACAGCGATCCAACAAAACATATCCGCTTCGAGTGAGAAGTACTCTTCAGAATTTACTAAGGGCAACCTGGCACTACCACCAGCCAAGTAGGCTACCTGTAGGACACCTATACTCGTGCTTTTCTCTAACCAGCTTCCAGGAAGTACCTCGTTGGTGCGAATTCACCGTGCGCCGGCTTCTGCATTGTGATGACCAGCTCATAATATTTTAGTGACTTGCATGGACGCCCGTATCGACCCGGCGGCTGCTTTCGGTATCGACCTTGGTGACGCACATGTCATTCGTAACGCTGGAGGCAACGCAAAAGACGCTCTCCGTTCCATCTTGATCTCTCAGCACTTGCTCGGGACCCGCGAGATCATCTTGGTCAAGCACACCGATTGCGGGATGCTGACCTTCACAAACGCCGACGCTCTCCAAGTCGTGGCCGGCAATGTCGGCGCGGGTGTCCTCACCTCGACATTCGACTTCCAGCCTTTCCCAGACCTCCAACAGGGCGTGAAGGATGATGTCGCATGGCTCAAGAGCCACAGTGCCTTGGTCAGGGACATTGAGATCAGTGGATGGGTCTACGATGTCAGGACCGGCAAAACCACCCAGGTGGTTTGAGATTGTACCCCAACATTTATGCGAATGTTAATTACGTCGAGCGATACTTCTCGAGCTCCAAACTCACTGGTTTCTAGCAGAGTATGATACCTGCGAGGCACGCGTATGACACGTTGTGCAACACCCTTGTTGATGCGACTGCAGTAGAACAAGAGTTTCCGCCTGCATTGGTTTGGGGTTGATTAGATCCATAGTCTCACAGTGCCATCAGCTCCTGCGCTAATGGCCCAAGCTTCGCTGGGATGCCATTCAACATCCAGCACACCGAGGTCACTTTTGATCCTGTGGCCTTTGAGCACTTTCAATGGCACCACAGTAGCATTCTCGAGACTGTCACCCATAACCTTGCCGTGGAAAATTTGTAGGCTTCCGTCATCACTGGCGTCGGCGAAGAGTGGCAGACTGGGATGGAACTTGACACTTCGAATAGCTTTGGAGTGGTATCGCAGGGTTTTGTATGGGGTGCTGCCAAGGTCAAGGTCGTGCCACAGGAGTCGCTTGTCATAGGATGACACTAGGAGATTGGATCCCATGGGATGCAGACTGATCGAGCTGATCCAGCGAGCTCCAGGCTGCAGCTCCTTCTGCATCTTCTGCTCCTGAAGGTCGTACACACGAACTCGCTGTCTGGTAGCGACGAAGAAGAGAGGCTTGCTCGGATGGAAACACACGGTTTGCGCAAGTCCCTTCAATCGTCGGAATGGATGTTGAGTTTGATGCTTGCTCAGGGTGTGGATTGCCACGGCTGTAGAAGTCAAGGACGAAGATGGGGCTACAGTTGAGAAGTATTCGCCTCGACGGTGCCAGGCGAGCGTCTTTGGCGTCGAGCGGAGGGTCAGTGTCAACAAAACACCCTTCTCCTGCAGAGATGCAGGGGGCCGTGCCCAAACTGCGAATGATTTTGCCTTATCGGCAGACGACGTGGTCGAACTGGCAGCATAGCCGTATCCGGCATCAAGAATATCTCGACTCGCCATTTCGATCTCAGGTGAACAGAGATCTCCCTGTGGAATCATTAAGTAAACAGTGTCACCACAGCATGCCCCGATGATCAATGCGTTGTTTCCGGGTCGCCAAGTGACGACGTTGACAGTGTCGGTAGCCGAGAGCTTGACACGTAGAAGTTGTCGGCCTGTCAGCAATTCCCATACTCGAACTGTGCCATCATCGCCACCAGAGGCAATATACTTTCCACTGGGGTCAATAGCCACGCTCCTCACGCGGCCATCATGACCTGTATATGTTGTGGCACATGTAGTTGGAAACGGTTTCAGCTCGGAAGGATCGGGCAGTTTGGGCAGAAGTGATTCGGGGTCAATGTTCAGCTTGCCACGACGCACACGAGGAGCAAGATAAAGATCCAGACACCGTTCGAATTTCTCTTTGATGAGTTGGCCATATCCGGGAACCTTTCGTAGGGAAGAATGGTCTTGGGGCAGAAACTTTTGCTCACGGTCCTCCTCGTCCTGCTGTTCCCAAGCCTCCCGCTCTTGCTTGTCAGGAAGGTATTCCGGGGGAGGATGGTAACTCTCTTCATAGCCAGGAGGCGGCAATTTCGGCGCCGGAACGTTCATGGGATGATCAGGCTTCGGGGCTTCATTTGACCAGATGTCGTAGCTGGCGAATTCCTGCTCGGCCTCCAGCTGTTCCCGCTCTTCTTCGGTTGGCTCGCGGAATGGTTGAATTCTTCCTTCTTTGATGGCCTTGACCATCTTCATGACACGTTTATGCTCGTGCATTGACGGCACAAATCGACGCTTTGGTTCAGGAGCAGCGGTCAAAGGCATGATTTCCTCCATGCCTTTTCCGGTGAAGTATTCTACCATGTCCGGATATGGATCATAGCCGTCGCCAGGAGCCTCGTTACGCGTGAGCTTCTTCAAAGTTTCAAGCTCCTCTGGTGTAAGCTGCAATGGTTTACCCGTGGACGGATCAGTGAGACCAGTCCACCCCTCGGGAATGTCGATGCTGTCCAGAAGTGAATCTAGTGCTTCACCTTTGGCAGGTCTAGCGATGCGCCGTCCATTGATATCGTAGCCGATATGAGGATATGCGTCGTAATATGACATCGGAATATTTCCGATCGTGTTTGATGTGATCGCAGCGTCTGAGTCGTCAGAATCGTACACTGGGTCGATCTCATTATACACATAGCGAATGTTGCCGTTCGCATCTTCATCGATCCTGAAATTCGGCTCGCTTTCTACGCCGCCGTCCAAAGCCTTCACAGGCGTCGTGGCAGTGATCGCGACCATATCTTTGGCAGTCTCACTACCCATGAATGCTGTCGACTTTGCTCCATTGCCAATGCTCTTGGATCGTGCGGACGGTACGCGCAAGTCACCTTCATCTTGTGACAACGAGTCCTCATCGCTCCCAATGTCATCGTCCTCTTCATCCTCTTCCTCTCGATCCTCTAAGTCGTCACCGTCCTCGTCGTCCGCATTGGAGTCGTCTGAAAAAGCGCCATCCAGAGTTCCAGTGATATTAATGTCTTGATCAGAGTCATCGCTCTCTGGTCGCAGTATCTCGACCACTTTGCGCTTCTGTCCGGCCTTTTGCGCCATTGTGTGTAATGTTTGTCCGAAACAATGTCCAAGGCTTATACGATCTTGTCTCTTGAGCAGCCAAGATTTCAGCAGAGCTCCAAATTTTCTCTAGCGTCAAGCGTGATAAGATAAGATTTGCATTATCCAGGGTTGCCCAATCTAATCCCACTCGGACCCTAGATTCACAGCACCTACAGAACAACGAATGTGGTTGGGAAGTGATGATAGATGCTCCCCGATCCTCTCAAGATAAAATGTCGCAGCCTGTAATCGATTGGGCAGAATTGGCACTTCACGTAAGGTTTTGATTACTTGAAAATTATTGGATTCGACATCTTGTAGAGGGTCTGGCTTCTTGCTGACGACTGGACAATTGATTATCCTACAGCTGCCACAAAAGCTTCGGGCTGCTAGTGACATGTAACAAGACGCGAAAATGTTACTTAGATCATCGGAGTACGCGCATTCAGCTTCGGCAACATGGAGGCGGTACAAATCTACCCACTCATGGCGAGACATGCATCTACTGCTTTGCCCACGTTCCCTGACTGTGACCTCACAACATCTTCAATTACCTCCTTGTCCAGATTCGGAAACATGGTTTCAAGTGTTCTATAGCACGGTCAGCCAGTGGAAAAAGTCGGGATCGATAGATCAACCTACTCCACTACAACTTTGTGTTCTTCGGCCTGTACGCTTTGAGCTTGGGATGCTTCTGCGCTAGCCTGTCGTGCTGCAGCCGCTTCAGCACTATCCTGATGCTGGCTCGGTCTCCTCGATGTCAGGGGCCGTTCAGTAGATTTGCGCCCATCCCCACTGCTCCTGTGTTCAAGTGGCGGGACTGGGCTCAGTCCACGTCGAGGAGAAGAGCCTGGTAATGGCGTGCTTGCTGGCTTGAGCGGTGGCTGAGGCGCAGAAGGTCCAGCTTCCTCAGAGAACATCCGCCCGATCGTGCTGAGCGGCTTTTGTATCGTTCTTAGGATACCAATCATCGCATCGTTGTTTTCGTCTACGGTGCTCCGGCCTTTGTCCGATGGCTGTTGGCTGATGGCGCGTCTGGCGGATGACCGCTCGCCCCCTGCGGGAATTTGAGTAGAACTTTCTGGCCGCTTCGGCAATCTCTTCTCGTCCAGGTTCTGTGGCGGGCTTGGGTCAGGGTCTGAATGGCTTTTGATCTCATAATCTTCTGCTCGATTCTTCTCCGCTATAAGACTAACAGCTTGCTCAACGTTCCTCTCAAACTCTTCGTTGGTTATCGTTAAGTTCGTCCTGTCCAAATTTTCAATGAAGCTGACCACACCCATTAGAGACGACATGTAATACCCGGCTTCCCCCCCCAGCTTTTCCTGGTTACGGAAGCGCCAGATGTATTGAACATTGCTGACTACATGCTCAGGCCGTGCCCTGAGTACGGTGTAAATAAGCAATGGAACGAAAGAATCTGCGGATTGATCGGCTTTGGCGCTCCGGAGAAATCCAAAGATCACTTTGCAGCAATTCAAAACGCAGATCACTTTATCTCTTGGTGCCCGATATGTGTTGATCTTGAGAAGTTCTTGCTGTGCAAGAGACAGGAACTTCTTGCCCTTGTCACCTACGGCATTAATGTCGAGATGCTCCTCTCGGATCCAGCCATAGATGCGGATCTTTTGCGCGATGACATCGTCGCGCTCGACATCTTCCTGATGCTGCCCTCGACGGCCTGGGCCTTGTGGGTTGGCGGCATCTGCTTGGGATCTCCCAGCCCTTCCACTTTTCCGAGGGCTTCCTGCGAAGGGTGCAATCGCGGGCGAGAAAGTTTGCGAGTAGAGACGATTCATGACAAGCTTTTCCATGCCTTCTCTGGCGTTGTCGAATTCTGCATCCGACACTGTTCGCCACACCTCACACTGTCCCATCTTCTTGGTGATGAATTCCAGAAAATCGGAGATTATTTTCACCTGTTCGTGTACCATCCACTGCTTCTTCGCGAATTCGGTCAGGAATGACCGAAGGAAGCGCGCAACTGGATCTGCAGTTCTGTGTCTTAATTGTTCGAGAAATCGGTGGAAGTCGAAAGGAAGCGCTGGCTCGGGATCCGGAGATGGTGGTGGCGGCTGGAATATGGAAGCTGTTTTATTGCTTCTGATGGATTCTTGATCGTCGGCACAAACTCGCGGGACACTGCTACTACCACCAGTAATGTCCACAATGGCTTCTGTGGAAGCAATCGAGCGAGACGGAACTGAAATAGATTTGTGTGCATCGAGCGCGAAAGGTTCCTTAGATTCGAGACTGGAGGTTCGAGGGGGAAGAACAAGAGCAGATTGCTGCCTTTCGAGCCGTGGTGACATAATTTCTTTCTCGTCCATACCGCCCATACCATCTTGAAACTGATCCATGATGTTTTGTATCTCAGCTCCGGTCGCTTCTCCGGTGTTCGCGCCAGTAGAAATCTCGAGCCCCTCAATTTTGTTCATCGCCAGCTTTCTACTTGAGATCGCATTGGACATGCTGTCCTTCCTGGGCGGTATTGTGAGAGGAGCGAGGCCAGATGATGCTCCTTCAGCTTGTATAAGCGGAGTTTCTTCGACGAAGGGGTCATCTGGGTCGTTTATTAACTCATCATCTGCAGGCACCATTGAAAGATCTTTGCTTGCGTCGGTACGCCCTGCTCGCACGGGTAAAGCATTATCTGCAGCGATACCAGTCGCAACACTAGAATCGTTATGTGTCTGTTCTGTGTCCTCCTCTCCTGGTGTGTGAGCAGATCTACTCGCTACACTGCCTTCTGGGTTTGTTTCTCCAGTCTGAAGGGCTACAGTCTTTTGTTCAAGACGCAGCCCATTTTCATTCTCTACGAGTGTCGATGCTTGTGCCCCACCAATCTCCGACAACCCCGTTCCCTCTATCAGCTCTGTGCTCGATGGATCTGCAGTCTCTTTCAATTCCGGCGCCACTGCTTCCTTGGGGTGAACAGCAAGAACTAGCTTCCCATCGGACGCAGGAGGAGCAACATTTTCGTGCAACGACATTGAGTGCTTCACCACACTTTCTGTAGCAGCAGCAGATGGTGGCAGAACATTGTTTGTGACAACTGGCGGCATATATTCTAGACTTGTGCTGGGGAGCCCTTGAGTCTCAATCGCCTCGCCAATTGGCTTTGACTGGCTGCGGTCGTGGTCATGGTCGGGAGCAGAAGCTGCCTCCAGCGACGGCGCGGTCACGGAATCATTTTCGCGGTCGGCTTGTGCTTCTGCTCGGGAGGCATCTGTGTCGGACATGAAAGACGAGCTCGAGCTTTCGTCCGAGAATTATGGGCGTGTTGTGTCGTACAGCATGCTTTCGATCTCCGGGACCTGGATTCGTTGGAACAGACCAAAGGATTCACAAAGCATTTGACATGAGATTCCAAGAGTGGGAGAATGCTTTAGTTCAAATCGTCTACCACGACTTTGTGTCTCTGGAGTCGGTCGTGAGCATTGCGTCTTCGTTGTTAGTTGTATGTCACATGATTAGCCGCTTGAGGGCTTCGAGCTCTCCACCTGCAGGTGGGCAGGGCTGACTTTGGACGTGATGTTGTTCGAAAGGAAGCGCCATAACTCTCTCCTCGCACTTTTCTTCACTTCTCTTCACTGCATCATCAGGGCTAGTCGCCCTACACATTCGTTCTGTAAGGATCACCATGTGCGGAATATTCTGCTCTGTCAGTCGACACGAGTTTACTGCGCCGTCGCCAAATCTACGCACCCTTCTCGAATCGCGAGGCCCGGACGCGTCGAATGTGATAGAAAAAGTCTCTCAGCCTACGAGTGCAAGCCTATCACCGGTATGGCTTACGTTCCATTCGACGGTCTTGTCCTTGCGAACCGAAATTGTTGTCGACCAACCGTACTCTGCAGGTGCCTCGGGATCGGTGCTTTGCTGGAATGGCGAGGCCTGGGCTTTCAGACATGTGCCAATTAAGGACAGTGATACCTCAGCGATCTACACACATCTGGATCAAGCTTTAGACATTTCTCAAGAAACTGATGCATGCGGCATGCTTGAAATGGTAGCCCTTACCATGGCACAGATCGCAGGTCCCTTTGCCTTCGTTTACTATGACGATCGCAGCGACCGTATCTTCATGGGAAGAGATTTTCTTGGACGCAGGTCGCTCGTGTATCAGACTACTCCCAGAGGAGATATATTGCTGTGCAGTGTTCCTGATTGTGGCTTAGGCGGTGTATGGACTGAAGTGGAGGCTGACGGGATATACTGCGTTGACCTGAGATCCCACTCCATGCCCGAAGAGCTCCACATCAAGGGTCAAGTCCGCTGGGGCGGATTTCGAGTCTACAAGAAAGCCTACGTTCACAAGGATGCTAGTGATCTTGCATGCTCATCTGTAGGTCCGATCGTCCCAGAAGGTAAGCGTAGACTCACGTCAAGGTAGGTCATCCCGCATCTTTCGATGAACAGGCTGATTCCAAGTACAATCCCATTTTTAAGCGCCAATACACCTGCTGTATCCAAGCTAGAGTCACTGTTATACGCATCATTACGCCCGCGTATCACTGGAATTCCAGACCCACCGCAAGCACAACAGGGCATCAATGTTCCAGGAGTCCGAATTGCTATTCTGTTTTCAGGCGGGCTCGACTGTTCGGTGCTAGCAAGGCTCGTTCATGATTTGCTACCAGCCAATGAAGCGGTAGACTTGATCAATGTTGCATTCGAGAATCCTCGCGTGCACAAACTCGCTAGAGATAATCCGTATGAGGCGTGCCCAGATCGCATCACTGGTCGAGCTTCATTCGATGAGTTAGCCACCGTCTGTTCCGATAGACAATGGCGTTTCTTAGCCGTCAATGTGCCTTATTCGGAAACACAACAGCATCGCCCGGAGATAGCAAATCTCATGCACCCACACAATACCGAGATGGACCTGAGTATTGCATCTGCACTTTATTTTGCCGCACGCGGCTCTGGAACTCTGGCACGGCGCTCTAATCCAAAGCCTAGGGCTTACACGACCTCGGCACGAGTTCTGCTCTCCGGATTAGGTGCCGACGAGTTATTTGCCGGCTACACTCGTCACGCTACAGCATTCAAACGTGCCGGACATGTCGGATTGCTAGACGAAATTGAGCTTGATGTTGGTAGGCTCGGGAAACGTAACCTTGGACGCGACGATCGCGTGATCAGCCATTGGGGACGGGAAGCTCGGTTTCCATTCCTGGATGAAGAGCTAGTTGCGTGGGCTTTATCCGTCCCACTGACCGAGAAATGCGATTTTGGCGCTGAAGACACAGAAGTAGAGAACGATGATGACAGTCGGAGACTAGAATCTGGCAAGAAAGTTCTCCGTTGCTTGGCTTGGAGACTTGGTCTAAAAGCCGCCGCTGCTGAGAAAAAGCGGGCAGTATGTCTTACATTCGGTATTTCTGTCTTGACAGATTCCTGCTCACCTTATTTAGATACAATTCGGGGCCCGAACCGCGAAGATGGAAACTGGACGAACGAAAGGCACGCAAGTTTTGTCGTGATTGTTGTTACAGTAAGTTCAATCGTATTTCTTCACTCATCATTGCACGTCCGTGATTACGAAGTGGATTGTTACGATCACTTTACAGATACTTGGGAGATGCGATGGATCCAGCACGCCTTCGAGGAGAGTTGTTGGGCGCTTTAGAGCATCGTTGACCTTCAATACAAGGCAAGTCTGAGGCCTGGCAGAATAGACAACTTCTCACAATCAAAAAAATTGTTTGCAGCACCAATTTCTGATCACGTACATAGGAAATTTGGCTACTATGGATTTGTTATTCACTTTCCGCTCGGCTGCTGCTCAACAGTGCGGAATTCTTTGTTTTCTCATCACTGACAATAGAATCATCACATGCAAGGTCTGGTTCATGTGCGTGAATCAATTCCACTCATATCCCAAGCTTAGCGCCCCCTCATCATGACTACTGCTATATTCACTCCATTCTGCAAACATATACGGCTTCATGGATTGCTTATTGTCGGCGATCGACTCAACCTGACCCAATGCGATGCATCCCTTCCCGCACAGCAGCAGTTGCGTTCGCTTAACATAGTCCAGAGCCAATATCATATCATTACTTTTCATCACCGTGCTGAGTATCGTAGATTTCGCACCGGTGGCATTATGAACTATGGCTATGCTATCATCGACGAATGTTGTCGACGTCACTTCAGGAAATTCCACACACGCTGCAAAGAAGCTCAAGTCAGCGAGCGTGCCGGAGGTTGTGGACCTGTCTTTCGAGGAAGCAAAGCTGCCCACACAGTCTTTGACACCGGAAACAGTCTTTCGCTCATGTTCCGAACCATTCGTCCAAGACAGAAAAAGTTTCAAGGCTCGCCGTCGCAATTTCTTGCCCAACTCTTTTCAGGCCAAGCACGACGAGCTCTATAAAGATGCGTCAAGCCAAATTGCCGGTATCCATCGTTCAAACCACTGGCATTACCAACAAATCATAGACGGCATCAAACTCATCGATGAGCTCGCAGACCAGGCTTGCGCAGAGATTGAACAAAATTCGGTTGAAGCAGATGCAGCGTGCCAAAAGATTGATACCGACTATGTTATCGCATTTGATAAAGCCACCCCAGCCGTCTCGCTGCTTGAAGAATACAGTCGCATCTGCTCCGAGCACAGTAGTTTGGATAAGTCGTGCAAGAGTGGACTCAAGTACAAATTCTCACATCTTGTTTGTCAAAATGACGGAGATATGCACCGCATTCATGAGGACGATTACAGAAACATGGACGAGTCAGCCCACGATGTCCAAGACGAACAGATTCATCTGTACAATGGCCAAGATCCTGTGACAGAAACGCCGCAGACGCCGAAGAGGCCATGTCCAAGTCTGGAGATGGAGGTTCCAGGAGCGCCTTCAAAAAGGATCAGACGATGAAGGCAGAGCGGCAGAGTCCCCAAACCGAGGCTACTCGAAAGGCTGAGAGACTAGAAAGCCCATGATTCAATCATGTGATTTTTCAATGCCTGGTATATGACCAAGGGTTGACTTAATTCTTGCTTTCTTGTTGGGCTTTTTCTCGCATTTGGAAGAACTTTTCAGCTGCGGCCTCTGCGCTGCCCGGCTGATTACTTTCCAGGGCATTTGATGGGTTCGGTTTCTCGGAGGTATCGTTGGGATTCTGCTGCTCGCTGATTGTGGCCGTGTCCTTTGGAACAATGCTGGCGCCTGCTTGTCCTCCAACGGCCGTCTCTGACACGGACGGAGTCTCGGTGGTGGGGTTCGCTGTGATGTGAGAGAGGGTTGACATCGTCGCGAAATCTGAAAGCTGTAGCTGAAAGACGTGTATGATGCTGCAGGAAAGCGACAATAAAACATGTATCGGGAGGTTTCTTGGTTTGATAACGCTTTGCTTATGAAATCAAGCGAACGATGGTGACGACAAGCTATCTGCTTCCGGGGCAGCAAACCCAAGTGCTGAATCAATAGTATTCCAAGGTTGGCTTCATTCCAAGGTTATATTATACCTACCTACCTACCTACCTACCCCTACCTAGGTAGATAGCATGTCAGGCCGTAGTGGGTTGCCCTACAGTACAGGCGTGGCAGGGCAGGAATCTCACTCCCGGATCGCACTTTGCGTCATGCAGGAACATGCACCAAGCTTTCATGGTGCAGCAATTTTAGGAGCGTTCCTCGTTTCTTTGTGGGGCAAGGTCCCAACGAACGGCTTTTGGTGCTGCCATGGGTCCACGGGTGACAGTCTCACTGTGGAATGTACGCGCAAGATCTTCCAAACTCTCTCGAAGCCTCAAGAGGCCATCCTGGATCACCTGGTCGATAGACCTCTTGCTCCCGGTCTCGTTCGGCGCAAGCTATCACGGATTCTGTGTCGAGAAGAGAAGCTCAAATGACCTAGAAGAGTTCTTCGAATCACGACACAGCCATGCCTGAGACTGCATCATCGGGCCAGAGTCTGATCATTTGCAGGAACAAGTGAGTACGTCGCTACATACTTTTTACACCGCCGGTGCGATCCATCGTGACTGGTCGACTGACATGAGCCGCAGACACTGGAAATACATTTCCTCTTTCCATGGACCATGGCTGCAATTACCGCTGGAGATACTCGAGTCATTGGCCCATCAGAACTACACCATGCCAGTGCCCCGAATGATAGATGCCGCTGTCTTCTATGATGTTGTTAAGATTCGTAAGCTGGTAGATGAGGCGGCGCAAGATTCCGTGCGCGCTTCGACCGGACTATCCCAGAGTGCTGGCAATAGACGCATGGACTTTCTTGGCTCAGGAGGAGGCAATTTCATACCATTAAGCAAAGAGAGAGTCTTCAAGATCCGGCAAAAAGCGGTGCGACTGTCAGCTAAAGCCTATGCGCTCGATGAGGTGGCTGCTAGCGTCGCAGTGATGCAGGCGACTTCCGCGATCGAAGACGTGGGTTCTCATGTCCTTAAGAGGGAGCCGAGCAATCTCGGTAGGCTCATCGTGGGGACATGCCGGGACGCTGCGCTCTATCTGACCGGCATTTTCAGACGCAAAATACGTACACTTTTTCCACGAGAAGATACCTTCGCGTGCCATGGCACAATTCACTACGCTCGAACCATTAAGTGAGATAATTGCTTCAACACCCATGGAGGAGCAAGCGGCACCTCTCAGGACCAGGGCACTGGTGCAAATATTCAAGGGACAATGCGAAGGCGCTGTGCTTGATTTGACGTTAGCGCTGAGGACAACAGAAGATATCAAGCGCGTCCACAAACCAGGTCAGCAGAAAGTCGAATTAGCGAGCAGATTGCGCAATGAACAAGATACCCGGCAGAGAACTCAAAAAGACTGGCGATCGGCTCCTTTTCAAAAAGAGGAAGAACAACCACGTAGCCTAGAGATGCAGCTTCTGTTCAACCGTGCTGGAGCTTATTTGACCATTGCGTGCGACAATGTCAACGCAGCCCTAGACGGCCTCCAAGAGTATAAGGCTTCGCAAGGGCCGAATGGGCGGACAGGCGAGGATTTGAAAGCGCAATATCTGCGCCTAGAGGCCAGGAAGAAAGTCAAGAGCTGTGCGAAAAGGGCTTTGAAAGATTACACCGCTTTCCTGTCGCATTTCGATTACACGCCCGGTCTATCTATTCAGACGGCCAATGAAATTTGGCAACAAGTCCACACACTCGCCAATCGCCAGAAATCTGATAGCTCTACTTTCAAGCGTCGTCTGTCAGACTTTGATCCTGGTGGAGTCATTGAAAACGCGAAAGTCCCCCTGACGGTATCAACATTGGTGCGCCAGGGAGCGCATATTACCGATGGCTCCGCACAAAACGATAATAGGTGGTCCCAACTCCCGATTCCCAAAATTTATCGTACGAGCGATCTGTTCGCTGAGAGACCGCCTGCTGATCTTCCACATCTCTTCACTCTGGACACAACCAATGCAGCTTTAAAAAAGGAGCAAGGCCAGGACTCATTCGGCAACCGCGAAGCTGTGACCTACCACCCGCTCCTGACAGATGCGTTACATTCGCTTCTTCTCGCCCACGCACTCGTTCAAACAAATCCAACCGAACTTCTTCGGTATGCACACAATGTTGCAAGATTAGTACGCATCGCTGACGGTTATCCTCTGTTTCACGCCGCGCGGAGTCCGGCTCGCGCTGATTGGGTCGAAGTTCTGCGGAGAGCAAGCAATTGGGTGGGATTATCATCATCATGGCAAAATCTTTGTGCTCCTGCACCGTTGCCAGGTGCGGGGGACCTTTGGGTCAAGAGTGGGCTGTGCCAGGGCGCGCATCGGCCACACATGACATCGAGACCAGGGAGTAGCCAAGAAGAGGAAACGTTTGAGCAAAGGCGCGAACGTGTCAAACGAGAGTCCATTATTGATGCTCTGTCCGACGACCGCGTCGTAGACGAGGTGTCATTCCAGCGGGCCGTGCTAGCACGAGAGACGCGTGCGCGAGATGATGAATGTAGAGACTCCGCTTCACAGAAGGACAAACCAGTAGAAATTGCTAAACCACACCAAAAATCTGCAGTTTCGAATCGACCATCATGCCTTCCGTCCGACAAGAGCGGCCCTCCCTCGCCCTTACAGTGGTCCCAGGACGAATTTGCAAAGGAGTATCTCATCTCGACTCAACGCGCACATGCAATTGCCAGATGGATCAGGGAGTCGCCACTGTCTTTGACTGGTGCTGGAGGCGTGAAAAAGAAGCGGCCTGCGCGTCAAAGGAGGAAATCTATTCCGATAGTATCCAATGGAGCTGCGGCCGACACAGCCAATGTACGAGCAATGGGTGGATTGAGCATCGTTGATGCAATGGGAGTAGATGACAGGCCCGATTGATAATTCAGAGATATGTGTCATGAGAGGCATCGCTCGTGCGTTCCAACCCATCTTCGTGAGCATGCCCATCTCGTCATGACCTCTCTAACGGCGACGATGAGTGGCACCTTCATCTACTGGTCTTCATCATCACCCGATTGCGATTGGCCGCATTTCGTCGCCACGACTGTCATGTACCGTTAATTTCTCGTTCCCTTGTTGTTGGAGAATATGCAGCTGGCACTGTCTTGCGGTGCGAAATGCAGAACTTGACTTTCGGAGTTTGGCCGCCGCTCAAGCAGCAATTGATGCGTCCTCCTTGCCGTCTAAGAAGCGTTCACGCTGGCTGCGGAGTTCTCTGATGACCTTCTATATGTATGTCAGCAAGAGTTTGCCTCCGCATCGAGTCAATCGATGAGGGCATTTTGGGAGCCAACCGCTAGAGCTTCTGGGTTTACACCATTTTCGATGAGCGATACGCAGTGAGCCAGCACGTTGCGATCTAGTTGTGTGTTCTGTACATCATCGAGTGAGATTAAGTAAACATCAACATCATGCGTTCTTTAGATGCCAAGCAAATCACAGCTACACTAGGCTGGAGCACGTACTCACCAGCAAAGTGGAGATCTCGTGGAGGATATCAACGGTTTCGCGCGCCGCTTTGCGTTTGTCTTGCTCCGCAGTCGGGCCAGGCATCGCGCCGGAGGAGCTCGAGTTTATTGTTCAGATTCGGCAGTGGACGAGAGTAGTGTGATGAGAAAGCTCGAACACAACAACAAGGACTTGGTAATCTAAAGCCGTTGCGGCGTGGTTGGTCGACGCTGGAAAATGAGCTGTGTTGGCGTCGCGTGCACTCCAATCTCGGCCACTACTGCACGTGCATCGTCAATACACACCCCGGCTTACCTAGGCATTGTATGTTGGCACGCATCGCAGATCTTTGAAACGCCTGTACTATTCACATCCTGGTACAATCTCAACCGGTAAGCCGTCGTTAAAGGGACACAGTACGAAGTGAATGCCGTGGAAATAAAAACAGACTGTTATCCACAGCGCTACTAGACTTCATCAACGGCTGCCACCTCCGACTCTGGCCATGGTAGTCTGAACAAGTTTCTCTCATCTGGCTGCGTGGTTCCGAGCAAATGGAAGCCTACCCAGCTCATTATGTAGAGCACAATCTGCCACTGCTGCTCGTGTCTGGCCTTGCTAGCAGTGGCGATGGGACTGAAGGGACGTCAACAACGCTGCCCAAGCGACATGAAAGCGGCACACGCATCATCACCGAGTCGCCCAAATGCCAGTCGATGCAACTGAATTCAGCCTTACGTGCCATAGATGGTTCTAATGAGCCATGCAACACGCTGGCTTTGCCCGGACCGGCGGGTATCATGCGATACAAGATCAAGACGGTCGGGAGATCGTACATGCTACCTGCTCGCAAAGCCGCTCCAATGCCACAATCCCCTGGTGCCGATGGTCTCACGCCGCGAAATACTGAGCTCCATTCGCCGCTTTCGCCATTGTCTTTCGGCTCGCCGATATTTCCCGATGGCATCATGACACCGGCTTGGTTTGCTAAGCATCAGGGAGATGTCCCGGCCGTGTTCCTCGCTGTGTTCACTTTCGATACTGGCGAAGCTGCTGCGAAAAATGACGAGCTGCTCAAAAGCGACATCAACGTAATCCGAAATGCGCTGAACCGGTCTGGATTTCGCACAAGGCTTGCAGTAATCATGGTCGGCAATCAAAGCATCCTACAGGCTCCAGAAATTGAAGAAAGGCTTGCGTCAATTCGACGAGCAACGTCTTTGGATGCAAAAACTGGTATCTTCTATATGCCGCCAATGCCTACACAGTCAGAATGCACAATCTTTGTGCAAAACACAATGCTTGCACTTCAAGCATCGTGCGTTGAGTATTATCGTGACTTGAGCAAGCATGCACGACGCAAAAAGGCCCGCAGCGGCACGGCGCCACAATTGCTGTCTCCGTTGGTTGGGGCTGCCCAATCGACCTCCACCTCAGGATGGAATGTTCGCTACGAGATCAAGCAGGGGGCTTTCGCTGAGTTCAGGCAAGAAATGGACGTTGCCGAGCGACATTACGCTGTCGCGATTGAAGAACTCCTTAGTCCGGAAGGAGGGGTGTTCGAGACCACAGTGAATTGGTCCCCACGCTGGGATGAGGCTCGGCTTCTCTGTGACAGTCTGGCCATCCGCGTACTCCGCTGCCATTTATGGGTCGGGAGTACCACAACGGCGGTACAGTTCTGGCAGACTTATCGTGTCCGCATGAAGCACACAATTGATCAGCGAGGAAAAGGCTCTCTGACATACGGCTGGGAAGCTTGGGAAGCTCGTTGGGCAAGCCTCATGTCGGAGCTGATACGACATTCCGATCTTCAGAGCTTGAGGACACCCAATAAAGAGTCTAGCAAAGAAGCCGGGCACGAGATTCCTCTTACAGTATTCGTCGCCTCCGATAGAACTTCAGCATCAAGCGACCGAACCCTGCCATTTCATATGCTTCACCATCCGGGTTACTGGTGGCAACTCGTCACCAAAGGCATTCGATCTAGATGGACGAGAGCATCCGCAATTCCAGCTGAAGATCGCATTCCGCCTTATCAATCACCTGCATCAGCGGTCGTGCATCGTGCAAAAAACTATGACACATATCTCGTTCTAGAACCGTACGAGGAAATCCCTCGATCTGGTGAAATCGGTTATGATTACTCGGGCGAACTCAAAAAGGCTTATACTGCTGCAACTACTGAATTCGACGCGCGAGCCCAGCATCGTATGAGCGAGTACTTACGACTCGAACTTGGGCGTGATCTTGTCCGAGCGGAACGCTATCAAGATTCGATCAATGAGCTTGCAGAGCTTTGGACCTCCTGCCACTGGCGGCACGAAAATTGGCAGGGTCCGTTTGCTGATCTCACACGCTTGCTTTTGACGAGCGTGCAGCATGAGAAATCTGCTCAGCATGCAGCCCTGGTTCCAGCGCTTACATGGGAACTTCTGAGCATCGCGGGTGTTTCGTCGCCGAAATCACCAAACATGTCTGACTGTTTTTCCGGATGGGACCTCCAGCAAGCCGTAGACGTACAGCTGGATGCTCGATCTCGTTTGAGTCCGATTAGTATTGCATCTGCTTTCAAGGTGGAAGAGGGCTTCGTGGGCGATCTCATTCAATGTCAATTAACGCTCAGATACAGTTCTCCGCCAGAATCGGAGCCAATCGTTCTAGGGCACTTGATCGTCAGCTTCGGAGAAAGCCACCAAGTGATTGTTCGACACAAGTCTACGGGGACAACGACGAATCACACGGTCTCGTACATTGCAGAATCAAGCACGAGTCAAACTAGCAATGTCGAAGCATTCGCGGACCTTAGCTTTGCGCCATCGCAGGCGCGGAGCATCACGTTGCCGGTGATTTTGCGTGAAGCGCAAGTTCTAGTTGTCTCGCAGATTGAGCTACACCTACTTTCGGACAAGTATCATTTGACATATACGAGCTCTTCAGAATCTATCAAGCCGAATCAGCATTGGTTCTTGCAATCGGATGATCAAGTGGAAAGCATACTGCTACCTCACTGGGATCTCCAACTACTTAACGTGCTTCCAAAGCCTCCCAAAATGGAGATACACGTACACGACTTTTTCGAGGAATATTGCACCGACGAGTTGATTTGCCTATCGGTTGAGTTGATCAATCGCGAAGCTGATTCAATTCACGCCAGTGTTGCATGCAAGGTCATCGGAGCCGGCGGCGAGACTATACAGGTGGGATGGGACGACATCGAAAAAGCAGAACCATTGCAGTCCATCACAGCGATGCCATCTGGACAGTCGATTTCGTTGAAACTTTACATCCCAGCTCCGAAGGATGCATCGATCTTCACACTCACGATTGACGCGCGGTACACCTTGGAATCAGCAGTCAACGAAGCTCTGGTCAAAAGCCACAGCGCGGAGCTGAACTTTGTCGCACCGTTCGACGCATCGTTTACCCTCGGTGCATTATTACATGAAAGCCCGTGGCCAAGCTTCTTTGACCCGAACAATGACAGCAGCGCAGCAAATCCGGACGGGATCATACAGCTATGGAAACTCACGTCACAGGTCTTGTCCACGGCGAATCGACCTGTTCATATCCATGAAGTTGCAGTCCTTGTGGAAGCCGTCGAGAATGCTGCCTCTTGCGATGTTCTCAGCACGGCCGCTGCTCTCTCTCGGGAGTCGCTCGCGCCAGGAGAGACGATCTCGCCGGCTTTTCAGCTGACCACGCAAAAATACTCTCTAGACGATCGGCGCAACACTTACCTTACTTTAAGTCTCGCAATCACATGGAGCCGGCAGACGGACAGCGATCAGAAGGCGCAGACCGTCATACCAATTCCGCGGCTCTCGATTCCCGCCTCGGAACCACGAGTGCTCTGTACTGTGGCAGACCCGGTCCTGCCGCACACCGATCTCACTCTACAATATACTCTAGAGAATCCTTCATCGCATTTCCTGACTTTTGCGTTGACCATGGAAGCTAATGAGGATTTTGCGTTCAGTGGCGCGAAATACCGTACGCTGAGTCTCGCACCCCTAAGTCGACACCTTGTTGAATATCACATCGTCTTGCATGACCAGTCGGAGGCTGGCGCGGAAGGTTCAGTGATCCTGCCGAACCTTCAGGTGGTCGATTCGTATTACCAGAAAAATTTGAGAATTCAGCCTGGGACGGAGCGTGTCAGGCTGGATGACAAGCGGAACCTATGTGTCTGGACTGGTCCGAGCAGATAGCGATCATGAGCAGTCCCCAATCCTGGAGATGCGCAAAGAACCAGAGCTCCTTACCCACAGACATAAGCTCCGTTTCATGACGCGCAGCTTGCTCTAAGATGTGTGTATGTACCGATGTGTTTGTGGGATGTTACAATGTTGATGCTGCCGCGGATTGGCAAACGCGTTGGCCAGACGATCACGTGCACCACGAAAACGCGCCGCCCCACACAACCCGCTTCGTCACATAGATTCCATCCAAAGCCAGCCTACATGTAGATGCACACAATTATGAAAGCAGTTCGAAGTATTTGCCATGGATCTGGATGCGCAACAACAGAAATTCGCCATTCATGCGGCATGTCGCGAAGGCCAAGATCAAAAGGTTGAAGCCCTGTTACATTCCGATCGCAAGCTCGCCACCCTTCGCGACGATGATGATCGACTTCCACTTCATTGGGCGGCGTCCTATAACCGGCCCAAGTTGATCGAAATCCTTTCGGAAGAGAAGAACACCTTTGATGTTGATGCTGCGGATGGCCTCGGTTGGACCGCTCTGATGATGGCCGCGAGTCTGCCACGAGATGCAGGCGCTCCTCTGGTTGAAGCCCTCCTAGCGCAACATGCCGCAGACCCTAACATCAAGACACATGCCGGTCAAACGGCGTTGTTCTTCGCGGTGTCCAAAGCCAATTTGGACGTTGTGCGAAGCCTCCTCGCCCACGGTGCAACTGCGCGCGTCCGAGACAAACGTCAGCAACTTCCGCTCCATCGGGCTGCCGCTATTGGTCATGTGCCCATTCTGAAGGACTTGCTACAAAAGCAGAGTCCGATCGATACTGCTGACATTGATGGCTGCACGCCTCTCCATCATGCTGTAGCAGAGGGACATGGTGAGGCGGCCGTGGCACTTTTACGTGCGGGCGCAGATTCGAGTAAGAAGGACTCTGGTGGAAAACTTCCCATTTCGCTGGCGCCAGACGCAAAGGTTCGGAATTACATTATCAAGGCGGCGGAGGAGGAAGGTCTTGATGTGGTTACCAGTTAGGTCACATCAATTTGGGCGGGGTGCTACAACTTTGTTATCGCCCGCATTACTCCCGTGCGCGACCTGGGAGGCTCACGATAGACGGCCGTGCAACGTAAAATTTCGATTCGATGTTGCTTAGCAATAAGCTTCCTGCATTTTGCTTAGCAATAAGCTTCCTGCATTTACGTTTGAAGGGCTACTGTACGAGCAATGTGTGTACCCTTGGGTCGATATCGAGGCGGGTAAGAGCAAGAATAGGCGTGGCACGGCAGGCATTCCGGCCTCACAGGGCTGAACTGTAGGTCTAGAGTATGGGTCTCATGAAAGCCATCATTGGGTCATCCGTTTCGACCGCAGATCGATATATGATGAGACAGAGTTGACCCGGCCGGTGCGTCAGAAGTGAACCGTAGAATTTGATGCAGCGCTCGGAGACTCTGGTCCGACGATGGGCGCGACATGTCTGAACTGGCGCGAGGTGGATGGGAAGAGAGCCTGTGTTTTCGTTTCCACTTGTTGATTGTGTTCGCTTCGACTACCAGGTCTCGGCTGCCCTTTACGTGACAAGACCATCCAATCCAAGTGCAGCCCGAGCCGTGGAGGGGATGTACGCGCGCATTGACGGCGATTCATCGTGGAAAAAACTTCCTGGGCGCATTGAGTTGCGAACCGGGCCGTCAGCGCCGACTGGGTAATTGCAGGTCTAGGCTCGAGCCGGTGTCGACGAAACTTTCTAGCCTGCATACCTTATCTCCTGCTTTTCTGCTTTGTCGCACCCATTGACTATCACCACCCATGATTGCTGCATGACTACTGTGTGTAATATGCATTGCTAAAGCGCATCACTAATACCTTGATATCGTTATCCTCGAACTTTTCGCCTTCAGTCGGGTGTTTATCGCCGGACGCCGACTTGTACATTGTTGGGACGTTTTGCTTCTTGCCCTTGACGTCAGTCACTTCCGACGATCAGGATTCCGCGAGAACCGCCAGAAATCTCGCGACAAAGTGCAATCAGACGCGTCATCGGAGCTCGACATTGGCCAACTTTGCTCGATTCCCTACCCATTGACTGCTGTGTGGGCACGCATCAATCTTTCGACAACGGCAACACGACATTACATTTGCTTGTACGACACCACTATCGTTCGACTTCCGTCTCGTCCCAGTACGTGATCGGTCTTTGGACACTATCGACAAGCATCGCCTTCTAGAGCATAATCCAAAAGCAACCCCGCGGCGCGTGTAGCCAGATCGTTGGGCCAGATTCTACGGTCCAGATCAGCATCGTGCCCATATTGTCGACTACAAGTGGGTGGAAATAGCCTGCAGCTGCCGCACAGGAAAGGTTGAGGGTCACCCGGCAGCCACCTGCTTGATCTCCAACCAGAAATTTTCCTCCCATCTGGGAATTGCCGACATATGTGCCTTTCACTGCCGACCGAGAGCTAAGTCGTCATCTCAAGCAATTAATGGTAATCGTCCTGCGGTGTTCTTCACGAGCAACCTTCTTCAATTGCGACATATCTAGGGGAGCACAGCAATGATAGAATGATCCTCTCTTCTGCTCTACTCCATTCAGATCAGCCACACCATCCCACGCCTCCTTGATCTCTTTCGGCCATGTCTTCCTCACGGTTCTCCAAAGACCGCCGGAAGTCTGCTGCAGCCAGGACCGCTTCCGATGCCCCTTCACATGTCCAACGCGACGAAGAATCACTTCTGCTCGGCCTCTCCCACCAGCTGGGCGGTAGTTCCAGTCTCGCCATCCGAGCTCGCCGAAGGTCCCGGGCGTTCTCCACCACCTCAGGTCTCTCCGGCTCCTACACCCTACCTTCCCGCTCATATCTCCATAATACCGTACCCGGCGGTCAAGGTGAGTGGCCTCTGATTCTTGTTAGACCCCGCCAATGATGTGCTACTGTTGCGCCAATGGCTACCTCCTACCAAGCTAAGCTGACTTCGATTCCTTTTACAGAAGCTCAATACTCTTCAGTAGGGGTTCGAGGTCAGACCGCAGAGTTGTCATCCTCCTTCATTGGCGATTCAGACATCAGTCGTCGATTCAGTCATGATTACAGCGAGCTCTACAATTCTGGAGGTATCGGTCGGCACACCGGGCCGATTGTAGAACGATCCGAACCTGTGACGCCAGAAGCAGAAATCGATCCCAGACTTCAGGACACGACCGAGTTCTTCTCAGAATATGCCATATCATCAACTCCCGGTGATGATTGCTCCCGAACATCCTCCTACATCTCAACAACGCAGCCGGAATCGACCATGCGGAACCCAGACGTCATCATAACGCAAGGTGGTCGTGGGAATAGACTTAGTGAGACCACGCCCTTGTTACCACAGGCACGCTTATCTTCGATACGGAAGCCGCCTTCCGATTCAGCAGCCAAATCAGAACGGCAACTGTCATCGACAATCACGGGAGGTCCAGCAGGTCGACTCGCTGCGTTCACACCATCGTTCAAACGTTTCGAACAATGGTCCACAGTGATTCGAGATCCCTCAAGATGGGACGCACGTGCCGTGGCCCATGAGCTCCTCGTTCGACCCGTCAGCGTACTACCAGCAGTGTTCCTCGGGCTGTTGCTCAACCTCCTAGACGCGCTTTCTTATGGAATCATTCTCTTCCCTCTTGGGGAAGAGGTCTTCTCCTCAATGGGTCCAGACGGTGTCTCCATGTTCTATGTCAGCTGCATCGTCTCGCAGTTGGTGTATTCCTCCGGCAGTGTGTTCCGTGGGGGAGTCGGTTCGGAAATGGTGCGTGGCTCTCCGAAAGATACAGGGGGAAATGTACATGCAACGAGAGCTGACAATATTGCATACAGATCGAAGTCGTGCCTTTCTTCCACAAGATGGCTACAATGATCATCGGCGTCATGGGTACGGGCAATCCTGATGCTGTGCGAGCGACTGTTATCACATCATACGCCATGAGCTCTATCCTGACAGGCGTTGTTTTCTTCCTCCTCGGTAGTGCCCGGCTGGGTACGCTCGTCAGCTTCTTTCCACACTCAATTCTGGTTGGCTGTATCGGCGGCGTTGGAATTTTCTTAGTCTTGACAGGCGTCGAAGTCTCCGTTCGCCTGGATGGAAATTTCGCATTTACGGGCGAGGTATTCCAGAAGCTCATTGAACCGCATAGCCTGGCACAATGGCTTCCTCCCTTGGCTCTGGCAATCATTCTTCTAGTGGTCAAGCGGTACTACGACCGAGCATGGCTGGTCCCGGCTTATTACATCGGAATCACTGCCGTATTCTACATCGTGACAACTGCTCTACCATCGGTCAACATGGAAGTCCTTCGCGGTGCTGGATGGGTCTTTGATGCGCCTGATGCAAGCGTATCATTCTACAACTTCTACAGCTACTACCAATTCGAAAAGGTCGATTGGTCTGCAGTGTGGAAGACCGTTCCATCTCAATTTGCGCTCACATTCTTCGGCATCCTACACGTACCTATCAACATTCCCAATCTGGCTTTGAAAACCCAGGAGGACAATGTCAGCATCAACCGTGAGCTCATCCTTCACGGTATATCGAACACGTTGTCGGGATGCGTCGGGAGTATCCAAAACTACCTCGTATACGTCAACAGCGTTCTCTTCATGGACACTGGTGGAAACAGCCGGTTGGCTGGTGTGCTTCTCGCCGCGGCCACAGCTGGACTTTGGGTTGCCGGACCTGTCGTCATTGGCTACGTCCCAGTCATGGTCGTCGCCACGCTCATCTTCTACCTTGGCATCGATCTGGCGAAGGAGGCCTTGGTGGATACCTACGGCCGTCTGCACTCTCTCGAATACTTGACTATTGTCATCATCGCTGTAGTCATGGGTATTCACGACTTTGTTGTTGGCGTGGCGGTTGGTATCGGTCTGGCCTGTCTCGTGTATGTGGTCCAGACATCTCGCAAGCCGGTCGTGCGCGCTCAATTCTCCGGCGCCATCGCCGAGTCCACGGTCCGAAGACCTGCACGCCAGCGTGCCTACCTGCATCGCGTCGGCGCACAAATCCGTGTGGTCAAGCTTGGCGGGTATCTTTTCTTCGGCAGTATTGTCAATGTTGAGAAGACCGTGCGGGCTATGCTCGACGCTGATGCTTTCACGGCGAATCCCATTCGCTTTCTCGTCCTCGACTTCGCTCATGTCACTGGCATTGATTTCTCCGCCGCCGAAGCCTTTGCTCGCATAAATCGCCTCCTTCATCGACGTCGCGTCGAAATGGCATTCGCGGGCGTTGATCTACAGGATGAGGTCGGACGTGGGCTTCAAATGGATGGCCTCTTCATCGAGGTAGATGCCGGCGGTTTGGACGAGGAGCCGATTGCACCACCTAAAGTCTACGAAGACTTGAATGGTGCACTCGAAGCTTGCGAGAACATCCTGCTCATTACTCTGCTTCAAGAACAGCAAAGCGGTGGGGTCCACAGGAGACCCACCAACGGCACAGGCGACGTACAATCTAGCAATAACCCGGTCCCTATCCGAATTTCAGCTGCAGCCATCGACAACATAGCTGGTTCGCCACGCACAGCGTTCCGCCAACAAGCCGCAACACAGACGCTCACTGAGAGTAATCAACATCATTCTCCCACCACTCCCTTCCTGCTCAACACTGCTACCACGCAACCACTGCTGCGACTCCCTCCATCTTCCGAGTCTGCCGATCAACAACCACAGCAATACGATCAACCGCTCCAGCTGCTTCTTCTCGCCTTCCAATCTCACACCACTCAGAATGCCGATTTCTGGTCGCGTGCCGCGCCTTACTTTGAACGGCGCTGCTTCTCGCCAGGCGAGCGTCTATATAGTAGAGGTGACAAAGCCGACGGGCTTTACCTCGTACAAAAGGGCATCTTGCGCGCTCGATATGCTCTAGAGCAGGGCAACTATCACGAGACCATCGTCGCAGGCACTACCTGCGGCGAATTACCCTTCTTCTCCGAGACGCGCCGTACCTCGGACGTGCGAGCCGCAGGCTGTGGAGACGAGGACAGCATTGACAACGATCTAGATCAGATGCCCACAGCATTCGAGTCTTCAACTCCTGCCGGGCTCGCTCTGCCCGATCTTAGCGGCTCAGTCAGCGACCACCTCGCCAGCTCATCATCCTCCTCGTCCGCCGCCTCCACCGCATCAGGCTCATCCTCATCTGCAGCGGTGATTGCCTGGCGGTTGACGACGGCGCGCTGGCAAGCCCTCCAGGTAGAACATCCCGATGTGGCGAGAGAGCTCTTGAAGGTTGGGTTGAGATTAAGCGCTGAGCGGATGAACGCTGTGACTAGCTATGTCTTGATCACAGCGAGCTGAATATGGCTTCTGCGCAGCAGATGTACAAAATTTCGACTTTGTCCAGAGCGTATGGCGTCTGGAGACAGCTTCCTGTTAGTCACGGCATAGCATCTCGAGATTGGTAGGCATCGTCGCTCAGATTGGGGAGAGTGAGAGAGGGGGAGTCCTTTTGGGAACATTATATACCATGCATATACTCGGAATCATTATTCGTGCCTTGTGTTTGTCTTTATATCTCTCAGTCTGTTCGAACGAAGGGTATGGCCTTGGATTGGACTTACTACAATGGAAGCAAGCGCGTTCTGGATCGTATTGCAGCTTTTTCGTCGTCGATGCTATTCGCCTTTTGTGAAGGCATTTTCCTGACACTGGTCCCTGTTTTCAGCGACGCCTAGGCTCGAGAGCTTTCGGGCGACTCTAAGTCTTGAAGATGTGTGACTAGATTCTGTCATGAATTGTCCGATTGGTCGAATTATAGATAGGAGAAGACAAAAGGAATCAAAGAAGTTCGTCAGTATAGAGAACACATGCCGATTCTCGGGAAGATGGATCACGCTTGTTTAACATGATCGTTCTTAATCCGGGCGTGCATTTATGTGGTCGAGGTCGAAACATCGCGGACAGGAGAAGACCCACGCATGATCGGTCTTCAGCGACATCCCACTGCACGCTGTAGCCCATGCACATTGTTGGTTACACACAGCCATGGTCACAACCACGCCCATGGGCACGAGCAAGATCCATCACAGAAGGTCGGGGGGATGTCACCGAAAATTCCCAAGACTTCAAGAGCGCTAAAATGAAAAGTAGATGAATGGTGATCTTCGATCTTCAAGATTAATTAACACTCCGCAATAGTATGTAAAAGACAACAAAAGGATTCCAAAAACAAGCACTTTCTTTCACGAAGACAGGGGGTATTTCGCGGTTCTCTCTCCCATCGCCACCATCGCTCCCGCCAAGTCTCACCTGTGCCCCGAGGACGATTGATCCCCATCGACAACAGAAGAGCGCTCGGCGGATGGTGGAACAATGGATCCATAAAAAGACAAAACAAAACTGAACAAAGAAAAAGTTTGACGGTAGACCGTGATGGCCACTGGCCTGCAAATGTCCACGACCCGAGCTTCTTCGTTGGCTCTCCGGCTCCAAGATTCTGATCACGATCCTTTGTTGTGCTTGATTTTTCTCGATGTCGGTGGGATTATCACCGACATGTGAACCACTGTAAAAGAGTGAATGGAGTTGGATATTAGGGTTCAAGGACGTGTCAGGGATCGGAGTTTGCGGAGACACAACTTTCAAAGCAGTGAATGATGAGGATATGAGCAGACGCAGATGTGTCACGTCATCCGAGCATCGTCGCCTGGCATTTATGCACTGGCGGCAACGGCGGGGGCAGGCTTGCCAACGGAGACGGCCTCAGGGACGACGTCAGCGATAGCAGCTGTCTCGCCGGTGGTCTGGACAACGGGCTCCTCAGTGGTGGTGGCGGCAGCTGGAACGACAGCAGCGGCGGTCTCCTCCTCCTTGGTGGCCTCCTCGGTGGCGGCGACGGGCGAAGTGGGAGTGCTCTCCTTCTTGGGAGTCTGGATACCCTTGAAGGCCTTGCTGGCACGACGGCCGAGGGAGCCGAGGACAGATTGGCGCTTAGCGGGCTCGCTGGTGGCCTCGGTGGAGGTCTCGGCGGGAGCAGCGGCAGCGGTCTCCTCAGTGGGAGCGGCAACAACAACGGGCTCCTCCGCAGCGACGGTGGTGGTGGTAGGGGCCGGGGCGGCGGCGACCTCATCGAGCTTAGGCTCGTCCTTCAGTGCAGCGGATGGGCTGACGCTGCGGGAGCGCTTGATGAAGGAGGAAAGGAAGTTGGACTTCTCCTTGGTAGGAGAGGTGGTGGTCTCGGCAGCAGGGGCGGCAGCAACGGTCTCAGCTGGGACGGCAGCAGTCTCGCCGGGAACGGTGGGGTTCTCGGTAACCGGGATGATGACCTCTGAGGCAGGCTCAGTGGTCGCAGTCTCGGGGAGGACAGGAGGGTTCTCGGAAACAGGGGCAGCAGCCTCGACCTCCTTGGCATCCTTCTCCTTGGCCGGGCTCTTCAAGCCTCCAATGTTGAACTTGCCGAAGATGCTCTGGCGCTTGGCGGGCTTGGGTCGCTCCTCGACGGTCTCAGCAGCGGTCTCCCCGGTGGTCTCTTCAGCTGTGTGAATGTAAGCAAATATCCAAACATTACTGCTGAACGTTGTCTAAGTTGATACGCACCAGCAACGTCAGCCGGGACAGCGACGGGGACAGGGGCAACCTCTCCAGCAGAGGCAGCAACCGGCTCCACGGCCTTGGTCTCCTCAGCCGCGGTCTCCTCCTCCTTCTTCTCTTCGGCGGTCTCCTCCTTGTTGCTCTTCAGGCGGCCAAGAAGGCCACGGGAGGTGGATCGGCTCTTCTGCTTCTTCTCAGCTTCTGGCTCGGCATCGGTCTTCTTCGCCTTGGAGACACCAGCAACGACGGGTGCACCTGTTTACGGGATTAGTTCATTGAATCATGATCGATTCCTCGGAACTTCCAAACATACTCAGCTTCTCAACCTCTGACTTGTAGCTCTCTTGGCCCTGGATCTCCTCCTTGGAGGCCTTGGCGAGCTCAACAGCCTTCTCGATCGAGAGGTACCAGCCATCACGCTCTGCGTCGCTGGTGGCCTTGAAGGTGTGGGTGCTGCTACCGATCTTGAAGGCGAACTGGTGGGTCGGCTCCTTCTTGAGGTCGGTGGCCTCGTACAGAGGAAGGATATCGGCCGGGTGTGTGCGGTCGGTGTCACCCTTCTTGTTGAAGAAGAGCAGACCCTTGCCAGTCTGGGTGGCCCAGGCAGCGATGGGGTGTGCAACATCGGGCTTCTCGCCGCGGAGGAACAGGTCGAGGTTCTGGGACTCGACGGCAGCATCGCTAAGCCAGAACTCCTTCTTGGAGGGGATCAGGGACCTATGGGAGACCAGTCAACATCACGTTTTTGCGTTCGCTGGCCTTGAACCAGACCAGCTATCCGGAAGAACTGTAAGACTCACTTGACCAGACCAGGACCCTTGTATGCAAGCTGGCCCTCGGTGATTGGCTCGACGACGGTCTCACCCGCAGCAGCAGCATCGGCAGCGACGGGAGCGGCCTCGGTGGCAGCAGCAGTCTCCGTCTCGGTGGTGGTAGCGGCAGCCGGAGCAGCTACGACGGGAGCGGCCTCGGTGGTGGCCGTGGTTGCAACGGTGGGAGCCTCAGTGGCAGTGGGAGCGATCAGAGGCTCGGCGGCGGACTCGACGGCCGGAGCGCTGACGACGGGCTGCTGGACTTCAGACATGGCGGATATGATGCTCAAACGTTGAGTGTATGGGTATTGATATTACTCGTGATATTCGTCGATACAAGTCGTCGAGCCGTTTGAGAACCAAGAAATCCAAAGAGAATCTGCCAGATGAACGATGAAGCAGGAATAAGATATTACAATGCCTGGCCGTCAAGGTCGGATCGAGGAGGAGGGCGGTAGAAGCGAGGAAAGATGTGAAGAAGCTGATGTGAAGAGGAGAAGAGAGAACGAGTTGAAAACAATCGAAGAAAACAGTCGAAGAGTCGGGAGATGGATCACGGGACTGGCTCTCGGCGGGCAACGAGGAGGAGGACCATACTGTTCTGTTGCACCCACCAGCACACAGCTGGTATGGCGATTGCTACTGTAATTCGCTACCGATGCTGCTACTCCTGCTACCACGACTAATGCTGCTACTATGATTCCCGCTGCCGATGCGGACCTTGCAATAGAATAACGAGTGGACGACGGTGGTGGTGGCCGTTGACGCCCGTACGTAAGGGTGTGGGTGTGCGATATGAGTACTTGCGTGTGTGTAGGTGTGAGGTTTGTGTGTCATGCGAACGGTGTGTGAGTGGGCGCGCGTACGTGCGCATGTGTGTGTGTGTGTGTGTGTGCGCAAACGTTAAGAGTCGGGACTTTGTCTGATTGTGCGATGCGTGGAATAATAACAACATGAATGGAGTCACTCCGTGAACGTGTCTACTGAAATGTGTGTAGGTGTGTCTGTATATCGACGCTGGTGCGTGATCGATTGATTCTCTGATGCGGGAACAGCAAACAACCGCCCACTTGGCCTGTGCCGGCCGCGGTCGAGCATTCTTTGGTGGTGGTCGGGCCATGCCTATCCATCCAGGGATACACGATGTCCCATGGCTAGCACTCACTACTGGTCGTGTAATAATCAAGACAACGTGTTTGCGGTACGGTGTGGACTCATCATTAATCTTTCGTCCGTGCCAAACGGTGGTGGTTAAACGTCTTTCAGGGAGGCCCCATCGGCGCAGCAGCGGTGAGGCTGGTTGTTGCGCTGCTCCCTGACGATGCGAATCACGCTGATAAGGGGATGTATATGTACGGTACACTGGGTGATGGAGAGGTCATATCGTGATACTGAACACATCATGAATAATAAGTGAAGTGAGATGAGAATGGTCGCCAGTACACCACGGTCTCCAAGGTCTGTCGTCTGGCCATGGGATGTGATGGCTGCATTAGTGTCTTGCTATCAGTTGTCACGAGTGAATGAAGTACAGTAGTGGGACCGCCCTAAGAAATTTCCCTGCACACCTGTGCACATGCGAAAAGGACCCTCGTCCCAGCTTTTCTCTCCATTTTAGTGCCTGCCCGGGTGTCTATGTACTCTGGAGCAAGACTGATTATAATTATTATTATTATTGTTGTTGTTATTATGATTGTGTTTTAGCCCGGGGCACGACACCGACAGCGTGACACGGACCCTGAGTGGACGTTTTGGCGAAATTACCTCCAGAACGGCGGGCGCCGGCTGGGCCCTATCATTCATCCCAAATGTACCCCTACAATACACACTACGAATAACGAATAACAACCTTGGAGCTTGTAGTATGTACACACAGGTCTTAGGTTCCGGATTCGCACTGGTGAACTTGTATCTCGTCACTCCATGACTCTCGCGTCAGATCTCCTCCAACGACGGCATACACATCGATGGCGCATGCTCTGGGTTTTCGAACATACCTGGGTCTTCACGGAACAATAATGGGGCTGGAAGGCCGCTCATCCTGATCGCGTCGAACTCGTGTTTCCCAAGGCTAGGGCTCATTTATCGTGTCGACCAGCTTATTATCACGAGATGTGTGCTCTATCTCGTCCACAATCTTCTCGCCAGAAGATCGCCAGCACCGGCGTCTTCTTCGGGAAAGTGCAGTGCGTGAAGGTCAACCTATCGCTGGAACAATTTCGGACGTTCCTACGAAGACATGAGTCAATCTCGTTTTTGTCGTTCAGCACAAGGTGATGACCATCTTGTGGTCTGCCCGTCTTAACTGAAGCCCGCTCGCGCGGAAGATGTCGCGGTGTTCACGCCCAGGCTGTGGGCCGAACAGCCATGCCGCTTGGCCGCCATCCATGCATGCATGTCATCTCCCATGAGCGACTTTGACTTGGTAGAGTACAATACACGGAGATCTCGCGAGGTGACGGCAAATCGACGATCCTACATGTCATCAATACTGGAAACTCTCGCACGAGTCGAACCAGCATCTGTTAGAGCTGGTGGCTTCTCATCGAGTGATACATGCGTGCAATTGACTTTGTAAAAACAATGCCCTCTACATTGTTCATGGAGAGCCCGTCGATCTCTGTGTTGACAAAAACGAGGGGTTCGACGACAATTTCGGAAGAGGATCACCACCCATAGACTAGGAGATGGAAGGGTTCCACATCAGCTATGACCTGCATCAACGGTCGCGTCAAAGCATTCTCATCAAAACAGCTCATCGGCGGATTTCCAGGGGGACAGCACGGGAGAGACGGCACGAAGTGTTTCGAGGTCGAGCCGCTTCCCAGACAGGGAGACGTCGTGGCAATCGTGAGGAATTGCGTACGACGGTCGTCGTATGCCTGCTTCATCCTGGAGTCCACAGGGACATCGATCAAATTGCTTATCTTCCGAGATCTCCATGCTTTGGAGTGCATGTCCAGGCCTGAAACACAGCAAAAGAGTGTGTTTCACTGGTGATTTCCTGTACCACTTCACAGTGCCATCTCCATGTCAGGGCCCTGTTGCGCATTTGGTCCTATCAATTTGAACAATTGTGTCGTTCCCAACAGAGTCTGCTGTAGATATTCGAGGCTTGGGCAGACATTGCCAACCCTAAGCGGGAAACTCCCTGGGCCAACCTGAACATTGAACTCTCCAAGGTCCTGTTCGTTTCAGATCTGATGGCCTGATAGTGAACATGACATTCACGATTGTGTGGAATTTGATAGCTCACTCGCAGGTGATTCGGGAAGACTTTGAAAGCTTTCCGAAAATTGACCGTGGCATGGAGATTTCATCACACCTGCTACTATTGTTCGCAGGACAACTCGATATGATGTTGCCCGGGCCCTCCAAATGCCCTCCAACAGCGTAAGACAGGTTCTCGCAAGCCCCCACGTATCATATACTATGGTGTCCTCGCGAGAGTTGATGCGAGTCGTACAAATGCCCGTCAATGCATTATACGGTGATAGGATCTTAAGCATACGAGAATGGTGCATCTGCGTCTCTCTATTGTTCCCATCACTCAACCAAGAACCCACGAAATATAGCAGGTGACGCGTGGTTATACTGACGCGGTGGCGTCATTGCAATTCCTCCGATGGTTAGACCATGGCCACCGGAGCGAGGAAAGTCATCGCCGACAACTTCTACATAACTGTGACTGCTGCTGTCAATAGATCCGCCTGTGGTGCGGCAATCATTACGCGCGTGTTGTATGAGAAATTGGTTCATCACACTCTTACATCGTCAACATTGCATTCTTTTCTTAGGGTCATCTCTATGTGCATGCTCGGACGGACGATGACACAGACACAACGAAACAGTCCAGCTACCCTCTGACTGCCTCCCAAGCCACTATGAGCAGCCATGGTAAGTCTCTTTCGGCAAATTGGATATCTGTCCGGCCATTGGCGTGTAGCTTACTGACCCATTCTCCGAACGCAGGGTTGCTGTCAGTCCAACAATGCCAATCGCACCTCTTCTAGTGATGTCGCCGCCGTCCCGCACCCTCAATCGCAAAACCAAGGATCCTATTCTTATAACCCGACAACTAATGCCGCAACATCTGCCCACGCTGTCTTGAGCGGTCTATCTGCATCGATCCCACATTCACGGCCCAATGCGCGCATACGCGCTCCCTCTCCAATCGCCCGCAGCCCGCGCAACGTAAGTCCGCAGCAACCTCCCTGGACGCGATCGCATCTGGAGCGGCAGCGGCAAATATTCTTCGAGACTCGCGTCGCCGGTCGGAAAGAAGTATGGGATGTGGTTCGCGCCGCGGCGGACGCATTGGTACGAGGTCAACTTGCGGAGGCGCAGGCACTCCTGGACGCCGGTTGCGTGACCTGTCCGACCGGCCGCGTTGCCAAGGGTCGAGCAAAGTCGGATCGTGAGCGCGGCGGTGTCTACGACGATCGTGGGCGTCTATATGAGGTTCCGGAATGGGTTTTGCGGGATCCGGACGACATAGTCGAGGATGGCAAAGGCACTGGGCTTGACGGGTCGCACAGCGAGGACAGAATTTTCGGTACGACAGGCGATGACGAAGGAATGGACGAGGAGAAAGAGGATGGGAAAGAGATCAATGATGGAAGTGGAATGATTGGAGAAGACACAGAGGCTGGCAATGATCGTCTTGCCGACGGCAAACAACTCCGAGCCCTTCCCAAGATTGCAGCACAAGGAGAGAAAGGCAAAGGTCGTGCGCTCGACCTCGGCGAGATGCAGCGTGTACGGGTGCGCCTCAGCACCGGCGCGAACGACGTCGAGGTGAACCTGGGCACTCTACAAAGGGTGGCTGTGCTGCATCGCCTTCTTCGCGCCCGCGTGCTCGGCGATCAGGCGCAGGTGCGCGTCTTCTATCTCGGTCGGGTACTTGATCCATCAAAAACGCTCTTGGAACAGGGATGGAAGGCGGGCGACGTGCTCAGCGCATTGGTCCGCATCGAACCGCAACAGCAGCAGCAGGAATAAGAAATGACCATTGAAGGTTAGACGGGACATCACACTGGGAAAGGTTTGGGGATGACAAACATCGTCATATGTTATGTGTCGAGTGGCTCGATTGGCATCGAATGGTGGGCTTGACATGCCTACAGGAATTGCATCATTTCATTTTTTGCAACGAATCGTTTTTACGAGGAGTTTTGGCATTTTCAATGTTACCTGGTGGATCGCGCATCTTAATAGATGATAATTCCGAAACTACCTCACAGTTGGGCGGAGGAATCGTAGCCTTATTTATGGCGTGCAGTGTTTCCTTCAATTTCAAGGTCCCTCGGCCGACGGCAGTGGACAGAAACCGGCCGTCTGTGGCCTTCTCCAGTCAGTAGAACGCAGGTCTGTTCAAAGCCCATGTATCAGCATGAGCTTCGACTGTCGGGCGTGTACAATAGTCGGATTCATCTTGCCTCAAGCATACCCAGCATCGCGGCCATCTCTTTCAACCCTAAGAACCGTGGTTCTCAAGGCTCCCAGGTTGCCTAATGCTCAAGTGAGGTTGAAGGATGAGTCAGCCAGTACTTCCGCGGACATCAAGTGTGATACAATAGAGGATCTCGGATTTGTGAGCGTGCCCCCAACTAGCTCATTCTTCATCACGTCGGACTTTTGTGATCGTTCCAGAGTTTGCTAGCACCTCACAAAAAATGCACGAGTCCACGGCGCATGAGGCATTCTCGTGCACAGAAATGCTGTTGTTATCCTAAAAGACAACTTCGATAATACGCCAGCCACCACCCAGCTGGCCCTGAATGCCGCTTCGGCGTGCTCCGCATCAATCTGGTGTCCATCGAGTCGCTGCCATTGCGCTATACCGCGCTCTCCTCACACAATGCACTTCCGTTCCGCTCCCCTCGCCATGTCTTGACGGAATTCGCAACATCGTTCGCAATCGTTTCCGCGCTACACGATACGTGACAAGTCATAGGCATCTTCACATATATTTCGACGCCGGCTATGAAGCTCTCGACCACCTGGACGCCGCTGCGGCTGGTGTCTCCGAGAGCGCCGTGTATCTTGATGATCTGGTGGAGAGGGCACCCTTTTGGATGAAAAGGTCACCTAGCCTCGCGCAGCAGAAAGAGCATGGGACGAGGAAGCTTCCTCCTCTAACACCTATTGATCTCAAAGCACTGAAACAATGGACGCCTAATTATTTGAATCGACCGCTCGGCGTGAACGTTGTGTCATCGGGAGCTAAGACGAATGACGCGCTATCGGGAGCTCACTGCGAGGAGCAAGATGGGCAGCGAACCAGAGTCAGTGACTCGGACGTGCAGGGAGCGGAGGCGGCGTTGTCCGATCCTATTTTCAATCGTCCGTTGCGGTCAGACAAATTAAAAGGGAAGCGTCGGGTTCCCAGGCTAATATCTGCCAACATGATTCCGATACTGCGTGTCGATAAGCCGCAGCCACCCGCATTGTCCGGTTACATCGCGAACCGCATCACGCGACGGCATGTACGAACTGAAAGGTGGCATCGCATGGAGCAGGAACTGCGCGTGGCTCAGCTGGAAGATAGATGGGACTCGCTGATGGCCAACTTACCGCGATCCGGGATTCAATCGGATAGAGCCAGTTTGGGACGAAGAGCTCTGAAGCCGACGAAGCAGGTTCCAGGTCCGGCGCAGTCTGCGGCCTCTCTAGATCGGGCTGAGCCGGCCTGGAGCTCGGCCATTGTTAAAGCCATTTCTCGAGAGATCGAGGCGAACCAACGAGAGCGCGCCAAGAACGCACTTATCGCGAGCAAGATGCAACTAGTTGTCGAAGCTGAACAAGCCGCATTTGATTTGGAAGCTGCCGTGTCAAAGAGACAAAAGAAGGAGAAGAATGAGAATCATTCCAAGCGACGGTCCGATCGAAAACAGTGCCAGGATGTGCATTTGAGAGTCGAGCCTGAGAGCGAGACCTTCCTGAATCATCCTGCAGAAAAGACTGCGACAGTGGCGCGCACATCACAGACCACCTCAGAATCGCATCCGGACGGACTAGAGGTCGCCCACGACCGCAACAAACACACGGCAAAGACGGACACAGTCAGGGGAGGCTCGGTGACTCTCGGTCTCGGGCCCACGCTTCCTCTACAGACCTCTTGTGAGAGATTGTGGAGGCAAACTTGGACAATGAGCCGAGGGGAGTCTGATGACAATGTGCATGACCATTCACGCGACGAGCCTTCTGAAAGGATAGGTGCGTCCATCAGTAAACCCGCGCGTTCCCAAGAAGATCACAATCTACTTATAAAACGTGATACATTTGTGCGCCGTAAGACAGAAATTGACGCTCGCATCCGGGATATTCCTCGACAGTCTACGGAGTTTAACTTGGCATTTTCGAAACTCAAGGCTATGATGAACACTCGGGCAAATAATCAGATGATGCTCTTAAGAAAGGTCCAGAAAGCAGCTGACGAACAAATGATAATAAATAAGGCCGCAGAGAACTGCGCTGGGATGCTCAGTCGGCCTGATGATTTCCTTGCTCTCTACGGTGAGCGACAGGCAGTATTGTCCGCGCTGAGGGAAATTAACGCTTTCCTGAACGAACCAGAGTCAGGCACCCCCGAGCAGAGAGCAGAACTTGGTCGAACATGGCGCACGGTGATGGGGAATAATGTAAATTTACCTGACTGGGTGAAAGCAAGTGCAGGCCTAAGCGCGTGGATGCAAAGTCCCAAGGGACAGAAGGATTGGCTGTTCATGGAGCAGCGTAAAGCCATTGGGCAACAGGGGCTAAAAGATCTGTCCTCGGCGCTGGATGATGTCTTGCGTAATGCAGATTTCGATGGAATCCCCCGCAACAGGCGAGGTCATCGCGCAACTGGAAGCATGAGCAATGACTACCGGCGTCCTGCCTACGATGACCTTGACCAGGATGAGAGCGGTGACTACCAGCATCCTCAAGCTCTTGACCTTCCTGATCAACAAGACGGGAATAGCGCTGCCGAAAGCCCCTTTCAGTCCAACGAACTTGACGAACATCTGATTAATGCTAAAAGCACTTCCACGTCAGGCCCGGTCATAGGCTACCTTGCACCGCCTAGGACAACGACTACTACGACAACGACAACGCCCGCAGAGCGAGAGCCTACATCACAAGCAGGCGCGGCCCATACTGTCCAACAAGAACAACAAAACCACCATGTCGTGCCAGCCAACCCCAACTTCTCTCCACTTGGAGATAATTTAACAACAGTGCCAACGAAGACAACTTCAGTGAAGTCAGAACATACATCCCAAGCGGACGCGGCGGCGACGAGGCCGACCACGCTTGCAGAGCCAGCCCTTACATCTCAAGCAGACGCGGCGCCGACTATCCAACAAAAGCAACGATATCGCCTACGCTATTTCCCATCACGCAATCCACTCCCGTCATTACGCTTCTATCCAGTCGCCAGCACCGATAATCGCGAGGTCAATTCGAAGTCTATGATTGCGGCTCCGACAATCCAAGAAGGAAAAGAAGAAGAAGAAGCACAACCACGTATCGCGTCACCCTCGCGCGAAATCACATCAGCAACCCTCGCAAAACCCGATCTCACAACTACGACAACGCCCGCAAAGCCAGAATCGGTATCGCAAGCAGATACGGCTTCGACTGACCAACAACATCTCCCGGCGTTCTTCCGCTATGTGGCCCCACTCGTCGAGAAGCCCAACGGGCCCCCACCCCCGCGTGGCTGGCAACGCAAGAGAAGGCTGGCGCGCAAGGAGATGAAAGCGAAGTTGCTCGCCCGGCATCAACTCGAACGTGGAGTTCAAAAAGCGCCCGGTGGACAGCCCTTGGATCCCGCAGTAGTCGTCGGAGATCTGTCATTTGCCATCTAGAACCCTTCATAGTCAATGTGTATTACTTGCTTTCTTTGTTCTCATATCATTTCCGAGCCGAAGTTGTGGCGGTGATGAACCCTTGTGATAATTTGCTCCTCAGCATAACTTTTCTCCGACGCTTAGATCGAGGTTGGCATGGTTCGACCTGGGGCGCAAGGAACGGAAGGTGGAAACACGAGGGGGTGTATCATTGATGTCTTCGTAAACTATTTCTCATACATCGTTTTCGATCGTGATGAAGCATAGCATCCTCACCGATCATCACCTGCACACTCGACATTCCCTCTTCTCCCGTTCTGATCTGGTCTGCGCACGCCCGGGTTGTGCGATACGTAAAAATGTGTTATATATGTACATGCATTCATCGAATTCTCGTCGGACGCTAGCTCAATGGCGGGAGCGTCATGCTCTCAAGCGTCATTATCCGTGGATCTTCACCAGACGGAAACCAGACGTGAACGGAGCGGCAGAACTGATCTTGCTAGCTCAGAATTCAGCTCTCTTCGAAGCTCGGAACTTGGTGCTCTGGTGATGGATCTCAGACTTCTTTGAAGCCGGCGATGTTTGACGAGGGATGATTCAGCATTCCTTAGAGTCCTGAATCGTACACCTTTGTGAGACTCGTCTCGTACTGGTGGTGTGCGTGCAGAAATGACGCAGTAAATGCTACAGTTGATACCATCAAATCTGGGAGGTGCCAGAAGGAGACTGCGGCGTTGCCCCGAGCCATATTTTTGGTGCCCGGGAGTCAGGAGTGCTCTTATTTTGTAATCCAGTACAGTATGGGAACTCCCCAATTATAACAAAAGACACTGGTGCTCATATTCCGACACTGTTGATGCCACTGCTGGACGGTGGCGCCGTGCTCTCCTCCGTAAAGCTACGACGCCATGCATTCGGCATTGACGATGCTGACGGAGGAGGGTTGTAACCGGTCCAATTGGCGAATTGCTGGGCGGGATGACCATGTTGCAAGAGTTGAGTTTGATGTTGTGGTGGTGGCGAAGGCGTGTTCGCATGCGGGACGGGATATAGTGATGAGGATGGGTATTGGCCTTGCTGTGGCAAAACTGGTAGAAGTGGGAGAGCAACATAGCTCGGACTGAGACCTGCGCTTGTGCTAGCAACGGTGCTGGTATTGGAAAGGGTATTGCTGCTGAGTGTGTAGGCAGAGGCGGGAGACAAGGAGCCCTGGGTGCTGATTGGATAGGCAGCATTGCTGCCATTGGTGGACACAGCGCCAATAGAGCCAACTGAGTTGTGATGCCACTGTTGTGGTGAATAGCCCGATGTTGGAGATGTCTCGCTGACAAAAGTATCACGCAGACGATTGTTTAGAGCCTCAAGGATTGACGACGTCTCTTCACGATAACGCTGGTTCCAGCTGTGGTACGAAAAGAAGTTAGCATTGCTTCTCTCGAGCTGGGCGGGGATTAAAATGTAGTCGAATGGATGTACTGACCTCATGTAACCCCACCGGACCCCGAAGCATAAAAGACATTCGGTTATCTGTCTGATGCAGGTGATGCTTCGCGAGATATTGTTTCGTAAAACGGACTCGCCTTGTGGCAAAGTCACTGATGGCATCGGTGGAGGTGGTGCGGTGGTCGGCTTGACATCAGGGAGTGGGGGTGGAACGCCATTGAGAACACCATCCATGTTGTGCTGCAAGACGTCCAAAAACTGTCGACCCGTCATGTAAACGCGCATGGCATCATAAAATGTCAGCGGGGTTGTGTAATTTGACGAATTGACTAAACGCAGCATGAGGTCAGCGTAGCGAATGCAATATTCGAAAATCAGCTTCTGCGCGTAAAAACTGATGACGGGCACCCGCGGCGAGGGTGACAGGATGTAGATGGACGAGTAGAGCAATTCGAGCTCGAAGAAGGAATGAGTGTTCTCAGTCAGCGAAGTTGACAGACCATCAAACCACTGCCTCATGGCATCACATGTGTCCCAAAGGTAGGGATAAGGCTCCTCCCAGGCTACGCGCCCAGATTGAAAGAGATCCGTGTACCAGACGGACTGTAGCCTGCGTAGACTTATAAGTTCTGTTGCCGCTTCGCGTGTTCGATTGAGCCAAAGCCCTGGCGAATCCTGTGCCTGTGGAGTGCTTGGAGCAGACGAGGCCGTTTTGGTGGCCGATGGTGCTTTGACCTTGGCACTGTCGTCGGAGAAGGAGAAGGCACGGGTTTGGACCAGTGAAGTTGACCGATCGAGGGCATATACACACCAGAAGATGCGACGGCGTAGGTCGAGCTTCCCTTTGGGCATCGGAAGACCTTTAGGTGGATCCTGGTGAATGCCGAGATCGACCATCGCGCGTGACGCCGCACCGATCAAACTCCATGAATCGAAATGGTGTGGATCTAACATGGCGTATTCTGTCAGAAGCACCAAAGCCTGAATGCTGGACACAGAGCCCGGCCGGATGACCTCTTCAGTGCAGTTCATCGCGGCACATACATGGCCCAGGGCGTCAATGTAATGCGGATCACCACTTCTTTCGGACATTGAGGCACTGGCGATGGCCATGACGATGCGGACCATGAAATGGTCTTGCATGTCGGCCTGATGCCCGTTGTGAGCGTATATATTGTCCAGCGACGCATACAGGTTGGCCTCATCAAGAACCGGAAGTAGAATCAGTACGTTCGCAAGATAGTGTTGGATCAATGCCGTCGCTGCCTGTCGTGTCGGCAAATGCCGAACCATACCCTCAGGCAGAGGATCCTTAGTACACGCAGACATGATAAGTCGCGAATATGACATGGTCGAGGTGAATCCGTAGAAATCCCTGGCAGTAGCATGGACGGACAAGAAACCAAAATCAGCGACCAGATCATCCATGGTCGCGGCCTCCTTTCGGCGGACAGCCTTGCTATTTGGCGGCGCCGGCGCATCCCTTACGAATTGAGAAGGACGTCGACTGGGCGGACCTGCAGTCATGTCTTCATCTGCGATGGAAACCACTGAGGGCTTGCGAGCGCGAGCCTCAGCCAGCCTGGCTGTGAGCTTTTGCACCTTCGTCTCTAGAGTAGCAACGTAACTGCGCTCCTTGCCGCGAGCGAACTGATCGTTGGTGCTGGTACATTCAGCTGCTCGTCCATTCTTCTCACACGATGAGCAGGCAGGTAACTTGCCATCGCACTTAATCTTCGCATTTCGGCATCGGGAGCATGCTGCTACGGGCCTATTCAATGTGAAGGTAGAACAAGTCAGCTTCAAGCATTGGCGGAAGCTGGAACAGAAGCAACAGGTTCAATGCTCACCTCGAGACCCTGAGGAGAGGTGTTTCGAGCGGCATTAGAGCCGCCGTTTGTTCGATATCGTCTATGTCCATGGTGAGCGGAGTTCCGGCCATGTTGAAAGTCCCCATCGAGAACGCGATGGCTCATATACTGAGATGAATGGAAGTATCGTGGCGCAACAAAGTCATAGTGAGCAGAGAGAAGGATAGATGTGTTGCAAAGTGTGCTATTTGGACATGAGGTGAGAGGTCAAAATGTGAGGTGCTGCGTTGCGATCAGGTGAGCCGGAGTGGGCGAGGAGCCAGGCCGGCAGCGAACGCCATACACTTCGCGCTTCATGTCGGCGCAGTGCACAGCATAGCATGGCTGGCGCCACAACTTTGAGTGCACGCCTGATGAAGGTACAATGAATGGCGGCGTGTGCAATCCAGCGAATCGTGATAGCCTAGTAAGAGGAAAAAAACGCCCGTGGTTCACACATGTAAAACGAAGAGTGAAATTAAGAAACATACAAGCAAATGGCTTACCTTTTGGCTTGTCTTATGCGTCGGTGCCGCTCAGATCAGCATGAATGAGATATGATCGACGCGGTCGACAGCTGCGACTGCATTGATATATGTCTTTGTGTGTACTGACAGATATGTAAAATAAGTATGCAGCTGGGTTTGTGTATGGTTGTGCAAAATGTCGTCGATTGCCCTCTAAGCGGTCAATTTGGATTCCGAAGCAGTAGATCAGCCATGAGATGTTTACGACAACTCTTCGTTTCTGAGAGAGATGGCTCTGTACGAATTGCTTTGATGCTCGAATTTGATTATTTGTTCTGTTGCGATTTCCACTGTGGGTCCGACTTTTGTCGATGCCGACGAGCCAGCCGAGAGATGGCACAACAAGGCGCTCTGCAGACCGGTCGCGAGTGAAACTCTAGAGGGGGTATGAGACGTGGATTTGTTAAGAGCAATGTCGTTACTGGACTGCAGATTGACGCAGGTAGCTATAGTGCTGACGAGGCGTCCAGTGTGCGAGAGGCTGTGGAGGTGGTGGAGGAGTTCGTAGCGGTTGGAGGAGGACAAAGAGTGCGGTGGAGTCTGTGGATGGTAGAAAAGCGGCGGGTGAGCAACAGACGGTCAAATACAGAGTCGGTTATGAGACAGACCTGTGGACAGCCCGGGAGAGCCTAGGTAGCTTCGGTAAGCAGCAACAGCAGAAACGACAGCAAGAGCAGCAGCTGGCAAGAGGAATCGAGAGGGAAAGATTTGACGATAGAATGGGAAAGCTTGACCCGGCCGGGCGACGGCGACGGCGACGGCAGCGGTAGAGGGAAAAGATTGTGCTCGGAACAGGTCAATGCCGGATGCAGTCTGCCCAAGTGTACTGTATCAATGGACAGACCTCCAGGGCTGCTTTTCACGCGGCTTGAATATCGACCATAATAACACCGCGGCATGAAAAGAGGTAGCAGCGACGACTTCTAATGTAACTAGGAGGAAATTCGAGGTCTCTACATCAATCGAGGGCATCCGCGACTACGTTCGTCACATCTATGCTGCATCATGATAGTAAAATACGTCACTCAGCCTTTACCACACACGATGATCGTGCCACATTGAGTTAATGGCGCTGACTGGGTTGTTGACCGGGAATACTCGTCTTTCACCAAACACACGTGAAATCTTGGAAAAGAGCGCGCGTCTGGAAAGAATGATAATAATCATGAATCGAGCTATGGTTATACGAGCCGGACTCCTTTCCTTGCCGCTGGGCTTATCGCACACTCGATCGTCGGTGCTGGAGCTGGACAGCCGAGCACTAAAAATGAGACCGGTGTCACTTCGTCTACGTAAGCGCGCACGTATGCCTAGATGTGATACGGATCATACCTCCGCATTCTCTCGTTGGGTATTGCATTGCAATCACGTCTTTGATCACACCTCTAAGCAATTTCAATTGCTGGGGCGAGCGACCACCTCGAGATGGGAACGGAATAGACTATCCAGTGGGGGACCGGTAACTCACAAGTGGCTGCCATTGCACATTCAACCATGTGGCCATCGTTGAGCCAACCGAACGCCCAAATGACACGGGTACCTAGATAGGTAGGTAGGGATGCACTTCCACAAACGTTGTGGGCGAATGTCCACGGGTGTGCTAGTCGCGCGCAACTGCACTTTCCAACCAGCACGCCCTCGACGCCCAACAAATGTAGTGTGTGTGGTGTCTCAATCCTCTGGCGACTATGCATCCCGCTGCAAACCCCTTCCATCCGTGGCAAGACAGACACGCCACCGATCTGTCACAATCAATAATCTATACTAGGATTCAGGAAGCGGTAAACATAGCCAAGAGGGTCTTTGTTGCATGACTTCAGTACGTACCATTCCGCTCCCTGTGCCCCGTGTCGCACCCACGTCCCGTCGTGAGTTGTCAGTGCCCCGCTGCATGTTTCTGAGACGCGACTGATGGAGATAGAGGATCTTACTGGGTTGTTCGCTTGTGTTGTTGATCGTCGGTAGGCAGGATTAGAACAAGAATATCTTCCTTGACCACGAAGATGTCGCGCGAAAAGCCAGTTCAGGCCAGCCGAGAACGAGCGAAACGAGGTGATCCAAGCAGCTAGGTTTCAGGCGTCGGAGGTGGGAGCGATGCGGGCGCGCAAGCGAAGGTCGCCAAGTCTTTCTTTCATGACGATTTTTCTCTCGCCCAGCAAGCTGTGTGATGAGAAGCTGAACCCACAGGAGCAAACATTTGAAGAGATGTACTGCTAGAACACGAGAGTCTGGGAGAGCATGCTCCGTGAGGTTCTGTGGGTCCTAGATTTTGGGACACCGCCGAGATCACCTGGGCATGCATGACACTGTACAAGTGACTCGTGTTGGTCGACTGCATTTTCGTGGACAGGGCGGTCGAATCTCCGCAATTCGTCGACCCTGGAAACATTTCTCCCCTCGCTGATCCTCCCGCATCCAGCCCCGCCCAAATCATGGGCCTGAAGCTCCCCCATTGCAGGTGCATTGCGTCTTGCTCAGGCAGAGTCAGAGCTGTGGCTTGCGTCCTTAAATTCAGATGCCACACACGCGCGCGACATGCCGACATGCTCACCAAGACATCCTGCGCGTGCCTGCCACTATTTGCAATACTCTCCAGTTCTGAAAAGCCCAACCATAGGGCTCGTCCCATATTCGATGTGCATTACTATACGGTATGAAGGTACAGTTACTTGGAAATATCGCCCGTTATACGAGACGCGATTATCACATGCACGGCTGTCTGGTCTGGGCCTCTTTGTGGCTCTTTCGGCGGAAAATAATCGATGACTTCCAAGGCTGAAAGGTTTTCAGCGTCCAATGTTATAGCGTCAATGTAAAGGCTAGCATAGGCAGACGTGGCAGACAGCCCTCAGGGCGGAGGACTCGCTTGGGATCCCCAACATGCGGGTATCGCGCTACGGCGCTCTTGGTCCGTCACAATCCGCTCTACCATTTTCCTCTTGGGGAACGGCTAAATAGAGATGGACGAAACCGAAGCTGAAATCGGCAGATTCGGGAAGTACAGTATGTGTACCCGAGACCTGCGACTTTCTTGGAAGACTACCTGGGCAGCCTTATAGTTTGCACGAATCAAATATGCAAGTTTGAACAGACACCCAACAAGCAACATTATGCGTTGGGACTGTACAGGGGAGATTGTCAGACTGCCGGTCACCGATGCATCGATTAGCTGACGTCGGATAAGTCATCTTCGGGGGTTCGACTTTTCGCCCACTCCACATCTGGGCGTCGCGCGGGCGAAGAGGTGCATCAAGCACAAAATACTGGTTTCGTGGGCATTCAAGTGACAAAATCCGCCATCGATCTATGTGTGCCATAGCTTGCTGATATTGAGCCATGTTGACTTGCGTTCAGCTTTGCTGACTCGATGACACAATGGTCCTCATAGCCTTCAAAGCCCGACGACCCTTGGAGGTCTGCGACCGCATGCCGCAGGACTCAGTTTGTGACACGACAATGCACACTACGATTTTCAATACCGCAGAACGGGGATAGTTGCTGACGCTTGATTTCTCGAGGTATGTTGCATTCGAGATTTTGATGTGCGTAATATAGGTAAGGCTTTGACCACATCGATCGCCACGAAGTTGTTGTGGCCAAGGTAGATCCATTCAACTCGAAGAGCGAGCGTCCTAACCTGGTTGACCAAATCGAAGGTGTGTGGTTTCTAGTCCCATGCATTACCACCGGAGATCTTTACGCCGCGGTACGGGCCGGATGCTGTCATTAGGCTGGCTCTAGAAGACAACGTGGTTCACGTGTCGGTTAGATCTCGACGGGCTGTAATAAAAGGAAGCGAGATGGGCGACCACCTGCCGGAAAAAGGTTGAATCAAGTGAGATACAACCAATTGGACATGATGTGAAAACTAGGCATATCGGACAGGAAGACCAATCGAATATTTGCCATACTGGTCCGGCACATGACCACCTGGATGTGGCGATGGATTACGACTAAGCTCATTCGCGAAGATCCTGGGCGGCGTAGATTTGAAATGGAAGAGTTCGACTGCCATCTAGATGCATCCTTGAAACAGGGACGAGCCAGGGCTCGTCGTACGGTCTCATTTCTGATTTCCAATCACATCGTTAGTTCACCTCACGGAGAACAAGTAGTCTCACACTTGAAAATGCCTCGAAGGACCTTTGCAATTTCCTCCTGCGCTCACGGGTCCGCTCAAGAGCTTGCAAAATTATCATGGAAAATTCGCCGAGTTCGTAGAAATGAAGTTGGTCGAGGTGGTTCTCGGATTGCCGCTACAGGGAAAGCTCGCGCCCTGCGTTTCTCCTAGTTATGCTTCTCAAACCCCGAACCACCTGGGCAAGCACCGATAGGAGAGCCAGCTACTTAGGTAAATCGTCTTGTGCTTCGGAACAAAATAGCTCCGCCATCTTCCCTCTAAACTTGAGTGCTGTGCCTCCCACCTACTAGATGGGCAGACAGACTTATTCCCACCGGATGAACAGCAGAAGCTTGTGAAGCTGCGTGCGCCATAACTGATACGAAGCAAGCGGCAATTCTGCACATACGCTACTGCATCTACAACCGATTGTAAAAAATAGCCGATATCTTCGTCGCTCAATTGTTGCGATCAAATGCTCGCAAATGATGGGCGTAAATCCAGTATGCAGGAGCCCACGAGGATCCTACTCATGTGCGTTTCGGTACTCTGAATTAAAGCTCCTCGGCGTGTGATTGGTCTGTATGCCAAGTATCATCACACGAGGCGTGCGTCCTCCTGTAGATACTGAGATCTTCAGGGACTTCGGCATACACATGTGTCAGAGTCAGATGAGTGAGGCGGTAATGGATGAGAGAGGACCTCGGTGCGCCATTATCGAAACGGTCGAGTGCCAAGAATTCCACTGACGAAGGATCACTCGTCGGCCGAAGAGCCCGACGTGGGAACGGCATGCCTTGTGTCGAGATCCGTTCGTGCTTGCCATCATTGTCTCTGCTGTCACAAGTTCACAAGGTGCGTCTAGGCCTCTATGTCGCATTCTCATGCGATTCGTGACCAGGTGCCGCCTGTGGGATGTGAGGGGAGGGGATGGGAGATTGCACATCCCCCTCGCTATCCCAACGGATGGAGGGTTCATCGGAACATCGGCGCAAGCAGGTCAAATGATCCGCTTGACTCTTCGTAGCCAACGTATTGCCATCCACTCCGCCCAGTGCGCTGCAGATTTCGACTGTACTTGATACCTGTGAATCCAATAGGGACTCTAACCGGTAGGCCTCGTGCGCATTTCTGCTTGCGGAGGTATGATGACACGCTGTCTGTCATACATTTCGCCCAAGCCAGGCAGGCTGTATGATTGCCTCCAACTCTCCGACCGTTAGTAGTCCGAGCAAGTCTACGGGCTACGCTTGTTACTGGTGCTGCTACTGAAGACGGGCGGTCCCACCATGAAAATAGAGCGGCCAGCTACATCATCGGCGCCTCATTTTCTTGCGGACCTCACCCCGTGTCCGACCCATCGAATTTGTAATGCAAAGTGGGCTCGTCTGGCCGTGTTCTTCATAACCAAAGCGCAAGGTTCTCATTCGGGACAGGATCGTAGCCGACTGGCGTAATAATTTTCAGATCTTCCGTCTTGCCCTGTCACCGGTCCACTGCGAGTACCCGCCTCACTACTAAGCTAGATTGTGTCCATGGACAAAGATACATGCTGTACAGTACATGCGCCTTCGTTGGTCAACCATGGATTCTGAAAAGCAGAAACCATCGCGTGCCGTATAGTAGTTGCTGCATGCCCAGGTGCCCTCCCTCCAAGGCTGAGAGTAGAGGGTACTGCCATGTCTGCCATGTCTGTCATGAATCCACCTACCTAATCTGCTGTCCCACGGACATCTGGTCCGGCCGCACTTGCTTGTGCTTCCTTCAGACCGCGTTGCCCAATCCAATATGATCCCGGTCTCAGGTTGTTCCTGAAGTGTCACATAATCAGAGCACTCCGTCGTCCTGCACACAGCGGTCGGCCTAAGCTTTCCCCACCCTTACGTTTCGGGCGGGTCATGAACATTCAATCGCCGCTTCATCAACTCCATTCCTCGCAAGCCTCGCCGTTCTGCTCCAGTTCTCCAGGCTTCTCGGCACTCACGCCACTGCCTAATCTCCGTGCCCGTGTGCGCCAGCTTCGACATTCCCGAATGAGTCGATATATTGCAAGAGTCACGCGCAATTGATCAAATACATCATTGTTCGAGATCTCGACGTCGCGACTGAATAAATTGTTCCCAAGTTCGACCCGAAGTAGGAGGGAAAAAGGGCATTCGCCCTTCAGGGCAACAGACTTTGGCTGCCCCACGTGAAAGCAACAACCGTTGACGATCCGTTCGCGATGTCGGCCATCGCCACACCAGGTCCATCCAGTCTGAGTTACAATGCGGCTTCACGAAGAAACCCACGAACCAGGATTCATCAGCGCAATGAAGGCGTAGAGGTCGGGTCAGCAGGCTCATCGCAGGTCGCTCACACGTTGACCGCTTGCACACGCTGTCGTACGGTAGGTTGTCAATGGCTTAATCAGCCTTCTACGCCTGAATCATCATCATTGTTATCACTTGCGGACTTCTTCTGCGATCCAAGTCTGACTTTATCTTCTGCAGCGCAAGACGAAATGCGACGTCGGACTGCCTCGCTGCGGCCCATGCGAGCGCACCGGCTCTACCTGCGAATACTATGATTCGAATCGCGGGCACAACGTGAACCGCTACTATGTCGTTCATCTGCAACACAGAGTGCGCGAGCTGGAGGAAGAGTTGGATCGTGTGGAAAACGAAGATGCCGTCGACGATCCGGACGCCCTGATGCGTGCTGCGGCGGTCCGCGTCAGTGATACGAAAGAGTCAAAGTACCTGGGGCCTTCGAGCGGCATCGCCATTACCCGCCTGGTCATGCAACTGGCCAAACAGTTCACAGACTCGTCCAGTATCAAGGATATTGTCGATGAGAATCGCGCTGCTCAAATCAAAGATCTCTATACCCAAGAGCAAGCTAAGCCTTACTCCAAAATCTTCCCTCTGATAAGCAATGTCGCTGCGGAGGACCTGCCAAAACGAGGAGTGACAGATGGTTTGGTACAATTATACAAGCTCAAGGTGCAGCCCATGTACCCTGCGCTGCATGAACCAACACTCGAAAGAGATATCGATGCCGTGTACGCGGACGCCGCTGCAGCGACAGATTATCAACACTTCATTTGCCGCATGGTGATAGCCGTCAGCTTGCAAAAAGCGGATGCGAAGTTTGCGGGCTTGGCTGACAGCTACTATCTGGCTGCTCTCAAATACCTCGACGCCGTGGTTCGTCCAAAGGATCTGCGTACGCTGCAATGTTTTGCTCTCATGGCCGAGTATTCCCTCTTGACGCCGACCCGGACCGCCATCTATTACGTCGTCGGTCTCGCTGTGCGCCTGACCCAAGCATTGGGGCTGCACGAGGAGAAAACTGTAGTCCGCGCGCGTAAAGACGGGACTATCGACGTTCTCGAAGTCGACATGCGCCGTAGGGTTTTCTGGTGCATACTCGCCATGGACTACGGTCTGGCGCACTCCTTGGGTCGGCCGGCGATCATGGCGACCAGTCAGAATCACATTGACGTGGGTTGGTTCCATACCTGCGATGATAAATACATTACTCCAGATGGCATCGATCCGGCAGCGCCACAAGTGACACTCAAGAAATGGATCGCTATTCATTTTTTCAAGATGCGCATGCACCAGCTTGAGATCCGCCGGAAGCTATATATGAAGAAACAGGATGAGCCCAAAGATGACAATGATCCGTGGTTTATTCAAATGGACAAGAAGATCACTGACTGGCGGGACGCCTCGCCTTCACAGGATGAGGGCCAAGGATTGGACAAAGTGTGGTTTATAGGCCGCTACAACACCATGGTCGTCTTCATGTATCGGCCATCACCTCAAGTTCCGCGCCCTTCTCTGCAGGCTGCATTCAAATGCTACGATGCTTGCGAGTACAACATCTATATGCACCGCGAGCAAATCGACAAGAAGAACGTAGACCTAACATGGGTCTTCACTCAGTCGCTGTTCATGGCGATCAACACAATGTTATGGTCGCTTAGCTACGTCGAAGTCAGGCGCAAACACCGGAAGGAGGATGTACAGAGACATCTCGAAGTTGCCATGGCTGCAATTGGTCTAGCCTCCCTTCGCTGGCCTGGTGTCGCCTCGGCTGTACAGCTCTACTACAATCTCATTAATGCGGTGTTGAAGATCTACGAAAAGGACGGCGACGTGCCAGTGTCGGCAACGACACCGTCCGAGTCGACTGCTTCACCAAGTGCTATGATTCGCGAAGGTTCAAGCAAGACCCATAGCTCGGCGCAAATGACCAGTCCAGGATCGACAGGCAGTGTCATAAATCTGGCGACACCCGAGCACCAACCTGGGCAGCAGCAGCAGCAACAGAAGCTGCCACCGCCATTTGGATATATGCATCAAGCGGCTCGGCGCAGCGTCGAGATGCCTCCACCTTTGCCTTACGCCAGCCAAGCGAGTGAAGCACAACAGACTGTCGCCACACCGCCTTCATATCACACGCCGGCATCGCTTTCGAGTGTGCTAACACCTTCGAGCAGCAATAGCTACGATCCTAGCAACAGCAGTGACTCACCATATTTACACTATGATTCCAGAGCAGGATCGTTGCCGCCATTGCAGAATTTCCAGCTTCATCCTTTGCAACCGCAGCAGCAACCTTACCAGGCACCAAATCCTCCGACGGAGGCGTTGAGTCAAGGTTACCACTCGTCAATCAACCAGTCAACAGGACCCCTGTCCTTTGACACTTCCGCTTTGTCTGGTCACGCCGACTCGAGTTGGTTGTCCCAGCCAAACTTGTCTTATCAGGGTGGTCTCGGGAGCTGGCCTGCCGCATTCGACCCGGTCAACGTTCTCTACCCTTTCTCGAACGAGTTAAGGGAGTCACTGACTCAGCCCAATCACCTCAGCGCTCTCCAACAACAGCAACAGCACGCTCAGCATCAACAACAGCAATCTTTCATTCCACAAGACTGGGCGAACCTCATGCATATTGCCACGACTTCTGCCCCAGGCGCAAGCAATTTTTACACTCACAACACCGCGACCGCCCCCGCAGCAAATCCATTCTACATGTCGCCTTACGATGACCCGTCCTACTACACAAACGGCCTGACACTGAGTCAACAGGAAGAGCTCATGCAATCGCTGGAAACGGATGGCATGGAGGACATCCAGCATATGATTTCCGCAACGCTAGGCAGCATGTCCTCAGCTCCGCAGCAAAATGCATCACCTTCCCAAATGACTGCGTAGGACGCAGCCGTGTGGTTCTGTTGATGATACATCGGGACGCGAACGCGCGTAGGCTGCATAAGGCTTGTTGCTTCTTGCACAGAGAATGTGCCAATGCGTCTATTGGCAGTCTTTAGCCACAGATCGTTCTGAAGGTACGATCTCCGTGTTGTAGCCTCGGCGTCGCCCACAGCTCGGGCCTCCTTCAGTCTCTTACACACCTCGAGCTCTCTTTTGGGGGTGGTGCACCAAACCTGTGACGGTATTGACGAATGTGGCTCTTTTCGTTGCTCGTTTCTTTTTCTGATATTTACTTTTCCTCGATATGATATCCCGGTTTGGCGGTCTTTTTCAATGACGAAGAGTTTTTCCTCAGACAGCGGTGGACCAGACACTTGATATTAGTCAGGCGCGTGCGTAATGCATCAGAGCGATCATGCTCTCTACAATGATACTTTGCCGGACAATGTAGAACAAGGGAATTGGGTTCCACTACTGTTTCCGATTGTGAACCTTGGACCGAGCCCTAACCTCCATGAGCTTCGGTGCCTTCTCGCACGTTGCAAACAAGGGCTCGGCGAGAACATCTCGCTAGGTCTATTGCACAAATCCCAACGAAGACTGTTTTGTGGACGCCTAGTGATGAAGAGGGCGCAAGATGGAGGCTCTGTAACGGCCGTTGAAGGTCTCTCATCGTAGCGAGCAGAAGCAAATCGATCGTAGGATGATGTGCTTGTCACGGGTATATCAATAACACGAAGAACATCGAGCACAACCACCAAAGCCGCACTCGGAAGGAAAAAAATAACGCACACGTGCTGCACCGAAACCCCCAAAACCGCCCGATAGAACACAAAATTACTAAACCCGCTTTCTCGGGTTCCAGCCAAAATCAAGACCCAAAGCAGCGCCCTTCTCATCGCCGTGCCGGCATCATCAGATGTGCACCGTCGTCCTTGGGAATTTGCGCCGCAGCCCACCTCCTCTTTTTTTTCTTCGCATCGTGACATTCCTCCTAACCGGGAGATAACCAAACAACGTGCTCCGCGTATGACAAGCAGAAAACGATCCAAACCACCAAAACTCGGACAGAAACAAGAAATCCCGATTGCGATTTAACCCGGCGAAGCCAGGAGGGAAAAACGTGGCGATCGCTAAGACTGGGGATGTGCGCGTGCACATGGGAATAAAGGAGCAAGTAACAAAAACAAGTTCGAAAAAGGCGAGGTCAAAATGTATGTACGCGATCGGGGGCGGGTATATGGTCCTCATGCTCCGGGCAGAGAATCCATTCGTTGTGCGCGGGTTGAAGTCCAAGACGCATGAGGTCTGTAACGGTATTGCTGACTGTGGCAAGAAACCCTTGTTGATGGCGCCGAGCTCATGATGGTTCGTGGGTCTTGAGAAGCTTCATGACCTGCCATAGGGATGATTGGCGCCAATATAATAGATGGCATCTGCAGGTGGTTGCGCGGGTGACCAAGGAGGATCGACTGGTGTGGCAATGCGGCCGGGTGATCCAGGCTCGGGAAGTTATAGTTGTGAGGTATAGGGCACGCCAGAGTTCCAGTGACGCAATCGTCGATCATCAGCGAGGCGTGGAGACTTCCACGAGACGCCTGAGTTGCACACCGGAATTGTGGCAGTGTAAGCCGGGAGCGCAATGTGATCGAGTGAAGTCAAGAAAGGTAGTGTCGGTGCTGTCGAAATGCAGTGTGATCATGAAGTCCTGACGCCAACCATACCGCCACTATTGCCGTTACCGAATGCAGGAGAATTGCCTGCAGAAGGGAAGTCCTGTGGAAGAAGAGAAATTAGACTTCGATTCGAAAGAGTTCGTGATGAAGAACGGAGGCAGTGGCCGATGGACAATATGGCTGTACGTGCTGTGATGGCGGCCGAGAAGACTCATATCACCGTTGTCAGGTCGTGACGAAGATACCGGATGTGCGCAACGAGTCGTCGAATACGCAAAGATCCAAACAACCATGCCATGTTCAGGTGGGAAAATTTCCACCCATCGGTATACGCGGAAATCCACCTCGAGCCTATCCCGAAGTATGCGCTGAACGCTAACGTGATACACTCACCTTTCGTTTCTGGCGCTTCTGACTCCCTGAGACTCGCCGTCCAGTGTCGTCCACACCGCCAGTGCTATAGCCATCTTCTTCATAACCCTCGAAACTACTGTCATCGTACCGACGGCGCTTATTGGTCCGATCCGGTCGGCCGGCGAGGTTAGCTGGGGATGCCGGAGCGGAATTGCGCACAGCAGTGTTAGGTGCGGTCTTGATGATCGCTGCTGCCGCCGCCGTAGGTCTCACGCCGTTATGCGCAGGCGTTGCTTTGCCACTTGTGGCTGCACTTGCATCGTCCAGGCCGAGAAGGTTCTTCCATTCGTCGTGGTCTTTACCAGGCAGGCGACCCACGTTGAAGGAAAAGGCGGATGAGAGAGATGCCAGTAAATTCGTTTCGGCGGCCTCGTTGCCAATTTCGATTCCTTCAAAGCACATGTCGAAATAGGTTCGGCCATCTGGTTGCGGGTCATCCCATGCCTCTTCGGCAAGGCCCTCGAGCTCTCGCTGGTTCGCCTGAGCCTTGTTGCGGCCCTCTAACCCAAGAAGCTTAAGTTTACCCTCATAGGATTTTCTGAGGCGGTTGATCTTGGCTCCGGTGATGGGATCCTTGCGGGCCACAGATGCTTGGATGTCCTGCAAATTGTAAAGTGATATGACGTTTTGAGTGGCGTGTGGCTGCGAACGGAGGATTGCTAGAATACGAACAAGTTTAGTCATGCGAACGATGATGAAAAAAGCACGTCAGCATGGCTTGTTTCGAGCAGGAATACGTACGAGTTGCGGAAATTTTGTAAAGCGCTTTAGCATGGCTAACGGGCGCTTTTGACGACTCTCCTTGGGCCTGATGCCTCTCGTGATCTGTTCGTCTGTTCTCCGCGTCGACTGAAGGTGCATCTGACATGACCGTATCCTCCGACTCCATCGCCTTGACAGCTCTATGATCAGCCCTATTCTCTCGCGCCGGTCCTGTTGCCGAATTCTGTGACTCCGGATCCTCTCCTCCGTCGCCAGCAATGCCCCGAAATCCAGCTTGGCCTAACAGTCCAGCAGTGCTAGGCGGGGTTGGGATACTAGCATCATCGGCAATGCTTTGGTCATAAGTCCTTTTGTGTGAAGCGCTGTTTTGTGACTGCCATGACGGAGACATCCGCACAGACGGAGGCGGAGTCTGGGGATTCGCGAAAGTGGTCGTTTCAGGAGGAGCAGGCGAGGCCGGGGAATATGAATTGAAGCGCTGTCGTTTTGGTGACCGCTCTGCGTCCATGGACATTGAGAGAAAAAGTCACCGGTTCGTGACTTTGACGGTGAGAGTTAGGTCGCTAATGCTTCCCCGAGTAAATCTCTGCCTGGGAAGAGTGCGTCGTAAGTCCACCCTGAGCTGAATGGTGAGTGAGCCGATTGATAGGAGGTTGTCGCAAGCGTCGCACGAGAGGCCGAGCCTCACTCCGCCCAAATGGTGGCAGAGCTGGTGGAGTGCAGGCTCACCACCCGCGTTGATGTATGTCCAGGAGCTCGTCTCAGTGTTGGCCTGCGATATTGATTGATGTACTGCACCGTAGGGCGGCGGTGACGTCGATGGGGAGGTGTGTGCGTGGTCACACCGAATGATTGATCGTGGCGGTGGTGATCGTGGTGGTTGTGATGATGATGGTGATGGTCTGTCTGAGCCTTGGTGGAAACGAGCGAGGTTGGCCGGTCGCGAGAGGGCTTGTCACGTGACGCCGTTGAACACGTCCCAAAGCCCAGCGGGTGTTGATGGAGACGTAATAGAATGTACCGGCCGGAGGAATGTAGATGTACAGGAATTTCCAGGCAAAAGCCGCGGGCGCTCCGTCGCAGAAGTGGAGACGGAAAGCCGGGAAGAGTGACACAAGCAGGAAGTCCAGTGCAGTATACCTAATACCTACCTACTAGTGAGGTAGGCAGGTACCTAGTAGGTAGGCAGTGGTAGGCTTTATTGCAGGGCCAGGACAGGAGCACGAGAAGATGCATGCGCGCGCCCGCACACACTCACACACACTCACACACACACACACACGCGCGCTTCACCTTCAAAGAAAACGCACTGTGCCCACAAGTAGTCCATACAGTCCATACAGTGCCTACCACCCCACTAAGTAGGTTTGCAGCATCCATCATTCAGCCCAGCCCCGGCGCGACCGACGACGACCGACGACGGTGGTCTCTGACCATCGGGCGGCTTTCCCTTCCCTCCAGGGCTGTAGGACAAAAAGTGGCGCGACTGATCAGATTATTGTGTAGTAATTCGTGGGTGGACCTCATGTGTTGCCTCATCACCGTAGGAGACAGGTTATCGTCCGGGGATCACACCACAGCTTACACATCGATATCACCTGGCGGGCGTATGTGACGGCCACAGCCGCAGTGGAGTCTTGCTAGAACGATAATTGTCACTTCCGCCTGGACGTTACATCATGCCCACGCCATCTCATGAACACTGGTACCTACAGAGCCTGATATAGGTGGGTGTATAGAGTACATTCATCATTCGCATCGACCAACAGCAATAGCCCATCGGCCTATCTGCACCATTACTGCGCTAGGCATGCACCTCACTTCTACCGCATCTTGGTTGTTTCTCTATGCGTTCTGCCACGAGTACGCTGTCGGTGGAACATTGGAGTGACACGTCTTGCATTCCTTCCTCATCGCGTGGCATGCCAACCTTTTACTGATAACTTTCGACTCGGACTTCTTGGACTATAGCAAGGATGTCTAGTGGCAATTCCTCAACAAACAGGTTCGCCAGCAATCCCTCAGGTGCGCCGCTCCAGTCCCGTCCTATCAATCATGCTGGTTTGGATCGCCCAGCCGACAGCGATGCATCTACTGCTCCAAAGTCTGGAGTCGTGCAACCCAAGCCGCAGGCATTGCCACGTCGGACAGGTCCTTCATCGATCGTTGTCTCCACTAGACAAAAAGGAAATCCGATCTTGACCAACATCAAGAATATGCCCTGGGAATACGGCGATATCCTTGCTGATTATCAGATTGGTCAAACGGCATGTGCACTGTTCCTTAGTCTCAAATATCACCGCCTACATCCCGAGTACATCTACGGCAGAATCAAGGGTCTGCAGGGCAAGTATAACCTCCGCATCATTTTGACACTGGTCGACATCGACAACCACGAGGCCAGTCTCAAAGAACTTAGCAAGACATCGGTCATCAATAATGTCACTGTCATATTGTGCTGGTCAGCAGCGGAAGGAGCTCGCTACCTCGAGCTATTCAAGAGCAGCGAGAACGCATCCTCGGCGTCCATCCGTCAACATCAATCCGACCTCTATGCTGATCGCATGGTCGATTTCGTGACCACCCCCAGGGCCATAAACAAGACAGATGCCGTCTCTTTAGTATCCCAATTTGGAACGATCCGCACTGCTGTCAATGCTCGCCATGAAGATGTCGCCACCATTGCTGGTTGGGGAGAGAAGAAGGTTCAGCAATGGTGCCAGAGCGTCCAAGAGCCATTCCGCGTAGTCCGTGCAGGCAAGCGTGGAATCGATCTTGAGAGGCTCAATCTCGTGTCGACGCAACCCATCTCAAGACAGCCAACCCTCTCCCGCGATGTGACGCGGGCCGACACGCGCGAGTCAGCGAATGCAGATGGAGACGTGACAGGTGTCGATCAGGCGAGACCTTCCGATATCTCTCAGCGCCCGCACGCGAAAGTCGGTCCTTTCAGCGACGAGACCTGGTCCGATGATGAAGACATAGCCGCGGAAATGAATATCCCTCAAGCAAAGCCTACTGAAACTCCCGCGAAGTCTGCGCAGCTTGCGCGGCTTGAAACATCGAACAAACGAAAGCCTGCCGATGACGCACTGAGTGAAGGGGTCATGGCTGCACTTGGTAAGCTGCGCAAGGCTGACTGAAAGCTATACAAACAGCGCGGACTTCAATCGTGTGAAGGACGTTCATCCTACTTTCGCCCGCGGCACTCTGGGAGCAATGCCCCCCACCAAAATTTCATGACCAGTCGAAAGACCCGATGAGTTTCTCTGCATGTGATACCATCTTGACACAAAAGTGCTCGCCTTCTGTATGCACATGGTCCTTGTGGGGATGCCCCACGGTAGTAAGTGTTGTCAGCTCTGTGGGTTGAGGCCTCGGGTCCTGCGGGAAGTCGTCCGGACATTTCATTTGATGCCAGCGATCCTGTCGCTGTCTCAGACTTCGGCACAGGCTGACAAGCGAGATATCTGAGCCGTCAACGCCGTCTACGGATTTCCCGAGGACTTCCACTCTGACGACCTTTTTGCACAAAACGCGCCATTCGTCTGGACTCAATGTGATGTTGAAAGCCGCGCCCGACGAGTTGCACACTTCCGCGCCCGAATGCGAGAGATCCAGCAAGCGAAACGATTTCACTTCACCCGCAGCAGAGGCACGTTGCGCTTCCTCTGAAAGGTGTGAAAGTAGCTTCATGAAGCGCTCAGCAATACTGAGCAGTAATGCGCCCATGAGATGCACATTCTGAATCGCGGAGAGGAAACGCTTGGGACAAACCTCGCACGGAATGACATTTGAAGCTGTCTGCATGGCATCCCGCAAAGGCTGTAAAGCATGAGGGAAGCTGCCCAGGTGGGGTTCACAACATGCGGACTGCAGAGTGTGGAGGGCTAAGTATAGGCTGCTAAGGCAGGCGCATTCAGTCAGGCGTGGCGTTGCGACAGGAGCGTGAAACGCTGGCAGATGCGAGCCTTTATTTAATGTTGTGGCGTACGATGTCGGTCCTGTCGCGTGATCGTGTGCATGCTGGTGCGCGGCGGGAACAGAAAGTGATGACGCAGAAGGCGATCCCTTAGGCGCAGACATGGCTGAGCTATTCGAGCCGTTCTGATGTATGAGCGACTGTACTGTGTGGTCTTTCAACGCGAGCTCCTCCCAATCAAAATCAGGCCAGGCTGTTGGCGAGAGCCAGGATTGAGCCTCAAATCCTGGTAGCTGTGAAGGGGGCATTTCGATCGTCTGCTTGTTGACGTATCCAATCGATGGAGAAATTTCAGCATCAAGGACCTCTTTCACAGCGCCGTCGTCTTCACTGGCGCGTAGTCTTTTCTTGGGTCTACCCATGGTTTTTTGCAGCGAGTAGACACAACAGAGCCCTTCGCGCACGCAACGCGCACACGAAGGCTGCTCGCCTGTACATTTGAGCTTCTTCGTTCCTAAAGGCCAGAGTATTCTGGTGAGCGAGTTGATCATTGTAGTATGCCCAGGTGTTGATTGACGAAGAAGGCGGTCTTGAAATGAAGGAGAGTGTAAAACCTCACATACCACATTCGTCGCACGCTGCGCGTTTCTTTAAATTGACCGCGCTCTCGACGTTTGGCGTGATTCGTGCATTCGACATAATTACTGATCGCAAGGGAAAGTGCTTATAAGCTACTCATCCGAGTCATTCGAAGTACGAGGGGGCAAGTGATTTGGCCAGGTATTAGCTAAGACGATTTTGTCACCGATGTGCGACGCAAACCTCCAATTCATATGTTGGCTTAACAGGCAGGATCCTGGGTAGCTTCATATATCATTTCGTTTGCCAGCTTTCCAAGGTCGACGCCGCTTAAAAACTGATTCGTAGGCATCTACCAAAGCATTTGGTCTGTGCATATCGACAGGTAGACGGTCACGTTGGATATGCATCGTCGCCTGCGGGCGTAGAGTAATAATAGAAATACTCCAGGACTGCTACATTGTGTACCCACCTAGGTACCTAGGTAGGTAGGTAGAATTATTAGAATGACGCTACCTCACTTTCACACGCGAACGCAAGCCGGCCAACTATAAGTGAGTATTGCTTATAAACTTTTAGAGAGTCCAATATTGTCGATAGACGTCCTACATATGATTTTCTAAGTAACGCTCCAATTGCCCACTTCTCAGTGCTTCGTAGATCCGTGAGATCCAAGAACCGATCGTCTTTCTTTCGCGTTTTATGGTGTCTTGGACTATTGTGGGATGTTCGATCCGACCACGATGAAGGGGTATGCTTAGTTCTTTCCGGACGAAGTCATACAACACTCTAGACCCTGTGCCCAATCGACTTGAGACGTCGACCTGGTCTTGGAATGCATTAGAACGAAGCTGTTTGTACTGTGCGCTTGCCTCGTTTGAGATTCTTGCAGCAAACGCCTTGACGAGCGCAAGATCCGGTGAAAATCTCTCTCCATTCGGCTTCGCATAATCTACATCAGTCGATTGAACGCATGCTGATATGACTGCACCAGCCAGCTGCCTGATGCGGGTTGCTAGAGTCTCCTTGTTCGAATGAGCCCAAGAGTCCGTGACGGCCGAAGTCATACGTGCAGCATATCTTGTACGAGCATCACTGTCCAATTCGACGAAAGTCTCCACTGTGGCCGTTTGAATGATTTTGGCAACGTTGCTGTAAAAGTCGTTCTGGAGCACACGAAGGTCCAGGGCCTGACAGACGACATACAAGTGCGCTGCACACATGAGGCCTACTACTTCAGCGGCCTGGAATGTTGAGCGTGTAGATAGCAGGGCTAGAGAGTTGATTCCCTGGTTGTTCATCTCTGCGGTCTGAACATGAGACGAGACCGGGTTCGCGAGGAAAGCGAGCTCGGACATGTACGCCGCCATGTTGATGTCAACGCCTTTCATTGTGAACGACAGGTCTGGATCGTCTGCGGCCAGGTTTGCCGGCAATCCCTTGTTGAGATCTGGATTGATGAGCTCCGAGCACACCGTGAACAACAACTTACCCATCATCTGCAGCGCAAGTCGACCTTTCTCGGTAGCAGTTGTCACTGAAGCTGCCTGGAAATTGCAGCAAAAATGGACTTCGTTGTCCTTGGTATCGATGAGCGGGTTATCCTGTGTGGAGTTTAACTCGATCATGAGTTGGTCCAAACTCAGCTGGCAGTCTTCAACGTAGGGTCCTAGCCATTGGCTCGCCCCACGCAGAGGGTAACGATCCTGGAACAGCCCGGCTCGGTTGCGATCTCTTGTTTCCAATGTCTCAACCATCTTGGAACCAGTCAAAAATGACAGAATGTTCCGAGCGATCTCTTTCTGCCCACCATGTGGCCGCACTGCTGCCGGGAAAGGGTGGTAATTTGTTGCACTGCCCGACATCGCCTCGCAGGACATTGCAATGATCAGCTGAGAGACCACTGCGAGAGTGTTAATCTCATAGGTCGCCATGCTGGCAACTCCGACCGCTGCCGCGGCGCCGTTCAAAAGACCCAAGCCTTCCTTGGGCCCCAAAATGAGCGGTTCGAGCTTCGCACGCTTCAGAGCCTGATCTCCAGACATCACGCTGGACGATTCTGTGAAATCGTCATGGCGAACGTAAATATCCGGGTTTCCTTCCAGCACGCCAGCTATATATGACAGCGGCATCAGATCACCAGACGCCGAGATCGATCCGCGGAGGGGGATGATTGGGGTGAGGTTGGAGTTGAGCAAGTGAAGAATGTTCTCAATAATCTGCCATCTCACGCCCGAGTGGCCTCGTAACAATTGGTTGCATCGCACCAACATCGTTGCCCGCACCCATGCGGTTGGCATGGCATGAGGACCAATATCCCGATAGCTCGTATGGTCTGCCTTGTCCGCAGAAATTAGCACTGCACTTTGCGTGAGCTGGAGGAGAGCAGCTTGCAGGCCATGCACGTCCGTGGTCCGAGAGTCAGCACTGCCTCCAAATCCGGTGTTGACACCATAGATAAAGTATCCTTTGTCGAGATAACTCTTGAGCCAGCTTACACTGTCTTCAACCTGTTTCCTAACATTTTCGGCGTCGGAGAGCACAGCCACGCGGAACCCTTTGGCGACGGCAATGACATCAGCCACAGAAAGCGTCTGGCCATCAAGCACGACAGGATTTGCAAGACGGGATGTTTTCCATGCTTGTTGTGTTGTCTGTAAGTGGGACTTGCATTCTTCCCCAGCTTGCGGAGAACCTTTGGTAGCCATCATTGAGGAGCATAAAAAGTCGTGAACTGCAGGTTCCTAACGATTTCTTGTGGTCTCTGTCCAGAGCCCATTTAACCTTCGCCGCCGATCTCGCTCAACGGTCGCTACATCGTGACATCTTGCATGATCACCTTGCTGAAATACGCAATTAGCGTTGAGGCCTCCAGCTTGTTTCAAGGCGTGCCCACTTCATTTAGACGGCGTTGCCATATTAGGACAATGCACATCAAATCGCCAATGGGATAATAGCCGTGTTACCGGGCACATGCATGAGAGTGGATATACAGTATTGCCAGCCATGGCCGCCGGCGATCTTCGTCGATGGAATTCTTGAGCATAGAGGGCGCTGGATCGAAAAGAAATGACGATGAGACGCGGGCTCCACCTGCAAGTTCGACAGTAGCCCGGACAATTAATGTGGTAATAAACGTTTACCTACCTTGGAAGGGAAGAATAAGGTGGTCCTTGGTGATGCTAAGCTCGAGATCTACCTATCCCAAATAGGTCGAGATTTCCTAGGTTGCAAGGTTCTAAGGTTGGCACTATTGCGTGCCCAACCCACCGTTCGGCCGCCACGTGGTCGTCTTCCGAAGCCGAGGCGTAACGGAAACTTCCAAGGTTCTATATTATAAAGTTGCAGGTGGCATTGCAACTCGATCCGATCCCTACAGGTGCCCTGGCACAAGTACGACCATGAGTTGCGAATCATAGATACCTTCATCAAAAGCCTCCAGCAATTCTCTCAAGCTCAGGTCATGTACGCTGCGGGTTGTATAGATCACCACGAAAAATGACGACTCCTGAGTCTGCTGTGTCCCTGTTAGCTTTCTTCGAGGCTCACGATTCGATACAATATGTGCGGTGTCAGTGGCTAGACTATGCTGGGATACTACGCGCTCGCATATTGACCAAACGGCATTGTCTTCAGCTGGCTCGTGCTGGTAAACCAATTCGAAATGGAGCTCCTGGTCTGTCGTCCCTTCCTGACAATTCGGTTGCATCGTTCACAGAACACATTTATGATCACCACATCTGCCCCGACTGGGCCTCTCTTCGACCTCTATGTCTGGGTGGATCGGCTCCGCGATATGCAATGGTCATGTGCTATGTCGTTGATCCCTCCGCGGCCCCATCGGAGCAACATACCGACTTGTGCCCTCGTCGGGCCCTCCAGAACGTCCTCGAGGCATCCCAGACTTCAACGTTAGGAAGAATCTTGATCGGATTTGAAATTGAGTTCCACGTTCTGAAAGCGACCGGTGCAGACATTGCGCCTGCGATCGAATTGCCTCTGGGCCACTACTCCGCCGGGGGGTTGCGTGATCCTACGTTCGGCTGCGTGGAGGAGGCATTGGACAATCTGAACAACTCGTCCATCCAATTTCAGCAGTTTCACGTGGAGGGTAGCACCGGACAATACGAGATAGTACTCGATCCCCTGCCACCGATGCAAGCCATCGACGAACTTGTCATGGCTCAAGATATCATCCGCTCTACATTCTCAAGGCATGGATATGTGGCAACGATGTTGCCGAAGCCAATCGCTAGTCTCGATGGAAGCGGCTCGCACGTTCATATTTCGATCAGTGAAGTAGAGCATCATGACTGCTTCTCTGCAGGTATGCTCAAACATCTGCCAGCGCTCTGCGCCATAACACTTCCGATGTCATCGTCGTACGAGCGGCTCAAAACCTACGAGGCTGGCCAATTTGTTTGCTGGGGTACCAACAATCGCCTGGCTCCTATCCGCCTGATAGAGAAAGGCCACTGGGAGTACCGCTGTGCAGATGCGACAATGAATTATTATCTGGCATTGGCCACCATCATAGCAGCCGGGGCCTCAGGCGTTGTGAATCAAACCCCATTGCTCTTGAAAGATATCTCGGGCATGGAAAAGTCGGCAATCGGCGCCAGCCACATGCCTCTTCCATTAGACTTCGAGGCGTCGCTTACCGCACTCCGAGCATCACTGTCTCTCTGGAATGAATTATTGGGAAGCGCTGTGGTCCAGAAATATCTCCGATATAAGGAGCACGAGTTTGAGACGATGGAGAAGCAAGACTCGGCGCTCGCTCAATGCCTGTGGAAATGGTACTGATATTTCACGTGGCCCTTTCTGGATCAAGAGGCATTAGATATTTAGTCGACGTCCCGCGTTGTTTGGGCAGCTCTATCATTCAAAACGATACGAGCGCTGTCCCCTGTAGCTGTTCGTACCTCTCGACTAGACCGCATAAATATACTAGCAGTGTACGGTCAAATAAATTACATTCTTACCTCGCTACTGTACAAACTCCTTTGTCGTTAGTGCGATAGTAATCCAGTCAGCGAAAGCGGTTTTGATGGGATCCGTGAATGCTTCCCAGGCATTGGGAGGGTGTTGCTTCTAAGCAGGAATCCATCCGCTGCGTGCTTGCTTGCTGCCTCAGGTACGCGTTTCATCCTTCTGTGCCAGATCTGCCAGAAATTATATCGAGAGGCGGATGCCCGTCTATCTGCGTCAGTGCCTGTCGTGCTGCGGGATTATATGAGTTCAAGCCTCATTTTTACCTAATAATACTGGTAGGTCTATTCATTTGACCTTCCCTGTCCCTCCCGCAGAACGAATAGGGTTCACGGGTGATGCCTGTCCGTAGCCCTAAGTTACGAGTCAGAGCTCTGGGGGAGACGCTCGCCAGCGTGCAGGCTTCTTCGCAGCAGCCCTGGTCCGTCGACTGATGAGCCGTTACATCATCGTCCCTGTCATCGCACGCGTTCGTGCTGAGCCGCACTAGTAATTGCGCGCGCATTCAACCTCGAGTCAACTGATCGCGATCTATGACCGTTCAACTGGGCCAAGTCGAAGCGACTTGACCATATCGAACAACAGTACTCCAGAGCTCTCTGCGAATGCTTAGGCTGGTGCAACAGTATTCGGCCTCCCTTGTACCAACTCGCCGTCGTTTCACACTCGACTCTTTGACACGCCCACGGGCCTTCCTTCCTAGGACCACCACACACATCATTCCCGACCTCGAATCCATCGCTTCGGACAATTATCGATAAAGAAAAGAGCCCGTCATCTGTCTGTCAGGCGCTGTCAATATGGGCTTCAACGATTCGCGGCGCAGGCTGCTACGACAGTTGAATTCGAGATACATCTATGGGAAATATGTACGTGATGCTACAGGCCGGACACCAGGGACTTGAACACCAAACCAAAAAGCTAGCGGACCAGCAAATACACACGACGGTTCGTCGCCATTTGAGACCAACATCTGACAACACATACCATCTAGCCACTTCTACATGCCATCGTGGCGTTTGTCGAACTCGCGATGATCTCGATACTGGTGCGCGGCTTCAATACCTCCTATGCTCGTCGCCCTGTGCTCACAACCATGATCACCAATGCGGTAGGACTTCCCTTGATCTCATTCGTCATACAAGAGACTGACAGAGGCTTTCGCGATCCAGGTCCTGGGTGGTATCGCAGATACTGTCGCACAAACGCTCACTGCAATTAAACGGCGGGCTCGACAGAAGGCGCTTGATCCGGACAGCGTGCAGAGCGACTTCCTCTCAATAGAGATTCAAGAGTTAGACAGAAAGGTTCCCTGGCCGGAAGATGACTATATGCTACCAGCCTCTAAGCGAGGCCCACCACCATTCGATTTCGAGCGGACTGTGCGGTTCATGTCGTATGGTTTCATCATGGCGCCTATTCAACATCACTGGTTTGCATTCTTGGGCAAGACGTTTCCGGTGGTTGCTGGAAAGAAAACTTCGAATGTGCTGAGGATGGTGGCTATGGATCAATTCATTTTTGCGCCATGCAGTACGTATCGAACAAGCCTTGCAATGATTTTTGCAATGATTTTGCTCACCAAGTGTGACCACAGGCTTGGCATTCTTCTTCACATTCATGACAGTCACTGAAGGCGGCGGTCGACGAGCGGTTCTGAAGAAGTTCGAAGAAGTATATCTTCCAGCACTCAAAGCCAACTTCTTGGTGTGGCCTTTAGTGCAGATTCTCAACTTCAGATTAGTACCGATGCAGTTTCAGATCGTAAGTTCATCAGCTGGCCATATTACTTCTCACAACACTGACTAGGTGTCTTGTAGCCTTTCGTAGCGACGATAGGAATTTTCTGGACCGCGTATCTCTCGATGTCAAATTCGTCGGACGAACCTGTAGCCAGTCCTGCGGTGTCGGCATGATGATTATGTGTATACACAGCGTTTTCCTCCGGATATTTGGGCACAATGGCGTTTTGGACATGAATGGTCACGGTTCTCGGACGGAGCAGTTGGGGTCGTTTGGCGTTTGGGAATTTCGAGCGAAATACGGAGCATTGCGGCGAGAAATTGGCGTTCATCGGAACAGGATCGCAGGTTATGTGGAATGGTTGCACAGGTCCTTGATTGTAAATCACATTGCTAATCCGACAAATCATCTTGCAAGATCGGCTTAATTCATACCCATTCACGTCTGTTGCGCCATGGACGAATTCGTGCCTGCAGCAGTCTCATCGCGAGTCTTGCCGGCGAAGTGTCCCAAACCCCACCATCCATATCCGTCCTCGGTCAAATCGGTCGTCATGGTGGGGCACTGGCGCCGATCGCTTTTATCATTCATTAATTTCCCATCTGCTGTTGTGCACGATACTTGAAGGGTTAGCACAATACACATTTGCTTCACATTCACATCAAACAACAATCATGTCGCTCTCCAACAAACTCAGCATCAGTGACGTCGACGTCAAGGACAAGCGCGTCCTCATCCGAGTACGTCGACCCGCGTGACCCAATGGCTTAGCTGCGGGATGATTGGTCAATGTTTTGACAACAATTAAACTGATTATCGTCCATGCATAGGTCGACTTCAATGTCCCACTCGACAAGGAGACCAACACCAAGATCACCAATAACCAGAGAATCGTTGGTGCTCTGCCTACGATCAAGTATGCCATCGACAATGGTGCCAAAGCCGTCATTCTCATGTCCCATCTCGGCCGACCAGACGGAAAGGTTAACCCGAAGTACTCTTTGAAGCCTGTCGCTGCTGAGCTCGAAAAGCTCCTTAGCACCAAGGTGACTTTCGTCGAGGATTCTGTCGGCCCCGAGGTTGAGAAGGTTGTCAACGCGACCACTGGTGGTGGCGTCGTTCTCCTCGAGAACTTGCGTTTCCACATTGAGGAGGAGGGCTCTTCAAAGGACAAGGATGGCAACAAGACCAAGGCCGACAAGGGCGATGTCGAGAAGTTCCGCCAGGGCCTGACTGCTCTAGGTGACGTCTACATCAACGACGCTTTCGGTACCGCCCACCGCGCTCACAGCTCCATGGTTGGTGTCGATCTCCCCCAGAAGGCTTCCGGATTCCTCGTCAAGAAGGAGCTCGAATACTTTGCCAAGGCCCTTGAGGACCCCAAGCGACCATTCCTCGCCATCCTTGGTGGTGCCAAGGTCTCCGACAAAATTCAGCTCATCGAGAACATGTTGGACAAGGTCAATGCGCTCATCATTTGCGGTGGCATGGCTTTCACTTTCAAGAAGACCCTCGACAACATGGCTATCGGTAACTCCCTTTTCGACGAAGCCGGCTCAAAGAAGGTCAAGGACCTCGTCGAGAAGGCAAAGAAGAACAACGTCACCATCACACTTCCTGTCGACTACGTTACTGCAGATAAATTCGCCGCTGATGCCCAAGTCGGCTATGCTGAAGACAAGGACGGAATTCCGGACGGATGGATGGGACTTGATGTTGGCGAGAAGTCGATTGAGTTGTTCAAGAAGGCCATTGATGATGCCCAGACTATCCTGTGGAACGGTCCTCCAGGTGTGTTTGAGATGAAGGCTTTCGAGAAGGGTACTCGGGGGACTATGGACGCCGCGATTGCTGGCGCACAGAGCGGCAAGATCGTCATCATTGGTGGTGGTGACACTGCCACAGTTGCGGCACAATACGGTGTTGAGGACAAGCTCAGCCACGTCTCCACTGGCGGTGGTGCGAGCTTGGAGTTGCTCGAGGGCAAGGACTTGCCTGGTGTCTCGGCGCTTTCAAGCAAATAAATAATCGTTTGGTGATAGCCGTGTGAAATGCTCGCATGGAGAACAACTGCAGAAAGGACTAGTAGCAAATTTGCATGAGATAAAGCTCCTATGCCATCCGCATTGCTCCGCTTCTCTTCGGGCTCGCTGCATGCGCAATCGATCCATGGATCGCAAGCAGCTCCACATCGACGCTTCAATCATAGGCACTTCTGGAGCAGTGCAACATCTGTTCGGCGTTGGTGGCGCAGCGCTTTACTTTTCATAAGTGATCGCGCAAGATCGTACCAATATCATATTCGTAATTGTCATTGAAGCATGGCCGATTCGTCTGATCATCGCCTGGCTTGCCTCTGCATGTCCTGTTGTCGTGCAACACAAATGCCTCCAGCTCGCGCAATCCGCGTAGCTTCCCTCAGCTCTTGCGCTGCGACTCCATCTTCTTCAATTGCTCTCTAAAATGTGAGATGCTTGGGTCAGCCATCCGGAATTCCGTTTCAATCTCCAATGCGAGCAACCCACTTCAGTTGGACCGAGAAATCGTCCGTTGTGTCGTCGTCGTCCCAGCTCTCTTCCCATAAATGTGTCGTGGCTGACTTGCCGCCGGCACCGACCTCTTCTTCTTTTGACCAGTCTAAAATCGAAGAGGATGGCGATCAGCATGGATGTCTCTAGCCCACAGCATAGTCCCGCTTTAAGGACATTTTATGCCGTGACGGCGTGGGTGTAAGAGCTGGCACGTACCTTCGATTGGGAAATCTTCGAACTCATCGTCCTCCTCTAGCTGAGCAGCAGGCTTTGCGGCTGCTGCTTTGGTGTCTTTGCTCTCCGAGACTGTGGCGCTGGTCGTATTGGCACTGCCGCCTGAAGGTGGAGCTGACATCCTGTTGAAAATGTGTGCGTAGACTTCTGCGCGTTGAGGTCTCTTGTGAATGTGCTCTGTCGTGTATCAAATCGTTTGTGGATCGATCCGTTTAGCTCGTAATTATCGAAGCTGATGCAATGTGGATGAGTAGACGATGTTGGTGATGATGCACGACGCTGCAACTTGCCAGAAGTCGAGGTGTAGCTGTGTCTACGTAGCTCCATGGCGAAATGTCGTGATGCTCCAACACTGCGAAATCAGCTTCGAAGCATTTCAAACATCTATTTCATGAACAGTTGTTGAGCGTTGATCTCATAATGCAAGACTACAATACAAGTCATCTGCTGAATTGTACTTCTGTTCGTTGAGATTTATAATTGCGGTATAGTGATTCCAACAGCTACAAGACGTCGGCACCCGAATTCGAATCCATGAAGCAATCAAGATAGACCGAACCCAGCGGCACTACCATGACGGCCACACTCCTTGCGAACGAACTCACAAACCTCATCGCCGAGGCCAAGAGAAAAAATTCAGAACTCAAGAATGCTGCGGAGGACTCATTATCGATCCTCAAGTCTCTTTCGGCAACATCGGAGCAACAACTTGCCAATGGTACGTCACGGCCAAGATGAGCATTCCCGTCAGTTCACTGCTGATTTTGGCAAGACTTGAGCCGGCGACCGACCTTTGTTGAGCCTTTTCTCATTGCTTGCACCACTCGCAACTCGAAGTTCGCTGGAAGTGGGATCGTCTGTCTACAGCGGCTGGTGATATCGAAAGGACTCGCCAAGGCACGCCTCCAGGATGCTCTTGGGGCCTTCAATTCCTGTACCGATCTCGGGCTCGATGTTCAGCTTAAAATTCTCCAGGCGTTACCTTCCTTACTGCAGAATTATGCCACCGAGCTTGAGGGCGATTTCCTGAGCAGCGCTTTGCAGGTCTGCTCTGCCTTGCAAGCAGTCAAGGCGGCAACTGTCAGCGGAGTTGCTTCAGCCACACTGCAACAACTCGTCTCAACTGTGTTTGAGAAGGTCGCTTCCGAGGACCGTCATGCCAGTCGAGTTGCGACTGTTGCCGAAGTGCCTGGCGATGCCGGGCCGCTCCAACTACGACCGGCAGCTTACGATGCCTATCGATTGCTTCGAGACCTTGCTTTGGCAGCTGAAGAACGTGCTACCAAATTTGTGACGTTCACATCCCTATCACCTGAGTCAAGTCTCGAGCTGATCTGGTCTTGTATCGATGCCAATGTTGAATTATTCGCCCATCACGACGAGCTGATTGCTATCATCGGCGCGAATATATTCCCGATCGTTCTTCGTGCTTTATCGGAACGTCTCACGTTCGCTATCACCGTGCGCTCATTGCGAATACTCAATCTCCTACTTGATGGTTTCCTCCAGCAGCTTCCCGGAGAGTGTGAGGTGGCACTCGGTCTGTGCGCGCAAGCACTGGACATCGATACCGCTCCGGAGTGGAAACGTGCTATGGTTATGGAGATTCTTCGGGACTTTTTTGACGATAGCTCTCATGTCGTCGATGCTTGGTTGTCGTTTGACACTCGTAAGGGTGGCAAATCTGTCATTCAAGATCTATTGTCTACCTTCGTACGACTGTCGGCTGAGAAGCCATCTACGATCGGGCTCGGCAGTCAATCGACAGCCCCCGTGGGCGCAACATCAACACGTGAATCCAGTGGCGATCAATCTGCCACGATTGAAGCTGCCGGAGGCGTGGTCGGCGTCATCAGCTCCGCATTAGGGGTAACAGAAACAAGTGTGTCTGGTATAAGCACCCTGTGGAGTTTGCCACGGACATCCTTCCTGGAGCAACTTGACAAGGTAGAAGCAGCCACAGTACCCGAAACCTACGTTTATGTGTTAGTCTTGGAGTGTTTGAATGGCCTTTCCGATTGTTTGGCGCGGATCATCTTGCCATTAACTGTTCACCATGAGCGGTTACGTTCCAAACAAGCAGGTAATGGAACAGGTTTCAATCAAACTTCGGAAACGCAACTTATTCGAATTGAAAGAACAAACTCATTGCGATCTCAGGCAGTGCCACTCAATCCCCTGGCCGCTAGCGATGCTCCCTACACGGAACGAGTCAAAGCTGTTGCGAGTCTTGTTGAATCCTGCTGGCCAGCAGTTCTGGCAGCATCTTCGACATTCCTCAACGCTGCCCTAGACGATCACCATTTTCGCAATCTAATCAAAGCATATCAACGCTTTGCACAAGTGGCTGGTCTTTTGCGCCTCGCGACACCACGGGATGCTTTGATGACTACTCTTGCAAAGGCTTCTGTGCCTCCTCATGTGCTCAATGCGGTCACCTCTGAGCCCGTCAAAACTCCAAACAGCGAAACTTCACGCATCTTTTCGAATCCGATGAGTCTCCTAAGTGTCGATAGCCTTGTTTCGCAATCATCGTTATCTTCTGATCGTGATCGGGATCGTGATCGGCGAAACTTGGCCGAATCACCGAGGCCCATGCTCATGGTACGAAACTTGCTCTGCTTGAGAGCGCTTCTCAACTTAGCGATCGCACTCGGTCCTACGTTAGATTCCGCATTTGGCATCGTTGTTGATGCACTGCGACATACGGACTTGATCCTGAGCTCTTCTGCGCCTATACAGTCCAATCGACAGGGTGGCTCCAAGGCAGCTGACGCTCCTACTACTGTTCAAGCTTTCAGTAATGAAGTCGCCGCAGTAGAAGCAGCAGCGTCACGATTACTCGAGAGTACAGCTGACTATCCAAACGATGCATTCATGAATGTGCTTCAGACATTCTGCCAACTCCTACGAATCCAGAACAACAATCTGTCCACTCCTCCATCACCCAACTTGAGTTCTCCAACAGCTTCGCCTGGGCGAGCAAGGAAGTTCTCTACAACGTCGACGTTGAGCGTATCGCTCGAGTCGCGCACTCAAGACCATCAATTTGTCATTCCCAAACTCGGCAATCTTGCCAAGTTGAACGTTTCGCGGTTCGTCGATGAAGACCCCAACGCTAGCGGCTGGATCGCTATCGTTGACGAGCTTGTTTCCATTGCTCGGACTAACAACTCTCCTCGCGATGCCCGTCGAGCCGCTGCAAATGTCCTTGCCAAGCTCGCCGAAGAAACAATAGCCGCTGTCTCGCGAGAGGTGGCCACTGACCGCGCGGAAGTCCAGCAAAGAGCCTTAATCGTTCTGACTCGGTTGATAGATGAGATATATCTGGAGGACGGCGAGCTGACTTCCACCGATCTCGATATACAGAACATGGTCCTCGAATCACTAAGAGCTATTCTAGAGCGCAGTGGAGAATCGCTTATCGCAGGGTGGGACCGAATGATTGCGATTATTGCTGGCGGTGCCTTCGAACGTCAAGATGGCTTATTAGAAGCGACGGACGGTCACGACAGTGGAGTTCCCGTGGACTGGCAAAGCCTTTCAATCGAGCTTGTATCGCCACAGATCGGGCGCACTGCATTTGCTACCACCGAGCTTCTCTGCTCGGACTTCCTCGATAGCCTTCCGATAGGCGTCATGCCGTCGTTGATCAATTTGCTGCAACGATTCATGTGCCAAATTGACGACCTCAACACCGCTCTCACAACCATCACCATGTCATGGAATGTTTCTGACTTTCTCTTCTCAGCGACAACAAAAGACGATCTGGCCGCATTCATCGAGCAAGCAAAAGACTTTGACGATTTGGAGGATGAGATGCGTCCTTTGCTCAATCAATCGCGGCCGGCCCAGTGGCTATTCTTACTTATTTGCCTCCGAAATGTAACTGCTCGTCCTCGGCGTGAAGTACGCAATGCCGCTTTTCAGACCGTCTGCAATGCCTTCAAGACCTATGGGCAGGAACTACAGCCTTCAGCTTGGGACATGCTTCTTCGTTGCACCATTCTCAACATTGCTCGCACAGATTCCTATACCTACTATCATCAGGACAACTCTGATCAAACAAGTGGAAATCACAAGCCAAACAAGTCATCGTCACCTTTAGACATCGAGATGTCCAAGGTCATCATCACGGGTAATGCGGACGTTATCGCTGAGCATCTTCCTATCATCGGTCAGGTTACAAAGCTGCCAAGTTTATGGGAAGGTTTCCTCAGCATGCTCGAACGTTATCTTGACATCGAGAACCACACTCTTAATGCAGCCGTATATTCTGCTCTCGCGAAAGTCCTCACCAGTGGAGTTGATTCCAGCGCTGCTGTATGGAAGGGACCTGTGTTTCGTACTGTGCATATGTGGTTGAAGCGCGTACCCACTCATGAGATTGCTACAGACGTAGCCGACGAGAAACGGACCAGGGGCGGCGGAAACAACCAAGAAGCTTATCTTGCATATATACTTGCGGGCTCGGAAGTCTATGCGCTGACGTGCGACTCGCTCAGCTTTTCGCAAACACGCATCCTAATTGATAATCTATACACCTGCGTCGCAGAGTCTGATGGCCCGCTTCATCGAGCGGATGTTGGGGCCATGAGTCCTGTTCAAGCCAACACGATTGCATTGTTGCGCAAGATCAAGTCAGATCAGAATGAAGAGATTCCTGGGTGCTTGGTCACAGTGGCGGCGAAACTTGCCTGTCTTCATCATGAGACTACAGCCTCTGGCTCTGCACATGCCAAGCCAACATTTGTCGCCGTTGCGAGTGAAGCTATCTCATGGCTTCAGGAGATCGTCCGCGCCATCCTGTCAGATAACGAGCGCACGCCAGACTTCGAGTCCATTCTGGAAGCAATCCAAAGTCTCCGCCGCCTGATCACGACGAAATACGCATTTCCACTTGCACATAAAGCAGTCCCGCTATGGCATCGGGCTACTTCGGTGGCTGCAGCACTTGCAATTCCTATTCACAAAGCGCTTGAGAAGCATGATGTGGATCAGAGCACTAAAGAAACCCTTCTGAAAGAATATAGTACGATTTTGGATGGCATAATCAACGCGCACGACGTGCACACCGTCACCGATCAGGAGAAGGTCTGCAAGGATGAGGAGTTTGACATTGAGAGTTTGCGGTCCATTCAAAGCATTATGGTTTCTCGGCTGCAAGACACCGAGATCTCTGCAGATATTAGGAGTGCATACGTCAAATCCTTATTCACAGGATCACTGATCCATCGTCGTGATGATGATGGGGAAATTTTGAAAATCAATAACAAAGAGGTCCTTCCTCTTGGCGAAATGCTGAGCCGGAAACGTCGGGGACGCACGGAGATCGTGTCCGCCTCCTCACGAGAGGAAATGGCTTACGTGTGTCTCGAGCAATTGATCGCACTAGCTTCTGGCTCAGAAGATGGTCGCAGTACACCTGGCACAGGAGAAGACAGAGATCTATTGGCGTCCGCTGTGGCGCCTCATCTGATACTTCGCCTGGCACTGCCAATTCAGGCGTATGTTGCTGATCAACCTTTGCGCGGAAAGCGGCCTCAGCCGTTGTCGGAGCTGGAAGAGTTGTTAATCTGTCTCGAAGCGATCGGAAAGCTCCATCTTCTCCCGGGTGTTCTTGGGAATGGGAGGGACGGACTTTCTGTAGAAACGACACACGTCACGCTGCTGTACCCACTGCTAATCAAAGCAATGAGTACCGCGAGCGATCCCTGGTCGGGCGCTGCAGAAGTCCGCGTACCTTTGCAGAACTTGTTGGCAAGTTTGTAGATGCGGTCATTCATAGACAGCGCGCTCAAATAGAAGTAGCAGGCTGAGCATCGCGAAAATCGTGCACGAACAGCTGGTTACAATTCGTCCAGTGCGTCAGTCAATGTACTCCCATATCAAACATCTATCTTTCTCGAGCAGAATTGTGTGACATGTATCAGTAAAGGACGAAATGCTCATCGCTGCCCACTCTTCTCCCGATGTTTTCAGCAGTGCAAGGAATAACTTCAGTGCAAAGTGGTCAGTGACCAGGCCGTGCCAGCGAAGCCTGCAGAGATCTTTTTCGACAGTGGTCTCCTCAGGTGTACAAACTGGTGGCTGGTACCGCGATAGATAAGTATCAATTTTATCAGCGCTTTGAATTCTGGGGGATAGTTGGCTTGCCAGACTCAACCATTCCAAAGTCTCCACGATGGGTTCCTCATCACCCTTGGCATCTTGCTCATTTACATCCCACGGCCATACAGGCGCCAAGACGCCTGGCAAGTAGTCGACCTCTGGTTTGACGGCTCTCATGATGGGTTGAAAAGCAGCGACTGATCCAGACCCGTCATTTGCAGCGTTTGGGCTCAAGTCGTAGAACAACCACGTGACGGTCTGATTCAGCACATTTTTGCACGCCCAGATGAGCCGCTCGAACCCAGGCTTGCCGTGAACCATGGCAGGCTGCCGCAAATCGATCTCGATGGTGTATCGTGCAGGTACATGCTTCCTGGCGCCAGAAGAGATCGGTTTACCGCCCTGCAAGCCCAGACGTTCATGCGTAGGCTTGTCAACTTCGATATGTAGTGTTCCATTGAGGAGGCGGAAAGTCTGATCGATGCCATGGCGACCCTGGGATAGCATCAAGATATTGCCGCATTTGATATATTGGCTGAAGAACTCTCCGTGCAGCAGATCTCCAAGCTTCATGAAGACTTTGGCAAAGCGGAGGACATCGTTGCCGCGAGTAGACAGATGCTGTTGAAATTTAGCCGCTGCATCTTTGGGCAAGACGATATCGACCTAGTTTGAATAGGGCTGTCAGATAATCGCGCATGCCCTTCTGCATAGGCCGCCCTATCATACTTTGACTCACTGTATGGTTGAAGTGGTGCTTGCCTATGGTCGAAAAAGGCTTGCTTTTGGTCGGAGGCTGATCATGATTCACATAAGACGGCAGCGTGGTGCTTGTGAAATAGCACTTGGCCTTGTGGGCATCATCCGAACCGAAGCCTAGCATGTCTTGAAGACGGAAGAGAACAGTCGATGCTCCAGCGGCATAATTGGGATGTGTCGTCGAGATTATGTGCTGTGATAAAACACCCTTCGCGAAGCTAACGAATCCACCTGTGACGCGACTTTTACACGCGACGACCTACGCTCCTCTTACGGGTTCACTGTTACAACACACACAGATTTAATGCCATCACATCGTTTTATGAAAATGGTGAACAGTCCCCATCGAGTCCATCCAGGCCCAATTTGAAGTCATCACGTGCTAACGCCAAAAGCGATCAAGTCACATCTGTCCAGCTCCATTACGCGTCTACAAGCCATCCCAAGGTTGACGGGCCCTGAGAACTCTCGCGATTCGTGGGCGAAGCTCGAACAGCGGCCTTGACAGGAGAGTGAGATGATAACTCGGTGGCGAGCTCACGTACTGAAAGTTGGCATTACGGGCCTTGCATGTGGGAATGCGCTTACGAGACAGTGGCGATGCTGCTCATCAGAGTCACAAGTTGTTCTACTTGAACTCGAAATTCATAATAGTGCCGGTTGCAACCCTCTATACATATCGCGCTGAAACCAACTCCTCTACTCCAGAAAAGCACACAACTCTATCGACTCGTTTTCAAATCAGTATCATGCTTTGAGACGGCGCTCCTCACATCTCACGCAGACTGGATCTTGCGACTCGCCGCGAAGAAAGTATCGGCCATCATCGAATTCGCCTTTGCATTCCTAGAAGATAATGTGATCAGCAACACAGGTTTTGACCAAAGGCGAAGACAGCAGCGTCAGTGGAGTCAAATGAATGGAATTACTTACTGTACAACAGAAGCATCCCCCATGCCAGTCAGCTCCAAGGGCCTTGACCACCACATCCTCAACGATCGGCTTCCGGCAACCCTTGCATTTACTGCTGAAACGGTTCGCGTGACATCCGACGCACCACGCATAACCTTCCTTTTCGACAAACGGCATGGTCTGATCGAAAGAATCGCCACACTGGGCGCAGAAGAAGTGACCTGGGTGCCAATTCGCGCCACATGCGACGATGCCTTCGCCCTCGATGGGCGTCTTGCATGATTTGCAGCGCGGGCTAAAAAGCTCGTGGAAGTCAAGATGACAGTAAAATCGAAGCGATGAGGCATCAGCCGCGAAAGTATTCGGGTCGGCGGCACGTTCGCGCTGTTGTTGCTCTGGTTCCGGATAGAATGCGACGCACTCTAGGTTAGTGTTACACTCGTGGCAGACGAAGCAGCCCGGATGGAAGCGCTGTCCAGCGGCAGAAAGAATCCGGCCAGCGATTGGGAGCGCGCACTGAGTGCAGAGAACTCCGGATTGTCGCAAAGAAGGCGTGTAATGGAGCGACGATTTCTTAGGTGAGTCCGGTGCAGCAGGTGCACTGTGCGGATGATGCGGCAGCGCGATTGGAGGAGGCCGTTGTGCTGATGGTGATGGAGCATTCTGCCGATTGCTGGCCACGCTGCTGTCCGAAATCGTGATTGATGGCGGCTCAATATTGATGGATGGTGTAGGTGGAGCCGAGCGGTGATAGTTTGTAGAGGCAATACTACTATTGTTGGGTGGCAGGATTATAGCTGGCGTACTCTCGTCTGGAAAGCTGATACGAGGTATTGATGATATCTCGCACGAGCTCCCAACACTGCGTGGAGCTGGAGGAGCACGTGTTATTGGTGAAGGCGTGAATGATGATCTATTTGCTGAGATCTCACCAGTCCTTGGCGAGTCTGCTCGAGCCTTTGTGGGCGAGGAAGACGTGCGCACTTCTTGCATCGCGACCTCTTTTGGCTTCTCAAAGCTGACGATTGGGCGGCCGGGCTTGTCGCTGACTAAGGTCGGACGTGGTAGTTTGGGACTGTAGTCCTGACGGGACTTGCTCGTCGCCGCACGCAAGTCATCGCTCCTAATCTCTTTCCCATCCCTGGTTGCTGCGGCCTTGGGTGACGTCTCGTCTCCGGCGGCACCCCCTGGCGAGGACGATGCTGGCGGTAGAGGCTCATTGGACATATACCAAGGATTACGACTTTGGCTAGGCTCATTGCGTTGTATTTCTACGCGGTCATGCTTGTAGACTGGTGCTGCTGCAGGAAGCACAGGCGCAGAGTTCGCTCGTTCCAGCCTGTCGTGCTGCATTCTCACTCGCGCAAAGGGGTTCTTGCGAATGAAAGCCGGTATGTGCGGTGCAGCTTTCTCTTCAGCCTTGCTCGAATTAAGGCTTGATGAAGATATCGAAGTCGAATTGTCCTCCTGTGGGTCCTCCCAGATTCGATCGTGTGGATTGACAAAGGGTGTCTTCTCACAACTCATCATGCGTCGACTTCCACTGCTTACGCGGCGTTGGCCATTGGCAACATCACTAGCTACTGCTTGCGCTAGACCGTCATAGCTTTTCCCCGAAACTGATCGCCTCTTCTGCACAGACACAAATTCGGTGGGTGCACTAGCCTTGCCAGGGCTGACACTTTGTTTCGTTGCTATCGTCTCTTCGCCTGATGCAGAGTGAATGCTGCCATCTGAAGGGCTTCGACGGCCTCCGATTGATCCTGAGCTCTGACTGATACTGCGCTGATAGCTTCCCTTTCTGAGATGTGATCGGTAGTCTTTGACTGCATCAACGTTCCTGTACACAGCATCTGGGTTGCGATGTTTCCAAACTAGCTGAGCTGCCTCATCTTGCGCGGCAGCATGGATCGCACGCTCTTCCTCCAGGTCCATATCCTCCAGCGCACGTCGCAGCGATCGAGCCTCCTGCTTCTCCATCCAGCGCATACCATTTTCAATGTAGGTCATACTCGGGGTTCGACGGACCTTCGCATGCTCATCAATTGACACATTGTCGATACAATCGGTTGCCGACGGTGCACGTGCGAGTGGACGGCCTGCAAACGGACTCTTTCTCGTTTGATCTGAGGCGACTAAACTTGATTCGGTCTTTCGGTGGGTAAGTTTCTGTGGTGGTATGATCTGCATGCTATTCCTTGGCGGGAGGGTCGATTCAGAGTCGAAGGATGGTTGGGGTCCGTTCACGCTTATCTCTGTACGTGATGTCCGGGTGAATTTAGATGGAGGAGCTGGGCGAGAGCCGGATGGACGTGACGGCTGAGATTGACGAAGACCCGCCAGATACTGGACTATGAGCTCGAATGATCAGTAGGTACATATAGAATTCTTTTCGAGCTGCCGATCGGATTTAGGTCACCGACGGCACTGGAACCGAATGCTGACCTGTTTGCTCCTTAGACATATAAGTCGGTTCTGGGACCGGTCGATCTCGGTGCCTGAGCGACATGATGATTGTAATGAAGTTTGGTAAGCCGAAAGGAGACTGCCTCGGATGGGGGAAGATCGACTGGCCAGCCGGTGGACAACGTAATAACGAGGAAACGTGCCAGAGGCCTGTCGGTCGATGAAACGAGATTGGAAGGACAAAAGGAAGAAGATCGTGCACGGCAGCGATGTTGCTATTATTGACACAAACGAATTCCAAGGGAACGAGCGGTGACGGTTGAGCAAGCTAGAGATTCATAAGGCGTGTTTGGGGAAGAAAACGTTCTTGAATCGTCTCATCGATCGTGACGACTGATAAGGTTCATGATAAATTATGACGAGTGCTATGTGGGATTTGTTGGGTCGTGGGCATATTTTTGTTTGGCCCCATCAATGTTTCGTCGTTGGCAGGGCAGCAGCTCCATTAGGTGGGGTTTAGGGTTTGGCTTACGGATATGTCTACTGGCATTGTCTCAAGCTCCTGCACTGTATACGCTTTCGCATTGCGTGAAACAACCTTGGAACAGATGCTTCATGTAATAGGCATTAGGTGCGCGTTGTTCGTCGTTACGCATTGGAGATTTAGGGAGCAGCGTCGCGCAGATTCTTCGTTCACGCATGAGAATATTCTGTTCGTCTTCATTCGGTGTGTACGGTCTTATCAACAGATATCACAGCAACACAGTGGGAATTTGCCATGCGCCAACGTACCCAGTTCCATCCCGGCAGAGACGCAACATCTGTTTGACTTGGCAGTGCGGTGAAGTCGTGAGATGAGGAGTTGAGACCGGATTGTGTAAGACCTTGCACGACCGTGCACGACCCACCGCATCTCATGAAGCGATCAAGTTCGATGGCGTCCTTTGTTCTGTGACGCGCTCCGAGGCAACGCTGGGAATGAATCTTGTGAAGTCACATTCAGTGGCGCTGTCACCGAACGCGGGACGTGCTGCTGTCGTGTAAGAGTGGGTGGCAGAAGTGTATTGCCGTCGACGGGTCTTCTGCCACCACCGGCGCCTTTGATGTGTCCGTTGCCGGTATTGTTGGTTTCTGACGCTTGCTCCTCTGCCTCAGTCAGCGGCGCCAATAGCTCAGCCCCTACATCCTCCCCATGACCCACAGCCTGCAGAAGGCGGAATGCCCTTCTGAATTCGTCACGGATCGCAACAATGCCGTTATGTGTGACTGTACGAGCGACATTGTGTGCAAGTTCGAATGGGTCTTCAATAGCGAAGAGGTATCGGTGCTGTATCCGCTTGCCCTCCGATTCCTCCGTGGCAGCTTTGACCCAGCCCTTTTCATCTTTTGTAAGAATACCACCGCGCGTGCGCAGAGATAATACTTCCCGTGTCCAGTGGAAAGGTCGCGACTTCCCTCCACCTCCACCAAGAGAAGAGTAGTACTGGAAGAAACCTGCGAGAAGCGATCCCAGCGACTCATTGTTCGAGACCATTTGGCCTGCGGCGATGGCAGACAAAATCTCATCCTCGTTGCGCCAGAAGTCAACGGTCCAATTATCGACCTCGACACGATTCGCGCCATGCGGAGTACAATTGGCATTGGGGCGCCATGAATGCTGAAGATTGGGAAGCACTGGAGGCTGCGCTACATTGACCAGATAGTGGAGAACCATGAGCACATATCCATAGCTGGAAAGTGTGCCAGAATAGGAACTGTTCACTCGGCGACGTTTGGCCCACAGCTTGACGAAGAGCACCATCGGCTGAACGCGAGCGTCACAAAGAGAGTAGCAGCGCAGTAGTTGCGTGTTGTGAAGGCCTAATGGGTTGAAGAAGTTGATGTCACACTGAATCCCCACGCCGTCCTTTGGAAAGTCCAGAGGACCTGCCTGGCGCTCTCGTGTCCACGTTGACTTCTTCTGTGGAGTTGTTGACGTTGGCGTTTCTTCTTGCGTTTCTTGTGATTTCGTTGGTAAAGTATTGATGGTAGTGGCTTCTTTCATAACGGAGCGTTCCGAGTCCAACTCGCCGTCCTCTGTAGAGGCAGCAGAAGAACCAGGCTCAGCAGCGCCACCATCGATCTTCAGAGTCTGAGACACATCGACATCGGCAGCATCGACTTGATTTGTATCCGGATATTTCTTATCGTGATCCAGCAAATCCCACCTCTCCCGCTCGGCCCTAAGCTTGCTCAATAAGTTCTCGCCGGGTTTCTGACACACTTTGATGATTGGCACTCGCGTTCTCGAGAGCAAGCGAGCGCCATAGCCCAAATCCAACAGTGCCCTTTCCAGCGATCTCGGGAGACCACGCTCGTGTAGTGAGAAGCACGCCGATGAGGGTGTCTGATCCCTGACCACTATGACAAGATCCATGTCGGAGCCGGCATTGGCAAACCCGGACCGAATGCTGCCGAAGCTTTCCAAGGAAATGAGAGGAAGATTTTCAGGGTCAGCTTCACACACTTCTCGGCAAACATCGGAGAGGACTGCCAGGTATCGCTCCTTTTCCTCGAGCTCAGCTGGTGACATGCGCACACGAGCAACTTCCGCAGCGGCTAGATGTTCGAGGAAACGGGACTGTGCTTCATGGACGGCAAGTCGTGAGGTCTGATAGTGCTGCTGCTGCACGCGTGGGTCATACAAATGCGGTTGTTGCGACTGGCCACCACGCTGAAAAGTGTTTGGGTCTACTGCTGCACGGGGTAGAAACTGAGATCGATGAAAGCCATCACTATTGCCGCGTCCTCGACCAGAGTATCCGTGGTAGCCTGCTTGAGGGCCTCGACTTCCACGCTGAGGTGATTGTGAGTCATTTTGCCTGAAGGCACCTCGATTGGCTTGAGCATAGTTCGCAGTTCGATGATACGGTGCCTGCGGAGCATGCTGTGATTGAAGGTTTCTGCGATCCGGCGTACTACTTGGCTGCGGTGCTTGATGTTGTGTTTGTGGTGAACGCTGGTAATCATTACATTGAGGTCGTGCGTTTGAGCCCTGTGGATTGACAGTCTGATTGACTCTAGGCGTCTCAGCTTGCGACAGAAGATTATTGTAGTGTGTTGATGGCGAGTTAGTGTTGCGCAGAATCATGTCCCGCAACGAATGTTCCAGACCAGTCTCACCGGCCCCCTTAATTGTGTGCTCCATTGCGTGCTATGTTGATATTACGTGCAAGCCGATGTGATATAGTGAAGAAGGTCAAAAGCAAGATGATGGCTCCAGTAATAATAGCAAGCTTGACACCACCTGCAACCTCGAATTCTTGCTGCGTACCTACGTAGGTAAATATCATCCAAGTTGACTCAAGACTGGAAAGTTCTTAACAACACTTCATGGCAATTCCTTTCACGCCTCACTGCGGCTAAGATCTCTTGCTATTTACATGACTTTCTCGCGTGTGTTCTAGGTTTCACGCACGATTACTACGTCTGATTTGAGCATGTCGAGCTCTAGTACTTTCAACCGTCACTCTTATTTGGCACAGCAAAATAGGGAGCTTTAGCACCCAGGGCTGACTTGACGTGCAGAGCTGAGAGCCGGCTGCAATGACGTGTTCACGCAGCTATCAAATCAATTCCACCTCAAGTACTTCCTAGGTACATAGCGCATAGCGCATAACGGCATGATCAGGATCGAAGATGCTACCATCTTTATGATTACAGTATTTCAACTAGGATCAGAGGCTTCCCCGCACGTCATGAAGAAGTTCGTGCGGAATTCCATTCGAGCGCAACATGACGAAGTGAAGGTATGATCGAGTGGACCAAGCAGGCACTACGATGGGAACCGGGAATTGACAAGTTCGTCAGCCACCGAACGGGGTTTATGCTCAGGTTTGCATTCAATTCTCACAGCTTCCAAAAAACCCTATGGTGACAACAGTCTCAACAGTACCCAAGCTTTTGAGATCACAGATGGCCTTGTACGCAAACATGGTGTTCACCTCATTTCAGCCACCTCCGATACGCCCATCGAATCCTCTCCCCGACCCGACGCTGCCTCTCTACACCTACACGGACATCACACAATTCGTCGACCTCCTCTCCGAATTCCCTCAAAATCTCGGTCGGCATGATCCGCGCTGCTGCCAGCCTGAGGATATGAACCTCACAGATCAACAAGCCTTGATCCTTGTAGAGGAGCTCGCCAAATTGTGTCGGCTGGGCTGCTGTCAGGATGCGATCGACATTACGCAGTTGTCGGAGCATGTGCTCCTGCCGACGCGCTGCGGAGGACTTCTTCGAGGCGCCTGTGGTGAGAATGGTGGTGCGGATATAGTGGATCAATCCCCAAGCGACGAGGAGGCCAGGTGTCAGACTGATGAAGCCAATGAGAAGCTCCTGCGACTTGAGCAGGCTGTCAATGCCGCCCATAGCGACTTCCACGTCGACCTTGGTCTTTTGAATCTGTATCAGCAGGGCACGAATCAAATTGCCGCGGAGCGCACCAAGGACTGGGGAAGTGAGATCCTTTTCGTAGGCGCGAAGGACTGGCGTTAGATCACCTTCGCGGACTTTGGCACGGATTTCGGCGACTTGCACGTCAGTCAGGGCCGTCGTAGCGCCGGTGTCGTTAACGTGGGCAGGGTTGTCAATGGCGAAATCGATGACCATGCGTTCGAGTGATTCGCGGTCGCCTTCCAGTGACCGTCGGGACAAGAGGCTTATGGCGCTTGATTCGTCGTGTCGGATCGTCTTAATGACGTTGCGAGTAGGTTCCAAAACCCAATTGGTCCAGAAATCGACCACGGTAGAACCGAGATCGCTGACCCATTGTACAAGCTGTGCTTGTCGGCTTGCGAGAATGCGTAGAACTGTGCTAGACGAGAGAAGACCAATGGTGATAGGAAGCCAATACCGCACCAGACGAGAAGGCTTTCCGTGTCGCCGCACCAGGGCTTTCGAGGCGGTTTCATACTGTGGCAAGCCGATCGTCAAAATGCGGCTCAATCGTTCTCCAACGTGCTGAGGGGAAACGTTGATGTTTCGAAGGTCGAGTGTGTAGAGAGGATCTTCTTCCGTGAGCTCCGCTATCGCGCCATCGTATCCGTCGACGGGAGTGTCGAGATCGGTAGTTTTCGCCAGAACAGCTTCAATCAATGCAACATTTCTTCCGACCGAAGCCTTCCATTTACCCTGCACATCCTGCACGTTCGCAGGAGTCGGAGTCGTCATGCCATCGCCGTGAACACACTCATTCGCGAGTCCTTCACCAAGCAACACGCCCAAAGCATTGGCATTTCGCATGCGAATTTTCTTCAGCGCAGTCTGCTTGAGCCGGATCTCGGCCCGGATGCGAGAAACGGGCGAGAGAATGTGTTTGTTGACCTCGGCGACGCTGCGCTCCGCGACGACATCGCGAACGAGTTTATAGAATTGGCCCCACCGTTTGCTAAGGGTGTCGCCCGTATCCCGACTGGCGCTCCGAATGTCGAAGTGGCCACCACGTGCTTGTACATCTGCCCAAACCACGTTCCCCCAACGCCAGAACCTCGCCGGCGAGGTCTGTACGCTATATATGAGCGTGCCAACGCGCGAGCTAAGGACAGCATCCCAGTACCATACATCGTTGGAGATGTCCACAGCGTGATCAAGGATATTTTTCAGCACCACCCCATATACTTGTGTAGTTATCTTGGATACCAACAGCCACTCCAACTCATGCTCAAAAGGGTCTTGCTCTGCGCTGCCTTGCTCGTCGTTCTCTGTTTGTAACCCATCATTATTCTCAGGCTCGGTCGGTACCTGATCTGAACCAAGCCCTCGCGCCTCTGTCCGACGTGAGAGAGCAGCAAGCGCGAGCTTGATTTGTGATGTTCTGAGTAGTGCTCTACTGTGTGAAATTCCCGGCGAGGCACCACGGATCGCAGCTTGGAGAGCAAGCACACGTGCTGAAGGAGGCCGAGGTTGTCGTGTTGACGACTGCTGCGGCTGTAGTGAATCTATGTGCAGAGCTTCGGTCGTCGTGAGTCCTGTTGAGTTAGGGGCGAGGAAATTTGGCGCAAGTTGTATCCTGTTAAGCTGTCCATCGATGCGATGCACTTGATCGAGAACGAAGCTCATCGTGACGGTTCGTGAGTGCTTAAATCGGGGTATTTCTCATACGCATCGGTGTTGGGTTTGACCTGCAATCAACATCGTTTGGCCAGAGGGGATCGACCGGTCACCTTTCGCTCATAGTACAAATCTTCGTGAGACCGGATAATATAAAGAATGGATGAGGCGTATGTGTTGTATTCTGCTCGGATACAAGTCGAGCTGGGCCTGTAAACTCGCTAGGTAGAAAAGTTGTAGGCGGCCCAAGTGTGACGTAGCGTGTTCAGCACCAGAAGCTGGGAATTTGGGCTAAGAAAAATAGCATTGAGTTCAGGAGTACGCCATGGCGGTGACCACCACTGATCCGTACCAGCGAAAGCAGAATGAAAGATCTCCATACTTAAAATTGTACCATTTCCTGCAAGGAATTCAATCTGTCTCAGATGCAACCAAGAAAATACGGGTGCACTGTTGCAGTGCAGATGCATTCACTTATTTATCTCCGCGAAGGCCAGAACGGAGAACCGACTGGACCAAACGGACACGGAGAGCTGAGCTCAGGGTTTCCTTGTCCAATACTTACCATTACTTGATGAAGAGCGCACGGCAAGAGATTCCATGCTGCCGAAGTGATCACCATAGCGACCTGGGCACGCATCCACGTGAATAACGATATCATGCATTTCTTTAGTTTTGGGGAAATAAACGCCCGGACGCCTGAAGAACGGGCACACCCCTGAAGGTTTATGAAAGCACGTCCAGAAAGTCTCATTGAGCTCCCTCCAGATATGGACTAGAGTTCTCTGCATTATGAAAATAAAATGTCGCCTGTAGAAGATAAACACCCCAAATTGCCAGAAATGCCGACTAGAATCCTCATCTATTGTGCCTTCTTGGCCTTGGCCAACTTCTTGTCGCGTCTGCGCTTGGCCGCTTCCGGACCACTCTCGGTGTCCAGGCAGTAGTCCCACCATCTGAAAGAGCTGGAGTAGTTACCGATGAACTTCTCGTGGTGGGTGTCGTGGTGGTCGGCGCCGGCCCAGAATGGCAGGAAGTGGTGCAAGCTCCAGGGGAATTCGTAACCGGAGTGCGCATCGATGGCCTGGAAGAGACGGAGCACAATCCATACGTACATGGTCAGAATGTGGAGATCCTTCGTGATTGCGCACCACAGAATTGGTCCCGAGACAGTACCGAGTCCTAAGACCATGACCTCGATTGGACTGGCGTACTCGGCGGCGAGACCGAAAGGGGCTGAATATTGGTGGTGAATCTTGTGAATGTATTTGTACAGCGGTCCCCAGTGCATAGCACGGTGCATCCAGTAGTGCCAAGTATCCTCGAAGACGAAAAAGATCGCGATTTGGTAGGCCATGGTCAGGAGAGATGGGAACGGTACGGTAGTGGAAAGGCCGAAATATTGTGCCATAGGGTGGAAGCCCCAGATCTGAGGAAGCTCGACGGTGAAGTGGGACAACAAGACGAGCATTGCGCAGTCCCACTGTTCCTTCGCGGATGGTATTTTGTGCTGTTTCGATGTTAGCTGAGTCTCTGCTCTGCAATGCGGCCAGGCGCCAGAGTGTAGGTAGACTCACGTTTTGAATCTTGTATTTGTTAAATGCTGGGATCTGGTCGATGATAATCCATGGCAGACTCCGTCCAAAGTAAACTGTCTCATGCATGACGAAGCTCATGATGCCCGTGGCGAGAACATCGTTGCCCATGTACGCGTACCACGCAGCCCATAGTTTCTCGAAGTAGTTCAGTGAGACGTTGTATTTTGAGATTTCATCGAACTCGTGCCAGTAGGTGTTGCGAGTGTGCGGGAGCATCGCATCTGCGAAGGAGGAGTAGGTTGCATTGTTGCTGGAAAGGCAGGTCACGTCAGCACCAGTTCAGCTTCGATGTCGTGCAGAAGTCGAAGTGCTCGACTCACAAGAAATCCATGCCGAGAGTGAAGGCCATGGCGAGAGGTGGAGAGATATCCAGCCCAGTTGAAATGAAGGTGGAGCGCTGAAAATCAGACTGCCCAAGGGATCTGGGCGAGTGAAGGATAAGTTGAGTGTACGTTCTCAACGATCTCTGCGGACGGTGTTTGGTTGTTCGTGTCGGCGTGCCAGTCAGCACCCCAGAAAATAGAACGAGTGAATGGACAGTAAAGCCAGAGATGAACTGAATGAAAAGAAAAGCAATACTTATTGCAATACGCCCTTGGCGACTGTTGCGGAGAAAGAGTGTACTGTACCGTCCAGCAGCAGTGCCTCCAAAATCATACGAGTTTCCATCTCGACCAGTAAATTCAGGGACCACACCTTTACCGCTTTGGGCTCTAGCGCCGCCACTGGTCCACAGCCCTGGGGTCATCTACACGGTCACTTCCGCTGCCCGCGGTTTTTCGCGGGTGTATTGTATGACGACGGTGATGATAAGAATACAGAAATTGGAATTTTACCTGCCTAGGTACCTAGGTAGGTAAGTATTATTATAATTATGAGCAAGGCGAATAGTGCCTGCGAAAATATCTATGCATGCCCGTAGTCTTGCGCGCGAAAGCAACAATTATCGAAGCGGTGCTTCTCCATCAATCTAAGTAGAACGCTTGTCGACAATACCTCCGCATCATGAAGACGACCGGGGGCGCGACACATACAAGCTCCAGCAGTCAATGCAATTTGCACGGCGTTCGCGCATTTGCTGTGGTTGCGCGCAGTGCTGAATCAGCGAAAGTCGCTATCATTGTTCCTCACGGGAGCGTGGTGTAAGAGATATTCGAGTACATGCAGTATATACCGGAATTTGAGGCGTGGCGATCACCTCCTCCTGTGAGCCCATTTTATTATTATTATGATTGTTCATTGTCCAGACCAGCAAAGATCTCCCTGGACAACCTAGCGTGAATCCGTCGGCGACTGAGCTATCCGGGGGGAAAAGAGAAGCCCCCTTTTCGCTCGGCTCCTGATGCTGTCCACCTAGGTGTACGGCAGACGATAGATCTACTATATTATATGGGCGTAGTAGAATGATATTGTAACAGTACCTGGGTATATGAACGAGGGTTTGCAGGCTTCAGCTTGTTCGCGGTCGCTGAATCGCCATGCCGCCGCCACTTGAAAAATCCCAAGGTTGCTTTCACGGGCTTCATGTCCGATTCTGTTTGAACGAGTTGATACAGGTAACCATGTTGGATCGAACATATTGAAATTCGGATCTCCAGACTGCAGAATCATGATCGCGGGTTGGAGATTTTGTGGCATCATTGCCATCTCCCTGGGTATGCTTTCATGTTCACAGGACAGCCCAGGCTGAGGATTCAAAAAATGCCCACCTGGGCAGGTACCCCGGGCTATCGGACTGTGCAACGCCCATCCATCTTGCTGAGCGATACCCTGCTGTGCCTGATGTGAAACGACCTTGGAATTCTCTGAAGTATCTTGTAGACATGCGTGCATAATCACATGCGTCACCAGACGTCCTGTCGGATCCTCTGCATTGTTAGCTCAAGGTCCTGCATGTCCGATGCAGCTCGTGTGCTCAAGACTTGAGCACATAGCGTCCGAATAGATTCGCCATATTTCTTAGCACTGCTCGAGAATTACAAGAATGGAAATTTGATCAATGCTAGTGCGGACTGGACACGCTACGAACGTGTGAAGCGGAGAAGAATGAAAGATACGATGTGAGGTCAAGAGTTCAGAGTGCTCTTAGAACGAGTGACTGCAACAATATATGTTGGGAGCGGCAGAAATCCTATCCTTCAACTTGCCCAGACCAATCCGAACTATGCCTGCCTCCCATGCTCGACTCGCCATCTCAGCATCATTCACAATACTATCTTGAATTAGATGTCTCGTGCCGGGTCCCCCACTACCGTTTGCGCCGCGAGGCCATAGCCGGTCGTTTCGCGTTCGCCTACAAATATAATCACCATCATCTTGAAGGATTTCAGTCCCATCTATCTCGGAAGAACGCAAGGAAGGAACTACCTAGCCTTCTTAATTTCGGTGGCCCACCCTTCGATGCCGTCTCCCTTGCTCCCTACAGGGATTTCCAGCTTCACACCGCCCATACCCTTGGTGTCTTCCAAGAATGCGTGGTTGGCCATGCCACCTGCGTTTGCTCGTTCCGCTGGTTGCAATTCCAGCATGGGGAGCAGGAAATCTGCAATCCGCTTGGCCTCGTCGACTTCGAAGTGGTATTTCTCTCGGAGTACGTCCGGGAGGGCCCAGTGTCGCAGACGGTGGATGTTTCGGAGGTCGCCTTTGCGGTTGAAAATCTCTTGCGACCACTTCCCGCTGATACAGAGGGATTTAGGAAAGGTGCCCAAAAGCTCGATGATTTGCGCGATGTGGTCGTCGTCTTTACCGTATTTGGTCCCAGATTGCGGGTCGAAAAGGTAGTCGCCCGTGATGAGTTCAAAAACCTGCCGTACACATCAGAAATAAGTTCACCTTTTGGTACTCGCCTCCTGAGATATTTGGAATCAAACGCACCATGCTAGCCATGCTCCAAACGTCTGTACTCGCTCCCCATTTTGCTCCCAGAATGACCTCCGGTGAGCGATATTGTCGTGTCTGAATGTCGTTTGTGAAATGGTGCCCAACCCAGCATGCATTGCCCAGATCTGCGATCTTGACTGAGATGATGTCGAAATTGAGTTCTGGTTCGTCATCCTTGGATTTTTGGGATGTGCCAAGATCCATGTCGGAAACGTTGTTTGCTAGCTGGTCACTAAAACCACAAATCAGAACTTCTACGCATCCGCCGTACAGTCGGACATTTGAGACTCACGCTGATTTCTCCCTCTCCTTTTGAGCCCCGCCTTCTTTCATACCATCAAGAACATCGTTCTTGATGCCGAGGCTCTCGAGCATGCTCTTTTGTGGGACGTTTGGTGGCGGCGGAATGACTAGACGTACAGACATTAGCAATAGCACGCCGGCGAGCCACTCTCATCGCATGCCGCATACCTTTGTTTTCTGCCATGACTTTACTGATACCCGGGAAGTTGGTGAGATCGCTATGTGAGAAGCTGGCGTTCAACGGGCTTGGAAGTGGCTGCGAACCAGTGATGAGCGTCCTCCTCCGCCGCCGTCCACCACCGTTGCGACGATCATCCTTCTCTTTAGTCTCATCTTCCTTGACGTAAGTCTTGACGATCTGCTCCACGTCACCAATCTCTATCAAAACATTCTCCGGCTTCAAGTCTGTGTGGATGATGCCGCACTCGCGGTGCAGGTAATCCAAGCCGAGAAGCACCTGTTTCGTAATTTGTTTGACGAGAGGCATTGGGATTCCACGATGGTTCCACCTCTTGATCAGCCCGAGCAAGTTCTCGCCCAGCACCTCAAAGACCATGCACACGTGCATGCCATGGGGACCCTTGTGATTGAATGAATCGAGCAGGCTGACGACATGCGCGCGGCCGGGGTGGTTCTTGTTCGCATCGACCACTTTTTTCAGGAGCTTGATCTCGTCTAGTGCAGTTTCGGTGTAATGCGCGGCAGAACGGACGACCTTGAGCGCAACGTGTTTGCCAGTAGTATTGTCTTTTGACAGCCAGACAGTCGAGAAGTGACCCCAGCCGAGCTTTCTGACGACCGTGTATTTGCCGTCATTGTATTGCTCGCCTACCTGCACAGGGTGGTAACCGCCCTTGCAGTAGTCCTCTGAGTCTTCCTCGTCTGCCGTGTTTTCGGTAGCTTCGTCGCCAGACGAGTCGGAGGCGGTAGGCGATTGATGGACGTCTTGACCGTACTGCGCCTTTTGAGGATTCAACGGCGACGATGTGCTGTGAGGTTGGATTGTTAGCCCGTGCGCGCGCAAACGAGCGCTCTGTCCCGACATCACGGGCGAGCACAACGATCAAGCGGACAGGCAACAGCAGCGGCGGCGGCGGAGCGTGTCGAAGTCACGGCGCGCCGCACAACGGGAGAGAGAGCGGTCGAGCGACGGTGATGGTGGGGTGGTGGTGGTGATTGGGAGTGGCGGGGAGGTGGAGCGGCGGCGAGGAGCGGGAATCTGAGCACGGGAAAGAGATGGCGTGGGGCCGAGTTGATGAAGCGACCATAATAATCAACAAAAGAGCGAGACCTTTTTCTGCCTCTCGCGCGCTCTCGAAGCTGTCACTCGAGTAATGATGATAATAATAGAGTGTGCAAGTCCACCTCGCAAGGGGAGAAAAGTGCTGTACAGTAATAAAACTGTGATAGGTAGGTCATCCAGCTGTGGTGAGTTGCGTGACGTCGTGGGCGCGGGCGTGCTTTGGGTATCGCCCGGGCGGTTGCGACATCAAGCTTCCAAGTATGAAGAAAGGCTCGCCAGGGCCTTGGGCGCAACACGCAACGGTCAAAGCGGCGGCGACGACGAATAAGAACAGGAGATTGCGTCGCTGGGGTTCCCGCTGCCGTGCCCGCTCCTTCCTTGCCGCAGACTCTTTCTCCCTCGCCCGTTGTGGTTGTTGCAAGATATCACGTCGATGATGCATTCCGTTTCATGGTGATGACAGCACAAGAACGCTCCATATAGGAGGAAGACTCACCTTGGCGAGCCGCCACTATTAAGCGCTGCTCTCTGTTGCTCGGTCGTAATGATAGGTTTCAGAGCCTCCTGTTTCCGTCGCTTCTTGTCGCTGTTCCCGTTGGTTGGGTTGACGCTACTTGCGACCTGTTTCGCCTTGTTGATGGCGGCCTGCTTGATGCTGTCACTGCCGTTCATGATGCGGCGCTGGCGGCGGGCGCAGCGGCTTCAGAAGTCAGTTTGGAAGGGAGTGACGAAAATTATCCACCTGGGCAGGCTCGGGGCACGCTGGATTTGATGTTCGCTGGTTGGTAGATTACCTAAGTTTGAAGATTGACGGTGATGAAACTCGGGGTTGGGTAATAAATAAAGTCACGCACGCCGATGAGACTTTGTGCCTTGTTTTTTTGTTGGCTATCGTGACTAGACCGCATAGACGATCATTCCCGCGTGCGACTTGCTATAAGCCTTCCACGATGACTTGCATTTATTGATGCAATAGCCGAGTGACAGGCAACTCCGACCGGGCGCAACTCTCCACTTTTAACCTCAACGAACAATGGTGTATGGGACGTGAACGCGCAGTTCGTGTCGACGACAGAAACAAATGAGATCCATGGATTGTTTTAAAAGCTGCTTGGGTGGAATGTTCTTCGGTACGGCTGGCTTCGCTCTGACAGCCCTCGGGTTTGTCGTCGCAGGAAGATGCCATCATGCCTCACAGAGTCCCAGGTTGGAAGGGACACACCACACACCTCAACACTGATGATGACACACCAAGAGCTGCCTGACAGCGTGCCGCGGTGATGCAAGTATAGATCTACCATTCCATGCAGGTGCTTCCCGTCTATGATCATGGGCCACATGGGGTCGGCGGATCAGTCCGACCACTGGCAAAGATCTCATTGCAGTTCCGAGCGATGTTTGGTCCTACCAGATTCGCATCGACGACGTCTATCAACACGGATGTACATCTCTACGTACCTGCACAGAAATGAAGACCTTCCTCTGCGATTCGCGGTCACATCAACACGTTTCTATTTGTCAACGCAGCTCACCAACACACAGTAATGAGCATACAAACATTTCCACCCTCTATGGAACGCTGTTCTTATCCGCAGTGTACATCTGAGCCCGACCATGTCGTAAGACTGAAAACAAAATCGCCGTCGATCAATGCTCAATGCTTCATCTCTTCTCGGCGATCTTACTTGTTCGCAGAGATTGCAGCCATCCACTTCTGCTCCTCTGCGCGATCAAAGTGTAACAACATCCCGAGCACGGGCACAAGCTGCATTTGATGTTTTTTCTCCTTCTGCTCGAGGAACTGCAGCAGAATGTTTTTCAGGTAGACATAGTCTACGCCGTCCTTGGAGCCCGCAGCAGTCCCGGCGGCACTGCCAGGAGACGCCACACGTGTGCTGTCGACTGAGACCCGTGGTGACGGTTTGAATTTGGCCGTTCCAAGGGCTACTGGAGAGCCAATTTGCTGTTGTGAATGTTGCTGCTGTAGTGCGCGAAGCTCCTCAGCCATTGCTTTGCTGGATTTCTGAAGACGTTCTAGGCGTGTCTCCTTGTCCTCCAAAGACTTCCGCGCCTCGAGCTTCTCCTTCTCTAGCTGGCGAGATTGCCGTTCGCTCTCATCGAGTGCATCGCGCAATTGCGCCATGGCGGTGCGAATCTCGGCCAGCTCTGTCTGCGCCTGCGAGGCGCGTTGTTGAAGATTCGTTTCGCGCTCCAGCAGATCACGCGCACGTCGTTCGGCATCTTGCTTGGCGTCTGTGGCGCGACTGGCTTCACGTTCCGCATCGTGTAGCTTCAACTTGTAGTCTTCAATCTCACGAGCACGACGCTTTCCTATACTGCTTGCTTCGTCTTCTGCCCTGTCGCGTTCTTCCAATGCGAGATCCATACGCTCTCTCATCTCCTTGACTTTGCTTTCTGCGCGACCTTCGACATCGGCCAACAGGCGTCGCATGGTCTCCGCCTCGCGGCTCCGTTCGGACAACAAGCGATTGGCATCAATCAGTTCTTCTTCGATGCTCTCCTTCTGCTCCCTAGCCTCTTTCATCTGAGTTGAAAGCTCATTGGTTTGATCACGCATGCTGTCCATCAAGCTCTGAGCGCTTGCCTGCTGCGCGGCCTTCATTGACATCTCCTCCCGCAACGTGTTGGCCTCGTCAGCGTGCTTCTGTACTTTCTTCTCCAGATCGTTGATCAGCGACCGTGACTTGTCAACTTGTTCTTCGAGCTTCCGCACATCAGTTTGAAGCTTCCCGCGAATTTCGACCGCCTCATCACGAGTGCTTTCGCTGGCCACGAGGTCTTTGCGAGCAGTGTCGTAGGATTCTTCCAGTGCCGTGCTGCGCTCCTCGCTTCGCTTCGTCGTCTCTTTCCAGGTAGTCAGCTCAGCGTCCTTGGAGGTCATCTGCAGTTTGTACTCAGCGATCTCCGATCGCAGATCCCTTTCCTTAGCTTCAAGCCGCTTGACACTCGCCGTAGCCCTATCGAGATCAGATTTGACCTGTTTGAGCTCAGCTGACTCCTCGCGCAGCTTCTTCAACTCCGGCTGCAATTTATTGTAGGCACTCTTCAATTCTGTCAAGTCCTTGTACCTTGTCTGTGCAAGCTGATTCGCGGCGGCCAGCTCTTTCGCAAGATCGAGAGCCTTCGATTTGAAGGTACCTAGGTCAGCAGATAATGCTTTCGTCTTCGCCTCTCCCTCGTCGCTTTTGGCGGTGTGCTGCACCTTTAGATCAGCGACTTGTTGCTCGAAAGTCTGCTTAGCCGATTCAAGGACATCCTTCTCCTGTGTTGCCACTCGAAGTTTTTCGCGAAGATCAGTCAGGTCACTCTCCGAGGCAGACTTCGTCTTGGCTTCCGCCAAGTCAGCTTCCAACTTCGTACACTGGCTAGCTAATGCCTGCTTCGCAGCTGTAGCATCTCTTAGCTTGTCACGATCTTCCTGGTTCTCCTTACGAACTGCCTCTAGTTCCTCTTGCAGGCTCGCCAGAGTATTCTTCCCAATTTTCAACTCGTGCAGCGCATCAGTGGCCTGTTTGCCATGATCAATCATGCTTTCTCGCAAAGTTTCGTTCTCTTCGCTCAGATTCTCGATCTGTTCGTGTAGCTTGGCTTCGCCTGCCAATCGCGCACGAAGCTGCTCGATCTGTGCGTCCTTCTGCGTGGTCTGGCCCTTGAGAGCATCTATCTCTCGTTGCAAGGCGATGATTTGAGTGTCTGTGCTCTCAGTTTTGTCGTTTGAAGTATTCCCCTCAAGGTTCTGGCGCAGAGTCACTATCTCTTCGTTCTTCGCTCTGATAATCACTTCGAAATCTTTGATGATCTGGTCTCGTGTCTCCACAAGATCTTCAAGATGAAGATAACGGTTATCGCGTTCATCGTCTCTGGTCTCACTCATAGCCTTCATCTTCTCAACGGTACTCATCAATAATGGGAGCATCGGATTTTCGGCATGTTTTGTCCGGAGCATTATCGCATTACCTTGAGTCGGGTCGTGGATCAGCTCTTCGAGCGTCGGGAAAGGTTTCGGTCCCTCGACAGTCTCTTCGGATAACTTCTTCTTCGTTTTGGACTTCTTCTTCTTGTTCTTCTTCTTGCCTTCTCCTGAAGCTGCTGCATCGTCGTCGACTGCTGCATTTGTGATGCCTTCGCCAGACTGTGTCCTTAGCTCTTCCCGACTTTCTGACTCTAGGGAATTTCCGGTCGTTGAATGCGAAGTCCCATTCTCTGCATTAGCGTCTTCAGAGTCTTTGTCGGAATCCGGAATGCTGCACTTTCCGCAGTCGAGTATCATCTGATACGCCGCGTCCCGATCCTTTTCGATACGCTTCAATTGAACGCGGAGGTTCGCAGCTGCAGCTTCATGACCAGTTTTGCTTGCAGCCAGTCGTTGGGCATCGTCCCGTTCCATTTCGACTTCGTCCAATCTGCGTTTCAAACCCTTCGCAACTTCTTCGTGCGTCCTGAGGGAAGTGATTATTTTCCCAGCAGACTCGGATTCCGCCTCCATCAGACGAATTTTGAACTGCAGGTCTTGGGCTTCTGCGTCTGTTGCCTTGCGAGCGTCCTCGGCAGATTTGACCTGTTCTCTCAGCGATTTCACCACATTTTCCAGTGTCTCCAATCGCTTCTGGTCGCCCCGAGTAGACACAGTGCTCTTCTCATTGGTTGCATGTTGTTCCTTAAACTTGCGAAGAGCCTCTTCGGAATCATGGAACTGCATTTTCAGTTGCTCAACTTGCTCTGCCGAATTTCGGATTAGTACAGATTAGATTGTCGTGAATCAAAAACTCACCCTCGTATTCCTCGAGCCTATTGTTATTTTGCTGTTCAGACTTCCCAATAGAATCGTTCTTTTTGTTGGCTTCTGCGAGAAGCTCCTTCGTCTGTCTGAGCTGCAAATCGATCTCCTTGATGTTATTGTCTTTGAGACTGATTTTATTGTTCATGGCACTGAGGTCAAGCCGGGTTATATCAAGATCCTGCCGCAATGATGCGTTCTCCGTTGAGAGCTCGATGATGAAGTCCTTGTGCTCCTGAGACTCGGTCTGCTGTCTCTCGAGCTTAGTCGCATCAGACGCGATTTGAGACTCAAGCAGACCAATTTTGGTTCGTTGTTCGGCGTCTGACGTCTGGAGTCTATCAATGGTGACCTTTTGCTCAGCAATAAGTGATTCTAGCTGTGTAAGCTTTGCAGAGTCTTCTGCGTCGGTTGCCTGTGCAATGGATAGCTCTGTGTCGTAGGAGAAAAAGTCGTCATTATCTGCTGAACCCTCCGAGGACTTTGTGGGAACGATCCTTGCATCGGTCACCCCAAGAGGATCGCCGTTGTCATTCGGGGTTTTTGCATCGTCTGCCATGTCTTCTCCTTTTGCTTTGGTCTTTTCAAGCTTGAGTTTGAGCTCATCACGCTCCTTCGCTACACTCTTGCATTGGCCGTCAATTCGCTTGAGCTCCTCCATGGCCATGTCCTTCTGGAGATCCTTTTGGCCAAGAAACTCCACCAGTGCAACTGGATCCGCGATGGATGTCAAGGAGGTATGCTCGCGTAGCATTGCTTCAAATGGTTCGATAGCTGCCGCTTGTGCATGAGCGATGCGGTAGTTTCGCAAGAGCTCTGAATGGAAACGAGTCAGTGAGCACAACCCATCTGGACAGACTGGGGGCAGAGGACACTTACCTTGAAACCTTGTGCTCAGAGTGTCCAACTTGGCCAGCTTCTGCCGCACAGCCAATGGAAGCTCTTCTTCCGCCGGCCTTTCCGGATCTCTCTTGGCCTCCACTGTATTGTCTTCATTCTTGTCTCCAGTCCTATCCTTCGCCTCGCCATCTCGTGTCGGTTCCGGCTGTTCATGAGGATCTGCCCGAGGCATCGGAGTCGTCACTCGACTTATCTCGGTCGAATCGTCCCCTATGGCGAAGTCATCGGGATCTGCGCCTCTTGCAGGAACCCCCTTATCACTTTGTGTTGTCTCGCCCGCCTTTGCCCTGGCACCAGATTTGGGGTTTGTGGCATCTCCGCGACCATTGTTACGGCTTGCGCCGGCTGCACTCCCTGGCGCTCGTTTGGCAGTGCCTGAGCCAGACGACTTGGTGGCAGCGGCTTGCTTCTGCTTTTCTTGTTCTTCGGCTATCTTATTGTCGAGGAAATCGAGGTTGAAATTCTTTTGGAGACGCTACAAATCCATTCATGAGTGATCGTGGAATGATAAAAGCCCATGAAATGATCCTGGTACCTGAAACATGATTGCGCCGGTTATACGGAGACTCTCGGCGCACGCTTATCGTAACATTGTATCATTGCGGTCGGTACTCAGATGCATTGGCTATGGGCGCTGATCTCCATTCAGGGCAGAAATTGTGAATCACAGGCGGGATGCGAAAAAGGTTGTGAATATGTAAACGCTAGGTGGTCATGATGGCCGATTTGGCTACCTGGGTAGGTATGTACTGTACATCAGCTCTGTGGCCCCAGGGTTGGTACTTCAAGCTAAGAATACACTTTTGGTACGAGGTTGGCGTGACTTCATCGTAACTAGCACTCGCATGTGTGGAGAAGATAATAAATGAGAAGTCAACAAATTTTCGTCTACGACAGAATTGATAATTCACAGTAGCGATCTTGTTTTACAAAACCAAACATGCCGACCGAGCTTGAAGAGGCAGGTCAATCATGAACATACAGAACAGCTCATTGAGCCGTTGTTAACTGCACTCACAGTTGGTCGAATTTCTTCATCATGGCAACACACAAATTCGTCAAGTTGGTGAGGAAATCGGCAATGCGCAGGTTGTACGAAAATTGACCGCATTTCAGCTGCCCAGGAACTCGTCGGTTACTCGACGGCGCAGCCGCCCTTGTTCAAGCGTAACCAGCTAGAGCCTGTGAAGGACTTGAAGTTATTACTCAAGGATTACTCTCCCATTGCCAAAAATGCTCTGACATGCCTGGTTAACATTTCCAATGATTCCGAAGTGGTCAAAAGTCTGATTGAAGACGATGCTTTCATGGAATCACTATTCCGAAAAATAACGGTAGGGCGATTTACTCCAGCACCCACCCCAAGTCGTTGCAGCAGATGAACTCGAAGCTAGCGCCGTTCGCGAACTGAAAAAATTGCAGGATTCCAAGGATGTCAATGTGAACTTAGCATGCATGTTGATTTCCAACTTGGCAAAATCACCATCGGTTTCAAAACTACTCAATCTGCAGCGAGTCGTTCCACAGCCTATATCGTCATCGCCTAACGTCATCGATCAGCTGCTGGACTGTTTCGTGAAAGGAGCCGATGGAAAGTATAACAAGGAGGCTGACTACGACTATCTGTGTTATCTGTTCGCCGATCTTGCGAAGCTTGAAGCTGGCAGGAAGCACTTCCTCGACCCACGAGCTGAGGGAACAGGCGAAGACAATGAACATGTAATCCCCTTGAGCAAAATGGTTGTGTTTACCGAACATGCCTCGACCATTCGACGTCGCGGAGTTGCAAGCACGATCAAGAATGTGACATTCGAGATATCGGCACATCCAACGCTCATTGATGCACATGCCGTGAACATCCTTCCGTACATCATACTTCCGCTCATGGGAAACGAAGAGTACGACCTAGATGACACCGAGGGCATGCTTGACGAATGTCAACTGTTACCACCAGACAAAGAACGGGAGAAACAGAATGACATAATTTGCATCCATCTCGAGACCTTGTTGCTGCTCACCACAACAAAAGAGGGACGGACGCGACTGCGGGATATCAAAGTTTATCCGATCATTCGCGAACTGCATTCCCACGTAGAGGACGAGAACGTCGCTGAAGGATGCGACCGTTTGGTGCAGATCTTGATGAGAGACGAAGAGGGCGATCCCGTATCTGAGCCACACACGGCTGATGAGAGCCGGGTGAAGGAGATCGATGAGGACGACGAGATCGTGGACATCTTATGATTGGTCGTGGTGTTAAATATCAGCTGATCTGTGAGATGTTCATTGCGAACCATCAGAATATAAGCAATGCGTTCGCGTATCGACGGCGTGAAGTTCACAACATCATAAGCGCTCTTGCATGGTGTGCCCATACATCATTGTCCTGATATTTGCAACTTGCAGATGGGCGTTGGATAGTAGGGGGCTTCGTCGACCAGTACTCACACATCACGTGTTGGAGACTGCTTTACAGCGGGCTTGGCAATATGGAGATGGCTGGCCCGACCGCCACTACGCCATGCTATCCAACTTCCAAAGCACTGGCTAGTAGATGGCCTGCTCCCGCCTCTGACCTCACACAAATTGTCGCCTGGCCTACCGCGTAAAGACTGTACTTTGACTTTGTGGCTGCTTGTTCTCTCCGATAGCTACTCTGCAATATCCGATCACATTGACGGGCTCTACTGAACAGCACCTCTTGAGTCAGACACTTGCGCTTCTTGAACGCTAGACGATTACTGCGCCCTGATCGCGCGACTTGAATACAAAGTTCGGTGTAACGAAACATCACTTAAAGCAGCCGCCACGGTAGCAGCGCTGCGCAGTCATGTCAGGGACGAGGAACTATGACTTTCTTGTAGGCGCAAACTTCCGAAGCGAGCCATGAGTCAAGAAACTGACGCGTCATGGCTTTATAGATCAAACTCCTCCTGATTGGCGACTCTGGAGTTGGCAAATCATGCTGTCTTCTACGATTCAGCGAAGACTCGTTCACGCCGTCATTTATCACGACTATCGGCATTGATTTCAAAATAAGGACAATTGAGCTGGACGGCAAGCGAGTCAAACTTCAAATATGGGACACTGCGGGACAGGAGCGCTTTCGGACTATCACCACTGCGTACTATCGGGGCGCCATGGGCATCCTGCTTGTCTACGATGTTACTGACGAGAGAAGCTTCAATAGTACGTACACTTCATGGAGCCAGTTTCTAGGAGGGCACGAGTTTGTTGCCCGTCCGCGCATTTTATGCAATGAGACGTTATCTGAAAAAATCACTGACTGAGAAATCTCCGCAATAGACATCAGAACTTGGTTTTCCAACGTTGAGCAACATGCCACAGAAGGCGTCAACAAAATCCTTATCGGCAACAAGTGTGATTGGGAAGAGAAGCGTGCTGTGTCTACAGAGCAAGGCCAAGCCTTAGCGGATGAGCTCGGCATACCGTTCATGGAAGTGTCTGCAAAGGGTAACATCAACGTGGAAAAGGCATTCTACAGTCTCGCCTCAGATATCAAGAAGCGACTGGTAGACACCGTGCAGCCACAGCAACAGGCTGGAGGTGCCTCATCAGTGCCTGTAGGTGGTGCAGCGGGAACTGCTGGAGGTTTGGGTAAGAACTGCTGTTGAACAAGTTGCTGGGAGAAGCCCGCAAGGGATGTGTGCTTTGATGTAGTAATGCTGGGTTGGGATTGCGCAGCGCTCCATGATGTTACCACGAATAATTGAAATCATCCGACATTGACAATCTGAGTTCAAGAGGAGCTCCACTGTAGGTCGCTTTTCGGAAGCGACTCTCTTCGCAACGATCTGTTATAATCACATAGAAGACCAGTATGCGATCTGCATCTGGAAGGCATAATCTCTTCGTAGCTTCCTCCATCGAACCAGCACGTTCATACATACCTAGGTTTTAGGAATAAACAATGCTCGCTGGTGATTACTCTCCCTGTACGAAACGCGGGAACTCACATGGTTTTGTCACCTGTGCGCAGACCACATGGGCGTGACGATGTACGCCCTGGGCTCGAGCGCAAACTTTATAGTCAAGGTAAAGCTCAAGCAATCGGTTATTTCGTGGTCACTCAAGGCGAGTACAGCATGATTTCATAGTCGTTTAGATTTCAATGATCGTTTCTGCATGGGCTCATTTCTTGCCACTCTTCTTGATACCCTGTTGGCCGGTGTTCATGGGACCTTTGCCGCCAGCCTTCTTGGCCAGCTCTTCGCGGGCTTTCTTGTCTGTCGAGAGCAACGTCCCGTCAGTGATTTGCAATTTAATGCGAGAACAAGAGACTACGTGCGTACCAGCTGCCTGCTTGGCTTTAAAAGCCTTATCTTCTTCGTCTTCCTCAACCACCTTCTTCTTCGGCTTTTTGTTGTGGATGGGGTTGGTACCGGCTACACGACGGTATCAGTACATGCACTGCACCCAGCTCAGTGCTTCAGCACCTACCTCCTTGTCCTGAAGGCATTTTTACGATTATGTGTCGCTGATTCGATTGTGCGTGTGCAGTTATCGTAGGAACAGACGAGAGAGAAATTCGCGCTCATCGGACGACTGATGTAATACCGCACTGTGTATAAATCCGGCTGGAGGAGCACCTCAGCCCTGGACGTGATGAACGCCCCGGTTCTGCAATAACGCGGGCATGACATTCTATACCGCAAACGCGTGCTCAGGCATGTGCAACCTTGGAAGTTCCAACGAAATGACACTCATTCTTTGACGGGCTTGCAGGTCCGGACCGAGCGCCGTCGATGTCATGCACGTGGCTGCGGAGGCATAATTAGAGGCTGCCGCCTCTTGCTTCTCATATTGTCATCTTGTGCCTTTTTGCGACGCCAACAGACTTATTACAAGTCACCACTGGCGGCTACCACATGTCATCACCTGTGGGATATCCACATGCGCGATTATTCATGTTCGCTCGCGATGCAAGCGATGTCACCTGCATCCTAATCAACACGACCCTGAACACTTGATCGATCTCCCAACGCAGCCCGACCCTGCGCGCATCCGATCCCAACTTGCGCGACCGACGTGACTGTACGAGCTGTGAGAGCCCTTCACAGGCTGCAGTCCACGAAATCAGCACAATGCCACCACCGTCAGAAGCGCGACAACTTCCCGCACATCATCCAGCGACGAGACGTCCTCCACAATCACCTGATGGTATTTTAGCGGAGGCCGAAGCGCAATGGCTCTACACCGAAGCGGAATTGGCAAACTCGCCTTCCATTCAGGATGGCATGCCACAAGCAGAAGAGCAGGCTGTGCGCGCTAAAGGCGTGAATTTCATTGTGCAAGTGGGGATCCTGCTCAAGTTACCTCAACTTACGCTGAGCACAGCCTCTATTTACTTCCAGCGGTATCTCATGCGGGCAAGCTTGAAGAGCGAGCGCAATGGCTTCCCAAAGTTACATCATTACCAGGCAGCTGGTGTTGCATTGTTCGTTGCCACGAAGGTGGAGGAGAGCTGTAGGCGGCTTCGCGATTTGATTCTCGCGCTATGTCGCGTTGCTCAGAAAAATCCCAACCTTATAATCGACGATCAGAGTAAAGACTGGTGGCGTTGGCGAGATTGCCTCCTTTTCAATGAGGACGTCATGATGGAAGCAATCTGTTTCGACTACACCATTGAGTCCCCGCACAGGCAACTGTTCGGTATGCTCAAGTTCAATGGCGTTGAGCATAACAAACGCCTTCGCAATGCCGCGTGGGGTTTCGTGACTGACAGCAATAATACACAGTTGTGTCTTCTGTTCAACAGCCGCACCATTGCTGTGGCCAGCTTATACGCCGCGTGTAGATATTGTGATGTGCAACTCCCAGACGATAACAGAGGACGACCGTGGTGGGAAGCTCAGCATGTCAGCCTGCATGATGTCCGCAAAGCAATGGACCACATGCTCGCGAACTACGACCATGCTGCTGATAAGATCAACGGCATTGCCACAAGCAGTGGGGTAGATGGAAATGGCTCTATATATGCCGGACTCGCTACACCGACCAACGAAGGTGGACTCGACGGTTGGGACAGCACAAGAGTGAAGGGCGATGGTCAAGGGTCCACGGCATCCATCAGACCTCCGGGTAGTGAGAGGAGGTCGAGCAATGCTAGCAGCATTGGAATCAAGCGTGGTCGCGAAGGTAGCCCCGTTACTGCCAATGGCGAGACAAATTCGCACAACGGCACAGCGAACGAAGAGGCACTCTCTAAGCGACAACGCGTGGACGAAGCCGCAATCATACGGAACCAATCCACGATAAAACGTGAGGAAAGAAGGAAGCCGCAAAGTGCTGATACAGAAACGACATCGGCATTAGCCAAATCTGCGAAAACCGATGAAGGAGAGGTCAGCGAAGAGGGGGAGGTGGAGGAATAAGTGCATGTATCGTCCTCACGCGGATACGCACCAAGATACATTATAACAATATTTTCCTAACATTGATGTCAGCGTTGCGGAGTTCAGATATATATACACAGGCGGCGGGCCCGTCAAGCAAATGGGGTCGGTGACGGAGTTCTTGTCTTCCTAGGAGTTCTTTGATGTATCAATACCCAGCACACGTCTGAATCGAGCCGCTGTTCTCAGTGGCAAGACCTTTCACGGATACGGTCACGAGACCCAAAACAAATACACCTGGGCAATCAAATGCCCAGGTGGGAAGTAATTAATAGCTGGCGGCGAATCAGGGCAGCCATCAACGCCGTCAACGCTCCAAATTTAAGAAGAAACTTCAACACAGCGGACGACCATTGTTGGTACTCGAGTTGGGAACCTCAAAACCCTGCAGGTGTCCTTCAAACTTTCATCAAATTTCGAGGCTTACTGGGGCGCGGTGTGTTGAGGGTCGGCATTGTTGGCGGAGTGAAGGAGCCCGTGGGCCCGTGCGCAACCACCACCAGCCACACTTTACGCGAGAAAGGAAAGCGCGTCTCGACGCGCGCAGACTCGTCTGTCATTGGCCTCGGACTTCTACAAAACCTTCCCTCGTTCCTGATCTTCAATCAACAAAATCTCTTTAGACTGTATCTTCGACTGCACTGCACACTCTCTCAAGCCGCGCTTCAAACTATCTCGAGCATCTTGGATTGGATCCTTCCTTACAAAGCGAGCTCAATCATCAACATGTCGCTTTCAGTCAGCAGGAAACGCAGAGCGTCGGGATGCTGCATGTCCGACACGGTACACACATACACCAAGAGATCAAGGCCTACATTGACAGCCGCTTTAAACTCTTGCGACGATAGTTCTCGAGACCGCCACATCAACAGACACAACACTGTCCCGTCAGTCTGGCCAAATGCCGGAACGTATAGTCCACAGCAAGTTTCCGAAAGGACGTTCTCAATGTTGTCAGAACGCGATGTGCAAAAATCCCGACTTGCGGGCAGGGAATTCAGTCAAATCGTCAACGCGTCTACAGCTCTACGGGAGACAGTCGAGAGGTATAGAACTCCACGTGGTTCAGGCTTTATGACGCCAGATAGCCAATCGTCCCCGACAACTCGATTCTTGTCCATATCGCCAAACGGTCGTAGTGGCACATTGGACTTTCAACACATTGCACATGCGGGTTCATGGCGCAATTTATCGCCCTTTCAGAAGCCTGCGTGCGAGGTCGTTTTGAAGATCCCCGGCCGTTTCTCAGGACATCCAATCTTGAAAGCACCATCTGGAGCAATGGGTATCAGTCTGGGCATGATTGCGGATGCGTTTGCCGCTCATGGAACGAGCGATTTTTGGCAAGGTCGCAAGGCAGAATTCTTTGCATTGAGAGATGCAGCAATGCCGCCTCGCGTCGTGCTTCCGCGAGCACATTTTGACGCGAATCAGCAAAGCCTGGGTTCATACGATCAGGACGCCATGGACTTCGAACCTTGCAGAGCCATCCCTGACTTTGACCCTAGTCGTCAACATCCGCCAGAAACGATGTGCTTCAATTGAGCAGTCTGAAGTCGTGTGTATCATTTAAATAGAAATTCGACTTGGTACAATGTAAAATAAATGAACCGATTAGGAAACGTCAATCAGAGCGTGGAAGAATTTGCTGGTCGTGAATGCTACTACGCGTTTTGCCATCTGATCGCCTGAGGACAGGTAATGGCCTTGGAGGCAATGGTATCGAAACCGCTGTTTGTACAATGAAAGTATGGTACATGGGAACTATTGTGCATCGCTCAGAAGCTCTTGGGAACAACTCTGATCGTCCTAACGACGGGCTCGGTCATATTCTTGAGCTTGAGTTCGACCACGAAATCGCCGATATTTTTAATTCTGTCCGCATCAGCTTCGCTCGAGGCTGGAAGATCAATGAATGTAAGATCATCCTGGTTAATGACGACTCTTCTGGCTTCATCATTGGTGTCCATAGCAGCGCGCATAACTACTGCAACATCATGAAGAGTGACAGAGCCATAGATTGGCGCGAGCTTATCGTTGACGCCCACTCCACCAGTTCTTGCTGCGAGAAGCTCGGCGCCAGCGCTGAATGCTGAGCGCTGGTCTTCCGGTCTGTTGCCTGCTATAGCCGTGCGAGGGAATTCGAGACGTTTGGGTATGAAGATCTCAATGAGTTCGCGACTCCTCTCCGGCGACAGTTCAATGTCGCCCACGGGCCTAGGCCTAGGTTCTGTTTTTATCTCCTCTTCGGTCACTAGCTCCTCCATCTCGTCACCTCCCTCCGCCGCTCTTCTTGCGGCGCGCATCTCTTCTGTGATACCGAAGTCGAGGTCCCTCTCAGTGGAGATGTTGTTGAGTTTCAAAGCTTTTAGCTCCTGTTTCGAAACATATTCTGCTATGCGCTCGGGAAACCACTTATTGCGCATCAATCCTGTCGGAATTGGGACGAATGAACCTATAATTAGGTTGTTAACAATAAGCTCTTAGGATCGTCACCCGGCAAGGCTTGCGGACCTTTGCGACCATATTCCGGCTTATCCTTCAAAAGCTGCACAATTGAAGTGCCTGTGTTGTTGACCATCTTTTTCTTGCCCCTAATCTGCTGCCGCAGACTTGAGACCGGGCCGGATACATCGCCAATTATGTTTCGTATGTGATTCTGGATGCAGGCCGAGCATTGCGGAATGGTACGCTTTGGTATTTGAAATGCCATCGTTGATTGTGACTGAATTGCGATGCGAATACCGGGAGAGCAGGACTTGTAGTCCAGTCCGTAGCACCGTTCGAAATCTTGTTCGGCGGTCGGAGCAGGGCACGCGGAGGAAGCGCGCTTGCGGACCACAACCAAATGAACTTACCGCTGAACCCGTGGAAAGATCACACTTATTATTGTATAATCATGCGACACTCTACATAGATCGAAACACCATCAAGATATTATAAATCGCGATTCTCTACTACCCATTTCTTTCCGCGATACGGACTGGACTTACCCGCTTCACTGGCTCGTTATGGAGCTGATATCGGTGCTGTCATTTGGAGTACGACGCCCATCCCATCGAGCACGGCAACAAAGCCATCCCAACGCAATAAGGCCCTCAGAGCAGTTGCAGGGACTGGTCTTGTGGCCAAGATGCCCGAACGTCCTCTGACGATCGCTACGTACGCTGCAGGCGCCTCTTTGGCAGCTATCACCCTGGTGTATTGTTTCGGTCCGACGTTTTTCCTCGATGATGCTGCAGCGAACAGCACCAAGTCTGGACGCAAGAATGGCGTTGTGGGTCTGGTGAATCCTGCGAATGACTGTTTCATCAACAGTGTGCTCCAAGCACTTGCAGGCTTGCCGGAGCTGAGGATCTTTCTTATACGTGAGGTTCATCTGAGATCACTAGATGGGCCTGAGGTGTACAGGAGCCCCGTGGCGATGGTGCACGATGAAGCGGGCGATGCTTCCACCTTGAAACGACTCCCAGATTGGAAGATTGTGGGTCTTCAGCAGGGTCTTGTCACTGCTGGTCTGAAAGACGTGCTCGATGCATTGAACGAGCGACCCATATATCGAAAGACTATATCTGCACAAGGTTTCATCCGCACTGTAGAGCAAGCATTTCGGACGCACATAAACCGATCACAGCAAGATGCACAAGAATTTCTCCAGATTATTGTCGAAAGACTGGCAGACGAATACCAGGCTGGCAAGAAGGCACGCAAGAGGCTGCATGAGCCTTCGCCGCCCACAACTGTTCGTACCTGCAGCGCGGCCACGGAATCAGCCGTTAAGCAGGATCAAAACAATTCTGAATCAATTACCACTTCAACTCAGCCCTCGAGCGGTGAGACCTCACCGAAGCATTCATCGCTCGAACCGCATCCGGCGCGCGGGCACGACGCAGCCGGGCACTCATTTCCAATGGAAGGCAAGGTTGAATCGCAAGTGGAATGTCTTCATTGTGGATTCAAACCGAGAGCAACGGAGTCCTCCTTTGTGACGTTGACTTTGAACGTGCCCCACCAAGGTTCCTCCACAACGTTGAATGATTGCTTCGATGGCATGTTCAAAGTCGAGCACATCGACGATTTCACTTGCGATCGCTGTCGACTGGTTCATGCTCTCGACGTCATTGGCCAGAAATTGTCCAAAAAATCAATCATAAAGGAGGAAAAAGAACTGCTCGAGTCTGACCAGGAGAGGATCAATATCGCGATTCGCGATGACCCAGAGAATCCACCTAAGGATATTGCTTTGCCTAGTCTTACAACGGCACCAAAGCGAAGGATCGCGAAGCACGTGCGAGTGTCATCCTTCCCACGAATATTAGCCGTCCATCTTAGCCGGTCAATCTGGGACCTCCATGCATCAAGCTCAAAGAATTTGGCGAAGGTGTCATTTCCAGAAATTCTACCGCTGGGAGGACTACTCGATCGCAAGGTCTATAGGCTCTTGGGTGTTGTTACCCATAGGGGGGGCCACAACAGTGGGCACTATGAATCTTTTCGTCGGCAGATGCTGAGTCCGCCATTTTCGACCCCTACATCAATGGGCACGGAAGGCCCCTATAGTCGTAAGCCCCATTCAACGGCTGACGATCGACCTACCGCAGCATCCAGTCCCCATCTGCGTGCGAATTTCCCAGCAACATCGCTTCATTCTGATGACGAAGACCAAACGCCTACAGACAAAGTCTCGAAGACATCGCATGATGCACATCACGATGCAAAAGACCCGCCACGGCCTGATTCAAGAAGCACGAACCAGGACACGCTGACCAGGTCTTTGAATTTGGACGATTTGCCGACTCCTGGACTATCCCGCCTATCGACGAACGTAGATTCTATCGACAGGCCACAGAGTGCAGGAGCTCAGTCGAATGGGACAGGCAGGTCCATTGGACTTCCGAAGCTGCGCAACTCATCCAAGAAAAACAAAGCCCACGATCGTTGGTGGCGCATCAGTGATGATAGGATCAAGGAGAGTAAAACCAGCGAAGTACTAGGCATGCAGCGAGAGGTGTATCTCCTCTTCTATGAGATTATCACAGACGCAGCCTAGCAAAGTCTGACGGTGGCGCGCACAACGAAGAGTCAATCAATTGAACAATTCACGTGATGTGTGAGGTTTTCCCAATCCTGTGTGATAGGCTTTCACCTTGTATTATAAGCGACAGAAGCACAATCGCACTTAAAATGATAAGACTTATTATCTGCAGAGAGCCGCTGGAGGAGCGGAGCCTCCCGCAAAAGCGAGTCACTATCACGTGACTCTCTCGTCATCGTCACCCGCCTGGGTGTGTCCGGCTTCGAATAGTGTGTCATGCTCCGATGAACTTATCGATGGTTGTCGCGAACTTCCCACGTCAATCACCTGCGTTGATTCACACTTGCCGCTGTTGATCACTCGGGCTTGCATCGTTCTGGACGGTCGAAGAGCTCTTTCCTTGACCAAATGTGGTGATGTCCTTTGTTGGTCTGATTGGAATTCCTCGACGGTGTGCCCAGTGCCGAAGAACAGTCAATCGCACACCAAGAAAGCCCAGCTGTGAGAACATCCTCGCCGGTTCAATTCCTTCGCGAACCTCGCATAACAGCCGTCCAGTACCTTGTACTCTTTGCTGACTGTTACAATAACCGACATTACTTAGGAAGAGAGGAGCTAGGTTAGGTTTGGAGCCTGAACCACGTCTGTGGCTCTATCCTTACCGATTATGTCCTCTCGAGAGGCGCGAGGGCGCGAGGACTTGGAGAAGGTCAAGAGCGAAGCGCAAACTTCACAGTACGCCAAGGTTAACCGTAAGCCCAGACATGAGTCTTCACCTCGGACTTCGCGCGGATCCAGATCCCATAACGCATATGGCATCGGAGACCATGACGACCAACGCAGACCAGCCCGGGATCGCTCCAGGTCACCCTTTCGTCACAGCGAGCGACTGCGCTCTCGCTCACCCTGGAGGCCGGGTAATCGCGATGAAATAAGTACACGACATGGCGATCATGGTGATGATCGCAATCAAAACAATCAAACAAAGTCACGGAGTCAAGGGGATACTGCAGCATCGGCATCACGTCAAAGCATATTGAATGGATCCGCGAACGGACAATCAGTAAAAGCCGAAGCAAAAGCTGCTGATCTACGAAACGGTTCATTGTTAGTAGGCACAGGTGAAGCTCAGCGAGCAATTACAATAGGTTCGCAGACTGCGCGTCAAAGCGCAGATAGCAACGTCAACCCTTCAAGGTTCGTTCCGCAGGGATTCCGTCGTCAGCCTTATATACTTACGCTCAATCACAGGGACGCTGAAGTCGAACAGCAGGAGCAGCAGGCACCCGTGTCGCGACTGGCAAAACGTAAGCGCATCGCGGAAGTAATGGCAGAGGCCAATGCACGCCAGAAACGCCTAGCATCTCCTCAAGCCACATCTCCAAGCCTCCCAGGTAGTGCTCTCAGCTCGAATCACGCATCTCCCCAACCGCCGGCGGAATCACATGACCATGAGACTCCAGCAGTCCATGCCATGGGCTCGACTCTAATTGGACAGACAAACCTTACTACCCCGGCTGTTGTTCATGATCAACAGATGGCAGGTGTGACAGAAGGCTTCACTCTGGAAAAGACAGAGCGTGCGTCGCAGCTATCCACGGTGAATGAGACCTCTGCTGCAGATTACGATCCTACTCAGGACATGAACGAAGATCGACCGGACCACAGATTGCCAGACAAACAAGACAACGATACGGTCATTTCCGGCCCATCTGAAAGCTCAGTCGAAGACACCCAGGACAATGACAAGAAAGAGTTCGACATGTTTGCTGACGAAGATGATGACGACGATATGTTCGCTCCTCTCAGCGCGCCGCGCAAAGCTCATCCCAGGACCAAAATGGCTCCTGCAGCTGGCTTGCAGCATGACTATGACGACCCTGATGGATATTTGCGGATCATTCAACGAGAAGTCCTTGATGGCCGGTATAGCATACAAACTTCCCTTGGTAAGGGCGTTTTCGCATCTGTAGTACTTGCGGATGACGTTCAGACAAACACCAAGGTTGCCATCAAGATTGCTCGCAACAATGATACAATGCTTAAGGCTGCCCAGCACGAAGTGCAATTCTTGACGCTTCTGCAGGATCGCGACCCGAGTGGGAAAGTGCCAATCATTCGTCTATTGCACACGTTCACCCACAAGAAACACTTCTGTCTTGTTTTCGAGAGTCTTGAGTCGGATCTTCGTGAACTCTTGAAGAAGCACGGCCGCAACACTGGTTTGGACATATCAGCTGTGAAAGTATATGCTCGACAAATGTTTATGGCATTGCATCACCTGGAGCAGTCAGAAGTCCTGCACGCAGACCTTAAGCCCGACAATATTCTTGTGCATCAAGACAATCAATACATCAAGCTATGCGATCTAGGGTCGGCAATGTTCTTGAAGGATGTCACCGTCACTGACATGTTGGTGTCCCGCTTTTACAGAGCTCCAGAGATCATGATTGGAATGCCGCACAGCTACGCGATCGACATGTGGGCCATTGGCTGCACGCTTTTCGAGTTATATACAGGCAGGATCTTGTTCAATGGACAAGACAACAATAGGATGCTGCGTATGATTCAAGAGTGTCGCGGCAAGATACCCTCCCGGATGCTCAAAAAAGTAGTCCAGCCGACTGGTCATTTCTCTTTAGACAACACGTTCATAGGAGAGGAGACTAACGCGCTGACTGGAAAGATCGTATCAAAGCCAATCCATTTCCAGCAGCCTGTTCACGGAAAGGACATACGATCACGCCTTGCCGTTGGCATGCCACCGCTCGGGGCAGTCTCCGCCAAAGACGCAGAATTGAGAAAACTTCATGAAGACTTTGCAGATCTTCTCGATCAGTGTCTCAAGATCGATCCCGAACAGCGGATTAAGCCTGCGCAGGCACTCAAGCATCGAATGTTCCAGACTCCCGCAGTCGTTGCGCCAACAGTCAAGGCGCCCGGGATTCCTTTTCTACCAACTTCTGTTCTCAAGAGAGATTAGGTGTCCTCTCGTTACTAAAGTTGAGTTTGTCTATGAGTTGAACCTCATTGACGAGGACGGCCTGCCCTACCCACACAGATCTTACGACGAATGCTGCAATGTATCATTGCTACTGAACAGATGGTGAACGACAGATAGTGAACGAGACATCATTCCGATCTGTTAGCAGAATCCGGACGCGCAAAAAAGGAGATATAGAAAGCACGACTACACGCACCGACGGAGCATGGCATGCTCGGATTATTACCGGTCGCTGAATGAATTCGCAACATTGATCAAAATTTCCGTCTTTCCCATCGGCGGTGTAATTAACACGCGTAATGCCATCACCGACAGACATCGCTCTTGACTCGGATGCTGATGCCGGGCTTACATGTACGCGGAATCGTGCTATGGCTTATCTCGAAAATTCTACGTGCGCTGTAGCCCAGTATCGAATTACACTTTCCAAAGAAGACGTGCGACATCTTGTTGGTCTTGCCAGAACATGCTTTTCGAGCAGCATCGAGACGTTCACGACGAGTAGCTGAGTTTTCCAGGTAGATCAACTCAAATCTGTTTGTTATTTTGCGAGGCCTGGCCGATCACCGTTGACTTGCCATCAGCGTTCGTCGCATGCGAAAAGACAGCCAGATTGTTAGATGACTTCTCAATATTGAAACAACATTCTTTCATCCTTTCCTCGAATGCCTTAATTGCAACACCGTGCAACTAGCATTGATGCGACGAATGCCTCAAACCTCGGCTTGGGCTACCCCTCGTATGGACGACAGTAACTTATAGGAGCGATCAGCCTGTCATTTTCACCTGATGCAATCATTAATGCGCGTCAACCTAACTGGACTTCACGACCAAACTCGTAAAGAGATAATGCATTCCGATCGTGGCGATCTCTATATGACATCGCGCAACGAACTCGTGCTCCAAGCGCAACCGATGCCCCGAACCTCGGTCTAATACGAGAAATCTCGCTCACAGGCGCGGACGCGAAAACCTCTGGCCCAAGCACAAAGAGAGTTTTGCCAGGCCCTTGACGAGCGCAGAAGCGGTATGCACATGTGCATTGGTCTCTGCTGCATTGCCATCATGCAGCTTACGAGACCCGCTTGGAATTGTTGGACTAGGGTTGCAGGAACAGTGGAAGGTCTCCGCCGGGGCCGCATTCTCATCAATGCCAAACGCCGCAGCATATTGTACACTGTACAGCACGATCGTCGACTGGAAGATACTGGCCGATGTCGATTGACGGTAATACCGAACATGCTGATAGGCAACGACGAATTTCAAGCGCTCCAAACTTGAAAGAGTGAATTTATCGCTAATGATCAATACAAAACGGTCGATATTCCTTAGTTGAAATATTTGATGGCATAATAAACCGTTCGTTTCCTTCCTCAAGTTGGTCAGTACAGAACAAAAGTGGATCAACCACATACTTTCCTGATTGCGATGAACAATTGATTCGCTTCAATATGAATTAATCTCCAACCACTTACCTCGCCGGTGCGTCGAGGTGTCTTGTCCTTCGTAAAGCGTTTGGTTTTAGCAGTAGAGATTTCTGGCGAACGACGTCGTCGAATAATGCATTTTCGAAACGCCAACAGCATCGACAGCACAGTCCTCGTGCTCGCGCCAGGTTGCTACTATCAATGCGAAGGGGACGGCCTCCGCGCGATTATGAGATTTGCTTTGTCCAATGATTGTCAGGGCGATGACCCTGCACCGTCATCATGCTTGACAGCTTGTCGCATCGACTTCAAGCGACTTGCGAAGTAATCTGCACGCACGACAGGGTCGTTGACGACGAAACAAGTTATTGCTTTTCTGAAAAACGTCACGCTTACGACGCATCACGCTGTTCTCCTCCGAGATAGAGATCTACAGGGTCCGGGAGAGAAATTTGACAGACACAAGATCTCGAGTCCATTCGCGCTGATCGCTCGGCTTTCTCGATCTCGAGAGTCGTGTTGTCTTGAAAGCACATCGATCGAACCAGGAGTGATCGATGACAGCGTGACCGCTGGAGTAATGCAGCACACACATCATCTCATGGATCGATCACCGATATACAATCGTTAGACCAAATATCTTCACATGGCGGCGCGATGAGAGACTGAAGGTTCATGTGAGATTCTGCAAGCTCTGGTCTTCGCAGATTCCAGTGAGCCCGTCAGTCTCAGGCACTCGGTTCGGGTCGATGGTCTTTTCAATTACTGTACCACAATGACAAGCCAGGCGTCAACCCATATTGAGGCGTGTTAGACTTTGCCAGCAACGGCTCAAGTCGCTTCACTCAGCGGTTTTAATCATGTGTCACTATAATAAGTCATCACAAGGGCCGATGAGCAGCACGATCGGTTGCACTTGCCACAGTGTCAAACGGGTTGGGCCGTACAGTATAATTCGAACATCAACGCGGACCGTCCTGTACACAAATTGGTAAATTTGTGTAATATGCCATGCAAGCCGACGGCGCACAGTTGACGAACACATTCAGGCTCAACGTCTGTTGTTTCGGACATGATACCGTTGAGGCCGTCGGGCACGCTCGCCCCAGACATCAGCGGCGGACGGTCGTGTAGGAACAATCCTACCGTTCATGAAAGTAAAACCTCAAACCGTCCACATCCTGTGTTCCAACACAATCCGTTGTGATAAATGACTTGCTTGCTGTGCGGGTGCGTTGGCAACTCTTTACGGACCTGAGGCCGGTGCTGCCCAGTCATCAGCACCGCTTGGACCCTGGGAGAACCTGAGGATGCCGCGCGGGGTCCGACGGGCCAAGCGAAACACATTCGCATGGGGCAAAACAACCACGATCCAGCGGATGGCATCGGCAGAGGAATTCCGCTCGCTGTCCCCCGAGTACGAGGCGATGTGACGCTGTGCTAGGTCATGGCAGCCCAAGTGGCGAATTGTGTACGCCTGAGAAAATCGTGCTGCATGACGTACCAATGTGCTTTTCCGCCAGAGTTGCATGTAATAATTCGGCCAGTTGGAATGCAACAAGTGTTTCTTTCCTTCAACACGGGACTGGAAGACTTTTTTCGGGAATCAAGGCCGAAGGATGCCCGCGTAAGCGTTTGATAGATGTGGACACGGGACATACTGACTGGTGAGCACATGTGAACCGTGTGTTGTTTGCAAGTTTGTCTGGGTCACCGTGCGGGTCGACTGATCTAAGCACTACATCTCCCGCGACGCCAGGACCACATGTCGTGCTGTCTCATGTGCAGGTCCATTTTAGATATAGGTGGGTATTCTCGTCATGCTCGTGGCGGCGCATCACCTTGACGAAACGGAATGGAATGCGCTCTTGACCTGGTGGGCTTGTCGCAATAACCTGACATGATCCGTTGGCGAAGGAGTTATTGAACTCGAATGTTATGGTCCACTTTGAATGTAACTGGCAATGTTTGAGAACCAGCCAGCTTGTAGAAATTTCCGCATCGTCGTGTAAGATGATATTGATGACGATGATTGAACGCGATAAATTGAGGCCCGTTCAGGCCACCAATTGGTCGAGGTGCAAACCTCCTGCCAGAAAGAGACAAAGCATTCGAGGCTCGAGGGCACTTGTCGTCGCTAGACTCATCCATGTAGAACCTTGAATCGCCTAGTCTTGACCGGCTCAATGGTTCGCGGGCATTTTCCAATAACGGTCGCTCCGATGATTTGAAACAAGCAAAACGTCAATTTGAGACTCCAGCGTGCCCAGGTCGCCAGCAGACCTAGTGCTCCGACGTACATACATGGTACAGCCGAAAAGGCAAAAGCAAAACTCGGATCCGTTCGGGGGTAATGCGCCTTCGCGCAATATGCTCGAGAGACACTGGGAAGTTTCGCGGCCACTACGGAAGGCCTTGGACTATTGAACGCCATGTCGATATTGTGTCTCTGGGTGATAAGAGAACTCGACCTAGTAGAAGTACGCAGTGCACCCGAATGCGGAAATAATTGGAATGATTTCGAGGTGCGCAACAAGGTGAGATCAACAGGAATGTAGTGCTGCATGGAAATTTTCCTCATGACGGTGCACGCAATACGAGGAGCCACAGCGTGTGATGATTGAGAGATTGCTCGGTTTGCACGCAGACTAGGCGCTGTCGTGCCACTCGGCTTTCCTCCATGATGCCATCCGTGGATGATGGCTGGGAGGCACTTGGCATCATCACTCCATCATGATCAACACATCTTCATGGAAAGACGCGCGGACAGTCGGGTGTTGACATCAGACGTCCAAGTATGGACTGCGCCTGAACGTGGTGCCGCATGTCTTGTAGTATGTATACCCGTACGGCATGTACATGACAGTATATGGCACGACCAGGAAGGGATCCAAACCAGACCGCGCATCGCTCGTATGGCGATGGAAGATCAAATGACAATCTGTTCGCCTCAGGCCTCACTATGCTCTGCCGTTATGCAACCGCTATTGGAATTCTGGGCGGGAAAGCGAGATTGGATGAGAAACTCCGCGGCCGTTCCCTGCTGCAACGTCGAGTACCCTCACGTACCCATCCATCTTTCTTTCTGACCGCAGGTGCGTGCACAATCCTACTACTGTCTGTGCTGTTGGCTGCAAGTCGGAGACTCGTGAAGGTGCGCCTCAGTCTTACGTCCGCAAATTGAAATTACCAGCCCTCCACATTATCTTTTTTCATTGCATTGGCTGGGCTGTACGCCGACGCTGTTGGCGTGTAAGCGCTATTGCCTCTATCACAGCGGCGCATGCAGGAAGATGAGAAATTGACGGCGCTGGATGTACACGTTGTACTATCGAAGGTGTATGTTATGTGGATACTGGATGTCCTGATCTCATGTGTGTGCAATGTATGTTGCTGCTCTGGTGCGACCGTTGGCTGCATCGATGTGGGGGCCAATGGCGGACGGTTTGAGTGGCATCCATGCAGGTAGGTAGCAAACTTGGAAGGCGTCGGAACGGTCTGCGTATCACGATCGTCCCAGGGGGCACGAAGGAGGACTTGGTGACCTCGGGAGTCTTCACCGTCTGATCCATACCCAAGAGGTCGCACGAGGAAACCACGGTCGCATGCGTTCCATTCAGCATTATTTGCGCTTCTAGCCCCGAACGAACACCTTGGGCTCCTGCTGTGCGACCGATCTTGCGCGGCTTGTATACGTATATATGTGAGAACGCACCATCGTTTGTGTCGCACGAGCGGATCCAGCAGTGTAGGCTCGTATGACATGTAGCGAGTACGTTGAGCATTAACGCTTTGAGGTGACGACTTTCCAGCCTCGTCACCCGCTCGCTAACAGTATCACGAATCACGATCCTGTTTAGATGATGTGATCATGTTAGTGGTGTATCCCTGCCGTTGGCCGATGTCTACCAGCCTTTGGTCTAACCGAAGGACACTCAGAAGATTGATGAGAGCAGATAGCGGGCGGCATGTGCCTAGCAAGGGTCATTTGTCTTGAAACCTTGGTGAGGAAACGGGACAAAGGACTGCATTGCGCAAGGGAGGATCGGAATGCGCATCCTCATCACGTGACTGAAATATATCCGGCCGCAGCAAAGAGGCCGTCTAGCAGCAGATACACTTTCGTGCTACTCACCTACCGCTTGTTGGCCAAGCATCTGCAGAATACCTACCCGAGTGCATAAAGTACTGAGAACCCGGCCGACGGAGTTGACAGAGCCCGCCAATAATATCGAACATCAGACGCAAGCATTCCATCGCTCCAGATGAAATTGTGACAGCGGTACAGACTAGGCCCATACAATCAAGGTGCCCAGGTGGGTGTCCTTCGTCATCGTCCGCAGCATCGTTATCAAAGGGCGAAGGATCTGCTTGCTCCTGCAGCGATAATTACTGGGAGGGCGACACGCTCGGCTCAATCGAATCGCCGTGCCGTGTGTCCACCAGCTTCGTCACACGTTTCACGCGGGCTATGCATGGCTGATCCTTGTCCCCAAGTCAGCGTCATCCTGTTTCTGCGAAGCTCAAATTGACTTTGCTCATTTCTGCACTGGTCTTTTCCCTATGGACAGGAACAGTTGGGAAATGGAGGATGTATCTCGAAGATCTTTCAGCCTAGCAAAACGCATGACACAGCGTGTGATATCTCGTCCTCTCCATCGCCAGCCACGCCAGCTTCGTCTTCGCGTTCGCCATGCTCGGCGCGATGATGCTGCAGGAAAAGATTGGCTCCTCACCCACGCTGACCATCCACACAACCCATCTTGTGGAGCCCATGTGGCCTGTGAGATGATGGAGTTGTATGCATCTTCATGTATGCGCATGCGCAAGGGGAGAAGTCATTGCATAGATTCCTCAGTCGGGTAATAAAAGATGCAAGCACCGACGTGGGTGAAATGTATCACGCGCCCATCTTGCATGTCAATCCTTGTGTGTGTGTATGTGTTTGTGTGGGCGGGCGGGCGGTGGGCGACGCGCCTGCCTTCCCGTGTGCACCCCCATTGCCCGGTCTGATGAAAGGGAGGACGACGACGACAAAGAACCATGATAAGTGCCCAGGTGCTTTCAGTAGCTTGGGGTACGTACTCGTCTGCCCAGACGCATATGCAACTTCCGCTACTTTTGCACACCTAGGGCGGGCGCTGATGTTGCACAAGAGAGCCGGCAAACGCCCAACGGTGAGTCGTGGTACGCCGGTCCTACTTCACTCATCCGAATCCGGCGAGAATAGTGGTCCCAAGGCATGGAGTGCAGCGTACTCTTGTACCGTCGTGTAACCGGTTCGCCTTCATTTATCGATTGCAGATGACGGTGCATGGAGACACGACTACATGCTGTGCCGCACAGGAGAGACACTCTATCGAATGGATCGGAGATTGCCTGAGGTGTGCGCACGGCAGCATGGCTTGAAACACACTCTGTACGTACTTACCTCTATGTCGCTTCGGGATTTTCGCGTACGGGTCGAACTATACCGAATGCAATAATGTTTTACAAACAGAGGCGCTTCGTTGCTGCAATTGCCAGTCTCATCAGCATCTCGGTTTACAGCGAGACTTCACAGTGGTGCACAGGAAGTACAGTAGGTATCGAGAATCGACCTTTTTGAATTTCCTTTTGTTACAACTTCCAACTTTCATCAATTCGTGATTGTCCTCCCAAAACGAAGGGCACACTCTATATCCCAGAGTGGCCTCTATCTTTTGCCGATCCTGTTCCCCGAACAGTGTCTAAAGAATTGCCAAAGCCATCTCTCAATGGAGGCCCGGTCTGAATTGTTGCCCAACTCCAAATTGCGTTCCTGGGATCTCTCCCTCAAAGTACAATGTTCGCGTCCAATGTGAAAAAAATAGTGATGCAAGAACGAAAGGATGTAAACAATAAACAAGGGTATCTAGTACAGGTTCTGGATTGTGCAGAAGAGTCATTTTGCAAAAGGGTGAGCAGCGTCGCAGAAGTATCCTCATGTCGTCGTCAAACCCCCATGAGAGGAGGATGAAAGAGAAAAATCGAAAATAGGGTGTCGGAAGAAGCCCACCTCAACCGGGAGATGGGCAAAGCTTGGGCAACCGAGGTGCCGATGATCCAAAAGATATTACAAAGAATTAATCTCGATCTTTGTTGGTGATGAAAGAATGAAGAAAGGTTGGCGGCGACATTGATTTTGCCTACCAATAGCTTGCTTGAGGCCAGGCGTGTTGAGGTACCAGGTTGGACTGGAAGAGGACCTGCGCACATCGGCGAAACTGGTCCTGTGCGAAGACCGTGCCAGGGTAGTGATAGGTAGGAGCAGCCTTGATTGAGAAGGGATATGTGCTTTGTTGAGGGCTGCATTGGCCCGAGCTCGGGGGAGTGTAGAGCGCCTGCTGCTGAGGAACAGGGTAATATTTTCCAAAGTTGGCTGGTGGTTGGGGATATTGCTGAGCCGGCAAGTCCAGACGTGGTACCTGGTCAGAGGCCGCACGGTCAAATACAGCAGGGGATTGCGCAGGTCGCTCAACAGGGCTCTCCGGGGGTGTAGCGGGAGTGTGCGCGGTAAAGGACCTGCAGCGGTAGATTTCCTTCTGAAGCTCGTCCAAGGTGATACGGCGTTCAGGCTCTACTTCGAAGGTGCGCTGGAGCACACGGTTCAGATCATCCGAGATGGGAAGAATAGTCTTGAGGAAATTGCGGTTTTTGCGGAATGCACGAAAGGTCGGATCCTCCATCGAAGCTCGCTTCCATGGATTCCTTCCACAGGTGAGGTTGACAAGGATTACGCCCAAAGACCAAACATCATTGGGAGCAGAAGCATAGCAAGAGAATGGTTGTGGATTGGGATCTTGGTTCTCTGAATAGGTGTTAGTGGACGAATGGTTTTTTGATCTTGAAAGTGTGTCAATATACTTACCAGGTGACATGTAAAAGGTCGAACCACAACCGAAGTCGGAAGTGATGTGGTCCTGGGTTGCGAGACCAAAGTCGGCAAGCTTCACAGTCCGGCCATTGTCCTTGACGAGAACGTTCTCCGGCTTGAGATCCCGGTGGTAGATCCCGCGAGAGTGGCAGTGCTGGACAGCAGATAGGATTTGCAGAAACACATTGCGGGCCTGAACATCATCGCCAACATACTGGCTCTCCTCGGTAATCTTGGCAAAGAGGTCACCTTCTGGGCAAAACTCAAGCACAACGTAAGTGCAATCGGAGGTCTCCAAGGTTTGATGCAGGGCAACAATATTGGGATGCTGGCATTCATAATGCAATTGGATCTCGCGATCCTGGAATCGCCGTTGGCGGTCGTCCAGGCCGACCTTGGGCAAAGCCTTCACGGCATACTCGACGTTGGTCAAGAGATCGTGAGCGCGGTAAACAGTGCCATATGCGCCAACGCCGAGGACATCGGTCAGTTGGATGCGGTCGGCGAGAACCAGGTTGATCCGGTCATGAGGGTCGCATAGTCCAGAAGGTTTGGGCGATGCAGGAGGCGTAGGAATCATACTCTCGTGTGGGAGGAGGTTTGTTCTTCACTCTATGTGAAGAACCGAGGATTCCAGTCAAGGAATTCCAAGAATGAAGAAGCAAAGAACGGTTGACTGTCACCGAGTATGATCGAAGGTACGTTCGAGGCAGTCAAGTCCAAACGGCAATTCTGGTTGAAAATGAAGGTGAAAGTCGAAACGGGTTGTTGTTGAAAAGGCAGAGATCAAACAGACCGCATGGAAAGTCGTCGGAGTTGTCGGGATGTAGTAGGTGAGGTCGTCAGGAAGTGATGTCTAAGCCGGTCGGATAGTCACACTTTGATAGGTGAGGTTGGAGGGCGGGGCGTAGCGTAGATAGATAAAGAGAATCAATCGAAGCTTGGCACAGCGGGTCCAGAAAAAGAATGATGATGAGGCGATGGTGTGGACAGATGTAGGAGGGTTATGTGGGTATTGTAAAGTGAGAGGGAAACGAGTTGGATGTGTGTGTGAGTGTGAGTGTGGGTGTGGGTGTGTAGTGGTATCGTCTGGTGTAGTGTAGCGTAATGTACAGTCAAATAGTGTTGCGCATGTTTCTGTTATTAGGCAGGATGGAACTGAATGAGTGAACATGACGAGACGTCGGTCGGGTAGAGACACGCACACACACCCACGTCCGCCAGTTGGGTCAGAGAGACTGGACTGGACTGTACTCGGGGCTGTAGTGTAGGGTGAACAAATGCGTCTCCGATCGACCGGCGGGTCACTGATGGACGGCGTGAATGGGCCACCACCACCACCACCACCACCAACACCACTAACTCACTAATGACTGGCTCCTCCGTCAACATTTCCTACGGAATTGATACGGTTGTGCTGCCACAACATCCCGTACTACTATTTTCCACTACTGCCAATCCATGACTGAAGGTTTCGCACATACCTTTCCTGCCTGCATTCGTGAAATACGCCATCAAATAAACCTTCACACCACAAACCGGCTAGATTGCAAGATAATCCAGGCACCCACCCTTGTCCTCATCATCAGCGTGTGAAATTGACTTCACCCTAGTTGCCATCATCACATAACGCCTGGCGTACTCTGCGTCGCACGTACCCACCCACATGTGCATCCATGTCTGCCTCACGGGCTTAGCGTCTGGGACTAGGTGATGGGAAGAGAAGCGTGAAAGGTTCCACCAACGAACGAACGACCAACCCACAAACCGCTGCTGACGGCATAGCGGCAACGATCCCTGATCTAGAAAAAGAAATCTGCGTGATAGGCTAAGCGTTAAAGGCACAACCAGATCATGGTGTGTGCATAACCTAACGCGCGCGGACGAGCGATGATATCGGCGGCCGCTACACCTGCGTCTCGGTTTTTTGTTTTTTTTTTAACCCTCTCTGGATTCTTGGGCCCATGGCAGGAGGCAGAGGGCTAGTCCCATTGAGACCTGATCCCGCTCGGTCGAGGATCTTTCCCTTCGTATCATGGACTCAGAACCACGCATCACGGACGGAAGGACGGACCATTCTCATGCATCTTTTGTGGACCTGCACCGTCCAAGCCGTGCCCTTGCTTATTGTTGCTTGCCCGAAACTGTCCATCGCAAGCCGTTGCCGCTATTTGGGCGTCTAACCTTGTGCGCCGAGCGAGAGCTTGCGTGTCGGTAAACCGCTGAAACAGGTGGCAGACGCCCATCATAGATGGTGCAGGCACCTAGATGCGAATACGACGGGACATAGAAGCGCTGCAGTCCCTCGGTTGGGTAGCTTGGTCGCCCCGAAGGAGTTGTGACCGATGGTGGCCAACGACGAGGTTGTCCAACGCCACTCACTGCCATGACTGTTGCGGGCCAGCAGCGGAATGGGTATACCAGTTGTCATGGTGAGTGGAAGGACTGGGTAGGGTGGCAGAGCAGGCAGGGCTGCGGCGTGTGCGTGCACAGGCAACAACAGCACAAATGGAACGGGATCAGTATGGAAAAGAAGGGTGCCATCGCCGCCTTCAACCGGCACGCTGTGCAAAAAGCGTGTGATCTTGGACGGCACCGGCACAGCAACGGCAGCATGGCGCTCTGCTCCCTAGGCATGACTTGGCTACGCCTCTGTCATCGGGCGAAACTACTGCGTGGCCTCATCCCCCACCTAAACCAGACGTGGTGCAAGATCTGCTAGGCCAATCACCGCGGTCTTGGCGCTGTGCCGCCGGACGGCGCGAATAACAGCCCTTTCTTTTTTTTACTCTTTTCGGAGTCATCACACTACAGCAGAGCGGCATCCTGACTGCGCCTAGATACCGGAGGCACCGATACAATTACGACAGTGCATACAAGCTGTGCACAATAAACAGTCGTTATCGCCTATATGAATGGCGCAGACTGCAACCGGGACGGTACGTGCGCTGACCGTAAACGGATTAGCCCCTTCGTCGGTTCGTGCATATGCAACATCACACATATTCCCGCTCGAACCCAACGTTCTGCGCCCATGACCCAGCCTCGATCTAAGTTTCCAGAAATCACCGCTCATGGGCGCTAGAAAGTCCAGGAGATTGGGACATTCCCACCAGCAGTTGCGAGGCGTTGTGGTCGGCCCGTTTGGCGCTCTACTGAGATCTTGATCATTTCCTCGAGCAGACTTTTTGCCCCTTGTGGTCTAGAGCTTTACGGGCTTGCAGTTCTGCATGATGGTCACTGGTATTTGCTGACAACGAAGGACGAGGCCGTGGAGGGACTTTCGGCGTAAGCGCATCCTGGATCCCGCAGAGAGCCATGACCCACAAATCCATGCCTGCAGAGCGCCTCCGCAAACCAGAGATACTCGCGACCCATGACAGAATCTTCCGTTTGATTCCCCTGGGTACTGTCTACACTGCAGAGCGTCATGACAAGCGTCTCTGGAAATTCGATCGTCACACCGATAGACACTGCAATCGGGATCAATAGCGACCCATTCAAATGCATTTATCCGACTTGTGCACCGGCTTCGTCGGAGCGACCCAAGCGGAGCATGACTCTCTCACCGACCGACCTTGCTACTCAGGAAACTTCCGTGGTAGTGTAGATCAAATCCATCAGGTCGAACAAAGGCCTCATTCCATACAGCAATCATTGGCTCGAATCCTAGCGCCGCCTTGTGTTTCGTCAATCACCGCAGGACCGCTGCAAGAGAGAGATCCATCGGCGACGCATCGACTCCGTTTCGGTGTGTTCACACCAGCGACACATGATTGGCTCCAGCGCTGCGGCGCAAGCGGCCTTTGCTGAATATCGCCCATGCAGCGTCGCTCGCGACGATTGGCTGCTCATCCATGTCTTAGCGCATGTCTATGGCAATCAAATTCGCAAGCCTTTGTAGATCATGACCCGCTGGCAATTTAGCAGAGTTTTCGCTTGACGAGGGTGTTCGTAAGCTCGACTGCGCCATGATGTCGACGCCCCGAGCATCCTCATCTCCCTTGCCAGGAGGTCGTGGTGTGCTCTAAAATCTTGTACCTCATCAGGTACTGATGCGTTTTCCGTGTTGATCAGCTGCCACATCTGCACGACCTCCGAGGCAAGGTACCGCGTTATTACTTCCGGCGACAGCCATGGACATGCAGTTGTAAAAGCCTGTTCTCTAAGCGCGCGCAGGCCAAGTCGCCGATGCAGTTGTGGCACAATCCAGACGATTTGCTTTAGTCGCCATGAGTTTACATTCCGAACTGCCACCTGTTGGTTCACGAATATTGTGAGGCGGGTACGGGTTCACGCGGCAGGGTGAGCTGACCAGTAGCAGCCCGGGACGCATCTTCACCAAGGCTTGCCAACGGGTCCGAGCTTCGGCCATGCAACTAACAATTGGCTTGTGCTAGCGATACCGTACCTAGGTACTGCAGTATCTTTAGCGACCTGAGAAACGCAAGCAAATTTGCGATGTCAGCGTCCACGTCATACTTTGCCCCCCTCCACCACTCCCTGCTGTCGACAAAGCTGGGCGTATCGCAGTCTAGGCCTCGTGGATCTAGCGTCGTGATGCCACGGCCGTGCCATACGATGCTTTGCATTAGTCTTGCGCTTGTTGTGCGCTTTACGAGAACGCCTTGAACACAACCGCTCACATCACTGTTTCGCATCACTGTCTGACCCGCCGCCGATGCCCGTCCTCTGCTCTCTACCGTACCGTGTACCTCGAGTCTCCCGATCAATGGTGCCTCCGGTTACGTTGTTTGTTTCGAAAGAGATCCGACCATGGGGGGCATTTACACGGTGGCTTTCCGCCGGGTATCCCATCAAACATGGTTAGCTCAGATCGAGATTGCTTACAATTTTGGGAGAGAGTAACTCGTTAGGCCGCCCAGATGAGGGAGCAAAGTCTTGTGGTTTTTATCAGATGCATTCTATAGATTATAGAAGCATGGTCCTATAGTGGAGCCTACGATGTTCCGTCACGCAGTCAGCCGCAGGCTAGAGCTGCATCCTTTCTGGCTCGAAGCATTCGGGACGATGTCCTTCCCTTTCAGAGTTCAAGTGGCTGTGTCTGGCTGTACCAATATGGTGAGACTGCTCTCTGCCAGGTCGCCTGCTCAATTTAGGCGTCCTCCCAGACGCGGCTATGTGGCGTCACACAGGAAGAGGCCAAGGACAAGCGCGTGTCTCACCACGGAGACACCCTCGTCGACTATCGAGAAGCTATAGTCATCCCGTCTGGATAGATGACCTTGTCTTTCAATTGATGAGGAGAAATCCAATAGACCGCTTGTGGAATTCTTATGGCGTGACGAATCACGGCGCCATCGCGTGTTGCCTCACAGACACCCAGCATGATTAAATCTGCAGCAAGCCACATATGGAATTGTGCCTAGCTTCCACACTGAGTCTCTTGTTGTACTGTAGCAAGGCCGCCAGGGCGGTCGCCGGCCTTGGAATGTGTGCATCCTGCTGCGCACGTGGAGCGAGACTACCGTGCGTGGTACTCAAATGCAAGCCTGCTCGTGATGTTGCCTAGTCGGAGCAACAACACGCCGAGCCGAGAAGGAACTAACAGGACGCCTCTTCCATCACTCGACGAAAGGTTGCCGTGAGGTTTTAATCTCGCTAGTGCGTGATAATAGGATCGCTGATGGATGCGAAACTGAGCCAGGTCTCGCAGTAGCCCATCAATAGCACTCTTGTCTCGCGATGCGGCTCCTGTGAAGAACGGCGGAGATATGTTCTTGGAATCATCAGTTGACAAATCAATATGCGTATTGAACATTCGCGAGCGTTTTGCGCGGCTTGGTGGCTGGGCACAGTACGCGAGAGCCGGCACGGCCGTATAAGTTCGAGCATTACCAAGGGCAGGTAGTCGTCGTATGCTCTGGTGCCAATCAAGCCACCTCGCGACACATCGCGAGTTCTCCGGCATCTAGGCAGCCTGAGTGAAATTCTGAGAATCACGGTATATCAGGGTCGATAGATCTCCTCGTTGCGCTCGATCCACTCTTCCCATGCACGAGGACATCGGCGTTCGTCGTGCGTCGCGATACTGATCGCGAACGTCCCATCGTCGCGTGGCGGTATCCTTTCTTATGCGGTCTTGATCTCCGGTCAGACGGGGAATGCGAGTGAGATCTTGCTGCGGCTGGGTATGCGCTATCTTTCGCAGGCCAGGTGCTTTCGAGTCACTCCATGACTGTAGGTCATCTGTCCTTCAGATCCTGCGAATGGGGTTGGCGAAACTTTCACACCGTCGTGATCATCGGGTTCCAGACACAAGCCTCTGGTCTGTTTGTTTGAAGACCCATAAATCCTACGCCGTCGATTTCGCGTGCATGGCATCGTAGGACTTGCGGATTTGTCGTCTTCGTGGCTTGAATTAGCTGCATCACAAATCTCTGGTGCTATCCGTTCCAGTCAGACGATACGGTTGGAGACACGACGAGCAAGCGTACTCTGGTGTCACCGCGGATCGCAATATCGTCAAACCGACTGCATCTGAATATCGGAGACGATGAAAACGCAGCGAGTAAGACCATGATCGTCGCTTCAACTGCTGGCTTCCGCACATTATGTTAAGACTATGGCAATGATCAGGCAATTCGTCGGAGACAGATGGTGTCCCACCAGGGCTGATTTCACCTCTCCGTTCTCATGGTATTGTCTTGAGCAACGGTCAGCGCTGTTCAGAACTCGCACATGTATGGTGTTATCTGCTTGAAAGGCGAGGGGTGTAAGCGATGCTTGTTAAATGTCTAGGTGATCAATATTGCTTTGTAACAACGATGGTAGGGTTGTTCAACCCTACTTGCCCCAATTACCTTACCCATGGGCTAGCTTGACACAACACCTCATATGTGTGAACGAAAATTACCGACCTAGGTAGGTGCGTTTTCAAAATAGTTGTCCCTACCTATGAGTAGATTCCTGCACAATAAACACACCACATGTACAGTCGCTATCGTTCACAGTAGTGCAGTAATGCGTCACCTAGTAAGCCCGGCGTCGCGAAATCCCCCATGCGAGCCATCTCCTAAGGGCTGACCAATAAGGCACCCGACATTCGTATAGTGCTCTTCTTCCGCAGATGACTCTCCACGACAACCGACAATTTGAAGTCCTCGGAGATGCCTCCCATGATATCGACTAATTCGCGCGCAATATCGCCCACCCGGGTGCCCGAATGATTAACGACCTTGAACCTCTTGCGGGCCTGCCACCTCAAGCACATATTCCTATCAGTCATGGGACGCAGCGCCACCTCCTGATAGTGGAGTTCGACCTCGACCTCACTGATAGGAGGCTGACAGACGAGCATATCGCCGATGATGCTGCCGCCGAGGTCCCTGGGCCTGGACAGTCTCGCCACATCTGGTCGTCGGAGGAAATACACCGACTCGCACCGCTGACCCACCCTCTTGCTTGATTTCTGCGAGGCAGGCACCGGGGGTTCTTGACGGAAGATCAAAGGGTTCAAAACACAAGGATGGACGCGTCGTTGTCTCTTGTGCCAATCTCGACCATGGTCCCGAACATCTGCACAGAAGAGCGGGCGCCAGATGTGTGTTGCTTTGTCGAAAACCTGCTTTTCTCTTATGGGCCGAGAGCCTTTCTCGACGTCAAGGAAGAGCTTCCTGCGTAGCCTAGGCGAGTGCATGATGAGGTCGTTCCAAATGCTCCTGACACGTCTGCAACGAAGCAAATCTTCTGGTGTCACATCTAAGAGAATGGCTTCTACGAGCTCGGTCGTGTTGAGCACTGCGTTGCGAGTCATCGTCAAAGCTTTCTGACGTGTTGTCATAGGATGGATGCTCTCGCGATGTCCTTGTCCACCTCGCATGCAAAAGGACTCGGACGTGTTTTCATTGGCCATGCTCGGCACCGCCGTCGTCGTCAGCGTTGCGGTGATTATGTCGATGCTGCCTCCGAGCGTAAGATTCATGACACAGTTGAATGCCTTGTTCGAAGAACTCATTCGAGTACGATCCGGGCACTCTCCGTCACCGGTCCTGCAACAGGGTCGGGTTGATTTGACAAGTGATCGCGAACTCGTCTAGACAGACGAGCATGATATATGTCCGCCATCCGTATGTATTATGAGTGACTGGTCAGTTGCGCGCGAAGCAACCTCACTTGCAGCGCCGGCGCCACTGTATCGATATACATGATGAGTGACTGGTCTTTGGCGTGCGAAGCAATCTCACTTTCAGCGCCGGCTTCAATGTGTCGGTATGGATCATGAGTGATCAATCTGTTGTGTGCAAAGCAATTTCACGTCAAGCGCCGCCTTCGATGTGAGTGAATCGCACGTTGAAGAACATCTGTGGTATCACAAGCAAAAGTCACATTTCATTTGGTGTACCAAGAGATCATGTCATCTAATCCGTGGTGTGAAGTGTGCAAGTGAAAAGAAAGGAGACGGGAGGCATGAGGAGGACAACTCGAAGGACTACGAGTCCGCCAAGGATTGAAATTCGAGCAAGAATGTATTTCAGTCATCGCGAAAGTGGTATCAATTGTGAGCCTTATTGGCTAAACATGCTGCAGCTATCTAAATCGCACAGTCAAAACGACCGAGGTCGAATGAATCAGGACCTTGCGGCCAGCACCCCTCATCCTGGGAGTGTCAATTAAGTCGGGTCGTCAGTTGTCGTAATCGTCATCCATCATGGTTATCAGAATTCCAAGCCCATATCGTACTTCATTCAATGCGTTCCATCATCATCGTCGTCGTTACATCCTGGCATGCTCAGGTAGGAGCATCAGTGAACCCACCCAGGCGCGCACATGCACATCAGTCCTTGATTCCAACAATCCCGAGTCCCACAGCGGCAGAAGTCTCCTTCTCTGTCCTCGGCCTCTTCGCAGGTCTGCTGCCCTCGCTTCTCTCAACATTCGATTTCCGTACGGCCCCGAACAATTTGGTCTGCTTGAATCGGTCGCGATTGACAGCGGAATTTTTTGTCGCTGTGGTCGGAGGCGGGAGCATGCCACTGCCCTGAAAGCTCTCTCGCTTGGCTTGTTGTTCCTGACTTGAACGAAGCATCTGCGATGCAGCGCGTGAAGCTTGCGAGTCGGCGACAAGTTCGTCGGGTTCAATAATATCTGTATCCGCTTCGCTGTCGATCTCGTCGTTGTCATTGTTCTCGGATGCGGATACGGTGCCTTCAGAAAGGGCGCGGCTTGTGCCTGTGGCGGAAGACATAGGGAGAGCAGTCCGCGAATAGACATCTGGCGTGCGAAGGGCGGGCTGTCGTGGGACTGGCATTGTTGCTGGCACACGTGATGCTTGTTGTCGACCCTGGGGGGTATGATAGGCATCGGCGAATTTCCGGAAGGACTGAGGAGTAGTGGGAAGCTGCGAAAGGCTTTGGGCATTTCGAGCGTGACCTTTCCTGCCGCGAGCGGACGATGAACGAGCAGCGTCTTGGCTGGCCATCTCGGAAGCTTGCAGCAGGGCGGCGAAAGGTTGTGCCGACTCGCGGCCGCTCAGGTGATTGCGATGAGGCGTGCTGAATGCCGAAACCGGAGTCGATCCTACGCGATTGTGTCGACGGGCCGCTTGAGGCGCATCTCGCGCATCTCGGGTGCGTCCTTGAACTAATTCGCGCATCAGAGTGACCTTGTCCGTCAGACTCGCAATCTCGTGCTCCTGGCGCTTGATTATTCTCTCCTGAGCCTCATACTCCTCCTCCAGTGCACTGTGAGCTTCGCCGAGAAGCTGTATATCGCGCAGCATATGGTGGTAGAGATCCTTCTGCACCGCGATGGTGCCTTCCTGGAGTTGGCCGGATGTCTCAGGAGCGACCGCGCTCTTTGTCTGCTCCGCGTGGTAGATAATCTGGTTTTCGCATTGTGTCATATGCGCTTCGACGGCCATGCGCTCCAACGCAGCATTACTCTCTTGTGCCAACATCTCATATTGAAGCTTGTGGTGGGCGGCGCTCATCTTGGCGTCACGCAGTGCCGCCTGTAAGACGGCGACAGAGTCCCTCAAAATTTCCGCGGAAGCATTGCTGATATCGTGGGCTGACAGGAGATCGGCCGAGGGCGCCGTCGAGTGAATCCGCGCGCTCGCGATGCCATTAGATAGGCCCACCGTCGGAGGTGGAGTCGAAATTTGAGAGACGGCATCCACTGGCGACGGCGTACGAGTCTTGATCCGAGTAGGTGAGTCAAGCACTTGCGACGATGGTGGTGGTGTCATTCCGATACTGGCTTCGTCGTTGCGACCGACCTGAGGTCTAGCCATGACGTCGATGTTGGAGGGCTGTTGCGCCAGCGCTGCACAGAATCGGAGGCGACGTTGTAAGTAACGAACGTTCGTCGGTGGGTGACAGGTCAAGCGACGAGCCCTGCAACAGTTATTATGAGCTGTTTATGAATAATGCCAACCGTGCCAGAGATGTGCACAGAAATGCAAGAGTTGTGCGATCGCGATGATGCAGATATGGATTGGACATGTGAGGGCGGTGGATATTGACGAGGTTGGGGAAGCTTGGGAATTAAGCTTCGCGGCAACTTTCCGGGATTGATGGCTGGGCAACGCGAAATTTATGTCCAACTGCAATATCGCGCGGGACATGGGCATGCTGCTGTCGACATGTTAACTACTTAATATACCATGCATACACCTGCCTTGGGAGATTGCCTTTGGCAAGACGAAGTGAAAGAAGATGTGTGCTCTGGACTGATCAATCGATTATCATAGGTATGCTTGACTGCCGGTGTGTCAAAACGTGTCAAACAATACTGTAGCATTGAGACCTAGAAGGGCACGGATGGATCCATCCCTACTCGGTAGGTATACTGCAATGAGCTTGGAGGGCAAAAATGATGATTCGTCAAGTATGCTAGCATATACCTCATGATGTCCATACATGACCTCTCACATTGGACTCTTATTATTCAGAATGTCCTTAGGTAAGTGCATCTGTGGCGTACACGGGACCTCATGAACGAGGGCCGGAGTAACAAATTTGCGAATGTCGAGGTTTGCTCCCTGCTGGTAGTCGTGATAGTGATAGAGGAACATAATATGTCCATTTGGCTGGCTGTGCTGGCTGATACGTGGTCTGTCATATCGTGAGGGAGCTACTTGTCGTCCCAAGCCGAGCAGGAAGAGTGACGGAGACGGGGTGGGTGAGTGGGCGCGTGCCCCCAGGTGGGAAGGGAAGTCGTTGATTCCGGGGGTTGAAACCTCGCTCCTCCTCCTCTTCAGTCCACACCCCACCTTTCACGTTCCAAGGTTGTTTCAGATTCATCAACTACCTAGGTAGGTGTTCAGGGGAACAACCTCCCTGCCAAGAATTTCCTCTCACTACCACTGAGCAATACCAAATGCTCCGAGGGCGGTCGATCATATATTCGAATGGTGCTCAAAACACATATCGAGATCATAATGTCGCCGAAGAATTTATTTCGCATGGAAATGTCCCCGGCATTAAACCAGAATCATCAGCAGTGGGCTGGCGTGGACCCTGATGAGGCGGAACCCACCTACAGAACCATAGATTTTCGTTGGTGGTTTCTAAAATATTACAGTACTGTACCGATGTACTAGTGGTGATACCCCATCTCAGTGGACACCCGCGCGCGCATGTTGATGTCGGTGCGTCACTCCTGCTTCGCTCCTGCTCCTCCTATTCTTTTTTTCCTTGAAGACCGTCGATTGCGATTGTTCCAAGGTTGTTGTTGTTGTTGTTGATGTTGTCAAGCTCGATCCGGACCTTGCCTGCTTGCATTTATCCTCCGAGTGCCATAGAGACGGAGGGTTCACACCGACTATTGTAGCAGACTGTCAACTACCTAGGTACAGTCATTACAGTGGACTGTTTTGCGAACACTTGGTTTTGTGGATCTCCTTCCACGTGGTGACAAAAACGTCTGCTCAGACCCTTGAGTACATCATATTGGACGCCATCCTTGTTGCTGCCAACACATACATACATACATACAGGCTAGAGCTATATTCGTCTCGCTTATGCCATGGATTCCTCGCAGGCTGCAAGCAAGCGAATGTCTGCAATTCCCAGACCCGGCGCCAGCAAACTACCGCAGCTCAATGCGCGCCCTGCTCCGGCTGCCGGAGGCCTGGCTCCGTCGACTCGTCCTGCACCAGCAACAAACCCAGGCAGAGGCGTTGCGGCTGGAATCCATCCTCCTGCTGTTGCTGCCGCTCCAAAATCTTCACTACAAGCTTCGAGACTTACGAAGCGGAGCTCTATTGCACACCTACCTCGTGCAACTGCTGCGGCGGCCAAAGATTCCAGCAGCCTGCAGAAATCCACAACTACAAGGACCAATGGACTTCATAGCACGGCTCAAGCTCCCAAGGCTTCCAATGGACAGAGGGCACCCCCTACTGGCACAGCGCCACGTGTGACACAGATGAAACGACCACAATCAGTCTATGGATCATCGCTAGGTGGAGCTCGTGCAGAGAACGAGCCGCGGTCGCTGCGCGCGCCCGAAGGCGCACGCGGTCTCTCACGTCAGAGGTCCCGAGGCCGCGAGGACCTCCGCGAGGAAGAGCCCGCGGAGACGCTCAGCCCGGTAAAGCCTCGAATTTCGAAGCCATCGAGGCCTTCGTTGTCTGACAGAACGATTGAGAGCTTGCATGCTCTTCCTTCCACACCTAGAGCCTCACGGCAGTCGGATTTCTTCAGTCCTGGTGGCTCGCCGATGACCCTTGCTGGAAGGCCGAAATCCAGTCTGAGCCGAACTGACAGTATTACTAATGGGCCTGGTACAAACTACAATAATGCAGGCGAGAGGTCATTGTCACCATCCAAGAGGATTTCTGCAAGTGCAAAGCCCGCGACGCGCATGTCACTAGGAGGATCTGGTATTCCTATGGGTGCCGGAAACCGTCGTAGTATGAGCATTCCGTTCGCGACGAAGCTTCAAGAAGTGCGAAGCTCTCTGCGGCCGAGTCAGCGCTCCATGTCTCCGGTGAGAACTGGGCTGTCAAGCGACCCCGTCCAGCTTCCGACACAATCGCCCGTTCTGGAAGCCAGGGACCCGAGTCCAGAGCCTGTAGTTGCCGACCCAACCTTAGATGACACAGTCAACGAACCAGTGCCGACCAAGATCGAGATCGAAGCGATCCAGGAAGCGGCAACGCCGTCAAAGGCCGCGCCAAACAAGTCGACTAGCAGTTTAAAAGCGCCCAAACGAGATGCGAGCAGGTCCAAATCCCCCAAGTCACGGCCATCGCTGGGTCCGGCCTTCGCGCCCGCAGATGGTAAAAGTGCCAGTGAACCCCAGCGAGCGACTTCAAGCTCCTCGACCGCTCTTCGTCAGCAGATAGCAGCCGCCAAGGCCGCAGCAAGGAAAGAGAAGCTAAAGCATGATTCTCCACAAGACAGCACAGCCAGCGCCGTTCCGTCGTTTGACATCCAGCTACACACAAATCCGTTCAATGATGCTCCACGCGACGAGAAGCACATTCTTCGGAATCGCATCAACACAGCTCGTGTCGACGGAAAGCTCAATATTGCTGCAATGAACTTGCGGAAAATTCCGGATGAGGTGCTGAAGATGTACGACGCCAAGGCCATGGAGGAGTGCAACGTGAACTGGGCCGAAGTGGTGGATCTCACACGCCTCATCGCTGCTGATAACGAGCTCGACGAGCTTGATGAGACCGTGTTTCCGGACCGATCGCCTCAAGACGTGGACGCCGACGGCTGTGCTGAAGGAAATCAGTTTGGAGGTCTGGAATTCATCGACCTGCACGGCAATCTGCTGACCGTCCTTCCCATGGGCCTACGGCGATTGGAGAGACTTACAAGTCTCAATCTCGCGCACAACAAACTCGACAATGCGGCTTTTGATGTTCTGGCGGAGATACAGTCTTTGAAGGATTTGAGGTTGGGCAACAATTCGCTTTCTGGTAACCTGCCGACCTCAATTTGTGCTCTGCCACATCTTGAGACCTTGGACTTGCAATCAAACAGACTGCTTGGTCTGCCCGAAGCGATGCGTGAGCTCGTGAATCTGAGGGTTTTGAATGTCTCTGGCAATCAGCTAACAACCCTTCCGATGGATTCGCTCGAAGGGCTTCCCTTGGTCGAGCTTGATGCTAGCAGCAATCTCCTCATTGCATCACTCTTTCCCCTAGGAGGTGCTAATGGTCATCCGAGCCTCCAGGTCATGAATGTGGCCAACAATTCTTTGGCAGCCCTCACATTCCTCGAGTCGCTACACCTCCCTCACCTACGATCTTTGAATGTTTCGAACAATCACCTCACCGTACTTCCGTCCGTAGCAGGGTGGACAGAGCTCATCACGCTCGCGGTTGGCGATAACAAAATTGCGCAGTTTCCGGAGGGTTTCACCAAGCTACAGAAGTTGCGGATCGTCAATTTTGCAAGCAATGAGTTGCGCTTGGTAGACCCTGATGTCACCAGAATGTCCAGTCTCGAGACGCTCATACTTGCTGCGAATCCCTTGCGTGAGAAGAAGTTCCTTTCGATGAGCGCTGGGGACATCAAACGTGAACTTCGAGCCCGTATGACACCCTCTAGTGCCTTCGAAAACGGAGATGGCGATGACGTGCCGGACAGCCCTGTCACAGTCATCGGCGCCGGCGACCATATGGATGAGAATGCCACTTCAAGCTGGCAAATGAAAGCTAATGGTGTTCTTGAGCTTGTCGCCAAGAATCTTGGGGATGACTTTGATGACCTCCTCGCCTCGTATTTCCAGGCCAATGAGGTTCGCGATCTAGTGTTGCAGAGCAACAAGTTGACTTGCATCCCACCAGCAATGAGCTTCGGCCAGGACCTGAGATCACTCGATCTGACCGACAATCCCTTTAGCGGTGCTGACTATCTCGATGATGTCGTGGACCTGCCGTTCCTCCAGGAACTCAGCCTTTCCAAATGCCGATTATTATCGCTCGACCCACTTCTCGCACAACTCCGCGCGCCGCACCTGCGCAGCCTCAACGTCTGCGCCAATCGCCTCACCGGCGCTGTACCGCTGCTTCGCATCGCATACCCCAAACTCAGCACGTTCCTCGCCAGCGACAACAAATTCGAGATGGTCTCGGCTGACGCGCTCCGAGGCCTGGCGAATGTCAACCTTGCCAGCAATAACATCGCCCAATTGCCTGCCGAGCTGGGTCTGCTCTGGGATGAAGGTTTGAGGCATCTCGATGTCGGGAGCAATTCTTTCCGCGTGCCGAATTATCGGATCCTCGAGAGAGGCACGGAGGCCACGCTGCGGTGGTTGAGGAATAAATTGCCGGCGAGCGCTGGGAGTATGTCGGAATTAGATTGAGGTGACAGTACTTGATTGAGCCGCAGTCCCAAAAGTTCGATGTGTGTCTTGTCACAATTCCAGTGGCAGCATAAGTTACAGAACCAGGGCGAAAGGAACATCCAGGACAGCCAAATGGGCGTTCGAATGAGCGGAGTGCTGCCTTTCCAATTGTGAAGCATGTGAACATGACAGAGTGAACATAGATTTCCCTTTCTATATATTTGGCGAGCATTATTCCGAAATTCATGATTTCCCGCTGTTTCACAATTCTGGAGCTTGATTCCATAAAAACCATGCTGTATCCGACGTCAATGGGCGACCCAGGCGCCCTCTTCATCAAGCAGATCTTCATCAATCTTCAGCATCGTCTCATTTGAACTATACACGATCACGGCCACCGGGCCCCGACGAAATCCAGTAAATCCAACAGATCCGCACACTGCATCATTGCCCTGCGCTCACGTTTCGTCATCCCGGGCATTCGCGCCGTCATCTCCGTCACATGGTGCAGCACCAAAGCAAACGGGATCGGACAGCGCACCGCCCACGCGAGGAAATCCTTGACACATATCACCGGCACCTCGGTATGCTGGGCGAACAGAGCCGGGTTCTCGAGGAGTCCGCGCGCTGCCATGACGCCGTCGGCTTCGGTCAGACTCGCGATCTTAAGCACGTCTGTATAGGTGTAGGCGTCGCCGTTGGCAAGCATAGGGATTGTGATATGGGGACGGAGGGCGCGAATGGCGTCGTAGTTGGGCGGAGTACTGGAGCGTTGGCTCCGGAGACGGCCGTGGACGGTGATGTAGTCAAGTCCAGCGCGTTGGACGATTTGTACCCAGCGGATCGTCTCACTGGGATCATGTAGGTTAGTCTGAGGAGCGCTCGAAGCGGTGGAGGGGTAGAGATTCGACACGAACTTGATATCTTTGTGGATGCGGATCTTCACGCTGACGCTCTTGCTGGGTGCGATCCTCGCTTTGGCGGCGGTCACCATGCTTGCTACCAAGTCTGGTTGGCTCATCAGGGAACAGCCGATGCCTTCCTTGATCGCCCAGGATTGTGGACAACCGCAATTAAGGTCGACGCCGCTGCAGAACGGCGTGATCATTTCCGCAGCGCGGGCAAACTCTGTGGCATCTGATGATGCGAATTGAGCGATGACTACGTGACCCCTGCCGTCTGCTGTCGGCTTCTGCTCGAGAAGATGTGTCGTGAAGTCGGAATCCCGTGACATGTGGGAGCGAACGAACTCGTGCGCGAGCATCATCGGGGTATATGTGACGTCGACGCCATAGTCTCTGATCAGGAGACGGAAAGGGAGTTTTGAATAGCTTGATTGAGTTTGTTCAGCGAGACTTGTTTGATGGTGGGCGATGTTGACAATGCTCACCGGACCATGGGTGCTGCCACTAGACGATTCGGTCAGTATGCGCGAGATTATCAAAAGGCGACGAAGGCTCTTCCATTACCATGGAGTGGTCTATTTTCTCGTTTGGCGGCATCAAAGAGGTCGAGAACACTACAAACACCATGTTAGGACTCGACTTTTAATCCCCATACTGACTTGGGCAATGTCGTCGCACTCCTACCCAGGACGGCACTTAGAGGCACTTATCTGCACGCGACCACCATTCGGCATTGCTTTGGAATCTTCCATAGCCATGGTTTGGCGGAAGATCTGTTGCTGACTTGTTACTACTCATGACGTTCTCAATTCATCAAAAGATGTATGGGAAAAATGCATATGAAACCCTAAGCCAGTTCGAGGAGACTGATTGATATACTATTCTACGAGGTGTTGAACCGTTTTATTTCCTGACCGTTCTGCATCATGGCAGCATCGAGAAGATCTTTCGTCCTCATCTCTCAGTGGGCATGTCGATACTGTGTGTAACATGAATCGCGGAAATCGCCATCACGAGATATCGATGAAGTGGATTTGGTCATGCATGAGGCTCGTCCTCCGAATCGATGCGAATTCACATCGATGGAATATATTCCGAGACCACATATAGCTGACCGGGAATGGTATGATTTGTCCACTTACGGCTGGAAACGTCGTAAAGTCATCAGCAGTGTCCGGAGTCATCGGCCTGGATGTGACAATGCGCTTTGCAAGGAACCCGAGAGTATGAGACCTGCGGCAGTCGAGTGACGAGCTCATCGCAAGGATGCAAACAAAACTCCGGGCAGACTGCATCATCCGGGTTAGGATTCCAAGGCTTCAAGGGGGTCCTGCCATATCTACAAGCAAGCAGGGACACACAGTTGCGCATATGCCAGATTCTTGGCGAGGGAACAGCCAAAGACGCCAAGCGCGCTCCTCCGAAATGCTCAATTTTATCCAACATTGACTCCGGGGCCACATGGCGATGCATGCTCGAAAGACGTGTGATATGCAATAGGTTTTATCGAAACGCGATACGATACTGGCATCTTTTGGAGCTATCAGCCCAGGAGATGTGGACAGAGAATCCACCAAGCCGATTTTTCCCAGGAGCTTCTTCACAGTCGACTATTTCGATAACGAATCGCTGCCATCACGTTCGCGAATAGCAACAGCTCAGACAGCTTCACTATACATCATGTTCGTATCGTGACCAGGTGTCAATATTCCTCGGGCCCTCTCTTGATGCGTGATACCAGAGAACAAGCAATGACGTAGAATCTCACCTTTCCTAATTGATGGCTGCGGGAATGATGGAGTTTGGGGTCAAGTATAATACTGTAGCAGGGCATCGGGTTTTGTAGGCGCATATACTCACCTCACTGTGATCATTGCCGGACCTATATGTGTTGCATCTGATAACAACAGGTAATGCAATCCTGTAATTCTACAACACCTGTTGGAGGTGATGGAGGTCCGTTGGCTCCAGTCACATTCATCATCGGGTGCACCTCATGTTCCTCCACTTCCCTTTTTCAGCACGGCGTCGCTCGCCGAAGTTCGATAGTGGACGCACAGGACAGGAATGTACTCCAGGTGTACACTTGGTGCGCCAAACGGTTCGCTTGTCCGGGTGGGTGGGTTCATGGACAATTTCACGCTTTGCTCGAAACTGCAGGTCTATCCACATCGACCATCACATGTTGATCGTGCAGTAATACTGTGGCAGCGGCAACATCATCGTCATCATCATCGCCATCATCATGATCATCATTTCCATTATCATAGTTGGCAGCTACCTGCTGCTTGTCATCTCGCAGAATGGGTATGTGCTGTTTGACAACACGGACAGAACAAAGGAGTGTACTGGTGATGTTATACGCAGCAAGCATGTCGTTCACCGCAGCCGGACTGTGCTCATCACCTGCATCTCATGCACTCCGCAATTTCCAAGGTTGCTGAAGTCACTTCGGATCTTGTACCCCCACGAGCCGCACTCTGTGAGCATGCGATTGGTGGTCTTCAATCCAACATCATCATCACCACCACCACCAACTCCTCCTCGTAGACCACCTCCCTCTGGCTGCGCTTCTCGTTCTTGTCTTGCTCGTACCCACACCCGTTTGCCGGTCTGCGATGAGCTCTGGCACGCTATGCGCCAAGCTCCCCCAAGACGGGATCTGAACGTGCTGCCGTTGAGAAAGGGTGGCTCGGAGCACTCCGCGCGACGCACCCTGGCACCGCCCTACCATCTGCCAGCGCATGCGGCGCTGATAAGCTCTCTGCGCCTGTGGATTTCATCATCCTAAGGGTGTTGGAAAAGATGATGCGATTGATCCTGATTTGCTTCTTTGTCTGTGGTAGCGATCTGTCAGAACAAGCATTCACAAAGGATCATCCATCCTGATTTTGTAAAAAGGTTACCATCCTTCTGCTGCCCACGGCGCCCAACCTCAGCCTGCTGAAGGTAGCTCATCTTGAAATATATGTGCCTTCGTCCGCTCCAGTTTAAGAAGTCAAATTGCGCTGAGCTACGTCGTCGACAACTTGTCAACTTCTATATCCAACGATACACTCCTCCCGGTGCTTCATCAACAATGATGACTTTGGCGCCGAGGCCGGCTTCGAGCTGGCCTACCGATAGTGATGAGCAAACCCGAGCGATTGATACAGGCCTGATTAATTCATTCTTCCTCCCCTGCATGGAGCCGAATCCGATGGCATCACATCTCGCATTCATGTCTCCCCAGATGTCGGACCGATCATATCATCACGAGCCACGTCGGAAAACGCGACAACGCTTCCTCACGCTCACTTCAGCGCCGAGAGAGAGCTCTCCTGTGTTTGTAGCCGAGCCCTTACCAAAGAAAGCAGCACCCTTCCTGCGACTTCCGCCGGAAATTCGATTACAGATCTATGCGCTGCTGGTCCTCCCTAGTGATCCGAATCATCTTCGACCATCGTACGAGAAAGTCAGTGCCAGCGCATCGGACCATTCAGATCATCAGAAGTTCCGACGCAGTGCGGATTCCGATGCCCTCCCAATTGAGCCGACACTCATGCTTCGAACAATCAGCCCAGCGCGATATGCGAGGCTGTATCCCACCATTCGCCAACACACTCGCAAGTCGTACCGTGTGCGTCCCAACCAAATGCGCGCACAGACTGCAGAGACGACCTATCATTGTATCAACAACCCTCGCATCGAGGACAATCTCGCAATCATGCGAACCAATACACTTATCCACACCGAGGTCTGCGAGCTGCTCTATGGGCACTACACCTTCGACTTCGATACCCATGTCGAAGCGGTCATCCCCTTCTTGGCAGATCTGACGCCATACGCCCGGAGTTGTATTAAGAGCATCCGCATTGTGAAGCGCGCGTTGCCGGATGAGAAGGAGTTTGATAGGTGTGAGTGGTCCAATGCTATGCGCTACCTCACCACGCGGGGCAACAATATCAAGCTACGGCGACTGCAGCTCGGCATAGTCGCCGGGCGGCCGGGGTCAACAGGCTGGGACCGCATCCCGAAGTACTCGGCCAAGGACTGTGCGCTGCTGGCTCAAGGGCACGGGATGGAGTGGATGCAATATTTACTCGAGATCACCGATCTTGAGTCGCTAGACGTGCGGGCCATCGTACAAAATTGCGCGTCAGCCTCGAGCAGTGCAACAATGGCTCACTACGTACGGTTCTCTGCAAGTGTCGAGACAGGCTTCGCCGAATTTTTGCGTTCGAGGCTGTTGGCCAATCCATCGGAGTCACTGGCGTGTCGGCTATGAGTGGTTTGCTGTTTCATTTGCGATGACTGGTTCATGATCTGCATGGTTGTTTGTGTTATACTCCACTCTTCTCTCACAATAATCGGCGATATGCCTATTTTTAATAAATCTCTCTAAACGTGTATCTGACATCCATTGTGTCACATAGTATCTCTGGATGATGAACGCGGGCCACCAGTCTCAGCAAAGTCTCGAACAGTGCGAGGCGAAAGTTCTCGGAGATATCTGTTTTGTGTGCACTTGTTCTATGTAGGCAAGACTGTCAGTGTGGTTGTCCATAGCCTCGCGCAGAGTGACAGACATGAGTATGGTCGCCTGCCACGAGCCGTTGTCAAAGTCCGCTGCTCAGATGACTAGACCGCATGGGAAACCAAGAAAAGAAGCAATAACCCAATGCGGACACTAGGCTGGATGTACGCGTCTCGTTGACCTGCAAACAGCAATTTTCCAGCATTGCGATGCCGAGTTGTTGCATCTGTTCGGCACATTTGCGCAGTATCTGCCGGGGCGAACGGTAAATCGGTGCGGCTGGTCCTAGTGTGGCTGTCCCGGTCAGCGGCCCGTGCGGGAGGGTCCCTTTGCGGGCAAATGCCCCGATGAGACACAGCCAGCCACATGCAACAGTCGAAGACACCAGCCACCTTTTGTAAAACAACCACCATCTCCATGTAAAACCGTTGGTGAATACAGCCAGCCATTCCTGTTTGGAAGGCATCGTTCGTGAAGACGCCACGTATATAGTGAGCTAGACGGCACTAAGAGAATATTCCTCCCATCAAGCAACAATCACACGCTTTCAATCAAGATCCCTGGACTACATAGGGCTGAGAATTCCGAGCTCGTACCAAGCCCTAGTCGCTGCAAACGCCATTGCACACGATTGCAATCCACGATGATGTATCGACTCCCTTCAATACTGCTCGCCAGCTCGTGCCTATTACAACACGCCCACGCACTGCCACATCCGCAGAGATCACCAACAACATGGGTCGTTGTAGACGTCAATGGACCTGCAGCTGCAGACGAGCCAGGCGTCACCACAATCTACCACACCATGCTTGACACGGCTGCACAAGCGTCGCCAGCAAAGACGACCTTGGCTATCGCCATAACCATCGCCCAAGCGCGACCGGCCAGCACTGGATGGTCTCCAGATAAGCCAGACCTATCGGAGGTCTTCACTTATAGCCCCAACACTTCCCTTCGGGTCCAACCTGACGAAAACGAAACAAATACGACGCCAACCATGACCAAGACGAGCGCAACTACTGATTCGACCGAGAGCGCGACCACAGGCTCTTCGACGAGTGAAGCGACAACGGCAATGGCAGCCTCCTCTCCTGAAGCTTACGGGCCAAAGCAGACCCATGCAGAGGGACCAGAATCAATCGAAACGACGTCCATTCCCACTCCAACTGCTGAACCAAGCCCTGAGTCAACACCCGAATCGACCCCCGAATCGGCCCCCGAATCGGCCCCCGAATCGACTCCCGGATCGAATCTCGAACCGACTCCTGAATCAACCCCCGAGTCGAGTCCCGAGCCGTCTGCTGAACCAAGTCCTGATTCGACCACCCAGAATTCTACAAGCGCCAGTCTCGCCACCCATGCCTCTCATGTCAAACCGACCCAAGCGCCACCTTTCTTTGGAATTTCGATGGAGCCGCCTCACGCAGCCGGGCCTGTCTCGGCCGAACTTTTGCCAGCGATCTGGGCAGCGCCGACGTCGAGCGTGGCTAATTCAAGCGACAAAGTTGTCACGACGACTGCCTTCGCGACCAGCTACGTCACCATGCCGTGTGTCGAGGCCACCATCGTCTCTGGTGGAGAAGACGTAGCGGTGGTAGTCCCAACCGCTCCTGTGATGCCAGAAGCACCGCACTTCAAAACAGGGTCGCACGCAGGCCCGCATCTTTCCGCCATGCCTCATCACCCAATGACGACATCATACAAGCCGCTCACAGCAACTTACACTGCTATGTGGCCTGCGTTGACACCAAAACCGACGACAGCGGCAGCAGCAGCAGCGACGACAACAAGCGATCTTTGGCCTGTCACCAGCGCGTGGAAGACACTTTTAAAGGGAAGCGCGACTCAGAGGACCAATGAACCGAGCGCCACCGCGGCAGCGCCTGCTGGAGGGCCTGCTTGGTGGGCGGCATTACAGTCGGAGGCAGCAGTCGCATTCGCCGAGGCCAATCCCAAAGAGATCATGAGGCGAACATTGCCACGGAGTATATTTGGAGTGATCTGTGGTGAATCGGCACATGCGAACTCTGCAGAGCCTGCTACCTAAAGGCATGCATCGCAACTGTTCTTTTTGGAGTTGGCATGGATAGTTTTCAGGGCGTTGGTCACGACCACTCTGCTAGTGCAGCATACAAGAGGGTCTTTGGGGTGCTCGGTTGAGACTAATTTGTTCTATAATTCATGATTGACGATGTATGACTTTAATTCCACCTTCAGTAATCAATTTCCACAGATCATTGTGATCCATTGCGTGAAGTCCTCCTGTGTCACCTCTCGGCGCTCCGTAGCTCACACGTGGGATGGCTGGCCTGAGGTTCTAGAAACGACGTCAAGCTCCAGGGCTATCCACGCGCGATGCATGCGGCATGCTCAAGTCTACCAGGGCATTGAGTGACGAGGCTTCCCTTCTCGTCTCAGAACGATCAACCATGCAAACGACGATAACACATACTCACGCGATCTGACAAGTCGCCTTCATATCTTGGTAAACTATCCCGCAGATTGCGACGACCCTCAAGCTGGACGACCAGATGGCGTCGCCTCCGCCGGTGGAGGACCAGGCGAGGCTGCTGGAGGATGCTCTGGCTGTAGTCAAACAGCAGACTGTCCTCATGCGCCGATGCCTGGAGACGCCCGGAAAACTTATGGACGCTCTCAAATGCAGGTATGAATATCGTGACTCTGAGGATCGCACATGTCTTGCGACAGCAACTCAAGTATGCACATCGAGCTGACCGAGCTCCAGCTCTACACTCGTGTCAGAACTACGGACGAGCAGTCTAGGACCTAAGCAGTATTACGAGCTCTACATGTCGGTCTTCGATGCGCTGCGCCATCTCTCCGTCTACCTTCGCGACTCACATCCCACCAATCACCTCGCCGACCTATACGAGCTAGTGCAATATGCAGGCAACATAGTGCCACGATTGTACTTGATGATCACAGTTGGAACGGTATACATGGGAATTGAAGAAGCGCCTGTCAAGGAGATTATGAAGGACATGATGGAGATGAGTCGTGGTGTGCAGCATCCGGTTCGCGGCCTCTTCCTGCGATACTACCTCAGCGGACAGGCGCGGGATTGCCTTCCGACAGGATCTGGAGATGGGCCAGAAGGGAATCTGCAAGACAGCATAAGCTTCATCCTCACCAATTTCGTGGAGATGAACAAGTTGTGGGTACGGTTACAACATCAGGGACACTCGAGAGAACGGGAGCAGCGCACGAAGGAGCGACAAGAGCTCCAGCTATTAGTCGGTAGCAATCTGGTCCGTCTGAGCCAGCTGGTCGATCTGGAGAGCTACCAGAACGTCATACTGCAGCCCCTATTGGAACAAGTCGTGCAGTGCCGAGACGTACTCGCGCAAGAATATCTCCTCGAAGTCATCACCCAAGTTTTCCCCGACGAGTTTCACCTGCATACACTGGATCAGCTGCTTGCCGCGACCGCAAGATTGCACCAGAACGTCAACACTAAGGCCATCGTCATCGGTCTTATGGATCGACTATCTGCATTCGCATCCCGCGAAGCGGAGACGAAGTCGCCCGAGGAACGCAAAGAAGAAGAGGAGAAATCTGTTGTTGCGCTTCTTGAGAAACTCAAATTGTCGCGAGAGGCGGCAGAGAAGGCCGTGGCTGAAGGTGCAGAGGAAGCGCAAGCTGTGAACGGCGAAGAAGGAAAAGATGCGGACGAAGGCGCCACCAGCGCAGCTGAGACCGCGACAGATTCGGGTGAAGCAGTATCAGCACCAGAGACGAACGGTGACACGGAAAAGACAAAGGGTATCCCTGGTAATGTGAAGCTGTTCGAAGTGTTCTACGAGCAGGTTGTGCACTTGGTGAGCATGCAAAGGCTGCCTATCCAGGACATCACAGCATTACTTGTCTCGCTTGTGAATCTCGCGCTCAACATCTACCCGGAACGTCTTGACTATGTTGATCAGGTGCTGCACTACGCCTCGAAGGAAGTGGCGCGATTTAACAATTCTACAGATTTGCATTCCGTGCAATGTCAAGCGAACATGCTGGCGCTGCTCCTCGGCCCAGTCAAGGCATACTGTTCCCTCTTCACCGCGCTCGCACTTCCAAGCTTTGTTCCACTCTACCAACAACAACCGTATCCTACCCGGAGAGCAGTGGCCGGCGAGGTGGCTCGAAGTCTGCTTCGTAACGAGACCAAGATCACAACATCAGAGCATTTCGATGGCGTCCTACAGATACTGTCGGTTCTGATCAAAGAAGGCATGCAATCCGGATCCGGCTATCCAGGAGGTGCTGTTCGCCGAGGCGCCGCCGAGACTGAAGAGACGATCGAAGAACAGGGGTGGCTCGCACGTATAGTACACCTCATCAAAGGCTCCGACAATGTGGCGCAGTTTCAGCTCCTACAGAAAGTCCGCTCTGCGCTTGCAGAGGGAGGTGAAAGGATCAAGTACACAACACCAGCCATCATCACACAATCGCTCAAGTTGGCGCGGAATTTCAAGCGAAGGGAGCATCTATCGAATGACGACTTTGCGGTACAATCAGGTGCCTTGTACAAGTTCATGCATTCGTCTCTGTTAGCGCTCTATTCGAAAGTCACAAGCAACGGCGTGCCGGATCTCGTACTTCGCCTGTTCGTCTCTTGCGGCCAGGTTGCCTGTCAGTGTGACAATGAGGACGTGGCCTACGAATCCTTTGCTCAGGCTTTCACCGTCTACGAAGAGTCCATCTCGGATTCGCGGTTGCAGTTCCAGGCCATTTGTATCATCGCGGGAGCACTCTCGGGTTGCTCAGAAAAGTTCAGTCGCGAGAGCTACGATACACTCATCACAAAGGCTGCGCTACACGGCAGCAAGTTGCTCAAGAAGCCGGATCAGTGCCGTGCTGTCTACCTCGCGAGCCATCTGTGGTGGGTGGTTGAAAAGGTTGAAAGGCAAGAGGGCGCCAAGGAGGTTAGTTACTTCATTTATTACCCTACTGTCATCCAAAGGATCAAGTTACAGAATGCTGACTGTTCCCTTCGACTAGGCTTATCGCGACGGCAAACGTGTGTTGGAATGTCTCCAACGTGCGCTCCGAGTCGCAGATGCCTGTATGGACACCGCTGTATCTGTGGAGCTCTTCGTCGAGATTCTGAACCGATACGTGTATTACTTCGACCAGGAGAACGATGCCGTCACGACGAAATACCTCAATGGCCTGATCGAACTCATCCACTCCAATCTCAACACCAGCGAGAATGTGAGCGCCTTGGAGAGTCCTCGAAAGCATTTCCAGCGTACGCTGGAATACATCTCGAGCCGGGATTACGAGGGTGTGGAAACGAAGATCAAGTCGTGAGCAAGATTGTCGTGGGGATCGAAAGACGAAAAGCGTGTCAAGCATGGGATCTGCCATGTTCGCATTGTACCAGATCGTATGTAGCATTGCAGAGCCAGACGGTAGATAGACGATCACTCACACAGTGTGTATATCACGTGGGCATTGACGAAGTCACGACACTGGTCTATTTGACGACGTTCAAACACATTCCTCCTCTGCGAACCGATTACCCGACTGCCCAGGGGGATAACCTCGTCGTTCTGGTCTTGAAATCCAACTTTGGTGATGATTGTGGCGTGACCAGCTTTGCCATGATCGCATCACTGCCAGGATCATTCCTGGAAAGTCGTCTGATGATTGTAAATACTGTACTGTATCATCATCGCAGCGCGTGCATGCGTGGGGCAATGACGGTCAAAGGGCAGAAGGAACGATGACGTAGCCGCCTGGATAGTGTCGCATGCTCACTTGCACTTCTCCCGAACTCCCACTTGCGAGATCGTTCGACTTTTGGCGGGATCGTCACCCCACACCGAACTGTAGTTCAACTGTGCATGCCCAGGTGGTTATACAGTTATTGCATGCAGTATATTGTCCCAGCAATCGATAGGTAATCGTGGGATACATACATGTTGAAGTACGCAGAGAGAGCATTGTCCACAATCTCGGGCGTGACCCTCTTCGGGCGAGGAGTAAGGATCATCAGAATAATTGCCAGTGCCATCGGTCGCTAGACGGTCTTGTACAAGCCTGCCTGTTTCTGGGTGTAGAGAGATTCGTCAACAAACCAAAGTGGCACGCTTGTATTCCTCTCTCAGGTGCCACACCACATTCTTCTCTCTCGACCCTGTTTCTCCCTGTCTACGCCTCCATCTATTATATTACATCGGACGTGCATGTTCCCTTCGTCTTCCTACAATATCTCCTTCCATTCACCTCACGTGCCACCCAAAACCTTTTGGCATTGTACATTGTGATCGAAAACTTGAAAGCCGATCACTCCGAAGCCGATCACTGCCAACACTAACCTCGACACGCGTGTGAACAAATCGATCAATCATGTCTGAAGAAGGAGCAGCAGTGCCCTCATCCTCTAAGGGATCATGGACCGGGTTCCTCAAGCAGCTCGCTTCATTCAATGGAGACTTGTCCACAATGACTGCGCCTGCGTTTATCCTGTCCACCACTTCGCTCACCGAGTTCTCTGCCTACTGGGCGGAGATGCCACGCCTCCTAGTCGCCCCGGCCGCTGAGAAAGACCCTCAGAAGCGTGCACTCCTGGTCACCAAATGGTTCCTCAGCACACTCAAACAACAGTACGCAAGCCGGAATGAAAAGCTTGGTAGTGAAAAGAAGCCACTCAACCCATTTCTGGGCGAGTTGTTCCTGGGAAAGTGGGAGGATACAGAAGGCGAGACACATCTCGTTAGCGAACAAGTCTCCCACCATCCACCGGTGACTGCATACAGCATCTGGAACGAGAAGCACGGCGTGCGTCTTCAGGGATACAATGCACAAAAGGCCAGCTTCCGCAGCACCATCAATGTGCGACAAGTTGGGCACGCAATTCTGCACATCGATGCCTACGACGAGGATTACCTCATTACTCTTCCGTCCTTGCACATTGAGGGTCTGATTCGTGGCTCTCCATACGTGGAATTGAACAAGAGCAGCTACATTGTTTCATCTTCAGGCTACACCACAAGAATTGATTACGCTGGAGCAGGATGGGTGTCGGGTTCCAAGAACAGTCTATCAGCCGTTGTTTTCCCACACGGCAAAGAGAAGAGCAAGTCTGACGTACTGTACACCATCGAGGGCAGCTGGAGCGACTCCTTCACCATCAAGGACGCTGGAAAACACGTAGTCGACCGCTACGATGCCAAGTCTGAGCCCAAGTCTGTTCTCAAGGTCGCTGACATTGCAAATCAAGACCCTCTCGAATCACGACGGGCGTGGAAAAAGGTTGCAGACGCAATCCTCAAAGGTGACATGAATGCAGTTGGGCACGAGAAGACGCTGTTAGAGGAGCAACAGCGGGCACTTCGCAAACAGGAAGCTGCTACCAACCAACCATGGGAGCGAACGTTTTTCACCAAGACCAACAACATCACTATCGCTGATAAACTCATTCGTGAAGTCCCGCATGGTTCCCTGGAGCAAGACCAGACGGGTGGCGTGTGGTTGTTCGACTCCGCCAAGGCGAGCAATGCTAAGCCGCCGTACAACGCGCTGAGTGAGACATTGAAGGATGGCTGGAAATGAGCGCATTGCGATTTTGCGCTGTATCAGACGAACGTCTCAAAAGCGTTCGCGGTACTTGATTACCACCATCAGTCGAAACAGATACTCAGGGCTGCATGTGTTCTTCAGTCAGGGACATGAATGCCCTATCTTGGTCCTCGACTATTCGTGGCAAACAGCATGGGAAAAGTAAAGAATGACCGGTTCCGCTCTTTGAGAGAGTAGTAGGTTTCTTTTGCGGCACGCCACTATTACACGATAACGAAAATGACGAGACGATCCCGCTCCCTAGTTGAGAGCGTTATGATACCATACTCTAGCAATGTGGCCTTAGCACATTGCAGTAAAATTCTATTGGACGAATCTCTTGAAATACGAAGTGTCTACGGCTGGTCGTTTGTAACTCTTTTCAAATGTAACAAACTACACTTTCGTATGGCGCATTAGCTCCGATAGATGAAACGTATCACTTGATCTCACTCCAGCCCTTCTCACCCCTGCCGCCGTCTACTCCTAAACTCCCTGTCGCATCCTTCCCTCCAGCATTCCCAGACTCGGTGGGAACCTCACACGCTCGTTCGAAGACCTCGACGAAACGTCTGACATCCTCAAAGGAATTATACAACGGCGCTGGCGCGACCCGAATGACATCTGGCCTCCGCTCATCCACCACCACGCCCGCCGCCTCCAACGTCGCCATGACACTCTCCAACAATCCCGGCTTGAGCAAGAGACTCAGCTGCGCCCCGCGCTGCTTCGGGTCCCTAGGCGTAATGATCGAGAACTGCGCCCCGCCCTGCTGCCTCTCAGCCAATCCGTCGAGTAGACTCTCCAAGTAGCCCGTCAGGCGGAGGCTTTTCTCGCGCAGCGCAGCGGGTGTCGTCCGCTTGAAAACGTCGAGCGAGGCGCGCACGGCGGTTGTGTCTGCGACGCTCGCGTTGCTCACCTGAAACCCCGCGGCGCCGGGAATGGGCGTGAAGATGTTGGCCATGACGAACCGGGAGGATTGCGCGGAGCCCCACCAGCCGGAGAGCCGGGGATGATATGAGAATTGAGGGTCGGAAGAGTCGGATGTGTTGGTGGTGGTGATGTGGCCATGTCGCTCGTGTACGAAACAGCCTCCGATGCTGCCGGGACCACTGTTCAGGTATTTGTACGTACACCACACTGCGAAATCGGCGTCCCAGTCGTGTAGATGCAAAGGGACATTCCCGACGGCGTGTGCAAGATCCCAGCCGATGGTGATGTTCTTGGCGCGAGCGTGTGCGGTGATGGTGGCGATGTCGAAGAATTGGCCTGTATAGTATTGGATGCCAGGAAGAAGAATCAGAGCTAGCTCGGAGCTGTGTTGGTCGATGGCCTCGAGAATTTGAGCAGTAGAAATCAACGGGACAGGAGAGGTTGCTGACACTGGGGGCTCGAGGAGAACCATGGAATCCTTCGGAGAATAGCCGTGAAATGCAATTTGTGATTCGACAGCGAAATGATCACTTGGAAAGGCCTTGCCTTCAATCAAAATCTTATTTCGCGTTGGAGTCGGACGGTAGAAGCTGCACATCATCAAATGCAGATTGGCTGTCAAGGTCTGCATGACTGCCACTTCGCTCTCCTGGGCGCCGACCACTGTGGCCATATCGGCTCGGACATCATCATCGGCGTGTAACCATGGAGGAAGATGAGTATCGGATATGGGCTTGAAATGACCAAAGACGCCCTTTTGAGCCCATACGGACAAATACTCCTCGTAATATTTTCGAGTCAAGGTTGGTTGGAGGCCCAAGGAGTTGCCGCAGAGGTAAGTGCACGGATCTGCGTTGCTTGCGGGACTCTCGTCATTATCTGAAACTATTGTGGATCTGGCGAGGTCGGCTTTGCTCGGGATGAGGAAGAGATCACGAAATTGCCTGAGCGGGTCGGCATCGTCTTGAGTCTGAGCATATGCTACGGAAGCAAGATCTGCCTCGACCATGTTTGCAAACAGACCCTAGCGAGTCGTTCCAGGTCTGCGAGAACGACATGCAACAAGATCTGTGCGAGTTATGGTTCGGCGTGGTGGTATGCACCGATATGCAGGTCCGCATACAAGCACCCGGAAGCTATCAAGGTGGGGAGAATTCGGGAATGACATCGTCGACGAGTTCATCAACCCAGCCCATTTCTTGCTGTGACGCATGTACGGCGACGTGACAGTGTTGCGTCATACACGCAGTTGTCGTATGTGGCTCCCACTCTTGCAGTGCATGTCGCCGCGTTTGTTGGGAAGGTCAGTGCAGCGAACAATGACAAAGCTCGACGGGCAATTGTCTGCCTTGACCGCCAGCCAGCCAGCCAGCCAGCCAGCCCAGGCACGGCAGGATGTGGGTAAGGTGGTGAGGTGATGGTGGTGGTGATCACCCGGGCGCACGATCCACACCGAGATACTTGTGCTGTACGTGCTCAGCATACCAAAGCATACACAGCTTCAGGTACAATCTGCGTACCCTACCCCGGGTGTTCTCCGATAAGCGATAAGACGAAGCTGGCCTAGTCAGCAGTCCAGCATTAGGCAAGCACGCGCCCAGCGTCACAGCTCACATACGGACAACCTGGTCCCATACTGTGTACATGTACAGTACATCCTGTTGCTCATCACATTCGACGACATCCGATACATGAGCGGTCTGTCGAGAGAATGCACAATCGCTTTGTTTGAGATTTATCCGATCATGCTCACAGCTCCTGTGACATCTCCTAGGTCACCTCACCTTTTCATGTCCTCGACATATCCAAGGCATTCCTCGTCCTTACCTAGCCATCCACTTCTGTTCTGCGCCAGCAACTCCAGCTCCCCACCGCTGCTTGCTGGCGCATGGTGATGTCGATATTAGTATACATTGGACATACCGGTCAGCGACTCGTCCTCGATCCGCGCGACACGAGTACCGTCGATGCCCTGCGAACATGCATCTCTACCCACGCCGGCATCCAGCCGCGTAACCAGATCCTCCTAACCCTCCACGGTAAACAAGTTCGACCTCAGACTCTCCTTGTCGAGACCGAACTATTCGTCTTCGACTCTGCTCAGTTCAGCGGAACCAATGCCGGAGATTCGGCGGCGGCGGCGGCGCTCGATGACGATTACGACCCTGGTTCACCACCGGACACTCTGACAAACCAAAACGACCTTGCGGCGTGGCAGAACTTGTTCAAGGAGCGGAGGCAGTATGCTGATGCTTTGCTCGAGGGTTGTACCGCGCGCGCGGCGTTGGCGCAGGATGCTCGAGACGAGCAGGTCGTCATCGAGCGAAGTTTGGCAGTTGCGGTGGCTAGCTTGCAGCATCACATCAAGAGCGCGGAGAAACAGTTTGCCTCGACGGAAACATGGGCGAACGACGTATTGAAGGAGCAACAGACTCATACCGATACGTGGGAGGACAATCTCGCCAGACTGCGTAATGTTGCTGCTAGGCCTGACTTTGCGCGGTTCTTACTGCCGAAGAACGGGTCTCCATCGAATAGGCGACTATCTCAACAGCCAAGCTTGGACACTTTGCAGGCGTTCATTGATGTCGGAGTGGTGCAACGCGCCGCCACAACGGCTAGAGCGAATGCGACAGCGCTGAGCGAGAGAATTGACATGCTTCGCGAGAATCTCAGGACTGCCGATCGCGAAAGTATGGACCTTCGTCAAGCTGCTGATCAACTCAAAAATCGCAACATCGACGACCATGCTGTAGAACCCGATCAATTGATAGAAGAAATAGGTATGGTGGTCCGCAAGATGGCTTCTGATCTCGAGCACGTTCGAGCACTTCCAAAGACGACTCAGTCAGTATCACAAGCGTCGAAGATGGCTCTATTACATACAAGACAGTACTTGACAAGCCTCAATGACTATCGAATGGAGATAAACGAACTCGTGCACCAACGACAACAGGAGAGAGCAGACGCAGCTATGAAGGCACGAAAGCACATGCAAACGTTGTCGAGTATTGAATCGCAATTGGCAAAGCTGTATCAGGATATGAAAGCTATCAGCGTTCCCGAAGATCAACAAGCGGCCTTCAAATCTCTCAGTATACTGTCTCGATTGCCTTCCGTCTACGGTCATCTTCTTGTGGAATCGGTACGGCGTCGGGAATGGGTGACGAAAATGAAGCACGACACGTCAGCGCTGCAGGAAGAAGTGGCTACGTATCAAGAAGAAGAGGAGAAAAGACGAAAGAAGTGGTCTCGCATTGTTGACGATGTTGTCAATGCGGACGCATTACAGGATCGCGTCCTGGGCATTGAGCTAAGTCTTCAAAACGAAGATGAAAGCTGGCCAGACGTCGCACGACAAGAGCTCCAGGATCACCTCAAGAATGTTTCAGATGTCTACGGCCCGGGACAAATCGTGAGCGATGTCGAACAGGCCATCAAGGATCTTGACAAGCCAACGCGACAACAGGTTAAGCATGCCAAGGCATTCAAGCAGGGCAGCGTACACGAGGCTACCTTTGGCAACACTTCACTACTGCTACGCGGAGACGAACAGCATCGGGCTCTGCGAGATGCAAACCTTCTGTTGGAGCAAGAGGTTAAGGCGCACAAAAGCCGCGTCGTCAAGCTGGAAAGTCTCCTCTATCGAGCAAACCAGGCATCACGGACAAGTACTGGTGAAGTCTTCACCCCTCTCACGGAAGGATCCATATCTGGTCGAAGTCCGATAGGACAAACCTCAGAAGATTTCTCGAGGAATTCTTCTCTGAAGCCCCGAAGACAGTCTTTTGCCCAAGGGATCGAAGAGAAAAAGCTCGTCAAACGAGTTGTTGACCTTGAGGCTGAGCTCCAGTCGTTCAAGGACGACGCCCATACCAGAAAGGCTTCAGATGCGGAGACCCAGAAACAAGTCGAGGATGCACTTTCCATGAAGCGAGATTTGATGGAAAACATGGAGGCCCAGCAACGCGAGTTCGCCAATGAGCGGCGTGGGCTCGAGAAAGAACTTGCCGAAGCGAAGGATCGTGCCGAAGAACTTGAGAATGAAATGGAGCGAATGGCTGGCTCGCGTGACGGATTTGATTACGAGATTGCCAGACTGAAGGATGACGCCGCGGGTCATGCGGCGAGAGCTGCCACCGAATTCGATGCCCGTCGAAGCTTGGAGCTTAAGTTGTCCCGCGCGGAAACTGCGCACAAGCAAGTTGAGCAAGAAGCTCAAGCTCTGCTGCAGGAACAGGCTCGGCAACAAGCGACCAATGCCGAGAATCGGACTCTGCTGGCTACGGCATGGGCTCATCTTGCACCGGGAAGTGATGCACCAGCTGACATCGCAGAAATGGCCGCAGCACTTGAAGATCTTGCGAGACGATCAGCTGCCCACGCCAAAGATCTTGAAGAGGCCGTTTCCTTCGCCAAAGCGGAAAACCAGTCATTGTGGGCCAGCAACGAGCGCCAAAAGACAGAGCTGTCGGCTGGCGCACAAAAGCAAGGCGAGACGGAAGCGTTGGTTCGTGTTGCCGAAGATCGGGCCTCGGCGGAGGAAGCGAGGGCCGGAGCTTTGGAAGAGCAGCTACGTGCTGAGCAAGAACAATTGCGGATATCGCGAAGCCGGTTCGCGGAAGGCGAAACGGGATCTGAAGCTCTGCGCCAGCGTGTGGCGGAAGAAGAGGCAAGAGCCAATTCGTTGTCGGTTGAGCTCGCTGAGGCGCGATCGCATCACACAAGTCTCGATGCAGAGCTCACTCGGCTGAGAAGCCAAGTGTCAAGCCTTCAAACTGTCGCTGATACGTCGACGGAACTATTAGATGGTCGGCGCGAGCGTGCCAAGGAGGTTTCACAGCGATTATTCTCCCAGAACGCCCGCTTGGTCAGGCTCTTGGATCGCCTTGGTTTGGTCATATCTTATCAGGATGATGCGATGGTCATAGAACGCGCATCCAAGATGGGCGCCAGCACAGCCAACATGCTTGATGCCAGTGGTTTACAACTGGCGAGGGTGACGTCAATTGCTTCACCTCCCGGAACGAGGAAGCCATCCACCACGGAACCCGAGGCCATGTCCGAGCTCCGTCTAATCCAATGGATGAATGCTACGACTGTTGATGATGAAAACGCGCAATTCGAAGCATTCCTGAAGCACATTGCAAAATTTGACCTCGATGTTTTCTCCGATGCTATCACAAAGCGAGTCAAGGACTTCGAATACACAGCCAAGAAGTACAACAAGGAGGCGAAGGAGAGTACGAAGCGAGCGGAGGCATACAAAGAACGAGCCCTGAAATTGCGACACGAGGCTCACACCAAGATCGCAGTGCGAGATTTCAAGGAGGGCGATCTCGCTCTGTTTTTGCCCACACGCGGCGGCCAAGTGAAGGGTGCCTGGGCCGCTTTCAATATCGGCTGTCCGCACTTTTTCCTCGCAGAACGCGATGGTATGCGCCTCGGAACTCGCGATTTCATCGTCGCACGTATACAGAAGGTCGAGCAGAAGATTGTTGACCTGGGCAGAACCGGCTCGTCTGCCGTATCTACGCCGGCCGTGGAATTTGGCAGTGAAGGACCTAGCTCGATGCTCGTGGAGGACGACAACCCATTTGACCTCTCCGATGGCCTGACCTGGTGGATGGTGCATGCCGTCGAGGAACGTGGCGCAGGTGCTGCACCGACGACACCAGGTCTAGGGAAGAGCACTGTCGCTGTCAGCGGGCTGGACGCTAAGGGTAGCATCCGCATCAAGCGCAGTCCCAAGAGCGATGATGCTAGCAAGCATCTCAACAAGAGCCTGGAAAGTCGACGCAGTAGCTCAGCGAGCAAGAAGAGCGCACAGGCAATGCCGCCGCCTTCCTCGCCCAAGGCTGCGCCGACTATTGCAGTTGCTACCGACAGCGGTGTGGTCGGCTTCCGACAACAGCGTCCAGAAAGTCAGCATTCCTCCTCGTTGCCGAGACAAGGTGGGTTCTCATCCTCGCCGCTTGGACTGGGAGTTGTGAACAACACCGAAGGCGAAGGTTTCCCACCGCACCCTCAACAAATCGCGTCCACTTCACAGCACCATCCCTTGCTGCAAAATTCACAATCGCAGCATCATCCACAACATCATTACCAGCAGACCCTACAATTAGGGAACACGCTTGTACCACATCGCGCAGAGTCGCAGTCGGTGCCGCCGCAAGCCCATTTGCAGGTAAGTCAGAAGTCCAGAGCGCCTGACTCGCAACCAAGCAAACGCAGCATCTAACGTGGGATTTCCCGATAGCAGTCGCAACAGGCCCACTACTATGGCGCCCAACATCGTGACAGCAGCGATACCTTAAATCCGACTCAACCTTCCCAGCTCCCCCCTCCACTTCCCCCCAAAGTCATGGAAACGCTCCCCTTCGCCCCTCGACAAACTTCCTCTCCTTCACCCAATCCCACCCAACAACAGCAATCCGAACTGCATCCCCAGCGCTCCCTTTCGCCGCTGAAGGATATGCTGCAGCGTCAATACCACCAGCAGGGCCAGACTGCGGCGTCCAATCCCCATGGCGGCTCGTCCTCCTCCTCTGCGGGTCCGATGGTAGCCCAGGCGAAACCGGGATGGGAGTCGTTGTGGTCAACGGGCTTCTCCGTTGAATCCAGCCCTGAGAAGAAGAATGGTGGTCCGGGGCCCGGGACTGGCAGGTAGTCGGTCGATACGTGGCTGATGCGACCAGCTGAAGTGTCACGAGCATCGGCGTGTCGCCCGCGATCAGTGTACTGTACGTGTTGGGACATGATGTGATATTGGTCGGTCATCTGGCCGTAATGTCGACCCCTTCTGACAAACAGATTGGGTTCTTACAGGGCCTGTACGATGGGGTAGTGGTAGAATCTGGTCTTCACGAAGACGCGATCATGGACAATTTTGGAGCGATGCATCCGGTTACGAGGATCACCAAACCTGCGAGTATGGTGTATTATTGCTCAAATCGTACTTTCTGTTTATTATTCATTGTCATTTTAGGTGATCATGTCAACCTTTGGTATATATAATCCTGTCACTGATAACCCTATCCTTCTTCACCAAGACGACATCAAGTCTTGACGTCTGGCTCAACGCGTCCAATGTACTCCTGTAGCTTCAGAAGCTCCACAGAGAGCTTGACGTTATCCTTGAGGTACTCTTGCGCATCGAGGCCGTACGTCTCTGGGTTGCTGTCGTGCTTCTCGATGTACAGACGGATGGTGGCGCCGGAAGAGCCAGTGCCAGAAAGACGGACGACAATGCGGCTGCCGTCGTCGAACTTGACGAAGATACCCTGGTTGGCGCTCACGCTGCCATCGAGATCGGTGTAGCTGAAGTCATCGGCCTCGACGACCTTGCGGCCCGCAATCGAAGAGCCAATGAAGCTGTCCTTCTCGGTGGTGATGAGGTTTTTGACGTGGGCGACGACCTTGTTGGCGCCAGCCGTCTCGACACCCTCGTAGTCGTAGCGAGTGAAGAAAGTGCGACCGTAGATGTTCCAGAAGTCGTGCTGGATGCTCTTGATGGATGGAGTCGTGCCCTTTTCTTGACCAACACCAGCAATGATGTTCAGCCAGGCGACAACCGCCCAGAGACCATCCTTCTCACGGATGTGGTTGGATCCGGTACCGAATGACTCCTCGCCGCAGATGTTCATCTTGTTGGAGTCGAAGAGACCGCAGAAGAATTTCCATCCTGTGGGCACCTCGTATGAAGAAAGTCCCTTCTTTTTCGCGACCAGGTCGACCGCTCCAGAGGTAGGCATGGATCGAGCAAGTCCGTACACGCCCTGCTTCTTGAAGTATGGGATGAGCTCGGCGTGATGGGCAATGATAGCGAGAGAGTCACCAGGGGAGACGAAGGAGTTGGCACCGTAGATCATGTTGCGGTCGCCGTCACCGTCCGAGGCGGCACCGAAGTGGATGCCTTCTCGGTCGACGACCTCTACGAGAGAGTGTGCGTAGACGAGGTTTGGGTCTGGGTGGTGTCCGCCAAAGTCTGGCTTGGGTACGCAGTTTTGTGTGCTGTTGGGAATTCCGAGCTCTTTCTCAAAGATGTCTTTACCGTAGTTGCCAGTAACACCGCTCAAGCCATCGAAGAGGACCTTGAAATCCTTGTGCTCTTGCAAGAACTTCTTGATCAGGTCGAAGTCGAAGATGTCCTTGAGCATGGCCAGGTAGTCTGTGGTGCTGTGGATAATTTCGACCTCGAGTGGACCATATGTCTTGGTGCCGATCGTGGAGAGGTCGATGTCGGGGATGTCGGCGATCTTGTATGATGTCAAAGTCTTTGATGTCTCGTAGATCTTGTTGGTGACGCTCTCCGGTGCAGGGGCACCATTGGCCAAGTTGTACTTGATACCGAAGTCTTCAGTGGGTCCGCCTGGGTTATGCGAGGCAGTGAGCAGGATGCCACCAGTAGCCTTCTTGATGCGAATCAAGTGGCTTGCAGCTGGAGTAGAGAGGATGCCATCTTGGCCGATGAGCAGCTTCTTTACACCATACGCAGCACCGATTTTGGCGATGTGCTGGGTAACTTCCGGGTTCCAGTAACGGCCGTCACCGCCAATGACAAGATATGAGCCCTCAACGCCTTCGGGAATGGAGAGGAGGATGGAGGCAATGAAGTTCTCAGAGTAGTGCTCTTGTTGGAAGACCTTGACCTTCTTGCGGAGACCAGAACTGATAGACGACTTGTCAGTCCAAGTGTGACAACATTGGAAGTACCGAAGTGGAGCTCGACGAGATCTTTCTCGTAGCGATATGTGTTTACTTACGTGCCGGGCTTCTGGTCTTGGAATGGCTTGACCTCGACAGTGCGAACACTCATGTTGAAGGACGATGCTGGGTGGAGATGGTTGATTAGAGTCCGGAGACGAGAGGTGAAGATTGGGGAAATGATGAGGGGTGCTTATATTCGCCTCGAAAGACGGTGAAGGAGGGAACAGCGCATGAGCAACAATGTTTCCAAGGTATATTTCATCGAACGTTGAGGGAGCTGGAGGGACCCTGCTTGATTGGGACGATGCATGAGATGGACACGCCCGGGGGCAACACTTATTGCAGCACAGCACACATTAGAGGAGAGCCGACGAGCTCTTTCCTCCACATGGCATCTTCGCCCATGCCCTTCGTGCAATTACTACTGTGCTTTACTGCACTCACGCAACGTAAATGGCCCATCCATCGGCGTAGCTCGGGCTTCAACTGCGTGACGATCCCAAATCTTCCCTGCCCGGTCATGCCAACGAGACCCTGATAGCATGCCTGAGTGGAAGAGCAGTACACACAAATTGTACATAGGTATGTTCGCAGGACAACAGACCAGCTGCTGTACGGTACACCAAGCTGCTGAGGTGGCGATTGAAAAGTGACGAGCTCCGATCGTTGTACCATACTGCCGGTGGGCATGTATCAGAGTATTTTCGCCGCATTGCCATTGCATTGCGTCACTGGGAACCCCGAGCTCATGGTGATCCTTCAATGCTGTCAACACCTCGTTGAAGGTTTCGAGGGCTGTTCGAGCCAGATATTGCCGATCATGGCTGCAGCATACCTGACAAGGAGGAGACATTGGGCCTCCGCTGAGTGGCTTTACAGCTCGTGGGATTATCATTTTATCGTCGACGTCTCGCCCAGGGAGACCGCATTGCACATATCGCTACCTACCTATGTAGGTAGGTGGGTAGGCTTTGAAGCTCTCACCACGAGGAGCGCGCGCGATTGATCTCTACGGCGCCGTCCGGATTTGTTCCAGACTTTCGCATTCTTATCAATTGGTCTATCCTACACATCTTGTATCATTGTCTCCTCCCATCGTCAATCCAACTGTCCGAGTAATCCTACAGAATCGTCGTCGCCAGAGGCAAGGCGGGGTGATATAGACAATGCTGTCTGTTGGATTTCTACCCCGCCATCGTGTCCCGCCGGATAATTTGGGACAAATGGACGGCCCGATGACAACCCCATCCAGCATGCGTCCTGCACGCTCTTTCGGCGAAGGCAGGCGGTGACGGTATCGTTCCCTCCTGTGTCTGACAGCCACGGCGAAAGTTTCACGACAAAAAAATGTTTAGAGCCGTCGCCGGGCGAGATGTTAGCTCAAGTCCCTGCAGCTGGTGAATTGGTCGAGGTCCCCTGGTCCACGACTTTCCGACCCATTTCCTCACCGATCGTTGCAATGACGTTGCACGTGGCATATCCTTTGGAAGTTCTTCGCCTCCGAATAGTTTTGCCCGAACACCTAGGTAACTTGTACATTTGGGTCCTGACTGAGCCAAACAGCCATACCAGCTGCGCTGTTTCGCCTTTGCACTCCGTACAAAAGTCGCATTTTGAGATAAATGACGACACTTTCCCCTTGAAATCATGCTGATATGTCGAAACTCGTCCCGCAACCGCAGCTGCTCTTCGCACCAGGAATGCCCGTCACTTTGAATTGGCTACCGATCAATTCCATTGTGTAATCCACACTGCTTCCCTTCAACAGTTCCAGACTCGGCTCGTCCATGATCACCTTGGCTTTGTACTCTGCAATCTCCTCGCCCTCTGTGTTCTTGCCAACCACATCTTCGTTCTCGAAAATTGAATCTTCCTCCACATCCGCATCTTTCGCATTTGTCAAGCTCATGAGATATTGAAAGCCGTGGCACCCGCCACTCTCGACTGTCACGCGAAGCGCAAGATCAGGATTCTTATCGGTGGCGGCGATTTTCTGCAATCGATGCGCGGCTCGCGGGGTAATAGTGATGGTCAGAACATTGCCGTCCTCGCCCTTCCGTGGATTCAGAATGACCTTGGCAGGCGCGCGATGAGGCCGTGAAGTTGTGAATTGTCGCCGCGAGGCAGTCTGTAGAACATGTTGTGACCGCTTGGGAGATACCGATGGCACTGAATGCGCCGAATTTGACCGGAGCTGGTGAATTCGTCGTGCTGTTTGTAGCCATGCAGGCGCCAGGAAATCAAGGCAAAGTGGCGACGGGGCCGAGGATGTGTGGAATGACCTCTGAAGTGCGCGGGAAGATCGAGTTGTACCAGAGCGTAGCGCAGAACATGACGCTTGGATTGTCGAAATCTTCATGATGTGCAATTTCGTAGGCGATGTATACGAAATAGATGTAAAGCAGTAATGATGGAATATTTGTGTTTGCAGATATGCGTATGCTACAAAAGACCTGAAGTTGTTTCAATTAATCGGGGATGATTGCCGTCATAACGCTTGCGCATCCACGGACATGAATCCGATTAGTGATCATCCAAAATACGGAAGACCCGGGTTTTTCATCTGCGGGATATAGGTTCCCGTTGATGAGATCGCTCTTCGGCTGGTGAGGTCACGGACTCACGCGCGTCCGTCTTCAATCGCGGCCTGCGTAATGTTCGTCGACTCACATCACTTTCCTTTGTGACAACAGAACCTATACACTTCATCAAGCCTTGCAGGAGATTTTCCGTATCTGCGGACGGCGCAAACGGAGTCCGGACTCTTGGATTGTTGTGACGATAACAGCTCTGTCGGGCTCATCATCGACACAACCTACGGTTACAAGCGAGCAACCCCGACATGAGCGCACCGCCTGCCGCGAAAGCAGGCACACCTGGGGTGCCAAATGGATCCGTACCGCCTAGTACTGCTGCTCCTGTGCGAAGGAAACCTGCCGTGAACATTTTCCAGAAGAAGAAGGCGCCTGTGAGAAAACCCGGCGCCCCAGTCCGACCGTTGCAGCCTATTCAGCGACCTACACCTTCGCTTGCCCCCGAGACCGCTGCCGCGACACCTGAGGGACCCTTTGCCGATTACCCGATATTTGTCCGTAAGAAGGAGCTTGACCTACGATACCACGTCATGAAATTCCAGGGCCAGAACACGGTCAATCCTTACGACGAATCACAATTCTCGCGGCCCTTGCGACTCTTTCGAAGAGCAGTCGGGGACAAAGTTGACGTTCCTCCACCCGTCAACGCTCAAGATGCTGCCAATGAGGCAGAGCGAGAGCTTATGGACAGTCGTCGAGCAGAGAGACAGGCGGAGCGCGAGGAGAATCAAAAGCTTATCGCGCCCAACCCGACGGAAGCAGTGAAACCTGTAAAAAAGAAGCAAAAGAAGTTCGTGAGCTACGACAATGACAATTTCCCGGAGCGACAGAGGAGGCAGCAGCTGCGTTACGAGGAGGCGCGACCATGGCATCTGGAGGACTACGATCGGAAGAACATTTGGGTCGGCAATTACGAAGGTCCGCTTTCGAACCAGTATGCATTGTTCATCGTCGATGAAGGAGGATTCCGTATGATCCCGGCCGAGAAATACTACAAATTCTCGCAGACAGGCAAATTTACCCCAATGGACGCCGACGAGGCTGCGAAACACATGAATCAAAAGTTCAATATGCCGCGATGGGCGAAGGGCAGTAAATTGGAGGCCGAGGCTATGCGCGCACAGGATCTGCAGATGAAGCGGGCAATGCGAGAGGCCAAGCTGAAGTCCGAGCGGGAAGACGATGGCATTATTGGCGGCATGAATGACAATGATCATGCGGAATATCAAGCTGACAAGGACGGCCTTGACTTGGAATACGATGATATGAACGACTTTCAGGACGACGACGAGGGCAAACTCTTCCAGGATGGAGAGGACGAGGACGCCAAAGAAATTGAGTCAAGGATCCGAGAAGAAATGCGTCAGGCTGGTTTGGGAGGCACAGGAGTGAAGAATGAGGAACTAGATCCCGAGGAAGAATATCGACGACAGCAGATCGCGGAACAAGAGGAGCGAAAGCGGACCAAGCGAATTCGAAAACAACTTGGACGGCGCGAAAAGAAGAATGAGTACCTCTCCGACTCGGAGGATCCGTATGATGACGATAGCGACGACGAGATTTCCGAAGAGGAAGGAGAGGAGGAAAAGAAGAAGCGTGAGGAGGAGGAAGCTGCAGTGAAGACGGCGTCAGCCAATGGGGAGAAATCCGGGTCACAGTCCAGAGGGAATAACACCCCGACCGGCCGTTCAGAAAAGAAAGATCCCACTCGTCTGTCCACGAAGCGACCAGGATCTCCCGATCTCTCCGACATGTCCGGCAACGAGTCCAGCCGAAAGAAAGCCAAAGGTCTCAACGGCCGCCCGGCTCAGGGCAAGAAGGCCTTCCGCGTGGGCTTCGCCGACGCCGGCTCGGGTGACGACAGCGACGCCTCCCGTGCCAGCGGTAGCCGGCCCAAGATCAAGCTCAAGGGCGCTAGCCCCGTCGGCACTCCGGATCGATCCCGTGCCAGCTCTCCATCTGCTGGTGGTAGCGCATCGGTGGCAGCCCCAGCGGGCAGCAGCAGCAGCAACAACACTCAAAAGGTCCTTCCGACGCTCGAGGAGCTCCGCGCGGCCATCCCACGCGAGGGAATCGAGATTAAGAAATTGCTTGCCAGGTTCAAGAGCCAGATTCCACCGGGCGCTACGCCTGAGTTCATCTTGCTTGTGAAGACGGCGGGCCAGTTGGACAAGGTGACGAAGTTGATCATTCCCAAGGCTGTGTCCTGAGTTGGCGAATTCAGCGGGCGCCACTGGGAGTGAGAGCAAGGAAAGAAATTTTATGGGGCGCTCGCTCTGATAACTTTCCGCCCTCGTCATGGGACGGTGAAAAGGTTGCTTTTGTACATTCTATGGGCGAAGGATAGGGAGGCAGAAAGGGAATTTCACGGACGCTGCTACTCTCATTGAGGCTCATCGAGGGTCGATGTCATCTCGGAATAATCAGTAGCACAGCGAAACTATTATTACCGCGCAAGCGAAACCGGATCCCCTATTCCATAGAACTCTGTCGGTTTGCGTCTGTCAATGATTCTGGTAATTCGGGTCTCTAGCCCATCTCCCCTCCGCGTAGTAATCCCAAAGCTTTCCATATCTGAGCCCCGAGAACTCCGAGATATCCCAATTGAGAGAATGCGAACAGAAACGCACATCGAGACGAGACCTTTGACGTGAAATTAGAAGTAATGAGCAAGAATTTGATTACTCGTAGAAGTATTTATTTTTGAAGAGAAAAAGAAAATGTAGCATTGAATGTAAGATCGAGAGGAAATCGGAAAATACGTCTGCGCGGCATGAAAGATTTTGCCAAGCGTATCCATCGTCACTCGCTTGACTTTGTTTTTGGTTATCCCAGATGCCGTAGCACTCTTCTTCCCGCGACCAAATATGACTGGGATTTTGCAAGATCTTGTCGCTTGAAGGACATTATAGGATGGTTTGGCCCCTATCCCTCCTGAAATTGTCAAATTCTCTCATGAATGGCGACGATTTATGACTGTTCCCCAGAGAAATAAGTAATACCGTCTCTTTCTATGAATCTACGCCGTTGCTTATCGCTTGCCGTTCAGCTCGATGTACTGCTCCGGGACCGCGGTGCCCTGCTTCTTGCGCTGGTGGGCTGACAGCTGCGGAAAGAAGATTCCTGGGTGAATGAATGACAAGCAGATCGCAGCGATGCTGATCATGACACCCTCCAAGACGATGAACTCGGTCTGGTTCATGTAGACTTCGTTGCGGTATCCTCCGGCCAATTCGGGGATACGGTAGATGCAACGGATCAGGATGGTGATGTAGGCGATGATAACGGCGGCGGCAAAGAAGTGCGTGCGGGTGGAATGGGCGATGGCGACTGCTTGCGGCGATAGAGTACCCCAGTGCTTGTTCAGGCGGAAAAGGTAGAGTCCACCCAGAAGACCGAATGTGGCCAGGGAGACGACCTGGAGGATGATACCGGCCAAGGCGATGTTGGCACCGGCCTTGAGCTGACTGATGTCGGCGTTCTTCGCGCCGAAGATGGCCGCGCCCGCAGCCTGGACCAGAAGAGAGAGGATATCCATGGAGACGAAGATCCAGGTGTAGAGGGCGGGTTTGAGGAGAGAGAACTCACGGCCGAAGGTGAGCACCACATGCTTGAGGGTGAGATAGATGGAGGCCGACAGGAAGGCGGGCGCGATGATGAGCGTGATGATCTGAGTGGTGAAGGCACCGGAGTTCCAAAGGTCGCTATGTAGCTTAACGCGACCCAGGTAGCCCAACAATTCCAGAACGCAGCCGGCGACTGTGCAGAAGCCGTATGCCCATGTCCGGTAGAAGAGACCGAGGATCAACGAGACGAGCGCGCAGACGATGAAGATGATGAGGAAGATGAAGTTGGCGACCAGACTAGGCTGGTAGGTCAAAGGGCTGTAGTAGGCGGGACATTCTGGAGTGACGCCTGTGCAGTTGGCAAAAGGGTTGGCTGTGAGGTTGGTCGACATGGCTGTCGTATGTTCTGTGCAACGAGGTCGATTCGTGTAGATATGAAGCCTTCAGTCACCTTGAACGACTCGTGTCGAAGAGAAGCAGTAAGGTGAGGCGGAGCGACGCTGATTAAGGATGATGATGCCGATGCTCTGCGACAGTCTTTCCTCGAGTGAGGAGGTGATTAATCCTTGGATTTGGCGGACCAGCAGCCAGTGCAAGATGTGTATGGGAGAAGATATGGACTTGAAGAAACGATCGTGAGTGATGCACGGTGGCAGATGACAAAAGATGAAAGGGACGGAAGGTTGTATGCATGTATTGTAGAAGTGGATGTATGTGTGATGACCGCAACAGTACCGGGAGAAGAGAGCAACGGTCGCCCAAAAGTCTCAGAGACAACCACGGGAGAGACGGACGAACTGCCTTTACGGCGTTGTTGTTAGCGGCGGGTGGTTGATGGGACACAGTAGTGAATGCAAGTGAGTGGATGGGGTCGCGGTGCGGGCAGTGTCTCCTCTCTCTCTCCCATCGACTACTACGAGACTGTACTATACAGTGCGAAGATCAACACGAGCGGCATGAAAAAGAGGAGCAAGCAGCTGGGGAGACGCGTAATGCATGCACACAGTCACATACACACGTACAGTACAACGTCGCGCGGGTCCAATATCGCCCCAGCAGCTGAAGTAGATTAGATTTCCCCTGGCGCGCACAACTTTTCCCGTGGCAGACGGCGATCCAGGTGAGGAGAACATTTGAAGGATGGCCTAATTCGGCGCCACTCACGTCGATCTTCATGCTTAAATCCCGCCCGTACCATGCCATTCCCAGCAATTCATCCATCCATCCACCCATTCATTCGTGCCATTCCACCACCCGCGTCTGTCTGCATCGCCCTCGACCTCCTTTCTATTGGTCGCTGCAGCTGCTTGTCGTGCCGCTTGCCGGGACTGTCAAAAACATTTTGGGCTTGTTTGTTGATGCGTGAAATCCATCGTCATACCGTTTGATCCATCCACGCCCTCGGTCGTCATGTACTGTATCGCTCGACGCAAACACACAACGGTCCGTCGTCGAGTGTCCACCTCTGATGATGGTATAAACATCGTGATGCCCGGACACTGCAACTAACCCACAACTCCCTGAACAGTTTCTTTCCCGCGGACAGTCAGCAATGACTAGAGCTTTTGACCTTCCCGACTCATCGAATAGAGTAATGAGATTCATTACTTACATCTCCAGGCAAGTCCCCACCAGACGTCGGTCCCATACATCCTCCCACGCTCCTGTGGCTGGAAAATCACATGTCACCCACTCTCTACATGTGCGTCGGAGTCATGAGATTCACCTGCTGTACCGTCGAGTGCACACAGTACGGACGATTTATTTGGGTTCGAGTCCGGCGTGTCTCAACGGAATTGCGGCGCGTCCACTCAGAAAGCGCAAGACATACATACACAGTACTGTACGATAGCTGCTGCGCCATGATCATTTGCGGCGCAATTTTAGAAAATGCTATACTGTACTACGCTCACGTGGCTGTCCTTTGCAGCCCGGAAGTTCAGTGTTGTAATGCCCATAGAATAATAATAATAGAAATCATGTCACATTGCGAACTGTCTGAAAGGATCGTGCCTGTCTGCAAGCATGTCTCTGCACTTTACTCGACAGTTACACGCCTGCATCTTTCAATCATAATATCATTGCCCCATCATCATGCCAATACGTGGAATACAGCTAGACAGCTTCTCCACAGGCTGCACGCTCAACCAGTGCGGAACGACAACTCCACGCTTTCTCGCGGGCTGGCATCGGCTTTTATGCGCGACCTTGCCGTGTTAATCCCGCAAGATGTCTCTGGAAAACCCTCCGAATGCCGAGCCTTTTACCAGGACTCCCACTTCTGACCACCCATAGATATCAACCGATTGAACAATTCATCGCGCAGCGCCATCGCTGTAACCGTCCAGTGGTTGCCTTGTTGGTCGACAATCTCCAATCCATCTGCAACTTCGCGGTCGAGAGCCCATCCGACAATCAACTTGCTCTTCCATCCCAGACCTCCAATCTTCTTCAATTCTTTAATGTCCGCGATGGCCACTGACCACACCGGATGTAATTCCTCACTCGGCTTCAACACCATTCCATCAGCGATCTCCTTGTCGAGCGAGAAGCTGATACAAGGAATAGTAGCGACAGTGCTAATATAGGCGTGCCCACGTTTCCCGTGGAAGCGACATTTGAAATCGATTGGACCGCTCAGATTATCTTCATTCGGATTGAGAACAACTCCCAGACGTTGCTTGGATGGCTCACTGCCGGCTTTGGCTTTGAGACCGTCGGCTCCAAGAATTGTGTTGACCGTGCCTTTAATTCCCGTTTTGAAGAACTTCCCGATTTTGGAACCGGCCTTATGGGAGCTAGATTTCGCCGCGTCGATGTCGGCGCCCGTTGTTGCTTCAGCAGTCGAATGATCCTTTTCGATCGCTGCGCGAAGCTCCTCTTCCGTGGCATCTAATGGAACATCCCCTGCTACAGCGGCTAAATCTTCGGCTGTCAAGGCCGCAGGCGCATCCGACGGCGGTGTACGCCATGATGGTGGCGGTGGAAGAGGCGCCTTGTTGGTCTCTCCGATGCGCAATAGAGTGATGGTCAATTGTGCGTTAGTTGGTACACCCTTGAGAATGGTGTTCCGAAGTTCCAACAGTTTCTGCCAATGTGGAAAGGTCGAATTGAGCCAGGCCAATCCACGTGTGATGACTGGGTCGCCGAAGAAGCCAAATCCGATGCCGAAGGTGATGCCCTTGACAAGCATGTAGTTTGTTACGAAGAATGAAATCGCCAACATCGGGATCACCAAACTGGCCAGTCGAAGTCTGTACAAGTCGCGTGGGAATGGAGGCGTTGGCGAGAGGGCATTCCCGAATCTTTCCCAAGTATCGGATACATCTGCGATTCCATGCATGATGGGTCTCATTGTGTTCCACATTGCTGTCTGCATGGGCACCTTGGCTTTGTCCGCCGCCACGTTTTTGTCACCTTGAGATTTTGCACGGGCATTGCTCGCATCGACAGCGAGAGCTGTGGGGTCCGGGACATGATCGCTTTTTCCTCCGCTCTCCTGCTCTGATGCGCCATCTTGTGGATGCTTTCCGCTTACACTTGATATGGCCACCGAGGCAATACCATTGACGAAATGTGCTGCTTCTGCCTCGACTGCTTCTCCTTTGTAATTTTCTGGAGCCCCTGTCGCAGAATCTATGGAGCCAAGGACACCAGCTTTGGGTTTCTGAACACCACCGGTCTTCCCTGATACCAAGGCTAACGGTGCTGGGGGAAACAAGAGCTTTCGACTGGGAGGGTACGCGATCAGAGCGATGATGACTGAAAAGAAGAGAGGAGCCAGAAGATCGAAGAACCATGCAATCAAGTAAGTCGCTGCGAAAGCTGAAGTTCGACGCCTCTCCCGCCATGACCTGAGTCGAACGATATGCTTGAAGAAAGCGAGCAGACCGATCATAACAGTCATGTACAATCGTTCAAGATTCGCTCGAAGTTTGTCAGGTGAGAATTCCTCCCCGTCTGCAATGTGAAGATCAAGGTTGCCTGGCGGCGCTCTCGGGAATTCTTTGACATGGTACATTTGCTGATAACCGTCAGCATCGAGTGACACTTCAATATGTGATGCTCCATAAGCACTTTTCTCTGCAACGCGTCACACACTGACCTTGTCAAATCGTCGAATGAGTACCCATAACTCCTCGTTTGGCAAGCCTCCCACCAGTGGGTTTGCAATCTTGCTCACGGGCTCTTGCCAACCAAGGTCTTTCACCTCCATGTCGTGTGGTTCTTGTGCTGAACCCTTTTCATCATGCTCAGCCATTGCCAGCGCGTGACTATCTGTTGGTTCGTCGCGTATAGTATGCGCAATCTCTGGCGCAGCGTCGGGATCCATGATTGCAGTGATATTGTCTGGTATGGGCAACAGGTTCTTGATCGTTATTCCTTCAGTCGCCATTTTGAAATTATCACTGCAGGTTTGATCTGCAAAAGCCGGGACCTTTTGTTTGCAAGTGCAGCTCAGAAATGAATCACAATGATGCAATTACAACGTTCATCCATGCTCAGAGAGAAAACACTTCTGGGCGGCAGTCACTACTCTCCGTGTACTCTTTCAACGCGATCTTTCACATGCAAGATTGCGGGCGTAATAACGACTACGTCATCGGCGCAAAGTGCTTTTCCTGCTAGTATCCAGTGTATATATAATTTAGATGCGACTGCCTCTTCAACGCCTCTATAGCTCAGTTGGTAGAGCGCGGCACTAGTAACATTCCGACGTTCAACCGAGGTCAATCCGAGGTTGTGCCGGTCATCATTGCGATGCCGAGGTCTACGGTTCGACTCCGTATGGAGGCAGGCTTTTTTGCTGTTTTGAAGGCGATGAGGTGGTGGGAGGACGTCGAGGAGGTCCAGGAAGGTTGGCGGGGTGTTCGGGATGGATGAGAGAGGTGTGAGTTGATTTTTGGTTGAATGGGGAGGTCCAGGTCGTGGAGAGGGAAGGGAAGGTGGGTGAGGGTGATGTCTGGTGACGACGAGGTGACGACGAGGTCGAGAGGCTGACGGTGGATGGGTACAATGTGTCATCCGCCTTCGAGGTCGACGATCAGGCGAGAAGGTCATTGAATAGGTTGGTGAGTGACGACAGGTGGGTGGGTGGGTGTGTGTAAAGCTAAAGGCGAACGAAGGTGGGTGAGTGCAAAGCTGAAGGTGAGCGAGGTGGGTGTGTTGGACAGATTGTGGAGTTGATGGTGTCGATAGACTAGGACCATGTCTATTGAGATATTGATCAAGTGATGAGAGGGCGGCGAGGGGAGATGGCGAGGCCAAGGAAACAATGGCATCACAACATTCAGAGACTGGAAGTCATGCATCATCAATGTGGTTGAAACGATGATGAAATTATGTCACTCACCTGTCAACCTTGGAACCCTTGAAGTGGTCCTCACAACTTGACTTTAGACGAACCTAGCTTGTTCGGATTCGTGGGGATGCGTGATATTCGAACGACGAGAGATCTCAGAGGCTCGCGTCCCAGTGTTGCAGGTACCCGCCGGCCAATACTTGGAGAGTGTCACAGCAGCTCACGAGCTAGATTGATGCCTCTGAGGTTGTTTGCGTCTTGTTCGGCCAGTTCGGACTTCATCCGTCAAGTTCCATCGTTCAAGCGATGACGACGGGCAAGGTATTGCTGCTGCTGGTGACCTGGAAGCGTGACCAATGGCGGAGAAGGGGAGTTGCTGCTGAAGTCGTGACATTGGACTGGTGGGATTTCGATCATGGAGATATTTCACGCTTGATTGCTGTGACACATGTTGAGCCGGATGTGATGAGCGAAAGCAATATGAAAGAAGAGAAGCGTGCTGTCACGTTGAAGCAACGATGAGATTGAAGAGGATACCATGGCATGCATGTTGTTGATGGTTTTGATATCAGAATGCAAATGATGAGCGATGTGTGATGTGTAAGTTGACTTGTGACGACGTGGTCGAGGATGAATTGATAACGCGTCCTCATCACGCGACAAGTTCCCAAGGCGACAGCCTTAGAAAAGATGAGAACAACCATCACTATGATGACGATTCACCTACTGTGTGGGGCACGCTCGATGAAGCGATACTGTGCTACCTGAAACATGTGACCATGCTTGTTAACTTGGAAGGTAGTGAAACGCCAATGTTGGAAGCGGGTTTGATCAAGTCTATGCTTCATGTATATCGCCAGGCAAATAAAGTACCAACCACCACGGGCATCCTTCATATAAAGGTGCATGGAGGCCATGGTCCGATTGCGCCTCAAGGTATGGCGGTGTTGAAGATTATGCTTGAGGTAGATCACCGAAAAGGACTTTGCAATACTCCAGTACTCCTCCATTGATCGGTTCAGATTTGCACCATCTCTGACGACTCCGGCGTTTCATATTGCAAATACTAACGAATTAAAATTCCTCGCCTGGCAAAGGCGATACTTTACAAAAAGGCACTTCATCAAGCATCATCAGCAGAGCAATGCAAATCGACTCATTGCGCTTCACCAGCTTCCAATTCGGCAATCCGCTTCTCCCATTCTGGCACAGCCCGGAGCTGGAGGTCTAATTCATCCTTCTCATCTTCGAGCTGCAGGCGCGATTCCGCATCCAGCTTGGTAAAGACGAAACCTCCTTGACCATCAAACTGCAAGATCCAGTTGTGGTAGCGCCATAGCGATCGACGGTGAGAGACAGTCATGAGCGTGATCCCAAGCTTCTTTGCTTCGTCATACATGACCTTCTCTGTCTCAGCGGTAAGTGAAGAGGTACATTCGTCCATGATGGCGTACTTGGGCTTGTGGTAGAAAAGACGAGCGGCGGCGATGCGCTGTTGGAATCCAGTACTCAAGACATCGGTCCACTCATTCTCCACGTCGAGGGGGTTGATTTTGGCGGCTTTCTTGATCGATCGGGAATCAGCGGGTGTTTGCTCCAGCTCTCTGGACTTCGCAGGCTCCAGCAACTCATCCAATCCCAATGACTTCATAATCACCACAATATCAGCATCTGTGATACCCTTGGCACGCATGTCCAATAAATTGTCGGGATACAGGATCTGTTGTCGTAGCGTTCCCTTGCTGAGATACGGTCGCTGTGGGATGTAGAAGATGTCTTCACTCGGTGGCTTGCGCACTTTTCCTCCGTAGACGGGCCACAGTCCGCCCAGGATGCGGAACAGACTGCTCTTACCGCAACCGTTGGGACCGACGATTAGCAAATGATCGCCTCGACCAATGTGGAATGAAAGTGCTTTGACGAGCACGTCACCATTGGGTGAGACAATCGGTACGTCCACAAATTTGATATCCTCGCCCTCCTCAAGCTCTCCTCGGCCAGCTAAGACAGCAGCATTGGAGTCGGTTGACGCTGAAGAGACGAGTGCCTTTTCGAAGTGGCCGCGTTGGATGTCGGCGATGACATCAAGAAGCAGGCTGACTCTGCTGGTGTAGCCGGCAAGCTGAGTGATCTCCTTGTATGAAAACATCAGTCGTCCGAACGCGTCACTGGACGACAACAACAGTCGCCTGCTGGTGACAAAGTTCTCTGTGCGGTCTCCTGATCCCTTTCCACTGCCACCGCCTGGAGTCTCAAAGAACACCGGCACAGAACAGAGCAAAAGTCCAAGGGCACCCCAGAAGTATTTCACAACAAAGTCTTCCATAATTCCGTGGTAGAGTCTTCGTCGGAGAATACGGTTCACATGTTTGATGAGAGTGAAGTACCCCTTGTCGACAGTGTCCTTCTCCGCTTCATGGCCATCATACAGCGCGATCTCTTCGCTGTAGTCAATGAGACGTGAGTGCTGGAAGCGGAATTCGCCCTCAAGTCGTGCCTCTTCGGCAACGTATTTTCCAAACGGCGGTGTAAGAGCTCTCATAAGGTTGGCGCTCAATTGTACAATCGCAGTCATGGCGAAAAGACCCTCACCACCAACGCTCTTCGACAGGCTCCAGTTGTAAATGACCAAGTCTAGCACCGGTTTCGCCAAGTTAGAATATAGCTCTGCAAGACTGTTGGAAAATTTGGTCACGTCCACGGTGATAAGCTGGTCGGCATTCTTTATTCGATCGTCGAGGGCTGAAAGCGTGTAGAAGGTCATGTCGCCAAGGTATTGGTTGTGAATGTGGTTAGTGAGGCGGGTTCGGTAAGCCAAAGCAAGGCTGGTTTGGTGATATGAAAGCTGCACAGTCGCATCAGCACAGCACAAAATGACCACAACGACGACCGCCCGTCCTTACCATTGAGTTTGTGAATGTAGCAGGTAGCGCGACCAGCATCCACCATACGAGTCCCTTGACGAAGTCCTTGCCTTTGCCTCGCACGAGACTGCTGACAAGCTGACCGTCCAATTCGGCCACGTACAAACTGATCAGGGTTCTTAAAACCAAGAAGACCGAGTGGCTCATAAGCAGGCGCGCCTCTTTGCTTTTCCATGATGGAATGACAATTCGAAGTAGGCGAAAGATGCTTCGGAAGAACTCCATGTTCAACTCCACCTTTTTCTTGCCCTGGCCATCTTCACCAGCAGCTCTGACACCCTTTCGACGGTTCTCTGCTGCTCTTGCTGCTGCAGCTTTCTGCGCCTTGATCGCGCCGCGGATACGGTGGATGAGCGTCAGGAAAAGAGCGACATATATGGTCTGTGAGATACGGGTCCTGTTGTTGGAATAGATGGTGGTGAGATCCTTGAGCAGCTGCTTCAGGGAACGATTTGAAACGGAGGCCGGCACATGGCGCAGCAATGTCGACTGGGCGGCCATCGCGAGTGTGGCGAGTAGTGACAATTCACGAGACCGACAATGTGTTTGCGGACCTGGGTGAATATGTATGGTTGACAGGCGATATCACGCCGTTTATTGGCTACCAGAAAGTCGAGATGCGACGTCCCCAGTGAACAAAGTAACCCAGTTCTGGAGGCATGTGATTGCCGCAGCTTGGCTCACGATGCACTCCGACCGTGCCCGTGTGGAGACGGGAACTAGCGGGCGACCGAAGCTGACTGTCTTCCAATCGCCTGGGGCTCGGGGTATCTTGTACCTCAGGCACCAATCACGACAACATGCCCAAAGGTACTCTATTCATGATAACCAATTGTGCAGCATCTTTGGATCAGCTGTAAGGATGCTGGTCTTACGATCATGTTCTAGGGTCACCGTATTTGATCGCTACACTACCGATGTCGCATAAGTTGTACTGCCTTGTCAATGACACCATTCCGTGTGATATATCACGCCTCTCAGGTCTCCACAAGAAGTGTTCAGTTATACACTTGAGCAGAGGGAATAGGCTCGAGGTCGCATCGCCGCAATCGCGAACATCCTACTTTCCCTTACTAAGTTCGCCTGTGTCGTTATTCCAATATACCACGGGCATAGGTGCAGCGGATGTAGATTCGCAATTGTCGAGACTGGACGACTCGGCGACGATTCTGTATTGTTTGATATCAGTTTATCTGTAATCTTCGGCTGTGCTGGTCTTCACGTCGTTTTGACCGACCTCTTTATCACATATAATGCTTGCTCAACTAAGGATCCTCACAATCTCCTTCCACGCAAGCCATGATAGACTTGTCATGCTCCGATCGATAGCCTTCTCCTGACTTGCCGTCTTTGCCATAACAATCCCATTCTTGCGATCGACAAAGAGCATCTGCCCAAAAATTCCCAAGGCCACGACTGTATCATGCTCCGAGTCCGACACCCAAAATGATCTATATGACTTTCCCTCAAACACACCTGATGCCCAACTTCCTCGCGCAAATGCCTCACGATCACCACCTTGGAATATATCCTCAATCCACACCGCTGGTACAAAACCTTTGCCGCCCTCGGCAACCAACTGACCGAGTCGCGCTAGATCCCGTAGGCTCGCGGAGAGTCCTCCTGCCACACGCGCCCCGCCCGCGGCATCGACAGTCATCAGAGCATTATGTTCGGCTCCCATGGGCTGCCAGATCAACTGCTCGACGAGCTGTGTGAAGGTCCTCCCATCCGCCACCGCACGCTCCGCTACCCACCCCAACAAATCAGTGTTGAGTGAAACGTACTCGAATCGATCGTCAGGTGCCCGGGGAGGATTGACCTTTGCGATAAAAGCACGGAGATCTGCGACTGGAACATAAGCTTGCTGTTCGCCTTGAACGTCTAACTGCTCTTTGGGTATAGGGTTCCAACCTGTAGCTGCGCGATACTCCGGCGAGCCATCGGCGTAGAGCAACCCGGATCGCATGTCTAAACACATCCGTATTGTGACATTTTCGTAGGTGGTCCCGCGCAGTTCGGGAACATATTTGTCGACAGGATCGTCGACTGTCAGAAGACCTTGGTCCGCAAGAATGCCAAAAATTAAGCCGCAGACGGATTTGGTGACAGACATGAGGATGTGGCAGGACGCTTGTGTGTTTTGACGGGGATAGCGCTCGTAAACTACTTTGCCATGGTGGAGGACCAACAAGCCATCAGATTGGGACCGGGCGAGAAAGCCTTCAATGTCAAGGGGCGGTTGGTCGCCATTATGGAGCTTCAGATTGAAGTCAGAAAACGATCGCAGATTTTCCTCGAGTTCTTGGGGTTGTTTGGACTTCGTGATGACTTCTGTTTTCAAAATCTTATCAATGTTGTGGAAAGACCATTGGTTGTGTGGACTCTCGCGCCAGTTGGACAAATCCACTGGTTGAACGTTGTTGGGCTGCGAATCTGTCATGGTTTTCTGTTAACTGTACTTCTTGTCTTTGATGAGTTCCGAGTTTCACACGAAAGGCAGGGCCGTCTTGACACTTTTTAGGCCTCGACACCTGCTACTTGAACGTCCGGGTCATTCCAAGGTTGTCACAGCAAAATGATAAGATAACCCTAGGACATCGAGGAGATAACCCCAGGGTCCGATCATCGGAGAGTGAGCGATAGCCGCACAAGGTTTCAACTGAAGAATATTGACATTGTGGCCTCACATACCCTGTATGGTGCTTCACAACATGATAGTGATACTACGTCAGATCGTTGGAAACAAATGTCATCAGGATATTCGGAAAGCAAAAAAATGAGTTCAGTACTTTTATGTAATCTTGAAACCAAGATCCTCGAGCAATACCAAAACATGAAAACCCTCTTCCGAGTCAATCAACCGCATCGCCAGGCGGGCAGGAGACGTCAGGACCAAAATCAAAACAAATCGGCACAATGGCCTCGTACATTCTGGATTCGCATAGCGCAAGAAGCACAAGAGAAAAACTCGTTCGAACAGTCGCCCATCATTCGCCGCGAAGCGAAGAGGTCAAGACTGGTGAACGAATGTAATGATAACAAACGTGTGGGGCAATTCTCACCACTAGCATAATGATCTGTGGAGCAGGCAAGCATAGAAAGCAGATACTCGGCGACGAGAGTGTAGAAAAAGCAATAGAAAGCTTTACACAGTAGAGCCGGCCAGGGCGCGGGTCTTCCACTGGTCGCGTTCATCCTCAAGCTCAGCAACACGAGCCTGGAGCGCAGCGATGGTCTCCTCAAGAGTGTCACGCTCCTCCACCTTCTTCGCTCGTGACTTTCGTGCAGCTGCGGTGTTTCGCGCACGCTTCAGTGCAATGGGGTCACACTGGTCAACCATGATCGGAGGCAAAGGCTTGTCACGCTTGCGAGACTGGACACCAGCGACGGTGGAGTGTCGGATGGGCGTGCTGATCATGGGAGATGAAGAGGGCAATGAGCTGCGCTTGTGGGTGGACTCGCCACCAGGGTGAACAACGATCTGATTCGAGGGTACACGCTCCATTTTGATAGGTGCATGTTCGATGTTCTCCTCTGGGAAAAGCGAGGGGTAGTTAAGAGATTCCAAAGAGTCAGTGAAAAGGGGCGAAGTCTGGTACTCGTCTGCCGGAGTCTCGAGGAAAGTCGATCCAGGGGTGCTCAGATTCGTGAAGGTTGTAGATGGAGGCATCGAATCCTGAAATAGATCCTTCGGAGAAATGGTGGCGCCGCTGACAGCGGGCGCACCAGTGAAGGCAGCGAAGTTCGTGTCAACGTTGACTGATGACATGAGTTCGAAGTCAAAGCTTCCGTTGGTAAAGATGCTGACGTCGTTGTCCATTGCGAGGTCACCGAAGGTACCGTCAAAGGCGACGTTTACGTCTGAATTTAATAATGTTAGAGATGAGGAAATAGTCGAAGTGAAGGGTGAAGAATTACCGGCGCCTCCCATGGTGAAGTCTGGGAAACCTGTCACGTGCTGAGGGTGTGGAATGACGGGTGATATTCCTGATGCACCGGTCGATGTGGAATGGAAGAGAGGAACGGGCGGACGAGTTGGCCGAGTAGAGTGTGTTCCGTTGACGGATGGGGCTGAAAAGGTCTTGTCGTTCGTGAAGAACGCCGCAGAGTCGGCGGAGCTAAACGAAGATTTCGGCGTCAGATCGAGCGAGGAGGCTCGAAGCGGAACAGCAGCTGTCGGGGCGGGAGACAGAGTTGCTGAGCTGAGGAACAGTGGAAAGTCGCTGAAGTCGGGTTGTGGCGTATGCCGTGATCTTGCTAGTGGTGAGGGCCATGATTGTTGTTGAGAAGCCGTGGTTGGCGGCGGTGGGTTGTTCACGGGCGGGTCTGGAAGACGAAGCGCGTAGTGAAGGTCCGAAGACACTTCGAAAGTGGAGAAGAGATCAGATGATGTTGATGACTGTATGGTGGGCAGCAATAACGTCAATCAACAGGAGGCAGCCATTTCTAACTGCTTCGTGTTGAAATTATTTGAGTGTGTAGTTGTTGGGATGGAAAGGTTAGCGGAAAGAAGAGGAAGGAAAGTGAATCAGGTGCGGAGTAGCAGGCTGTACAAGTACTCCACGACAATCCGGTGTGAGGCAGCCCTCTCAGGGTGGGAGAGTGCAAATGGAGCCTTGGAATGGGTGAAAGTGCGGCGAGCTCCAGTGGGGACTGTCAGCACGGCAGCCTCCCGCACGCGCTAAAAGTATGACTCTTACTGCGGTCCCTAAATGAGCTTAGTTTTTGTTGGTTCCTCGTCTCTCTCGACCGTAGGGCGTTCCACTGGACACCACCGATCTCTGATGCGAAAATGAGATGCATCCACACCTGCTTTCGTCGTATTTCTCACGGCAACAACCCAGATATCCATCCTTACCTAGGTACGCACGTTTCACTACATCTGCGCGATAGCATTCATGTCGGCAGAGGCCTATTTCTTCTGGAGTAAAAGGGCATTTCACGGCGTCATAATGATACAGATACCGTTTCCTGGCTTCGTTTCCATGGCATTATGGGCGACTTCCTTCGTCTTGATTACTACGATTGTGGGAGACCTGCAACATTTCGAACGCGAATGCAGTGCGATGGCGCAGTAGGCTCCACTCTCCAAGCTGGGTGTTTGATTCGGGACACCGCTGGCTGGCTTGCGACTGCGCGTTCGGAAAGGCTCAAGCACGCCGCGGGGCGCAGGCTATGCCACAAATTACCCAACATCTCGACCCCGGTCAATGGCGACTGCATTGGGTCCAGTCTGTTCGTAGAGTTTTATTCCAATGCAGATTGACGTCCTCTCTCAACGACATCCCCTGTGATCTGCTGCGATCTTTGGCGAGTGGCAGTGCGCCTGGAGGAAACGAATTTAATTTCGAGTATGACACATACTGTACGTACTTGCGGCATAGTCGAATCGCAGTGCTCACGAACACATACACGTGCGCCCAGGCATTTGACCTATGATCGGGTCAAGGTACAGTGCTACGGTCCGGTAATCGCGGCGCTCCATGACTTGGCATGCCTTTCCTCCTTCTCCCGGGCTGCTGGCAAAGATCCCATTCTGCCCTCACACCTAGGGACGGTGCAGCCCGGTGTGAGGCATATGATGCCGCTCGGGCGCCGGTCAAATTTCGGCTCGCGACACAAATCAAAAGTTGCGGGCCCAGGTGCTTATCGATAAGATTTTTCAGGCACCTACCGCGCATTGCACGAGAATCGTAGGATATCATACAGCCAGCATCGCGGAGTGCATGTGCTTCGAATATGGCAGCCAGCGAGCGAAGCCAAGTTGACTTGGCGCAACTCTCTGCCCAGCAACTCTCACAAGTGAAGAAACAGCTCGACGATGAAGTACAACACTTGACCGGATCATACCAGAACTTGCGGGGCGCCCAGCAGAAGTTTCGTGATTGTATTGTGAGCATCAAAAATGGCGTTGCCAACAGTGTGAAAGGTAAGCAGCCTTATTCTCCGTTGTCCCGAAGCTCGATTTGCATGGGTGGGAGGCTGATTGCAGAATGCAGATAAACCGCTGCTCGTGCCCTTGACGTCTTCGCTCTACGTTCCCGGCACCTTGGCGGACTCGGATAATGTCATCGTGGATATTGGCACCGGCTTCTACGTGGAGAAGTCGACTGATGACGCCGAGAAATTCTACACGAGCAAGATTGAGGAACTAGGCAAAAACATCAAAGATCTTGAGAACATCGTGAATGGAAAGGCAAACAACCTACGGGTGGTCGAGGAGGTATTGAGGCAAAAGGTTCTGGCGGACCAAACTGGCAAGCCCGGTGCAAGCTCGTCATGAGGCGATCGTGGATTGCAATCGCGCAGCCAGCTATGCGATTCTCGGGTCATCTAGGCAGTAGGACGTACGAGCCCATCGCACGCCGGGACAGGCATTCTCGGGCTTGACTCTTCGGAATATGCCACAGAGCAGTGCTGCGTGCCGAAGAACACGACGGTTAGACTGTTTTACTTGCGGGACGAGAGTACCAGGCCGCCACGATATCTGTGCCCATGAGGGTATGAACATACGAATGTGCTAAATTTCGCGAGAGATGCCCGGTCACTTCCCACCACATCAATGGGCCCTGTTCAAGGAAGCGATCTCACATTCACTCAAGGATAGCTGTCGTTGTGTTCAATGAAGCGTTCAACACGTTGGGCTAGGATACCGCCCGAAGATTGATGTCACGTTTTGCCCAGTGTGGCATTTGCAGCTGGATTAGGCACTGATATATTCACTGTAAATCCTCGGGCCTTGAATTGCGCGCCTAAATATGCTATTCGTACGATACCACGCGGCACTACCAGCGAGTATGAGCGCGGGAGCCTCGAGTGATATGTACAGGTTTATCACCTTCGAAGGTTGTTCTCGGTTTGAAACGTGCTTGATATATTAAGATTACAACGGGAAACAGGACGCTCGCAAATGACATCAATAGCGTGAGGAGCACCGCGTAATTCCATCTCCATTATGCTGCATTTGTCGGGCCACTGGATGCGGGGCACATAATTGCGGGACACATGGTTTCGCGGTTCAGCCATTGGAGATGGCATTTGAGGCATTTGTTGCCTGTATGGGCCGACAGTTTTCGTCCGGCAATGAGATCTGATAATGTGCGCGAAAGTTGATGGCCGATCACCGAAATTAAGGATAACGCAAGCTTGTAAGCTTGCTAGCGAGTAGAACAGGAGTGGTGATGCCCACCTGCAGGTGGTAAAGGTGCCCAGGTGGAATTGACAAGAGGTGCAGTGTTGATCACCTAGACAGTGCGGCGCGGCCGACAGCACATTTATAATCATCGGGCGGGACGGCTAAGATCTTAGGTGATCTTAGGGCTAAATTTACCACGAACGGCAGCTGATCTCTTAATTTTTGGCTGATCAATTGATGGGAGCTTCTGGCGGGAAAAAGTTGACCGGTTTTACAATAATAATAAGAAACATCGAGTCCGCCACGGCTTGTAGCGTTATCTTTGAAAGTATATGGAATAAATATACGTGCTACGCTTCTGCACAAATTGGCGTTGAACGTTCTCTTCGGCCTACACGCCTCATCCCATTGGTCGACTCTGGGCTATCGAATGAACAGTCTGAAGTACCGAATGCAAATATGTCCGACGCTTCTGCCCGAGAGAGGCATGATGTTCTCGATGCCCAATCCGACAAAGAACAAGACAAACAATCATCCGAGTCGGCGCAACGACCCTCTGACAAGGCACAGCCCGGCATTGCAGCCGAGAAATTGCCACAGGAACAACGACGAGATTCTCTCAAGGCATGGAAGCGGGTAGCAGGCGCTTGGCTGTTGTTCTTCGTTGCCTGGGGACCCGCTTTGTCATACGGATCATTTGAGTCATATTATCGAGCGGAGGTCCTTCCTGACTACTCAGCATCATCATTGGCATGGATCGGCGCTCTTTCGACATTGCTCCTGGTGAGCTCCGGCGCCTTCGCTGGACCGCTCTTCGATCGGGGCTACCTCCGGACAGTCCTCATCTGCGGGTGCCTTTTGGTCGCCTTCTCTCTTGAAATGCTTTCGTTGTGCACAGAGTACTATCAGATCATGCTGGCCCAAGGTATTGGATATGGTCTTGGAAGCGGTCTAATTTACGTGCCTGCGCTGGCCTTTGTGACCGCATCATTCCCGCCCAAGACTCGAGCATACGCAGTGGGCGTGTTGACCACCGGAGCTGGCGTTGCGGGTGTTTTGTACCCGATCATGTTCATCCGTTTGATCCCCGAGATCGGCTTCGGTTGGACCATGCGACTCTGGGGATTTCTCACCCTGGTGTTAGCTGTGATCGGCATGGTCCTCGTGTGGGACGCTCCAACTAAGACGACACGGCCTAGGTCTCTTATTGAATGGACTGCATTTACGGAGTATCCCTTTGTGATATTTTGTCTTACCGGATTCTGCCAGTTCTTGGGCTATTGGTACTGTACCTGAAACTTTCTTCTGTCTGTGGCGTGCTAACGAAGAAGGGCAGGATCCCACTCTTTTATGTGCCCGCCTTTGCGGAGTCAAGACTCGGTGTCTCCGATGCGGAGTCCATCTACTTCACTTGCTATATTGGTGCAGGTTCCATCTTCGGTCGGCTTTTGCCAACACCGCTCGTCAGTAAGTGAATGCGAAACATATTCATGCCGAAGACGGCCGTTGACATTCTGCGAAGCGATATTTGGACCGATACCTATCATGTTTGCGGCCACATGCTCAACTATGGTAGTCTTGTTCTGCTGGATTGCAGTGAAAAGCTATGCCGGGTTTGTGGTGTGGTGCCTTGCTGTTGGATTTACCAGTGGCTTGTTCGTCAGTGTGAACCCAGTGGTGGCTGCGCTGCCCATGATATCGCCACCTGAGGTGATCGGTACAAGATTCGGAATCGTCTGGTTCGTGACAGCATTGGGTGCATTAATAGGCACTCCAATCGCGGGTGCGCTGGCGAATCCATCCACAGGCGACTTCTTGAAAGCACAGATCTTCACTGGATGCATCATGTTAGGTGGAACATTGCTCATACCGGTCCTATTCTATGCGGATCGACGATTCCAGCGACGAGGAGCAATGAAATGAATTGTTTCGACTTTTGAGGACATTTAAATTTTGTTAGATATGATAGATGATAGAACGAATTCTGGCAATTCTCATTGTATGCTGGCAGATGGACAAGCGCCGCAAAGCGCAACCATTCATGGGCAAGAACCTCGACTAGGGGCGACTTTCGTACTATGTGGTGGAGTCTTACGTCCCGATGAGCCACTGTTCAGGCAGGATATTCTAAAATTGGTCGTCGTGGGTCGCCGCTGTACATCAAACGCGTAAAGAAAGATCCATTAGGTTCCAAGGTTGTCAAATGCTTCGGAAACTAGCGGCAAATTCAAGGCCCTGCAGGAACGTCACAACTCAAGAGCTCCAGGGCTCTTATCATCCTTTGCCCAGGCAGCATTTACCTCAAGGATATCGCGCTTTAGGCAACCACTGGCTGTTGTCGAGTCGCCTCTTCTCCACGGACCATGTCTGCCGATCACGAAGGAGACAGTCATATGCTGTCTTCATCAGAATCTTCACCGGAAGTCGAGACTCCTCAGAAACAAATCACAGCCGACCCCGCTACGCTCTCGCCGCCTGCGTCACAGGCTCGCGGCGGCATGACTTCCGGCGCAACCGCATTCGGCGCATCCATTGCCAATTCCAACGGCAAACGACCATTGAACACAATCAGCAACGAGATCGACGACGAACGCGAAGGTGGGTGAGAGATATCAGAAGAATATGAACGTTGCTGCGGAAACTTTGGAATATGCAAGAAGTAAAGGACATGAGCCTGACAATCGCATTTCTCCAACGATAGAGCTTGATAGCATGGCCAACAACGCCAAAAAGCGACAGGACTTTCCGACGAAGACCCATCAGCGGAGCGGGTACACTTGGTCGCGCGCCGAGGACGAGCCTGGCTTCTCCTGGTTGAACGTGAAGGCAGTGGACGAGGCTGCGCGTGCATGGGAGAATCTGTGTCACAAAGAGTTTATGATCAAGAGTGGGTGCCTCAGAGAAATTGACCTTGACATAGGTGGATGCTGGGACTGACGACAGAATTTCGAATAGATCGCTACGGAGATATCTTCGACATGGTGGACAAGGAAAAGGCCAAGATTGACAGAGCCAGCAAGCCGCAATGAAAGTCTGGACTGGGATGGACTCGACCAACAAAGGAACAACAACAACAACAACAACAACAACAACGCTCCGAATTTTTGAAGAATGTACGGCGCTCACACTGGATGCCAATTACAGCATAAATTTGAGACGAGCTTGACCCCATTCTCCAATGCTAGGCGCACTCAGTCCGAGGACGACACCAAAGCGGAGATGCCGTATCGGATCACGTCTGTAAGCGAATTTGGATTGGCACGCGGAGAACCACTCAAGGGCTTTTTTGTGTTATCATATCCGACCCACAAGGCTCTTGGAGTACCTCCAAAGATGAAAGCATCTTGCAATTGTAAACAGCGCCCAAAACGCCTCAGAAACGAATTCGTTAACATCGTCCACGGATGTCTGCGAGGCGGCCAAAGCTCATCCGCTGTGAGCGGACTCATCGTCAATAATCAAAGAATTGAAGTCGATTGAGCTATATGAACAAGTGCAGCGATCACGAAATGGGAGAGACAGGCTCGTATCAGTGACCAAGGATGGACTGAGAGTGCAGAATTCTTAGAGAGCACAGCAGCTTCAAAGCTCCCTAGGTACAGGCGCATCAACAATCATGTTCTCTCTCAGGCATGAGGCCATACAACTTCAAACTTTTCTCTGAGATCTTCTGGATGAACATGTCGCCCGGTTTTGTCTGCGAAACGGCTGGATATTCGCTTCCACGTTGACTCCGTGTCATGGTTCATAATCTGCACGATGATCCACAACTCTTCACCGGTGAACATGTCGTCTTCCTCGAGAATGGTAGGTGACCCTACTTGTGCGACATTACTCGCGGCTTGAGTTGTCTTCTGGTCTGCCTTCTTCTGGTCAGTTTTCTTCTGCGCATCCTTTGCCGCTGTTGCTGCTGGTTGCGCCTTGATGTCCTTGCCCTTCTCCTGCTTGTCAGTGTGTTTCTTGCCATCCTTATGAGCGGCGTCTTTGGCTTTATCATTCGATTCATTCGATTTGGGCTCAGGATTTGGCTTGTCTTTATCCGCATCAGTGTCGTCTTTGATTTGCCTGTAACGGTTCAACAAGGTCTGCTTGGATCGACCCAGCTCCTTCGTGATCTCCACCCAAGTCTTGCCCTCCGCCTTCATGGCTTTCAGCTTGGCATCTTGTGTCGCAGTGAAGTCGGTGACTTCTGGTTGCTGAGCATTAGCATCCTTTGGCGGAGCTGTAGTCGCGGCTTGTTCAGCCTTGCCGGCGGTCGCTTTCGCCTTGTCGTCACCTTTGATACTTTTCTTGCTGTGCGTTGATCCAGCTACACCAGCCGATCCATCTCTTTTATGTTTGTGAATCGCGATCACGCGCCTGCCTCTGTGATCAAGTTTGATTTCGCTCCAAGCAATGCTCCCGCCGATCATTGGAGGTGCGCCTGCTGCCTGTCTAGTGTTAGACTCAATGAGATACGCTTGAAAGACTGGTCTCGCAAGTCCCAGGATTGGAAACATGTTGTGTCTTTGTGTCTGTGACAATGGTGGCAATGGGCTTCAACCATGACCGAGCTAGCTTTTCCTTCGCTGGACTGCTTGTTTATGTATCAAGCATGCTGCTTTGGTATCACGAGTGTCGGCACGTGAGAGTGTCGTGATTCTCACTTTGATCAAGACTGTCACAACAAAAACATGTTTTCGTTGCTGGGCCTACCTTTGGCGCTACAACTTTGTGGATTGCGCTCTTGGAGAGTAGAGCTTCAGCCAAAGACACCTCTGGGAGAGACTGTGGAGGGAGAAGATTGTCGATGCGGGTGACCTTCGCAGCGACCTTGGTCGCGAATCGCGTCATAATGGCTTGCGTCCTCACATTTGTAAAGACATGGATCATAGGTCGAAATGATGACGTTCAGGGGAGGTGAAAGGAAAAGTGCCCAACCCGGGACGGCCGACGACCTTCTTGCGCACAAGCTCATCTTTTGCCGCACAGTTCAATTCATAGAGCTTTGTTTTCACATACCACGGCCTTCTTGTAGCCCACGTGCGCTATTGAAACTTTGACAATCATCCTACACCTGCGGGCATTGACACGTATGCGTCAGAACACTAGCCAACACAGTTTGAAGGAATTTGATCAACTGCGCGGACGAGTCACCAACCGCACGGAAGCTGGTTTCACGGTGCGGAGATTGGCTCGACAACAGCGCTGCAAATTCCTTCGATTGAAGATAGCAGGTCTCATATGGATATATTTTGATCGAAAAATCATGTGGCAAAGATGCAGACCACGTGCGATCCGTTTCGTTGTTACTCGGAGCATTTCGCGATCATGTTCTTTTGTCGTTTGTAGTGGGCGTGTTTGCCGTCGTGCATTGGACGTGCGAAGTTTTTCAACGAGCGACAATCGAAACCGTACTGCAAGATCATTGAGATGAGTGTATTCCTTTTGCGGCATCGAATACTCCAGGGCTATAGATGGACCGTTAAGAGAAGCGACGTGAGGTCGCAATATGTGGACTGTGAGAGTGGTAGTTGGCCAAGATTCCGGACAGTATGCATTACTGTGGACAAATGCACAGCCAATCGGAGCGGCTAGGGGTCCAGACAGCTCGCGTGTGAACACGGAACAATGGATGCCACCTATTATTACACCAGAAATCTTTCTGGGCTTCATCAAAGGACCACGACACACCCGAACACAATTCCCGCTCGCCAGCGTTCAACAACCCACGATACGCCATGATGGCGGTCATCCTCTCCTTTCTGCTGGCCATCTTCGGTCTCCTTCACATCAGCAATGCGCATACAGTTCTGTTGCGGGCGCATTCCCGCGAGTGCTTCTTCGAGGACCTTCACACCGATGACCAGATGACGGTCACTTATCAAGTCTCTGACCGAGAGTCTGGCCCCGTTGGAAACCTTCACATCGACTTCTGGGTATGCACATTTGATTCATGGGATCTATTCGGAAGAGGACGTAGAAGGAGTTGTTCGAGATGAAGGACATTGGACGAAAGGCAGAAGGAACATACATCGGCAGGACGCAAGGCTGATCATAATAATTATCCAGGTCCAACTTCCAAATGGCTACTACCAAATCAAAGACCAGGGTTCTGGCTCAGGCGATTACTCCTTCACCGCACCTCAAGACGGCAGATATGAATACTGTTTCAGTAACGAGGCTTGGGCTTCATACACCAAGGAAGTTGCTTTCAACGTTCACGGTGTTGTCTACGTCCCCGCGAGCGACATAACCGCCGACCCACTCGAGAACGCAGGTACGTCCCTCCTATGCACCCCATTGATGCCCCGCGCGATGCAAATGAAGGAAGCGTGGATTCAGTCAAGCTGACAGATCGCTCTCTACTTTTCTACGCATCACAGTCAAGACCTCCTCAGACCTTCTCGGCCTGATCCGCGACGAGCAGTCCTACATAGTCGTCCGCGAGCGCACTCATCGCAATACTGCCGAGAGCACCAACTCGCGAGTCAAGTGGTGGAGCATCTTCCAGCTAGCCGTGCTGCTGGGCGAGGGTGTATTCCAGGTGTGGTGGCTGAAGCGCTTTTTCGAGGTGAAGGATCCCAGTCGACCTTCTTTCAACAGAGGCGCGTTGGGCTGACTTACTTTCTTCTCTACTCTCACAGGTCAAGCACATAGTCTGAAGGACCAAGCTGGACAAATTTTGGATGCACCCGGTTTGCCGCCTCTGTGCCCTTACCTTCTAGCCCTTTTTGACGGCCGTGATAATGAGATACCGCGACACGCTTCAACTTGCACCTCGTTTCTGTGTGTCCAAAAGTACTTTCGTCCCCAACTATGTCTGCACCGCCTGGCAGCAGTGAAGAAGAGTTCCTGCAAACAATATCTCCCATGAATGATGTTACCACCGGGAATTGGAACTCTCAGGACGAATTCAAACCAACGTATCGAGTCCTCGGGATCACCATCAGGACATGGACACATGCCTGGCTCCGGGAAATTCCACGTTGATACGTAAAAATTCATTGTATTGTGTTCGCGTGCCGGTCATCTAAATCCTTCCTATCCCAGCGCCAGAAATCCGCCTTGTCAACTCAGCCTGAATTCAATCCCAACGGTCACGAAATTCCCAGGAGTACTCTGCAGAGGGATGCGGGCCAGACGGGACTGCGTGAGACTGCCAACCCACTTTAAAACATGTCCCCCTCCAGAAACGCCGCGTCTCATTTGTCACCCCGACCACATGGAGAAATTATTCTCGCGCACCCAGCATCATAGTTTCGCCCTATACGAATCATTCATGATGTAGTTCTCATAGCTTTTCGTCTTCAGATGCAACAAACAGTTATCTGGCCGTCTTATTGGTTTCAATTACGGACATCAACCTCCATCTCCGACCCGCACCGGCCCACCTCTCGCGTCGCCATGCGATATCTCTGGTGTTGCACCGCGCATGCCTTTAGTCCTCGCGTCACCCGTCCTGTTCGTAGCTTGAGGCTGGTGTTTCTTTGACCGTTCCTCGTTCGTCTGGAGGCGTTCAAATGACGGCGAGATCGTCGATTCGGCGCCTGGTGGAGTTGCAGAGATCGGCGTTTCCATCTCGGCATCTTCTGGAAACTCACCTGTCTCGATTTCCTCATTGTCGTCCGCCATGTCTTGGTCACGTAGGGCGGCGATGTCCGGACCGTCGGTTAGACCCCCTTCATGCAGAACAGCTTGGTCGGCTGTCCATATCCGACATTCGTCTAATTCATTGACATCTGTGGGTCGCATCCGTAGCCATCTCATGCGAGGGCCCGTTTGAGCGATTTCAGACACGCGAAAGCCGTAGATTCGTGGTTCGTAGATGTTTCCAGGCCCGATACCGGGCGCGAGGTTCCGGGGCGAGATACCGTTGATTTGTTCAGGTTGTCTAGGAATCGAGACGTTGTTGGGAAACGCAGGATCTAAATTCGATGATGCCATATTAGGTTGTTGCGAAGCCAAGGAAGAAGATAGTGATGATCTCGCTGTTCTGTCCAAAGGATTTGCGGAACTGGAAGTCGCTGCTGGAGATACTGGCATCTCTGGAATCGGTGGCGGTCGGTTTTGACCGCCCACGTCGAGGTCTGGAAAGGTCATGAAGAAAAGACAGCCGAACGTGGTGCCAAAGAAGGCGCCATCAACAGTTTGAAATCGACTGTTTGGCGGGCTGTACACATCGAGACAGGAAGGGCAGTACAGCTTGACTGTTTCTTGGCCGGGAATGTCTGAACAACCGACAGGTAGCACTTTCGCGCCATGGCAGAACACTCGTGGGCACTGGCCGAAGTGACCTAGCTCATACTTTTCCGCCATCTGCTGAATTCCAGGTCTGCTGGTGATGAATCGTTGATGTATGAGTCCGTAGAGCATTTCGGCAGAGCTTTCTATCATGCTGAGATCGCTGGGAATGCGAAGATGCCTTCGTTCGACCGCCGCTGCAGCAACATCGCCAGCCCTGCGGTAGGCCCCTCGTACGCCAGCAATATCGTCCTCATCCTCGTCCTCATCCTCTTCCTCCTCCTCTTCTTCCGTAGCGTCCTCTGGCTCGACGTCAAGTATCATCTCCAACGCCTCCTTGTACATGGGCACCTGACTTTGCAGACCGGTGAGGTTGAAGTCATCTTCAATGAACTCTTCCGATACCTCGGCGAAGTACTCGTGACCGACAAGGGAGCAGAATGCCGCAATCCATGATTCCGGCGCTTGAGACGATGACGACATGCTGTTGAGGTCGTCGAGTTGTGGGTGCTCCAGATCGTGCGCTTTGGTATAGAAAGCAGAGTCTCGGAACGCGTGGCTTCATGCGCTGACTCGGAACGTGGGACCCAGCGACAGTCTCTTCTCACCACCTTCAGAGAGAATGCGGCGGTCGCGCCTGAGAGCAGCGGTGCTGTGAGCGGTATGTTATCTCGTCGCGAGCAGTACGACACGCACCGAGTGGACTGCCTTCAGCAGTCGACCGTCCTGAACGCGATCGCTAGTGGATGTATCACACGCATATGAAAATGACCTAGCAGGATCAGACTAGAAGAAAACGAATCATTGGTCCTCCTCTGGGCGCGCAGAGGATGTTACAAACGACCACGTTGCCGGGCAGATTGCAACGAGAATTGCGAAAGAAGATTTTGAGGAGCGAAGAGACGTACGATTGAGATATAGGACTGCAAGGCTTTGTCACGGTGTCAACGCAGCCATCAAGCAGCCAGTGATGTATGTTATTATGTACTGTACTGTCTGGAGCGCAATAGCAGCAGCAGCAGCGTTGAACCCCTCCTGTTTGGATGCGTACAGATATTGGGTGGGCAGTGTGTGCGCTCAGGCAGACTGTCCAAGGCTGCTGCTTTGGAAAATCAATGAGACTGCTCGTCCACAGTGTCAGGCGTTGGCCGTCCCGCCCTTCGCTAACGACTCGGTTGACAAGGAAACCTCATGGGACAATAGTGCCTATTGTTCATGAGTCTACGAGGCTGATCTGCACATACTGTAGAAAGACGATTATTGCGGCATTGTATACACGAGAATAGTGCCGGTGATGAAGCAGCGCATTGTCTGATTGCGCAGTACCGCGCAAAGGGTATACCCCGATAACGAATCGATGGAGGTTTGGAGGGGCATCGTCTTCCTGCGCACCCCGTGTGTGAAGCCCGCCGCCCTGACAAGCCACGCGGATGCGGTGGTTTGCGAACGATCTTCACTTCATCGAGAACACGGTCACGTGATTGATACAGAGGTAAACATCCCAAGGTTGTCGACGGTGTCGTCAGTGAGAGCAATCTGCCAAACACGTAACATGAATTTGGAATCTCGAGGAATTATCTCGTATAAAAGTAGATCTCGTGTCGAATCTGCACTGCATCATTCAATTTCTAAAACAGCTCCTTGAAAATATGTCGGAGATCGTCCTCGCCCATCAGCGGTCCAGATGCTCCGTTGACGCCCAGATAGGCCGCATCCTGTGACGGTCCATCACCGATATTCGCTTGATAAACTCCAGCCGCTTCGAAGAGACTCGTCAGGTCATCCGCCATGCCCTCCGGACTTACGCTGGCCACATTCATCCACCTCCCGGGCGCCGAATTTCGATAGTTTATGGCAATCTCGTCAACATTGTGACCGGCGAGGCCAGCCATAGCTACCGCTGCCGAGTGATTCGGGTCAAAGTCCGCCGTTGTCGTGCTCGCTTTTGAAGCTGGGACCAAGGCTTTGTCTTTTGCACGATCCTGTTGCTGGCCCAGGCCCAGCCGCGGTGCGAAGTCCTTCAGAACACGGATAGTCTTCCAGAGCTTTTTGCTCACCCAACTTCCTTTGCTGAAGCCTCGAACTAGGTCGAGAGCCATGAAGAATTCTTCCCGAACCTGATCGGCGAAAACAGCAGGAGTGTGACTGACGGCCAAGAACAACACAGCCAGTGCCGACGTCAAGAATGCGTTGAAGAGCACTTGTTGTGTGCGATAGATGTCTGAGGTTTGGTTGACATGTGTTAGCACGCGCATAGTATCCTTGGCAACTCCTACCACCGTTCGAGCTTGCTCTCGGTGCTGCATTATGGATGTCGCCGAGTGCAACACGCCTCTATATATCTGAATGCGCATCGAGTTGGTCCGTAAGTACATTAATATCCGCACTCGCTGCATTGGGCGCGATACGCCTGTCTCGATGCTCTTTGTCGGCTGCGAGGGATGTTCGTAGCGGAATTCTGCTGGTAGATTCTGGTGCCATTGCAAGATTTGGTAGTCTAGGAATGCCATGTCCTTGGTCGTGGATGCTGAATTGTTTGTTGGAACAGTCGCGACCGTCCGCCACACCTCGCTACTTATAGCAGAGTATTGAATCATCGCACATAGATAGGGAGATGTATCCTCTGGTTTAGGCACATTCGGATCAATGTCGGAGTCTTGTAGAGCGAATGGCATCCCTGTGCCAAAACTCCACCGCCGGTCTAAAATGTAAATTGCCCAGAAAAGTGACATGAGATCGGAACGTGCTTTCTCATCCTTAATTGCGTCGTAGGTTTCGCGGCGATGCAGCCCAAGCTCGATACACATACGAGCAGTCAGACCTGTCAGTCGCCAGGCCGCACCCTCATCATCACGATGAAATTCGAACATAGCCTAATAATCTGATCAGCTCTCATCATTTCAGGACCGGACATGCTTGTTGCCTACCGCCATGGCTAGAATCTGAGCATTCTTCTTGGTGACGCTGCTAAGGACCATACGGTCGATAGCGGGCTGAACGGACTCAACGAGGCGCAAACCGAGCTCACTCCTTCCCGAGGCTTCTACCGTCATCGCAGCACCGAGCAGGAGTTTGAGAAGATTGGTATCCTCATCATCCAGACGGTCAGATCCAGGTTCGTTTGGCTGAAATAACCCGCTTCGCCTGACAGCGTCCATAAACCTGTACAACTTGTCGACGAAACCTACCATCTCGTTGATGTCCAAGACAGGATACATAAGGCCGATTTCGTCCTCATACACCCGGCACAGACGGAGCGCCTCCTCTTTCGTAACTGCCCAAATGGGATCCTTACTTGGATGTATGCTGGCAGTGAATGGCCCATGGTGTGAAGTTTCGGGCGGCGGGCTCTCTGGTGATATGTCTACATTGCTAGCGCCGTCTCCTTTGACTCCCTGACAAATTATGCCCATGGTTTGAAGGCTGTTTTGCGCGACTCCAAAGTTGAACTCTGTACTAGTTGGACCGCGAAAGGTTGATTGGGAGTTTTGCCGTTGGCTCCTCGGTGGTCCAGGCGACATGGAAGCAGCGGGCAAAGGTGAAGTGCTGATTGACGTGTGTGGTGCGCGGCTGGAGGGATACGGCACTGATTGCAATGACGGGTCGATAGGTGTATGGGCGGGCTGCTGTAGCAGTTGAGCTCTCTGATCCAAGTGGTCTCGCATCGCATTCATCCCGGAATATAGATCAGCTACCTGCTCCTGGAGAGCGATGATATGCGCCGCCATCTCTTTATATTCCTGCGAGTCCTTGAAGGCACTGCAGCAGTTGGTATTGTACACGCATTCCAGGCTGAGGTTGCCACAACGCTGACACGGCGACTCGCCATTGCATTTTATCTTTCGTCGCTTGCATTCGTTGCTTCAACGTCTAAAGGTCAGTGATCGTATTCACTTCGAAGCATTTCCTGAAAGCGCATACCACGCGATGGACACATAACGATTGCGACGCGATCGTTGTGAGGTCTGGCCACCATGCTCGTCCTCAGCCTTGCGTTTGAGGCCATTTGGACTGTTGTGCTCATCTTGGGTTGTTTGAAAGTGTTGTGCCATTTGCGCAATAGATTGAGCATGTGAATTCATGACGCTGGCTCATGCCGGCATACAGTGCGGTATGATTCCGACAATAATGGCGACGGACAGCTACTGTTCTATACAGCTCAGGGCTGATGACCACCTGGGCTGTGATGAATTGCGGCACAGCATTGTTGAAAGCCCTGGAGGGTCCAATGTCAGTGCAAAACAAACACACAGGCCGAACTTTGGGGTCTGTGTGATGATTGACTTTAAGAAACTCTTCTAGCAGCTCGCGATATTGTCGTCGAACGGGCGGGGATAATATGACATTTATCATGACTTGCATAGGTACAGTACCCACTGCATAACATATTCCGTGTCATTCATGCCTATCTACCTAGGTAGGTAGATACATAGGCTTGGAAAAACAATGCGCATTCAGCTCGGTCAAAACCCTCCCGGGCTCCAAGAAATGCACTTCCGCTTCACGAAAACGACCATCAAATCGACATCTGAGTTTATTGATAATAAAAAGGGTATATCTATTACACACACGCAAGCTAGACTGAAATTTTACAGGGGATATACACTTTCCTCATATACGATGCGGCTGAACCGTGTTAAGTGTGTATCAATGCCCCAACGACGGGCGAGTCGAGCGCCGTTCATTTCGGTCCCTTGCCATTTTGGATGAAGAAGTCGTTTATCTTCGCGTATGTGAAGGGGTGAGAGTACTCGAAGTTCAATCCGTGTCCAGCGCCGGGAACAATGGTGACTTCGAAAGGAGCGGCCTTCTGGAAGAACTGCTTAGAGCTGGCAGGAATGTTGGGATGGCCGGTTGGGGCAGCAAGACAGTTGCCGCCACAGAATGGAACGTCGCGCTCGCCAGTAATGATCAGAACTGGTCCTGCAAATGTGTTGGGGGTGGCGGCTGCGCCACCTTGAGTCAACAGCTCGCCAATAGTCACAGGCTGACCAGACGCGAAGGCGTAAGCAAGGATCTTCGGGTCGAACGAGCGAGGCGCAAAGAAATCTGTCATAACACCGGTCCCATCGCCACCGGCCAGATAGCCCTGGGGGTACTCCTGGAAGGCCGGGTTGCCGTTGGCCTGGACGAAACCACCGCCAAGGGCAAATTGCGCAATGAAGCTACCGTTCTGCGAGAAACCCGTCAGCGCGATACCATCGCTGATGTTCGGGTACTGGGCGGTGACCAGGTAAGATTGCGCAGAGCCGAACGAGTGACCAACGTGGAATACTTTCTTAAACTTTGGCACGCTTTTGATTGAGCCGGCGCGGAGATTATCAGTCAAGGCCTTGAGCGCAGCAACTTCAAGGAATACCTGAATTTCGTTAACGGGCTCGCCGTGCTGAGAATGCGCGACACCAAGGCGATCCCAGGTAAAGGTAGCGAAGCCATACTGGTCAACGGCCTCATTCACGTAAGAGTAGTTGTAGTTGTTGAAAGGGGCATCCCAGTAGCTGCGGTCGAATCCAATACCGTGGGTCAGAAGTTGCACGGCATTCGGGGCTCCACGGTCAGGCTCGCAATATGTGGTTGCAAGTTGGTATTTGCCAGAGACCGTGGCGTAGCCTTTCAGAACATTTGCGGTATAATTTTTGCCGCCTTGTGTATAGTCGAGAAAGAAGTTGGTCACTTCAATGTTGTTCTGTGGTACCAGTGCCTTGGCATCAAATAAGCCGTTTCGTGCGCTGATGTCGACAGTGACCGTGATGTTCGTGCAACGCTTGGCTGATACAACGCCAGCAAGGGACGCCGCAATGGCGACAGCTGTGAACAACTTCATCTTGTAAAGTATAGTCCAAAGAAAACAGTGATAGTATACGGGGGATGGGGATTCCTGCAAAACTCGGGCATGACCGATTGGCTCGACCTATGTATATGTCCTAATTGCGAATCAAGTGGATGAACTCATCTCGAACGTCATCGTGAACGTATCAAAATACAGAGTTGACCTCCAAAGACACAATATGACGCATTGCCATCAGATACTGCTGCAACATTGACTGTTCTTCAAGCTTACACTAGTGTAAACAGTAGCCATCGCGGTCAAAATGGGCTCCCACACAGACCGATCGCGATCCGCTCGAGCCGGAGCGGAGAGCCGCATAGTACTGTACTGAATCTTGTGCAGTCAAGCCAAAATTTTGATGCAAACGAACCTAAATTGAATGAGCTATGTGGGAGCGTGCATCACAGATCGCTCAATGCTTTCTACGAGTGAGGTTCTGGGATCGTGATTTCCGGAATTGCCGGTCGTGAGTTCAAGCACAGATTAAAGTTTGCGCCAAATGCTTATAACCTTTGCCCTCAGCAGCTTAGCCTTCTGTTGGTAGAGCATCATGATGTCACAAACATCAGATCTATTTGCAATACTTCCGTGAATACAAATCTACTTAGGTACCTACCTAGGTAGGTAGCCAAGCAATGTATACAAAGTCGAGCACGTGTGTGAATCATAGCAACATGGTCGGCATGTTCATTTGATATCCGCCACTCAATAATCAGCTGTTGCTACCGACAAGGTCACAGCCACCAACATTGCTATTAGAGAAACGATGTTGGACATGCGCGTCCTCAAATGTTGGTGATATCGTATCGAGACAGCTTGGATAGCCAACCGTCCTGGAGCGCAGGCAGTTCGCGAGGGAAATTCAAAGTCGAATGGCGTCTGGATCGCTAGGTGGTGTGTCAGGGGTAGCGTCATGCTCTTGGCCTCGACTTCTTTTTTTCCATCATCACTTTTGAGGCCATTCTCAACATTGCGAGACGATTTCTGTTCTCCGGGGCATGTATCCTGGTGATTAAATGTTGCAAGGCTGATTATGCTCGACTGCAGCCAGCAGGCAGTACGATAGTGTTGTCGCAACTCTTCAGTGTTTGTGTCATCCCTTTGACCTTCACTATATGAGGCACTCTCTCCAACATCTATTACGTTGTCGCCGATGCACCGCAAATACGCTACACGGATACTACTGGCTCAAGAGCATTGATCCTTGGAAGCAGTGTTCGATTCTGAACTGTTGACACTTGGCGGTAGTAAACAACAGGGTGGTTACTGGAAAGCGATGTCATCTCGCGGTTATTTTGGCGAGGCACCTGGAGCAGCAAGGGTATTATGATAACGCTGGAATATTCATGCCGGGCCTCTTGGGTTTGGCTGAACGGCATGATTGTCTAATGCACAACGACTGGCGCAGAAAGTTTAATGCAATATAAGTCCGAAATCGTTACGAGATTCGGATGCTTTTTGATTGACTCTGGTCCCCTTGCTGTGTTCCCAACCCGTCCCACGTCTTAAGCCCGCTTGATACCGTTGAGATTGTCCTGGGCTCTGAAAACATCGCCCCTATTGAAGAAGTCGACAAACACCACATTAGGTGGTCGATTATACAAAGACACACACAGATCTGCCTGTGCACCGATACTTCCATTACCAGTGGCATTGTTGGTCTGGAAATCGCGAACATTGTCGGGAATCAGAATACCAGTGCCAGCGACATTTGTGTCGAGGAAGTGGTTCATAATGTACATGCTGTTGCTGACGCCGGTAGTGGCCGCTCTGTCGATCGTACACTGCGCAAAGTTCGGATCTGTTGTATCGTAGGGTGTCTCGGAATAATACTTGAACTCGTCTATCAAATAGAAGGTCAGTAACTTCATGATAGCATGCGTACTCGCAATCTGGCTTACCCAGAATATATGGGACCTTCGGTTCGTCCGCGCGATAGTCCATAAATACAACAGCTCGGGTTCCCGCAGCAATGAGACTTCTGTATGTAGGCCACTGGTCGAGGCTCAAAGGCTGCGGCGATGTTTCTGGAATGAACGCGTACTTCTTGAGGCCCGTAGCATTGAAGACAGCGTCGTACTGAGTGACATTGGAACGATCGGCGTTTGCTAAAATCATGCTCACGACATCGTTCGGATGACTATCGAGCCAGGTCTTGACATCAGACAAGTACTTGGCCAGGCTCCCAGCGTATAGCTCCAGACAGCTGGTATGGCAGAGCGACAGAACCCCATTGAGTACGTGGACTTGAATCTCCAGCCAGCGGATGCCGGCATCGAGTTGCGCTTTGACATTGAGTTCCTGATTGACTCGGGGATCGAGAATGGGTCCGACGAACCCCGAGTCGTGAGCTCCGATGAGGGATACATTAGAGTATTTGCGATCGCAAAACTCGGGTCGGCCGCTGCAGTTCTGCACTTGACGCGTATTAAGAAGCGCAGCCGTGCTCAGGCTAATGCCGGCCAGAAGGAGTGCGCAGAACCTCATCTCTGGAGCCAGGTGTCGATTTGTTGGGAAGACTCCGGTGTTCCAACGGAAATGGTTTTATGGGATAGGCTCGAAAGTTCCTTAGAGTGCGCGTTCCAGGATGAATGTTGACAGGACCGTGGCGTTAAATGCGGATCGCTGGAACGCTAACGTTGGTAGTGGCAATGGATAAATGTTGGATGGAATGCAACTCAACAGCCCCGGCAGCATCGTACGTCAGGCTGTCCTTTGAGAAATTGCGCTTCGGACCAGTATGCTGTTTGGGAAGGACAGCCGCACATTAACCCGGCGCGCGTTCGTCGCCACTCTCTTCGCAACGAGCCCTGGAGTGCTTGATCTGCATTTGATGGCCTTTGATGGCTTTGGTGTAGAGTCGCATTGCCAAAGCATGACCCCGGTCATTGGCTGTTTTGGTTCATCATGTCGATCAGCCGTAATTCCCGAAGCGGGGTGAGGTACGTACATGTTCGTCACGATGCAAGTATCTCACCACGCTCACGCTCTTGCAAGCAAGATGCGGTAGCTCAAAGGTTGATATTGAATTGTTCGAAATGCCATGCCTTTGAGGCGTTGAGTCGATGTCACAGACGCATTTCAAAGGTGTCTTCATCCTTAACGGTTGTGTGCTGATTGAGCTGAGAGAAATACCTGTTCATGGCATCGACGTGTTACGCTTGTGTTGACGCATGTGATCCGCAATCATCACGGCCATCTCGAAAGTCATCAGAACAATCCCTGCAGGATAGAGGTTTCCTACCATCCATGGATCTCTTGAATGATCACTCCAAATTCATCAACAAAGAGAACGCGTTGAGGAATGGACTTAGTTTTGGAGCATGGTCCACATCCTTGAGCACAGTCACGGGCAGAGATGAATCTCCCTCCTCACTGCAACTGATGCCTTGCAGCTCTGGCAAGACAAGAAGAGGTAAATCAACAATGCTGACTCTCATGCAATAGGCGAACTTGGGTTTCGCGGTGAGCGTTTGCGACTCGGATGAGTTCACGCCTGGGCGAGTGGGCAATTTAGTGTTTCTCGATGAGTCAGCCAGTTAGTCATCAATCGACGCGTCTCCGCACAATCAGTCGCGTCGTCGCGTGCTTCCAGTTCCTGAATGAAACCCAAAACAAATGCAGCTGGTCCCGCAGCTCACTCGCACGGGCGTTCCAAAGACGATACCCATTCACAGCAACGAACTGTTGGTCACGGGTGCAGCATAATCATTTATTCTACATATATCGTCTAATAGCCCGATGGCTGGCCAAAGCAAAGGCCTTTTTGAACAGGAGAACATTCATCAAGTAGGCTATTTGCAGCTGCCCCTACTTAAATCATGCTAACATGATACATTCAGAGCAAATCAACCCATTGGAGTAGGCAGCCACATCACAGACCTATACTCAGCGAGACTTCGACCAACATAGTGCTCCCCAGAGCAGCTGTTTTGTCCAATCACTATCCCACTGGCAAGCCGAGAAGTCTGCGACCGTCAACCGGTCATACCCTCGATGCGATAGGATCGAAGCCGGAAGCAGCAGCAGTCCCTACGAAGGAGCAGAGATGGAATGAAGACGGACACCGGGCTGCCGAGACAGCCACCATGGTCGAGATCAGCGTTACCCATACGCCCCAGCTAAAACACGCGAACACTTTCCCGTGCACACCAAATCCCAGGATACCGCTGGAGGACCTCATTGGAGATTGCGATGCCGCGAAACATGTTGCGCCAGTAGAGGAGTCGCCCGAGGAGCAAATTTCATGGGTCCCAAACAGTTCCTCAAATGTTATGACACCCCATCACAAACGAAAACGAGCACGAAGTTCGTCGCCTGTCTGTCCCACAACATGCTCCCAGCAGCGCAAGGCGGCATTGCAAGCCGCACAAACGCAGAGCGCCGACAAGCCCTCACCAGAAGCAGATCCTACAGCTGACCTCTGGAGGCTTTATGCAAATGGCAAACCGATCGATAATATTGCTGAATTGACAAAGTCAGCTTTCGAAGCATCGCCGCGACCATTGCTCGAAACTCCGGTCAGAAGCGGCGGATTCCGACGATGGGTAAGCACAGGGAACGATTGGCCAAACAGTCGTAATAAAAGGGTTTGCATGAATACCCGCACGAACATCAAGTTGTGGCAGGATCACACGGCGGCCGAGACCGGCGGGAAGAGTAAAGTCGCGGCGATGGTCGAAAAGATACAAGAGTCCTTGTCGTCTCAGAGTCTCTTGGCTGCACAACATCAGAGTGTCAATGAAAAGAGTGAGGCTCCCTCCAGCTCGAGTCCTCTTCCTGGGGTCAAAATGGCGCGTACGCAGGAGCGGTCAGGCTTCAGTCCTGTGCGCAAGGCTGTGATGAAAGACAGATTCAATCGGAGGGCAATGGATATTCATACCGAGTCAGCAGATGATGCTGACAGGAACCGCACAACACGTCAGCCGCCAGCCATACTAGAACTCACCTTGGGTCATTCCGTGGAATCGAAAAATATAGTTGCATCGGATATTCCGGGTTTAGCACCTTTACATTTTCGCAAGCAGGGCCTACTTCCTGCGTATAAAAGGCCCTCGATCGTCAGAGCTCCTATTGCGACGAAGCCCGATGCCGTTGTCAAAGCTGGCCCAGTGTTAGCACAAGCAATGGACGAGTTTGCTGAAGACTTCGATCTCACGGCCGATGACATTGATGAAATCATGGGCGAACTCCCTGCCGTTTCAGGAGGTTCAAAGCAGGGCTCGATTGAGGACCGCGAAGCTGTTTCCCATAGTATCGATCTTACTGAGACCGATCATAACTCCGGATATAGACCAAATCCACGGATACCACACCTGAAGAGCAACGATGATGAGTTTGGAGGAAGTGATATCGATGAAGATGATTTTGCTCTAGCGGATGTGTGCGCCACGCAAGCGCTTCGGGTCAGTCGAGATTGACCACACTACGATGATCATGTAGCTTATGAATGTATAGATGCTGCCTCATGAACTCCAAAATTGTGATAATCGACTGCCTTCACATCCGTCTGCGACTAAGACGAACATGTCTCCCACCAGCGTACAGTCCGAACAAAGAATTGCTTTGCGGCGCCATGATAGATTCATCATCAAACAAGTCCAAGAAGGGAGGTATGTGACGGAGGGAAATCAATCGCGAGAAGAGACAGTGTTGCTTGCTCAGACAGAAGCCAGCTCACGACTCGCAGCCATCACGCTTCGCGATTCATGGACTGCCACGATTGTGAAGCCTGGAGACATTATACACATTGCAGAAGCGCCACTGTCCCGCAAACCTGGCTTGCGTACCGCTGCAGAGCCCACTGGGCAGATACTGGTCGATGATAGCGACACCAGTCCATTCTTGATTGTCCATCCAGATCACATGCTTTCAGCAACGACCGTCGCTGATTCGTTTGACTGCGTCCGGAAAGCGGTCCTCCAGAATCTGATCAAAGCGACAGGCGAGACGAGCAAAGCTATGGTTTATGGCAGCATATTACACGAGATCTTCCAAAAAGCACTTTCGGCAAATCAATGGGATCCTCAATTTCTTGACGACACTGCGGAGAAGACTGTACAAGCTCATGTTGAAGGGCTGTGGGAGCTCGGCATGCGTGACCAAAATCTTGCAATCGAGGAAATCAGGGCGAAAATGGGCGAGGTGGCTGCTTGGGCCGATACCTACGTGTCAGCGCAACCGTCCGATACTGCACTGGTCGACGATCGACAAGGTCAAAAGGTCTGGATGTCGATCAGCAAGCTCATCGCGATTGAGGAGCATGTATGGTCCCCTATGTATGGACTCAAGGGCAACATCGACGCCACCATCGAAGCACATCTCTTCGATCACCCTGATCGACCCGGCAAGAAACTCATATTGCCATTCGAGGTCAAGACTGGACGGACTACACAGTCCCCAGCCCATCGTGCTCAGACGGCGCTGTATACACTTTTGTTGTCAGACAGGTACGACACTGGCGTGACCGCTGGAATATTGTACTATTTGGAGAGTTCGTCAATCTATCGAATTGCGCCGCCCGTACGAGAAGTCCGACAGATGATACAGCAGCGCAACCGCCTAGCAGTGTACATTTTCCGAGCAAGGCAACCACAGCAGAGCGCTTCGGATGACCAGCCGGATGCGCTTGCCTCACAGATTGTCGAAGGATCGGATTTGCCGAACCTTCTCAAAACCCCTTTCAAATGCAGCAAGTGTTATGCACAACAATCGTGCTTTACCTACCACGCACTCAAAGAGAACGGGACTGCCGAGACAGCTGGCATGGTTGATGACAACAAGAAAAACCATTCTCTTATCTGGCAGGAGTCTGTTGGCCACTTGTTACAATCCAAGACGCAAGGTGCGGGCCGCGTCGAGATACTGCGAAAGTGGTATACGAAGTGGGATCGCCTGTTGACTTTCGAAGAGGGCGATCAGATTCAGATGAGGAGAGAGCTTTGGACGATGTCTTCCGCGCAGAGACAGAAAGTGGGCCGATGCTTCGGGAATCTGGTGCTCAAGCATCATGGCTCGACTTCAACACGAGCTGCGTGCGGTGATGTCGATGGTGTTGGTGGCAAGATCAATCGATACACGTACAGCTTCGTTCGCTCTGCATCCGCAGCATCAGCATCATTCACGGAAGCCACGCAGCTTGTCGTGGGAGAGCCCATCGTCGTGTCATCCGAACAGGGACAATGGGCCCTTGCCAATGGATATGTGGTCGCCGTTTCGAAACATGAGCTACAAGTCGCAGTGGATCGAAAACTTGGTGAAGCTCGCCGAAGATCCAAGGATTTTGATGAAGAATCGAATCAGTCCTTCCGTGGGATCAAGAATGTGAGCAGTGTACGATCGGATGATGGCTCCACAAATGAGAAGTCTATACTATACCGTGTCGACAAGGATGAATTCTCCAACGGACTCTCATTGATTCGGAACAATTTGCTGACTCTCATGTCACCACATCCGATCCACACGAAGTTGAGAGAGCAAATCGTGTATGGTGAATCGCCCAAGTTTGCCGCATCGACCATGGAAGACATCGATTTGCAGGACAGCGCGATGAATGAAGACCAAAGGAAGGCGGTGAACACAGTGCTGTCAACGAACGATTTTGCACTTATCCTCGGTATGCCCGGCACCGGCAAAACAACCACAATCGCTCAAATCATCAAAGCTCTCCTAGCGGAGAAAAAATCCATACTGTTGACCTCATTCACCCATACAGCAGTCGATAACATTCTCTTGAAGATCCGTGACCTTGCGTCAGCAGGCAGCATCCTTCGATTGGGTGTCCCCGCCAAGATCAATCCCCAAGTTCAGGAGTTCTGCCTGCTCGCTTCTACTAATCAACCTCGAACGTCCATTGATGAAGTGGAAGAAGCGTACATGAACACCAGCATCGTGGCTTCCACTTGCATGGGCACCAATCATGCACTCTTCCGTCGTCGCACTTTTGACGTATGCATCGTGGACGAGGCAAGTCAAATCACACTCCCTACGATCCTTGGTCCCCTGCTTTGTGCGCGAAAGTTTGTGCTCGTCGGCGACCACTTCCAATTGCCGCCTCTTGTGCAGAACCGACTCGCGTTGGAAGGCGGGTTGGACGAGAGTCTGTTCCGCATGCTATGTCAGCGCAACGAAAATGAGCAGGCGGTGGTGGAGCTAGGATGTCAGTACCGCATGTGCAAAGAAATCATGAGCCTTTCCAACCAAATGATTTACGGCGGCCGTCTAAGCTGCGGGAATGAGCAAGTCGCAAACCGAACTCTGCAGCTTCCTCAGCATGATGGGTTAGCTTCGGTGCACGAACATGGTAATGCGCCTTGTGGATTCAAGAGGGGCGAGTGTTGGCTTGCCAATGCTACAAATCCAGAAAGCAAGGTCATATTTCTCAACACTGATCCGCTAGGTCAAGCGGCTAACGAGTACCTCGACGGGGGCACAAAGAATATAACCAATCCTGCAGAGGCCAGTCTCTGCCTCGAGGCCATGCTAGCTCTCCTCGCGCAGGGCGTCAAGGCTCGCGACATTGGTATCATCACACCCTATCGTTCGCAGGTCGCTCTGCTTCGTCGACTGCTCCGCTCTATCACGCCCGCCGACACTGCCACCACGCCTCTTCGCATGGCATCAATCATTGACGTTGAGGTTGACACGCCCGATCGCTATCAAGGTCGGGATAAAGAAGTCATTATCATCTCTCTCGTGAGATCCAACACGCGTGGCGATGTCGGAGAATTGCTCCGCGATTCGCGACGTGTCAATGTCGCGCTTACGAGAGCTCGGAGTAAGGTGATGCTGGTGGGGAGCAAATCTACCCTTCGAAACGGCAGCGACCTGTTGAGCGGTACTGTGAGCATCATCGACGAGGCGGATCTTTCCGGTGAAGGAATGTGTATGCTCAATCTTCCGAAGAATGCATTGGAAGGCCATTCCGGTCTCGGTAGCTGTGCGTCCCAGCAGCCCCTGGCGCTGGCTAAAGAGATTTGCTCACCTACTCCGAAGAAGAGAAAGGTCTCGAGTCCGGAAATGACGACAAGTAAGAGGCATCACTCCGTCGCGAGCGATCCTCCGAGCGCAAACGCAGATCGTTCCCTCACGGAGGATTCGCCTAGCAGAGCTATCGGCGGACACAAGAAGGGACCGAAGATCATCACCAGACATGCCGGGCAGCTTGGAGGCAAGATGAAGAAAATGAAGGAAGCACTGGCGATAGAAATCTGGGAAGATATGATCGGCGAGGATGACGAACTTGACGACTTTTGAATGCAGCCATCAAATGTTGAACATTATTTCTTTCTCTGCCGATCGGAGATCTGCAATAGTTGGCCAGAGAGCCTGTGATCGATATGTAGATCGTATGCTGTTGGTCTGCTGTCCTATATAAAGGACGACTCCTTGTGCATGCATTAGAGACATTCGCTCGGGACCGGACCCTGTCAGTGCTCATGTTCTCATTGTTCACTCCAGGGGCAAACCAAAGTAAACACAATTGCACGAAGAGTCAACGAAGCGGAATCGTGATCCAATTGACATGAATCACATCCACTTGCGGAGAACATTCGCATCAAGGCGTACAAAGTTCACCTGTGAAGCTCACTTACATCTAGGCACAAATTGACGAAGTGTTTAGTGTTTTGAGGTCTAAACACATCTGGGCATGCAATACCTCCTTGTGAGACATGTTCACAAGCAAATATATAGTGGTCGCTCGCGAGGCATGATGGTCCATCATAAAGCATTAGCTTCAGTAGTAGAGACATCCGTCGGTTCAAAACATTATCTGTACCGTGGGACACAGAACCGATCACTTGCAGCTGTACATACAAGCTCTCAGCGTATCTCTACAGCTCTTTTGGCTCACAAATTATGATGTGGCTCCACTTGGACGACTTTGGACCCTTTTTTGCTCCCTACCCTGCCAGTACGATACCACATCATCTTGCCCCGTACCCCCTTTTCACGGTTCAAAAAGAGAGCCACAGATGGGACGCTTTCAAACGCCCGGAGCAAGAGCAAAAAGAATTGGTCCCAGAGGGGGTCGAACCCTCGACCTTGGCGTTAACTGAATCTCGCGGCGAGATCTATTAGCACCACGCGCTAACCAACTGAGCCATGGAACCGGTTTACAACTATTTTAGGCTAGGTTTTATTTCGATCAGATCTGGAAGGACCGATCGACCCAACTGAGGATTCCCGAAGGACCTGCTTCTGTTGGAGAGCAATGATAAAATAGCGCTATATATCCATGGTTTTTTTCCCACAAGCGACAGAAGTTTAGGCAGAGCCGCTCTCGGGCCCTGGCCATTCATACTTCTAAATAACTATGGGCTGACAACTCTGTCCGTAAAATAAGATACTCTCACCCCCGTCTTCCAGATGTGGATCAGATTGGACGATGTACCCCGACGGCCGGGTAAAAACGAATTGACATCCTTACCTACTTTACCTTTCAACGTTATGCAGTGGACAGGGACTGTATTAGTCATCGCAAAAACCAATCATCGGATTAGTCATCCGCGTGCCCCGTCCACGGATCCGATTCGATCGATACCTGGCCACGGGCAGAATAGGGAAACAAACCATTCTCATGCGTGCGACTCGACGACAGTAGTCCTTTGTAATGGTAGGATCAAGCGTGATCTCACGGACCAGCGTAGCAGGGAATGGCAAGCTCGCAATCGAAAAACCCCGGCGCAAAACGCGATTACAAACCCCATCTTGAAGATGAGCAAACAGAGTCGCGTAGCACGCGCCACCAAAGTCGATCGACCTAGCACGAGCAGCTCTATGTCACTAGCACCGCCCTTTGCACTAGCCGAAGAAAGGCACGAAATACTACGGTCTATGGCAAAGGTGATCGACGGACGCCACAGACTCTGGCACGAGCACAACCTCAATGACCTCGAAGACGAGGTCTACGCTCGCATCGAGCTACACCTTGCCATGTTGGGGATATTAAAAAGGGTAAATCCACTACAAATTCGACCCTCGAAATTTAAAGGTTATATAGAACCTGATGTCTGCTTTACCTTCGTAGATATAAAGAACTTAGCTATTCATAATCCTACGATGTTTATATTATTATATATAATAGAGTATTCCGCTAGCTACATTCTGGTCTATTTTTCTTATGGTAAGAACAAGATTGAAATAAGTTATTGAGCATTGTATCAAAATTTGCCCTTTTTTTGTCCCCCACGTGGCAGCTGAAGAGCGCCAAGAAGCCGGTCAAGCCAAACAATGGCCCGAGCGACAGCGATGACAGCACCGATAGCAACAAGAACCCACCAGACGGCGACCCAAGGGACAAAAAGTCACGCGCAAGGAGGGAGAAATACCCCAACAACTTCGATGTTCACACCAGAATCTGGCGGTATGAAGACAAGGCAGAATGGTCCGACGAGATGCTGGTGGCAAAGGCGGAATCTGGGAGGGACCTTCGATCAGACCCGCTGTTCTTCGTCTTTAATGCAGCGGTAAGGTCTTGCTTAGCCTGCCAGCGCATCGCCCTCGAACAGCTAGATGCTAGACGCGTGCAGCGCGATGGTCTTCATCTTTAAAGTCGGCGTGCCGGCTCAAGCGCGCTATGAAGTTACGACGTGCTCAATCTCAACGGACCATGAAGGGTATTATGTGATCGATCCGGCGATGGGAGGAGGGTAGCACCGAACACGGCCTGTAGATCGGAACCGACACGACCGTACGGTACTTTCTATTTGAATACACCGCCCATAGTGTTGAGGCGGACTGATCTATGGAGATCTCCGTTTCATATATAGACGCCTATTCATTGGGTAAAAAAGCAAAAAGAAACTATGTGCCTTCTTAAAAAGCAGTGTTCGTGAACTATACTTCTTATACATAGACCGTACCACATAATGCCCTGATCTTTTCCGTGTACACTTATTGAATGAACGGTCTGCAAGGCTTGGGCACAAACCTGCGAACTTCGAGGAAATGTAATTGCCGTACAATGTGAGTTTCGCCGATGATGCAGGCCTTTCGCATCAGCACGCCCGAAACAAATTGTAGCTTTCTAGTCCGGAAGCCGCCACAGCTTGAACCAATGCTGAATGTATCGCCATAGTGCTGAAATAACAAGTTGCATGACCATCGATGAGATCGCCATGATTGGGACAGACGCCGCAACCCAAACCCATAAGACTTTTCTCCCGGAAAATTTTGCAACGATGACAAAACCAGTCTCGCATCGTGCTCTTCTTTTCCTTCCTCACCATTCATGACCCAATCTTCTTAGAGGACGAAGCTGGCTTGTGCGATTTTTAGACGTTGGAAACCGGTGCGACCATCATCTTCTCGCGCCAAGAAAGAACCGCGCAGAACCTCGCACACCTTCAGATAGCTTGCTGTCACTTTGCAATCTCAACACCGCCGGTGGCACCTGAAGATTATGTTAGTAGAAACTTCTTGCCGTGCTTGGAAGCTTGGTCCCGATTGACCCAAAGATTCTCAGCGTAAAGAACATACCCAAAAGCTTCTTGATGTCTCCGTAGATGGCGAACTGACCTGCGGTCAGACCACCAACCATAAAAAGACGAGTGGGCAAACCAGCAAATGAACCACGGAGGCCGAGCTGACTGGCGATCTTGATCAGGCGGGAGACGGTGCCCTCACCTGGCGCACCCTTTGTCTTATTGATCTTGGAGAGCATAGTGTCGGCGGGCTGGGATACGATGGCTGCAGCGAAACCGGCGAGGAGACCGGATCCCAGGTTGATGCCGGTAGTTGCACCGCTCGACAGGGTCGATTTATCGACTTTGCTGAAAAAGAACTCGGCGATTTTCTCGAACGCGACGAACTTCGTGACGGTATAGGGAACTCTATTTGACCGCATAAGTCGATTTCCTCAAAAGTGTATGTAGTAGTCATAGCTGCGCTCGAGACACTGGCCAGGCTATTCTTAGGGCGGGTTGGGAGGAGGGGGGGATTTGTCTCAGACGCGAGAACTTCATCAGCAAAACAGATATGGAACAGGGTAGAACCTACTGCTTGAACAGAATAGGGCCAAACCCGCTATAGAGAGCACCAACACCCTCCTGGGATACGATCTTGCTGAGTCCATCGACCAGGCCCTTGGCGAAACCAGGCTGGGAAACTAATCGAATACGTGTCGCCTCGAGCGGGCAAAGTGCAATCGAGGCGAAGAATTCGGCCGAGGCGGCAGAGACAGAGTACACGGCGGTACGATATTCGCGAGCCTTGTCGAGGCCGAGGAAGTTGATCGACTGCTTCTTGAAGAACTCGTACCCGCCGAACTTGAAGGCACCCTGGATAAAGTATCCGGTGAAGGTCGGGCCAAAACCGGTGAGCAGGGCACCAGCACCCTCATTAGCGATAACCTGGCGGAAACCACCGATCATGCCCCGGTTGTAAGTGGCCGGGTCGAGCTGAATGCGGGTCTTGACGCTGTGAGCGGCGTGTCAACCAGAGTCAAATGTGCACATGTTCTCCGCCTTCGCGTCGGCGCACGACAGTCCGAGGACACAAGCGAATGCGCATTTGGAGGGCTGAAGATACGTGAAAGACGAATTCAGACGTACACATCGACGGGAGTGAAGGCGCCGTGGGTGAGCGAGCAGCCAAGAGCACCGGCGAGCGCAAATCGGGCGTAGAGGTCCAGGCCGCTCGGCGCTGCTGTGACCGCAGGGAGCGTGTCCTTGACTGGTTTTGCGGTACTCATTTTGAATTCGTGTCGGTGTATGTGAGCGGTTGGTTGGAGAGAAGAGGGAACAAGGAGAAAGAAGTAGGTCAGTTGGCGCTGGTGACGGTGATCGTGGGCTCGGGGTCGAAGGAACACATTTCTCAGCTGGTAAATGTTGGGAGCACGAAAAGCAGCCGGAGGCCCGGGCCCTACTACTGGAGAGCTGGGGACCTGCGCAAACTTAGTATTCAGGCGGCCGGCGATCGAGCGCGACGCGAAACAGAGTTTCTACACTTACCTACGGGAGTTGATAACCCAACTGGCACCGGTGGCTGACATAAGCGCCCACCGGTAGCTGACATAATCAAGAACGTACCTCTGGCAATACCTCGATAGGGCCCTTCGTTGGAACTCTGTTGCCCTACCCTCACACGGAACGTGATTCTCCTGTAAGCGGACATCCAACCACGTTGTGCCGCCTCTGGTATGTGTATCCTACAGTACCCATGGATGTCTTCATCTCGTCCTTTCATCCCTCTCGCACATTGTCTCTGTGTTGTGTCAACAAGTCGTTCGTGAGATATTCATTCTAGCTTTCCTACCTACGACAACTCTGCGAAGCTTCTCAAAGCGGCTTTGTCGTTCTTTGAACTGCCTTTCATTAATTCTCTACGTAAATCCTACTGCTCATTCATTACGATATCCTTCTCACAGCCCGCCCACCATTCCTCAACGTTGTCACTAGTATGATGCAAAGAAGCGCAATGCCACCTTCCTTTCCGCCACATCATATCGTCCACGACGAAGAGTCAGACGACAGTGAAGGTGGTGATCTTGGCCCCGACTCGACCGTGGATCACAGCGATGCCGATGAGAGAGACGGCGATCATGAAGATTACGACGATCTCGAACACATGGGCGGAGACATGGCACAGAGCACATACTCTGAGCAATTGGCTCGAAGTCAGACCGGAGAGTCGGAACCTCAGGGAATGCTTGCCAGAGACAGACAACGTAGAACGACATTCTACAGCTATCAGCTAGAGAAGCAGATGTCCCATGTTGAAGCGAAGCAGTTCTATCAGCAGCAACGACAGAACACCATCGATGGCAATAGTACATCAGCGACTCCATTGACTAGCAGAAGCCCTATCATACATCCAAGAGCATTTCCAATCCTGGGCGGCGATCAAAGCACGCTCGGATACTCTGGAAGCGTTCGTAGTCACCAAAGTTCCAAGCCTCCAGCATATCAATCTGCACTGCCTGTTGGCCTTGTGGACCCTACCAAGGCACCAGATCACCCAAGCGTTCAAACCCCCAATCTGGGTCGATTTGAAGGGATCAATGGCACCGCGTCAGCCTCGAATGTCGGTCCGTCAGCTTTGCGTACCGACACGTCGCATTACCATCCGTCATTCGCTCAGCACTCCGATTCACAGATGGCTCCAGCCGAGCCAACTCATGACGCAGCTCCAGCAATTCACTCTAGCGTCGCAACGGAGCTCAACGAGATCTACAGCAATATTCAGAAGATTCTTGACATTCGCCACAAATACATTCGCCTGTCGCTGCAAGGTCCAACGGACAATCCACGAGACGATCCTGGCTGGAACATTTACCCTCCACCGCCAGAGCCCGTCTGGCAGAACAACAAAGAGCGAGCCGAGCCATCTCAAGAAGCAGACCAGAGCGGGGCCCGCTCACCGCCCATTACGCCTGCAGATGGAGCTGCGACAAACTCGCAGCGGCCATCACGGAAGATGGGTACTGACATTGGCGAAGACTTCTACTATGAAGACTGCCTTCCGCTACCAGAGGCCTCCGAGATGACGTTCCAGCTAGATGCGAAAGGTGTATTTCAAGTCTACGAAACAAAAACTTCTGTTGAGATGGGCGAACCAATCATTCACATTCCGGATATCCGGGAATTCTACATGGATCTGGATACAGTTCTCGGAATATCGTCAGATGGACCGAGCAAGTCATTTGCATTCCGCCGGCTGCAATATCTCGAGGGCAAGTTCAACCTCTACAACTTGCTGAATGAGTATCAAGAAATTGCAGACACAAAAGCTGTGCCGCATCGTGACTTCTACAACGTACGAAAGGTTGATACACACGTTCACCACTCTGCTTGTATGAATCAAAAGCACTTGTTAAGATTTATCAAGAGCAAGATGAAGAAATCGCCCGATGAAGTCGTTCTCTTCAGAGATGGAAAGTACCTCACCCTCAAAGAGGTGTTTGAAAGCTTGAAGCTTACAGCTTATGACTTGAGTATCGACACATTAGATATGCACGCGCATGTGGATTCTTTCCACCGGTTCGACAAGTTCAACCTTAAATACAACCCTGTTGGCGAAAGCAGATTGCGAACAATCTTTCTGAAGACGGACAATCACATCCAGGGCCGCTATCTTGCTGAAATCACTAAAGAAGTCATCTCGGATCTAGAAAGCAGCAAATACCAAATGGTAGAGTGGCGCATCAGCATCTATGGTCGCAGCCTGGACGAGTGGGACAAGTTGGCCGCTTGGGTGGTCGACAATAAACTATACTCGCCGAACGTTCGTTGGCTGATCCAGGTGCCGCGACTGTTCGACGTCTACAAGTCATCCGGTCTGATGGACAAGTACGAAGAAGTGGTGAAGAATGTGTTCCAGCCTCTGTTCGAAGTCACGCAGAATCCGAGCACGCATCCAAAGTTGCACGTCTTCTTGCAGAGAGTCATTGGGTTTGACTCCGTTGATGACGAAAGCAAGGCTGAGCGTCGTATTTATCGCAAGTTCCCTCTACCGAAGGATTGGAGCACGCCACAAAATCCTCCCTACAGCTACTGGATTTATTACCTCTTTGCCAACATTGCCTCACTCAACGTGTGGCGGAAGCAGAGAGGATTTAATACATTCGTACTAAGACCCCACTGTGGTGAAGCAGGAGACACAGACCATCTGGCCGCTGCCGTCTTGTGTTGCCACAGCATCAGCCACGGTCTGCTTCTTCGCAAGGTTCCGCTACTACAGTACATCTTCTACCTCGAACGCATTGGTGTTGCCATGTCACCGCTTAGCAACAACGCGTTATTCCTCGCCTACGAACGCAATCCCTTCCTACAATACTTCCGACGAGGCTTGAACGTGAGTCTCTCGACCGACGATCCTTTACAATTCGCTTTCACCAAAGAGCCCCTGATCGAAGAATATGCCGTTGCTGCACAAATCTACAAGCTGTCCGCGGTCGACATGTGCGAACTGGCCAAGAACTCCGTCCTACAGTCCGGTTTCGAGCATGCCATGAAGCAGAGGTGGTTGGGCAAGAACTTCCACCTCCCGGGCACGGCAGGAAACGACATGGCCAAGGTCAACGTTCCCAACATCCGCGAGGCCTACCGCCACGAGACCTGGCTCCAGGAAATGGCCATGATCGATCGATACACCAACGCTCCCGCCGGCAGCCGAATCAGCGCCTCGAGACTCGCGCCCGACGCCGCCGCAGCAACAGCAAGCTCGCAAATCCCACCACCCAGCCCCACCGTGAGCATGAAGACTAATCCCTCGGCAACGAATTTGCTGGCCAGCGACTTCTCCGGCCGCACGCGACCGGGCCACCACACACCAAGCGAGGTCCTCTCCCAACTCCCGCACGCCTATCTCCCCAACGCTCAAGCCGCGCGTACCGCCGGTGGTTCTGGCGGCGGCCCATCCCTCAGCGTCGAAGTGCCCCACGACACAGCCGAGACCAGTCTCCCGCACCGGCCCTCCAAGCTTCGCGACACCACCGTGCCCGCCGAAGCGACGTCAGCAGCAGCAGATCCCACCACGGAGCTCGCCAGCCCGACCGGCGGCGACAACAGGGCGGCCCTGAGTCCCACCGGTTCCAATATGCACAATTCCCTGACGGGACTCGGCGGCCTCGATGGCGGTTCGCCGCGGATTTTTCCCGGCGTGGTGAGTCGACAGCGGAAAGCGTCGATGGATGAGACTTCACTGGCGGCTCGGGAAAGTTGAGCAAGGGGACGATGAGTCGCCAGTGATGGACAGAGGTTCTTTCCAGTCAGGGCGGTCCAACTTTTCAGGTCTGGTCGAAACAATCCTCAGCCCAAAATAGCTGTAAATCGGTTCCATGGCTCAGTTGGTTAGCGCGTGGTGCTAATAGATCTCGTCGAGAGATTCGGTTTACTCCTCGGAACGCGTTTTCCCTCATGCTTCCAGCCTCCCAGGAACAATTTGCGCACGTTAATCATGATGGTAGAAATCAACGGTAGTAGGAACTGGTGGGAGTAGTATTGATGTGTATGCATTGATTTCTACGTTCTTCTGTATGGAGAACAGGGCCAACAGACCAGGAAAAAACAACAAGCCAAAGATTTCGCGATTCATATCCCTCCCCCCAAAAACGCCGTCATGCCAAACGTGAGAGGACCCTTGGCGAATTCCTCCCTGATGATGAATAGTCGTAGGTATGTTAGATATGGGGGCCGCTCGTGAGAGTCCTCAATAGCTCCCAAAAAAATGCTGCGGCATAGACTCGTCAAAAAAGCCAATGACGGAAAAGGGTATCCTATCTCTTCTTCCTCTTCGTTTTATCTTTCTCTTCTTTCAACAATTTCTTCGTAAGACTCATGATATGACTTCCTCCTCGTCGTCTTTTCTGCACCGAAACCAGAAAGTTTGAAGGATTTTCAATCAATGTCCGAAATTCTCTTCCAACTGCTCTGGGTCCATGGTATTCACAAAAGCGCGTGAGACAAACGCGTACCACGCCTCGTTGCGCTTGCGGTGCTTGTGGGCCTTCTTGTGCTTGTTCTTCTTGTGCTTCTTCTTTTTCTTCTCGGCGTCTACATCTTTCTCTTGCTCATCCTCGTCATCGCCGCCGTGGCAGTCCATGACGTACTTCTCCGGCTTGAAGTTGCCGATCCGTCGGGCGAGGTCGATCATGCTCGGCATGGTCAGGTCCTTGAGGTGGTAGATTTCGTCTTTGGCGGTGTCGTAGAGGACTTCGAATTTGAACTTCTTCGGGTTGGGCTTGTGGTCGCGTTCGTGGGGCTTCTTGCCCTTGTGTTTGCCCTCGTTCCATTTAGTGGCGTCGAGCTCGTTGTCCGCGTCTGCGCTGCTGGTGAAGTCGTTGTTGATGACGGTGAGGTTGGCGTAATATTGCGTGTATTTCAGCAGAGAGAAGGCTTGCATGGAGTAAGCGGGCCCTGGAGGAGCGGACTTGGATGGCGGTTCAGGGACCTCGAACCAGTGCTGTCGCTCCTTCTTTGCCATGTCCGAGATAGGCTCGGTTGCAGGCGGGGGAATAGGTTGGGAGTATATCTCATCCTCGTCGAGTCCCTCGATGTTGTATTCGAAAATCCGGAAAGTGGGAAACAGGTTGGGTACCACACTTGAACTGATAAAGGATGCTGAATAGCGCTCGGCATATTCGCCGCCGATCTTTTTGAAATACTCGGCCGCCTCTGCTTCAAAGTCGCGATCGCTTCGAAGACTCTCCATCCAGGTTAGGGCCTTGGGCTCCTTGGGCAGGGTCGACCACTCATCGCGCAACTGCATCCAGTAGTTCTTGGAGAGCTGCGACTCGACATCACCATCGCCGATCTGTTCGGTACGGAGGTAGCTCATGTGGCCATCCTTGGTGTCCTTGTCAATCTGCTCGAAATCCTGGAACATGAAATGCTCAAAATTGAAATGTCCGTAGTGCGTGCTGACGATGACGTCGCGGTATTGGCGTGTCCAAAGAGCATACTTTTGCCAACACGTCTCATCCCAGCTCGTTTTGGCATCCTGACGGACTGGCGGCACATGGCCGATGAGCATGGCCTTCATTCCGCGCTCGCGCATGAACTGCAATTGAATGCGAAGCCACTCCATCTGCTGGTATCCTGGCTCAGAGTGCGCAGCGCAGCCTTCGACGAGAGTGTTGCTGGCGAAAAAGTACATGGTGTTCAAGCTGAAGACGGCAAGCTTGTGAGGAATGACCTCAACGTAGAACCAACCTCCCTGCTCGAACTGATGCTTTTGCACCTCAGGAATGAACTGCCTCCAAACCTGAGAGTATGTTCGTGTCCAGTCATTGGGACCCTTGGCGAGAATGTTGTGTGGAAGAATGTCGTTGTTGCCGATATTGGGCACGATGGGAATGATGAAATCATTGTTGGGATCATCGTCCGTCTCATCACCGTTGTGCTTGCCAAAAGTCTCTGCCATCTTTTGAACCAAGAATTTGTTGAGTGATACGACCTGCTCGCGACTCCGAGGAAGCTCATCATCGTTGTCATGCCGAGCAGAATCACCGGTCCAGATGACGAAGTCGATCTTATCTCGGACATTCTCCGCCACCCATTCCATTGTTTTGTTCACGAGTGAAAAGGGACTGTCGCACTCGCTGGTCTCTGCACCGTAGATGCCCGCAGGACCCTGCCCTCTGTGACAGGCGCCATCTTTACTGGTCGAGGAGTATACTTCGTAATGAGGATCGGGGTGAAAGTCTGCGTCGAGTCAGTGTGAGCTCCTACGCAGGGCACGACGATTCTAAAAAAATCTACTGACCTGTAATCTGTAGGAAACGGCCACGAAGTTTGCGATGTGAGTCCGTGGTGCCAGAGGTTTTGTGTATCCGTCTATCCGCTGTGATGGGAATTTGGACTGGCGGCGGAACAGCGAGCGTGTGCGCCACGAAGATGGCCGTGAGGCCGGCCGAGAAGGTGCGCATGTCGATCTAAATGTATGTGAAGCAGGGACGTGAAGAATGCCAAATGCGGGCTGAGTAGGAAATGTAGCGTAGGCGAAGGACCAGCGATGTCGACAATTGTCCCATGCGAAACCAGATGCACGCCCGTTCTCTTGTCTAATGATGCTCCCACGCGCCTACCACTCTATTCGCACCCAGACTACCCACGTAGCCGTCTCCGGTAGAAATTGCCCAGAGACCCACGTTCTCAGGCGCCAGAGACCTAGAAAGGAAGCCGAAGATGGTTTTGTGCGAATCGCTGGTGTTTCCTGCCTAGTTCGATGCTGGCGTTATTTCGAGGTCGGCTACGTCAGCGACGCAGGTACGGGCGGGCTGCGGACAAAAAAGCTGTGTGGAGAAGAGTCGTTCCCACCGCTCAATAGCGCTATAACCACCAGCTGGCGGAGAAGAGGCAACACGATGCCGTCCAGGCGGTATGATGGTGTCGCTGGTGAAGACAAATGCGCTGAGCAGGTAGGACTGCCGAGCTGAGTAGAAAGCGCTCGGTGAGAGGTTGTGAGGAGGCGACGGAGGAATTGCTTTTGTTCTCCCTGTCGCTAGTAACGGTGGTGACAGCCCGTGTAGTGTAGCAGAGCAGCGTTTCTCGGCGGCGAGTAGATGAAGCGAGATACAGAGAAAGGAGGATGATTCACGAGCGGATATAATAAATGATGGAGATGCGAAGATGGACTGACTGTTTGAGTATATATGTGCGTGGGCAGTACATCTTGCCTGGGTATAATCATAACTATCCTTACCATTACCTCTCTCTTTTTTTTCTCCCTCGCCCGACCAGCCTGCCATCGTTGCTGCATGTCATGCTCACAGTACCGTAGTGGAGGTACACGGGCGACGGCGATCCACCAATATGCATCGATTGCCCACCGTTTGTGTGGATGATCTCGAGAGTCAAGACGACCTTGATGGAGGCACGCGACACACACCACGAAGAGAAAAATCCCACATGCGCAACCAGAATCTGGTTCGGACACGGTCAAGGCGATCATTGGGAGGTGAGAGACCCGTGTTCCGTTGTCGTCACCCACGCCCGATGGATCATGCGGCAGTCATTATTGGGGGAAAGAGGCACGAGAGGGTTTCAGGCCTTTAGAGCCCCCAGCACCAATGAGATCAGGCGGCGCGAGGCACGTTTCGCTTTGAACCGCGCTGGGAGGCTCACTGACCACTGCCATCAATTCCCTCCAACGCTCCTAATTATTCCATCCCGCCTTCATGTGCGATTCGTCATGCCGAGTAGTATATATCTTATGCTATGGAAAGAGATTCATCACGATCGAGGCAGGTCGCGGTTCCACGTACAGTATCCCACAATGTATTCTTGTGAATAATAACAACAACAATAACAACCACCACCACCACCATATCAAACGACAAGACAGGATGATACCAAGATACTTGATAATCATCCCGTATTGATCATGTCGGCGAGCATTGTTGCTGGGCGGGTCTTCTTAGGTGTCACGGTGTGTGTCTCTGTCCCCAGGTTTCTTCCCACCGCCCTCCATCACATCTACATGGAGGAGTGCAGCATGTATACGCTATACTACCTCACAAGGCACTTTTCATGAAACATACAATGCAGACCAACAACGTCCTCCTCCTCCTCCTCCTCCTCCTCCTGCTGGACGTCAGCCCTGCCTGATGGTTTTATTCGAGTACGCACCTAGGTATCCACCATATAATAAATACTTCAAGAATCGTCAAGCAAATTCCATGCCACCTCAGAATGCACGTCGACAGCCTCCTCTCCTTCGCCTGCGTTTGAAGACAGTCGCAACGGCGAATTCGTCACGAGCAAGTTTGTTCAACCACGTCCTTTGCGGTTCACTAGCAAATCTCCCTCATTGTCCTGCATGTATGAAACGTTGCCCAGGAAATGATTGAGCATACGCCAACCGCGATCATCTCACACACATATCCCGCCCCGCTTGTTCGCTCGTTCGCTTGCCCCACGTTCGAATGAGGGCTGAAATGTTCGAAGTTTGGCTCTCCCAACCGCCATCCCGTAATTAGGTGGTCAACACACATGAGGAGCACTGTGTTGTTGTATCATGACGACAGCAGATAACGACTGCTGATGCTGATGGTCGCCATGTTGCGGCATTAAAGGGAATGATGATGGCGCCTAAGAACAGGTAGTACAGTGAATAGCAACAGCTGGGTCCGTCATTCGCGATGTATCCTACATGTACCTACTACATGTACGAACCCCAAGGCAAGAACTAGAACAACAACATAGTCACGTATCACAAAATACACCTGCACACCTGTAGAGAGGTGAAGTAGTTTGTCTTCCTTAAGCTGGGGAAAAGCTACGAGTCGACAGCTACCGATAGCGATATAACGCCTAGCCCATGTGATCGTCTATTCACAACGTCCGACATTGCCCGCAAAATACCACTTTCCGAGGTCTTTTTCGTGGATGATGATCATCACCACCACCAATTCTTGGGTCTCGGACACGCTGGGAAGAAACGGCATGATGAGAGGAAGGAATGTAACCCATGACAGAACAAAAAGCAAATGCACCATTGCCTTCCCATCTTTCACTTCGAAAACAGAAATGCAAAAGTCCCTACCGGTCGGTCCACTTCATATAATAACATGCCACAAACATTACCGTCATGTCATCATCAATAAGAATCATGCAGCCACCTTTATCGTAGCACGTTTCGGATTCATCTCCTTCTTGTAGACCGCAACTTCCTCTCGTAATACGCCTTACGGCGTGGCTGACAGAGTGAGAGGGAGAAAGAGAGAAAGAGACACATGCGTGCGCGCAACATCACCGCCCGTCAAAGCGGTCTGCACGGCATCGGACCGCGAGGCGCCTGCAGAGAGCGGCACATGAGGGCAACGAGTGACATTACCATCATCGGCATTTCATTATTTGTTCGTTTGGTGAAGAAGACTGTATACACAAAAGTTTGTACCTATGCACGCCTGATGAGTGTGACGAGCGATGGTTGTGGATCGCAAAATGGATCGGTTGCTTCCCTGTCCGGTACACATTTGCACGAGAAAATGAAATGCGGTTATAATCCACGCCTTTTGCCAGGCCACGAGAACATATCATGACCGGTAGGATCGGCGTCATGATCATCGTTATTGCTATTATTGTTGTTGTTCCTCGTCGCTAGTGTTCAGAATTTCCAGCTTTGCGCTCGCGTGCTCACATTCACCAGTTATTAAGGCGAGTAGAGCTTGATGTCTGGCCGGTAAGCCGAGAATAGTAGCGTAGTGAGACAAGGGCACGCGACACCTCCTTCTCCCCTCCTTCCAGCGCGAATTTCCGGCCACACAGATGCACACATATCTCCACCCTTCCCGGGTTTCAGATCGGCCATGGTTGCGTTCGCTGGCGCCCACGCGCGCGCGTTGCAGATCTATCCTGTTGGCGGGAAGGATGATAGCAGTTTTGCACGAACTCAATTTGGCATCTCCGTGATCTTATCATATGCCGTGCTCGGGATCTAACGCTCGACCTCGCTCGGTTGGTCGTCTTCTCTTATGCGCAGATCAATCTAGGGGGGCAAAAATGACGCATAGGGCCAGTTTTTCCAACGCGAAGATCATCAGCGTTATTGACTTCACGATGCAGTCTCTGCCTGCCGTGCCTGCTCCTGCTTCCACTTCTGGGCCATCAGCATCAACTTGTTCACCCCCGCGCTGCTCTCGTTGTCCGCGGGGAAAACGTAATCGTAGTATTCCTCGAAGGAATCGTCGTCCAGCTTTCTCCGCTTCTTGACCTGGCGCGGCTGCTGCTTCGCGATGCGCTCCTGGTCCTCCGGTGTGCCGTGCGCCTCCTCGAAACTCTGCCATGCGTTGAGAATTTGCACGCGCTCGTCTGTGAGGGACCGATCGCGGTAGATCTTGTGTGCGCGCTCGAAGATCTTGCGGGCTCGCGCCTTGGCTGCATCGGAAATGGGCGCTGCTTCGGCCTCGTCTTCGGCCTCTTCGCCCTCGAAGCCTTCGGGAATGTTGATCTCGAAGTGCGCGTAGCTTGTCCAGACTTTGACGTGATCTGTTTTGGACAGCAGTCGTTCGTATAATGCCCGCGTACGATCGTATTCGCCCTCTTCCTCCTCAAAATCGATGAAAGCCTTCCAGACCAGCTCCGGCATATCAATTACATCTTGTTGCACTGCGAGGGAAAATATTGCCCTCGTCCGATCGAGATCTTCCAATCCTCTCTCGAGCTCTGCGAACTTGATCCAAGCTTGACTGTTTGATGAATCAAACTCGATCCATTTCTCGTACAGCGTTCGACACCGCGCAAATTCAAATAGCTTTAACTCAATATCGATGTACGCCCGGAAAAGGCGATTCTTCGGGCACATGCCAATGGCCATTCCCATCGTCTTTCTCGCCCGATCCAATTGTTGCTGACGGAGATGAAATTGCGCTTTCAGAATCCATATCTTTGCAAAGGTGAACTTCTTGTGCGGTATGATTTTGAGAGCCTGCTCGTAGACCTGCGCGGCGCGATCCAACTCCCTCGTCTCCAATTCTTCGTACATGGCGTAAAAGATCCAGAGATAAAGGTATCGCCGCCAATGTCGTTTTTCGTGACTGGGAGGAATCTGCGCAATCGCCCGCTCGTATACATCCCTCACACGCTCGGAATCTTGCCCGGTCTCCTCCAGTCTCGCATAATCAAACCATGTGTCGTAGTTTTTCGGGTTCTCCGTCACCTGCTCCTCGTACAATACCCTTCGCTTCGCCAACACCACATCCACGACACCCTCGCGGTCGCCGAATTGCTTCTCGAATGTCGTATATGATTTGTGCAGTGTCGCCGATTTCGATCGCGGCATTCGGTCCAGGGCATATTTGAAGATTGCTCGCGCCCGCTCAAATTCCTTGAGCTTTGCCTCGAATCGCGCATATGCGATGAACAGTTTCTCGTCCATGAACTCATCACCTAGCGTCTCGATCGCCATACCGAAGACCTCCCGTACCAGATCACTTGTCCCATTCTCTTCCTCAAATTTAGCCCACTTGAGCCAATTCTTGGCTTCGGGATGCACAATCGTAAATCTCTCGAAAATCGACCTCGCCCGATCAAATTCCCCATAACGCTTCTCCAACTTGATGTATGCGCCCCACGCCGCCTCATCCGGTTCCCACTGCATCCACCGCTCAAAGACCGCCCTCGTACCATTGATGTTCCCCAACATCTCCTCCATGTACACATACTTGTACCACAGCTTCGCCACGCGCGGTTGCACTGTTACCGCGCGATCCAGCACATTCCTCGCGTGCGCAATATTCCGCTCCTTCATCTCGCTCTCGATGTATCGAATCCACGTGGTGACATTGGTTGGCTCGACGTCCAGCGCACGCTCGAACACACTCCGCGCACGGCGGAACTCCTTCTGTTCCAGTTCCCATGCGGCATATCGGAACCAATTGCCCATGTTGATGCGATTGCGTCGGACATAGTCTTCAAATTCCTTGCGTTTCCGCCCTTGATACTCGTGGAGCTCTTCCAGGTCTGCAAATCGCTGGGTCGGTGCGACCACGCCCGTCTCTTGTCGATCCACGGCCTCGCGGAGCAGCTGTTCGGCGGAGATCTGTTGAGGCGCGGCGGCCTTGTTCTTGACCCGTGGAGGGCCGCGTGAGGACTCCATGATGTGTGCGTCGTGGAAGCGCAAGGCTTCTGGGACGTATGAGAGAAGTGATGGTCAAAGTCCAGAGATGTGATCTGAACTTTGGAATAATTATCAGACGCCAGTGGCTAGCGCGAGAAGCTGACGTGAACTTGTCGCTCTCACCAGTGGATGTGTTAAGGCTTAGGGTTGGGCTTACGCGCTCCTCGAACATCCCCGTACACTTACACTTTTACTGGACATGGCTACACACAGATTTTATTTGACGAACAAATCTGGATCGCTTCTTCGGGCACACACAGGCGGCATTGGAAAGATTTCACATTGGTATGAAGTACAGATGTGAATAATTTGATCTCTCTGCTCCCATATTTGAGTTCAACTTTAGCAGATACAAGCGGTGAAAGCGTTGTTGTTCGAGAACAATACAGGCGTGATAGAATTTGGCCTTGCAGCGTACTTGTTGGAGAAAACTCCATATCTACGCAAAGCATCATAACACAAGACCGGGCTCCTGATTTATTTTAAGTCCATAAGTGCTCGCAAATTAATTTACTCAATCGACCATCCACATGTCACGAACCGACTCTGAGCTCGACTATCGCCAGAGGCGACGACAGTGGAACCGTACACCCCTTTTGGACCTCTTCCCACGAATTCCGCCGGCAGCCCTGGAGCGCGTCTTGGACATTTGCATAAATCTCAACTTCACCTACAATACCTCCGAGAGCCGCTTCTGGAATGCGCGGCGGTATAGCAGCATTGTAGTCGCCCATGTTCGGCACTTTTATACCGACTACGATAAGCTTCTCAGCGTGGACCGGGAAGAGCGCTTTGCTGCACGGAAAAAGACCTCGGCTAAAGTGTGGAAGATTCTCCGCGATTGGTGTCCGTGGGACGAAGCCAACGAGGCTCTGGAGCGATGCTTTCAAGTGACCTTATTGAGGCCCGAGGAGCGTGGTCAGGAGTGGGATCCGATGGATATCGATGACGAAAGATTCTTCGTCACCACGATTGTTGAGCCCACAAACGTTGGCATCGACCTTGACGAGGGAGATCCAATGGATGTTGATTGAAGACTTCTGATATTGGAGGAACATGCTTATTCACGTCGCTCCTTCACTGCTCATAGTCCAGTCTTTGCTGTCGGTATGTGGGGGAGGATGCAACGGCGTGGGCTCATAATCCTCCTCACCCGTGGTAGATTTCTTCTGTGAGCTCGCCCCACTAGCTTCTTCCTCGGATGAGCTCGAGGAACTCGTCCGCGAAGAAGAAGACCTATCAGCATAACAATGCAGCAGGTTCGGGTCGGGCTTGTGGTGTAGCCAGATCTCGTCGAAATCCTCCGGGTTTCTGCCGCGTCGCTCATTCTCCCACCGAATGTAGCGTTGAAATAATTTCGGCGAGATCCTGTAAGCCCACTCGTGGCGAATGTTCAGTTTGAGAGCTGTATATTTCTCGTCCGGCTTAGCCATTTGGAAGGACTGGATCCGGGATAACGGGTTGAGATTCGATTCCAGCAGATTCTCATTCTTGTGCGAGCGATTGACCTGGGCAAGCTCCTCCGGTAGCACGTGGTTGAGGAATTCTAAACTCGCGCCGATATTGAGATCCAGTGCTCGTCGGGGATTGGCTACAGCTTTCAAGAGCAGCGAGCACAATTGGGGGAAGAGCAACGAGAAGTCCGATTGGGTGATGTGCACTGTACCTCGGAGGGTCATCAACCAGGCTGGCGCTGGCCCAGGCTCAGATTGTGCCTCCTCAATCAAAGCTCGCACAAGCTCAAAGTTTGACGGCCAATATGTGAAGGCTTCACTATTGATAGCAATGATGGGCTTTTGAATGCGGTGTTCTGGTGACTCGTCTTTTGGTTGTTTGAGACCTGCACCCCAAATATCATAGATGATACCTTGAGTCACGTAGTTGAAGCGATCGTCGTGGCGAAGAATCTCTACTGCGGTAGCAGCACCAAAGCTATGCCCGCAGATGGTAACGTTCTGTGTCTGAAAGCTGCCTTTCCATCTCGGCCATCTCACACCTTTGAGGCCATGCCGGCTAGAGGCTTTGTATCCCTCACAGCGGAGGTTTCTATCGGCTATGAGCTGTCCATTGCCTTTCTCAATCTCGCACATGACATGGTAGGCCTCCTCGATCTCAGCCGTCCTCAGATCGATCTGAGCTGCCCGCAGCTCCTGATCGACACCCTTCTCACTATGCGGAGATGTGTCTGATGGGTTGTACTTGGAGAAAACATAGTCTACGGATCGATAGCCCTGTTTGGCCTCCTCTGCTGTGTAGTCTACTGGCTCGCAATCCTCGGATTCGACCTTTGCTGCATATTTGGGACGATTGATGAAAGTTCGTGGACCACTGCCGTCCCGGTGCTCAACTGCACACACAACAAATCCGTGGCTGGCAAATTCTCCGCAGACGGAGCTATACATCGTCCGGGTACCTCCCAATCCGTGTGAGAAGAGGATCAATGGGAATACGGGAGCTTTAGGAGCCCCAGGAGGTTTGCAGCCGCTTGTGCTAGGCTCGCTGGGTGCTGGACAATTCTTTTTGTGCTTGACCCTGGTTCTCTTGACTTCGGTTTCGACCTGAGGTGCCCAGTATCGTGATACGGGAGGATTTCGTAGTGCCGGCAACTTGGTCCACATTGTAGGGAAAAAGATTGGCACAGCAAGATTGCCAACACCTCCAAATTTGCCGTAACCTTGGGCAATCTCCACCCTTGGTCGGCCAAGCCAGAGCTCACGCGAATATCGGGGATCATGTTTTTGAAGCCCGAAATCCTTCTCGGAGCAAGGGTAATAGACTGTCATGAGCACCGTCTCGAATTGGAGGCAGAGACGTCCGTCGCGTTTGATCTTCGAAAACGCGCGGCTACGTCGGACGGGCACCTCGATTTCCATGGTGCCAACCGGATAAGGTCCTGTGTACGACGGAAGCGCACGGCCAGGGAACAGAACATGGTCGCGGAGACCTCGCGGAGGGCGAGGCTTTGGCTTTTTGCCTTTAAGCCCTTTGGATGCAGTGAAGCCACGAAGGCTGGGATGATCCTGCATCTTGTCGGCGTGTCTGTAGGCTGCAGGACTTGGACGGGTGATCTATGCGAGCACTGGTGTTGATTGATGCGCAGTTGATTCCCGTGTCTGTATATTGAGCGTGTTCGGTTCAAGTGTATATGAGATTGACGCGGCGAGAGAATTATGTCAGGAGCCGGTCAGATCCGCGCGCGAATGTGCTGCTCGGACGCGTTCGAAAGGGGTCATTGAATTTGGGAGCACATCAAAACATAGCGACATCATAATGAGGTGTTGCGGTGTTATGATAATAAAACGGCGTTCACGGGATCGAGGCGGGATTTGAGGGAAGACACAATGACGTCGTGGGATTCTGCTAGTACAAGACAACAATCGGGTCTCGCTCGCGAATGCTTATCAAGTTTGCGCTAACATTGATTGGGGAAATCGCATAGCTGATTGGAGCGCGTACACGTGGATGGACCGAATTCCGGAGACCAAGGAAATCTACATTTAAATCATGACGGTGGACTCTGATGGGTCAAGGTCTGTCTTCGTCATTAACCTCACTCCCTTTTTGGAACACGCGCCGGAGGTTGTCCATACCGAAGTCAAATTCAAACATGTCGTCCTTTCTTCACCATCGTTGACCCGCCACGGGTCTGCCCGCTGTTCTGTTCGTGCCTGTCGATTTCTCCACTTCCGTCGCCGGATTACCCATATTTTCAAGTGATCCAGATGGATGCACAATAATGAAAATGATCATCACCATGATCATCAAAGCCGCGTCAAAGACGTACAGGAAGTATTCATGTCGCAGTAAGAAGCCGTTATTGCCCATGATGTATTCGACGACTCGGAATATCGATCGAACCATGATAAGTGATGAACTCGCATGGAGCGCGAGCAGTGCGGTGGTCAGTGGTCCGCTCCCAGACGATTTCAAATATTTGCTCGCTCGGCGATATTGTAGATCAAAGTTGATCGCGACGACGAGAAACAATCCGAAAAACAACACTTGCACGAAGAGACCTGCAATAATGATGTTCTCTCCGATTTTGAGGAGCTTCAGCGATCCTGCTGCTTGGATGCCACCGCCTATGATTGTGATGCTTAGCAATGGTTCATCGCCCAAGTTCGGAGTTTGTCATGTCATTTACCGCCCAATTGAACAAAAAAGCTTACGCAGTCGCCAATAACGAACAGCTTGGTGAGCCAGCGGGTTGGAACGATTGAATATTGCCCCGCATCTAGGCGATGAATGATTCTCCCCAAGGTCATGTAGATGGTAGCAGCGAAAAGGGCTGGCGCGATCAAGAGCAGAAGCGACTGTACGATATAGGGACCAAGTGCCCAAACGTCCTGCGCAGAGACTGCACGCCCGATATATCCGATGATCTCGACTACGATGTCTACGTTAGCTAATCATATGAGAAAGCATGCCGAGCGGGAAGCCGTCACATACATATTCCTCCGATGACAAAAGGTATGAAGAACCAAATTCGCTTGCGGACCATAATGAAGGTATGCCATATCGTCGCAACGGTGAAGAGGATGGCAAAGGCGATGGCTGCTCCAAGGTTGGGCTGATACCGATAAGGTACCCACGCATTGGGATCGTCCAGAGAAGGATGCCGAGCTGCTGACATGATGAACGAGTTTGAGAGAGCAATCTGATCACTAATCCGATTGATGCTCAATCGTAAGACAAGGCACGGCTCAAAGTAGTTGATTTGTGTTGTAGACTGCGAAGCTGCTCGAGTGCTTGCTTTTCGTTGAGGCTATTTACAATTATATATTCTTCCTCCTAGGTTTGAGCTGAACAACGACGACGTGATCATTGAGGCGCAGTGAGATCATTGCCAGAAGGCAACAATGATCCGACATGAGCTGATGCATGGTGTTGCGTCAATGCGGACCTTTCGAGCCGGAGGTTGCTTCCTACAGGAGTATCCGGGCTTTGCAGGATGAAATGCGAAATACGAAAACGTGGTACATCAGCACTAGGGCGGCATGCGCGTCTAGAAAGCCCTAGATGTTAATTTAAGCAGACCCGAGCTCTCCTAGCTTTCGTATTTCGCATTTCGCATATCGATATAGGACGACCATTTCCTCTCATTGACCACCGTATGTCTTGCGCAGCCGCCGACGAACCAAGCACCCACGCGCAGGCCGAACCGAAGTCTCGCGAACGCGAAATTCGAAGTCTGGCATGGCCGGGCAAGCTGCACCGAACACCTCAGCGCACACAGGTGAACGACGACCACATCGCAAATCGAGAGCTGGATGTCTAGAGTGTAGACGTCGTCGAATCAAGGCATGTCCAGAACATCCGACTTAAATGCTGCAAGATATGATGTCAGGAGCAAGTTCGATTGTGGTTGTTCTAACAAGCCGAACAGTGTACCGAAGATAAGCCTCAATGCAAGGCGTGCGTCCGACACAGCGTACCATGCGCATATCGTGAGGTGGTACCGCCGCGGAACACTACTGCCTCACATACTCACCCGACGCGGCGAACTATCGGCTCTCAATTGGAGTCTTCCCGATATTCGGCAACGAATGTTAGCTCGCCTTCAGGGTCCGTCGATCTGACAACCAGTACCCTCAGAAGCATTTCTGCGTATGCATCCGATGCTCCAGATGTCTTCGCCCAAGCCACCATAAGCGATCTTCGACTGCTTCATCATTGGACAAGTGTCACATGCGGAAGCCTGGGCGTATCTAAGACCGTAGAACATTGCTGGCGCCACGTCATCCCACGGATCGGGTTTGAGTACCCGTTTCTTCTGCATGCCCTGCTCAGCCTGGCAGCTCTTCATCTGGCACACCTTGGTGACGGCGCGAGTAATGATTTGACCTTGAGGGCTAGTCAGCATCACGCGTCAGCTGTTCGGGGCTTTTGTGAGTGCATTCAACAAATGCGGCCCGAAGCAGCCGAGGCCAGGTTTGCATGTGCTTCTACCCAGCTTCTTTATGTGTTCGGTATGTTTAGTAGCCGTGGCGATGATACTGCAATCGATGCTGGGATGTCCGATCGCCGCAGACGCTGTCTAGGGGAGGACTGGATCCCAATGGTTCGAGGGCTAGGTGCCATATTGAGCCCAGCTTACGACATCATCAGTGCTGGAGAGCTCGGAACCATGTTGACCATGGGCAACTGGCACACGCGCGACCTCGAGGCATTAGAGTACGAAGAGGACGCGCGGTTCCGAAGTCTGGCCGCCGCATGGCATGGCGACAGTGACGCAAAAGTCTACGATGACGCGCTGCTCGGGCTCAGAAAAGGCTTTGCTTTCATGCAACAATTCAAAGACGCGCAAGGAAATTTGACTTCAGCAGACACTGGAAATGGCTTCGCATCAGGTCCTACAGCATGGCTACATTCGGTGGGTGAGGTCTATTTTAGACTGCTGCGGCATCGACAACCACCAGCTCTCTTGATCTGGGCGCATTATGCAGTGCTGTTGCATGTGATTGATGATGTGTGGTTCATGAAGGGTTGGGCCTACGATACCGTCATTGTTGTCGACGACTTACTTGGGGATGCATGGGCGCGATGGATGAAATGGCCGAAGCACGTGTGTGGTGTCCTCTGACCATATAAGCGTCCTGACTGCGCATGATAAAAGCCGATATAAATTCACGGAATGATATGATGTTTTACGAGGACATGGCGCAGTTTGGTGCCGTGTGTGGTCCGGTTGAGGAGAAATGGAGCCCTTTCCCAGCTATTTTGGTACTGCTTCAGGGCGTGACGTAAACACGATCGACGCTTCCCGATTGAACTTCACATCGGCCCTAGAGCTCTTTCAGCTGCAAACGACCGCGACAGCCACGACCAGACACTTTGGACACCCGTCTCACAAGCGGTGGAGCTTATTTCTGAAGGGAATAGATCCGAGTGTTGCTATCATCGGTATTTTGGAGCTTCCACATCATGGCTGACACGTCAACACCATTTCCCGACAACCCAGAAGAATTCGACGATGACCCCCGAGTTTCGTACAACCGCGTCGCAGGACGCTACATGCTGGAGGCCGAAGATGGAGTTGAATGGGAGTGGATCGCCAACCGCTGGACACAAACGGCACGTCGTCCCTAACTGATCCGTCCCAAGCGTGATCGATCCTGCACGAGAATGGCACCTACAGCAGGTACGCACGAGAAGCCAGCGGGACGCAAGCCTAACAAGTCCGACCATGACAGATGGATGAAGCGCTCCTCAAGCAGCAAGCTGAGGTCTACAAAGTCGCTGGCGTTGATGAATCGGAGGAGAACAAACCCGCGGCAAAGAAGCGCAAGAGGGCGGACGCCAAACCGCATGTAAAAGAGAGGGCAGCTCGTGAGAACACAGCTATATATGTGACTCAGCTACCCGAGGGCGTCACGGAGGCAGCATTGGCGGATTTCTTTGGACGCTGCGGGCTCATTGCCGAGAGCGTGGATAGCAACAAGCCACGCATCAAGCTATACTATAACGACGACGGGTCTTTCAAGGGTGACGCACTGATCGGTACGTCCATGGAGGCCGCAAGAATGGGCAAAGGACTTGCTGACCTTGCCAGTCTTCTTCCGACCGGAATCTGTCAAACTGGCGGTGGATCTATACGACGACTCCGTGTTCCCCACGACACGCGGCAACAACAACACGCACATGCGCATCCATCCGGCCGACGAAAGCTACAAGAGACACAAAGATGACCTTCCGCAGGAGACCAAGCCAGCGCCCTCTGCGAAAGGTCAACGCGGTGGAGCGAGTAACTACGATCGGGAAAAGGCCAAGAGAAAGAAGGAAGAAATGAACGAGTACGTTCAAAACTTGAACGAACGGATTTTTCATTTGCTGACGTATAACCTAGTCGTCTTATGGATTGGGGCGAAGGCGACCCTTCAGCAGTCTACGGAGACCGCGATCGCTGGGAAGACCGGCTCGTCATCATCAAAGAAGTCTTCACACAGGCCTCCATCAAGCAAGCGATCATCGATGGAGACGACGACTACCTTCAAGACATCCACGAGGACATGAAGGAAGAAGCCGAGAAATTCGGCGAAGTCACGGACGTCGTTGTCTACGATCTTGAGGACCCCGGCGTCGTCACGGTCAATTTCAGGTCGGCTGATGCGGCCGAGGCCTGCATCAAGGTCTTCGATGGCCGAAACTATGACGGCCGGAAGCTCAAGGCGTATACGTCGGATGAGCCGGAAGTATTTCACAAGTCGAAAGCGAAGAGCGCTGCCGCGCCGGGAAAACCGTCGACGGCTGAAGCCAGCGGCGAGAAATGAAACTGCGATCTCGTGTCGGCAAGAAGGGCATTCCATAATCAATGCGGAACTCGTACTGTTCTGTAAGAAGCCGTCGGGAGAGTTTAGATTCAGAATTCTACCACGCGCGTGATAGCATTTCACCAAAAAGTAAAAATCTACATTTATCTTTCCTGCATCTATCTGTGTAGGACTGTACATGTGCTCCGAAGAGCGAGAGGGATGGGAAAAAGACCGTCGTCGAGAGCACATCGTCATTTTCGCGTGCTCGAGATCCAATCCCCCGTCTGCGACGGCGGAACCCCTCGCCGCCAAAACCCGTCGGCCGTGAGAAGCGTTTTCCGCGTGACATTGATTCCAAGATATGGCCCCGAGGTTGTCCCAGCGGTCTAACATGTTGCATTCGCCGATGCAGAGGCATGCTCATTAATGCCTGCAAGGGAAAGACGCCCATTGAACGCCGGTATGATGAGAAGAAAGTTGCCGCCGTGGGGTTTGCGTTTCGTTTCGAGATAGGAAAAGGACTGTGGAGGAAGCGGCTGCTCGGAGTTATGAGGGGGTGCATGCAGAGCATGGAGTAAGTAGCCTGGAAATGTTATTCCGAATGTTGTTCGTGGTACCTGATGATCCCACGTTGCTGCGCTGGTATAATTTGAGGCGCGTTTGTCTCGGCAGAGGTCAGCAGGTCGGATTCTGTGCACTACGACCTCGGCGGCGAGATGGATGGAAAGTCTGGCTGTGAGACTGTGATGTGTGTCCGCAGAGGAAATCTTATTTCCGCTCATATAGCAGCAGGACCGAGACTCCTGGGCTGTGTGACTGTTGTGTTGTCCATAGACGAGGCATTGTGGTAGTGACCATGGTGATGATGTTGTTGCGAGTATTCCATCGAAGCAACCGAGTCGCGGGTCAGCTTCCGCATCTGGAAGAAGTTGTTCTTCTCCGGCTTCATGGCGACCTGGCTATTGGTCTGCTGACTCCGGTTATCGTCATCGTCCTCGTCGAAGCCTTCCTGGCCGTCAATTCCCGCAGGCTTAACATCGCGCACGAGTTCGACATAATCATAAGCAAACTCGCCGATCTCCACGTCGTCAATCCCTAGCTCCTCTTCCTCGGCAGTGGCGCGGAGGCGGAGAGCAGGAAAGAAGCGGGCGAGGAAGGAGATGGCGATGAGAATGAGGGTGGTCATGACGAAGCTGTACGACATGCCCGCGATACTGTCCGCTAGCTGATAAGCAAGCAGGATCCAGTGGCCATTGACCCAACCGCCCTGGATGACAGTGACTCCATCAAGGTGAGCGATGTAGTCTGCTGCGAAGAATCCGGTACATATATTTCCGATGAAGCCACCGACAGCATGGACAGCGAAAATATCGAGCGCATCGTCGGCTTGAATCCAGTATTTCAATTGCGTAGCGAAATTGCATCCAACGCCGGCGACGATACCGAAGATGACGGCTGACCATGGAGGCACGTAGCCAGATCCGGGAGTTATTGCGACCAGGCCGGCGACGACACCAGAGCAGAAGCCGACAGTTGACCATTTCTTCTCGAGACGATAATCGACCAGGCACCAAGTGATGCCACCCACGCATGCCGCAATGTTGGTGACTACAGCAGCCATAATGGCACGCACGTTCGCACCAAGGGCAGATCCAGCATTGAAACCAAACCAGCCGACCCACAGAAAGACGGTGCCGATGACGATGTGGGTGACGTTGTGTGGTCGATAGTTGAGCGCTTGTGTGCCATGGCCAGCTCGTTTGCCCAGGATGTACGAGTAAGCCAGAGCAGCGGTTCCGGAGGCAATGTGCACCGGTGTACCTGTGACGTTTCATCAATATCCTGGCGGAGATCAGGCGATAAAGTAGGACTTACCTCCAGCAAAATCAAGGCCACCCATGCGGTTAGACCATCCGGTGGGATTCCATGTCCAGCACGCGAGAGGGTCGTAGACAAGCGTGGTCCAAACAAACATGAAAATGACGCAGGGCAGGATCCTTCCACGCTCAGCGACAGCACCCACAGCCAACGCCACGGTGATCGCTGCGAACATCCCTTGGTATACGGCATACATGATGTCGGGAATGGAGTTGCTGGCGATGCTCGGCCGGGCGAGCACATTCATATATCCGAAGTTTTCTAGGTTTCCGATGAAGCGGCCTGAGCTGTGAGAGAATGCCAAAGAGTAACCCCAGAAGAACCATTGAAAGTTGACGACCGCCGCAGCCATGATGGACAGCCATATTAATGAAAGTGCAGATTTGCGGCGTGCAAGTCCTGAGTAGAAGAATCTGGTGAAATAAATCAGTTAGAGCACTGCATCATTGAAGAAATGTGTCGTGCAACACATACCCAACACCAGGAATCATCAACAGCACCAACGCCGTCGACGTGAGCATCCACGCGATATCGCCGGCTTGATAGTAGACATTGAGGTTCTCGGTCAGCGAGTTGCCGCCAGTGGCTATGGTGCCATTGTATGGTATTAATGGAACATATGGCAATGAATTGGGTGAGTCCATGTTGAGGTCGAGTTGTTGTGACATGATGATTGTGAAGGTCACAGTACGTCGGTGGCTTTTTCTGTCAAGCAGCGGCGTCGTGGCACTTTATGAACTCAAGTGCTCGCCGACGTCTCTACGGTTGATCTGCAGGCTGAACCGCTCTGATGAAGCGTCTTTGCCCGATCGCTGCTGCGTCAACGGAATCACATGAAAGCCATGAAAGAGAGGACGTTATTTCCCGGCCTCGTCGTCCTCGTCCGAGATATCTGCGGCGGTGACAGATGTTTGGCAGAGACGTTGACTGCCTTCCTGGCGTGCGTATAGGCAGAATGCCGTCCGGCGCCGGATGGTAAGCCAGACGTGCCACAGTAGACGTTGAGTGGATATCCTGGGCCGGAGGACTCCCGAACCGTTAAACCGAAGGGATCGAGGGTCAACCCTGCACGTTGTTTATGCAACAGCGACGATGCTGATAATAAGAACAATGGTACTGAGGAGGGTGTACAAAAAAGTGAATATAATCTCCCGTTGGAATAGAGCGCCTGCTGGGAAGTGGGCAGAATATTGTATGGAACCGGTCGTTGTCGATGTGAGTGGGGCTATCGGTTTGAAGTCCGTGGTCGCTGGATGTGAGGATTTCTAGTTTATGATAGTACGATAAAGGAATGTCGACGGCGGGTCATCCAAGCATCCAAAAAGAAAAAGCTCCCAGGCGCTACCAAAAAAAGGTCGTTCGAAGGCGAAAGCTGTTGTGGAGGAGCGGGTCGTGAGGTGGAATTATCGGGGTTTATTAGTAGTAGAAATCGTCCATCATCCAGTATCATGACATGGTGGTGAGTAGACGGGAACTCCAAGAGATAAGGCGATAGTAGCGAGCGAGAGAAGCGCACGTCGGTCTGCCACAATTTCAGAGTGTTGGTCAATACCGACTGTACGAGCAGACGTTGTGAGGATTCTCGTTTGTTCGGATGCCCTTATCTTTCCTCCTCCTCCACCCCTGCGCGCGGCGCCCGCCATTGGCGTTTCGAGACCACACCCATTGCAACCACCACTACGCCCACAGACACACAGACACACGCACGCGACCTGCTTGTTACACAGTGATCCCCTACACTGCATGCGTGTTCAGCATCGCATGTTTTCTATCGACCTCCTTGGACTTTACCACACAGCGCCAACGATGTGGCTAGAGCGGTGCGGAATAGTCCTCTATGCTCGCCTCCATGTACTTGATATAAATCTGGTTTGCTCCTCCAGCGTGCATTCGCCGCATTTTGTGCATGGCCGGATCCGTGTCAACTCCGCGTAAGCGTGGGTGCATGAGTGAGGCGGAAGCCCGGGGAAGGACACGTGAGGCGAGAGAGGCACAGTTCGTGTGGGAGATTGTAAAACTCCACCTTCTCCCTCCCATCCATCTGCAGCAGCGGGACAACTTGAGGGCAGGAGAATGCAGGGCACCGCAAGCCAACTGATAAGACAAATTGTCCGCGTTGTTGTTGGCAGCTTCGAACGAATCACGTTGCGAGCTTGTTTAGACTTTCAACGGGTCCCGAGGCGGGACCGCAAAGCGTGTCAAGCTTCCCCGATCTGGCTACGCTGGACCTTCCATCCGTTCTCTCGGTTCTTCGCTTGTGTCTCAAAATTGCTGAGAACTCGAGCACAATGCTCAACTTTGTCGATGGTGAGACACTTCGACAGAGAGACGCATTGCTCATGCAGAACATAATTTCGCACTTGCAGCATGCTTCGCAGTATGCATTGATAAGCGGCACGAGGGGGAAAGCATAACGTTGGCGTGTCGTGACGCGCACAGGCGCTGTACCTGTCGATCGCGCAGTTGAATGTACCGTCGACCTCCTGCCGACCACCAGCATTATCAACACAGCGTGTGGACCATTTGCAGCGATGACGAGAAATGCTGTTGGATGCTCGCTGCGATTATGGCTGGTGGACAGAACTCTTGCGAGGGCGCAAGCGGTTTCTAAATTCAGATGTTGGCGGAAGGCCAGAAAGATCCAAGGATTCACTACTCTGATCCGTGTTTCGAACCCCCAATTGCCCTAACGATGGATCTGAAAATATATCGCCGGATCGTTATGCCCCGGACAATTTGGTTCCGGCGTGTGGAGCACAAGCTTGGGTTGGCGTTTCCGCTTCCTCCGAGATAGCCCTCCTCTTGATAGCATGTTGAGAAACGGGCTGTATCGTTGGTAGCCTTCTGCGTATGCTGTCGGACAGATGTCTTCCTGGCGCGGAAGTGTACGTACCACTTTACTTGAGACGAAGAAGATCTGGTTCAGTGAATTGTGCTTTGTGCAGGAAGTGGTGTAGTCCCATGCTTGTACGGCAAGTCTCGCGCCGACGGGATCGTACGTGCCTGACGAGGGCCCATCCTAGCTGCTATGTTCGCATGGCCGTCAGCATGTCGTCAGTACATCACTTGGCGTTGACGTCTGCAAATCAGTCAAACAGACTCGAGCTTCTGTGGTCATGTCGACATTTACTGACTTCCAGAGCATGTCATCCTTCTTGACTGAGTCATGTAAGTCCCGAGCACAGGGCTCTGTGTCATGCCACTCAGGAGTCCGTAGATGGACTATTCCGCTCCTGTTGAGATGTACATTGAATGGACAACAGGCCTGCACTCGCCTTCAGGTCTCTGCAACGATTGCCTTTGACCAGAGCACACGTCTGCCCGGCTTAGCTGGAACTCGAGTCGTATGATGCTCGATGTGGTATCACAATCATTTCTTGTACATGTGTGCCAAGGTTCCAGCCTTTGTTCCTGAGCCAGCATCGTCCAAAACTTGCGGACCGTCATTGCTCCATCGTTGCGACTTAAGAACGCCGGTTGCTCTAACGATACAGGTCAGAGATCCGGACAGACCAGCTCACAAGGCAGCAGAATACGAGATGCAAGTGTAGCTTGTTTTGACCGCTGAAGAACTCCCAGATATCCGAGGCTCGGCAACGAGCACTATTGACGAGCAAGCCCCAGGAAGTCACCACTCACTATCTTGTGCAAAGCGATACGAGGTCGTGAGCGGCGGACCTCCAAGCTGGAAAATCTAGATCGGCACCAGGTTATGCGGAAAGAACGAAGACCGCGGTCGCCATGACGCAGACGGATCCTGAAGAGCTTGACATCGTCCGTTGTCAGAATATTGAACACGTGTTAGAGATGCTGTTCATGTCACAAACGCCAAGATTGTTGTGTTGTCCGATGGGACGGCGTGACACGGCGCGGAGAACAAACAAACCAACTCTCTCTGAACATTGCTTGGTGTGATGGTGACGGTTGACTGGTGAAAGGAAAGAAAACGAAACAGGGCGGGGCTAAGGATGATCACTGCAGTGTAATAAACACCTAGCCTCGGAATCTTGGAACTTCGAGAGTCTCTCAATGCAGCGGATTCCACCACGCACAAACCTTGGAAGTCTTGTGTAATATCGATTCCGGACCCGTCTTGGTATAGCCTCGTGCATCATGAGCGCGTCAACTGCGGGTAATGGGAGTTTCGCCGAAGAGAGTCGGAGTCTCATTCCAAGTTGCCACCAGCGCGCTGGAGGGGAGCAGCAACAAGATGGATGCAGGTGCCCAGTGTTTTCGGAGGTTGCAGGTGACATGAGATGCAGTTACGACTTCTCTTCTTCGTCACTCACTCACACATCTCCAAGGTCAGATCTTGATTGTGCCCACGGATCGACTTTCCTTCCTACTACTCCAGCGCTCCACTCCACCTACACAATTTCTAAGCTCCAAGCTCCTCGCATTGTAGTCGTGCCTGCCTCCTTTGAATGCTGACGTCAAACGTCATCACAGTCTGGTGACGTCCAAGCCTTTCCGTCTTTTCACGATTGTTGAGGTCCTCCCCTTCAATATTCCGATTCGACACTCGCCAGGAAAAATCTTCCTTCACCTAATCACTCCATTCACTTGACGATTCAATGACCTATGCAATCTCAACAATGCCACAGCGGCATTCGAATTAATCCAACGCTCGCTTTTTATTCATCTCCCTCGAATATCACTGCGAGGCGGAAAATCGCATCACTGTTATGGCAGAATTCTTCACATCATGGGCGACCTGGGAGAAATTAGTATTCGTACGCCACTACTGGAGCTACACTGCGACAGTCCCCTGGCATTTGCTAACCAGCTTCAGATACTTGCATGTGCAATCGTGGTCACGATCCTCCTGGGATGCGTCAAACTCGTCTACGTCCATTGGCAGCTCCGAAAGCATACCAAGGCCGTCGAATTGGGAGATGACGAGCAGGTCATCAGAAGGCAGATGAGTCAGCGTCGCCGAGCACAGCGAATCAAGAACGAAGTGCCTTTTGGAATTCGAGCCATCGAAGAGGGCATCGAAGTCGAGGGCGTATGGATATCGCGAACCAATACACCAGAGCCTCTGAGCCGAGAGAGTTCCGGCGCATCTTTGATCCCTAAATCCAACCAACCTGCGCCCGATGAGACTGTATCGGGGCATGACAATTCGACGGAGACAGGGATACTCGTCGAAGATATTGACGATGACCATCGATCGAGACATCAATCGCTGGAAGCACAAGCACGGCTTGAGTCACAATCAGGCTCAATTCCAACAAGAGAGATTATCTCACCAAGCTTTATTTCCAGAGTACGAACGCCATTCTTTACAAGCACGCGATACTCAAGTGTTTCACAATCACCAAGGACGAGCTCCGGTACAAGCGGTGTAAGACGATTGAGTAGATTCTCTGGTATACCCGCATACACCCATGTTTGGAGAAGCTCGGAAGTGAGTGACGAGCGACAACAGCGTGACGGTGTTCATTCAGCAGACAGCACAGCCAGCAGTAACGAAGTGATCGCGGCTTCAGAACCGCCCGAGACGAGCCATAAAGTTTCATTCGCACAGCACAACCCCACGAACCTTGAGTTCGAGCTTATGCAGTCCCACCGTAGGTCTCAAGCAGCAGAAATGGGTCAGCTGCTGCCGCGTTCACGCAGACCGGCCTCGAAAGATTGCAGTGATCGGCTTCGAGACTCAGCGCGATCATCATACGAGGTCCCGCCCCTACTGCATGTGGAGATCCCAGATCCACGCTTGTCAGCATCGCTCACCTCAGACATGAAGCACAATACGCCCTCGATCGAGACGGAGACAAGGTCGTCAGCACAAATTCTGGACCCAGCTGTGAACGGACATGCTGCTTCGGAGAATATCTTCACGGAAGTACGCATAGTTGCGTCAGACGGCAGGGACTTCCCAATGACGTAGAACGATGGAGCGTCGCAAGTCTCCGAATCCACTCGATCATCCTTCGAAGTCCGCGAATCCCCTGTCATTCGAGGTCACGGTTCCGGGTATGAAATCCTCAAGCCAGGCACATTCAGATACTCACTCCCACCGATACGTATGCACAACGGTCCACAATCTCGTGGCCGTGACAGAGGCCGTAAACTGCAGAAACGACGTCGCTCCAGTGAAGACTCAAACATCAGCATGGAAGAGAGAAGACGAACCTGGGCTGGAGCCTTGCCGACCCCATGATATCGTTGGTTGCTAAACCCCAATCTATTGCTAGATTTGAAGTTCTGCTCAAGCCTTGAGATGTCAAGATTTCTATTGGGGATCCTATTGCTTACGGCCGACTACGCCGATGAAGATGGCAAAACTACAGACTCAAAGGACCATTTGTCACATTTGTGCATTCTTTCAACACAGCCTCCCCACGGACCGCATCGACACTAGACACTTCACTCGGACGAGCAAGGCGGCTCTATACATGGGCAGAATACCTCATCCTGAACAGCCGATCGAGCGAGAGCTATTTCATGAACGAGGGCTTGTGCAGCAGACTCACTGTTTACGATCCGATCATGGCGGCATGAAATATTGGTCTGACGGCAATAATGCACTTACGCGAGATGAGTTCGTGTGGCGAGAGTCGATTGGCAAAGGCATTGCTAGCGGCGTGACGACGACGATCGCCGAAGCCAGTGTCTTGCGGTTGCTAATTCAAATGCTTATGTAAGGATCTTTGGATTCATTCATAGAGAAGTAATACATAATGCGTGAGCGATGGCTCGGCACATACCTGAATGATGATGATTCTGCACCAGGACACAGCGCGAGTCGGGATCGCGCTTGCGTAGGCGTGCGTCAAGTCACTGTCTGTGGAAGTCAGAATCAGAGCTCGATGGTGCAAGATTCTTGCACTCAGCGCAAAGATAACGGCCTTGAAGTTATGAGATACTGCCCAGTCCTTCACAGAGCTTCATCCGTCCTGCTTCTGCTTCTTGATCGGTAACGCCGGGACCTTGAAACCTCCGCTATCCACCTTAAGAGCCGAGCCCGACGAATTCCCAACGTTGGTAAAGGTGCCGTCCTTAAACCATCGGTCTTCCTCGGCGCGTCTCTTCCGGTTGATCTCCTGTCGTAACGCGGGGTTGACCAGCTCCAGCCCCTGAACAGGAGTGAACGCGATCGTCGACGCTGTCCCGCCGGAGTTTCCAATCTGCGTCCTCATGCCGCTTCCAACCCCGGCGCCGCGCAGACCGGTCGCCGCGGGGACATCCTGGCCGAGGGCGCGCATGGCGCTGACGGCGCCTGGAATGACCGATTGGCCGCCTCCCCAGCCGGGGTTTTTCTTGCCGAGCTTGGCTTTGGTTCGTTGGTCGATTTGGGTCTTGCGGATGCGGCCGTCGTCTTGCATGCCGATCATGCCGAGGCCCTTGGTGCTGTCTCCGAAGCTGACTTCGCGCTCCTCCTTGCCGAACACCATGCGATTCTGGGCTTTGCTGAGATCGGTTTGTGCGACCGCGGCCTTGGCTCTGCGCGCCTGTCGTCCACCTCGCTTCCGTGCGGGTTTATCGTCAGGTGCGGGCAGAGCGCGAGTGGACGCGTTGGGGGCCGCTTCTGAAAGTTTGTTGATGCGCTTCTCGACTTGGTCTGCAAAGTTCAGGCCGATTTCCCCTCGAGGTGATTCGTGAGCGAGGTCCACTCTCGCTGCGAGCACAATCTTGGCAGAGAGGATTCGCATCGCTTGAGTTTTGAGCTCGTTAGGTACGTCGCGGATTACATCGTTTTGGTAGAGAACACCTTGTGATCGCACGCTGGTGTTAGTGGCGAGACCTAGACCACGCCGATTGTTCTTGTTTCCGAGCGCCGCCAGATTACACGATGGCGTTTTGGCCAAGCCCGATATACCACCGGTGTAGTTCAGAAGTTGCGCAGCCGTGATCGAACCGATCAGGGTGGTGAGGTTGGGTGCGAACATGGACATGCGAGATTGAACGTAATCAGTCAGCACTTTCTTTGAGTCGTCGAGCTTCAGCATCATCGAGCAAGCCCTTTGCACGGTCTCAAGCTCTTTCTCGGACAGAGGTTGGCCTGCAGTCGTTGTAGCCTCGACGGTGACGACCATAACTGATGGACCATCTAGAACTTGTCGCAAAGTCATCCCGAGCATGTTGTCTTTGCTCTCGCCAATTTGTCGGATAGATTCCATGGGACCATTCCCGATGATAGCTACAGTCTTAGCATATTCGAGAGGACCTTGAACAAGAGTCTCAAGTTCGGGAAACCGCACAGAGTAATGATCGCGGATAAATTTGTGTACTAGGATGACCTCGCTGTCGATTTGCGTCGATAGTGTATTCGCCTGTGTGAGAAGTTTGTACTCGGGGTTATCGTCGACATTGCCTATGTTTTTGGGCGCATTTCCAGGCTGCTTGTAGAAAGCGATCTTTTCGAGAATTGGTTCCAGCTGCTTCATCAGACCCGCAACGCTGCGCACATCTGAAACCTTATACAAGTCCATTTTTTCCACTCGCGCTTTCGCTTCATCCGGCTCTTCTGGCGCGTCGACTTTCAGATGGCTCGGTATGGTATCACCATTACCAAACGCCGCTTCTTCATCGATGTCCATCTCCGGTCCTTGCGCATCGGCATCTTTGGTACTCTGATCGTCTGTCGTTGTGTCTAAATTGTTATAAAACTCGCCCGAGCCCCCCGGTGCGTCATCGCCATTCTCTGAGCCTGAATCGCCGAAGTCATTCAGAAGTTCCTCTGCGATGGTCGCCATGTTGGCGAGAGGCGCGCCGCGGTGCTGTAGTCGTTGGCGATTTTAGTCACGAGGTTCGGAAAATGATATGCCGCACAAGTTGCGTTGGATTTGACGATGAGATATTTTGGATTATCGGGTTGTTGCAAAATCTTTGGAGAAATATCATTTCAATACCCAGGTAACTAAGGTGATCTTGTTGTCGGCACAAATGACCTCAGATCGAATTGATGTGAGACAGACGCTAGTCCTATTCTGTAACACGCAGATCTGTGCGACACATGTCATGGAAGCCTTCCAAGGCTGGATTTTGCAGATATTTCGCAGCAAAGGAAACTTGAGTGCACCCAGATGCAAAACTGAATGAGCAGTAGCTGATGAAACTATTCAGAAAATTAAGATGGTATACGGAAATCTTTGGCAACCCCCTTGGGCAAATTCGTTATCATGATTCATCGTCTACATGTTCTAACTCATCGATCATTGCAGGTGACTTGGAGGCCTGTTTTGGCGAAGCAACGCGCTTCAGTAATAACCAGGGCATGGGCGGTCCTCCCGTGTACGTTTCTGCCCATGGCTCGAAATCAGCTGTCCACGCATCGCCGCCATGCCAGATCTCTCTTATCATATCAAAAGTCTGTTTGCAGTACACCTTCATCGAACGTGTACGTTCTACAGCCGCAATGTCAAGAGGCTGGCCATCAGCTTGCGCATTTATTAGTCGCTGCTCATGGCGGTTCAATGCACCCCAGGCCAAAGTGATCGGGCTTCGTATGTCCAAGATCTTGAAATCGGCCCCTGGTCCACCAGAGGTGGCGTATTCGACACACATGCATAGTTTCTCAGCTACCCGGACGTCTTCTTGTTCTATGGAACTTTTGTCATGAGCTGATGTTGGGACCATGCCGAGCATCCAGAGGCGGAGCATGGTTCCGCAAATGATAGTGCGATACATGTAGTACTTTGCCAGGAGCCAGTATACCTGCCCATTAGCGATTGTAAAGGATCGGTTGAGAGGGTTGGTGAAGGGCATATGCAGAGCTGGATGAGTCGTGGTAATACTGCTGATGAATGCTTCCATCTGTAGCATGAAATCATGATCGTAAAGCGAAGTTACTAGAGATTGTATCTGTGGCACGAGCTCTGCATCGTATAGTTGTGCGGCGAATTGGCGAGTGTAACGCACGAGTCGTGGAACAAGAATCATCTTATCCTTCACAAAGTTGCAGGCATGCCGCAACTGGTTCTCGTCAGGTAATGTCGACAGCGGAGGTGATATGCTGCCGTTATCCAGAAGGGAGTCTGTGTCGGCGTACACTGCCTCAGCCACCTATGGGATATCTGCGTTAGCCATACATGTAAAGATATCGCGAAATGGCTGCACCAACCTCTGCTGCCCATAGACCGCCGATTAAAACTTCCATGAGCGCTCTGCCCTCGTCCGTCATCCAGGAAGCCTGCCGCAATCCGAGAAAACCCTGGATATGACATGACCATGCGAAGCCCGAAAAGTCGCGATATGCCTGAAATTTATATGTTAGTGCACGATTGAGTCGAATGTGATGTTGGATAATTGATATACGAACCTCTGCAACAGCCAAGACCACCATCGAGATCGCCACAGCGTTACGAGTGTCACGACGAGGTTTGGCCACAGCCATTCTCATAGCTTCCATCGCCTTGGTACCCGAGCGCAATAAAGTCAGGGCCGAAGTATCGCTCTGCGTCTTGAAGAAGTCTTGACAGTCGAGGTGGTACGTGACCGCAGCGTCTAAAATCTCATCGTGGCCGAGTCGGACGGGGATCGTTTGCCACAACCCTCCAAAGTCGAGCTCGCTCATGCAAGCATTTGCCCATCGTTGAGCAAGAATGACATCCGTACCGGATGAAAGAAGTCGAGGCTTGGCCTTATTTCGTTCTAGGATCAAGGTGTGATAACGTCCGAGACCATGTGCCGCTGTACTTGATGACCGCACGCTGAGGCCAGTCTGATCGTTGCGCTCGGCTGTATAACTACATTCTCGCCCAACCTTGCGGCAGCGACCGCATACAGGTTTTACTTCGTCGCACTGTCGTTCAAGCCATTAGCATTGGAGCTCGTCATCCGTATGCGAGGGAGGGAGCTTCGGATCAGATCCCGCGCTGCACCTGTCAAGAGTTCCAAGGTTACGGGTAGGTCATATACCTTGATCTTGCGCGCGCGGCAAGTATTGCATTTGCCGAGGACAGTCATGCCACAGGCAATCCTTCGAATACAGAACACTCGCTGCACAAGCTCTAGCTGCCGGCGTTGTTGCTGGCGTCTCGACGAAAACGGCAATTGTGCGGTATGTCTGTATGTGGCGTCAGGCGCGTTATTACGAGACAAAACGAAGGACACGGACGTTCACCAGACGCCGTGCGTGTCTGGCGTCAGCGTTGAGGCGGGACAATTTTTGGGTCATGCGGCAATCTCAAGAATTGCAAGCGCAAAACACAGCGGAAGGGTCCAATTGATGCTGAGATCCGGTCTCGGAGGGACCTTTCATTGACCCACGTCCTGATAATGGATGGCACTGCACGAGCAACGACCATCCTGGCACACTGCATACATCGACGAGGTAGCTTGCCTGTCGTGGGATCACGAATTTGCCGAGAAGTTTCCCAATACAGTGCTAGCGTCCACACGTGAACAATTACAATTCTAGGTTTGCCAGTCATCATGCAATTCTACCTTCTTCATTGCCATTGCCATACAGCCGTCAAGCGTGTAGATCAGCTAAAGCCAGTCTCGGTATTTCCATCAAGAAGCGTGTCTCGAACGCCCGATACGCGTCACCGCATAATGACTGCTGAGCGCCATGCTTGACGGCGATAACCTCCCCTCGACCGGACGGAACGAGGTCGAGTGCGTGTCGATTGACGCGTCGGCGGCCGGGTTGATGATTGAACGAATCTTAACCACCTGCAATTGGGATATGAACCTTTTGCACGTCGAGGATGTCTCCCATTTTAGATCGCTCGATGAGGGTCCCCGGTTGAGTCTGACATCCGCCGTGGATGTTCAGCGCGACAGAATAAGTGCTCGATCCTCGAATTCATGTCGAGGAGGAGCATATCAATGCCAGTGGCATATTGCTAGAGTGCTCTGTCGGATTCCTGATCGTGCTACAGTCATTGGGGAACTGCCATCGGGTGGTATTTGACTGTTTTATCCGAAGTGTTGCTGCTCCTGCTTATACTCGCTCGTCCAATTCAAAGGTCAAGTTTCCCAAGGTTATGATGCTGATTGGGGATGTAGTGCTCTCAAGTTGCAAACAATGAGGAAGCAACACACGGTGAAATTCATGCGAGCTAGCAATCTAGTGAAGGGGCAGAAACGAAGAATTCACACTCTCCCTGTGCTCACGATCAAGGGTGTCGGGCGTTTCGCAGGTGTCGGCTGTGCTGAGTCACATAGCCTTTCACTCTCCACTTGGGCAGCTTGGAGAGGCAATCGTTAGTCAGTCAGACTTCTTGCATATCTAGGTCTTTCAACCCTTCCAAGATTGTATTCCATGTTTAGATCCTCATCTTCGACGGATCCTCGATTTCTCCAAGATGGTGACCCTGAACAATCTCGAGTGCTCAATCTACATTGAAGATTCGAGCATCAAGCTGACAGAGTACAATCAACGATATGCGGACGGCGCCGTGAAACTATATGTCGCAGTCCCAGCGATCGATGCTGCCTTCCGCATACGCATCATCGCGAATGGCTATGTCGCTCAAGGCGTCGCCGCTTTCGTATACATCGATGGTCGATACCAATGCAATCGCAATTGCATGACTCCAGTGACAGGCGATGGGAAGATCGAGCTTAACCTTCGCCAGAAGGAAGAAAAAACAGCGCAGGGACATTTCATTGGGCGAGATTGGCGTTTCACAAGTTTGGGCAAAGGCAAGACTAAACAGCTTTACAATGAATCAATGTCGACTAATCTGTACCTTAGCTTCGTCGGCGGACGCTCCTGACACGAACTTTCTGGAGAATGTTGGCACCATCGACGTTGTTATCCTGAGATGTTTCTCTCCCGGACCAGTGAATCGCAACCCACAAATCGACACAGGTCGGAAGATAAGGTCCGATGTCAAAGTCCCACATGCTGCGGCATTAGATGGCACTGCTGATGAGGCAGAAAAATTCGGTCCGACCTGGCATCATTTGCTACCGCAGGGCGACGGGCCTGGGGATGATGCTTATCGGATACCGAGCCTGCGTAAGCATGAATATACCACAGGCATACCATCTCACTCAGCTGTCCGGCCTGGGCACAGCTTCGCACAGCAAACGAAAATGCCTGCTCATGATGAAATACGTCCTGCTGCTGCGGGTTCCCTCGCTCAGGACAATCAGCCTCCCGACAGCGACAAGATGCGGGAGGATGAAGAGCGTTTGATCACAATACAGAGATATTTCAACGACATTGAGACTACAGCAGCCACTTTTCGGACCGTCATCGATAGCATTGGATTTCTGGAGAATGCCATAGAGCAAGCACGTTCTAAAGCACCAGCTAAAACTCAAAGCTTGAATAATGAGCGAGAAAAGGCGATTGGGACAAGGGACTATCTCGGAGGAAATATTGGCGACCTACTTCACGCAGTCTTGAGTCATATGTCTCAACTCAACTTCTATGAATCATGGCGCGCCTGCCGTGATTGCATCGTTCAGGCCGGTTGGTTGAAGGCAGATCATCCAGACCTTCAATCAACGGACGGATCGAGACCCGGCTTGACAGGATTTCATCACACGGACCTAGAAGGACAGCACAACAGATCTTTCCAAGATCAACCACAGGGTCCGTCGAAGCGTCTCAACAATTGGCTTTACGAACAACAGCCAACTGTTCAGCACGAAACAAGACCAGAGAGAGAACATCACAACGATTGGCTTCATCAACAGCAGTGGAAAGGTCTGCATGACAGAGCTTCACAACGGTCCTGGGGGAGCCAACGGGACTCCAACCATGGCAAGAGCAACTATGTTCAGTCAGAAAAGGATCACTGGGAAAAGGCACAGAGCGTTAATCAAACATCACACGATGTATGGCAAGCTGATACAAATCCAAATAAATTGCACTGTACAGCCAGCAAACATGATCCGCCACTCACCGATGGCAACAACAGCTGGGGCCGGCACTTGGATGAGCAGAGCAACGCGCAATCAGCGCGTTCACGTGAGAATCACTCAAGTCCGCCCGGGGCTCGCACCGTCAAATCTTACTGGAAGACGTCACTCGAACATCCGACGAAAAATCCTTCTTCTGGGCGAGAAGGCCCTCGGGATCCATACATTTATCCTGCGGAACAGCCGCCAGCCGTGCCAGCCGGCCAGAAGCGACCTGTGAAGCACGGCGTACAGATAGGAAAAGGCGTTGAGTATGTACACAATCTTGGCACTCCTAAGTACCTCGACACATTGAGCGAACCGTACGCCGTCTTCACATTCAAGTACCGTAGTGCCAAAGAGCTGGAGAAGCTAGTCGGAAAAAGCGTGCAGGATGACGTTCGTATTTTAAACGAGAGCGTTCGAAGACAGCAACTATTGAAGCTCCCTGGAGAGAAGCTGGTGGAGCAGTTGATGCGTTCGAAGGTCACCACCGCCTCGCGATCAATGGCCAGTCATGAGGAGGCTGACACCGAACCGTCTTGGAACGGACCGCTCAAGACGGATTCAAAGAATGAAAACAAAACTGATTGGCTGAATGCCCAACCAAGCAGCAGAAGTGGCAAGCAGGATAAGAAGTCGAGAGTATCCTCAAAATCTCGTCAGCACTTCTCGGGCGGATGCAGCACAAATGGGGAGCCGAAAGCGGACGCGCAGAGATATAAAGATTGGCAAGAAACCGGCCAAGGCGAAACGAACCGAGATGCTAAATGGTAAGACATCATGGACACAATGATCATCATTTCATCCGCGATCGACACACACAACGCAGTAATCAGATCTTTTGTCATTCATTGCCAATAACTGCATGTTCTACACGCATCGTCCCCCGTCGACAGGAACGTCGACACCCGTTAAGAATTTTGCCTCTTCGCTGGCGAGATAAGCGCATGTGTTTCCAACATCACTCGCCGTCGTGCCGCGACCGAGTGGAATGGTCGCCATGAAAGATGTCTCGTTCTCCGGCTTCCCGAGGAAGTTCGCGCTCCTATCGCAAATTGAGCAATATGTGTCAGCCGAAATGAACGCTCGCGCTTTTGCCAAGATCCGCTCGAGATGACTTACAAAGCTGTTCCCAGGCCAACCGCAGGGCTGACGGACATGAAGCGAATGTTGTCCGAGGCGTAATCTACTGCCAAACTCTTCGTCGCAATTATTACGGCCGCTTTGGACGCGCTGTACCATGTCAAGCCTGGCCGTGGTCGGCTGCCCGCTGTCGAGGCGATGTTGATCCAGACTCCACCAGACTTCTTCTCTTGCTGATAGGGAACGATGACGTGCGTGGCGAAGTAGATGGACTTGACGTTGACGTTAAAGACCTTGTCATATTCCTCTTCGGTCACCTCATTGGTGTCCTACGCGGACAGGTTAGTGTGAACGCTTCGGAGAAGCAGAATTGCAACGATCGACCACGAAATGATGGGTATGATCAGACGAAGATGCTTTGTATACGAACCTTGTTCCGGTATGTGGTTCCAGCCTGAAAAATGTTATCAGCATCACAATGTTCTCCTCGAGAGGGCACAGGAACCCCATGACCACTTCTAGCTCACATTGTTCACAACCACATCGATGCGGCCGAACTTTTGATCGCAGAATTGCTTGATGTTTTCCCAATCTTGCACCTTGGTGACATCGGCACGCTGGAACTCGCACTTCAATTCACTTGCGGTAGCCTGTCCCGCTTCTTCGACAAAGTCCGCGATCACGACTGACGCGCCCTCCTCCACGAACTTGGCTGCGATGCCCTTGCCAAAACCACCAGCGCCTCCGGTGACGATGGCCACTTTGCCTTGAAGTCTACCAACCATGGTTTATGCGTCGGAATTATGATGTCGTAAATTCGTTCTGATTACGCGTAGAAAGACGGGAGGTGGAAAGCAAGAGCAGAATCACGGCAATCGAGACAGCTATTTGAAACGATTAAATATCAGATCCACGGTTCCTCGCTGGATCTATAATGAACAATGACCTTGATGTTCCATTGACCCACCAGCTACCCGCAATGGGTACGTCTCGTTGTCGTGACGACCCCGCATGTTGCCGTTTACACAATGGTGATACCTCGAAGGGTTCACAACGACGCGCTTTCTCATTATCGACACACTCCGTCGGGGGCTTTAGCATCAACCAATGCGACCATGTTTCATCCACACGTAGACTCGATTCATTTCTCGTCTTGTATCGGTTTATATCTCCTTCTGTTTTGCCGGTCCTTGTATGTACGAGGCCGCAGACAAAGATCATGTCGCGCGTCTCGGAACGGCAATGCTGATCACTTTGATGGACCCACGAGATGTGTTGCAGCTACACAAAAACTTTGGACCTGAATGGACATTTGTCGGCATTTAGTACCTCACAGAATCCCACAAACCACCTCATTGCCGAGAGTTGCAATTCCGATTTTCACCGAGACTGCAGCACCGCAGTGACCTTGCCTCGACCATCCTTACAAGGAAACGGTTTGGATCAGGCACGCAGGATAAATTCTTGGTTCTCGCAAACAAGTATGGATTCGGAGTGTGACTAAGCTACCCACTCTCGAACGCGCAAGAGCATATAATACAGCAGAGAAAATCATCGAGTAGGAACACATCTCATCATCATTCATACCATAGAATCCACCGACTCAAAGGCATCCCTCCGGCTCGGGGCTTGGATTTGCGCAGACACGACACGATCTCTCGAACCGCAGACCCGGGGTATGAAAGAGCGAGCCCTCCTCAATCGCCAGGGGACCACTTATCAGCTTTCCCAGCGACAACGAAGAAAGTTCGGAACCGATAGGCAAGGATGCCGATGGAACCAGTGGATGGACAACAGCTGCGAGGGTGGTCGTCATGGTGGTCGTCGTTGTTGTTTGGAGCTGAGACGTTGTGATCTGTGACTGCGTTTGTAGCGGAGGTGGAGTCTGGGAGTTCCTTGGCGAAGATGACTTGGCAGTCGCTGTTGCTGCTGATGAAAGGGCGGCGGTCGCGACAATTATAGGCGCAGTAAAATGCTGCTGCGTAGTCCGTATGGAAATGCCATCGGACACGGCGTTTGACAGCGGCGGATTGAATATGGTGACCGGCCGCTGCTGCGCTGTTGAGTCTGAAGAAGTCCGCAGGCCCAGTGAGGCTTTGCCTTCCGCCTTGAAATCGGTATCCTCGTCTCTGTTGCTTGTTGACTTTCGGGGTTCGAGGGCATCGGCGCGCTCCAGACTTTGAGTGGTCTTTCGGTTGATGATCCATAGTGGGATGACAATCATGGTTGTCAGGGCAATGGTGATGGCCCAGTAAAGCCACACCCAGCCCGATACAACACTGTCGTCGGAGCTAGGTTTGAAATCGAAGAAGCTTGTGCTGAATAGGGTCTGGGTGGTAACAGAGATTCGTCGTCAGCAGCTATTTCATGATCTGAAACAACAACGACTTTGGACCGATCCAAAGTGGCCGTTGGAAAAGGAGAAAAGGTCAAGCTTACCGCAGTAAATGTTCCCGGCATCGTGCATAAATTGACCACCGCCATGAGCCGCATGCTGACGCTATCCAAATATGTCCGCTTTGCAAGCTCTTTGGAGTCCTTCGCGAGCTGTTTCATAACAGCACTATCCTCTTTGGTCGCCTCAGCAATTTTCTGAGAGTAACGTGCATTAGCTAGGCTAAGGTCGTTGTCTCTCTGCGCCACAAGGCTAAAGATCTGCTCGCTGCATCAGCTTGGGGTCTTTTTAGAGCGCTGTGGAAACCGACCCACTGTCTGTAACTGTACATTTGTACGCTGCACAATTTGCTTAGTAGCCATGCGCAGCCCGAAGAGCAATTCTTGGGCCTGCTCAAACGGCAGTTTGAATGCATCTTGCTCTGCTTGTGTTGGCTGACAGCAGTCTCGCACATACTCGATTTGAAGGATCTTTAGTTTATCCACAAGCCGGTCGACTTGATCGATGGCTACTTCGTCAAAGGCTAGCTGTGTCAACAAAATGCTCAATTTCCTGGTAATGGCTTCAAAGTCGAGGTCGCGCAGTGTTCGTTTGAGCCTCGACTCCTCACTCCAGTGCATATCAGCCTCGATCTCGAGTGCAGTAGCAGCTACTTTGCGCTCGACGAGACGGCGAGCTCGAGTTTCGGTCATGACGTTCATCCATGCTGTCGAGACTCGGATGACAGCCGCATTGAGACAGACTGAGCTCCGGAGTTCCATCACAAACTTGTCAATCTCATGGGGGCAGAGGCCGAGAGCAAGCGCGGTGGTGGTCTGTCGCTGAACGTTATGAGTCACAACAAATGCACGACGATTCAGAACTACGAGGAGGCCACTGGAATCTGCGGATGTACGAAATTGAGTAGCCAGGGGTACTTGAGCAGTAGCCGAGCCGATGAAAGCGGGAGGTAGTCGAAAGGCATCAGCAACTTCACCGAAGACGGCTCTTGTGAAGGGATAATGCCGAAAACCAGGGACGGAGCGCATGGCTGGGCTGCCAATAAGCAGACGGAAAGTCCATGTTACCTCGATGCGAGGATCTGTATCCCCGCCAGTATGTTGCGAGTCAAGTGGATGCTATTGCGACACGATTGTCAGATCGAAGCGGTTCGTACGCTCTTCCCATCAAGCACATACTCGCAATAACCAAGCACCAATGTCGGCATGATTCAGGGATTCGGTAGCGAAGTGTAATTTGGTTTGGCCGTCAAGTTTATATTCCACGATATCAAGGTAGCTGTTGTCGTCTTCGGGGATGAATGTCGCGAATTCTTCGAGACCGTCGAACGTATTATACATCACGAGACTGCACGGCGAAGTCTGTTGGTTTCAACAAAAGCCGTACCTTGATGGTCCGCTTGACTTCAGATGTTTTTCTGTTCAATTTGCGATCGTGATCTTACGACCTTGAATGTCGGCTTGTTTAATATGATACACGCAGTACCGAACGAGGTGAATTTGTGCTCATGTTGCACCTCATCTCGCCTGATGTCAGTGGAGGCGCAGGCTTGAGGTGGTGTGACCATGTGCAGATACTCGATTCAACAGCTGCTTGTGGTTCTCACAGTGTAGCGAAGCCGCCAACAAGACGAAACCGCGCGCTTCATCATAGAAGTGACCGGCGCTGATGAAGGTCACAAGACGTTTCTGACTTTGACGAGCATGTTATTATTTATCCCAATCAGACGAAAATATATGTCTCGAGATGTTTCTCCCTTGCTGAACCACACTTTGGTGATGAGATAAGAGCAAGTTATGTCAACGATTCCGGGGTTTGAACGATTCCGGCCTCGCTCCCGCAGTGCCCGCTCGCAAGCAATGATTCTTCAGCATCAGCCACGACATCTCCAACCAAGCTGAAGAAGCAAGTTCGCTCCTGTTGTGCTTCGAATTTTCTAACAGCCATTTTTCTCTTCGGCACCAATATTGGCCTCGTTTCTCGCATGTGTGCTATAGTCATGCCATGCACAATGCCGTGATGTTCAGGAAGTACAATTCCATACCTACTTCGCTAGGAAAGTTGTGCGGTTCGACTACTCGGAATTTGAGAACGCCGCCAGCAGGATCGTACTCGAATTCGTCTGCCGGACATAAGGACTGTTGACGCTTTGATGCTTCATTTCTCAGAAGATTGATTCGATTTTGCCATGTATGCACACATCTTTCGCGCTGCTGCAAGAAGCTCGAAAGGGCCATGCATGAGATTCCGGGGCCACGGCTCGACTACCCCCAGCACTCGCATAATCCATGTAAATATGGATCTCCTGAAGCATTCCGAGGGTGTTTGCAGTGTTTCAAGGTCTGAAAAGCCACAGTGACATCCAACGAATGCAGCATAATCGGGCCATACGCGAGCAATGATCTGATCGCCCAGCGAACACGTGTTGACGTCGCCAGAGAGGATGATGTTCGTTCGGACTTCGACATGACGTAGGTCACGTGATGTACATAGAGTGAATTTATGAGCCAATGGGACCGCGATGCTTCACCGCCATTTATGTTTTCCCGCTTGCATTGCATTCGCTTCGCAAACATGACCATACAGAGATGTACCTAAAACAGCGTTCGACACTATGGCCTTCCTGCGACCCGCACAGAGTGGATCGCGCAGGCTGATCGAGATAAATCGAACTCTTTGCGCGACCGAAACTTCGTATCGGTCACGAGAGATTTCAGCGGTGAGTTTAGACTGACATGCCACACAGTCTCGACGTCTGTCGCGTTGCCACCAAGAAAATGCATCAAGATTCTGGCAGGAGGGAGCGACCCACAAAGACTAGGATGAAAGGATCGCGGACTGCCATCTGGCATTGATTTCTCCTGCATAGGGGATGACGGCAGAACATATACTCACGATGATGTACTTTCGCGATGCAGGATGCGGCATATTGTGTAACGTGGGGGGCGGGTCCCATACAGTAAAACCTGCGAGCCTTCATGGTGGACAAGAAACACCACCTTGTGTCAACCGATGTCTAGGCAGGGGAGAAAAGATGGTGATTTTACGTGCATGCATAGTACATGCAGCGATGCATCATCCTGGGAAGCACGAGATGCCCGTGGGTAATTAAGACCTAGAACCGAGCACGAATGATGCGTTCACAATCTCGGGGAGCACGATCAGTGTTCCTCCTCATGTTACAGCATATATGAAATCATCGCGGGTTTGATCAGCCCGACGGTGTGTCTGATGCGACCTCCAGCCTCTCTAGAAATAGTAGCAACTGCCTATGACCTAGGTGATGTAGAATAGCAGTAGGCCCCAGAGAGAGCGCACGCCATCTCCACCTCGACCCGCTCGCGTGGAACCGACAGGATCATGATCGTACAGTTGGAAACGGTGATACAGTGAAGTACTGGATATCTGGTTGTCGAAACAGGGACTGCTTGCGGAGGATATTTCTACCGTAGTGGATGGGAGGGTCGGGCGGCAACCACGTCGACACTGTCTGCACTTCTGCACCTCTGCATTTCCTGCCACCTTCATTCCGTAGTAAATTGCACATGTATCCTACGTCAGGCATTGACGACGATGCCAACAATAACCCGCACGGACGATGCGCTGGCATCCGTCCATCCATGACGGCAAGCCACCGACCCTATCGCGACCGCCCGTATGTCTCGCTCGGCTTTTTTGCCGCGACGGCAGTCTTCTCCGCAATCAGGGCTGACCTGATCAGATACAGAAGTCCGCGCCCGCCCGTGCTTCATCTTCCAAACATCTACGCGCAGACAACAACATGAAGAACGAGTAGTCGCCTCCTCCAGCGGTGTAACTGTGACGGCATCACAGGTCCGACGGCGCACGACTCAACAAGTCACCGACACAAGAATCCTGTCAAATGGTCTGACCATGTGCGACTCGGCGGCGCGTCGGCGGATCTGCCACTATGCCACGTAGGCAAGCAGTCGGGCACATGCAGGCTACTACGCTGTCACTGCATGTATGCATGAAGGCGTCGGCCGAGCTAAACCTCACTGCTTCTGCTGCTACGCAAACCTAGTTGCCGACAAGAAAAGAATTGTCCTTGCTCTCGCGTGCATTGGCTCGACATGGCCTGTCCGTTCGAGTATTTTCGTTGTTGTGCGCTTGTTTGTGGGTTTGTTCTGGGCTGGCTGCCGCCGCTGCTGCTGATGCCGCCCTGCTCCCTAACCACGGCAAGTCTACGTCTCTCTTCTGCACTTCATTGGGCGATCTGCCATTCCTCCATCTTCGTCTCCTCCCGTTCTTCGTTGTCAGACTGTTTGCGTTGGGCATCACTGCGGCCGCTGCCCTTGTTACTGCTGCTGCTGTAGGTGTTGGTGGCGTTGTCTGATTTCGTGTCATTACGTTGTCCTCGGTCGTCCAGCTTTTCCTTGAAAGTCGAAACCAAGTCTGCTGAGCGTGAAGGAACCTCTTCATCACTGCGGACTGGAAGTATTGTCGGCCTCATTACCTCGCTGGATTTCAATTCCCGGATCTTCGACGAACTCCTGCAACAATAAGGCTCACGATTGACGGCGAAACAGAGCCCGAACGCCCTACCCATACTCGCGCGACGACGACGGGACTGGTCGGAGTATAGCTCTCGATTGACTTTGGCCATCTTCTTCCGGTGACCAGCCACGCTTTAGTGACGTCCTGTCCATCATACTCTACATCACCAGCAGCCATACGTTCCGCCGACAGACGACAACTCTACTGGTATACACGACGAACACGTATACGACGCAGCTCTTTTCAACATTGCTGCTCGCACAGCATTTATTGGCTTTGTAGTAGGAATCAAATCTTGGGACCGACAGCGCTGAATCTTTGTCACCTGTCCATCATTGGTGCAAGCGACTGGCGGCAATTCGAGCGAATGACACGGTCGCAACATCGGCCTCACGCTCTGGTTGGATAGACCTTAAAGCTTGTGCACATCGTAGGTAACCTCCAATTTTCTTCTTTCCCTCCTCTCACAAGCGCTAGACAGCCTTGAATACCCACCAGCCACCGTTGCCATGCTCAAAGTCCGTGACTGATAAGGTTCTTCAGTCACCTCGACATCGTTCACATCTTGACATCGGCACACTGAGAGGTACTGCCTGTCTGCGCAACTCGGCCCCCTCAGCTTTGATCACGTTGGCCGCCTTATCCGACACACGACGTGGTGTTGTGCAGCCGCCCTTGGCTGACTTCGCCTCTCTGTATACGAAATCGTAACATTTTCCTAAGGCAGGCAACATCGTCACCATTCGGCGCGTTGTTGGCACTCGTCGACGGTGCATAGATTTGCCCTGTTGTGCCTTGTGGTGCGGCACCGCAGCAGTGCCTGCCACCTGCATTTCTACTCTTGCAGATATTGTTGCCGTGCTAAACTTTCTTGATGCACCCGTGCCGTGTCCAGACTTGCTGTCCTCAGACACGAGTCTGTCACGGACATACAAGGCACAGAGTCCTGTCCTCGACTGACATCTTCAGCCATCGCCTGACATCGCTCTCTGCTTCAAAGGTTACATATACAACCATTGCACTGGAGTGTATAAGCAGTAAGCGCGCGTGATCACTCGCGCTGTTCACCCCGGTTCCTCAGATCCTCACGACACCGGTCCATGGCCGTGTCTCGGATCGAGGAGAAAATCCTGGGTCGCCTTGCGCGGGAGCTACCTTCGACGACAGCAAATGCCCTGCTCTCATCTTCGTTGTATCAGCTACTAGGCTTATCCGTACAGCTATCGAAGCGGCTTTACCGAGCGCGCAAACTTCGAAAACTCGACCCGACGCGAGACACAAAATCGTTGCAGCTCTACCATCACATCATATGGCTCGCACGAGAGGGCTTGGCGATCACGGAACACAATGTAGTCACGCGACTTCGACTCGATGACTATGCTCCAGAGTACCGCGTCATGGCAGCCAAGATGCAGGCCTCTCTGCTGCATGTCTTATGCCTCTTCGACAGTACTCCTCAACAGGCGGCACAACAGGACATTGTCATTGGCGTTGATGTGAACATCCTCGACAACCAAGCATCGAACAGCCAATACCATGCGGACAGCTCTGGGCAGTATCGGAACACGGGCAGTCAGAACGATGACGCGCGGCAACATTCGGATGGAGGCGCTCCGTTTCGTGATACTATACCATCCATGGTCTCCGAGGCCTCGTACGTGACAAATCCATATGCGGGACCCTCGCGGAGTTCGCCACCTGCTGGCTTCGTGCCACTGAACGACGAGCCCAGAAGGACGACACCATCGCGGCCACCCGGGTTAGCAGCAGCCGGGAGTATGTCGAACCTTATCGCCAATTCTTCAATCTTCAACGCTCAGAATAAAGTTCCTGCAACCCAGAGCTATTTCAAACACGTGCAGCATCTTGCTGATACCCTGCTCGCTCCAACACATGCGCTCCGACTATCCGTGGCACTTGAACACTCAGCATTTGTCTGGGAATGCGCAAAGGACCAGGAGCGAGCACGCAGGATAGCTAAGAGTGCTATCAAGGAAGTCTATGCCTCGCCCGAGGGCCTTGACGATGAGGAGTTCAACGATGCTGCCGCTCTGGTACAGGCACTGGGCGGCCTTGTCAAACGCGGTTCTTCATCAGCAGCTTCAACGCCGCAATCTAGCCGCGACAACGTCGCAACGAAGAGTCCGCAACAGCGAGTTCCGCAGCAGCCGCAGCAGCGCAACGTTCGTAAGCCTCCGCTCGCTATCGATCGCACAATCGCTCTGAGTCCAAAGCATGCACGGAACCTCAGTACGCCATCTCCCAATCCCGGTCTCACGCAAACCAGGATACGAACACCAGAGCGATTGTCGACCGTGGCTGAAGTGGAATCGGTCGACGATGTTGAACCCCTGCCTTCGCCTCGGACCACTACCGGCCCGAACTCATCTATCCCTCAAAGAGTAAGTCAAAGCAAAATACCGGCTCGCCAATCCTCGCTCCGCAGCAACGGCTCCACGGCATCCACGGCTGCAAGTAAGCTTGCTAAGCGACGCATGGTCGAGGACGCCGAGCGCCGACTCTTACATCACAAGACGACCAGTAGTCTTTCCTCCCCATCGTCAAAGCCGGCTCCCCGTTCCTGGGACGAATTCGAACGAGATCCGACAGTGACGGCCAGAACCTCGATAACTCGGCCGCACAGCCGACAGGCTACACCTCCCGAGAAATACATGCGAAGTGGTATAGTACCACCAGTCGACTCCGTTGCAACGACCTCGGACACAGATACTGATATGATGGACTCGTCACAAGCACAATCAGTGCCGTCTCTACCGCCACCTGATGGGTACGTGAAAACAATTCCTACTCATATACCACGACTCATCCCTCGAGACGCGGACCGCGCCAACGACAATGGGTGATATCAAATTCTCACATCTTCACCTCGTGTTTCACAGATTCTCGTTTCCGGCCAATGATCCCGCGTCGACACCGACTGTTACACCAGCAACGGCCCTGCCATCAGGTGAAGGCAATCTTAGCATGAGAGCTCACGCCGCAATGCCACCACATCCTTCGCTGCGGGACGCCTCGCCGAAGAAGACAATTCCGGTCCCGCTCAGGGTCTTTCCGGCTCCCAGGCTTGCACCCAAGATCAACACGGCCACCAACTCCCCCATCACGACCACCTCGCCCACGCGACTCACCCTGCCAAGCACCACCAAAACCAAAACCACGGCCCCGATCCGAGCATTCGTCGACCGCACGGAAGCCGTGCGTCGAGCACTCAACATAATCGGATCATCGTCGCAATCCTCGTCTCCGCCCGCGTTCCCGCGAAGCAAGAAAGCCGGCCCCCCAGGCGGTTCGACGATCGCAGCCATAGCCGGCCCAGCCGTGATCGCCACTGCTGTCAGGGCAGGCGTTGGCCCGAGGAACACCGCCACCAACGGCATTCCACCGCATGAACGGCCGTCGGCGCGACAGGTGGAGAGGATCCGCGGGATCTTAGGCTACGTCTGAGAAAGGCGGGGGCGTCAGTCTGACCACAAAGTGGCGAGCAGCCGAAACGGCCGTTGAGATTGAAAGAAGAAAGAAATCCGCACGACCCCAAAAAAATCACATCAGCACACAGGAAGAGAAGAAGAGAGCAACCAGAAATGGAAACAACGATGCTCATTTTGTTGCGAAATACCCCCTCATATGGGTACATGAGAGACGCGGAAACCCATCCTTTCGAGAAAACGATAATACGGGTCTCGGCCCGAACACGACTCGGCGTTATGTAATATTATTTCAGCGGCGGGGAGTTTCACACTTTGTACATGCGAAAACAAAACACGATGGCGGCGATTTGAACATTTTTTTCCAGATGTTATGAGAGCCCGGCGAGGCACCGCCCGGGGGCCAGAAAGCAGCCTTTGGAATTCATGCTTGGAAATTCCTTCTTAGAATGCTTAAATTGCATTTTTTCGATGGACAACAATATTTTTCTCATTTTCTTCTCTTTCACAACGATGAGCATCTGCAAGCGTTTTCTTCTGTCGTAGGACCTCTAGACCTCCCAAAGAGAAATGAGCCGACCCGATGTCACGAGGCCATCCACGACTGCACAACATAGGTCATACGATACAGGTAAGTCATGGCCGCCGCATGGTTCCGCTCCCAGAGGTCCCGCCTCCCAACCAACAAGCTGCGGATCTCGCGTCGCTGTGTAAAAAATCCCACCTCCTTCCGTCTACGGCCCACTTGCGAGCGATGGCCGGTGCGCGCTGAACCTTCTTCTCTCGCCGCCCGATGAAGAACCGCCTCTCCCCGCGGAAGACGAGGGTTCGTGCATGGGGGGTCCATCTTTGAGCTTTGGTCTCAGAGCAGCACTGCGCCCGCGATGAACCCGAGGAGTCCGACCCCGAAGCTGCTGCCTTGGCTCCCCTTGTTGCCGCCGAGAAAGGCGCGGGCCCGCGGAGCGGCGTGGGCGTCGACCGTGGTCGTGACGACGGTCGTCTCCGGCGGCGTCAGCGGCTCCATCGAGTCGGTGGGAGGGGTGTCTGCGGCTGGCGGGTCCGTGACGGCCGGAGGGCCGACTTCGATCGTGGTCGTCGTGTCTTCGTTGGCGTCGGTCGGGTCGGGGGCCGCGACGTCGGGCGTGGTCAGCGTGAGCTCCGTGAGGACGACGTCGGTGGTGAGGTCGGTCGTCAGCGGGAGAGGCGCGGTCAGAGATATATCCGGCAAGCTGGTCGAAAGAGTGGTTGTCAGGGTGAGTTCGGGGATGATTGTCGTGGTCGTCAAGGTCGTTGATGGCTCTGTGATGGTGAGAGGAATCGTCGTTGCGGCCTGGACAAACGGCATCGGAATGCGGAGAAGTGGGAGGTTCGGTGGAATGACTGTTGTCAATGCCGTCACGACTGGAATCGTCACCGGAGAGGCGAGTGCGATTGTGGTGACCAACGGGACGGCCACTGTCGGTGTCACGACCACGGGAATGCTCACTGTCGGTGGCGGAGGGAGAATGGTTGTGGTTGCTGGGCCAAACAAGTAGCTCGTGACAGACCCGATGATGCCTAAAGATGTCACTGTCGTCGTATATGTCCACGTCGTCGGCGTTTGTGTGATGCTGTAGGTAGCCGTCGTGGGCTGAATGATAGAGGTCGTGACTGTGATAGTGTCGTGGACAGTAGTGACGATTGTGGGCACAAGTCCCGTTGAGATACTTGTCATGGTGGTGCCCGAGACCGTCGCTGTCACAGTAACAATCGAAAGAGTTCCTGATGGCGATAGAGAACTTGGTGGTCGCACGGTGGTTATAGTCGAGGTAAGTGTTTCCACAGATGGAGAAGTGTTCACTACCATCCGGGTGATGGCGATTGGAACAGTCGTGGTCAGGATCTCAACACTTTGGCTGGTGGTCACGACTGTCTGAGTGGACGGGACAAGTACCGTGGTGACATAAGGGACCGTCGTAGTAATTGTTGGACTTCTGGTGTGCGTGACCGTGATGGTACGCGGTCCAGAAGTCGTTGTTGCAGATGGAGTCTGAACCACTGTTGTCGTTGCTGCGCTCACCGAGGGTATCGGCGTTGCTGCTGTGCCTGGAACCGTGAATACTGTCAGTGTGGTCGTGTTGCAATCAGAAGTACTCGGCGACGACACCGGATGGCCTGCGACGATTCCTGGAGAAGTAGATGTGATTGGCGAAGTCGGCCATGTCGATGAGTTCCCTCCCGAGCCCATCGGAAGATTGACATAGACGTCGACAGTCGCCGGTGCGCCAGGAGGTACATACGAAGGCATCGCAGTCTCGATCGGGACCGTGCTGCTGCTGCAGCTGCGAGTGACGGTGACAGTGAGCGGCGTTGCTTGAGAGGCTTCAGGGGCTGCCGGCGGCCAAGATTGTGGATTGAAATGCATGGCCGGCGGTTGGGACGCCGGCATGCTGGGCGATGGAGAAGTATTCGCATTTGTCAGGGAGCTTAACGCTTGCGAAAGGATGAACGGGACATTGCTCGTTATGGGCGATGTGGAAGGACCATCAGCAGAAGCGGGCAGTATGGGAGCAGGTTGTGCTGTACTTGCAATCGCTCCAGGGACGAAGCCAGACACCACGCCAGGCGTACTGGCAAGAGGAAGTGCAGCAGGAGGCGGGACCGAAGGAGCTTGCGTGGCTTGTGGTTGTTCTCCTTGGATTGTCTGCGTGACTGGTACGGTCACGGTGGTCCCAATGACAACGGTATTGGCGCCACTGCCAATCGTCGCTGCTCCGGGCTGGCTCATGGTGAAATTGGCACACGCCAGACTTGTGCCATTCGCAAAGTGAATCATCAGACTTCGGTTTCCGACGAAAGCGTTAGAGGTGTTGAGGGTTGCGAGGTATCCATCCCAATATCTGCGTGATGCATGTGGAGCTGTCAGTCACTCATGTATGCCAACTTCAACCTGTTCGCTCGTCGAGAGTGCTGCCTCTTACGTGACAACAAAAGTCGGTCCAGCCATCGCTCCGTGCTTTCCCGACAAATCGCCAACCTGGCACTCTTGCGGTTCCGTGGCGTTGCAGGGTCGCGCATCGGTGATGCTGTATGGATCGAGATGCGCTCCCGCCGAGGCACAGTCGCAAGAAGGCGCGAGCGGAGAGTTGTGGATATGATACACTGTTGTCAGATTTCCAAATCAGCAAGCGCTCACGCCAGTGCTCCAGACTCAACGCAGAAGCCTCATCTCTCTAGCAATTTCGAATAGTTGTCTCAAGACGCATGACTCACGGAACGGTCCTCCCGACGCAGGTAACCCCGAGATATCCACCCGCACATCAGCACCTCGACCATCATCCGAGGGCGTGGTGACGATGGTCACGGACCCTGTGATCGGACCTGCGGCTCTGGGCGCTAGTCTCGCGACATATTCCACGCCGATCGGGTTGCCGTTCGTGATGGGAGCGGGCGTTGCACGAGCTCGGATGAACAAGGCGGCGGCTGCGAGGCTGCCGAGTCGAAACCAGCTGAGATGCATGATCTGGCCGGGTGGAAACCAAGGCGATGAGGAAGAGGTAGCAGAGTCTCCGTTGCAAGGAATGCACTTTGGCGAGTCGACGAGCACTGATGCTTTCGCTCGACCCTTCGATGTGTGCGACAGCACGATGCTTGGTTGGTTAGGCAATCTGGATGATCTGCGAAAGAAGAGGTTATTTGGATGATCGATCGAAGCTTGCTGCCCGCAGCAAGACTGTTAGGAATGGTGATCGCAGATTTTGTCGCTGATACGGATCTCTCAGCCAAAGGATAGGGTAGTATGCTGGAAGAGGGATGTAGAGAAAAGGAAAAGGTTGTCTGCTATATTTTAGTCGAACATGATGAGGTCGTATCGTGTGATGATTTGGTGTTGGGGAGAAGTCGAGAGGAATCGATCTTGATCCGCTAACAGCAAGGTCGACAAGAGTGGTAAGCAGAACGGGTTCCTGCCACATTTATGGTCTTGACGTCTCCTTCCACCGGCGTACGAGCGTTGTTTTTCGAAGGAAGGAACATTGGAAAGATCAAGTCAGCAGCTGGGCATGATCGAGACCCATGCTTTTAAATCATGTAGGTGATCTGACACCGCCCGCGTGGGCATTTAAAATCCAACAACCGTTATCACGATCACCACACTTGGATGGATTGGCATCAAATCTCTCGGTTATTCTTCAAATACTAACTGTCTTGCCGTGCTATCTGAGGGCATCTCATCTCGTCAGCGACCCAATCTTCCCGCAAACACTTCGATCGACAATCCTACCTACCTAGGTCTCTCTCTCAACCAGAAGGAGACGTCTCCGGTGCCGGTCTCCGGAATCTCCTCTCCAGACCCTGCCACGCTTCAGAGTTATACCCGGCCTGCAACTTCCCACACCCGTCCGCCCGGCCGTCGTCCCCAGCAGCGCCCCGCAGAGCCCACTCCGAGACCCCGAGCATGAACATCGTCTCGAACATGAACGCCAGGCCACCGTCCCCGATCCTCACCGGCACAGCCGTATCCTCCTCGCTGGCCCTCTCGAACGTGGCGCGATCCGGCCCATGGGCGCCCATGACATTATGTAGGCTGGCGCCGCCTGCGCGGAAGCCCGTGCCGGCTTTGCCGTCGTACTGGCCCGTGATCAGGCCCATGAACTCGCTCATCGTGTTGCGGTGGTACCACGGCGGACGGAAGGTTCCGCCGGCGACGGCCCAGCGGGGAGGGAAGATGACGAAGTCGGCGACGGCGGTGCCGTGCGCGGACGAGGGCGCGGTGAGGACGGTGAAGACGCTAGGGTCCGGGTGGTCGTGGCTGATGGTGCCGATGGTGTTGAAGCGGCCGAGGTCATACTTGTACGGGTAGTATGTGCCGTGCCACGCGACGACGTCGAATGGGGTGTAAGTCTGCCGGGCGACGAAGAGGCGATTCGCGAATTTGGAAACTATCGTCCAGTTCAGAGTGTTTCGCTCGCGGTCGTCCTCTTCATCGAATGCAGCGACCGGGGCTTGGAAATCGCGCGCGTTGGCCAGGCCGTTGGATCCGATCGGTCCGAGTTCAGGGAGCAGGAAGTGCCCTTGATAGAGCTCCAGGATGTACCCTCGAACAGGCCCGGAGGGGAGCGTCACTCGATGTCTTATTCCACGTGGGATGACCGCAATCTCCCCGGGTCGGACCAACAGCTTCCCCAGCTCTGTCTGCACATCGAGCACGCCCTGTTGAGGGACGATGAGGAGATCTCCATCCGCGGTGAAATACGCAGTTTGAGGAGGCATGTCGCAGCCTGCAGCATACACGGATATTCCTAGACCCGACTTCAACGTGGGATCGCCGGCGCCTGCGATCAGACGGGTCCCTTGGACCCAGTCGGCCTGCTTGTCCAGATCGAAGGGGTCCCAGCGGAGTTGATTCGGAAGGTAATTCCAGCGCGGAGATTCAACCTGATGGGATCCGGCTCCAACGCTTTCATGGACACTTCCCTTCTCATCAGATGTGTAGATCGACCCATCCTTACACGGCCTGAACGGCGTGTGTACGGAAGAAGGTAATATACGATATAGCCAGGTTTGCAGGTTCTCGTGACGCGGAGCAGTGAATGCGGTGCCAGATAGCTTCTCGGTGTAGAGGCCATGGGCAGGTTTCTGCGGACTGTTCATTCCGACGGGCAAGGTTTCAGGCAGGGCTTCGGTTTCATGGTGGTTCCCGAAGCCATTTTGATATCGGTACTTGTCCGGGACTTCGAATTTAGTGCCAATCATGGCGAGGTGGACTACTCGAACGATCGCGAGAAGAGAAGGGAGGCGATGAAGAGAGAGGGAGATATATCAGAGGAAGACATCATGAAAACCTACCGCCATTGCGATCGACAACATCATCATCATCGGACATGTCGGCTGATCACAGGGGATTCTCGTAGTAACTCGAATCGTTTTTACTGGAGCCGGAAGGCCGAACAAGACATCCCATGTCACGTCAACTCATGCGGTAGTCCAGCTCTTTCCGTGGGCTTAATTAGAATGTGGTCTTTTCGGGGGTTGCATTGGTGCGAGCTACACGTGTGCACAGAAACCTCGCAGGCAAACGTCAAAAGCCGAGCCATTGCGGTGAAGCATCGGCTGAGGACAGAGCCGCTTGTATCCGCGGAGAAACGGAAGAGAGCCGCATCTGGCCTTGGCTCATGCCGCCGTCACTGTGAGCTGCAATGCAATACAATACGAACAACAAACAAGGAAGAGAATGCCGATAGTCGGAACTCATTCAAAAAAAACGATAAGCACAGGATCGATAAATATGTTCATTTTGGAGGTTTCCCGGCCCCTCGGCTATGCTATGCTGCTCATGACGATATGACCCATTAAAAAGGCCCAGTAACCCATGCAATTTTTCGCTTTCGTACACGCTAATGGAGGAGAAAGAAAGAAAGAAAGGTAAGACGACGGGGAAATCTGAAGAAAGTTGTTCGCCCGTCATGGGGAGGAGAACCCCCGATGCAATAGGGAGGACTGCCGTCGATCTGAGAAGAGAGAGAGAGAGGCGCTTGAGCCATTTGAACCCTGCGATCTTCATTCACCATCGGGCTCTCTCAAAGGTCCATCGACCACCTCTCCTTGACGCCCTCCCGGCGCGTGTGCTCGAGGATCCACTTCGGCAGCTCCACCTCGGGGCTCTGCCAGCTGGCGAAGATGGCTTCGTCCGCGGGCGAGGCCCGGGACGTCACGGACCGATCCTCGTCCTCGTCGCCGTGGGCTTCGGCGCGCGGGGTGGACGGCGGGCCCCGTTGTCCTTGTCGGCCGCCGCTGCTGCGCGGACTCCCGCCGGTCGTGTAGATGGCGGCGTGCAGCAGTGCGGGCGGCCCGCCGGCGTTCGCGGTCGGCGAGAGGGTTTTGAGGGATGTCGAGTGCAGGAGACGTGGGGAGGCGGCGGCGCCAGGGATTCGTAAAGTGTCGTTGTTGGAATTGGGATGCTCGTCGCTCGAAGAAGTGTTTTGTTTGGCGGTGTAGTTCTCGTCGTGGGAGTCGCGGGTTGCTCCGCGGCCATTCGCATCCGACGTGGTGGGTCGCAACCGGGGACTTCCCAGATCCACTGAAGGCTGCAGGCGCGGTGACCGGGACTGGTGCGATTGTTGGTTGTCGAGAGACATGCCGCTTATCTCTTTTCGGTCGCCGTCTAGTTGTAAATCTCGTTGGGGCGAAAATTTGGGTGTGGTAGACATGCGGCGCGCCGCCCTCGAGGCTGAAGATGTTGCCTCGGTGCCACCGAGCATCGGTCCCCCGAGGGTGATGAAGCCAGAATCGTCCGCGTCGGGAAGAGGTGCAAGGGGCGGCGACCGTCGGTGGGCTTGCAATTTGGGCGAGGATGACACAAACGCAAAGTCCCGCTCTACGGTCGCCGCGTTCCTCTCGTGACGTTGGCCGGAGGTAGAAGGACGGCGGTTCGACGCGCGGCTTGAATTCTCGCGGGTCAGACCAAGCGCAGGCGGGCTTCCCAGGCGAAGGGCCTGGTCGACCACGCGATCACTGACGGGATTCGTGAGAGGGGTGGCATTGGGCGTCCGTCGTCGGCTGGCTCCGCCGTCGCTGCGTATGCTGCGCGCGCCGATGGAACCGGCACCCTCCTTCCCGCTCATGACTTCCGCCACCGGCACTGGCTGCATCATCCAGAGCACATCATCTCGATTCGTCACCCGTGTCACGGTCGCTGGGTGTAGGTCGTTGATCGCCGGGTTACGGTATTCGTTGCTTCCAGCCATGGCCGCTTCCCGAGTGAGCGCGCGAGGCGGGCGTCGAAGTCCACTTGCGTCGCTCCCATTCGTCCCATTAAGATTCACATGTGAGCCCCATAACGCCTCGTCTTCGCGCTGATATAAGCGCAGGTTGATCTTGCTGTCGTGCGTGCTCGAGCTGCTCCCAGGCGGTAGGTCGACAGAGCTGGGTTGCCCGCTCATGTTACCACCCAGACGTGTCGTGTTGGTATTGGTCCTCCGCTTTCCGCGCGCGACCAGGGTCGGACCCATTTCGATCTCGGTCTGCCAATGTGGATTGGTGGACGACGGCGACGGGTGTCGATATAAATCCGGCATCTCTTCTTCCAGAGCCAGTCGCTCCAGGCGATCGCGCTTGGCGTCCACCTTCCTCTGCCGTCGAACGCGAGCTTCGGCGCATGGTGCACAGGAGAGGTAAAAGAAGATGGCGGATTGGATGCCGCGATGTATCGCCATGATGGGCGACGTCAAGGTGGGCCTGCGATTCGAACCAGGAGGGTCGAGGCAGGTGAATGGCGGTAACGGAGGCGGTGATGACAATGTCGTTCGGGTCGCATAGGCAGGTGTAAGTAAGCAAGTGCTCCCGGTCGATTATGTCGCGATGCTGGTGAGTAGGTCGTACGGATCGGTTGTGGGTGAGTTGGCGATATGGTACAAGGATGACGTCCTTTCGTGGGGATGCTCGTCGTGGTCGAACGGGCTGGAGGATGCGAGCCACGTTGTCACAGACGGCAAGGACTTGAGGGTAATTGATCCGAGGAAAGACGTAGGGTAGGGAAGACCAGAGGCGCCGTGTCGAACGGGCGCAGCAGGTGATGTGCAGTCGGCGCTGGCGGTTGTGAGAGTGGATCCAGTGGGTCGCAACGCCGTGGTCCAGCAACGGCGGAGTGGTGTATATGTACTGTGTATGTCGGTTATGCAATGAAGTGGAAGTGACCCGTCGGGGACAAGCTGGAACTGCCGTGATGCCGTATATAGAGCAGCAGGAATAAAAATGAGGTGATTCCCTGTTTCCTCGGTTGAAGAACGACACGAGGGAGAGGAAGAGCGGGTAATAAGAATGATAATAATGAAGGAATGACACGCGAATCGTGGGTGAGTTTGGTTGGTCGTTGGCCGCAGCGACTGAGAGCTGACGATGATGATGATCACCTGCAGGAGACGAGCGAGTCGGGCATGTGTGTGCTGAGCGATGCGGTGCGGTGCGGTGCGGTGCTGTGCTGTGCTGTTTCCCACACCCATCCCCCCCTTCTTCCTCCAACCGCGACTGGCAGACGGACGGGGTCTCGATGCCCAGAGGATTTATTACCAGGATGCCGCGGGTGCTTTTCGATGTTTGCATTCCCCAGAGAGGGATCACATGTGTTTCTGCATATCGATTACCACAACCTTAAAAAGAAATCAAACGAAAATCATAAAAATAAAAGAGAGGGTCGCGGACCAGTAGGAGAGGAGCAGCGAAACTGCGTGGTGATGCTCCCCTTTCCTAGAGGAGGAAACAAGGGGAGAAGAAACGGTTTGGCTGTGCAGTAGGTGATACTGTATTCAGTGTATTGTATGTGAGTATGAACCTACCTCCAGGGCTAGTAGGCTAGGTATGCGCCTAGAAGAGGGAGAGGTGTGGAGGAGACAGACGCTGGGGATAGACACGAGAAGAGGAGAGGAGAGGAAGAGGAGGAGGAGGAGGAGGAGGAGCGGATGGGCGGGTGAGCGGGTGAGCCCATCTGCCGAACGTTTCGTCAACAACCACCACCACCACCACCACCACCACCTGGGCACACCTGGGCTGGAACAGACAGATACAGACTGACAGAACTGGCAGAACTGGCAGGCTTTTACCCTCCATCCCTCCATCCACACTACTACTGCTACTACTACTACATAGTCACTCACTCACTCACTCACTCACTCACTGTCCTGCCGTTCATTCGAGACTAGACTCGTGATCCTTATTATTATTATTGTTGTTGTTATCATTATGAATGATGACAAGGTTCAACTGTATGCCCAGGTGTATTAGGGATGGATGAGTATGCCCAGGTGTACGAGGGATGGATGATCCAATGCCATCCATCATGCCATGGTCCAGTCCAGTCCAGCACAGTACAGGAACCTAGATATACCTCCTAATCTTTCGAAGAGCGTCATTCTGAGTCACCTGGGTCATTTTACCAAGGTCAAGATCGAACATCATCATCATCATCATTATTACTCTCAACGTCGCCCAAATCGAGAGAGAAGGAGAGAGAGCTCCAGTATATGGATCGCTCCGGTGTGGATCATGGATCATCACTCGTCACTCATCACTCATCATCGTTCCCATCGCATGTGGGGAAGAAAAACGATATGCCCAGCCAGCTACAGGGAGGGTCGTCGCAGCGTGTCCGAGCGCAATGCATGGCCAGGTATATATCATATCATACACGTACGCATGTACATGCTACTGTAAGAAGACCGAAACAGAGGCGCATGGTCTGCCAACGTCCTGCAGATGGAGAAACAGTTCGTTGCTGCCCACACACACACACGACGACGACGACGACGTTCAGCCGTTTTCGCGCCGCGGGTGGGGCGCGAGTGGGCGAGTGGGCAGGCTGAGCGCGTATCTCAATTTCACGTCCCTCCTCCTCTTCTCGTCGTCGGCATGTAGCGTGCATTCATCATCATCATCACCATCACCATCATTTACAGTAGATATCTCGATCACCTGGGCATCACGACTTTCCGCTTTAAATTATTAATAATAATAATCACCACACGAGCTCCGGCAGGAGAATCGTCGAGGATCGCACACTTGTCCCGTGATAACCGACTACGATGGACAACTATATCGAAAAAAAAACCAGACGTTGGGTGCTACCCGCGGAATGTGGAACGTGGAATGTGAACCACCGGTGCACATATAACTTTACAAATCCATCGTTCTCGGCGCGTAGTGGGTCCCTCTTCCTCTCACGCGTGCCCGCGATGCGCTAGTGGGCGTCGACATCGACCTCCCTCGACTTCGCGGCTGCAGCCCGACTCGGCTGCAACCATGGACAGGGGGCACAGATGTGTCCGGAGGGCTGTCTCCGCCGATCGCTCCTCTTCATCGTGAGAAGCATATCCATGCCGGCCGGAGATCTCCACGGCGACGGGCGATGCCACCCTATCTATCCAGCTCAGCTCACCTGGGGTCCTGCACCTGACGAGTTCCATTGGTGTCAGCAATGGCGGAGGGATTGGGGAGTTTCGAGTTCCATTCCGTCAGATATCCACCGTGAAAAGTCGCCCAGGTGGGGCATTGCATCGCTGCTTCGGGCGGAACCCTCGCCCTCTTGGTCAAACGGACATTCATCATGTATCACGGCCTACACGTCGACCGCGTCGGGCGGACGACACCCGAGTAGACGGACTTGTCCACGCAGGGAGTGATGAGTGATGTGGGAGCGCGCGCGCGCATCCGTGATACCAAGGTACGTTCATAGATCCTCTAGCCACATACCTGAGTGCTGTATGGAGGAGCACCCACAAGCTAGCCCTACCAGAGGCCCAACGGCCAGCAATCATCGGGAAACTCTTCGGCGTGATAAACGATGATGGTGGATCAAGGCGAGACAGCACAACGCGGGGACAAGCGAGGGTCGCAGCGCCACGCGAGAGAGAGGGAGAGGGAGAGGGAGGGAAGCCCGACAAGGTCTCAGATGCGCATGTCTCGCACGATCGCGCATATGTACATGGGTGAAACCGCGCGCACGCACGCGTATGAGACGCGAAGGCCCTTTTTCGACCACCAACCACGGTGGACGCGAGGGGATTGGGCGGGTCTCCCTCGGTCTGCGGTTCACGTGCGCTCACGGGATGGGTTTTCGAGCGGCGAACACGGGATCGTCCTCGTCGCTCGGCAGGGAGAAGAAGGTCTGTTTGGAGGGCTCCATGGTCAAGGAACGTGAGGTCCGTACATATTCATACCCTAAAATATCTATAGAAAGAGTGGTCTGGATCCCCCCGAGGTATGGATCGAGATGAAGAAAAGATTAAACTCCCGAACGTCATTCCCTCGAGAGTGCTCGGAGAAGAAAAAAAAGGGAGGGAAGCATGAAAGCGCCGTTCGCCATACGAGTATCCCAAACTCCTCAAATGCCCCTGCGAAGTGAAAGTCTTTTGTTGTTTTTTGGACATTCCCGGAGACAAATGGCTGGGGGAAGGAGGAGCGAGTCGTTTCCGTCATAAGTGAGAAGAGCAAGCCGCGCGACTGTGTCACGGTGACCGAGGTGCGGGAAGAGCTAATGGATTCCAGCAGGGCGTATCGCCAGGCAGGGTCTTCACCACCGCATCACCATAGCCCAGCCACTCCGATGAACCAGGTGAAGCTCGCGATCGTGACACCCGCCATTCCCAGGACCATGAACACGGTCTGCCGCTCCATGCCCGTCACCGCCCCGCTGCACGTGGCGCAGACGAATTCGTTCAGCGGCACCGGGGACTGCGGGACGTACATTCCAAACGTCAGGCCGGAGAAGGGGGCGAGGTATCCCGAGGAAGGCCGCGCGGTGACGGGCTGGCCTGCCTCGTGGATGATCAGGGTGTAGGTCTCGGTGAGAAGCGGCTGTGTGGCGGTGGCCTGGTAGGCGCCTGTGTCCCAGAGCACCGTCTGGGCACCTCCAGTCGGGATGGTCTGGTTTAAAGCGATGGTGTAGGTCGCGCGGTTGGCGAGGCAGGTGGCCAGCACATCGACGGCGGAGGGCGTCACAGAGAGCGATGTGTAGTTCCATGCGAATGTCACCCAGTCCTTCACCTTGTAATACGTCGGCACGGCCAAGGCGGTGTTGGGTGTGATCATGGCGACACCGCCGGCGGGGAGACGCGGATCGAACTCAATGCCCGAAGATGTGTTGTTTCCGTTGTTGTTTCCACCTGCACTGTTGGTGCTATTGCCGCCGCCGCTCGCCGGCGCCGTGACGGTCGCACCATTGCTGTTCGTGGTCGTGATGACGTTGGTTGTTGCTGTGTTGCCTTGTACGCCAGTGAAGGAGAGATCGAAGGTGGTCGTGGCTCTCGCAGCCAGATCAATGACTGCTCGGGGTGTGGGCGCCGGCGCAGGCACATCCTCGAACCTGGGAGGCCAGGCAAAGCATGGTGTGGAGAGGAGGACGGCGGCGGTGATGAAGCTGGCGGACCGCATGGCGGACTTCGTTCGGGAGGGTGTCTGTTGATGCGAAGGAGGTGAGATGTGACCCAGAAGAGAATTTTTGATCGAGGACTGTGCGACACCCGGCTCAATCACTCGTTGAATTAGTAGAAGGCACGACCGATTCTCGAGGCTCGTGGACGGCTTAGTATTATTGTCGCTTGAGGCGTAGAGGGAGAACCGTCGTGATGAAAATTGTCGAGCGAATGGCAGCGTTGGCGTTATGTTACAAGGCGAAGTCGAACAACCGGAAGCGAATAGCGAGATAATCCTTTGGGATGAGCGAGTGTGTGAAGAAGGAAGAAAAAAAATCGATGCGGCGTCAAACAAGAGGCGAACTGTTGACGATGGTGGTGATGATAATTTGGGAAACCACAAGAATACGGAGACGACGACGGCGGCGACCATCGATCGGCCACGCATACACACACACACGCACACGAACCCCCCGATACAGCCAATTCTCGTGTTTCCTCTTCCCACCCGCTGCACGTGACAACGCGGCCACAGGGAAGGAGGGAACGGGGCAAATGTTCAACACAAATTCTCCCCGTGTCTATTCTGGGTCACCACTAGACTGGATACGGGCTCGGCAATGTGGTTCCGATGGGGGCGGACTTGCCCTCCAAGGTTCCTCGACACCACCACCTGCGTCCTGCTTTGAATTCGACGCGACGACAAGGCGCATTCCACCTTATGGACAGGTGCATATCAGACAACGATACGTGACCCATATGCGGTCCAGAACGGCTGTGCGGTCGATCGGGAAAGCCGCCGGCAGATCTGTTGTTTCACATCAGGTTCGTTCATGAGGAAATCGTGCCTCCTCCATTTCCGACGTCGTGCACGCCACCAGCTACCAGAATGCATCGCAAGTGTGGTGGCGGCAGAGCATTCATGTTCATGCTGGACGGCGGATGGATGCGGTTTGCCAAACTTTTTTCATACATCGTAAGACGATAGTTGTACAGAAATTAAAAGTGTCAGAATTCGCTCCAATCGGCCATGAACGTATCGTGTCGTGAGCAGCCCGCAAGGTCAGACTCCCTGATCCGTGTCCGGGCATACTATGATCTTTTCCTTCTCTTTGCTTCAACCATTCGTGGGTTACTTTGGGTTCTGCTTCATCCTTTGCACCTTGCTCCCGTACGGATGCCTGTGAAATCGCCTCTTCATCTAGTCGACCTACCCAGGGGAAATGCGGAGAAATGATCGTATGAGAAGAGGATGGAAAAGAGGGCATAATAATATTAATACATGATTTTCGTGGTTTGCACCACCGTGGAATGGTGCGTAGAAACAATCGTCATAAGGAGTGTCTTTCATTGTGGTTCCTCCCGCGTTTGTCGACTCGTGGTCGTGACCCCGTCATTCAGGGCATCATTGTCATTGTCGTTCAGGACATCGTCCGAGGGCCACCTTTCATTCTCGCCAGATGTGAAATTGACTCCGGGTCCCGACGCACCGAGTCAATCTATGACTCCGCACGCAGGCGACCGCCGAAACGCCCGGCAAAGTCCTGGCTTTGCTCTCGTGCAAGGCTCTGTTCGCGAGCGATGCCCCGGAGCATGTTCTCGACCTGAGGGGCCGCTTGGACCCACGGCAAGCCCCAAAGATCGACCGATGGATTCTTGACCATCTCCAGCATCAGCACGATAAGGCCCCAAGGGTGTGGGCGTGCGACCACCAGGCGCTCGCAGAGAACGCGCAGGATGAGCTCCTGCAGCTCCTGGGCGCCGGCGGTGAAGAGGTGCTGCAGCGCCGTGGAGAAGTATTGGGTGTGCGAGCTGACAAAGCGCACTTGATTCGTCATGGCGTGAATCAGGGAGACACGCGAGGAGGCGTTTGCATCGCGAACGAGGCGGTCGATGAGACGACCAGGAGCTGCGCCCGCCGAGAAGGCTGGCGAGCCTTGGGTTGCATGGACACCCAGGTGGAACACAAGGGCATTGGTGATGAGCTCGTTGCGGCCCGGACTGTCGACGATGTTGAGGATCGTAGCAAACTCGGTGTCGTCGATCGCGTTGGTAGTGAGAGTGCGATCAACTGCATTGCCAATGCCAGCATCGACGAGGATACGGCGGACATCGGTCTGCTCGACCGGGGCGTGACGAGAGGCGTCCAAGCGATTGATCTTCAAGCCCGCGAGAAATGGGTCAGGCTGGTCGCGGATCGTCATGCGAGACGCAGCGCTGTTGACAATGTTCTGCAACTGGATGCATTGCATCGGGATCTGACTGTTGAGGCGGACATGATTCTCCGACAGAAATTCGGGGAAATCATGATGGATCAATGTGAACAGCCGGATGGAGCCTCGGTAGAAGTCTTGCACGACTGGCGGCGTCTCAGAGAGTGCGAGAAGCTCTTCCAGGTTGGTCAACAGACACTCGATCAGCTTGGAGAAGACGAACCAGCCGCCATTGGATCGGCCGTTGCCAGACAAGAAGGCTGGGATCAGAAGACGATGCGTCAGCAACGTAAGCCAATGGTAGGTGAATCCTGAGAAGTAGCGCGGCTGTGTGACCAAGAGTGCCTTAGCAAACACAGCATAGACTTCTCGTTCCTCCTCCTGGGTCATCTGCTCGCGGTTGGAATGCAATTCGCAGAGCAAGGCAGAGAAGAGGCGGTAATAGATGCGGCCGTTCCAGTGATCCCGCTGCTTGTTGTGGTGGTCATTCATGACCAGGACGATCAATCTGAGGATGGCGTCGAGGGATTTGGCCCGCTGAACTTGATTTTGAGCATGACCCTCAATCGGTCCCTGATAGATGATCATATATGCGATGAGCTTCGCAAGCGCATCTGCCTCGATGAAGACCTGATCGTGCGTAGGATATGGCATGTTGCTCAACCGATCGAAAGAGGCGCAGGACATGTTCAGGCATGTGCGGAAGAACGCCAGGGTGTCAACAGGGTCGATGATGACGCGATGGTCATGCAACTGCTGCAAGAAAGCCAGGTACGAGTGCTCCGGAGTCTCCTTTCGCTGCAGACGCACCCACTCTTCGAAGACATATTCGAGCTGGTCGTTCTTGTGATCCGACGACGGACTTGGCAGGCCATTGAGCTGACCAGCTGGGATCTGCAGTTTGAACATGATCTCGCGAGCAATCTTCAGATCAGGCTCGTCGTTCAGCCAGGCGTTAAGGGCATCGTAAGTCTGCACAAAGTCCGTCCGAAGGGCCACGGGACTTTCGCCGAGCAGCATCTCATCGAGAATGTCCTTGAGGTAAGGCAGCACGACCTTGCGGCGCGCAGAGAGTGCCCGAGCAACTTGTGTGTCAATGTTCTGCACGTCAATCAGGCCTTCGGTGCGCAATGAGATGGTGGCTGCAGCGTTGAATATCCGATCGTCCTCAAAGGTCGCGAGCTGCATTGTGATGCTACGTCCAGCATGAACTGAAATGCGGCAAACCTGGGTGATCAACCGCACGAACACCTCAACCTCGAGTCGCTTCGCATTGTCGCCATAGATCACGATGAGACATTGCTGGCCAGCGAACAAGCAAATCTGATCCCGGGGAGCTGCTGCGTCGAGTAGCCTGACAAGTTGCTCATAGATATGTCGGATCGCCGCGCCCTCGCCAATCTCACTGATGTGCTCTTCGGTAGCCTCGCGACAGGTCTGTTGGAGGTCAGTCAGTAGTTGGAGCACCCGAGGGAGAGTAGTTGCCTCGTCCAGGAACCCATTAGCAGCGTGGTTGGGGTTTGCTTGGCCAGGCTGAATCCGTGCAGGCTGTCGTGGCAGAGCCGGTGCTTCGGATGGAGTTGGCAGGCCGAAGTTGTCGGAAAGGACGTCGGGCAACTGGCGACTGTTGTCGACCGAAGCACTGCTGCCATGTGTCGGAGGTGGGAGACGCACTTGACGGCCGAATTCTTCGTAAATTGCCAACTGTTGGCGGTTGAGACCGCTGCGGTCTTGGCTGTAAGGTTCAGGAATGAGGGTCGCCCAGCGATTGACAGGAGCAGGCATGAACGGTTCGTTCGGACGCTGTTCGTTGTGCTGACGGCGCTCTTCGACCGACTGTTGGAGCTGTAGGTCGATTTCGGAGAGGCTGTGTTCCTCGGCGGCGCGTTCCACAAGGCTGCAGACAGTGTCGATGTTGTCGTTAACAAACATCAAGATCTGACCCTCGGGAAGTTGTTCGTGCAGGTGACGGTTGGCGTAAAGCCGGATGTTGTTGGTGATGCTCATGCGGAGCGGTTCCTTGCATGTGACAAGTGCGAGACTGCCGGAAAGCGCTTTGACCATGGTGTGCGAAGAGCTTGTGACTTTCGACTCGTCGCCTTCGGTTGCGAAATCTTTCTGGATAAGCTCCGAGGTAGAGATTGCAGCGATGGTCACAGATCGCTCCACTACAGGCGCAATGATCTCATAGATGGCTTGCTGTGCAGCGGTCACGAAAATGTCGCGCATCTGCTGTTGAGAGATATTGCCGACGGCCTGCGGAATCTGAAGCATATTGCCGAGGTCGGGCACAGCGTTGATGACAGCGTCGGGCTGGAAGCGATCATTAGGACTCCGCTTGGATAGACTCATGAGCAAATTGTCGCCGAATGCGTCCGGACCGCCCTCGGGCATGTATGCGGCCATCATCGGGTTCTCCAGTAGAGGTCGGGATCGGATGACATCCAAGGGTGCGATGTCTTTGATGTCGACATTCAGATCGCGACACAGCATCTCAATCTCGAATTTCATGTTGAGCTTGAGCTCGGGAATGCAGTGGTACAATTCACTCAGGACACCGAGCAGCTCGACGATCCAGGGGTTGGGTGGTCTGAAGGCTTTGGAGTGCGCAGCCTGTAACAGCGTCTTGCAAGTGAAAGGAATGACGACGATCAGACGCTGCGTCGCATGTCCCTCGATCAGCAAGTCTTTGAAGGAGAGATTGCGATGCAGGATTGGTTGATTGCGAGCCAGGGTAATGGCGCCGAGCCAACCTGCGAGGTTCTTCAAGGTCGTACGTTCGTGCGCGTTGTCCATCGTAGCCTGGGCGTTGAGCATGCGTTGACAGCTCGCGAATGTCTCTCGAAGGACTTCGGCCCACAACAGCCGTTTGTTGAAATTCTCCAAAAGCTGCAGATAGAGTCCTTGGAAGTTGGGTTGGGACTTGGCTAGCTCCTCGACGAGATAGTGCGCGAACCACTGATGGTATTTCTCCTCCAGGGTGGTCTCAATCTCTTTGAATTTCTCATCCAGGTTTCTTTTAGAGACGTTGTTGAGCACGAAGGTGACCTTGTCGGAAATGTCCTCATCGGGCTCCTCGTAGAAGTTCTCGCGCAACGGCGGGTCGACTCGAATCGCCGAGAAATGCGGTACAGTGTCCGCGGGCAGCTCGTCATCGAGAGCGCCGTTGACGAGGCCGTTCGTCTCGTCGCCGTTCATACCACCATTCTCTTGCTGCAGCTCCCGCAGCACGCTTTCCGCCGCTGGGATGACCTGTGTACCCTGCAAGTTTGGTATGTGCAGAATGCGCTCCGCGAGGTGTGGCCACTCCGTGAGCCGAGGCAGAAGATGAATGAGGGCTTGGAGACCGAAACGATACATCGGATCTTCTGGGTTGTACTCGGAGACGGCCTCGAAGATGCCGAATATGGCGGCCTGCTCAGGAATCCCGGACAGCACACGGTAGGACACCAGTCCACCGAACAGGACCGCGGTGGTCGCCAAAGCCTCGTTAGGATATTCGCCAAAGCAATGGTACTCCTCGAATAGACCATATAACATAGCAGCGAAGAGCTCCTGATCTTCTGGCTCTTCAGACACTTTGAGCTTGTTCAAATCTGTGACAAGTGCATCGGGGTTGGTCTTGCCTGAATACATCTCCTTGTATCGCTCCTCCATCTCCCCGAGAGCTTCTGGGGAAAGGACGCTTCCTCGCTCTTCGTCGTTGCTTTCAATGATCGCATTGCGCTTCTCGTCTTCGCCGTAGTTGAAAAGTCGTGGGTAGCCCTGTAAACATAAACGATACAGCTGGACCGTCATATCCTCGGGCAAAGTATCACCGATCAGAGAAAGCAATGCGTGCACGGTCTGGACTCGTAAAGGACAAGTCTGCGGCGAGCCCTGGTCCTTCTGTACGATGGACTCGTCGTCGATCTTACCGCGAAGGAATTCGTAGAGGGCTTTGGCGAAATTGATCATGCCGAGAGAGTTGACGAGCTGCAGAGACCATTCTTCGAGGTTGCACTGACCTTTGCTGTGAGCATAGGCAGCGAGGTCGAGCGCGAAATTACTCTGGATCGTCAACAACGCATCGAGCCATCCATGGTCGACGGCATGTTCATAAATCAGGGCGAGCAGGTTCTGCTCCGTCTGGTACAACTCAACCATGCGAGCAGCGATCCAACCCTTGTCGTGTTGCCACAGAGAATGCATGACGAAGTCATAATTGTCAATCCTCTTACGCAGGAAAGGATAGAACAACTGCTTCAGCGCTTGATCCTGGAGGGGTCCCCACGGCTTCGGCACCGCTGAGGCCGCACACACGAAGATGGTCATGTTCTGGTTGATCAGGGTCGCCGGAATGTCCAGGGCTTGCGCCAGGTTATACGTCTCCTGCGAACGGAAGATCATGGTGAAAAGCGCACTCGTGGCGTCGCGCGAGACGAGTGGATGTTTTATGGCCTGCTCCGCGAAGGCCCTGACGCTCTCCGACGCTGTTGCGAAATCGGTCAGATCGAATGCCTGCCGCAGGTTTGGAATCTGCATGACATTCAGTTCCTCGGACGTGGTCGACAGGAAAGCAACCACGAAGCTGAGTTGTGCATCGAAATTCTGCCAGTCTCCGCCCCAGAGGCTTTGGATGTCGAAGTTGACGTATTCCCTGGCCAATGGCAACAACGCATTGTACAACGCGAGGAACTGCTTCTTCGTGATGCGCACAAAGTCCTGGTCGAAGCCGGCGACAACGTCAGTCCAGTCGATCTGCTGACCGGCGCGGTGCTGGCGTAGTCCCTGGACGAAGATCGCGGTGTCGAAGCTGTTTCCGTCCTGCACAATTGCGGTAAAGAGCAAGGCATTGGCGATCTGGGGATAAGCGATGTCCCTCGTCTCCACACCAGCAAGCATCTCTTTGCATGCATCCAAACTGGCGGTGCCTCGCGAGCCGGTCCGCTGCAACAATTTTGCCAATCTGGAATCTGGCGATTCCAAAAGCTTCACCAAAACCATGACCGATTCCACCGGCGGCGGCACACGCTCGCCCAGCCTGTTGTATCGCACTTGGATGGCGTAGATGAGATTCTCTCGTTGCTCTTCTCCAAAGCTGCGAGGCGGATCGTTGATGAGACGCTCCAATATCTGCACGAGCACGTCCGGGGCCAAGTCGCGATCGATCTCTGTGGTCTGCGGGGCATTGAAGGAAAGACTGGCGAGGAAAGGTTGGAAGTTACTGGCGAATATCGGCTCGGCTAAGAATTCGAGGTCAGCATCCGACAAAATCGAGGCGTGGCATTTCAACGCGTACCTTTCGAACGCAAGTCCGGCTTGGAGAGGCCCCGGCAGGCAAGCACGAGCGCCACCTTGGCGACAGGATCCAGTCTGAAATGCTCGACGAAAGTGGACAGGTCAAAGTCGCGGAATAAATCGCCGTCGTTGCTGTCAAGGGCCTGGGCGATGTTGTTCGCTTGTGACGGCTCCTTTAGAATTTTGGACATCTCCTCCACGAGCATAGGGTAGGTGCCAGCATTTTCCGTGGACGCTGGCGCACGCGGCGCCCCGGGGAAGATGGATGATGCGTTGCTCAACAGCATACGCCGGAAGAAGGGTGCGTGAAGCTCCATCCCGCTGTCATGGATGAGTTTTCTGATCTTCTCCGCCTGCGTCTCCCACTTCTTCCGATCCGAGACCTCTTTGAGGGTGCTGAGGAGGATGTTCAACTGGGTGAGGATCAAGCTGGTCAACTGCCCGGAGGGGCTGCTGGTCCCGGTCTGGGTGGAGGGAGTGATGGACGAGGAGATCGAGACGGTTGGCGAGTGACGCAGAAATCGTGAGGCTCCAACACCTGCGGGCCCGCCTCCACCGCCGCCGCCTCCTCCTCCTGATGCGTTTGATGACAGGCCTGCGAGTGTGGATGGGATGCGTGGGCTGCCGGATGAGGTGACAGCACGCGACCGACTGCCCGAATTCAGAGCAGTGGCGGCGTGTCCGGAGCCGGTCACGGGTTGCGTGTAGGAGCTGCCGGAGGAGGTGGACGATTGTCGACCGGACCTCTGACGGTGGGCTAATTGCAAGGCGTGGCCTCCGGGGTTAGGGGTGGTCGGTGACGACGTCGACTGCGAGGGGCTCTCGCTCGCGTTCGACGGCTGCAGGGCGATCGGGGTGCTGCTTCGAGCCGCGACGCCTGTGGTGGAGGGATCAGCAGGGCGACGGCGGGAAGTGGAACGCTCCGAAGAGCCTGGGCGGGCGGTCAAGTATGATCTCGTGCTTCTTGCGCCTGTGGCGGCGGGGTGTGATTGAGGAAGATCCTGAGGTGGTGTTGAGGAGGAGGACGGGCCACTCATCGATACGGCCCACGCATTGGAGCTAGAAGTCTGCGATGCAGTCGAGGATGAAGGACAATGGAGCGTGATAGGTGGTGGTGGTGGTGGTGGTGGTGATGATGGGGGGGTGCAGGTGGGTGCAGGGAGCTGCTGGTGTCGGCGTGGTTTGTGAATTGATGCCAGCAGACACTGTATAGAACCTTGGGAAGTCAGGTCAGTCAGCCGTTTATCGCCAAGCCCCAAATAAATGATCGCCCTTGATTTGCGGTCCAGCTTCTTCCGTAATAATACATACAGTACATAGTAACAGTCCCTACCTGACCAAACCTGAGGCTCACAATCAATCCCTCTGCTGCTTTTGAACCTTGCCCGAGTACTGTAACCCACCTACATACCTCTTTGCCGACTGTACCTCTGCCTACTAGGGATTACTAAGTAGTACTGTAAAAGCGACCGAGTCACGTGTCAGGCAAGGTCAGGTCAGGTCAGGTTCAGGTCAACCCCAGATTCCGTGCCCAACCTCCGGAACCAACCCCCAAGCATGAAACAAACAAACACACTCCGTACATATCTAGGGTGGTATCTTGTTACTCCCAGGGCTGTGTTGGACATTCATCAAAAGGCTTGGTAATGACCCACATCGAAAAACGACCGCCTCCTCATGCCTTGCAATCTTCAATCCATGTCGGACCTCACCTGTTTGCGCAAGTGGAGAAGTGACGAGAGCATAACTGACGGCCTGGGCATGCGTCAACAAATATATCCTCATTCATCACTGGCTGTCCATTGGTCTCGTCCCGTGTTTACGCCTTCTCGCGGCTGGAGGTAGTTTTATTACGCCTGCATTTAGAGCTCCAAATGCCGTTCGTTGTCTCCGGGGAGACAGCCATGACTTGATACATATATATGTAAACACATGCATATATATATCGATTGAAATAACCCCATGTCCGAGTAGTCAACGTCCGCGAAACAACAGCCGTATCAAAACCAGGACTATAATGGTACATAGGTAGGAGACATCATTCGTCTTTTATTTCCGCCAGTCGTTAGGATTAAAACAGATGGAGTGGACTTATGTCGCGTTAGGGTTGCGATGAGGCTCTGCGCCGGAAAGTGCCGAAACAGCTCCTCCAATGCTGCTGGTGTACTGTAGTGTACTTGCGACGTTTCAGGGCACGATTATTACTATATCACCGAAGCGACACCCACCAGACCTAGAGTCGGACCGCACGAAACCCGCGACACACCAGACAACATCCACACATGAGCGCGACCTCCCCCGAGAACAGGTCCTAGATCCACCAACAGACATCCCACAGCGCCCACGATGCTGGGCTCGCTCTCCAGCATGCAGCCGCGGCAGCTGGCCGCCCAGGTGCTCAACTTCGCCCTCGTCCTCTCCACCGCGTTCATGCTCTGGAAGGGCCTCTCCGTGGTCTCGGACTCGGCCTCGCCCATCGTCGTGGTGCTCTCCGGCAGCATGGAGCCGGCGTTCCAGCGGGGCGACCTCCTCTTCCTGTGGAACCGGGGGCAGGAGACGCAGGTGGGCGAGGTGGTGGTGTACAACGTCCGGGGCAAGGACATCCCGATCGTGCACCGGGTCATCCGCAGATTCGGCGGCGGGTAAGAACACATCACCACATCCATGATCTTGATGGGGCGGGCATCCGGTCCTCGAAAGAAAGTATATCGATCTGACATTATGTTCCCTCTCTCTCGCCTTGCAGGACCGAACCTCTCCAGCTGCTGACCAAGGGCGACAACAACGCTGCGGACGACACGGAGCTGTACGCGCGAGGCCAGAGCTACCTCGACCGGAAGGAGGACGTCGTGGGCAGCGTGGCGGGCTACGTGCCGTACGTGGGATATGTGACGATCCTGCTGAGCGATTACCCGTGGCTGAAGACGGCCATGCTGGTGTTCATGGCGGTCACGGTGGTGTTACAACGAGAATAACGTTCGAAAAAATCCCCCCAAAAATGAACTCCTTCCTGCGAAACTCCCCCCTCCCGCGTCCCAACTCGCGTGAAGGGGCCAGATCGTAACATCATGGCCCCGTCGTCTCTTCCAGCCTCGCGGCTTGTCATTGCTCCTGGGATCATAGAACCGGCGCGGGGTCCAGACCGACGAGCGTCGACCGAGCCATCACGAAAGATCGGACCTGAACTGCCAACTCCACGTTGTCAAGCGGGAGGAGGACAGCCATGTCAGAGAAAGGCCGACGATCCCCCCGGTGAACGAGTGACTTCTGCCCGCGGGCTTTGAGAGGAATTGTCTCCGATTTCCCGACGGCATGCCCCCTCGTACGCATTCCGCAGCGGACGGCTTTTCGTCCGCTGGAATCCCCTCCCCGATGGAGCCGATCCGTGGCGTCAGATCCGGCCGAGAGCGCGTTTTCGGAACCCGATCATCGCTGGAAGATGACTTTGTTGTTGTAGACATGTCAGGGGCGATAGAGAGAAAAAAGCGGAGTGATATTGCTACCGATGACGATGATGAAATGGTGATGGTGATGAAATATCCCATGTGTGATGACTACGGAATCGGCACGCACGTCTCATAAATACATGAATTCCCCCGCGGAGAATAACAGCGACGGTTCCCGGACGGAGTGTGGCCCCCTCCCTCCTAAAAAAGCGAAATGTTCAACCTCATTTCCCAACGAAACCCCCCAAAACCCCGGCGAGAAGAACTGACCAACGGAAGAAAACCCCCCCCCTCCTCGAATCCACACAATCCACACGAACCACATAAACCACATAAATCCCACAGCTCGCAGCAGCAGCATCGTCGTCACCGAATGCCTCCCATCCACCAACTTCATAGTCATATCAACATCAACATCAACATCATCGCGATCCTCGCGATCCTCCCCAACCCGATCGATATCGAGGATGGGAACGAGGAAGAAAGGGGGGCCTAGCAGCTCTTCAGGTAATTGCTGGGCACCAGGCCGGGGGCCGAGGGCTTGCCGACGACCTCGGCCTCCCACCAGCCGTCGTCCTGGTGGCGGGTGACGGCGAGGACGTCGCCCTTGGCGAAGGACAGCTCCTCCGGGATGGCCGCTTGGTACATGTACATCGCCCGCGCTGGAGGGGAATCGTCAGTTCTGAGATGCCGACAGGGGGAGAGAAAGAGAAAAAAGAGAGACGGGGAGAGGGGGAGGGAGAGACGGGGGGAGTTACTGACCATAGTGCAGGATCGGGATGCCGCCCTTGGTGACCTGGCGCTGGCCCGCGACGCTCTGGCTGCGCGCGCGGGGCGCGCCGACTTGGTTGTTGGCGCTGCTGTGGTGGTGCTCGGTCGGGGCGTAGTACTGGCTCTGGGGGCGGCCGGTGCGCTGGTGCTGGCCGCCGTAGGAGGAGGACTCCGGGCCGCTGCTGGGCACCGGGGCGAGCTGGAGCGCCATCGGTGCGCCGCCGCCGGGGCTGCCGCCCATGGGCGCTTCGGCGGGGCCGCGGCTGCTGAGCGGGCGGGGGTGGTTGTTGGCGGGGTTGGCGGGCGCGTAGGCGGGGTTGGGCGAGGCCGCGCGCGGAGGGCCCGGTGCGAACGAGGGCGAGTTGCCGCGGGAATAGCTGCTGGCGGCGAAGGGGGCTTGGGGCTTCGCGGGGCCGGAGGATTGGGCGCGCGGGCGAGGGGCCCCGGCGGCGGCGGCGGAGTAGGGGTTGGGCGAGGTCGACCGGTAGATGGGCTGCTGCTGCTGCTGCATCGGTGGCGGTTGCGGTTGCGGTTGACGCTGTTCGGCGTTGATCAGGGGCCGCGGGCTGGCAGATCGCGCCGGGGCCGGCGACGCGGCGCGCGGAGGCTCGTGTTGTGGCTTCTGCTGCAGTTGAGGGGACGGTCGTCCGACGCTGCTCGTCGGGCGGGCGGCGCTGGCGTTGAACACCTCGCGCTTCTGGTTCGTATATTGCTCGGTGGTCTTGCGCATCTCGCGGCTGGTGTGGGCCGGCTGGGGGGCGCCGAGTCGGCTGACGGGCGTGTCGTACGCAGGGGGAGGGGCGTCCCGGAAACTGTTGTTCGCGAACGCGGTGGGCACCGCGCCGGCCGGGAGGTTCCTCTCGCTCGTGGCCGGCGTGCCGGGGACCGGGGTCGACATGCCGTAGTGGCGGTCCGCCGATTGTCGGACGGATGCCTGCTTCGCCACCCCTTTCAGCTCGGCGAGGGCTTGCGCGATCGGATCGTGCTCTGCGTCGGCCGATTTCTGAGGTGTCGCCTTCTTCCGCGAATCGGGCGATGCGACGTCGAAGACGTTGCCGCCGATGCCGAGCTGATACTCCGCTCGCGGATCGACAGGCTCGGGTTCCATCGAGGTCGGTCTGTTCCAGGGGCTCGACCGGGGTGCGTTGCCGAAGGGCTTCGTCGGGCTCGAGCCAGCGCTGTCAGGCTTGCGGACCGTCGCTGGGGTCCAGGTGTTCCTGGAAGTCGGAGTGGTGGCTACGCTCTGGGAGATCTGCTGGGCTGGCATCGGAGGCACCTGCTTCTCCTTGGTCGACTTCCTCCGGAAGGGACTGTGAGATTGGAAGAAGTTGCCCTTCTTCTTCATCATGTTCTGGTCCTCGGCGGCAGCCGACATGCCCGAGACGGCCGAGTCGTTGTAGTTGGACGAGACGGCGGACAAGTCCGAACCGTTGTACTGCTTGGGAGGCGCCACACTGGAGACATTGGACCCGTTGTAATGAGATGAGACACCGGACAATTCCGAGCCATTGAGCTTCATCGGTGAGATGTTTCCGTCCGTGTGGTCTTCAAATGAATTGGGAGCCGAGTAGTCGCTGTGTCCGTCCCGGCTATCGGGCCTGGCGGGTGCTGGGACAGAGTTCCGCTCGGGAGGAGGAGCGGTCCGACAGAATTGGGTCATGCCATCAGTAGGGTATGGGTTGTGCGGTACGACCGGCACTTGCGGAGCGTTGTGTGAGAATGAATTCTGGCTAGAGGCCAGCGGGTTGACGGCGGCGCTGCCCTGAGAGCTACGTGCGATGGCGGTGAATGCGCCGTCGCCCTGCAAGGAGGTTCGGGCCTTGGGCATGCCGAGCTCTTCTCGGAGACCATTCTCGGGGTCGTGGTGGGACTCATATGTGCTGGGTTGAGGCGAGGAGGTCCGGAATGTGGGATTCATGGTGCGCTGGAATTGTGCGACGGAGTAGTTGCCGTCGTCCGATTCGTGCGTCGAGCTGGCGTCATCGTAATCGCCCCGGCAGAAATTGATGTATTTCGGCGGGTCGGGAATCTCCTGGCCGGTGCCGCACTCCTGGATGAAGGTGGTGATGTCCTTTTCGACCTCGCAGTCCTCCAGAGATAGACGCATCTTCTCGCACGACTGGTCATCGCTCACGCAGACCGTCGATGCGATGTTTGCGAAGCTCCACAAGCTGCTCTTGAAGAAGTCGAGCCGTTCCTCCTCGAGGTCTTGGAATTTGTCGCAGGCTGCCTTCCACTCCCGGTTCCATCGACCGGTCGTCTCCTCCAGGATCTTGACTGCGGATTCGTATTCGCCGCTGTTGCTGGACATTTGGATCTGGGTCTTTTCCAGCTTGGCCTTGTTCTTCCTCTCCTCCTGGCCCATGACCATGTGTCCCTGGGCAAGGTATCCTTTGATCTTGAGACAGTCCTGTTCGAAGCGATCCCTCGTCTTGTTGACGGAAAAGGTCTGCTGGTTCTTCATCTTGAGCAACTTTTCGATTCCGTTCTGGACGATTTTGCGGCGCTCTTTGATACCGCCGGTGAAGGCGGCCAACGGTTCTTCCAATTCGCTCTTCATCTGGCCGGCGATGAGCTGATGTGCTTTGCCCATGCTCTCGACCTCACCGCGAACGACGTCCAGCGACATCCGCAGTGTGCCACCCTCCACTGAGCCCAGAGGCTTCCGGGCCAGTGCGAGGAGCCTTTTCGCGTATTCCTCCTCGACTTGTGCACGGGCTGTGTAGAAGGCCTTCAACTCGTCGCTCGTGATTTTCGCATTGTGCATGCGCTCCAGGAGAGGCCCGACGCCAGCGTCATCTTTGCCCCAGAAGTTGTTTGCGACTGCGAGAGATTGTCAGCTGGTCCGTCCGGCTCATGGTCTCTGACGGTTCACGCACACGAAAGCGAGACCGAGGGACTCTCGGAAGCTGCCTTGGAAGGCATCGCGCCTGGTATATTGGGAGAGATCTTTTCAAGCTGTAGGGATGTGTTCGGTCGCAGCGAGCGTGTTTGGTATATTGAATGATGTGTATGTTCAGGCGGTACAATATGATATGCGTCCGAAAGCGTCCGCGATACATGTACACACACCAGCCAGGACCCTCGTTTTGCGGCGGCGGCGGCGGCTCTGGCTCTGTTTACCAAAGCTCGGGTTGCCTAGCAACGGGCCGTATTTTTGCTATGACGAAATGTACAGGATGTCGTTGTCTGATGATGACCGGCGGAAAGAGGTTCTAGATTTGCGCCTGTCGCATGTCATCTGTGTGTCCTGTATCGCGCATTATTAATTAACCCAGATGACCTTCAATGTTGTGATGATCATCAACAACCTATCACGTAGAATGACCTACAATATGTCACGTCTCCAGTAGAATGATCTACAGTATCTCACTCTCCAGACGTCTACTACCATCTCGATGCTGTGTACCAAACATTGGCTCCCGATCAAATGGCGCCGGACTGTTGTTATTACGAGGTATGCATTGTTGTCGGTGGATCTATATCTCTGTCTATTCGCAATGTTCCATGTCCGGGGTGATGTATGCCTTTGCCGTGCAGTGTAGCAGCTGCTGTACGAGACAACTGAAATGACCGTCGTCCGCCGGTGTGATGACCCGTCCGCATTGCACATTGTTGGTCCCGGCTGTACAGTATTTATCACAGTACACTGTTGGAACGGATGGGTGTGAATCAGATCGACCACCGATCCCTCCGCAGAGCCTGGGACGAGACCTTCTCCGGGGGCGCAGCGCCCACCGAATGGATCTTACCGGATTGCTTTCCTCCTCCCTAAGCCCCCCAGATTTTGCAAAGCCAAGACCGACGGGACTGTGAATCCTGAAATGCCGGACAGCTGATGGACCGGTTGTGCTGATCATCGGATTAGCCTACAGGCGAGTCGGCCGTGGTGTGATTGCAGGTGATCAACGACGACAATAAATCCCGCAGTCGACGCCATCATGGACGGCACGGCGAAACGATTCGACTCTTGTTTCCCATAATCCAGCCACGAGCTGTGACATCAACGAGATGGGGGCAGAGGAGCAGTGGAGATGATATCTTGTTGCAGATGTACTACTGCACGCATGCTTCGGTGAACGGTACTGTATCCTCGACCTCGCACGGGTTCTTTCTTCCCTCAAACCCACGTGGAAGTGAACACAGACGATGGACCACGCGCGATGAAACCTGCTAGCATGGCAGCACGAAGGTGACACGGATTGGGATTCTCGACGGGTGCAGAGGAACCCTCCAGGACCCGGACCATGGAGTACTGTACATATACTATACCTAGGTAGTTATTATGTATACTGCAACCGCGGATTCCGCCAAGTACAGTAGGATAGATGGGTATAACTGCTGCGGAACGGACTGAAACCGGGGTGGTCGAGAACACCGTTGCCGATGGCGGTTTGCCCGATGGATGGGAATATAACCTTGGAATCCATCTGCCTGGGTAGGTATACAGTGGATGACTGTGGGTGACTGTGGGTGACGGCACTGGCACTGGCACTGGCACTGGCGTGAAATGACTGTTCGGCGACACCAGACGTCGCCGATCGCCCTCCCCAAATTGACGAGGAACGGGCGAAGAAGGTGGCGGTGGTGATCAATCGATCAATCCATCGATCAATCAATCCTCCTCCTCCTTCATCGGAATACTTATCATCATCATCATTATTATCATTACTGTGCAACAGTTGGATGGATGCCCAATGCCCAATGCCCAGGTGGATGGATGGATGGATGGATGGATGGATGGATGGGTGGAATGTCGCCAAGGACTTCCCCACCTGAACGCCAAGTAGATATATATCCTAGGTATATATATACACCTAGGTATATAGCGCCAGATGTCGGGGCGTTGGAAGCTCACGGTCTGACTGACCAGCAACTCCCCCGGTCGCTTCTATCCATGGAATCTGTCTGTTTGCCTGTTTGCCAGATTGCCCGTCGGTGTTGAGGGATAGATACAGCAGTAGAGGCCAGACCAAACACATTGCTCGATTCTCCTCTGTGGAGATTGTGGAGGGGTAGCCGCAACGGGAATTCCCCCCAAGTTGACTGACGGCCTTCCAAGATGACGGCTTCTTCCATTCGTCTCTTCATCTCATCATTTCGGCGGGCGGCGGGCGCAATCTCCCCTGGCACCTGGGCAGTCAAGTCAAGTCGCTCACGTGGCCGCCAGGATCTCTTCATCGCCCTTTTCCCTCTCTCGCTCTCACTCGTCACATGCATTATTACCACACGTGGATCGTACAGCATACATAGTCCATACACACACATACATGGTACATACACACACACACACACATTTCCTCCCAACTACTGCAAACCAAGCAAATTACACCCATCATCATCACCACCATCTCCATCACCATCTCCATCTAAAAGGACTAGCCAAATCTTGGAGGATCCATTAGCCTCATCCGTCTGCTCGTCCTACCTACCTACTTGCTGCTCTACGCCCGCCACCATCTATCCGCTCCCTCGCGCGCGGCGGTGGGTGTCGTAGTCGCTTGATCCTGGTATCATCGCCGGATAGATACATCAGGCCAAGACTGTGCCTCTCGTCCCTCTCGTCCCTCTCTCTCCGTGCTGTCATCGTCGCGCCGCGCGAGATGCTCCAGTCGTCGCTGTTCCTGTCCATCAGCCTCGCGCTGTCAAACGTCCTCGCTAGGAGTCAGCCTTGATTTCAAACATCCTCTACCTGGATCGAACCGCTCTACCGGGCACATCATCGCGACTGCCCGGATCGCCGAACCCTCTCCATCGGGTGCGCCCCGGCCAGGGTCTCAGAACAGCACCTGATCTGGATGCGGATCCACCTCTCATAGCATGTCGCTCTCGTCGGGACCCGCGAAACCAGGCTCGGTCTCCAGCCGGCCAGCCACGCTCCCCGCCCCGAAGACCGCAGTCCTCATATCCGTCTACGACCTCCTGCCGCCGAGCGCCCTCTCCGACTTCCTGTGGACCATCGGCGCCGGCCTGCTCCACTCCGGCGTCGTGGTCGGCGACCGGGAATACGCCTTCGGCGGCCACCACCGGCCCGGGGTCACGGGCGTCTACTGGACGAGCCCGCACCTCGAGCCGCCCGGCGGGACCTTTCGCGCCGCCGTGCTGCGCGGGCACACGTCGCGCACCGAGAAGGAGACCGAGTCCATCATCAAGGACGTCTCGGACCGCTTCCTCGGCACGTCGTACAACCTCCTCACCTTCAACTGCAACCACTTCACCTCGGCCCTCTGCAAGGCCCTGCTCGGGAGGTCCGCCCCGGCCTGGCTCAACCGCGCCGCCCGCGCCGGCCGCGCCTTCCCCTGCTTCGTGCCGCGCGACTGGATCGCCGCGCCGGAATTCGAGACCGCCGGCGGCGAACTCCTCGACGAGGAAGACGAAGAAGAAGAGGAGGATGGGGAGGAGAACGACGACTACGTCGAGAGCCGCTTCGGCCGGGGCGGGGACGACGCGGGCGTCATCCGCGGCGAATGGTCCAAGGGCCGGCGACGCATGGCGCAGTCCGCCTCGGACCTGGAGGGCGACGAACATGACCCGCCGCGACCGGACCACCTCGTCATCCGCCACGAGCCGCGATCCGCCACCGACATCGAAACCAACATCGACACCACCACCGCCACGACGCCCTCCCCAGCCGACGGCAAGGCCGCATATAGCCTCGCGGGAGGCAAGCGGATCGTCTTCACCACCACGGCGGAGGCCCTGCCGCCCGCGCGCATCGTCCGATCGAAGGACACCTCCGGGCGGGATCTGCCCGCGGCGGAAAGGGCGCCCGTGCCGAAGAAGTTCTGAGGATCAACGGGGAGGCGACAACACGACCGAGAGGCGAATGGTTTTCCCCCGGGTCACGGGAAACCCCCGGTGGACCCTCGTTTCCTGTTTCCTGTTTGGGGGGTTTTTTTCCGTATGGCATTTGCTAGGGCGCGCGAGCGTTCTTTTGGAGTCTGTGGTTTGGGAAGGGGAGGAGGAGGGATCTCCCGGTCTCGATCATCAGCGTTATATATCCCACACGTTTCTTTTCCTCGTCATATTCCCAATGCATATACACATACATATACCATACCTTACCTTAGCCTTGGCGATCGAAATCCACAATGTAACGCCCCGGGAGCGGGAATATAACAGAACGGGCCCCTCCTCACCAGCAGCGACGTGCAAGCAAGAACAGGCGATGATTATTGATAATGATAATGATAATAAGGAATTCTTTGTACCGTTCATCCGCCTTTTTCCGCCCCAGGAACTAGGGGAGCGGACGGATAGAGCGTAAGAGCGCGCTCCCCCCTCTCTCTTTCTCTATCTCTGGCACGCGCGCGCCAGATGGGCGCTCCAAAGAAATCACAGGCGACGCCCTCACACCAGAGGTTTCGGTACGGCAGGAGAGAAGCTTGAATATATACAGAGGTTGATTATGATGAGGATGATAAGCGTGATGATGACGATGAGAGTGATGGTCATGCAAACGAGGAACACCGACGGAAAATCGACGGGGAAAAACACCCAGCGATCCGCCGTGGAAAAACAATGACTCTTTCCGGTGTCATCCTCCCCCCCTTCCACCTGGGCATCTACGGGTTGATCAGGTTCTGGATGCTCATCGCGCCCACGACGCGCTTGAAGAGCGAGTCGCTCCCGCCGTCCTGAGCGGTGGTCTGGGGGGGACTGCTGTTGGTCCGGAAGTCTGCTGGCGAGACCGGGTGCATGGGCTCCGCGGGTGCGGGACCGATCTTGAGGGTTTTGGCGGCGATCGTGGCGGCCGCGCCGGGGTGGCTTTTGCTCTGCTTGAACGCCGCGGTGAGAGGGGTCGCGCTCCGGGCCGCCGCGGTCGGATGCGTCTTCGATTTGGCGGCTGCGCGAGGTTTCCGTGCTGCCTTGGCTGGTTTCGCTGGCTTGGCATGGGAGAGACGTAGGGTGGTGGGCTTGGCCTTGGGGGGGAATGATGAGAGCTTGGGAGACGAGCCCTTGTGCGACTTGGTGGGCGTGGGTAGACTCGCGGCCAGGTCGCCGTTCTCGCTGTCCTCGATGGACTTTTGTATGATCGCGATCTTGCGGGTCGAAAGCGGACTCGGGACTGGCGCGTTTTGGGGTTTGTTCTTTCTCGGCGTCGCGAAGCCTTCTGGAAGCGGTCGGAAGCTGTTGTTTCGATGCGTAGGCGAAGGTAGTGGTTCTGCGTTGAGATGAAAGAGTTGACTGACAGGAGAGAGCTCGGGTCGCAAGGTTCTTCCGGCGACTTTTTCGGCATCTTCCTCGGAGACCTCGGATATGAGATCTGGCACGACGGCATCGTTCCACTTGCGCATGGCCGCCCGTTTCGCCACTTCATCACACTTGCCTTTCACGACGATATCCCAGCAATCCTGTAGGTCTTTCGACACAGGCGGCGGATCATTGTTGATCCATACCGTCACGCCTCCTCGGCGATCTCGCACCACTCCGCACATTTCACGAACGATCCTCCGAACGCCGGGAACCTTCAGTGTCGTGCCCACGACAATGACCGCGTCGGGTCGCTTACGGAGATCATCTTTGGTCACTGCACCGATGGCTTCGTCGTCTGGATTATGTTCCGAGTAGAGTACCATGCGCGGTCGAAGTCTACCGATGCCATGACTCCGCTTGCCTTCATGCTGAGTGCGGATGTTGTCGAATGCCTCACAATGTGAACATATGGGCGGAACAGGACCCGCAAACAAATCGGCATCAAGTGGGGATAGTTGGTGACATTTGGAACAGACCATCTTGTCCAGGCCGCCGTGCAGTTGCACTGTTGTCGGCCATTTCCCGTTGGCTCCTTTGCGCAGAGGAATTTGGGTCGCAAGTGGTGGAAGCGACGTGTCAATACCATCGACGTTCTGCGTGTACAACCGAAGCAGGCGCCCTTCTTCGGCGATGGTTGCGAGCATGTGATGAAACGCGGTCGGCTTTGCGTCCTTTGTGAGACGCGACATTGAGCTCACCATGTCGTGGAAAGATGACGTGGAGCTGTCATCTTTGTAAACCGACGCGTCGAAGAGATCTCGACCAGATCCTTTCAGCTTGTAGTCATCCTTGAGGCTTTTAAACAGTCCACCGGAAGAACGGAAATCTGGAATGCCGGCAGACACAGAAATACCTGCGCCGGCGACCACGACAATCTTCTGTTTCTTGTGTAGCACTTGCAGGAGACGATCCAACTGCACGCGCTGATCAGCGTCCAATTTCTCCTCCCCCAATCTCAAGTGCTCCGTCGTGCGTTCTTTGGAATATTCCTTGGAAATTCGGCGACGCTTTGCGGGGGGCTGTCCTGGCGTGTCGGAGCCGGTATTGTCAGTGTCTACGCTGTCTGGCGATGGCGAACCGGTTTGTGATGCCGACTGTGACGCAGGCGGTGACGGATAGGCCACGGGCGCAAATCGCGACGGTGACGCATTGGTCCTGTCGCTTTCGGGAGGCGGCGACGGGGAATGATCGAGAGTGCTCAGCGGCGACGATGGCACGCTCGAAAGCGGCGACGACAACTCGGATGAGTCTTCCATGTTGTGTTTGATGGTGTAGGATGTGATTGAAAGGTGTGCGCGAAGCGATGGTCGTCGGAAGCGGCAGAAACCTCGACCGGCGGTGGACGGACCAGGCGATTGTTGTTGTTGTTTTTGTTTTTGTTATTATTATGCGACGACCATGACGGTTATGATGGGTAGGAATCTCTCTCGGCGGCCAATAATTCCAGCATGAATGCAGTGTGCGTATGTTCGGAAGGTTGATGGTGGTGATGGCGAGTTGATCTGCGGAATTGGCGAGGAGAGTGTGGAAGAGAGTTGGAGAGAGCGCGATGGGAACGTTGCCGACCCAGTGTCGGGTGCGAGGCTTTGAAGTGCAAGTGTGGTGGCAGTAGCGTGGTCGCACTGGTGTGGAGTACAGTATAGGATTGTACTGGAGTGTAGTAGAGTATAGGCGGGAGTGATGTATGGAGGTAGGGCAAGGACGAGACCAGAGTCACGCAGCAGCAGCAGCACACCGTAGTCCAACAGTACTAGGTAATAGGTATACAGTAGACATTGAACACACATGCACTATTATAACTGCACCCCCGGCCCATACAAACAAACAGTATACACACACGCACTGGGGTAGCCCATCCGTCCACCTGGCTGACCAGCTGGCGTGGTCTGGCTTGCTTGCTGACAGGCGCCTTGCTTGCTTGTATCGCCTCGATTGTCTGCTGGTCTTATAACAGTTGATTCTGTGTACGGTACTGTATCGTGCTCCCCAAGACAAAGAGACTGACCGCAGTTCAGTCTGCGTGGAACCGACTGCAACAGCCCGAAAGTGCACCAAAAGTCAACATCTACAGTGTGGGCGATCATCATAACATTGCAGTTACCACTGGGCGCAGGAGGACACCACTCGAGAAGCAGCAGGCCAGCCCACGCGCGTTCTTGCGCTGCTGGCGCCGGGACGGGCGGGAGGGAGGAAGGAGAAGAGGAACGGGCCCAATGGATCGCGATCCACCGTACAGCCGGCATGCGTGCCATTATTATTATTATTATTATTATTATTGTTAGTCCAGTCCCACACAGCTGGGTGCTGCCCAGGTGCTTGTGTACTGTAGAATTGACACCGTCCCGCCATTCCAAGCAAGGGTCGTGATTTGGTAGAACAGCTCGTTCTTCTCTCTTCCTCACAAGCAAAGTATTGCAGACACAAATGACATGTGTACTCGAAATCGTAATGGGCAAATAGGAATAGAACCCACGATTGCCCGGGCAGACTTGCCAGGAGAACTCCTACAGTCCTACTCGCGCGGGCGCATTCCGGGTTGCCGCTCGCTCCGCGTTGGTCACCGCAGGACGACTTCCAAGTTTGAGGTCTCCATCCAACCTTGGAGCCTGAGGTATCTTCGATCTCGAAATCAGGCCTTGCATTCCAAAGGTTCACCTAGATATCATTGACCTGCTGTGGCCTGGGAATTATTTGGAGATATGTGCAGTATGTATATTTTCGTCGAATTGCGTTTTGCGAACCGATCCTGTCCCGTTTTGCGATGACAATGCTGTTTAGATAGCACTGGACTCACCATCAACGCCCACAGGGATTGCCATGTCACTAGACCAACCAAAAAGCATTGACGAGTGATTTTCTACCCTACGCCCAGATGATTTCTCATCTTGAATATTGACCTCTGAAAAGCGCATGAGCGAGTCGTTGTTGACCAGTAGTGTCATCGGAGTCGCCGTCCTTTGGGTGCGGACTTGTCCGATCTTGCCGCCAGCCTACACAGCTCGACGCTTTCCTTGATGGATCCCACAGACATGGACATGCCAGCCATGCCGGCGATGATGGACACTACAATGGATGACTCTATGGTCGACCTCTTTGGTGAGGCAGGCGATAGTCTGACAGTGACGCCAATGCCAATGCCATTGCCGGGCCCGCTTCTGCTACGCATTTCAGAAATGCAAGGCTGTGGCTGTTGTACGTGCGTTCCGCCCTTTTCTTCATGCCAATTCGGGCGAAATAGCTGATGGCGACTCGTATCAGGAAGCTAGCATGGTCTCACATGGGCAACATCGCCCACATTACCTCCGACGGCACCAAATTGAATTTTCGTTCCTTGGTCCGAGACAAACGCTCGCGGGGATGGAAGCTGAGCAAGAAATCACAGCATGTTGTTGATGCTCCCACAGGCCGTCGCTTTGTTCACATTCAGTTCAACAGGATGGGCTCGGATCTTGCGGTCATTGACGATAGTGGCTTGGTTCACCTCTACGCCTCCCTCAATATGCTGGGGCTCATCGGCGTCGATCCATCCTTCGACGACGACTCGCAAACCGGGCTTGGTGCAATCGTGGGGCTACATTGGCTGCCTACGCCGATAGATTTGAAGGTATGGCTCGGCCACCCACTCTATACACTATGCTCTCAGCGTTGACAATGCCGCAGCGTCAATCTGTCAGTCCGGCAACCAAGGTCGGTGATAAATGGGTAGCGAATCCGCAGGCTCCGGTAGTACATACCAGCAAGCTTCGGAACCCAAATGACGGCAGACAAGCCCTTTTACACGTGTCTCGTAACAGCAAGCTGACCTTACTGTACCAAAGTGAGAGCGCCTGGAAGGCAACGAGTACAGTATTGGAGCCTGTTGAATCTTCGGATCAAGTTATCACACATGCTGCGATCAATGAGCACGGTGATCATGCGATCGTTGTCACCCACGATTTGTCCTCTCGATTCAGGATCTATCAAGTTGGTATCAATTGGAACGCACCTCAATCACGCCAACCGAACCAGATTGTACCAGTGTCTCCAAATCTGGAGGTTACCCATTTGTCAGTCGTCGACAACATCCATAGTCAGCATTCAAGTGCTGCAATACTCACGCTCCTGCGCGTGTTGCCAGCGGTCGCAGACTCTGGGCACGGGACGTCATCGCCGACTACCATCCTTGCAGGTTTCACGCATGCCATACCCTCCTCTGGTCTTCAGACACCACCCGCGTTCAGCGTGCTGGCTCATTGGCACGTCGACAATGCTCAGCCTGCGCTGCATGAAAGCTTTAAAAAGATGAAGACCGGACCTGACACATCTTCGTCTTTGGATCAAGTCACCGTGCTTAGACGGCAGCCAGACATCATCACTAATAAAGTGATCGTCAGCTTAGATGTTCCATTGACAAGCGAGGCCGTCGTCGCCCTTCTAGCCAGTGACGGTACCTTGGACTTCCGAGATCGCTTCACGATGAATAATAGCCTAGAGCCATACGGCGACTCGACGCAGGTCACCAGCCTAGCACAAAGCGGCTTCGAGCACGTCTCAGAGCAACATCATCTTCATGTTGCGACCTCCATTGATGGTTGTTGCCTGGTTGTGGCTGAAGCCGATGATACGATGATTATCAAGTCTATGGTGTTTCGCTACGGCTGGCACGCCACGAACGATGGACTGGTCGACAATCAAGCATTGATAGAGGCAGGCGCAATCTGTATCGCTCGTCAATACGTGCTTTCCTGCTATGCAAATGCATCAGGAGACGAATCACTAGCACTTATACCGACACAGGCCACTCAAGAGACTCGAGCTTTGATCAACGCAATGATCGTACGGACTTTGACACCTTATATTGATCTCGCCTTATTGGATGCTACGAAACAGCGAGGTATCACCATGGACAGTGGGATGTTCCGGTGCATGAGTGCTCAGCTGGCCATCGGGACCGACTACAAAACAGGCCGTCGATCGTTTCCCGGCCAATTCGCCCACATCACACTCAGCATGCGGTCCCTCAACGCTTCCAGCTTCATCACCCAGGAGCTCATAAACCGCATGCCACGGCCAGCCGGAACCAAGCCCGTCATCCCGCCTGACGTCGCAGTGTCCTTTAAGGGCCACATGAAATGGACGTTGAACCTCGCAGTGGCCATCGTGACCACGCTCATGAGAGTCAAACAAGAAGTTGCAGACAATTCAGAGACGACCGCTCCGCAAACGATAGCGAAATTGACAGCAGATACCAGCACTCCATTCGCGCACATCCTGATATCGTCCCCTACACGCTTCATGCTGCGCATCTTGGCGCAGATGGTCTCCCGCTATCTCGAAATGGCCAATCAGAACCTCCCTCGCACCCAATCCGAATACGACAAGACCCAACTCAACGACCTGATATCCGAAATGTCCCAATTCCCCTTCAAACTGAACCTCTTCGAGGCCCTCATGACGGAGTTCGACAGCGCCATCCGCAGCGTCTACACCAAAAGCGGTACGACCACCGAACGCCGCGCCGAGATCGAATGGGCCCTCATGTGCACAGGTACCATTCCGCCGGAATTCCGTCCCGCCATCGACATGCTCCTCCAAACCTCATTGCCAAAACTCCTCGAGGGAGCGGATCTGGGGAAACTCCACCTGTGGGATACCAGCAGCATTGCGCAGAGCCAGATTGGCCTCGCGGCCGACGGGAAACGTTACGATGTGGTCCGCAAGACTCAGCTGTTGGATACGATGAAGCTGCGCGTGTGTCGGAGGTGTGGGAGCGAGACGGAGGATATCCCGTTGAAGGATGCGCATGAGACGCCGGCGTGGTTGAGGGCGGAAGGGCGATATTGCATCTGTAAGAGTCACTGGAGGCTGGCTGTCTGATCCGGAAGATTTCAACATCCCGCATGTTTTATCACAGCGCGGCAGACCATGCTCGACTCCATCACAGTTCTGGAAAAGGCAGTCTCTCGTCCGTCATATACATTATCTCATTTTTACATTCAGAGTCTTTCGAATATCCACCGCCGTCTCTCATGGGGTGTTGTCCAAACGCCCACCTGCAGACAGGTCATGGTCTGGTGGAAACCTCTCCGGCCGAATTCTCAATGTTTCCATCACCGTCCACTCCCACTCATCAATCCATCGGACTCACTCCGCCTTGCTCTGCGCACCTTCCTTCTCCATGCCCTCGCAACCGACCGCCTTGCCCGCGAGTTCCTCTGCCTTGCCAAAGCCTGACGCCTGGGGGTCACGGTTGGCGCTGGCCTGCTTCATGGCGTCGACGCCGGCCTTGGTGTCCTGTTCGCCGGAGGCCTTCCAGGCTTCGGAGCCGGTGACGTTGCCGACAAGGCCCTGGACGGAATCAGCACGTGGTTCCCGTAATTCGGGCGATGTGGCCTGGGATCTCATCTCACCTCTGCTGCGCCTTTGACGTATTGGGCGTGGCCGCCGATGAGGGTGGGGTTCTGCTCGGAGGAGGAGGACATGGTTTGGATGGTAGAAGGGTTCTTTCGGTAGAATATATTGTTATGTCCAAATTCTTGTGATTGAACAGATTTGAACTCAGCCACGGCGATCTGCAGTTGCAATCACATATATATATATATATATATATATATATACATAAGTATATCCACTCTGGAGTCAACATATCATCGAGGCATCATTGTCGATTCATCAATGACGTATTACGCGGTAAGGCTTTCTGAAGACGACGGCTCGTGCAACTGGTGGGGACGCGACTCGTTCCCCGCTTCCTTGTCGACCGAAACGACAGTGTGAACGTCACCACATCGGTGAACAGCTCTCCGCTCGCCCTGTCCGATCGCTCATTTCACGCAACTGACCAGCACCGGATAGAATTTGTCTGGACCCGACGAAAGCATTCGCCAAATGTCCCGACCTGGGCTCTGAACGCGCTTAGATTACGCTGAAAGTACAATGCGGATGTGGATATCATGATTCGTGAGATGTGCTAGAATGATAAATCATCACGCTGCTACAGAACAACCCTGTGCAGCTTTTCTACTCTGCAATGCTTCCGGTGCGCCTGTCCAGGCCCTTGCCCCTCCGCAGGCCGATAAGCTGGAGCATCTCGGTCCAGAAAGAGCTCGGCGGGTCAATGAAAGTCGCCTCGTACGCCTCCACGATGGGACGCTCCCAGATGAGATCGGCTTTGCTGGCGGGGACGAACTTGGTGCGCTTGATGAGCTTCCAGGTGACGAAGAGGATGGGCGCCAAGATGAGCATGGCGTAGTAGGTGAAGAAGCTGGTGACGTCGAACGGCGAGAAGGACGAGTAACCGTAGGTGAAGACGATAAAGATCATCCAGCCCAGGCCGATGTAGGCAGAGTAAGGCTGGAACCAGCCGGTGTAGGGAAGAGTCTGACGCTCGAGCCCCTGTGCTTGGCAGGCACGGTAGAAGAAGATGAAGGTGATGGTGATGACGATGTAGTTGATGACACCACCGGCAGTCACGAGGTTGATGAGCCAGGTCAGAACTTGGTTGGCATCGTTGCTGAGCTGCAGGAAGGCCAAGCAGGGGAAGATCATGACCACGATGAAGCTGTAAAGCGGGACACCGCTCTTCGTGCAGTATTTCAAGACTCCGGGTGCGCGGCCCTCGAGCGCGAGAGAGTAGAGGGATCGGCTCGCGCAGTAGACGTACGAGTTGCCAGCTGAAAAGATCGAAGTGATGAGGAGAGCATTGACCAAGTGCGGCAGTCCGGTGACGCCGAGGTTTTGCATCGCAATAACGTAAGGAGACGCCCTGTACAGACAGTTAGAGACATTTTCTTGGTGATTTGATCGTGAAATGACTTGATAGTGAAACGACTTACGCAGCAGTCCCGCCTCCCTTTCCGCCAGCCAGGATCTTGACGAGTGTGGGGTCTTGTGAAGAAATGAGGATTCCCACGGCTAGCGCACCACCGATGAAGAACAACCCGAAACGCCAGTACACAGTCTTGAAGGCGGCCTTGAGGTAGACAGTTGGACGTTTTGCTTCTGCGGCGAGTAAACTCAAGTATTCAGGTCCGACAACCGTGAAAGAAGCACTCCACAAGCCCGCCAAGAAGCCTTCGAATCGTCCCAGGTTGCCGGTGGTCCGGTATTCATGGAAGGCGTTCGGAATGCCCCAGTTCCTGAAACCGAATCTGTTTGGGAGATATTAGCGCGGTGGACAGGATAGATCAGAGGCCATTGAACTCACGCGTCATGCTTGGGGTTAGCTCCACACATCGTCAGGAAGGTAAACGAGAAGAGCATGAGGATAAGGATGACTTTGCCACTGCTGAGGTAGAATTCGGCCTCTCCGTAGTTCTTAACGGCGAGTACGTTGATCAATCTAGGGAAAAGTTTAGCTTTCGTTCTTCATGCAGGCCGACGAGGCAGCAGGCGCGTTCGCAATCGATTGATGAAAGGTGCCTTCGGCAAGTTGCGTTGGGAAGGTTGCATTGGGTCACAGTGCCTCGTGAAAGTTGCTTTGGACTGGCACTCGGAAATGACAAGAAGTCGCATCTGGGAGGCTCACGCATAGAGGACAATACAGGCACCAATTACGGCTCCGGCAGGAATATCGTCACGCCAGTATCCTAGGACGCTACATAGCGCGGTGATCTCGAACGGGATCAAGAGCGCTTCATATAGAAAGAAGTTCCATCCGGCCCTGCGATGAGTAGCACTGTCAGCAAGCCTTTTGGTGATCTCGAGAATTCCTGACCCTTACATGAAACCGAACGCATCGTCAACCCATTCGCCGGCCAGGCGGATGAAGCCACCAGATACCGGCTGGTATACAGTCATCTCGGCCAGACAGTTGTTGACCAGTCCGAGCATGATGCTATAGATGAAGTATGCGAGGAAGAGACTGGCAGGACCAGCCTTGTTGAGAGCGCCACCGATGCTGACGAAAAGTCCAGTTCCGATCGTGCCTCCGATTGCTAGAAGCTGGATCTGTCGGTTCCCAAGGCGGCGTTTCAGCGCATCCTTGTTGTCGGTCACGACGCCTTCCTGGATGTCATTGATGGTGTCGGACGCGACCTCAATGTCGGTCTTGTCGGAGATCCCCATGATGAAAGCAGGCAGTGGACGTCCAGTCTTAGGATAAGGGTCTAGTGTTGCTCGAGAGCGTGTTCCAAGCGAGCAAGAACGAGCGCATCGAATGAGGCGACGAGCAGGTATATATAACCTTCGTCGAAGATGGATCGGGTGGTACCCAGACCATGCAGAAAGCTGCGGGACGTAGCTCTCATTGGCCTCAGACGCTTCAAAATAAGACCTACCTCACCACGCAAAAAGACTTCTCGCGTGGCAACCACTATGAAGGCCAGGTCCATGGGCCGACAGCCATGTAGACTTCGTGCGAGTGTCGTTCGCCCGATGGGTGACCATACTCCGAAGCTAGTGGGTGGAAAAGTGCACCATAGCACGCGACATGATCGATCTAGACACTCTAGAACAGGCGGGAATGCACCGAGTCGTCGCTCTAGCCGATTGACTCTGCGATATGGCTGACCCCGCGATGAATGTCCTGCATTGTACATAGACCGTCCCGAGTCTGCTGAAGCATGGCACGCAAGGGTAATTCTCGCAAACCCCACACGGCCAAGGTGGAAAACATAGAGTTTGTGCTGTCCCTCGCTTGTACTTGCATTCGCAGTTCTCGTTCTACGTACAGGTAGGTATACGGTAGGCCAGTGGGGTGGCGAGGGTGTATTTCTTTTCTTTTTCTTCCCATCGGGCCTCTTTAGGACTTCTGCAAGAACCGAAACGAGCTTTGCCAATGCACCATCAATGGAAGTTTTCCGATTCGAGTGCCGCGCTACGTCCGGGAAATGTCGTCAGCACGCTCAATGGGCCTGTGCTACTCACTGTAGTGTTTCTGCTAGAGGCCCTTGGTGTTGTCTTTCCCGGCTTGATCCGTCCACTCCGTCGAAATCCAAATGGCGGGTCGGCTCACGTGCTGCGAGGCCGTGCCCAAGCCATTTTCTCTTCAGGGCTGAGGCCGAACCACCTCTCGCGCGGCGACTAGCGGAGTGATGAGCTGCATATCCCACTCTGGCTTGTCCCTGCACATCCGCAGGCTATCTTGGCCATTACAGAGTGGCGGGAACGACTTCGTTACTGCTGGTGAGTTTTGAGAAGGTTTCTGAGGATGAAAAGGCTGGAAACTTTCACCTCGTGTTCCATGTGAACCTTGGAAGAATTCGCGATGGCATTTGGCCGGAGCAGGAATTTGTGCGTGCAAAAACCACGCAGGGACGTCGAAGCGACGCGTGGCTGGAAAGCTCTCTGCACGACATCCCACACATGGACCTGGATTCTTGACAGCCTCACTCGTAATAATGAATGAATTACTAGATCGTGCGGCGATGGCATATGTCGCGTGATCCGGAACGTCTTACCTTTTCTTGGGTGACGTGAAGTGTCACCTCTGATGAAAATTTTACTCATCCTTATGTCATGACAAGACAGTGAGACGATATGGGCGAATCTCTCACCAAGCTGGCGACACGATGCCTCGGATTTACATGAAGACGCATGCCAAGGAACGCGCCTCGGGATTCTAGCACGTACCCGACTACTCGAGGCGGCTCATATTGGACGTAGTCAACATCTCAAGTATTGTTGGAGCAGTAAAACGAACCAAATCCTCAAGGTTATTACACAAGACAGCTGGAGGGAGAGATGATCCCTTCTACCCTTGATTACCTCCGATTCCTAATAATGTCTAAATTACAAATTCCCCAAACATTGCAAAGAAATGAACACGGACGAAGCACAATCAGAAATTGAAAAAGGGATCTCCACCAACGGACCCTTCGCGTCGTTGACCTTGGGGTGAATTCGAGCGCGATGACTGCTCAGCCTCCGGTCTTGCCTCCTCGCGGAGATAATCCGCATACAGTCTGCTGCTGTAGTTTGGCCTAGATAATCCCAGATCCACTTTCAGCGAGGTCAAGGCATCGCGGGTGGACGAAGCGTTCGAGAGGATAGTCTGGGTGCGCATGTGGCTCTTGTTCAATTGGCCTGTGATTTGTTCGTTCTCAACCATGACTACCATCCAGACGCCGACCTGTTCGTCACTTCCGATCAATGGCGTGCAGTGGATATAGCGGGGCTTGGCAGGAGAGTTCACACTGCTGCCGGCTAGCCAGTCGACCTTGGCCGTGATGGCCACACCATGCATGAGGGCATCGAGGACGGTCTCTGCAACCGAGTCCGGCCCAACGATGCGGTCGAGAAATTTCGTTTGCAAGAGGCCTGGGATTCGCAGAGCAGGTGAGGTGAAGGTTATGCGCAAGGACGGATAGGGCCGAACTAGGAGATACTATGGCAGCTTGTCAGCATTCTGTATGTATTCGTAAACTTTGCGGATTCTTCACCCACGTTTTGGTATACGCCTGGCAAACGCCCAGATGGTCCCAAGTCTGACATCGGCCACAGTGAATGATCATTGACAGGCTCTTTACCAACGCCTACCAGTATTCTAGCGCGGCTGTTCGGCCTCCTGAGGCGCTCCGAGTCCATCGGTGAGACTGTCTGGGAGATTGAGGATTTCGACATATGACCTTTGATCACGTCGGCATCTTCCTCTGAGAACAAATCGGTCAACTCGCCCAAGGTCTGCTTTGGGTTTCGAAATCGCTTTCCAAATCTAGTCTGAGCTCGATCTTGTGCTAAGAGCTGCGAGAAAGACTGTAATCCGCGACCACCCTCTATCAAAGGAGAGACGTCGATCTGACAGCCTATGAAATATCTGATCAATCCTTTGTTATCGTATAGCGGTGCGATCATCAGCAGATTCATGAATGGCGATCCATCTCTTCGATAGTTCACGAGAGTTTCGCAAACTTCTTGGCCTTGTTTCAAGGCTTGCCGCATGCGCTCGACCGCGCGCTTGGATGTTCGTGGTCCAGAGAGAAAGCGACAATTGCGCCCTATGACATAGTCGCGCCCGTACTGTGTAACGTTGAAGAACTCTATCCAATCGTCAATCAATGGGATACGAAGTCCACGTCATTCAGGCCCAACGTACCGTCCGATGCATATACAATCGGATTGTCCGGAAGCGAAGGATCAGTCAGACAATATACCTCTGCCAGAGAAGGGACCATGGCTTGCATGACCGGCGCAATATATCCAGTAATCTGTTTGACTAGGCTCTCCGTCACAAGCGATACGAGGCATTGCGTCAAGAACCCTGGGAGAGCTTCTCGGACTAGTCCCTTCACGATCTGCTTCTGGCGCTCATCAAACCGATGTTCGAGCACTGCAACATTGGAGGCTTCGTCAGTGGTAGGAGATAATCGCTCTGCCACGGCGTTGGCGTACTGGACTGCAGCAATGACCTTGCGCATTTCGGTGTACTGGGCTAATGCGTCGATATGGTGAGGTTGATATCGACCCACGAAACTTGAAAAGCGAGAAGTCATTGCAGAGTCTCGGAGGATCATGTTGAGGTGATCTACCGAGAAGAAGCGAGTGCCGAGCGTTTCGGTGTTTTCCAGCACCTGTGCTGGAGGTGGTGGTTGCAAGTTGAATGCCATCAGTTCATCTGACTGATATGTGACGGCCATCTTCTCTGGCGAGCCATCTTGTTCCTTTGGCTCACTCAGAGCTGACACCGTAGCGGGAGGTGTTTGCGACATGTGCTTTGGGAGTGGAGTTTTATTGCAACAAAAAGCTGCACGCAGAACACAGGACCGGACAATTCAGAAGTAAAGATTGTGCCGGATATAGGAACGCATGGATGGGTTTTGTAAGCGGCATTGACATCCTTGGTTGCGCCGGACTGACGTCTTCGCCATGATGCATGCATGCCATGAAGAGCTCACTCAGTACATGCAGCTGCGCTTGACAAGGGTTGGTTCCAGCGACTGCTATGGGAAGCTCCTCATGTCTCAATTGGTAGCGACAACCACTAAGGGCAATGACTCGGTCGATCGGATGACGATGTAGGACCGAAGATCATCCAGCTAAAGATAGGATCTAGATGGAAGCAAGCAATAGACTCCGGCAGACCTAGAAGCTCATATTATAGTACTATCGTAGTGACAAAATGGGAAGTGACCTGTGTCTTGCCATGGCAAGGGCGAGCTGTGGTCTCAATTGACAAAGAGAAGGTACTCCAACCCAGCCTCACAAGCCCCGAACCACGCTCGTCCAGGTGCACAAGGCTGGCATGGCGTCGTGATCGCGGCTCGATTCCCAAGTGCTGTAGAAGACTGTAGATCGGCATCATAGATCACCGAATCGCTGTTGAAAGATTCCGCTCGCCATCAGCAGAAGATGGCAACCTGCCTGTCGAAACCACGCTTGCATTGCCGACAGAAGCGAATGCTTCTCGACAGAATTTGCATTGCACGTCAATTCACAGCGATGCAACAACAACGCACAAGGTGCAGTGTCGATTCTGGCTGATTGTGCCGATGTCACAATATCACGGTACTGTGGATGGTAGAAGCCGAACGCCCCGTCAAAATGCACGCGTCGCTGCATTCACGATCGCGCATGCCGGCACGGCCGTTCTCGATGCCGAGTGGACGAAAAGAATGAGCACGCATCTCGTCCGGCGTGCGCTGCCGTTCGATCCCATGCGCGTCAACTTCCGGATCGACGCTGACGGTGTACAAGCGATTCCCGATGGAGCGGAGTGTGTACATGCAGGTGGTGAAATGAGAACATGCAGTAGTAGATCCTCCCTATCCAATATCTTAGGGCCATCTTGGAACTCAAGATCTCATGCCGGGAAGATCTGAGCATCGTCTCGATGGACATTCGCACGCCATGACAATCAATTCAATGCGCAGCGCGCGGTCCTTGGCAGCCTGATGTCACAGGTGAATCTCCTTCACAGCTCTCAGACAGTACTGTTATCAGATACTGCACGAATGAGGCCTCGACCCATCCGCATTCCCACCTTCTCAACTCATATGCAAAGCACGCTCATGAGAGGTGAGAAAACATCACCAGGCGAGAAGTGTATGATCCTTACATCCGACAGGTGAAGCAGGAATAGAATGCCTAGGAACTATGTAGGGTTCTCATTCACGTGAACGCTCGATCGAACACGCAGCGTAAACATGCAGGTGATGCTTGATCTCATCTAGCCGGCGATATTGCTCAACCGTGTGACGTGTGATGCCCGTTTGACCACATGATATTGTACCTGTGTGTGTGCGCGTGAAATGATCTCGCATTTACGAGCGAGATGCCTCACAGCAAGGGACGCTCGCCGCGACGATGAAGATCGGTGCATGCCCAGGTGTGTACGAGGGCCGGCTGCCCTGCAGCTTATTTTATTTGATGGCAATTTCATTTACCTGAGCTTGACACGGGACGGCCGATGAAAGCTGGCGGATTCGGGAATGAAGATACGGAGCGGACACAGCATCACGAGAACGACCTTACAACCTGAACCGAGGGCCGTACCTGTAGACTGATCGAACTCGGCACATACGATGACACCACTAGGATTGGAAGAATTCTGTCGCATTGAGACCGTGCTTGAGGTTCAAATTGTCGATTGGCAGTAGTGCGAGAGGGAAAAAGCATTTAGGTGTTTCATCAACAAATGACAAAAATTCGCCGGGAAAATGGTGCCTTCTTGACCAATCATGTCGTTATCTGTCTGTCTGAAGACGCGTCTCGGAGTTTTAGCTCGCCTTGCCAGTGCGTAATTCAGTATTCAGGTACCGATTTGCGCAATGCATGTCGTGCTCGTGTGACGATCACTGCCTGGGCGGGCGTGTTGTCATTGCCATTTACGTACACATAAGAGGTAGGCCGGAGCTGGCCGTCGACATGCTACTCATCAGACATTCGACACTACCCAGGTGCCGATCGAATACGTGACATCTTTCCGAGCTTGATCGTCTGACCGGGCACCGTGCAAACTTGATATTATGGCATATCCCCAGGTTAATAAACCAAGAAAGCTGCAAAGAAGAGTGTCGCCGAAGACGCCGGCAGCGTTGATTGAGAGCCCGGATATGGGAAATCTCATTTCAAGATTCCACGGTTCCTGTGCCAAATCCTGACAGATCTGCGTCTGGACACCGGCTTCTGGTACTCTAACGTGTGTCCATCAAACGTGACATATGTCATATGTAAAGTAGGCACTGTACCTCGGGACGAACATGACCGTATGACAATTACCCGTGGACTACATTAATCCAAGCTGGAGTTGTGGACACGGCTCGAGGGACGGCGACTGTGACGACAAATGCGGCGCGACCGCTTGGACACATTTCCGCTAAACTTGTTCCTGACATGGCTCGGAAAACCCCCGACAAAGGACAAGGAACGAGCCTGGGAAGTTCGGAGCGCATTTTCGTTTTTCTGCACTGCCGTTCTGGAGCGCGCGCGCCGTGTCGATTTCGTGCTCTAGCCAGCGGGCCGACTGCACTTCCCACACCACAGCCAGCCCTGGAATACAGTAGTTTCCTCCATGGCGTCCAGTCGGTGGACAGATTGTAGGGGTTATTCGCAGTAGCTGCTGGTGCCGCTGTATCCTGCATCGCGCTCCCATCTATTCTACCATACACACACTACTACTTTACAGCACCTTGCGCACCCCTGGGCGTGCATGATTGACATTGCCTGTCTGCCGAAGTGGGGAATCCCAGTGTTGATTGCACTGCACTGTTTATGCCCTGTGTCTTGCATCTGCTGCAGGAGTCAATCGTCTCAGTCCACACAAGGGCCGCGACTGTTGTGAGACAACGCGCAGATCTATTCCAACGCACATCGCGACACCATGGTTGACTGTTATCTTCACTGGCGATTGTGAGATGGCAAAACGGCTCTGACTGCCTTCAACCCCTCGCCAGATCGTCGGACTCTTCATCCGTCGTGTTCTGTTCAACTGTGTCGTCTCCCATCTACCACGATCGCCATTTTCTCATCCTCCTCTTCGTCCTCCTCCTCCACCACCGCCTCTCTCTTCTCTTCATACACCATCATACTCCAGCATTGCCGCCATGCCGGCCTTACGATTGCGAATGGAATCGACGCAATGGCCGCAGCAGGCCGAAAAACCATTACCACCAGCACCGCCTTCGCCAACACTCTCGAATGTCGACATGGTCCTGCCTGATAGCACGCCAGTCATTGCCAGTCCCAGTCGCTGGGGAGCTCGTCCACCGAGCCTTAGCTATCTGCGCGATGCGGACGGGAACGAACACAACAGATACGACGGAAATGGTACAAATGGCCACAAGATGATGCTGCTGCGCAACCGTCCCGCACCAGGCGCCTACAACAACGCGCGTGTCTCACCTACATCAGCACATATGGAACAGGATGGCGGTTTCGTGGCTTCTTCGCCGCTCCTACGAGACGTGCCGCACACTGCAGGCGCTCATGATTTCCTACAATTACCACAGCCGAGCGATCGTAGCCCGAGCGGTAGTTCTAGCGGAGACATGGCTGGTCTCAGTGCCTTCCTCGCAAAGTACGAAAAGACCGGCGGTGCCAGTGACGATGAAACGAATTACGACAGTGAAGCCACAGAGGCAGCGCCTCGCACGCAGACCAGCTTCGAGCTGAAGAATGATGTGGATGCACAACGGCGGAAACAGCAGGAAGAGGAACAGAACAGTGCCATACTCAGCAAGCGGGCTGAGGAGATTCTCTCCGATGCGAAGAAGCGGCTGCATAGGATGGAGGGCAATTTACGTGGTGCGCGCGATTTGCTCCCTCTGACAGCTGCAAACTTGCAACGCGCAGCATCCATGGGCTCTTCACATCATCACACTCTGTCCTACAGCCGGAACACGTACGAACCGAACAGCTATGATCACGGCAGAGAAAGTCCGGCGATGGGCCGTAGACTTCATTCACAGGCCAGTTCACCAACGATAAGTCGCGACTTCATCAATCACTCGCGTGGATTGAGCGCCAACGAAATACCCGACCGACCTCACACGTCTTTCGAGCACCCACTCGATGCAACATACCGCGAGAAGAGAAAGATGTCAAGGACGCCTGAACCTCCGTCCAGCAATGCTCTTCGATCAATCAAAAGCTATTCCTCGCTCGGAGAGAATGGCTTTCCTCGTCGTAGTAGTTCTCGCGAGCAGGGTCACAGAAGTCCCACAGACTTTGGCTATCTTGAACCTCTACAAGAGGATGGCGAAAATCGGGTCGCGGATTATCAACCCAGATCAGAAACTCCTCAAGGATCAATACGTTATATGCCGAGTCGACCGTCATCTAGAGCATCCTCCATCCGCGAACAGATGTCGACTTTGAAAGGAAAAATCACTTCCTTGAGAGAGAAAGCGCGAGAGGAAAGCTTACGACGTCAAAGCAGAATTGATTCACGAAGCTCTCCCCTCAATAATGCTTCGAGCGCAGCTCCAGACCTCTGGTACAATGCGACGCCGGCAGCCACATCCGAGCCATCCCAAGCCGGTCTTGGCAATAAATGGTATGCAGACAAGGACGCGAACGCCAGTAATCCCACTACCCCCCAATTTGAATCACGGTCGTGGGAGAATGTCACAGCCTCTGCGCCTCGCGACATCGAAAGCCATCACGACCAGCAGAAATATATGGTTGACCGTACGGACTTGCAAATATCCACTAGCAAAGAAGAATCATCGGGAGATTTGCGGCACACATCCAGCGAGGGCGGTTCCGCAGAAGGACACGAGCTAGCTGCACAGAGCAAGGTGGACACTGACATGATTCACCAGACAGACGTCCATCTCTTACAAGACGATGATGTGCTGGATCAGTCCTTGACCGACAGTTCGAACAGCTCTACAGAGGAGGCCGAACAATCTTCGGAGAGCTCATCTGGCGACGAAATTAGCGAGGCATCCGCAGCGGTCGAAGACAACGACAATCACAGCGTCTATGAAGACGCGCCAAACGATCATAAGGTCATGGCACACGAGGACCGGGAGGATAAGTTCGACTATCAAAATTTCTTGCTCCAGAGCGCGTCCGCCAGATATTATCCGGGTCGGCGAGGCTCGGATTCCGAGAGTGATACGTCTGTATCATCTGCGGCGACAGAGCGTGGACCACGTGCTGGACACAACGAACATGATGACGATCTACCAAGCTCACCACAAACCCCTGAACGATTGCGTGAAATCGAACGCAATATCCTACACCACCGCACATTTTCTGCAGAGAGCATTCGCTCTAGTGATACATTTGCCACGGCAGATGAAGGCACTGACGATGAAGAGCATATGTATCAACCCCATCACCCCCCGGCACGCCGTGGCACCATGAATCAGTCATTCGCGCTACCTCTGCAGCAATATGCGCCTTCACCATCAAGACCGGAAAACAGTCGGCCGAGCACCGCTGTGAATACACGCATGCCTGGCCGCCGCAACAGTAGCTCGGACCGTGCCGACTCTGGAGTCGGTGGTCTCTCGCAACGTTCGTTGAGCAATGTCGAGCCCCGTCGACCACACAGCTCTGCGACACATTCAGCTCAGCATAAATACGAAGCAACAAACACTCCGCCATTATCTCCGCAGTCCTTCTCGGCGCATGATCCGGCCATTGTGGCGGTCAACGCGTTGCTCAACCCTCATGGCAAAGCGCTTGGGCTCAGGTCCAAAGCAGCACTATACAGCTGTATGGAAAGCTTGAGACAAGTCGCACTCCGTCTACAAGAAGAAGACGAAGCGCAGTATGATTCACGGGTACTCCGCCGGAGGATCGACGACGCTACCAATGCTCTCAACGGAGTTTGATCGCTCTTGCGTCACGAACTCACAAATGTCGTGGCCAAATGATCTTGATTTGTGTTCTACTGCTGCGTTCTAGCATCACGCCCAGCTTTCTCCGTTTCCGAAGATTCCTTTGATCGATTCGTCTCTCTGAGAGAGGATGAACGAACGGCGCGAATCCAACAGTTGATCTGGATGACCATTTCGTATGATTACGCAGCGCCGGCCGGGACCTGTATGCTTTTATTTCTATTCTCCTTTGTTATCATGATACCGATCGGGCAACCGGAACGTATCAGCTAATCTTGTGTCTCATAATTTTCTTTTCCTTGGATTGTGAACCAGTTGTAGATATATACCCAGCTTTTGAGAGTCACCTCAACTGCACTGCTTTTTGCGAGTTGCCTCACGCCAGTTTCCTATGTATATGTATATTACATTCTTGAGCGAGATGAAGATCTTTCAAAATTCAACACTCACTTATAAATGTCTCTATCCCGTGAATGCTCACAAGCAAGCTCGACTGATATCAAGATTCTCTGTCCACGGCCGGTGTCATGAGCTCTGAACTGGCAACCTTCCTACTGCAAGCTCCGAGGTCCTGCAGGCAACAGCAAAAGGAACGGCCTAATCGAGTTAGCTGTGCGACACGTACAAAGCTCAAATTTCGACCGCAATCTGTTCCCCAATGCTTGTTGGGAGAGACGAGACCAGCCTTTATTACTGATTGATAGCAGCTCCTTGGTCAACCTGCCAGTTGACAGTGGGCGATCTGGATATGTCACAAACGGGTGAGACAAAGTATAAATATCGAGTCCCACCGTGTTGCGCAAGCCGAGTGCCGACATGTGAAATTTAACGGAATGGATCACCAGACTGCTCCAGTAATAATGCTGCTAGTGTCCATCGACGTAGGAGCGCTTGTCCGCACCGCTACATCTGTGTCTGTATTTTGAAAAGACAATTGCTCGACTAGAAGTTCTTGCGTACTTCCTCCGTGATTTGCTGTTTTTGCATTTTCATTTCTCCTCATTGTTGGATAGAAATACACGCTACGATTCTTACAGGTCTATTTATTTCACCATAGCTCACTCGTCGTTGCTCACAAGATCACCACAAGATGGGTTGGTTTGGTGGAAAAGCCAATGACAGCAATCTGCTGACCGCAGAGAATGAGCATGCGGCTCGTGAGTGGGATCTATTGACATTCGGGATCTGATCATTGACGAGTCACAGTTGAGGAGGCAATGAGGCATGCGGCGCTCATCATGCACGACGAGACCGAACGTGCTGAAGAATTGCTCGCAGAAGGCACTTCTCCCTTCCACAAGGTAAAGCTCAACTCGGATGCTGTCACTCGAAAGTTGTGTCCTGGAATATATAACTAAGCCTGCGCACAGTTGGCAAGAGCGTGTACACTCTTCGTACGAGCTACCCTGGGCTTCGAAAAGGAGATTGCTATCGTAGCTATCAAGCGTCTGCAAGAATCCGAAGACTGTGCTTACGAGCACCACCGCATGGCCGCACGCAATCCCGAGACCGCCTTCCAGAGCAAAATTTATCCTCCAGGCGCAGAGTACATGCTTGCAGAGGCGGAGTCTCAAGCAATGGCCGCCGTTTGTGGAGTCCTCACAGAATCACTAACCACAACCCTTGCTGTAGGCTAGCCCCAGTCTGTCTGAGTGAAATGAGAGTCTGACAATTGCATTGCAGGGATTTTACAAGCTCCGAGCAGCTTACAAGACATTGCTTATCCTCTCCGCAGCAGAGAAGAAATATCTGGATGAACATTTCCCGAACCGTGTCAAGCATCCCAAAGGAAGCACCGCTGCGTCTTCGATTCGCTCCGGGAACACCGGCAGGACACGCACATCAACAAGGAATGTCGCCAAAAGTACCCACAGTGCTTCCAGACAGGACGATGATGACGATGACGACAACTTTGAGGACGCCCAAGACACGCTCGCCGATGCGGACACTCTTCCACAGGACTTGTCGAACCTGAAGCTCAACGGCCAAAATGCCGATGGTGACTTCGACTTCAGGCAGGCGGCTACGGACCCTATCGACATCTTCACGCATTCCGGGATCGCAATGTGCTTCGGAATCTTCCAGCTGGTCTTGGCTCTGCTGCCCCCTCCCATCGCCAAGTTCCTCTCCTTCCTCTCATTTAACGGAGATAAACCGACCGGCCTGAATCTCTTATGGGAAGCCACATTATTCAAGGAGAACATCAACGGTGCAATCGCGGCATTTGTGGTTGCCGTCTATCACGATGCAATGGTCGCTCCGAGTGACATCCTCCGTGCCAGCGATCTGCCTCTCCCGAGGATCCGGAAACTGTTGGTCGACATGGAGCCTTACTGCGAAGGATCGGGCCTGTATACTTTGGAGTTCTCGCGCCTCCTTTCCATTGAAAAAGATCTTCCGGGCGCGTTGAAGTTCATGAAAGCGGGCCCAACCTCGCCCTTGAAGCAGGTCGAGGCCTTCAAGACGTTCGAAACCTGCTTCTTCCATCTTTACCAGCATCAATACCAGGAGTGTGCCGACTCGTTCTTGAAGACGGTTGAGATGAACACCTGGGCTCATGGAATGTACTATTACATCGCCGGCTGCTGCTACGTTGAACTGTATCGTGGCTGTGAAAAGGGTAGCGATGCAGCAAAGGCCTACGAGGTCGAGGCTGAGCGAATCTTTTCCCTCGCACAAACCAACCTCGGTACGAAGAAGATTTTGGGGCGCAAGCTTCCAATCGACATCTACATGGAGCGAAAGATGACCAAGTGGCGCCAGCGCTCCAAGAACAAGAACTGTTCTCTCCTAGACGCGGTTGGTGTGAGTCCCGTCGAGGAGACCATCTACCTGTGGGGCGGATACAAGAAGATGCGATCGGAGGACCTGCAGACTTCACTTGAACGTTTGTTGTGGTCCGAGGACCACAAGAAGAACCCACACGCAGGATACGAGCCTGTAGACGAGCGCGCACTGCTCGGATTCCTCAAGGCTACAGTTATCCGAACTCAGGGCAAGACCCTCGAGGCGAGGGAGATCCTGGAGAAGGACGTCATGCGCTACAAACAATCCGAGTTGAAGGCATGCGACAACAGCGACGACTGGGTCGGGCCCACCGCGTATTACGAACGTGCCGTCTCATACTGGGAGGAGGCCGGTGGTCAGGATGGGCCGCGTGAGAAGTTGCTGGCTGCAGACGAGGATCTTCGTAAGGTGGAGAAATCCGGCGATCAGGATATGGACGTCATGCTTGGTCTACGTCTGGGAATGGCTAGGGAGTCGATCGATTCGGCGCTCAAGGGACGCTGAGCTATTGTTTGTCGTTCGATGATCTCTCGGAACTCACGGCGTTATGTGCGTACGGTCTAGAATAATCATATGACACATATGTTCGAACAGAAGCGCCTCAAAATCATGGATTTGGTGTGAGGGGAGTGTGTTGCGATGCTCTTTAATTGCCGCGAATGGCTATGTGCGACTTGATGGGGGCGGAAGTCTTAAGCGATGAAGTCTAAAACTAAGATCGGATGGTATTAAATCGAACGCAACTTGATTGCCCCTATCGCGACCAACGTACTTCCACCGCTCCCATCGAACGAAAGAGTTCGTGACATTGTATTGCAAGTGTGGTAACTGCGATGCGTTATCACCTTGCGTATTGAGAGCAACTAGGGTCGTACAAGGGTTGGGGTTGGGGCAGCGATCAATTTCGCTCACATGATCGCGCGTCTGACGTGTCGCAATCGAGCCCGAGCTCTGTGAACTTGAAATGTTTCGAGGATGGAAGCTTCACTTATCAATCACCACCCGTGATCTCATTCGCGACGCGCATTGCTCGTAGGCACGACAGCGGCTCAAAATGCCGTCCACCGCAGTGTTATACCAGGAAACGCGCCTGGATACATCGACCTCCAATGTCGTGAACATCAACACATCTGGACACGCTACGGGGACAGTTTTCGGTGCAGCAGCTGGTCGCAAGCGAGCATTCGATGAAGTCAGCCACGACGAAGAAGGGTTCACACGGAAACACCTCGCGATCGAGGGATCTGTGTATTTCCGGTCACGCAACAAGTCTCCGCGCAGTTTTCTATGGCGGGTTCTGAACGAACGCAAGGTGCTCGAAGTGCAATGCGTAGATCTCGTGCGACCGACCAACATCTCAGCGGAACAATCTGCTCCCGAACTCACAATCAACATCATATTATCCTCGCCGATCATCAAAAATGGAGTCGCATTCGCAGATGCAGAAGAGAAGGAAGCGTTGAACATATTCGTCATCACTGCTGCAAATCAACTCTACACCTTCACTCTCAAACGAGACCTGTTGACGCGAAGCTCGTCAACCGCAGATTTTGACGCTTCCAGCACGTTCAAAAAGTTCACATCGTCATCTTTCAGCTTTCGACAACCATATCGCCTCGTAGCGGCTAGTAGTCTGGAATTGTTCGTGTCGCTTCACGATGGCGGCTTGGTTAGACTTGATAGGCAGCCGAATGAGGGAGGATCGCATTGGCGGGAGACTTTCTTCAGCGAAGGTGGCTGGTCCGGCACGCTGAAAGGCTTGATACCCTTCAATCGCCCACAAACAGTTCGCTTTGGTTCCCTGGATCTGGATTCAAGTTCTGCTGTCGCGATTGCCAAGAGTCCGGACGGCGCCTACATATGGACCTTGAGTTTGGATTTCTATATCAAAGCATGGAGCACCAAGACAGGCAAGATCGCTACGCAGGTCGACCTGCTCGACGATGGTTCAGTGTCAGACGAACGAAAGAAGCCAGCGCGGCACGTCATGAGTGCAGAGCAAGGGACTTTGCTTCACATAGTGACGCCGCCCGTGTCCGCAAAAGCCCGACAGAATAAAGAAACTGAGAATAACAGTAATTACTTCCTGGCTGTAGTCTCGCCTAAGGACTACCAAATCAAGTTCTTTGCAATTTCAACAACATTCTCGTCCATCGAAGGCGAGGCGCTCAGATGCCAGGATGTGCAACCGCTGACGAAATTGATACCGCCGATCGAAGACCTTATGAACACGAACATTTGGCATCTCGAGAGTTTCTTCGTCAAAGCTGGTGTACAATGGCTAGGCTCGCAGATGTGGATCCGCGCACGGAGTGGCGCACATTGTAGAACCTTCCTCTTGAACTTTGACTTATTGGACAGCCATGGCTTGCCCGCGGACATCAGCGACCAATGGCGTGGAGGATGGAGCGCGGTGGACTTACAATCACATTCCATCGAGAGACTAAAGGAGCTGCCAGAGTACAACGACCTGGATGTCATTTCCGAGGCGACAGCAACAACACCCACCGACCGGTGGCTGGCGTTCTTGTTCTCCCCCAATCGTTTCAGTGAAGCCTCGCTTGAGACCTCATTACACGTGTATGGCAAGAGCCGAGGTACCGCTGCCAACACAGGTCGGGGCCTGCACACTGCCGAGCTGCCTCTTCAGGAACGCATTGCAACCAGTGTCGCATCGAAAGTCACTCTTGGCCGGCATGCCGAGAGCGAACAGCCAGATTACGATCGATATGCTCTCGACCTTCAGGCTCAGTGGAAGATGTTCTTCTCTGTTCTGGCCCACCTTCATAGCCGCAGAATTGAATCGATTGGTTTTGCCGTCGACCTCGACGAGGGACTCCCCTGGACCATCTACACCGACTTTGTCGCCCCTATTCGTACATGCAGTAACTTTGAGCTGCTATGCCTCAATACTGATATGTCGTTCGATGAGGACATCGCAAACAGCCAGACGGTCGAACAGATTTTTGCAAATGAGCAGGAGATGATACAGAGTCGTGTCATTGCTGCAGCCCGTCAACTTCGCAACAATGTCTCAGCGGCGTCCATCAAGAGGCTCAGAAGCGCCGCGATCGCAAGATCACTCGATTCTGAACCAGAAACAACGGGTGCAGAATCCCTTCAAGCTATGTGTGACCAGTGCGGTATCGCCAAAGAGGTGTCTGATGAGGATTACGATGCTTTGAACGCCACAGCAGAGGCATTCAACGGGCTCGGAAGCCTGAGCGACGATGATTTCCTGGGCATCCTAGAATGTCTGGAATATGCTCCAGAGTCAATCGGTCCCGAGCAGGCGTGCATGCTTCCCCGGTATGGTATCAAATCAAGCATCGCGACAGTGCAGGAGGTGCTTCATAGTGCACAGATTGCCCTCCTGGACCTGCTCTTGCTTGTCGTTTTCATGTCAGGCGAACTCGAGGCAAGTGAGCTACATGCTGACTTCCGGTCCGATGAGATTCACGATGCTATAATCAGGCGAATGAGGGATACCGAGCTCCGACTATGGCTCATCAGCAACGTGAGGACCAAACCAAACGCTACTGCAACTGACTCGGCTCCCGTAACTCTCCATGAGAGCATGTTCCTTCCTGACTGGGACCCGCGACCTGCGATCAAAGGATCGCCCTTGAGTGAGCGACTTACGACGTGGAGCACACGATGGACCTTCGGGCTTGTGCTCAGCAACTGGGAAGGTATCACGGAGCACATCATGGCCAATCTACTCAAATACAAAGACTACGAGCTCGCGGTCGAATTCCTTTCATTCATGACAGAAAGTTCTTGGACTTCGGAGTACCTCAAAGCTCGAATGCACCTCATGACTGGCGACTACGCACTCGCTAGTGTCGAGTTCAGGAAAGCTGCGGAAGACCTCCCCGAGGCCAAATTTGCAAGCTCACCTGCGGTACGACAGCTTTTGTCCCCAGAAGAAGCCAATTACTTTGGCGTGAATGCCTCGAAGTACTACCAGCATGTATCTGCGCTCTTCGAAAAGCTGAAGGCTTTCTCGTACACAGCCGACTTTGCCTCACTTGCTCTAAGCGAGTTTGGTACGGACACCGACGTCGATCAATCCATCGCTGAGATAGACATGCGAAAGAGTAAGAGCGACCGCCCGACCGGTGAAGCTATCGACGATGCCATGGAGGAGATCAGGCTACTCCAATTACGAACGACGAAAGACGACATACTAAATCGACTTTTCAACGCCCTCGTTCAGACCGGCCGCTTCGACCAAGCCTACAACACATTAGTCACCGTCGTGAACCCGGCTCTCCGCCGAGCAAACCTGCAGACTCTTCTACAAACATGCATCCAACAAGACGCGACTTCCGAATTCTTACAATTGCCGATTGAAGCCGACCTCGCCTACGAGGCCGACGCCATCCTCGTCTCGCTCGCCAAGCGCCACCTCGGATCCAAACTCTCCTCAAGTCCCCTCTACCATCGCATCCTCTTCGCCTTCCGCACTCGCCGCGCAGACTACCGGGGCGCCGCGGCGATTCTCTATGAGCACCTAGAAAGCCTCCGCCACGGCTCGAGACATTCCCTGCACGATCCCGAGGATGAGACTCTGATCCAGATCTACGTCCTGTTGATCAATACATTGGCATGCTGCGGCCCGGACGAAGGCTGGCTCCTCGCCGAGCCGGTCTCGGGCGTGCATGCGGCGGAAGCGAAGCGGAAATTGGTCACGTTGGAGGATGTCCGCCGGGACTACTCGGCCGAGCTGGACAGGCGATCGGATATGCTGCAGGGGCGCTTTCCGGTGATCGGTGGCGGTGATGATCATATGATGGATGTACTATAGGAAAGTGCGACATTGACTGTGCCGACCACGTGCACAATTTCGCTGGCGATGAATTAGCGATGTGATGTGTCTCATGCAAGTCAAGATACCCGTAATGTATGAATGAAGCGTTGATGGTTTCACGAGCGTGCGCATGATGTCGTTCCTTGGTGCTAATGAGTGATGTAATGCTTGTTGAATATGGACGCATACAGACAGCATTCCAAGAGTCAAAAGAAAGATAGTATAGAACGGGTATAGATGCCTAGAAGCCCAAATGCACGAATCGAAGCTATTCCAGGCCAACATAATACAGTATCTCGCCAGCAGCATCACTCATCTTGTCATGAGATCGTTCAAAGATCATCCGACAGAGCACCTCGCTCAATCCTTCTCTATGTCCTTATCCTTGGGATCGTTGATGCCCTCTTCCGTGATGGCGAATTGACAATCCGATTCCGGCAGACAGGGAGAATCATAAATTTTACAGATTCTGTTCTCGCCTCGAGCCTTCTTGAGCGACAATCTTGTCGTAGAGGCGTGTGCGATAATGTTGCCACCAATGGGCTTTTTGGGATCAGGGTTAAACATGGCAGAAGGACCACCATCGACCTGAGCGACGACTTGATTCGTGATGACAACGGCAATACCGAACTCATCCGCCAGTCTTTGGAGCGTTCGCATGAACTTTGCGAGATGTGTTTGACGATTCGACAACTCACCACGACCCACAAAGTCCGTGCGGTACAGTGAAGTTGCGCTGTCGACAATGAGAAGTGAGAATCGTGTCTCAGTCATCATCTGTGCCGCTTGTTGTAATAGTTGTAGCTGATGCTCGGAGTTATAGGCTCGTGCATAAGCGACATTGTCCAGCACTTCCTCGCCAACAAGACCATATCTGTTGGCAACGGAGAGAAGTCGTACTGGTCGGAATGTGCCTTCGGTGTCAATGTACAAGCATTTGCCTTCGCCTCCGCCCATATCGAATGGTAGCTGGCATGTCACGGCAAGCGTGTGGCACAATTGACTCTTGCCTGTCCTGAACTCGCCGAAGACTTCTGTAATGCTTCCAGTCTCAATGCCACCAGCCAGCAGTGTATCGAGTTGTTTAGAGCCGGTCGTGATCGAGATGAGGTCTGACCGTCGTGCATGCATCTCGGTCGCAGTTGTGAAACCCATGGGCACAAGCTTAGTTGCTGCCATTCAATCAGTGCCAATCCAACACAGCCTAACAGCGGAACGCCCTTACCTTCCATCAATATCTTGGTTGCTTTCTGCTCGGATATGCCTTTGATCTGTTCTAATAATTTCCTTGGCCTGTTGAAAAAGTGAGTACATGGCCGCAAGATTTCGTTACTTATTGACGAACGTGTATGCAATGCTTTCTACGGTGTGATATCCGCCGTCTGTAAACAATTGAATGTCGCGCTTCGTGAGACCAGACATGCCCTGTTGATCTGTCAGACTCGATGCACTTCAATCGCCATGATCAGGGTCGCTTGCCTCAAGTACTGATAGTGGCTGCGGCGCACCAGGACCACCAGCCAGTCCATCTTCATAACCAGATTGCGACAGGTCCTCGGCGCTCATCTTGAAATGAGTTCAATGTCGGACTTGCGAATATACGACTCGTGGAACGTTCAAGATGGGTTCTGAATTGGGAACGACGTATGAGATTGCAGTCAATGATAATGTCGTCGCCGTAGTGGAGGAGATGATTGCCTCGATGATTATGTAGGGCGGGCGCGCGTTGAGCCCCTCCAGGTTGACGCGAAGTGGCAAATTAGAAACGCGGCTTTCGTCGCGATATCACGTGACATTTGATCAATGCTTTTTGTGCATATATCATGAACACATCACCAAGACCACCGGCATGCGAGAAACGAGGGGCGGGCCCATCAAAATGCTGGCGCAAAATTGAGATTATAAATTTCTCGCGTACCAGAAATGTTCCCATTCCGTCTATGAAAAGATTGTCCAGCGAGCGAGTCGTGTCTGCTTCATTCCGAACCGTTGCTAACCGATCTGGATCACGCGCTGCTCACCATTGCTCAGATCACCAACTTTGTGAGACTGAGGGCCGATCTCCCACAGACCGAGATCTTTGCCTTCGCGATCCTTCTTCGGACGCCACGGCCGGCCGGCCTCCTTCAGAACCAACATGGCCTTACTCGTCTCTGCAAAGGACGTCACCAATTCTCTCATCCTCCGCGCTTGAACAAAGCACTCTGCAATATTGTTGTTTTCCTGTGCAATTGTGGTGGAAAGATCCATGGATTGAATGAGATTGTCGCGCGAGATGAGAGAACCAGCGCTGTGGAGGACTGTGTTGTAAGCAAGGACTACCTCGGGGATGTAGATCTTCCGAATAGCTTCGAGGTCAGCTCCCTCATCGTCATCCAAAGGATTTCGCAGAATTCCTGCAAGGATAGGTGTCATGGCGTCGTCAACAGCGTCCTTTGCAGCCCGTAGCTCAGGTGGTGCTGACGATAGTTTGGGAGCTTTCTTGGTGTAATCTTGCTCCTTTTCCCGCCACTCAGCAAGTGCCTTGATCGAGTTTACGAGGAGCTCGAGTTCGTAATATGTCCGGGACTGTCGTTTCAGAAGATCCCACATCGGCTGTTCGTCCTCTGGAGCAGGACCGTCGTGGTCCATGATGTTCACAGATTTTCCTACCACTTGGTAGGATTTGCGGATCGATACGGTTTCGTAGGGGAATTCTTCTACAATCATGATCGCCGAGGCTATCCGGCCAGTAACTGCAGAAAGTTAGCGAATATATCAGCAGAGAAAATCCTGAAAGACTTACGCAAGCATCGACGGAGAGCGTGGCTCAAGGCCTGGAAAGTCTCATTCCATCGTCCGTGCATGATATGGAACCATTTCAGACTTTGCACAACTGCCTCGTCTTCGATTGTGAACTCTGTGGGCAGCACGCCTGAGATGATGCGCTTGCCAGGGTAGAGGGTGTCTATTGATGTAGGCTCAAGCAGCACAAGTTGCTTTTCATGGCTTGATCTTGATGCTAGCCTGTTGAGAAGAAATGCCAATTGCTCTTTCAGGATCATGATGATGTCTAGTCCGTAGTGCTCTAACAGCTTGAGCGTTTGCTCTTGCTCTCGTACTTCGGTGATATCCTGCATGACCCGTGAGATGGCAACCACATACCGTGGTACTTGTAGTCTAGAGGCATAGACGGGGATGAGATCGCGTTTCCGAGCTGCTCGCAGCGATTGTATATATGCGACAAGCACATTTTCCTCCGCATCCCTCTCATCACCATCCAGCATGCCACTTGAAAGAATATTGAGAATGATTCCGATGTGAGTGGTGATTCGGAGGACGTGTGAATCGACTGCAGCTTCTGCCTCAGGAATGCTGTCCAGCTGGCCAAGATGCACCATCATATCCTCGTCAGCACTTTTCTCCGTGAGCTTATCGGCATCGGACAACGCAAAACCGATCGTGTGGACAAGGCTGTCCGCCTCATTGGCGAGGAGATAACTCTGGACAATCTTCATTGGCTGACCTGACTCGCGGGAAGTCTGCTTTTGAGATCGCAATTTGATGATCAGCTCCGTTATGGCATCCTGTGGATTCCTCAAGTCATCCTCCGAAATCGGCGGTCGTTGATTTGAAATCCGTGCTGGAATTTGAGAAGCAACATATTGGTCAAATTGTTTCGTGAGCGTAGCGCTGTAATGGGCGTAAAGTTGTTCGTCCACGGTGCGGCAGACCTTCTGTGCGACCGTGGCATTCCCTCCCAACAGTCCATACACGGCCGCTTCATAATTGTTGATGCAATCACCCTGCGAGGCCAATAGGCACATTTTTCTCCAGATTACGTTTGATATCACAGATGACGAGTCTGCCGCCTTACCGATGGCAAGCGCGCGCCAGCCCTCCTTCCTTTCCGTGCACCATTCGCTCACTTCTTCCCATGTTTTGCCTCTCCTCAGCATCTCCCAGCATGCTATCCATATCGCTTGTTCGAAGAAAGCATCTTGAGATTCTAGGCTCCGGTTTTGGCGCGTAGCAGCATCTGGGTCTAGCTGTGTGACAAGTGAATCTCCATTGTCACTGCGTTTTATCTGTGGCAAGGCTGTATCCGACCGGTTAGACCAGGGTCGCAACCTCTTCTCATGCTTGACCTTTTCACGTGTATGAAGCCAGCCATGAGCCCACAAGCCCTTCCCTCTGCCGGCTTTCGTCTCAAGCTCCTGTGTGATGTCCGGCAAGTCGCTGTGCTGATGGTCTACAGCCTGTTCAAGCCAAATTTTAATTTTGGAGCGCTCTCTTGCTACATCATTATCGATCAGGAATCGCGTCCAAAGCTCGCCCTCATCCATATATCGATGAGGCGGACCCAGATCTTCCAGAGCCTGTTGTTTCCGCCTCTTCACAGATTCTTGGTCGGGATTGTGATGGGTTTCAAGCACGATACGGAACAATTCCCAAATATCTGCCTCTTGTTGCCAGTTTCTTAAGGCTTGTACTTGCTTCGCTTTTGATGCTGATAGTGGAGGAGGCTTTGAGTTGATTGATAGGCCGGACATATTCGCGGCTCCTGACGTATCGATTTCTGGCTGCCATTCCTGTCTCAACTGTTGCGACCACTCTTTTCGATAATTCTCTTCCAAAGCAGCCGCGGCGTCATGCGCCACGTTTTTGAAGTTGTCCACAAGGTCAAGCACCGCCTCAAATTTATTGCGACTTGATAATGAGCCCAAAAATTTGTCCAGATCTTCAGCAAATGTCTCAACCTCTCTGCCAACTTTCTCCGCCATTTCGCGCAGAGGATGAAGCGCGTCGTCCACACTCTGTCGCGGGACTAGTGCCTGCACTTCTCCATCTTTTCCGTCGTGCTCATCGCTTTGAGCTTGATCCCCAGAATTCTCGTACCTCTCGCCAGATCTAGTTCGTGAGACTGATAGATTCCATGATTCAGTTGCGTCTTTGTCGGAGTTGGTACGAGTCTTGCGCGCAGGCACCTTCTTGGCGCTTTTTACACCGTTGGCCTGTTGAGATCGACGTGTAGTGGGCGCCATGCCTGGTGACCGACCTGCGCCAGTATATTTGAAGAAGTGCTTGTCTCGTAGATAGTCGATGGAAGTAGTTTTGCGTTTGCACATGGCAGGCGAACGCGTTTCGGCTTGAACCGAGCTTCACGATATCACGTGACGTGGCATGCCGTTAAGACTTTCCAAGGTTGTCAATGCAGTGCAGATCTCCCGAACAATCATTAGGAGAGACGGAAGTGGTTGCAATTCTGAAATATACCTACCTAGGTAGGTACTGATTACATGGAATTTGGCATTGCTGCGGAATTCTGTAGATTACGAGCGATCATCTTGCACGAACAACATGAGTTCTAGATCAACATGAATTGATAGGGTCAATATTGTATAGTCCTTTTCAACAACCATCATACGGGGATGCGCTTTGTGTCGCTGTATCATTCCCTCTCTAGTACACCTTCTTCTTCTCGTCAAAGCTGACCTGTCCCGGACCCATGTTCACCAGAAGGAGCAGACCACCAACGATAGACAGGATCTGAAAGAAATCGTATTTGGCGAAATCCTTGGACGGGTGGTGAGGGTGCAGCTGCAGAGCAAATTAGCATGAATCAATATGATGTTTCGTAGCGCTCCACGTACCGTCCAGAAGTTGTTGACGAGCAGGTTGAAAATGCTCAAAATCATGACCAGCACGATAGCGCTCCACTTCGCTTTGAATCCAACCACAACCATGACACATGCGACAGCGCCAACAATGATGACAAGCACACGCCAGAAGCTCCATTCGCCTGCGAAGACGAAGCCGATGAACAGGAAGATCAACAAGACTCGACCAGCAAGCTGAAAGTACATCTTACGATCCTTCTCGTCGAGTGAAGGCAGACCAGCAGGAGCAAACTTCTTGCGCACCCAGCTGTCGGAAAGCACCATGATCAAGCCGCCCATGACGCTGAGATTGCGAAGAAAGAAGTTCAGGTCAAAGATGAGACCATAACCAAGCGCTTGGGTGATGATGACACCAATCAAGCCGCCCACGGCGTATTCGCTGTGCCTCCGTGCAATAACAAGAACGCTTGATGACACCATGGCAAGAACATTGACGATGAGGAAAAGGTGCGTGAGGCCGTAAGGGACTGTGAATCCGCAATTAGTGCTCCGCAAAACTAACCTACAGTCCAGGAAAGGCTACCGAATCACTCACTGTGTCTATAGGTGTTCAAGTACTTCAGCTGATCGCTCCATTGTGTCACAATGCGGAGCGCATCCTCGAGGAATGTGACAACAATTAGGAATCGTCCGATGATCGGTAGGTATGGCTTGACGGGATCCGAGATAGTGTCAAGCCAGTCTTCGATTTTGCTCGTCTGCTGTCGGATTGCGTCCAACGGTGAAGGGTCATTGGTGGCATTGGAGCTCGAATGTGTGCCAAAGTTCACATTTTGGTTGCCCAAATGATAGCCGGCAGTGCCTCGGATTTGAGCCATGTTGTATGAACGTCCTCCGATTTCGATTCAATGTGGTGGTTCTGATTCACCGCAAAGTGGAAGGTATTGGTGGTGGTGTGCGAAATTCAGCTGGCAAGGTGTTATTGCCGTGGCCAAGCTCCGAGGTCCTGCTCAAAAATGCACAATCCGCCCTGCTCTTTCTGACTACGAATGCGAAAATGCTCAGATGTGTATCCACGGTGTGGGAGTTGGTAGATATGAATTGAACTGTGCCGAGGATCCCTCAGGCTTTATAAACAGCGGCAGAAGGCGAGTGCGCGAAACTCGTGGCGTTGATGGGGTAAGTGATCACTTGATTTGGACATGCAAGGTGCGGAGGCGGAAGTGGGTAAAAGCTACGACCGTGTAATAATAGGTGCATTCGGCGGGCTTAAACAGCGGAGATGCAAGCTGTCCTCCAGTCAGCATTTCTTCCACATTGCAAGCAGGACATTGGTGGGTGACCCTGGAATTTCAAGCTCGGCTTCTATTTGCGCTGTCACGTCATGAGCTGAACAGCATTGCTACTAACAATGTCGCAGGACAGTCAAGAAGTTGGAGGCATATCCAGCTCATGGCACTATCAATAATGAATAGAGGAAAGCTTGAAGGAGGCCTGTCCTAGCACTCTACAGCTGATCTGGGTGTTCCTGGACGAGAGTATATAGCACCTGCTAGACATGGTCCAGCCTACTCAGAAATACACGATGTGATTGATTTGATTGCAGCGGAATGGCAAAACATAGAGGTCTCTCACTTATCAACAAGGTGCAATTATTGATACTCTGCACTGGCGTCAGGTACGCGTATCAATGTCGTTTTCCTCCACAGCGCTTTTCCGTTGCAATGCCTCCGAGTGCCATGCTTTGCCGGTAAAGATATTCATACACGACGCCCAATCCCAAAGTTTGTCTCAGGCACAGATGCAATGTACATACGCTGCAAAGATGCACGACCTTAACTGTGCAAGTGCTAGTAGCACTTGCTCTCAATCCCAAGTAACCCTCAGCGCAGGACGATGGTACTCGCGCGTAGCCTAATCTTGGGACTCCTCGAGGCGATATTTATATGGCATTTACGCACATTGTGACGCTCGCGCCGGGCCAAGTTTGGGTCTCCGTGCAGCGCAGCAGCGGGCACTCTACGGCGTTTCGGAATTCGATTGTGAAAACTCAATCTGAAACTAAAGAGCCTCGAGCTTCAGAGGGCTAAGAAATCGACCATTTGGAGATCAAGCATCCCAGTTCGACGCGTCACTCGCATCAACATCGGTCCGTTGTTCATACTCGTCAGTCAGTGCCTGGAAGCCGATAGGCTTGCCGTTGATCAATGGTTTAGTCGCAGGAGCGACCACGGTGCTGATCGGCTTCGGTACCACATGGGCATCACTGGCCTTGTCAGCGGTAGTCTGAGTCTTTTTCTGCTTTCGCTTGCTGCCAGCCGTCGTCCAAGCCGCGTCGTCATCTTGTTCTTCAGAAACGTTCGCGGGCTCATTGATTTGCGAGGCTCCTCTCGGTGTAGGGGCGGCCTGATGAGAATCCGTGGTTTTGGTAGCAGTGGCACTGATTCCATTTTGGCCAATTGACTCTGTTTCGAAGGTGTCCAACAGAGCAATATTCGTGTTGGAAGCCCGGTCAGCCGAGATGCTGGAGTTCGTGTTTGCGGTCCAGGAGTTAGTGGCTGGCGGTTTAGCAACTACAGGGATGCCATTCTTTGCAGGCTCACCGCGAGCCTCACGTGCTGTACGACGCTGCTTCTCCTCTAATGCCTTCCTGATCTTCTCATCTTCCTCGCGTTGCAGGCGCTGCTCTTCCTTCTTCTTTTCATTCTGACGAGCTTTCTTTGATTGAGTCTCGGTCTTGCCGTCTTTTGGGGGCTTCGCGTGACCATTGGCTCGGACAGGCTTCTCTGACGGCGTAATGCGCAGAGTCATTGGGGCAGGGGTAGCAGGCTCAAGCATATCGGCGACGCTGCCAGCATCACGGGTTGAGGCCGATGAATTGGCAACCTCATTATCTTCAGCTGACTCGGTGTGTGCAGGGGCCGATCTTCCGCTGTCAGCGCTGATGACGCTGCTCTGCTTGACGGTCTTCACGCGACCACCCTTAATTTCGTTGCTCTTCACTTCGACACCTTGTCTTGCCTGGGTCATTCTCTTGGCGAACTCCTTGGCTTCGCGCAACGAATCATCTGCAGTTTCCTCGCTGGTGACAACATTCGATTCAACCTTGCGGTCAGCCCCTTCTTTTGCAACCCCCTCAACTGCATTGCCTGTCGACTTCTCCTTGCTTGGTGCAACCTTCAGAGATGACGTCTTGGATAAGGCTGCCTTCTTCTGCTTAGGAGGTGTACTCTTTTCGGGTTTGGCAGCACTGTTGATAGCCGGAACTGGCTGGGCCTTGGTTGGAGCTTGAGCAGCTCGAGGCCAGTAATAATAGACAGTGAGACCGGCGACTAGCGGAATGAACACAGCCCAGTTCACCCAAGGCTCCATGATTTCGCTTGAAGGGAGATGCGTTGAGAGTAATCAATGCAAGCTGTAAGTGACTGTGTGAAGTACAGCTCTGGATTGGCGAATGGGCAGAGTTGCAGGCGTAACGGTGCCGCCAGTGTCTGGGCGGTACAGGTGACGATTGATGGTATATATTTACTGGAGAGGTGACAGATTTGTGCCTCGTGAATGAGAGTCGTGGGCGTGCGGCCGTGATTTGTATATGAGTACGTGTGAGGGTCTTTGTTTGTATGAGGGAGTTGGCTGACAATATCGCGGATAACGTGCCCGTTATGTGGAATTGTTGAGAGCGACAAGGTACTGTAAGTGGTCCGAGCAACAATAGGTGACCTCGTCGCGTGGGAAGAGTTCATTAGTCTCGAATGATCGCGCAAGAGGAGACGCAGTTCATGGATGATTCGATCCTGATTTTATGACACCGTGCTATGGTGGCGAATGATTTCACGCTCGTGGTATGCGTGCTCAGCCTTGTGCTCTTGGCCGTGGCCTCACTGGTCCAGCATCGTTACATTCCAGCCGAACATGCGTGTATACGTACCCTTTTTACGGGTGATTACGTCGTGCAGGGCTCACGTTGCCCTCCAGGGCTGTACTAGACTTTGACTATGCTGCCTCCTAGGGTTGATGTAGGGTTTGGGTTCTGTCAACAGCCAATTCGGATTTCCCAATATGTTATGAGTTATTATTGATGTCGGTTTTATGAGACAGGGTGATGTGTCGGCGACTTCGTGATCACTATCTCACTGGCGCTCGAATCATGTGGACTTAGGAGCAGCTCAAGTTTGCTGGATTGTGGTAGATGTACATCCATCGACTGCGGCATCAGGTGAGAGAGAGACCACCAGCTCGCTGGGGGTGGATCTGATGCATTGTACCACGCGGAGAGCAATGTGGAAGGTTGTACGTGGTGTATAGTGAACCAATCGGGACACTTCAGTGCCCTCAGACTGATGATGCATGCACCTTGAACTCAAGTGTACGCGACCGCAGGCTCGTACAGCTCACCTACAACAGCTCCGTACCCATGGCCGTAAATGTCAGTCACATACAAGTGAAGGCACGTGACTGCGTTTCGCAACTCTGTCTTCATTGATCGTAGCAGGATTCCAGGCTAGGACCTTGACATAGTGAGGTATTGGTGCAGCATGGTGAGCCCTGGCAACACGTAAAGTACCTAGGTAGCAATGAAATTTGAACGAGACCTGGCACGCCCGTGGAAACCAAGTTACCTATTAGACGTGGGACTGGCCTTATCTCCCTCTCAAAATTGCCCAGGTGTGAAATAATCGGTCAATGAGCTGCAAGGATATTGTTTCCGTAACGATGAAGAATGTAGAGCATAGCCATAAGGATTTATCTCCCTGCTCTTGTTGTTATCACAGTATTTGGTCGCGGAGAGCCCAAATCAGTCGCCGACGCGTATGGGCGCATTGCCGCGTCCGAAAGTGGACCCTGGTGAGATTACAGGGGATGGTGGTGGTGCGGCTTACAATGGCCACGGAAAAGTGACCAACGTTGTAAAGGCACTGTTCACGATGCTTACATCTGCGCGGCCGCTGCATGCGTAGCTGTCCTTCCGAGAGGCGCACAGGCTCGGAATTATCCAAGACCTGTTCCCAAAATTGCGAGAAGCTGGTCTTTTCGTCTTGCGCACTATTCTCGACGGCACGCGCACGATGTGCGCAGGCCCGTAATCGTCGAACACCGCTGGATTCCGCCTCGAAGTCACGATTCACACCCTCTTTTCCCTCACGATGCGATTCCGCTGGCGTACTGCGGCGCTTGCCACAATACTTCTCGCAACAATATTGTATCTATACTCGCTCACAACCCATGGTCAGGTCGTCCTTGTTCGACTAAACCAGGGCCTCTGGCCGTATGATCGAGCACAATGGTGGGACTGGAATGAAACGAAGGAAGAGCAGTTCTGTCGCGCCGCACATGATCTGGAAGGCAAGAAACCTATACCTCACATCATTCACTACGTCCTCCTTTCAGACCCGGGCGCGCAATATGAGCTATCCTATTCAACCTTTCTGGCTATGAAATCGGTTCTCCTACGTACGAAGCCGGACGAGATTAAAATCCATCATTTTGATCTTAACACAACAAATCCTTGGTTTAAAGAGATACGAAAACATGTAACACTGGCTCAACTGAAAAGAGAGGAAATCGCGGTACCTCATGGCTATAGGCTTTCGGATCTGGCCCTCGCCCATCAATCGGATATTGTGCGGCTTGCAGTTCTCGCAGAAGAAGGCGGAATATATCTGGATACGGATGTCTACATGCTCAGGTCTTTCAAAGACTTGCTTACTAATCCACGCGACGTTCTACTTGGACACGAAGGCGGCGATCGATATGGACTGTGCAATGCAGTCATTCTAGCTCGTGCCGGCAGCGAGTTCATCTCTATTTGGCAGGACAGCTACCGGACTTTTGACTCGACGAAATGGAACCATCACTCTGTCTTGATGCCGAAACAGCTTCAGATCCAACATAAGGACCTGATTTGTACTCTCTCACCTCCAATATTCTACTGGCCTTTTTGGGAGATATGGAATGTGCAATACATGCACGATGAAATCAGTGCTGAAGAGATCGCACTTCTACGCGACCAACAGGCTGCATACTCCGGCTCCATGTATGAGAACCAATTGGCATATCACTCATGGGGCGGTCACGCATATCTGAACGAATTGACCCCGGATATCGTTCAGAACAAAGATTCCAGGTTCAATCTACTCCTTCGCCAGATTGCTGCGCATCCAATCTGATGGGTCAGCACGCATGACTAATCGTACGCTGCACATGGAGCCGAGCGATTCGCCCATGGCAAGCTTGGTGCTGGAATTCTACCGATGTGGCTCAACGTTACCATCCTTCGGAGTAACTTCTTGTGGCAATGATCGATCGCGATCGGTCGTCGAGACATCAAAAGTCTCATACGACCACCACATAGCGCTAAGCCAAGTCGAACCATATGCGGATTATCTGCTTTCCAGCATAACGCCGCGGTATCGGTGGCCACTGGCTCTGAACATGTGTACACTTCATGTGATACTCGATAGAATCATGCCGTGACACTCATTGCTCACCGCAAGCTCGCCTTGATTATTTCGACTTGCCTCACAAGAGTTTCCGTGGTTAGTCGTTCACATCCTACCTTGGCCTGCTGGACGGTGTGGGTGCCCTCAACTGGTCCGCATTGGTATTGCGGTTGGGCCGGAGTTTTTTATGTATTGATAGAAATTGCATTCCTGGGAAGCTGTACAGCGCGGTGTTCTGGGAGTTGGCCGGCGTGCATCATTTTGCATTCAACTTGTGGCTAAGAGAGGATTCGGAGTTGGGCGAGCTGATATCACAACGTTGTTCTGTAGCAACCTTGAGAAATGACTTTTATTAAAGCGCAAGCGAGAGGCAAATCGCGTCAAACACAAGTTCCTGCACCACAGAGCTCTTTTGCTACGCGATAGTTGGTATAACGTGAGGAATGACTCGTTCTTGCAGTGCGGTACAATGGAAATCCCATGCTCCGGCACCTGACCTTCAAATATGGTGCCTAAGGCGGTCTGAACGCGTCTATCTCGAGGCGGCAGATGCGCGGCAATCCTGATCGAGAACGGCAATTCTGGTTGACGCTAATTATAACAGAGTTTAGCGCGTTGTCTTCTCCGATGGACGTTCACCATCAGAACTCTCGCAATGAAAACAAACGATTGAACGATGCGAAAGGAGTGAAATTGCGGTAGCATTCTCATATTTGACACAAATAAGTTCATTCCACAGCGAGCCCCGAAAAGCGAAAGCGAGTCTCCAGCAACGCTGTTCAATATTTCTGAAGCTCCCCTCCCGAGTCCCTTGAATCTCTTCATGGTGGACCACAATCATTGATGCCACCGAAAGCGGTAGGATGATTTCCATAGTCGCTACGGACGCAACTGACTTGACTAGTAACCGCTTGCGCCACCGCATTAGCCTTAGGCTGGGTCGCATTGATAGTGATGGATTTCGTCGCGCACGTCTCGCTGATCCTGTATCCGGTGTCGAACAAGAGCGATGTCTTCGCGAATAATCCGGACGCATCGCCTGGTATCCCACGACCCATGCAAATATATCTTTAATCAAGTTCCTGATCACGACATCTCCAAAACCTCGTCCAGGTGAGTCTTCTCACGCAAATAGCGCATGGGCAGCGTGGCCATGTCCGCGTCGCACTTGTTGTCTAGTTTTTTCTCATTGAACCAGCGCGCGAGCGACACTGGCACAGCGCCTGTATTCGTGCTCACGAACACGTAGCGACCTGGGCCGAGTCCGCAGGCTCGATCACTCGAAGTGCCTGGAAGAGTACATGTGTGGCTTGCATCGAGGTACCTGTGCATGTCCGACGACCGGGACGCATCCGCTTAGAGGAAAGAGTCCCTAAGGGTGTAGTGGGAGTTGCTCAAATATTAGTGTTGAAGGACCGCTTCGTATAAGACGATGTCGCTGAATGTATTGTTTGCCGCTGTGCTGGAGAATAATCCATTGGAGAGGAAATTATGAATTAGAGATTGCAGATACTACGTGCGCAGCGGTAGTTTGCTTTTTATGCCCTGTATCCCGCTCGCTTGAATCCCCTAAATTTGTGTTTATAGGCTTTCACCCAATCGAGCCGTAGATGTTTGGGGTGTCCCGTCCAATTGAATAGCTTTCTATATTCCAGTCCATGTGAACCGGCGCGTTGCACGGTTAGAGTCCTCCAGCGGACCATCCGGCTGACAAGAATACTGATGATGGACATTGCTCGGTTTGTCATGAGCCTGTATGCCCATCACGGTGAATCGCCGTGTCTTCCGGCAAAGGTGGAAGATTTGAGAACGGTCCAGAAAGATTCGCTGAAGCACAGTTCTTCTGGCCAGTCACTCGTTTCGTTCATGTACTCGGCGATGGTATTGAACCTCGAGTTTTCGTGATTAGGATATTAGAGTATTCGCCATTTGGAGTCGTCGGCAGAGCCTTTGGGCCGAGCGAAGACATAGAATACGTCTGTCCATCGCTACTCACGGCCTATCAAGAAGTGAGCTGCTAATTCCAGGTGCAACTTGTCGCTCAGGTGCTGCGCCCTGAGTTCATCGTCTCAGAATTGCGATTCCATGAGTAGTGGTCTTCTTAAGATGTACCAATCTTGGTAACAGGGCAGTCCGGCACCGCAGACCTTGTGCGCTATCTTGAGAAGTTCGAGCCAATCTTTAGGAGGCTGAAAGCCGGGCAGGACTCCCGTTTTCCCTGCCTGAAGGCGCAAGCTCTCACTCAGCCGTTCCTCATGAGAACAAAGCCCCGAAGCGGAGAGCGGTGTATCGATGAGGGGCGGAAGAGCATCGGCCAAGCATTCGGGAGGCTTATAATAGACTTGTCCAACCCGCTCGGCCGCACTCGGATTTGGGCCAAGGTCGAAGGGAAAGCTGAACAGAGCCTGCCGGTGCACGCACCGAGAAATCGCGCCCTCCAGGTTATATCCCTCTCGCTGGATTCCATCTTTGCCCCATGACAATCATTATTCGTCACTGAGGGTTACTGGTCGTGATGAGAAATCTGCTCGCACGATCTCTATAAACTCCTTGACCATGCGCTTTTGATATAGAGTCGCAACCGACTCGTGTCGCCGGAGGGCGCTGGCGAGCTCCGAGTCTGCTTCCATTATGGTTCGATCAAAACGTCCAAGGGTTCAACGAACAATTTCAAGAGCAATGGGCGTGCTGTACAAGTAGACCTAACACTCGGAGTGATCGGGAGTAAGATCGGCCTCAGCGAGGACCACGGATATGACTCCTTTCCACGACCGCATCTCATTGATGACTCACATCCACGCCTCCCAGCAGATCTCATTAGGGCTGGTGACAATTAAGTGCACACCGGAGAGCACTGCTGACGACATGACAATACACTGCAGTTTGTGGATAATGTGAAGACATGAAGCTGTACTACAGGACGAAGGCGCCTACTCGTTTATGCAGCGGCAGCGTCCAAGTGGAACCGATGAAGTGGACAGAATAATAACTCCAGGAAGGCATGCGGTAACACGGCGCACGCGACGGCTCGGGCGCCGCCCCAAGAAAAGTAACGTCCACATGATGTTGAGCGGCTGACAAATGCGTTATGCACGTGACAAGAGTTGACAATTTGTCGAAGTCCTCGTTCCTCCCCCGCCATCCGCGTTCAGTCCAGTTTCCTGCAGCTGCTTATGAATCTTCTCCTGCCCATCAGCAGCCCTGAGGAATCCATTCCCGAGTTCATTAGTCACTGCTCACTCATCACGTTCACGCCGACCCAAGGTTTATCTACCAGTACGGGGATACCATCGTCGACTTCAGGTCAGTATTGCTTCGCCGATGCTCCGCGCACATTCTTTGAATGCACTTCGCCAGCGACAATGGTCGCATACGCTAAAGCCGACGTGCTCGTCGCATCCATTGCCAAAGATGTTGGCTGATATGCCTGTCGCAGGCCCGCTTCGGTGTCCTACAATCGTGCAACTGTCGCATACAATCTGCGCATCAATCGCCGTCGCGCTGTCTTGAGCGCGAAGTCAGAGGTCGTCCGAGGTTTCTCGTTGTCGCGAAGGGCAATAACGGTCTCGCGCCCCAACGCGCATCGTCTTCGATCACAACATGTCGACAGGTCGTGCACAAGTAAGCGTGCCTTGATAGCAACAACCTAAGACATTGCTGACCAGAAGGCGCAAAAGGAACAACCCCAGGCTGGTGCCCTCTTGAGGGGTGAGTGTGACAGTTCCGCTGGGATGTCTGCAACGCGACACGCGCCTTGTCTGTCCCCGCGAGATGAAACGTTAACATCGATACTCACCAGGTTTACGAGAGCACCTCATGAAACACGGAGGAGCAGCTACGCCCGGCGCAGCGCCGTCACCATATCCTGCGAATGCGACGCCGGCAGATTCGTATCACAACGGGGAAGCGTCAAGTCCTCATGATCCCAACATTGACCCCAACGTATCAGGCGATGGCATGTCATATCCAAGCGGTGATGCCATGGACGAAGATATGAGCCAGAGCACGCCGAAGGGCAAGAGAGAGCTATCCACTAGCAAGAGAGCGGCGCAGAACAGAGCGGCACAGGTAAATGCGGAGATGATAATTGAATCCTCATTCATCCACTGACTCACGTCAATGACAGCGCGCCTTCCGACAACGCAAAGAGACCTATATCAAGAAGCTGGAGAAAAACCTCGACGAATTCCAGGCGATGGAGTCAAGCTTCAAGGCTTTGCAGAATGAAAATTATCAGCTCCGCGAATACATCCTCAACCTCCAAGCACGACTTCTGGACAACCAGACCGAGTTCCCGCCTGCGCCTTCACACATTAACCTCTCCGCTGGCGCGCCAGCGCAGGTATCGAATGCTAGTGCCGAACAGCAACTACGTCGCGAAATGCAGCAGCAGCAACAGCAGCAGCAACATGCACCACCGCCTCCTGCGCCGGTGGTTGCACGTGAAGACACGTCACGTCATGACGGAATCAGTCAATTGCAAGCTGCCGCGGCCGTCTCCGTCGCCGAGACACAACCAAATGCTGCAACGACCTATCCCCCACTTGCCACAGGCGACACTTCGCCACAACAGAAACGACAGCGTACTGAAGAAACGCGCCCGTCTAGCGGCGATTCTAAGCCGGCAGTGTGAGAATCATGCTCGGTAAGGACTTGAGCCTGATCACCGCTGTTGCTCGAACTTCTTAGGATGCGCTTTTCATCCGGTACTTGGAAGCTGCTTGTACGTCTCGACGTCGTTGGTTCAGAGTTGTCGTTCAACAAGGCCGAAAGTGCACCTCATGGCAGAGACGACCATTTCGTAAACAGGACCTTGTGGGTATTTCTTCAATTCCAAATTCTAGTTTAGCAACAATCATGACCCAATCTCCACACCTTTTGTGGGCTTCAACATGGTCTTCAGATGTGCACACCGACAAGAGATCTTTCGATGACTGTCGTCCTGTATTTGTTGAATTTTGTCCATTGAAAGCCAGGTTTTTCCATACTTTTTCCTGCCTGTCGCATTGAGAAGATTGTTACCAGCGCCTTTGACAAATTTAATGGAAGTAGCACCATGTCCATAAGAAAACCTCTTTATCGAACGGTGTTACATTCATTGGGATATTATACAAGAGGCACATTTCACAACGAACTTCGAAATTCTTCCTTGAGTCTCCATTTCCCTCGCGCACGTCCGCCCTTCTCGAGCACAGCGATACTCTTCAACATCTCCTTAAATTCCAAAGTCCGCTGCGGCGTGCCGCAGAATCGATTGAAGTGGTCGATCAACATCTGTGTGTAGGCCTGCCCGCCTTGTGCGACGAGATAGTCTCGGATGAGCACGAGGAAATCCTTGCCCTTGGGTTGATTGGCGGCGTTGGCACGCGCAAGGGCGTGGGATGAGTGGCCGCCTCGAGAGGATGCGGTTGTCCCAGCTTGTCTGGACTGGAGATTTGCAAGGAGCGCGACGGAAGACGGGCCAGCTCCGCCTCCGCGACCGCCACGCCCGATGTTCATGCCTCCGCGGCGAGGTGGTGGTGAGGGCGGCCGCCCGGCTGTTCCGAATTGTCCGGTCCATGTCGGCACACCGGCGGGTAGGGTTCGGGCGATCTCGCCTGCACGCTGGAGTTCGCGCGCGGCTTCGGCGGCGACTTTTTTCGCTTCTCGAGCGATCATGGCGGGATCAGCAGTGATAGTCCGGTTGGTGCCGTTGATGATGGCATCATGCTCGAGGGCACTTTGTACACCTGCTCGGGCGAAGATGGAGTTGAGCATTCGATCGGATGACTCTCCGCCATCTACTGCAGAGGATGCATTTGCGGCATCTTCTGCTTCGTCGTGGAACTTCTCATGTCGAGAGATGCCAATGATGTCATTCATTGCTGCCTCACCAGTGGCATCGTCTCTGACTGCTTGCTTGTCATCGGGTGGCGTGGGTAAACTTTGGTCAGACGTTGGTTTCAGATATCCAGACAACTGTACCTCGGTGCCCTTGAAGATCGTGCCGGTCTCCGTTTCACCATCAGTCGCATCGCCCAAAGTAAACAGATCATGCAGATCCCGAAGCTGGAAAGTCTGCCGTTGTTTTGGATCACGAAGGATCTTGTTGGTGAGGAACTGTTTGAAGATCTGACGATGGTAGATTTTCTCTTCAATGGTGCCAGCAGTCATCAATCGATAAATTTCGACTTCTCGCTTTTGACCCAGTCGCCAGGCACGTTCTCGCGCTTGCATATCGGTAGAAGGGTTCCAGTCCGGATCGTAGATAATCACACGGTTGGCGCCAGTGAGGTTCACTCCTAGGCCACCCACCTTGGTCGTGAGAAGGAAAACATGGAGATCAGGGTCCGTGTTGAATCGGTCAACAAGTGTCTGGCGATCCTTGATCGAGGTATTGCCATCCATGCGAAGGAATTTGAATCCGGGCATCTTCGCGATGAATAATTCCAGAATATCAAGCATGATCCTGTGCTGTGCAAACAAAAGTGTCTTGTGCCCGTGTCGTTTCCAAATCTCGAGCAAACCTTTGACTACCTGCATCTTACCAGACTTACTCCCCTCGCCATACGCATAGCTTGACTTTTTGGATAGCGTCTTGTGCTCGACAAGATCGGGATGATTGCAGATCTTTCGAAGGATGTCAATACCGTAAAGCGCTTGCCGTTTGCCGTTCATGATGGATTTCATATCCTCAGAGCCCAAAAACCATTCGTACGCATCCCGCTGCAATTTTGTGAGCTTGCAGAATAAGACTCGCTCACTCTTTTTAGGAAGATCTGCAGCGACATCCACCTTGAATCGCTGCAACAGATATGGCGCGATTGTATCTTTCAGTGTCTCGGCACATTTCATGGCAGTCTCGACCTGAAGATTCGATGCACTTGCGTAGCCACCTTGCTTGATTGGGATCTCAAATTGGCTCTTGAAGTTGACCAACGTTCCTAGTCGCATGGGAAATACAAAGTCAAACAGAGACCACAGCTCGGTTAGGTTATTTTGCATAGGAGTTCCGGAAAGGATGACCCGGTTATGTGTGCGCAGCTCCTTGCAGTATATCGTGATAGAGGTGTTGGGATTGCGGATCTTGTGACCTTCATCCAATACTGCATACCCCCAGTCAGTCGGTATCAATAGCTCAGCGTAAGTTTGCAAGCCAGAATAAGTCGTCACTAGAACATGCCCATTGCGAATGACCCGATCGACAATACGTTTCGCAGATTTGTAACCTTTCGCTTGTGTACCTCTCCTACGATATCCCACCTCATGGAGATCATCTTCGATTCGCAACTCCTGTCCAACGTCGAGCATGCCACTTCCCGAAGAATGCAGAATGGACACTCTCAGCGGCGGCCACCAGCGATGGAACTCATTGACCCATTGCTTCATTACAGTCGCCGGACAGACGACGATAATGGGTTTCGTGATCTTCTTCGAATAGTGAAGTCCGGCGAGAAAGGAAATGACTTGGATTGTCTTCCCTAGACCCATTTCGTCACCCACTATGCCTCCAACTTGTTGCGAGTAAAGCTCCCAAAGCCATTGAACACCGGTCTTTTGATAGTCGAACAATGAAGGATAGATGTCGCCTGGAATAGCAAAACCGCCTTCGAATACCGCATCGGTCCTGGTGGGATGAGGCATGTGCCACTCTTGGGTGCCTCGTTGAGCATTCTCGTCATTGATATCGTCTGCGTCACCATCCCCGTCATTAGTAGCTATCTCGTTCTCTTTCGCTCGAGACCTAGCTATCTTCCGTCGCCCCACCCAATCTTGGAGTCGCGCTTGATAGACTTCCTCATTACCGTCATCGATGCCTGCCAGATCTTCCTCTTCATTCCCATCAATGGCAGTTGACGATTTCTTGGTTCTCCGCTTGCGTGTCTTGCCTGGTGTTGTGACTAGAGCAGAGTCGTCGGCCGAGTCATCTCCCTCGAAATCATCCTCGTCTGCTCGTTCTCCCTCATCATTCTCTAGAACATAGGCGTCCGATTCCTCGCCGGACTCTTCGGCGGTCTCTCGTTTTACACGCGCATGTTCTCTGTTTTGAAGACGTCGTCTCTTTGCAGGTCTTTCCTGGGCAAATTCTTCGTCCTGTAAGCGTCGGGCAAGCGCAGCGTCGTCCTCGGCATCGGGTTGGGGATGAACATTTCCTGTAGAAGGCTCCTGATCGAAGCCTGGCATAAGCAGATTCTGATGAGACATCTGGCCAGCCTCGGCACCTGTAAAGCTCTCTTCGTCGTCATCCTCATTCTGACTGCCGTCGTCTTCGTTCTCAGCATCGAGGAGCACATCTCCAAGGCTCGAAGATGCACGCAAAAGTTGTCTGCCTTGTTTGGAGAATGGAGTAATCTTGCCAGTGCGAATCAGGAACTCTCGCCTGCTTTCACCCAACATTGGTTTACTCGCGGCTTGTTCGGTGGTTGTTGCACCAGCGTCATCATCAGCGCCTGCTCGACGGGCATTCATACGACTTTGAATTTGCTCCAAGTCGGTATCGAGAGTGGCGATTTGCCCTTTGTATTGCTCAATTTCCGCTCGATACTTGTTCTTCGTAGTGCTGTTCCCAAATTCGGTCAGCTTTGCCTGCGCCCTGCGTATTAGGCCCTGTAGTCGGTCTTTCTCCTTTTGCGTCTTGTCCATGCGTTTCTGGTCCCTCTCATCTGCTTGCTCAAATAGTAGCTGGTCTGCCTGGCGACCAATGTCTCTCTCAATATCGTCCTGGTCTCGTATGTCTGCAGCTAGCGCGATCATCTGTGCTGCCTCGTCATCCTGTTCGAATCTTTCCATGTCCATGTCTTCGACTATTCGAACATCAGATGATTCGCACATGGGTCCTGTGGGCGATGCTGGTCCCGGCGATGCCACTGATGGTTCTGCCATACTGTCTCTGCGGTGTGAAATACTTGTCAGGGCCGGACACAGTCCTCAACCCATGAGCGCGGTGATGTCCCGTAGAGGCTATCGAAAGACGAACGGCATAAACATGTGATGCAGTGTTCATACGTTTGTGCCGACCATTTCTGGCATATGATCGCAACTACCTAGGTACGGATCGGCTTCCAGACATGAACTGATTTCAAGTGCGCAGGGTTCGAGAGTCACTGTTACGCTCGACGCAGACTTTGGGCTGCACTTGATGGTGAGAGGTCTGTGATGTGTTGTATTATTTGTGGTTTCTCGCCACACGAGAATTCGATGCATGTGAAGGGCAATTTAACGATCTACGCAGCACACATTCGTCTGTAACCGCCTTGAGTGAGTAATAACAAATGCCCAGATGCCCAGCTGGGTAATATTTTGGACTCGCTGAGAGATGGAAAGGACCAAATTCACTGTAGGCATCAACGACGTCACAAGAAGAAACGCGCCCTGGGGCAGCAGTCATGCCTCAGACGCGTTTGGTACAGCGAGAAAGAGAGAGAGAGAGATAGACAGAGAAGAGGAGGGTCTGTGCGCCATTACGAATGATGAGTAACGATGAGAGCCGTGGAGAGATGGTGGAGGTGAATATATGGCGCACGCGACGTCACTGACTGCCGACGCTCACACGCCTGGCCGGAACTTGCGCCCTGACGCAGCATCGCAGGCCCGTCGAGATCGCACGAGCATCTCACCAAGAACTTGCCGCACATCTCCTGCCCACCACACGATCTTTCCAAGCACTCGTCATTCGAACTGGCCATTTCGCTCTTCGCTTCAAATCGCTCGTTATCCCTTCCAAGTTTTGAGATTGTGGTATTTCGGAGTTGTGAACCATTTCCACCACTCAGCATGGCCTCGGCACCGGTTCAGCTGCCGTCACAGCGCAGATCTTCGCCAGAGCAATCATCGACAAGTGCGCCCACATCACATGAATCACCCGCAGATACTCAGCACGAAGCTTCCCAGACCATTTTTGAGAATAGCCCATCGAACGATGCGAACCAGCAGACCAGGCTCGAAAGTGATCAGGAACCACAAATAGGAACAAATGTACCGCCTTTGAATATCAACGACGACCCTTCAATCAAAAAGTGCTGGATTTGCTTCTCAGATTCCACCGAGGACACTCCAGAGACTTCACCATGGCGCGATCCGTGCCCATGTGCCTTGCAAGCACATGAGGAGTGTTTGCTTGACTGGATCGCCGACATCGAGACGCCAAAAAGCGCTAGACAAAGAGGAGGCGTCACTGCACCGAAAATCGAATGTCCACAGTGCAAAGCAGAGATCAAGTTGGAAAGGCCGAGGAATCTAGTCGTGGACACAGTCAATGCGCTTGAACGCCTGGCGGACAAGGCAAGCTTCCCCGGTATTATGATGATCCTCGGAGGAGTTCTTTGGACTAGCAGTACTGCGTGGGGTGTACACTCAGTCTACGCAGTTTTCGGTCCCCAGGATGGTTATCGTATCCTCGGTCCATGGGCATCTGCCTTTACCCGTGCACCTGTTGACGTCTTCGTTGGTTCCACGGCAGACACATCGAAGCAGATCTTGAACATCGTGCGCAACAATTTCGCCCATTGGCGAGTCCATGTCGGCTTGCCACTTATCAGCCCATTGTTGATCCTTTCCCGAACGCACCTCGCCGATAGCTACCTGCCAATGGTGCCTATCGTCTTCTTCGCATCACAAGCACACTCACCGAGCGAGGCTCTGGACTTCAGACAGTGGCCTCCAACGGCAAGCTTCACTTTCGCTGTCTTGCCTTACGTTCGGTCTTTGTACAATTTCTACTACGAGAAAGTCTGGGCAGAGAAATCAAAGCAATGGTTGCGAGAGGTACAGCCACGAGCAGACCAGGATTCGACCGCCAACGGAAGAGGTCAAGATGCGGTCGCCAATGCCGATGAACCCGTTCCACAGCCAGCCGAAGAGGGAAACATATTCGAAGTGAGAATCGATGCAGGCATATTCGATGATTTCCTGGAGGAAGAAAACGGGGGCGCACAAGCGGTACTTGTAGAGGGAGCTGAAGAAGATCCAGGTGCACCAGGTCCGGACGTACAAGCTAATCGCCCTGAGCCACGGCAAGCTGTGGCTCCACGAGCCGAACGACCAGCTGCAGCCGAGCGACCCGCCGCACCACCACTTCCGCAACAACAAGCAGGTGTGCCAAATCCTGGAGGAAATGCCGCCGCTGGAGGCGAGCGTCGCCTCTCTTTCTCTCCAACGGCCATTGTTGAGACCGTCATTGGCGCATTACTGTTTCCAACAATCGCCGGCATTGCAGGCGAGGCGCTCAAACTTGTACTGCCCAGAAGCTGGACTACTGCGCCTATTCCATCAGCTCGATTTGGGTACAAACTCTTGCCCCGTCGCTTCCTGCAACAGCAATGGGCACGCAGCATCGTCGGAGGATGCCTGTTCGTCGTCTGCAAGGACGCGCTGTTGCTTTACGTGCGCTGGAAAGTTGCGCAGATGCATCGACATCGAAAAGTCATGGACTCGCCCGAAAAGAAAAAGAAGAAGAGCCATGCAGGACGCGCGTAGGCGCAAGTCGAGATTTCTCCATCCCGTGTTCTCTCGATTCCCTCCTTTGTTTTGATTGTTTTAGCCGGGCGTTCAAAGGGGAAGCTGATTTCCACTTCACAACTTTTTGTACCAATCGATGAATTATGCTTCTCTTCTTCTGCGCTCCATATCGTCTAGATCCGATCAACAGTCAAGCCGCTGCGATAATCTCATGTGATTCTTTTGTCCAAGCACAGCATGAGCACCGATCGCTGTACTGTTCAGTGAAACAACACTATTTCAAACCCTAATCGAGTGTTTCTCGAAGAGTGTATAACGCGTAAATGACTACTAGATTCGCGTTTATTTCCTACGTCATCAAAATTTATTGCACGAAGTACATAGCTCATGATGTCAAGAAGAAATACGTTGTTGCTGTGTTTCGACGCCTTTGGCACACTGTTCAAGCCCCGAGCGCCTATACATCGACAATACGATGAAATCGCCAAGTCCTTGGGGATGCGAGGCTTTGATGCGGAGGATATTCAGCGAACGTTCAAAACAGGCAAGCCGATGAGGGATATGTATTCTCATTGTTAGCGATTGGCTAATGGTATCTAGCATTCAAACAAGAATCGAAACGGAATCCCAACTACGGCAAAGCAAATGGTCTCAATGCCGAGCTGTGGTGGACCAACGTAGGTTCCGACCTTGTATATACGCCTTGTCTGCAATGCTTATTTCGATCGGACAGGTCATTCAGAATACCTTTCGACCATTGACTGTGCCTGACTCGGAACTACCAAGAGAGCTTGTGCCCCGATTGCTCAATCGATTTCGTAGCGGCGATGGGTACACTCTGTTTCCTGACGTGGAAGTACTTCTGAACAAGTTCAGGGCCTATGCGAAAAAGAATAACGCCAGCCTCGTCGTTGGTGTGATAACAAATTCAGATGACCGAGTTCCGGATATTCTGACATCGCTGGGGATGCGAGTAGGCTCTTTGCGATTCGGGACCGGGCCAACGACCACTGGGGGAAGCGAAATAAACGATGTCGACTTTGCGGTGATGTCGTACGATGTCGGCCATGAAAAGCCCAATAAGAGGATCTTTGAAGCTGCGCAAGGCCTGGTCTCGGAAGTTCTCAAGTGCCGAGATGGTGACACTGGGCACAAATTCGACCGTCCCATGTGGCCTGCTCTCTACATCGGAGATGATTATGGCTGCGATGTTATCGGGGCGCGCAATGCCGGATGGAAAGCAATCCTGGTCGATCGCGAGGTTGCGGCTGGCCGGGATCAAATCGAGCGCCTCAATGACCAACCATCAAACGACTTGTTTGAGATACTGGCGAAGACCGATGCCGTGACGTGCAATAGTCTCGCTCACTTGGCTCAATGGGTACCTGAATAGCCTCGAGAATTAGAAGTCTGCCGGGTCCCACGAGCAGGCCATGCCATTTCAAGAACGAGACCGCAAGGAAAGGATATCGGCCAATTTCAGCTGATTTTTGCCGCCCCATCCAGCGACACCCTCCTCGACGGATGGCCGAACCTTCGCGTACCATGACCACGTGCGGTCATTCAGTTGCGTGGGACTCAGCGAAGATGCCCAAGAATCGTACAAAATATCTAGACATCTGAGGAGCTTGCCAAGGTTGAGTCCATTGCTTTGTGATCTCGCTGCAGCTGTAAGCTTCTTCGGCGGAGTATGAGAGGCTTCTTCAGGAGCTGAAGAGAATGATTTGAGCAAATATTTCCTGGCGGATTGAGGCGTGAAGATGGGCATGTTGGGTGTGCCAGCGCCTTCTGATCGAGAAATCGAAGTGCTCAAGCTTTTGCGAGCCTCGAGGTCGAGAGCCCACAAAGCCGGCTCCTCATTGTTCGGCGGTAGAGTTACAGACTTCTCATTTTCAGACGGCTCGTTCTTTACTTCTGTCGTTTGCGGTGGGCTGTTCCAATCGTAGTCGTAACGACGAATAACTCTGATGTCCTTTCCCATGATTGTCACAACAGGTTGACCATCGCCGAACCCTTCCTCTTCCGCACTTTTACCGCTTTCGATGCCCAGACTGACGGCGCGCGATCTACTTGTGATGCTCACATATGCCTGTGCTAAGGATAATCGGCTCGATAGCGGCTGACCAGGCATGGTGTGCTTGAGTAGTGTGACGACAAATGCCAACACAAGTGGCGCTCGGTTGGTGTGCAGTACCACATCTGATAATCCATCCTCGGAGAGATCACTTGTTGGCAGGATCAGCGATTCTTCGATGGCCGCAGGCGACAGCTCTTCGCTGGTCTCGAAGAGGCTATCTGCGGGCTTTCTCTTCTTGACAGCTGGTTTGGCATCCACATTGTCATCAGCGGCAGCTCGTTTCTTCACCACTCGCTTAGCTGCAGATAGAACTTGCTTTGATTTTTTCTCGTCGACGAAAATCGTCTTTAAGCTGTCGATTTTGGTTTTCGCGATCTCATCTGCACTACCGAGTCCAGCTGCTTGCAGTTCTTTGATCTTGGAGAGGGCTGTTGCCAATGGAATTTTTGCTTCTTGCGACAGCAGACGCAACAAGGTCTGGACACTTTCGGCGCTCATATTCAAAACAGGTTGCATCAACAAATAAATGCTGTCAACGAATATTTTTGATCTAATTAGTTGCAAGTACTGTGCCTCATGACGATTGCTTACACTTTTGGGTTTGTCACATTTCCATGATTTATTGAGTGACCTTTCCGATCGCGCGAGATGTAGTGTGGTTTTCTAAACGCATGTGGATTACATTAAAATGAATCGATCCGTGAACCTCGTAAGTTATTCCGGTCCATGGCGTGAGTGCAGCATAAACTTAATGACGACTTTCCAGGGATTTTTTTGTTATGGATTACCATACCCATTCCAGATATTCAAATGTTGTGGACGTCTTCCAAAAATCATTACATGTTGATATACAGGACGAACTCGTACGATCACGATCTTCATGCAATGAGAGGACAAATTTTCGATAATTTCATTGCTCATCCGGCGCGAAGAACACTTTCTTGTAATATTTTGCCTCTGCAATACTTTCGAGGATATCCGCTTTGGCTTCATGTTTGCCAGCCTTTCCTGGGGAACGTTTCAAGATATTTTCCGGCGCCCACCTTCTCGCTGCTTCTTTGATGGCAGAGACATCAAGTAAGCGATGGTGAAGATGAGATACGACTTTGCGCCAAGGTTCCTGGGCGAGAAATGTTCTATCGGCGTGGACAGTGTTGCCTGCGAGCAAGGCACGTTTACGCTCCGGCGCGAATTTGAGAATATACTGGTAAAGTTCGTCTGAGGCCTGCTCAGCAGTGGTTGTCGAAGCCAGACACGCTGCACTCAAGCCGGATGCACCGTGATGATCGCGACACCACTCTCCCATGCCGTTCAGTTGCTCTTGTGAATGGTAGATGACAGCTTCGTATCCAGTCTCGTCAAGCATATTCAATTCGTAGTCGGTGACGAAGCACGCGAGCGACATGATAGTGTCTTTGGATATGTCGAGCCCTGTCATCTCGCAATCGATCCATACCAGTGGTTCTCGAGATCGTGATTCGGGCATTCTGATAGGTCTCTTCTCTTGATCGATCTCAATGCATGCAAATATTTCGAGCGTAATTACAGAGCAATTGGAAAACAATGGGAATATTGGGATACCATCAGGCAGAAATGGGACATATAATAAATTTATGACGCCTGTGTGTTGTCTTCAGGTATTTCTGTACCCCTCTCTTCGCGCTGCCACGAATGCGGCGGACAGGCTAGCCTTTGGTATCATGCGTGAGCAAACAGCCCGGTGAGCCGATTGGAATTATGGTTGTGATCCGGCAAACAGCTCGATGAGTGGAATACGTTTGTCGGTCCTGCATTATGAACAATCACGGTGATACAATAGAAGGAGGTGCACAAGTAGACGTGTACTTGGTGTAGACCACCTGGGCATGTGTGCTGGCAATGAAAATGTGCCTGAAGAGAGACCCGCAGCGGGCCAACCAAATCGTGATTGGCTCGTCGCGTCAAATATGAAGCTCTCTCGGCTGCTCTTCCATTCCTGTAAGCACGTGAACTTCAACCTGTGAAGCACATCTCTTCGGAACATTCTTCGCTTCGTCACGTCAGCATTGCACAGTCTCTTGCAAGCGTCCATTTTCACCGAATAAACATTACAGCGTCGAGATTGTGGGTGTGCTGCAGTATTTAGCTGCTCCGGCCATCTGCGTCACCCACTTGACCGCTCTCCTGCATTGCTACATCATTTCCGAAAGTTGTAACACCCTTCGAGGGTCGATCGCAAGATGCCTTGCTTTAAGGGCCTTGCGGTCAGTATCCACACGCCTGATGGACCGATTTCCGAATTTTCCATCCAGAAGCAAACTCGCGCATCCCGCATCACAACGTACATACCAGTACCACCAGCAAAGGTCCCGTCCGACTCTACAACCGGCCTCCCGGAACAGTCGACCTTCGCAATCTCAATCACACTGCTGACGCCAGGACTAAACATACCGTATTCGACTCCTAAACCAACACCCGAGGACCCATACCCACAACCACGATTCGTAGGCGGATTGCCTGGACTGACGAGCAATGGAAGCAAGACTGCTATGACCCCGCCTTACATTCCTAGAACTACCAGCCCGAATGAGACTATTGCAGCATACATCTACTTCGACGGCCGTCAGAAAGAGGAGGTCGCAACGCTACTACGGCGCGGTGAAGAAACATGGGTAAACTCCAGGTGGGTCGGAGTCCCGGAATCGGAAGGTGGCGGTCTTGCTGAACGCGAATTCTTGTTTCGAGAAGTCGGCTTGGAGAGGTGGTTGAACGGATTGGACTTGGAAGGTGGCAAGCACAAAGCTGAGCGAATCGAACGACGCCAAAGGAGGTTGGAGAAGAAGCGCAGGAAGCAAGCTGCGTTACAGGACAGTGATGATTCGGATGGTGACAGCAAACAAAAACGGTCAACCAAGAATGATGTCCTCGCTTACGGAGGAGTTGGCGGTTCACCGGTTCAAGACATCCCGGATGACGCTGGATTCTTCTCGACCGATTCCGACTCTGGAGACGAGCCTCCTGAGGCCGAGGCCGCCGGTCAAATCAAAGTTGCGTTGTATCGCGTACTCGCTAGTGGTGAGGTCAAACGCGGTGAATACTCTCCGCAATTTGACGCGCATGAGGACGAAGATGGCATGGAACAGGATCAGAACAACGAAGACATTGATCATACAACAAGCTTCGCCAAGCCCAAAACATTGGATCCAAAGTCGATCAGTACGCAAACTGTAACCGGGCTAGATCCGCCAGAGACACCGTATGCTGTGTTCACATTTTTCTACCGTGGCGAAAAACAGCTTCAAAAGATGGGCATTCTTCCTACCCCAGAAGTGAACAACACCGCCAAGGCGACCAAGTCAAGACCAGGGCCTGACTATTCCAAGTTTGGGCCTTTGAAGACCCATGGCACTATCGGGTACTCTGGCTACCGTGATACCGGCGATGATAAACGCAAAGCGAAGCGGAAAGACAAGTCTGCCGACACTATGGATAGTGACGATGACGATGACGAAGCGCGCTTACCCAAGACGATCGAGGAGAGCGAATCGAAACAAGACGACGGTCTACACTTATCACCAGAGGACGCAAGGCGGCAAGGAGAAATTGCAGACGGAGTGCAAAAGATCAAGGTAAGCACTTTTGTGGAAAGATTCCCCTATTGGAGGTTGACATTTTGATTGCACAGTTGAAAAGAGCACATTCTGCAGAGCCCGAGAATGACCCCGCAACGATCCGCAAATCTCCTCACCTAAAGACTGAGGAATCTCGCGCCGGCACTCCTCAATCTGCAAATTCAACCTCCGTAATGGCAGGTACACCTCCGGAGTCGGCACCCGTTCTTCCCGAGACCAGCGATACTATCAGCAGCCCATTCAAGCGTCATAGAGCAAGCGTGGCCGGGCTCAACGGGTCCTTTGGCGGCAGTCACAAACCGAGCATGTCGCCAGGACTCAGTGCTCTGACGACTTCCACCGATGCAAGCCAGGATGCGGAGGCTGGCGTACTGCCGAACCTCAACGGCTTCACCGGTGTAAAAAATGAGCAACCTCTGCCCGGCCTGAAGCCATTTCCCGGACCTGAAGCGTTCAGCAGCATCAATGCTCCAAATTCCACGTCGAATGGAAATGACTCTACGGGTGTCACACAGTCCGGATTTACGCCGGGACCATCGCTTCTGCCCCCTGTGAGTCTGAAGACAGAAGAGAACGAGGAGCTATGATAGGGACTCCTGGTTTGTCAACACTATATCACTCTCTGAGTTCGAGCGACGTAACAATACATTTCGCCCGAAGTATTGTTGTCCGCGACAGTGAGCCCTTCAGCAATCCCGATGACCTTCCTCCCAGACTCTTGTTGGGCCACGCGGCTTGTTTAGCGTCGAGAGATCCGCCAAAAACGCCAATCGGTCGTTGTGGTCGACTCTGGCGCAAATACCAAGAACCACTTGTTTTGTTGCTTCGATGTGCGCCTGGTGGCTATCGCCTTATTGTAAACAGCCCAGATGTCATCAAGCTGTGCTCACATCTTCACATCTGGGACGATGTCTCAATCTGAGGACCCAGGCCGAAAAACTGCTCTCTTTTGTACGAATGATCTGCCAACGAGCGCTGGAGACGGTAGAGGAGGTGGCCATTGTGCCTAAGCTGCATTTCTGCTCGATAGCGTTCATCCTTTGGCAGAGAAAGTAGTCAGATTGCGGCATGTTGATATGATTCATGACGGGTCAACTCGGCGACAATTTGAGACTCGGGAAAATCCACTTCTTTCCAAGGCTTTCTTTCACGCTCCCTATTTGGGCGGGCGCTTCTTCATCAGTGGCGTTGGACGCGCACGTTTCGGGCAAATGGAAATAGATACGAGTCACTTCGCAATCCTCTCTGCCGGTATTATTCACAGCGACATTAAATTTACGTGTTGAAACGCGATACCCGATCATCTAAGGCTAATTGATGACGACCGCGGCGCCGATAGTCGAGTGAATTCGTAACGGCTTGCAGAATTGAGTCTCCATTTTTCTCGAGAAACTAGGTCCAGTGCACCATCCCGTGTGTGCCTCCACCGATAATAGCATGCCGTCTGCATCAAATTTGACGAGCCTCGTGGCCAATGTCTTAACACGAGGCTTTGGGACTTTACCCGTTGCGTTGTCGCCGCGTCCACCGGAGTCTAGATTCGTTGACCAGACGCGGCAACTTGTGACGAGCATGACCTCGAAAAGGAGGCTCGTATTCCACAATGTGACCAAGTTCAATGCATTGTCGTTAGTGGAGTCTCACGCCAGGGCGTTCGTGAGGCTGGCACCGAAGCCAATGGCACCGAAGCTTGACTTTCCATAGAACACAATCAATGGGACATTGGGATTAGGCTGACAGGCAAAGGACGGCCTTCGTCTCGAGGAACTGTCCCGCGACATTGTACCATTGTTTATTTCCGAGACCTGTAGAACGGCGCATGCATCCGAGCCATCATTATTAGGACAGTGGAGCAACCAAGCTTCGTTTCTCCCTCATAGTCCGACGCCAAAGCTTAAAATGTCTCCATAGATTTACCCGGCCGGATCAGCCGGGTAAGCATGCACGTACACGTCTACAGTACGAATACCATATACCCAATGGTGGGAGCTGGACCACGACGACTCATCTTTTCCACCTGGCGCTTCGTCATGTTTCCGACGGAGCCTTCACTTACCGAAGGTCCGGACGGAAGGATGTGAATGCACAACGACAATGCAAGCAGAAACGTAAAAACGTAACGACACCGCTCTTGTGGGAAACGTCAGAGCGTAAACATGCATCAGAGCAACGCGCTTACAATTGCGAGATCTCAGACGGGTAGACAGATCGGCATTTCCCATGGAGGCCCTGCTTGACCAGAAACAGCATCACATGCACCCCTCATTTGCCCACCAACGAAACTCACCATTCACGCCATTTTCCTTAGTTTATAGTCTGAACATGGACAAGCACGACAAGCTTTTATCCAAGAAGGCGGTCGTTCAAAGGCAGTGCCCTTCAGCTCAAGCTTCCCGCCCATCAAATCTCTGGTGCATTCGAGCCGAAGTTGAACCAGTGCCTCCCGGAGATGCCATCCGACCTGACCTCGTGCATTGTACATTTTCCCCCGTAGCTGGACGAAATGGCGAAGTGCACGATATGACCCATCCATGTGCTCGTTCGTACTTTTGCGGAAAACGTATAAGATCTGCCGCTCGCTCGCATGCACGTTCGAACGCGATCTTCGTAGTGCTTACCCACAGCGACAAATTTTGGTGACGGAACTACAAAGAAGGTTTTGATGATCGCGAACTTTTTGCCTCTCTATCTTGTTCGCGATATCTCCGTTTCTTCTACCTCACGTCAGATTGCGTCGTGACGACACAGGTCCTTAGGTGCTGACCTGTCCTTGGTCTCCTGTTGGAAGTATCAGACCAGACATTCTTCCTGCGAGTCTTTCGCGCTGCCCGTCCGCTTCCTGCCCCAATCGTCCTGTCAGCTCGCCCGAGAGAAATAGACAAGCTCAAGATGTCGTCCAATCTCGACAAGGGGCAGCCCGAGATCCAGCATCACTTCGAAAGAGTGCTGTCCGACGACGAGAAGAACATGGATCACGTCCCCATACCAAGCGAAGCCGAGAAGCAGGCATTGATCCGCAAACTTGACTGGCATCTTCTCCCACTCCTCTTCTTCCTCTATTCCCTTTCTGTGCTCGACCGGAGCAATTTGGGAAATGCTAAGCTCGCCGGCATGGAGAACGACATCGACCTCTCAGGCAACCGATACTCGCTCCTCGGCACAGTCTTCTACATCGCGTACATTCTCTTCCAATGGACGATTGCAGGGTGGAAGCAATTCAAGCCCCACCAGTGGTGTGCCTTGACGGTGCTGTTCTGGGGCACGATCGCGACGGTCCAGGCGGCCACGAGCAGCTGGGCGGGTCTGATCGTCTGTCGTTTCCTGTTGGGTATCGCGGAGGCCATGTTTGGGCCCGGTGTGCCGCTATACTTGACATTCTTCTATCCGCGGGAGAAAGTGGGCTTCCGACACGGAGTGTTTATATCTGGAGCGGCCATGGCAAATGCTTACGGTAGCGCATTGGCATGTGAGTTGATTGGCCCATCTTCTGCGTTCTTAACAAAATGTTTTGAGAAACCCCCCCCAGGAAGCGGCTTGAAGCTGACTGTATAAAACTCACAGATGGCATTAGCCAAATCCGCGGAGCCCTCGCGCCGTGGCGTATCTTGTTCCTGATCGAAGGTCTGCCTACTTGCGTCGTGGCGATCCTGGCATGGTACTACATCCCAGACAGCATCACCAATGCGCGTTTCCTCAACGAACGACAACGTCAAGTTGCGCTTCACATGGTGGGCCAGAACCAGAAGACCGATGCCGGTGATACGAAAGGCGAGCGTGGTGTGCGCTTTGGCGAGTTCCTCGCGGCATTCAGGGACCCGAAGTCGTTCATTCCAGGTCTGATGTACTTCTGCTGGTAAGAATCGCGCCCCCTTGCCAACTATTGAGTGCCTCCCAAATCTTGCTCCCCGAAGATGAGACAGAAAGGCGATGAACGCGGACTTGTAGGTGCTGACTATGTTTCCAGCAACGTCTCTTTCGCCTCGCTCCCATTGTTTCTCCCGACCATCATCTCCGAAATGGGAGCCTTCTCCCAAATTCAATCGAACGGCCTTTCAGCCCCTCCCTACCTCCTCTGCTTCTTCGTCATCATCCTCTTCTGCTGGCTGTCTGATCAATACAGGATGCGCGGTCCGTTTGTCGCCCTGGCCGCTTCGCTCGCGGCGATCGGCTTCATCATCAACGCGACGACCACGACGGCCGCGCCGCGGTATTTCTCAACGTTTTTGTCCGTGTTGATTTTCGCATCGGTCGCGCTGCTTTTGGCGTGGACGGCGAATATCCACGCGAGCGATAGTAAGCGATCGGGAGGATATGTGATTTTGGGATTCATCGGGCAGTGTGGGCCGTTGTTAGGTCAGTGCCATCTTCACTTTCGCTTCTTCCTCACCTTCCGGTGATGCAGGGAAAGAGAGAGAGAGAGCGCGCGCCATGCGCAAACCTCTATCTTCGGCACATGCCTTGCTCTCTGTATTTCCCACGATGCATTAACAACAGCACAAAACCTGCCGTGTGGATGCGTACGACGAAACAAGCGAAAAAGCTGACGAACAATTCAAAACAGGCACCAACGTCTTCCCCTCTACCGACAAACCATACTACCGTGCCGGTCTGTGGGTTTGCGCCGCCACCTGTTTGGTAGTGGTGGCATTGAGCATCACGCTGAGTGTCTGGATTTACCGCGAGAACCGCCGCCTCGATCGCGAAGAGACGGAAATTGTCGAACAGGATCCCAAGGGTGGAGATGACGTGCAGCAGAGGCATCGATGCATGTGGTAGGATCGCACTTCTGTAGGAGCTCAGTCCCAAATACTATTGATTTCGCGGACGAGATGAAAATGTCCACGATTGGCGAGCTGTACTCGTGTGTGGACCCGTCACGGCTGATGTGCGATATACCGGTGCGCAACAGGATGACATCGACAGTAATGTTCTCGGGAATATTCGGCGTCTCACACTCGACAAAACATGCTTACGACCTCGTCAAAAAGTGATAATAATGATTCATGTTGGTTCGTTGGAATGTTCTCATATTTGCTCAAAATCGCTCCGATGCCAACCCTTCAACCAGTCCCCATAAGCGCGGAAACCCCCACTCGGCTGCGTCACTTGAATATACTTAAAGGATGCAGAGTTTCCCGATTTCCACTATGCAATGAAGCCCATCATTCTTGAAAAAGGGTTCTTGAGTTGTCGATGACAGTTGATGATGACGATTGAAGGGCCGAGTCGCTCATTTAGAGGGAGTTGTCATGAGAGACATTTCTGGAATGAGTATTAGATATTCGTGGTCTTCATCATCGGTCAAAGATGGGTGGTAGTAACATACAGCAGGAGCAGGAGCCCGAGGCGCAGGAGCAGGAGCTGCCGCAAGAGCAAGAGGAGTTTCCGCAGCCAGACATGTTGATGTTTGGTTTGAGTGGGTTGGAAGTGGTTGGAGTGGTGTTGTGGTATTGAGGGCTTGTTGATTGATTGATGATTAAAACAGGAACTGTGTCAGGAAGATGCAAGCACTTATATATGCTTTGCTCAGCCTCCCACGACACGTATCTGTCCCTTTCTGGACAAAGCTGATTGTCTGATCAATCATCAGCAGGTTGTTCGCCTATGCGAAGAGTGAGCGTCTCACGTGCACACATCCCGTGCCTCGCGCCAGGCCCCAGACGATAGCTTCGGAGGCCCTGCAGCCGCATGATTTCACTATACTACGACCAATGCTAGCGATACTACATGTGGGTCTAGTTGATTGACATGGCCGACGATCATCACCGAGGCGAATTGCCCTTGATTTCCGGTTGAGTGATTTGTGCTGGTGGCGAAACATCTCGGCCTCACGGTGTTGGCGGCGGCGCGGGCGGGAAGAGGTTCACGATGCCACATGCCACACGGCGCTAGTGGAACGCGGGCAATGGCAGAGTTTGGCTGCAATGCAACAGTGATCGGACTGTTGATCGCGCAGCAATCCCACGACACACGTGCAACGACGACATGATCGATATTGCAAATTCCGGATTGAGTCCCGCTGAGGACATCCAAGCTCTAAGGTTCGTCCTAGATAGGAATTGGTTCGCCGCATGCCAGCGCCTTCATCATGCGCAGCATAAGGCACCGATGTTAAGACCGGTAGAGGGAAAGGTTGAAGTGATCTATCACGCGATTCGCGGGCTACAGGAACCATATTGCTCGTAGCGCCGGTCAGCCGAATTCATGAAAGAGTGTCAGACGCGCAGGGTATTGAGGATATCGCACACATGAGATCTGCCACCGATAATGACCCGATTGGACGATGCTGCTTCTTTCTACTCACGAAAAGGCCGATAGGCGCTTTTTCTGCATTGATATGTATAGCCTACATGGGCCAGTACAGTCGTACAAGTGATTCCTGTAATAAGCTCCTATAGCCGAATGAAAGCGGTTTCGCACATTGATCTGATTACAGACGGCGTCCAAACCCGATAGCTGGCCCCGTGGCTTGATTGCCTGCATTGGTGACTTGACCCCGACAACTAAGACCGGAATCTATGAGGCGACTTGTGCGCGATAAGTCAAGGGCGTGTCCAAACCATGGGACTCGGACAAGCGGGCCCAGGCGTTGAGCGATGTCGTGATCACGGAGGATGCGTGGAGGTGGACACCTAGAACCCTTGATTTCTCATCTGCTGGGGTCTTTGAGGGCGAGCTTGGAAGTGCAGCAATGGAGATTTTCGGGTTGGATATGACGAACTGAGCCGTTTGTGCTGATTCTATGGGTGGGTGGGTGTGTGTGTCCGCGGATGATTTGCTGGTGAGAGTTTGTCGTTCGATGAGGGTTGCTGAGAATGAGGTTTGTACAATCTCAAGGTGGGGCAAATTTCTGTCGTGGAGTAGGTGGGGGATGGAGGCAGCCACGCGGCGTGAGTGGCTCGCTCCTTCCATGTTCAGGCAAATAATGGACGAGTCGACGATACACGCGATTGCGCCTCGAACGTACCTTTGATTGTTTGATCATGTTGTGCCCAAATTCAGCAGGAGCAAACATCAGAACCTGCCCAGGTGGTGTACAATTCACAGCATATCTCGGGCTGTGATGCACATCACATGCAAAACATGCATCCTCCCCTTATGAGAAGACACAACGCATTGTGCTGGACTGAGGGCAAGAATTGCAGATTCCGATTCTGGCGAAGGTCTGCTTTCGATTCCATGGTACATTATTATTATCATCATCGCCGGTGTTCTCCGCCAAGCATATGATTCGAAGGCGAGGAGACCCCACACTTTCCATTCGGTGTGTCAGGTAAGCACGCGCGCGTGGGTTGTACTGTTCCAGCTTTACTTTTCGTTTATTGTGTGCAGGTGGTGTTGTTTCCATCATCGCTTGTTCATCACTGGGCGATGCAAGGTTGCCGAGAGCGCGATTTGTGCCGGCTGCATGTGAAGCTTCTTGATGCGATCGTGGGTTGCTGCGTCGCCTTGCCGAGTTCAGATGATATGCCGTAACATTTTCCATACGTGCCGTGGGTCATGTTGCATTGAATATCATCACACGAGACAAGCCACCGCAGAAATTTGGCAGGTCCTGTGAAATGCAAAGGCCAGCAGAGGATCTGTGATGCGTGAAATACGCGGTCAAGGGCCATTGGAGAAGTCTTCCGGGAGAGAGATGAAAAGAAAGAGAACATCATGGGGTTTTCCAGTTCCACGTTTCGATGATCGAGTTGTTAAATGTCCATTGCCATGCCATCAAGGTCAGATCTTTGCATCTCTATCCGGCGCATCGCTTCGACTACTTCGCTGCGAACCGCGCTGCCATATGCGAACCATCGATAGCATATATCCGAATCGCCGCTGAGTGCACATGTGACCAATGCCCGTTTTGGGCACCCATTACAGTGTAGAGAAAACTGGACGCGTTTCTGAACGTGTTATGTAAGGCGTGCTCGGTGGAGCTTCAAAATTGAGTTCAGACAATATCAATAACCGTTTGGTCTACACAATCGCTCTTCGTTTCTCACATCATAAGCCCCACAGCATTATCGGCATGCCGCATACACCACTGCATAGCATCCATCAATTGCAAAACAATCAGAAAAGGAAAGGTGTGTCGTCCCGTAAATCTCGACCGTATCCCACCTGGTGGTATCATTTAATGCGCCAATAGTGCAATGCAGAAGAAAGGAAAAGAGCCAAGGAAAGTTAAAGAATGTTCGTGAAAACGAGAAGAAAGGGAGATATTGGCAGCGTGCCAAACTCTTGTCGCCTGCGATCAGAGTTTTGTTGCGAGATGACTCACGCCGACCACCACACCCGCCGTGACCTTGAAACTTGTCTGCAGGACAAGTATCGCCGCCTTGACCGACACACCGAGCACAGCGATCGTACCGCGAGCCAGTAAGGGCAATTTTACCTCTTCTGCGCCCACGAAGCCGGCCGTCTCTAAAGCATGGGACTTTTCCCTGCCTTTCAGGCTATCCTTCTTCTTAGATTTGTCTTTTCGTGACTTTGTCGAGAAGTGGGATTCGCGCTTGGCCAGAGACTTTCGACTGCCGACAGGCTGGATGGGCGTTTTTGGTGGGGCCTCAAAGACCAGAGATTCTGCGACCAGCGCGTCATTCTCGATCGCGGCGACTGCGAAAAGGGCAGAGACGACCGTATCGGGGAGGTACTGGTTGCCCAACGCGACCAGGCCTGGGATATCAAGGACACACGCATCCCGCGCAAAGTCAAGGAATGCGAGGTTCAAAGTGCCTGCAGCAATCGCAGCCGGAGTAGCCGAGGGGTGATGCAAGCTGATCTTGGCTTTTGGCATAAAGGCGGATACGCCGGATGAAGATTTCGTCACCTCGATTGAAAAGTCGCCGAGCGTAGGGTGGCCGAGGGTGTATGAGGCAACCACGACACCCGAGGGCTGATCGCTTCTGCGGGCCTTTCGGAACAACGTGCATGCGTGGCGACGGTGGACATTTGCAAGTGCTTGTTCCTGGAGGGATGCGAGGTTTGGTGCTTCAGCTCCCACGCTATGCGCAAGCTGTTCCATAGCATGTACAGCAGCAGGATGCGGAAAGATCTCGGTGGCCATCAGTCCGCCAGGCCCTGCTGACGAAGCATGTGGAAGTGTGATTTGCGCAACCGGCATTGCCATGGCTGCTTTGGGTCGGTGTCGGCGGACCGCAAGATCCGTGTCCATATCATACACAATCTGAGACTGCGAGACTCCTATGGCCAATGCAGGAGTCTGACCAATCGACCGAGCCTGAGGTTGAACGAGATTGAACTGCACTTTGCGCGCAGCAGTCGGGAATTCTCCAGCAGCTGCTTTCCAGAGACATTCAAAATCCGCATGCTGAGCAGCTGGGATGTGTTCGTACCCCTCCACAAGACCCACCGCGGAATCGTATTGACGAAGTGTTTTCTTTTCGTCCATCTGTGGAGCTTGAGCCCGAGGTGTGTCCTGATATAATGGTGCAACGGCGGATTGTGTCGGGTAATAGTTCTGTTGGGTCAAAGCCTTTCCATGGTCATATTGTGGGAACATAGAACGCATGGGAACGCATTCGTCAGCTCTCTGGAAGATAGGAGGCTTTGCTGTGCTGTTAGATCTGGTCATTGCAGGACTGGACGCCCGCGAGGTGACATGAGGTGGACGGCTTGGCGAATGCAGCGTTGTGAATGGCTGTTCCAGCTGGCTATGGTCAAGCAAAGGAGACAGTGGACCTTGTCGGACCGTGTTGCTAGGCGATGCAACTTCGCTGCGTGAGGGCGATGATTCTGACCAACGCGAGGAAGCTGAATCTTGTTTGTGCATGGCCACCGATCCGGAGACAGGCGGCGTAGGCGTTCCGTGAATAGGTTTGTTCAACTGTGATGTATTGGCGACATTGCGGATATCATTTGACGAGAATCTAGAACCGATGGACGACTCAGAAGGCCTCTTGAGAATGCCCTTCTTAGGAGCTGGAGCTTGACTCGATGGCTTAATGTCATTGCCTGGTGCTGGGCTTTTGACCTCCTGAGACAGTTGTGCCGGCTTCTCTGCAGAGCTGTTGTTCGTCGGGATCGAAGCATTCAAATCTGATGGAGACTGAAGCTTTGGCGATGATTCATTGCCCGACTTTGCGCTCTGGCTGGAAACTGCTCGGCGCTCGTCTGAAGATCCATTTTTTCTTATGCTAGCCGCTCGGCTTGGAGGTCGGGATGTAGTAGGAGCAGGGAAGAGGGAAAGCTGGCCCGGTGCCATTGGACGAGATCACGTCCAAACAGAGAAATCGCAAGATGTAAGGAGTGTATGTTTTATCGCTCGTGTAGGATCGCGAGGCAACGTACAAGTGAAGATGGAAGCGAAATCTCAATGTATCACGAATTGCTGCAGATCACGAACAAATACAAACGAGACCCATTGCGAGACCTACTGGATGGCCTCATATATAATTGCCATGCAGACGCCCGACAATCAGTGTCAGAACGCGAACTCAGAAATCGATAGCGCCACAACCCAACTGGGACATGTCTTCGCGCCGAAATCTGATTCTGTAATGAGAGGAATCTTATGGAGGACAAGCCTGATGCTGACAGTGGTGCATCGCAAGACTGGCTTGACGAATCGATTTCGTTTCCGCCGTCTCTTGTGATAGAGCTATCCGACCTCTCGCAGGCCTCTTTTAGCGCCAGCAATTTTAAGCGCCGCCCAGCTTTGTGATGGATCAGCAGCCAACCAGCTGTCGTCCTGGCCAAATCCCCAGCAAGGCATGGCAGAGAACATCTTGGTCGGCATTCTGGTTGACATGCGCTCGAGCGTCATCATAAAATCGTCGAGGAATGATGTCGTGGCCATTGAAGGCCTCGTGGTTAGTCAGATGTATGCTTCAGCGTCTGATTCGCACTCCTTGTTCCAGACTGCAGCTTCAACGCGCAATCACGTGAGATGGCTCAATTAGTCCATCCAATCTGATTCCAAGGTCAGCACCTTTTCCCAACAATGTTCGATGATACTGTTCTGAAAATGGCCCACTCAGCATAGCCAGGTCTTTACGAAAAATACTTGATGTCGATAATGTGATTGCTCAGGGCTGCCATGAAACAAGAATTGCGAGTCCGCCGGCAACTGCACTTAGCGATACTACATAAACTCTAACCAACCTCTGGCATCAAGGCTGCCTCACCCCGCCGTATGAAGCGAGTGTATGTTGTAAATGACGGGCGCCCGGCCAAGGTGATAAAACCATGATATCGGAGCGCATGCCGACAGACGTGTGCATCAAACCGATTACCACGAAATTGATGATCAACATGAGAGTCATATTGCCGTAGGAGATTGTTCTGCCAGCACACTGCATCCTAAACCCTTGGGATTTGACGTCCGAATGCTGATCCCGGCCAGGACGGAACCGGAAGTACTTGGTCGGCCTTGACCGGTCCATTTCTATGGCGTTTTCGTTGCGCGCGCCGGCGTCCAGCTCCGCCTGACCTCTCTCGATGTCTATCCTGCTATCAGCCACTGCTCCTCACTCTTATCAGCCCACTTGCAGAACACTGAGATGCTGTCAAGCCATAGCACACCACATGTCGTGTGATGGATTTCACCAATCGGAGTTGCCAAGTCTGTTCGAGTGTACCATGTATGTGCTGGAACGTACACTCGCAGGGGGTGCGGCCTCCTATACTGCATGACTCCAAAAGGAGAGGACCAATCTTGACAAACAATTGTCTTCTTGTGCGCGGTGTCTCTTTGACCATATAGCTGCGCAGCATCCTCGCATTTGCTTGACCGGTCTACTCTTGCACATAATAGCTGTATCGACGCTCCAGAGGCGTGTCACACCAGCTTATCATCCGAGTAACGCTGGACTCACTTCTCCATCAAACCGGCGCATCAAGTCAATCACAAGCATGCCGGACTCCAGACGCATTCACCAGCTTCAGCTTGAGTTGGCCAACCTGAAACGTCATCGCGACCACGTGCGGCAGATCCATGCCGACCGTTTTACCCCGGTCGCCCGCGAGAACATCGTTTCAGACTGCAGGGATGCTGATAGCCGTCTTCGGGAGTTGAACTCGCAATTGCACCAATACTCAGAGCAGCGACGCCTTAGCCGCGACGAGCGACACAGGCACCAACTACACGACCGGATTGAAGGGACTAAAAGAAATATCCAAACCATGAGGCACAACCTTGAAAGGCGCAAGCAGCGTTTGGCGGACCATGACGAGCATCGGCGCAAGAACGAAGCAGATCAGCATCAAACTAGAATGAAGATCGATAGGAAACAGGAGGAGCTCAACCATGTTCTGCGCCAGCGCTAGTCAAGATGGTTGAGATAGTATGACCTCTCATACATGACTTTTGCTGGAGCTGGCTCTCTAGCTGTAGCCAAAGAGCTTTTAACCATGAATCCGAGAATCTTCAAAAGCCACCTTGCGTAATGGGATCATGAATGGAAACAAGGCCAGCACCACAAGGACATTTACGCCTCGAGAGGACATTGCCGACTGTTCGAATATAAATATGAATGTTATGGGATATGTCTTGTTACGCCTGCAATGTAGAGTTATGTTTCATTTCGAGGCAACGATGAATACTGTCTTCAAATATTTCCCTGTTCCCGAGAAAGGCATAGAAACGTGTTTTCGAGTGCGGAAAACCTTGGAATGTTGACTGTGGTTCTTCCAGCCAGCCAGGGCGGTGACGTTGGTCATTCGGTGCGCACTATGCAGCTAGAAGGAACCATGGAAGCTTCGAACCTTTGGCCGCACACAGCGTTTGGCACGCCTGGAACACGTTCACCGAGGCATAAGACCACATTCCATGTCTTTGCGCGAGTGAGCGCCCTCGTCGCGAGACCATACTGCAGATTGCAACATGCGCGGTTTCTATTGAAAAAGTTCTTCGATATCACCATCTGACGTTCAACCTCACCATGGTCTCATTCTGGCCTTTCGGCGGGGACGATAACAGCGCCGCGTCTTTCGAAAAGGCTCTCAGCCAGCTATCAGAAAAGATCACTACCGCCACAGCGCGCAATGCACGTTTCAAACACCGACAGCGCAAGTACAAGGCCCTCTGGACTATCTACACCGTCTTCGGATACATCTTGATCGATATCATCCTCATTCTCGTCACGCGCTGGGAGAATTGGGGTCCTCTGTCATGGACCGTCGTGTCTGGCGGGCCTCTAGGCATCTACATCGTGCGCAGGATACTGCACGCTTACTACGATAGTCGTTTAACAGCTGGCCAAGAGCATCTCGGCGATCTTGTCAAGCAGCGAGACGAGACATTGGAGAAACTCAAAGCGACCACAAAATACGACAGCACGCAGATATTGCTCGAGAAATATGGTGGTTCGCCCAGTTCTAAGAGAGCTGAGTCTTCCAGCAACCTTCCAAGAAAGAGGCAGAAGTCGGACAATGGTGCGGCAATACAAAGAGCGCCAGTGAATCAGCAGCCTGCGAGGACTGGCATGCCTCCACCTGCTACTGCAAACATTCAAGCTTCACCAATTCCGCGCCAGCCGCAGGACTCGACGCGACCATTGAGCTGGGCTGGCGGTCCCAACCCACCTCCACAGCAAGCAGGGCTCGCCAGTGCCAATGCACCCGGCGAAGAGTTTGCTCCGAATGCGTTTGCAAGCTCTACACGTCCACCCATGCTCTCGGCTCCCTCGCAACAATATGCAGTGACCGGACCAAAGTGGTACGATCGCATCATGGATGTCATTCTCGGCGATGACGAAACGCAAGCCAAGAATCGTTTGGTTCTAATTTGCTCCAATTGTCGACTTGTAAACGGCCAGGCACCACCGGGATCGCGAACAGAGGAGGATGTTGGGAAATGGAGATGCGGCGAATGCAAAACGTGGAATGGAGTGGAGAGTGAGGAGAAGAGAGTGCTCAAACACGCTGCACAGCGGGAACTGGAGCCACAGCCAATTCGCCGTGCAGCGACAGACCTCGGCGCCGGGACACGATCGCTTGGCGAGGACTTTGAACATGTCGAAGAGGAGACCGATTCGGATGAGGTCGGTCAAGCTGAAGAGGCGAAAGGCGGCGATGATGCTCCACCGGCCAAATCGACACGTAGCGCCTCACGGCCGAAGAGGAAAACATGATGCTGGGCAGTCATTGCATACTGATGACTGCACTGTTACATGCATACCATTACATGGCATATTTTCATTATGATCGGGAAAAATGTATGGGGTATATTAGCGTAGTGTAGACTCACAATTTTTCTCATTTCTCTGCCAACAAATCAATGGACCACTTCGAACTATGCTTGCCCACAGCGCTTCGCTTGAGACACTGCATCACAGCTTGGAGCCCCCCTTTCTACGCACGAACGCCTTGATGGCCTCGACACCTGCAACCGCGACCTCGCTATCCTGTGCTGGTGTCCCAGTGCTCACTCCAATCGCACCAACGACTACCCCGTCGATCACAATCGGCACGCCGCCGCCGATGAGTGTGAACCTGAAGAAAAATGAGAATGGAAGTGGTAGATAAATCGAACTTCGATCTCACCTTCCGCCATTGCTGTTGTGAATGCCATATGCGACACCACCGGGCACGAAGTTTTTACCCGTGTCTCCGGTCGTATATAGTGCTGTGGGCATGCGGTGACCCGCGGCAGTGAACGCCTTGTTGATGGCGATATCGATCGAAGTCAACTTGGCATTGGGCATGCGTACAAAGTGAACGAGATGGAGGGTTGCGTCGACGAGGGCAATGTTGAAGTCTTGCGCCAAGTGATGATCAGTGGTTCGAATCATTCGCCTCTAGAAAATTCACGCAAAACTCTTGCCATTCGCTATTGCACAGGCATGAATGCTCAATTCTAAAAATATGACATACCTATTCCGAGGGATTTGGCTTTCTCTTGAGATGCAGCGGATGCGACCTGCGCCGCCTCCAGCGAAAGCATAGGAACACTGCGTGTCGCCATTGTGCTTTGATCTCACGATCAGATTGTTTTCAAGTCTTCGGTGAGGATGGTCTTATATGTTTGTAATCCGAAGATCGGTGAACAGACGAACTCTATGCTTCAACAACAAATTGTAGCTTCGATCGATGACCTCGGCAACCCTAGATGGTCTTGCCGTCAAAAGCCGTTCATAATGTGACAACGTCTTCGAGCTCAAGGACACCTGGGCAAGAACAGTAGGTCTTGCGAACGTCCATGTGCAGATGGCGTTCTACAGATTCCGGAACACTATGTAGAGTGAGGACTTGTTCGATGCCTGCAAACGGAAGGATGGCAAAGTGTTCCAACGACAGTCTCTCATACAGGTTTTGCATCTCCGCTTGAAGAGGTGAGTAAAGTCTGGAAAAATGACCGGCTCGCTGAAATGCGGACTCTGCAGTCGAGCATCATCCTGGCCAAATGTCAACCACGACTTTTAGGTCATGAGAAACAGAGAAAATGCGTTGTCTGTCCGAACATGGCGCAGTTCCAACATGACCTGCAGCTTCAGCAAGTGCAACGATGGGCAGAACATGGCTGTTGTTTTCACCATGGGGCTCCAAATTACGTCGAACACTCGTCATCGTCGTTCAATGCGTCCCCCACCAGTGTCGCGTCACACACGACACGGTGGATACGCTGCCCCTCCGCGTCGTTTGCTCACTCATATTTTATGAGAATTCGCGTCTCACATCTTCAATATCATTCCATCACCACATACTGCAGTAACATATCCTCATATCAAGTCAACCCAACTCACGAAAGTAAGCCACGCGCTCGCAATCACGTTCCATCGAAGAACCATGAGCATGTCCTGGCTTCTCTGGTTCTGAGGTATTATGGAACACGAATTTGCCTGTTCTGACAAGACATAGCTTGTAGCTTTCAAATCCACTTACCATCAGCCATGTCTGCACCCAACGCTGGTCGTCAATCGCCTGAGCCTGAGAAGTCATCAACCGCTCAGGTCGGAAATCCCTCAAAGGACGATGCCAAGCACGAGTCCAACCCAAGCGAGAACACGTCCGCACAAGACAGCAAGGATCAATTGAAGGGTCTGCCCAGCAACCCCACCGGCGCCCTGAAGGAGCATTCAGAGGCCACGACCAGCAAATAGAGCGTCGATGAATTCAAACACTTGTACTTGACGAGGGCGGTGCAAGTGCAACTGCTGATATGTGAAGCCTGTGCTGAAGCGCGCTTGTGCCAGGATAGCCATCAATGTGGCGCTGGACTTGCAGTGCTTATGGCTCGTTGGCGATAACCGTTTGAGGCTCAGCGAGGGCTGGCAGCATATCTGCGAGGTCGCAACTCAATGATGTATCAATGGCACACATAGCCCTAAACCATGATGATGAAAGTCTTTTGCGACAATGCAGAGCTGCCTCATCCCAGCCCCCTTCCTCGACCTCTGACACTCGCCGTTCTGGTGTGACTGCTAGCACTGGCGCCTCTAGCACCGATAGTTCCTCTACCACGTCCAAACGAATTTGCACTAGCCGTTGACCCGCGTGTCGAACTCGTTGTTCCCCTGACACTCCTGCTGCGTGAAATCCCGCGACTGGACGTGGGTGTCGCTGCAGCAATTGCCCGTTGTCGCTCTTCCTCCTCCGCTCGCCGTTGAGCTTCCTCGCGTTTCCGCTGCTCCTCGGCCGCCCGCCGCTGAGCATCGTGTTGTCGCCGTATATCCTCGTTCTCGATATCCTCCAAATCTTGGGTAGCACCTTTCCATTGGGGATTGAGGATGAGGCGCTGATTGTGCTCAGTCTGGCTAAGGATGCGTGTCCAAGTTCCCAATAGAGTAGAGGCATTGTTCACAGTTGAATGCACACTGTTCATGTTGCCTTTTGCTTTCTGCAAACTTGCTGTGACACCTTCGATTACAGAGTTGACTTCACGAATGCGCTCCAGTTCAGCCTTGAGTTGAGCTTCGCGTGCTAGTTGAATGTCATGCCGTGATTGGAGACGTGCCTGCTGTTTTTGCAAGGTTTGAACAGCTGGGGACTTGGAAGTATGATCAGACGTGGAATCCTCCTGCTTCGGACTTGCGAACAGGTTCTCGTCGACGTCGCTGAGGCGCAATTTTTCCAGATCGAGTGTGCTGCTGAGGCCAGGAGTCTTTGCCATCCTGTCTGATCGCTCGAGGCCTGTGCTGCCCACACTGACGCGCAATAACGCGTCGGTAGCTTTCAGATGCACTCAACGACCGTCGACAATCGATCAATGTTTATCGTCGAGCAATGATGACGTGTTGCGACTTCAGCGGGCACAACACGTGTAACATCAACCAGGGAGAGACCCTGTCACAAGTACATGAAAGAGTTCCAAGGTTGCCGCACTGACAACGCACCTGCCAGCCCCAGGTCTCGTCGCATTTCGGCTTCTCCCTCGCTAAACCTTACGCAGCTCAACCCTTGACCAACCACCGCCTTTATTTGCGCAATTCCCTTTCAGCAACTCCATCAGCAACTGCCATTTATCGCAATATACACAACATATACAATTCGCTCTGCAATTTCTACCGGCGTTCGCATCGACATAGTTTAACAGAACGCGCGACAAAAATCCTGCGACAGCCTTGCAGCTGGCACACTCTGGAGCTACGCTATTCTTTCCACTCTCACTTCTCGACTCGGCGCCTCGCAACCATCCTACAATCATCACGATCACAATACATAATCGCCATTGAGACTGCGCAGCCTTTCCTCAGGGTGGGAAGAAGCGTATCCGACACGCGCCGAATTTGGCGGTCGAGCTGTGCACTTGTGTTACCTGCGCTTAGGCGCCGATAAACAAACAAGCCAACTTGTCGGGCGCGCATTTTGAATCTGTCGAGGAAGGGATCTCCTTGGACCAGGAGCACTTATCAATAATCACAAAAGAATACTGGGCGAAAATCAGGCTCGGTACAGGCAATGGATGGGCCACCAGCGATGTTGCTCAATGGTTCGCCAAACAGCTTTCCCACGATAGGCACCCCAGAGCCGAGCACACCAACGCGATCACCTACAACACCTCCCATGCGTGGAATCAAGCGACCGAATACTCCTCCTGCTCCCGCGCACGGCGCGCTTCTTGAGGAGTATCTACCATATCATTCTATGAGCCCATCTCGCAAGGCGGGGAGCTCATTCGCCTCCGCTGCCACAGACGATACAAATCCTTCGTCTTCTACTGTGAAGTCAACTCCACGTCGTGCTGCTGGCAAACGAGCGCGTTACGAGCATCTCGCATCGCCACCCTGCTCGCCTTTGCGCAAGGCGGACCGCATTACACCGCCCGCTCCCAACACCCCGCGTCGGGCCGTGAACGACACTAACGGCACTGCCGACAATATTCACTTGCGCTCCGACGCCGATCATCCTCATCGTTCTTTGCTCTCTGGAGCAACATATGACGTCTTGGATATGCTGCCGACGCCCTCGAAGACACCGCTTAAGAAGCGCGCAAAGCACTCGGGCTGGGGATTTCAACCCGAGAATCCCAATGATGCCATGCCAAAACCGCGCAAAATCAAAACTGAAATACTCCGTCACCAGTCAGACGAACACGACTTCGGGTTGTACGATGCAAATGCAGATTCGAGCATCGCCAACAATGGGGAAATCGATATTTTTACCGACACAAATGCTCGCGTACCCGAAGTGGATGTGTCTGGCGAAAACCCGTTCATGAGCGCAAGACACAGTGCAACTGCTGCGACAACGCGCCGCTTAACACGCAGCCAGAAAACCGAGGAGCAGCTGGTTGAGGAAGCCAGCATGGAGGAAGCAGTTGCCAGGGGCGAAGGAATGGTTTTTACATTGTAAGTCATCATGCTTTATACAGAAACCTTGCTGCATGCACTAACCGAGTTCCACAGTCGGGGAAAGAAGGTCTTCCGTCCTTACGACGATGCCTCTCATCAGTCCGTCGAGCAGAGTCTCGAGCAGCGAAACTTGCGACGCGCAGCTGGTGTCACCTCTGAACGCCCATTCACACGAAGTCAAATTCAACCCCGTCGGCTTTTTACTTCAGCGACAGATGATGTCGATACGGAGGCAGATACAGACATCGAAAGCGAGCAGATCGGCGCGTCATCTTCACACGCTCAGTCGCAATCGTCACACACCGGGCACGAAATTCCTAAAACTCCCATGAAGTCTCGTGCAGGCCTCGACACTCCGCCAGCTACAGTTACTCGTTCTAGCAGACGACTCAACCAACAACTCGCGGCGATCTCTGAGAATCACGATGCGGCATCTGAACGCGTCGTCGAAGAGTCAGAGACCTCGCCTGTGCGGACCAAGCCTAGGCGCCCCAATCCCTTCGACTCGTGGCAGCGGACTAAGAGTCGCACTTCTACAGGTGCAGCTAAGCGCGGCGCCGATTTGTCGGAGGCAGGGTCGTCGGGTTCCTTTGAGAAGCGCACGAGGGCCAGCGAGCGTCGCATCGACGCTACCACGCCCTGAGCCGCATGTGCAAGTTTGATTGGAATGAAATCTCATTTTTGAAGGCCAGTGGCCAAATTTATGAGGATTGTATGATACCCTACGGCGTTGGACGAGCATGTCGCCTGCATTGCAGGCTTTCCTTTCCCGATGGGCTTGCTTTGAAAATACTCTTCGTATTCCTTGGGGCAGCGCAGGGTATGCGTCATTTGCATTTGCGTCTCGATGTAACAGATAGTTAATACAATCATTCGTTGGAATCCTACGCATTGCTTTACCCGGAAACTTGACTCTTCCATCAGTTCTTTGCAATGCTCAATATATCATCATCTTGAACCTTGGTCCATCTTCGTCTTCCGAGTCGTCCCACTCACCAGGGCCCGACGATTCTCCAGTTCGAGGGACTTTCAGTAGGTCGAAGTCACGGTATTCTGTCGGCTTCGAGGGATCGTACAATTGCTCCTCGCTCGCATCTGCCGTATCGGATGCCTTGGCTGCCACAGCCGACATATTCTTTGCCTGAAGGGTGCTTTTGAATACCGGCGCTTTCTTCGCCGATGCAGGACCCGAGCCTGGTAAAGAGGTCGACACGGTCGTAATGCCCGACTCTCTGTTGGCTCGTTGCTCGGCCTCGCGTTGCCGAGCGGCCGCGTTGGGATCTTTGGACAACTGTCTCATATCTAGAAGCCGCTGTATACTCACAAACGGCAGGCGAAAGTCAAAGCATTAGCTCATAAGGAACAACATTGTACCACAGGCAGGTCTCTGTAGATTGGACTAGGAGAGAGGTATCGAGCCTATTCATGCCTTCCGATGTTGATGGTCATATGAGTTCTCATGAGCCTCGAACTCATTCATGCGTGCATAGCCTTTCTGACATAGGTCGCAGAAGAATGCCTTGCGTGCCTCACGCGCACTTTCTGTGGCGGCCTTGGGCAGCGTATGCCCACGCTGAGTGCAACAACATTGTGAGCGAGTCGAATCCCATCACATTAAGTTTTTGACTCGTTGAAGCATACCGGTGCCATTATGGATGGTCTGATTCGAGTTGGACGTCAGCCGACATTCGTGACACGGCGTTGCAGAAGATAGAACTCTAGAAAGCCGCAAACGCGTCTGTGAACGTGCACTCGTGAGCCGGCGCACGACCCCGAGATCTGATTAATCCTTGAGCTTTCATTGGCGCGGACCGCTGTCCGAATTGATCAGCAGCTCGAGCGATCTTCCGTTCTTTGTCGTCATGATCAAGTCGAGATAATTATCTACAATTTCGACCATAGCTCACATCTCACCAGCTAGGAGCTGAGAGCATGGCAGACATAGCCGAGATTGACGCCGAAGAGGGCATGCATGAGATCGACCCGACCCCGGAACTCGAGGTCGAAGAAGAGACGCCAAATCTGGATGAAAAACGACCGCTCTCGAGGTCCACGACGAACGCTCTTGGGATCTCACACAGCAGCACTATCTACTACCTGACTGCGATTCAGAAATACTCCAGCTATGTCTTCTCGGCGTTCGGCGCGATGCACATCGTCAACACCTCCATCATGCCACTCATCACGCAGAGTGTCCCGGCCAGCGAGAAATACATGCTCCTCACACGACCTTACTATGGCAGTCCGCTCGCCGAGCCCTTAGTCGTGATTATCCCGATATACGCACATGTCCTTTCTGGTATGGCTCTCAGGATCTACCGACGAAATCTGAACGCGAGAAGATTTGGAGAATCCTATTCTGCCGAGAATCAGAAGAGCTTCTGGGTGAAATTTTGGCCTCATCTTTCGGCGGTGAGCAAACTCGGATACCAATTCGTGCCGCTATTGGCCGGGCACATGGTCATCAATCGGTTGATTCCCCGAATCTATAACGGTTCCAGCATCGACCTTGGTTATGTTAGTCATGCGTTCGCAAAGCATCCGGCCGTCTCGTTCGCTGGGTTTGCGGCCCTCATCGGCATCGGCTCCTTTCACATGACTTGGGGTTGGGCGAAGTGGTTGAAGTACACACCTGTCCAAGCGACGGGCACGGGTGCCGAACGCGAGCTGAGAAAGAAGAGGAGGCGATATATCATCAATGGCATTGCTGCGGCGGTGACTAGTCTCTGGATGGCGGGTAGCTTTGGTGTTGTCGCCAAGGGCGGCGCTGCTCCGGGATGGATCGGGAAGCAATACGACGAGATTTACCGGATGATCCCGATGGTTGGGAAGTGGTTGTGAAGACAAGGAGATCAAGTTCACAAACAAATGACACCCTATCATTGGATGTCATCTATCGACCCGTTCCGACATGGCTGGAACAGCTCATGGTCCGTACGAGACAAACACGAACGATACGTTTCTTGAATACTCAACGCTGCACCTGATCGCGTGTCAAGGCACGTGAGAGCGCAGTGAAACCACTAAGGAGTCCGACGAATGGCGCTACAGAACGACTGTCTTAACTTCTCTGATAGCCATATGTGTCCGATGCGTTCAGGATACGGACATCCAACACCCCTCGACACATATACGATTCATGAAGCGGATTGCAGCGCCGCAACCCAGACTTCGGCGCCGCTTCGAGATTTCACAAGAGGAACTGTGGCCTCAAGGGTCCTCTGACATTTGACGCGTGGCAATTCTCGATCAAACGCTTCCCTGCCTTTTCTCCCCTTCCACCGTTCGGTTTACTGTTCTAGAGGAGGACTACGATGTGCATCATATCTGCTGCCCAACGTGGTAAGAGATGATTCCTCATAGTTGACCCTTCGCAACTGCCTGCGAGCGAGCATTCGGCATTATATGTAGTATTACCCATGACTTATGATCGCGTTTGTATACTAGTAGAGCTATACTGGAAAACCCAGCGACTGGCGCACCTATGAAAAGAGATTCCAGGGTGCCGTTTCCACTAGCAGCAATAGGTCTTCCGAGCGCAAGAAACCCTCTAATGTTTGTAAATTTGTTACTCTTCGGTTGGACTACACAGCTTTTTAAGTAGCTACGTGCTGTACGGTGTTCAGTACCCGCACTTGTATCTTTACATGCCTAGATCATAAAGATCAGTAGGACAATCGAAGAGCAGTTCCGACTTTTTGGCGCATGTGTCCCGTGTGCCCAGACGCCAAATCTGGTGCTAGGAGTAAGAAGGAGGAGGTACCTAGGCATACTGTACCGCATATGTGGATAGCGGCGGCGACCCCGGAGCCAACGATGCATTTCGCATGCATGCAGCTTGGCCCGAAGGTGGTTGTTAGTTCTACTGCAGTGATGTCCTGGGCGACATTTGAGTGACGATGGGGAGAAACGAGAGGGGAAAGTCTTGAGCTTTCTCTGTCTCTCTTCTCCGCGGCTCCGATGCCGAGTAGTAGATCTACTATCCTCTCGTTGTTGTTTCCTTACAAAACCCGAGGTTGTTATTTGTGGACTATGGAGTCTTTGAACAAGGAAGTGTGTTGGTCCTTTACCTTGGTGCATAAACATTTATACAGTGAGTGTACTGGTATCCCAGTTGAAGCTGTCATCATTCGACCGGATCTACAACACCTATCGCGAGTGGCGGAGGAGGAGAAGGAGAAGGATGCTCTCGTTGCGCCCCAGCTCTCTCGTGCGGCAGATGGGGGTGACGCAGGGATAAGATGGCCGTCATGGATGTATTGTACATACCGTCGTGCGTACTGTGGTATAATAACGAGCCTGCTCAGATAACGATCTTGCCTAGGTGTTATCACTCCGGCGGTGTGTTCGCCCATCATAGACAGTGTGGCTGCAACACGTGATGCTTCTGGGTGAGACTCAACGAATCCATTTCTACAGTATAGGTATTTCAATCTAGTCGCTGCGGAAATGGCAGATCGAACTGTTTGGATATGATCTACAGTAGATGCATCGTTGTGGAGGACGGACCACTGTCGGTGTTGATGCTGGATGGGGTGCGGCTGAGGATGGTGATACAGTTGAGAGAAAGGCACGCGCACGGGTGGTGACAAGCACCATGGGGCTTTGTCTTCTCTCCACTTCAGGACTGGCTGGCTCCCCACTTTGGCTGCCTAGGTGCCTTCCCTCGACTTCCTTCCGCCCGTTGTAGGGCTAATCATCATGAAATCCTGAGCGGGAGGGGGAGCTGGTGGGAGAGGCACGCGCAACTTTCCAAACCGCCCGGGCGTCCAACCTTGAAAGGTTGGAAGCCAAAGATGCACGGAATTGTCCACCACCACCACCACTGTGACGACCACACCAAACCACCACACGAAGCACATACCAGAATCCACACACACACCCGCCCGGAACACACCCACTTCCGCAGATACTGTATTGTGGTAACTGCCCAGGTGTACATACACACACCCCGGCCTGCATTGTTCCTTCATGCAGTTGGATACAGTATACCTACCTGCTGCTGTCGCGTTCGCTCATCACTTTGCAGGCCCTGTGTGCCTGTCCATCGTATCGTCGCCAACAACCTTGGAAAGCAAGAAGCGCTAGTTAGCCTCCCCCCAGTCCATTGAAGCAGTAGTCGATGAACTAGACGCTGTATAGAATCTCTTTCGGACTTCGGCCGCCGTGTTGATCAATGGGCGATTTTTAGACTTTCTGTCGAAGAATTGCGCGTCCCACACACACGACCGACTGTTCGCCCCAAACCCCGTTCCCGACGTCGATCGTTTCTTATTACTACTGTCCATGTCGCTACAGTATCAATTGTCTATTACACGACACTCCTCCCATCATACCGCATCTACTGTTCTTCACCATGCTGCTGTAACTATACCGTTGATGATGCTCATCTGAGACAGTGTCATTCACTTGGGTCGCATGGTGGAACAGAAGGGGTTACACGGCTTTGGCGGTTCACACGCCACACAACGCGCACGGGAAGGATGAACAGCAACGGGCCACCGCAACTGACGCCTGCTCAGTGGGCCAGTTATGGCGAGAGCAAGCGACTCGCCTTGTACATCTCCATGGGAGTCTTCCTCGTCCTGGGTAACAGCACCTTTGTCGCGCGCATCTATTGTCAGCTTGAACGACTCCATGTCCTGTTGCTGGAAGATGCCTTCCTCGCCTTCGCCTTGGTATGCCTTTCGCCGCCTCCACCGCAGCACATTGTTACACACACACGTCTCGCTGCTCTCCGATCACGACTACTCATTGCGGCAATTCGGTCATCAAGAAATTGTGCTTCAGCTAATATTTGATCACATAGATCTTGGCTAATGTTGGCATCGTTCTCAACATTCTAGGTGAGTTGGTGGAACATCTCAAACTGCCGCCCGCACTGCCCGACATGTTGACTGATGTTCTCAATAGCCACGACCAAAGGTCTTGGTCTACACGATTACCGAGTCATTGCTGAAGATGATTCTGCCATCCGTGGGGAAAGTCTGGTACGGATATATGAGGTGCGTGTCTGTTCAAACTCAACCCGAGGCAGAATTCCTCGGACGGAATGGCCCGACCGAGACATCGTGCTCAACGGCACAAACACATGCTTATATCCCCACGTGGTCGCAGTTGATCTATGTTTCGAACAACCTCCAAGCGGCCTGCCTCGCGAGTGTCAAGATTGCACTGCTATTCTTGTACCGTCGCATCTTTATCGTCAACCAAAAATGGCTGAAGGTGACATGGTGGGGAAACCTGCTGTTTGTCATCGCTCTTTTTTTGATCGCCATATTTTTCAACATATTCCAATGCTCTCCGATCAACTGGTACTGGATGCGAATGTACATTCTCGCAGGATCCCCGGTGCCAAACGAAGACTTGGGCTACTGCTCCCCAGCCTCGAGGAGTGTCATATACGCCACGCTTTCTCTTAATATTGTTTCGGATGTCGCGTTGCTGCTTCTGCCTGCGATCAGCATAGCCACGCTTCAGATCACGATGGGAAACAAGATCGGTCTTGCCGTCGTCTTTGGGTTCGGCATCATGTGAGTCGAGCCGCTTGCCATCCCTGAACCTTGAGGCGATCGCATACTGACAATCATCCACTGCAGTGCCAGTGTTGTATCTCTTGGCCGCCTAGTATCCCTGCAAGAAGGCAACGACGCAACTTGTAAGTCCGGCCTTCAAAACACGACCATCGATGGGAGACCCAATTCGCACGAACTGATACTCATGAATCGCTAGTCACCATCGTGAACTATTTGATATTGTCTAGCGCAGAGCAAATCACGGCCATTGTCTGCGCTTGCTGGCCAACTGTTGTGCCGCATCTCTTCCGCTTCTTCCGACGCAGACACAATGTGCCGACTCCTCCCGCCGCACACAGGTCCAGTCGGCATCAGCCCATGGGCCTACACCCTAGCTGGACCGACCCTCAACTCCGCACCAAGCTACTTCACGATCCGCTCTGCGGCCTGGACTTGGACGGCACCGGGACTGGGCCCGGCGGGATCCATTACCTTATGCGGGACGTGCGCGCGGAACACAAAGCAGGAGGCGCGACATCGCCAGAACTTATTGCGAACCCAAAGCGGATCCTTGTGAAGCGAGATGTGCACGTAGAACACGAAGTGAACCCGGAATACAGCCAACATCATTCGAGGCATTATCCAAGTTCTCCACAGACCCCGATCGACGACAAGCGCATGCAGGACAAAGAATGGTTTCCAGCGACGAGCTCAAGGACAAGTCAATCATGAAGAGAATTGCTTCAAAAATGACATCCGAGAAATCGAGATACCGCGACAATTTTCAGGAAGCCGCATCCTCTGTTGGCGCTCGCTCCAGTATTGTCTGCTTCAATCTCCGGTGGACATCGAAGACTAATCGCCCACAGGTCTATCCAGATGCGAGTTTCCGCAGACATGTCCAGGGCCCGCGTGCTCCGTTAGGGCGGCCACAGCATCTCCGGATCCGCATGCTGTTTACTGGATGGGAGGAGGGTCCTGAACTCATCGACAATGCCATAGGACGCAACTGGCAGGAGTCTGGATCAAAACTGACGCGAATGCACGCTACATGGCCCTTCGTACCGAGCGGAACTTCCCGACTATACGGTTATACGATAAACGATGCATTTCCCAAGGCTGCTGCATAAACGCATCACCATACAGCTCCGTCCTGGTATAAAAAGGTCAGGTACCTAGCAGACAATTCCCACCCATCCCACCGACCGATTTGTTTGGGTTCAACATACAGCTTGTTGGCGATATTCGACATGGCATTTTCTGTGACAACACAAATTTGGTCGTCCATCGCCGAGTTGAGCCTTTCAAGCTTGATTATCGGCACCTTCGTTGTACTCATTGGCAGCACCGTGGCACCTGCTGTGTACGATGCATACTTCGGACCGCTTTCGAAGTTCGCAGGCCCAAAGCTGCGTGCCATGTCCTCCATTCCTCAGGCTGTATCTATCTTTCGCGGCCGGGAACATGAGGACTATGTGACTTTGCACAAGAAGTACGGAAAGGTCGTTCGAGTAGCGCCCAACGAGCTATCATTTGTTGGTGGCGCAACAGTTTGGAAAGACGTGCTTGGTTTTAAAAAGTCGGGAACGTCAAACTTTCCGAAATGCCCTAGATTCTATGGCGGACAGCTTCTCGAGCGACCAAACTCGTTTCTGGCTAATGCCGATGATGCAGAACATTCCAAGCTTCGCAGAGTAGTTTCTCATGCGTTTGCTGACAGGAGCCTCCATGATGTGGAGCATCGACTGCTCCATTGGGCTAGGAACTTCAAGCGACGGCTCGATGGGATGCAGGCAGGTCATGATTCCATCGACATGGTGAAGTTGTACAACTGCGGCACATTTGGTCAGTACAATTGTACAATAAACACCTCGGATAGAAATTGACCGCATGCACAGACGTCATGGGTGATCTCGCGTTCAACGAGGACCTTGGGATGCTCGCGGACGGAAACGAATCAGAATGGGTCACGAATATCTTCAAGGGAATCAAACAGTCCTCGTATGTACGTGGCGTCAAAGACTTGCATGACTCTTTGTGGTATTTCATCGATAATGTCGTGATGAAGATGCCCGAGGCCCGACGTGAGGTCGGAAAGACCCTCGAGTTCACCAATGAGCGTCTTGAAAAGCGCCTGAACAACCCGCCAGCCCGTCCGGACCTCTGGAGTCAAATCATCGCAAAGGGCATCGGCGAGCAGGCTCTGGACCGGGCAGAGCACCAGGGTTTAGCATTCTTCTTCATGGTCGCTGGCACCGAGACAACTGCGTCTGCTCTCAGTGCAATTACCTTTTTCTTACTCTGCAACCCCAACTACACGAAACAACTCCAAGAAGAGCTGCGATCCACGTTCTCGACCTTTGAAGATTTGTCCTTCAGCAAACTCGGCCGACTGAAGTATCTCAACGCCGTCATCCAAGAGGGTCTTCGGATGTATCCACCCGTTCCTATCGCGTTGCCCCGACGCACCCCGGCGGAAGGCGCACAGGTCGATGGCCAGTACATCCCGGGCAACGTAGTCTGTAGTATCCCGCACTACAGCACCTACCGCAGCCCCGAGCACTTCGCCGAACCGAACGAATTTCGGCCGGAACGCTGGCTCGGCGACCCCAAATATACAGACGATAATCTCGATGCTGTGGAGCCCTTCCACGTCGGACCGCGTAATTGCGTCGGGAAAAATCTGGCTTGGCACGAGATGCGTCTGTTCCTGGCGACGGCGTACACGTTCTTCGATCTGACGGTGACGGAGGATTCGCGGGACTGGCTCGCTCAGAATCAGGTTTTCACTGTCTGGCAGAAACCGCCGCTTTGGTGTCGTGTCAATTCCGCGAGTGTGGTGTAAGTGCTGTCGGGCAGAGCAAGAAAAGAAATTTACATGCATTGAACATTCACACATATTGTACATCATGTATGACAACATTTTTGTGTATCAAACCCAAAGTGTGTGTGTGGATAAGATCGCTTGATCATCAATTCAGGAAAGGTAGCGAGGCGCGGCTCCTCCGCACGACGTGCATGCATACAGTAGACCATGGAATCATGACGGTCGGATGGGGAGCCGAGCGATCATGGCCAACAGTTTTTATATTATTATACATGGTACCATGCATCTGCCTGCAGGCTGCAATACCTCGAAAGGGCAATGATCCATGTCTCAAGAGACTGATAAAGAGAATGTGCAGCTCCTCATCTTGAACTGATTCTACTTACATCAAGCTCGATACACCATTCTCAAGCATGACAGCGACTCCGGATCTCGACGTCCGCAACACCGAGGACATCCTTGTACTCGCAAAATTGATTGCGAGCGAGACGGAGAAAGTTGCCGCATATCTCGCACACAACCATCTCGCATTCCCATCATTCGATCTCGATGGGCCGCCAGCCTCGCTCATATCGACTGAAGCGGTTGACATCGAGGCGGCGCGACTCGCCGTCATAGTTGCAACGCAACGCTTACGAAATCTGATCCTGGGACCGAAGGATTATCTGCTGAGCTTCTTGGTATTCTGCTTCCCCCATGTTGACCCTTCCATTCTCGCGACAAAGAAAGTTAAGAATGTTCCTCCTAGTCCAATGACCTCCTCGGCCTCCACTTCGTCGCACGGTACAACCTCGCCGCTCGAGTGCCCATCCACGGCAGCGCGACGTACGAAGACCTCGCACAAGCCACAACCACCGGCAAAGCAGACAAGCCCGCGGTGCCGGTATCCGTCGCTCGCCGTCTCCTCCGCCAGGCCATGATGAAAAACGTCTTCCGCGAAACACCTGATGGGACCGGCGTCGTGCATACCGCGGTTTCTCGGCGGCTGGTCGAGGAGCCGATGCTGAGTCACTGGATGCGGTTCAATCTGGACGAGAATTGGAAGGCGGCGGCGAATGAGCTCGATGCGTTGGAAAGATGGCCGCATAGCGATGAGCCGAGTCAGACGGTAAGGAAGTCTTTTGGTTGCATGGTCGTATCCATCTACCCTGGAAAGCGCGTGTTGGAGCTTGCTGAGAGAGAGGTGACTAATGGGCCTCTTTGTCGGCGTATATAGGGGTTTGCCTTGGCCAACTCCACCGAGCGCGCCATGTATGAAGTCCTGAACGATGACCCAGAACGCGGCCAGCGCTTCGCACATGCCATGTCGCTCCATGCTCGGAGCCCTCTCTTCGCTGTCGATCATTTATCTTCGAGCTATGATTGGGCGGCATTAGGATCGAGCACCGTCGTTGATGTGAGTACGACAAAAAGTGGTTTAAATCTCGGTTGGTCCACACGAAATCGAGGTTGACGGTAACGGACTAGATCGGTGGCTCACAAGGCACAATTTCGTGACATCTGACTGCAAAGTTCCCACAATTAAAAATAATTGTCCAAGATCTCGAGCCGGTCATCCAGCAGGCAACGTCAGGCGGCATTAACAGCTCTCAGTTGAGTGATCGCGTCACATTCATGGCTCACGATTTCTTCGAACCGCAGACCGTGGTTGCGGACATCTATCTTCTGCGGTGGATTCTGCATAATTGGTCGGACAAGCATTGCGTGCGCATCCTGCGCGCATTGACCCCAGCGCTGAAGCCAGGTGCGCGTATCGTGATCAATGAGGATGTTCGATCATCATTTGGTAGTGCCGTTCCATCGAGGTGGCGAGAGGAGAAAATGCGGTACGTTTGGGAGTTTGTGCACTATGCGGGACCTTTTTAAAACCGACGATTTGGACGATTGCTGACGGAAAGATACAGCTCGGCGGACTTGACTATGCTCCAATTGTTCAATGGCAAGGAACGTGACTTGCAGGAGTGGCAAGATTTGTTAGAGATGGCGGATCCGCGCTTTCACTTTAGAAATGTGAGCAAACCAGCGGGAAGCGCCTTGTCCGTAATGGAAGCTGTGTGGACTGGATGATACATCCATTCTCGCGAGTCGTCTTGACCTCACGAAGCTGCGCCGACCTTGTGAGCTCGGAGTCGGAACTGAAAGAGGCACAGTCAACGAACAGGGGACCACCACATGTGTCAATCTTGGTGGATAATTTACTCCCTGGATCTTCTACATTGTTGGATATACATTGTAGGAGGAATTCCAAGTCGATTCGAGCCATCCATGATCTCAGCGTACTATTTAGTCGATTTTCTTCATGAGGCGTCTGAAACCTCTGCGCACACCACGCCAGACTTCGGCCGTCTGCATGCTTTCACTGAATGCTCCAAATGCAAACAATGCCAATACACTCAAGACGAGCACGACAGTAAATGCTATCCAGAACTGAGCGACGGTGTATTCGGTCCCTGACAGAGTGATGTCGAAATAGCCCGTCAGGAAACTGACTGGTAGGAATAGACAGGTGGCTTTTGTGAGCAGGAGGGTGACGCGGGTAAGACGCTCGACGTCAGTCGATTGTTTGATCGCGATGAGACTGAAGTTCTGGCAAAAGTCGTCAGCAATGATTGCATTCACTCTGGCAATACCGGGTTTGGGCTTTACCATGGCGACTAGCGAGTCTTTCTGTTTGATGTATTCTTCAACCTCACTCAACGCGTAAAGATCAATCATGTCTTTTAATCTCTTGAATCTCACTCGAGCAGCGGCGCTCAGCGCCACCCCAAGCGAACTCTCTCCAGGCACGATGGCAGCAGGTCTGACGGTTTCAAACGAGGCCCGTTCTACCAGCTGACCAGCGACACGAGAGTTGGCAAGTGAGGCCCCAGTGATTTTGACTGGTTCGAGAAGGCGCAGAATGATGCGGTTGTAGCTCTCATAATGCCGACGCAACACGCCTAGTTCCTTTCCAATACTGTCGAGACGATCGACCTGACCCAGCTCCGGGCGCTGGAACATTTCTTGTCTAATTCGTTGTAGCTCCACATCGTACCGGCTCTCTTTTCGTGTCACCAGAGAATAGCTTTTCTGCCAATTCTCGAAGAGATAATAGAATAGCAGACCTGGTGCGTCGGCCTCACGATGTGCAGTCTCTTCAGGTGTATCTCCAATGCGGGTGCGAATCGGTAGTACAGTTAATGGGTTTCTGGTCATCAATGGCATCTCGTCGGTTTTGGAGAGGGATCTGAAGACGTTGAGGACATTTCGTCGTGTTTCGATCAGAAGTCGCTGCTGCAATATCGACAACTCACCCTCGACTCCAGGGAACGGGTCCTCATTGATTGTGATGACGGTGCTGTCTTCGCACAATAAAAGCCACGTCCACACGCGAGTACAGTGAGGTAGTGGCCCAGATCCCTCCTCGCCTCCTGCATGCTTGGTACCATAGATAGTATTGTAGCCGACGCACACATAACTCCTGCCAAAGTCCACGGATGAATAGTGCCATAGATCACTCAAGAGCCAGTAGATATTGCTTTCACCTAGACTCCCAGCACTGCAGATAGATGCTTGATCGGCAAGCTCATCCATACCTGCTTCCAGTTTATCTTCGGCCGATCTATCCTCACGGTTGCGCCATTTCCATCTACTGGAACGGTCGGCCGATGATGGGCAAGCATCTCCACGTCGTTCTTGTACAGGATTTGAGAACATCAACGCGAGTAGCCGAGGTGAGAAATCATAACGCTGCGCCAACACTTCCAGAGTTCCACGTTGCTGATAAGGATACCAAATATTGATCCAACGAGTGTTCGGAGCATCGGCACGATCCGCCGTAACCACATCGTTGTAGTCTTTCGCTTCCAAGTTGAACTGGACAATGGCTGATTCGTCGTTGAAGTCGACGACAAAGTTACTGATATTGCCAGCCTTGATTTCATGTAGACTTTTAGCAAGAACCGCTGGATTATCAAGGTCGTAGGTGGCAGCAGCCTTAGATTTGTTGTTTTCATGAGAGTGGCTTGTTTCCTTTTCGCCAGCAAAACTGACGCGATCACTGGTGGAGATGTCCATGTCCACGGAGAGTTTGTCCAATAGTTGAGAAAAGCCATCTCGGCGCCTCGTTTGGTTTTGGTTAATCCTGACCAGCTTATTCCTGATGTGATGGAGGATGCGCACGAGAGCAGATGAATCATACGGGCCATGGAGCCAGGTCAGGTCATCATGCTTACTTGTCTGGTGCACGCGTCCCCTACTATGAGAAGGTATCACGACGGAAGCTAGCATGGGCAACTCTACTCGAGTACCACCTCACATATTGCTGTGTACTAATCTTGCTAGAACATCGTGATTTCCGGGATCTCTAGATCGATGCACATTTGACTGTTGGCCAGCACGGTAATTCCTGAAGACTTGTATAAAAAAGCTTTAACGAGGGAGTGAAGATCGTCGACATGACGTGAGAGCGTGCTCCGCCGTTACTTTGAAGGAACTCATGTGGTGCGGCAGAGTAAGACATCAGAGCGAGGGACGTTGTCACATGGCCCTTGTCCGCCGTCGTGATCCTGCGAGACCGATGTGACTAGGAGATAAGATCATGGCGGTGCGATGATTCGACCCTACTGATCGCCAATTTTTCGGACCTTCCATGTTTAGGATGTATTGATGCGAGATTGTCATTGCGCAATGTCGCGTCCGTACGGCTGGCAAATTATCGCATATCCTACCTTGATCTGCCCATGTGGTGACTGTTCGTAACATGGAGCGCGGTGATGAGACAGTTCAGCCTGGAGCCCTGCCCATGGGCGGCTTAAATTCCGCGCAACCGCATGAGCAGCGGGACCCTCGAAGTCTTGGCGCCCGCACAATCCGCATCTTCACGGACGGTCGGCGCCTCACCTTCATAGATCAACAACTACGCTTAGCCGCACCAATATTGTCCCACAGATAGTATTGGAAGACCATCACAATCATGTCGAAGATTACGGTCGCTGGTGTGCGTACTAACGTACAGGAGCTTCTCAAATACTCCACCGAGGAGAAGAAGCGCAACTTCCTCGAGACCGTCGAACTCCAGATCGGCCTCAAGAACTATGACCCGCAGCGTGACAAGCGTTTCTCTGGCACCATCAAGCTTCCCAAGGTTCCTCGCCCGAACATGGCCATCTGGTAAGGCTCAACGTCGCAACAACTCGCACAATGACAGGAGACTAAACGAAGTCGCAGCATTCTTGGTGACCAGCACGATATCGACCGTGCCAAGCACGGAGGTGTCGACGCCATGTCCGCAGACGATCTCAAGAAGCTCAACAAAAACAAGAAGCTGATCAAGAAGCTCGCGCGCAAGTACGATGCTTTCATCGCTTCCGATGCCCTCATCAAGCAGATCCCTCGTCTCCTGGGCCCCGGTCTCTCCAAGGGTGAGTCCCGAATGAGTGTGAACCCTCCAGATATTCTTTTACTGACTCTGAATCCAGCCGGTAAATTCCCTACTCCCGTATCTCACTCCGACGACCTTTCCGCCAAAATCACCGAGGTCAAGTCCACCATCAAATTCCAGCTGAAGAAGGTGTTGTGCATGGGTGTTGCTGTTGGAAACGTGGAGATGACTGAGGACGAGCTCATCGGAAACATCATGTTGTCCATCAACTACTTGGTGTCTCTGTTGAAGAAGGGCTGGCAGAACGTTGGTAGCCTGACCATCAAGGCTACCATGTCGCCACCTAAGCGTCTTTACTAGATGCGAGGGAATTTTCTCGGATATCAGGTGTTTTTGGCTTTTACTCGGCTAGATTTGCTCGCCTTCACTGGTTGAGAAAATAATGAAACCACGATTCTCCTTGGTCTCTATCGTTTCACTTACTAGTTCGATGCGTCACGTCATGTTGTAAATTTAAAGTAGGATTTGGCTATGCTTCCTGAATAACTATATCCAGAGGATATCTACCGAAATGACATCTTCAATTACCAGCACAAATTGACAAGCACATGTACGGTTCGCCGTTGCTTATCATTTCCAACGCCTGCATTTTTTGCCATGCGCGCATGGGCCCGTTGCTCAGGGCGTCACCAAACTAGTGCCGAGCACGGTGGCCGAGCGCAGGGCGAAGATACGATTCACGTGACGAGCCACCCTGAGGCGTGGACAGAGGGCACCTGGCTTTACACCGATCGCCATCGCTCGCTCGACTTACACCAACCACTTCACGCTTTTACGCCTTTATCACGACTCTCATCCCGACCTCTATCTGACACCAAGTGGTCGTCGTTGAGGTGAGTTAAACTTTAATATGCGCCTGTTTAATAAGCTTGACATCCTCTTTGTCGCGCTCGAAGAGATCTGGTCGCAATATCAGAAAAGTTGATCCGAGACTGGCATTGAAAGAACACCTTGTTTCTTGTCAAGGCAGCCATATATGCCAGCTTGTGCCTTCTCTACGAGCGCGCGCAGGCGAATAACACAAGAGCATCATAAGCTAATTGATATCCATGATATTCCGCAGGTGTTCATTCCCCTTTCAAACCAACAACCAAAAACAACCCCCGTCCGCCAAAATGGGTATCACCTTCTCGAGACTGTTTGACCGCCTCTGGGGCAAGAAAGAGATGCGCATTCTGATGGTCGGATTGGACGCCGCCGGAAAGACCACCATCCTGTACAAGCTCAAGCTCGGTGAAATCGTCACCACCATTCCAACCATCGGTGTGTTTCTGCTGGCATTCCCAACTTTTGCGGAAGTATGGCCCGACTGACAACAACTTCCGTTCAGGTTTCAACGTCGAGACTGTTGAGTACAAGAACATCTCCTTCACCGTGTGGGATGTCGGTGGACAGGACAAGATCCGCCCGCTCTGGAGACATTACTTCCAGAACACCCAGGGTATCATCTTCGTCGTTGACAGCAACGATCGTGATCGTGTTGTTGAGGCTCGTGAGGAGCTCCAGCGCATGCTCAACGAGGACGAACTTCGCGATGCTCTGCTCTTGGTCTTCGCCAACAAGCAGGATCTGCCAAACGCCATGAACGCTGCTGAGATCACCGACAAGCTCGGCCTGCACAGCCTGCGACAGCGCTCTTGGGTATGAAATTTGCAAATACGCGAGTTACCAGTAAATTATACTAACTGCTCGTGTTAGTATATCCAATCCACTTGCGCCACATCTGGTGACGGTCTCTACGAGGGTCTCGAGTGGCTTAGCAACTCGCTTCGCAAGGCCGGCCACCAGTAAATGGCTGCTTTGCCGATGTGATAAGACAATCGCGCGTATCGATTCCTGGTACAAGGATTGATCCTGTGTCGCAACAAACTGTGCTGGATCACCACGTTACGAAATTGACATGAGCTGGGAACAGGCGGACTGCTTGTCGCTGGAGATATTTCCTCCGGACATGTAATGCGCCGGTAAAAGCAGCGCTTGTCGTGTATTTTTTAATGCCACGAAGGAGCGTTGTGTCACCGGCTGATGCTGCATCTTTGGCTGGCGGTGCTCTCTGCGCAGCATGCTCCCCATATGGAGTGATGCTTCATGTATAGAGGATAGCCTCAAGGAATATGAACGTGTCTCTTTGATCTCTCGTTATCGTCCATGCTGCGGCATGAAAGATAATCTTGACGTGATATAACGTACGTTATGTGACCGTACATCAATCTTTGATGATCGATTATACGAGGACTTGTATTACTTAGGTCTGCACATACATTGTATTCACGTCTTTATGCACAATATTCGTGACAGTATAATGTCAACGCTGCTGGAAAAGAGTTGACAACAATGGATTGTTAATCCCAAATGACGGCTGCTTTTCGACCAAGAACACACATGCATACACGTTACTGTTGCTTCCATTACCTACCAAGGTAGGTATGCACACTGTCTGCTTATGGGGTGTCCATATCTGTACCGCTCCGACATTGAAACTTTATGCTCTTCGGCTGATAATTTGCATCAAGCCTAACAGCAACAGTTGCAGCCTTGGCATCCGGTCTCTGAGCCGCACAGCGAAAGAATCACGGGCGCCTTGGGAAGATGGAGCCTAGTGCCTCAGGCTGGGAACACAATGGTCCAAGCGCTTTTCACGCTAGCGATTGAATACTTCAGTCTCGCGGCCCTTTCAAACCTCTTTGAAAAATCATCAGTAGGATGACTATCAGTCATTCATCGCGGCTTCGCTACGGCGACTTGCTGAGGGTTGTCACATTATTCACCATGGACCTCCCTCCGTTCCCGGCCTCGTAGAGTGACGGCAGTTTCGTCCTTCCAAATCAACTGTGCGGATTCCCTTTTCGTGGATCGGAGTTGTGGGACGGCTGCTACAAATCACCAATCAATGTACGGCTCTGTAGTTCAATTATGCGACGACCATGCGGAATTCGCTTGCTTTATAAAAACGAAACGTTACGACATCGGCCTGCCGTTGCAGGCAGATGGTCAGACGGGCAACTACGAACTGTAAGAGATTGAAATTGTTGGAGACGTGTATGTCACTGGGAAGTCATTATTTGGATCTACAGGTGGACTCAACAGGATACGTGAATTTAAGAGTACAGAATGGTTGTACACGATGGGATCCATTGGTGTCCGACTACTCGTCGTCGTCCTCATCTACGACTCGTCTCCGCTTGCCTCGGGCAGCTTGAAAGCCTTCCTCGTCTGCCTCTTCCTCTCCTTCCGCATCTGCGTCTACTTCACCTGCGCCATCGTCCGCTGAAGGACGTGGTCGATCTCGTTTTGGCGACCGCTGTCGCGGCTCATCGATGATTCCATCATCAGGATCGTCATCGTCGTCGACGATCTCTTCCTCGTCACTAGGGGCCAGGAAATCGTCTTCCTGATCGTAGCTGTCCTCCTTCGTAAAGCGCTTTCTGCCAAAGTCCTCGTCTTCGCTATATTCACTGTTTCGTCTCCGTCGCGGCTTCGCGCGCGCTTTGCTCGGGGCCGCACGACCGCCTGAAGTCTCCATTTCGTCATCCTCCAGCATTCCAACGTTGAGTCCGCCATAGCGAGTCGATGAGAGACCGCTGCGGCCCATGGTGCGATCCGTCCGGAGCCTCTCCCGTTCTTGTGCATTCTCACGCTTCTTTCTGTCCCTTATGGCGCTGCGCTCTGCAATCTCTGCTCGTTTCCTGCCCAGTTCTGGGTCCTCTTCCGTTGCGATCATGTCGCCCGATACGCCGACCACCTTTGCCGTGCTTGCCAGTTGCATCGTCTCCAACTTGAGCATTTGAATTGCTTGATCGTGCTCGAACTGCGGATTTTTCAAGAGTAGTCCTGCAGTGATTTTGTGTGTAACCCGTAACGATTCTGCTGATTCGACCGGGGCGACGAGGTATGTGAATTGGTCTTTCCTAAATGATCCGGCAAGTGCTGCTGTTGGCGTGGGTATTTTCGGGTTGGGTTGCGGTTGTGATATTAGATTGCAATCAAACTCGTAGTGTATTTTCGGGTCAGACGCCATCTGCAAGGTCAGAGAGCCGTCTTCCCATCGGTTGATGCGCGCGTTCGACTGCAGCTCTGCAGCATTCGTCGGAGAGTGGCGCCATCTGACTGTAGTCATGGCTGTGTCGTATGCAGAGAATGTTTCCGAGGGTCGCTTTTTTGAATGATGTTCGGTAGTAGGTGGCTGAAAGGTGGTCGTTTGCCATTCTTGGGGTTCAATGGCGAGGAAATGTGGTACTTTGAGTAGAAAGAGCTGGTAGAAAAAGTTAGTCCTGGATGGGTTCGCATAGATTGAGACATATCTGACCTCGCCGTCTGTGGGTTCAGGAATAGGCTGTCGCTGGAACTCGACGTCCATTGCCAGTCGCTCAAGTTCCTCATACTGTGTGGCATCTCCATCATCGTGCGCGCGGTCTGCGCGACCTTCATCGTCACCAGAGTCGAGTTCCTCATCGTCCAGTCCTTTGCTGCAATGTTGGTCAGCTGCTATCATCTTTCCTGACTTTCCCGGCCGACTGAGCGGATGCACAAGCCAACAGACACAACGTACACAGGTTTCGCGGGCTCTTCGTCTAGCTCATCCTCTCCGAACAAGTCGTCAAGACCGCCAGTCTCTTCGAAACCAGTGTTTTCATGCTCCCTGTCATCCTGCGCGACGCTCAGATCATCGACTGCAGGTTCTGAAGCCATTGGAAGCTTCCGAGAAATTGGATGTTCGAGCGCGCTCAACCTTGACTGTGATCCGTGGAATGTATGTAATGTTGTAATCTCGATTGCGCACAATAGCTCAATGAGAAAAGCACAAGTTTGTAAGTCGCAGTCACGATATTCGTTGGATAAATCGGGATGTATAGCATATGCGACGAGAACAACGCCGTTGGAAATACTTTATTAGCTAGAGGTCACCACGCGTTTCGTGGAGCCGGAGATGTGAACGGAACGCGCGCTCGCAACGAACAGCTTTATCGAGCGGATGGGCCGCCAGAGTGACAAGCGATTATCAGAGACTCGCCTCAGGGATCCAGGGCTTTTTTTTGTAACGTGCCACGTTGGGGACATTGAAAAGGGCAAATCTACTGCAAATTCGACCCTCGAAATTCAAAGGTTATATAGAACTTGATGTCTGCTTTACCTTCGTAGATATAAAGAACTTAGCTACTTATAATCCTACGATGTTTTTGTTATTATATGTGATAGAGTATTCTGCTAGCTACATTCTAGTCTATTTTTCTTACGATAAGAACAAGATTGAAATAAGTTATCAAACATTGTTTCAAAATTTGCCCTTTTCTTTGTCCCCCACGTGCGTGCCTCTAACGAGACTGGACTTTGCTACCTTGAACCCTGCGTTGTGCCAGCTCGACTCGGGACATGCTAGCCGAATATTAGCCACTCCACAACTCCACCTCTCTCGATTGACTCTCGTCAAGGGGCTTCACAGTTCAGATACACTCCGCCAACTTGTCTCTATCACTCTTACAAATCCGATCCATTCACCTCAATTTCCTATTGCAACCAAATATATTTCACCATCAAGGGTGTGGTGCGGCCTGCTACGGTCCTCGAACGTACTTTCTCGGCCCACCATGGCGTCCTGGATGAACAACCTGTGAGTATTAATCGTCTTCCCTTACCGTTTGTCGGCGAGTGCTCGATACGTTGGAAGCTGCTTTGCCTGGATCACTGGGCCCGTGAGCAATGATACCAGATTCTTCGAGTGAGAGAGCGTCCGACGAGGCGGTCTCTTGGTCATTCCAGCATCTACTGGCTGGTGGGGCGAAATTCGGCGCCTGAGCGCTATCATTCCACCGCTCGTGCGACGTAGACCTCCACTTTCAGACACGATTAAGTCGGTGACAGATGCTACAAGAACCTCATGCAATTCAAACGAAACAATGGTCTGGAAATCAGAAAGATGGATACCCATCGATCATCCAATGAGCAACGAAATCATGTGCCAAACATATGTGCTCCATTCTCTAGATGTTGATAGCTCGGCTGCGTTCAAGTACTTGCACTGCAACCAAAGTCGACTTCCTCACAACGCCTGACGAGGTCCGGATGCACTGATCGTTTCACTGTGAACGACTCTCCGCTTGCCGACTGAGGTGCATCTTGAATGTCTGATCTATTCAGAATCGGAGCGCAACACTCCCTCCATCGCGCCAACACAACGCTCCTTTTGGCACCTTGTCTACACCTCAGCTCTGTTCTGACATAACGAAAGATATCCGGAGGACTTGCTAGCACTTGCGTTTGCATCTTTCGTGACCTCGTTCTGATATGGCGCTGACTCAAACCTCTTGACAGCCGCAACTTGGGCCGTCAAGCACCGGCCCGACCAGGTCAACCATTACCTCCAAATCGCGCCAATTCTGGCTCCCCAGCACCGTATAGTCCCTCATCACTGGCTCCGCCAAACATCGGACTTGCGCCCGCATCGCCCTCCCTAACTGCGGCAACCACCGTCGGTGATCCAAACCTACAAAACCCACCACCCAACAAAGTACCGCTCTTCTTTCGAGATGAATACGCCACATTCATGGTCAGGGGCAATTTCATGACATTGGCTGCCAAACCTATCCTCGTCGAGGAGGGCGAATGGCTTGCACATCAACGTAAATTAATTACCGTTCCTCATGATCGCAAAATTTTCCTTTTGCTGACCAACTAGAACAGTTGTGGAGCAAGAGCGACTCTTGAGTGCGATGCTCGCCGTTGTACAAGAGAGTGACCGTAATACGGGTCGAGGCATTTGCAATGAACACAGCTGCCCTACCATGTCAGCTGGCCCGTGAGTAGTTTCTGGACGTCAGCAGAGGCTTCAGGCCATCGTATCGTTGACTTTTGAACCAGATTGGCAACCTATCAATGGATGGACACTCAGCGCAACCCGATTCATCTACCAGCCGCACAATACATAAAACACATTCAAACGTGGGTTAAAGGCAAGATCACGGATGAGAGTCTCTTTCCTACGGCAAACTTCAACTCCGCACCACCATTGCCCGTTCCCCAAAATATCGCCAACGACAACAACTGGTGGCTTGGCAAAACATCTGGATTTCCACAACGCTTCGAAAACGAGATCAAAAATATGTACAAGCAGATGTTCCGATGCTACGCGCATCTCTATTGGTCGCACTGGCTCAATTTCTGGGAGATGGACGCAACTCGGAACCTGAACACGTGCTTCATTCATTTCGTCAACGTGGGACGGAGTTATGGTTTACTATCGGACAGGGACACAGAGCCGATGCAACCGCTCATCGATTTGTGGGTTGCTCGTGGCGACATCCCGCAGCTTTCTGAAAGCGTGCCTGTTGCAGAGACTACAGCGGCTACAGCAAGCGCCACACCGGCCACCGCGACCACTGCAGCTCCAGCCTCGCGTCCTGCACCAACAACAGCTGCTGCACCAGCGGCTGCTTGAGCGTGCGACTATCAGATGCAAGCATCGCATGAGAGCTGCGTGAATGACGATTTCCGAACCGATGATGTGTTTTTCTTGGCGTATATGGATCGCATTGCGCGTATGTCACTAGCATTTGGAAGCTGTGGTCAGCAGGAGATTGGGTTGGGCGGGAGTTTCGTGCGAGATGCCTTGCGGTGGATCGCGATTTTGTATGAGACCATGAGCAGTCGAGCAAAGCCACGGACAAATCATTAAATTGCCCTTGATGACTTTTGAAGATATCTCTGAACAAATGCAAATATTGATCATGACAGCTGCTAGATGACAAATCATTTATTTCCTGTCAATCATTATGTTGCGGCAAATACAGCAGCAATCAATCGGTTTAACTGTCATACATCCACTTTTCTGTAAGATCAGTATACACCTGGGCAGGCAATCGAGGATACCTAGTAACCTTGGAATATCGCCAATCCGGAATGGCGGAGAGTTTGCTGAATTTAATAGAGCTGCAACCCCACCCGCTGGTTTGGAGCGAGAAACGTCAAGCACACGCAGGTACCACCACTTTCAATTCGACCGGGAACCTTCGAACGTTGGAACCCAACGTGATCAGCTCTGCAGAATACTCAGCTGCAGATGATCGAAAGAGCAGCTGTCAAACGTAGTTTGTGAGGTTCAGCAGTATCCGTCCTCACGAAGAGAGCAGCCTAGCCCAGTCCAGCCAAAATGCACTGACGGAAAGGAGAGCACTCCGGCTTTACTTTCATCTTGCGTCAGCCGAGTCGTGTCGTTTGTTTTCCCTCGGCCGGTCTCTTGTCTTCAAAATTGACAATGGCTCCACCTTATCAGCTCGCTCCCTGGACCATTTCGATGCTAGCCTCGCGGCCTGCGCTGCAGACGGCAATCCCCCGGCATGCGTTTGCGATTGGTGTTCGGAGGCAATCGACGCCAATTGCGTGCGTCGCGCGACGGACAAATAACAAATTTTTAAGCACAAAGTCCAGGATATCGGTGCTATATGTAGCGCCGCGCCGGTATCAGTCTACAGCTTCTTCCTCACCCAACTCCACTGGCAACATTGGGACTCCAGAGTCTTCTCCCATTTCAACTTTACAGCCGCCGTCAGCATCATCATCCTCCTCCTCGTCACCAGCTTCAACGTCCCCACAGTCATCGGGAAAGCGCCCCGCGCCCTTCTTCTTCCGCGCTTTAATCTCTACCTCTCTCGTTGTCGTCCTTTTCTTCGTCGGCACCGCCATGGCAGCGCAGCCTGTAGCCGAGACCATCAATGCATGGGCCAATCCTCCCTCTGATGAAGAGACCTTGACTCTCTTCGAACCGACCACGGAAAATGCTCATGCGATCAATGCGCACATCATAAATCACCCATTGGCAGTGAAATTACGCGGGGAGTCAGGCTGGATAGAGAGCAGGCCTCATATGAAGATCCCTCCGGCTATGCGACAACACAACTTGACAGGAGGTGCTCTTCTGGGGGACGGGAAAATTGAGGTTCCACCTCTTACATTCAGTGAGGTTGATGCGGAATTGCCGCGGATCGTCCAGATGACATATCTCGGTTCGGGTCTATGTGGACATCCAAACATCGTGCATGGCGGTCTGCTTGCGACAATGCTCGATGAGGGTCTGGCACGCTGCTGTTTCCACGCACTACCCAACAAAATCGGGGTGACCGCAAGTCTAAAGATTGACTACCGCGCGCCTTGCCCCGGCAACAGCTACGTGGTCCTGAAGGCAGAGACAACTAAGGTGGAAGGCCGCAAGGCTTGGGTGAAGGGCTGGATTGAGGTGCTCGGAGAGGAGGATGGTACTGGCGTCAAGCTGGTTGAAGCCGAGGCACTGTTCATCGAGCCCAAAGGCGCGAAACAAATGGCTCGCATATACAGCGCTACATGAGACGTCCGCTTGTCTAAACCTCCGTCCGAAGAGCAGCCTCGATCAGTCAACTTGGACATACAGGACAATAGACGCTAGATGGCCATATCAATCGAATGTAGTTTTGGATAGCTCAAATCTAGACAGAGCTGGACATGGATAACAAAGGGAATATGCCATGTCCATCATGCTCTCGTGGGTCGATCTGACGCCAAAACGCCGGGCTTACATTGTTCGCTTCGCTTACATACCGAGTTGCTTTCGGAATCGCATAATTGCCTGGTGGTTCAAATCAGAAGTCTGTGCCTTCCGGCGGCTGAGGAAGTTTCTTGTTTGCAGGCGCTGCCATGTATCGTCGGATTTCAATGAGGATGGTCTCCATGGTAAAGTCACGCTTCCATGTGCTGATGCTGGGTAGCTTAGACAAGTCGACCTGCGAGGCATAATGAATATGTGGGCACGTCATGAATGTGGCATGTAAGGAACTACTCGACCTACCTTGCCATTCCTTTGATCGACACAGGGAATATTCACTTTGCTGATGAAAGTCACCTCCGGGGGCTTGTCGGGGTACTCTGATCCACAGTGGATCCTGAGTGAGTAGATTCGGTTCTCATGGTTACTCTACGGGGTCGGTCAGCGAGGGCCTGGTCGTGTTTAATCCGATTTCCTTCCGTGACATACATGTGGAGGTCCAAGGATTGTGCCGTTCCAGTTGGTCAGAGAAAGATCGTCTCCTTCATCGAGACCATATGAGCAGGCCTCTGCGAGTCTATCAGAATTGAATGTCCAAACCTCGTCGTCAATGTTTACTCTACCGGCTCCTAGTCCCTTCTCGCCTTTCTCCAATTCCTCGAGCAATCGAAAATTGCGTGGAACTTTGGCACCCATCGTGATTACGAATCAGTCTTCCGAGTAGTGAGTTTTGTTCTTGTGATCACCAGTACTCTCTCTTTACAGAATGGTACTATTCTCAGTCCACAGCAATGGCGACAATCATTCGACGAGTAGGGATCCTTTCGTCTCGCTCCGCCGATGTCTGTGACGCTCGTGGGGTCGGAAGCGCGCGCCCCACCACCAAACATCACGTGTCAGGCACGATCGACAACTGACGTTCGCGAACCAGCGACATGACTCGTGTATTGCCTTGTTCGTGTATGCCGCGGGCGTGTCCTACAGCACTACGGTGAGCAGCAACAACAAAAGCACCTGGGCAGCTTAATGATAAAGCTTGGGATTTTCAGTGATCATCTACGGGCTGTACCATCGTTTAGGGCTGAACAGGTGGTCTATTCACGACAGACGGAGAAATTGCAGGTGTCAGAACCATCTCTCACATCACCACTACCCATATATCGCCTCCGCATGAATATGACAAACCATCATGTGTGAGCCAGTGGCACATTTTTGTTATGGCTCTGGCATCGGAAGACAATCGCAAGCAACACTTCGACGAGTTAGCTGAAAATGCCGTGCTCGACATCTTCTTCCCGCAGAAGTCCAGCTTTGACATCATCACGCAGCTGCGTAATGTTCCAACACAGGGACAGCTCATACCAGATAGGCACAACGCATTCTTTGGTGAGTGTTTGTTATGGGTCGAAAACGTGTGTGAGCCATGACTGACGGAAAGTTGCAGATGAGATAGCCAAGATCATACTTGTGCTGAGAACGACCGTGTCTCAAGATGAGCTGTCAACCCTGTTACAAGATGTCGAGCTTTGCATTTCCGCGCATGTCACTGAGGCCGTGACGAATCGAGCTGTTGACTCGTTCCCTATGCAGGAGAAGCATGAGCTCAACTCCAAATCTCAGCTCGCGCGCGACAAATGCGAGTTTGTATCAGCTGGAAACTTTACCTTTGTGGTTTGGAAGGTATCTCTTCATCTGACACGACCACGAGTCCGAGTTCAAAGACCTATCGTCACGTTCTCGGCCAACTTAAGCCTTCAGCTAGCAAGCAAAGGCTCAAGTCGCGATCCGCCGGAACTGACGCTATTAAAGAGCTACGAGCCACTGCCTGCGAATGTACTTGCTCCATTCCAATCTGATCCGAAATTGAACAAAGTCGATATCTTCCTGTCTGAATCGCGTATCACGAAAGTCGCTCCATCATCAGGAGCTGCTGCCACCGCAAGAGCCATTAGAGGGTCATCAAAAGTGGGAGTGCCTGTCGTACCAGCTCTATTTATCAGGATCAAACATGTCGCGGTGGCAGATGCGATTTTGGCAAGCGTTCATCTCGATACATCTCGTTTCATTACGGGGCTTCTGACTCTAGAGTCAATTACCTGTGATGCTTCTGGTCAAGCGGCGCACCCGTTAATCAAAATGAAGTCGGTTGAACGTACCAGCGCGGGCGATGAGACTATACTCGTTTACAGGATACCAAACTCGGACCGTCCGCCAAATGAGATCATGAGGCCGTTGATGACTATTACGATCGAAGCAACAGCAATTGTGGAACAACACCTGGAGACACAACTCCTCATCACATGGCAGTCATATCTGGAATGCCCTGCTCCATCTAGCGCTCCGCGATATAGCTGGAGTCGACCGACAAGTACCTTGTCCGTTGCGGCATTGCGCAATTCAGCATCGGCCACACCGCGACCCCCTTCGTCCGACTCATATCGCGAACGCACGATGTTTCACATCAGCGGGCCCTCCACTGCATCTGTCAAGGAGGACCTCTGTTTGCACATCCAATGTAGCAATCGCTCCAGCCGCTCACGAAGATTCGCTTTGGCAATGCAACTATCTAGAAAGGTTGGGCATTCGCGTATTCGAGCCGCGGCCTCTGCTTCTCACGCAGTAGCTCGCCTCTTTGAGCCTACAACACTACATCCATTGGCTCAACAAACCATGCTTGTGGTCAATCCCGATCTGAGAATAGGTCCACTGCCATCAGGTGCCACTTTTGAGACCGATTTGATAATACGCGCGCTCGACCCTGGAATTCTTGAACTGGGTCCTCTTCACATTGTGGATTTAGACTTAAGGCAGACGGTCGATATACATGAACTGCCGGACATCATGGTTGCAGAAGGCGGTGTCAGATCGTAATGCCGCATCAATCTGCGGTATATTTGATCTGGACTTGTCTCGTAAATGTCGACAAGGCCTTGCGGATATAAGCGGTGGTAAGCTTTACAGGGTCAACGTCCCACACGATCTTCCGCCTCCGAGGCTAGCGCCCCCGCTGCAGACACGGAATACTCGACACGACTTGCGAGTCGTCAATGCTGACAACCACCGTCCGACAGTGATCTTGTCGCGCACGCGCTACGCTCTCTCGAATCATATATCGAGATCGAAATCATTGCTTGCATTTAATTCTTTGCTTTTCAAGGGTACAAATCACAGGCATACACTTCGCGGACCATCCCACAACGACTGCTGAGGTTTGCAAGCATTTCGCGAAATGTCCGCCACAGTTCCAATTCCGTTTTCAGAGCCACCATATCTGCTTGGCCTGCCTTCACCATACTACACACCAGAGCTTCGTGCATGGCAGAAGGCCGTTCGCGAGTTCACAACAGAGCACCTTCACAAGTACGCTTGGGATTGGGAGAAAGAAGAGACAGTTCCTGAACATGTCTATGGCATATTCGCGAAAGCTAACATGCTTGTCGCAACCCTCCCAGCGCCGTTGCCAGTGAAAGAGTTGAAAGCATGCGGGATTCATGATATCCTCGGCGTTGTTAAGGTGGAGGACTTCACATACTTTCACAACCTGATCTTCGCGGATGAGATGGTACGCACCGGACTGGCTGGCCCGCCAGGCAGTCTGACCACCGGTATTGCCTTCGGCGTCCCTCCGATTATCAAATTCGGCAATGAGCAATTGAAGCAGCGATTTCTACCAGATCTCTTCTCGGGCAAGCAGCGGATATGCATCGCCATCACGGAGCCAGATGCTGGTTCCGATGTGGCCAACATCACCACCACTGCGAAGAAGAGCAGCGATGGAAAAAAGTACATTGTCAACGGTGCAAAGAAGTGGATCACAAACGGTATCTGGTCGGACTGGGCAGCGATGGCTGTTCGAACCGGAGGACCCGGAGCAGCCGGACTCTCAATGCTGCTGGTGCCATTGAAGGGCCACAAAGGCGTCGATATGCGCCGGCTGAAGGTCTCTGGTCAGATCAGTGCCGGTACGACATACATCGAGCTCGATGATGTCGAAGTGCCTGCAGAGAACTTGATCGGAAAAGAGGGTATGGGTATGAATTACATCATGACAAACTTCAATCATGAAAGACTCACGATCGCCATTGGTGCGACGCGGCAAGCGCGTGTGGCCTTGTCGGCCGCATTCGAATACGTCATGAAGCGGGAGGCGTTTGGCAAGAAGCTCATGGAGCAACCTGTCGTGCGGAACCGACTAGCCAAGGCTGGCGTGTTGCTGGAAAGTCAATGGGCTTGGGTCGAACAGTTTGTGTACCAGATGTGCAACATGTGAGTGTTGACCCTGCCCACAAATCCGGAACGTGTGAATGATGCTGACTCGTCCGCAGGAAAAAGCAAGACGCCGACATAGAGCTCGGGGGACTGACAGCGGCAGCTAAGGCTCAAGCCGGTATCGTACTCAAGGAATGCGCAGACTGCGCAGTGTTGCTATTTGGTGGCAACGGATACACCAGGTCCGGCCAGGGAGAAATCGCAGAGCGCATGTGGCGAGAGGTCAACGGCAACCGTGTTCCTGGAGGTTCCGAGGATGTCATGCTCGATCTGATGGTTCGGCAGCTCGCAAAGAATTACCAGCGAAAGACGATCGAGCTGGAGCGAGCCAAGGGCGCACGCTTATGAGCGTAAAGCCTCACAATGTATAGAATAATTTCCGAAAATGGCCAATACCAGTATTGGTGATGGTGATGCGGGATTCACCTGGACGATGAATCATACGCTTTGTATCAATTCTCTTCAAACTGACAGTAGCCCGAGAGTCAGGCCTCCGTCCCGCGAGCATCTGCACAATCGCGCGTATGGCAGAGATTCACTTATGCATCTCTACACTTGCTCGAAGGTACTTCACTGAATCTTGCATCATAGCGCGGGGGGTCCTATTCAGATTCATTCAATCGCCCCAGATGTCCTGCTTGGCTTTTTCTTTCTCTCGCTGTGCTTGTAGCTCTCTCTCCTTGGCCTGGTCGCGTTTCTTTTTCTCTTGAATCTTCATCGCCTGGTCATACTCTCGTTGCTCCTTGGTCCGCTGCGCTGGTCGCTGACCAATGGCTGCCGCAATGAGCCGTGACGCTATGGCTGTGGTTTTATCTGGCCTTCGCTCCTCGCTATTTGAGGACGTCTTGGCGGACTCGAGCGGTGCAGTGCCATCATTCAACGATCCGTCCGGGTTGAATAAAGGTCGAGTCGTACTGCCAGAGATTGCCGTTTGGCGAGCTCCGGAACAAGGGCGTGCAGTGGTAGCTACAGGCTGTTTCAGACGATTACCCTTGCTATCCGCCTCAAGGTTGTCTTCAACATCGTCTTCCCATGAATCAGCGACAGGAACGGTGGGTTTGCTGGATTGACTCGACATCTTCTGCATCAGACCTAGCGTGACGCTCTGGCTCGTGAAGTTTTGGTCACGATGATGGCATCAACTTGTGTCAGATCATACAATGCGCGCAAGTTTGTCGATGGTTTTTAACGGCACGGCGAATGCTACTTGCTCGAGGGGGGATGCGCGAGAGCGCGATATGTCAATCGCTCCTCTCCAGGGTCCCGCAATCAACTCACGACCTCAGGAATCTCTCGTCTTAGGGTTGATTTGACGTCATGGAATCACAATGCAACAATCATTCATGCCGAAATTCCATTGAAGAAACATCATGGGTTGTAGGTTTACCGTTAAGCATTCAGTGATATTGTATCTCAAGAGGCGTATGGTATGCGTGTGCTATGCAGGAGGCACGAAGTCTTGACTTCGTGAAGTCGAGTCATGATACTCATTGATGTACAACATGGTACTCAAAGCCGGCGGACGGAATTAGTCGAATGTCACATTTGTATTTGGCATTCGCTTTGCGAGCCGACATAAAGCTGGATTGTACCAACACAGTCGCGACGACACTATAGCCTTACTGTCCGTGAAGCTGGGTCTTGTTTGAACTCTTCCTAAATGCATGGGAACTAGGTAATTCTTATCAGCGCAGGTGATCAAGAAAAATGGTGTCCATTCGAGCTTATTCGACCTCGCTCGGCCAGAGAGTTCGATGTTCGAGTCGGTGCTTTTCGACGGCACGCTCATTACGCGGATACGATGATACTGTACACAACCTCAAGATTGGAAAACACACCCGCGTAATCTACCAAGGTTTTACAGGACGTGTAGCAACCACCAATGCAAGGGACAGCTTGGCATATGGTACCAACATTGTTGGTGGTGTCACGCCTGGCAAAGAGGGCGAGCATCTTGGTCTTCCTCTACTGCCCGATCTTCGAAAGGCGAAAGAGCAACTGAGGCCCGATGCGACAGCCGTTTTCGTTGCTGCACCGCAGTGTGCAAAGGCAATTGAGGACGCTATTGAGGCGGAGATCCCTCTAATTGTAGCCGTGGCCGAACATATTCCACTGCATGACATTCTAAGGGTATCTGCTGATCCGCTTGTTCCACACTCACATGAGCATCGCTGATCTCAGGCACATAGGTCAGTAGCATTCTCAAGACACAATCCAAATCACGTCTTGTTGGAGCAAACGCCCCGGGGATCATTGCTCCGATCGGGTTCTGTCGAATTGGCTTTCAGCCGCTTCCGACGTTTGCTCCAGGGCATATTGGAATCGTCGCCAAATCAGGTACGCTCTCATATGAGGCGGTCGCGTCCGTAACACGAGCTGGCCTCGGTCAAAGTTTGTGCATCGGAATGGGCGGCGACATTGTTGCGGGCACCAATCTCGTCGATGCTCTCAGAGTATTCGAGAAAGACGACGAGACCGAGGGCATCATCCTGATCGGTGAAGTTGGTGGTCGGGCAGAGGAGGATGCAGCGGAGTGGATCAAAGACTATCGAAGGCGCGTCTCAAATCCCAAGCCAATCGCCGCGCTGGTGGGAGGAAAGGAGGCTAAAGTGGGTCGAATTATGGGTCATGCTGGAGCCTGGGCCGCACGGGGAGAAGCAACCGCAGAGGAGAAATACAAGTATCTCGAGAATGCAGGTGCTGTCATGGTGGACCATCCCGAAAAGTTCGGTGGCGTTATGAAGACATTGCTTAAGCAGTCTGGACGACATGTTGACAAGTTCCAAGCCAACGCAAGCCAGCAGACCCGCGGGTTTCACACCCTCAGAAGATTCAACAGCCATATGCGTATCCCTCATTTGACGAATGGACCGACTTCAAATCAGCAGAGAAGGACACTTTTCTTGAGACCGGATGTTGCGAGCTCACTACTGAATGAAGAGATTAGCCAGATCAAGGGCCTCAAAGTCGTCGATGGCGAGTCGCCTGACAACGGACATTATCTCGGCATCATCGTTGATCGTACTGAACGCTCACCATGTATTGTAGCTGCTCCGACTTCACAGCAGGCTTTGATCGACAAGCGTGTCAAGCGCTTTCCATACGACTGGTCGCATGGGCCCCCAGATGCTTTGATTGCGCAAGCTATCGATCACATGCAACTCACATCTGCGCCTTTGACAGCCAAAAGCCAAGCGACCAAGCTGATTGCTAATCTCGCCAAGATGTATAAGGAGAAAGAAGCCATCATTCTGTCTGGTTGCGTCAGCGTCGATGACTCCGGAAACCTCAATTTTCATTCCTCTAGTTTGACACTAATGGTCGATGATTCAGCATTTCGAAGCGCAAAGCGCCAGGAGAGCATCCACGCGCTTCGCGAGAAGACCCAGGAGAACCAGTCAGAAGTCGACGCCGAACAGGACGGAATCGTCTACGTCGAGCTTGATGACGCGCAAGCAAATATCGGGACCCTCGTGAACGGCGCTGGTCTTGCGATGAACACGCTCGATGCACTCCGACTTCACGGCGGTCGCGCAACGAATTTCCTCGACACAGGCGGCAAAGCTACATCAGCGACAGTCAAAAAGAGCTTCGAGATCATTCTACGTGACCCGCGCGTCAAGGTCATTTTCGTCAACATTTTCGGCGGCTTGACCGACGGGGGCATGATTGCCGAGGGGATCCTGCTCGCGTTCAAGGAGGTAGATATGAAGAACGTTCCTGTGGTGGTGCGTATTCGGGGTACGAATGAGGAGACCGGCCAGAAGATCATTGCTGAGAGTGGCCTTGGCCTCGATGCCTTCGACAGCTTCGAAGAGGCAGCCAAGAGAGTCATTGAGATCGCCAACAAACACTAGCAGTGCATGCGTGCGCTCGGAAATACACATATTTTCTGAAAGATCTTCACCTTGATTGTCCTGCTGGAGGGCAGAGACCCCCGATAGAGTCCCTAGAAGAGCTGGCTTTTGTTGTACATAGTCTACGAAACCTTGCAAGCTTAGCGTATCAAACGAGTAATGACTGCGCTTGACGAGCTGCTGACACGGTGTCAAAAAGTTTCACTCTGACCACTTGTGCGACTCCTTAAAATGTAGTTGCCAGTCAATCGCCATGCGACTTGTGTGACATTCGGCGAATCCAACGCATCTGCGCCACGAACCCCAGGACTCCGTTCCGGATGTTCCTCAGTCTCAGAAATCTTTGTCTCGGGTATAATCAACGGCGCTACCCTGGTAGCTGCTAAAGGCAAAATCCTTCCCGACTGCACACATCATATTCGTCGTCTCATCATGGCCATTTTTCGTAGCTTAAGCGTTGCCTCCGATCTGCTCCTGGTGCACCTCGAGGGTGTCGCCGTCCGCCATGTCGAGCTAAGAAAGGATATCAATCAGCGAGGGAACAGTGACAAGCGGGCCTGCATACGTACAGTATCGGGGTTGTCCGTGGGGTTGACTCGCTGGCCGTCGAAGAGGAAGCGGACACTCTGCGGGCTCTTGCCTTGACGCTCACAGAAGGCATCCATCAGCTTCTTGAGTGGCGTTGTGCGCTTGATCTTGAAGAACACCTCGTTGTTGCTGTCGGTGACTTTTATATTCAAGTGCTCAGACTGCGGGGGCTCTTCTGGAGGCGCTCCGTTGTCTGCCATGATCGCCACAGCTGCTGATATTGCAGGTTAACGCGCGAAGGTTGCGTTGTAAGTTGTGCGTTGTGACGAGAACACTTTGTTGTTTATTAGTGTGCTGTGATGATAGTTGATGTGATGGGCGGCGCATGACAACCACTTTGATTGCCCGCACCGTAAGTATGGCTGACTAACACGCGCTCGGGCGTGTCGGGCGGGGCCTCAAAGTTCAAATTCACTTGTTCCACATGTCTGCCTGCTTTTGTGCAACACTCATTACATCCGTGAAGCTGAAGTGAGAGAGTGCTCATTCAGTGCCTCGATGCCCTGAATGTCGTAGATGTGTGGTAGTAATACAATAATTCCAAGGTTGGCATTCGATGAAAGTGGCCCTCGTGGAAGACTACACTTGACAACGAATGCATCGTGGTATTTCGTGTCGTCATAAACCAGTGGTCGGGGAACTATCCGCTTGTGCACCTGTGTCTCGTGCGCGAGATTCAAGAAACCATCCAATGCTTCACCTTCAGCTTTTGATTGCGAACATCCACTCCGATTTGAAGTCTATCACGATGATGGTAGGTAGATGCACACCTCGCAGCACGTGAAAGATACTGACAGCACGCAAGACCCCTGAAAAAGGCGTTGAGAACGACCCTCCATGCCATGCGCAAGCTTGTTCAATCCAAGGTAGATTGCCATTAAACCGTCTGACATCGAACACATACTGAAAGTTGGGGATTAGCTTGTCTGCAGAAAAGCAATTACAAGGAGGAGAAGTGCCAGAAACAAGTGAGTGCATGTTGAATTGGAATTCTGGTTGCGAACGTCTGCTCATCATGCCGATTACAGGTTGATGCACTGTACGAGTGTTGCAATCTTTTCTACCAAAAAGCAGGAGACGATGGATCGTCCGTAAGCTGCCCAAAGGCTTCTCTCCTTCGGTAAGTGGCAGAGGACCGAGTTTTGAAATGCACACGCGAGCCATCACAACTTACGCATGCCCTCACACCAGGTTGAAGATGAAGCAACGGAGTCAATCCACCTGAGGTTGGATATCGAGAAGGGCAAACAAGGTGCCGCCAGAAAGAAATGTCACGTCAACTTTGCGATCTTGCATTCCCTTAAATCGGAACGCAAGTTATATAGCAGCCGTGCTTGATATTAGACTGCCGGAGCACGCTAGGAGGCCTCGATGGACCTGTACAAACACTGAAAGTTCGCACCGAGACTCTAATGGTAGCCTGTAAAGACATTGTTGAGAGAAAGGAAAAGAGAAGGTGTACAGAGTCTGCGAAATTTGATACAGGCTCGAATTCGGCGGGTGGTGGACTTAATTATTGGCTGGCGCAGAAGTCGTGGTCTTGACGCTGCAGCATTGCCCTAGGTAACCCCCCATCAATTCGAGCTTCGATATTGACATGGAGTGATAACGAACGTCCATGGGTCGTTTGCAAATACACTACTGTGTGAAGGGAGAGAAGTGAGCGATTGTCACTTCCACTTCAAGGCCAGTCAATCAATTGCTTCAGAGTTGTAGAGTTTTGGCCACATCACAGATGGCTCCACGCAAGATTATCATCGACACGGATCCAGTATGTTGCACATCGATCCGGACTTCTTTGGCAATCAGGCATCTATTTACATACTTTCTCACAGGGTGTTGACGATGTTCTTGCCATGCTACTAGCCTTTTCTGCGATCCCCGAAGAACTCGAAGTATTGCTTTTATCGATCACATACGGCAACATCGATCTGGAGAATTGCCTTCGAAATGTCGTTTCAATGTTTCATAACATTGAACAAGAGCTTGCTTGGAGGAAAGCTCAGAACAAGTCGCTGGGATTTGATGCCCTGAGGAAGCATAAGCCGCTGGTCGCCGTTGGACCAACGCATCCATTGGTTGATCAAATGTTGATGGCCGATTACTTTCGTGTGTATAAGCTTTGAAGCACGGCGTGTTTTCTCGACCACTGATAAAGGCATACTCAGATGGAAATGACGGACTCGGCGGAATCCACGATAGTGTGCGTATGTCGTTCATGTTCTCACGGGGACATAGCAATACTGAATTTCAACTAGCACCCTCATCTGTCACCTGCAGACACATGGAGACAGCTATTCGAACATGCAAAAGACTCTGCGCGACCGGATGATGCTGCGATATTAGCTGAGATGCAGAACGTCCACGCTTTGTTCACTCCATCCAGGTTACCCGCAAGTGAGGAAATTCTGCGTCTTCTCCGAGAGAACGAACCAGACACGATCTCCATCGTAGCAATAGGACCTCTCACGAATTTGGCCATCGCGGCCGCCGCTGACCCTGAAACCTTTCTTCGAGTGAAGGAAGTCATTGTCATGGGAGGGACATTGAATGATACTGGAAATGTAAGTCTAGTGCCTCACCAAGACTCGTTCTTCACATCGCCATCACGGAGAGCCGTCCTCCTGGCTCATCGAGAAGCCCTTGGCCGAGCAGAGGCATTCTGACCTTACGCAACTAGATTACTCCGGTGGCTGAGTTCAACACATTTGCTGACGCGGTCGCTGCGGCACGAGTGTATGCTCTGAGTTCACAAAATCCCACATCGACCATGCCGCCTATCCCTCCTGCGCCACAAACCGGCGAGCCCGAACAATCGCACCTAAAGCCGTACCCGGATGCATTACCAAGGCGGCTGAAAGTAACGCTGTTCACGCTCGACGTGACGAACTACCATAAGGTAACGAGGGGGCTATTCAGGAAGACGGTAGAGCCTCTACTTGGCGTCCAGTCGCCTCTCGCGGAGTGGACTCAAGCGTTCATGGCTGCAACCTTCGACAAAGTCGAGAGCCTTCACGACGACATCAGCGGAGATGCGGTTTCCCTGAAATTGCACGACCCGTTATGCATATGGTACTGTATGACAGATCCTACAATATGGAATATTAGCGATGAGGTGGATGTCAGGGTCGAAACAACAGGGCAGTGGACTCGAGGCTTGACACTGTTAGATCGACGTGCTCGACGCAGACGAGAACATGGCGACGATGGAGATCGACCCGGGGACACGGGTAACTGGCTGAGCACTTCGAGTGGCAATCGGCTTCGATACTGTATCGATTCGCCTGACAGGGATGCATTCGGGAAGTTCATGCTAGACCGAATATTCTTCCCATGATGTTAGCAAATGTTGTCAACGTCAGCAGACGGTCAGCAGACGATTGAAGATGATCTCTGAAATCGATCGATGTCAGCAAACTTCTATCATCTTGGCGAGTTGATGACGTGTGCTATTTGGCTGCCAGCAGTGGTCAGTATGGTATGTGGCCATCGCCTGATGTCTTCAACTGCGTCGACTCGTCATCATACAGAGGCGTCGGTGCTGTACTCGATGTGTTGCCTCGAGTGGCGGCGCGTGGTTCAGATCAGTGGTGGAGCCACGTGCTCGCTTGGCATTTACGCCTTGATCGTGGCTGAGCGCTCTTTTGCTGTTGCACACATTTTTTGCGGGATCTCCGGAGGACCAGAGTCCCGGTGAGCAGTCCAGATCTGTCGGTTCGATGTCATGTCGAAATCCCCGTAGGCGTTGATGACGAATAAGTCACTGGAGAGTATATGTCACTGTGGTCCTGGGTAGCTTGCACAGTATGTGCTGAAAATATGCAGTCCCTTGCACAAGCCCCGATAGGAGGATCGGTAAGCTCGAACCACAGAGATTGGTGTGATTTGTTAGGCCTTCCCGCAGGAATTCTTGCCCGTAAAGTTTCTCGCCCGGCAAGTGCGTCGGGCGCAGCAATAAGGGAATTACACGAAGTTACCTCAGACGGACACGCTCATTCTACACGCTTTAGACGGATCTCCCTTTGTTTGATGCACTTCCGGCAGAGTTGCTGTCTGGCCGCCCGCGTGTCGATGCGAGACAGCCCGATGGATTGGCTATGAAGTCAACATGGTCTAGACGCCCTCTAAATTATTGGAGCATAACCTTGGAAACTCACCGATGCCGTGGAAGGTTTCGCGCGGGCGACTAGTTCCTCGATTTATCCCACGTAGATTGACGAACGACATCAGCGGTAGTGCGCGCTCCCGGTCGTTTGCCCGAAGCGCGCTGCATTCAGGCCGCCAGCGCGATCTTTACTGATGGGCTCGGGACTAAACGCCCGTAGCACAACGACAATGATGATGATGAAGCTCACGAATCGTATCAGAAACGATCGTCCGCCTTTGAAAGATCTCTCGACTGATGGCAGACCTGTAGCTGGCACTGACACTCACCCGGATGGGCCCCAACAAAAGGAAAGAGCAATGTGCCCCACGATTTAAAGTTGCCTTTTAACAGATACCTGCAGAGTGCTCGAATCGTGTAAAAGGGAATAAAACGGCTGGCGCGACTGATTCCTATTCGCAGCCAGTCCCCCAGTAGACCGTTGGTCACACACCGTCTCGCACTTTCGTGTGCTGTACTGCACCGCTGAATTGAACGCACATGCACCATCATCGATCGCTGGGCTTCTGGTACAAGTCATGTTAAGCCGCCCGAGACTCGGAAAGTGTTCAAATTCGGGCGCATGATTGGTTGGTCAGCTAAGTGGGCATCCATGGATGGTTTTGTGTTTCTTTGTCTTGCTACTGCATATGCAATTGGATTGCGGCGGCGATAAACCGTGTCTTTGATGACCGGATGAAACATCCCAGGGTTTCTCGGACAGCCCGTGTATGTACAAGGAACACGGAACTCCCTGCCTAATAATTGACAGCCTCCGCTTCGGTTGTTCTCCCCTCATGATGAAGGCGAAATGATTGAGACGTCGGCGATGACGATGGTGGTGCTCTATTGGGGTGTAGCGGCGATGCATCATGATCGTGTTGTTGCTACAGCATCACCACAAGTCAGACGCCTGTGAACTCCCGCCCAGAGCCAAGCATGTCCGGCTTTTCTGCTCTCATTTCGGAAGTGTGCGATCCATGAATATATATTGCCTGCGTCCATCATTAGAGACCCGCTCGTCCCACACAGCCAATTCCCGAAAATGCAGGTGCAGGTGTTTGAAGGTTTGGAGGCGTTGGGGCTGTGCAATTTAGCGCCATGTAGGGCGGCCATCGACATCATTTCCCCAGGCTTGTTATTGGTCGACTCCAAGACGTCGGATTTAAAATGTGCAGTAAACGATGGGCTAGGCCGATCAATACGCTGGTCGCGCCCGTGGTCATGAATCGTGATTCCGTTTTCATTCCTAGGTAATTGTCCAACTCGTCGTCCTCAAGAAAACGATCAATTCGCCTCTGGCATACTCGCCTAGACATTCGCGTGGCGATTGCGAATCAGCAGCCCCGTCGTGAACACATTGTACAGCACAACGTCCGGGTTTGATCCACAAATTCATCCGGCCCGCCACCCGTGTTTTACTTTGGTCACTCATTCTCATTGTGGTGAGGGCGGCTGCTCAATCTCAATTTGTGACCGATCATCTCTTTCCCTTCGTTACATCACGACGAAAAGAAACCCATCCGAGGACACACCCCGGACTGGACTTGTCTGTTTCTTGATACGCTTCTCCAGAGATTAAACCAAGTCGCTAAGACTCTTAGCATTCCGGCCTGAGCTCTTCTAACCGCTTTGCATTCTGATAGCCACTGCCTTGGTTATTGTCCGCACTTGACGTCTGCGTACTTGTTGTGGCTTAGGTTTATCCCTTCGGCAACAACCTTGGAACTCACCTTTCACGACTAGCAGTCACTGTCGTGCAGCTTGAAGGCAGCTGCGAGCAATCCACTTCGCCTCAGCTTCATCATCCCAACGAACCCGTGGCTCGCTCTCTCATAGCATCTCTATATGCCTTGGCACTCTGGCCATTACATAATTCATACAAGCGACCTTCCTGCTCAGGCGATCACTACACAGCCTCAAACGTGCATTACTACGTTGCCAGTCTACTCAGTCGCCACGCCTTTCGACGCGCAGTGGCCTTGATCCACTCCTTTATATGTCCCGGATAAGCATTAGGGAAAGGCTTTCTGCAGGCTCCACTCACCGGTCACAATATGACAGACACCGATCCTTCAACGCTTGAGGGCGGCTTGCCTTCTCAGCAGCATGCAGGTCCTAATCGAAGACCTCGTGCGCCTACAATTACAATCGATACCGCAGCTGGCGACAACAATCTTAACGCAGCTCCAGGTGCTGATCACGAACTTGATCAACTCTCAGACGACGGACGATCAATGCAAGGTGATAAGTCTCCACGGTTACAGCCATCGTCAATGACGCACTCACCCACCGAGGTTCGTGGGACGACAAGCTTCGACAGCCGAGAGTCAAGGCCTACGAGCCCTCATAACGTGTCATCACCAAATTGGGGCAACCAGCAAAGTTTCCTCGCTGTTCCAAATGCGCGAAGCCGAGGTGCTAGCATCGACTCCGAGGTCGAGACTGCCATCGGATCGGATTTCACTCATGTCAACGTCCAGAAGTTTGGCGATGACCTCCCTGCAAGCAAGTTTAACGATCTGAACACTGGGCCGCACCATAACGAGCCTGCCATCCTGCCTGACGAAGAAGCCCTCAAACCGGACCCCGGCACAGAGAAAGACTTCGTCCGCGAGAACAATCCATTCGCATTCACCCCCGGAGAATTGGGAAAATTATTCAATCCTAAAAGCTTGGGCGCCTTCCATGCTCTCGGCGGTCTCAGCGGAATTGAGAAAGGTTTGCGAAGCGATCGCAATGCAGGTCTGAGCATTGACGAGCAGCATCTTGAAGGGCAGGTCACCTTTGAAGACGCTACTGGATCAAGTCCCTTTGTCAAGTCATCAGAATTCGGTGTTTCCGCACCATCTGCTTCCTCTCCCGCTACGATCAAAAGCTTCAACGATCGCATTCGAATTTTCCAAGATAACAGATTGCCCGAGAAGAAGGCCAAGAGCATCTTTCAGCTCATGTGGCTTGCGTACAACGACAAAGTCTTGATTGTGTTGACTGTGGCCGCTGTGGTTGCGTTAGCCGTCGGTCTGTACCAGGCACTATCGGAAGGCGGTGTCGAATGGATCGAAGGTGTGGCCATTATCATTGCCATTATTGTTGTCGTCCTCGTGGGCGCGATCAATGACTGGCAAAAGGAACTACAATTCGCAAAACTGAACAAGAAGAAGGCCGACCGCAATGTCAACGTCGTACGATCTGGCAATACCGAGGAACTCAATGTGTATGACCTTGTTGTCGGAGATGTACTCCTCATCGCATCCGGTGATGTCTTGCCAGTCGACGGCATCCTCATCTCTGGACACGGAGTCAAGTGCGACGAATCCTCCGCAACCGGTGAATCCGACCTCTTGAAGAAGACCCCAGGCGATGAAGTCTTCGCTGCCATGGAAAAGAATGGCAATCTCAGAAAGATGGATCCGTTCATGATCTCCGGTGGCAAAGTGACAGAGGGTGTCGGTCGCATGATGGTCACTGCTGTCGGTGTCAACTCTTCCTACGGCAAAACCATGCTTACGCTGCAGGACAGCAACGACATGACTCCGCTGCAAAGCAAATTGAACAAACTCGCCGAATATATTGCCAAGATTGGTAGTGCTGCTGCCATCTTGCTCTTCGTCATTCTATTCATCAAATTTCTGGCCGGGCTTCGTCACGATGATCCGGGCATGCCGCCGCGGACCCCAGAGCAGAAGGGGCGACAGTTCCTGAATATTCTTATTGTGGCCATCACGATCATTGTCGTCGCAGTCCCCGAAGGGCTGCCGCTCGCCGTCACATTGGCTTTGGCCTACGCCACCAGACGAATGCTCAAGGACAGAAATTTGGTACGCGTACTTCGCTCTTGCGAGACCATGGGAAATGCCACTACGGTATGCTCGGACAAGACAGGCACTCTCACTCAGAATGTCATGACAGTCGTTGCTGGTTCTATTGGGACGTCTAGTAGATTTCGCGACCAAGTTGGTGCTGAGGACGCATCAACCAAGAACACTGCTCCTGTCGATGAGATCGATGCTCAGCAGACAAAAGAATGTGTCGCAACTCTTGCACCATCTGTGAAGACTTTGTTGAAAGAGAGTATTGCCATCAACTCCACCGCATTTGAAAAGGAAGAGAACGGCAAGCAAATCTTCATTGGATCCAAGACCGAGACGGCCCTTCTCGACTTCGCGAAGGAGTTCCTCGCCATGGAAAAGGTCCAACTCGAACGGGACAACGCCGAAATCGTCCAGATGATACCATTCGACTCCAGCCGTAAGTGCATGGGCATGGTCATCAAAAACCGCGAAACCAAAGGATACCGTTTGATCGTCAAGGGTGCTAGCGAAATCATGCTCCGTCAAAGCTCACAGATCATCAGCGATCCTACAAAGGACATCTCTGGAGTCGCATTAAACACCGATACCAAGGCTACACTCGAGTCTCTCATCAACGCTTATGCGTCCCGCTCGCTGCGGACCATTGGCTTGTTGTACAGGGACTTTGATTCGGAGTCGTGGCCACCGAAGGGTATTCGGAAGGTGGAAGATGACCCCTCACAGGCCTCGTTCGACGACATCTTCAAGCAGATGATCTTCGTTGGGGTCGTCGGTATTCAAGATCCTCTCCGCCCTGGTGTGAAGGAGGCTGTTAAAGACATGATCACAGCTGGAGTGTTCCCACGCATGGTTACCGGCGACAACATCATCACTGCGAAGGCTATCGCCACGGAGTGCGGTATCTTTACTGCCGGTGGTGTTGCCCTCGAAGGTCCTGAGTTCCGCAAAATGAGCAAGGCCGAACAGAAGGCTATCATCCCCAAACTTCAAGTTCTCGCGCGCTCTTCTCCCGATGACAAACGTACTCTAGTCAAACGCCTCAAGGAGATGGGCGAGACTGTGGCTGTCACTGGTGATGGTACCAACGATGCCCCAGCTCTCAAGGCTGCTGACGTGGGATTCTCGATGAACATTGCCGGCACAGAGGTCGCAAAGGAAGCCTCTGATATTATTCTCATGGATGACAATTTCGCGTCCATCGTGAACGCTTTGATGTGGGGCCGTGCCGTGAACGATGCTGTCAGAAAGTTCTTGCAGTTCCAAATCACTGTCAACATTACTGCAGTGCTCTTGGCGTTCATCTCCGCTGTTTCAAGCGCGAATGAGACATCAGTTCTATCGGCTGTGCAGCTCTTGTGGGTCAACCTCATTATGGACACCATGGCCGCTCTCGCCCTGGCAACCGACCCCCCAAGCCGAAAGATCCTCAATCGCAAGCCTGACCCGAAGTCAGCGCCTCTCATCTCGGTCACCATGTGGAAGATGATCATCGGTCAAGCCATCTATCAATTGACAATCACGCTTGTTCTGTATTTCGCCGGCCCTACTATCTTTCAGTATGGTACGGAAGAAGAGCTCAAGCAACACGCGACTCTGGTATTCAACACCTTTGTCTGGATGCAGATTTTCAATGCTCTCAACAACCGCCGCCTTGATAACCGCTTCAACATCTTTGAGGGCCTGGAAAAGAATTTGTTCTTCATTGGCATCTTCTTCGTCATGGTGGGTGGCCAAGTTATCATCATATTCTTTGGAGGCTGGGAGGCGTTCCAAGCGCAATATCAATTCGGAGACCAGTGGGCTGTCGCCATTGTGTTGGGAGCTATTTCCATCCCAATCGGCGTTGTGATCCGTCTTGTGCCAGACGAGCTAGCCAAGCAGCTTGTGCCAAAATTCTTGCGGGACATGCTCACGCGAGACAAGAGTAAGATTGTTGTCACTGATGAGGAGAATCCTTTCGAATTCAACGCTGCTTTGGTCGAGATCAAGGAAGAATTGGCTTGGCTCAAGAAGTACAAGGGAGGCCGTCTCAACAACCTCAAATTCACTCTCGCTCATCCAAAGGAAGCCTTTTTGGCCAGCCGGAGTCCTAGTCGCAGCCGTGCCAGTTCCACCATTCCTCGGACACCGACCAACGAGGCCGAAGATGACAAGAGCCATTCTCCTGCGCCATTGACGCCTGAGAGCCGTCGCCACAAACGTGGTCGCTCGAGGTCCAATTCGGCACTTGCCGGTGCTGCCATGGCCGGTATCATTGCGAGCTCCATTGGCGGTGGCTGGTCTCCAGCAGATCGACAGGGCAACGAAAGCTTACGTTTCCAGCGTGATCGTTCCAAGAGCGACTTGTCCCGCGATGCTCGGATCGAGGTACACCCCAACACCAAGAAAGACCAGGAGATCATCGTAGAGGGTGATCCGATCGAGCAGGCAGGCGGCAAGCCTCCAAGCCAATCCACGAAGACGACGCCCGATTTCAGCTACGGTCCATTCGGCGGATCTGGTGATACCAAATCAGGTGACGAGAAGAAGAGGGAAGACGGTGAAACTCGATGAAACTATATCATCAGCATTGCATAATTGCATACGGGTGGCGTCTTGCAGCGGATCCCTTATTTCGTTTTTATCTTGCATCAACTTGTAGATTAGTTTGGCCTGATCATGGCAGATTCTTCTTGCCCATGGGTCTATGTGCGCCATCCTGTAATTCCTAGTGCGGCCTTCAGAAACGTGTGTTTTGAGGAAGAATACCTAAGATACCCTAGATACTTCTGTGTGAAAGACACATTTACCAAACCAAAAGATCTCTTTTTTCTCTTAAATGCATCCCGACTCTGATCACCTCACTTCGATGTCTTGTGGACTAGCTGTTGATAGTGGTGATCTGCAATCCAACACATCTAGCAACTTGAAGTGGCTGGATTGAGGCTTGTAACCGTGAAATAGTGCGTATTAGCATTTCGATAGCAATTCGATGGGACCACATCAATTTACATCGATATATTGAGTAAACCCATCAATTCGCATCAATGTATTGATTAGCCACTAATCCTGCGTATTGCTAATATCCACCACTTTTAACCTAACGCTCACAGGTCCAGCTGGGTCGCGAAAAAGTGTTATTGATTGCAAATGAGAGGTGTTGGTTGCAGCCGCTGGCTGTTGTCAATCCAACAATCCAGTGGTTGCCACAGAACAGAGCATAATTGTCGTATAGTTCTCCCAAGAATTGACACCCGACTTTTCAACAGGAACATTCGTATCCATGGCACACATTCATTTTGCAATGAGTAGACTTCTTACTGTAGACAGAGCTGCAAGGGAATTTGAGATTGAGCACTATCTCCAAACAGCGGTCTCATAGAGCGATGACTGCATATCTACTAGAGGCGTGCGACACGCGATTCCGGAACCCTGAGTTGAGATTTTGTAGCTCACTTGAAGATATCCTGGAAGGTGCCGTCATGTATGATTTTCGCCTCCGATAACGACACCACGTACGACCACCTGGCTTCCAAGAACTAACAAATCTCTTCCACATACTCCTTTCCGAGTCGAAATCACAAGATGTGCAAAGCAGCGACTTGCGCGACGTGCAGTACGTTCTGACAACCCACGTAACGTATCAATTCCCCGCGATCGATCCCATCACTTACCAAAGTTCCAGGCAAGAAGTCATGGTGGGGATGTGGACAGGTCAGTGCATGAGACAGTTCACCTCCGATTCCTGATGCAGGTTTGAAGTCGTCAAATATATACATTGCACTATATACTAGAGTGTGAAGCTAAGGCTCATTTCGCGCGAGCAGCATATCGGCACCGTGATGGACGACGTCGCTATTTCTGAGCGCTGCACCTGTGCGCCCAAAGTCACCTCTGGCGGCAAGACGTACCCGCCGAAAGCGGCCAAGGCGGATTGATCAAGTCAGGGACGATCCATTTGGTTGCCCATGAATGATTGGCATTACCTGACGATACGTTGGACGCGAGAAATGCTATTCACGAGCGCCACAAGGCCGGGGACATCACAAGCGGTGTTGGGCAAGCGGTATCATCGAATTTGAGCTGTGTCGGCGTACAAACACATTGTTGATCCAGCGCAGCTTGATCATGAACTTCGCGTCCGATGCTGATTAGATCCCACCGATACATTACATATTCGCGCTCCTCTCTCCCGGTCAGCCCCACTCTTGCACGGAATCCTGCCTCAATTGTGTGTAAATTTGACACATGTTGCCACAGACCTCGCAACTACATCCCCTGCGCCAGCAGCCTACTGCTGCTAGTCTGAGAGTCTCGGCCAAGACCTAGCTTGACTGGGATTGCGCGAACACAATCTACGCGATGCCCTGGCAAAGATTTGTTGCAGAGCACTGAATATGGGTCCTTGACGAACGATCCGAAAGTTTCGTGTAGTGTGCGGTCAGCAGGCCCTGCTGTGAGGCAAATTGTCCTCGATTTCAGCGACTTGCGAGCGTCTTCATCCGGCAGCAGCAACAGGGACAGCGTTTGGATCTAATGCGGCTCGTCTCTCTTGCTGTGATGCCCGTGAAGCTTCGTCCATTTCCGTGATTGTGACATTCAATTCGTCCACCTTTTGTTCTTCGCCTGATGCCAACATTCGCGGATTGCCACGCTTCGGCCTCAACGAAGTTCGTTGTACAATCGGATAGATATAGGCACCTTTTTGGAGTCGCTTTTTCGCTCCTGGGTTCGCGTTGCCTGCCTCCTCTGGATCGTGCAGAGCCAGTGCGACAGAGTCGTTGTAGAAGTTTTGTGCGTCACCGTGTTGGTTTTGAGTCTCGTAGGTACGCACACGACTGTACTTGAAAGCGCGCAAGCCGTCGCCAAGGTCTGCCGTGTATAGCTCTGGATCCTCATTTTCGTGATCGTTCACGTCAAATTTGCGCTTGATACCACGAACAGATGACTCTTCGGCAGGGATGAAGTAATCATAGTCGTACTCGCGAATGGGCTCGGGATTTGTCGAATCAGGGTTCCACTCGGCGAGTTTCTGTTGATATTCACTCTCGGCTTTGGCATCGTTCACGGGCCTGAGAATGGCCGCATTCAGTCGCTCGTCATTCTTCGCACCCGAGATCAGTGGATTCGTGCTGAGCTTCATGACTATATAGAAGCCTGTCGTCGGAATTGCATCCAAATCAGGGAGGACAGGATACGATTCCAGAAGCTTCAGCCTTGGGTTCGTCGGATGAACCGGCTTCGCCCAACCCTTCAGGTCGTCTGCTGTAGGTTGCGCACCTCGTAAATTCGTTGTGTTGTCCTCGCCCTTGTATGCGTCCTTCGGATATGCAATATCGAAGCCTTTGATGATGTTTCGCATGATATTGATGGGATCCTCCTTGTTCTCATCCTGCCTCCGACGTCTTACATCCTCGCGTGCTCGATTAAGGTCCTTAGCGGTGGACGATGAAAAATGTTGAATGTTCTGCGTAGCTGTGTACTCCGTTCTCCGAAGGAAGGACACAGTATGTGCTGCGATGGGTTTGCTCAGCGCGGAAAGTGGTTTCAGGAGTGCCTTGTCTGCAGGGTGTGTCACTTGAGCACCGGGTCTAGCCAAAATCGCTGCAACCATTTAGTATGTACTCAAAGTTTTTATGCCATTTTCACTAACCAGCCTCTGATCCTTCAAATACTCCAGGAAGCCCAATGAGGTCAATGGGCATCCCAAGTTCTGCATCGGCCTCGATGTTCAGCGGCTGCTCTCTTGCAAGCCGAGATGCATAGCCTGCACTGGTGTACTGTCCGCCTGCGAGACCTGTGCCTGGTATATCCAGAAGTTTCGGAGGGTTTGGTGGAGGTGGGAGCGCATTGGAATATCTCACGCGCGCAATATAGTCCTGATGAACAACTTGTCTTTGCGCGGATGCCATGGTTGCTTTGCGCAGGGAGATGCAGCTGAATGAAGTGTCCTGGCAATTTGCAGCGTGTCGGCCTCAGAAGTCTGTCGTAGGAGTCCAGCTAGCTTCCAAAGATCGCGTCTTGCATGCGCGTAAATAGTTCCGCGTCGTTCGTCTCAGCATTTTGGTTGTGTATGGGAGACTCGGGCCGTGCTCCGGATCGACCTTCGGCCCGAGCTTATGTAATGTCAAAATTGGTTTCTAGCCCTATGTAGGTGGACTGGCATGCATCATCGTTGGTCAATAGCCACAAAAACGCAGTCTATTGATTGTGCAAAACCTCCTTGAACAGACAGAATCCGGCGTGGGCACTCGACATGCCATTATGAACAACGATTGTTGATTTGAAGCTTTGGAGATATTCTTGTCCGGATCAATCCGTGACACGCAAAAAGTCGAGTGGAGAGGACGTGACCGCAGCAAAAAGATACTAGCCCGACAGCTTCTTTTCCGGCGCTACCGAGACCTAACAAATGTGCACGTTTTGCCTTTGATTCGTCTTCGTCATCCGCGCATACTGCCACTATAGCAACGTGCAGCTCGAACGGTCTCTGCTGCCACGTGCAGAAAGCAAGACCATGGTCGGCAATCATGTCAACCTCACCGGCGCAGCAGTCGAGCTTGTCGACACTTCGATTCCTACACAGTTTCCGGGTGGTGCTAAACATTCATCACGAAATCTTCTCGGCATGATCGCTGGCCTGTTCTTGGGTATCTTCACAGTGGTCCCAAGTTTGCTATATTGGACAGTCTCTTTCGTGACCTTAACGCTGCCGACATGGCTATTTTCGTTTTTGTCGACCAGTCTGACTTTCACTATGAACATGACGACCCTTCTATTGTTGTTATTGGTCTTCGCCTCGGCCGTGAGCTGGTTCGTCAGGTACCGGTTCCTCAACATGTACGCTCGCCTCCCTCCGGAGCCGCAGCGTAAGGATCCCGAAGTCGAAGTCTTCCCAGACTCTCAGGAAACAGACTCCAAGCCTGGCCTGGCGAATTACTTTGATGAGTTCCTCTCGGCAATCAAAGTTTTCGGATATCTGGAACGACAAGTCTTCCACGAGTTGACTAGATCTATGCAAACCCGAAAGCTCATCGCAGGTGAAACTTTGCTGTTGGAGGAAGAAAAGGGGTTTTGCTTGGTTGTGGACGGGCTGGTGCAAATTTTCGTCAAGTCAAATCGATCCAGCGATGCAGATGCCTTCGCCGAGCCAAACTTTGTAGAGGACGAGATACACGACGAGAAGTCCCAGAGCAATCGCAATTATCAGCTTCTAACTGAAGTGAAGAATGGTGCTCCAATGTCATCCTTATTCTCAATCCTAGCCTTGTTCACAGACAACGTCAAGCTGCGGTACCACGAGGAGGACGATTCCGTCACGACTCAAGGTCCCAGTCCATCAAATCGGCAGCGTCCTCGTCATGCCCATTCAGTCGACGAAGATTTCGCCAATGAGTCTGGTGCCAACAGCCCGGCGACATGGACATCACGTCCATCATCACGGCACCGAGCTTCCTCAAATATGGCACTGACAGTTTCGGGCAATGTTATGAGAGATCCTCCCCCTTTGGCGTTAGACTCTGGTGCAGAACCATCACATCTCCATCCGAGCAGAGGCCCAGGTTTCTCGCGGAGCAGTAGCTATCGACAGTCTAAGCTCAAACAGCAAGCTTCTGCACATCCAGACATTGTGGCTCGGGCTACTGTAGATACAACAATTGCAATCATCCCCGCAAGTGCCTTTCATCGCATTACTAAGATGTTCCCGAAGGCCACTGCCGACATTGTCCATGTGATTCTCACTCGCCTGCAGCGCGTGACACTCGCAACTGCTCACGCCTACCTCGGCTTGACGAGCGAAGTCTTACGTACGGAACGTCTGATGGATCGCTATACGTGCTACGATCTTCCAGACTTCCTTCGTGGTCAGCCTTTGGAGCGTCTAAAGGATAAATTTCGCCAAGAGCACGAACGTATCGGACCCGAAAATGGCATGAAAGGCATCGCATTACATAATCCGCAGGTCGCGTCCCGAAGACGAACAACAAGCACAGTCAAGCGCGACGCTGCGATACAGGCTCGATTCGCTGCGCGTCATGGGTCGCTGGCGATTGCTGACATGTACACAGAACGTAATGGCATCAGTCCTGGCGATCTGCTTACGAATATGCACACTGCTCGAGCACCTGGCCGCCGCAGTCAACCGGGAAGCTTTTCGCAGCCCTACTCGGCTCCAAAGTCTCTACATGCTGGTGATGCCCTCAGCCCAGCAAGCCACAAGCAACGGGATCCGTTCGAGCCACGAAATAGCCCCAGGGCCACGATACATCGACAAGAGTCTATGGACGAAGACTTGTTGTTCAGGGAGTCTATTATGGAATGTATGACAAAGGCCATCGGATTGCGGAATGGCAAAGACTCAGGACGACGTCCCGAGTCCGTCGCTCAATCGCCTCGTCTCGTGTCTTATGATTCTAAGCGGCAAAGTGCAGTATTTAACAATGCCTTTGGGTTCCTAGACCCTTTTGAAGGATATATGGATGATGCGGAATCTGCTGCTTCTGTATCTGCCTTCAGCTTTGGCGGCTCGGCCAACATTCTCGAAGATCTAAAGAATGAAATAGAGATTGTCTTCTTCCCTAAGGGCTCGGTCTTGATCGAAGAAGGCGAGCGAAATCCAGGGCTTTATTATGTAATTGACGGTTTCCTGGATGTCAGCGCCTCGGTCGATGAACACGAGGCTCGATCGAACATCCTCGGAACAATGGAGCAGCCCGACGACGACGATGATGCCATCCGCCTGCCAGCATTCAGCAACAGAGGCCGAACCCCAGACAATAAACGACCGAAATCAGCAGGAAAGGAACATCATCGACGAAGGCGGACGGGTCAGGCACGGAAAAGCCTGTTCCTGATCAAACCGGGAGGAATAGCCGGGTATCTTGGTGCTGTGTCCTCGTACCGGTCTTTCATTGACGTCAGGGCTCAGACCGATGTTTATGTTGGTTTCCTTCCACGGACCGCTGTGGAGAAGATCGTTGAAAGATATCCTATTGTCTTGCTCACGATGGCAAAACGTCTGACGAGTCTGCTCCCACGACTGATCCAACACATCGACTTTGCTCTTGAGTGGGTCCAGGTCAGCGCCGGGCAAGCCATTTACCACCAGGAACAGGAAAGTGATGCCATTTATATCGTACTAAATGGCCGGTTGAGAGCTATCCAAGAAGAAGACAATGGGTCCATGAGAGTTATTGGGGAATATGGACAAGGAGAGAGTGTGGGTGAATTGGAAGTATTAACAGAAACGACCCGCCAGGCAACGCTCCATGCCATTCGAGACACTGAACTTGCCAAATTCCCAAAGGCTTTATTCAACAGCCTTGCTCAAGAACACCCAGGCATCACTATCAAGATATCCAAGATCATCGCGTCTCGGATGAGAACTTTGCTTGACACGTCGTTCAACGAGAAAACCCATGACAGTAGAATGGCTTACTCTCGCTCCGGTGGAAGATCTAACCTCAATTTACGCACTGTTGCGATCATACCTTGTTCAGCTGGCGTCCCAGTTGTCGATTTTGGTCATAAGCTTCAAAACGCTCTGAACCAAGTCGGTACACCAAGCGGCGTGGCGGTACTCACTCAGTCCACCATTTTAAATCACTTAGGACGGCACGCCTACAGTAAGATCGGAAAGCTGAAGCTTTCCCAGTACCTCGCTGATCTGGAAGAACGTTACGGTTTGGTTCTCTATGTCGCCGACACAACTGTGAAATCTCCGTGGACTCAAACTTGCATCAATCAAGCCGATTGCATCTACCTCGTCGGGCTAGCAGACGGTTCGCCTGCGATTGGTGAGTATGAGAGATTTTTGCTCACGACCAAGACCACCGCCCGCAAGGAGTTGGTCCTTTTGCATGCTGAGCGATATTGTCCCTCGGGCATAACACGGGCCTGGTTGAAGAATCGTCCCTGGATCAACGGAGGGCACCACCATGTTCATCTGGCCGTTAGATCAGCACCCGAGCCTGCCAGTCAACAGCCGAATAATTTTGGGGACGTCTTAAAGCAACGCGTCCAGGTGCTGCAAGCTGAGATTCACAAATATACTTCTCGAAGAGTCCGGCAAACACCACTGTACTCATCTGAAACGCCTTTCAAAGGTGATTTTCATCGTCTGGCTAGAAGGCTTTGCGGCAAATCTGTTGGTCTTGTTCTTGGCGGTGGTGGTGCCAGAGGCCTTGCCCATGTCGGCATCATTCGAGCACTGGAAGAAGCTGGATTGCCGATTGACATCATTGGAGGCACTTCGATTGGTGCATTCGTCGGAGCGGTTTATGCACAAGACGCGGATGTCGTTCCCATGTACGGCCGAGTCAAAAGGTTTTCCGGACGTATGGGCAGTGCTTGGCGCTTCGCTCTGGATCTCACATACCCATCAGCTTCGTACACTACTGGCCACGAATTCAATCGTGGCATCTTCAAGATCTTCGGCGATAGCCAGATCGAGGATTTTTGGCTGGAATTCTACTGCAATTCGACCAACATCTCGAACTCACGACCAGAAATTCATACGAGTGGATATGTCTGGCGGTACGTTCGTGCATCCATGTCCCTGGCTGGTTTGTTGCCGCCCATGTGCGATGAAGGCCACATGCTGCTTGACGGTGGCTACACGGACAACCTAACAGTCTCGCATATGCGTACATTGGGTGCTGATCGAATCTTCGCCGTTGACGTCGGCGCAGTAGACGACGACAGCCCACAAGACTACGGCGACAGTCTGTCGGGATTCTGGGCATCCATAAACCGCTGGAACCCATTCTCCTCCCATCCTAATCCGCCGACTCTGGCGGAAATCCAGGCGAGGTTGGCATACGTGAGCTCCGTTGACAACCTTGAGCGTGCGAAGAACATTCCAGGCTGCCACTACATGCGCCCTCCGATCGAGGCGTATGGTACCTTGGACTTTGGGAAATTTGACGAAATCTATCAGGTGGGATACCAATTCGGTAAGAAGTACCTCGCTGATCTCAGGGAAGAGGGACTTTTGCCGGGTTTTGAAGAGACCGAAGAGAAGCGAAACCTACGGCGGACAATGGCTCCGAGGCGCGCCAGTATATGATTGCAACTTCGTAATTGATTGACAAGATGAAATCCGCCTGATACGCAGAATTTGCTCAACTACACAATGTCAAGTCTACACGTCGTACGAAACGACAATTGAGTTGCTACTTGCCGTGAAAACTGCTTCTCTCTACCTGTTCTATTCCCAACTCGGACTCTGGGCACATTATTGCACTCGCGCCTTTTTGAACGATTCGCTGAATCCGCGTGCCCTACTGGTCGAGATCGTGCTGCTACGACGACACTTGGAGCCGAGGTGGAGGGTGAGGTTTATTGTTTGACAGATCGCGTTTGTAGAGCGGCAGATATTCTGTGACAGCTCGAATGAAGACCAAACCAGCCCACAATTGGACACACTTTAGCAATAATCAGAATGTAAAACGCACTGCGATTTTGGGCAGAGCGATAATATTGAGACTTTGCAGTAGTCTCCTTAACAGATTGTCTGGACCATGTCTTGGTATCCGGCGTCTCGATGTTCCGCCTATCCTGGGATCCATGAAGCAGCTCTTGCTTTGGGTACCGCTGCTTCGTGAGAGACTTCAATTCAGCAATATCTACTCTCACAGCATCGTGTTCAGATTTGAAAGCGTCCCACTCAGCCCTTTCAATCATGATCTTCTCCGGTTGGAATGAATCCTTTGCTTTTCCCTTGCAAGTTTTCCTTAACATTTCAGCGGAGTCGTCAGACTTTCGCTGGAGGCCTCTTCCTCCCCGTCATCTTCGTTGTCGACATTGTCAGCATCCGACCCAGGCCATTCCTCCATCAGCAGGCGACGTGTACCATCAACGTCCCTGCGCAAGGATGCTAAAGTATCATCAAGCTCACTGTTCCCGAGAGAAGTCAGCCTGCGCATTTTCGCACAGAGATCGTCTGCTGTTTCTAGGTACACGAATTTGTCCTGCTAATTATCTAGAGTGCAGGCGAGAAGCACCATAAACCTGGCATCAAATACTTAGGGCACCCTAGGTCTGATAGAAATTCCTTCAGGAGCTTGATCACGTCGGGATACTTCTCCTCGTCGAACAAATCATGGGCCTTGTCATACCCAGCGTTCCAGGACTCCATGACTCCAGGTAGATACTTCTAGAGAGTCCCCGCCATCGTGTCGCAAGGCGCTGTCGGAGATATTGATGAAAGCTGCGCGCAATATAAAGGTTTTGCAAAGGTGTGGAGGAATGATGAGAACGCACTCTTGCACATGTCACTTGCTGGTCCAATGCAGTAGAGTCTTTCAAGAATGTGCCAATCTATGCTGGCCGACCCACACACACACACACGCGCACGCATCATATCATAGTTTCACTACCTTGATCTTCAACAGACAGGCTTCTCATAGAAAACTCCACACCATCAAGTAGAACCACGATCTCAAAAGGTCGAGGAAGAGATGATCACGAGGGACACTCGTTTTCACCGACATTGGTGAAGATGCAGAAGATGTGTCGCGGGCAACCATTAGCGGAAACATAAACATGCTCGTGCTTGTGAAATCCGTCGCAGATGTTGTCCTTTCATTCGCCATTCACCATGGCTTATCACAGGAAATGGTCAAATTGGACGGAACGATCAGAGAACTATTTTGATATCTTCTTTCCCGGTTACTAATTCAACATGCGCGAGCTAGCCAGCTTTTTGCATCGAGCCATCGGGCCGATTCCCTTGGGGCTGTCTCCGAAATCCGTTAACGGGTCCGCGTTGCGGGCCGAAATCAATCCCTTGTTTGGCGATCCATTTTAAACCTCAGCTCACACTTCGCAATTCACACATGTGATGGATATTACACGATGAGAGCTCTACCTCGTTCTATAGTTGGTCTCTCTTCATGTGCGGGAAAATATCACAAGGTAAGAAATGAGGGAGTTTCGCATCGTGAGAATGTGTGACATGATTTGCGCAAGCATGCCTACCTAGTACTGGTGTATGTACTGCGAAGCGAAACAATGCGACTATTCGAATATGGTCACGATCATTGTAGCTGTTTGAGAGACCTCGAGTCGTTGATCATATTATACTGCGTCCAAAAGTTGATGAATTGTCCTACCCCTTTTGGATGTTGTGGTTTCGAGCTGTATTCAAAAATGAAGCCCTGCGAGGATGGGGTACGGATTTGTTTCGATCGAATCTTGCGACCTACCGAATATCTTGTCATGTGTACAACGTTGCGAACCGTCGGCGTCTTTACATCTAGATGGAAAGAAGATGTACGTCGTCGAGCGAGTCAGCGAGCCCATATCTCACGACGATGTGGCGGTCGATGATGAACAGGAAGCAGGAGCAAAATACGAAACCATCGACACGGTATGGTTGAAGACCATGGAAATGGTCCTCGTGGAGATCACGAAACGATCTGGTGCATTGGGCAAGGCGCGTGTGGGTCTCATAAATCATATATATGGTATCTTCGAAACGTCCCTTACCTTCCGACGCTTAGGCGCCGAAAATTATGTTGAACCACTTGTCGAACGCGTTCCTGTACGGCGGCTGGACGTAGTTCCGGGTATACTGAAGATAAAGTCAGCATGATAGTTCTTTCATGTACATGTGCATTTGAGTTGTCTTACCTCCTCGATTTCTTCGACTTCGCCCTTGAGATCGACTTCCTCGGGCTTGCGCATCTTGGCCTTCTTGATCAAGGACCATCCGATGAACAGAACCGGAAAGAGGCCGACCATGAAGTAGCTGAAGATGAAATCCTCGACAGCCCAGAAGGTAGGTAGGAAGACAGTGTAGCCTCCGACGAAAGTCATGATGAATGTCCAGAACAGACCATACCAGGCTGCATAAGGTTGAAACCAAGATCGGTAAGGTAAGGACTCGCGTGGAACTCCCTGGGCCTTCAAAGCCCGCATCCAGAACAAGAAGGTAGTGCACATCACACTGAAGTTGATCAACTGCGATGCCGTGATCAAGCTGATGAACCAGGTTAGGACCTTCTGAGAGCCCTTACTGACCGAGAGGAATGCTAGTAAAGAGATGAGTAGCACGAGCACGACCGAATAGATCGGCACGCCGGCTCGGTTCGTGCGGGCGAAGATCTTCGGAGCTTTGCCGTCCAATGCTAGCCCGAAGAGACTTCGGGATGCACAGTACATGTAGCTGTTGCCGGCCGAGAATGCCGAGAGAAGCACAAGGACATTTATGATATCGGGCAAGACCTGGATCTTGAGCCGTAACATCGCAATAGTATAAGGACTTGATCCAGCGCCAGGCTTGCCGTCTCGGAACGCGGCAATCAATGTCGGGTCGTTGTAAGGGACATTGATGCCTACGCAAAGGGCGCCGAGAACGAAAAAGGCTGTTAATCGATAGAAGACACCATTGAAGGCCTTCGGCATCACTTTCCGAGGATTGACGGATTCTCCTGCGCTCATTGACACATAATCAGGCCCCGCAATCACGAAACTTGCTTGGATCAAGCACTGTAGAAAGCCCAGGAAGTATCCGAGTTGGCCATCGTAGTATAATGTCTTGAAGGATCCGGGTTCTTGCCAGTACCGAAAGCCGTACCTGGTGTATTAGTCAGCAGGAATTCACTAGCGTGGAATGTGGCTTCTTCAAGTCCAATGTGGGGAAGTGGACAAAAGGACGCCTCACCTGTCGCCGAGTGGATTGCCGCCGAGCATAGAGATGAAAGTCCAGATGATCAGGCCGACTGTCGCCACGAGTCAGAAACCATGCGTCGAACAAGCAAGCTTTTCAGCAGACTCACCTATGAGTATTACTTTACCCAAGGCTGCCCAGAATTCAGTCTCGCCATACCACTTCACACTGACCACATTGATCGCTGCATAAAGTGCGATGACAATGGCGACGATGGCACCGGTCGGAACGGACTCCGCTCCTGGCCAGTAGCGGATTATAACATTGCCTGCACTGACATTAGGACTGTGCAAAGTTACGAGTGCTCTTGCTAGTTCTGTGACTCACATGCTGTAATCTCGAATGGCACCAGAATCGCCTCGAAAACGAAAAAGTTCCATCCGGCGGCGAACCCAAACGAGGGGTGAACATAGCGATCAGCGAATCGGATGAATGGCGAGGAAATGGGCAGATATGTGACCATCTCGGCCATGCACATGGTGACAGCGAGGATTACAGAGCACCTATCGGTCTGGTTAGCAAATTCGCTGTCCGGGTAATCGAACCTTACAAGCATACCAGAAAGCGAACGCGATCAAAAGACTACCGGGTCCACCGTTGAGCAGACCTCGACCGATCTGAACGTAGAGCGCTGGGATAAGGTGAGCAGGCATAACAGTGAGAATGGAGTTGTACATCGTCCGAACCTGTTCCGATGGTGCCGCCAATACCAATCAGTTGCAAGTGACGAGCTTTCAAGCTACGATGAGTCTGGTCACGGACCGTGCCTGACTGCACGCGCTCAATATCGCTGCCATCGTAGGTCGGCGGAGTATCAGTGACTTGAGTAGAGACTCCGAAGTCTTTCTTCTTCTCGTAGTGGTCGGTCATGGTAATGAAGATCTACGCCTGTCCGACAGAAGACAAGCAGTAGAAGTTGACACAAGACAAAGTGAGATCAGCCCAACATGATCGCATCGAGCTGGCGGCCATGCCTGGCATATATACTCGCGGATCAAGGTGGCACAGCTAGATGCGAGGAAATGCGAGGCGGTCTTGCTCTAGCCACCAAGTGCTCGAGACCAAGACTTGCATTGCTTGATTGATCGGACAGGGCGACTTGAGGCATCGCAGCCGGCAGAGAAAAGCTCTCTCGAGAGTGTGATGGTGGTAACTACAACGGGAGGCGCCGACAAGTAGCAGTCCGAGGTGGCCCAGACGTGGTAGCATGGTTGACGTGCTCGCAGGATATCAGCCCGCGCACGCGAGGATGGTCGCATGCAGCAAGGGTAGGCGGACTTGGCGTCAACGACCTTCGATTGGCGAGTCCATAGGAACCAATACTCGAACGCACTAAGATCTCTCGAGGTGCCGCTTAGTGTCTGAAGTTACATGCAGACTTGTACGATGTGAGAACATAGAAGGGCTACTAGAATGGAAATGGAAGCAGCCGATCTTCGGACCACGCGACACTCGCGGCATGGACGTTCAAGCGGGAAAAAAGTCAATTCACGCTACGGGAGCAGTAGACGAATGTGGTCAAGGCTCTGGTAATGGCGCAAACCCACTGCGACATAGGCGGTGGCGGTGGCATAATGAATGAAAGAATACAGCCCGGTGATACTCCCGTCGAGAGCAGGAGGAGGGTGGACGCTGCGCCGCAGCAATAATAAGCTGATGAATGTGGTGAGGTTGATGCTGATGGCGAAATTCTTGCTCTCTCCGAAACTCTCAGGGCTAGATTTTAGGTGCTGACCCGTGAGATAAGATTTTGTTAGAGCCATGCACCGAGAGAAATTCAATCGACGACAACAATAGCAATATGACTAGATGAGCATTTTCATGTTCATGCGGTTTAGGAGTACGAGTTTTTGGGTTTCGTCATGAACCCTCGCAATCAACCTGCAGTACATGTGTGAGAATAAACCTTGGAATGGTACGAGGCTCGTGGGATGGCGAACGCCCCCGAGGGTTGATTCTTGGCGTATGTTTGATCTTCGACTTGGCCTGGTCATGGACAAGACGTGGTACTTCTGTACCTCCGCACCGGGTCGCTTAGTGTATTCCCATCGGCAGCGCCGTGTGTGTTGGTGGAAGGTTGCAGGTGTCGCGGTGCAGGTATGCATGAGTGGTGCGTGATGGGAGAGAGTGTGTGTGCAGCTTGCGGAGTCATCAATGAGTGCTGCAATCGGCCACCGCTCGAAGTACTGTAATAATAATCATTCCATGCTTGACCTTTCGAATGTAAACATTATGTGGCACGCTTGTCGCCTTGTATTATTTCCCCACTTCTGCTGGAGGGTAGATCACAATGAGTAAAGGGAAGCGAAGCCGCCGTCGCGTGATATTTTATCACATACCTCTCTGACAAAGAGATGTGAGGTATATTCACTTGTGAAATCGGGCTTACTTTAGTCCTACTGGGCGTTCTGCAGGGAAGAAGACGCGAGTTATGGACTGGCTGGTTCTCCGGGCTATCCGGATCAGTCTGGATTCATCACCACCAAGACGTTCCTCAGAAATTGCTCGTTCAAGGAAATAATCCATGCCCGGGCGTTTCCAGAATATTGGCTTGTTGGTTCATCCGCCCCTATACATTTCACCATCAATCATTTAAATGACGCATCCGCGGCGAGAGAGGTCTCGTGAGAAATGCACCTTCGACGCGGTGAGGATTGCATTGCTTTCTGACCACCCAGACGAACCAACGGCTCGGCTATTGTCACTGTAATCCCGTGGCAGTATTGTACCACCATTGATCAGAGAGAACCGAGCTGTTTTCTGCGCGATACCACTCCAGCCACTGTCGAAAGTTCAGACGTCGACTTGGCCCGAGATTCGTGAATTGAACGTTCTCGCATAGTTCGCATTGTCACGAGCAAGAAACTCGGAATGGGCGAAACTCGGATTGGACCTAGTTGAGAGGTTTCCCATGGCGGCTGCGGAGAAGTGAGGGGATGAATTCTCAGCCGTCTACACCACACGGCGTGCCGTCCCTTCTGTTCCCGCTCGACTTTCAATGTTCGTGCCTGGCGCACGCTTCTCCGAAACATCAACAGGGCAATGCATTTCTCCTCTTCTTAAGACACGATGCTTAAGTGGGACGTGGCGCCCCAAGAGAATCGGCATCTCCAGTAGACTTTGCGACTAGGCTTGACGACTCTCTCATTGTTACGTATTTGACGTTCACACGGATCACTATATGGTGAACACCGACCGCCGGGTAGCCAATCAATCACCCAAGCAAGCTCTGGACCACGCAAACGTGTGATGCTCACGCGGCCGTGTCGACCCACTAGTCGCAAAGCCATTGCATGTACCACCTGTGAAGGCACGCGCAACGACCACAGGTCTGCCGGGACTTGGCATGAGCGAAAGGACCGCGACCGTATGCGTATAGCAGCTCGACCATCCGCATGGCAGAGCCTTCCAGCAACCCGCGCGGTGCTCGAGGGAGTTATGCCAACCTAATTTGCCTCAAATGTCGAGGTCGCAAGATCAAATGTGCTTTGCCAGATAATGTCGAGATTCAGCCATCGGATATCCCACAGCCGCCGGACAGAGCATGCGCGCGATGCAAGTCTCTCAACCTTGAATGCATCGTGCAACGCACAATTCTCGGCCGTCCGGCTGCCAAGAGGCGGCGTGACGGCAATGCATCGGTTTCGGCCCCGGAGCTTTCTCCGAAGGAAGCCGATGAAGAAGTCAAAGATTACCTGGTTGCTGGAGTTCGAGACTCGGCGACGCCTTCCTCGCGGGGCGACAACCAGCGGCCGCCGCCGATCGCGGGTGAGATCTTCAAAACGATGGTTTCGCCGAGTCACCTTGCGTCGGTACTGCTGGCAAATGATCGGCGATTCGGCATCTCCATTCCTTCGCCCACTCCACAAGCCCCTCCGTCACTGTCGCGACTGGTGAGTAGTGGCATGGCAGCTATGCTTGATGAAAAGTGAGTCTCCCGCATCCCATCTTGAGCACCATCGAGTGCTTCTGTCGGGCTTCTCGGCTGACCTCATTTGCTAGTCTCCCATGGCATCGATTTTACTTGCCGATAATTCCCACGCTCGTAAGCCTCAGACCACAACTCTCGTCAGAGACCAGAGCTTTTGAGAATAAAGCGACCAAATTGCTATTCGCTCTGCTCGCACTTCTTGCAATTGACGCTCCAGTCAATCGTTTGAAAGAAGATCAGCAGCTTCGTGGTCACCTCAAGACTGCCGTCGCTTACTACGGCCAAGTCTTCTTGTTCGATCCGCCCACCCATCATCATACTGTAGCGGCACTTACGCTACTCTCTGAATACCACCCTGCAGCGTTAATTAATACCCAGAGCGCAGCTTGCACATCCGTCAAAGCTCATTTATATATTGCCTTGACTTATCGCATCGCAGAGCGGCTTGGTATGGATTCTGCTGTCACGAAGCTTCAGGATTTCCTAGACGGAAAGCCGCCAGGCGAAAACTTTAACATCGATGCGCACGTCACTGATGCCCTTCAATGGTGCCGCATCTTGATCGATGATGCTTTCGTCGACGGCTTCACCGGACACACGTCCGAGCAACAATGGGAGGTCCATCGCAAGGCCTACTTGATCATTCAGACCGTCGAAGCCGTCATGCAATTTCGACCACCGACCGTGGCGATATATTACCACTTTTGGTACTTAAAGGGAATGTGTATCCATATGCGTAGTGTCGCCATGATGAAATCCGCGAGAAAAGACCTCGCCAAATTATTCGACATCACTCAAGAAATCGAGCAAATTACCACGCAGGAAAAGAACAATATCATCGCTCAAAGGCCAATCGCCATGACCGAGGATGAAATCGAAGCAGCCTCGGCCGCTCGGATCTTGCTCGACCTGCATATGGACAAGATCAATTACGCCATTGTCGGCGCCGCGACCTTTGCCGCCATCATGCACGGCGTCTCCAAAGCCGAATGGTTCAGCCCGAAAGAGGCTCTTCAAATCAGCGACTTGGCTGTAGAAAAGCTCAAAGACCTCCAACTCGGCAAAAACCACGACACCGCACCGTTCCTGATGCGCTACCTCGTCGCCCGGCCGCACTCCTTCGAGCGCCTGATGTACGACTTCATCCAGATCGCGGGCAACCTCAAGCTCGTCGACGTCCCACACCTGCCGCCCGTACGACAGTACGCTCTCCAGCTCCTCTTCGACTGCAAAGTCATGGTAGAAGAGAACGCGATCCGACTGAAAGGCCTCAATATGCTCCACCCTTCCATCGACAGCCAATTGAAGTTCTTCACCGACTGCGCGGACAAGCTGGACGCCATGGCCACGACGCCCTGCCGCTCGGCGGAGACGGCGTTCGCGGATGGTTGCCTGAACGCGGCGAGCGCGAAATTCGTCCGCTGCTTGAGGGCGATTCTGGCCGAGTGGAAGGCCACGCTGGCGGAGAACACGGCGCATTATATGCCGAAGCTGGACGAACATGTGGAGCCGCTGGCCACGTTTGATGTCTATGATGATTCGGCGTTTGATGTTTTGTTCAACCAGTGGAGTAGTTGGCCACAGGCGGGAATGCTCGACCTCTCCTCCATGGGTCAGGGGGGTTAAAAGGCCATGTCTGAGGGCGTGTCCGTGTCTCGGGTAGCATCAGGCCTTTGCTGGATTTCAGGCGCTGTAGTTGCATCCTGCTGCTCCAATCGCAATATGTCAAGAATTGGACTGCATTGCTCAGTACTCAACGACAAGGCATCTCCCACACTGGCCGGAAACGAGAGAAGATAGAAAGTTCTGTTTGGACACATTTGATTGAGAAATGACTGCATTGACCTATGCATGCATAGAACGCTCACATAGTTGACAGGGAACACTTGCGACACGACAGTGAAGGATATGTTGAAGAATAAGAATTTTCATTTTTGGACAAGGACCTTTTCGTGATATTCCCACGTCGATCATGCGCCGTGCGCCTACCAAAGCATGATGCTAAAACCCACTCCCCTTTCATGACATTTTCCGCACGAAAAACAAAAATCTAGTTCATCTGGCGGATGAGAGCGTTGATGTACTCCTCCCGGTTACCCAAGTCACCACCCTCGACGAAGTGGAGGAACTTGCGGGGACGGAAACCACCGGTGGGGTTGCTGAGCTTGAAGGGCCAGAGGAAGTTGCTGGCTTGCTTGAAGTTGGGGCCAACGGTGTAGATCTCGTGGATCAAGTCCTCCATGCAGACAATGTTGTATTGGCCGAGGTGCTCCTCAATGATGGCGTTGTCGGTCAGAGGAATACGCTGCTTCTGGGTAGTCTTGGCGTATCCACGCTTGTAGATGAGCTCGCGGACAGACTTGAGGTTGGGGAAACCGTAGGCGACGAAAGGCTCGACGATCTTGAGCATCTCCAAGGTGGCCTTGGTCAGGCGGATGAAGACACCGTTGTTGATCTGGAGAAGACGGAGGAGCTGAAGAGTCTTGCGCTTCTTGGGGTCGATCTTGTTGATACCCTTGATACGGACGACGAACACGAGCTTGGGCTCGGCGGGGACATAGTAGCTACCCTCCGACTTGGCGACGCGAGCGAGACGGATCTTCTCGCGCTCTGCGTCACGGTACTCCTTGACGTATGACTCGGCACGCTTGAAGATCTGCTCACGCTTCTTCTTGTTGTCCTGAGCAAGATGTCAGCTCCTGAACGACTGAGAACTCCAAGCGTAAAAAAACAGTTTGACCATAATCAGTCCCGAAAGATGGTTAACAAAACGACATCATCGCCCGTAGGCTAGCCGAAGTAGTTGGTAGACTTCATCATAATGGAGATGTGTTTGGACGGCAGGCTTACCTTCTTGCGAGTATCCCGCTCGGCGGCCTTCTCGGCGCGCTCCTTCTCCTGGCTCTTGCGCTTCTTGAGCAGGGTCTCGGGGACCAGGACCTGGTCCTTGGTGGCAACGGTACTATGTCAAAGAGTCAGTCGGTCCGCTCAAAGCCAGCATAAGCATGGCTTCGAGTGAAGAATTGCGGCGCAGTCATCTGCTGGCTCTCATGCATTCTCCTGGAGCACTTGATGTGCTGAAGTCGACGGGAGTAACCCCGAACGACCATTCCTCGCGATGCGAGATGCCCTCGCAACAGCGCGAGCTGTCGGTAAGGGCCAGTGATAAAATTGCATCTCTGCCAAGTTCACTGCCAGATCAAGTTCTGACGGGCCATTGCTGACACCGTGCAGGACTGAAGTGGAATTATCAAGGTACTCCTTTCCATCTCCCGGAGCAAAGCATGTTGAGCTTAAGCGGACCGACCATTGCGCAACTCTTTACCCGAAGCCAGGTTTGGTGGTAATGGACTCAACGTACGACTTTCCGGCGGCCATGGCGACAATTGATATATTGTGTTGTCGTTGAATGTTGATTGAGCGTCGGGATGCAGTGTCAAACGACGACGATGAAACTTTTCGTGCATCAAATGTTCGCGTGCCGACGCTCGAAAGTGCGTGGCTCGTGCGTTCTTGGCAGCACCAGTACCAAATTTATGCGCAAATGGGTAAATTCCATACCCGCGCTTTCGGCCTCACATGGTGAACGTCACGGAAAGCTTTCCGCAACTAAACGACCTCTCTTCATGGCCATTGCCTGGACACAATGGTATACTTCACCACAGTGTAACGACATTGGTGGTCTCTTCATCGTATGGCTTCGAATCGCAGGGGAGTGGGCCTGAGCGCCTTCTCGAACGCGGCAATATCTTCTGATCAGTATGCTCGTCACGGTGCGGCATTGCGTTCGTCCCACGCAGACGCCCTTGCCAACCAGCTATCGGTCTTTCAGGCTGCACTGCATAATTTTTCGCTCACGCATGCAAAGGACATTCGAAGCGATCCTGTATTCCGTGCGGAATTTGCGCGCATGTGCCATGCTATTGGTGTCGATCCACTCGCCGGGAGCAATACCCGTGCTCGAGAGTTAAGTGGCAAGGGCGAGAGTATCTGGGCGAAGATGCTCGGGACGAGTGTGAACGATTTCTACTTCGAACTGGGTGTTCGGCTTGTGGAGGTATGCCGAGACACACGCAGCGAAAACGGCGGCATGATTCCCCTTTCAGAAGCCCGAAAGAGGATTTCTCAAGGTCGCAATCTAGTGGGCGGAAGCATCGAGGTTACCGATGACGATGTCTTGCGTGCACTGGAGAGCCTCGAGCCGCTCGGTGGGATGTTCAAGGTGACTGTACTCGGCTCGAATAAATTCATCAGATCCGTGCCGAAGGAGTTGAACCCCGATCAAGCAACTGTGCTCGGAGTGATTCAAATTCTTGGCCATGTGACAGTTTCCATGCTTCGCGACAATCTCATTTGGGAGCACGCGCGGTCAGTCGCTGTCATTGAGGATCTGGTCGCCGATGGTCTAGTCTGGATTGACTTGCAAGCAGAGGAGACCGAGTACTGGAGTCCGGCCTCTATGCACGAGGACAGCTGATCTAGACTGTCTTCATTGGATGACTCGTTGCGTCGATACATACCGACGCTCCAGAAGCTCGGCAGTAACTACGGCTGACGGCGGCAGTGCGACTTCGCAAGGTCCCAAGCACAACAAATTCTTTCAAATCCGTGTTCCATGTAAGCCGTACTTTCACTGTGTGAGAGTTTCGGACTGAAGGCAACATTGTTGTTGCTCGCTTTCGATAAAAGTGGCGGACTTGCCGTTCCAGAAGAGAGAGCCGTGCTAGCGCCTGAAGAGACCGGTCACGTCTCCCGCCAAATCAGAGGGACCGATATGGCGGCTCTCTACTTTATGAGTGGCAGCGGGACAACAGCAAGACATTTGTCACCAAAAAGTTCGCTTCACCTGAAAATCTTAGGGTTGATTCATCACACAATTGAAGCATTTGACCTCATCGGATCAAAGATGCTTAAGACTGGCGCAGCAATCCTATATCGCTCGGGTCGTCAAGAATATTGTACCAGCTTTGATGCCTGACATAATCTTGACCAGCAGCAGTTCCGTGCTATCCATTGATATCTTCATTTCGCCGTAGAATGATATACCCCATAACCCTAGCAGCATCGCCCGCCATTTTCTTCTACAATAATGAGGACACGACATGAACGAGTTCGCGCGAGTCAATCAACATGACAACAGAAAGTCATCTCGCATAGCTGGAGGTAGCGGTAGTGTATATAATCCAGAAGAGTTTCACAGATTAGTGACGGGCGAGGATCTACAGAGAGAAGATGTGCGAAATCTCTTTTAATCGAGGCAAACTTCATCGTTCTATTGACAAGAAGCACACGAGAATATGCATGACCAGCCGTTATTGGCATCACATCACACGGAAAATGCAACCATTCTTTTCGAATAACAACGCCAAGTGCAAAACGCCGCATCGTAGAGCACATCATTATGCAGTCCCTTATGCGCGAATCGCATTGCCGAGCGCACCGCCCGTGAAACCTTGACCACCTCCCCTCCGAGGTACACCACCACCGCCGCGTCCTCCACGACCGCCTCGCGCGCCTCCTCGGCCACGCTGGGGTTGTCTCTCGAAGGCATTGGCTGTGCCCTGTGTCCGCTGCTCAAGAATGCGCTCGTTGCTCTCAATGAGACCTTGTGCCTTGTCGCTGAGCGTGAGAGCCAAGCTTTGCAAGCGGCTAAGTTCGACACCGCGGCGGAAGATGATGGCGCTGTTGACTTGGTCGAGTGCGGCAGCGAGGTCTTCGTGATGAATCATCTTGGAGACGATGGCAGCAACCTTGCGAGGCTCGAGATCGAACATCTGGGCAAGGTTCTCGATGTTGAGAGTGTCGTAGAAGGGGGCGTAGGTGAAAAGATATGTTCGGAGACCCTCTTCTTGAATTTGCAGCTCCAGCATCTCCTTGATCTCGGCACTCTTAGGTAGGAGATCCCAGATCTTGATGGTGGTGATGAACTCAGCGGCCTTCTTCCACTCGCCAGCTGCAAGGGCCTTTGATGCCTGCATGACGTGATCACGAGTGTTCTCCGGAGGGCCAGTGAAGATCTGGCGTTCATGGTAGTCGAGCATACGGCGGTACGACTTGGAGATGGTGCGCTTCTTGAGGTCGGGCGCGCTGCCGGATTGAGCAAGCGTGGGAATTTCGAGAAGCATCGAGCAGGTGAGGTAGACGCACTCGAGTAGTTCGAGATTGATGTGCATATGGAACGGAAGCTGTCTCTGCCTCTCGAGTCGTTCTTGCTCGGGAGTGATCTGGGAATACCTTTGCATTTGAAGACCTTGGGCAAGCAGCTCCTTTTGGCGCTGGCTGCCGCAAATGTCCTGGAGAGCAGTCTGGCATTCGTACACAAGTCCAGCGCGGAAAGCACAGAGACCTACTTGTGTCAAGGTGCGGTTGTAAAGGATCTGGGTGTTGACATCAAAGCTTCCGATTGTCTCTTGTAAATGTGACATCAGCATCATGTCTCTGGCCTTGAAGTATTGATCGTGGAGAGCCAAGTAGTAAATCTGACACAGCATGGCGCGGCCTCGGTGAATGCCTTCGGCGTGACGGAAGAGGTATGATGCAAGAGTCTGCACGAGGCTGGCCACATCGGCACTCTGTTCTCGAGGAGTGGTTGTCGAGTCTAATGAAGCAGGTATTTGATTCCATGTGTTCTCCTCCAGAATCGCGACAACCTGTGCAGGTTTGAAGTAAACATGTTCCAGACGACGCATGACCACGCGGTTGATGCCTTCTTGCGAAGCCTCCAACTTGACGATTTCCTTGAGTCGCTCGGCGTAGATCAAGGCTCTGACGATGTTGGTGTAAAGGGCACCCTCGTCCGTCAGGCGCTCGACGTACTCTGCCGTGTGCGGGTCCACATGTTGCAGAACACGAGTGAGTTCGTCGTCGAGACGCTCAGCAAAGGAGATGATGCTGCCTGGGATCTTGAACAGTTCGCCGGGCGTAATGACGGGCTGCTTCTCATCGTCTTCCCATTCCTCAGCAACTTCCACAACAACGATGTCGCGGTTCTCGTCGAGAATTGTCAGTAGCTGTGCAATCTCCTGTTGGGCAGCCTTCCATTGATCTTGAGCCATTTGCGAACCAGTACCAGAGGTCAGGTCGAACCGGGTGGCAATGAGTGTGAGGAGGACGCGAATTCTTTGGTAGTCGCTGACAGCAACCTCCAACAGTTTCTCCATGACCTTGATCTGCTCTGTCCGATCTGTGTTCTTCCTGCCTCGTGACTCAACGATGGATCGCAGGTGTTTGAGGATGCTCTCTGGGGTGTACACCATGGCTTTACCACCAGCACCGACCAGAACGAAACCATCATCACCAGCCGCTAGATCAGCGTCCGTTGTTGCGAGTGCCTGCTTCTTGACCTTCTTCGGTGCAGGTGCGGACTCCTGAGTCACATCCTCCTTCATGTACTGAGTAGGGTCTTTCCGATATTGCTCAATTGCTTCCGCTGTAGCAGGATCTCTGTTGTTCTTCTTGATCTTCTGGTTGAGCGCAGTCAAACCCTTCTTAGCGATCGGGTTCATCTTCTTGGGTGTCACCTTTTGCTTCTCAAACGCCTCCGCCACCTGAATCTCTAGGTCGGCAATGGTCTGGATGTACACCTTGGGTGGCTTGCCGTCAAGATCGCGAATCAAGGTGGGTAGCTGGCGGATCATCTTGTCGTAGTTGTCGTTGGCAGTGTTCCAATCACTGATCTTTTCGGCATTCTCAATGAGACGGATCGTGCCCTCCAATTCATCATATCTTTTGTCCTTGGCAGATTTCACGACCGTGACTTTCTCCTCGTCACTCTCGTCCGAGTCCACTTCGACGTCGTTGCGCAAGAATCGACTCGCGCCTCTCCCACCACCTTCGTCGTCCGAGCTGCTGTCGCTGTCGTCGCTGTCATCATCGTCGTCGTCATCGTCGCTATCCTCTTCCGAGTCCTCATTCTTTGCCTTGTTCTGCTGCTCGCTGTCGCTGTACAATTCTTCCTCGTCGGAGTCGCTCTCGCTGCTGGAACTGTCGCCGTTGGTGAAAAAGCGGGAACCCATGGTTGCAAAGGTACGCTTAAAGTGAGGTACAGCACTGTTTGCGGCTTTCCTTCACTGTTGGTCACTCTTCGGACTCGAGTATTGCAATTCGTGACTCGCAGGCGCGCGTGGGCGGTCCAAAGACTCTGACGATATGTTGGCCTGCACAGTCATAGAAATTCCGTCCACTGCCCGCAATTCGAAGTCTTGGCGATCACACGTGACGATTAAGCCCCGCCGCAAGTCGGGATGCGTAATGCGGGAGGCCGGCCGAAGCTACGGAATGCTATACGATTGTCGCATTCCCTCCCATCAGGTACGTCCCTTTTCCCTGCACGACTGCGGCACGTCATTCGGCTTTGATCAGGGTAATTCTCAATGTTTGCAAGATCAGTTTGCACTCACGACATCTACTGCATTAATGTGCTACAGTACTGTCCCGGCCTATCGGCAACTCAATTCATCTTGATCGGTCATTGATCAATGTCTCGACGACATGTGAGCACCCCCCTACTCCGCGCAAAAGCGCGTCCGCGCTTCATGCACACTTTCCCATCGGACTTTCGCGCATATGCATCTTCGACGGAGACCGCCTCTGCGAGCAGTACACAGCTGTCTGCATCGTCCGAGAGCTCCGTTATGGACGGCGCACAAACCTTAGAGGCAGGCCATGCCCCGTTCACGCGGGTCCTGAAGCGGGTAGATTATGCCATGGTCCAGGCAAGTCGAGACAGTGTCCAGAAATTGGTCACGCGGATCGAAGAGCACCGCAAATTCACCGCCGTAGTTTCCACGACGCTGAAACTCAATGCGGATATTCCGGAATACAAGTTCAGGTACTCGTCCACTCACCGCCTAGGCCAGAGTCGATCAAAGATGGAGGAGGCGTACGAAAGGTTCTTCGCCGCCGCGAAAGCCGTAGATTTGCACCTGGAGGACCTACAACGCATTGACCATCGAACATTCGCCCAGCGAACCGGGGAGAAAGCGCGTCGGCGAGCACAGGGGATGTCCCCGGAACAGGTGCGCCAGTGGGCGATAAAGGCTCGTGCGGACGAGGTAGGTGCCCAAAAGCATCTGACGGAAAGTCTCGTGGCGTACAAGAAGAGCAAGGAGGAACTCCAGTCGAAAGGGAGAATGGAAGCGGAGCAAGGAAGCAAGGAGCCGCTCAGTCGGGAGGAGCTTGAAGAGGCTCGAGCCGAACAGCAGCGCAAAGACCAACAGACCCAGGAAGCCCTTCAGAAGCAGCGGGAGAAAGCGCGCCTTGAAGAGCGCAAGGTCGACGAAGAGTTCCGCAACGAGAAACAGCGCAGAGCCGCCGAAGAGCGCTGGCAGGCGGACGTCCAAGCCATGGCCGAAGCTTCCCCAGCCCCTTCAACCGAAGCGACTCCGGCTGCCGCTCTTTCCTCCTCTGGCACAGCAGCGGCAACACAAGTCATCGAGTCGGTCACCGGCGCCTCGGAACCCACGCAGCCGAAGGTCGGATGGGGCACCGGCGTGCCTCACCGACGGGCGCCTTCGGACAAGAACCGACAGATCACGACGCCGAGGTTCTCCACTGGCGGCAGAATGAGGTCTCGGAGGGTGCAGCTCAGCTGGCCGCAGCAATGAAGATCTTGCTCTCCCAGCGCAAGCGCTGTTCCTCCTATGGAGAAGTACTGGATCTATTGGTCCGAGGTGCCCCTTTCGATCGAGGCAACATGTTTCTCGACAAAGAAATCTACTCCAGGCGGCCTGCGGCGGCGATATCCGAGCACGTCTCAGATGGCGGTTCGAGCCTGAAATGGTCCGTGGGTGGAGGACATGTTAGATCAGCAGCAGGGGACATATTGTACGATATGGCCGATTTTTGGCTACATGTAGGACAATCACATCCGCGCATAATGTTGTGTGGTATGTACTTAAAATAATGTGAGGGAAGTTGACAGCACACAAGTGCGGACAGTGGATTTCAAAGAGACCTTGAACAATCTGAATTGTGCTCAGTTATCGATTTAGTACCAACGATCCACCCTTGATTTCCTCATGCCGGCATTGCAATCTGAAATTCGTCCAATTCGTTCTGAATTCACCACCTGTTACGTCTCAATTTGATATTCCCTCGTGTGCGTCCCATTCAGAAAAAATAAAAGCAAGCAAAAGAAAACGAAACGAGACTTCAACAGCATCTGCTCCTCAGCCGGAAATCTCCCACCCCTGGTGTTGATCAGTTGACAACCCGAGCCATCATGTGCTCCTCTCCACCGCCACCGATCAGACTTTGTGCATCAGTTTGGGGATAGAAGAAGGCTACCACCGCGATAATCACATAGACGGCGATGAGCAAGCTACCTTCGAGGTAATTACTGCGGCCGTCGAGGATGAGGAAATTGATGACGAAGGCGGTGGCGACGAGGCTGACGGTCTCGAAGAGGTTGAAGTAGAGGCTCATGTCGGTGTGCAAGATCCAGCCAAGCAGGACGACGATCGGGGTGACGAACAGCGCGATCTGGATGCTTGAGCCGACCGCAACACCGATGGCCAAATCCATCTTGTTCTTGGTCGCCACGGTCACGGCGGTCACGTGCTCGGCTGCGTTGCCGACGATGGGCAGGATGATCAGACCGATGAAAGCTTGGCTGACGGAGGGTGAGTTGGCAATCATTTCAGGGATGGCATCGACCATGAATTCGGCGCAGACGGCGACCAGGGCGGTGGAGCAGAGGAGGAGAATGACGGCGGCGGTGCGAGACATGATGACTTCGCCCTCGTCGTCGCTGTCCAGGGAAGCGCGATCGGCATTGTCGGCATTTGGGCGGTTGGCTTGGACGCGTTGATGTTGGAATGGCGGAAGTGGCCCGGTGCGGTTAGCGATGTTCGGGGTCACGGTGTTCTGTTGCTTGATCAATCGGTCCGGCAGAGAATTGGTCCGGCGGAGTCCGGTGCCATCGCTGACAGAACGGATAGGCGTGGGCCGGGAGGCCTGCATGACATAAGGTGCTGGCTGAACAAAGACGTTGTTGGACAGCATCTTCGGCAACGCGGGACGATACTGCACGCGCGAGGACAGCTGGCGCATGTTAAACGCACGGCGGCTCGGCGGCAAGACGGTTGCCTGGTTCTCGGCCACTTGAACATCATCGGAAAACTCCACACGGTGCTCTGGTACAGGTTCGTCGGCAAGCTGCACAGACTTTTCAGTCTCTTCGGCCGCATCTTTGGTGGAGCCGCGGCGGCTCTTCTTGTGCTTGCGTCGGTAGTGCTTCTTACGGTGCTTCCTTGCGGTGCTCGTGGGGACGTCGTTCGGATGCGAGACACTTCCGAAATCACGAATTCTAGGCGAAGTCGCTCCGTCCTCGGCATCTGCGTCAGCCTCATCTCCGCTTGCAATGACGCCGAGGCGTGGGCGGTTGGCGGAGCTGTGAGAGTGGTGATGATGGTCCCAGTAGTTGTCCGGCTGATTGATCGACGGAGAGCTGGTCGACATGACAACCGATGGAGTTCGAGTGCTGCTTACACTGGCGCTAGACTTACGTCTCTTGCGATTCTTGAACATGCGTCGCACACGTTTGCTGGTGGTGATGACAGAGCCGGAAGTGTCGCTGTCTGAGCTGTCCGAGGAGCTGGAGTCGTCCGACGATGACGATGAATTCATGATGTCCGCGAGAACACCTGGATGGGACTCTTCATCGATGATTGCCTGAGGAGTGCTCTCATACATGTACGCGTGCGACTTCAACTGGAACACCAGATAGAGCAGATAGATGATGAGCAGGATGACACTGGTTGCACGGCTGACCTTCAAGACGGCACTGTTTGCCAGCTCGCGGCTGGTGTCATTGAAGGATGCATAGAAGGCGGTCTGGAGGCATGTCAGCTGATGTGCATAACACAAGTGATGCGAGGGCACTTACGGGTAGCAGAAGACTTGTGACGCTCAGACTGAGCAAACATGCACTCATCTGAGTGACGGTGCTGTTGTAGACTTGCTCACGAAAGCGCAAGCCACCCAGAAGGAAAGCCATTCCCAGAATGAGGAGCAGATTGGCCAAGATGGAACCCAAGAGGGAAGCCTGCACGATGCGGATTTCATTCTTAACGAGAGCGATGATGAAGATGATGAGCTCTACAGCGTTACCAAAAGAGACGTTGAGGAGTGCACCAAGCGTGTCACCAAGCCTGCTGGCCACCGATTCGGTAGCATGACTGAGCAGGCCCGCCAATGGAATGATGGCAATGGCATTGATGGCGAAGACGACTGTGGCATTGAGGCCGATAGCTTTGACTATGATACCGAGGGGCACAAAGATCAAGAGGACGTTAATCCAGCTGTGAAATATGGCGTCTTTGAAGTGCACGGCGAAGCGTTTCGAGCCAGCAATCATGCGCTGAGGCATGGGAGGTTTCGCTTGTGTAGCAGTAGTTCCTAGGGTGGGATCTCCAGAGCCCGCAACCTCGGACTTGACCGCAGGTGAAGTTGCAGCAACGGATGCCGGCGCAGACGCATCGTGTTTGTTGTTGAGCGTGGTTTTCTCGCTACCAGCGTGAGTGTCTGTGGCGCCGTCATTGTGGGTGTGGTCGACATCGAGCACGGCGCCATCGAGGCCACGCTTGGCTGCGGGGACCGAGGGCAGTCCGCGAACATTTTGAGGATCTAGCCCGCCAGCTTCGAGATCGGAAATGGGATTGGCAGGGTTGGTGGACGGTTCATAGGTTGGAAGAACGCCTTCGGAGACAGTGACCGACCGTGACGAGGCGTGCAATCTCGCCTGCGATTTATAACGGTCTGGATGGATAAGGTCAGAAAGTTTTCCCATCGGCGTACGGCGGGTGGGCCTGTTGTTTGGGGGATGAGAAGTCGGAGGAGGGTCGTTGGAGGATGAGACGGGTGAGTGTGCTTTGTGGCGAAGGATTGGGAGAGAGTCTGGGCGAATGGGGTTGACGAGATTAGAGAGAGCGAAGTGTTGAAGATGTGGGTGATGGACTAGGTATAAGAATGATGAGGCATGATGTACATGTAGGTACGGCGGCAGAGGGAGGCACGATGATAATAAGCAGGTACTGATTGTTGTGCACTGGATAAGCGGACCAATTCCAGCAAGCCCTGGAGCGCGGTGGAATGGGCGGAAAAGGTGCAATCGGTGGACCGCCTTCCAGTTTGTTGGCTGCTCTCGTTCACGTCTCTCCAAAGGTGAAAGAGAGCGTCAGAGAGACAGAGTTTAACGATGCACGACCGACCGATTGGGTAACGGTGGTACATTCAGGCATGTAGATCGGCAGATGCGCATGTGAGCAATAGGAATGCCCGGCCGCCGCACGCACACCCGCCCGAGCTCCGGGTGCAGCCTCATCTTTCACACACTCTCTCCGCGTCCGTTTCACTTTCCAAGCACCGTTTGCTTCATGGGGTTTCCCATTTTCAACGGGTTGCGAACAACGGTGCGAACAGGTGAACGTAAATATCGACGCGTGGATAGATCAGGTTGTGGATGAGGGGATACGATGGGTGAATGTGTCGGTATCAGGTTGTGAAAGGTACCAATGAGGCGCGCGCACAATGGAACGGAGGGAGGGACCACGATGCCAGGCAGCTTTCCTTCGTTTCCCCTCCGCTCAGTGTCTGTTGTATATCGGCTTGGCTGTGCGCGGGCGGATGGTGGAACCCTGCACCCTCGACGAACAAGCTCTCCGTCGCCAGCCTGAATCGTGATGATTCTGTGACGTCGGACTGTTGATGGTGTGCCCACGGACAGAGGTGGAGCCTGAGTGGGAGCCAAGCCGGGCGGAAACAAAGCCCTGCGGACCATGATTGGGGGTTGTGCCATTCGAAGCATCACGCGATAAGGCTGTCCAAGAGATTTCCAAGACACGCCGTCGCCGCCAATCGTGGGAAGCGGGCGACGCATACTTGATTCGACCTCGGGTACATGTTTCTCATCGCTAATGAGGGTCGTACGTGGATGGGCAATGCATGCATGTATGTGTCAAGAGTGCGGGAGGAGGAATGTGCTGTCGCATGGAAAATGTGTTTTGTGTACAGTGGGAGATGTGTTGGCGCGCGTTTGCGCAAAAGTGCGTGATGTAAGCGGTGGACGGACGGCAGGATTCCATGTTGCAGCAGTGAGTTGCGAGCAAGTTCCAGACTCTCGCAGCTCTGACCTCTTCGCCGTCTCTCCCACGCGATCCGGGATTTTTTTTCACTTACGCATATCAGATCTGGTGGTCCAAGGATTAGGGCCTAATGTCTTGAGATATTCGTCGTCCGAACGGCTTCGTGACGCGTCAGTCAAGACGATGAGTGGCGGAGGGAGGAGGAGGAGAAGGAATGAATGTATGTGATGATGAAAGAGATGCTTATTGAGATTGGTGTATAATGGGTCCAGTAACAGGACGATGACTGTCTACGACCGAGTTGGAATGGTCGCTGTGTTGGGGAACTTATAGGCCAGGATGTCTGTGTGCGTGCGCAGTGCATCTCTAATGTGGCAGTATGCATATAGTGTGTAGTGTGTAGTGTGTGGTGTGTGGTGTGTGGTGTCAATGCCATATCGTTTCCATCGTCCCGCTGCCAAAGGTTGACGACAACGGTGATGCGGGAAGCCCACGCCCCTGCCTTATTCACTCGCGTCTCATCATTATTCGTATCACTCGAGCTCAACCCCGATACTTCGACATCTACATGAACATTCATGTCAAACGCATTGGGCAGTCGTCGTGATGCCTGTCACGGCCGAGATGAACGCCCGCCACGATATGACGGTGTGTTCATAAACGAATCGCGCGGATCACTCCCAGGAGTGCCAGGCCATCGAATGGGCGTTCGTCCACTACGTAATGAAGTAGCCGTCGGTTTCCAAGTGGCTGCCGGTGCCGGTGGGCGCGAGGGCACTAGATGAGGACTGGACCTACCCATGTTCTACCCGGATGGCGGTCGTGCTCTTACCAACAGTTCGTAATCACAATACGATCACTATCATCATGACGATTTCTGGCGCTCTGCGCTGCACGATGACAACTTCACATGTGCCTGAAAAGGATGCATGACCTCAGAAGTTGGAACATCATATCCACAATGTTTTTGATCTCGCCGGTTATCTGATAGGCGGCGCATCTTTGAGCGATTGATCCGTCGACACCGACGCTGGTAGTCGAGAAAAGTGCGACAGACTCTGTGCTCGCGTGCCCTCCTGCCGAGAATGGACCGGCTGTGTGGCGTGTCTTTCCATGACCAATCCACTAGACAGTTATCTCGCTAGATAGGTCCGGATACACAAGTAAATTTCAGCACTAGCAGAATGGAAAGGCCGACGAGACCAACCAAAGTCATAATGTTCCTGATCCGTTACCTGGAACATGTGACCCGAGACAATCATCCTCTCCTCCGCTGATGATGCTCTTCGCCTCTGCAAACAAAAAAAGTCTGCACATATCTGCTTGTTCCATCGTCAGACGGAAACAAACGGGGCCGTGGAAGCGGCGGGTGGTGTGGCACGGACAGCGGCAGACAGCAGCGGACAAACCTTGGACTTGGAACCTTGTCATCATCGAATGATCAATTACTTTTAGACCTCTTCCGATTGTTCTGATGGTATGCAACAAGCCAATTGACTGTTGCAATCACGATCACGCTGTCTGACTCCTATGAATCCATTAATCGCATCATCTTCCTGAAGATTCACTTGAGAAAAGTGGAAACGATTCCAGGTCCGAGGGCAGAACCTCTCGGATCGGGACAATCCTCCCCACAACTCTCCTCCAAGACAGCCCTCCTAGCGGTCGATCCCTGTGCTGTGAGCAACACCAACGAGGATTTTAGAATTCCTCCAGGCCAAACCTTGTCACGCCCGGGTGATATTTCTGGGGTGCACGTATATCATTACAGGAACACTACAGTACAGTATTACCAGCCAAGTGTCCATCTTCAATCACGTCAGCAGCTCTCTCAATCCCGCGCTCGAAGACTTCGAATCGGGTATACATAGCACCATTGACAACCAGAACGGTGGAGTGTCAACGACATTGGCATTCGCGTCCACGGTATCCTTGTCATTTTCCAAGCAATCCAAGACATGCTTGACGTATGCATCCCTTGACCCCCCCCCCTCACTAGACCTCTGGGCAACTTTCACAGCTTCCATTTTGCGGGTGCTCTGTCAATAACCTAAAGTCTTTCAATTGATAAGAAAAGGACATTCGGGCAGTCGATTCAGACATCCCAGTTCGACCATTCACCAGTCACAGCACGATCCACGGCACGTGAAAATTATTAACTTATGCCCAGCTGCCTGCCAATGCGTCTCGATACTACATACCTAGGTACACATTCAATACTCTACGCCTTTACTCGTTCACCTTGCACATGCAGCACAGCATCGATTTGGAACATCCTGCTCACCGAGGTTCAGCCGAGCGACGATACGGCCTTGTATCATGATTCGCTACGTTGCCAGAGAGAATGGTCATGGATGCTCGCTTGTGTGGTTTCCATCGGAGCTGCCGTGTAGTATGCGCGTCGCCACAAGATACTCATTTCTCGTCCATGGACGTCCCGCAATCATCGGTCGCCACGTTATGGCGCAGCAAAAGACGCATCAGCCCTACCAAGATTTCACACATTATTATTTCTACCTGCTTGTACACGTCGTCTTTGCTCGATAGCGTAGGCCGCGCGTTCTGTCCTGTCTCGAGTGTGCTGTTGCTCAGACATCCAAACAATACGCTGTAGCTTCGTGAGGTTCTGACCATGCTGTGGTGTCTGTCTCATTCGCAAGAACGTTGTTGTGGCTGAGCGACTGTCCAGCAGATGACTTTGGTCAGTCAGAACAGGGGAAGCTCTCCAGATTTCGGAGCAATTTGGCCGCGCGTCGGCCATTGCACCCCTTGAAATTCGCCCAACGCATTGGAGCGCAAGCCGTCTGGAGGGATTATAATTGGATGCGGCATTCATTTCTCTCATTGTTTCTTTTCGCAACATCTACTGCCGGATTTCGATCGTCATTTGTAGACAATTCGTCGCTTCTGTCCTCTGCTATGAAAAATCTTCGTCGCAATGTATTTGTGCGATTTTTGAACTCTACCGTGAAGCGAACATGCGAAGGCACAACTGATTTTCGCCACGTTCACAGCCAAGCCGGCGGTTCGGCTTCATCCACTTATTCCAATGCGGACACCGCACGCTGTGATCGTCAACCTTGGAATGTCACTCCTTCTGAGTCATAATCTGGTGCTTGCGATCGCCGACGCCCGCACAGAATTTACTCGTACAGCGCGACGATGGGCATGCGCATACGTGAAAATGAACATATGTAAATAATTTGGTCGAACCTGGTTGATTTACTATCCAAGGAGTCTGCACACCACCGAGATATTCTGTAGCTTTACTGTCGAATATCATTTTTCCCTCCACGACCAGAGACTCTGATCCATAACCACAACATCATCGCGAGCGACTCAACAGAACTGGTCGAAATGGCTCCGAGAAGAAACAAGGATTCGGAAAAGTCCGATGGGCACTCGGGTACTGCCAGTAAGCTTACCGTCACAGCTCAGCAGAGTCGATTCCATACGGAAATGGACGAAGACAACACTCTCAAAGAGGCGAGCAGTCCCAAAAAATGACAGTTGGATGTTGCTGGGACTGACGTATTGGCATCAAGATCGTGGTCAAGGATCTTAGCATATCAATAGGCAACCGGGAGCTGCTTTCGCATGCCGATCTCCAGCTCCAGAGGGGGCGGAAATACATCCTCCATGGCCGGAATGGCATCGGCAAGTCAACTTTGCTCACGGCGATTGCCACTGATCAGATCCCCAACATCCCGCGCGGCGTAAAGGTGCTCCTTTTAGGTCAAGTTGAGTCTGAGGCGGAAGGTGACGTTGCTACCAAGCCTTCCGAGCAACCTGAGAGCGTGCTTCAATATGTCCTCCGGGCCGATCGGAAACGGGAGCGTCTTCTTCGAGAGGCCAATCAGCTATCCACCGCATTCGAAGATATCGCCAACCCTCTGGCAGCCGTGCAGGTATATCGCCGGATATCCCACGAGCGGCTCGAAGACAAGGTTGCCGTTGCCAGGCTACTTGCGACGAGGAGAAGCGGCGCTCGTGGCGCCAAGTCGCGTCAGGTACTCAATCAGCTAGAAGAGGAACTGGCACGGTCTGTAGAGAGACTCTCGGCTGAGGTCGTACCCGATGAGATGAGCGAGGAGAGTCGCAAAGGTGCGGAGATGTTGGCAGAGGTGCAGCTTTCATTGGAATTGGTAGGTGACGGGTTCTCCAATCATTCACCTAGGAAGATACTCACTGTGACTTGTAGATGGATGCTGCTGGCGCCGAGTCCAAGGCACGATCTGTGCTGTCCGGTCTAGGCTTTTCCGCCGAGAGTATTGAACAGCCTCGAGCTAATCTATCTGGAGGGTGGAAAACACGCTGCAGTCTTGCCGCAGCCCTCTGTCAATCGGTAGATTTACTGCTACTCGACGAACCCACGAACTACCTCGACTTGCCCTCGATAATCTGGCTTGAAAACTATATCCAAGAAATCGACGAGACCACAACCGTCATGGTCGTCACCCACGATCGAGCCTTTGGAGATGGCGTCGCCGAGGAACTCCTTGTCTTACGAGAATCACAGCTCCAACGTTTCCGCGGAAATCTGTCCCAGTACGAAATGGATCGGCTCAAAACTTTCAAATATCTCACGCGCATGAAAGACGCCCAAGATAAGCAGAAGAAGCATATCCAAGCCAGCATCGACAGCAATCTGCAAGCGGCGCGCCGAAACGGCGATGACAAAAAGCTGAAGCAAGCCGCATCGCGGAAGAAGAAGCTCGATGAACGGATGGGAATGGAAGTCTCGGCGAAAGGCACCCGGTTCAAGCTGAACCGGGATCTGGCCGGGTATCATTTGACGAATCGTGCCGAAATCGAGCCGCCGTCATTTGACCCACCTGTAGTCATCACGATCCCAACAGAGCCCCCAGATCTTCGCTTCCCAGGGAGTCTGGTGTCTCTCGAAAAGGTCAATTTCTCCTACACGGTCGGCAAGAAACGCATTCCTATCTTGAAGGACATCGACTTGACTATTCATCCGGGTGATCGTATCGGCCTGTGTGGACTCAACGGTTCCGGGAAGTCCACACTCGTCTCGCTTATCATGGCGGCAAACGCCGCTGCGACACCGTCTTCCGGGACGATCACCCGCCACACGCGCGCTCGCTTCGGCCTCTACTCACAGCAGTCCGTCGAGGAGCTCCATACGCTGGCCGTCGCGGGACCACAACTCACCGCTCTCAGTCATCTCATGTCGATCCTCGGCCCCTCCGCCGACGTCGAAAAGGAGGCCCGCAGCCTGCTCTCCGGCGTCGGGCTCGCGGGTCGGGTTGCTTCGGACGTACCCCTGGGCCTGCTGTCCGGCGGTCAAAAGGTCCGACTGGCACTCGCCAAATTGTTCTGTCCGACTCCGCCGCATCTCCTCGTCCTGGACGAGGTCACTACGCACCTCGACACGGACACCATCCAGGCGCTGGTGACGGCGCTGAGGAGATATCAGGGTGCGATCCTGCTTGTCACGCACGACCGGTTTTTCATGAGGTGTCTGATCGAGGGCGAATCGATGAAGGCGTTGGCGGCGAGGAATCGTCCGATGACGGAGGATGGCGAGGACGACGAGAGTGACGAGGGAAGCGATGATGGAGATTCGAGCGACGGCGATGATGGAACGACGTCTCGTCGTACAAGGGTCATTTATCGGCTTTCCAAAGGGAAGCTGATCAAATTGGATCGTGGCATGGAGCAATACGAGGAGATTGCCGCCAGGTCGGCGTCGAAGTTGGGCAAGGCATGATCACTGGCATCAAATCATTCGATATTCCTGCATGGCTTCGGTATGACATCGCGCCAGAGGTGCCATATCTGAATCGTGTCTAGTGACATCGAGGCAAAGTATGGTATAACTTTCTTCTTCGAAATAGTACCCCATCCCGACTCGGGCTTGATCGAAGTACTCTTCTAGCATACTATCTCTACCAGGGCGCTGCAACATTGGGTGAGTCCCGGGCCAAGTTCCAGACGCCTTGCGCATTCACGACGTTCACCGCGACCTTGCGAGCGCGTCCCTCCCAGCGGAACCTGATGATGCCCTGGTGAACAGCACGAGTGGTGGGTGCCTGTTGGTCTCGCAACGTTAGCGGTTGGATCATCTGCGAAATGGATCATCTGCGGAAAGTGCGGCGTCGGAGGAACTACTGACCAGCTGACGACTGCCAATGACCTGTGTGTACGGATTTCCCAGGTCATCTGAGCTTGTAGGAACTTGGAACATCACCGTATACGCGGCTGCGCCTTGCACGGGGTCCCATGTGATCTCGTAGTCACCGGCGTCGTTGATCCGGCGCGCTGTGGGGCGGGTCTGTCCTGGGCGCGAGACGCCTCTGGTGATGCCAATCTGCGGCGAGGTGAAGGTGTAACCCTTAGGTCGGCCACAGCCACTGTCATCCGACGCGAGAAAATACCATCCGACGGGGCCAGCTCCGTTTCGACAGACGTTGGTCAGCTCGTGGACAGACGTGAAGTTTCTGTTCGGGACTCTGTCAGCTTCGCTTCTATGGTCTGTGTCCCAACCGCATCGGTCGATTCACGAGGATCCTGTCCTTTACCTTCCGCCGCCTGCACTGCGGGTGATCCAGTTGTTACCAAGATCAACGGCATAGAACGGATCGCTGAGGGCGATATTTGAATAGTCGCGTGCTGGTGCGTGCTTGACTCTGTTGGAGCAAATAGCAGATATTAGCCCCTGCGTCGATTCCCTTCAACTTTTCCAAGCAGGATACAGAGGCTGTCCGATCATCGAGTGGTCACTTACCGGGATCCATCGGCGTAAATGGCCTCGAATTCAAATAGGACCCCAATCATGCCGCGGTCGCGCGTGAGGGTCAACTGATAATTGCAGTCGCCGAGATCGAACGCACGATAGCTGTTCGGTCCCGGAGAGCCAGGAGTACAGCCGTCGATCCATTTGGTGGTGCGACCCGACTGGCGGGCCTCGATCTGTGATTCAGCTGCCGCGGAATCGCCTGTCTCTGTGACCGGAGAGGCAAAGGCCGTGGCCGCGGCCAGAAGACACCCGATTGCGTTGGAAACACGCATGATGGCAGTGGGAGTAGGGTGACAGATAGGGGATGGGTATGAGTTTGGACTGTACTTTGCAATATGCCTAGGATAATCATGCCGGGAAAGACAATCTTCTATATATTCATGACAGTCGCTGTAATATTGTTCCCGCCAAGTTTTGGAGAAACACGCCTTCGCAGGGCGTGCAGTCTCGCGTCATAGGTTGCTCCTCAATACACGAACGAAGCTGTGTCAACTTTGCTATCGTCTATGCCCAGAACTCGGCGTTGTGGAGAGATTCCTTCGTTGCGTGAAGGAGCCAAGCAACGAATATGCGCTCGGAGCACTTGGCATGTCCCAATTTCAGCCACATGGCGCCGACAAGACAGCCGGCCAGTGTCGATCCCTTGGTCTGCCGAGCATCGTGAGAAGTCGTGCCTCATCGGAACGGAGATTTGAGTGCAGTCCCGCTGCATTTGGTGTGCCTAGTGGTGCCCATTCGTGCAAAGATATCGCGCCGCTGATGTATGCCGTGCGCGTCTTGCTGGCTTCGGCTCCTCAAATCGCGGTGCATGATGCGCGCCCGCGAGATGTAAGGATGCCGCAACTGCAAATGTGGAACGACAACGCAGGCCAAAGATTGATCTGTTGTACGGAATGATCATCCGCTTTAATCGGAGTGCATGCATTTACATACGATGATCGATGAGCATAATTTATGTGCGTACCTGCCCTCGGACGGGCAGCCGACAGACCTCAAGCCAAGCTGCCCGCCGCCAAGCTCATCGTATTCTGGCCGACCTCCCTGTGAATCCTTGAAACACAAGCTGGGAAGCTCTATCCGCACCTGTAGCGTCCCATCTTGCTTCTCGCAGGTGGGATACTGAAATGACGCATAGCCTCTACCCATCGGGAGAATCTATTGACTTGGCCATTGACGCACTACAAGCCTGGGCGAGGGATTGGCATTGGATGCAGATGTTCACTTCATCTCCTTGACATTCTTTGCCCAGACAACGGACCACGAAAGTTGAAGTACATTACTGCTGAATTCACGGCAGGCCGTATACCTTGCTAAACTCCAGACTATTGACGACGTGTTATAAGAAGAGGTAATCGACACTTCTGGGCACAACCACCAGGCCAATCAATTCGCAGCATCCATGTGTATGTCCCGAGATACTGTCCCAAGATACTTCTTGAGCTCATATGGCGCTCTAGTCTTTCAATTCAGAGACGAAAGCGAGCACATCTCGAGCAACATCCTCCGGGCGCTCGAGATGCGGCGCATGTCCCACACCGGGAAGTGTCACGACCTTCGCATGGCTGAAATTTGACCCGACCCATTGTGCTTCGTCGGCGGGCTTAGTAAAGTCCGGATCCTTCCCTCCCATGACTACCAGCGCAGGAATGCCTTTCACCTTGGCTAGATAAGGCTCGACGACGCGATGATCGGCTCCCGAGACGGTCGCCTGGAACGCTGCCCAGCGTCCTGGACGCGCAAGAGCTTTGGAAGTCTCGTCGGCGCGCTGCGATGCACCCTCGGCGCCCAGACCAGGCCAGAGCGACTTGCTGTACATTTTCCACACGCTGGGTCCCCACGGCTTTGCAATCAGGCCTTTCATGAAGTAAATGCCAAAGACTCCCATGGGTAGACGCAGGAAAGGTCCGAGGAGCACCACGCCCTTGATCAGTCCTGGTCGGCGAGCAGCAGCGATTGTAGCACTCGCCGCAGAAAATGATGCGCCGATCAAGATCGCTGGTCCCTTGTTGAGCGTCTCGACTAATGTGACGAAATCGTCCGCTGATGCCTCGTCGCCGTAGTGTAGAAAGTCGGTGGAGCTGTCGCCGTGTCCTCGAGGATCGATGGTCACGACTGTGTAACCAGCGCTGACGAGCTGCGCTGAAAGAGGTGCATAGGCATTTCGTAGATCGCCCATTGCAGGAGCGCAGAGAACAAGCGGTCCGCTTCCTGCAATTTCGTACGCGAGTTTACCGCCATCAGTAGTGAGATATTGAGCACTCATCTTGTCGAAGACTGGGCCCGATGATGTTCAGAAAGGGTGTGAGTTTATGTGAATGTGCTCGTGGTTCATTAGGTTGATGAGCACCCGAATATTGTTCGACATGTAGTGGGCTGGCGACTGATAAATCATTTAAATACTTTCCATACATCGCAGAAACGACAATACCAACAGTATCCGAATCTGACAATCGAGTCATGGTAGCGGTCTACCTTCACAAACGGCGGTTTTTATGAGTACGCAGGACTTTCCCGCATCGTGCATGTGCAGTCAGCTTGGAGGCGTATACCCAAATTTGGCAACAAGAAGGTCGTATATGGATGTCCTTCCTGCGGCACGCATTCTTCAGTAAACAAGCAAGTCGCAGGTGGTTCGAGGAAAGCGCAAATCACATTAAAAATACCCGTCTGACCACAAAATTGACGGGGCTCAATCAACATTTGAAGTGATAAATTGCATTAATACAGGCGATATAATTTTACAACCGTGCAGAGTTTCACGGTCGCAGCAGAAGGACATGTCAGAAGATCATGGTCGATAACAAGGGTCCTTCGAAGGATGGAAGCTACCGCACCGGAACAACGTTCATGTGAAGGTCAAGCACTGGTACAAACACGCTTCTCCTCTTTCGACATTTCCACGCAATAACTAAATCATCTTTGGAAGGCTGGCTGGTCGATCACAGGAATGCTCACAACAGATGCGTGCCGACGGACAGAAAGCCTCATGAACACTCGGACCCACGGTCTGATTATTTTTATTAGAACCAACACAGGTGATTATCGCTGGTTTCTACCATTATCTTGAGGAATTCGCGTTCAGTTTCAATCCAAGCACCGATCTCGCTTCGCTCCCATGATGCTGGACTTCGATTGATGCTCCCTTCACTCCACATCACATCCGACATACGATTTTCAGCGACTGATAAGGACACGCATTTGTCCCGATCAAGCACCATGGAGCATAGCCACAGCGAGGACACCTGTGACTACGTAGACAAGCAACACCTTGTTGAATGCTGCTGAAGATGGTACTCTGGACGTCGCCGCCGATGGACTAGTAGAGACTGCTGTCGTGGGTGTATTTACGATGGCTGTCGACGGCGCATTCGTGCTCGCAGTCGCAACGTTACTAGTAATGGTCTGAGCGATAGCCTGGGTAGATGTGGTCGAAGTCGACCCTGGCAAAGTCAAGTTGGGCAGCGAACTGGTCGATGCAGTAGCAGTTGATGCCAAGTCGATTGATGACTAGATCTTGTCAGACCCGGATACGTAGTCGACCCGCAATCGACTGGAAGCATCGGCTTACCGCAGCTAGAAGATCAACCTTGAGCGAAGTGACGGTGAACTGCCAAAGGTACTTGATGGAGACGCCGCTCTCGAATGCGCGTACGTTTCTGGCACTGTCCTTGCCGAGATATAATACCTTGCCGCTTCGCGACGTCGTCAACGTATAGCCGTCATCTGCACCATCTGTTCCCCGAACGTAAGAGGAAGACCAGAAGACAGCATTGCGGCATTGATCGAGGATCGGATAGTTGCTCGAATCCAGAGTCAAGCACAGCTGTGGGTAGATTCTCGATCTCATGAAATAAGAGGGCCCGTCAGAGCTGCCGTAGGGTGAGAATGACCAGACATCGTTCCCCCCAAATACCACAGGAATCACATTGTTTTGTGTGAGAGACGAAGCTGAAGGTCGTCAGTCATGACAGATTATGCAGGTATGGTCACGTGATTTTCTACTCACCAGTGGTACCCAGATAGCCACTGTTTGTGTTCTGTACGAGATAGTGGAAGTTCAGATCTGGAACGAATCTAATGTTGCTTTGCGACATGCTGCGATAAACACAGTCGAAATCTTCAGAAAAGCTGCAATAAATATAGACCGAATCAACATGCCCAAAGAGAGGGAACTATGCGTCACTATATGCACGAGACGCACTGGACGAAACAGTCGCCGGGCTCACCTCGTGGTGGCTATTCGTGATCGCCTGAGCAGCGTCAGCCTCCACGGTGTGGTAGCTTCAATCATTGACCGGTGACACCGCCCTGGCAGAGTCAACCAACTACCGCGGCTTAGTCGACAAGACAGCGCAATAGCAAATGCCGCCAGCGAAATGCGTTCGATATATAGAAGTAGCGTCATGCAGTGAAGCGAGAAGCCAAGAACATCAGGAGATATGGCTGTAAAGTGGCCGAGTCCCGCCAAATCCTTTCAGGGCTTGGGAAAAGGCGTTACGCGACTGCGCAGCAACTATCACCGCGCGTGTATTAATATATCAAAATCATGATGGCTATTGGAGCGCACGATAGGATACAAAGGTCGGTACAGGGAACAGGATCCTGGATGCTCGGGGCTGTGGAAATGCAGACACTATCTAATGGGCAGGAGGGCGGCCCGGACGACGACCAATTCCGTATAGCATTTACACGCACGGAAATGTACGGCTTCAGACAAGGCGTGGCTGAGCCAGCTCTTATATGTCCGCTGGATCTTGGCAGTCACTGATTTCTCCAGGACCTTCTCCACTACATCTCGACCAGATCATCACCTCCATCTCCGCCTGTGAAGGGATCCTGTGTGAACCATCGGCTCAGTCTACGTTGCCATTTCCCTCGTGCAGCACTATCATATGCATCACCCATGACCAGGCGTTCAAGATGCTTTTCGTGAGCACGAAGGAATGGCTGTGGGGTGTCACGGCTAACGATGTCAAACGGAGACCTTGCGTAAACAAAGAAGGCGGCAAGGCCTTTAATCCGATGAAGCGGTCTCGCCAGCTGCTCGTGGACTTTAAAGAGTGCATCCTGCGCGGCTTCGGGGTCCTCACTCTCAATGACATGGCCAGAGAAGTCTCTGTCGTCTCCCACGTGAAGAGTCAGCGTAAGCCTTTTGATGTGGGGAGAAGCCTGCGCAATAGCCTTCTCCCAGTCTTCAAGCACTGCAGGCTCTATACCCAGGTGAGTGTAGTAGCGGGCAGTGAAAGCAATCTCGAGGTCACGCAAAAAGCCAAGACAAAGGCCAGGGATAGTTTGAGTGAGGAATATCGAGGCTTCGAATGGTTCAGATCGAGGCGATGATGGCTGTAGTGTACTGTCGTAGGTGATTTCGGGAGAATCCACGATGAAACGATTCGACGAGTAGAACACTCTTCGGGCATCTTGTGTTACCGATCTGCACACAAGGAATATTGAAGGCGGTGTCCGGTAGCAGGGGCACGGCGGATATGCGACACGATTCCAATTGCAAAACAGTCTGCCCCAGGGACATTTATGGCCCCAAAATGTCCAGGAGCCACGAGTCCTGAGGTAAAAGCCGACCTCTCCAGGAGCCCAGTGTATCTGTCGCAACGGTGATACCAGATCAGTGAAGCTCAGAATGCGATGCCGTAGCTCGATGGGTAGATCCATGAATCTAAATGCTTGACCTGCCCCCGGATGATGCCTCGTAGCGAGGTCCACAGCTCGGCGAGCGATGGCTTGCAAGCCAGAGTCTTGAGCTAACTGAAAGCTACCCGGCGGCGGACGATCGCCATTGCTGCGCAACTGTACTAGACATCGAGACAATCTTAACGGCTCCAACGGTGCCACTGCCATCTCCGCAGCCTCCACGTCCTTGGCTTCGCAATACAGGCTGAGTTGCAGCTTATTCATCCATTGCGGCTCATCCTGAGTAATATGATCGACAAATCTGCGCCAGCCCTCGAGATCCTGTTGAAAGTGATAGTCAGAATCGTAAGCGGCGAATTGCCTAGCACGCATACAATCTGCTCGAGGACATCGAAGATCATTATGTGTCGCATTACGGCTCCCGTGCAAATGACATCCAGTCATCGAACAAAGCCGGTGTCCAAATTCGAAGATCACACGCCTGCAGTGGCGTAAGGATTCGGGCATCGTGTTCAAGAACACAGATATGTGCTGGAGCGCCGTACCATGGATCAAGATCCGATATTCGGAGAAGATCAGTGGAAGTATGTCAGCTTTGACAGCCCGGCTCACCAGGCGGAGGTTGTTGTAACTTCGCAGCATTGATAGAGTGTTGAGTTCAATGCGGTAATCACCGTCCTCTGCGAACAAATAGGGAATTCCATCACGCACACCCAAGGCGATTAGGTGTTGGTTGCTGAATCTGGCCCTCGGTCGGCCACGATAGTCCGGTCCGGGGTACCCGTCCTCGTCGGCGCGGTACTGGTATATTCGCCATCGAATCTTCTGCGGAAGTGTCAAAAATGTTGTTGACTCTTCTCGAATTTGCATCTTTAGGCTGTTGGGGGCGAGCAAACTCATGAGAGATTGCGATGATTTTCTTCTTGTGGTACAGCGCTCGTCAAGGTAAGGACGACGAAACAAATTCCGCACCCATGCGTTGATAAGCGACTAGTAGTGCTTCGAACTCATGGACATCATTTTCTCGGCGGGATGTAGCTGACTGTCGCACGATGAAGACTTTCCGAAACCCATCAATGGAGACGACAATATTGAATTGCATACTCGGCCTCGCAGCCTGGCTTATTAGAAAGTAGGTGAACAGGATGTGGCATGATTGGGCCTCTCTAACGTGTCCGGCCAAAGGTGAAACTATGGAGGACACGCACAAGCGCGCCGCACAGCCTGGTCCGCCGAAACAATCTAACTGAGCGAAGAGCCAAGCCGGAGCACACAGACGCACGGCCTCCAGAGGCTTATACTGTACCGCACCATCCTGCGTTCGGGATTTGTCGCCCCTCTCTCAATTTGCAGCATTAGTCGCGGGATTAGTCGCGGACACATATCGTGCGGCATGGCGCTTGATCCCTAGACTGCTAGTCAAGCATCGGTCCACCACAACATGGACGTAGAGTGGGTTCTCGAGATGGATCTCGCATATTACACGCTTTGATACATTTCCGTCTGAACTGAGCCCCTGCTGATCCGCGGGACATCACCGGACTTGGATTGCTGGCAGCTATAGCAAGTCGACTAGCTTCAGTGGGGGATGATCCTCCTGCTCAACTGCCAAAAGGTGACGCGGCCAAAGGCCCTGCCGCGCTTGATGCGACCGCTCTGGGATCGTATCAAGACTGAGTGAACATGGGACAACTCGCCGTTCATCTTGAAAACTATTCGCCAAGTCAGGCCTCCTCCAGTGAAGACCTTCGTTTGGGGGGTGGCTGAGCGCGCGAGCTGTGAGTTGACAGTGTTGTCTTCATTCAAGACTCGATGATCAAGGCTTTGCAAGGCCCAGTCCAATCTGCAGTTTTCTCATCTGCGCCCAACTTGTTGAGTCGTCCAATATAGCCTGTTCTTGTAACCGCGACAGTGTCCTTGACCATCATGAAACAGGCTGGCGAAACTGTGTCCATGTTTGCCCATGTTGGAGACGCCGCACGTTTCTTATTCCGAAACCATTCATAAGTAGAGAGCGTAGGAAGAGGGAATATGCTCCCTTTTGCATCATTCGCCCGTCCTTACACTGATCTGGCATACCTCGGAGACCCATTTCATCTTCCAAATCGACAACATGCGCAGAATATTGATATTCCTTGCGTGCATACTAGCCACGCTCCTACCCGCGCATGCCACACCATCACCAACACAGATCAAAATGGTTGAATGGCCGGACAAACCAAAAGATCCAGAAAGGCCAGAAAACAAAGAAAGGCCAGAAATCAAAGAAAAGACATGGCATGCAACTTATCGTTTATCAGATTTGGCAAGAGCGGACCGCACCTACTCGATCCCTGCAGCACAGATAGATGATGTGCATATTATGAGGCTTGCCAAAACTCTCTTCAACTACCTCTGAGGACAGTACGAACATATCAATCCTGAGCTCATGTGCACCCGGGATCAATTCTGCCTTGTCGCTGTCCTATGGGATCCTGTGACCCAAGTATTTTTCGCCTCCACGATACCTGTCGGAGAAAGACGGAAGACCATGATTACAGCAGGGCCACAAAAAGCCCCGGTTTGGTGGTCGAAGGTTGACAATCCGAAAAAGGAAACATATACACATGCTGAAGATGCTGTTTATTTCAATTGGGAGTCTGTAGCCCCTGCCAATCGAGTCCAGGGTGGAGTTTATCATGGGGGTCTGAGGATTGGAGTCTATGGTTCCAAAGTTGAAGCGAAAATCGTGAATGGCAAACAGGTCAAGAATGCTAAAGGGCAAGTTCAACCAGCATTGACAACTCCAGCACAGTGGTCCTTGTGCACCGTGAGCGACAAGTCGCCCGCTTGTGCCGAGGTTGCCAGGAGCCTTCGCATAACTCCGGTCCCCATGGGATATTATCGGCGCGATACTGGAACGGATCTGCCGCTCGGGATTCTCTGAGCCTGGAAATCTTTGAAGAATGGCTTATCAATCACTACGATGGCCATGCGCAAAGGGGTCCATATGCAGAGGTGCCAAGGGTCAGTCGGACGGGAGCTCACAATGCAGCCACAATCATGCGGGAGCTCCTTCGTGGTGACCCTTCCATCTGGCCGTCGCCTGATCGTTCTCCTGGCGAAGTCAACAAACATCACCTCAGCCTTTGCAACCATGCTTTGGAGTATATCCGTCCAACTTAAGCTGCTGAGAAGTTCGGGTAGAGTTGAGAGGACGTTCACGATCAGTGATTAGATCGCCGACCAAATAGAAGCATTGAAACTTTTCGTTCATTTTCAGTATGGTAGAACTTGGAGGCTCCGTCGCCAATTCAGGTCTCTGAGGTGAGGCTCGAGTAGAGCAAAGATCTGCACAATGTGCAGATGCTCACCGTGTTCGTCTATATCTGAGTCGATCATTCCGCAGAGTCTCCTACCTTCTAGTGAGTCTCGAAGCTTGCGATGGTGTTTGAATATGCTTGACGAGAGAGTGGTGAAATACGCACGCCAAAAACCTAGCACTCACCGTGCGGATATGCATTTGAGCATTATCCTCTCGGGAGAAACATGACGTTCATCAATGTGTCCTTAGCTAGAAATGGTATGGATTGCCATAAATTACTTACTTTGCCAGCGATAGAAGGAATTGTTGTCAGTATCATCGTCAATGTGAACAACAAGTTCCACAAGTAGCCACTCAAGATATTCACCCAACCACTCTATCGATCTATGCCGAAGTCAAGCTTGGCCGCGACCTAGCATGTCTGGCCTAGCTGTTCTCGAATACGTGAAGTCAGACGTGGTCCAACGTTGTCCATAGCATAGCTTCTTCTCCAATCATTAACTTCCTTCTGCTGAATATCAAGTCACGTGACATGAACGGACGAAATGGTGACACGGCGGTGCTGACGAAGCTTCAAGGGAAGTCCTTCCGAGGTTCCTCTTCATCCAGCGCGTTCGCCGTCGGACTCCGGTTTAAACCCAAGTGTGTCTGGCAGAAGCAGTTTCACTCATTGAAGAGGCAGTCCCTAGTTACTGCGTTCTAAACGACCTTGAAGAACGCGGACAGCACGAAGAGTGGTCAATGGAGGTGTGAACTACAGATCGGCGAGAGTCGTGTCCAACATGTGATGCACAGCCCATAAGCAGAAAAATGGTCGACGGATAGGGGGATTTTCGGCTTCATGATCTCCGGCGCATTTTACGGTAATCTCGCGGGGCGTCTACAGCATACAGGCTCGAGGACGAAATCGTCTCCTGCATCGCAAAGCCCGCAATACTTGCCTTCATGAACTCCGGAAATAGGAAAAAAGCAATCGGAACAATTCCATTGATGAAAGTCCGACCTTCCAAGCCGATCTCTACATCGCTAGAATCCCTGCCACGCCCACAGCTACCGCTCCCAGTGCGACCTCGATGCCCAACTTTCCGGCGCTTCCGGTGTGTGTCGACGCCGCCGATACCGTGACCGTCTGCGCGGCGACCACGCCCGCGATCTTGACGCCCGTCGTCGCCGTGATGGCCGCGGCCTTCATGGACGCAGTGGGCGTCGACCCGGTGGCGGCCGCCGCAGCCGCCGCCAAGTGCTCCGCGCCGGCCGTGACGACCATGTCGAGCAGCACGCCCGGGTTCCGCTCGTTGAAGGTCTTCACGAAACTGCTCGCGGGCGAGAGCTGGTTCTCGAAGACCTGGTCGCAGATGCCGTTGACGACGCGCAGGACGGCGGTCGGCGAGGGGCCGGCGGTGGTGAAGTATTGGGAGGTGATGGTGCGCACGCCGCCCATGATGTCGCAGTCTTGCGTTCCGGAGAATATGTCGGTGGGGTCGCTCTCGTCGGAGTAGACGTGCCGGTAGGTGCTGGGCCCGATGGTCAGAGTCTCGTGGGGGTGCACGTAGCACGACTCCGAAGGGGGGTTGGTCGGGCAGGCGAACGTCATGGTGGTGACATCGTTTGTCACGCCGACGATGGAGGCCTCCAATTTCATGGAGTCGCCGTAGCCGAATATGGGGATCTGCAGAGTGGTTGCATTTGTCGCAGCAGCGACACTGTGCTGAACGAACATGGCCGCTGGCGCCAGCAGGGTGAGATATGATCTCATTGTTTCGATTTCTTGTATTATGATTATGTTTTCGTGCTTGTGTTCTTCGTAGCGTATTCAATGAGCGATTGTTTGTTGGTATTATGTATGTTGTTCAATGAGCAACCGTGGAGTGGTATTATGTTATTCAATGAGTGTTTCGCGTGCAGTTGGCAGGCGAGCGTCGTCGGACAATATGTCGCGGTTCCAGAGGCACAAATGAATGCTGCGAACCTTTAAAAACCAGTATCAAAGATTAAAGCCATCTAAAATGGACACGAAAGTCGCTGCGGATCCAATTATTACATTATATGCTCTGACTGAATAAGGATGCGATCAAGCTGACACTCCTCCGAGTTCACGGCGAAGCAAAAGAAATTGCGTTTCGGTCGGGATTGGCTGAATGGGGCCGATGGCTTGCAGCAAGCGCTCAAGTAGACTTTGCGGCGCAGCCACCAGCCAGCCAACCCGCGATGCCTTTCCTCCCGAAGCGTGCATGAACATCGACGGCACAGCGAGAGTTTGCGAATTCAATGGCGTGTATGACGAAAAGCTGTTGGCGGTTCTATGGCACGTGCAATGAGGTGCTTGGGGGGAATTATACAGTACAATATACGTACAGTCCTTCGAGCGCATAGTTGTACACATGTGGATTTCTCAATCACACCTCGTTTTGTGCAACTCACGTCCGCAGATCATGCAGCGTCGTGGCTGCTCTCAATGGGCAACCCTCGTCGTCGAATCTGGCTGCTCATCTTTCGAGCGTGCCGTCGTGCATCAAGGGATGCTTCTCAAACCAGAAACATGCAAGAAGATTGTTTAAATGAAGAGAAGTCCGGCCACACCGACAGCTGCGCCGATGGCACCTCCAAATACCTCTGCGCCCAACGCGCCCGCCATGTTCGTGTTCGCTGGCGCCGCGGCCGAGCCAGTAGGTGAGCCGGTAGTGCCAGTCGCAGCCGTGCCCGTGTTCGACGCGGTCGGCCCGGATGAGGTTGTCGTGGCGGCCGCGCCCGTCTGTGCCGCGAGAAGCGATGCGCCCGCAGTGACTCGGACCGGGAAGAAAGTCCCATCAGTATACGTCGTGGTAGACGAGCCGGGAAAGTTGGCGCCGGAGCCGCCCATGGACTCGGAGCAGAGGGCGGTCACCGGAGGTCTTCCGGACACGGGAGCGGTGCTCGTGATGGCGCAGCTCTGGATGCCCGTGAACTCGTCGGACAGATTGATGTCCATCAAGTATTTGCTTGGGCCAAAGGTCAGGGTCTGTTTAGGGAAAAGACCGCATTCGTTCGAGTCTGCACCGATCGGGCAGGCGAGGGAGAATGTGGTGAGTTGGCTGGTGACTCCGATGACAGACGCGTCGATTGCCTGCGCGTCATAGCCAAATAAGGGCAGCTGAATGGTTGTGGTCTGGGCGAGAGCCAGAGGCGAGAGCAGGAGCAGCACGAGAGATGCCATGATGGATGATGAACCGCTTCTTGGTAAGTCGTAAGGCGATTTGATGGTAAGTTTGATGGTCTCAGAGCTAGCAATTCTGAAGGCTGTATACGATTGAGGAGATTCACGAAGACCTTAATTAGTAAACTTGATGGGTTGATGATTGACAACGGAACAGATCTACACCGTATTTGCAGTGAAGGTAATAATACGCAGGGCGGCATAAAAACGCCCCTTCATTGATCTCATTGTCAGCAGGCCGGTACCCGCGATGAGGCGCTTTCCACAGGGCTGCTAGTGCCAATCACTTGCATTTTTCACGAGGTACGTGGATACCGAGATTTATTCGTGTGGTTGGCCAATGTCCGGCACATTTACATCATATCGCACAGTACATGCCAAGATTTTCTACGCAGTTTTGGTACCTAGATATGCATGAAAGCGATTCCGACACCAGAATATGGGCAACATGGAGCTTTGGTCTGGCCCGTTACTGGTTCGGAGGCGATTTGTTCACGATCCGCGGCCATTCAGATAGATCTCGACTTATCACATCCATCAGAATGCGGTACTGGTCCTGTGTTGAGTTCTCGAATCGTTTTGTCATCGTAAGCATCTCAGTAATACCGTACAGCGCTGGAGTGCTTGAATTTCGGTCGCTTCCATTATCGTCACGATGGATGGAGTAGAGTAGATACTGCCTCTCTGACGATAGTATTCAACGAGGTCGGATGAATGTCCGAGCCTCAGAGACCGGTTCGCACAGTGGGAATTGTAGAACATGTACTTTTGGATTTTCCAGATATTAAGGAGTTGCGCAATCTATATGTGCACCTAGGTCGGGTTGCAATGTGGGTCCAGCTGACGCGTTCGATGAAGAAGAGGGAGAAGAAAAGGGAGAAGAAAAGGGAGAATGTGCAGGATGGCGCTAGAGAAGCCGTCTCGATGCAGGTACAAAGTCGCCTGCCGCTTCTGCCCAGGTGCAACGTAACACTCTGCATTATGTTCCAATGTGGGTACCTAGGTAGTTTTACCTGCGATGAAGCAGCTAGACGAGTGGATCTTGGTCTGTCTGATATGAGGCAACAATTCAAATTGTAAGGGGCATCACCAGAAACGATCACAGTGCCTAGGTACCGTAGAGAGAGACTACTACCTACCTAGGTAGGGAGGCATCATTATTACAGAGGGCATCGCGGAATCTTTGACCGGAAGCAGATGCCCCTCCAGGGCTGGCCCTGAAACATTTCGTACTCCAGCTGTACCGCAGTTGACGCCAGGCCGAGCCAGAGGAAGTGAGATTTCACAACACGCCCGTTGAGCAGCGATACGAGACAAGTCCCACCATTGATTGCATCTGCAGGTGGTTTTGATGTCGCCACCACCACCACCACCACCATCGAGATTTGGCGTCTGCAGGTCTCCGTTTGTCCATACCTATGCAATGGAGAACGGCAGACAGGGTGAGTCTATGATCTGTGGGATTAATGGGAGGCAACGAAGCCAACGCAGGATATTTTTATCACACGCTCGTGTACTAGATGCTAGGTAGTCTGGTGTTTTTTCGATGGTGCAATGCATCGCGGTTGGCCACTGCGGACGGCGTCGGACAAGCGTTGGGAAATGTCCACACGTCCGTCCTTCAGTACATCCAGCCTGGCCGATGATAATTATTACAGGAACATGTAGATGTATATCACATGATTCAATGGGCTGTTGTATGCATACTGGCTACCTGGGTATTTATGCTGCACCTCATGAAATCTGACTACCGTGACACGAATGCTATTCAATAGATGAAACAGCCACGACCCATTGAACGCGTGGATTCATGTACTCATGCCGTAGACGAGCGCTCTTCCGAACCCAGGCTTGGAATTGATGGCCGGCCGTCGTGACAGGCGCTCCAGGGAAAAGGGAAAAAAAAGGAAGGGAAAAGGCCACCTCCACCGAAGCGACCAATTTTTCCCCCCGACAGCCCTGAGTTCAGTTAGGGATGCTACCGCATGACGTCAGGTCTAAACTTGTCGGTCCCCTGGCGCCGGGCGTACACGCGGCTTGCGACGGTCACATTTTCCGCTTCGTGTTGCAATGGAATCATACTGCATACCTACCTAGTATGTACCTAAGCTTACCTAGTATGTGCAATCGAGCGTTCTACAGTGTGTCCCAAGGCTTGATCTTCTTCATGGCATTGTCTTGACGAAACATCCCTCTTCCTTCATACCGTCTTTGCATCATTCGCATCTCTCTCATCACTCACCATTGGTCTCGGACGTCGTTTTCTCTTTTCCAACCTTCGTTTGACTCCTGTACAAAATTTTATTATCATTCACTGGTGGGCCGACAGCAACACCGAATTTGCCGTGCAGTCGCCATTGTCAATTTACAACTCCTGATCAGCTCTCAATCAACCCGAAGCCCCAATCCTGTGAGACGTCGACTTTTCTCATTCGGGCGCTTCCTGCGACAAGAGCTCAAGTACGGCTGACAGGCTGGCCTGATCGATCCTGAAATCACCTTGCATTCGTCTCACATATCACAAACACATCTCATCCCATGGCGTCACAAGCCTCATACCTCGGGCCCAGCCCAAGTACGAAGAAACGCTTCTCGAGGGATGGGTTCCAGCAGCTCTACCCAGATCAGGATGAGCACATGGCATTTAATGACTCCACCGTCGACATCCCTCTCGAGCAAGTGTCCACCAACAAGACATCCGGCAACGGCCTCCGTCCACTCCACACCGCCGCCTCATTACGACATTCACCTTCGAACGCCACTGCTTCTCGTGAGAAAAAGACGTTCTTCCGCGGCCGTCGAACGAAACAGGATTCGCCTGGAGGCAGACCCTCAGGACGTGTAGGATATGACGGAGAAATGGATACCGTGACCACCATGGGCAAGATCTACGACAAAATCTTTGGTTTCTCAATCATCACACGTTACTTCCTCTACGTTCTGCCGCTCGGGCTGCTCATCGCTGCGCCGATTATCGTGGGCGTGGCCATCCAGAATTCAAGAGCAGATCGAAGGCCACCAATCTTGGCCGGGGTCTCCCTCATTTGGTTCTTCACCTGGGTCGAGGTCGTCTGGCTGAGTCTGTGGACATCGAAATTGGTCGCCCACTTTCTGCCCCATGTCTTTCAAATCTTCGTCGGAGTGGTCAGTTCTGGGGTCCGGAAGTATGCATCGGTCATCCGAAAGCTAGAGATTCCGCTATCTCTGGTCGGATGGGCTGTGACTTCTCTGGCCACCTTCGTTCCTCTCATGACCCTCAATCCTTACCAGCAGCGACTTTTGGAGGAATGGAACGCCAGTAATGCCCCAGACAAGGGTCCCAATCCGACGAATGAACAACCCTGGCAGTCAATCGTCCAAAAGATCTTGGGCGCTGCCGTTGTGGCCTCGCTCGTCTTGCTGGGCGAAAAGTTCATCGTGCAGATGATCTCCATCAACTATCATCGGAAGCAATTCAACGCCAAGATCAAGGACTCGAAGCGACATGTCTATATCCTCGAGCTCTTGTACGATGCATCGCGGTCATTGTTCCCTGCCTACTGCCACGAGTTTGCCGAGGAAGATTACATCATCGCGGATCAGCTGCAGATTGCAGCCCTGGGCGGCCGAAGCCGCAGATCCAATGGACAGGATGGACACAGACGAACTGGCTCCGCTACGCCGCTTCGATTCATCCAAAATGTTGGGCGGTTCGGCGACAAGGTGACATCTGCGTTCGGCAACGTGGCGCACGAGATCACAGGTAAAGAGGTCTTCAACCCCAACAGTTCTCACTCTATCGTCGTCGAAGCACTTGAGAAAAAGGTCACGTCGGAGGCCCTCGCTCGCCGGATCTGGATGTCGCTGGTCCTTGATGGTCGTGAGGCTCTTCACAGCGACGACATCACAGACGTTCTTGGCATCGAACGCCGAGACGAAGCCGAAGAGGCCTTCTGGACGCTTGACCGCGATGGCAACGGAGATGTTTCACTGGACGAGATGATCATGACGGTCACGGAATGGGGCCGTGAGCGTAAGGCCATCGCTAACAGTATGGTCGATGTCGCGCAAGCCATCAATGTCTTGGACCGTCTGCTCATGGTCGTGGTCTTCATTGCCGTCGTCTTCATCTTCGTCGCCTTCCTCAATGCGAACTTCACGACAACCCTGGCCACGACAGGAACCGCCTTGCTGTCCCTTTCGTTCGTCTTCTCTGTCACTGCTCAGGAGATTCTCGGTTCCTGCATCTTCCTTTTCGTCAAACACCCCTTCGACATCGGTGACCGTGTTGACATCGGCGCCGACCAATACGTGGTTGAACACATCAGTCTTTTGTTCACTGTTTTCCGACGAGCGACTGGCCCCAAGACAGGTCAGCTCAACCAGTACCCTAACATCGTGCTGAACACTTTGGCATTGGAGAATGTCAGCCGCAGCAAAGCTATGACGGAGCAAATCACTCTCGACGTCCAATACAACACGACATTCGATGACATCCAAATCCTCAAGAATGAGTTGAAGAAATTTGTCACCGACAAGGACAACAGCCGCGACTTCCAGCCAGACTTGGAGGTTGAAGTGTTGGGCACAACCGATTTGAACAAGCTCCAGATTCGCGTGGAAATCAAGCACAAGAGTAATTGGGCCAATGAGGCTCTTCGTGCGACTCGCCGAAGCAAATTCATGTGTGCTCTTGTCGCTGCGTTGCGTGCTGTACCCCTCAACGCGCCCGCTGGTGGCACTGACGCTGCCGGGACTGCTGCGAACCCCAATTTCTCTGTCGCCATCAGTGAGGCAGAGGCGAAGGAGAATGCTGCTGCATCGGCGGCGGCAAAAGAAGCAGCGCGTCTGGTGCCAGTCAAGAAAATCGAAGATGCCAAGGAGGCGGCAGCGAATGACGCCGACGCCAATGCAAAGGTGGGCATGGCCGGTCTGAGTTATCACGACGGCAGAGTCATCGAGGATCTCACATCACGGGATCCGGCATCCGACCCTGTCCGAGACGAAGGCTGGGCGACCGGTCGCGACGATGCCAGCACCCTCGGGGGTCGTTCCAGCCCGGACCAACACGATCTAGAGGAAGTTCGAAGCTTTCTCCGCCGAGAGAGCACCCGCGGCAAGCGAAAGCCTTCCGCGACGGCCGGTCGCAACAGCAACGATCATCCCGCGATGCGATTCAGGAGAAACCCGAGTGTTCCGACCATCAGCGAACCTGCAGCCGTCGTTGCTGCACCGTCGTCTTATGCCCCCGGTCACTTGCCCTACCGTTCGGCGAGCGTACGGGCACAGCAGCAATCAGGTCAGCCACTGGCACCACCGTATAGCACTTCTCCTTTCGGTGCTTCGCCGAACGTTGCCGGCAGCCAATCCCTCGATACGAGCCAACTCGCCCATGAGATGAGCGCAGACCGTAGCCCCACCGCTACCTCGCCCGGAGGTGGCTTCCGTAGCCGTAGCGGCACGGTTGCAAGTCGGCCAGGTGCCGGCTTCCCCGTGGCGACGGGCCTGGGAGGAGTGAACGAGGAGGACGAAGAGGAGAGGAGGGCTGGTCGACAGCCTTCTGATAATGCTGGGGGTCGTTTCTAGAGGGACGGTCCGTGATCGACGTTGCTGCTTTACGCGCGAATGAACGCAGAAGCAGGCCTTCACGTATGATACAACGAAAAGGGAATTAGAGTAGCGCAACAATGTCGCTATACCCACCAGATTAGATCTCAATCACACTGATTACATTTAACTTGGGTCTTATTTCTCGTGCGTGAGCGATGTCCTTCATAGATCGCAGTGTGTGGGAAGCGTCGAGGTTCTTTCATGTGATGCTCGGGTCTGATGCCGAGTTCGTTCACCTCGACACGTGCTGTGTCCAAACTTCGACTCGGCAAAAATCGCAACCCCACATGACGTACGCGCTCAGGCATCTAGATTGCCGCCGTTCATCACAGCCCACGCGAAAGGCCATACTGTCAATAATGCTAAGAACTGCACAATACTGGTAGTCGTAGTCGATGATGTGCTTGGCGTGCGATTGAAGTCCCAAGTTCGGTTCTGGTTAAAGTTTCCGTCTACAGCGGCGCGCAGAGGGCCGTTCATTGCCGATCTTCTCTACACTACACTCTCGACACGGGACCATCGTCACTTGCGACACTGGTCGGAGCATCCTCAGATTACCTGCGACATACAACTCCTTTCTCTTTCTTGATATCTTCTACGACTACTTCCGACCTCGCCCGACATATACAAGCTCCTCGTCGCCCATCATGTCAGGGCTCGAAAAGGCCCTGTTCAACCTCAAGGTATGTGTGTCGCCGCGCCGCGAACGGTAGATGCCCATTCCACTCGACGATCCATCCACGAACCCTCGAACCCCTCCCCATCCCCCCGTCACTTCGCCGTAGGCTGACAGGACCACCCCCTGTGGGTACCGCCTCGGCCACAGTTCACCGCCAAACAACTCAACCGACAAGCCGCCAAGGCCAGCAAGGACGAGCAGCTGGAGAAGGCCAAGCTCAAGAAGGCCATCCAGCAGGGCCACACGGACATCGCCAAGATCTACGCGGGCAACGCCATCCGCAAGAAGAACGAGCACGTCAACCTCCTGCGCCTGGCCTCGCGCATCGACGCCGTCAGCTCGCGCGTCCAGACGGCCGTGACCATGCGCTCGGTCACCGGGAGCATGGCGAACGTGGTCCGGGGCATGGACTCGGCGATGAAGAGTATGGATCTGGAAAAGGTATGTTTTGCTCCCCCCAACACCCGGACCCGGAGGGAAGCCGCACGGGAAAGAGAAGGACATGGCTCGGACATCTGGGTTGCCAAATGGACGCGAGGAGCGAGCGAGGAACACGGGGCAGAAACGGACACGGTGACGCAGGAGCAAAAGGAGCTGATCAGACATGAATTTCCTTCCCCCCACCACAGATCTCCGCCGTCATGGACCGCTTCGAGACGCAGTTCGAGGACCTCGACGTCGCCACCGGGTACTACGAGAACGCCACGTCGTCCGCCACGGCCGTCGGCACGCCGCAGGAGGACGTCGACAAGCTGATGAGCCAGGTCGCCGACGAGGCCGGCGTCGAGCTCTCGCAGGAGATGGCCAGCGCGGCGCCCGCGAAGGACTTCAAGGCGCCGGCGGAGGAGGAGCGGGAGGACAAGCTGGGGGAGCGTCTGCGCGCGCTGCGGAGTTGAGATGGACGGGAGGGAGGGAAGGAGGGAGGTGTGATCGGAGCTCGATCCCTCCAGCCGTGTGTGGTGGAGCAGGCGTCCGGAGTTTCAATGTCGGAGGGGACCCTTGGTTTTCTCAATCACGTGTGTAGACGCGCCTTTTCCTTTCGGCTGCAGGCCGTCGGGAGCAATGTTACGAATGATGATCCAAGAAGAGGGAAAGCGTCTGTGTCAATGATGAGGTGCGATTGTCGAATGGACAGTACTTCAAGCTCGTCGAGCGCGCAGACATGATTCTACACATGACGACTCACGTTGGGAGACACCGCCGACGTGATCCTCACCACGACGGTGAACAGCCGCTAGGATAAGACAACCTGATTTCAAGCCCGCGCACGATACTGCTCGATCGAGCTTCATGATCGAAAGCCAACTCACGACAGGACGTACCTACATACCCAACTGATTTGATTATTCCATCGAGGCCGTCGCGCTCAGGGTAGGTACAGTACGTACAGGTCCTGGCCCCAACCCCAACCCTAACCCGGCCAAGCGCCCAACAACAGCTGTAGGGCAAGCGCCGGAGCACAAAGAACCAGTAGTGTACTGCGACTTCAGGACAGCAGATGCGCTTGTCGTCTCGTGCTGCCCGTCCGTGGTCCTCCTGAAGAGCAAAGCCCGTCGACCGATCCATGTGAATAGTAAATAAATAAGATATGATGCACGCGGCAAGACTTGTTCCGATCGCCCACTCCGCACGCGCCACCGGAGAAGACGACGACGGCGACGTTACCGCCGGACGGGAAAGGACTGCACCGCCACCCCGTTCATGGTTGACGACGCCTCACATACTATCTACCTAGGTAGGTAGGTAGGTATCTCTCCTCCAGCACGGGACGGCGCTTATTATCATCACGGCTCAGCCTGCGATGTTCTCTGTCTGTCTCGATCGATGAATATCAAGTATACCGAGATGTGAACGCGCGTGGTTCGTCGCCGTGTGTGATAGCGACCTCTCGTTGAGGCTCTGGGAGACCGCCCGCGTGCTCCGATGACAGACCATTGCAATTCCGAGTACAGCCTGAGAAGATCCATTCAATTCGTTCATTCCCTTTGGTGGCTACGGGTACTGGTACTGCTACTGGTGCTGCTACTGATGCTGTGGGGTTCAGCATGGATGTGTGTCCCGTAGGAACTTGAAGAGAGCCACCAAGGGGAGACGGACAGGGTCCAGGATGGAAACACGCACACGTCATGCTTCTCCTCAGCCCCCCCAGCGGCAAAAAAGACAAAGTGGGCGCGGCGCGTGCGTGTGAGAGTGAGAGAGAGAGAGAGAGGGAGAGTGAGGGTGATGAGAGTCGTCGTGTGCTGCCTTGCCGCTTCCGGTTAAGAACGGCGTCGTCGTCGTTTTGCTCACTAGACACCTGCATCTCTTGATGATTTGAACCAGGGGGGGTAATATGTGTCTATATGTATATGCCTGTCATTGGAGATTGCGATGGTCATTCCATCATTAGTGATGATGATGATGATGATGATGATGATGATGATGATGATGATGATGATGATGATGATGATGATGAATGTTTGGTCCATTGAGGGAGAGAATGGATGGGAATTGACGTATGGCCCGGTGATGGGATGGTGTACACTGGATTGTCATCATTGTTATCATCTTAGGTCAATTACTACTGGTGATGAGTGAGGAGGTTATTACCACTGGTGAGCGTGAGGATGTCACCGACGAGCTGGGAGAGGCGGCTACTGTGTATACTAACTAGAGAGAAGAGATTCCACCACACATTCAGCGACCGAGTACCTGACTATGCATACTATAGCGCTGGACGGCGACATGGGGGGGGAGTAGCGGCGGCGGTTCACACTGACTGCAATCATAATCACTACCTAGTACTCTGGTTGTACGCGTGTCCATCGGGGCGCTGTACAGTACATCTATTCCTTTTTATGTATACTGCCCAAGGTGCTCATGTATTATTATTATATTCTACTGGATGGATGGGATCATAATGGATGGATCTGTAGTCCTCCAGCCCACAGGTGTGTTAATACTGATCATCATAATAATCAGGAGGGAATATGAGAATTCGTCCCCAATGTTCGTTCCCGCGCTTATAGATGCACTGTGAATTACAGTAACCTGCTTGCTCTTTTTGCTTGGCCCTTCCATCACTCACATCACCCATCACTCATCCTCACTCACTATCCCATCATCATCATCATCATCCACCAACCCAACTGAACCCTCTCTCTATCTCTCTCTCTCTCTCTCTCCGGCCAGCACAATCGGGCATGAATCGGAGCAACAGCAACTATCAGCCCGTCATGAAATCCCACGGGTCCTCCATCCCGCCCAAGCGGCTCATCGCCGCCTACATCTTCGACTGGTTCGCGATCATCGTCCTGGCCGCCATTGGCGCTGGCCTCAGTCGGGTATCGCCGCAACACCGCGCCTTCTCCCTCGTCGACCTCACCATCTCCTTCCCATATGTCCTGGAGACCATCTCGACCCTCACCCTCGCCTTGGTCGCCCTGGTCGGGCCCGCCGTCATCATCGCCGTCGTCACCTTGGTCTTCGTCCCCGGCCCGCGCTTCTCGCGCAGCATCAACCGGTCCCAGTTGATCCGTCTGAAGCTGTGGGAGCTTGAAAAAGGATTGGCCGGGTTGTGTCTGTCGGTCGCGGTCGCCTTCTTCGTCACGCAGGGCACCAAGAACCTCTTCGGCAAGCCGCGACCCGATCTCCTCGCTCGATGCGACCCCGACTACGCCAACATCGCCGCGCACGCCGTCAGCAACTACGCCGCCGCGTTCAACGAGCGATGGGTTCTCGTGACATCGAGCATTTGTCAACAAAAGGATAAGAGGCTTCTAGATGATGGCTTCCGATCGTTCCCGAGCGGTCACTCGTCGTTCTCGTGGTCGGGTCTCCTCTACCTTTCCCTGTTCCTCTGCTCCAAGTTCCAAATCACCATCCCCTACCTGCCCGGCTCCGCATCGGGCCCCGATCACTTCCCGGCGCCCGACTCGCATGTGTCCACTCAGCCATCGACCAAAACCCAGATGGCCTACGACGGCGCCAACACCACCGCCCACGACGAAGAGCACCTCCACTCGCCCGCCACGACCGCCGTCGGCGAACCCTCCTCGCCCACCACCCGGACCTTCACCATCCAGAACTCCGCCGCCACCCCGCCGAACTACCTCCTGATCATCGTCATCATCCCGCTCGCCGTGGCCGTCTACATCGTCTCCACCCGCTTCGTGGAGTACTACCACTTCGGCTTCGACGTCCTCTCCGGCTCGCTGATCGGCATCGTCTCCTCGTGGGGCGCCTTCCGCTGGTACCATCTCCCCATCTCCCGCGGCCACGGCTGGGCCTGGGGCCCCCGGAGCGCGAACCGCGCCTTCGCCATCGGCGTCGGCACGGACGGATACGTCGGCGCCGAAGGCTGGAGGGACCACGACCACGACCACGACGAC